ATAAATAACTTCTTTATTCTATTTTTTTAGCCTAAAATAAAGTTTATAATCTTCTCCTTAATAGATAAACTTCTAATTTAAAAGGCTTTTTAAATCTAGGTAATAAGATTAAATATAATTAGAAGCCTAGCAGAAGTTATATAAGTTTAAAGATATTCTAGATCTTTTAGTTAGATTAAATCCTAAAGGCGCCCTAGCTTATATATTTATATTAGCGTTAGATTTACTACTATTAGGCCTCCCTATATATTATATATTATATAGTTTTAACTTCTTAAACTTTTTTATTAACTAATTAATTTATAACTATTTTATTAACTTTATTTTAGTATTTTATTATTTAATTCTATTTTTATTCTTATCTAAATAGATTCTATTAGGTTTAATAAAAAGTTATATATTATTTTTTTTAATTATTTTTTCCTTTATTAAAGCTATTATATCTTAATCTTTCTTTAGTTTATTGCTATTAAGGTAGTAAAGGGTTTTAATTATTCTTACCCTATCTACTACCTTTTTATAGAAATTAATATATTTAATAGTAAATAAAATATAATAATTTATATTTAACTCCTAAATTATTTATTACTTAAACTCCTTTAAAAATTCTTAAAGATATTAAACTTTCTATAAGTATTAGCTTAACTTATTTAAAATTATTAGCGCTTCTAATATAGCTTAATATTCTTAGTTATATTCTCTTAGGTCCTTAAAACTATTATATTTTATATTTTTAAATCTTTTTAGCTATTAAATATTATATTTCCTTTAGTATTTATTATAGTAAACATATTTTTATTTAGTCGCTTCTATTAATTTTAAGTAGTTTTTCTCTTTATATTTAAGTTAAATATTTATTTATAATAATATTAATAGGCTATAATAATTTATAAATTATTTAGTTTTTTCCTTTTTTAAGAATTAATTTACCTTATATAGCTTTTTAAAAAGCCTTAGATAATAAGTAATATTATCTTCTTTAAAATATAATACCCTAAGATTTTTAGGCATTAATATTTATAGAGCTAATATAACTTAAATTAGCTATACTATTAATAGTCCTATATTTTTAGATACCTAAGCTATTTATATCTCTAAACTTAATAATATTAAGAAGCTAGAAGTCTTTTTATCTTAACTAATATTAAAAAGATTAGTGCTTTTTTCTATATTTTTTTAAAAAAATAGTAATAAAGATAATAATAAGAAATTCTTCTATTTTTTAATAAATAGTTCTTACTTAATAATTTCTTATTCTTTTTAAATTTTTGCTTCCCTTTTATATTTACTAAGCTCTTCCTTATATTTAGCAGTCTTTCTTTTTTTTTATTATTAATATATATTTTTGCCTTATATTATATTTGCTGTCTTTACTAATTTAAGAAATATATTTATCTCTTTTTATTTATAGTAATAATCTTCTTTAGCTATTTTATTTATCTTTTTATTATTTTTTATCCCTTTCTTTAGCTTTAGCTTTAATCTTAGTTTTTAATTTTTTTTTCTCCCTTATTTTTGCTTAATATTTTAATACCCCTTATATTTAGCTCTAATTTATTATAGGAAAATATATTAAGACTTAATATAGAGTCTTTAAATAAGTAGGTATTAAAAAAGAAAAGAAGAGTATTTAGCTTTAGAGCTTAGAGTAAAGCTAAAAAAGAAGCTCTAATTATAAACTAATATAATAAACTAATAATAATCTAATATTAAACTAATATTAAATAATAATAAAAAAGAAAAGCTAATTATTTTATTCTGAATAATTAAAAGGTATTATCTTTTTATTATCTTTTCTCCTCTCCTACTTTATTTATAGACTTTTTAAAGACTTTAAGTAAAAACATATAACCCCTTAACTAATTATATTCTTTACGCCAATTCTCCCTACTACAATATTTTTATTTATAATCTTATATTTTATTCTAATTATTTAAATAGTATTAAAGTAGGGTTTAATAACCTTTAAGTCTTTATATTTAGCTCGCTAATAGAAGTATTATTTAGAATAAATACTTTTTAGTTTAGGGTAATATTTAATAAATATAGATGCCTAATTTTTCCCTAGCTAAACCCTATTATCTCAACCTATAAGAAAACTATCTATCTCTTAGATTTATACAGGCCGAGGATTTAATTCTTATAAATTTATAGATAGTATCTATTATATAAGCGATTTTTACTATATTTTATTCAATTTAAATATATTGTTAGGGATATTGTAGTAAAATTAATATCCTTAAAGTCTTATCTAAAGGGTTATATAAGGAATATTAAAAATTAATGCTGTCTTCTATATAGAGGGAATTTAATCTTTTTTTAAAGCTTTAATTACTAATAAGACCCTCCTCTCCTGCTTAATATGATTTTTTGATAAAATAGGCTTTTTTAGTGGTATAGTGGGTGGTTGAATAAAACTGATTTAATGATCGCGAGGGAAGCTTATAGGGTAATCAGGTCGGGCGGGTAATCAGGTCGGTCGGGAATTACGTTAACAAAAGTCGATCTGAGATGATAAAAACGGGACCCAGGATCTTGTAAAGCGTCGACTGCCTCATCACATTAAGAGCTTACCTTCTCCCTTGTCAATACAACGTAGCCATATGAATAGATGCATGATGTGTGAACAGTTTCGAGACTTCTAATGGCACCCTTCTCGTCAAAGGGAATTCATTAAATGAGTGATATAACTTAGTAATTAACTTTCTTTTTCCAAATAATATCTGGTGACAGCCATATGTTATAGGTTAACCATGTCGAATATTGAATAGCACGGAAGCATAGTCTGATTTGAACCAACTCGAATTTCTTATTTTGCGTGAATTTTAGTTCTAGTTGGGGGAGGGGTTAGAACCCATATTTATCTCCTCTAGCATACGAAGGATCTGAATCAGAGTCTTCGTAAAAGGCTTTTCAATCGTTATAACCAACTCCAGAGAGACACGACCTGTAGCCAGTGTCTCAAGTCGCTTAAGCAAGCAAATTTACTCGTTTTTCGCACGATATCACTGCTAGAATTCTAAATGCCAAAGTTAATGCCCCGTCCAGTGCATGAAGTTGCAATATTGGCCTTTCTACGATTGCATCCAACCTGAAGTCTATCGAATAGGCCTAGATATGAAGTAAGGCCTTTAAGAAGTACTACTGTCTATATAAAGAATTATACCAAGGAGGCAAATGCTAGTTTGGAAACCAGCCTCATTCGGCAGTTTATAACTAAGTCTTAGACGTCGCTCAGACTGCTACAGCAAACTTTCATGCACATGGTTATCGCTTATCGTCGAGCCTTTGCAAGAATTCGGGAATTAGAAGGTAAATAACCCCCTCCCACCTTCCCTTTAGCTTTTTACCCTCTTATGTCTTTATCTTTGTTATTTTTCTAATTTTTTTCTTTTCAAAATGATAGATTACATTCAGTACCACCGTGGACAGCCAGTCCCAAGGGAACGTTTTCACCCATTCCTTGGCTTGTCTATGACAGACTTGATCGATATGGAACAAGGAATGTCAGAACTCCAAGTTGGCGAAACGGATGAGATCAGGGTTACAATGAATTTCCATGGACTTGATAGTAGAGTCGATTCAAAGATTGGAACTCGACTCTCATGGATTGCTAGAGGCAAGTGGCTCAACGGTTAAGATTATTATTACCTTCAAAATAAACCTTGATATTCCAAGGATCCTCATCGAGCGTTGGGAATTGCGTCCTCGACAGTCGCACCGCCAGACACGAGCATGACTTCAATCAGGTACCTGCACCTGCGAAATGAGTATGGATTATCAAAATAACGCAATCTATGTCTCTGGAAATTTGAGTTTACCCTTCTAAAACGTTGTCAGCAGGGGAAAAGATCAGAACAAACCCCAAGAAAGGATTTTATCATTTCTACTCAATGCCTTTCTAGGCTTGCAACGCGAGTATGGATAAAGTGTCGGCGCACAAAGCGAAAGTCCGGTAATCTATCAATCATCCGCTTGCAGCAGGTTCTAAATACAGGATAGAACCTAATCTAGATTCTTTGTATGCTATAGGAGATAAATATGGGTTCAAAAACACCTAGAACTAGATTCAAGCAGTCTAGATAAATAGACTAGGTGGTTTAAATAAGACTATGCTTCCGTGCTATTCAATATTCGACAAAAAGCAAGGATTCATTTGAAAGCCGACACATTCATTTTAGACCATCTAATTATCTGGTAGAATACGAGTCCTTTGGACAGATTAAATGTCCAGGGCGTGTTTATTCGTCTATAGATCCTGAATGGTCTAATACGTGTGCAATATTGAGTGATCATCGTATAGGGAACGCTAGGCACTGTGGCCTTAGAGCCTCCCTGTACTTCAAACCTAGGAAATCTGCCCAGGGCAAGACTCGACGGGACAATTCTACGTGTATTCGAGGCAGACAAGACACAGAGAAAGCAGAGAAATAATGACAAATTCACATTCCCATGATACGCCGCGATACTGCAGGCTCAAATGATTCCCAGCACTGTTGCACCCGCCCATAGAAGTTCGCCAATCCGTCCTTGAGAAAAGAAAAGAGAAAAGAAAAAGAGATAACATACATGAAGAACATGAAAAGAAGAAGAAGCTTTAAGGATCCACAAGCATGATGTGTCTGCCCAACAAGACCATGAGGGTTTCCTCGAACAGAGGCATGACACATGAGACCTGCTAGCTGGCCATGCGAGGGCATAACTTGTCTATTGCGACAAGCAAGACACAGGGACCAGGAAATAAACACGAGAAAATCGAAGGTAGAAGACCGATATGAGGACGAAGACAGGAAAGGACGCTTCCCAGCCTCCCGGCACCGAATAATTCGTAGCACATGCGCGATCATTAAGCCCCCGGAGTACACGTATCGCTCAGAAAGGAAAGAAACAGCAGTCCATACTCCTCTCACTCGCAAGCCCTGTTTCGGGTTCCTTGCGAGTCACGAGAGGTAACGTGACCGCTGTGGGTAGATGAATTTCCGGAGTCACGTGGGACACACTTAACCCTGTGCGTGATCGATTTCAAGCTGGCCGAGATCTTTTTCGTCCTCCGCATAGTCTGGGAATTCGAGGCCAGCATCCCGACAGCGCTGGATCCACTTCAATGCGACGTCACCACGGCGGTTAACCTCGCCCTTCAGCTTTGCGTTCTGAGCACTGATTTCATTGATCGCATGGCTGGTCGTCATGTTGTTCTGATCCCATCTTTCGTTCATGGCCTTCTTCTCCTCATGCAGCTGGCAGATGTACTCAATAGCACGCTGCAGAATGGCTCCCTTATTTTTGTCGCAGTTGGGAACGAGCTGGGAGATCTGGTTAATGCCCTCGTTGATAGCTTCACGGCGACGACGTTCAACTGGGAGTTGATCAGCAATCATGCCAGAGACAAGGTGGATTTCTTCCTGAGAGTCTTACCTTCCTTGTGGTTGTTCTTACGAATGGTGTGCCATTCGGGCGAGCCAACTGTAGGCTTCTGATTCATGCTCTGTGCTTCGCGAGCCGCATAGACAGCGGCAGCAGTAGAGTTATGACCATGACTGGGGCCCATGGCACTTTGATTTAGCTCGTCACCGAAGGTGAGACCATGTCCGAGGTTGCTGTTGAAGTCGTTCGCAGAAGGAGGAGGAGGATACTTGTTCTGCGGAGCGTGGGCAGCGAGGGCCGCTTTAGCAGTCAATGCATTCTCGTCGGATATGCCATTCTGAGGTCCAACATGCTGAAGGATCTGCTGGTCGATCTGACTGAGCTCTGGAGAGGTGTTCGGAAGTCCATGGTCATAGGGGTCCAAGGATCCATGAAAGCCAGATTGGTTGTCGCCAGTTAGACCCTGGATGTTCCCATTGCTACCATGAGAGGAACGGTTCAAACGCTGAGGATCAGGTCCAGTACTGTCATTGCTTTCGCGCTTCCGCTTGTTAGAAGCATTGCCATCAGTGGCACTGAGAGATTGGTCCGACATGATCGAGACTCGAATGAGTCACTGGATGCACTGTACGACGAAGATCAGAGGCCGTTACACTGACTTGATAACAGACAGTAATATTTACCAGAACCAAGGTCGTGCTTGAGTAACGTGAAAGAATGTTCACTTTATGTGCTTTCAGTGCGCAGCACCTTACAGGCCGGAGACCACTGCAAATTTGTGATACACTTAAGTCTGTTGGCTGTCAGTACATGACAACATAGAAGGAGCAAATTTGAGCAAGAAAAGGACCCGTGCTCCTCAAGGCCTTCCTTGCAATAGACAAGGAGCAATATGTGCGGGGATGATGCAACAGTGAAGGGCTATGTCAGTGAAATAAGACGCGCCCGTGGGGAGTAGAGTTGAGCACAAGCGAAGAACAACGCGTCCAGACTGAGAACATGAAGCCTCTTTATCCCTATCAGCTGCATAGATATAGCTAACATCATGCATACTAACACCAGGACCTTAAGGGAGGCTGTCCAGAGTAGAGACGCGTTATCGCAGGGCGTGCGACCGCGACTAGAGGCACAACAACAGCGTCGCGAATCACAGCCATATTGCGACCGGCTTCTAACGGATAGTAGCCAGATCGTAGATAGCTATGCGCTGCTGAAACGGGCTTGGATGCTGGAGATAGGCAAAGGCGGGGATTATCGTCAGAGGAACTGGAGCCGTACCTTGGATGGTCTATCTATCACCTGACAGGAAGTCACCTGCCACGGGCAACAACAGAGGCGCGCTCGAAGTCACGATGTCGAGACGAGAACGTCGAGATTAGAAAGCGCAAGAGTAAGATTGGGACAAGAGGTTGCTGCAACGGTCCGGGATCCAAAGAAACCCAGAAACAAGCAAAGAAAGCCGTTGTTTTATCATGAAAAGAAGACGGGGGACTTGAGTACTGGATAGAAGGGCGAGTAGAGCAGAGGGAGGGCGGGCTGCTCACGTGGCGAGGGACGAGGAGAAGAACAGAAGAGGAGAAGCCGTTGGGTCCGGCGGCGCGCAGAGACCGCAGACGCAGATGCAGACGCGTCACCTGACGGCGGAGCTTCCAGGATGATCCCGACCGGGGCCGACGCTCAGGAGACGCGAGGGGAACTTTTGGACAGGCACACACCACCACCCGGTCTGGTCTCTACCAGGCCAAGTCGAGAACATGATGACTGACCACAACCGGGAATTGGAGGGCATAAAACCATCCAGGTAGACATGAAGTTTTCATCTTTCCTGTGGTCTCTGCCAATCATGGTCATGTGCAGGTATCCCGTGCCCCGGCGAGCCCTTATCACGTTCTCATGTCCAGAGTAGCCGCATCGTTGGCGCCGCTGATTGGTTCAATAGGGCTGATCCGGATGTGAGGGCCGTTGTTCCGAAAGCACGTGCCTTGCCCTAGCCCTCCTCCTTGTCTGGCTGTGCTTGCTCGTACTCTCCAAGCCGAGTGCCCCGTAACTTGGGACCGTTACTCCTCCAGCCTCTTCACTGATGCTTTTCGGATGATATATATGATGCTCAAGCCGTCTGCGGACCTTGTCAGCTCATCCATCGCTTTTCTTCCAGACGTGGTGGCTGCTGGAACCGGGCATCCGGGATGTCGAATTCACTTCCCCCAGAGAGCTCTGGCGGACTCCATCTCATCAAGGGCAATATCTAGGCTGACTTAGATCATATCTAAACAGCGCTTCTCGATTAGTGACATGAAGATCTCCCGCACCTAGGTGGTACATGATTGCCTGGCTGTTAAACAACCCCCATCCACATACCTTCTGTGCCCTGGACATCTGGCCTGATTGACCGTCTCTCTCTCATCCCCGGCTATTCTTCTGGAGTATCCAGTCAGACTCCGTATCAGGGTTCTTGGCAGTTAGCTCTGTCACAGAAAACAAGGGTGGTCTGGGGGTCATAGGTGTATCACATGTGCCGGCGCTGCACACAACCAAACGCAATCTCCCAAACCCACACGCCCTTCAAGTTGATATAGCACATTTTTTCTTTCCTATATTGGACATCTTCTGTGCGGGAGCCTAGTCATCAGCTTGAAAGCTTTTTGAGAGACATCAAATTCCCTGGCAGCTGATACACACGTATCTTCACATGTCGTGACTGTCGATCCTTAGCACGACTAACTGTCATGAGATGCACAGGTAGCAGCAGCAAGGTGGGTGTGGTAGTGAAGAAGGTGAGAGATAAGAAAGGAAGACAGTCACGTCCTCTGTTTATAATTCCCGTCCCAGGTGGGAATTCTGACACGCAGAAAGATCCGGAACTCCAAGTCACATGGACCTAGCTTTTTGACAACTAATCTGCACATGACCTGCAATGTTATGATTCCTGATAGTATTGATGCTCTAGCATTTTTCCTTACTAGTTACTCTTCATAGCCTGGTACGGTCTATCTACTTTGAAGACCTGATGTTTTACATCCAACAGAACGCATCTTTAGGAAGTTCTGTATTTACAGTACATTGTAGTTATCCTAGAAAGTTAAGTACAGTATAGGGAGCGCCGGCTGCAGCGCTGCGAGAAAGGTAATTGAGTCTAACAGATAAGAAAAACTTCCCAAAGCGATCTATAGAACCCATAATGAGTTGCATCATCTCCCTAATCAGAATCAGAATCGGAACGCGGAACCAAACCAAAGACTAATTTAGGATCTGCCTTTGTGTCCGCAAAACACAGTCCTTCCTCCGCGGCGCCCATGATATCCCAGCATAGTATTTTGACATCGAACTCGGGTGCGCCACCCTCCGCCGAGGACCTGGGCTTTTGCGTCACCGCAACCACAGCGCTAGATCCAGCATACCGCGCTGGATCCTTTCCTTCGGCACCAGGTTCCTCACCGGCTCTATTTGCGAAGACAATTATCACCTTCTTAGTTAATCCGCTCGTACCATCAACATCCCCATCATGCTCCATCTTTTTCTCCAGAAGAGGCCAGAACCTTCGAATCCAGTACTGGAACGTATCCATATCAGGCTTGTCACGTAGCGCTGCGAGCTCTTCGTGACCCAAGAGAGTCAACCATGCCATGGATAGAATAACAAGTGGCGATTTCGAATCGATAACGCGATTTGCAAATTCCCAATCTGTAAACGGAGCTTCGAACTTGTAAGGGTTGATATCCATACAGATACCGAATGTAGTCTGGATCTTGTTCTGTTGTTGCGAAATTCCATCGAAGTTGAACGTGTAGAAACTCCGCTCGGCGTCACCTTCGCTTGCCCATGTTTCGTCGGTATAGTAAAGGAATCTCTTCCGGTAATTGTGCAATATAGTTCCGTACTCGTCTACGACGAGCAGCGAGTTATAGTATTTGTCATCGGATGATAATGGGTTACTGTTCCCATTCTCTGGCGATGACGACGATGTGGCCTTCTCAATCTCTGGGTACCCAACGCAGATTTTACATCTTAACCTTTTGGCTGTCTCTTGCGCCCATTTTGCCGTGGGTCCGGTGGACTGGGACTCCAAGTATGGCTTGATGGCTTCCAATGATGGGAAGTTGTAACCTGGAAGGACCTATCAGCCATTGTCTGCGTATGAATAGTAACCAAAAAATGTGTCCCGAAATATACTATGTCTGGCGTATAAACCAATCACAATGACAAGGGACAGACAAAATAGAACATATAATCCGAGACCCTTATACATCAAACACCCACATCATAGCACAAATAACATAGCAGTCCACAAGAAGCCCGTCGAAACCCATCAAGTTTTAGACAGCATATATTCCTAAAAGAACAAAATAGAAACGACCAAAGCCTAGATACTCACCACTAAACGCCAATTCCGGCAGAACCAAAATCTCCGGCCTCATAGATTCAATACTCAGACCATCTTTGCCTCGTTTAAGCAAATCATTCGCTCTGCGAATGTTGCCTTCCACATCGCCCAGCCGTGGAGCGAACTGCAGCGTAGCGATCTTCATTCCTCTGCGCTGGTGGAATTCACCTCGGAAATGATAATATCTGGGCAAAAATACCGGACGCGAGAATAGTAAGTTCTGGGACTTATCATAGCAACCTGCTAGAGAACGGCTATAGCAGGTAGTAGTATGCAGAGGTGGATGGGCCGGGATAGATGAGAGAGCAAGAGCCTTAAGAGGCACTCTTGCCGTCCTGAGGCAGGAAATTTTGGGCGATGTTCAAACAAATCTGAAAAGATGTTATACAGAATTTGAGCATTTAGTCAATATTAGAAACAGCCAGTGAGAGGCCTTCTGAATGGTTGTTGTCGTACGAGCGGATAGGTTAGTCCAACTAACCGATCATCTCACGTGATGAGGCTGTATGGACTTCTGGAGTACTCAGTCCCGCCTGTATATAACAAGCGCTAAAATGGCTAATGTAGATGGGAGAGTTGACCAAGCTATTAAGTTTTCAAAGATATGCTATGTCGAGGGTGAGAAACGTATACCCATTGCTATCTCCACAATCCCCAATGAGTTTGCTACTATTATCTGAATTTGGCATCAAGGTAACAGTCAAAGATTTCAAGACGCACCAAGACATGTATATACAACGCCATGATATATAGATGATAATAGGCTTGAAAACGCAAGACAAGAGTCATACAACCATTCCTTCGGATCAAGAACACCGTAATACAAATGCAAATATCAGACAAGGTCGCCTGGTTCTAATACCGGTGAGAAATCCCGACTGCCGATCGCCATGCTCTTTATTCGAGAATGCTGAAATATGTACAATGGAAATGTATCCACAAGACAATGTCTGTTGAACGATAGACTTAGATGTCTGCCATATCGTTTTCTAATTTTCCTTTTTCCTCTTCCCTTGGACCTTTTTGTCAGAGTTGAAGTTCAAGGGCTTGAAAGCTAGGCCTTTTCCACCAGTGATCCTGATCCTTTGCTCCGTGCGAGACATAGTTCGACCAAGGCCAAGTGGGGTGTCCGGTGCAAGGGCAACCTCGTAGCCGTTGACGTAGGATTGCAGAGGCGAGTGACCGCGAGATGCACTTCTTGATGAAGAAAGACTCCGTGAGAAGCTTTGTGAAACACGAAACGGGTCAGGGCCAGGTTCAAAACTCTCAAGAAGACTCGGCCCGTTCTTTAAAGATTCCGCAGCTATGCGAGCTGCAGATAAAAGAAGTTCATCCTCATCGACATGCGAACTGACAGGACCTCTGGGTGCCGGCTTGGGCTCAGGTTTCCGTTCAGTCATTGACCGTACTTGCTCCAGTATTGGCAACGTCGGCAAGGGCGCAATGGAAGCGAGAGCCAACGATGGCTTTTTAGGAGGTCGCGGGGGCTCTTTCTCAGCCTGCACGGCCTTCTCTGCTTTAGATATCCCAATAGAGTTTTCTAGTTCCTGTTCCTGCTCTTGCTCTTCAAAGGCTCTTTTCCGACTAGAAGAGAACTCCTGCCGTCGTTTATTAGCCGTTTCATTCAAAGCTTGTACCCAAGCAAGGCGCCGACGCTCCTTTTCCTCAAGATCTAGTAGGGATAAATCAGCAATGATGAATTAAGTATAAGCCATACATCCAAAAAAAGATTATGCTTACAGGCTTGATCATGTTCGATAGCTGGTTCATCGCTAGTCGGCGGTGCGAGGATTTCCGTAGATAGTGGAGGTTCGGTTGCAACGGCCGAAGTCGATTGAGGCTTCGCGTCCCACTCAGCTGCAGGTTCCGTGGCCGTACGATCATCGAGTCGCTGATCACGTTCTCCAGAAAGAGGAACTGAAGACTTGTCATAGGCAATTTCATCCACAGCTGCCTTTTCTGCTGTGATCTGCGTCGGCTCCACGATCGACTCGCTCGTCGGCGGTGTGGTCTCTGGTGCCGACGTGGGGAAGATCGGTTTGAAAGGAGCGGCTGCTGAGATATCTCCGGTGGATTTCGAGAAGACTGTAGAGACTTGACCTGAGGGTGCTGATGGGAAAGAGAACAGGTTAGGACCAGAAGATGGACCTAAGATGCGTTAGGAATACGGCAAGCAGACGAGTAGGTGAGGGAGAAACCGTACTTGCTCGGTCGAACAAAGAGCCATGCGAAACAAAGGTTTGAGGTCCTTTGGGCGGGCCCTGCGTTTGGGAGAACAGGCTCGGTTGTTTCTCAGGCCCGGGAGCTGCAAACGCAGGCTTTGGGGGAGAGAAATCAAGGAGGGGCTTTTTCGATGGCAAAGAGGTCACACCCGTCGCCTTGAGAGAACTCGAAGGGTCTGCTGGCTGGGGACCTGATGGTGCCTGGAATGGCGGGACACGAGATGTAGCTGAAGTCGTCGCTGAAGGAAACTGAAAGTTAGGTTTGGTAGAGAGATTATTCGCGGTGTCTGAGGATTTTGCTTGGAATGGGTTTGTCGTGACCGTGGCGTCTTTCTGCGGTACGAATAGTGAGGAGAAGTTGGATTTTGGTGGAAAGGCGGATGCCTCTTGATTGCCAGTGACAGATATAGAGCTCTGAAACGGCGACGTCGCATTAACCTGGGCAGAAAACAAATTTGACGAGGCCGAAGGAGGAGCAAAAGGGCTTGATGCAGCAGGCATAGCCGTAGGAGCTTGAGGTTGTGAGCCACCGAATAGGGACGGAAAATCTCGCTTTCCACCAGCAGAGAATATGGAAGACGTCTCTTTTTGCGGCTCCTGAGAAGATATATTTTGCGACGGTGCTCCAAATGGATTTGCAAAGCTAGATGCTGATGCCGATGATAACGCGGCGCTGCTCTCTTCTGTAGTCGGCTCTCCTAGTTGCAACCTTGGTGGCTCCTCTTCGTTTTCATCAGCGCTGACAAAGAGCTCATTATCTTCTTGCATCGATGTTGCGTAGCTTGGAGGCTGAGACTCCGCACGTGTTGTCAAAAGAGAGCGATCGATCATCCCATGCTTCGCAGCTTGGCTAACGTTTAAACCCAGCACAATAGCCACCAACGTCCTACCTGCCCGCTTAGATTCGACAAGTTTCTCCGAAAATGCATGCTGCGATGATGGCTGAAATTCTAATGGGAGTCAGAAAATGCAAATTTCAGAGACGGGAAGCTTAGAATAACTCCGTTGCAGGCGAGGATATCGTATACATACCCACAGAATCGACCGGACGATTGCCCCAGTTCAGGTATTCTTCTCCATCTGCATTTTCAGCAAATTCGAGATCCTGACCCTCGCAGAACTGGCGCGTTTGCTCGTCGTCGTCGAAATGTAGAGCCTTAGTTAGTTCGCCGATCGTCCATTCCTCGTTCCTATGCTGCTGAGACTGAGGTTGGCGACAATAACCCTTCCATATGGATCGGATAGCGGTCTGCCGGATATGATTAAGATAAATCTCCGCCACGCAGGCCATAAGGTATGGTACACTCGGAGAATCCAGTAGATTGAAAAATCGAGCGTAGAAGCCTTGCGCAATCGCATTCGGTCGTTTCGCATCTAGTGTGCCCTGATACTCCCACGTATTGGTAGCTGCAGCAAACAGTTCCAAAGCAAGCTGCACTCTGGGAGACTGACGCAGTTCAGCCGGCCATCTTTGTACTCTGGCCTCCAGGTCAGGCCTCTGGTCATGGATAGAAAATATGATATAGTAGGCTCGAAATTCATCTTCATTAGGAAACTGAACACGGCCTCTATTGTCATCGTAGTAGTACATCAGGGAAAGCATCGTATTGTTCAGCTGCTCGCGCTCCTGGTGATGATCGAACGGCTCTTGATTGTCCGGGCTAGAGAGTAGATGCAGTGATGCGATGTGGAAACGGGCTATCCGCTCTAGACATGTCACTGCCATTCGCACATGATCCTCCTGCGTGAGTTGCTGTACTGAAAAGTCATTCCGGATTGATCTCGTGCGGTCCCAGACAAATTTGTGGATTAAGCCAAGAGGCTCATTGCCGCCCAAGATATGTCGTATCAGGTAGTTGGTAGTTTGGAGAAGCGTCTTGGGAGTCCGGATATCAGAAGGAAGCTGTTCGTCGTAGCCAGCAGCAGATCTTCGAAATCGTTTCAGCATTTTCGTCTCCATGTTCTGAAGTGAATTGGTGGCCGGATGGAGGAACTGTGCAAACGAAATGGTAAGCTGAATTCAACTTTTCATCAAATAGAACGAGTTTACCTTCTCGCTTTTATCGACCATCTTCTGAACGATTCGCTCAACTCGCTCGAACTCGGGGCACATGCTTGTGCAAGTACCCACAGGAGTTATTGCTTGGTTCAATGAGGTTGGCTGATTTGGATCGGCCATTTGTCCCTCTTTGATGGCTCTCTCCCGTTGTTTTGCCCTATCATACTTAAGCTATGTTATGTACTGGCGTTAGCAGATAATCCCAGTATCATATTATACAGAGCACATAGCTCATGAAACCCACCCTTTCATAACGCTCATGATAGCTATTCATGATTTTCGCGTCTTCCACCGGGATAGATGTCAGTTTTCCATCCGTGTTTGACTCCGTTGCCGGGCGATGACGAGGGTCCCTGCTACGATCGATAGACGATGAACCAACCGCCCCGTCCAAATTCGAAGGCGACCCAAACGTGCCGGGCCCTTTTGCGATTCCAGCGAAAGGCGACGCGTTAAACTGAAGAGATGGCCCGCTCGGTTGGCCGAAGGACGAAGGTTTCCCCTGTCTAAGCTGCGCAAAGAGAGTGTTCCCGGAGGAAGTTCCAGAGGCAGTCTCAACTGTTCCTTGCGATGCATGACCGTCGCCCGAGCTTGCTGCTGCATTCCCTCTACCACGGCCAGATTTTGCTGCCACTGCAGCACCTCTCCCCCTGCCTCTGGTCTTCGTATCGCGCATCGCACTCGAAGCTTTTGACTGATGGGGCCCCGATCGAACTTGCGACCCCCCACGACTTTGTCCCTGTGCACTTCCACCTCGACCCTTCTGTCCCGACAAGATCGCGGCGAACGCGTTTGCCGGCCCCCCCATTTTTGTGGTCTATCGTAGAGTCTTCGGGTAACTAGTCGCTGAGACGAAGAAAATAAAGCCGCGACACGGGGCGTGATATCGCTCAGTCGCGCTGGTTAGAAGAATCGGGCGAACGAGTTGAGATGAGTGGAAGGCTGAGTTAGGTCCTGAAAGCACTGCCCATTGGACGGCTCCATTCCAATGGGGTGGAGAGAGAAAGTCAGTAAAACGAGCATTTTATAAGATGTTTGGGTATAGAAGACGATTGTATCGGTGAATATATCAAGGGAATAGGACATGACGTCGTGCGCAGTACCTTTTCCAAAACTTGCCAGCGAAGATATGGCACACGCCAGGTTCACGGGCTATTATCAAGCCCACACTCGGCGCGAAGACCTGGAGGATACAGACAGCGATTCCCCAGGGAACCTAGGCACAGATGGCAGGGAGAAACGATCTCCGATACGTGGACCCGGCCATTTAACTGCACGGGGAGCACCGACGGCGATCGGTCAAGAACGAGACAGACGCTCAAGTTGACTAAACGTACGACGGCATCGCAACGCGATCTTGGAGGAAATCTGTCTCAGGCGTAAGATGCTGGCAAAGTGTAGAAGTCTATTGCTTTGTTGGGATCAAGGAATGAGTATCGCGCCAGAGCTCCGAGCTTGCTTCCTCCGGTCCATCAGCAAAGGGCGCATGGGCGGCGTCAATCGCGGAACCGTAAGCGCGCCAACCGACCACTATTTCGGGTAATCAGCCGCGGGCTCGGCCTTGAACGGTCTACAATGGAGACTTGCTCTGCTCACCCGCTAGTGTAAACCCCGATAGGCTCGTTTTCGCTTCATGAAGACGATTTAGGATTTCCTTGGTAATCTATCTTGACTGAGGGCCCCAGGAACGACCAAGTTCTGAGACATTTCCCCGATTCGGACGTACGACGACTACTACTACCTTGAAAAGCGATGTCGGCAACAACACAGGGAACACATCTACTTATGGAATATGAGGAAATAAACCCGAGTATTCTCATTGGAAATATACCACCATGATAACCTAAATGTAAAATTTGAGGAACAACTCCGGCGTGTATGAGAGGATGGCTCAACAAAAAGACAGCAATATTCCAACTAACGAAACAGCATATGATGACAGCACAGCGAAAGATACAGCAAGATAAGGAAAATTCCTTGTTCACGAGGCCACAAAAGGTCAACTTTCTATAGCAGAGTGTCTAGCTGTTTCATTCCACATTGTCATAAGTCACGCACGACTAGCAGGCGAACCAGAAACAGACACAGTGAGATTGTTACAGACGCAAACATAACTAGAGGGAAATCTGGTGAGTATCAAAAGTGCCCCAAAACGAAGAGGTATCGTAACAGTGATATAAGAAACATATTTTCAGACAGCGAATGTCTCACTATTTGCGGACGTCAAGATCAGCACAGAATGACAAAAGCAGTCCGCGGTCGTTCATTCATATCGGTCATGCACTTCATCTAGCTGCACTTAAAAGCATGCAGCATCGAGGGAAATGGCTGCGGCAAATGATTTGAGATCAGCCCAGGTGCGACTGGTCACCGTTAGGGGTTTGGACAACGTGTGGGTGGCTCAGGGAGCCTGTGCGAAATGCTGGTGGGTTCAAACTCATGGTCTCAAACTGAGCTCGAGCTCGAGCACCATGTAGATCCGGCAAAGAGTGACCTATATGAGATAGATGAGGCGAGACTTCATGGGGATGGCTCGTCGGCAACATGGCAAGCGGGTATTGCATAGAGTGCTGTTGGAGGGCTTGGTTTGTAGTTGCGTTGTAATTGACAGGGTTGAACATATTTTGCTGGAAGTTTGGTGACCATGCATCAAAATGAGTTGGCGGCTGCTGGGGTGGGAGCGATGAGTTGTGTTGGCGCATCTGTTCCTCCGATGTCGTGGAGTTGAAAGATGTCTGTGCTAGGTATTCGAAGCCTGTCTGGTCGCTAGGACTAACCACCGTGGAGCTAGCTGATGTCCTGGACACCGTCTGAGAGAATTCGTCCGCGTAACCGCTTTTAATTCGTGTTGTTGGAGAGGGGAATGTAGGAGGGTGCCTTGATTGCTCATCAAATTGAAGGGGCGCCGCGGGCATCTGAAAGAGGCGGCCTCTCTCATCCGATACATGCACAGGCTGGCTGTGTGGTGCAACGGTAATTTGGTCGACAGGACTTGTTAGAGGACCTCGTGCTTGCTCTGCAGACGACATTGGAGTCAAGAGGCCCCCTTCGATATCTTCTCCATCTCCATTATCTATCTGCTGGTCGGGTTCGCTGACCGTATCTGAATCTCTGTCGAGTTTGGTATTAGAGTCGCGGTTGATAACATACACAACTGCGTTGGCATCTGGTTGTATGTCAGCACGAATGATACACCTTGCCTCAAGGGAACGGAGGGGTCGATGTTTATACTCACCGACTTCTCCTCTCTCGAATCTCTCCTCCAGTTTCCTCACCCGGAAAATCTCGTCCAGGATCTCCATTCGTTCCGGTGGCTTGATTTGGCGCTTTGCATCATGCGCAACTTCTTTAAGTTTATCTGAAGTGATTCCGTACTTCCCTAGCTTGCGAAGTATATGAATAAGGAGACGAAGGCGCTCTGAGATAGGAAATAAGTATCAGAAAGCTTAACTAGAATAAGGACAACTTACGGTCTTTTTTCAAGTGATCTGGCTCCTTGTGCACCACTCCGGACGGCCACCATTCAGGCTTCGTCTTTTCTGGATCACCTTTCTCGCCAGGTTGAGCACCTGGAGGCGGTCTACCGCCGTTGTAAGGATGTTTCACTTGCTTCCTGGGCTCGATAAATTTGATGAAAGCTTTCGCCATTTGACGGCAGTTGAGTTGCTGGAAATGCTTCAATGCCATCTCATAATACGCAGCCACCTTTTCCGTGTCACCAATCTCAAGTGCCATTCTGTCCATAGTCGGATAAGCCGGTGCCTCTTCGACCGGGCAATCGGGAACGGTGTCAACATATCGCTCCTCCAATGTTGACCCTAACGTCGAACCTCTCCGTCTTTTAGCCTGATGCACAGCCTCCCATGAAATATTATGCATATCGGTTTCCTCCTCTTGGGACAGTTTCGGGCTGTAATCAAACGCAAAGCTGCCATCAAGCGCAATGTCGTCTTGTTTTATACTTGCTCGACGACCAGAGCTCATTTGTCCTGCAGGCAGGAATGTTAGTCCTCGGCCCGGGTGATAGAGCAGAAGGCAGACATACTCCCGAGCATAAGTCTTTGGTAATTTGCTCGCACCTTGGTACCGACCAGCTCCATGAACCTCTCGCGATCTTCTGGGGTAAAGAAAGTCCGTGTCTTCGCCTTGATCGATGGAGACTCGTCGACGCGCAGTCTTCCCATCTCATCGATAAAAATCATGGCATAGTGTGCATAGGGAATCTGGACGTGTCCCTGGTGACTCATAGCCATTGCCTGTCGGTTTCTCAGTCAGCTGCTCGGAACTCATGGGGAACGCAATCTTCGGATCATACTGGAGGAGCACCCCATCCTGGGTAATCGGATCCGGCCATGGACGGTGAAGGTCGTTTCGTGGGACCCATTGCGGGACCCGCACCCCTGGAGACCATTTGCTGTCGAGAGTGCAGTTTCGTATAGGGAAATAAGTGATATCAACTGTTCTGAAGTATGGCACCCTTTCAAATGCAAAAAGGCTCCAAGAAAGAAAGGACTTTTTTTGGCGCAGGAAATGCTCAGAGGCAGAAGCTTGTTCACATGTAGAACTTTATAGAACTTTATAGGGTAGTTCGCAACCAGTTGTACGACTTCCCCGCGACAAAATGCTCCTGTGGCGGGAAGACTGACGAGGATGCCCCTGACCTTGCAGGTTCTAGACGCGGTCACGACGGGATGATGCGGCAGCGAGAGTACAATAGGTTCCAGGAAGGGAGTAGAAGAGAAACACGGGTATATAGAGGAGCAAGTGTACGATCTCCTGGGGTTGATAGGAGGACGGATGAGAGCCAATGGAAATGAGCAGCGCTTCCGATATCCCAGTTACCAGCAAACAACTGGGGCAGAAGCGGGCAGCGTGGTATCTTGCATAAAACCAACGGAACGGATCCTTTCGAAGCAAGAAATGAATCAGACTAAAAGGAACGAGGGTTGTCCACACAGTAGTGAGATAGATAGAGTGGGTGATAACGCCGGGATTCCCAGCGGAGAGGGCTATGCGTCCACTTTGCCGGGTCACCTAAACCTTTCTGGATCGCGTCTGGTAGCACCGCTAGTGTGGCCAATGGCAGCCAGGATCAGCTTGACGGTCCTCGAAGACAAATAGAGGTGGAGAGATGGGGAGGCTGGAGGATGAGACGGGAGGAGGGGGGGGTTCATGACCAGAAAAGTAGAAACGGAGTGGAGTGGAAATATAGTTACCAGCTGACGGTCCGAGCCTTGCCCGCTAGGGGACATACAGAGAGTGGCCGTACGGAGACGGGAGCCGTCAGGGGCACCAAAAAAAAAAAAAAAGAAAAACAGACAAGAGATGGCCGGTGGTGGGACTTACCGATCACCGGGGCCTAGGCTAGAGAGTAATGGATATAGAGAAGGTAATAATAATAATAATAATAACAATAACCGCGGTGGTGAAGTGACTGGATGGTCCGATGTGCTTGTGAACCTGGACGAGCACACGCGGATCCTGCGAGAGCCCGGTTCTGGATAAATATCGACTGGGGAATTCCACCGGGATATTAGAAAACAGAGCTTGCTATATGCAAATCACACGACAAGCTAGGTTCTTCCTGGACCAGAATGTCCCCGGAGATCAGAACGAATAGGAGCGTATCAGGATTGGAGCGCACAGGAAGTGGGTTTTGTTCAATTGTTTGATGCCACTCAACCACGATTCACTGGGGGACAGGAGAGAAGAGAAATCTGGTATATAATAGCAGTAGCAGCCGTGGTATCTTCCAGGGACCAAGTACAAGTATTATTAACAACGAACAAAGTAATCATCGATGTGCAAAATGGGCGATCCCATGGCTTTTCAGCCCCGTCGAGGTTGATAAAAAAAGGAACAGGCTAAGTCGACACTACGACAGACACTTCTTTCTTCATCCTCTGTCGACCGTGCTTGCCGCATCGCCGTCGCCGCCATAGAAGCCAAGGACATGAAGGCGAAAACACCCAAGCCCTCACTAGAGGGCTTCCCGTCCGCCATGCGAGGTATGCGGTTTAGTTACTTCGCAGTGAAAGAGCTGACCTGGAGACACTAATCTAGCCCGCCCGATCCAATCCACGACCACCCGGGAAGATCGCTCTCGCTGCATCGAACAGAAAAAATGCAAGACTTGAATGGCCTTGACTCCAGGAGGGGTGTGGCGCGCTATTGCCCGCTAACAACTCCCCCACAAGCCAGTTGAGAGCCGTCGCGCTCTTAGATTTCAGGGTCTCTCGGCTCTGTCCCTCCACTGGATGCCAGCATCGGGTCCGCGTTCCCCTCTCGAGATCGTTCCTTGTCCGTCTTGTCTCTCGTCCTCCTCTGGCTGTGATCGGATAACCAACTTAACTAGCGGGTAACGGGAGCTCTAGGTACCGTCTCTACCTAGGTCCTAGAGTAGGCTCTAAGTCTAGGGTCCTGGAGAAGCCCTTGGGGCCCACCGGTATGGGTCAGCCCCAGGGACAGACAAAGCACGCTGTTAATTGATTAATTAATTAATTATTACGCACAGATTGAAATGCAGCCTTCCTACGCTCCACTGGCGGATTACAACTGCACTTCAAACTACCACGGAGGCGAACTCGCGGCGGAGGGGAACCGTTCACGCGTGTCATTCTTCAAGCAAACCGCTGGATCAGATGCGGACTCAGCTCGGGAGCTACAGTAGTTAGCTACTATGGACTAGATATAGCTTAACTGGGAGCGAGCACCGTGCGCAATGTGGCCAAGAGTGCCAGATTCCATCCGATGCCTTCTTCGGCATCGCGGTGGACCCCGGCAGCGAGGACGTATGGTCGAGACTGTGTGGGAATTGATTGATTACTACCAATACAGACATCACCAGCCAACCCTCGATGGCCGATCTGGAGGACAGTGTGGTCAGGGCTCTGAAAGGGACTGCCAGCAGTGCCGCCCTCCAATGCTCCGAGCTTTTGTTTCCAACAAGAGTATATGAGGCTGTGAATACAAGGTGCCAGCATATCCCACACCCGTTTCAGTCAAACAAACAGATAAAGAGCATCGAAATTGCCTCTATGGGACGGACTCTTAGGATCAACTCGAGGGGATCGGCTGGTGGATCGTATCTGGATCCCCCTGCAAGTGGGCCATTCTGAGGTCATTCGAGACGGCTTCCACAGTCATTATTATTCGTGAGACCAGCCCTCTATCTGGCAGGGCACAGCATGGGAGCCGAGTAAATCCCTTTTTTGACGGCTATGGTGGTATCTAGCCTAGACTCGCGGAAGATGACGGCTGATCTTCCGGAATCGCTGGGCGGGGTATAGGCAAGGCACGCAGCTCCAAAAGGATGATCAGACGCATCCCAGCAGCTTGGATACCTCTACTGAAAGAGGAACATCTCAGGGTTGGAATCGACTTTAGTGTCATGGGGCTCATACAGATGATCCTGAAACGCCAGGATCGTGCCAGCATGTGTCCTTACAACGAAATAAGCTTGACAATGATAATGCTATTAATGGAGCAACTAGCTTCTAGGGATGCCATCGCTCAAGGAGGTGCGCACGGAGGTTGGTGAGTGTCTGGCAGAGAAGATCAAGTACACGCGCAGGGAACTCTGGCGATCCCGCACGCAAACCACCGCCACTGAAGTTTGAACGGTGACGTCCGGAGGCGATGCGGATCAACTATTACTAGGAATTAATCTCCAGAGTTCATCATAGCCAATCTTGCATTAGTGCTGACGACAATACAAACCGAGAACCGCCGCTGGTGAAGCGAGGACTCGATGCCCCCGATCTTCCTACACTTGCATATCAGTCGTCCCATCCCATCATAGGAAAGGGACTTGGCGAAGGGAAGCAAACAGATAATATTCCTCATTTCAGATCAGGCTTCTCGCCAGCATGGGACGATTGGACTGTTGTTTGCTTCCTCGTGCATATTGAAGCGATCTGGATGAGGATCTTCAGATCCCAGCGGTTTTGGTTCATGTACGGGACTTTGTACATATGTCCCGCGTCTAGCTATCAGCAACCGCGAGATCACTACGAGTACTGCCAGGCTATCAGAGGTAGCAACCAGGTTATCGGTACTGTTGGCCATAAAGCAACACAAGAAGCTTCAATAGACAATCAAACCACTTCGTGTTCTGATTCACGAGGTGTGCAGCTGTGTGGTTCCGGACACCAGGCGCTCAATAAGGAAATATGTCTGTCAAGAGTCGCCTTCATAACGATGGAAAGGGAAACGATTTTCTCCATCCCGACCGGAAAAACGACCAGGGGCTCTCGTAAAGCAAACGAAGCCGCGCTCCTCCTTTCCTCGCCATTATTATTGCGCCTCGTGTGTACTAACAGTGGCTGGTGCTATGCGCATAGCTCACTACAGTAATAACTAGCTTGCTAGCTGCTCGAACTTTGTACTCGAGAAGAAAGAAATCGCCAGCCGAGCCTCCTTTCTAGTGCACTGCTCCCTGTATCGGGCGGTGTCATTCCCATTGTTTAACCTGGCAGCGATCAAACAACCGTCTGGAGCAAATAATTATAAAAAGAAAGGTGAAAAAGATGGAGGAAAACCCCTCCCCCCACCAGAAACGCCTGTCAAAGAAAATCGACTCTGGTCAAGTCGTCCCTCCTGGCCCAGCAGATCCAGTCTCACGGGCCGATCGGTGTATTATGGGGATAGAGAGCACTTCCAGCCCACATTGCTTGCTGAGGTCTAAACCCCCCTGTCTCCAGCCCTAAACGAGTCCGCGTCGTCCAAGACGCCACCAACAATCAACACCGGCGTGCATCCGCGTGGCTATGGATCAGCCAAACATTAACAAGGGCCGAATGCAATGCAGTTCGGTAATCTACTAAGCATATTAACTAGAGTAGCCGGACAACATCCTGGAGTCGATCACGTCCGAGTCCGCTGCCCCTGTCCATCAAACAACAAGGGACCGACTGCAGCGGTCCAGAAGGGGCTATTTCTCGAGAAAAAGGACAACAAGACAAGACAAGACAAAAAAAAAGAAAAAACAGAAAATAACGAACGCCGTTATCCGTGCGGTTCGTCTCCTTTTCTCTTCCACGGGCCATGGGTTCACGGGTCAGGCGTTAGCAACAGCTATGCATCATTCTATGTATGGTCGTCGCAAGGGAGGGGAAGAAGCAGCAAAAGCACCAGAAGCAGATCCACACGCGCGCGCCCCCGCTCCAGCTAGACGATGAACCCAGCCTATTATTATGATCAGATATATGCATCCTTCCCATTTCGAGTGTGCTGTGATGGAATATACTTGCAGTAGCAGCTATATACTATGGCTTATTCCATCTGCACCATATTCCATTCTTCGATCAGATCAGCGAAAAACAAACAAGGTCTAAGGGAGACAAAGGAGCTTTCTCAATGAACGAATCAGCCGTCTCCGGAGAGAGCGACCAACCTAATCCAGGAAGAATAGTATATATATATATATATATATATATTCAATTAGCTAACATAGTTTCGCCGACATCAAACTCCTGGGAATAGATGACACCCGAATTCCGCGGCAGGGCTTTTTCTTCTTGACCATGTAATCATCATCTCTTTGAGACGGATCTCACTTAGCTCTTGGAGAAGGCGACGGATATACGGCCATATCGGCTGTAATATTAATACCGCAGGGTAAGTTCACCCTAGGAAAATAGGGTCTGTTCAGTTGGAAAACTCGAGGAGGTGCAGAACGAAGAGTAGTCTTTCGCCTGAACTTTCTTTCTTTCTTTCTTTTTTTTTCCTGATCCCTCCCTGTTCTCTGGTAATCATACCATACCCTGAACATATTCTTGATATGTTAGAACTTTCGAACCAACAATGACGGACAGAGAGCGTGAGAGAGAGAGGTAGGAAAGAACAACTCCCCCAGGATAGATACGACAACAAGACACGACAAAGAAAGGAAAGAGTAATGACCAGGTATGTATATTCTCTTTGTTTCTTTCTTTCCTTCATTTCATTTCAGAATGCTCAATAAACGTCGATAGTGGCTATCCCTTCCTTGTACCACCCACCCACCTAGTCATAACTCTCTTCTAACCTCGGTAAAATCCCAAAAAAAATACAGAGAGAGAGAGAGAGAGAGATAGAGCTTACGAATACATAGTATCATTACAGTCTAGATAGGCCAAGAACACTTATCGTATCAACCTACTCTATTCTCGAGTCTAGAGTCGTTGGCCCAGACCAGAGGATTGGTACCATACACCCCCCCCTCCCGAAGTTCTGTCTTTCTAAAGCGGATCGAGATTCGAGACTTAACCTACTTTCGTCCCGATTCTGGCGTCAGAGATAATATCATCCCGTCTTCTCCATCGCCCTAGGATAAACATAACATAGACAAAAGAAAGAAGAACCAAAAAGAAGGTTTCTGGTTTCTTTTACTATCGACTAAGTATCTAGCACTCGTCTCACGGGAAGAGGCTGCTTCCGGTTCGATGGTATGCAAATAAAATAATAATGCAAGATAGAGTGGACGCTAATGGCAATGACGTTGGAGTTTGAGGGTCCTTCCTGTTATTTATTAATTGATATGGATGTCAACTATTGTTTTAATAGTGGGGGGGTAAATGTTACTAGGGGAGATGATTTAATTGAAGAGATAAAGAAATTAGGGATGTCTAGTAGATTACGTATAAGATGTTCAATTCTATAATCGGAGAGAGAGAAAGAGAATCTGGAAAGAGTCCTTATATATGATATCGATCGAGGATTCAAAGATGATGAAGAATGCACTCAACGATTGATCATGTGCAGAGATATTCGAGCTGCGGATAGAGGCTCAGGTCTACTTTTCTTTTTTTTTCCAAGAACAATAGGCTAATCTAGATGAATTTATATGATCTTCAAAAAATAAGGAAGAAATATAGAAAGAAATATAGTTACCGACATCTTCATGGAGAGTTACATAGAAGGCTTCGGAGTGAAGTGAAGGAACTTGGAAGAACCCGTGTTCGCTCACATTGGGGACTAATTTTCCCAATCAGTATAATAAATATCAAGGACTATTGGCTGGCAGCAACACTACTACTACTACTACTGGGAAGACGAGGACTTGGTTAAGGTTAAGTCTTCCGGCTCCGCGGAAGGGATAGGGATAGCCACGGTAACGCCTTTAGGTCGGGTCACAGTAGAACGGGGTTACTAAGAGAGCTGATCGGGGGTAGAAAATATTTGCCAAGGAAATTCTTGGCATTTTCTCTACCCCCGATCGGCTCTCGCTTAATAACGCTAAGAAATTAGAGCATAATTTTGCCATACCCGCGTTATAGTAAAACAGAAATTTACCTAATATTCCCTGATATTAAGCATATACTCCTCTTATACTTTGCATATGCTACCATTTAAATACTTATCCTTTTGCTTATATTTACCTCTCGTATCTTCCATATGCTTAGCATATGCTTAGTATATGCCTTTATATACTTGACCAAGGTATAAGACTTACCCACGGGTTACCTACTACCTGATACTTAGTTGTCACGAACTAGGGCTACGATACCCGATCCGGACCTGCCAAGACCTAGGATAGACGACGAAGGATGACGAGATGACTAGATCTACGTGTAATAGTTAGATCAGCTAGTCATAGATAGAGCCGTCAAGACTAGGTCATCTAGATGACCTAGTAGAACAGAGACAGATAAATAACCCCCGAAGGAATAGAAGTTAGACGGATCAGCGATTCGTTCTGATTATCACTGAACCTGACCTTTGACTCTACTACGCGTAGACGGCTACTCGCCTGCGTCTCTACCTCTCATCTCACATTCTGTTTGACTAGTCCGACTAGTCACCTCCGATAAAGAGCTTTCTCACCCCAGCTCTTTACATTAGTGCATATGCTAAGCATATGCAACGCATATACTAATCTATAAGGCCTATATATAAAATAAGAGTAATATAAAATAAATAAGACCTCAGAGAATATATATATATATATATATATATATAAGGCTATTTAACTATTATATAGGCTTACTATAGGTATATGCTTAGCATATACGCTGCATATACAAATAACCCGCCTTATAGGCAATATTAGTAAACCCCTTAGGCGAATTGTAAGTTATATCTTAGCCAAGTATATAAAGGCATATGCTAAGCATATGCCTAGCATATAGAAGATACAAGAGGTAGATATAAGCAAAAGGATAAGTATCTAAATGGTAGCATATGCAAAGTATAAGAGAAAGTCTTAACTCTTATTTTACTATGACACAAGTATACCATAGTATTATTCTTAGTCTACTTTTAGTGTTATTAAGCGAGAGCCGATCGGGGGTAGAGAAAATGCCAAGACTTCTCTCGGCCGAGAGTTTCTACCCCCGATCAGCTCCCTTAGTAACCCCGTTCAACTGTACGTCCCCTTTAGGTACGGTCCGAGGTGCACCGAGTCATAAGAGACGGGAGCATATCATTGTAAATAATCATGATAGCGAGAAAAGGGGACAGCATATGAGTTACTACTTCCCTTTAGGGGCCTAGTTTGCTAAGGAAACCTCGGTCCAACCAACACGTTACTACTACTAGGTATTTGGCTCCCGCTTTGACAGTAGTCTCGAACCTTGGATCGCCTGCCCATAGCGTCTTAGATCTCTGTTCTAGTAGAGACGAGCCCCCCGTGTCGACCACGCGGCTTCGCTGATGATAGCCTTCTCCATACGAGCCTAGCAGCCGGTGAAAGGTCGACTTGTTTTGCGTGGTAAACGGCAGTTGGAGACGATCCCTGCCTGTCCCAGATGATGGGAGAAACGGGGTGATAATAATACTTTGCACTACTATAAGGCCATGTCCAAGGCGAATTATCAAGATAACTGGCGACAAACTGCTGAGCACGGTGCATAAGGCGTGCCCGGTCACGCTTTAGCCCTGTACACGAGCCCATAGTCTCAGATCGAATAAACTTCCGAAGCGGCTATCTGAGCGCGATGTGAGCTGCGCCGCAGACACAAGACGATCATCCGGGGATTCCTAAATGGCAATAATAATATGTAAGAAAAGAAAGCATCTCGCTCCCAGCAGTCTGGTTTTCCCGTACGTCAAAACCTATATAGTAGTAGAAGATGGATCAGTTCACGACCCAGAGGAATGGGTAGTGAGACAGCTGAAACGAACGGTATACGTCAAGAACAAGCCACATCCAAGATTGTAGCAGAAGTCGCGGGATCTGCTGAGAACTACCGTGTCTCGAAGGAGTAGTTGGTGCGAGGCTACGGGCCGGAGAAGAGATCCCTTTGCCTCCTGAGTCCTGACTCCTGAGGGAGTTGTAGTCCCGAGCGGCCTCCGTCCCCACATGGCCGCGATCGAAGACGGAAGAGCCATAATAGCGCAAGATTCTACTGATCTGCTCCGTACTTGCAGTAGCCACGGAGCAAAAGACGCGATGTGGAGAGAACCCACGGAGTCAAATCTGGCCGACCAGGAGCCCGGGTCTCGTCCAGGGCTGACAGCACGCGCAGAGTAAACAGGCAAAGCTTCGGGAGCCACCTTGCCCGCTGAGGACCGTTTCCCAATTCCCGCGCAGATCAGGAGCGATATAATGAAGGGTTGCGGATTCACGAAGACATCAACTAGATGATTCGATGGTGCAAAGATAAACCCACCGACGTGACTTGAAATTTCGCACCAATCCGCTAACGGTGCCTGGCCGCCTCAACGAACCAGACTGGCATGCTGCATAACTTCTCAACAGTGCAGATGGGGGAACGCACAGTCGACAAGAGATACTGTGCATATCGCTTATCGAGATCGGACACCGCCAGATCGGAAAACCAGATGGGTTGAGGAATAAGATCGATCTGTCAAACAACCATTTAGGGTAATAATCCCGCACAGAGTAACTTCGCGTCAACCCTTGCAGGCCGCCGAATGTCTTCGTAAAGAGAGCAAGATCCTGTAGCAATAGATCGCGACGGCCACTGCCCGCGAAAGGTGCTCTCCGCCAGTTCTCAGCCCACAGAGACGATCATCATTCGCCCTGTGGCTCGTGTTGGGGAGATTGAGGCAGGGCTCATGCGTGAAGCTTGACCCAAGAGAGAGCCATGCGGAGCCGCACGGTGAAGGATCATCGTATCAATACTTGGCGACAGACAACAAAATCGCCGACGGGTTGACGAGATCGTGGCGATTCAACTGCTCAGTAGTTTAGCGCTGAGAGTATGTACCATAATTCTTCGGTGGCCTTCCAAACAACGTACAGTATTGGCATTCTCGCGCAGGGTCCATTATTATTAGTTATTTTCACCGGGGCTGAAGGAAAGAAGACTAAGGGGTTCCACAATTCGTCAGCATGTCTGAGCACGCTAAAAAGGACATTATGATGATTATTATTGTTAAGTTTGGACGCAACAGCGGACGGGAATTCCCCGCATCCGTCGATAGTGATCCCTTGTAATGGGATCATCAGGCTGGGAGAGGTGAGAGACGGAGGACAGCCGTCGCGGCTGGAGGAAAAAAGCAGGGAAACAAACCCTTAGGGTCGACTAGACGCCGTCGGATCGAGCACCGGAGCTACGTCCTGTTGTTCTCAATTGCGGCCAAATCAAGCTTGCTGGAAGACGGCGTGCAACGCTACCAGAGAGAAGAAACTTGAAAGTCCCCGAGTTGGTTCCAGACCGGAGGAATTCACTCCGTTTTAGATAGAGTAAGAGGGAACCAAAACTTAAGCTGAGAGGTCGGAGCGTCCCGACTCATGGCCTACAAGCGAACAAAGTCTCTGTCGGATGCCTCTCTCTAATAATAATATGATTCTCGTCTGTCATCCTCAGTGTGTCTGGAGCATAAGACAAGACCATGGTCAGCATGATGTGGCATACTTCGAAAGTTTTCCATCTAGCATCCCTATCTAGTATCCGTGTATGCAGAGAACGTGGCTAGTGAGTATTCCAGAATTGACGACGTATCGTATAGATTCACATCTCCGCACCGACTAGATAGTTAGAAGTTAGCAGAATACATAGTACTACATATGTGCCGGAATAGGGGACGGGGGGGATCAATCTTCCGATTCCCCCGGTGCCATACGGACGGAATCACAACTCTATGGTTATTCTCTAGCATCATTATAAGTATTATTGCTGTCTTCTCAAAGTTAGAAGACAAAAATTACTACTATGTACTACATACTCGTATAGAAACGTGGCTTATCTACGAAACCGCTTCTGGCTGAGATGATATCTCCTTGAAGTCGGACAGAGTCACAGACTAACCAACAGACTAAAGTACTCCTACCACATCTTAACGGACTCATGATGATAACGAAGACGACCCAGAAACCGGGAACCTCTATTAGCAAACCAATCCGATCCTGTCCTGTATGGCATGTGGCCGGGATCTTCGGGGACCTTGTTTCATATCTCATGTACAATATCATTGCCTAGATTGCCCAAGTAAGCAACAAATTGACCAGCGTGACTATAGCCGCTATACCTACGGGGTGACGTCTTCATTCCCGATCCAACCAGAACCCGGTTGAAAATACGGCGAGTCATAAGGCAAGCAAAGCAAGGGGGACATTAAGGCTTCTACCAGTTAGCAGAGCGGGAAGGGGAGGATCTCGCTACCATACACTTTGGAAATAAAGGTACCAACCAGAGAGTATTCTAAGTTGGCTTGAAATGGGGGTCTGTGCTAATACAGATAACTAGCATCCAGTTCATCCGCTTCCGCGGTCTGGGAGGGGTGGGTATGGCGAAGAGATGTGATTCCCGAGAAATGAAGGACGATTGGATGCCCGTGGGAAAGAACTTCCTCTGTTCGCCGCCGTCAGTGGGACCTCGTGGACCCTGAGAGCCTTCGAGGCGTTCGATAAGTTCGTCATATGGCTGCCATGTGTACGGAGGGACGGAGTAGTAGGTCATGTACAATATCGTCGAAAGCCACGAGGATGCAAGAAAGAATACGAAGCTTGGGTACGGCGCAGCTTAGTAGATTAGGGCGCGCGCGAATGTCCCCCAAAGGAAAAGCAATAATACATAATAGTACGATGATAGGAAGTAGTACCTATACTCTAGTCCAGTGTCTAAGCGGCGGCTGCCGTGTCGTAAAGCTTCAGCCCCAAACGAGAGCCACTTTCGGTGCCACCCCGGATCTTGCATATCATCGTGGTACGTACCGTGATTCTAGCTGGTGCTTCCCACATGGAAACAGACCGTCGATCACTCTAGGCCACTTGAGCTTCATGATATACCTCGTACTCAGAGAGTAGTATCCCTATCGGGAGTAATACTGACGCAGTTAGCTCCTGGGTAGGTCCACTGTCACTGAACGGGCCACCAGTCATACACCCCTCAAGGCGAGAGCTGAAAGAATGCGATGGACAAGATGAAATTGGTGCCGTAGTCTGATTTGACCACTGTAATGTGTGCATCGTTGAATATGTATTCTCATATGATAATATGTACAGTGTCATCGTAGCAATAATCGAGACCTCCCACAGCCCCCTACCATACTGCGCCCCTTTTTCGATCAGTCCTACCACTCTCTCCAACATCCAAATTTCTGTTTGCAATATCGAACGGAAGAAGACTTTTCTGAATCACCTACAGCGCCTGAGCTTCATGTTGCCGTGACCCTGGTAGATCTGCAAAGGGCCAAACCTAAACAAAGAAATCTCATACCCCGGAAACCAATGCCGGCGATCCTGCAGGCCTTCAGGAACTATCACTGAGTGCACAGACAGTCTCAGCCGCCAAGTGGATGGACGACAGGGCAGAAAGCCGATGGTGGGCTCTAGTCAAGAGAAATGCCGTATCAACATCAACGATGCTCGCTAGATATGTGTGTGGCCTGCAACTTTCAAACAGAGCACCAAATGCAATCCTTGTTACAAAAGGGAACACCAATCCTGACAATCATCCCGATTCTGTGGAACGGTCCGGTTCCCCGATCGCTAGGGCACCCAATCACAACTATGGCGACATGGATTACTGGAGGGTGGCCAGCCCTTCACTATCGAGCAAGCCGGCTTCCTTGACTAACTCATAGAATTTGCCGCCACGTCGAATAAGCTCCGCTGGTGTGTCAAACTCTGCAACTGTGCCACGGTCCAGCACCACGATTCGGTCCGAATCAAGAATAGTATTGATACGGTGAGCGATCGTGATGATCGTCCGATGCTGGAACATGTCGCTCCGTAAGGTACGCTGAAGGAGTGCGTCAGTCTCAACATCAACTGCGGCCTATATCCGAATATTGTCAGCATGGAATCGGTAGTAGTCTGGCAGATATGGCTTACGGTTGCTTCATCCAACACCAGGATGTTGCTTGGGGTCAGCAACGCGCGCGCAAGGGAAACAAGCTGGCGCTGTCCCTGACTGAGATTTGAACCTGTAGGAAGTAATTCGTTAGCTCTGATGGGATCATCTACGATCAGTATGCGTTGTTGTGTGCTAAATTGACTTACCTCCTTCGTTGATCTGAGCGTCTAATTGACCTTCCATGCCAGCGACGTGATCCTTCAGTCTTGCATGTTCTACAAGCAGAGTGTTAGTCCATCATTCTCCATTGCGAGGGAAGCTGCGTACCAAGTACACTCCAAAGTTCAGTGTCATCATGCACATGTCGAGGGTCGAGGTTATCACGTAGAGTGCCTTCGAATAGGGCAGCGTCCTGCGGGATGATTGCGAGACGGCCCCGAAGATCAAGCAGACCGATTGTTGAGATATCCAAGTTGTCAATGCTTCGTTAAAGATTAGCATTGAATCAGATAGAGTACGTCCGTTTCACACGTACCTGATACTTCCGCTGGCAGCCTCAATGATACGGAAAAGAGCCAACGTGAGCGAGCTCTTTCCTGCACCCGTACGTCCAACAACACCGATCTTCTCATGAGGCTTAATGTCCAAGGTGACATCTTTCAAGACGAGGTCCAGTCCTGGACGGTACCGTGTGCTGTAGTGGTTGAACGTCACAGCACCTTTGGAAGGCCATCCCAGACTTGGGCGGTTCTTGAAAATCACGTCTGGAGCCTCGCTGGGCAGATTGGCATATTCCAAGACTCGCTCAACAGAGACGATATTGGTCTCTACCTCGACCGTCTGTCGTACAATCCAATTCAAAGATTGGGTGATCTGAAGAGCGTATGACATGGCAAGACCAACCATTCCGGCCGACAGTCCACTTCCAGTAGATACTGAAATGATCGCGAACACTGCAGCTGCAAGAATAATGATAGATCCGATAAACTCAAGGCGAACTGCAAGCCATCGATTCGCGCTGATCGAGGGGAAGTAGGCCCGAAGGTTCGCGTCCATACGCCATTCATTCTCCAGTGTGAATCGATCTTGTTGCCTGTAAGCACGAATGGTACTGATACCACCAAGAGATTCCTGGAAGTGAGCATAGATCGGACTTCTGCTGACACTATCCAACCGTTTCAGTTCTCGTGAAGTTCTCAGGTAGTACTTCTGATAAGCCAAGTAAACAGCACCCAATGGGATAATCAAAATAAGGAATGCCGGCGTGGAGACCGCAATAACCGCCATTGTGAAAGCTGCACGAGCCGTATTTACAAACAGCTAAAAAAAAGTTAGCTGTTATCTAGATATACAATGCAAACGTTAAGTGGATTGGATACTCACCATATTGAAGGTGCGTGCCAGAACTTCATCGATACGGTATATGTCACTATGCAATAATGCGTCAGCTCATCTAGATCAAGACTCTAAGTGCCAGTTTGCACTTATTGACACCGGTGTGACCAGGAGTCGAGTGGCACGAACCTTGAAAACCGGTTAAGTATACGTCCAGATGGCGTCGTCTCGAAGAAACTCATTGGAGATCGAAAAATAGCAAATGCCATACGCTCGTGCAGTTTCCTTGAAGCCTGGTTTGCGGCAGTCAGCAACGAGACTAGTTTCAATATGAATTTTCGAGCAAATACCTCAATCGAACAGAAGATCCACAAAATGAGAGTCTGGAAAACGACTAACGCAGAGGCACCCAAACCGAAAGCAAAGTATATTCCAATATACTTGCCAACATCTGGGTTCCTTCCCTCCCTCTCGTTGACCTCAGACCATCTCTTCAACCAGAACCCACCGGCAATACCCGCTGTCTGCGCACCAAGGAGCGCGATTATATAGATTGTTACCGCGTAGAGATTGCTCGTTTTGGCATATTCCCCGTAGACACTCCATTTGACCTTTCCCTGTTCTGCGGTCTCTTTGGTTTGCTTGCTCTTCAGGTTTTCTTCGTCGCCCAATTTACGTCTCGGTCCCTGCCAGCTGGAGGTACTAGCCCGTCTTAACGTGGAGAGGCTTGTCCTTCTCTGTCCAACACTACGAGATGAGATTGGAGCCAGTGGAGCCAAGCCCTCGTCAGCCTCTTCAACATCTGATAACTCGGTGTCATCGCCTTGATCGACGACGACGGTTGCCGATTCCGAACTCTCTGGACTAGCAAGGTCTTTTCCGTCATCGATGCTTTTAGACGAATCTTCATCGTCACTCGTCGTTGTACGGACAAGGGTAGCAACCTCGCCTTTCATTGCGATCAATTGCTGATAAGTTCCTTTTTCAATTATGGTCTTGTCACGTAACAATCCAATGAAGTCTGCCTCCTTCAAGACAGCTATGGCATTGGTTGCGAGAATTCGGGTCTTGCTGGCGAGTATACCAGTACGGCCGAGTACTCTGTTTATGATATGCCTTCCAACATGTGAATCGACAGCTGACAGGACATCATCCAAGAGGTACACGTCTGCCCGGGCGTAGACGGCTCTAGCAAGAGTCAATCGAGCCTTCTGACCTCCGGAGAGCGAAATTCCTCTCTCTCCAACTTCGGTTTGATCTCCATCTGGCAGTGTTTTGAAGTCATCCAGCAAAGCGCAGGCCTCGACAGTTAGATTGTAGAAATGGGGATCCCAGCGGTGTCCGAACACAATATTCTCCCTAACACTAGCATTCATCACCCAAGGTTGCTGCGCAACGTAAGCTATCCGACCACGGACAACGACCTCACCTTGTTTCTTCCAGAGATCGCCCAGCAAAGACTGGAGGAACGAAGACTTGCCAGCGCCAACGCGCCCGACAATGCAACTCAGCTCCCCCTTGCGAGCACTGAAATCGATATTCTCAAGAGCAGTGCCGTCCTGATACCTGTTCCAGGTAAATGATGCATCTCGGATCCTAACGGACTCATCGCCGATGTGCGTCACAGGGTCCTCGTAGGTGACAGCATCACTTTGAAGCTCGTCTGAAGTAAAGTAATCCGTCAGGCGTCGAACAGCGACGGATGCCTCGATGATTGATGTAATAACCATCGGCAGGATCGAAAGCGGGAACGTAAGAAGATTGAAAAGAGTCAACGCCGGGAAGACAATGTCCGTTGTGAGTGGTTTGTCGTTTACCAAAACGAATACAGCAAATGTAGAACACGACACCAGGAAAGGAGTTGACGACCAAGTAAAATTCGCGACTGATTGTGTCGCTCCAATTTTACGAAGGGTATTCAGCTCGAGATCGTTACGGATATGGCTGAGCATGTTCATGAAAGCGGTGTTCCAGGCATAGAGCTTAATGCTCTTCATATTGTTCAAAATCTCTGTCATCAGCTTAGTCCGCGAATCTTTGTTCTTCATCTGCGTTATCTGCAGCTTCTTCATCATTCTCGCGATGACGCCGTTAAGAGGGATCATCAGAATCATCATTCCGATTCCTGCAAGCATGCTCACACCAACGAGTTGGTACAAGGACACCATACATAAGATGATCTGGAATGGAGCAGACCAGAGTTGCATTCCGAATTGCGTCAGATCTGACAGGCGTTGCTGGTCCACGGCCATGTGGTTGACAATGTCACCCGTATTTTTGGAGGCTCGGCCTTCGTTGGACAGCTTAAGCGCCTTGGAGTATATCATAGCAGTCAAAGAGGACTTGACACGCATACCGGTCTCAAATGCTCTCTGGAAATATTGGTGAAGGCACATTGTCTGGGACACGGACACGGCGAACATGGCGAGGGCAATGGCGACTCCTCTGATGACCGGTTCAGGCGTGTCCGTCCTGTACGAGTCGATGAACTGGATTAGCAGACGCAGGAGCTGCGGCTGGACGAACGCCAATATATCACTTCCAGTCTTGACAACGGCGCCCCGCAGATATGGTCCGCCAAATGCCCGGAAAAGAGCAACCCAAAGCGACGGTCTCTTCCTCTTCAGTTGATGCTGCCAAGCCTTTTCCAGGTTATCTCCCGTTACGCGAGTTGTGTCTCGCCTCCGCAAATTCCACAAGTCATCTTGGGTCAAGAAATTCTTATAGCCGTATTTCATCATAGGTGTCATCCAGCTGAACGTGAGGACTGCGAAAATATCGGCGTATTCGTAAGGGCACTCGTCTTCATCGCCCAGAGCATCATATGCGCTTTGTTTCTTCGGTACGAAGTACTCCAAAATGAACTCCAGCAGCGCGAGACCCACACTCACGTTGAAGGACACAAAGTAAGGAAGTCGGTCATGGTAAGCCTTTCGGGCGACGAGCGATCTCAGTTTCACGCCGTTGGCCAAGAGAAAGAAGACCCAGTAAAACAAGACGACTCCATTGGGCTGTCTGCTGCGCCAGTGTTCATAATACTGGACTGTGAATATCACCAGGAGCGATGCGAATGTGAGGACGGACGTCCAGAACCTGAAGTCGGCCGGCCAGATACCAGGAAGCGACTCGATCTGAATGGAGGCTTGGAGAGCAGTATTTATTATCAATGCACCCAGAATAACCTGTTTATGTCCAACATCATATTAGTTGGTATCCGTGAGGGACAATTGAGCCAGGGCGACGTACCAGTTTCAGATAGAAGTGCCAATTCTTCGCAACCGGTTGCGGATGTCGTTTCTTGAGCAGGAACCAGATGGCCCCAGCTCCCAACACGAGTCCCCAGACTGCTACCAACGAAATCCACACGTCAAGAAAGCACGGAGTGAGATCAAACCTCAACGGGCTTATCGGGCCCCATCCTTCAACATCGCCGCAGAACGGTTGGCGCTCGCGGTATGCGAGATCTAGCGGCCCCGGTGAGGGATCTCTGAAGACCGCCTGTAGGTTGCCATCGACCATTTTCGGGTCGTGATTGCTGCGCTGGAGTGATGGATCCTCCACGCTCTATCGCGAGACAAGAAGAGCGAAGTCTGCAAAGGTCGACGACAGAGAGGCGAACCTACACCGACTGGACGCCTCAAAGCGCGGTCCGTGAACTGCTCTGTGCTGACTAACACGGTTCTTGTCGAAGCAACCGGGAGTTTCGGGGATAGCTGCCGGAGTGGGGAAGGATATCCATTAACTCCGAGCTGCAGGCAGAGCGTGTCACAGATCTTTTACTGTGTACCATAGGCTGTAAACAGTGTGAGGGGCATCCGGTGTGGACTGTCGAGAAGTCGAGGTTTGTATTCTTATTCCTTCTCTCTATGTTGGGGAATTGACATACGATGTAGCCAGTGCATTGCTCTATTTTTTTGTCGAGACGCGACGTCATTGACGATATACTAAGTGGTGCGCACAACGGCTAGAACCCTGCAGAATTCCCACCTCGAATTATCTAAGCAACTGTGCCGGTTTCCGACGTCTTATGATTCTGTGTCATCAAATTCGAAAAAAAAGAAAAAGAAAAAAGCGAAAATACATATATGTATATATCTACCTACCCAGTCAATCCTTAGCTTCATGTCCTCTTCGATAAGCCGGACGTCGTGATAGTTAGAGCCAGGTACTTAGTTCCTTAGTGGTACATCCAGCATGCGCTCCGCGGATCCCCCAAGGCTTAGCCTACCGGTGATCACGGGTCAGTGTATGGTGTCGAATGCATGTCAAGGACAGTCTGTGGGTCGCACGCGTTCCAGACAAATCCAGGTGATATGGTGTGTGCAGCAGGTTTGTTGTGTGAAACAGAAGTTCTATTCCACCATATGAGTCGAGGGCCGAATGTAGCAGGATGAGCAAAGAGGACGTAGACATATGAGCGGGCTGCATCTAAGCATGAATATATTTAAAGGTGAAATCGCAGAGTTGGGATTCAGGTAATCCAATTGTCGCTTTGGAATAACAAAGACTAGAAACGGCGGTGAAATATTGCCTGGAACCCTTAGGCTTTGTCTTTAGGCCGTGTCAAGACAATATCTGCATCACCCATATGTTCGAAAAGCACGCACCCATTGATGTTATTTGCTTTCCTTGAATCCTTTTGCTATTTTAGCCTAGCAGAAATCCTCTACCTACCTAGCGCTCACATTTATTTATCCCACTGGAAGCGTCGAAATAATGTGGTATATAACCGGCGCTAGCTCACTATCATGGCGGCTAATAGGGGACCAATGAGATAAAGATCTGTGCAGTTAATAATAGGCCATGATAAATTCTATACGTTATTATCCGCAATCTCTTGTCTGAGGCTGTGGCTACTGAGAGTAATATATACATAGTCAAGTTGAAGCCCTGGTGCTCTATAAATTTGGTGCTGTTGCGGGGCTCGGAGAATACAGCGCTAGCGCAGTTAAGTCCGATCGAGGGGCATCTGCGACTGTGCGTCACTTGTTGCCGCAACGCCGCATTATTTCATCCTTTCCTTCAGTAGCACAACTTCCCATTCTCTGGTCGCCATGGCCCAGAATACCTCCAACATAGAGGAGCTTCTGAAAAGGCCGCTATATGGTACGTGTGACTTTTTCTGGGAACTATGACTATGTGAGTGTGCTAACGTCAAGCAGTCTATGACCTCCCGCAGGAGCTTCTGTCGACATTAACGACCAAAGATGGCGATCAGCAGACACCACTCCCTACGGATGTGGATTTTATTCCAGAAGTACTAGAACGATCCGACAAGGAAAATGGAGTCGCCACGTCGACATCATGCGCTCTATGCCAAGTCGCACTACCTAGCTTTCAAGAACAACGCGATCATGTCCGGACCGACCATCATCGGTATAACTTGAAAGCGCAACTCAGAGGCAATAAACCTTTGACTGAAGGGGAATTTAACAAGGCTATCGGCGAGTTAGACGAGTCAATATCAGGCTCTGAATCCTCAGAGTCGGACTCGGAAGGCGACGATGGTTCCAACACTCCAGATGCGACGCTTACGGCCTTGTTGAAACGACAGGCAAAGATATCGCAGGAGGCGGATGAAGATAATGAAGAAAAGACATTGATCAAAGGAGGCGGAAGAAGTCCTTTATTTTGGTTTACAAGCCCATTACTGCCTTCGAACACGTCTTTAGGCATTTACAGAGCGATCTTCACGCAGGCCGAACAAGAGGAGCCTGCTCACTTGGTTGACTCCCTGCGAAAGAAACAGCTCGCACCAGTCACTCAGCGGCGAGGTGCTGCATCTAGCTCAGAACAAGGGCCTTCTGCTTCTGGTCTAAGCCCTCACGTCTTTATGTGTATGATTGGTGGCGGTCACTTCGCAGCTATGGTTGTCTCACTAGCACCAGAGATTCAAAAGCGACCGGGTGGTGTGGAGGAACGACAAGCCCGTGTGGTCGCCCATAAGACTTTCCATCGATATACAACTCGAAGGAAGCAGGGTGGTGCTCAATCCGCCAACGATTCGGCCAAAGGAGCTGCGCATTCAGCGGGTTCCAGTCTTCGACGCTATAATGAAGCAGCGCTTGAGAAAGAAATCAGGGAGCTACTAGGAGAGTGGAAAGACCTCATTGATAATGCCCAACTGCTATTCGTGCGGGCAACCGGGAGCACGAATCGGCGGATCTTGTTCGGACCATACGACGGTCAGGTTCTCAGGCAAAACGACTCTAGATTGAGAGGTTTTCCGTTTAATACGCGTCGTGCTACCCAAGGGGAGCTTCTGCGATCCTTTAAGGAGCTCAGTCGCGTAAAAGTGAGCCACGTTGATGAAGCCGCAATCGCGGCCGCTGAAAACAAGCGGCGAGAGGAAGCTGTAAAACCGCAGAAGCGGCCAGCGCCCCAGGAGAAGCCAAAGATTTCTCCGGAGGATGAAGCCGCAATGCTGCATACTTCCCAGATCCAAGCCCTGATCCGTCGATCAAAGGCACCGGCGCTTGCATCCTATATTTCGAACAATTCTATACCTTCCTCCTTCAGATTTTACCCTCCGACGTCATCGCAAAATTTCCACTCACCGACACCGCTTCACTTGGCGGCTAGTTCTAATTCTCCGGCTATTGTCCTCGCACTTCTGACCAAGGCAAATGCGGATCCTACAATCCTCAATGGCGAGGGCAAGACAGCTTTCGATATCGCAGGAGATCGCGCTACTCGCGATGCATTTCGCGTCGCTCGTCATGAGCTTGGAGAGTCCAGGTGGAACTGGGAAGCAGCTCACGTCCCGGCCCCTGTCTCCAAAGCAGAGGCCGATAGCTCTAGAGAACAAGAACGCAAAGCCGCAGAAGAAGCAGAAGCCAACAGGCGGAAAGCTGAGCTCGAACGCTTGAAGAAGGAAGAGGATGCAGCAAAAGAGGCTGCATCACGGAAGGGGAAGAAGCCCGGTGGCCGGGCTCTAGGAGCCGTCGAAAAGACCGGTGCTGAGAAGAGGGAAGAGGAAATGAGAGGCATGACTCCGGAGATGAGAATGAGGTTGGAGCGGGAACGCCGCGCAAGAGCTGCTGAAGAGCGAATCCGAAAGATGCAGGGAAGATAGATCATAGCTCAACCTATCGTTCCGCGTTGACTCTGAGAGTGTGAGAAGTCCACTGCGGAGGAAGGATGATGCCTCAAGTGCTGTTGGTGTCGCTATCGGCTATACATGATTTACTATCTAGCGATTAAACATGGATATAAGCGATGCTAACTGCCTCTGTAACATATGGTATGATACCAACTTTCGAAATCAGATTTTGTCCTCGTCGACACGATGAACTGCATCTAAACCAGCTGCAGTCTATTGCGTTGGAGCATAGCTTGGTGAAACGAGCTTATTCATTACTCGATATTAAACCCATAGTTTGTGCGGAGTTTCACCAAAAGTAATTGCTCATAGAGACACTTTCAGGATAAGATATGCTTCCACCTCAGATGCATTCGCATGCTATCTGCAGTTAGCGCTAGAGTGTGCACGCCGTATATGGAAGGAACGGTGTCCTGGCCACCGTCTAGTCTCGCGTAATTTCGACGCCTTGCCTTTTTCCTTACAAGGACAAGCCTCTTCTCTATCTGACACGAGTTAAAATAACTTCTCAATCGGCTCCAATTTCGTGACAAATAATGATATCAAACAAGACCTGCTGCAGGTTTGTGACAACGTGCTAGCGTTGAAAGGTCTGCTATTATCTCGTTGAATTTCTTGCTCTCAGTGTCGGAAACTCCCGTTCTTTCTGCTCCTTTTCATATCAGACAATTTCAACTGCGTCATTAATCTCGATAACTCTTGCTACTTACCACGTCTGCTATGTCGACTGCTAGTGATGATGCTTATTCGTCACTATGGCCTAGCAGCTGTGTGGGCACACTTTCACAGTGGGATCCGGAAAATGGAATCACAGGGGAGCCATTCAAAATATACTCTGGTGAGGTCATCTATATTGGAAGGGACTACAGGAAGTGGTAAATAGATTTCTCCCTACAATTTTCTCCGAAAGCCTGATGCTGACGTGGTCAGTCAATATGTGATCGAGGATCCAGTCATCTCGAACAAACACCTCCGTATATACGATCATATTCGACCATGAAAATCCGGAAGAGATTGCACCATTAGTATATGCTCAAGATATTTCTAGTAACGGCACACTCTGGAACAACAACTGGATCGAGAAAAGTAACAGCAGCGTGCTCCTAAGCGACGGTGATATCCTCACACTGTCTGGGCGTTTCCATATTCTATTTCAATGCGCGACGACTACCGCAGAGCCTTTCGATAAAATGCAGGATATGGAAATGAAGGTTTGTCTCTCCTATTGTTGGAACATGCTTAAGTTTCTTCTTATCTCTTCTCCCACAGACTTTTCAAAACCGATATGCTATTACGAAGCGCAAATTAGGATCGGGAGCATATGGGCAAGTTCACATGGCCATCAGCAAGGAAACAGGACAACAGGTCGCTTGTAAAATCGTCGACATCAGAGGGCTGAGGAATAAGCTGCAATGTTTAGAAGCACAGGAAGCAATAATGCCCTCTAAGGGCAACATAAGCAGTTTAGCCACCGAAATCGACAATTGCACCCAGGAACAGGCAAGCACAGAATGGAGAAGGCGCCAATATCTACTAAAATACATCAAAGACAAGTTAAAGATATACGACCGGGAGGCGGAGATATTAGAGAAACTGTGCCACGTATGCTATACACTTCTCATTTGACCGTGAGGCTCGCGTTGCTGAACTAGAGCTAGCCAAATATAATCCGGATAGAACAGGTTATCAAGACTACCAACACAATGCAAGTCCAGATCCAAGCAAAAGAAAGCTCAGTATTTACTGACGCTGTATGCAGCTATATATTCCAAGATTTGGTAACCGCTGGCGACCTTTTCTCCTTTCTGGAATACAAGTGTGGAAAGCTACTTGATATTGAAGCAGCAGTGATCGTCCGGCAGATACTGATAGCACTTGACTACTTACACGAACGCAACATCGTACATCGAGATCTTAAGCCTGATAACATTCTCATGACTTCTCAGGCCGACGGGTGCAGGGTCATTCTCACTGATTTTGGATGCGCAAGAGTTATCCAGCATAAGCATGACCGAATGCTGACACTTATGGGCACATTTGAATATGCAGCACCGTAAGTAAAGTATCTCGCAATAACGACGCATTTTACTTACCTTAACAGAGAAGTTGTCCAACAATCGCATGCCCGCAGAAATGGCTACACAAAATCAGTTGATCTATGGTCCCTTGGCTGCATCACAGCCGTTCTGTTGACAGGAGGGTCGCCATTTATGGATCCAGATACCCGCTTGTATTCCGAAGAACTGGCACGAGAATGTAACCTAGAAAGACTTGAGGCTGATGAGACATGGATATGTGTCGGTGAACGTCCGAAAGACTTTATTTATCGGCTCCTCGTTCTCGATGAGGGTAGCCGTATGGACGTGAAGCAAGCGTTGAAACACTGCTGGTTCACCAACCCTGCTCACAAAAAAGAATTCGAACTTCTCTATGATCGGACAGTCAAGGACTGGAAACCGCGCCCTTCAAGAAAACCAGTACTCCTTGAATATCAACTGCTGACAGGGGGGTCGGAGATATGCAGTGAAGGAGACTGTGATATACAAGCAAAACAGCTCGCTGCAACCAATCATCCACAGCACGTATATCGCCCGTTCCTATCAACATGTAGCAAGGCACCCTCTACCGAGTCGAGGATACCATCGTCCTCAGTTATTGAACAGATGCTTGATTATCACGACGCTCCTTCGCCTACTCTGTCTGATACAAATCTGCCATTCTTCAACCGGGACGGGAAGGAGACTACATCCACAATGCAGACATTTCCCGTAAAGAAACATGCATGTAATGTTACTGAGATACTTGATGACCCGAATGGTCCAGGAATTATCACGACGAGATTGAGATCTCGCATCCGGTTGCCCTACAGTCCGGAAGCCTGGTTCAAGGGAAGCAAGAATACTAGGTCTCTGGCAAAGCAAAAGGGTAAAGAGAGCCCTCTGTCTCGGGTGCTTATGACCAAGAGCGGAACCTCAGGTACCGCAGTCGCCACTCGAGCTGTCAAAGCCTGGGCAAACCAGAAAAACCTTGCGCCTGAAACCCAAACCAAGTACGGTTTGGGCAAACGACACCATATGAGCCACATCTATGATCTACCAGAGGACGAAGTTTATGAGGAGGTGGAGAACACACTTTCCGGAGAGCGCCATAAGGTCCTCTACGGGAGAGACATTGGGACTGGAGTGAAGGTGGAATCTGACGAGCAAAGTTTCTCATGAGAGTGCAAGCACCGTATCTATCTCTGCAGTGATTGGGAGCTGAACGCATGGGATAGACAATATTCGGTTTGTCGGGACGAGCTGACAGTATTCACTACCAAGGCCATGTCCCAAATCTTTATCACGTTATCTTTCTTTTATTGATACTATGTGGTCTTTACAAAGTTCATGGCGTATTTTCGTCTTAATACACCCGCCCTTGCAGTCCAAAAATTGATTCGATTTCTTTTCTGATAGTCAGAAATCACGTCTGAGTTTGAAATTACTTGAATGTGCCAAAGTCTCAGCCGATCACTTGAGGTCTCAGTGATATCTTGAGTTTCTTTGAAACGGGAACTATGCAAGGCGTGCAGCTAAGGATACATAAGCTCCACCAGAAGACTTCCCCACTGCCGCCCTATCTCGGTAACACAAACCCATAAGTAGCCTTTATCGATAGGCAATTGAGACCGCCAAGCCGGGCACCAGCACGAACAACTTGTAGGATGGATCATTAAGCTCAATCTCTCGGGTGGACGATGGCTGGCTGCCAGTCAGCCACCCTGCATTTCAAGATTAGTCGCATTTCCAGATATGATATGCATTGCGGCTGGTGTTGAAGGTGTCATATGGATTTTCAAACTTGTAGAGACGTATCGATACAATATCTGTGTTGGAGAGTTTGGTACTTAGAGTCGAGTATGATGAATTCATCTATTTGACTTAAGAGAGTAATTAGTTCAGCTACGCTTGCCAATCCGTAACAGTTTCTCTTTTACAACCATCCAAAGATAAGAGACATAGAAGGGGAAAAAACCCCCCCTTCCGTAGAGAACATTTCCCCGAAAGAAAACGAACAAAATCCCCCAATAGCGAATTTGAGAGTAACTGCTGCCCACTTTCCAATATAGAAGAAAGAAATACGAATACACTATGCGGAACCGCATTTACTCGTTGACAATCATGATAGTGGATTTTCATTCTTTTTTTTTTTCTCTTCTTCGTCTTCTCTCTCTCTGACTTGACGCTTGTCTAAAACCAAGTTACCTACCATCGGGCTCCATAGAAAGACATAGAGAGATAGATAGGCAAGCCCGAGCCTCACGGGGTCCATCGATTCGCCACAGACAAGATCGGCCACCAGCCACCGATCCCTCGTCTTCTCTCCCATATATCAGTAACTAATTATATAGAACGGGAAAAAAAAAGAATATAATTCGAGCAAAGAAAAGTACTAAACTGCAACTAGAAGGCCAGTTTCAACCGTTGAACAAGGGTCGAGGAAAAAGGAAGGGGTTGGTGGAGGAGGTAGTCGATGTCTTGCATCAATTTTGTACAGAGAAAAGACAAATCAAGAGAGAGTGAAAACTGGACCCCGACAGGGTTCGGTAACTTCCTAGATCCAAGTTTTCAGTGGGGGGAGGGGGGGAGGGTTTGATGTGTGCAAGAATATAAAAATCAAATGCAGGTACACAGTGGTGCGTTGTATCCCTTGCTTTAGATGAGATCTTTGGCTAGGTACTCTACAAAAAGGTGCGGGGTATAAGGCTTGAGGAAGGTTGGAAGGTTAATTATTTGAGAGTTTGTCTTTTGTAGGTGAAAATTTTGCATTAAATTAAGTTAAATTAATTCTCCTAAGGTTTGAGTCGGGTTAACTGATGGTAGGGAGTAAGTAGTACATAGTAGGGAGGAGGGATGAGTAGAGATAGTGCCGTTTTGGGAAATAATGCAAGACATAATTATACCTACTATAGTAGCAAGTGTTATGCGTCCCAAAACAGGATTGTCTGGGTTCCTGATCAGGTTATATTATGGGACTTCCAACTGGAGTATGAAGACAGCATATCAAAATCTCGAGCAGCAGGTTTTGCCTCGCAGGTTCTTCAGACTCGATAAGGTGGCGTCCTCCTAAGAGGCGGTTGCGGGGTACAGAGTACATGCAGCATATGCACCAGGTGACCGGGTCCTTGACTTGCTTTGTGCTGTATTGCTTTTTTTTCCCTTCCACGATGGAGTAGATGATACCCTATATCGCGGGCAGGCGTAACAACCCTTTGTAGGGAAGTACCGTTTCGAGGAGGGAGCGCAAGGGGAGCAAGAGAAGCAGACCAATGGCAAAGGTTACTGATAACGAAATCGGATGCAGTTTCCTCTCGTTCAATGCTCTCCAGCCTCCCAGGAAGAATTTAATTCACTTTGGCCCTGCCGCGCAAGGGGCGCTTGTACAGTTACTGCAGTATGACCTCAATCGTGAAATGCCGACTGCGTTGCACGTGGAACTTCACCACTTGCCTAGCGTATCTGCTCAGGCACCGTCGTCGCATTATCGCTAGATAGGTAGTTATCTCGGTTGGTCTTAATCCACTCGCTGGTGGCAACGGTGAGAAGGACAAAAGGACATTGGGAAAGTCGGAAGCGCGCGGCCATGATTGGGCGACGCGCTAGACGCGCACGCGACACGTGCTGAAACGCGGGAGTGACGCGAATTCCCAAAGAGGATAAATTGGCTCAACGAGCGGATCGCGAACAAGTCGAAACGGCTCAGTCGACGATGACCGTCAGGGGTGTTTTCCAAGTCTCAGGGCCGACAAGTCTTGAAGTCTCTGGAACCGGCCATTATTATTACGCATGCTAAGAGTCATGATGCATTATTCATCCTCCCCATTGATTGTGCTGCTCAATTGCCGTCACGAGCATCGGATGCAATGGAAGGATGCTGCTGCGCGAGTCGCACGGGTGGCTGGGGTCTAATGGAGTCATGGACAGAAAGGAGGGGATACTAGCACCAAGACGGCAAGGTCGACAGTACGAGTAGAGAAGATGTCTTGCATGATGGGCCGGAGACTTCTCAATGCCATAATGGTAGCACGAAATGGGCTCCTCGAGGTGCTCGAGATCCCTTTCTTCCTTACAGGAGGGGGAGGGGGCGGGGGATTATCCAAGAATACTCTAATACTCTGCAGCAAGGAACAGCCACATCGGGCTTTTCCTTTCTGTACTGTCAGAACGTCTATCTAGGAGATAGTTCAGGGAGGAGAGAGGGATGACCTCAGAGCGCGTAACTTTCTTTCTGAGCGGACAGACATTGTGTCCTGAGGCAGGACCAAAAGTGTGGATGATCCTCATGTCATGGAGCTTTAGACCGGTCCCTGCAGGCTATCGATGGACGTTGCAGCGCGCACAGCCCATCTCGTCCTCTAATGGCACTGCACCGTTGTTGAGCTGCTATTTGACCGGCGGTCTCGTAGAACAGTTCGAAGGCCTTCGTCGACCCGGCTGCTCAGTCACCAGACCCCGAGGAAATGACCCCTGTTAGTTACTCGTGTCTCTATCTAGACTATGGTATGGTAAGTATACGAATGAGCAGCTCGATTGGAGGATTGGTATCGTTCCAGCTGCTTCTGTCGTCAGCGGGTGTGCAAGGTACATTGCAAGAGAAGGGGAAAGCAACCCTGTGATCCTCGTGGTATCCAGCATCCTCGCAGACACCTTGCAGTCACTGCATGGGGCAACGAGCACGCCCTTGATCTCTTCTCTTTCTTGTCTCCCGGGGCGATCCCAGAGGAAGCTTGTCTCAGTACAAACGCAGCGCTGGGCTGTCCGGTGCCAGCGGCAACCGGCACGCGGCGGAGAAGAGGCTAAGAGTAAGAGGTCACTTTAGCTGGACGAGCTGCTAGGGGCACGGTCTCATCGATATCGTCAAGGAGGGGGATCCACAAGCTTGTCGTTGTTGTCTGAGTTTTAGTTCTGGTGGCCGTCTGGAGACTGGCGCAAACCGCTGGCTGCGAACGGGTTCTCCCACTGGCGTCCGTTCCCGGAACCGAGCGCTGCCCCTGCTAAAATTGGCCCTTCTCGCCGTTCTCCCACTCCTCCCCCGTTCCCATCTCTCCCCGCGAAAACCACCCATTGCGCGACCGCCATCTTCACTGCGTCCATCCCACCACAGCGTGGTCGCATCGTCCGGAGATTGTCGATATCGAAGCGCACGTCCTCACTCTATCGATCTACCGAATTTTACCATACAGAAACCGTCAATCGCCGTCGAGAACCGCTCCGGCGCATAGTCTCCCGCAGCAAGCTGTGGCCTGCGCACAACAGCCCAGCAGTTCTCCATCACATAGCAACACATAAACTATCAACCTGAAAGCGGAATTCATCAGAATTCATTCACACAAGATGCTTCTCCCGTCTGCGCTTCCCTGCGACCCCCGAAAGTACTCGGCCCGGTCGCGTTTTGCGGCCAGTCGCCTGTTCTCGCCTACACCTCCGCCGTCCGACGATGGCTTCTCAGCAAGCAACGGCCTCCTGGGAACCTGTCGCGCACTACAATCTCTTCTTAACAACGTCTCTCCCTCGCCATCACCGCGACGTGCCAGACCAGAGCGTCTTCAAAGCCCACTGCACGTCAAGCCGCCGACTCGGACCCAACCACAGAGGGTCGTCAAGCGACAATCGACACCACCCCGCGGTGTGAACAAGAGAAGAAGAGACTGCTACGAGGATGGCGATACTGAGATGGCCGATGTATCCCCTCGCGATCAATTCTCAACACCCAAGCGCCAAAGGTGTGCTCCGCTCGACCTTCCTCTGGGTCTTGCGACCTCTGACTTCCACTCTCTCGGATCCATCACCGTCAGACCATCAGCACCAGTCCCTCCCGTGACAAAAACAGAGAACAACGGGGCCACTCCTGATCCAGACACTGCGATTCCCTCGATTGAGATATCAGACTGCAGTTCCAATCCCACCTCGGACTGGAGTGCGGAAGATGACCGGAGATTGGTGGAACTAGTCCTCGAGAAGTTCCAGCTCTCCCAGCGAGACTGGGATGAGTGCGCGCGCCGCATGGGAAAGGATAACGACACTGTCGGACGACGATGGCAGGCCCTGGTCGGAGAGGGCAACGTCGGTCTTCGACGCGGAAGGCGCATGGTCCGCCGACCCATTGACGAGAACTGGCGGTAAACTGGCTCTACCGTTCTCGAACGAAATGACTTATTACTCCCGGATCAGGCGTTATATTCAGATCTTGCCTCTCCTAGGCTTTTCAGGACTTATTATGGTCTTCAAGTGTACAATTATTGGGACATACGGAAAAAGGCTTGGTGGCTACCGGCGTTTCTGTGACACTCGGGGTTTTGGCCTTGGGCGGTATATCTTTCTTCTTTCTTTTTGCAGCATAATTCCCCGGATACTTGGACATGTCTAATCTTCTTTTATTTTCTCTCTGTTGTTGAGCTGGACATTTGGATTGGGACGAATTCCCACTGTAATAACTACGTTGGACTGCTTTTTGTTTTTCTTCTCTTCCATTCTCTTCATGTGTTAACAATCTTGCTGAGATGATACTTAATGCGACATCACGGATAGTCATTCTATCGCAGTTGAATTGACAATTGATCAATTGAATTTAAATTTGAACTTGATCTTGACTCCTTATCGAATCCACTCTCGAAGAGTTCTAATTGTAATCAATCACCATCGCTGCCATTGAAAGATATCACCACATTATTCCTTCTCTCGCAATCGTCATCGGCGGAGTAGAGTAGTTCATCTGCCACCACCCCAACCCCCTGTCAGTGGTCACGGTTGTTATCAGACTTTCCCCATGATAGACTACTATCTATCCGTAAAATCAAATGAAACCTGAAAGAGAAAGCGGACGGGAGTTCGACCGGTCCGCATTTAGTGGGCCTCAGCAGTCAGAACTTTACTCTGTCTGTCTTTAGCACTGCTGTGGCAGCCCAAACTAGTGAACTTAATCGCCGCGTTACCTGGGCAATATACCTAATCTAATTAAACACACACCCGGTTTCGTCTGATCCATATAATTTACATATATGATGTTTGTTTGTTTGTTATTATTATTGATTTATTATTATTTATCGAGCAACAGGATCCGTTTATGGATTGATTGATTGATCGATTGGCCTCTCTGCATATGTAGCTTGGAAGATCACTTAGTTATGCGATCGATCGATGTTCGAGCCTGGATTAGATAGGATACTCAAAACTAGCGGTGAGCTTTTTTTTCTTGCTTGTTGTGGAGATCCTGGGGTGGTGTCTTTCTTTTTTGATCCGTTGGACCGGTCCGGTGTCTCAGGATGGATAATGTTGCAGGAAGCTATAGATATGCATAAATTCTGAGGTAATAATAATAGGCTCTTGTAGATGGAGTTGGGATTGGGTTATTTGAGATATTTTTGCATGTGAGGTTTAAAGCCGCATTGTTGATCACGGGAAAACATACAGTATATGGCTAGCTGACTAGGTAGTAAGATACGTAACTAGATATAGGTAAAATAAACCTCCACTGGGAAACTAGTACCCGGAAGCAGATCGGTGCAGGTATACCTATGTCTTTTTAGCAGGAAATGCTTACAAGGCAGTGCCAGTCTAGATGATTGGAATTGTTTTTCAATTTTAGGACAGTGCAGACAGCGTGAGGATGGCCTGGATGTAGCGTTCTAGTAACTACTCACTTTGAACTTAACTTGCCTTGTATAACTACAGCAAGAGACAAGGTATGATAAGGGGGAGATATATAAGCAAAATTTCCAATCTGTGCGGTTAATATTATTCGTCTATTATATCTACATACAAAAGACCAAGTACTGGAATTAAAATATCATGTGTGATTTCGACAAGTGAAACTGTTTTAAAATCTCCAGCTCTTTTCTAGTCTTTTACGGTATAACTAGCACATTGTAACATAGAGAAGACGCTTAATACTAAATATTCCCCGTAAATAGATACTCTATAGGAATATAATAACGTAATTCCTTATTAACCTGATTACCCGCCCGACCTGATCAGTGCCGTATTATATATAAAAGAGCCTCTTTTTAGACCTAAATATCTCAACAACTAACTACCTAGAGATTATAAGAATGAATATATATGAAATATATATTGTTTAGAATATATCTGCTTAATTTTATTTACTTAGATATAAGTCTTCTCAAGATATTTTAAAGGTAATATATTTATTAAAATTACAATTGTAATTTATATTACCTAAATAACTAAGAATTTTTAGAATCTGAGACTTTATTATATATAAATATATTATTATAAGAAGCTACATATTAATTATTATATTTATTAGGTTTGTGGTTGTTGAGATATTTAGGTCTGAAAAGAGGCTCTTTTATATGTAATACGGCACTGATTAGGTCGGGCGGGTAATTAGGTCGGTAGGGAATTACGTTAGTATTTACTCGTGCCAGCTGCCTAATAATAAAAGTTAACTTTTATCTATAACATGAAATAACTGTAGATATTAGGAGATTTGTGCTGTTAAATTCTGCCAGTCTATCTCTATTATTAATCCTTTTCAATAATAATAATATAAGGGCGTTGTCAATATTTGCTACCTTGAATAGGGCCGACAAGAATTCAGGAGCCGCATTAACTAACTAGTGTGAATTATAATTCACGAGAGTAATTCAATGTTTTCCCTGAGACTACGTAAGGCCTGAAGTCCTTAGCATGCTAGTAAAGTTTCCATGCTTCGTTTCAACAACACAGACTGCCTTGAATCCGAATTTGGAGTATAGTCGTATACTAGTAGGAGAGGATAAAACAAGGGCGTCTAGTGCATTCTAATCAACATTATCACAGAAAATCTTCATCAGCATGGACCTAACACCTTGACGTTGGTGATTTGGATCCACAGCCATGAAAGTGATTTCTAACGTAGAAGGTCAGCAAGGCCCGGGAAAATCCAAGTCGACTGATGGTTTACGGCATATTCCATTGCCTTGACAGTGGGCGGGGGTGGGGAGGGTTGTGGTGTCCATCGTGAGGGTTGTTGTTGTGGATGAGGAGGTTGGAGAGGATGATAGTGGGTGGGCTCGTAATGGTTAGATGAGTACAGGGACCACTACAGGGGCGGCGATAATAAAAACACCACTATTATTCATCAGTCTGGAGTAACGTAATTCCCGACCGACCTGATCACCCGCCTGACCTGATTACCCCAAACACCTAGATGAAATACTGTCCGATTTTACTACCTAAATAGCAGTGTAATTTAACAATATTTTATTGCTATATTAATTAGGACATCTAACTTTAGTATAGCCCCTAATATTATAATTTAAATATATCAGTGGTACCCGCTGGCGCAGTTATATAGTTAAATTACCTAATCCCTCTATAGTGCTAGTAAGAGTTTTATTGGCTTTATTATTCTTCTATATAAGAGCTTAATCTTTTTTAATACTTAAACCCTATATAACACCTATTTAATAATTAGATTATTACTTTTTTTGCTGGAGTTCTTTATTAGTTAGATATAAATTCTGATTCTTATATATTATAAGGGTTTTTTTATTTATTAGGTATTTATATTATTAAATAAAATAATCTAGGACTAGCTGATTAGCAGATAGAGGATTTTAGGTTTATTTTTTAAATAAGCCTTAAAGTATAGTCCTATACTTCTCTAAATCTTTATAATTCTATAATATTTTAGATAGAGAAACTATAGAAGCAGTTAATTAGCTTTTTAGTAATATAGGAGTAGTTAGTTAAATAGTAAACTGTCTAAATATTTCTTCTAGGTTAAAAGGGATTAAACCAGTTATTTTAAATCTGCTTTTAATAGTATCTAAAATAAATATTTAGGCGCGAGCTCTAGGATAAATACTTAGGAAGTTAAGCTTATTAATATAATTAAACCCCTAACAGTATTTATCCTGAACTAAGCAATTATATACTCCTTTTAAAGGCCTAAAACAGTTAATATCTAAAGGTTAATAGAAAGCTAATAAATATAATAATATATAGACTAAAATAATATTATATTTATTATATATCTTATTAAATTTTAGGATTAAATAATTGCTGTGCCCGTTTAAAATAAGAAATAAATATTATTTAATCTTTTAATAAGCTATCTAAGATATAAAAACCTTTTTAAGCTAATATAATCTAATCTGGTCTATAGTCTAGCTATTATTGCTAATTTTAATTCTCTAGTCTTTTAGTATATTAAGATCCTTATATTAGCCTTAAATATAGGTTTTGCCTTTAAAAATAATATATGGTAATATTGCCTAGCCTGTAGAGTTAATATATTTAATTAATATAATCTATTCGCGATTATCTAGTTAGGTAACTTAATGCTTTTTATAATATTTAGTTTATATTATTACCTTAATAGTAGCAGTAAGGCCTATTATATATCTAGTTTTATTAAAGTTATAGATATTTTTATTTATAATTCTATATTTTATTCTAGTTATTTAAATAGTATTAAAATAGGGTTTAATAATCTTTAGGTCTTTATATTTAGCTTACTAATAGAAGTATTATTTAGAATAAATACTTTTTAGTTTAGGGCGATATTTAATAAATATAGATATTTAGTTTTTCCCTAGCTAAATCCCGCTATTTTAACCTATAAGAAGACTGTCTATCTCTTAGATTTACGCAGGCTAAGGACTTAATCCCTATGAATCTATAGATAGTATTTATTATATAAATAATTTCTGCTATGTTTTGTTCAATTTAGATATATTATTAGGGATATTATAATAAAATTAATATTCTTAAAGTCTTATCTGAAGGGTTATATAAGGAATATTAAAAATTGATACTGCCTTTTATATAGAGGGAATTTAATTTTTTTTTAAAGCTTTAATTATTAATAAGACCCTCCCCTCTTACTCAGTATGATTTTTTAATAAAATAGGCTTTTTTAGTAGTATAGTGGGTGATTAAATAAAACTGATTTAATAATCGCGAGGGAAGCTTATAGGGTGATCAGGTCGGGCGGGTGATCAGATCGGTCGGGAATTACGTTACTGCAGGCTTAACAGTCTAAATCAGAACTAGAATCGCCCATTTATGTAGACCATAGTTGATCTAGCGCTTGAATCGTCATTCGGCGTGGACTCTTCCGCCTGTCTATCCCGTGGTAGTCTCTTGCTGACCGCCGCTCGCGTGCACCGTTTCGATTCCATGGCAGCTTCTCTTCGTTCCAATCATTCGCCTTGCCTCTTTTGATCATCAGGAGTTTTCAGTAGCTCCATTCATCTGTTTCAAGATATTCGATAATTGGCCTGGACTGGGTTTTCTTTTGCCAATCGCTTATACGATCGACCTTTAGGGCCAGCATCAGATGATAACCGGCGTCTAAAATCAATTCCATGAAATCAATTCCTATCGAGTCCATCTCCTTATTGAAACATATTCACTTCGGGGTTCACGTCGAAGAAGTCCATAGAAATGGGTTGTCCGCTGACCCAATCATCCAAAATATCAAAAACGTCCGAGGGACCCAGCCCATCAGTGGGGTCTTGTCCTTGGGTTGGCTGGAATACTCCAGGGCGTAATATAGACTGGCCTGGTGTGTCCATCAAGCGTAGGCAATCATTCCGCTGATTATAAAAGCCTAACGGCGAGCTCCTGGGCCTGGACAATTCTTTTGCCAGTCGAACAAATGCGCTGCATATCTGAAAAAGACGTTCTGCTGCTTTGGACGCCACTCGCGCATTTTGCAAGGTGCTGAGGACATCCTCCAGAAGCTTGACATCTTCAGGATTATGTGCTCCTATCGCATGCAGAAAAGTAACAATAAAAGGAGTGAAGGATGAAAATAAAAGAATGCTGGATATGTCAGCTGGGGAAGAACATGAAGAGGGAGAGTTAGGTGCTGACAAATTGACATAGTCGATATCCGACAAGAGTCTCGTCTCCTGATATTGAGGAAGGCATCGCAGGTGTGACTGCAAGCTCAGACGTGCTGCATGGAAACATTGTGAATTGATCTGTACTGCCCCCCCCGGACCTGGCGACGCACGAAAAAGTGCTGTCAAAGTAGAGTAAAACATTATGTCCCAGTTTCCCCGAGACAGGTGAAATACTTGTGGGTTATTTACACCACTCGAGTTGATCTGCAAATAAATGTCAGTCACCATGTAACTAGCCAACCATGTGAATTAATCCGACATGATTTACTTCTTCAAGTTCAATACGCCATTGCTCTAGGAGAGAGGAAAGACGACTAATATCTGCTGACCGTTCGGACAGTGATTTCTTCAGTCCCGTCGCGGAGTACAGGGCAGTATAGATCTGGCCCTGGAGGCTCGCTAGTTTGATACCCAAGATGAAAGATTCATCCCATGGCCGTAAAGTGGGATCAGATGAAGCTTCAGGGTAACCTGTATCGATGTCAAAGTCCTGAATACGCGAAGCCCGCCCCAGCAAAAGAGATATGTTCTTGTCAAAGGCATATACCGTCCAAAATAAGCGACGGATATTGTCAGAACTTTCGGCTCTGGGTTCTTGGTAAGTAATTTCGCGGTGATAACCGAGTGTTTGGCAGTGAGTGGCGGCCGAAGAGATCAGGGTGCAATAGAGGAAAGGTTTGGCTTCTTCCTGTGCCTTGATAGCCTGGGAAACGACGTTAATAATTGTCCGTTTGCATTTTCCTTTGCCAAAGCGAGTTTATTATTACCCCCATTACCAGGGCCAAAACATTTTCAAAACATGGTACTGCTAGGATGTCGTATGTTTCAAGCCCAGATATTAAATTTCGGTCACACTGAGCTAGATGGGCTTTGAAGTCAAACTCTTCACAGAGTGGGTCCTTCAATGCCATGTACTCCTTGAGTAGAAAATAAAGAATTCCGTGCATGCTTGTTAATTGGCCGACAGTGACGGACGTCATTGGAAAGTAGACGTTCTGGCATAGTCGCTCGACAAATGCTAGATCACTAACAGCATAGGATGAGAGAAACAGCGGGCGGCGGGCTGCAAATATTAGTCTTCTCAAGGCCTGCAACTCCGACTATTTGGACACATGCATACTTTTGAATCGTTGTAGGATGCCAATGACCAATGCCACCGGCAAAAGTTTCACTGCTGGCATCGATTGCAAAGCAGAGTTGCCAAAAGAATGATGATACCTTGAAGGTGATTCTCGAAGAAGACTTTGCAAATGATCCAAAGACTCTTTGATGTTTGACTCATCTCTCGGATCATTAGACTCGGCAGTCATTTCAACGGCTTTACTGGCTTGGAAGGACTGGAAGCTAAAGGAAGAACCACCTTCAAATAGCTGATTCTCCCCAGCTGATGGGGAAGCTCTGACCTCGAGTTCACTCGTGCTTCTTTCCAGTCTGGGCGAAGTTGTCTGTGGTTCCCCGGCAGTATGGGAATTGGCAAACCGGGCCTCGAGGCTTCTTAGGCGCTTTTCGAGACGTGATACATGTGACTCCCTGATAAAGTTGATAATAAGCTTCGCTTTTAATCGAGTTTGGCTCTCAGATTTACTTACAGATGCTTGATTCGATCAGACCTGGGTCGACTTTCTGGCTTGTCGCAGGAATTTTGACAAGCAATACCAGATGTGCGGCAATGGGAGCATGGGACCGTACGATCACATCGAATCTTGGGTTGGCTTTAATTTTACGCGTGTTCATCAAATTGCCTTACAAGGAGATGCCTCACCTTGCGAATCCTACATCCTTCACACTGAGGCGAGCGTTAGTCTAGTTTTCAAGCAATGGGGCATCGGGGTATTACCGCTCGGGGGATAGAGGCGAGTCGCTGTTGCCTCGCTTCAATTGTCTCCTCTGTGTTCATTTCGGAGTGTCGGTAATGGACACATGAGTTTTCAATGATAACTAATAACTAGATAACCGTTTAAATTGTTTTCGAGGAAGAAGAGATGGGGCGGGCATCCGGGCCCGCGGGGCCGGATCTCCGAATCTACGAAGCTCCGCGATCCCGGCCGATGTTAACGTACAGTACAGTCAAATCCCATAAGTTTAACACAGGGCAGCCGATAAAATGTCTCAATTAATGTTCCATGGGGACTCATTTTTGCCAAATACTGCTACCTGGAGCAGTTACTACTTCTTTGGAGTAAACCCTTGATCATTTTTCCTTTATCAGGCTCAGCATTTCTGTCCGGATTGACACTCTCTGTCACCGCCAACATGTCGGTCAGTGTACTACCTATACCTTTCATCTGAGTTTATCAATCGGCCACTTACCATGCCATGAAACATTAGATTCCATCAGGGTGTGTTACAATTCACAAGATCCTCATACTGAGAACCCTATATTAATCTCCAACAATAGCGTTGATGTACCGAACGAATGTGTTGCCGCTTTCAAGGAGCTCCTATATAAAAGAGGCGCCGACAAACTTGCCTTTGTGATTTACAAAATCTCCGACGACAAAAGATCCATCGTTGTGGAGGAAAGCTCTTCTGAAAAGAGCTATGAAGTATTCCTCCAAAAGCTCACTTCGTCTGTTGACCATGAAGGAAAACGTGCACCTCGTTATGCAGTATACGACGTGGAGTATGACCTGAACAACGACGGTCGAAGGTATATTATGATTTTGGGTGGCTTCTCAGAGTACTACGGGATCATCTTTAACCAATTATCTCTAGAGCAACCACGGTCTTTATCAGTTGGGTACCCGAGGAAACATCTACCATGGTAAATCCACTTAAAACCCCAGTATTCCATTACTATCAGTGCCATCTGACCCAATTTCCAGTTTCGCATGTTATATGCCGCTACCAAGGAGCAACTCCGAAGAGCGCTTGATGTCAAGGTTTCAATTCACGCAGATCATCCATCGGATATAGAATGGAAGACGGTCTTGAGAGAAGCTAGTGGAGGGCGAGTTCGAGTCTAGGTTTTGATCGGTGCTATTAACAGCTCCCAACTTTCATTTTCAGCCATTCTTATCTGCATAATGGTCCCTGGCAAAATTCTGCTATCACTTGCACGGCCTTCACTCGTATTCTCTTTGGTACTGTAAATAATTTCACTGATAGCTAAGGATGATGTACTGTACCATGACTACTTATTCTAGGCTTGGCGTTGGTCAGTGGATCGGGCCCACGGATCCGCGGGAGCGTATCCTCCTTTCTAAGACTGGCCTGTTGCAACCAGAGGTCGAGTATACATACATACGAGCTCGAACTGGGTCCGGATATGGTCCCTCGTCCAGGAGATTCCGAAGTAGAATGCTTCAGTCTTTACACGGTTGATGAAGTACTTGAGGCTTTGAATCAGCCACTTTTTAAGCCAAATAGTGCGATAGTTGTGGTTGAGTTCCTCGTTCAATATGGAATCTTGACTGAGGAGAATGAATCGGAATATTCCGAAATCGTATCACACCTATATCGCAAACTTGAATTTCCTATTTCGATTCAAACGTCTGTGTGAAAATAACTTTGTACGATATGGGACGTACTATTCGATGGACTGACTACATATTGTTTTTATCTTACATGTTCAGCTTCTTACCATCCTCATCGTCCACACCAACTGAAAGAAGGGTCTGCCACATAGGGTCCCTTTCTAGAGCATCCATATGATCACTCCGCAACATAACCATTATCTCGAGCATTTCCTGAGGCACACCCCGCTGGCGAGGCAGAATAAGAGCAACCCCATCTGCTTCCATAGAAGGCAACCTCACGAACTTCGGCCTCCCAATCCCGTCACCAAAATCCATTTCATACAGCCCAAGGTCAGCCCAGCTTGTGATCGTAAAATCACGGGATCTAAAGAGATCCCAACCCACAAAGAGAGACTTAGTGCAGTCCTCCATAAGATCAATTAGGCGGTATACCTCCGCGATATGACGCGAATTAATCTCGAAATGTGATTGGGATCGGGTAATTTGATCGCAGATCTTAGCAAGCGACCTCACAGGGGCTTCGTCAGATGCAGCTAAGGTACCGGCTGGAAGCTTCGAAAGAGCGTAAAACACTGCGTTTCCAAAAAATGGAGATCGGAGGGTCGAGAAGCTTTCGCCAATTCGCTGCCGGCCATTCACTGCCGTTGCCAATTGAGTTGTCTCATTTTCAAGAGATGGGTTGGATTGCATTCGTACCCGGGTGACTGTGGTCCAGATAAGTGCGCATATCACGGTATTTGTGGTCAGAGCTGTCGATGTATACCTGCGCATAAGCTCCTTTAGAATATCAATCCAGTGTATCGAAATCGCAAAAAGCTTGCATCTGCACGACGGGAAATTCTCTGGTAGAGCGGGTGGTGTTTTCGAGTATTCAGGGTGCAGAGAAAACAGATCTTCAGACGACATAGCTGAGGTCGCTTGGAGGTCAAATGACAACGCTTCTGAGAGCCGTTCGGATCTATTCTGCGACGAACTTGAGAAAGTGAACCTTGGGTCGGCGACATTTCGAGACCACAGTCGTATAATCTCTGACAATCCAGTCCCGTCGACAGCGTTGTGATGAAGGCAGACACACAAACCCACGCCTTGATCCGCGAAGCCAAAGACGCTCGCAGCGAAAACAGGAGCACCCGTCGCGAAGAGAGCATCGTCTATCATGCTTGGAACTGGCCATACGTCTGATGGAATTGCCTCTATGGGCATTCTGTGAGACGATGCCCATCTGTATGTATTTGCTATAGTCCCTTTGACGATAAGAGTTGGCGTATTGTTCGCATCCCATCGGATCTCGAGAGAAGACGGCTTTTCTGGAGTTGCTGGTCTTGGAAAGACTTGTCCAGATAACCATCGAACTTGTTTTGAAAGTCTATCAAGACCACCTTGGAGGCTTTGAGTGATTTGTAACCTCGAGCCTGTTGGTCCAAAAACCAAAAGAACCCTAATATAGGTTCTAGGCATGGGCAAATCTAGCGGCGCCAGTCGCTCAACATGGGTAGAATCGTTCATTGTTTTCGATGAGAATACTCAAAGACCAAAAATTGACATCACTGATAACCGAGACTTTATATTAAGGGATGAAGAGCATGGGAAGACTTCACTAATAATCTTCGGCTGCCTGGGCCCGCGGCCCCGTGGTCTCGGAGATGCGGGTGGCTACTTCAGAGATTGCAAAACAAAAAGCGGACAACAATAGCTGAACAGAGAGAAGAATCGGTGGAGCTCAGCCTAAGAGAATCTTTACCAGAGCCAAGACAACTTAGCAAGGTATAACTGGCTAGAGCAGCTACAGGAGGCACCTGTATAAGACAAAGACGTATATTAGCTACAAGGCAGAACATGAACACTTTTTGTCAGGAGAAAAGCAATGTGGACTGGAGCCACAATCTACCCGATTGCTCTTCAAAATGGTCTTTATGTTTCGTTAAGAGATATCAGAATACAGCTCATACCCGGAGCAGATATTCCGTACAGCTTGACGTAGACGATGAGACGAGACGATTTGACAAAACCGATACGTTCATAATTGTCCAACGCGATGTATAAGCTAAATAGAAAATTGGTGGGTCATCATGCCGATTGACGAAACTCGACGAATAGTTAGTGGAATGGGCTCATGACAACAAGATCAAAGTCCATCTTGACGGCGCTAGGATATGGGAAGCTACCGCCTCTGGAGCGGGATCTTCGCCTGAATACTGCAGTCTTTTACACAGCACAAGCCTTCGCTTTGTTTCTCAAAGGGCCTAGGTGCCCCGATTGGTAGCATGGTCGTGGGTTCAGAAGAGTTCATCGAGCAGGCCCGTTGGTTTCGTGAATAAATTGGGTGAGGCATCCGTCAGCCTGGAGTACTATTATCTACAGCCGCCGGAGTGGCCATGGCTCTAATGGAGAAGGAGGAAAAACTGGAGGCTACCTATGACAAAGCCCAAATGGTTGCTGATATGTGTACCTCCAGAGGAGGAAGACTGACACTACTTGTGCGGACAAATACCTATGGTCTGGTTAAGTCTGGCATAAGCTAGGCTGGGGCCCAATGATGTGTCTGAGGCTGCAGCAGAGAATGGTTACCAACTGAGAGGTTGTGGTATTGTAATTCACTATTGTAAGAACCTCCAATCCTTTGTTGAGTGGAAATGAAGATGCGGTTGATCACCAGGTGGAAAATATCGATGATTGAGAGACAGCCAGATATTTGTACTGACAGAAAAAAAAAGGCAGCCGGACAGAAGATTCCTCACATCTATATACCTAAGTATATAGAAAGTGGTTAACGTCATAAATGCCAGTTCTCCATGGTATATATACAGCAATTTACTTATTGCCTCCAAGATCAATGTCTTGCATGCATGAATCAAGTAAGAATAAATTCTGATTCATTAGCACTAAATAAATGAAGCCATCTAAGGTAACATTCGAGATTGGGGCGCGGCCGGAGTCCGTACGGAGCAGTATTAGGGCACAATCTCGTATCAGCCTATCGTCAAGTGCCCGATAACCACGAGGTTACATCTATAAGATAAACTAGCCAGCAAACATATACTTGCCCCCTTCCAGAAGCAACTAATTCTAAGTCGATCATTTGTTATGAAACTAGACGCCAATTGATAACGAGGATCGCGACTTGCATACCCTTTTTAGTCACTTTTTTCACTTTTCAAGACTGGGCAGTTCCCTGCATGTCGGCGAGCTCAAATTGCAACGGGAGATCGTTCCAGGCTATTCTATAGCAATGATTGGTAGCATTCTAGAGATTCTTTAGATAACGCAGCTGCCCAGAAACTAATTAATCCTCGATATGCTATCTTTTCTATTATGGATCCTGCTATCGAATATACGTCCGTCCCGCCCTTGTCGGGGTACGAAGTTTAAAAGAGGAAGTGGTCGTCCCTCGGCTGATACCAACTACAACGTTCTTTCGCGTCCACATTACCATCTAATGACCTCTTAAATACTGGATGTTCAGGGAAAGAAATGATCTTTTATATCCTCCTCTGCCTCGCCGCCACCCAAGGCACACACGCCTGGGGTGTTCTCGGCCACGCGACAGTCGCATACATTGCCCAGAACTACGTCAACAGCGAAGTCGCAAGTTGGGCTCAAGGTGTCCTCAGCAATACGAATGACTCGTATCTAGCTGACATCGCCTCATGGGCAGATGAGTACCGACTAACTTCGGCGGGCGCCTGGTCAGCACCTCTGCACTACATAGATGCCCAGGATAATCCCCCCTCCAGCTGCAATGTCGATTATAACCGCGACTGCGGATCTTCTGGCTGTTCGGTCAGTGCCATAGCAAACTATACACAGCGCGTTGGTGACGGGAGGTTGTCAAGCGAGCATACTGCTGAGGCATTGAAGTTTATCGTGCATTTTGTTGGCGATATAACGCAGCCGTTACACGATGAAGCGTACGAGGTTGGCGGTAACGAGATCAAGGTTACATACCAGGGTTATAGCGATAACCTTCACGCGGACTGGGACACGTACATGCCTGAGACGTTGATTGGGGGCAGCAGCCTGAGCGATGCGAAAACCTGGGCTGATCAGTTGATTAAAGAAATCGACTCTGGCAACTATGCGAGCCAGAAGGCTAGCTGGATTGATGGCGACGATGTCAAGGACGCACAAACCACGGCGGCGCGGTGGGCTAGCGATGGAAACTCTTATGTGTGCACTGTGGTAATGCCAAATGGTGCCGCAGCGCTTGAAAAGGGCGATTTGTACCCGACCTACTACAACAGCGCCATCGGTACCATCGAGCTTCAGATAGCTAAGGGTGGCTACCGCCTGGCCAATTGGCTGAATATGGTCTATACTTCAGAGATTGCAAGCAAAAAGCGGGCAACGATAGCTGAGCGGAGAGAGGAATCGGTGGAGCTCAGCCCAAGAGATTTGTCACCAGAGCCAAGACAACTTAGCAAGGTACAACTGGCTAGAGCAGCTATGGGAGGCAGTTGTGGGTGTGAGAAGCATAGATGAAAGCCATGCTCCTTATAAGACAAAGCCGTATATTAGCTACAAGGCAGAACATAAACACTATCTTGTCAGGAGGAAGCATGAGTCCCATTATCGAGTACCTCGAGCTGAGTTGAGCAGTTGTCAGAAAATGTCAGTTTTGTTTCCTAGAAAGCTTACTTGTCCAAACCAGAATTTCTCGTTCGTGTATATGGTATCAAGGCTCAATGACAGTAACGGAGAGGGCCAAAGATTAGAAACAAAGGTATGAGTATGAAGTCGCATTATTTATGTACCGAGAGCCGCTACCCATGTGCAATCTATTCTCCATTTAACTTTGTGGATATCAAACATGCTGTGCGACAAAAGAGGTAAAGCAGTAGAACCCAACGGATGGCATACAAGAAACGCCAGGCAATGAAAACCTCCCTAAGTCCGAATAATCCCGGACATTGACTCAAGTGATAGAAGATATTGAAGATAGTGGAAGACCTGTTCCAAAATGCGCCTTCCTGCTCACAGACAAGTCTTCACCACTACTGGGGCGAAGTGCAGTCTCCATCTTGACCAACTTCGAAGAGATGGTGGGACGGAGTCGGACGGTGGCCTTGTTGGCTGCTGATAATGGTGCTGTGCGCACAACTAATGATTTCTGTATCACCAAAGACGATGCCATATCGTCCGTACGCGGTACGCAGGTTCGGAAATTCTTAGAATCTGTTTCAATGGTGTCAGTAAGTACCTAGAGCGAAGATGCTTCCTCTACATACCTTATCTCATAACTTCCCGCCCTGGTCATATATCGCACCCATTTAACACTGCTGTAGTTACTCTTCTCAAATACTTTCAGGTACCTCACTAGCAGCCCGCTGCTGGTAAACATAAGCAAACTAAAAGACAAGCTGAGAGGCGGTCGGCTCCAGGCCTTCTGATGAGTCATGCTTGTCAGTGTAGCTTCTGCCGTGAGTACATATTCGCTCTGCCCTGAAAAACGCGGGATCTTCCACACAATATTGTTATGTTCCGGCTCATACTTGGCTCTACCTTGGCTTGTTCGCTCAGTAATCTTGGCTGTGTTGAGCGGTGTCGGAATCCGCACGACGACATTGGTCGCGAAAAGCTTGGCCCCGTAGTTTGCCTTGATGGCGACACTGTATTCAACCTTTGTCGTACCAATCTCTCGCACGATAGGGTGGACCTTGAATGGGAGGTTGACATTCTCCGTTGCTCGATAACGCATGAGCTCGAACTCTCCATCAGGTGGAACGAAGGAAATAGTTCGATCCGCATCGAAACGACCCAGCTTCACACACTGGTGGAACTGACAATCTTCGAGGGTAACGGATCCTGCCGCAGCGCGTGTGGCTTTCGTCCCATCACTGTCCAGCAAGAGCCGGTCGTTGAGTCCAAACTTGCACTCTGGAGTTCCGGACAGATATGCACGCATGACGATCTGTCCGTTGACGTCGGCGCGCAGGACCGTTCCCGTGGCGGACATCAGGAGATTGACGTCCTCGATCACGTCGACAAAGGCTTCATTCTTCCTGTATTTGATATCTGATCTTCGCCATGACAGCGCTCCGGTAGCTTGCATAGTAATCCGACTCGAATCGGCGGGAGAATTGGCGATGGCAGACTTGACGCCCTCTGTGGTGATGTACATCTTCAAGGTGTCCGTTTCCGTGTTCTGGGGGTATCCAAAATCGAGGATTTCTGGAATAGAACAAATAAACCGTCAGCTGCTAATCAAGCACAGAGAATCAGGAGCGATCTGCAGGGGAGGAAAGGCACGGTAGCGCGTAAATACCATCTAGCAATTCATAAACCAGGACAAAATTATTCTTCACAGCCTCCTCATCGAACTTGCCAAAGTAGCCTTTCCCCAGCATGATCAACCGATATAGGAACTCGAACACAAGCGCAGCATTGGCATTGCTCTTCGTTACCGCCACCAAGTAGATATTCTCGTGCTTCACATGGCTGAAGGTGGTCGATCCGAGTGTCAGGATAGGAGAGCGCACCTGCGCATTGGAGATGACCTGGATGCGGAAGATATCCGCTAAACGCGGGCGGCAGTCATTGCGGAAGGCACGGAAGATGAGATTCTCCCCCTTCTGGTTGAATATCAGGATTCCGGAGAGCATCTTTGAGGAGGCTGAATCGAGATGCTCGTCGCGGGATTAGGAGCTGTTCATAGCTTGGGGGTGGGATGGGGGTTAATTCCGGACTGGCTTATTCGGGGTTAAGCTTAATCGGGCTTGTAATGTTACCGTCTGGTAAGTTACGCTGCACTCTCCTGCGGAGTATATAATACGTATCTACAGTACAACTCTCTATACATGCATACATGGGCTAATTCACATACAATTCACCGTGTAGCCTGTTCTAAAATGATCTTTCTTTTGGTGAATATATATAGGTAGATATGTAATCGATGATCATCCGCTCTTCATGCGTAACTATTCTACAACTGACTTGACATACTGTACATTGCTGCATATGGGGAAGCCCCCAGCTAGATCGAAGCTTCAACTTAAGCTGGACCAAAGAAAATCCCATTCAAATCAATGTTCAAACGTCTTTCTCTATCACTGTGCCTCTTAAGTCCATTTGTAAGGGCATATTCGCCTGTACAAGTATAAAACAATGTGTGAGGACATTAAATACAAAAATAGCCCACGGTATGTTCCTAAAGCAAGCTTAGAGCTCCCCATCATGCTGCATAAAAAGATCCCCACCTTGATCTCCATTTATATGTATAGATGATAACTGCGGTAGCAGTGTACCAAGGACATCAACTGGGAATGAAAAGGAAATAAGCTCATGTCGTGTAAAGGCAACAAAGAATATGGTGCCAGAAATAACTATAGTACAGCCCCAGAAACCGAAACGAACAATGGTATCACATCACATGAATCAAATGGTGAGACCTGGATATCACAGTAGCACTCGAAAAAAAGTTTTCCATAGAACAAAGGATCGTCAGAATTAAAATCGCTCAGACCATGTGCATAACATCTTAGTTTGTGTCAAGACATTGACAAGAAAGAAATCGAAACGGCCCAAGAATGGCCGTCAGCGGTGGCAGTACTGAGAAGGACAGCAGGAATCAGGTAGGACTCTTCCGATCAGCTACTACCTGGCATGGGGGTCGACAGGCCCTAACCCGCTGCTGGTTCTGGTCCCGGACAACGAGGGCGCATCAGTGACAATACCAACCTTCGGATCCGGAATTTGGATGTCCAACGACATATATGCCGTCCTTCGAAGGGGCCATATTCGTACGCCTTCTTTCGCACCCACTTCCCGGTTCCAGTTCTCCAGCCAATCCTCGAGGTGCCGCAGATGGCTTTTAATACCAGTAGCTCCTAAATCATCCCACACCCAGCCTGTCAGGAGACCCATCGCGCCGTCGAACCAATTGCGGAGGTTGTAGGGATCGAAAGCTTTGATGAGCTCCGAATTGACCTTGGAAATGACGCTGCGAAACTCCTGTTCTGACAGCAAAGGATCGAGGATCTCCGGATACAGGTTGGAAAATGTCGGGGCCAAGTCACCCTTCACCATCCAGTCCCGTCGTATGCGGATGATTCGTGTCGCGAGATATTCATCCGAAGCAATTGGTACGTGAGGATTCAGATGTGGAAAGCAAGGATGTGCTGGACCCCACGCCAGTTCCTCTCCTGGATCTCCTTCTCCGGTCGTACCACCGCCTGAAGTATGGTTCCCTGTAGGAGACGGTAGAGACGCGAACGTCTGTGACCGCAGGGAGACTTGTGACTGGACATGGCGAGGCTGCGCGACTCTGACATCTTCGGGACCTCTCCCTCCATCCTGTCTCAGGTGCAGTGGTTCTGGTCGCCCTGGAAGGTCGTTCTCTTGCCTGTTGGCACTGGTCTGCGCTGTCATCTCTTCCCTGACAGTTTCTTCCCAGTTTCCGCTCCTTCTGTGTCCAGGGGGCAAGCCAATGCTCGTCCGTCCACTCTCGCTCTCGCAAATACTGCGTTCCACGGCCAAGCTGCTTGGGCTGGGATTCTGTCTGCTGCGACGTTGCTCTGGGATCGTCAGCAGGGGGTAAGCGTCGCGATGGGCTTCAATCGGAAGATGTTCATCAGACGGTTGTTGTTGTGGACGTGGGATGGCGACTGGTGTTGTGCGGGGCACGTAGTTGATAGGATTCCAGAGTCGGGATGCGGGCTGTCGAGCAACAGCAGACTGGGACCCGAGTCGAATGGCACCGAACAGAGAATATCGTCCGTCTTCTTCTTGCCCTCTTCGACGTGACGTGCCTATCGCCCTCGGAGGCGAAGGAGAGTTATATGGCACCTGGATGCGCGGCCGTACCGTCGACGACGGCTCCACGTCCTGTGGCGGGTTTAGATCACGTCGAGAAGTGGTTCCTTCCACCGGCTGCGATGATAGAGACGCAGGCTGCGCGCTGGAAGACGCCGTGGTTGGAGATGGAGATATGGAGGAGGAAGAAAAAGACGGTGTTGGTGAAGATGGAGCGGCGACGAGGCGGTGATTGGCGAGCCGGAAAGGGGCAACGGGCAGGTAAGGGTCGCCTCTCTAGCGGACTCTACGCCCATCCCGCGACATCGATGGAGGCGTGATCTATCGGAATCGATTCTCTCTCTCTGCTGCCCTCTTTCTCTCTCTTGCGTAGCAGACAGTCGAGGTTTCAGGTCGAGGTCACTAGAGGCAACAGCCCGGAGGTCGCGTCTGGATTAAAAAGAAACCCAGGAAAACACCCCCATCGAGGACCTACAGCCCATGACGACAGGCTCTTCAGATTATCACCCGCTCTTCCATGCGTGTGGAGACGCCGCAGAGGTTCTTCGTTGGACAGTCACTTTGCTGTTCGCTGGCTCCAGGCTAGTTCATGGTCGATTATAGAAGACTGCTAAGAAGGACGATCCAAGGGCCGGATTCCCGCCTGTTCTACGGTGCGCCACGATCCTGCATCGCCCAGTTCTGGATGCCCTAGATGGACCTAAATATGGCAATCTATGCGGTGCACACACAGAGCAACAAGTCTTTTGTGATGCAGCTGATCCGACATCCTACCCTACGCTTGTGTCTACCCGAATGAGGGACATGTATCTATTCGCCCAGACCGCTTGTTTGGAGGCTTTCTTTTCTATAGAAAGTTAGAAACCCTCCCGCTGTGTCCATTCTGCGGTCAAAGTCGAAGCCTCAACCAGTCTGGAGGCAGGGATACAGGAAGATATACGAGGACGCGGTCACCAACCGGTCAAACGAGGCGGAAGACCGGGGGGAATCGACCATGTCTGCTTCGATCCACGAGCCCAGAGGACGATAAGCAAACCAAAGACGGGAGAAGAAGTCCTAGTCTGTGGATAAAAGCATGTAATAAAGTAGCAACCTGAGTCACTGACCTCATTCTGTCACTCCCGCCAGTAACTAACGGTTTCCGCTGGACAGGGTTCAGTATTATTATTACTTTTTATTCCGAAGCATCTCTTACTGTCGGCTGACACGTCCCAGTGCCCCTTTTTCTCAGATACACACCACTGTCTGATCGTCTCTCTCAAAATCCGATTATCACCTCCCACATGAGGTTCAGCAGGTATTATCGAGAGCAGACATTTCACAGAAAACAGATCATAGAAAGTCGCAAGAATTGACTTCTCTACTACTCTTGAACGGTTCGCAGTAGCCCAGTCCAGGGCTGAGCAGGTCCCATTCTTTCGGAACACCAGGGAGACTAAGAAACATCTGGGCTTATCTACTAGAAAACTCCAAAGTACGCTATTTATTATTCATTTTTATTATTATTGTTGTTCTTTCACCCCGTTGGACCCTGGCCCTGAAAGCTCCGCGACGGCAACAACAGGACAATCCCAGATCAGCCTTATTTGCGAACTATTTACTTCGCGCAAGTGAGTCAAGGAAAAAAGGAGTAATCTCGCAGACGATCTGCCTTAAGTGGGTAAACCCAGCATCTCTCCAGTGGAGTTCATTCAGGCACCGAGGATCCGGCTCCAAGGATCGCGATTTTAGCTTTCGCCAGTTTCCGTCGATTGCCCTGGGACTTGCCTCCACAATTAGTTAACTACATAGGCTAAACTTTATGGTGTTTTCCTGCCCAGATCAGGATCAGGGGGCGCAAGGCGATATTATTATTTTCGGGGACCCCCATGACTTCATCGTGGCGGAATATAGCGCCCTCAGCGAATTATACCCGAGGATCTATGACATCGCACCGTTGGGAAAATGCCAGAATCCTGGTCAAAAAAAAAAATAAAATAAAATAAAAACCATCACTTCCTGGCTTGTGATAGATGCTCTCATTATATTAAGTATATGGTACATATATACATGTATGGTATGCTTCATAACGTTCAAGCAAAGGCGGGAAGGCCCCTTTGTAGTCCGGACACAGAAACACGGCACTTCCCAGCTCAAATAACTATAAATGACGGCACCTCCCATGGAACAGCTACCTATATACTTTTTACCCCTGTACTCTAGTCTCGGGAGCCCGCAGATGACGATCAAGGGCTTAATATTTCCCGAATCGAAGAAGAATTCCCCCGAGGGACGGAATATGGAATACGGAATAATAGCACAAGACGGTCGAACCATAACCGTAAGAAATCAAATCCAGAAACGCGATAGGACATTGATATCATTTCTCTCGCGCTAAGGTAAAAGAAAAAGAGAAAGGAAAAAGCCACGCAGATAACCACCATTATTGTAAAAGAGACTACACTACTCCGTAAGACCAACATGTAACACAGACGCATGAGTTCTCAAATGTGGCTATGGTACTTACTACTGTGCCACTACTCTACAAAGCTAAGAGAAATTCATATCGTGTGTGACTAACAGATACGACCCAACAATAACTAATAGTGGCGGTTCGAAACAGCCGACTGGGGTCACCCAGGACAACTATGCTTTGAAACGGAGATCAATGAATCAAGGAGGCACGGAGGAGAATCACCACTCGGCCTTGCTCACTTCCTTTATTGCAATTAGGTTTTGCAACGGCAGCGAAAGGGTATCCAAGTCCACAGTGAGTAGAGCAATACATTTGCGCGTCAGAATCAAATAGAAAGCGAAAACAAATGGATATCATTAACTTGACGTACGTATATGCCACGATATAGAGTATATTGTATACAAGCATATTAGTATGATAAGATATGTATGGCTCTGATGAGCCTAGCGCCGTGTTGGATATCACTTGAAAATTCGCAAATGAGAAACATCATAAAGCATAGTAGTATATCCCGTGACGCCCAATAACATGCACAAAGATTGTCCCTCTCGCGCGTCTTCCATACCACTAGAACGCCGTCTGAGAAAATAATATACCCGAGAAATGAAGTAGTGAAAATCGGTAAAATCATGAATCATCAAGGCGAAGGGGTCTCAGTTTCCGGCTCTGTAGGCGGCTGCTTGCATCCGCCGCATCGCCTCGCGATGCAAATCCCGCAGCTCGCCTCGTTGCATCCCCTGCGCAATAGCCTGGTCTATGTGGTTCGCAGCCATCATCTGCTGCTGCCTGACTGTCCAAGCTTGGTCATGTTCAGAACGGCTAAATGCCGAACTTGAGTACGGCAATGTTGTCCGCGCCAAGTCCTGGCGAATAGACTCTCTCCAGGCGGCCCCTGTAGCATCGGTCCGTGTTGGAGTCAGTCGCTGCTGCTGGATCATATCTCGACGCTTCGCGAGTGGCATGTCATCATCATCATCAATTAAATTGGCCTGACTTCCAAACCCAGGCGAGGAGATGCCCAAACCCAATGACTGTCTAGAGGCAGAGGCAGAATGGGGTATCCAGGAGTCACGGGATAGCGAAGTCGACGATACTCGATTCCTGATCAAGCTCTGACGCTGTGTCATCAATTGAGGGCTCTTCCCGTATTGCGGCTTCTGGAAATTGACCTCCTTGCTTTCATCAATTGGAGTTGCCGCGAGAGTATTGCTTAGAAGCTGGCTTGAGGAGTGTCTTCGATAACCAGGCTGCAAAAGACTGTGTTGAGATGCCAGAGAAGCATTGGATCCAGATCTTAGTAGAGGAGTCAAAGGGGGCGGAGCTACTCCAGTTGAGGCCCTCCGGAGACCTGTGAGATCCTTGTTCGGCTCAGGAGAAACAGATCTTGGCGATCTACTCTTGGACCTGCTCGACATGGAAAGGCTGTTCGTTAAGCCATATTGTTGGTTTATGGTAATTGGTGTTGGAACAGCCGGAGGGGGGCGCGCTGTCAGCGGCGTTTGCAGCAATTCCTCCACTTGAACAGGCGCGACCGTCTCTTTCGTGCTATCGCCTAGAGGTTTATCCTCAATTATCGGCCGAATGGGTTCGATCTCCGGAGTCTCTGCTTCGGATAGATGCTTCGCCCACTCGTTTGTTCGATAGGAGGAAACTACTCTGGAGACGCGATCAGGTAGTTGTGTCATCGTGTCCGCGGTGAGTGATGTTTTCCTGACCGAAGACTGACCTTCTTGTTTCTCCGAGGCTGTTCGTGAAGGCACCATCGCCGTCCCTTCTCGAGAATGACTCTTGCCGTCCTGCTCTGACACCGACTGCCCTGTAGTGGGAGGCGGACTAGATACTGGAAGCAAGGAAAGGACCTGCCGCGCCGGTAAAACATCAGCGGGATCTGGCCTTTTCTTTTCCTCACGGCCACTTTCGTCAGCTTCTGGTTTCGACTGTTCACTTGGTTGAGCATTGGACTCAGATGGCCCTCCAGAGGCAGACTCCGATATCGACTTCACATGCGTGGTGTCTTGGTTTGCGGGACCCTCGATCTCGACAGGCACAGTGTTATCCTCATTGGCCTCGTTGGCCTCGTTCTCATTGCCCACTGGAGAATCGCTGACTTCAGAAGCAATATCCCTTTCATCCTCATCTGGAACTCCTGCTACTGAAGATGCTGGAGATTCGTCTTTTGTCGCAACCAATGCCTCCTCAGACTCAGAGGTAAGCATGGGGTTGTGCCCAGCAGATCTCGATAACCCTGTAGATAGTCGTCGCGCCAGAATGTCGGAACCGGAAAGAGTTGCCGCGACTGATCTCTCATCGTCATCACTACTCGATTTCTCCTCTGGGGCCTTGAACGGCAAGGGCATAGACGCTGGATGCTCATCACCGCTCGGGGGGAAATCGCCAGGCAGCTCGTTCACATACCCGCCGGAGACATGATGCTCGTCGTCGCGCACTTCATCATTAGCTTGTTCTGGATCACCACCCGTTCCGCTGCCAGTTTCATTGCTGTTTCTGTAGCTCTGGTGTCCATTATTAGCGTCATCGTTGGGATCAATTTCGGTTGTTTCTATAGCTGTAGATCGCTTTCGCGGGCTGTCCGAAGCATCGATGTCTATGCCAGAGTCGGAAGGATGGGCGTCTTTGTTGCCATAGACGGACTCCCAGAGCGCTCTATCTCGCATATTGGCTTCCTCGATCTGTCTTCCAAGTTCCGCTTCATGCTCCTCGCGTTTCTTCTCCTCTTCCGACTTCATCATAGCTTGCTGCTTTCTCCTCTCTTTGACTACTTTCCAGAGTCTGAATTGTGAGATTAATCCCATAGCAAATATTATCATAGTCAGCGCAATCTCGACTTTGATGCCGCGTGTTACGGGGTAGGTATTAGTATTAAGAGGGAATGTGTTCGCGTTCAATTCTGGAATATCTCGTTAGCAATGGCGCAATCACTGAACAGTCAATCACTTACCCCACAGGTACAGCCAGAATTCTTTCAGTCCAGCTCGACTGAAACAGTCGATCCCAAGGACTATGGCAGTTGCACCGGCGAAGGAAGTAGCCACAACTAAGCCGTAAGGTCTCGTATAGTGACTGAACGACACAGCATATATGCCAGCAGAGAACGCCCCAATGAACGCTCCCTTTGAGCCGGAGCTGGTGAGGAGGCCACCGGATTTGAGTTCGAGGAGCCACATGCTTAAGCAAAATCCGCCCAAGAGGCAGCCAAGGCCCTCTGTGATTTCACGGAACACCAGGGCCAGTGCACCAAATATGGCGCCAGTAACGAAGATAGCGACGAAATAAGCCCCCTGAACTGCATCTCGCACTGGAGGGTTCATAACATATTCAATAAGAACCTGAGAAATAGTTAGTCATGGCTAGTATAGGTACACAGCAAATTTTAGTACCGTCACTCCTAAACTGGTCAAGAAAGCTGTCGAAAGAAATATATGGAGCCTAGTGTTTCCCATCAGTAAAAATGGCAATATCCTTCGAGTTCACATCTCACACATACCTTCTCTTCTTTACCCCAATCAGCGCATAAATGCCACCTAGTACTATGAGGACGACACCTGCGATCCCCACAGCAGGCGTGATCTTCGGCTGAAGAGGAAGGACATTAGGATCTTGTTTTGGCCCTGTTCTTCGTTATTAGAAGAATCGAGGAATTCCTTTGAGAGTGAAAGTGACCAACCGTCTACGGGGTCTGATGAGGCAGTCGGCGCAGTAGCATTTGCCGCTGTAGTGCCAGTCGGCGTTGATGAGTTTGTCGTTGCGGTATGGTTAATTGTTGATGTAGCAGCACTTGACGTAGTCGTTGCTGCTTGCGCCGAGTCCGACGAGCTGGCCGCAGCTGTACTGCTCACAGACTGGGAGCTTGTATCGCTGTCGGTTGCAGAGACAGTGGAAGAGGCCGAGGCAGAGGCAATGGACGTCGCATCTTCTGCAAGTGCGAGGAAAGCGAACGCGATGCAGCTAATGACAATGAACAGATTCCGGAAGCGCATTTTATTAGACGGAGAATTGCGCGAAAAGAGGGTATAAGGAAGCGATGCCGATGGCCATCAAGTTTATAGACAGTCAACACGATTAGCTTCCCCGAATGTCCCATGTAGGACTGAACTATGGGCGGGGGAGGCAGCAATATCAACAGAGAAAATGGCAACACTGCGAATAGGCTGTGATTAAGAATTACTGAGAAGTAACAAAGATGGGATGCCAGTGAAGAAGAGACCAGAAGCCCTTGAAAATAATTTCTAGCTTTTGCAACGATGGCCATACTCCGATAATCCATTGCGCGATAGCGGATCGGGTCTTTGGCTTTTGTTTCTTCCCGTCGCCCCCCAACGCTGGTAGCATTCCAAGCGGGCCAGAAGGATGGGGCTCCGTGACGTACATAAGCAGATCAGCCAACTGGGGATATATTCTAGATGGTCATATGCTGGATCGAACGCAACTAAACAGGCAAGGATCATACATCAAGCGCGCATGGGCACTGACCCGGGGAATCTGAGAACTTGCGGGCGAGTGGGAAGGTGGCCGAAAGTTGGATCAGATCATCAGAAGCAGAGCACTAGGCTTGCAACTAACTGGCTTCAGGGGTTGTCCAAGAGCTTAATAGAATGTGGTTTAAACTTGCGGCTGTAAAAGGCTGTCTGCCGGCCAAGCAGAGCTCTCTTGTGGCGCCTCGAGAGCATTGTGGTTGACACGATATGAGAGCAGAATCTCCTAAATGGTCAAGCAGTTCCCTTTCTCACCCACGAAGCCGCGGCATTGCTAGCAGTTCGTCCTATCATGGATGAACACCAATCAAGACGGTGGCCTCCTAATATACTATATCCAATGTGAAATTCATATAAAAGACCCTCAATTGCTCTGTCGGGAACTTTTCGACTGTGAGCACCCAGTGGTCCATAGAAGCTTGGCATGGCTTTCGGAAAGTGGATAGAAGGTTCCTGACTAGCATCGTCTATTGACTTTGGTCCCTCCCGAAGGCCCACTGCCAGATGACATGTCCGATACTTTGTAAATCCGATGCTGCGGACGGACGAGTGAACAGAACACCGCAAGATGAGATTGCACACCGATTGTGGCTAGTGCTGCAGCATTGTCAATGCTGAGAAGCCCATGTTCAGGCCGGAAATCGAACTCGCCACTTCACCTCACGGCGGCCAGACCTTGGAGAGCTAGGTTGGCTTGCAGTTTCGCCTAATAATAATCGAGGAGGTCCACTGCAGGTACAGTTAAGGTGCCGTCTGCAATTTCAAATACATCGTTAAAAAGAAGCCATCCGCATCCAATGGAGCCACTGGGAGACGCCATGTGAGAATCTAGCTTTCCACATATCCGTATTTTCGAACAGGCACCACCAATGGTACTATGTCTGCGCGCATGGCAGGAAACATATTCTGCATTGGTGTCTGCACTGCTTGGAGGTGTATGGAGCTCAGCTGTCTTTGCTGAATGCGGTGTGCAGCTCTGCCTACAGCTCCAACTTCAAGGTCAAATGTGCCGCACACGGAAATTGACAGTTCAGGATAGAGCGCCGAGGGTTCGTCGATCGTCAAGGCACTAAGATCGAAAAGCCCGACCTGAGCATCCTCCGCTGCCACCAGTGGCAGACCGCCATAGAGTCAAATTAAAACGTAAAGTCTTTTTGATTGATTATTAGTTAGCAGGTCCATTATTGTGCGAACTGCGAAGACTGCTGGATGCTAGTTCAAAGTTGAAGGCAATGCCAAAGCGGCTGAAATGGTAGACAAACTGGGATCTGAAGATGCTCCTTGCGTAGAATTAGTCTCAGATCCACGCGGTCGCCTATCGTCACGTGACAGCGCCGTCGCGTATCTATCTCCAAGATCGAGGAACACGTTAATCCACGCGCGACGACACTCATTGACCTGCGGACATTCATCACTACCGTCTTGATACCCCTCATATCCATACCATACAATGCCGGCCTTTACTCCCCTCCGTCCTTTCCTGCGGGCCCCCGCGACTACTTTCTCTGCTCGTTCTTTCAGCTCGTCTCCAGCGCGTTCCGTCGCCCGTCTGATCATCACGGGTCGTCTGGGAGCTGAGCCTGAGCTCCAGGCAACATCCACCGGACAGGATGTTGTGAAGTACGTTGTCGGCACGTCGTACGGCCCCAGGGACAACCGCCAGACCAGCTGGTTCCGCGTTTCGAGCTTCCAGCAGGAAGGTCCACAGAGGGACCATCTCCTCAGCTTGCCAAAGGGGTAAGTCATCCAGGAAGCTTCTTATTATCCATTGGAACAGCAAACACCATCACCGATCAGTAAAATATCGGCCTGCTAGTGGCATTGAAGCTCTTCCGGGAAGGATGTCAGGGACAAACGGTGCAGCAGTTGTTCGGAAAATTTGTCTACTTGGCTCCAATCATCTACATACGCTATTGGATACAGAATGGGAAAGAACTGACTTTGACCTTCCAACAGTACCCTAGTCTACGTCGAAGGTGACGCTAGCATCCGTACCTATGAGGATGCCGAAGGCAAGAAGCAATCCAGCCTGAGCGTTGTGCAAAGTATGTCTCGATCTGATACCGAGCTTGTTTATTCCGGCCCGAGGGGCCCCATGTTTCTCTTATCGCAGTCTGCTAATATCTCTGCAATTCCAGGGACTCTCGAAGTTCTCAAGCGCCCCAGCTCTGAGTCCTCCTTCCCGTCCGAAGAGACTCAATAAATTGCCTTGAATACTATAGGCACGGGCGTCCTTGCTATGTATACCCAATTGAATACATTTCTTTTTTGTCCCATTCCAGGACCTACCGGTTCTGATACGGAGGATTTCTGGCAGGATTGAATTCTCTACTCCTTGTATTTTTTTTTTTCCCTTTATCTGATTCCAGAACGAATGAGTGTAATGTGTGGATGAGAATGTATTATTTCTATGTTGATCTTGAATATATCGCATTGCTACGTAAATTGCCGTGTTACAGCCCTAGCCATAACGTGCATCACATGCTAGACTAGAAGACTCATGGAAGAAGAATGAAGGAACACCAAGTCCAACTGGCCGAGATTCCAACCTACTATGTAACAGCTGTTGACACAATGCTTATTTTTCCATTATCCTATCACAAAGATCTACAGCCAACATATTAGCGCTGGGGCCGTGTTCCGATCTTCCATCGTATCTGATCTGAAAGCATTTACATGGAATGTGATACTTGAAACTTCGGGTTAAACTTTTCTTTGTAGCAACCGATACACATGCTGGAGAGACATGGATGATAGCTGCCGGGGCAAGACAAGAAGCACAATGGCACCTGCGGCGAAACAACGCATACTTCCACCTCATGTTGACGTCTAAAATTCATAGTAGCAAGCAATTTGAAACACTCCCTTGGAATTCCTGGCTTATCTTGCCTGAGAACCCTGAGATAATTCTTCTGATCATGGCTCATAAGACACGATCTCATCACCACAATACGGGCAAATTGACACCTTGGCCTGGCGAATGACGTGCTTGACCTTGATGCCCGACTCTGTGTTCGGCGACGGAGCGGCATCTGAATGAATATCACCCGCCTCGCGTGGGCTATGACCTGCCCAAGCACTGGTAGAGACTGTATTCTTTGGAGACTCAAGATTGTTGTTATTATTAGCAGGTGCAGCAGGGGTATTACCTCTTCCGGTGCGGAAGAGAGTGCTGACCAGCAGATGCTTGAGTCTACTACACAAGGACGCTTTATTGGCCATGTTCCTTTCCTCGGAGTAGACGCAGGGTCCTTTCTCCAGATCGGCAGTAGTAGAGGTGGCGGGAGGATCATTGGAAACAGAGTCAGTTCTCGACGAACTTCTACAATTGAGTTAGTAAGAAAACAGGTTCTGCTGGGGAAGAATTCGGAGCTGACCTTGTCGTGTTGGACTGGAGACTCCAGGTAAACATTTTACCTAGTTTACTCATCCGACTAGAAGAAGAGCCCAAACTTTTGGCGGAGTAGATATCGGACTGTGACTTCACAGGGAGCCAATGGTCAACTCCGAGCTTGGTGAGAATCGAACGGTACATCGAAGTCGCATCTTTTCCGAAACCGAAGAAGACGAATAGAACAAGTGTTCCGCCAATGGGTATCCAGCGATCGAAGAAGCTCTGGCCATGGGTCGCAACCTTGATAATCGTATTCCAGCCGGGACCATGAAGTCTAGAAAAGGAGTAGTCGTGCCATGGTAGTGAGAGTTGAATATCCACATAGAGGACGTAAGCCTGAGTGGGAAGAATCGCCAATAGCATCACAGATGCCATGCAGAACAGCCGCAAGAATCTCGTTTTGTTCATACTACTTCCACTTCCACGAGAACCGCTAAGGATCGCGCCGAACTCTCTGTTGTACTTGATGATACGATACATCACGAGGCCTAGGGAGTAGTCAGCATCTTGCAGGAAGTATTAACAAACGATAGGACGCTCTTACAGCAGTAGTAAGCCGCAATCATGCAAATCACCGTTGGCCACAGGTAAGATAAAACCAGGGTAACCCAGCTTTCGTCGAAGTTATTCACACATCCTGAAATTGTGTAGAGCATGTAACGGGTTTTCTGGACAAAGAAGTGCGTGATCATGGCTAGGATAGGGATAACCAAGCAAAATGATATCTCAATGGCGAGTTTCTTGCGACGCTGACTGCGCGAAGGGACGAGAACTGTACGCTCCGTATCCAGGACTTCTGCAAGGTGGCGGAAGATACACAGCAAAGCTCCAGGTAGACCGACATAGCTTGCCACCATCAGCTTGACTTCGACATCGCAGAGCCCGACACCGCTCCACCAGGAGTCGACATCATCTGTAGGCCAGATGAAGGCGTTCACGATGTTGAATACATTGTTGACCAGAAACCAACCGACAAGGCACACGGCAGGGAAGTTGGAATTCCTCAAATGCCACATCAACGGAGTAATGCTCAGTATGATTGACAGGAGCGACAAGAGTGGGATAATAATGGCCTCGGGAGCACGTTCATACTCGCTGTCAGCCATGACGAAATATTATCCCTCTGTGGTTTCCCAGATAGTTGCTTGAATCCGAAGCACGTCCAATCTGGTCGAGGACTTCCTATTGTATGAAGCTTGCAGGTTTGTCTTTTGAGGATAGTCTTGAACTTGCTCCAATTTAGGATAGCTATCCCTGACTGAAAGTCCGGAGTACACAAAGATTCAATTCAAGAATGATGTGATCAACATGAAGGGAAATAACTGCACGCTTGTATGAGGATGTTGAGATTGAAGCCAGAAGGATAGAGATCTAAGGCTGAGCTCTATACCCGTGGAATCGAGACTGAAGACGAAGAAGGAGTAAGGACTCGCATTGTGCAGTGTATGTATCATGATATCTACAGAAAGATTCATATCAATAACAGCTTATCCAATTAGCAAGCCTCAATAAGTTTAGAATAAGAGACAGTGAAGGAAGTCCTTTTGAGAGCGCTTTTGGCGTTGAGGACACCATGCCTATTTCGGTACTCAATAAGCAGTTCGACTATAAAATCTGAACTTATTGAGGAATGGCATCACAGATGGAGGGTATCCTTGACTGCCCAGAATCAAGATTTAGGAAATTCACAATAGCCCGACCTACTAGGTTTCCCGTTCAGGGTAACACAACATGTCTGAGTAGAAATTATTGCTTGATCCAAGCATCAGCAATAGTTAAAGGAAGTTAGAAAAGAATAGTTACATGGTTAAGAACCGGCGGGGAAACAGGATTAACTAACAGGCGCGGAATCCGGGGTTGATTCGCGCATGCCGTCATCCACTGCAACCATAATAATAACATAACATAACTCGCATCTTCGCAAACTTGCCGTCCTTCCTTTCACCCCTGCCGTTCCTGATCCATGTCCTAACGGCCCTTTTTGGTGCTTCTCTGCTCGAGGAATACAATGTGTCTTCCAAGTGGTTAGTTCAAACTCATCCCCCCTATGCTATTGTCGATCAAAGAGCGCTTTCTCTGATGGTATACTGTACATTCGCATAGCGGCTGCTCCACGTCATGCCTGATCACTCCGAGCTTCCAGCTTCCCAGCACGCCTCCTTCAACAGTGGCGCCCACGTGAACGCTTCAAATGCTCCCTACCTTCGTCGGGGCTCTTCGCGTGCAGGGATGTCGACGGAGTTTTCATCAAATATGCAGAGAGTCCGGCGCAATTCAGTCCTGTCGGACTCGGTGTCCGAGGCGCGACACTCCCTCCGATCATCCACCGATGGCCTGCTTTTCCCACGAGCAAGCAAAGATCAAATAGTAGATGTGCGGGAAGAAGAGTCGCATTGGCACTCCGCACCTCTTGCGCTGGCGCTGCTGCCTGCAATTGGAGGCATTTTCTTCAAAAATGGCAGCGCTGTTATTACAGATGTGACGTTGCTCGGGTTGGCAGCTATATTTCTGAATTGGTCCGTCAGACTGCCATGGTAAGAAACAGACATTGATCGCTTAGAAAGAACAGGCGACTGATTCCGGTATTTAGGGACTGGTACAGGTCGGCGCAAGCGATTAGACAACGAACATCCGTGGATTTTGGGGCGCAGGAGTTGATGGAGGAGCCTACCAGCATCGACGAAGCCGATGAAGCGTCATCTTCGAAGCCTGGGGACCGAGTCCACTCTTCGCCAAAATCTGATCCGAGACTACAACAGTCAGCTGCAGTTGACACCGCAAATAAGGAGCTCCGCATTCACGAACTGGCAGCTCTGGCATCCTGCTTCATCTTCCCTGTGGTAGGAACCTGGCTCTTGCACGCTATCCGATCGAAGCTATCACGGCCATCTGAGGGACTCGTGTCCAATTACAATCTGACAATATTCTTGCTGGCATCTGAGATTCGGCCGGTCTCCCATCTTCTCAAGATGGTTCAGGCCCGGACTCTCTACCTTCAACGCACTGTCGCATCTTCCCCGTTTGAAGATGACAAGGTCGACGCGAACAAAGTCATTGACATGGCAAAGAGACTGGAAGAATTAGAAGCGTATGTCGCAAACAATGCGGCCGAGCGGCTGCCCGATTCTGGCAAAGCTCCTGAGTCTGCTTCTGCCTCGGAGACGCCGCAACAGGTCGTCACGCAATTGACGTCTGATGTCCGCAAAGAGCTTCAACCCGAATTAGATGCTTTGAATCGTGCAATGAGGCGCTATGAGAAGCGCACAACCCTGACAGCCTTCCAGACAGAGTCCGAGATACAGAGACTCGAGACTCGGGTGCAGGATGCCATCGCTCTGGCAGCCGCAGCGCAGCGCTCTACGGCTGGGAGTCATCAGCGTTATGCTCTTATCCTGCTAGACTGGATCTGCGCCATTGTTGTGCTGCCAGTCCAAGCCATATGGACTTTGGCCAGCATGCCCGGCCACATCGCAACGTGGGGATTGTCTCATGTGAAGTCAATTCTAGGTCTGAATCGGCAGCGAGTGAAGACTGGCAAACCAAGGTACTCCCAGGGCCAGAGAGGGGTACCATCTTCTAAGTTACAGCAGAAAACGGTGCCCTTAACGCAGCTGCCAGGCGGCAGAGGTCCCAAGAAGGCGATATAGAGATACACTTCCAATATCCATTCATCACCTTTGGTCCTTTCTACCTTTTCTTGGAAATAGCACTCCCAAGTATTCCTATAGGTCAGAACATTTCATTGTAATAGCTTCATTCGCTCGTCCTCTTACGTTATTTCACTGCTACGTATCGCTCCACTATAATCCTTTATATATATCATTCGTCAGATTGTATCTTGTACATGGTCGGAGCTTCTCGGTTGTGATTCGAACCATGCTGTGTTGGGTCATGGGTCGCTGGATTTGTTTAGGATATAGCGATATTCATATTATCTCATGTGTACATATATCCAGGGCCTAGATGCATTTCACATACTGAATACTCGTCCACTTCAATTTCGCAAAGCTACTAGACAAACTTTCCCACCCTCCCCATTCTCAGTTACGAACCAAATGATCAGGAATTAGTAACTTCAAATCAAAATCCTCCTCCGGCTGAGTTGTACCATCACCGGCAATAGCAGGCTGCGAGAGAAGACCATTGCGGGGCTGTTAACTAAGATGTTCTAATCTGACTATGTATGTACTTGAGTTGTTATTTCTGATTGGAAAAAAGTGGAAATATACAAGAATCGCAGATATAGATGATTTATTTATTCAAGGCCATTTGAATCTGGTGCTAATCTACAAAGGGGCATTACTTGAACCCACCTGCATCTGGATATGAATGGAGGGTTTGGAGAAATGAACAATTAACAATTTCAATTCGCAGGACCGTCACGACCTAGTTTATTAAGGCGTAATAGACGGTTAGAATGCAAGGAAGTCATTGCCTGTAATTTGATTCAGGAATGGCTTTCCCCAAGCAGATAAGCTGCTGAGATGTATACATAGTATATAGGGCGGAGTATGACTGTACAATGACAGCTCTAATCGTGGACAAAGGACGGGTATATGGGAAAGTTGGTAGTATCCGCTGTTCTCGATAGAAAGGGGGAAAAAAGAGAGGAGTAAGTTGATGACCGGTCATTGCCAGCAACGACGCCCCTAAGTTGCACCACCGGATGGTCCGCAATCATCCACTGCTACTGCTTTCAAGAACGGCTCTATGATGTTCCTTTTTCGCTCTTCCAATGCTCGTCTCTCCTTTTCCTTGTGTGGAACATGCACATCAGGAGCGATTATGATGTCAGCAAACAATGATGCGAAGGCCTTTTCCACTGCCTGCCGTCGCTGAAGATCCGTCCTGCCTTGGTCTTCGGACGATGTAGACGTCGTCAGGGTCCGGGCTCGCTGCCTCAAACTGGCGGCCGACATAAAAGACGCTGTTGTAGTCGGCGAAGTAAGCGGAGGGACTGACGCTGATGGCAGATCAGCTGCGAACCCCGGATCCGAGATCTCGGACGTCATTGGAGACTTCGTTGCAGCTGCAGGAGGACGCGTCGGAATAGCTGAGACTGGCACAATCTCGTTTGCGATTCGGAGAAGCATAAAGGTGATGAAAGTAAATGATACACTGTGGACGGGGGAAGAGGAGAGACCTTCCAAGACCCATGCTTGTGCTTCTTCCGTGGATTGAAGTGGCATCTGGGCCTTCTCCCGTGACAACATTCGCTGAGACATGTCTGTGAAAAGATCTTTCGTGATAATCCGCCCATCTAGGGAGCGGATGAAAGCAACGAGAGTTTCGGACAAGATCTCCAGGCGATGCAGAGATAGCACTTCGGGCGGGAATACGTCGTTCAGAGACCCATTCGTGTCCAGAGCTTCGCGAACCGCAGCAAGAAACGGTTCTCGCTGGGTCTCATCCCTCATAGTCCATGTCTCAGGCTCAAAGGGCCAGGCAGATACACCATTAGGCCCGAAAGTCCAAGGCGGAGGCGACTCCCCTTCGGCGGGCCCTTTCATCATGCTCCATTCAGCAACAGCACGTACTGTCAGATCAGATATGGCCTCAGTAAGCCGGAAGATCTCTCGAGGCGCCGATAAGCGAGCTTTCCCCTCAAATTTCAACTGATCGGGAGGGGTGTGTATGAGGCTACGGGCCCCGCCTTCTGGCATGTATATAAGTTCTTCTAATGAACGCCCAAAACACGTCGGCAGCCACCGGGCATTAACTGGAATAAAATGGTCCCTGCCCGAGATTACCCTGAGGACTAAGACGTCCTCTAACTTATGATGGCCGGAATTGAGCAATCGGACCTGTGTAATATCCTTGACGATGGCTATGAGATCAATGTTTGCAGTATCACCTGGAGACAGTGTATATTCGTCCGGACTCTGATTCTTCTTACTATCGTGTTTCTTCTCGTGGGAAGGCCAATGGACACGAATCTCCACCCAATGAGGGGCTATACCAGTGGTCTCCTTGCTACCACCGGCTCTCTCAGCAAAAGTGAAGGTGGCAGGGACACTGCTGGTATTGGCAACGGTGAGACTTCGCGTAACGTGGACACCATAAGGGACATCGCCAAACTCAACAGCGTTGGGATCCTTCGTCGCAGTGTCATCTCCCTCTCCATCCTGGAGATCAGTTTGATGGTCTACCACGACAGTCACAGAAGGGCGCGCTTCATTCTCAGCCTTGTCCAGCTCTCGAGCAACCTCTTGGTACACCATAGTCTTAAGTTCCGGGATGACAGAATTATAAGTCAGGGTGAAGAGAGCATCCAGTGGTTTGTGGTCCGAGGAGAGGATACCCTGATGTGAGAGATAATGGTCGAGTCTGACCGGATCGTCGTAAGCCACGCGGCTTTCCGACGGAGTTGGATCGCCAGCAGCGTCTTCAGTTTCGTCGTATTCTTCAAATTCATTCACGCCGTCGACATCAGGGTCGTATTCGAACAGGACGTTATCATCTTCTACTGCCTTGTCCAGGCCGCGCGCCTTCATCTCGTCGTCCTTCTTCTTCGCATCCTTGGCCTCCTGGACTCGTCGCTCATACCTGCGTTTGTCATGCCATGTTCGATAGAGGATCCGATCGCACCAACTCGGGCCTCTCTGCTTCTCGCTCGAATCGAACATTGCAACGCTACCAATATCGTATTTGTAGGTTGGAAGGAAATTGATCTCACCTTCCTTCCAGCCTTCGTGGAATGCTTTCTCTTGAGATTGTTGTGCAATGAGTTGATCGTGAGGTAGTAGAGACGACAGGGTCATGCGAAGATTTTCTGGGTTGGAATTTGGTTCGATGTCTTTGTCAACCAGCGCTACCGGTGCAGAATCGACTACAAGACGAGTTGAACCCGCAGATGAATCATCATCTTCTTCCCCAACGACATGCGGAGATTGGGGATCAGTGTCAGTGTCGCTATCCCCGATGGATTTGCGCTCTGACTCGTGCGTCGCATCATATGTGTTTGGTGTATGCAGCGACAAGAGCCGCCGGACATCCTCCCCCGGTATATCATCCAGACGATAATTGAGATCTCCAAACCAGAACGCAAAATCTTCCTTGCCAATGCTATCGCTTGGCTCTCCCAAGATGTCATCTTCAGGATCCAACGGGGCAAACTTGGCGCGTGCCACAATCTGGCTAGCATCCCAATTGCGGCGTTCTAGACTTGCTTTATCCGAACCTGCAGCCAGATGGCAATTGACGAACACCAAACGAGCCGTCTCGCCGAGCACAATACGGGCAGCAACAGCGCCCTTGTTCCCCATGTAGCCCATTAGACCGGTCCCCACACTCGTGGTGCTAACCGATGATATACTCCCTACAACAGCTGGAGAAGCGTATATGAGTATCAAGAGGCCGACCAATTGCTGCTCCGCAACCAGTTCGTAGCCCGCAGGCAGGGCCTTCTTCATGGCCTCTTTCCATCGAGTAGATGGCCCGGGGTCAACAAAGGGTCTCAATGCTTCCGAGGGCGACGAGACATCCACAATCTCCTGCAGACCAAGAGCGTAAATACCTACGTCTTCCGGCCTGACGGAGGAGTCGTCTTTTCCATCATCACTGCCACCACTTGAGTGACCACTTTCCTCGGACTGTGACCTTTCGTGACTTTGTTGCCCTTGCTCTTTTGCAAGCTTTGCGGTAGATAGCCTTTCGCAGACTCCTTTGCCATGTACGAACCACTCCCCAACATCCTTCTCTGTTCCCGCAATAGCAGCCACATTCCAAGTTCCGATCTTGATGCGAATGGACCGCTGGCGCGTATACTCCGCTCTTCTTGACTTCACTGCCTGAGAAAGAGACCGCGGGTCCGAGGCAACAATGCCGTGCTGGTGACTTTCGTCACTATCAGAGGGATAGTGTCCGGGGGCATCGCGAGCTTGAGGAGATGGCGTCGCAGAGTGTTCTTCGCTACCTGCCATCTTTCAGATGAGCTGTTTCAGTAGGTTGTTAATGGATCAGCAACATATACTGCCGCTGTGCATCGCTTCAATTCCCTCCGTTGTATATCGTTAAGAGTTCCCCGCGGGTAATGACGGGAGAGTGTCCAGACCTCTCAGGAACGACCAGTTCAGCAAAGAGAGGAGCGTAGTTTGAAGCAGATTCACGCCATCACGGGGCACGTTCGAACTCTGAACGGGCGGTCTGGACAGCCTCAAGCAGGAAGCACAAGTACTTCCATCACGAGGCCAGACAACGACGGTTTGGTATAGATCGCGTGGGCGGAGGGAGGAATGCACGAAGGTTGGAACGGGAGGCGCCAGAAACAGGAGCACAAAATCCACGGGGACGACCGTCTATCTAAGCAACGCGACAAAGTCAGAGATGGCGGGTGGCTGAAGGCAAACGGACGACGTTAGGACTTCATCAAGCCGTGGGTGAGCGCGAGGCCCTTCGAGACCGGCTTTGGCTTAGCCGGCGCTCTTGGGGGCGTCGATCCTCGGAGCTTCAACAGCTTCACAGCTTACGGGTAGGTGAACTTATCATTACTTGCCAACTCAACTCAACCAACTAGCTGCACACACAGCCAGGAAAGCGAACCACAACCGTCACAGAGTGAACTGCAATCGCTTCTCTATCTGAGATCCGACTCTACAGGTCTCTCTCTCTCTCTCTCTCTCTCTGCCCTTCACAATGACTCCGCGTAAAGCCCGCGAACGTCGTCCCAATCAGCACAATAACCACAGCCACCACCACCCCCTCCAGCAGTCTGCCACCATCCAGGCTTCTGACTATGAATCTGACAACGCCTATTACTGCTCCGATAACCAGCAACAACAAGTGCAGCCCATGTCGCTGCCTCCCACGCGCTCCAATGAGGAGCTCAACCTGTCTGTCCTCCGCCGGCACGACCCCGCCATCAGCTCGATTCTTTCCCTCGCGCCCTACGCGGTCGTCTACATCTTCAGCCCGTCCACACGACAGTGGGAGAAGAGCGGAATCGAAGGCAGCATGTTCGTCTGCCAGTTGACTCAGGGCGATATCGGCGAGGAACGCTACAGCGTCTTCGTGCTGAACCGACGAGGACTGAACAATTTCGACGTCGACCTCACAGACGGCGAGAACGTCGAAATCACAGACGAATACGTCATTTTGAAAACCGACGAGACAGATGAGAATGGTGGCGGCGGGAATGAATCCCGTATCTACGGTCTCTGGATCTACTCTGAACCGCCGCCCAACTCGACCGCGGAGACGCGGACATTGAACGCTCAGGTCATTAAAGAATGTGCTGTCCACGCGGGGCAGAGTTTGAAGCTCGCACACGAGCGACTCGAGATCGAGCGGCAAAACGATATTCATGCCGTTGCTGAGCAAGAGGGCGTATATTCGAGCGTCCCTATGGACCGACAGGTGTCACTCAAGGATCTCTTTGGCCAGCAGAGAGCTCAGGATGACGGCTGGACTGTTAGGATGCATAGTCCAGGACATGCAGAACCGCCGCAGGGACAGTTCTGGCCGCAACAAATGCAGGTGCCGATGCAGCCAGCACCGACGGGGGATGTACTCGGGGATTTGTTCCGAAGAGCTGGAGTGGCGTATCAGACGGGGCAGCGGACATCATAGCTTCACATCATATCTCCCGCATGCTTTAGTCTTGGCTTCATCTTTTTTTGTCTTATCCCTTTTTCATATAAAAGAAGAGGACTAACTAGTATTGGGGAACCGGCTTGTAACTTTAGATACCCACTGAAGATGCTCACGAATGAATGAACGAATGAAAAAGATGAAATGCTTTGTTATCGTAGATCTATATATATACAATATAATGCCATATATTGGCAGCATTCCATGTTCCATATCTCCAAAGTACTCATTCGAGCACAATATCTTTAATAAACCGCGCAACCTTACGCGCCATAATAGGACTATGCCCTACATATAAACATACGTCAGCCCAACCTTCTAGCAACCCCCACAACAAAGAAAGAGAAGAACCATGGGCCCAAAACTCACGAATACAAAAAGCATGCGGTATGCTATCCTCGCAGACAATCATGGTCGGACCATCCTTGCTACTACTACCCCCCCTCGACTCGATAATCTCATCGCGGGTACGCTCTGCAACCCAGTGATCGTTACGACCGAAGTAGAAGACGAGTCTGGATGGTGGCTTTCCTGCTCTGGAGGTGCCCCAGATGTCGTCGCTCCATTTGTCGCTTGTGATAGTGCGCATTTCGTCGGCGGCCATGTGTCTGGTTTTGATTAGTTCTTTTTCTCGCTTTGTTCGTGTGCTTTGACAGAAAAGAAGAAGATAAGGGTAGGAAGGAGTAAAACATCGTTGAATGGGAACGAGTACTGGAATCAATAAAGAAGATCACACATACAAAGCCTGTCTAACTCCACGCTCACTCTTGAGAAAGCTCAAGGTAGACTCAACGGCACTCGAAGGCGGATTGCCCATGACCAGTCGAACCAAAGAGCGAAGAACCCAGTCAGGGAAAACAAAGGCGAGGACCTTGACGACCAGACTGGCGACTAGGGCGAGCTGAGGGATGAAATAGAGGAGCCACTGGGTGAAGATTCATAGATTAGTACAGCACATGTTATGATTTATCTCCATAGTAACAATATACAAAGCGGGTGTATATACATACCGTCAACCTCTTTCCAGCAGCGGACTTTGCAATATCAATCACTGTCGGAAATAGCAGGACTGCGCCGACGATATCGAAGGGTCCTTCTTCTTCTGCTGCTTCACCGTCACCCATCTTCTCTTCCTCCCGATGTCTCCTCAGGATCTCCATAGCGATATATGCACCGACCGAGTGACCGATCAGAATCACTTTCTGCTTATTCGACTTCTGTATAGCAGCAGTGGTGCTCCTCGTTGCCCTCCTAGGGTTCATGGGCTCGGGCTCAGAAGAGGCTGAATCTCTCATGAGAGCGTGGAGCTTCTTCTCGACGAAATCGATCTGTTCTTCGAGACTATATAAACGTCCCGGAATGAGAGTAGACGGGTCGTTGTTCCCTTTCTTTCCCTTTTTATCTTCTTCTTTCTTGTCCCCAACATCAAATCCTCCTAAACTGGCTCCATAGATTCGGAATCCGGACGAAAGATCATCGTTCTCTTGTGCGTCTTCTGCTGCCAGCTTCTCCGAAACAAGAGATAGGAAATCATGATAATAAGAAATCAAGCCCGGATTTCCCGAAATGAAGAAAACAGTCGTCGGTACATCTGTCTTTGATGATGACGAGGTGCTGCTGCTCTTCGTTGAGCTGAGGAATAGATTGGGTGTGATCTGCGTTGTCATTGTGTTGTTTTGATCGATATGATATCAATGGGGAGAAAGGAAACAGGACTAGTATCAAATATTAAATGGGAAACAAATCATACAACTAGCTCTTGTCTATGTATAGGGGAAAGCCAATGGGGATACCTATCTTATCGGTTAGATGTACACCCAGGCGGACTGGAGGGAAGAGCGAGATGTTGTTGGATGGCAAAAGCTCAATGCGCTGGCTGAGAGTTCATATTGCAGACAGAAACGTTTATTGTACAAATTGGGCGTTTTTCTCTGCAGGGCATCTATATGCAAGAGACGAAAGGTAACAGTAGTAATCGTTCCTCGGTAGGTTTCTTTTGGACCGAAGTCACGCGCGAGACCGGCATCCGGGCAGCTCCACTCAGGCGGAATGACCGAACTCGACCTGGTTATGTCCTGTAGACTCAGGCTATGATTCTACTACTCATGGTGTTACGACGCAGGAAACAGTTACTGGGACCCGTGAGTCGCTACGGGAAAGGGCACAGTCTCAAGAATATCAAACACCCCGACTTTGATTCATCATATGCAGAGTTTTAATGCGTCCCATCACGTAAGTCACTCCGACTCCCTTCCCAACCAGCTCCCCAAACCCCATGGAAAACGAGAATGCGACGACCACGACGGAGACGACAGGCCACAGCCCGACCCAGTCAGCAACACCAGTATCTTACCAGCAGTAGCATCAAGACTCCCGCCGTAAGCCCTACGGCCCCTTATGTACGCCAGATTCCAGCCGATTTCCGACCATCCTCAAGCGGGATCACAATTAGATCCCAACCATGGAGGGTGGACGGAGAAATGTAAACCAGTAAAAGAGACCGAGGACTTTCAGAATAAAATAACAATCGAGAAGAAAAGGCACAGGCATGGCATGGCAAAAGAGGCTGGTAGGAGCCAGACGCTCGACAGCGGACCAAGGGCAATAGTCTAAGAAACGATAGGGCTAAGACAACAAGGCACTCAAAATCACAACCCCAATGATGAATGTACAACGGGAAGCAGGCATCGGTGGCAGCTGGGCTCAAAGGGTAAAAGCAACGAACACAAGCATAACGCCCGAAGCCGTCACCACGCGCCATCTGGTATCTTAGGATGAGCAGGAGTAAAGCAAGACAGAAACTTGAAGTTCTCGCAACACCGGAAACAATATATTAAGGGTGTTGTTTCAGACAGGGAGGCAGCCAACAGAGTAGGTATTAGTTTACCAGGCCTTATCAGCCGGTAACCACACGCCGGCCTTCAGTAGTGTTTTCCTTTCCCTGTGTATCGCCTGCTTCGGCTTGGTCCTTGTCCGGCGTAGACGCTTTATTCCGCGATTGGCCGAGATTGATGGCTATCTTTCTGGGCGCCGTGTTGCTTATAGATTGCTCGTTGGACGATACTCCTCTATCCTCGACCGTGATCGATCCAGTCGAAAAGCTCTTCCTTCGCCGCAAAAATCCGGAGCTGCCAATTGATGACGCACTTGAGCTGCGTCGCTTTGGACCAGATGATAGCTTGACCAGTTCGTCGTCTTCTTCATCTTGGCGACGACGCTTCTCCGAGATCCTCTCAGGTGGAGTCTGGGGAGGAGTTGAAACGGGGGTCACAGGAGCTTCGGACGAAGCCGCTAACTCCTTAGAGGCCGCTGTCGTCGGCGCCTGTTTCTCTTCGCTTGGTTCTGTTTTCGTGTCCATAACTTCATCATCGTCATCGGGATAGTCGACAAGGGGCTTCACAATAGGCGAGGCGGAGCCATTCGCAGGCTGGCCGGCGACAATAGCTCCTGGCTGATTCTCCTGTTGCCACTGAAAAGTTAGCCCATTTCCTTCAGAAACCACAGAGCCGTATGCATTATAGGGATATCCTACTTCTTCCTCGTCGTCTGAAGTATTGAAGTATGCCTCCTCTGCAGCGTCCATCTCCCGGACGCCCTGCCAGCGTTGGCCATTGATCTGACTGCGCTGGGATGATGTCCCCTCATCATGACTGAATAACGAGGAATCACCCTCTGCGCCGTAGCCTTGCATCTGTTCGTAGCGGACTATAAGGTTCTGGAACGTGTCCACATAGGTGATGTTGTTGAGTTTGTCTCGGTATTTCTCAACGACGTGAAGAATAATAGGCTTGATGTTTTCTCTCTTGACGTATTCGAACAGTTCCAAGCAGGCGGAATTCAGAAGATTATCACGGGGCATCGTTTCATAGACGATATTTAGGATTAATCCAAAGGTGTTGTTATGGGTCATTTGCGCCTGATAGAAGGTGTCTTGGAGGCTGACCAAGGTACGGAAGAATTTGAGGGCAGCTTCACCCACGTTAGTCATGTTCCCTCGAGTACAGAACATTGGATCAACTTACTCAGTTTGAGGTGCTTCTGCGGCACAGTCAAGAGCTGTGCAACGCGGGGAGACAGGGCTTCTTCATGGATGAAATTTCTGCTCCGGAATAGATGCTGGCGAACGAAGAAAGTGAGGATATCAACAAGATGCGAATAAAGTGAGACTTCTTGGAACGTGAGGTCGTTAACTGTATTGCAACCTTGTCAGTCAATTATATCCCCTGCTAGCTTTCTGAGAACAAATCAAACATACAGTTGGTGCGAGTTTCAAGCCGCTTCAAAGGCGAAAACAACTTCTTAGCAGATTCGTCAAAATAATTTTGCACAAAGGCGTCTGGAATCGGATTTGAAGGACGCAGCTTCGCTAGGAAATCAGAGCCTGTCCTGCTCATCGGGTCCTGAGGAGGAATCTGAGGGTCAAGCAGAACCTTGATAGCATCTGCTAGCTGGTTTTTGACGCCGAGATCCGTCTCCATATGAAGCAGTTCGATCAAGGTATCCGTGAGTGGCGTCTTCTTCTCGTTCACAGCCTTCAACATGTAACCACGCATCATAATCGGATCGTGATCAAGCAGCGCTACCAGGATATCAATCCCAGTCGTGCGCATCGCGGGATTCGGGTGCTTCACTGCGAAAGCGATGACCGCGAACAATCCATGACTTATGAAGTTGGCGAAGAGTGTCGCACGCGCCGCCGCCTGCAAGTTCTTCGCAATTGAGGCACATTGATGCAGGAATTGCACGGCATCGTCTTTCCGTTTCGCATCACTGTTTCGCGGATCGAACACCGAGAAGAGTTCTTTGAGAAAGAGTCCGTTGGACTGAATATGATTCACAATGTCGACTTGGTTGAAGAAAATCAGAGAGTTTAGAACGGAAAATGTCGGATCGTCCAATATCCGAGCCAACACGACATCTTTCAAATATTGCAATCGCCATGTATGTCGGATCTTCCTTCGGATGGCGGGATCTTTGATCGGAACCACTTCTCTGAACCGGGACTGGTCTGACAGATATTGCCGGTGATTTGCTTTGTGAGCGGGGAAATCAGGGTCGTCTATGGCCATCAGCAGTCAGAAACAAAGTGTGGTCGTAGACGAGTATGCCAACTTACACTCCAGGGCCCCGACCACCCCCAAGATGATATCGTCCGCCACGACTGTCTCGATTATGGTGTTGTCGTTCAGCAAGATCAGAGCTTTCATGATATTGCATAGCCGATGAAGATCTATGAGACTCTCCAAGTCCTCTGCGACGGTCACCAGGGGTACCAGCTTCGGAACGTAGTCGTCACGGATGATGAATTTGGATAAGGCGTCCCGGCCAGCTTGCGAGACACTGGCTACTCTCATCATATGTTCGATTTCTGGAAGATTTCCCAGTTCAGGCGGCGGAAGCATGGTCGGGTTGAAGTGATCTAGAGCATCGTCGGACAGGGCATCATCTGAGACGGGCGTTCCAATATCAGTCTCCCAAAAGCAGATCCTCTAAGGGTAGCATTATAGCATTTAAACCAGAGCTAGATACTGACCTGCTCCTGCTATGGCCAGAAGATGATGCTGCACGCTATTCACGAAATCCCTTCACGGAAACATAGACGGTCAGTGTATGTCTCAACACGTAACGCGGGTGACCCAAGAGCCTCACCAGATGGCTGCGCAACCTTCTGCCTCCTGAAAACTCAATGCCATATCAGTGCCATTGGGCTCCGTCCACACGATCAGAGTTTCTGTTGTCATCACAAAGAAATCAGCGATCCACTGCCGCGATAGTCTCAACCCCATCCCAACGACGGACCTTGTTGCTTCTGATACGAATCATCTTTGGTGATCCTGGTCTCCAGGAGCATCCGCTCCGGCTGGTCTTCCGACTCGACGAATATCCGGGGTTCATCCTGCCAGAGAGATGGTGGTTAGCAGAGGGCTGGCGATGAGGCTGATGGACGGCGCGAAACGCCCGTCGCAGGATCCCGCAACCTGGCGCCAAAGCGCAAAGAGGCCAGCTGCGCGTTCATCACGATCGCATCGAGACTTACATCGAGAATCTGGCCGGTACAGAAACCGGTTCCCCTGTCGAACCAGTCATTATCTCTGAGCTCGTATACCTTGACCCGCTTCCGATCGTTGGGCGGCGCGACGGCCAGAGCCATTGTACGGGGAAAGGGAGAGGCGGTCTCGTCACTCCGGGACACCTCTTCGCGAGTGTACCGGCGCGAGGAGAGCCGCAACGCAGCCGAAAGAATCCAGGATTCTTCAAAAGAAGCTTCCTTTTTTTGTGTATTTTTTCTTCTTCGATATGCGCACGGGCAGGCAGAGGGGCGCGGCAGGTATGAGTCGGGAAGATGATGATCCTGGCGTCGGTCCGGCCACCTGACGCCTCGGCAGTCGACGCTGTTTAGCTAGTTCCTAGACGCGCAGAAATTTGACGAGGTACACGCGACCGGGAGAGCCAGCGATTCGTTTAACTAGCCACACGCGGGGAAGAAGATTTGGGGGAGGCAACACGATCGGACTGGGGTTGAAGAACACCACCACCGAAAGTACGATGGGAAAAGATCGCGGCAGGATGGAAGATTCGCACAGAGTCCCGATCAGGACGAGACCAAACGAGACGAGACGCAGCAGTTTTTTTCTTTGGCGGCACATGAGGCTGAGATGACGTGCATCCACAGAGGTTCGTTGGGCTCTACTCTATGGGGCTTAGAGTCGAGGCTTTCGTGCTTGAGCTTACCTGGTCTCTGTCTTTAGTTAGTTAGTTAGCGAAAAAAGGGGGCGTCTTCCAGCTCTGGTTCGGTCTGGAGCTGCCGTGGACGATCTGAAAGCTAGATGTCCCAAAGTCTACCGCCGCAGGTACCACCACGCTTGTTCATCAGATAATCGTCATGTTCGTCGTGCTCTGGATACTGCCAGATGACTTTGATGTCCTCATTAAACCACTACTACTACTAGTCTGTGGTACAGTACAGCCACTACTACGGGCTGATTCCATCCGATTCTCGCTGCCATGTCGATCTATGAGCTTGCAGACTGCTCTTCCCTTCAAGATGACGGTGCCTACATCATCCGAGATCGATTACACTGGCGAAATATAAGACCCATTAGCCAAAAGCCGCTTAAAACACACTCGAGATCCATTATTATTGATGCACCTACGGCAAGGTGCATAGCGTATGTCCGCCTTCTCTCCTTTCCTCCGTGGGTCATACCCGGGAACAGAGTATGGCACAAGCGTGGCCAGTGGAGCCCCCATAGCATTCGCATACCATACTCTTATCGTTTCGCAGTGCGCACAGTAAGTTAAAACCCTCGATTTGGAAAGGTTGAACTTGTGGCTCTGCAGTGGTCTCTCCAGGTCCAGGGCCTTGGTATTCCATAAATAGCATCATACCGATCGCAAGTTCTAAGACTCCTTGGAGAAGGCATATCATATCGTCCACGCTCAATTATGGTGTACTCACCAACCTTGGATGGTGACTGAATCCGTGGTATTTGCTCTGGGTTGACATGATATCATGGCGGCCCAATAGTTCTAGGTACTCACCTTCGGCGGCGCTGATCGAGCGCATACCAACAAATGAGGGGTCCCATGTGACGACATCGCTGACAACCGATATGGCAAAAATTCGCAGGATCGGCAGAGCTGCTATTATGATATATAAGTAGCCTTGCCCTTCATAACTGTGATGTTGCTGGAGGAGATCGATGGCAACCTATTAATAGCACTATTTTCATTATCTAGACACGATATACAGGACTGTCCTGGGGCCTTGTACAGAGCATATATTGCTATTCGCGTACCCTTCTCCCCGTACAGGTAAACTCTATACTCGTTTCTGGGTGGATGTTATCGCTGGCATCCGATCGTCCTGTCGCGAGAGATAGTTAACATGCGATTTGGGGTTGGGCTTCTTAGTTCTAGGACATGTCCTGTAGGGGTCAGGACAGACAGGAGCCACCATGGAATGTCTTGATGAGGAACTCCCAACTAGTTATATGTTATGATCAAATATGCTCCGACTATAGATGTTCACACCATGAACCATCATCCCACGCATACTCTTAACTATACCAAGAAGAATATATTCGATCAGCCCGTCTAGACCATCACGGCTATCCCCGCTGGTGGGCCGTCCGTCCTAAGATAGCAGCGCTGATTGGCTAGTTGCCACGAGATCGGGGCCCCCGCCAAGCCGGGGCTGCCTTATCGATACGGCTCCATCGTCCCGATCGGGAAAGGTAACATCGGCCATCTTCCATCTTTTTTCGCGCCTGGAAAGGCCCCGTGCGCCCAGTCGCTTTCTTTTCAGGTCAATTCTTCCATCTGATTTTTCTTCCTGACGATTGTTGCTGGCGAACTTTCAAATCTCGCTCCCAGAAAGAAGGACGACTCCTCCAAGGGCGAGCGCCGGGGTGGACCTGTCCTTGTATACAGCTCCCCATTTCAGCCCTGCCCCCCCCCCTCACCCGTGCGAGCCCCTCATTTACTAGCGACACCATGTTCGGTAAACAAGACGACATTACGGTCCAGGAACAGCCCACAGATCAGAAGAATGTTGCTTCTTCGGAGATATCGCCTGTTCAGCCGTCTGAAGGAGCCGCCGCTGGGAATGGCAATGGTCAGAATGTATCAGAGGTGCCCGCAGCGGACATCATTGATACCAAAAAGAAAGGGTTCCTCTCGTACTTTACAACAAAAGAATTCTATATAATTCTCATTTTGGGGTAACTATTTCTTTACATTTCTTGATATTCCTCGAAGACCGTCCGGGTTATACTAATGGCTAATGCTTCCTCTCTTGGTGAACTACAGACAGACTCTGGCAATCACAAACACCGCTACCAGCACATTGACTACCCTTCTTGGAAATGAGGGAACATCTATCCCTGCGTTTCAGACATTCTTCAATTATGTTCTGCTGAATATAATCTTTACTCCATATACCATCTACCGTTACGGCATCAAGCGCTGGCTCCGCCTCGTGCTCAAGGACGGCTGGAAATGTAAGATTGAATCCCCCTCTCCACTGCGGATTACGGCGCGCTATGCCAATGGCAGAATTTCCCCTGTGACAATATACCCTTTTCGTTTCGATTCCCTCATGCTGACGTTACGTGACACAGACATTATCTTTGCCTTCTTCGACGTCGAAGGTAACTACTTTATAGTTCTGGCCTATCGTTACACAACCATTCTCAGCGCCCAATTGATCAACTTCTGGGCCATCGTCGTGGTCGTGGTCGTCTCCTTCCTTTTCCTGCACGTGCGCTACCATTGGGCGCAAATCGGTGGTATCTTAATCTGTATCGGCGGCATGGGCATCCTCATCGCTTCCGACCACATCACGGGTTCCAACGGCGGTGACTACTCCAAAGGCGACCAGGTTAAGGGAGACTTGTTCGCTCTGCTAGCTGCCACTATGTACGGTCTTTCCAACACAACGGAAGAATACTTCGTTAGCACACGACCGATGTACGAAGTGATAGGCCAACTCTCCTTCTTCGGCATGATCATCATGGGCGCCCAGGCCGGTATCTTCGACCGCCAGTCCTTCCGCGATGCAGTCTGGAACGGCAAAGTCGGCGGCTACTTGACCGGTTACACGCTCTGTCTTTCACTCTTCTACATCCTCGCTCCCATCATGTACCGTCTCTCCTCGGCGGCCTTTTTCAACATCTCTCTCCTAACGGGTAACTTCTGGAACGTCTGCATCGGGATCAAAGTCTTCCACTACAGCGTACACTGGATGTACCCTATCGCCTTCGTCCTCATCATCATCGGCCAGATCATCTACTATCTCGGCCGCACCGTGTTGGGAGAAGCGCGTAAGCCCTGGCTAGGCCGCAACCAGGAGAAAGGTGTCTCCGGCATCTTCACAGCAAGAAGGAAGATTGATACTGAAATCCCTCACGAGCGCAGAGCATCAATTAGTCCTGCGTGAAGCGAGGGGATATCTCCAAAAGAAACTCTTCGCTTTTTCTTCACTAAGACTTGATGATGAATATTTACGCATACGTATACGAATATAAGGACACTTCGGAGACGGGAAAAAAAGCAAAGAAAGAAAGAAAGGGAAGGCGGGGTTCAGTACACAAGAACCGCATATATAACTAATTCACTGAGAGAGAAGGGGAAAAAAAAAAAAAAAAAAAACGATTCTTTTTGTATGACCATAGGAAAATGATTATATCCTCTGATAATCCACCTTAAAAAGAAAGACTAGAATACCCTTTCCACTAATCAATACCCCCCCCCCCCTTCCCGACGGGTTAATATTAAAGAGTTAGTGCACAAATCCCATCCCACAGATAACACAGTAGTAGTTAATTAGCACTTCTGATTACTATCGCTCGAATAAATAAAGGACCAACAGGTACTATTTATTTAATAATAAAAACTTCCCATCTACATAAGACCGTGTTGGCGGGGTGGTCCATATTGGGTCCGTGCGAGAAAGGACAGAGAGTCGAGATATGAATAACAGTGACTAGACTAGTCAGCTAGTAACTAGTATAAAAGGCATGTGTATACGAGAAGGGTCTATAGTACTCCCATGCACTTTCTCGGATTGTACTGTTGTCATTTATATGCTTTTATCGTGAAATGTGCAAATTGATAATCAATGGCGGAAGTAACCATGTTTTTTAGACAAATTTTATAGAGTATGCTATGTTACCTAAAGCAGTACAAGTTCGTGTTCTCGAAAGATTTGGATGGGTGGGAATCAATCAATCGCTTTTCGTGTGACATAATTCATACCGAGTGTGGGGTTCACATTCAAGCTCAAAAGGCAGTGTACAGATCATATCAGCCGTGACATGGAAACAAATGACCTGGGGCCAAGTGGAAAAACGCAACCTACAGAAGCCCATAACACCTTACACTGCTTCAGGAGACATCGACGATATCATGGTCAATGATGAAGTATTGGAGAACGGACGGATAAGAAACCAGGCATAACGAATCCTTCAGTATAAGAGGGGATGAGGATGGTCCTCTTAGGAAAGATAAGAGGTCAAAGAAAATGACGAATATGGGAAATGGATATATGATGAATATGACAATGGGAAAAAAGGCAGATAAATATTCCAGATCACAGACTCCCGTAACTCTTCCTTTGCCTTGCCTGTAACAGTACCCAGTTCCAATGCCCACCACCGCTTTAAAACCTTTTTTTTCGATCCCAAACCTTTGGTAACTTAAAAGGTTTCACAGACGCGCACAAGAACGTGAGGAAGACAAGAGACAAGACACAAAAATACTAACACCCCAAATGAAAAGCAGATAAAGAGCCCCGTGGATAAACCCTGGACCTCAAGCCGTGACAAGAAAAAACACATGCACAATCCGAGCCCATCCAATCCCAACAAGGCTGGAGACACCGAAAGATCGAAGCGACACACAGGGGAATGAGGACGTTTCACCAATACACCTTCGACGTAAGAGGGATACCGACTCCGGGAACCAGCAAGCCAACCAAGCCAACGAGTCAAAAAGAAAAACCAACCGTGCACCGAGTATTTCCACATATCGATCAGACCAACTGGAATGCGCAGGATGGACGTCCGCCACTATCCAATTTTATGTACCTCCATGTTCTCCGGAGAGATTGAAAAAAAGAAAAGACCTGTTCTCTCAACGCCACGACATTTGGACTGAAGATGAAACTCAGATTTAACGTAGCAAGAGACCCTTTTTAACCCCAAACAGAAGCCTGAACACCCAGAGAGTTCTTCGAGCCCCAAACGCCGCTGCTGTTACCCCATCCGAGACTGACGCCGCCAGAGGAAGCGTCCTTCGAGCCGGCGCTAGGGGCAACGCTGGTGCTGGGGTTCGAAGCCGAAGACATGGAGCGTTCGTTACCGGCAGCAGTAGTAGTCGCAGCCTCGTTGGGGGCAAAGCCGTAACCAAGAGGAGAGGGCAGAGGGGTTGTGGACCGCTTGTTCAGCGCCGGATTCGCGGCCTGGCCAGCAACCGTCTGCTGTGGGCGGGATCCGATAGGACCCACGGAGCCAATGGGAGCCGCGGCGGACTTGGACATCTGCCTCGAGGATGGCGAGCTAGCACCACCAGGGGACGAGGTCGAGGTAACCGGTTGGTCAATCGCGCCGTCATACATGCCGTAGGCAGGATTGACGCCAGAGCTCGGAGAGGAAGTACTGTTGGCACGAGAAGGTGACTGACGAGCTGCGATAGCGCCAGCAGCTCCCTGCGCAGCGCTGTCGATGCCACCACCCTGGAGGCCGAATGCATCGACTCCACGGGGAGACGGCCCACGGGCACCTGCGGCGGAAGTCGGGGTACTGCTGGTCTGATTGTCGGGACGAGACGCATCATCGCTGAGACCGCCGGGTGGGAAGAAGGCGGGACTGTCGGAGCCATACAGAGCACGGTGCTGGCGTGCAATGAGATCGCGGCGGCTTTCTTCGCTCATCGCAGCGGGACTCAGGGAACGGTCGGATTTGTTTCCAGACATCTCGGCAAGCAGGCCTTTGAGAAGAAGAACCATGTTAAATAATGTACTTTACAAGGCAACAGATACACGAAACAAGGAGAACGCGCAGGGTAAAGATGATCAGAGGCAACGCTCGTTCACATACTTCGATTGTACTGCTGCTCCTGGTGGTAGTTGCGGAGCTCCCTCTCACGCTGTGCCGCCATTCGGCGCTTCGCCTGCATCATCTGTTCTGCCTCATTTGGACGACCTTGAAACCGCTGAGCGGCGTAGAAGCCTTGGACGTTGGAGGCTGGGTGCACACGCGCATCAAAATCACTCAGCGAGTGGTGGCGTTGAGGTACATTGCCCATCACTCGGGGATCTTCGACATAATTTAGAATTGGTAACGGCTGTAGGGTCTGCGCAAGGTCATACCGTAGTCGGTGAAGTGACGTCCCATCATGAGTGGCATAGAATCTCTCCGGGGAGCGGAGAATAGCTTCCCACTCTTGACCAGATTGTCAATCGCCCGATCGACCTCTGTGGATCACACAAGCTATGTTAGCCAACTATCCCTCCAGCAAGTTCTTATTGCCTTCCAACCTCTCTCCGTACCCCCGACAGGTTGGACATATCGGCCAAGGAACATCGATTTCCGGAGCGAATCTAGACCATGCGGTGTACGAGGAGAGGACAGAGACAGGCGAGGATGACGAGTAGATATGCATACCATCAAACTGAGAGGAGAAAGCAGTCGACTCCTCGCGTTGGGAAACAGAGCTCGCGCCTAATACTGGTGTGTTAGTTTCGACCGCCTAGAAAAGCAGTATAGCTGCATCGGGCGAGGAAATCGTACCTGACCGGGAGGGAGGAACAGGCTGTTCCCACGACACCTGGCGCACAGGTGCCTGCCATCCTTGGGGCTCGTAGTACGAAGACATGTTTATCGATCAACCGATGACGAAGACAATATCTTGAACACTCTGATGCGTTACTGTCGAGGATCGGAAGGACAGAATGGCGGAAGGCCAGTCCAGTTCGTTCGAAGGATCCGAGGACCTAGAAACACAACAAGGATTAAAAGGGAGTCTTAAGCGATGACAAGAAGGATATCAAGACGAAGGAACGCAAGCCAGCAAGAGAGAGGTCGAGGACGGATGTGAGGCGGAGTGGATGGCAAAAACGATGACATCGCACGGTACCGGTGGCATCGCACGATTTTTTTCTCTGCACACGCTCTTGTCCTGCTAGGCGATCTGCAGCCCCCAATGCAATCTTATTGGCGATGACAAATGATGCCTTACGGCTTCACTGTCGAGTAAGGAAGACAGGGCATGGCCGTCTTGAGACGGTTTGGTGAAGGGTAGGTTGTCACTTACAGTAAAAAGGAGCGTCCCGTCAAGAAAAAATTTCTGGGCTGTTCTACCACGAGTGAACGGGCAGAGCAGACGGACGACAAGGGCGACTTTTCCCTTCAGGCAGGACAACGTCCAGGGGGGAGGAGAGATAGAAGGGATAATTAGATGGGGAGGGTAAAGATGGGGGAAAGGGGAACAGAAGGGAAAAGAAGAGTCGACCTGGTGTTAGCGGAGAGAGGAGAGGGTGGTGGGCGTTGCTCTTAGTCGGCTGTGGTTGGCGATGGAGATTCGGAGTGGTATCGCTCGTCCCCCTCCGGCCCGTGGGCTTTTTTTTTTCTCTCTCTCGTCTGTCTGACTCTGCTTTTCCCTCTGCTGATGCTCCCACGCTGTGCAGCTAACGAGCAGTCTCTGCAATGAATCTGCTTCTTCGTCTCATTAAAAAAATAATAATAGGAAGAATAATAGATGTGTGTGTTGGTCGCGGTTTGCCCTCTACCCAGTTCTACCGCTATTTACTACATACACTAACTACTACTACCGAGTATAATTACTACACTTCACTCCTCGATTGCTCCCGTCAACCGTAGCTTCCCGGTAATTATTAGCCATCTCTAGTCTAATAATGGGAATTACTTTCACAAACCAACCCTATCTATCTCGCACCAGCGCCCGCACAGTGGGGGGACGTGTACTCGAGAAGCTTGTCGGTGGAGGTTTGAGGACTGCTCTTGTCCCGTGCTCATCAACCGGTAACCGGAGATTTGGGGGAGTGCTGGGCAACGGTTTAGCGCCGGTAGAACCGGCTGGTGCTCTGCTGTCTCTCTTCCTGTCCCACCACAAGGAGAGAACAGACTTACCAGCGCTCGTGCTCGAGACGATAACAATAATGGCACAAGTACGGAGTATACTTGTGTTTGATCCTCTATCCTTTTGAGCGGATCGGTCTGGAGGTAATCTTTCTGCTATCTAACTCAGGAGTCGATCAGAAATCGTTTCTGTTACGGCGTCAGGACTGGCCCCTTAACAATCGTACATACAGCCAGCCCCCAGACCATGGATCAGGGAGATATCGATTCATTATTACAATTAATATTGATTATTATAAGAAGAAGCAATAGGAGAGCCTCCATTCCTTGTGGAGAACTCTTCCTCTGTTCGGCGTCTCCACCTCGTGGGCGTCGCTCTGGTCCATCTCAAAAGGGCTGTCCCGTGCGATTAGCGCCTCTATCCCGGCCACGTATTCTCACACTCCCTTCCGGGACTTCTTCCTGCCTTTTTGATCATCGCCAATCTTATCTGCGAGAATCTTCTTTTGCTCACGTCCCTTCTCTGGGACACACCAGTCTGCCTTACATTTTTCATACCATACAGGCAATTGATTCTCTTCACAGTCACAGCAGCATCGAAAATCCATCTGTGTAACTTATATCAGCCCTCTCTGCTCAGGAGTCGGGTGGGGCGGCTTTGCAATACAGCAATATCTTCTGGACGAAACGCTAAAACGGTATCGCTCCGTACTAGCACTGAGGGTCCCTGCGGAACATCCACAGTTCTTTCGCACAACGGCGCGCTTCAGACCAGGTATACGGTGTAGAGTACGGAGTAGTAATAATAATAATAATACATGCTCCCTGCGAGATGGCAGCGATAGTCAAACCGAGAAGCGCGGATGCATTCATTGCCTAAATATCTGTTTGGGCGGATCTCTCCAGTAGTAGAGACACTATTGGTGCTGTACATATATACTTGAGAGCAACAATTCGGAATTTTGCACGTTACAGGCGAACTTTTAGCCGAGAAAAGTTGCCAAGACTCGAGAACACCGGAAGCACAGATGCTCGCAAGTTCCCCAATTCCTTCTTGCACCTTTGTAGCGAGACAACCAGCGTATTATCATTGTTCCCAGTCCCCAAGGTGTCGGAGTTGTCAGCCTTACGGGGATTGCAGCTGCAGAGCGACCTTCTCAGACAGTAGAGTACTGCGCCCTGATATTGGACGGGGAGCCATTAATATTATTATTCTTCAAGTCACTCTAAGATCTCTACCTAGAGTTCTGTTGCGGTTGACGGGCAATTGTAACTATCTACCACAAGTCAAAACGCTCTGGCCAATTACTTAGAACCATAGCGGCTGTGGAATCGGCAGGATGAAATCCTCCTCGCTGTCTCTGTTTGTAACTAGCATTGGCTGTCTGGGTCCTTGTTGGGTATATACATACTACGAAATCATCCGGCCTTAACTTCTCGCTCTGACTGCACCTCTGGCATCTTACCATACTTCCACACTCTTCTGCCGGACTCCCGGAATTTTCGTTTATTATGAATAAGTTACGACTGATCGTTGCTGCGGTCCATCCCTCCGATCTCCACGCTAAACCACTATCACTGGCCATCGAAACTCTAAAAGGTCTTCGATTATGTCGGAACTAAGCCTTGGTTGCAGGTGCGGGCATCAACTCAACCGTGAATGTCCAACCTCGTTCGTCCTTTTCGAACCCCCCTTTCCCCTCCTTTAGTCCGTTGGAATGCCCAAGGGAAGACCAATTGCTCATGGCGCGCATGTGCGCGCGCCTTCTCGCAAGGTTCATGCAAAGTCGTCACTTGCTTTTGTCCGTCTTCGCCCTGCTTCTGGAAAGATGATGGGTTGCAGAGCAGCGGGGTCATCACCAACTCGCAAAGTGATATAAGAGGCGAAGTGATTCCGGTCAGATGATCCACGTCTTTGGGGAATTGAATTTGTCAATGTGCAGAGAGGACCCCTAAAATAATCTTGCTAGCACGATGATCATCATCGAAACTAATTTCCCGATGCGGAAGACAGGGAAATATCAATCTCATCTAGTGATTGAGATGTAGAATAAAAATAACCAAGTAATAATGAAGGGAGGGAGATCGAAAATCTTCTGAGGCGTTCCGTCAAAGTGGCAGTAGATACTAGATAGTAGGTAGACCCTGATCTCATACTGTATTCGCGGAATTGCCCGCCAAAACCCCCGTGACGATAGGCGACGTCGATTCGAACTTTTATCAAATTATCTAAAAATGTTCTATCTTCGGTGGTATGCGAGCGCCCACCACACCAGAACCAACTCTTTATGTGACGGGAAAGAATGAGACCTGATGTCACGATGATTATTGCCGGACAGCACCAACAGGACCCCTTGGAGAGATCTATCTGCTCGATCTTATTATAATTCGGCTGGACCGCGTGTAATTCACACTATTTTTAGCGACAGTGGACAAATTTTGCCTCTTTTCCCATACACATCATCCCCGCACTCGCGGCAATTATCAGTTGGGGGTGCGTTTACTTCTATCTAGGACGTCATTTCCCGTGGGCAGATTGGTTGGTCCATCCTGATCTTTGGGACGTTCCTAGTCCTTGGTTTCCAAGTATTGATAGACTCAAAGATGATTAAAAAACGTTATCTAGTTGTATCCGTAGGGGTTCGAGTAACTAGCAATCGCGCTCTCTGAGAGACATAGTAATATCGAGTACTACACGTCCTGACAGGCGCGTCGTGTTCACCTTACGTCTATTGGTGTTAATTCCCTACGACACCCGAGGAAACCAGTGCAAATACTTCGATTTCCCGATATATTGCCCCTTGGGAAACAAGATCCGTCTGTCAGGGACGTAGTATATAAGCGAAGGTGATCGGCAGGACACGCGTGTCTAGGCCTCATTGATTGTTCTAGAGTAGAGATAGTTTAGGAAGGGCTAAATGCTTATAAGAATCTTGAGGGAAACAACACACCAACTAGGCCAAACAGCTTATCTATATATATAGGATGCCCGTGGATACACGCTATTAAAGATTCCTCTAATTTCCCGGAAGGACAATGGCATCTGCAATCGCCTTGCATTCCAATTCTATTCTCGACGGGCAGTAAGGTGTGTGGGGCATTACAGAACCTGGGATGTGAGCAACAGGGAGACATTGCTGACACAGCGCACGGCTGTGAGGGTAGTTAAGTATTTAGTTGGTTAGTTACCACATAGTCAAGAAAGGCCCTCTGCTGTAGTCAGACTGTGAGATAGTTAACTTAGTGCAGTGATATAAGTCTCAGCTGAAGAGGAGGATGAGACGAGGGAGAAAGGCACAGGCACAAGGTGGGCCTCGACCAGTAGTAAGCACGTGCAGGACAAACGGCCTTCAGCCGTTGCGGCAGATCCTCAGGAGGTCGCACCAGCGAGGCCCTTAGGATAGAGGGAGCTCTGAGTCGGTGCATTGTTACAGGCAGATGGATAGTGTAGACAATTATTATATGAATCAATCAACCCATCAGTCAATTAATCAATTAACTGCTGTCGGCCGTTCGACACGGTATCAGCTAAAAAGAAAGAGACCGCAGGAAGTTTCGCGTCGGTCAGATAGAGAGCGAGCGGTTCGTTACCAGTAAAACCCGTAAAATACGGGGTGCATGAGGCGGGAACTGCTGTAACGGGCAATACGGGCAACTTACCGCCGTTGCCGTTGCTGGTTCTGTGCTGCGTAGAAGCCCTGAAGCCCTGACTCCTGCCCCATCCTAAACCAAATGGCAACTGAGGCTTTCTCCCCAGACTGAGAAACAGAACAGAGCGTTCAAACAACCTGGAAAATTTCCCCTTGTCCGACTCTCGTCGTGCGCCTTTTCCCTCTCGCGTCTCCGAATCGATCTCCAGTTCCTCTCTTCGCCCTCTTGCCGCAGGACTGGCTTCCATCCCGTTCGCTCTTTCGATTCCCTGACCGTGCCACCGCGACCTACCTTACCCCCCCCAAAAGAGCCTCGCTCCTCTGGCTCTCCAAGTGACTCCGGACGGTCATTCTCTGCATCGGGCCTTCCGACGTGCTCTCTCAAGAAGCGGACTGTTTCTACATACACCCAGGCTGGTCCCTACAAGGCGAATCTCGTTGGTCGTCTAAGGCTTCTTTGTGGCGTGCTCTTACGTCGGTTGGAGTCTTTCTCCCCTTAAAAGGTTCGGTTGGAGGATCGACAGGGAAACATCGAGACCCCGACTTTTCCGACTGTCCAAAAGAGCCACAACTGGTCTTTTGCCGTTCAATCGCCGGTGCTCTTCCATCTGCTCATTTTCCCACGAGGATACTCTCTTTTTTCTCTTTTTTTGTCTGGGTCGAATCGTGCTGGGATCCGCGACATATGATCTGTGCATTACGATACGCTTGACGGTGCTTTCTGCTCTCTTTCTTGTCCAGGAATTTTTTTTCTCTTTTTTTTTTCGACGCCGTTGGGCTGGTTGACCAGTTCGTCCTCTCAAATCGAATTCACTCGAGTCTGAATCTGGACTTTCGCGCCGTCTCTGTGAGAGGTCCGGTGATTGCGTCTCGGTACGAATTCTTGGGGGGTTGGACCCGATTATATTCACGCTCTTGGATCAGAACATAGCCCTCCCCGAGGGCCAACGTTGTCGGACAACGTTGGAGTCTCTGTATGAGCTCATCCACCCATGGGAATCGCAATTCCTCTCATACTCGTGGTGAGGAATCACCGATAGCGTCGGAAAAGACTTCTACCATGGCGTGGACCTTGAAGGCAGATGCACCGTCCGATCAGACTGCGCGACCCCCCTTGGTGACGCATCAGTCGAACTCGCTCCCCTCAACTCCATATCAACATCCCCGTGACCTTTCCTTCCACTCGAGGACACCTTCGCCGCGTCGCAATAGCACGTCCCCGCGTTCTACACAGTCGGAATCAAATCACCAGCTGCCCTCATTCCGAAAACCCCTCGGCGGTTGTAAATATGAGACCGGCATGGCATTTTTCCGGAGACGGATGCCATATAGTTTGGGAGGGGATTTGCTGCCAGAGGAGAAGGAGGGTCTAAAAGAACGCCTGGATTCCGCTCAGGAAGAGAAGCTCACAGAGGATATGAAGGAAGTATACGATCGATTACTACCATCGGCGGAAAGTGACGATCGTCGACGGCAACTGGTTCGAAAACTGGAAAAGTTGCTGAACAACCAGTGGCCGGGTAGCAATATCAAAGTTCACGTCTTTGGGTCTTCTGGCAACAAGCTGTGCTCAAGCGAATCCGATGGTGAGTCCCGTGGCCTCCCTTGCAAAGATTTGACGTCGCTAACAGTATCTAGTGGATATTTGTATAACTACGACGTATAAGGAGCTCGAGCATGTGTGTCTGATCGCGGAGGTTCTCGCAAAGCGTAAGATCGGGAAATAATTGTATGCACAATGGGTGTCGAAACTAATACGTGCTTAATGCAGACGGTATGGAGCGAGTTGTCTGTGTTTCCCACGCCAAGGTTCCGATTGTGAAAATCTGGGACCCGGAATTGCAGCTGGCTTGTGATATGAATGTCAATAATACTTTGGCACTCGAGAACACCCGCATGATCAGAACCTACGTGGATATCGACGAGAGGGTTCGACCATTGGCCATGATCATAAAATATTGGACGAAACGACGAATATTAAACGATGCGGGTGAGTCTCCGCACGACGATATTATAGCCTGCAAGGTGGGCTTTTTGGCTGACTTGGGAATGTAGCACTTGGTGGCACTCTGAGTTCCTACACTTGGATTTGCCTAATCATAAACTTTCTACAGACGAGAGAACCCCCGATTCTGCCAAGTCTCCAGGCACGTCCGCACAAGCAGCGTGTGACCGCTGATGGCTTAGTCGCCTCTTTCGACGATGACCTTGATTCCCTCTCTGGCTTCGGGCGAGCAAATAAACAGAGTCTTGGTGGTTTGCTATTCGAATTTTTTCGATATTACGGTCACGAAATCGATTACGAGAAATATGTCATTTCAGTTCGCGAAGGGAAGTTGATCTCGAAAGAGGCAAAAGGCTGGCATCTTTTGCAAAACAACCGTCTATGCGTGGAGGAACCTTTCAACACTTCAAGAAATCTAGGAAACACGGCAGATGACTACTCTTTCCGAGGTCTCCACATGGAACTGCGCAGGGCTTTCAAGGCAGTGTCAGAAGCCGATCTCGACCAATGTTGCGAACAGTACGAATTTCCGCCTGAGGAAGAGAGGAATTGGGAGAGGCCAGCGCCACAGCCTCGACCCATCATTACACCAATCCCTCCCCATGCTTCTTCTCGTGGTGGTCGAGGTGGTGGTCGCGGAGGCAGACATTCAAACCAGTATCCTCGTGGTGGTAACCCACCTCGTCGATCCTCGAGTGCTGCGAACCGACCTAGCAATCACTATCGGCACGCAAACGTTGGGGTGTCTGCATCCGATCTATCTCTGCAGGCGCAGCAAGCCCAATTTCTGCTCCACGACCATCTCTATCAGCAGATCCAGATACTACAGGCCCAAGAGCAGGAATTAAGGCTTCAACTCCAGAACCAGGCACTCATCAGCGGGCGGCCACCGCCAGTTCTTATTCGGCAGCCGTTCATCCAGTTCCCCTTTCAACAGGAGGGTACCGGTGATGAAAACTCTCGTACGAGATCTGGTACCGTCAATCACCCGCCCCTGACAGCCCCAATTCGCCAGCAGGTCTTCTATAATCCTGCCTATCTCCCGGTAGCAGTTCCCGCAGTGCAGGGCAGCAATACCAACCCCCCGTCTCCATCTGCTACTGCGGCCATTCCGGATCTGCGACGGAATCATCGGCGATCATCTGTCACAAACGGATCTCCAGGCGGGTCATTGCGAGCCCATTCTCAGCCTGCGCGATCAATGCACTCCCCGGTGGTGCAGAACATCCCTTCGCTGTATTCCCAATCACAGCCTGTTGATAGCCCGCAGACTTCAAAGCAGCATCATACCCCAGGGTCTCCCGGGGGTACTCAGGGTGAAACTGAGACTGCTTTCATGCCCAGCAGTCTTCCAACGATGTCACGGTCGACGTATGGCGACGAAAGTCGGCCATCGGAGTACCCTGGCTACTATCTCAGCACCTCCCCTCTATTACAGACGTATCCTCCAAACACCATAGTCCCATCGTTCTCTGCCCCAGTTGGTCTAGCAACCCAGAATGGCGTTCCATCATATATCCGCAATCCGCAGGAATACCTGTCATCCGGTGGAGCCGCGTCTGATCCGCTCAGCTCCTCGCCTGATGGCGGTTCCGTCCCTGGTTCGAAGTCGTCATCGTCGCAACGGCAGAGTGCACCGCGTCCTATCCCACCCCGTGATCGAGGCCCTTTGATTGTGGATGGATCGGTGCCCCCAAGCGATCACCGAAGTTCATACCAGATGGAGAACTTCGATCACTACTCGAGTATGAGCCATAGCTCTGACGAAAATAACTTTGATACCCCTGTGAGCACCTCGGACACATTATCTCAAGAGTTACAGGACCCTGCCTCCTTCGAGTTAGATCGCCAAAACTTTGTTGGTCGTCCCAATCCTGAACTTCATGACGCTTCTTCTACGAACGATAGCCATATCAGTCCCCACAATGGGAGACTTGGGTTTCTCTCTGGTCGCTTACAGAAGTTGCACGTCTCCGGCTCCGACCAGCTGGACGAGTCGCCAACGAAGCCAGGATGGGATAAGTCGAAAACCCGTTCTTCTCCAGCCAGGGAACAGATAAACTCGGACACCCGTTTACCTGTTGGCGGAGACCGGACAACGTTGGAACTCTCCCCTGTGACGGAGTGCTGTACGCCATCACCGATCAAGCGTCGTCCCAACGGTGTTGATGTCGACAAGCCGAACGGTATCAGTCACAAGTCCAAATCAAAGGGCCGACAGGAGACCGCCAATGCTGCATCTCACTCAGCTGCGGACGTCAAGGAACGTCAGTCAGAATCGCTGCTGCGGAAACCGAATGGTGTTACACCGGTAACTAGTGGGCACGATTCGCACGCCCCAAGCACACCAAATGGTGGTTGGCAGACAACGAAAAAGAAGCACAAAAGGAATGCGAGATCATCCGCTGAACCGCGCCACGCCTATTTGAATGGCGCGGAGCCTCTTCCAGTGGATGAGTCTATGCGAAAAGGCGGCTAAGTGCGTGGGAACTCGGGAATGCCATGGAGAGTCTGGTGCCTTGCCGATGGCGAAAGAGTCTTGATATGCAGGTTTCTGGAAGCTAACTCATGTGATGGAGTAGTCGACCTATGCCAAATTCACAAGAGCCTGTCAGGACATGGCGCGCTGGGCTAACATTTGCGGATTTCACAGCCCCTAAATTCGTGAAGTTAGAGCTTCCATTCTTGAGGAAGGTCCTGGCTCTCTTATGATCCCTCGGCCATTGTGTGCTAAATTATCGGATTGTTCCATGGAACCGGTGTAGCACGATTTCTGCTGACCTTGGCCCTGCCTATACTATAAATCCGCTGCTGAGAACAGACACTGTCTGTTCGGAAGATGGTGTTTTCGTGATCCGTTTATTTTGGATCGAAGGGTCTTCGACCATTTCTGCTTGTCATTCCGTTGTCAACTCTGACCTTTTCAAATATGGCGTTCTTCGAAGGTCGGTCTAATGAGTGGGCAGTCCAGAGTTTTACTTATTTGCAAACGTCTAAGGTTCTCTTACTCGAATTGCATGGAAAAATCAGTTTCCCTACGTCATAGCGCTTGTTATACTCGTGTCATTGGTTTTGCGCCCTAATCGCATCCCGGGTTGGTTTGTCCTATGTGTCATGTTACAGCTCCAAGTCGAGCTTGTTTTGATGTGCTGGTTGGGTTCGTTTTCTTTACAAATAACCAATATATCCCCCTCTGGCTTGCCACGTTCTGTTGTCTTTGTGTTTATTACTTTTCGTGATCTCTGTTCTTTTTGTCCTCTCGGGATAACCAAAATGGCGCACAATCATCACTGTCATCATTTATCGTCTTCCTTGGGAATTCTCTTGAAGAACTCGCAGGAATCCAAATAAAACAGCTGGCTAGGAGAGCCAATACACATACAAAGGATCCATGGAGAACCCGGACTTTGGTCGTTTCTCGTCTCTTCCAAAAGCGAATCGGGTCCGGTTGGAGATCCATATTACATTTCTCTTGTCAATTTTCCCCCCTGTTGTTTTCTCTGTTGTACGGTATTACGCTTCATTGTGGTCTTTCTCATTTGCCTCATGTGTTTGCCAGCACCATCATACCATAGCAGGGAGCGAGGCGATTCAGGGTCGGTGTCCGTGTGCTCTTTTCTGATTGTTTTCTTTTTTGATGTTTCACCTATAGCCCCGAATGTGCAGTCAATGATGAATATGTAGAATTGAAATCCGGTTTGGCCAAGGAATAATACATATATACAGGAAATATTAGAAAAGGAAAAAATGAGAAAAAAACAGAAAGAAAAGAAAACCTGAGATACCTTGCGGGTTCCATTCATTTAAGATATGTAGAATGTAGTATGTAAAATTTAGTAGCTAAGAGCGATCGGAATTGACGATCGGAATGTGGACTCTGTACGAATGTGGTGGCGTCCATGCATCGGACGTGCTTACTTGTATATCTTCGACTACTATGAATATGTGGTATCTGAAATCCTTTGCATTTAATTAAATCTTGGCAATAGCGATGATCTTTATTATCCTACAACGCCCTTTATGATTTTATACTTGAAGTGAGAACCGACTACACTACGACAGCAGCTTGCTTGTATGTATGTACATACATGTACACACACCACTTACCGATCTGCCTGTGATTCGATAACATATGAGATCATCATATACTAATCAGCCCCTTTCTCGGACCTGCGCGCATAGCAAAGAAAGTCTAGAACATCTAAGTTAGAAAGAATAGCTAATATCCGATGCTCTGGGGCTATTTAAGAGAATATATTTCTCTTTTCTCATAGATAGAGGGTACTAAGTAATGATAATAATAATGAATTTGTGATGCGGAGAGAGATTAGATCAGATTGCTTGCTTGCTTGCTAGGTATTTAAGCTTAACATGTAAGTTAAGTTCAATTGCTGGTATAATTTTTATAAAGTAGTTAACTAGCTTATTATTATCAACTATGAAAAATCTAGGATTACAGAAGCAAAGGTTAGGTTCTAAAGAAGCATTTCAAAAAGGGATAAAATATTATTACTGAGAGAACTAAAGGTCACCGGAATCTATCAGCTATTTATATTGTGCTCCCTGACTGACTCTAGACTATCTTGACATTACAGCTGCATGGGGCTGAACTGAACCGAATCACTATCTTACCCATTATTTCCATGGTTCCAGCCAGCACCTTCTGCTTTGATCCTAGGAATTCTAGGTAGCTTTCCGTTGCAGATGCTACCTAGGTATCTACCCGGTTTGTATCGGGTAGGAGCAGCGGATTGCAGCAGGTTTATAGCTCGTCTCCATAGAAGCTGTAACTAAGCGTTGACATTATTATTAACAGAAAGGCTCAGCTCAGCCTAACTAGGTAGGTAATTAATTATCTTAGTCCTTGGCAATAGGACAAGCTGGACTGTTTTCAATGATTTGAGGCGTAATTAAATTAGTTTGACTTGAGGGATTTCTTTATACGTGCGCCTGAAAAGTACAGGTTGTATGTATGTATAATTGCATAGAAATAGCTTTTGATTTCTTCCTTTTTTGCTCTGCGTAATTAACTATAGACTTGAGGAAGGTTACGCAACAGCTGTTGGCGGGTTGTGAGAAAATTTGGAGTCTCTTTTTTCATTCGGGGGTTTTTTTTCCCTAGCTAGTTTTATTGTGTTCTTGCTTTCTTCCTTTCTTCTCTTGTTCTTCAGTCCTATCAGTTGTAGAGTGTAGAATACAGGATCATGTGATATTACAATAATGTACGTCGATGCAAAGTATTAATCTTCATCATGATCAGAAAAGAGAGAGAGAGGGGAGGGAAGAAGAAGTGAAATGAAAAGGAGGAAAGTATCAAGACACATTAGAAACAAATAGGCATCGGGCGTCTCGCGTAGCAAGGACTCAGTCCTTAAACCTAAATCGATTCGTAATTTCGAATCAAACCGCATGACAGCATATCTCGAGCCAATATCGTGAGAGTGTTGAGAAATTAAAAGATGTGTAATACAGATGATCGACCGGTGCTCACGCGCAATGAAATGATTTCATACACGAACGTTAAGAGGCGCCAGGATATTCCGATGGTTATGCGGAGGGGGTATTGTTTTGTTTTTCTGAAAAAAATGTGCATGGAAGATCCAGTCGACATCAAGAAATGAAGAAGTTTGCAGGATCGCGTAAAGGAGTCCTCCCTGTCCATGAAATTAGTTGAAGGTCGTTAAGAATTCTGCCGTTTAGGACTTCATCTCCACCAAGATGTATGGGAAGATCACAACGCAAGCTGTCCAAAAAACAGCAAAGCTGCGCAAGAGGTTCAGGGGCAGCATGTAGAGAGGAGCCTCGCTGATCATGACCCAGATCGAAAGAAAGGCGACTACGAAGAAGTGCCAGAACAAGACAAGCGGCTGCTTGACCAGGCCAGAAAGCAGACCGACAGGTCCCTCGACGATTCCAAGCTCGAAGTAACGGAAGCAACCGCGCTGGAGCACTTTGAGATTGTCGTCTACAATTGATAACAATCAGCATTCAATGGGGCTACAAGTTTGAGATAATATGAAAGGCATAACACATACCATCAGCCGCAAACAGACTGTAAAGAGCCTGGGCTAGAATGTTGATGACTGAAGCGGAGTTCTTTCTCTTCCAATGGAAGGCGGACATCTGCTTCAGGACCTTCTTTGTGTCTGAGAGGTCCGGAACCTTCTCAGGACTAAGCAGGTCACGCACCATCACAGCATCATTGAGCGCGACAGTCATTCCACCACCAGTCAATGGGTGGCGCATATTGAGCGCATCTCCCAAGATCACCAAGCCCGGAGTGTTGTTCGTGGATGCCGGAAGGAACGAGTTCGGCATCGAGCGCAACTGGTTCTTCTCGAGCGCCGCCAGGAAGGATGGCTGCACACTCTTTGGAAGCGACGGAAGCACAGTGTTACGCAGATGGCCTTTGACACCTCCATTCTTCACGGACGCAGAGGGGAGATTCTCGGGGATATCGACCAGCGCGCGGGTTTCGTGTGTTCCGATCTGGTACAGGAGAACAGGCGCATTGTCACTCAGGATGATATGGCCATGGTTGGGCATGGGGAGCTCCGCATCGATCAACTCCAGCGCAAAGAACTTCGATTTCACCTTGGGAGTGTGTGGGTGGTGTTCCTTGCGGAACTTGGAGGCGTATCCGTCCGCAATGACGGTGAGCTGGCCGAAATAGCAATCCTTCGAGCCATTGGTGGTGCAATCGACACCTAGGACCTGGTTTGTATGCGGAGAGGTAACAAGGGAAGTGGCGGTAGTCTCGACAACGGTGACATTGGGACAGTCCATGGCAGCCTGGCGCAGTTTCATGACAAAGCGTCCATGGTGAAAGGCGCAGCCTTCTGAGATCGAGGAGAAACCATCTGGCTTGAGATAGGGAATCTGGACTGGGACACCGTGGTAAATCACATCATAGCCTCTGGTGGGAATTGCATCGATGCCCTTGAGACAATCGCTAAGTCCCAACTGCTCGAGCGCTCGGACACCACCAGGCTGCAACAACTCGCCAACAATACGATCAGGCTCTTTGAGAGACCGTTCCAGCAACAGCACACTGCGTCCCTGTCTGCCCAGTGCGACAGCAAGAGCACAGCCCATGATACCAGCACCCACGATCACGACGTCTGCTTCGTGGTGCACACGCCTGCGCACTTCCGCCTCATCGCGGGCCTTGGTGACGGGCTCCGCCGGAGCTTCAACGATAGTGGTAGTAGTCATTGTGGACGACGCGAACGCAGAGAGGATCAGAAAGAGAGAGTTTCCACGGTCAGTTGCATGTTTCGAAGGACAGCTGGACAACAGACGTGTGGGAGAAGAGGGAGAAACACCAGGTTACTTTTCTTTTTTATCGGCCAGAAAGTGAAGAGTGGCGTGAGCATGTGAATTCCCGTGCCTGGCGCTAGCGCGGAGTTTCCCCTGATCATCTAGACAAAGCGAGTCCATTCTTAGCGCTCACCGCCAGGTGAAACTAGGTCTACAAACGGTTCTGCTCAGGTGAGGTTACTCATGGTCATTTCTCCTTGGCAATGGCTATCTAAAATACATAGAATTACAGCGTCAAGCGGTGGTGGTATATACAAGAACAGGCTATATCAAAAAGGCCTTACATGTGTGTTAAGACAAAAGAAATCAGCAACAGGCCCCGCGAATAGATAGCACCTGCAAGTGCTATAGAATCCGTCAAGAAGCCATCAGGCTAGGGAACTGTTAGAAGCGGCCAAGAGTCTCGTTATCGACTGTTCTAGGAAGACGCCTGGGCCGCAACGGATGCTTCTACATCCGAGTCATCTTGCAAGACTACATCCTCACTCCATTGAGCAAGGGTTTCACGCCGTCCTTTTGTGCTAGACGGCACGAAAAGTCGCTCCAGTTCGCGCTCCTCATCCCAGGACTCGACGATTTCCTTGACGTCGCTGAAATCAAAAGTGGCCTGCTCGTGCTCGGGTTTGATGTTGTTCGCATGGATAAAGCGTCTCTTTGCACGGTTCGCCCGAAGTTGTAGCAGAGCCGGATCACCCTTGCTCTTGTTCTCCAGTAGAGTAGCCAGGAACTCCAGATGGTCAAGATAACGCAGACGACGCATCACGTAACGGGGTGGGCTCTTGCCCTTCTTCTGTGCAAGCTCCGGCTCGGTTCTAAGAGATGCGACGATGCGGCGGATCTCGACAACTAGATCATGGTTGAGAGCCGTGTCCCGAGAGAGGGCTGTCAAGATGCACCACCGAATACCAGCTCGGTTGTTCGTTGTGGCAAAAGCTCTGGCGAAGATTTTCATGCAAGTGCCATCGAATTTCTGTTCCCGGCCGTGACGAGATATGTATACGGCCTTCATCAACTGCAGGGCGACCTCTGGTTTATTCTGAAGGATAAGTTTCCGGCTCGTACCCACGGTGATATGGTGTTTGACGATCAACCGGGGATGCTCCCAGCACAGCTCATAGAAACGGAAGACAGCCAGCTGGGCGACCTCCGCTTCATTTGAGGGATCAACTTCCATGATCTGCTGGAAGAAGAGGGGGTACAATGATGTCTGGTTTTTGATACCTTTCCACTCAGTCTCCACCAATTCTCGCGCTGCGACCAAGCCATGTTCAAGGATAGTGGCAGTGGCCGCAAGCTCGACATGTAGCGGCTTGAGCTGCAGCTGCGCACCTTTTGCTTTCTGGAAGCATTTGAGCGCCTCGGTCATCTTGCCCGCATGGATGTAGTGAGCCATTTGTCTGTCGAGTGGTTGATACTGATCGATAGATTTGGATGGGACAACATCTTCCATGAGCTTTTCGTACCATGGGAGCGGGGCCGCCGTAAAGGGCATTTTATTCACCTCCGGCATGGGAAACGATCGTTTGTCGTAACCGAGAATCTGCTGGGAGGTCGCTGACTGTCCATATTTCACGCGCGCAGCCTGCAGCATCTGCCAAAATCCCACCGGGCTGTTCTCCACTGCCAGGCGACGAGCCCGCAACGAGTCCAAAAAGGCACCCTCATCAATAGGGATCTTCCAGGACTTATCCTTGCTCAGCTGGATAAACTCAGCAAGCATATCATTGTCACCCTTTTCGACGAGAGCCTCCAACATATGCTTGTATAAAACCTTGTCTGGTACAATGTTGAACCTCTCAATGCTCCGGAAGATAAAGTCGCGTATAGCAACGCCTTTGTTGACCACCCAGTATTCCAAGAATATGCGATCGAAGATCTTCAGGAAGTCCACTCGATCTTTCGTGAAGCCAAGCTTATGCATCTCTTCGAGCCCAAGCTCGACCTCATCCCATTCACATCGAAGGGCTCTAGAGTACACCAGTAGACCTTTTGTCCGGCAGCTCAGGGGAATGTTATATTTTTCGACCATGTCAGCGACAAGAGCTTCTGCATCTGCTGGTCTCCCGAAATCGATATATGCTCTCAATACAGGATTGAAGAGTTTCTCGGTAGGTGGTTTACCCAACCTAGCTAAGAAGGTGAGCAGCTTCTTCAGTTGTCCGTTGATCAATTCCACACTCCTTGTTTTCTTCCAGAGTCCGTGCAGGTACGTCCCGCAAAGACCGCACTGTTGATCGTGTTTGAGATTCCTGAAAAGGAACCGTTTGGCCGTCGTCAGTCTATGAGACTCTAGCAACGCCCTCAGGACGATATCGATCATATCCACAGGCACGTTGAATTCATTCATATATCTCGTATATAGCGCGGCAACGGATTCGATGCTTCCCTTCCGTGCCAGCGCGAGGATCAGGACCTTCCACATTGTTGCCGTCACCGTGTCCACGGCCTCAAGTCGTTCAAAGATGGTCCTTGCCATGAACACATTTCCCTGTTTGCAGTTGACCATGAAGATCCTGATGGCAAGCTCTTTCCTCTCGACAGATATACCTTTCAACGAAGCCGGGTGTTTATCCAGAAATAATTGTGCGGCCTCGATCGCTCGGCCACGGTCCAGCAAGTCTCGAATCTGGTCAGGAATAGATAGCTCTGCATCATCATTGGATCCACGATGCGATTCGGTCTTTGGCTCCGTTGCTGTGGGATTGGGACGTTTAGCTCGTGACTGTTGCCCTGCATTGTCTGCTCCTTGCAATGGTTTCTCCTGTGGATGAAGTACTGGACTCGGCTCCCAATGCTCCCATGTCTTCGTTTGACCCGGTCTCTCTGCCCGCGGAGGCTTCGATGTGACAATTTCCGGTGAACTCCGCGGTGCAAGCGGGCGCAATAGCCCTTCAAGTGGCATTCCCACCTCCGGTAGAGGTCTATCAGGATATCCATTCCAGGGTAAAGCATCATGATCCGATTCGTTCTGCAAACTGCGCTCCCTCTTTCGTCTCCTATCATCCGCCTTCATCGACTCGAGACCCATAAACTCCCCGGCCTCCGCCGCCTCCATCATACGAGCCAGTCTCTTCGCCGCCGAGGTAGCATCGTAGTTCGGCGCAGATGATTGCAACGTACGCTTATTCTCGATGATTCGTTCGGCAACGCGGACTCTCCGATGCACTTCATACGTGAGCGCTGCGATGGTGCATACACTCCCAACAGTCGACCCCGCGAGAGCGAGCTGGCGAAGCACTCGTAAGGCATTCCGCGAAGGAACCGTCGCACCGCCAGTATTCTGCGGCTTGGAAAACATGATCGGAAAAGAAGGAAAAAAAAATTTGGCCTCGTATTTACCACGCCAACCCAGCCCCAGCTCACGCGGAACCTAGCGGTAAGACATCCGACCAGAGTCCAATGCCCCTAGCCTAGCAAGTCTCAATTGAAAGAAAGGACAGGAGACGTCAGCGAGACGGGCGATATATGACAGAGGCCATTGCCCGAAGGACCGGGAAGAGGAGATCAGGCCAGAAGGGGTTCGGTGGTTAGAGATTATTTTGGGCGATGAAGCTCGGATTTCTTGGGGAGATTAAAGTTGTTGCATGATTTGCCGGAATGGAAGATTCACTTCCAGTCGCTGTCGTCTTCCGTAGTGAGAATGCCGCCTTTTTTCCGTGGTCTGATTCCGGATAGAACCGCATTTTGTAGGTTCATTTTACGTTGATTATTATTAACTGGACTGACTCATTATTATTGTGTCAGTGTGATGACTATTTTATGGTAACTGCAGAAGTACCAACTGTGGAATTATATAAGACTGCGTATCGAGGATTTTCAACACCACAAGTTGTGTTAGATCCGGTTCGAAATTAATTGACTTGGGACTAGTATTATGACGATACCTAATGTATACTTTTCTTTCAAAAAAGCGATCAGCATGACGATACTCCTTCATCATGCAACATGTTGAATAAATTCTAGTGTTCCATAGGTGCATGCAACTCAAACCGGACAAGGGAACTCTAATAGCCAAAAGATCAACAAGACCTCCAACGTTCCTCGCTTAGAATTCCAACTCAAACCCAAATGGACTATAGCAAAAACATCAATAACTGTGTTCGTTCCGTTCTTATGCCCTAGGCCGATTAATTCTCGGATAACGCATCCTCATTGAGCAGAGGATCAGACGGCTCAGCCGGTCTGCTGGGAGAAGGGGATGAATCCAGGTATACTATACATATGTTAGTTGATGTGGTGAATCTCTTGAAGATGTCTGTATCAGCGGACTGTACGTACCATGGGGTCTGATGAACCAGCTCAGAATGAATGTAAGCCCGAATACGGAAGCCAAACAGACAAACACGGTCTGCGTGAATTTCCCAACCGTCAAACTATATATTAGATTAAATACTGCTGGCGCGACGACCCGCGCCAGAGCGTGCAATAGGCCCATTGCGCCAAGTAGTTGTCCTGTACGGTCCGGAGGGACATGCTTCGTGAGGGATGATTGCAGCGTTGGCGATCCCATGCCGCCGAGGGCGGCCACCATGCCGGAAAGTGTCATTAAGGACCCGGTTCTCACGACGGAGTACCCGATATATCCAAGCATGTCGAACATGATTGACAGCCGGATGAGGACGATATCAAGCATGTCCGATCCGGTGTTTGGCTGCGATCCGGTACGCTTTCCACGGACAAGTCGTGTGACTGCGGGAAGCACGAGGAGCAGGTTGATTACTCGCACGCTGTTGACTAGTGAGACAAATATGCTTGATTCGTAGTTGCCCCAGTCGAACATGTACTCGGCATAGATGATGATGACCTGGACGGTGCCCATAGCCACTCCGAACATGGCAGTATCAATGGCAGCCAGGATAATCAAGTTCTTCCGCAAGGCAGAGACTGCTGCCCGCCCGTCAGAGGTAAGAGCGTGAACATGGTCTCCTTTGGGGAATAGAATCGTGAGAGGTCTAAATAGATTTGCTGGGTGTAGGTCTCTGAGAGACAACCGGCGCGAGCCATCGCTGTCCAGGCGCTTCATGAGATGCTTGTTGCGAGCAATCCGTTGCCGCTCCTCGGACAGCGACTCAGGGATCACGAAAATCAGCATGAGAAAGAAGAAGGTGTGAAATGCCAAGGCCGCTGCAAAGACACCAATGATCTTTCCCGTGCGCTTTATGACATATCCAGCTAGAAAAGGCCCAGCGGCAACGCCCGTGAATAAGACCCCGTGGAAGTAGCCAAAGGCCACATTCCTGTTCTCAGGGGCAGTGCAGTCCGAGGCGTATGAATGCACCAGGGCCAGGGCGGTAGTGAAGGAACCACACAACCCGTCGAAGAAAGCACCGACAAGGAGCAGATTGACTGACGAAGATTGAGGCTTTGCCGCCACAACGAGGGTGACAATCTCTCCCAGGATAGAACCAAATGCTGTCAACGCGATGACCTTTGTCCTTCCGTGCCGATCTGAAAACCGACCCAGTCGAGGACTGACCACCGCCGACAGAATACCTGATATCAGGTTGTAATAAAGTTGAAACCGAGCAACTAGAGACTGCACCTCTGGTATCTGGCATTGCTCGTTGTCTTTCCCGAAAAGAACGGGCAGATAGGTGAATCCAGGATCTCTGGAAGCCCTCTCGGAAAGATAGTCTCTGCAAATGAGACTAAGAATGAGATTGATCTTGGGCACCGCGATTCCTCCGTATGCTATCGTGAAGGGCAACAATGGCGGTAGCAGCCACCAGATCTAAACGAAGCATAAGCCGTCAATACATATTATGGGATTGGGTAATTTTCGACTTGAACCTACCGATGGTCTTCTCCACCAGGGCTTTGCCTCGAATTCCTTTGCTCCTAGCCAAGGAGTTTCGTGCCGTCCATCGTCCCCATCACCGGGCAGCCCTGCTGCCCCAAAACGGGTTTGGGCGCCTTCACTTGAGAGTAGCGGCGTGTCTTCATGAACAGTCTCCCTGATGTCGCCCTTACCTCCCTGGTCCGTGGGGTCTATGGCAGGAATATTACCAGCGACATTAGATGCCGTAGACGCGCGCAACCGGGCGTCCTGTTCCGCGTCCACAGCAAAAGGCGCCTCGTTCTCCATGGTCGACACCTGTAGATTGTTGATCACCAGGTCTTCAGCTCACCAGGCGAATGTCCGTATGTTTATGAGGAGCGCGCTCCAGCCAGCATCACTGATAGCGGTCGATACTAGCGCTTCTTAGGCTGCCAGTCATCAAGGGAGCTCGATAGCGGAAAGCAGAGGGGAATTGAAGGATTGCGCATAGAGTGGTAACCACTGGACAGCGGACAAACACGTAATGACTACCTCGTGGTGCATCCAGAGCCGGGATGTGCCAAAGGGATGAAACGAATGGCCATGTCGACAAGGCAGGATTCCAGATGAACCCTGGACGGCGGAAGAGACAATGCGTCAGTTACATCGGACTGTTGCTGTCATTGGGCCGGTCTGGAATGCGTTGGCGTCGGTGATAAGATAAGCCACAAGCCAACTTCCGCGAAGCTGATGTGAGGTGGTTAAGTTAATGTTTGTGAGTTAACTAGGTACTTATTAGGTAGGTAGTTAGAGAGAAAGGTATTATTAATCATTGGATGTCAAGTTCATTACAGCAACAGATAAGTTAGACTTTTCTATTGCTTCCAAAGGCGCTTTTCATTAAATATGCCACCCTCAACCTCCCGATATTCAGTACAAGTACAGTACATATTCCCGAAACATACTGGAAGCGCTACTCTAGGTATACATCCAATGGAAAAAAAGTTTATCATACACGACAGACGCCGGCCACCAGAGACGTAATAGGATAAAACAAAAAAGGAACCAAAAAGCAAGAAAGCGTGAGGCAGCTACACAACGAGTGCAGTGGCCGACTCGCCAGCAAAGAACTTCTTCTGCTCGAGACAGCGCTCGCTCTTGCATCCTTGGCAGCGCAGAGTCATCTGAGGAGAGCAGTTTTGTCCTCTGCGGAGATGTTCCAGCGCGATATCAGCCAGAGCCTGAATGAAAACCGGGCTGCCGTTCAAGCTTTCCGCCCGCTTGACTCCCGGGTGGCCCGCCTCGTGCATGACTTCCTGGTCGAGCTCGTAGAGAGTCTCGATGTGATCGCTAGTAAAAGCGATAGGTACCAGAACGAGGTCCGTCTGGCCTCGCTTGACGTATGACATTACCGTGTCACTGGTCTGGGCCCCGAGCCATGCGGACGGGCCGACCTGCGACTGCCAGCACAATCTGTAGGGATTCTTGAAGCCTAATCGAGCCATTACGGCATGCACTGTGGCAGCAACTTCGGCTGGGTACGGATCACCTAGACGAGAAAGAGACATTAGCAACAGTCCTCTGAACGAACCAGCTAACACCTACCCCTGTTCACCACACTCATGGGCAAGCTGTGCGCAGAGAAGAGCAGCACCACACTACTCCTCTTCTCCTCCGGGTATGTCGCAAGCTGAGCCTCGATATTCTGAGCAAACGCTTCGACCAGCCCCGGATGTGTGGGCCATCGGTCAATGACACTCCACTGGACGGTGCCCGACGGCGCAGGTTCACCCGTCGCACGCTTACCCTCCAGGCGATTCCTCCATTTCCACAGCTCATTGAGAGAACTGCCTGTTGTCGAGCATGAATATTGCGGGTACTGTGTAAAGGCAACAGCCCGACCACCCTTGCCTCGTCCGAAACCATCATCCAACAGCCTTGTATACATCTCCTCTGTCAATGGCGCGGCATATCGGAAGGCAACATAGGGTTTATGAGGTGCAGTCTCCGGGGAGATCTTGTCCAAGATCTTGCACATCTCCTCACACTGGTATTCCGACCACTTTCGGATCGGCGAGCCACCACCGATGGCCGCATACTGTTGTTGGATCTTGGGCGTTCTCCGACGGGCGATCAGAGGACCGAGATAGCTTTGAAGACGCCCGAGAGGGATGAGGTCACCATCTGCCTGTCCGTTGCAATCCGGGTTAGTGGTCAATCGGAGATATAGCTCGACAAGCGCTGGAACGTACAAATAGTCTGGCCAGAAAATCCTCCACCTCATCGGTCGTTGACGGACCCCCCATATTCATAAAGACCATCGCTGTAGGGCCCTTGGAACCCGTGGCATCCTGCGTGACCGGCGGCACCACTGTCGCCAGCCCTGATCTTTGTGCCGCGTTCTTGGTTAAGTGATTGCGAACAGCTGGTCGGATACCGGAATAAGCACCGGTCAAGATCCGCTGAGGGATCAACAATGGATTTCGCAGCGCCATGATCAATTGTCAGGACTCTCCCTTTCCTCTAACAAAAAGAAAGGAAGCCAGCAGTGCGCTGGAGGAAGTAGGACCGTAAAAGCGACGAGCTTACCACATTGTGGCAAGACCGAGATGGCCGGTTTGGGTCGAGAACTGCTGCGATGACCGAGCGCCAAGCCGAGCCGAGGCGGGCCAATCAGGGCCTCGCCAGCGTCATCAACCAGCCAGCCTGGCACGTGACCGACGTGTTTCCCCGCGTCGGCGTTCGGCCAGCCATCGCGTCACTGCGGAGAGAGAGAGAGAGAGAGCGATAGCAGGCAGCAGAGCAGGCTCGGCCTATAATTTTATATTAAAATAACAACAACAACACGATTTTTCCCTTTTTCTTTCCATCTCCCCGACCAGGACAGACTGCTGCTCTTTTGGCTTTGGCATTTCCAATTAACTACAATGGCGGACAATTATCCCTCGCGAGAGGAAGATACACTGGAGGAGGATGAGGAGATCGATGAGACGGTATAATGACAGTCAAGGTGGCTAATACAGTTAAAGCATACTGACAATTCGTTTCACAGAGCTACAAATCCGTCAAGGATGCCGTCCTCTTTGCCATCGAAATCAATGAATCAATGCTGACTCCGCGTCCCTCTGAATCGAAGAAGGGTACAACGGCATCGCCTGCGACCGCCGCCTTGAAATGCGCCTACCATCTAATGCAGCAGCGGATAATTTCCAACCCTCGAGATATGATTGGCGTGCTACTGTACGGAACGGAAGCATCCAAGTTCTACGATGAAGACGAGAACAGTCGGGGAGATCTTTCATACCCCCATTGCTATCTCTTCACGGACCTTGATGTCCCGGCGGCCGACGATGTCAAGGAGCTACGAGCATTGGCGGAGGACGAAGAGAAGGCGAAGGAGATACTGGTCCCCTCGAAGGAGCCTGCGTCAATGGCCAACGTCCTCTTCTGCGCAAACCAGATCTTCACGTCGAAGGCGGCCAACTTCCTGTCGAGACGGTTGTTCATTGTCACCGACAACGACAACCCTCACGGCGACGACAAGACCTCCAGATCCGCCGCTACTGTCCGTGCAAAGGATCTGTACGACCTGGGAGTGATAATTGAACTGTTCCCCATCGACAGACCTGACAAAGAGTTCGACCGGTCGAAATTCTATGACGTACGCGCATCATTTCTCTTCTAGCGAGGGTATTACTGACACGACACAGGACATCATATACAAGGCCTCGCCATCGGACCCAGAGGCTCCCGCTCCCTTCCTACAGGATGAGACTAAGACTGCGTCAGCCGGGGGAGATGGCATCACATTGCTGAATTCTCTGTTATCGTCAATCAACTCCAAATCCGTCCCGCGGCGAGCGCTGTTCTCCAACGTGCCATTGGAGTTTGGTCCTGGTTTCAGAATCTCCGTCACCGGGTATCTTATCTTCAAACGTCAAGAGCCCGCCAGGAGTTGCTACGTGTGGCTAGGAGGTGAGAAGCCTCAGATCGCCAAGGGCGTGACAACTTTGATCGCGGATGACACTGCACGAACAGTGGAAAAGTCAGAGATCCGAAAGGCGTACAAGTTCGGTGGCGAGCAGGTCTCGTTTACAACAGAAGAACAACAGGCGCTCCGTAACTTTGGCGACCCCGTGATCCGTATCATTGGCTTCAAGCCTCTGTCGGCTCTCCCTTTCTGGGCCAACATCAAACACCCTACATTCATCTATCCGTCTGAAGAAGATTATGTTGGGTCAACACGGGTTTTCTCAGCTCTCTACCAGAAACTCCTAAAGGATGGAAAAATGGCCTTAGTCTGGTTCATTCCCCGTCGAAACGCAGCTCCAGTCGTGGCAGCGATGATGCCAGGCCCAGAAAGGCTTGACGAAAACAATGTTCAGAAGATACCTCCTGGGATGTGGATCGTGCCTCTCCCCTTTGCAGACGACATCCGACAAAATCCGGAGACCCATCTGATTGTCTCTCCGGAGTCTTTGATTGACCAGATGCGCACCGTTGTTCAGCAGCTACAGCTTCCAAAAGCGCAGTATGATCCTCAGAAATACCCGAATCCAGGTGAGATTCTCTTTATTCGGTCTGTTCTCCTCAGCTGTATATTGATTCTTTCGCTTCTCAGCTTTGCAATGGCATTACCGTATCCTGCAGGCTCTCGCATTAGACGAGGACTTGCCAGAGAAGCCTGAAGACAAGACCATTCCGAGATACAGACAGATAGACAAGGTGAGTTATGCGTTTTCCTAGACCCTGTCCCATCACTGACACCATGTGTCTCAGCGAGCTGGCGAGTACGTAATCTCCTGGGGAGAAGAGCTCGAAGCCCAGTACCGGAAAATCGAAAGTCGTCAACCTAAGTCTACCACTCTGACCAAACGACCGGCGAAATCAGCTGCTGCTGAGGATGATGAAATAGCAAACGCCAAGGGCGCAGGTCGGCCGGCCAAGAAGATCAAAACAGAGAGCGACGGTCAACCGTCGGCTGACGAAATGAGAAAAGCATACGAAAAGGGAACCATTTCCAAAGTAAGTCCCACACCAGCTACCTTCCTACGTTCATCGAGTATCAGAGATAACAAAAAAACGGGACTAATCATTCAATCCTCCAGCTCACCATGCCTGTCCTCAAAGACTTCCTCGGCGCTCATAACCTTTCGACGACGGGTAAGAAAGCCGATCTAGTTGACCGAGTCGAGGAGTTCTTTGAGCGGAAATAGGTCTCTTTCCTTATTTTTTCTCGTACAGTAATTAGACAACGTAATTGATTGGCCTCCTAGAAGGAATTTGTGTCTAATGACGACGGTCGGTCATGAGGGAATTATACGGCGTTTGGAGCAAAGACTGACTTCTGGCTGGATTATCCCTTATCCACTTTGTGCGTATGTATGTATGTACACTACTTAACTATGCCACACCCATTAAAAAGGCTACGAGATACATAGACAAACATTAGGAGGTAATATAATCTCTTTCTTTCTTTTACAAGGGGGTTTTCTTCAGTCAGTTATGAATATTTCTATTCTGTATAGCATGTTCTTCTGAAGATGTATCTTCTCCACTCATCTTCATTGCCTGGAAAAAAGCACGACAAAAAAGTAAAAATAGCTAATCCATTCATTCCACAACACAGTGGAGGTAAGGGATGAGTGCCAAACTTCATCGAAAACAAAAAAAAAAAAAACAAGAAGAAAGAAAAAGAGAGAAAATGTATTCTCAGCGGGAGGGGGGGTATCTTCGCTCTAATATGTCAAGTCTATATTCGCTCTTCCTTCATGTGTAATTTCACTTCGCGATCAATTTGAGCCTTTTTCCTCTTTTTTTTCACCCCAATCCCCCTTTTTCCGAATGGATATATAGAAGGTTTCTCAGGTGGAAACAATAATGAAAAGACGAGTCTTCCAGTCCGAAGAGAATATCCGAACGAATGAACAGTTTCGTTCAACTCATATCAAGGCAAACGCGCCTACACCAAGAGACACACACAAAATCCAACCACCCGATGAAATAAAGAGGGGGGGAGAGAGAGAGAGAGAAAAAACTAAACTCCGGTTTCTGACCCAGAAGAAAGAAAACAAGAATCGGGAGAGAAACATGCCAATTATAAGTGTGGAACGAACTCCTGAAACAGCCGTTGCTTTGGGGGGGAATAAATGAGGAATAGTCCCTTTTCACCAACGTGAAGATCCAGTCAAGTTGCATAATATCTGACTGGGGGAGGAAGACATGTAGAAATCAGAAAGAGGCGGAACGCTGGTAAGGAGGCAGAAAGAAAGCAGATGGAAGTTGAGGCTGGCAGGGAATTTCTTGGTCGAGGCCTTATTTTTCAGCACTGGCCATATACTTGGCAGTAGCAGACTTCCGAATCAGGACAACTGTTACAACGATCGTTAGTTTGGTTCGGAACTGGGCAGAGAAAGTAAGTAGACGATGGGAACTTACTAGACGGCTTCTTTGCCAAAGATGACGTGCCACAAAAACTCCATGACACGTCCGCTGGCCGCATCGGTCTTGTCTGTATCGATAACCCATTGTCGGATCTTGATGTAATCTTCCACCGGTCGCTGTAGGACCTGATCCCGCGACACAGCAAATTGGGCGCAGCAGGCCGCTCCCACATTATCGGGAATCTCCAAGAACTTCTGCTTATTCCTGGACGCAGCAGCGATGGTTGGGTTGTCCGCAGGTGTCGAAATGGTCGTGTTTCTGGGCGGAGTGCTAGTTCCCTCGAAGATCTCCCTGAACACTTGTTCCGTGACGTGCGCATTCTTCCGATGCGACTTCACGCAGCCGGGATTCCAGTTACACCGGAGATTGACGTATCCGTTCCGCTGGACAAAGTCGAGCTGGAGAGATCTCATGGCGGCTACATTGTCGTGCAGTGGCGCATCCACGTGCCACGCGAGGAAGAAACCCGAGCGGTGGGAGTGAAGGAAGACGATCGTCGATGGTAGATGGTCGTAGTTATCGATCAGGTAGGTTAGGTAGGCCATGGACTCATGACCTTTGTTCACCGGTGTCGTCAGGACGTGCTTGTCCTCGGACGACCGAGATGGGTTAACTGTGTAGATGGCGCGTTGCCAGCTTTGCGCCGATATGTTAGCGGATCAATGTTGACCAGAGAGGACTTTGGTCGTTCAATAATGGACATACTCTGGTAGTTCCTGCTCCACCCATTCGGTGTGTTCCTCTTCCAACTTGGCCATCACAATCACCTTGTCTCCCACACTGCCATGATTCGGCACTGGCACAGTATAGCCCGATCCATGCTGTTTCAGGAGTTCGGCTAGGTACGCGCCCGCGCTGTACTGATCATAGATATCCTGGAGATGGCGCTTGAGAGCGACAAAACAGACTGTTAAGAGAAACAAAAAACATAGTATAAACCGCCACCCGCATTTCATGGTAAAGCTGGAGAATGTGATGGATTCACGGATCAGAAGGAAAGTAGGCTTCGAGACGAGCCTGAAGGACAGCGATGACGCGTTTGCCGTGCATCTACCCAGAGAGACCAGTTGTGTATCACAGCGGAAGGAGAGGTCGAATTGGGCGACTTGTAAAGGAGAGACGTCGAGACAATAATTGCTGGAAGGGGGGTACAGGGAGCGACGAACTGCAGATCCAGACTGAAAAGGAGAGACAGGTCCGAGCGAGGGACAGATTTGGAGGATAGTTGCTACTCAAGAAGGCAGCATCGCAGGCTTGTCAGAAGGGGCAGCGGGTCGACCAGAAGGGGCAAAACGAAGTGGACCGTGGAGAAGACCGACTGTTAGTTCAACGAACTCCAGCTTCGAGAAATTTTAAAAGGTAGAAGAAAGGTTGGCATCGACTCATTCCTGCCAGCGCTCATTGGCACACCCAGAGAGGATCGATCGCCACACGCACGCGGCCTGAGAGCAACGAGATGTAGAACCGCGGGGAACTCGATACCGGTACATGCTACAGCCCAGCACTCCAGCCTCTTCCACGACTATGCACCATCACTACTGTTAGAAACGAGGCGTTCTGATGGATGGCGAGCGGCTCCTCCACGGCGTCCAACGCCAAGGATCCGGGGCACGCTCTCTTACAACGGAATCTCAATCAGGCATGGTATAGGCGATCCGAAACCCTGAAAGGGCCCGTCTACCAAATGAGCAACACACAGACACACAGACATATCTTCTTCGACCGGGGGCCAATTCTACCAGGTATCTACACAGCCCTTGAAAGTAGTCCTGCAAGGCCAGCAATGCGGCGAAACCCCGACTCAGACGGACCAAGGATTATATCGGTTTGCACACGCGTCCCGTTGAGCGATGCGCCTCAGACGTCAGTACACACATGGAATATTTATATATGTACATACATCGAAAATTGCCATGGTCTATCACAAACACACTGCAGAAATATCACAGACTTCAAACGCTAGATACATGTCTACACTTGGTACACGTCTGCACTTGCCTGTTACCGTGGAGAGAAGATGGTAATACCAATAATCGAGAGATCGAAACTGACAGTGGCGGAATCGAGTTCCTCGGGACTCTCTGGTGGATCCATGGCCTGACGTTGAACACCCGCTAACTAGCGCTGATCAACGATGTGGAATGGTTGTATGGTATGTTCCAATTGAGTCGGATAACTTAAGTAGTAGCCTCACCAATGGAAAAACACCTCTACTTACACTACTTTGAGGCCAGTGCAGAGAGCATGGCTGTGCAGTCAGTGATCAACGGCATTCACAACGTAAGAATTTGGTGGTAAGTCACTTCTCAAGGCTGAGAATAGCAGGAAGGCCCCAACAGATCTGTAGCAGAGATGAGTAACTAGAGCAAGAGAGTGAAGGATCGCAGGATGCGGGGATATATTTTCCACTCTGAAGTCCCCTTCCAATCTCTTCCTTTCTTCTTCAGCTTCAAAGTGCTGCCTGCTATAAACAACCACTTTATCAGAACAAGATATATAAGTACAACCCAATAATCCCCATACACAAACACCTTCACCTGTTCCCACACTTGGTAAATAATGTATTTCAATAGATCTGACTTCCTAAGCACCCTGTTGTCTTTAGTGGTCTCTTTGTGGGCGAAGGATTCCTATATCAATCAATAGAATGTTGTGATATTCATATCTTAAGAAGACGTTTGCCCAATTTCACCACGACTACATGGAATATTTGAACAAGAATAGGCGGGGCTTGACGCCGCATGCCTTCAATGACATAAACCGCATGGTCCATGGAACATCGATATTGCTGATGATATGTGGTCGCTTGCGATTGAGTTTGCGCAGACTTTGATAACTATTATTGAGCCTAATGAGTTGCATGATAACTCCTAACGGAATGTGGAGGAAATCTTATTATCTGTTCTTCCATTTTTATAAACAGAAGATAATATCTGGGACGCATGAGGCCTGTCGCTCATCCAGAAATATAATTTTCAATCGGTATCAAGGGCGAAAAGCGAGAAGGGCCTATGGGGGGCTTTGTGACTCGGAACCAAAACGGACCTATTCGTTAACTGTCAAGACCCAAACGGCTCTTGTCCAGTCTACACAGATTCTGCGCGCGAATATTCCCACTGATCCCGAAGCCACGGCCAATATCATTGCTGCCATTCTGTCTCAGTTCCATTACGATGCCAGGCGCCCCCTACGTGCATCCCAATGTCCTATCCTTTACGAATGGTACAAGAAAGGCAAAACGAAGCTTCACGGCTGTTACAGATGGCCAGCTCCAAGACGTGTTAAACAAGCAGATTCTGGCTCTTGTTGAGTCCAAGCGTGAGGCAAGACAGAAGCACAACCCCCAGGTAGAGATGCAAGAGACCGCGCAAATGGTCGCTTGGACTGGGTCAATTCGTTGCTGGATATCGATACGCGCGATACTTACTCATACCTTAGGGCCGCTATCAGAAAAACCAAATGAGTATGGTTTGCCGTGTTCAGCTTTATAAATGGGCCCTGCAGCCGCAGTCCAAACGGCTCTTGTGCAGTCGATACAGGTTCCACGCACACATATACCAATTGACTTCCTGGCCACGGCCGATGTCATTGCTACTTTTCCGTCTCAGTTCAGTATGGATGAAAAGAGCCCCTTCGTGCATCCCTATGTGCTGTCCTTTCCGGACGGTAAACGAAGGGCAAACCGGGCCAAGTCGTTACCGGATACCGACTCTTTAGGCTGCTAAGAAGGAGAAAAAAAGGTATAGTTTGCCGTATTTAGCATCGGGTAGGTGATCCGCACTAGGACGAGGGCAGCTGGCATATTATTACTTATTTGGGGCGCCGCTATAAATCCTTCCTAAGTTGACAAAGGCACGATTTTTTATTATTTGGGATTGCGATCCAAGGGATCCGGCCGATAAAACGCCCCATTGTTTCTTTTTCTCCGCCCAGAAGCATTTCTACGAATATGCTAGGAGAAAAGCAGAGGATTTCTTCATTCTGGTATCAAACGGCTCTGTCCAAATACTTATTCTTCTCTGCAGATAAAGGTCTTTACGTATTGTGATCATGCCAACAGAGATCCACGATGCCGACGAGAAGCTTAAGGCTATTGCGGAGCTCCCATTCCCAGCCAACCTCAAACAGCTGGAGCCTTATCTTGGTCTCATGGGTTGGATGGGACGTTACTACTGCCCTGGATATGCCGCAATCGCAAAACCGTTGGAGAGTCGCAAGATCCCCGTTATATCCAGGGCAAATAATTATTCAGATCTCTTGAGCCTGACATCTCACGGCTCTAAATTTCAACCAGAATCAAAATCTTGGCTTATCAGGCATCCTACAGATTAGACTCTCTGGTAAGCCGGTCCATATCCGAGCTTAGACGAGCCTACAAGTTCCTCCTATATATCTTTCGCAGTTATAGAGAACTCCTCGATTGGCCATTTGTCAAAGAGCACTATTTAAGATAATCCTGAGTCTAGCTATTGTCAATGAGAACAAATATAGGGTGGTTGCAAATGCTTTCAAAAGAGTTTACGGGTGACAATCCCTAGAATATCTTCTACTCGAAACTCATTCAGGTTGTATGAAGCTCCAAGCCATATTCTCCTGTCTAATAATTTTGCCATAGCAATGGATATCAATATTGAACTTGAACCTGACCCAGATGAGATGAGCTAAAGATCCGATCCAAGCAGATTCCTCGTGTCATCGCGCACTTACTCTAGTTTAGTCCAGCGCGGAGGACTTTAACAAAATGATCATTAACCTCGGAGCCCTTTTTTCATCAGATCTTACTCTTTAAGCAGTCAAATTACTGCCCAAATTGTCTCGTAATCGTTCTATTTTCTCTGGATCTTTGATTTTGGGGAAACCTCGTATATCTCCTCTTCTGAAGCACCTTGTCATTCTATTTTTTTTTTTTTTTTTTTTTTTTTTTTTTAATATCTACAATCTTGAGGTGGTTGGAAGGTGGTTGTTGAAAGCTTATTAGGACTGAAGTTGCAAAATTCATTTTGTCTGGTTAGAAAAGTTCTTGATGTCAATTTCGGGAGACAGGAGAAAACAAAGATATAAACAGTGTGCGTATGTGTATGTATATGTGTATGTATCGGAATGGCATCCCTTAATCGTTAGGTTGAGCTAGGGAGCTGTCTATTGAAAGACCCACGCAACATATCTCCTTAGCTTTTCAGATCTCAGTACCTGAGTCCTGATTAATTACCAGTATATACAACCAGGCAGATATTATACACGTTTATCCACACCGTTTTCTGGAAGGGGCAGCCCTTCAGCCCCCCTCCGTGAACCGCGTCAGATCGGGGTAATCTCAAGTGCATGAAAATCACCACTCATACAGACCTGAGAGCCAATCCACAATGAACTGCAGTCGGTTTTCCCCTTCCGTGAGATAACTCGCTCCCCACGAGTTACCCAGCCACATAACCTGTTTCTTATCGCTAGTCGAGGGCGGGAAGTAAGTCAAGTCACTGGACCCGTCGCCATTGGGGTTGCCCGTGCTGATGAAGTTAACCCAGTACTGTGCCATCTTTTTCTCAATTTCGTAGTCCTCCGTAGCCCAGGTGACGTTTGAATAGTCCGCGTAGGGGATATTGTTGAAGGTGTACCATAACTCGGAACCGTGATAGGCACCTTCGCCCTCATTCTCAGCAGGGGCATGAGTCCAGTAGTACACATATACATTTGACTTGGCACCTCCAGCGGCCCATTCGTTTCCCCAGATCCAGGTGGAGACACGCGAGAGATCCCGGAAAAAGGAATTCATCTGAGCAGAAGCGATACTGGAGCTATTGCCGGCCGGCCAAAGCTTGAAGAATTCGGACGAGCGATTCTGGAACATGATTCCGAAGTCGGTGATGTAGTCGGCTACCGTGGTTGATGTGTCTGGCGCCGCACCAGATTCGTCCTTGTTATTGCCCGTCATGATCGGGACGTCGAGATGCGCACCCAGACGCAGGGATTCGCCGTATGTGTATGGAAGCACGTATCCATCAATGACTGGCCGCCACAAAGGAGGATTCATAAAAGCAGAAGACAGATTCTGGTAAACTGTGCCGTCGAAGGTAGTATCCATCTCCTGGCCATAGTTGATGAGAGTCTCGTAAGAGATCTTGCGCGCCTCGGCGATAGAAGACACATTGAGGCTGTTTTTGACGAAGTCCTCGCCCTGAGCCAGGGCAGCGGACATGTTGCGATGCGAAGTTGCCAGACCGCCAGTCATAGGATCCTTTGGAGCACGAGCACCCGACTCAGCAATAACACCGTGTACAAGACCCTTAGTCAGACTGCTGTACATAACGTCCAGGGCACTCGCAGAGCCAGCAGACTGACCACCAACAACGACCTGGCTAGAATTGCCGCCAAAGTTCTTGATGTTCTCTTGCACCCATCGCAGGGCCATCTGCTGGTCCAGAAGGCCGTAGTTGCCGGAACTGTTGTGACCGGATTCCGCGGACAATTCAGGGTGAGCCAGGTAGCCAAAGGCGCCGAGACGATAGTTCAAGGTTACAACAATAATGTCTTTGACTGCAAGTCCAGATCCATCGTAGGTCTTCACGTCGCCGGATCCACCTTCAAATCTTCCTCCGAATATCCAAACATACACCGGAAGGTTCTTCGAGGTGATGTCCGATACATCGTCGTAAGTCTAATAATCGCGAGTCAGTAACGTTCAGGACATAGATTTCATCCTTAGAACTCAGGTACGCCATCACTGCGTATATGATATGAACCTTCAAGAGTATCCCTGGAGTCTACACCCGAAACTTTCTATGAAGAGTAAAAAAGAAGCTCACCGGCGTCCAGATGTTCAATGTCAAACAGTCCTCACTTGTCGATGTCTTTCCTGACGAAAAGATACCAGCTGAGCTATATGGCTGCGCGCATTGAGGCCCGAATTCGGTCGCGTTGAAAGTGCCATTCCAGGGAGATGGTGGCTGAGGCTCTCTCCAACGGAGGTTCCCCACCGGAGGAGCGGCATAAGGAATACCTTTGTATACCGTAGCGCCTGAGCGAAAGTTGGAGATGGAACCACGAAGGGAACCCTGGGTCGTATTGATCGTGGGAAGCGTGACAGCATTCGTCGCTGCTACGACAGTCGCCGTAGTAAAGAGCGAATCGAGACGCATGATGGGCGTCCTACTAGAGAGTGAGCAAGATGCCTAATAAACGAATGCAGCAAAGGCGTTGTGGAAAGAGCGCGGCCATCAAGCGATTGAGACATGATATCCCCATCAATTTAAACAAATATCCTCAGGGATCCGCCACTATATCGCGTTCATGGCATTGATAACTTTGGCCGTTATTCCATCGTCACGACTTGCGTAAGTAGCGGGGCTCCCTCTTCCATGGACCATATTAGCGCTTGAGCACAGTGTTGAAATGAAGTCTAGGCAAAGTAAAGGGGTAGACGCGGAGTCATTATATTTAGATATATTGGTATTTTCTCAGGAAAATCATGAAGAGTTTTGGATCAGGACATTAATAAGATTGGAAGGTCTCGGGAAATCATAAAGAGTAAAATACGCTAGGCTCGGTGGTCCCGCCAGCTTACGATGCGGTAGATCACATCGTACGATGGATCTGGTTCATACATCGTTCTTTATTGCTTAATCTGGCTGTGTTATTCTTGAATTCTATGGCTGCTTCTCATGTTTTGATTGTGCTGTGTATCCATCGATATTTGAATTGACAGGGGGTTTTGCGTTTACAGCACCTCAATGCACCTGATACTACAGTATTTACGAGTGCCTTAACTTCCCAAGGTAAGTAATATAGCTGGAAAGGAATTTAGATGTTTAGTGATAGCAACGCTTCACTCAAAGTAAATCGAAGAAAATGATACTTGCAACCTCGAGCAGGGAACGTATAGATCACACAGCACGGTAATAATTGCAGCTCCTAGAAGCACAAAACCGTCATATGACGCTGTAAATTATCTTCTCTTTCTGTTATTAGCCTAAAGGCATCCAAGGTCCTAAGCAATAGTCAATTTGCAGATCAATGCTTGGCCGCGCCACCGGGCAAGGAGTATAAGCTCAACAACCAACCAGAAGACAGGATATCAGAACGACACAGCCTACACACAACGCGGATACAGGTTGAATTGTAGATTGATGACGACGCGAATCATATCAAGATATATAAATATGGATGTAAATATCGAGGCCACATGTGGGAAATCAACGAGTTTCTTTAATCTCGTCATCGCCAGCTTCCGGCGTCCCCTATTCTAAGATTGGTGTGATACCCATCTGCTATCTTGTTATAAATTTCCCCGCAGCAGATATGGTTAACTTCAAAGGAGCTGCGTTTGCAGCCATTGCTGTACTTACCAGCGTCTGTTATGCCCTCAACACCACGCTACCGGCCCCTGTGCTGGTCAATTTAGACACAATGGGATCAGGACCGAGCGAGACTGTTGTCGGGGGTCTCTATCGGCCAAACAAGATCGGACCGAGAGCAGGTAATAACATCTCTCACCATATATATATACATATGGAATATATATATAGGTATAGATAGATATGTAACAGCGCAAGTAACAGACAAGAACAGAAATTGCAGTCTTTGTCATGCATTCCGAAAGCGACTACATCGACTTCTCCGTGTGCACCCAGCTTGCGGAGCGAGGATACACGGTCTTCTGCGCTGATGACGGATGCAGCAAATGGACCGGCGCGAGCGATGTAGCTTTCGAACAAATGATGCTTTCCGTCGCTACTGGCGTGGACTATCTCCGCAACCTGACTGAAATCAGCAAGGTCGTCCTATGGGGACATAGCGGCGGCGGCGCGATGATGTCTGCTTACCAGAACATCGCAGAGAACGGTCTTGTAGCATGCAATGGAACAGAGAAGATCTATCCCTGCACGTCTGCCCTAGAAGACCTTCCAGCCGCTGACGGAGTGATGCTGATTGATGCCAACTATGGCCTCTCGACGATGGTGCTCCTGAGTCTCGGGGCCGAGATCATCAATGAGAGATCCGGCCTGCATGTTGACTACAACCTCAGCGTCTACAATCCCGCCAACGGCTTCAATGCCTCTGGAGCCAGTCACTATACCCCCGAATTCACCAAAGCTTTCCAATCCGCCGTGGCGCGTCGTATGCAGCGACTCATCGCATATGCGGAGGGCCGCCTCGCGGCGATCAACGCAGGAAACGCAACCTTCTCCGACGACGAAGACATGCAGATCGTCGATGCCGCCTACGGAGTCCAGAACAACAAGTTCTTCGCCCAGGACCCGAGATTCCTCTCGCGCACCGTCTACCCTTGGCCGCTCCTGCATAAGAACGGCTCTACCACGAGGGAAATCGTCCACAGCGTGCGTGTGCCGACGAATTTTGGTCCCACCGAAGCTGGCTCCTACTTGAACGGCGCGATCAAGACCAGCGTCAAGCGATTTCTCAACGGGTACGCTATTCGAGTCACCGATGACTTCTCCTATAACGAAACCAGCTTCACGGGTATTCAATGGAACTCGAGCCACATGGTTCCGATCCAAGCTGTTCCCGGTATCAAGGTGCCGCTGCTCACTATGGGTATGACGGGACATTGGGAGTACCTGAATGCCGAGAAGATATATCTCAATTCCGGTAGCAATGACACGACTATTTGCTTTGTTGAGGGCGCGCAGCACACGATTGACACCTGCACGGAATGCGAGACCTATCCGGGAGAGTATGGAGACACAACCAAGACGGCGTATGACTACATGGCGAATTGGCTGGGGAAGGAAGGACGCTTCCTCTAAGTTAATGCCTTCGTAAGATTGTAAAGCATTGTCCTGTCTTTTGTGATGTGATGGTATAATTTAAACTCCGATCTTGGCGGCTGTGTACCTAATATATATATATTAGGTTAGTCCTAGTGATACTTCAGTAATGCCAGATGACGATATTCCAGAATAACAATAATCAAGCAGGCAGACACTATTTCTACAAAGACGAAATCCGATCTCACTAGCATTGTTTTGGTAAGTAACTACATTAGATGCTTTTGCGGTAAAACTGTAGTTCAATAATTTTGGTTTGATTCCGTGCTCGAGTATTCGATACAGGGCAGAACTCCCCTTGAGGAGAATACCACTAATTCAGGTAAACTAATAGGACTAGCTCTGCTCCGAGCATAATAATTATTCTTGATTCAGATAGATAGATAGTACTCTGCAGTTACGGTCAAAGAGTCGTCCGCATGATCCTTTTCGTCAGGGGTTACCCGCCGTGTCTTGGCATGCCGGCCTAGTTTATCGGAGAGACCACTCTAATGTTTCAGCCAGATACGGCTAGGACAGACCATGTAAGCCTCTGATTTTGGACTTTGGAGTCTGAAAAGGTGGCTTGGAAGTGAATTGACACTGATGGATATGTACACAAAGAGTAAATACATAAAAGTCAGTTGTGGCTGTACTTGGTTAGCCATATTGACCGCAGCCCGCTGCGGAATTCCGCCGACTTTTGTCTATTTTGATTATTAGTAAATGAAGTAAAAATGATTCTCCGATGGCCAATGTCTGAATAGATCAGAGGATCACTCAACACCACCTTCTTCCTCCTCCTCTTCCTCACTGCTGACTTCCTCGCCTTCAGCAATGGCCTTCTCGCGCCTCTTACGAGCGCGTTCCCGCTTCTTCTCGAGCAGGCGGTTGAGCTTCTTTGCGACATTGAACACACCTCCGGTTCCAGCACCGCAGGCTGCACAGGACGGGTTCTTCCGATACCGTTGTAGGGCGCAGGACTCGCAGAAGTAGTGTCCGCATTTCGTGATGATGGGACTCTTGTATGGTCCTTTGCAGATGATACAGGCGAACGGGATGCTCTCGAGCAACTCATCGTCATCGTCATCCTCGTCATCCTCCGCCGTCTTGCCGCGCTTGCTTTGTGACGCCACCGTCCGTCCAGCGAGTTTCTTGCCCTTGGTCCCGATCTCCCACTCGCGGTCGAGTTCCCATCCTTGCTTGTAGTCCTCGCGCGCGTGGAGGAACTTGCAAGAATCTCCAAAGCCGCAGAACCCTGTGGTCTTGTAACTGTGAGATTTTCAGATTAGAACAGCTCCTACAAGTGGAATATGGACTAGGACGGGAGAAAGACTCACTCTTTGCAGACATCAGGAGCAAAATCCATGACCGTCACTGTGCGCACGTTGGTCGGGGCCTTCATGGGCCCGACCTGCTTCGTGGGAGCATTGGGATTCTTCTGGATGAACGATGTGTAGTTTGCGGCACCCTTGTAGGTGCCATCGGGAGCTGACGGGGCTGACGGGTTCGATCTGGTGTTTCCCAAGAGGTTCTTCGCGCTCAAGTCATCCTCCTTGCCTTCATCATACCAGTTTGACTGTTTGGTCGCGTCGTTGCCCGCTGGGATAGGTACAACCGATGTGGCGGCGGGTTGGTCATGCACGATATCCTTTCGAATCTGATTGTCCGCGGAGGATGCTGTCACGACGGCATTCTTGCGTCTCCGCTTGATCCTGCGACCCTCCTCGTCGTCTGAGGACACAAAGCTCGAGTCTGAGTCCGAGTCTGCGGCCGGGGGTGGGGTGGCAGCCTTCTTGCGCAGGCTGGACTTGGCTTTGGCAGAGCGCTTCTTGAAGGCGAACTGCGGGACGTCTGCAGCTGTCTCGGCTTCCTCCGCCATGATCGGTTGACGCAGACAGCCCAGGGGGTGGATTCAATTTCAGAGGGACGGGGATCAGTCGACCGACGCAGCTTCGAGAAACTATGTAAACTAATTAGTAGTTGGCTAGCTAAGTTAGCCTTGGAGTAATTAATTCATGATCATGGAGGAGGAGGAGCCCCATCTCCCGAGGAGCCGCGGATGACATAAGCGAAGCTTCCACGTGACTTCTGTACAGGTGGGCTCTGCTGAGTCAGCATGATTAGCTGGCTTGTTTTTATTTATTTTATTTGAGTTATTTGAGTTAGTACTAAGTATCATCATCATCATCATTATTTTCTAGCATCCCTCCCTAGTCACTATGCAGTTAGTATCTACTGTACTAATTGCAGAAAGTCATCACTAGCTAGTTCACTCCCAGTTAGTCTGTGACTTAGCCTGTCCATGAAGCGAAGCGAGCGCCGAAGAAGAAATCATGGAACTTCGGGAAGCGCCTCAGCCCTTCGACGGGCTGGCAGAGCTTATTAGATATTAGTTAGTCTATCTAGGGCAGATTCGATCATCTCCAACCTAAATAATAATATGATGTCTCGAGTACCTAGGTCCTAGGTAGGAATTCTGACTCTATCGCATCCCGAAAGTTTACTTTTGACACCTCGCGAGCCCTGGTTTCACGGAGACTAGCGGGTTTGGCCATCGAGATTAATTGATTGATTGATTGATTTCCTCTTGCTTCCCCCCCGATCGATGATTCAGATGCTGGTCATGTAGATCGACTCCAAAGTAGCGAACTAAACGAAACACTGCCCACCTGCACCCGCACGGCCCCTGGGGGAAATGAAGCGCAACAGCAGGAACTAATAATACTACTACTACTAACTACTACTACTAACTTACGGAGTACTACTAAGGCGTTCTCTCTGTGTCCCTTCCCTTCCCTTCTCTTTGACTGACTCCCCTCGTCCACTCGCCCCCTCTCTTTTTCCTTGTCCCTTTTCCCTTTTCCCTTGTTTCCCCCCAACCTATTCCATTAGTTATTGCCAGTAACTTAACTTAATCATCAGCCCCCTTGTGGCTATTATTTCTCTTTTCTTCTCCTTCGTCTCCCCTCCTCCCCACGACGAGAAACGAATCCCACTTCGGGCTCGTCGTAGTCGATTTCGTAGCAGCACATCCGCCCCTCCTTCGTGACGTCCCTCTTTCCGATGTTGCTGTGAGTTTTCGACTTTTCAGCTCCTCCGCTCGTTTCACCCCCTTCGTTCCGTACAGCTGGCGTGGTTGTCAGTGCAGAAAGTAGAGAGAGAAAGTGTCAGTCAGTCTCGTCGGGGTTGCGATCTCTCTCACGGCCAGCACACACAAGCCCCTCTGGTTGGCCGCCACCCTCTCGATCCGCCACAACGCGTACCGTCCCCCGAGACGCCCGATCCGGATTCCTATCAACAACACAACGCACCGTCTTAGGGCCAAAGCAAAGCCTCACTCTCTCTTCTTTTCCCCGACCGCTGACTTTGCAGTCCGTCTGTCTTGTCGGCCCTGTGGGTTCGCTTTCCCCTTCGACGCCGCCGTCCCGTCGAGACGAAGATCAACCAACCCCCCTTCTGACGTGTTCGTCCTGTTGGTCATTTTCGTCCACACGGGTAGGGCTGCGCCGGCGTCTTTTGCGCCCGGAGCATCGACACTCTCAATCGCTGGTCGGCTCACCATCATCGAGAAGTCGACAGGGGAAAAAAAGAAGTCTGCTGAAACAGGGAGTGCGCGTGGCAGGTGGATGATGGTACTGGTGTAACACGTGGAACGAAGTGAGCAGCCTTTTCTTTTAACGAGACGACGTTGGGGTATCTACGGCAGCTCTGCCCTCGAGCCGGAGGACGAGAGACTGCCTGAACCTGCTGCAGTTTCCGGATGGCGGCTTCGATCGCGGATCCTTCAATTGAGTCGCGCGAGCGACGAGGCAGCGGTGCTGCTGTCGATTCCGCCATGGACGACCCATTCGTGTCCGCCTCGGACGAGGCGACGATTCCTCGCGACTCCCACCGGTATTCGACCTTCGATACGCAACTCTTCAGTCTGAATGCTTCTTCCCCGGCTCAGGCCAAGCGTGCCCTTGAGGCGCATCTGGCAGAGACGGAGAGGAGGCTGGAAGATGCGTCCCGTCTAGGGACGGCGCTGGTCCAGCAGCAGAAGGAGTTGTCCGACAAGCTCAAGGAGATAGAACACCAACAGGATGAAGGCGAAATTGGGCCGGAGCTCCGCCAGAAACTCGTCGATCTAGAGAGAGAATACAATGAGATCGGTCGCGAGTCTGCGCGAGCCTTTCTGGCTCCGAAGCGTCTGGTGAGCGGTGCCGAAGAGAACGGGTTGGCTACGCCCTCTGTGGATCTGAAGGTATGCTTAAGCAATCGGGTGGTAAATCTCTTTGCGATTTTAACTCAGCGTTGCAGTCGCCAGCTAGTCCGGCGTTGTTCTCGGGTCAAGCGGTCAACTCTCCTTCCAAGGTCGTCAGTGTTCAATCGCGGAAACAGCGCAACCAACCGTCGAGCCGCATCCACGATATCGAATTCGCGACAGAAATCTCGACTTCACTGCTTGCCCAGGTCCGGCAACTCCAAGCGCTTCTTGCGGAACGTGAGGAAACCCTGAAATCGGTCAATCTGGAGAAGTCGAGACTGGAGCTGGAAGCGGAGGGGTTCTCTCAGCGGATCCGCGCTCTCGACGAGAGTGAGCAACGCTACAAGGATGAGAACTGGAGCTTGGAAACGCAGACGCACGAGCTCATGGCGGCCATCAAGGAGGCTGCGGAGCGGGAGAACCGGCTTAACAGCAGCTTGAGCGCCATGACCGAGGACAAGAACGCCGTGCAACGAGAGCTAGAGGAGCTGAAGCAGGTCAATGGCAAGCTGGCGGAAGAACAAGCCGCCGCACAAAAGGCTCACGATGCGGAGCTCCATCTTCTCCGAAGGAACCTGAGCGCTGGTGATGCTGAAAAGCTCACCTTGCAGGCCAAGGTTGATGAGTTGACCTCGCAGAACCAGGAGCTTGCTAAGGCTGTGGCCATGCGCTTGCGCCAGCAAGAAACTGACACCACGCACATGTTTACTCCTATCCACGAGCCTGAGATGGATGACCAGTCGACTCCGGAGAATTCGCCGCCAGTGTCGCCCAACAAGCCAACTCCTCGTCACAATCATCTGGAGTCCGAGACGCTGCGGTCTTCCCTGGGCCATGCTCATCGTATGATCCAAAACCTGAAGAGCAACATCCACAGGGAGAAGACGGAGAAGATCGAGCTGAAGCGCATGTTACAAGACGCCCGCGACGAGCTGGAGACACGCCGTCGTGAGGCCCAGGCGCCGCAGGCTGCACCCAAGCGCTCCAACAGATTCAAGCAGGAGGCGTTCAAGAAGCCCCCGCGTCCCGAAATGTTGGGCCACGGAAAGCGCAGAACTGAGATCGAAATCGATGAACCAGACTGGGAGGACCATGTCAGCGAAGTCAGCCCTACCCGGTCAGCTGCATCAAGGAAACCAAACGGCTCTCCCGTTGTTAGTTCGACGACCGATCCTAGCTCTGCTTACCAGACTGCTACGGAAAATGATGACGCCTTTGAGACCGCCCACGAACGTGAAACGACTACGGAGAGTGACGCTTTCCAGACCGGAATTGAGAGTATGGATGATGGCGAAACCACTGACGAGCTGACTGAGACCGAGGACCGCCATGGAGGGTCGCTGCAGAGGCGGATGCCGTCTGCGCTCACACTCAGGCAAGCCGGAGACCGGACTTCCTTCCAGAGTACGGCTTCGACCTCCGCGGATGAAGACGAGGGGCCGTACTCGCCAATCCAAGCGCAACCACAACGCTACCGCTTGAAGATGAACAGAGGTGCCTTCAGACGGATCCGTCCGTCTGGCGAAGCCCCAATGGCCTCGGAGAGTGACGCTGGTAGTGCGCGGGACTCTCCCGCGACGAGTTTCCAGGAGCTTGCAGCTCCAGCAGGCCAGAGCCTCTTTGCGGAGCTTGGAGAATTGGAGACGCCCGGCAGCGAAGGAGAGTTCGACCTTTCCGCACGCTCGAGAACGGCCTCTCTGGCTTCTACGTCTCGCTTTACGGCCGCATACGACTCTAGGCGACAATCAGAGGTGGAGATGCCTCCAGTACCTAGGCCTGTCATGGTAGATAGTGGAATGATGACGGAGCCATGGGAGACAGCGTCAACAACTGGAACTGCTACTGAGGGTTCCTCTACTCCTACCGCTCCCATGACGCCGCAGAAAGCAGACGAGCCCAGGTTGGTCAACTCGGCAACGCAATGGACGCCATTGAGGGCTTCCCCGGCACTGAACGGGGAACATCTGACAACCGTGCCCACCCCACCCAAGACGATATGGGATGAGACTCTTCCTGGCGTGCGCCGAGAGGTCGAGGATGGTGAATCGACCGCCCCTGAGCCACCAGCCATGGAAGTATCGCCGATTTTCGCAGAGGAGATCGTGCCAGCAGCGCCTACCATGCCCTCCTTGAGTCTCTCGTCAGTCTTCACTCAAACAACAGAGCCCGTACAGGTCGCGAAGCCCGAAGTCGCAGAACGCGAGACGCAGACGCAGTCGGTACCCGAACTGATTGTGTCTCCCGTTTATACTGAGCAGACCGAACCCTCACCACCGTTGTCTCCAGAGGTACCCGTGCAATCCGTGCCTCAACTTTCGTTCTCGACTATCCACTCAGCGGAAACAGTCCCAGTGCAGCCAGTCACCCCCTCTGTTGTTGTCGGTGGATTCAGTGCTATCGAGGAGGATTCCCCTGTTGGAAGACCAGCGACCGCAACGCAGGCTAAGAATGCAAGCCGCAACACAGCTGTGCTGGTTGCCCCTGATGCTGACGTCAAAGAAGACGCGAGCAAGGAGGAACCCACCCAGAAGGATGCAAACCTGCCTCTTGGTGATATCTCAGGAAACGCCGCTCTTCGTGACATGAAGTCTGCGCCCAAGTATGTTAATACGGACCATGGAGCCCAGACGATTCTGTCATCCAAGCAGATTGACCAGCTGCTCTTGGACCGTGAAGCGGCACGATCTGTGTCTGCACCACCACCGTCCGATCAGGCAAGAGAAATCACGTCTGCTGCTGCTGCTGCTGCTGCTGCTGCTGCTACTACTCCCAAGGCAAAGGCCCCCGTCTCTCTCCACGAATCAGTGCCGACCCTCCAGCCAACGGCCAAGCGACCTGGCAGTGCCGCCAGCCAAAGATCTGCTACTGTCAATCACCCGCCGTTGCCCGCGGATCATCGCCAGACGATTGCAGCTGCGCAGAAGGAGGGCGCCCAAAGCACTCCTGGAGCCATGGGTCCTCCTCTTGCCCCTGCCTCCGCCTACAAGCAGACGCGGCCACGTACCCCCAACGATCAGGCGTCGCAGACGACGAGTAACTCGAAATACACTTCTGTCCGTACAACTGGCACCCGGCGTGGGAGTCAGCTCTCTCGGAGGTCCTCCGTCTCATCCTTTGCTTCGGAGCTCAACGAACGGTTCAATATGAACAGCGATCCTATGCCAGCCAATCACGGTTACGGCCCTGGTACCGATCCTCGCATGATCCAAGCCATTACGCAAACTATGATTGGTGAATTCTTGTGGAAGTATACTCGCAAGACAGTCGGGGGAGATATGTCGAACACGCGACATCGGCGGTACTTCTGGGTTCACCCGTACACGCGCACGCTGTACTGGAGCGAACAAGATCCTCAAACCGCCGGCAAGTCTGAACTCAAGGCTAAGAGTGTAGCTATTGAGGCTGTCCGAGTGATCGCCGACGACAACCCTTACCCTCCCGGTCTGCACCGGAAGAGTCTAGAGGTGGTCACTCCTGGTAGACGGGTCAAGTTCACCGCAGCCACCAGCCAGCGACACGAGACCTGGTACAACGCGCTGTCCTATCTGTTGTTGCGTAGTAACGGTGACGACTCGGAAGAAAATGACAACATCACGTCGGATGACATCGATGAATTCAATGTTAATTGCCGTACCACATCTCGTCAGACCAATTCGCGGTTATCGTTCTCTTCCTACAACAGTCGCACCGCTAGGAACACAATGAAACCGCGTGCTGGTTCCGCTATGTCGATGCGAACGGCGGCCACGCCGGGGCGTGCCTCGCCAGCGCTGAGCGCCCCGCAAGTTTCCACCGTTCGTGGCCCCGAACAAGCACGCTCCGCTTCTCGCTTAAGCACCGTGATCAATACGACGCTTCGAGGATCGTTTTCGAGCCTCAGGGGCAGACACAGTCATGTCGAGGACACGTATGACCCGACTGTTGCTGATCACGACAGCGCGGAGGACTTGAGACATGTGATTGAGAGACAAGAGCGCGAAGCGGACCGCTTGGAGAATGTCCGTGCCTGCTGTGATGGTGAGTGCAGAGGGATTTTCGACCCCTATGTATTGTTATTATTATGCTTTGGCATTTGGCTAACCATAGACTAGGTAAACACGATGTCAGTGCGCTCTCGAGGACTAGCCGGTATAGCCCAAGGCTCAACCGGCATTCGCATCATCACTAGAGTTGTCAATCCCTGTCGCGAGACTCCCGTCATCTCAACGGACCTTTCAACATAATTTTCATTGTGGTATTCATGACTAGATTATTGGGCCAGACTGCGCTGTTCTACTAGCGACGAGTTTCCTTTGTGCACTTTTTGTGCGTCATGCATCGCTCTCGTTTCCTCGTTTCATCTGGAAGCAAATGGAGTTTCTCGGTATCCGAGGTTACCGCATCAATATATCTTGTTCTTTTTTAATTTTTTCTTGGGCTCGGGGATTTTTGAAATTGCTCGCACACCGGGCTCTTCTCCATGTCATTGATAACTCTTCCATCACTTCCGCCACCTCATCTCCCATCACCTCCATCCCCGCTCCTAATCGGTTCGGTGTCTGGCTAAGTGCCTTTCGTTTTGCTTTAATACCTATAGTGACTCCAAAAAAGACGACCGCAGACTTTCCTATGTTGACTATCCTATCGTCTTCGAGACCTCAAGGTCTTGCCATTCTCTAATCGAGCTTCATTTTCGTTTCTATTTCAATGTTCGGATCTTTCTACAGCCAACTACTCCTTGTATTTTTTTCGTCTACTTAAGCTAGTGAATCTGTAATGAAAGTGAGGTTGACACTTGTGGTGGAACATCTGGAATTGTCGTCGTAGACGAGTGTAACTAGTTAGTAAATAACTTAGCTTGATCAGAACATTTGCTGGGACATTAGTTAGTTAACTATGCCTCTCTAATAATGTAACCTCCTTCGCCTCTAATGATGATAATAATAACAATAGTTGGAGACGGCTATTAAGTTACATAATCGGTGAAATACTGGATTCGGCAAAACCCCGGAGACTTTTTATTTAGTATCCGAACGGAGAGAGATAAGAAGAGAGACCCACTGACATCGCAGTCTTGTCCTGGCTTCGAAGACTGGAGGAAGAAGAGGTGGAATATCTATCTCGTCTATTGAGCTGCCTTCAAGGGCCAAGCAGGGTAAGAGAGGAAAAGTCCAGCTTATCTGATTGACCACATCTTTCTTTTGCTTAAGTTTCAGCCCCCAGAAATCCTACTTTGATTTCTGATCATAACAGAAACACCTTCCGATCACTAGTCGGTATAGTTTATGGTTAAAGACTACAACGGGATCTTTTAACTTTCACTTGATTCGAATTGGAGAAACAAGGATTGGAAAGCATCATTCCGCTTCGGCGTGAGCCCGCGTCCAGAGGAAATCATGGCATCCGAAGGATACCCTACCGTCTGGGAGCGCGTCGTGGCTCTCTTTGATCCTGCTCCGTTGCTTTGGAGGTCATCTTTTGGTATGTTGAATGATCCTCCCTTTCTCACTAGTTGTTTCCATATAGTATGGGATCACTGTCGTGTCGCTATAGCTGAGTCTTATTCGCGTCATGTCCTTCGATAATGTGTATCGAAATATGGACGACGACGACGACTACTTGTGACTCATGCTGTTTCGCATATCTATAATGTTGCAATTTCTCTCTCCCTTCACTCTGTGATTAATACCCTCAGTGGTCTGGACTAACTCAGTAACTAACATGAAATAAATAACAGAGTACTTCCGCATCTGTCTGGAAGCTGTATTCCTGCGTGGAGAACTGTTCTCGCCGATATTCAGGACTGCAAAGCTTCGCGATGAGGCGTTTGGGAGGTTCTGGTTGAAGTTTTCTGGTAAGCTGATTGATTCTCTCTCTAATCTAGTATTGTTTCTTTTTTGGTTCCAGTAATATTTTTATTTTTGGCCAATGATGAGGTTCGACTTTCTTTTTGTGTCATTTGAGGAACGATATAGTCTCTGTTCTTGTCTTTTCCAAAGCTGGGATCATCAACCTTGTCAAGCCTTCTTCTCCCTTTCCCTTACCTCCCCTTCAACTTATTCTTGATATACAAAAACAAAAACTGTACCAAAAGAGAAAAGAATCGCAATACTAACCATACCACCACAGCGGTCGATCCCACCGCACCCCCCAAACCACCACAAGGCTCCGCAGCCCTCATCCCACCACTTCTCGCGCGAGCATCAGGAACCGTCCTCGACATCGGCCCCGGCAGCGGGACCCAAATCCCCTTACTCAAAGACGTCACTACCATCCAGACAATCTACGGCGCCGAACCCTGTATCGGCCTACACAACGAGCTCCGCTCACGTATCCTGGCCGCGAACCTGCAGGATAAATACCGTATCTTGCACTGCGGTGCCCAAAAAGAGACTTTGATTCCTGCTCTTGAGAACGCCGGCGTAGACGTTTCCTCTCCTGCCATCTTCGATACGATCCTCTGTGTTCGTGTCCTCTGCTCGATTCCAGACCCAGACCGCACTATCGCCGATCTGTATGATCTGCTCAAACCCGGTGGCCAGCTTCTCGTGACGGAACATGTGGTGAATCCAGGGTGGAGATCCAAGGGGAGTATTCTCGCGCGGTTAGCGCAGGCGGTTTATGAATTGCTGGGATGGGGCTTCTTCATGGGCGATTGTCATATGAATCGTGATACGGCGAGATCGTTGCGCAAGGCGGCGGAGAAGGATGGAGGGTGGGAAGTGGTGGAGTTGGAGGAGCATTTTTGGTGGTCGCCTATTATGTATATTTCGGGACGGTTGGTGAAGAAGGCTTAAGATTGAAATGAAAAAATAGGAAAAAGTTTACTTTTCTTTCTTGGATGAATTGATTGATTTCATGCGTTTATTATATGTTCTATACGATATGGGTATCTTCTAATGATCTGAACTATAATATAGAAATCGAAGTGAAGTAAAGTAACGAAAATAATGACCAGCGCCGCTGGTTTATACAGAGATACATGGTGTTGATGATAACAGCCCAATATTGATCATTAGCTCATAGCGTGTCGCATATATTGTCGTTTCAACAAGGCTTCGGTCGTCCGGGTGGCCACCAATCGAAGAGGTCCAGAGCCTCTGATGTCCAGGGACCCTTTTCCTCGTTTTTGCTTTCGGGTTGCTCCGACAACGTCGGTCTTGCGATTGCTCTGTTTCCGTCACTGCTTCTTAAGGCTGTTGGATCCGAGACTGTTTTGCGGAATGTCTTTGGGGATTTTCTCGGTGGATGACGAGATGACAGGACTGGTTCTCTGACTGGGGCCTTTGGACTCGATGGTCGGTTTCGCTGCACAATATTTGGTTCAGGCGCTGCAACATGGTTGGTGATAGTGCTATGCTGTTTGCTGAGAGGAGAACGGGGTGGATTAGGCGGAGAGGAGTCAGTCACCGGATGGGGTGGAATCGAGTAGAGAGCAGTCCTTCGTTGATCCGACGAGGACTTTAGTTCCCTTGTAGTATCTGAACTTGCGGGACGATTCGGGGATTGCTCATCGATCATCTCATCGAGTACAAACAAGGTCGAGTCTGAGGGGTCAAATTCAGCTTGAGCTGGGGTATTAAGTGTAGTATCGTTATCGTTATGCTGGGTTGGCAACGAAGTGTTTTTCGCAGCAGGTGCATCACGCGTCTGCATCTGCGCCAGCGACTCGACTACTGGAGCTTTGTCTGCCCTTTTTGCTGCTGCTTCCAACAGCTCCATATACATTAATTTCTTCCGTGGTTTTGCGCTGGATAAGCGAAGTGCATTGATAGGAGCATCAGGGATGGGTTTCTTCGAAGCGGGCCCCGATGTGAATGATGAGGCTTTGGTTGAGGATGTTTTCGTTGTGTCGGGCTGCTTGTTCGGTCGATTTTCCGGCGCGCTGGCCGGGACGGGGAGGTCTTTTCTCGAAGAATGCCTAGCATTTGTATCTTCTTTATTGAGTCGATTCGTTGGGATGGGATTTGTCTTTGTAGGTGTTGCCTGCGGCGTTGGTGCATCGAGGTCAATCACCACAGGCCGACTGCGGATGTGCTGGTTGGGGTTCTTCCTGTGAAGTATAACGTCTTCTGACGGTAGTGGTTTCGGCCGTTTCGCGGGCCTTTCGTCCGGCTCATTTTCATCATGCTGCTGTGGTGGCTGCGCATGGCGTTGCTCGTACGGTGACTTGGGAGTGATTGACCGTCCAATGGGGGTTCTCTTGATGCCCAGAAGCTCGTTCAACGACTTGAGCGGATTTTGTGATCCTGCAGTAGACCTGGGTATTGATATTCTGGAAGACTGTGGAGTGGAATTGTCATGCTGTGGAGATCCTTGCGATGTCTTATTCTTTTCGAATAGCCCAGACAGATCAGTCTGCGTCTTCTCTATACACTCCCCAACCTGGATCAGAACGCCCTTGTCCAACTCCATCTCGTCCCCATCTTGTATCTCATCACTCTCCCGCCAATGCAGGTCTCCGATGAAATTCCCGGGGGTGTCGTACACCATAACCCGTTTGTTGAACGTGTGAAACCGAAGGAAGCCATCGTGCCATCGCTTTGCCTTGCGCCTGAGGTCGTGGGAGTAGAGACAGCGAAACTTGATCACAGGCGCTGTATTCTGGGTCAGAGGCGTCGACAAGCCAGGCGTGCTGCGTACTGCTGGAGAAAAGGGCGTCGACATGGCCGACCAAGGTCGTCTGCCTCGTCAAGACCATTCCTGGAGCTCTTGAGGTTTATCGCGCTGCGGGGGACGCGTCGGGCCAAGAAGCGATCGGTCTAACAGAAATTAATTTAAATGTAGACTAAAGCTGGTCAGCCAACTAAGTTAACTGATCCACGGAAAATGGCGGCTCTAACCTTAGTTCTGTCACTAAAAATATTGCCGTGGACCTGAACTGGGATCTTTCAAGGGTAGAGTCGAGTCAACGGAGTGGTTAACTATCCCCAGAGCTGCTTCTGGTGAAATGTTTAAGTTGGAGTCTGCCAGCGAAGCCACCAGGACAGACAGACGCTTAGATAGACAATCCGGTAACTAGTACAGCAATCAATGAATCAACTAAATCACGTCTCTCAGCCACTTTTCTGTACCACTCGAAATACCATCCTGCCCCTCACCTAGTAATAATAGCCTCAAGCCAAAAACGAGCCCCTTCAACCGGATGGGATGCTCCGCTTTTCGATTGCTGTCAGCGACTGAGCGCCTGTTAGCATCCAGCGATCGACACAATCTGTACTCTTATCCCACGCGCGATATTCTTCCGGAGCGAACAAGAGATTATAGAATCACCCACGCATGTTGGCGGCTGAGAGCCTCGTGGTGGACCGGCAGAAGGCGGTGCTTTGCATGGGGGCTGTCCATAACTAAGTAAACGCCTCTTCCACCTAGTCTACAGCCTCGCGGTCTCTCTCTCTCTCTTTCTCTCTTCTCTCTCCCAGCGTGGCTGCGCCGTTTGACCAAGTGACATAACTATCTAGCTGTTGCCTTGAAGCTTCAAAGATACCAGTCCCGCGCCAAATTTCTTCTCTATCCGGGAATTCTGGTACTGTGCATAGCATCGCCGACCTTCCCCGCAGTATCCAGAAGTACCTGGGTACCCTTTAGCTTTTTTTCTTTTTGCGTGAGCATTCTCACCAGCAAGACACAATGCAAGCCGTCCACAGGCAATTTGGGAAGTTTATGAAACGGTTGCCCGACGACAGTCAAGTCTCGGTGCTTCTGAAGGACTTTGACGATGCTGATCAGCTACTGGGACGAGTACGTTTGATCTCTCCCCAACCGCTTTTGCGCATTCTCAAGAGCTAATTTATTATGCGACAAAATTTCCAGATCATTGACTCGTCGCAAGCCTGGCGTGACGCATGGACGTCTATTTTGACCTATCAGTCCCGACTGGTCGCTGAATTCGAAGGCCTATACGCGCCCGTGGTTGGATCTTCTGAAAGTACCACGGAGAGGGAACCGGTTCCGACTCCCGAGAAGACGCTGGCGAGGACAACCAAGCTGCGTGAGGAATATGAAGATCTTCGGAAAGATTTGTTGGAGGTCGTCAATTCTGTCGACGATAGGATGATCAGACCGGCCTCGCAGGCTAAAGACTACCTGACTCCGATGAAGAAGACGATCAAGAAGCGGGAAGATAAAAAGGTTCGTTCGCGTTCGTTCGCATCTAAAGTGGAACTTTGCAAAGATTGGCTGACGAGTTGCAATCTATTAGCTGGATTTCGAGCGATATCAGAGTCGGCTCGATAATTCCCGCAAAAAAACAAGGCGCTCAGATCGTGAGAATGCTGCATTGGCAAAGACAGAGGCGGACTGGGCCAAAGCGAAAGATGTATGATCTTTCCTTCCTGGAATATATATATCTAGAACCTCAAAAGCTGACCGCAGAAAGATCTACGATGCCGCAGACGATAACCTGCGACAGCACCTACCAGGGATTATCTCAGTCACCTTCTCACTGATTCCCCAGCTCCTGGCGGCGCAGATTGAGATCCAGAACACCCTGCTCGCTCACTGTTACACCTCACTCCATAATTATTGCGGAGAGGAAGGATTCCCATCTCCGCCAGCTGAGATGGATCAGATCATCCAAGTCTTCGAAATGGACTTCCTTCCCGTCCAGCAGCAGATAGAAAGCCTTAGCTGCATCGCCAAGGTTAAAAGCCGGCAACAGTCCGCTCATGGTCGGGAGAGTGCGCATGGGAATGGCCTGAACTCGCGTCGTCCGAGCAGTCACGCGGAGAGCAAACCTGCTCTGTCATCTATGCCATCATCTCTGCCAGCCGGCGCGCGCATCCCTCCGTCGCCATCCTACTCGACGAAGCCACGCATCAACAACAGTCCCTCTCCTTCTGCATCCACCTATCTCACACCGGCGAGCTCCGTCGCAGACTCGGATTACTCGAACTATCAGTCCACCCCCGCCTTGTCGCCCGCAGGACCCGCCTTCTCGCCTGCAGGTCCCAAGTCAGATTACTTCGCCCGGGATCGACAGCCTTCAACAGCCACTAACGGATCTTCTGGATCTGCTGCATTTCTCAGTCCTGGGGCAGGTACGAATGTTATGGGTATTGTGAAGAAGAAGCCTCCGCCACCGCCGCCTTCTAGAGCTGCTTCCTCGCCTGCTATATTCGTCACGGCCCTCTACGACTTTGGAGGCCAAGGTGCAGGAGATCTTGCATTTAGAGCAGGCGATCAGATTCGTGTGCTCAAGAAGACTGAGAGTACGGATGATTGGTGGGACGGCGAGCTTCGAGGCGTAAAAGGGAGCTTTCCGGCGAATTATTGCGAGTAATACGATACCTACTCTGAATGTCCTAGGCTGGGTCAGGATATATGTTGTTGCATTGGTCATTGCATTCAGAGAATATCTGAGTTAGCTCAGGGATACACGCTCTAACTAGTTAATATTGGTCGGTCGTTATGTAATTTCACGAGAGGATTTCGTGGCTCCATGATATATGCTATGGATGTCAATGGGGTAATGGTAATAATTTATGAAGCAAACCAATATGAGATGACAGAAAGACCCACCGAATACCGCATGCTTGACCTGTGTTGCTTTGTACCAAATTCCACAAGTATCGCCGAAACTTCGAAAGCTAGATGGGATCTTCCAGTACGGAAATCATTTCTAGTCCTAGTCCAGTCATGAGTCGAGGTAGTTAAGAGTCGGAAGGTTATCCAACAGGACGCTTGCTTCCTGTTTGCATACAGTACTCCTGTCTATAATACAACTGTCAGAGTAAAGCTAACTATATACGTTGTCGCCTCACCAGACACGATAATAAATACAAGTATGTGAATAACCCTGCATGGCCCCTTTGTGGTAGCGACCCCAATCGGATAACAAACCAGAAGGACGGCCCCTCTCTAGTTTCCTTCACTGATCGGAAAGAACGCACAGGTGTTTGTTGAAGGGAATCTCAATCTATAAGAATGCTGGCTCGGAGCTATCGGACGTCGTATTTTGCTGGCGTCGGCTGTTCAAGAACATGTCAACCATACGCTTGCTGCTAATAGTTGACCGGAGCTCTTGGAGCTTCGTGTGGTCGTCCAAGGCCATATTACTATATGAAGGAATCGAGCTAGTCCTCGAGTTTTCTTTTGCTGACCTCACGGTATCCCGCCGACTGCGGATTGATTGAAACTGTACCCCTTTTGCGTCTCTAAAGGGGCTGTTTTGATGCTGCTCACGGAGTGAATACCTCTGCCGAAGCCTGTTTGGCTCTCTTCTGGGAGTAGGTGATTCCGGGACTTGGGTTGACCCGTCTGACTCTGACACTGAATAGGTCCCAGGTTGGTCTCTTGCAGCGTCTTCTTTCGAAGACGAGACAGGTGATAGTTTAGGCGCCTGCTCAGATCCTCCGAATACGTCAGTCTTCTCGCCGTGATTCTGCACTTGCGTTGTGTTAGAAGATTTCCGTAGCGACAAGGATTTGACTCTACTTTGCGAACGATATAATGGCCTCGAAAAATTATTCTGTACCGGAATCTGCAGTTCTTCGAGAGGATTCCGGCTCTTGGAAACCTCATGTCCTATGAGGCTCTCAGGATGCTGAGGCTCCTGGTCGTCGATTTGCGTATCTTCCCTGTAATGTTCTCTTGCTAGCGGCTGGCCCAGTGGTGCGCCACAACTGTGCTTGTCAATTCTAGCCATCTCAGAGCTCATCCAGGATTGCCAATCTCCGCTTGGTTTAATAGACACAACGGGAGGCTGAGAACTGGTCACTCTTCTTGGGGAAACGTATTTTGTCCTCTGGCTTTCGAATATCGTAGCCATACCTCGCGCATCTGAAGATCTAGGTGAATTATCGACATGCACCATTGGCCCCTGCTGCCTAGGGCTGTTACCACCTGTTGTCCTGGAGTATACGCTGGGAGAGTCCGGTTCGATCTCTCCATGGACGAGTCTAGAGACGATAACGCTTCCAGAATCATCATCAGAATAATCCCGTGCTCTATCCATCGAAGCCATGGCCCGTCTGTATGGGCTCGGTGTTTCCGGTTTGTCGCAAGGAGATGTTGGGAAGAACGTGGGCCCAGATTCTCTTAGAGGTCGGGATGATCGATAGTGAGATGTATTGCTCTGACGCTCGTTGTGTTGCACTCGGTTTTGACCTCCCGAATAAGGGTTCCGCACAGGAGATGGGCTTTGTGTGCTGAAGGGCCGTACATTGGCTGTGAAAAATGATGTTGTCGATTTCATCGACGACTCACTTGGCACCTGACGAATACTACGGCTACTGCGCAAAGAGTAGACAGATGAAGCTCTTTCGGGGATGGGTTGGCCCCCTGGAACACTGCCAACAAGTATCTGCTCATCTTGCTGTAGAGCATTATTATCGATACGTTTCATCAACGCGGAGTAAACACGTTGAGTATCGACGGAGCCATCCAGTTTGTGAGCGCTGGGCCTTGCCCTTAACGGTTTGCTGAATGCAGAATATCCACGTCTAACATAGCCTTCTGGCGTAGTAAACCCAGACGACTGCGCAGGGTCTCCGTACTCTCGGATGATACACAAATGATTGCTGTCGACCGGGTTCCTGGTCGCAATGGTATTGGCTGCAGTGGAATCTGTCCAGCTTGTCACACGTGAATTCGACGTGCAAAGACTCTCAGAGCTTTTCATCATTCGCACGGTTGGTGCTTCGCTGACACGACTCTCCATAGAATCACGGTAGTACTCGTAAGGCGCACCCTCAGAATAGTTATTTTCGGTTGGGGTCTCTGGCAAGACGCCGGTATCTGCTTCTCTTCGTGTCGAGATGTAATCACCAAACTGTGACTGAGGAGAGTACAGATTCTGATGTGGAAGCTTTTGCTCGGTAGAAGTTGCTCGCCCGAATACACGTTTCAATCCGTTCTTTATTGTAGATACTGACAGAGTCCGGAATTTCGAACGGAGACCTCTTCCTGTTTGTTCCGTCCAGAAAGGGACAGAGTCGAGCGCGCTTCCAGACTCACTAGAGGCTCTAATCGTCTTCCTCAGTGGCTTTTGTCCTCGCCTGTGTTTCAGGGCAAGAAGGGATGACCGGCGTTGTTCCCCTTGGTGTTCCATATCCCTCAAGTACTGATCGCGGGCCAGCTGTATGGCTGCATCATGACTTTTAGTATGCCTCAACGGTTGAGAATGTTGGTTTCTTCCTTTGAAGAAGGACATAGACCGCCTCAGACTTCCATGTTGAGGATGATCCCCGGATCCTTCCTTTTGTACGTGACTTCCGCTTGCAAGGCCTGCCGTTCGACTGTCGGTGAAATCGAATGTACGATGTCTAGTGGAGAACATCGATTTAGCCTTGCGAAGACGTCGATAAGATGAAGGAACAGAAGAATCGCCGCCATCCAGTCCTTGGAACTCGCTGATCGGCGGCAAGATACTCGGGGAAGTAGTGCCATCTGCAACAGAGCCTGCAGTAAACGGTATAGAGGGCGATATGCTGGCTATTGACATTTGGCTTACAGAACGTCCCTCATCCGCAAACCGTATACTCGGGGGACGATGTCTTTGAGTAAAGGCAATGGCCTCATTTCCATTCGTATAGTCGCACGATCCGCGCGAATCGCCTGAGGATCTCTCACTTGCGCGCTGGAATGCACGGGAAGCTGCTACCATAGCATGATGTTTGGCGGTTACAGGATCTAGAGGCTCTGGTAGTGGAGGTATCTGACGGCGTTTCTGAACTGAAGATGTGGATTTGGCACGTCTCAACCGACCTCTCGCGTCGTATGAGGCTCTCGTAGTCATGTTTGGTGAGAGATATCTTGAGTTTATATTCTGAATGATATACTCTGATGCAAGAAAGGAGATCTGCGACACTGATCGGAATACATGTAGAGCTTGGTATGTACAAGTATGGAGAAGTGGAAAGTCCAGTTACCATGATGTTGAGTGTGCAGGAAACAGAACAGGTAGTCACCATCTTGCAACGATGCTGTTTCCTGACAGAGATAATAATCATAAACAGAGACTGGCGGCAGAAAGAAGGAGCAACCGTATCATCTTTCTTGTGTGTGAAAATCATTTTCTTACCTTTCATCGCCGATGAGGTGTGGTTGCTGGATATCTTGTTCCTCACAGAAGTGGTTATTTCTTCTGAAGGCTAAAGCGAATTTTACAATATACTGTAGTTTAGTTGTCGCATCTATATCCACCACCTAGAAATAATTGCCTGATTGGAGATGTTAGCTAGCCTGGAGGCACCAGGCTGCCTAGTCCTAGTTGAGAATTATGCTTACCACGGCGTCTGGAAGCACCACACAAAAATCAACTCCATACTCAGTCTAGGTTCCCGATGATTGCTGCCTGTGCGGCGTCACCCTGACTCGATATTATTGACAATGAGTCACCCGTTACTGCACAGCTGGTACATATCACTACACCCAGCAAGAGAATAACGAAGAGAGTTCTAATTCAAGTATTCATACAATATTGTCGGGGATCACTCAACACGGACATTCCCAGCGTCTGCCTCAGACGCGAGCTACCATTCAGCTGGTCGCAGATTCTTTCTCTTGGTCTCACGGCATCATCACAAACATGGCTTCGGGAGAGAAAGAAGAGACCAATATTGTACGGATCGATGGCAGGACACTCGAAGGAGGCGGTCAACTTGTGCGAAATGCGTTGGCCCTATCAGCCTTGACCTCTATCCCGGTCACCATCGATCACATTCGCGGAAACAGAAAAGGAAAGACCGGCTTGAAGGGTTCGCACACTGCGGCAGTGAAATTTCTTGCTGAGATTTGCGGAGGACAAGTTTTGGGCGCACGTGTCGGGTCGTCACAGATAACTTTTTACCCGCAAGGACGATTGAATGAGCCATGCATCAAACCAGAGTACACCATCCAACAATCGACGCCTGGTTCGATATTCCTCGTCTTCCAGGCTTTATATCCGTACCTACTCTACGCCGGGGCACGTACTCATGCGCATTGGCCTATAAGACTGAATGTCACCGGTGGAACTAATGTTTCGTTTTCTCCTTCGTACGACTATATCGCACAGGTCCTAGTTCCTAATCTTGAAAAGCTAGGTCTGCCACATCTCTCAGTCAACCTGAACAGGCGTGGATGGGGGACTGGGCCACTTGATCTTGGATCCGTGACATTTGAGATTTCTCCGCTCACATGCGGCCCAACAAAAGATGCGACAAGTGCGCATGATAAATCATCCTGTGTTGATACTGACGGAATAGCTGCATCTCAACCTCGGTCCTCAGATCAGGGGGTATTAGACTCGCATGGTCCAAAGTTGGACCGATCCATCCCGAAATTCCCGTCCTTCAGCATCAGAAGACACAGACGCGGTACTATCACCCGCATAGAGGTCACGATACTTGCTCCGGAGATCCCTTTACCAATTGATGATATACTCAGTGATAGCGATCCAAACACGGCTAGACGACGCTCAAGAACCACAGGAACTTATACTGTTCGTTCGTTCTTGCAAGCGGAAACATGCAGGGGCCTGGCGGATGCTCTAGCCTCGTTGCCTAGCCATCTATTTTCGAACAGTGATAACAGAATCCCCGTCAAGATACACATATCAGAAGCAACGGGCCACCCTACGCGTCTTTACGTGCTTCTGGTAGCTCATACTTCCACGGGCTTCAGACTCGGACGCGATGCGTTATTAGATGGCCGTGCAGACAGTGAGTCCACCGAGTCTAGAAATAATAAACCTGGAAGGCACAGGGACAGACAACACCGCTCTTCGCACTCCAATTCATCTAAAGATAGCATGCGGTCAAGGATCCAACGGATGATCGACAGATGCATAACTGACTTTATGGAGGAGTTGCAACCAGCGGAAGGGCCGGGTGACGAAGATAGTACAAGCGGCCCCGATATACGAGGCATCAGCAAAGAAAAATCATGCGTTGACGTTTTTATGCGGGATCAACTCGTCATTTTTGAAGCTCTTGGAAAGCTCCAAAACACCAGAGATGAATCAGGGACATTAACTGGTATAGATGAAGAAATCGAGGAAGACGAGCACAGTTGGAGTATGCATACTCGAACAGCAATGTGGGTGTGCGAGCAGTTCCTGGGGGCCAAAGTCTGAATTTGAAGGGTGGCATGATAATAATAATGATAATACTAATACACCTCTAGATTTGGCTGCAAATGGTTATAGAGCAGCCGGAATGTATTGGTAGTTTCAGCCGCCCGTATTCTCGATCATCTGATAACCCACAATCATAAAGATCACTGTCAGTCAGATAAGATGACAACAACTTCTGTCTTCTGAACCCGAAACCAGACGAATGAAGGAATTGATAGACTCGGTGTCGGTCTACTGACGACTCCGCGAGAAATGGGCTTCAAACTTAAGGCGAGAAAGAAGTCTAGACCCCAACGTTAACTGGAAGATCACCACATAATCCCTGGCTGCACGATAGCTATCTATCTGCTATTTCAAAGTCCTCCCAGATTCTCCAGGAAAAGCCCCTAGATATCAGATGTGAACGCATCACATTTTCTCGGAAAAAGGGCCCCTTTCGGCCTTTTGCCGACGAAGAAGCTCAAAGCCACGCATGCAACGCCACTAGGCAGGGGAGCCTCCGCGTTATCAGCATTCCGAATGCCATGCCATACCGATGAAGCTACGACGACATGCGCGGTCAAAGACGGCCGGTCCTTGGTTGAGTATGGTATTGTCCTAAGTACTCCTCGAACCACCTCGTGTTGTGGAGAGATGGGTCGTAAGCACATGCGTATACATCGAGTAGGGACTAACTACAACCCATCTTGCTTATTCCACAAACGCATTGTCAGAAACAGGGAAGATGCCATGTTAAATTAACCATTTCACACTGGATCGTCCAACTTAAAGCAAATTAAAGGCGAGACAAGGGGCAAAGTCAAAAATGGTTGAACGCAGTCACCGCACAGTGATCCCATCCCATCCCGATCAGACCAGACCCTGCCGGCTCGGGCGGATCTAGAACTACATACTGTAAGTACTAGATACACGGCGGGATCTATTGGGCCACGCGGATCAACTGGGAATATGGTACACATTACCATAAATTACTGGAGTGGGAATTTCGACATGGAATTGAGCTGTGAATAAGTAGGGATAGATGATAACTAACAGACAGCATCTTTAGTACTTAGATTCACATCGAAGTAACTCAAGAGAGTAATGCATAATCCGAACAGTATTCCCACTACAAGCAATAATGTGGCTCGGCCCATCCCTGCATATACCTAACCCATGCCGTCTTCCTTGCACCTGTATTAACTTTATTAACTCGTGGCGCAGTTGCAGCAGCAACAGTAGTAGTACTACTACATAGCGGAACAGTAACCAACCAAAACGGAACTTCATCAACTAAAACTTGTTATCCGGATAAAGGTACGTAATCATTATAAGCACCTCCAGTCTCTTCGTCTCTTCCGACTCACGGCTTCGGATCGGATCGGATACTAGGTAGAGCACTGCTTTCCGTGAAAGTGAAATGATAAAATAATAATGCATACGCATAACTCTCCGAATGGAGAATTAAGTACTACATTATTATTATTATTATTGCTATTGCTACTATGCATTGCATACTACAATCCACTGTATTATTATTGTTATTATTATCGGACTAAGCTATTGTACTAGTAAGTAATCTATCACATTCTTCATCCCTAAAGCCTGGAAGTCTTGCAGTGCAATTTGAGGTCAAGCTAGTTTCGAGTCACAGAGAGAGAGGGAGCTCGTGCGTTACTACACTAACTAACTACTGTATGTATTATTATTGTATTATTCTGTACTAAACACCCAGATTCAATCCCAGTGCCAAGATGGGTGCGGGAAGGGGGAGAATTCTATTAAGAAAACTAACAAGAGTCATTCGTATTCGTATCCCGATCCACTATTATACTCGATTAGTGACTTGTATGAACATGATATAGATATACTGTCGAAGTATTTCGTCTTCTCGATTTTATATACAGTAATTAATCTACAGAGATTAAGTTACTCTGAAAGTGCTTTACACTACTACTTAATGTATAAGAACTCCACAAACCCCAGATTCTGTCACCAGTCATTGTGATGTGGAGGAAGGAAGGGTTGCTAAGTAGTACCATACATAACTCCAGCTTGTCTAGTAAACGATGCAGTAACTAAGTGGAATTTATCCCTGGAGATCTAGAATATTCGTATAGAGAGTCTGATAGGTCCGTCGCTAGAGTCTACGTATCATAGCCGCAAGGGTTACACTGCAATTTCGCATGGTCTGGTCTGACGGTCTAGGAAGGTGGATGAATGGGACCTCGTGGATGGATGGATGGATGGGCCTTCATGATCCTTCCGTTTGCGGCCCTCTTGACAGGTAAGTGCGGAGCGGAAAAAGGATCCGAATTATGGCGTCTACAACCTTGTGTGTGTGTGCAATGGTTCTCTCTCCGCACTTCATTCTAGATGGGGACTACAATGATTGTTATTAATGAATGAGATGGGATTGGATTTGGAAAATCTCCATGGTAATCGAGTAGAAAGTAAAGTGCCGCGCCGTACATATCTCCCGTCTCATCTGGCATGGATATCATACTGATGTTGAGAATACCTAGGACTAAGCGGAGACATAAGCGGAATAAGCGGCATAAGCGACAGTAATTGTTCGTTGTAAAGCTGACAGGTGGTCCGAAAGTGGTAATTATTAACGCATGGTCAGAGGCTCAGAGCATAGTTATCCAAAGGGCGAGGGTCACGACGGTGGATCCGCCGTCGTAAAATCGAGACGAGACTAGTTCTGGAGGACTGGGAGCTTCTGTAATTTACTCGAGCTTCTTGCTGAGCTTCTGGAATCTGGACGGAATCTCCATCTTACCTAAGATCAGAAGGCATGTCAAGACTCAAGCCACACTTGTCTCAGCCTAATAATCAAAATAACGATTCAGCTTTCCCCTTCTCCGATGCCCAGTGCAACGAGGCTGACAGCCCTGGCGCTGCGAGGCTGTGGCTGAGCCCCGTTTACAGCCCCAGTGGGTAACTTAACATCTGACTATCCAGTCGATAGATCAATAAAGCTGGGTACGTACGGAGTACGTAGTGTCTTTCTTCGACCCGTGGATGGTTCAACAGCCACCCCTGGCCCACTGAACGAGAAACAGATTTCTTGTAAGTTCTTTTTTCGTTGTGAACACGATGAGAACTTCCACATGTATCTAGTGCTGCTCGAAAAGAGATCCAGTCGATGGTGAGGCATTTCGGAGACTGCCCTCTCTTCTGGTCGCCGTTTGGCAAACAGAAAGAAAACTCGACCCACCCCCTATTATTTATTTTCCGACAGAGAACAAACAGAAAAAAAAAAACAGTCACAGCGTTTTTCTCATACGTAGCGTAGCAACCGAAAAATTCTAACGGGGCCTTAGTCAGTTAGTTTAGGGGCATAAAATCAAGGTTCTGTGGTGACACTGACAGGCGCCCCGACAGCCCGTCCGCGCGAAACCCTAGTGGAAGAGTTAGAGTAGTGCCAGGGGGAAAGATCGAGGGCCGAGGCGCTCTGTCCAGGGCCCTTGTTCGGTGGCAAATTATGATTCTACCATACCATAGGGTTATTGACAGAACGAAGGACGAAAAAGGGAAATGGACAAGGAGAAGGAGATTTCGGCGCGGCTGGAATCTGCTCCTAGCTGTTCTCAACGGACTCTTGGGTCTTTTTGCCTTGTTGCCTTGTTTGCCCTGGTGTGCCTCCTCCTCATTCCAGCCCAACCCCAGGCTTTTCTTTATTTTTCTGGAGAGAAACGACACTAGCGATGCATGCACATTGCAGGGCGACTGTCTCGATCTCGTGAAGGGAGACGATCTGCCCAACTGGGGGGGAACTTGAGGGGTAAGCTAGAGGTGAGGTCATCGCCTTGGCATCGAGGCTGTCGAAACAGCAAGAGATCGATTGATTCATACTATTATTATTATTCATTAACTTCCGACTCCGTATGAGGATCAAGTCTAGCTGCGTGGAGCAGCGACTCTGCCAATACCATCCGGTACGGACGGCACACGGCTCGAAGGGATGCCAGCGGCTGGGGACGGATGGCGGAGCATAATTTCATTTCTAGCGTCTTTGCGCACGCTATCGACTAAGTATCGACTATCGACGATTGCAGCAAAGGCGAATCCACGCGCTCGCGGCGTGGATGGCTTCTCGGCCGTGGTATCACAATCACACAAAAGAGCATAATTAAAATACATGATAAGAGGAACAAAAGAAGGAAACAAGATATATCGTAAGAGACAGATTTCCCACCCATTCCCGTCTGTCAGCATGTTTCCAGACGAACAATGGTGGCGGTGGGAAGGCGGGATTGCCCCGCGGATCGGATCACAAGAGATCCAACATTAAAAGAGATAATCAAAGAAATGATTAGAAAAGAGTACACAGGGGGTAAGATCTAAACATGAAACCAATTCCGCTGAGTTGACCTCACTGCGCGCCGGCGGCAGTCCTCATGTCCTATCAACCACGCGTGGTGTTCTATCTCCGTCAATATGCCCGTCCGTAACTTTTCCCTACCAATCCCAGAATGAACGAGAGCGTCGAGATGCCAGATCGCGACGGAGGTCAATCAGCCCGAACACCAGACCAGGTTGCACGAGCTTCGCTGCCGACGGGGAATCCCAATACGTCAAAGGGAGAAAAAAAGGGGAATAAAACCGAGTAGTAGAAGAACGCCGTCGCTTTCCGTCCGAAACAACCTCCGGATATGCACGAATCAGAGACGAGAAGAAGACGAAGACATCGCTGGTTGTTTCAGAGTAGTCGCGAAACAAACCATCAGACCTCGTCAATCTTGATCTCTGATTCTCGGGTGGTCTCCGCCAGGTACGGTCTCCGGTAATGATCTCTGGGCTGAGACAGCGGAGACGAAAGTGCTGACGGCCGTCGTAGTTTCAGAGTCTGCAGGGAAAGAATTGCTCAGTCGGAGTTCAAAGATAAGACAATCCAGTATCTAGAATAATGAGTGACAACTGACCATACAGTCTGAGCACTTTCCTCCTGGGATGTTGACACGCCCACGGCATCCGCGGGGGTAGTTGGCGCAGGAATACATGTTGGAAATAGTCGACACGACCACGGATGATCAGAATTGTAAAGCAGTTTGGTGGTTGACTGGATGAGAGGATAAACGTTCACTCCGCAATAGACTCCGGGTTCCTTCCTGGATCCTTGTTCTCGAAACTCGTTCGAATCGTGGGAGTATCTATGCCTTGCTGGACGCGCAGCACGTATACTTGGCGGACGTCGAGATCTAGGATCTCCAGTAAGATGGCAGTAGACCTCGTGGTTCGTATTCGCAGTCTGACAGGTAGTTCAGTCGATATCTGCTGACTGCACAGTGGACGGTGGTATGTAGTTGTCTGGTCGTATGGGGTAGTGGAAAGGAAGGTCGAGAACTACAGCAGGACAAATAAGTATAGCGGCACAGAAGGATCTGAGCGGAGGGCAGCCCACGCGACAGGAGAGCCAAGTGGGATTTATACCGACGTAGGCCCGTTGTTAACAGCTGTGCTGATCGATAGTGGGTGATTTGTCCAATCCTGGGGGGGAATAAGCACGAGCATCGACTTTTGGGCTCAGCGCAAGGCACCGCCTTGTATAGTTTTGACTCGTAAAAACCGGGCTTCGTACGAGGCCAGGTTTACATTACTAGTGGGCTCACAGTCTCCATCTGGCGCAACGGATAACTATCCATCGTACTTTATCGGCCTTTGCGAACTCTACTTTACTACTTCTCGATCTCCATCTCCCCTCCTCGCCCTTCCGCACCTGGTATGGTTCCCACTTTCGCCTCCCCAAGGGGCTCACGTCTCCATCATTGCGTGCGTTCTGGATCTGTCCAATACTACTTACTGTACCCGCCATGGATCAAAGCTCGCTCTCTATGACGCTCTTCCTTTCTTTGCCGCCATTCCGCCAGGAGTCATTCATTCATTCATTCATCCATTCATGGCTGGGAGATGCCACCCGGGGACATCACTCAATTAAACAGACATATCAGAGCCAATACTACTGCTGGCAAACTATGCTCACCATCACATTGCAGGCCGCGTGGAGAGCTGGCGCATATCCCTGTCAGAGCCCTAAGCAAATAGCTAGTGGCTCCGAAAGATGAGTTGATTCCTGCTGTTATTACTTATTGTTATTGTTACGATGGCCCACTCGCCGAACAAACAAAGTTACCAACGTTTCCCAATCCTCAGTTTCGGGTCTGCCTGGATGAATGACTCGGTGACAGCGCTGAGTCTGGACCTGTCTTTCTGTTTTTTTACCTTCGTATCGTTTCGTCGCGCTTCCAACAGCCTTGTGGATCCCTTTCAGCATAGGTTTCCTGCACCGCGGGAGTCGCCGTTCTAGCTCGATTTGGACCGGTGCTGTTCTGATCGATGGAACAGACGAGCATGCATCGTTGACTGACATGGGCAGTCTGCAAACAGGGTCGTTCTCGAACCGGGATGGGCTCCTCAGGCACTCTGCGGATCCAAGGACTTGGACCAGAGACAAAAAGAGTATTATTACACAGTGCGGAGTCGAGATGCTGGAAGCCACCTTCGTCGTTTCGCTGCCGCTTCATGATTATTCTTTCCGTCACCCCGGAGAACAGGCCGCGCGAGTCTGTTTAATTACTTGTTCGTGCCACTGGAGCCTTTTGGCATATGAGTCGAATGACCCAGATGCAGAGGTTAGCCTGTCCAGCTGTCATGACCTTGGCTTTGGCCCCTCTCTTTACTGACTTGCAGCGACTAACTAACGGCCCGTATGAAGCCATTGCCGAGGATCATCCGTGTCGGCTCACAGATAGACTCCGGCTGGTTCCATTGGTATCTGCTCTATAAACAATCATAGCAATTCTTTGACGATACTGGCTTCCTGTGCCTCGGTATTCGAGACGTTCTCTGCCTGTCCATTATTATGGCTGCGATCCTTTCATCTTCCGTACCACGCCAATGGAAACCTGGAACGGCAGCCGGGCATGCCGTCTTTGACACCAGAACCCCGACCATGCCGTAGCTGCCATGATCAAAACAAGCATAATGTGAATTAATTACAAGACCTGTGTCCAGGCGTCAGACAAGACGCACTCGAGCCATACCATACAAACCGGTCATACCATGGGCAGGCGGGGAACGTTCTGCGACGCCCTTGTCTGGAGATGCAACTGGCTCGAAAAAGGTCTTAAAAGATCACCAGCTAAACGCCCTGGCCTCTCCCTGGTCTAGCTTACTTGCGTGTCAATCCTGTCCTTGTTTCTTCATGGCTCTGGCTCGGGGCCATGACAGGCGCCCAACAACCATGACTCTCCGCATCGACGATACCGTTGCAGACTTCCTTATCGCACGCTGAAACCCCGCTGGTCGTATCGACGACGCCTCCTACAGTCAGATGGTATCATCTTGAAACGTCGCATTGCCGCAAAGCATAATTGCGGAAGAATACCGGCTTTCCATTACGCGTTGATACTCCTGTACCGTGTAGTTTCTTTCCGGGGTATTCACGGCATACATAGCGTCCTTTTCAGTCCGCACAAGGTCGCGCGCTAGTATGGAGGAATGACCATATGATCATAAACATGGGTATGCCTACCTTTAAAATAATCGTCAAAGATGCCATTTGCAGACAAGTTTCCGTGACCGGCTCATAGCCAATTCCGGGTACTCCCTCATTCCTGACATATGACGGCAGCCAATTCAGGGCTCACAGCCACCTATTGCCAGCAACTCATCATGGCTCAGCCAGGCCAGCTTATCATTAACAGAAACATCTATACGTGGTTGACCGCTCCTTCTGCTTACTGACTTCGATGGAATCTTTGATATTAACTGGTTAAAGCGGTCAAGAAACACATATAGGAGCCGTGGCAGCTCACTGTTGTTGATGGTCTCCAACGCTATTGAATGGATCTTCGAAACGCGGTTTACCATCAAGACTATACAACTAACTAATCATTCACCATGATTTCCAGAGGTCTAGAACATAGATCCGAGTCCCCTCGAATTACCAATCCGTAAGCGGTGGCCAAGTGGGATAAATTACCAGCCGGCTGTCTACGGCTGCCAGAGCCTTAATGTGGTAATTAGGCGGATACCGCCACCGTGCGCTGGTCATCCGGCTCACATGCGCACTTCATAATAGCAATGATAATAATTCATGGCCCACGAGGAAAGTTCCTTAGTCTTCCAGAATCGATTTCAACACAAGCCATCCGCCAGCGGCGCCAATTCCGGTCGCGAGAAGAAGGCCAAGGCCCTCCCACGTTGTTGACAGATACGCAAGGAAACCCACTATGAGTTCTTTGGTCCTTGCAGCTGCACGCCTGCTCTCCCAGTTTGGGTCGAGCTGGAATGGTGGCAGAGGCCTAACATCGCCAGACTGATCGATGCCTGAAGAACCTCGGAGAGGTTCCAATAAAACCGAGACAGATAAGGCAACGGCACGGTGATCAGAGGTTGGGAACAGAGGAAGAGAGCTGTAGACGTGGGGCTGGACATGCCCACGTTCCTTCGTCCCCGGTGGCAGGTCTAGATATAAGATCCGGTCGCACCAACTGGGCCAGCGGTGTCTGGCCCATTTCCACTCTTGAGTATCACCAAGTCGCGCCTCTAGACATGCCAGTGCTGAATACTTGTAGGTGGGTGGGAAGCTGATCAGTTCCTCCGATAGCCCATGCAGTGTCTTACGCCTCTGAAGCTCTCGTGTGAGCTGGTCATTCTTTAACAGATGAGAGAAATGTCGGGGACTATCCACGTCCGCGGTAGGTTGAGGAAAGCGCCTATGGTCGTCTTTCGACGGCGACGTATCGCACGTGCGGTAATTCAAGTCACCGGCGACAAATAAATGCGACCCAGGCGCAAAGATCCCAGAATGGCTCGCGCTTTCATCTGATGTCTCGTCACTCAACAATGCGATCCTCTCCTCTCTATCTTCTCCTGATGCCCTGTTCCTCCGCCTGACGGTTTTCTTCTTCCCAAAGACTAACCGCTCCACAATGCTCTTCCAGTCCTCGTTCCTGCGTTCGTATTCTTCTTCCATTGGCGCCAGATGTGCAGCAACAAACGTCAAGTCAACCGTCTCATTGTGACCATCTTCCACCATGTAGCCCAATCGCGTTCCCACCGCTCCTTTGTTGCCCATCTCGAGAACGCCCACTCCCACTTGCGCCGTCTCCGTCCAAGAAATCCTATCGGAAACGTCTGATCTGACGAAGACCATCATTGCCGTCATGCCAGAGTTCTCCCTGATGACCTCGACGTAGTCCACCTCGCTCCCCCATTGTTTCGACACCGCAAGGTCAAGCGCACGACGGAAAGCGTCAAAGAACGCGGTGAGAAAAGAACCGCCTAGAAACGCATAAGACATCGGCGCGATCTCTTGGAGTGAGAGAACGATGATCTCGGGGGCGTCGTATATTGGTCGTCCATCGTTGCTATCCCTTGCTGACTGGGGAAGGGCATGGAAGAAGTGTTCCGCGACGAAATCGGTTTCGATCAAAATCCTGGCGCAGTTGAAAGTGAGAATGTAGACATTGACAAATCGATCCATAGCGACCCTCTTCTTCGTCTTCTTTATCTTCTTTCAACAAGAAGACGGAAGGAGGACGACTTCCCTCGAAGTAGGTAGATGATCTGGGGTAACTATCCGATTAGCTTCGCAGCTGTAAATACCAGCCACGGCTGAAGTCCGGGGGATGAGTGGTGACGTAAGTAGTCTAGCCTCCCAGCCGCCCAGCACATTATTAGACTAATGTAGAAAAAAAGAACAAACATCAACAGAACACAAATAATAATAATAACCACCACTATCTACTAGATACGAGACCCCGAAACCAAACACGCAAATCCCAGTACGTAATCCAGTATGCATTTCCGTAATGCGGAAATACGGATATATGTCTTCAGGTGGGGGAAAAAAAGTAATCTAGAAGAAACTATATTTTCTAGGCTCCAGCTAGCCCATGTACCTAATCTAATACATCAACAATACCCAGAGTACTATACCAAGCTAGTTTGGAAAGTTCAAGAGTCTCGAACACCTGACTAGCTAGTAGATAGGGATTTTTTCTAACCCCTGGCCCACTTTCTACTTTATGATTTTGGACTCGTACGAAATAATAATAATGCGCACAGTTCTCTTACTTTTTCTTAAATGTCGTGTCTACACCGTATCGAGACGGGACGATTATCTACGAGAAGTCGCATCAATCTCATAGCAGTGATTCTCTTTTGAGAAAAATTAATAAAAACAAAAAGTAAAAATCAACACAGAAAACGCGGACAAGAAAATAAAATAAAATTTTTTTATAAAAAGATATTTCTTAGAAGTTGTATTGTATTGCATTATCCGTGAATCGAACACGGGCCTCGTCGATGGCAACGACGAATTCTACCACTAGACCAATAATGCAGGAACTGAACAGGCAAGCTGCGATGTGATTCGCTGCTTGTTGTGATGGATATTACCCTTCAGTGGTATATAGGGATATTGTTTCTATAAGGGTAATTAGAAAGATGAGGTTCGATAACTTAAGAGGTAAAGGATAGAGTTAACTCGGATATCTAACTGTACGATTGCTCGATGGAGTTGCATTGTCGATTGTATTATGTGAGATCTAGAATAGGAAGGGGGCTGGAGTGTAAAAATACATAATAGTCTAGAAATGCAATGATGGAGTAGTTATTATTGGAAAGGAAAAGAAAGGGGGCGAAGGTGTAGGAAAAATGGGTTAGTTACTTTGTATCTCCAAGTCACTACTTGTATTGGTATCAAGTTGCGACCGCATCGATACCCTTCGAAGAGAGAATGATTAAACTGATTAGAGGCTAGAGCAGTGTACATTTAGATCAGATCCTGGTTCTTTTCTCCGTCTGTTCTGGCATTTTCTCACAATTTCATAACAGTATGGTAAATGGGCTTTAGAAGGGAAGTCGCCTGTATCCCATACAGGTTAGTTCTGACCCAAGAATGCGACGAGAAGAGACTATAGTCAGAATGATGTTCGCCAAAGGATTATCATCCTATAACCAGGGCAATTAAAAGTGATATGTATGATCCGACGTGGAAGACAAGCTCCAGCCAATACCTTCCAGGCCAAGACGCAAGACAAAGACATAATACCTCAAAAAAGAGGGGTAAACGCTCTAGGGACCTGCAGCATGGATATGTTGCATGAGGCTCTCTCAAATATCTTTTCCATGTTGTCAGACACAAGTCTCGCTGGTCAGGTCGATCTCTTCACGGCCGTGGCCCGTTCCGTACTATGGTGTACCACTGCATAAGGCAGCTAGCGCAACTACCGCAAAGTACGAGAGTATTTAGGGGCCTGAGGTGGGGATCTGCAACTTCCCCATTCGGGAAAGAATTGGTGATCAGAGGTGGTGTAAAGACTCAACCATCTGATACTGGCAAGAACAGGGTTCCAACGGTGCAGGAAGAAGCAGCATATTCTACCATGAGGGTGACTGGTTATCGGGCTGCTGTCTCTGCCAGTGTTCGACTTCTGTGTTACATTGTGGAGGGCAGTAGATTACATCTTGGGCTCAGAATGTCCGTGAGACGGACGAGAATCTTGGCGCATGAATCATGAGAGGGACATACCTTCGAAGGAGGATGAATAAGGCCTCCGATATGTCTGAATGAAGGACATGAAGGTGTAGATCGTCCAACTAATTTCTAAACAGACCAACTTCCCCAGGTAGCCCTGGCAAGTTATCAGATTTCCAGCCTGGTATAACTCCCTGATACAGGCAGGGAATTTATCTGATTTCGGGCACTCCCCTGGCTTTCCACTGACGATCTTGTCATGAATAACTGCAGACAAACAAAGAGTGAGAAAATCGCCATTCCTAAGCTATAATAAGGCTGCCATAGATGCCTTGTTTGGATTCGACAGGAAAGGCGGCTGGTCACTGCATGAACACGCATTTGCTTGGGAGTCTAGATTCATCGGGTAATAAGTGATTCGCTTAAATGCTATCACCGTCAGGTGCGTAGGAGGAGAGGAGATGAACGGGGGCTATATTGTTCGGTTAATAATACTCAATGTGTAACCAGTTAACTCAAATATGTCCGGGGGCGGATCTTACTTCCGCCATCGTCCTTGACGGTGATTTTAGCATGCATACATACCCTAGTCGGCCAATGCGAGGACAGAGAGACCTTCCTTCTCTTCTCAGGCTATAGATCATGGCCCAGGCGAACGTACTGTGTACCGTCAGCCATATTACTTCTCTCTGAAATTGTTGTGTAGCCGCTGGTACTCACTCTGATATGCCGAAAACAAGGGTCATGGATGCGGAGCTTATTTAAGTAACACGGATGATGTCGACCTGCAGGAGATAGTGCTGTTGACCACGGCTTCATACCCGCTTTCGGGTGCCGATCCAAACCCCGCATAACATCTCCATTTGGGCTCTAAAGCGGAGGCTTCTGCCTTTTGTATCTCGTTGTAATGGTGTGCTGAAGGTCGTAGGTTTTGCATTAGATACCGAGGGATACATTTCGTGACGAGAGTCTGTATTGAATCGGCGAACAGGGAATGTCTTGTCTCGTAAGCGCATTTTATGGACATTGCAGTATGAAAAACGAATGTGTAGTTCAAAACAAAAGCGAACAGGTATGTAAATAGATAGATTAGATAGGAGGTTTAGTAGAGTTGTGGACATCTGCGTTTAACAATGACGGCCAAATTCGCCGGTTCCTATCTATATAGACCCGGGTACAGCACGCTCATCCGCATGCGCACCTTTAGAATATCCATTCGTAGCCTCAATTGTCGCTGTTGAGTCGCGGTCCTGTGTCTCTTCCCCGTCTACAACCCTAAGCCCTTGGAATGGGGTGATCCCCTTCCGCAAGGCGGTCTCCTTGTCGAACGTGCCGTATATATCGCGTTCGTCCGTCAGCCCAACGCCAGCGGGTGGAAATATTTTTGACAGAACATAATAGAGGAACACAGCCTCGCACCATCCTTTATTTGTTAGAATAGGAGAGAAAAGCGGCAACAAGAATCAGTATTCGAAGTTCAGACATACCAAAAATGTAGTTTGCGTAGTAGTAGTAGGTAGCTCCCTTGCTGACTTTGACGGTGCCACTCAACTCAGCAATCATTCCTTTGGTCACCGGTCAGTTATATCCTCAATGCTGCTTACTAGCAAGCTACCAAAACAAAGAGTGGGACGTACCAGGTAACGCGGGTGCAAAACAGACTACCCAAGTTAATACTCCGCGCCAATTAACGCCGAGGGTGTACCAAAATGCGCCCCCGGGATCTCTCGTATATAGTGCTGAAAGCTGGATGCGCTAGATACGAATTAGTTGGCGTACCAGCTTTCAGAGTTAGGACTGACTTACCTGCTTTCGCAGGAAGAAGTAATCGCATATCATAATTCCCGTCAGTGGTGCGAGGAACACTGAGAAGGCGGACATAGCGGCTACAAATGTGGACGATGTATTATACATCAACCACGGCTGTACTACCCAGGAAAGAAGAGCAGTGATTACACATCCCTTTGCAATCGTGATTAGTCGCTATAAATCAAAAACTGACTTGGAACGTGTCCCATAACTTACTCTCCGAATGTTGATGAACTTAGGGAAAAGTCCTGCCAAATCCATGCCTCCTGCAAAGCCATTTCCGAGACTATTAATGGACGAGAGAAGTCAGTACCAAATCAAGTAATTAGAGAGTCTGGGGGGCGCTTACATATTCATACTGAGCTGCGCACATGTCAATGCTAAACCACTGAAGAAAGCAGCGGCACGGCTCTTCGCATTATATTCTTCCGTCATCCACTTGAAAATGATGTCTACCGGGTTCCAGATTGGATCACCCCCGTATATGGTCACCGTGGCAGAAGCCGTGACGATGCCCATCAACGGAACGATGACTCCAAGTATAAATAAGGAGAATGAAGTACCGGGTACCTGAACCTTTGGCCGCACCGCAAAACGACTGTAGTCTGATTGGTTCATGATGCCCGCGCATAAACTACCAATGACCGAGGTGATGCCGTATAACCAAGCCCACGCACGCTCTGATGAAGAGAGATCTTTCTGACCTTGATGTAGAAGCGGTCCAACTCCCCCTTCTTTGCCTCCCCAAATGGCAATTCCGGCAAGCACACAGAAAGCAATGATATTGGACACAGCAACTGGATTCTTCGACTTCTCCGGCCGTATCAACTATTTACCTGTTAGCTTCTTGTCACCCGTCTAGCGAGCCGAAAATGCATGCCATAAGGGGGAAAGAAATGACTTGGAAAATTAAAAACCCAATCAAATCCCTCGTTTGCATATGCGCACTTTCAGGCAGTGTGTTCTTCATAGTAAGAAACGAATAGCTCCAACTAGAGACAACTGCAGCACAGCACAGTCCACCTAACCATGCTTGAGACGCATACCATACAACGGAGAGTACGATTCGAATCACGATCCCGATGTACGAGCCATATATTCCTAGAGTCACGCTATACTCGCATCAGCAACACATATCATGACGGATGCACAGTTACCCATACGAACCGCTGCGCAACAGTGAAGCCAATGTGCCATTCTGCACCAGTCCACCCGTTGGCCAATGCAAGGCATGTAACCAAACCCTGCCCGATAACTAGAACAACCATGGTCTCCCAGACTGATAGGCCTGTGGATAGCAGCGACGAACCCGTTGTCCACGAAACCGCCGTGAGGCTTGATAAGAAGTCTTGTAAGTACACGGTTGAAGGATGTTAAGAGAGTAATCTTTACTTGGTAATTCCCCAGAAACCCAAGAAAGCAATATATCCCCATGTCCTCCGTGAGGGTGGCATTGGAACAATGTCGGGGTTGATCAAGTGGTTTGTCTCCACCCCATTATATTTGTTGTTCTCGACCGATATTAGTTGGAGCAATTTCGACGCCATTATTGAGGGATCGCAGCAGACTCCGCAGGTCAGCGCACAGAATACACTGCGACCCCCTCGCCGAGGAGAAGGCACTTGGACAAGAGCATAAATATGTAGGCCGACTGGTGATTGTTATCATGGTTTCTTTCGAGCACGCGATAACGCCGGAGGCACTAAGCAGAGTGGGAGAAAGGCGTTCGGGGATTTCCCGCTCCGTTTGGTGGAAATAGAGTGCTCTGACCCGCTCTGTCCAGTTAGACACTTGATCCGATAATGGATTGATAATAATGGGCGGCGATATGAGATTATGAGTGGTCCTTCATTCTACATCGACGAGCGGTCCGGGTTAGCTGGGTGGAGTTCTCGATACATGCGATGGCCGATACTACCTAACGGAACAGCCTGGAGACAAGTAACATCTGCTGCGTATATAACCCATCCATAGCCGCAGAAGTAGGGTAGAAAGAGAGAGAGGACATCGCTTATTATCAGTACTGATATAGTCATCATGACTGATTCCGAGAGACTTATCATCGGCGTTGATGTTGGAGGTACGCGATACATATTCTTCCGAGAGAGCTACTGCACATAGAGCCCTCCTAGTGTTTTTCGATGAGATCTATATCTAGTTAGAATATATCTGCTGATCTTTGATCGAACACAGGGACAAACACTGATGCTGTGCTCCTCAACTGCGCTGCCTCTGGTGCTGATGCGGTCGTGGCGTCTCACAAAGCGGCCACAGGCGCAGATGTGACCGTCGGCATCGAGAGCGCCATCAGCGCATTGCTGGAAATGGCCCAAGTGCCTCCCAACCGCGTGTCTTCGCTGATGATAGGAACAACTGTGAGTGGGAACTGCCTCGACTGGAGAATGACGAATTGCACTGACTGGTGGTAATGGACAGCACTTCATTAATGCCGTTGTTGAGCGAGACGCGTCCCGGTTGGAGAAGGTGGGAGTCATCAGACTGGCAGCCAGCAACATCTCCGCCTACACCCCGCCTTTCATCGACTTCCCTCCAGCCCTCACCAGGAGTAGGTAGTCGTAGCCCTCTTTTTCTGCCATCATACACTGGTCTGCTTTTTGTTGTGTGAATTGCTAACGTTTCCAGTAATCAATGGACACACTGCCATCATATCTGGCGGACTTCAGGTAGACGGCTCTCTTATTGGGGAGATAAAGCCAGATGAAGTCAGAGAGCAGGCTCGGACGCTAAAAGATAAAGGGCTGAAGAACGTTGTCCTCGTGGGTATCTACTCTCCAATTGATGAAACATACAAGCAAGAAGAGCAAGCACGCGACATCCTCGCCCAGGAACTAGGACCCGAAGTCAATCTTGTATTGTCAAAAGAAGGTACCACATTTCCCACTGGTATATGCAGAATGGGAACAATACTAATAAAACCGAATACAGTTGCTGGCGTGGGGCTTCTTGCGCGCGAAAACGCAGCCATCCTCAATGCTTCCATTCTCAACTTTGCTGGACGAACTATCCGTGCATTCAAGAGTGCTATGCGTCGCCTGCAGTTACAATGTCCATTGTACCTGACGTCCAATGATGGGCAGCTTCTCTCATCCGGAGAAGCAGAACAGTATCCAGTGCGCATTTTCTCTTCAGGTGCCACAAATAGTATCCGAGGTGCGGCATATCTTTCCCAGTCAAAGCTGGGGAGGTCTAGCAAATATGTCATTGATATCGGTGGGACGACTACCGATATTGGATGCCTCCTCCCCAGCGGCTTTCCTCGCCTAGCCAGTGCATTTACGGACATTGGGGGTGTAAGAGTGAATTTCGCAATGCCGCAAGTTGAAAGTATTGGACTTGGTGGTGGCTCCATTCTACATGTCGCCGATGCGAAGGTTACCGTGGGCCCTGATAGTGTTGGGCACGAAATCATCAACCGAGCTCTGTGCTTCGGAGGCGACACAACCACAGCCACCGATATTATGGTAGCCACAGGGGCCGAGGTTGGGACTAGGCCTGTTCAGCTGAAACCAGAACTCATTACTGCTGCTAAAGATCGCATCAAACTGATGCTGGAATCTCATATAGATCGAATGAAGACATCCCCAGAGCCTTGCGAAGTCCTTCTTGTCGGCGGTGGCTCCATTCTTTGCCCCCAGGAGCTAGAAGGTGTATCGTCAATATTGGTTCCTCCTCACGCAGAAGTCGCGAATGCGGTCGGTGCTGCTATCGCAGAGATTGGTGCGGAGGCTGAAGCAGTTGTCGATGAGAAGAACAAAGATGCAGAGCTGGTGATTACAAGGCACAAAGCGATCTCTAAAGCGGTCTCTCGAGGAGCCGTCCAGAATGCTATTAGAATAATTGAGGAAGAAGTCACGGGCATTGCTTACATTGATGGAAAATGCCGCATCGTTGTGAAAGTTGTCGGCCCAATTGACTATAGCAAATTCGGCTCGGACGCCGAAGAGGATATTAATTCCAACCAGAACGGCGATGCCATCACTCACAAAGAAACAAAAGACCATAAATTGGACAACTGCGCTGTCGATGAGAAAGAAGTCGATATCGAGACCTACAAGCCCTTTGTCGATGAAAATCGTGTCTGGTTTTTGAGCGAAACTGACCTCGCATTCATCGCCGCAGGTTGTTACATCCTGGGTACAGGAGGCGGAGGCTCCCCCTACACCCATTATCTGCAGACAAGACAACTTCTGCGAATGGGCGAGTCTATCACCATAGTCGATGCGGCAGATTTCAAAGATGACGCCTTGCTTGTTCCACTTGGGGGACTCGGCAGCCCTGCAGTTGGCGTCGAGCGACCAGGTGGTGATATGGTCCTTCACGCTTGCCAGCAGCTGGAGAGGTATATGGGCATCAAATACGGAGGCCTTCTTGCTGTTGAGATAGGTGGCGGCAACGGAATGGAGCCTCTAATGTGGGGCTCGTCGAAGTATTACAACCTTCCATGCGTAGATGGGGATCTTATGGGTAAGTTCCTGCGCAGGCTAAGTAGTCTTGTGCTGCTCTGCTAATCAGTTACCGATAGGGCGTGCATATCCCACCTTCGAAAAGGTGACCTCCTTCATAAAAGCAACCCATATAAACGACCTCTTGCCGGCCTCTCTGTCAAGTGGGGATGGGATCAATATGATCTTGACAGAATCTAAGGACACACCGTCGGTAGATAGGGTCCTGAGGGCGGCATGTGTTGATATGGGGTAAGTCATTAATAGTTATCATCCCGGTGAGATATATTGGACTCTACTAACTAGACGTAAAGATACTCCGCCGGTTCCGCAAATAGACCTCTAACAGGTAAACAAATGCGCGAAATGGGTATCCTAAAATCCCATTCGCTGGCCTGGAGACTTGGTCGTGCCGTTGCTCTGGCTAGGCAGAAAGGAGCTATTTCAACCGTCGCCGACAATATTATCAAAGTTTGCGGCGAGAAGAGCGCAGGAAAGATATTCGAGGGCAAGATCGTCGGCGTAGGGGAGCGGTTATGTAAGGGCCACAGTTACGGCGAAGTCGTGGTCGAAAAGCTCCGTGACTATGAGCGAGACGCCACTTTCGATAGTCAAGCTGGGAATAATGAGGAAGCCCTGCCCGAGCGTGTGCGGATTCCGTTCAAAAACGAGAATCTGATTGTGGAGGCGGAATACGCATCTGGAGAGAAGAAGGCAAGGAATATCAGTCCCTGCCTTTATCATATAGCAAAGCGCTGGATATTCTGACACGATAAACAGACTTTAGCTACGGTTCCAGACCTGATAATCATCCTTGATGCACTGACAGGTGAAGCTCTCGGTGTTCCAGAGTACCGGTGGGTATCTTCTATCCTTCTATTATCGCTTAGTCGAAATCAGCTGTGCTAACAAAACTGCGCTTATAGCTATGGGCTCAAAGTTCTTGTCCTCGTTATGGCAGCGAACCCACTTTGGACTAACACGCCTCGGGCGCTTGAGATTGGAGGGCCGAAAGCATTCGGTTATGACATGGAATATGTTCCTTTTGGAACATATACAGAGCCGCGAAGTGTGATAGACGAGTATGCACCAGGCAAGTAGACATGCTGCATATCACAAGGTATTCGATGACATATAGACAGAGATATATATAGATAACATAAAGTATATATACTATGCTGAATCTTCTGCACCATTTCAAAGACTACAACTTCCCGGCCATCTGCTCTCCCAGACCACCAAAGCCTTCCTGTATGACTTTTCGCCCCGCCAATTCTGTCGCGAAGCCCAGTGACCTTTCCAAAGTCCAGGACTCTGATTTCGAACTCCCATGGAAGTTGAGAGCATATAAAATCCCCGCAATGAAAGTATCTCCAGCGCCAATAGTGCTGTTTCATTGGACGATTAGCGACAGAACAAAAACCAATATTGATATGGAACATACTCAACTACACTAGCTCCTTCCTTCTTATACGTCGGACAAGAGACATATGATTGACTTGGGAGTTCTAGAGCCGAAGCGCCATGTTCACCCCATGTACAGAAGATAACTTTACTAGAGATATAATCGAATCAGTAAATGTCGTCCGTGGGAAAGCGCATCACCAGAGCTCTTGAGAAGACTTCGAAAGTGAGACAAAAAGTATAGCTACTCTTACGCTTTAGGAGTCAAAGGAGCTTGCGCATGGAGAAAAGCTTTAGGTTCTGTATACCCGGCGTTCTGTCGGTGAGTATCACGGTCAGTGGTCGATCATTACAGTAGAGGATGACATAGTAAAATGGGGTATACAGACCTGCGCCCAGCCTTTAGCATAGAAAACTACATCAGCTTCAGCGGCGAGTTCTTGTAGGCCAAGACGGCCTGGCTTCTCTACTTCCACACTAATCGTGGCTGCAGGCAAGCTGTTGCGGAGGGATTTGATATTCTGTAGGTTGACGTCGGGGATGCGGCCCTATGTGTCAGTAAAGTTAGCTTCTCTTCATCCATCATGCTAGTAGGGTAAAAGAATCTCAACTTGCAAGGAATTGTATACAAAAGGCAATGAATCAATGAATGAATGAATGAATGAATGAATACATACTTCGAAATGAAACCACATTCCACCGCCTGAATGCTTAACATCCAATCGATCTATGAGCGCATTGAATTCATCATGCGTCATCTCCGGGAGCTCATTATAATTGACTATTGTGCGACTACTAGTCCTCTGGCTACTTATAATATAGCTCGACGCGGGCTCGTGGAAATCTTCACGATAGAGACAATGTGTCAAATCGACGCGGGCTCCGAAGGAATCTCGGACAAATTGTACCGCAGGCGACGATCGCGCCGGAAGGACAGTGACCAGAACAGGAGATAACGACTCGAAGTCATTCTCCTTCTTCTCTTCCTGCTGTTTCTCTTTGATATGAATCAATTGCTCGAGCACCTCGACTGTGTTCGGACAGTTCCCTCCGCGGCGACGAGTCAGGCGGGAAGCCCGCAGCTTCTCATCCTCATTGGGGTAATGGTCGACGCTGGTTGCTTTGTCAGTTATTGATTTACTGCTGATTGGGGGTTTTTTTTTATTGTTTTGAAATACCTGAGGATAAGGTCGACGTAGCAAGCACCTACAGCTACGAGAGTTGTCATCGCGCACATTGTAATAATAACAATAAGAAGACGTGCATGTTGGAGCTTTCTTGATTACTATTACTTAAGTATTTGCCCCGCAGCAATGCGGTCATACTTAATAAGTAATTAACCCACAATCGATCGCAGGCTCAAAACTCGACCTATTTTCGATGCACGATCTATACAGGTTTCTCATACAAAAAAAAATAATGCCTCGTGCTTTTTGATCTTGCTTTAACTTCTGAGGTATGTTCGAAAGTCTATCGAGAACCACTGTACTGTATGTGGAGCTGTGGAGCTTATCACACTATTTCTTTAAAGCCAGGCGTATCCCAATGCAATGCTGACAGAATATAAATAATTTCAACAAAATGTACAGTACATACAAGGCCATCTATTGTCTAAGATTGAAAGTTCCGGACAAGTTCGAATCAATCGTCGTGATTTCCGTCAGAGATAAGGTCACTAAAGACAACACCAAGGATATGTCTAAATTATAGCTTATGCCGATATTTCTTATTCTATAGGTGATAAGCCATGCTACGTCGATCGACAACGTGGTGCTCGGTAAGATACTCCGTAAACACCGAAATCGGACCTACTTGCACTGTGTCTTGCGGGTGCGGGATGGTGATCATTACGGAGAAACCACGAGTCCCTGAAATAGGCATATAGAATGGATACGTGCTGCTCAGGCTTCAGCCAGCTAAACGTGGAGACACCAGTAAGAAGAAACACAATAAACCGTCTAGAGTGACGCTCCAGGGAACAAGTTTCATTTCAGAGATTACTCAGCACTTCATAGAAGAGCGTTGGCTATTACCAATGGTTATGGCTAGACAATTACTGTATAGAAGAGACCGTTGGGGTTCCGGTGACTATCTGCAGCCGTATCTCCTTGAGGGAGGATATCTGAAATGAAAGACATGCCAAGATTAACGCCGATAACGATGCTTTTAACGAGTAATGCGCCCGTGGTCTGTTGAAAGGGTGATCTAGCAATGAGTAGCAGAGTGGCAAGGGATAACGGGAAGGGGGAGGATCGGTGTGGACGAGCTCAAAAGCTTGAGGGCACAGCATTGCGTAAGTGACCCTTGAAGAGGATACTGATGGGAAATTATTGATGAAGCATCATAGTCATTTTCAATGCTAGAGAAATGCTGTTTCCTGCTTGCCATAACTATTCGTTTAAGAGCTGAGTTACTTAATACCACAACTTGCTCTCGTTCTCGTCCCGTTAGTTATGTTGCAGGTTCAAATATCCGCAGATCGCATCCAGGATGGAGGCGCACCATGGGACTTACAGCCCACGACTGTGAAGCAGCCAGATGACACTACAGAGGGGCATAGTTATATTCCACGCAACAAGACTGAGTACTGAACCATAGCCTGTCCAGAAAGGGAAACAGCTGACTAACTTGTCTTCTCACTCTCTGCTGATCCAGAGGTCACTAAGTACTCATACCTACAGTATATCTACGCATGGAAGGATCATGGGAACGTGAATGAGATATATGAGCATGGTTATAAGTAGTCCTTGAAAGGCAACCAATCATAGTCCTGGACGAACGGATCCAACTCGACACCAGCAAATCGGCATACCGTACCTACTCCTAACCGGCGTTTGTCGGTAGGAAGAAAAAAATGTTCTGTCGATCTTGTCCAGTATTACTTAAAGCTCCTTCCACCATACCAGATAGCCCACTCATGCAGGGGACACCCTTGCACATGAAAGTCCACGTAATTGGGATGATTTGAAGACTACTTTGAGAAAAAGGGAATAACCAGAGGGAGCCAAGCTAGGAAACGGAGGCCCTAAGTTGTGACTAGGGTGGCATAGAGCCATGGATGGGAAGACATCTTGAAGCTCTCCCAGGTCCCAACGACTCTCACGGGTCCGATGATGACCCTGAGGGGATTTCTCGGTCAAGAAGGGTCTTGCTGTGAGCTCGAGTGGTAATTAGTCTGCTTTCGGTCCGATATTATAGTTTGCAGGCTTTTTCTTCCGGGTCTTCCAATTATTGATGATCATATACGTAATTCCATCCATGTTGACTGGGGAATCATTCCTCGTTGGTCATAGCGTGGGAATTGGAGCCACGAGGACAGAAAAGATCCCTTCCCATTTTATAGATAGGCAGAGACAGGCAGCATGAGTAATGAGTCAGACGAGAAGGTAGTTATCGTCAGAGGTCACTCACTTTCCATCAGACAGACAGAAAAGCTTCAGCGGTTGTCGCTATATTTTTCTCGGGTGGGACCTCCGATCCGGAAGGAAAGAAAACGAGCCAGGAGCGGAACGGCTGGCGGCTGGTCGACCACACAGCAGAAATGCTCTTACAGAAGAATCCACCGGCTACCAACGCGAATGCAGATCGGAGGGCAGGAAGGTTAGGACGAAGTTCAAGTAGTGGAGCGACGATGTTTTTGCAGCGCAACCGCGGAGAGCGACGGTGGGGATGCCAGGGACCGGATGGGGACTAGCGCGATCAGATAAGATCCAAACGCCAATCGTACGACGGGATTCGCGGGTCGCCGAGAGCGGTCACATGACGCCCGGTAGCGACATCGGCAGTCACGTGTACGCACGATAATCTAATCTGATCGCGATCTTCCCGCCCCTCCAGCCTCTCTTCCTCTTCTTCCTTTCTATACTGATCCTGTCCACCGCATCGCTCCTCTGCCATCCCATCATCCTGCTCGCCAGCGCGGAGCAGGGCGCCGAGTTGTCGAGTCGCCCGGCTCATTGCAATCGCATATGCACCTTTCCCTCCGGCCGATGCATCAGTGAACCGCAGGTCGGCTGCTCCCCAGCTCTACCCGAGCCCGTATCCGAAACGGCTGACAATGCAATCAGAGAACTCCCCGTAAGAGAAAAAAAAAGTAACATACCACAACTGCCAATGGCGACCCCAACGACCGTGTCAACGCCGTCCTCTGCTGGATCACCACCAGCATTGGCCCCGGTGATTGCTGCGCGTCCAGCTTTGTCCATCAAGCCCGCTATCTCGGCAGCGCCCGCGACATCCCCGGCTCCGGGCACACCCGGCTCCGTAACAACGAAGGAGTGGGTAATCCCTCCACGTCCAAAGCCAGGTAGGAAGCCTGCCACGGACACACCTCCAACGAAGCGCAAGGCACAAAATCGTGCTGCGCAGCGCGCTTTTCGTGAGAGGCGCGCTGCTCGAGTCGGTGAACTCGAGGAACAGATCAAAAACATCGAAGAGGAGAACGCGAGCCGCGAGGCCAGCTTCAAGGAGCAGATTGATAACCTTTCCACCGAGGTGGAGCAGTGTCGCAATGAAATTTCATGGTGGAAAGACCGATGCCATGCCCTCGAAAAAGAAGTAGCTGTCGAGCGAAGCGCCAAGGAAACTCTGGCCAAGGAACTGAGATCATCGAGCTCAAGTAGGAGCAACGCAACTCCGGACATCGTGCCCCTACCTCCTCGCAGATCTGCTAGAAACATTCAGACAGCCCGCGAGGCTTCATCCGCCCAACCGGTCGCCTCGTCTACTGCTCAAGATGCACAGCAGGATGTTCCATCGGGTTGCAACAATTGTTCTCAGGCCCGCTGCCAGTGCATCGAAGATGCCTTCAACATAAATACCATCACAAGCGCCAATGACAGCTCCTCCCAGAAGCGTGCCCACTCGCCTTCTACCGCAGGTGGGAAGCGCCTTCGTACTGAACCGGACATCAAGACTGAGCCGGAAGAGATGGAGATTGACTTCACCTCTCGTTTCGCAATGTCTTCTCGAGCCCAGGTAGAGGAGGAGCCTCCCGCTGCGTCGCCTCACATGGTCGATCCGTGTGGTTTCTGTCAGGACGGCACTCCTTGTATCTGTGCCGAGATGGCCGCCCAAGACCGAGAGGAGTCGCAACGTCGAGACTCTTTCGAGAATACCCGCCTGGCCCCGATTCAGAATCTGTCCCAGTTTACACCTCCACCCTCTGAGGGAGATGTCCGCTCTGAGCTCACTCTCCCGTCCATCAATCAGGCAGCAAATCCTTGTGCCAACGGACCAGGAACATGTGCTCAATGCCAGGCTGATCCACGCAGCACCCTGTTCTGTAAAACACTGGCTGCATCTCGTTCGGCAAGTGCCTCTTCAGGCTGCTGTGGAGGAAAAGGTGCGGATGGCGGATGCTGCCAGTCCCGTCCAGCTACTCGCAACAGCAGTCAGAGAACTGAGTCAATCTCTTCTCCTTCTCTGACCCTTACATGCGCAGACACCTTCACCACCTTATCCCGGCACCCCAAATTCTCTCGTGCTACGGATGAACTAGCGGCCTGGCTGCCTAAGCTCCACACGCTACCTAACCCCCGTGATGTCGCACCCAAAGATAGGAACAGAAATGCCATCGACAATCGTCCAGCCATGGAGGTTGAAGCAGCCAGCGTGATGGGTGTTCTGAGATACTTCGATCGGAGGTTCGCGGACAAATAATCTGCCCTCTTCGAAGAAAGCTGACGACGAAAATTACTATTAATGTTGATACCCTGCCATTCGTATGACGAGTGGCCTTTGAAGAAAAAGAAAAAGAAAAAAAAGAAAAATGCAGTTTACATCGCCGTACACTGCTAGCGTGTGCCGCTGATGATTGATCCCGCATTCTAGCGGAATCGCGCGTGGGGATGACGGAGATGGTTTCATTCAGTGGTGTCCGACCAATACTTTTCTTTTAACGGTTTCTACCTGTCTCTTATGTGCCCGCCCCTACAGCCTTGTCTCCTCGTGGCACTCGGCGGCAATCGATGTGGCTACGAACACATCAACCCCAGCACCGCCTTATATTAACCGTGGCTGCTTAGAGGAAACTGTTATCTTTCTCGGGCTGGCGTCATCGGCGTTTCTAACTGCGGGAATAAAAAAAGCGAGGAGGAATTTGCACTTAAAAGGGAACAATGTACGCGACGAGATAATGGCTTAAATGATACCTATGGTAACAGGGAGAGAAAAAAAAAAAAGATATCAAACTAGAAAGAGCCAAACATGTCGTAGCACATGGGGGGGGAGGGGAATGGGGTAGGGAAAGCAAACTTGACATTTTTATTCTTCGGAAGCCTGGATTTTCTTTTGTATATACATACATAACCCATCCTGTGTATTATGGACACCTTTCAAGGGCTTTCTTTATGCCTTCCTTCTCTCCGGTCTAGGCTGGTTCCCTGGCGTTGATAATGATATTTTTTTTTCCCTTCTGTATACTGATCACCCCACTCGGTTATTCATACGTTGTAAGGAACCAATTATTATTGACCTGTTGTATATGTTTTTCTGCGTAGATGCGGGTCGGATGTCTTCAGATAAGTATCTGAAGCATATATATCTGGATTCAAATAAGCTATAGTTAGTTCTCTGACTACAGAGTATCATCATAAGATGAATTCTCCAATGTTGCAGTAGGTATGGAAATCCATGGAGATTGACAGATTAATAAAGGGACAAGTCCCAGTCCCAGTATATAGTATATATACACAAGAGCATCGTTGTTTTCCTTCCGATGCTCAGATATCTTGTGCTGGGATCGACACGTGAGATACATGGCTGCGTAAGAGAGACATAAGGGTTCAACGGAACTGTCCAACAGAACCTGCAGGAGAAGAGGAGAGTCGGACACCGAGAACGGAAATAATAACAAAAAAAAAAAAAAAATAATAATCAGATATGGATATCAACCTGCGAAGATCATTACTCCCGCCAAACACCCGGGTTTCAGGCCGTCTAAAATACTCCACCACTAGTTCTGCCCCGCGCACCGACTGGGCTCATCCCCGATGCCGCAGTGCTTGTGACCATCTCTTCTTCGCCGCCTCCCATGGCTGCTCCGAGGAAGCCTGCTCCCCAGACGCCAGCGAGACCCCACATGCCGACTCTCCAGCCGCGATAGAGACCCTGGAGACCTTGGCCTTGCCGTCTGCGCTGGCGCGAAGGCACAGATTTGCCAAGCATCTCATGGGCCTTCTCCGTCTCAGAAGGCGAGGGACTGACTCCCTCCTCGTAGACAATGCTCCACATCGTTCCCACGACTCCACGGTAGGAGCGCGGGACGGGAACAACAGTCTCGATCTCCGAGCTTGGCTGCTTGCTGGCAGTGGCGGGTGAGGGGATCGTAGGACTGATAGGAACACGGCCCTTCTGTTGCAAGCTTGGAGATGTAAAAGTGGCAATCTGTGCCCGACGGAGAACGGTTTCCAGGGGATACTTGATACCCAATTCGAGACAAGAGGCCAGAAAGGAGAACATGCTCCACGAGGATGGGTTAAGAACGGGATCGAGAGAGAGATATGACTTGAGGAATAGAGGCGTGCTAGTGCTCAGCAAGTTTGGAAGACTGGAGTGAAGAATGGTGATGGGGATAAGGTGAGGCGGAATCATGTAGCTCGGAGTTGGAAGCAGACGGATGGCGCGCAGCAGGGAGCGAGGGCCATGGGTCACAGGCGTCAAGATGAGGTACGTGCGTGCAGTATCGATTGGAGAGAGAATGATGGATGAGAGTGCAGAAGAGATGAAGGACAAGATTAGAGTCGTGATGGGTGAGGCGGCCGTCAGAATGTCTGCGGTCATTGGTGATGCAATCGCTTCCTCTGGCATACCGAGGACGGCCGACAGCAGACTCCTGATGAAGGTATTCAAAGTAGGGAGCAGCAATGAGTGAATAAAGGTCGCATTGGCACCCTTCCAGACCGACGTGGGCCCGCTTGTCGACCACAGTTGCGAAAGGACCTCCATCAGGGACGAGGGGTTCTTGATCACCAATGCATGTCTCGGAGGAACGCCCGGGGATGGTATATAACCACTTCGATCCGTGATCCGGTGTCGAGAGCCTCGAGACCTTGGTGTAGAAGGTGCAGCACCGCCTGGAGCGGCAGACGTAAAGTAATTGCTCTCATCGTCCGATGACTGTGAATCCTGGAGAGAAAAAGGAAGAAAAAAATCAACACCCCTCATTCGTAGCAGTACACAACGGAGACATCCAGCATACCTCTTCAAAATATTGTTCTCTATAACCCTGACTGCGTCTCCGTGTCTCATCTGGCAGCGCCTGTCCGCCTTGCGCGTCGGGAACGACATAAACCTGGAGGATGGTCTTCGCCACGTCGAATGGCTGGGCCATCAACACGCTGGTGTATCTCCATACTGCACGGTCGAGGACCTCTCGGACCCAATCTGATACAGAGGGCGATGCCTCCAAGTAATCCGAGTAGTCTAAATCGGACAAGAGGTCTCGTGCGGAGCTGCCGAAAGCTTTGGTCGATGCAGACGCGGCGTCAAGCGGTGCAGAAGCGTTGGAAGTCGGGCCAGGAGACAGCCCAATCTGGGGAGGGACATAGTACGGACGCAGGGGATTTACCCCTTCCCGCGAGGAGCTCATGATGACCAGCAGAGCCTCAGCAGAAGATGGAGAGACGCAGGATGGTGAGTCGGACTGGCGGATTCGGGGAATGGAAAGCTCGGAGTTGGCGTGGAAGGCCGAGCGATGATGCAGTAGCAAAATAACTTAGCAAAATAAGATCCGCCCGGCGCTTTTTTGCCAACTGCAGAAAGTCGAGTCAACCAGTCGCTGTTCTCGCATTTCTCGCGCCTCAATCTCTCCCCTCCCCCACAACCGACTTCTCCGCTGCTCTTGACCGGTTCTCCAGCTTGTGGCTTCCAATTGTGTTTTTCTTTTAAGAAAAAAGAAACAACAATGCCGTTGTGGAAAGAGGCGTCGCTGCAGCTGCGCTACGCAGCGTCCAAGGCCGCCGCTGGAGATCGGATATGCCTTGCCCAGTCGAAGAGATTCCTCACCAACTCGGTCACTCGACGAGGTTTGCAGAATGCAGACCGAAATATCAGCAGCAGGCGATCCATTCACGTTTGGAACGGACTGAGGAATCACGGTCAAGCACACAACACTGCCCTGGCGCGACGACATTTCTCCGCCACTGCAGGGCAAGCTCATGGCCATATTACACCACCGAAGCCTGGAGAGGAGTAAGTATACCGGATTAACAAAAGACAGTGCAGTCTTTCTGATCGACTGTTAGGATCAACGTTTCCTTTATCGACAAGGACGGTCAGAAGCACGACTTCCAGGTGTCTGAAGGTGACAACCTGCTAGATATTGCCCAGGCAAATGATCTGGAGATGGAAGGTGAGGAAACAATCTTGTCTCATAAATATCGAATGATCATGGCCATTGCTGACGTCGTATTTCATCAGGTGCTTGCGGAGGCTCCTGTGCCTGCTCAACCTGCCATGTCATTGTCGAGGACCCGGATATGTACGATAAGATGCCTGAGCCGGATGATGATGAGAACGACATGCTGGATCTTGCATTTGGATTGACGGAGACTTCCCGCTTGGGTTGTCAGGTGGTAATGAACAAGGAGCTGGACGGATTAGTTGTCCGGCTTCCTACCATGACCCGAAACTTGCAGGCAAGCGATTTCGAGGACAAGAAGAAGTAGCGTATGGTTGATTGTCTTGACCATGACAGCTGCCGCCGTCAAATTGTATTGTAGATAGATATATATAATTACCAGGAAAATGTGTTTACAGGCAACGATTAACGGCAGATGGGTGTAACTTTTGATTCAAATGAGCACAGAAGAAACATATATAAGATCAAGCCCTCCACCAACGCCAGACATGCCGGGGAAATAATTTGAGGTATTACATCCTCAGGCCTCTTCGATATTTAACCCTTTGCCTTTCTTCCCGTTGATCAGCTCCAGGAATCCCTGTTTGCTCACTTCGTTAACCGCCTTCTCCCTCTCGCCCACGCCTATAGTTCCTTTCTGCCTCTCTGCACGAGCGGCCTCTTCTCCACGGACTTGTGCAGCTCTCACAGCATTAAACAACTTCACCACACCGCGCTGGGCGATCTTCCTGAGCCGTCTCTCCTCTTCTGCTGTCTCACCAGCTTCGCCTCTCTCGACACCCAGCACATCCCGTACACGGCCTCGGTCGAGGATCTCCTTCTTTTCCGCACGAAGCTTGGCGCGCGCGCGTTGCTCAAGCTTCTCGTTCGAAAGTTCTGCAGCTGTCTGCGTGGCGGTTCTGCTGCGAGAAAGCACTGGATCAGCGCGGACGGAGCTCGGCAGTTTGGTGGACAAAATCTTGGAAATAGAGGTCGAGAAAGCAGTGGGATCGTTGCGTTTGGAGGTCTGTCGTTTCTTCCGAGAACCATCGTTATTTTGAGAGCCAGCGTCGGAATCGTCTTCGTCAGAAGATGCCTCTGCATCTGAAAATTCGTCGTTTTCCTCGATCTCATCCTCATCCTCATCCTCATCACTCGAACCACTTGCGCTGCCTTCGTCTGACTTTGAGGCATTCTCGCCCAATGACTTCGGTGTTTGCGTAGGCTTCGCAGCTTTCTGGCTCTTTGCCGCCTTCTCCTCCTTCAATGGGCTTTCACCTTCGACATCAGAATCTGCGAGGTCCACCGGCTGAAAGTCGCCCTCATCTTCATCCTCCGAACTGCTGTGGTATGCGGCTTGCTTCTTGAACTTCTTTTTCGGTCTGGCGGTTTTCAAGCTGTCCAGGACCTTGCGCTTCTTGAGAACTGCAGGCGCCATTGTGGATCTGAGCGAATAGGTTGTGCTGATAGTTGAGGATCGCTGGTGGTCTTGATATTTTTCTGCCGCGATAAAGTACGGGTTGAGACTTTTTGGGCGAGCAGAAGCGCTGACGGCTCCGGTTGGCTGCAGCTTCCTCCGCGAAACATCTCGGTCAAGCCACATCCCACGTTGCGAAGGCGATTCAACTTGATTCCTGTCAGACGCCCTTCCGTTCCACTGAGATACCCATCTTTTTGCATATATTAATCGAGGACACGCTTCCGTCCTGTCTTATTCTTTTTTAATTGTCCGGGTTCCTTGATACTCCTTCAATATGGTCCTCCAGGATCTGGGGCGGCGAATCAACGCCGCTGTCGGCGATCTGACACGGTCGAATAATCTCGATGAGAAGGTAACTCACTGAGAATTAGATTCTTTGCATGTGGACTGACGGGAAATCTTCCCAGGCATTTGATGATATGCTTAAAGAGATTTGCGCCGCCCTCCTCTCCGCAGACGTCAATGTCAAACTCGTCCAGAGTCTCCGCAAACAGATCAAAGCCAGCGTCAACTTCTCGTCCCTCCCTTCTGCAGTGAACAAGAAGCGATTAATCCAGAAGACCGTCTTTGATCAGCTCGTCACTTTGGTCGATCCTCATGCTGAGCCGTTCCGCCCCAAGAAGGGACGGCCAAATGTGATCATGTTCGTGGGTCTACAAGGTGCGGGAAAGACGACAACATGTACGAAGCTAGCAAGGCATTATCAGACTCGAGGGTTCAAGACGGCCCTCGTTTGCGCTGATACCTTCCGTGCCGGTGCTTTCGATCAACTGAAGCAGAACGCTACGAAAGCGAAGATCCCATACTACGGTAGCTTGACACAGACGGACCCCGCCATTGTTGCGGCGGAGGGTGTTGCGAAGTTCAAGAAGGAGCGCTTTGAGATTATTATCGTGGATACCAGTGGTCGTCATAAGCAGGAGGAAGATCTCTTCACGGAAATGACTCAGATCCAAACCGCTATTACCCCAGACCAGACGATCCTCGTCATGGACGGCTCGATCGGTCAGGCTGCGGAAGCGCAAGCATCAGCTTTCAAGGCTACTGCTGATTTTGGAGCAATCATTATCACGAAGACTGACGGCAATGCCGCTGGAGGTGGTGCTATCTCTGCAGTCGCAGCTACGCATACACCTATCATCTTCTTGGGTACCGGTGAGCACATGATGGATCTGGAACGCTTCGAGCCGAAGGCCTTCATCCAGAAGCTCCTGGGCATGGGTGACATCGCTGGATTAGTTGAGCATGTGCAGGCCGTCACAAAGGACTCTGCCACAGCCAAGGAAACATATAAACACATCACTGAGGGTATCTACACGGTTCGTGATTTCCGCGAGAACATTACTTCGATCATGAAGATGGGTCCTCTGTCCAAGTTGTCTGGCATGATCCCCGGTTTGTCGAATTTGACTGCTGGTCTCGATGATGAAGACGGCTCTCTCAAGCTCCGTCGTATGATCTACCTCTTTGACAGCATGACAGCTGCGGAGCTCGACAGCGATGGCAAGATCTTCGTCGAGCAGCCTTCTCGCATCGTCCGCATAGCTTGTGGTAGCGGAACGACGGTGCGCGAGGTCGAGGATCTTCTTTCGCAGCACCGCATGATGGCCGGCATGGCCAAAAAGGTCGGCGGACAGAAGAAGCAGATGCAGCGCGCACAGAACATGCTCAAGGGCGGAAACAAGGAACAGCAGATGGCTGCGATGCAGAAGCGCATGGCCGCCATGGGCGGCGCGGGTGGCATGCCCGGTATGGGTGGACTGGGTGGAATGGGCGACATATCCAAGATGATGCAGATGTTGCAAGGTCAGGGCGGCGGCGGCATGCCTGGACTGGGCGGGATGGACTTGCAGAGCATGATGAGCCAAATGAGTGGCTTGATGGGTGGTGGTGGCGGCGGTGGAAGAGGAGGACGACGGTAGACGACAACGAAGCTTCCTCAGTCATCTTTTCTCTTCTGCTCCAATTCTCTACCCGTGTCAATTGCGGCCATGTCGTTAACCCTTTTCACGATGCATGTCTTCGGCGTTTCTGGTGTTCCACACGATGGCTTCAAGCCAACCTATCTCTATATTTGTATACTGTAACCTGCTAAAATAGTACCCACTTTCGGACAATTTTCTCTAGTGACTTTTCGTGCTCAACTCTATTCTAGTATATGATGAATTCTCTGCATATGCTATCGAATATAACGTCACAAGTATTACTATCGGCCTGAGTTGGGAGTAGAACAAGACAAAAAGGGAAAAAAAAGAGAAAAAGAGAAAAGGGGTTCAAAAAGGCAGAATAGGATAGGAAATCCCATGTAGTTTCGCCCATTGCACAAATGGAAAATTATCAATCAACGCGTTCTGCTTTCCGCTCCTTTTCAAGAAAACTCCACCACTTCTCTCGAACATTATCTCTCAACCAGCCTAGATGCTCCTCAAATCGACCAACAGCTTCTTGTAGACCCCATCCCGAAGACACCGTGTTGTCAAGGAGGACTCTTCCCGGCGGGAGCTTGAGAGGCGCGTATCCTGGAGGATAGAGCGGGACGGCAAGTCGGTACTTCCAGACAACCTCCCCGTCAACATAGAGAGAGTATGTGAGGACCGAACTGGGTGTGGGAGGACTGGTTGGGTCGTCCAGGTTGGGGTTCTCCTCGTCGTAAATATCGATGTCGATCAGGCCGAATTTGCTGTTTCCATTCGGAACGTATTTCACGGTCACGTCCTCGTCGTCTGTTTGATAATATGTCCTGATGGGGAGGTAGAACATGCTTAATGGGCCGACACTGAATTCGTGTAGGCCGTCACCAGCTGTGTCAGGGAGGAGGTCATCGGGTCTTAAGTTCAATGAAGGGTCGGGGAAGCGCGTGGCACCGAATTCATGCCTATCACCGCTGAGAAGGACGATGCGCACCCCGAGTTCACGCTCCGCGCGCCACATAGCCTCGAACACGATACGTCGCTCGTTCAAGAATCCGCCCCAGGTGTCGGTCGTGCCGACGTGCCAGTTCTTCGTGAACGGCACACTGGAAGCTACGATCTTCCATTTCACGTCTGCAGGTTCTGGACGCGCGAGGTAGGCCAGCAGTGACTGCAGTTGGGCAGAGCCGAGAATGGTGGAGTTTGGCTGGGCCGGTTCAGAGCGATAGGTGCGCGTATCGAGCATAAAGAAGGATGCGGGTCCTTGGATAAACGAGAAGTATGTGGTATTTTCAGGGGCGGCGAAAGGGGATGGTGGAATCGGCGGATTGACGCTGACATGGTAATGAGCATACGGCTCTGCAGCTGCCGGATACGGTGGTGTCGTGTTTCCCTTGGACCAGTCGTTTGAAATTTCGTGATCATCCAGAATATGTAGCCAGGGTAAATCGATAGCTGGACTTTCCTCGGGGACATTCCAGGAAGGAGACTTGTACACACGACGGTACTCGCTTCTGTAGTGCGACTGAGAAGATCCGAACCGCATGGGAACATCGATATAGATGAAGTCCCCTAGAAATAGCATGAAAGAAGGCCGGATAATGGACGGTAGTTTGGAAACAACCTCAGCGGCATACTCAATGCCAGGGATGCGCAGAGGATGTGAGAATGGGTTGTACGGGAAATTCGGCTTGATACAACTCGACGTGAGGAAGCTTAACCTGCTTGCTGCCCGCGATCCTGGTGTGGGAGCGGTGATAAAGGTGCCAGTTTTGTTGTTCGACAGGGAGTATCGGTATTGCGTGGATGGTTTTAGATTCTTCAGTGTAACTGGATACGTGTAGTCGGTGGTGTCGTCCAGCGCGTAGATGATGCCCTCCTGTGTCCAGCTCTCGTTCGGCTGCATAGATGCTTCCTGGTGGTACACCACCAAGGGAAGCTGTGCACGATCTGGCTCCCGCACCAGCAACTTTGCAGTCGTCGGGGAGACATATCCAATGCGAGAAAACGCGAGACTACTAGTCGGGTAGAAGATCATACCACGGAAGAGAAAGTCAAATGTCAACAACGCCAACAGTACATTGACTCCTGCCGTAACCAGAGTGGATAGTCTCGATTTGCGGGAGGGAAGTCCAGTCAACAAGGTCTTCAGAAGGGAGCTGAACGACTCGTCCTCTCTGGAGGACTTGACTCTTCTTTGAAATTCATCAATTGCGGAGGACTTGGATTCATCTGCACTGTCTGTCAATCACGAGATCCCTATTTGGTCAGACCATCTAGAAGCAGATATGATAGCTACCTTTGACTTTCTGAGTCTTGCTCGTTGACGTCTCGCCATCTGCGGGCTGCGCAAGCAGAGCTCTCAGCGACGTCAAGTAGACTGCCAAGGACGTGAAAATAACACTTGGTATCACGCTTCCGGGGATCTTCGCATCCAGTATTAGCTGGGCGAACACACAACAACCACAGATTCATCCAAAACGATAATACGTACCCATCGAAGGAAGAAGAAAGTAGCTAGTCTAAGGATCGCGGAGCTTGTCGCGGCCGCGACCTCCAGCAGCGACGCCATGGTCGTCTAGTCGAGAATGAATTGGTGCCTTTGTTTGCCTCTCTATGACCAGCCAGAGAGAATCATTGCATCAACATTGACAGCTACCAGAGCTTGTTATTTGCTTTTCTAATTCTTCTTGTTCTTCTGCTTCCTCCTCTAGAGTGGCCGACAAAGATGGAATGCGGCGGGAGTTGACGATGATCCCCTTGGTTTGTTTTTGGGAAAGGCGGTTACTTATGACGACATGCATCGCTTTCTCGGGACAAGAAGCCAATTCTTCAACAATAACATAACAATGCAATTATCATACTGGCCTATTGTATACTGAATAGCCACTACTCGATCTGGTAATTAATTAAACCAGCTGATTGGGGATCTGGAGAAGCACTACTTAGCTCGTTTGTGACAATACAATTATTACATGCATGCATCCATGCCAGATTCCAAACAATCCATTGATCCTAGCGCTATTTCTAATCGTTTCTTCCCCCATTTCCCGAACACCACAGCGGCACAGCCATAGACCTCCTGGTTCTTTTGTTATGCGCCGCCATACGGTTAATATAGCTCAATAAGCTCATGTCCACTCCCTGTTCCTCTCTTTACAAATGTCATTTTGTTATGTTTTAGCCCGCATAATCATAAAATCCAGATATCTACAGCGATATTCCATGTGGTTTGGGCGGTGAGGGAAGAATTCTCAACTGTTCACTGCTAGTGAAGTATTATTATTACTACAGTAGTTAATTAACTAACTACTACATACTACAGAGTACTAAGAGCCCAGTTGCTGTCCGATTGATTAGTTACTACTCCACATGATAGCTACTTCGAGTTGGACCTCTAACTGCCTCCACCTCGAATCTTAAGAGCTTTAGCTACATAAGCTAGTCTATCACCACTTCTACATCCGGCTATTTACTTGTCACCGTTGCCAATGGGAAATCAATTCTGATTCCGCGCGCACCCCCACTACAACCTGCTTCGCAGTATCTTCCCCTCTACACAATATGAAAACAAAGAGTACGTCTCGATGTGCCGATCATGCTGGAGCTATAAGTCCGTGAGACCCGACACACTGGTGGGTGCCCAGACTTTTCAAAAAGCAAATTTCATGGAGAGAGCAGCGTCGACCATTTCACGATGTTTGATACGCTGGTTTCCCGTGCAGCCGTTGCTGTGGGCTGCTATATCTGTTATGTTGCTGTGATCCTTATCTATCGATTCTTTTTTCATCCACTGGCGCATATCCCAGGCCCCAAACTGGCCAAGGCGACGTACCTGTATGAATACTACTATGATCTGTATCTCGTCGGCCAGTATACCTTCAAGCTGCAGGAACTGCATAAGAAATATGGTATTTATTACTTTCCGTTCACGACATGGGCAATTTGGCTGACAACATGCTACAGGCCCAATTATCAGAATCAATCCCGATGAAATCCACATCAATGACCCTGACTATATCGATGAAGTGTATAACATGGGCCGCGTACATAAAACGCCAAGACTCGCAGAGGTCTTCGGTCCTCACCCAGCTGTATGCTAAATGTATCGCTACGCCTCTCTTCAGCTGTCACTAATAACAACTAGATCATCTCGACGCAACCTCACGAGCTCCACCGTCTCCGAAGGAGGGCGATAAATCCCTTCTTCTCCAAGAAAGCGGTTGCTGAGTTGATTCCGGCCATCCAGAGCCCCCTTGACATCTTATGCAAGCGCCTTGATGATGCCAGTAAGACTGGAGAGACCCTGAACATGAAATATATGTACGCTGCCGTTACGATGGATATCATCCGCGACTACTGCTTTGCAAGGAAGCCCGAAAATGTTTTCAAGCCCGATTTCGGTCGCAAGGCCTTTGATGATGTCGATGGGTTCCTAGAAGCGAGCATTCTGGTGAGTCAAAGGGGAAGTAAACGTCATTTGACCATTATTAATGGAGACAGAATGTCCACATTCCTTGGTTTATGCGTATCAGCCTCTCTTTGCCGGTAAGCCTTCAAAGATCAAAGGCCCAGTGTGAAGCGCACGCTCACTCCTTGTAGAACAGTGTCAACAAGATACTTGCGCCAGCAATGGCAGATATCTTTGAATTCCGATCTGTAGGGGGCCCTTCAATGAACGTTGGACGAGGACTGAATCAGGAGCAGGAGCTCTCACTGCAAATTGAAGCCATTCGCCATGGCGAAAACCGATCATACGAAAAAGCTGGGCACCGGACCGTGTTTCATGAGCTTCTGGAAAGCAAGCTCCCACCGGAAGAGCTGGAGCGCGATAGGCTCCGTGATGAAGCTTTCGGTCTGGTGACTGCTGGTTCTGGCACCACGTAAGGAATTGACCAGCAGTCAACCAGGGTCTTCAGCGCACACAACTAACTGATCGCAGAGCATATGTCCTTCGAGGAACGTCTTATCATATCGCAGCTAACCCTTCAATCCGTCAAAGACTATACGACGAGCTGAAAGCTGCCATGCCAGACCCTTCCCATCCGCCCTCCCCCCAGGAACTGGAACAACTTCCTTACCTATCCGCTGTGGTTCTCGAAGGTCTCCGTCTCTGCGAACCTGTCTCACATCGAAGCAATAGAGAGTTTCCAGACAAGGCTTTGAACTACCACGGTTATATAATCCCCCCAGGTACGGGGGTGGGTATGACCTCGTATTTGACCCATCACAACGAGGAGATATTCCCTGAATCGCGAGTCTTCCGACCTGAGAGATGGTTGGAAGGAGGCAAGCAACTCGAACGGTACCTCGTCTCTTTTAATCGCGGTACTCGAGCATGCTTAGGACTGAACCTTGCCCGCACGGAACTCTTTATGATCCTCGCAGCCGTGTTTAGACAATTCGACTTTGATGTGTCCGAGGTTTCGAGGAAGCGTGACATTGATGTCAGTCGAGATTTCATGCTGGCTGGACAAGCAAAGGACTCCCCAGGTATCTTGGTCAAGGTCAGGAAATATTAGTATGCACAAAAGGAAAAATTGGACTGCTTCTGGCTCTTCAGCACTAGCCACGTATAAGGCAAGGTGATTCACAGCATCAAGTCCTGTACATAGTTATACGTTCCTTCAATAGTTTTAACTGGCCAGAAGTCCATACCGTTCTAAATTATCCGTGATAACATGATCTTCAAAGCCGCATGATTGCTTCACGCTCTCTATATAAATACTATGTTCCGATAATCTCATCTTATACATAAAACCTTCTACCTACCGTTGATTCATCATATCCCTGAGCACATTCATCACGCTAGCCGTCATTGGACCATGCGACAAAACTGCCCGAGCGGCCGTCACAACATCCTTCATACCCATACTCAATGACATCTCCGCCGCCCACTGCCACGGCTTCTCTTTATCCCCAGGCAACGAATTAAAATACTCCCACCCCATCACGCCTCCAAACCCGGGAAATTCCTCCCGCAGCACCGCCAGGATAGCAGTGATCTTCTCTCTAGGAACAAACCCCTGCGACCCATTCCCCGGGTTCGTGAGCAAACCGTACACAATCTTCTGCGTCGGCCACCCTTGCGTAATCATCGCAGCATACATGCGTGGATCTTCTGCGGGACCCCAACCATTGTAGAATTGCGTATTATACCAGCTGATCTTCGATCCTCGAGCTTGCTCGAGTTGGCGGTAATCGAACCCGGAGAGGTTACCAAAGCCCAGCAACGCAGCAGCCACGGGAGCCAGGGTGATGATGAAGCCATCCCCGAGATCGGCTTTGAGGCGGTCGATGAGACGGATGATTCCCTGAAGGGACATCTCTTCTTCCACGTCGAGGTCCAGGCCATCGAGTCCATGGCGACGGATCATGGAGAGTAGAGGCGCGTAGTATGCTTCGAATTGTTCCGGGGTGCCATCCAGACGCTGGAAACTGCCTTGAGCGGCACCACCTAGCATACCCATAACCTTGATCCCGGCCGCCTTCACTTGAGGCACTTCCTCCCAGAGCGGCGCGTATACTGGACTGTCAGGCGGGTCATCGTTCAATGTGATGTTTCCAGGCCCCGAATTGAGATGGATAGCTGCGATGATGATGTGCGTGATACCCGTGCTGTTGTGTAGCAGGGGGAGCATTGACACGTACCCGGCATCTCTGGCGCAAATGGTCTGGTGATAGCAAATGATACGCGGTCGGTTCAATGCAGTAGCCTGCGTGGGAATGATGGGTGGCATGTTTCTTGAGGCTAGGTATCTAGTAATATCGGGCAAGAGAGTGGTTTCGAATTGTTTGGTTTCCTTATTGTTCTCATGGGCCTGGTCCCGTTTCCCATATATTCAGACACGCAGATACACAGCAAGTATCTTCGTTGTAGTTTTCTTGCTGTTTGTTTATATCACCAACCCCATGATAGGTCTCACTATCAGGACTGCCGTAACTGACAGATAAAGGCTCCCGATTACCAAATCCGATGCGGGCGATGTCTAGAAAGGATCGATGGCCTAGGAGACAAATAGCGACAAGAATTGGCTTTACTGAAAAGAAAGAGAAGATCTGTACAGTCCAATGAATCGCGAATCGGCTTAAGATGTATTCTCTACCGGATCTCACCCCCACAGTCGGTGGGCTGTTGATGACTAATCGGTTGTTGTCTTGGCAGGTCAAATTAACTATATATTGTGAGTTAAACAGCATTCATATCGTCGCATAAAAAAAAAAGAAAAAAGACAGATGGGAAACAGTTGAGGCTGTTTGAAGCCGTCATTTTGTTTTGGTGGGATCCAGTCACTTTGGTAAGCTTCGAAAGCAAGGATATAATGCTTGATCGCCAATAATTCGGAAATGTGCCCTGTCAGCCAAGGCAAATTAGATTAGATTCGACTAAGTATAGCATGTTCGTGTACGCGCCATATAGGGACATCGCCGCAACAACAATCATGACTAACCAGACCAAACGCAGAATGAACCCAGAGTCTCGCAAAAAAAAAGTCTACTCGAAGCCTCAAAAACTTATATCGCCACAAACCCCTTGCTCGTGTATGGTTCAGTCCGTATCAGAGGAAATAAAAGGATAGCTCTGGACAAAAGAAATAAGAATATCACAGGCTCTCCATCGATCTCTTTACCAAGCAGTGTGACCACCATCAATTACCAGATGACCACCTGTCATGAAGCTGCTGGCGTCCGAAAGCATGAAGATCGTTGCCCCCGTGAACTCCTCTGGCGTGGCCAGTCGGTTGAGCATGTTTTCCCGCTCCCATGTCTCCTGCAGACCGGGAACCTCCTCGAAGTTTTTCTGGACCATGGGTGTGATGATGTGGCCGGGACATAGGGAATTGACGCGGATTCCAAATTTGGCCCATTCCATGGCTAAGTTGCGAGACAGCTGAATAACCGCTGCCTTGGATGAGTTGTAGACAGGCGAGTTAAGACCCTTGTTGGCGATAAATCCGGACATCGAGGCCACAAGAACTATTGAACCAGGACTCTCGAATCTTATCATCTGCCGTGCTACCGCGTTCGCCGACATGAAGACTCCAGTATAATTGACATCAAGCATCTCTGTCACATCTGCACATGTATAGTTGACTGCTTCTTTGATCTGCTGCACGCCTGCTGCTGCGACAAGCCCGTTCATTTGGCGCCGTCGCTCTGCGATAGAGGCCACGACCCTGTTTAGTATCTCCATATCTCGTACATCGACGTGGTGATAATGTAGCTCCCCCTTATGTTTCTGCTCCTTACTCCATTCCTGGGAAGCAGTAAATTCAGGGTCTGGCTCGACCAATCGGTCTAAGCAGTGCACTGTTCCATGTACTTTGATTAGTTCTATGTTCTAATCGAATCATGTCTTTCGATAATAATAACAAAAGGTACCGCCGGAAGCTTTTGAGGAGACATACCTTCAGCGCCTGCCTGTACCATGGCTTCTGCAATCATGAGTCCTAACCCTCGACCACCACCGGTTACCACATACACTTTATTCTGAAGACTAAAGTCAGGATACGCGCTTCTTGGAACCGGTTCCTTGCGCGATTCCTGGCTGCCATCCAGTATTGGTTTGGTTGGAGTCCGCAATGACACCGCTTTTGAAAAGGTCATTGGTTTGATGCTGCCCATCCCGTGGACTGCTGTCGGGAATGCAGCGCGGTGCGCACTACCTGACTTCCAGGCCACAGCCGTGGAATCAGGACATACTCGCGCGCATTTTGTGAGAAGCCCTCGACCTGTGCGGATTGCTGAAGATGAAAGTGCCATGGTGTAGCAGCCTCAGCGCGGTTCGCTTTCTGTGTATTTGATGCCTTTTACTTGTGTAAACCAGTTGATTTCCTTCCTTTCAGTCTGGTACCAGGGGACGTGGTAGGAGGTCCTCGTGGGTTTTGTATCGTCCTCAAATTCTACGATGCTGAGCAGCCGGCCTATCAGGTCCCACCAGACCACGCGAAATGAAGTTCATCGTGAGACTGGACATGCCCATTCTCCTATGGCGACAGTGTCTGATACGACGGCTTTGCTGACCGACCTACGAATCCTGGTAAGCTGTCCCTGCTCTCGACGGGTCTGAGCCTTGGAAGAAGTCGCTGCCAAGCCTCTTAGATCGGAGCTGTGAAGTAGATCGGATGATGCTGAGCTCTGGCACCGGAGAATGAGCGCCTGTTGATGGGCGGATCGAACTTACTGTTCGAATGTTCCGTGGACAATGTATCTTGGTCCAGTCTGACATCACCCGCCTGGACTTTCGTGTTGCATCCTGTGGCGTCGCTATCAGGGACGTCTAGACTCCTTGCCAACTGCCATGCGATATCTCTTGCCAACGCTGTTAACTGGAGAGGACTCGAAAGACTATGTGTTGGCCATGGCAGCTAAACGAGATTGGCGATGGCCTTACTTAGTCTAGGCCTCCCCGTGCCAGTAGCACCAAAATAACAGCAACTACACATATACTGATATCCTTTCTGGGCATACGTAACGTATGCCGCAAATAACAGTGGGTCCTATATCATAAAAATCGAATGTGAGCTGCTGAAGTCTTTGCATGCGATGGCAAAGGCCCCAGTATCAATCCATCTCGTGTTTGCGACTGAGTTCACGGGATGATGTCAACTCGCGATATCTGATCAGCCCTACAGTCAAGACCTAAATTGAGCCTAAATCGACACCGATAGACTGTTCCACTAACTAGGGCCATTGCAGGGCCTCTTTCATACATTGTAGATCGTCCGCGGAGAGGTAAATATTGTGCAAATTTCTGCTATCTCGTCTCCAGTACTCCTTGTCTGGACTGATGAAATAACTGCGCCATAGGACGTAACCAGGTATTATAGACAGAATACCTATCGTGGGGTTGTCAGCTTGTCACTCTTGTCGATGTATTTCTGCGATTTCCGGTATCAATGCTTTTCCGTGGCATCATATATAGATCATCCCGTGCCTGAGCCATTGGCGAAACCAATCTTGGAAAATGGGTAGCGGGATTCACTTCCCCACGAATAATAGACGCTAGCCACAGGCCCCATCTAGGGCTTCCAGAGAGCATCTATCGCCATGGGTGCGAACTGCGAAGGACATTCGGCGTACTCGAGTAGTTCATGTCCCTGGCAGTCGCCTCATTGCTGCGCGGCAAAAACTGATGACAGGATAGTGACATGAAGACCCAAAGATTGTTCGTATATAGTTCAGTAATAGTAAAATAGATCTGCTTTTGCATCTAATGTCTCTGCTGAATATTCCACTATAATTCTCGACGAACAAGCTCCGATGATGGCGCTTCGTCTCTCTCGCGTGTATCATTTTCGCCTAGCTCGACAAGCTCCGGTGGCTGCCATGCGCAGCATGAGCTCTCCCTCGAATCATCCCAACCCAGGTAACTTCGCCAATCGACCCCGAGAGCAGCTCTCCGAAATTGGTCGCAAAGGAGGGTCCAAGGGTGGAAAGGCCACCGGCGTGGGTGGATTTCATAACATGGATCCGGAAAAACAGGCATGATCTGAAAACGTCCTTGCTTCAGCAATGAGATCCGCTGTACTAACTTGGATCGATCGATGTATAGCATGCAATTGCGTCTAAGGGCGGACGTGCGTCGAGAGGATCATTTGAGAAAGGTAGCGAACGAGCGCGGGAAGCCGGTCGTAAAGGTGGTCGTGCTCGGGGAGGCTCTGCGTCGTCCTCAACCTCATCCACATCCTATGGCGAGGAGTTTACAATATAGGAAGACACAAATAATGATGACTTGAGATGCTGTAATGATAATGTTTCCCTGGTGAACACCGTGTCTTGGGCGCGTTATTCACAGGCACGGAGCTTAGGTACTGGGGACATCAGGTACAAGTAATCCCGTTAAGCACCGCCCAGCCTCAGGTGTAGAGTCATCCATGATACATAGAAAGTCCACGACCATAGCGCAGAATTAGAATCACTAGTGAACTAGTGGGGAGATCATCACGATCTTGAACTTTTTCAATAAGATCAATTTAATTCTACTCTAAAGCCGGGGCTGAGACCCAACCACACTAACCAGAACGGGAGCGCCATAAACAACTCACTCCAAGACTTGAGATCCCCATCGATCTTCACCATCATTAAGACCTCATTTGAGGTGAATTCCCTGCCGCTTCTCTTCGTTATTTTTTGGTGGCATGTGTGCTTCGTTCATATCGTTCCAATGAGTGGACATCAGCTATCTTGAACAGCTCAGCTATCTCATCCTATCCGTACAACACACCGTCGCGTCCGGTCGGACATCGCAGACGCGTGCAACGACACCATGGCCGGACCAGGTTACAGCTCACCCTTCCCCACGACCCACGATACCATCGGGGCTTCCACTCTGGCAGCTACCCCTGGCTATATGCCTTCCTCACCGCCGCAATCTAATCACGACTCGGACGACGCCGTGAGCCATCTGAGGAACTCCGTTTCCGAACAAGTCGCGGCGCAGAGATCGGGCGACCGACGAAGCGACAGATCCAGAAGCTCGTCACCATCGTCGCAAGCCTCGTCTTTTGACAGTCGCGACAATCTCGAAGCGCGACTCGCGGACTATACGCTAGATCTCAGCAGGTTCTCTGGTGAGGAGTTTGGTCTAGACGAACGAGATGACGACCGATTGCCGGATCTGAGCGCAGAAAAGGAGGAGAAGCTGTCGGATATCGGCGGACCGGAGGATTTCACAGAGCACATGGAGAGATATCTTTGGGGCGATGGCCTTTCATCGGACGACAAGAAGAACGGCAACAAGCCTAAGGAGGAGGGGGAACGTCTCGAATCCTTGGTGGAAGACGAAGAAGGGGAACTGGGCGAATATAGCGAATTCGGTCCACCCGTCGATATGTCAACACCTTCACAATTTCTACGGAGGAACCCACATACCAGTAGAGAAATGACGCAATTGGAAGGCATTGAAGAGAGTCCCCCGCAGAGTCCTCGCGGAGAGGCATCACCATCCGCGCGCAGGCAGAAGGATGCTTCTCCGGAAGATGACTCCGGCGATCTGCGCCGCCAGATTGAGCAACTTAAGGAACAACTTAGAGAAAGAGATGAGCAGCTACAACAAGCAGAGAGGACAAAGGCTCTCGAGGCAGAAGCAGCAGCGGAGCAGGCCACCCATCTTCAAGAGGAGCTGAGCCGGAAAGCTGCACTATTAGAAGAGGCGCATGAGAAGCATCAGAGAGAAGAGGCTGCGCTTCATGAGCAGATCGAATCGTTACAAAGGCAGAATAGCGAGAAGGAACTCTCCTTACAGAACTCCAAGTCTGACATGTTGAGACTCGAAGCCCTTCAGCAGCAGGTCGAGACGCTGCAGGCGGAGCTGAAGGGACGGGATGAGTCACTGGCGGAGAAAGAGGAGAATAACGGGACCATCGACTCCTTGAAGGCGGAGTTGGAAGTTGCCCGGGAGGAGATCAAGAAGAGGGACGAGGCGCTCGAAAGCAGCATCTCGAAGCTTAATGAAGTTACCACAGCAAAGGACCGGCAACTCCAGGAGAAGAATACTGAAATAGAAACACTCAAGGCTCAGATTAGTGACCGGGATCTCGAGATCGAGAAACTCGAGGATGAACTGGATGCTGCGAACGATGAATCCGAGGCGTTGGAAAAGAAGATAGCTTCCCTGGAGAGTAAAAACAAGCCTTTGGAAGAGAAGAATACCGCGCTCGAAACTGAGCTGGGAGATGTGCGGTCCCAACTTACTGCACAGGAAGATGCTCTCAAAGCTGTCGCTAGTGATATCTCGGTTCACAGCGAAGGGAAAACGGAAGGAAGGACAGAAGGAAAGACGTTTACAGATATTCTGGATGTCATCAAAGGTGCGTTTCTAACAGAGATGGCGTTACCTACGACCTTACCGACAAGCAGAACAGATCTGGAAGAAGAGGCCGAAAACCTGCGGAAACAGCTTACGGAATCCCAAAAACAATCAAAGGAGGCTGCATCCACGAAGGAGACTCTCGAAGCTCAACTGAAGCGCTCCGAGGAACAATTATCTGAATCGCAAGGACTCATCACCACCATCGAAGCCGAGAATAGCCGCCTGACCTCTCGAGTCGACGAGCTTACCTCCAGTCTCCAAAAGCTCCAAGGCGAGTCGCACGACATCAAAGAGCAGCATGCCCAATTACTGGAAACTATCGACCGCATGCGCAAAGAGAAGGAAGCTCAACAGCCTGCTGGCCCGCCTTCCCCGCCATTCGAGTCTGCTCCAGATCTCGCTGTCATCACAGAAGCCCACCAAGCACAGCTTAAGAGCCTGCAGACTGCGCACGCAACTGCTATTTCCACCTTGCGCAGCTCCCATGCAGAGTCGCTCCGCAAACTCCGCAATCAACTCACGGCCGCAGAGACACGCGAGTCGGAACTAAAATCCGAACTGGATCGTCTTCGCTCCTTCGACTCAGAGCAGAGATCCGAAGTGGAAGACCTTTATGCCGAAATTGAAAGACTCGAATCGATCATAACTGCCAAAGAAGAGGCGGCAGCAGCACTGGACCTGCGAATCGCCAAGTCCGTCGAGAAGCGCGAGAAGGAATGGGAACGCAGAATAGATCTGCTATTGAAGGAACGGGAGAAGATGAGCAAAGCACTCCTGTGGGCCTGGGGAGAGAAAGAAGTCGGCGATTCCGTCAAAGATAACGGTGACGAGAACCGTAAGGGACCCCGGCAGGGATACCGGTATAAGTACGTTGTGAGGGGATCAAAGTAAAGGAAAGGTCCTACGATAATCCCTTCCTTAACAAAGAGACTGTTATTATTCATCCATATCCATACGGTGTGCTGGGGCTTTTTTTTGAATCTGGTTTTGAAATATTTGCACGCATTTAAGGCTGGGGCAGGTTGCATATGGTTAGGGGAAGGGATACGGCGCTTTCGTTGTCTTTTCATTTGAGGGAGTCGAGAAACTGGTGATGGGGGCAGCATAGTTAACAATACTATTATTAGGAAGAATGAGAAGCCTTTAGAATATTATGTTTTGCAATCCAGAACTGTCAACTCCGAGTAGAGATCTCGCGTGTGGATCTCAACCTCGACGTATTGTTAGTATGAGCCGTACTACTTAGTCTTAATGACAGACTATCACCGAAATCGCTCAAGGAGACCGCCTTATTAAATGGACAAATTATTAAAAGAACGAGATTTTGTCACGAACGCAAGACGGTATGGTATCATTATCCTCCCTATTCTCAATAATAAAAAATATAATCTGATCAAATAGGAAAAAGGGAAAAAAAAAAAAGGATCACAGACAGAACGCTTAAAGAAGACCAAGTACAGCTTCCAAATCTTTTTAGTGAAAAGTCATACATCTCATCGCATTACATCCGAGGCGCGTCAGATAAGAGATCGGAACGAGAACCGGGACCAGGTAGGAGGTCTCCCGACCCTTCTGTTTCGGTGATCTCTGAGTGTCTGAGACCGTATAAATGGAAGATCATTACAATGTTGATAAGGACTGATGGGGTACTGGGTATATTTAACGCGAATCAGAGGCTTGACTCATAGGAAAGGTGCCTCTAGGAAGGTTCAGTGTTTAGTAACCGCCCTGCATGCTGGTGCGCTGAGCACCGCGGTAGGTTCTGCTGTCAATGCCGCCCGCTTCTCCAGTAGAGAAGGCTCCTGGTGTGCTGAGGTTGATGCTGGAGCGTGCTCCGGCCTTCATGTTTCCGAGACCGTCTTTGGTGATGCCAATGCCACCATATGTGCTGCTCCGTGGTCGTCGTGTGCTAGGGTAGACGATCTCGACATCATCGCTGCGCGGGATTGGTGGTAGGGCATGGGAAGGGTTGAAGCGTGGTGCGCGAGGCGACTGGTGATAGCTGTGAAGATTGGGATTATATCGTCTTGGGTCCTGTTGATAGTGATATCGGTGGCTTTGCGTGTGGTGAGGCACCTGAGAGCGTTCAAACTGGTAGTTTTTGCTAATACGTCTTGTGTTCTGGCGGCGAGGTCTCTCTGATTCTGCTGGTTGAGGACGGGGCTGGCTGGAATGGATCGGAGGAGGAGGGACATAGTTCGGATGATGTGGGTGATGAATCGAACGGGGAATAGGAGCAATGTAGGAGGAGCGAGACTTTCGGACTGTCAACGGTTGCGGAGGCAGGACTGGTGGCGGATTTCCAGGGCTAGCAGTCATGGCTCGAGGCCTCGGAGGAGCAGGTGTTGCTTCAGAAGATTTCATGTCGTGATTCGTGCTTTTTGGAACGGCCTGCGAGCTGTTTGAAGGAGCTGCGACTGGGAGTGGCTCAGTGACGACCACTTTTGAAGTGTCGCTCTCACTAAACAAGGCCATCAAAGCCTGTTTGGCGAGGTCAGGAGAGGAGATAGCCTTAATCAGCGGATCCTCAGAGAGGGGCGTTGAGTTCGTTTGCCAGACATTGGGCAGGAATTTATTCTGCGAGGAAACTGACGATTCTTGTCGCACGTGCTGCTGCTTGTATCTTGGGGGAATTGCAGGGATCTCAGGAACGCCGGAGAGCTCTGCAATTGACGGGACCGTAACCACGGAGTCGTTTGGATGGGCAGTCATGATAGTCCCAGTTCGAGACACCGCTGGGGCACGATTTTCTGTACTCCCTGCCCCCTCGTTTGTGGGTTGGTTGACGGGGGAGCCGTTCTGAGAGCTCTGGCTGGGGGAGGTAGACGATGCACGAACGATTTCTGGTCGAATAGAGCCCGGGTCGGTATTCAGTCTCAACTGCGGCTTTGGCCGGACTGGAGCCGGGTAGCGCACACTTGGAGGTCGAACAGGTTTTTCAGAGACACACTGCTTCCCGTTGGACCAATACAGCTCTCTATTACCCGGAGCTCCATCTGGATGACGACAGAGGAAAAGGATTTCGCTCTTAAGGGTATCACTTTCCCAGCTGGATTCGGAGAAGATGCTTCCGTCTCGTGACGGTCTCTGGGGCGTATACAACCCCAAAAGAGATGCATCATAGCGGCGCAAAGAAAGCTCAATTGAGCACAAAAGAGCCAGTGCTGTGATCCTGTAAAGATGCGTGAGTAAGCGGTTCCATAAACTTGCGAGTAGTGCAGTAAGACATACAGAGCTAGAATAGCAACGATAACAGCCACGCGGTGGAGCACACAGCTAGTCCCGCTTCTCCAAAAGCTCCGAGTCAATTGACTAGCATCGCATGTTGGCTGTTTGGAAATGACGACCAAGCCCGTCACGGTAGTCGCCAGCCATATAACAACCATAAGCCGCGGTAGATGTGAACAGATTATATGGATTGGTGTCCTTGGGATAGCTGTTCCAGAAGATTTCTTATAATTCCACGCTATAAGCGTATGGAGAACAACAAATGGAACGGAGAAGAAAGACTGATCAGTCAGAATCATTAGCTTTCGCAATTTAGGAGTCTTATTTCGAAACCTTACCGCGATGAGCCCCAGTATCAAACTGGGTGTCATTGTTGAGTCAACATGCCTTGTGGCATAGAGCGTAATGACCAAGGCACACTCTACTAATGATAATAGGAGAATGAGGTATAAAGAAATGAATATGATCATGCGCGTCCAGGCTCTTCGACCCTTGGCCGGTGTTGACGTCCGGGCCGCCATTAGCTTGAATTTCCAGTGATTCCTGTTTTGCGTTCCAGCTGCTCGACAGGCTGTCTTAAACCACAAGGCATCAAGACAAAAATGAACAAATATATGGGAGCTTCGTCAAACGCACACGGCGGGCTTGATCACTAGTATATCCGTCAATAAGGATGAATAAGAATTGCAATGATCATATCTGAGTAACCGTACTACAGGGTGAAAGGTAAAGGTGCTGTTCTCCTGAAGGGGGGCCGTGAGGCTAAAAAGCAACATGTAATTGATGCCAACACGCGTAAACGCGCATCTTGACAGACATGGATAGGGAGGCTGGAATGCCCACCCCTGTGTGGCGGGAACGAAGGGAAATACAAGAGGCCAATTGAAGCATGGCCGGGGGCAATTGTTGACAGCTTCAAGACCGATCATCCTGAGGAATGTTGTGATCAGAACGGAATGCTCTCCATGTGCAGGGGAGGCAGGGTGTCCCGTCACTTAGACGCGACAGCACCAGGAAGGGATAAGGTAGGCCCGCCACAACGTGGACCTGGACTATGATGAACCCAGAGCCGGAGATTTCTCGTTCCAATTACGCTCTTTCCTCTTGAATTCCTGTAAAATAAGCTGTGGTGCCTGCGCGAGACAGCACCGCGGGGCGTCGTAGATCGCCATCACGCGAATTTCGTACTGAGTCCTGAGACAGTCCCAAGGAAATCCAGTTCTGGAAAGGCCTCAATAATGCGTCATGAACTGTGATATTTTTTTCTTGATACCGGCTATAGCAGCCTATAATATGGCGTGTTCTTCACATGGTGACGAGAAGTCTCGGCTTTGTCTCTAAATTTCCATCAAGGGATGAAGTCAGTTTGTATACACGTGACGAAGCAGAAGGTCAGTATCCTAAAGAGGAAATTATGGCCTGAGGCTGCTATATTTGTCTTATGTCATCAGTAAAAACGAGTCTAGATCATCTGCAACCACGTTCGTTCTTCATCCTATCTATCCCTTCTGTCTCACTCTGACGTCCGAAGTAATAAGACAGGAATGCAATAATAGGACTTATTCGGATACTGTCTACACTGCAGTATGATAGAATCTGCATTCACTTTCTAGAACTGTCTTGCGTGAAATTGCACCCTCATGCCTCATCTGACGGACATGGCAGATAACTAGCGCCTTACTTATAGATACCTATAAGAGCTCGTCACCAAGGGATTGAAGAAGGGATAGATGCTTTACTGCCCATTACTCGGTGATTGATTCTGTATTCGAGTATTTGATATATTGGATTGCACCGCGAGAACAGCGGGGCTCGCACGAAAGCATCGGTACTGGAAACAGCAGTTTAGGTTCGGCAGTCAAATATCGCGTTCAATGCCGTCAATTCTTTATGTAGAGTGCACACATGGCCTCTTTTCGGCTCGAGCTTCAGGGTGGAACACTGACCAGTCAGAGCATCCTAAGTAGTAATAATCTTACTGGCATCTGAACTAGTTATACTACACCGCTCCTAGTTATCGATCCGTACCGGGAGCATAGAGCAGACCATGGTCGTGACTGTCCAGTCCACCGCACAGATGCTCAGGCGGGGCATGCTCGATCAAGAATCTCCGCGGCTCAGCGTTCAAGTCAGATCAGCCTTGGCTTAACTTAGCGACTGGCGCCTAAAATAGAGTCTATTCGGCGGCTCTGCGATGCATTGATTAATATCGGAGGTTCCCCTGAGGTTTTCTCCGACCTTGCTCACCTGCTAACTGCAGCCTCTCGGAGCAAATTTTTGCACCGGGCGGCCTGTCCCGCCAGGCAGTAGAGCCTTACCTCGAAGCGAGGAGAATGCCAAGAAACAGTCGACGGAGGTGTTCGGTTTCCGCTACACCCGGACTGTTGCAACCGTATTCCAGACTCTAGATTGTTGAAAGCCAGACTGATATGACGGCTATTCAGTCATTCATATTCATTACCATACTGTACATTTATGGAGCAGTAACCAGCCTGTATGGTAATTTTTTTTTTCGGCTTTATAATGACCGCAAGGGCTAAACAGCGTGAAGGCCGTTGTTATCCTTCCTTGGGCGTTATTGTTGTAACCAGGTTTTGGCCCCAGATCAAGTTGGTCGATTGACTGTGCACCAGATAGTGAAGCTAGACCGAACATGTGCTGGCTTGGTCGATAAAGTCTCTATGAAGCTTCCAGCCCCGAACTTTGCTGTCCTCTTCGCGAGTAGTAACAGTAATGAAGGCGCTCCGCTACTGCGGTCTCCCTCCGTGGCGCTTAATTTCTTAGCAGCAGAATTGGTCTTCGAAACGATTCCCATCTTTGGTGAAGATAGTCATTGAAAAGCCACAGCTTTTAGAGAGAGAATGCAAGTACGCCGTTATTCCTACTGTACGTCAGATAGATAACTATGCAGGGTCACCGGGATAGTCCCTCCAGCGTTATGAAAGGAAGCGCAAACCGGAACAAACAATACTGGTGATAGTGGCCGACGGGAGCTTTCTCATTATCGAATAAGCAGCCTAGATAGCCTTAGCGAGATGGCAGGTTGCTGGCCTGGACTTGTTGAGTAGGATCAATATCTCTGTTTAGTCTAGGGCCGACGTGAAGTTGGATTGACTCGCTCACTTGACGTTCTGATTGGGGTGCCTGGCTGAGGCTGAAGTCCAAGCCCTAGCCATGACCCCGCGCTATTCCCGATCGGGTCGATATCCGGCAACTCCGCGTGATCACAGCGCGCCGGCCCAAAGCTTGCTAGTTCGATAGGCTGGATAAACTCTGGTTCCTCTAAGAGCCTCAACCTCCACCGTCTACAACCATCCCACGGTACGCCACCGCTGCAGCCAGCCCTCATCATCTGGAATAATGGTTTGATGTGACCTTGGACGATGCGTCTGTTCTTCGACTCGAGACTGTCTATCTATCTTCCGTCAGCGGACGTTGGCGTTGAGAGGTAGCAGTTCATTCCTCATCTGATTATCCCACAATAATCTTTGATCTCAAGGAGAAACTTTCTGATACATATGACCTGAGGTCTCTGCATGCCAGGGTGGCGAGATCGATGGATAGTCTACCGGCCATTCCTGAAGCGCGCTTTGTTTAATTTTCCTGCCAGCACGATGCAAAGCCCCGTTTGGTCGAGACACTGGCTTTTTTGGGAGCGCCGCTATGCTGCTCTGCCATACCTGGAATCGACAAATTCGTCCTCTTGCTATATCGGGGAACCAACCAGCAGACGCCAGATGATGTTGTGGATAGCGCTTCCAATGCATACGGCCGCCACCAGTCTCGCTCCAACTCTAATCGGAAACATCCGATGGAAAGACTGGAGCGACGTGCAAATCAAAACGACGAGATTAAGCCATGCATCATGACCTAGTCAACTCCGGATTCTGAACACCACTCCCGAGGCTACAGGCTTATTTTTTCGAATGGATTCTGGATAGTGATACCCCTTTCCCGTGCCAGGCACCAGCGGCAACGGCGTTCTTAGCTTATTATAATAATACTTCTACTGCCCATTATCTCTCCCATCTTTATACTTCCGTATCACCACACTCGTTGGGCATTCTGTCGTTTTAGTTCCACTGACAGTGGACTGCCAAAGCAGGCATTTGTCTGCGTCCTTTCTTTGACTGAAACGGGTTTACATTCCTTCTTCTGGCTCCGCCAGAGTATCCATTCTCTCAGCAGTCCAATTTGTGTATTTTGTGCCGTCCATTGTCATTCTCTCCATAATGGTGTACACCAAGCCGCTTGCCGCCGTCGCCGCGGCATCACTCTTTGCCCGTCTTGCAGTTGCTTTTGATGCTCAGTCAGAATCAAACGTTGTCGTTTATTATGTATGCAATGGATACCTCTATAGAGATAGCCGTCAGTGCTGATATCATTTACAGGGCCAAGGCTACAATCAACCACGTTTAAGCCAAATCTGCCAGGAGACGTCGTTGGACATTATCAACATCGGCTTCGTCAATGTCTTCCCTGATGTCGGTCAAGGCGGCTGGCCTGGGTCCAATTTCGGAAACCAGTGCAACGGGCAGACATATACTAATGCTGATGGTGAAGCGACTCAGCTGCTGTCCGGTTGTCAGCAGATTGCGGACGATATTCCCGTCTGTCAACAGGCTGGCAAGAAGGTCTTCATCTCTCTTGGAGGAGCTTATCCCGCAGACGGCCAAATCATCGATAATGATGACTCTGCGCGCGATTTCGCCGACTTCCTCTGGGGCGCTTTCGGTCCAGAGACGGACGCCTGGGTGGCGCAGAATGGGCCCCGTCCATTTGGTGATGCCGTGGTGGATGGTTTTGACTTTGATATCGAGCACAATGGACCCACTGGTATGCTCACACTCGATTGAACGATTGGGACTAGTTCTGACTCTTCTTGAACAGGATATGCCGCTCTGGCTCGGCGCCTACGTGACAACTTTAGCGAGTTCCCATCGAAGCAATTCTATCTCTCTGCTGCGCCGCAGTGCCTATCTCCCGATGCGCAGCTGTCTAATGCGATCCAGTTTGCCTCTTTCGATTTCATCTGGGTTCAATTCTACAACACTGATCCATGCTCTGCCCGTGCCTGGGTGGATGGGGATGTGACTTCCGACTTCACGTTTGACGCATGGATTGCCGCCATCAAGCTCGGGGGCAACCCATCTGCTAAGTTGTTTATTGGTCTCCCTGCCGATCCTACCCAAGCGTACTATGTTAGTCCAGATGAGGTTGAGACTCTGGTGGAGGAATACATGGGCAGATATCCCGAAAACTTCGGAGGAATCATGATCTGGGAGGCGACAGCTTCCGACGAGAACCAAATCGACGGTCGCAGCTACGCAGCCAACATGAAGAGCGTCTTACTCAAATATGCTCCTCCTGTGGCGACTCCGACGCCCCCTGTCTCTTCTTCCGCCATTTCTTCTAGCAAGCCCACGCCTTCTGGCGCATCATCTGGACAGCTTACTTCCTCTGTCATTCCTTCCAGCAAGCCCACTCCTTCTGCGCAGTCTACTTTCTCTTCCATTGTTTCTGGCAAGCCTACTCCTTCTGGACAAGCTACTGCTTCCAGCAAGCCCACTCCCTCTAGCAAGCCTACTCCTTCTGGACAGGCTACTGCCTCTGGCAAGCCCACTCCCTCTGGACAGGCTACGCCCTCCAGCAAGCCTACTCCCTCCAGCAAGCCTACTCCCTCTGGCAAGCCTACTCCCTCTGGTCAGGCTACGCCCTCTAGCAAGCCTACTCCTTCTGGACAGGCTACTGCTTCCGGCAAGCCCACTCCGTCTGGTCAGGCTACGCCCTTTAGCAAGCCTACTCCCTCTGGCAAGCCTACTCCCTCCAGCAAGCCTACTCCCTCCGGCAAGCCTACTCCCTCTGGACAGGCTACGCCCTCTAGTAAGCCTACTCCCTCTGGACAGGCTACTCCCTCCGGCAAGCCTACTCCCTCTGGACAGGCTACTATCTCTAGTAAGCCTAACCCCTCTGGACAGTCTACTTCCTCTGCCATTCTTTCCGGCAAGCCTGCATCGTCCGGCAAGTCCACCCCCTCTGGACAAGCTACTCCTTCTGGAAAGCCTATTTCTTCTGGACAGGCCGTTTCTTCTGGCAAGCCTACTCCTTCTGGAAATCCTGCTTCCTCTGGTATTCCATATGGCAAGCCTACTCCTACTGGCACGCTCGTTTCTGGAAAGGCTACACCGTCTGGAAAGCCGGCTTCGACTGCCAGTATCATTTCGACCTCAAAATCAAGTTCGAGCGCCCCAGTCACTGTCTCTGGTCCTGCATTAAGCGTTGCGACCTCCGCAACACGCAGCAGCAGCGGAAGTGGCTTGTCGTTTTCTGGCTCAAGCTCGGTCGCTGCTCTTCCTTCGTTCTTCAGTGCTACTATGTCCCACATCAGCCCGTCCGCCTCTGTCATCCGTTCCACAACTACCGGTCAGATGGATCCTTCTATAACCCCTAATGCTGGCGTCTCTTCTGCGGCATCTGGATATACTTCTTCCAGCTCTGGACTTGCTACCATTACAACCGTTATCGTTACTTCGTATATCGACATCTGTCCTACCGGCTTCACCACGATTACGACAACTTACACCACGTACTACTGCCCTGGAACGGTTTCCGCAACGACGACTCCTGCTGCTTTGCCTACCGGCTCGTCTAGCCAGACTACAACCCCGCAGCTTCCAGAAGGCTGGTCTACCACTGTTACCGTTTGCACACAGTGTGCTGCTACACCAACCACTGTGACTCTCACGAAGCCTCTTACTGCTACTAGTATCAGTGTTATAACAGCTACTGCAACTGAAGTTGCTTCTGCTAGCACCTCTGGCAACTCTGGCAGTACTGCTGTATCGGGAGAAGGCGCTACCTCTTCCAGTCAACTCCCCGGAAGTATTGCAACTGCTCTTCCGGCTGGCCCCTCTCAGCCTGCTCCCGTTGCAGGCTCCTCTGGCTCCGAAGGCGAGAATATCTCTTCCTCCAGCAGGGTTGTCACTGCCAGTGTTGTGCTGGCCAGTCCATCTGGAGTAGCTATCACACCTGGTCAGAGCGGTGCTGCAAATGAAGAGGTTGCCTCGACGGGGCCCGCCCTGACTACCGTCCCTGTTATCCCCGTGAAGGGCAGCAACATCCCTGTGCCAACTGGAACTGGCTCCCACCAGACTACTTTCTCTTTCAAGCCGTCCGTTCCTGTCTCTCGTGTCCCCGTTAGCCCCAGCAGCACCCAGGGCAGCGTCGCTCCCGTTTTCACCGGTGCTGCTGGTCGGGCGTCTGCGACAAGCTGGCTTGTTGCCATTCTTGCTGTAGCGGCCTCTGCGCTTTCTCTGATGTGAACAAATGTCACAGAAGTAGAGAGCGGCTTCAATCAGTAATGGCAAAATATTTATGACGTCTTACTCTTCTAGCTAACAAATATGCCTTATCCAACTGGACACGCTTTCCGTGTCTTCTATATATCTTGGATATGATGTATATATTGACCACAACTACTATATTTTTGTGTATGAATACTTCGGTTCCTAATTACTCATTATCTCTCACAATGTTGCTTTGTAGCGGCCTCAGATTAGTCTTCTTGTCAGTAATGGATTCTTGCAATCCCGCGAAGCGATTCTGTTCGTTCAAAATTGGCAGCTCCAATTTCATGGAATATTGGGTTCCCGGCACTGTACAGTTCGTAGACACGGAAACGATAATATCCAGATGCTAGACTCTACGATGCATAGGAATTCCGATAGTAGTACCGGGTTCTAAACTTCACGAGGTTATTTTTTTCCTTGGGTGATTGATACTTAGTGTGATAAGGCCAGATGACGCTAAGAAAAGCAAGGTTGTGAGCACTGAGGGCCGCTGTGCAACCCACACTTTCCCCACGGTGGATTGCACGAGTATATTACCTACCGGACGGCAAGAGAGTCCGATCACTCGAGTGATCTCTTTAGTATCTAGAGTCAGTATCCGATCTCTGGAGATGCTGCTATCCCAGGACATAGTGAGCGAATGAGAGCCTATACTCTTCCGGAACAAGAATCCTCCCTTCGCAGAGTACATCAGTTACTGCGCATTCCCCGCCAATATATCGCGCTATCTAAGTCTTGCTAGTAAACGTACAGATATATGGTAGAGTCGAGTAACTACACGCTACACGCGGAAGGATTCAGACGAACCACCGTCGTAGACTTGCCAGCAAGGAGCCCGGATCTGCAGCGGCTTGACTCGACTTGGAAGAAGCACGGGGACACTGTCAATCATGTTTCCCCGCTTGATTCAGCGGCCACAAGCGAATAACAACGCCATCTCACAATTCCTGCGTGCTTTATCCAGCCATAGAGACATATGTTGAGCCAAAGGATGTCTCGTAGCTACTGCCTGGAACAGTCTGTGGGGAATAATGGGTGTTGTTTGCGTTCTTGACGCTTCTCAATCTGCGCCATATATGTACCAACCATTGTCTCTGAAGCGATTCTTTTGGGCTGCTCACCGTGGTCGTCTAGTTTCGAGATCTCACAACCTTCAAAGTGGAACAGATACGATGGGAGTAATGTAGCCGCGCGACCGTCACTACTGGCTAAACTAGTCCATGCAGTAGCCACGCTATGACGAGCAGATTTCCTTGTTTCATGCTTGCCTTGTTTTTCTCGAAGAAGTGTGGAATCCTCAGGCTGTCGAGATCAAGGTGACCGAAAACCAGACAACCGAAGGGAGGCATATGGAGTAGGGATCAGAACAGTGAAGCGTAGGACGGAGACTAGCACAGCCAGGTCGATCAGCGAGCCGTGTAGCCCAAAGGAGACCGAATTGCTGAGGGGGAGCGACGGTTGTTGCGGGTGAGCCGAATGTCGTGTGGGCGGGATGGAGGAGAGGCTGGAAGCTGATCAGGAGCCCGATGGAACCAACTCGATTATTATCTCTACTTCGTGTCTCTAACCGACCATCTTACTCCTATCATCTCAGAAAAGCAGCGTGCCATCCTCCTTGCTGGTCTCTCGACGTTTCGAGTCGGGCGTTGTTCCAGACAGCTTGGCAGTGCTGTATTCTATACCTCAGGTTCAACGCCCGGTTTCGTCCCGCGACGACGTATTTCCCACGTCCGGAGAGCTGTGATCTCATCTCGTTTCACTTCCACTCCATCGCTCAATTATCGCGACTCTAGACATCAGCGCAACACCGTGGACTTGCAGCTGCATCGCTGAAACATTGCTCATTTGCGATCTCCGTCCTTACCGACTACGCAGGCAGCCGTTTAGCATCTCCTCCAGCTGCAGAGGCCCTCCTACTTAGTTCCCGGCCCCGCCCTTCCTCATATCGAGTGTACCCCCGCGTCCCATACCCAACGGCAGGCCGGTTGATAAAGGGAGATTGGCTCGTGGGAAAGGCAGATAACCGGCTTGATCAGTTGGCAGCAGAATAACTTACCCCCCAACCCCAGTCGGAAGTTATTTCTCGGCCGTGAAGCGCGGCGATGGACTTCGATCTGGTCCCCGGTGGTTCGGGAAGGAACTATACGGGAATTCTTACCAAGACTATTGTCTATACTGGATCACTCCTAGTGTTTCTTGCTGGTATGTTATGCACTTGCTTCGTACCGTGCCCGTACCGTGCCTGTTTCCCTTATGTTCCGTATGAACCATGAAAGCTAATATCGAATTGGTTGAACAGCTTTTGGCTTAACTATCGCATCAATCATCATCCCAAAATGGGTCAGTTATCATAGCGACAAGGTACGCGAACAATCTATATGAGATGTGGGTGTTGAGTGGTATCTGACTCTAGCAGCCTAACTTCCACTACTCCTACGGACTCCATCGCCGTTGCTCTTCCCTGACCGACACGTGCGAGCCATTCCCACAATATGAGGATTGCCATGCGGATGACAGATATTTCTGCTCGATGTGGCGCTCCGTCGGTTTCTTTATGTCCTTCGCGGTTGTCCTGGAGGGCATGACGATCGTCGCATACCTCATCATCCTCGCGGGTGGAAAGCAATTGCGCGAGTCTGGCTGGAGCGTCTTGAGTTTACTGATAATGTTGTCGGCCGCAGTTCAGGCTGCTAGCATGGCCTTGGTGGTAAGTGGATAAGCATCTCCGGTGACATATGCGAGACCAGCTGACACACGCACAGGCTTATCTATACGACAATGATGAACGATTCTTCGTGGGCTGGAAGCTGGATGAGTCGTGGATCATGTGCACAGTCAGTTGGTGCATTTCGCTATTCTGCGCTGCTGTTGTGATTGCTGCGGCGCGCGTGCTCCCCTCCGAAGGTGGCTACGAGCTCATTCCCGACCCCTCGTGATCGAGCAGGCAGGAAGAGTGTCGAAACTAGCAGGAAAGCGCAATTCTGTGCTGATATCAACCTATTAATTCACGTTTGAAAAGCTGCGATCCCAGCGGCGCTGGTGTATTTGCGCTGTCTCCGAGTCGAGTTCCAAGGAACGCCTAATTTATATTATTACGATAACCCACGAGTGATACGAGCTCTCTAATGCTTTGTTTTCCTTGTTCGTCTCTCCCCTGCTTACTGGAGGAGGGCTTATGGCGGCTTTTGTTCAATCTCCTATTCAATTATGGCGTTGATCTGGTACGCACATGTCTATATGCAAATCTGACATCTGGGGCACATGCAATAACAGTTGTATGTTGGCCAGCTACATTGATAATGGATTCATTTGCCCTTGACATTGTTCAAGACGAGCGGTGACGAGCGGTAACATAACTAAATAATCTTGATCACCCGGACAAATATATCGATTAGATCAAGAAGCATTCTTTGAATGTTCTTTCAGATCACGTGGGGCGATGGCGTAGTTGGGAGCGCGTCAGACTGAAGTCAAACTTCGGCCATAGCAAATCTGAAGGTCGCCGGTTCGATCCCGGCTCACCCCACTTGGAATTTTCTTTTTGGTTTGGAAATTATTTTTTTTATCGTCGTTGCTCTCTTAGTATGGTTGGTTTCTCTACGTTTTAAGAATATATAGAGCTTACTCTATAAAGTTTTAGTAGAGTTGCACTATTATATAAAGTAACTAATAATTAATATAACTTTATCCTGAAGTTATTAAAGAGTTATATAATTACTAGTATATATATTCCGGTACACGAAACAGTCTACTGGAAGAAAGGAGTTATTCTTAGTCTCCCAGTATCTCTATTCATCTAACGACCTTGTAAGACGCGCGTTATATCAATAACAATATATAGAAAAGCAGGTTAGAGTGGATCTACCTATGAATACAAGAACGGGAGTACTCGTCTTCGAATTGACACGGAATGGCCACCTCAAACCATCGTCCCAACAATGTTTCAGTCTGCTTTGTTCTTTGCCAGCCCTTCCATACCATCCAGGTCTGCTGTAGACGCTCGCAAGCCAGTCAACGCTTCCGTCATATTCTTTCCATTCCGGCCTAATTCGTTGAGCAGCCAGACGAGATGATGGGACTTTTCAATCGGCCCTTCTTTCACTTTGACAAACATTGAAAGTGGCCTGGGTGCCATCACCGACCTCTCCTCCACTAAACAGAGGCTCTCGTCTGATAGTATTGGACGAGCCGAAGCCTGAGTGTCCTTCTCCCAGTTTTGGTCTTGGACGTCAGCGATTCTGTAATAGATGGCCATCTTGAGACCCAGGGGCATCTCCTCTTCATAAAATAACCCGTTGTTAGTCGTGCTCATTGTAGCTCTAGCGGTACCAGCTGATGACTTGATTTCAAACTCGGTAGTATTGTGGCTGGTGTGCTTTTCCTCGACCACTTCGGAGGACTCTGACCGCGACCAGAAGGTACTTGCGAGTAAGGTGTGATTATGTAAAAGTTCGAGAACGTCTGTCGCGTTCAGTTCCTCTGGGATGGGATAATATTCCGTCTTTGCAGATTTAGTAGAGTAGAGGACTTTTTTTCTATATGTTAGCCGGAGTAGGAAATGACTACTTAGGCGGGGAGGGAGGGCTTACAGGAAGACATATTGACAGTGTAGTATGAGTACCTCAATGTCGGCTCAGTTTATGTCAAAGCGGGGTCTGGCATTAGTTGTTTAATACTGAGCATTGATGTTATATCGTCATAGAGTTTTAGACCGTCAGCTCGGACAGACTACTACTATTTACATAAATACCTAGTTGCTTTACTTACCCGTAGATCTCCTATTTGCGACGCCTAACCAAAAACAACTAACGTTATTCATTAAAGCACGTTAAAAGTATGTTTATTTAGATAATTATACCGATATATTCTTTGAAATATATTTATAGTTAAGCAATACTGTGGGTTATGGTAAAATTCATAAGAAAGTTAATGGGGTAACCGAGCTGATAAGCTCTCTGAGCTGACGGTCTAAAACTCTAGTTCACACTAAGTACGCATCGCTCGGACAATTCAAGTCTTTCTTATCCAATGAGACTATAGATCACAGTATGCTCCACTTAGGGCATATCTCACATAAGACATAATAATATAGAGTGCAAGCAGGATTATTGAAGGCAAAAGGATAGTATACTAAGTAAGTTATTCAACCGGATTATGTATAGCTTTAAATTAACCTTTCTTAGCATATAAACTAGTATTAGTGCTATCCGAATACTTAAGGCATCCTACTGCTCGTGAGATAACAATAATATTCGGAATTAAGGCGGCAAGTATGGATCCCAACCTAACGGTAAAGTTATTTCAGTAAAGTTATTTCAGCAAGAGCATGCCGAAAGTCTAATTGCTTATTAGGGCCATATGCAAATAAGCCGCAGATTTCTGTAACCCCTCCCGATTGGGAATATCTTACCTCAGCCGTATAGAGATATAAGTTATCACACCCTTTTATTAGTAGGGATAGCAATTATACTCTAGAGGGATACATCCCTGTACTTCAACTAGACGCGGACCTCCAACATGCGGAGATTCGAAAAGAGCAAGTCTACCGAGTAAGAAATGCCTCAATTATCTCTGTTATACCTATGCATCTTCCCAGTCATTTTATACTGTAGTATGAGATAGTCTCACTGGAAGATCAAGGGTTCATGAGGGCATTTCAACATTGTGGTTCGGATGTGGATAATACCTTTAGTCACTAATGCTTTTTCGAATTGTGTTCGGACTTTGGACCAGGCATGAACAAACGCCTTGGAATACATGGAAACAAGCGCCTTAGTATGGGCCTAAGCAACAGCCAAGCTTGCAAGCTCTGTGCATATCATGTAGGCCCCGTGTATTTCAAGTCTTCGCTTTTATCCAAGGAACGTGGGAGAGTAGCTCGTAAAGGTTTCCTAACCATAAGTCCACGACTCAATGTTGTTCTATGAATTGGCCCCATGGTGCTCCGGGTTACATCGCCAACTTAAGCTGACAAGACTTCTTCCACTTATGCAGTCGTAAAGCGTTGGAAGCCCTGATAGGAGCTCCGTAGTCTCTTCTAAAGACCGTAGGGGGTAGGCCTGACCAGACTGTGAGACGATTCAGGACTTTATCTATTCCCATTGGTAGGAAGCATGGTGGATGCAAGCTGTTTTCCAAGGCAGAAGACCTCATTTCACCCAACAGCGCAATTTGTTCATACCTAAATCCAGATAGTCAACTACCAGAAGCACAGAGGGCCTGATCTCGGCTGGGATGCCTGCCCATTGAGGAAAAGTAACGACTGTCAGCAGCGTGATGAAGCTGCTGGAAGCAGACTCGACGTTGGCTATAAAGATTGCTCGAATGTCCCTTCGAAGTGTTCCTTTCTCTCGCTCATTCAACTAGAATCGTCCGGTTATTGCATTTCCTTCTAAAGAGCTTGTACCATCAGTATATACCCATCCAGTGATGTTCAACATGGCCGAGAAATCCGATATAGTTCAGGAAGAGAACTACAATGCCACACGGTATTCCGTTGATCACAGACAGCAATCGCTACCTCAAACGGTCTATCAGAATGTTGCTGGTCGTCATGATTCTTTTCGATGCAATGACTATCGCCTTCGTGCACCTTACTATTCAACTGGGCCGTGAGCGCAACCTGATTCTGCACCTCGAGACCCAAATCCATCTCGTGTAAAAAAAGGTATACAGTAAGCATGTCAGACGATAATACGACCCTGTGCATATTATCATGCCATTCGAGAGTTATTACCCCCATTCTGCCCCAAAATAAGTGAGAGATCAAAGATAGACAAGTTCGATATCTTCGATCATGTACAAAGTAGAGCTAGACTACTTCAATTCGGAAAATGAGGGGCTGGTAGTAAGTATGGCGCCTGCTGTTGCTAGCACATCCAACAATGCGGCAGATGACAGACGCAAGGCCGAGCACCGCAAGATCCTGAACGGTATGAGGGCTCCTAATCCGTTCGCTGGGCTGACTCTAAGGATCAGCAGGTTCTTTGGCGCTATACGTGCTCTCGGCTTCGCCCCGAGGGCATGCTATCTCGCCAGTGGCCCATGAGGAAGATAATCACTCTGCAGAGTATTACAGAGGAAATAGAAGATTAGTTCAGATGCTTTTGTTTTATAGCAGGGGTTTTATGCAGCGCAGAACAGTCTTCAAAAGATCGGGATATGTTGCTCTGAAAGATGCCAGCCTCTTGAAATGTGCGTTAAGCCGTCCAGTCGGTCAGTTTCCGCTCCTCTTTTTTCCTCCATCTTATTTCGCACAAGGTCGTCTATCTCTTGCCTCTCTTCTGCAGTCAGTAATTACAGAAGATCGTCGAGGTTGGCTTGGCCAAAGAATCTTCAGTCAATTTTTAGCCCAATATATCATGTTAGATCCAGCTAGGACCAGACCTCTGAGGAGTTCTCCTTTTTGGTCTAGTCGTCTAGTCGACTTCCGTTATATCATGTCAAAAGCATAACTTCTCCTGGCCGCATAGTTGACTCAGAAATCGCCACTCTCCCAATTGGCCCTCATATATGTAGAGAGACGGTGTTCTTCGGCCAACAATCCACGATCGAGTGCCACTTGCTCTCTCTCTCTCTCTCTTCAAGTACCCTGTGAAAGGTCTTCAGATGGATCTCATAAATATTCGCCCAGTCATCCAGCCCTTCCGGCCAGTATTTGGGCCAGATTCATGGTGACCACGGCTTGCACCGCATGTCCTCACCTTCTCATCTTGAAGAGCTTCTTCGTGCTGTCCTCTGCAGGCAGTAATTGCTACTCACTGGGGAAAGGAGTAGAGAATCGACCCTTCGCTTGTCCGGTCCATTGTCAATCTTAATACTTCCGCAACGCAGCCATGATTATATGCCAGCCCTGAATTGGTCCGCAAGAGGCATGATATTGGGTATTACATTGGTCTTTCTCAAATGCCTTGCAGTAATCCCACCCCAACTCCACATCGAACAGATGAAAGAGATATTTCTCACGATGATCGGCCATTCGCCTTGACTTCGCCCAGGAATATCTAACTCCTCTCTCAGTAACTATGGCAAACGCTCAACTGCTGCTGCATATATCGATAACTACCTAGACTTACTTTAAGCCCACAATAATATACAAGAGTTAAGACCGGGAAATGCTACACCCCGTCAGTTGCTTCCTGTCAGTATACACTTTTCTTGCATTATAAACTAGTCTGGCAGGTGCTCTATATCGTTCAAGGAACCAAATGCGCTATTCTGTGGGCGTTCAATACCAAGTAGGTGCTGCTCCTTTGTGAAAAGTAGTAATAGGCACGCATAGGTAATAAGTTAAGAGTATAAAATAGTTATTGCCTGCACCCAGAGTTTATATATGCTTTTCTATATTTATCCCGAGCGACAGAGTCGCCCGCCAAGGATAAAACTAGCACCTTACTTAGTGAATCTGGCCCGGACAAAACTCATTCAATAGTAGTATATATTGAATAGGAGCACCAGCGCCTCAAAAACAAATAGGACACCCCAAAATCCTCACAAATTGTTTCCTGGAGCCTCTCTAACACGCGCTACTCAATATAAGGCCACTCTAATCATTATCCCTATCGCTGCACAATAGCATACGAAAGTTAAGGTCTAGAAACTAGAAGCTTCGATGCGAACTGAGCAAATGCTCAGAACAGATACCTCCCAGATCTGGCAATCTCTCAATAACGGGAGTGCCACAGTCCTCTGGTTCCTATTCCCCGCAGCAAACCCGTATACTACGTGGCATTCCATCCTTGCGGTCCCAGTCATTTCAATATCGGACGACTCTCCAAGCACGAGCCGATACCGTCAAGGTCGATACTTTTACCGTTGCTTTTCAGCAAGCAGTGCCGGTCGCCTGAGATGTGGGAATAGACCGCGTCGGCCCTCGTCTATCGCAGGCAGAGCTCCTCTTCCAATTTGATCGACACCGGGACAGAGCGAATAAGATCCCTAGACTATACCTCAAGCTGCGAGGTACTCTGGCGTCAGGCAACCTGCATAACCTGGTGCATTTCATATAGCAGAAAACGTGAAGCCTCCAGCTGCTGGGAATTTCCTTTTTACTCTATATACGGTCATAACCAACTCGATCGAAGAAAGAAGACAAGGCGCAGCAATATTGGCTCCTACTGCCCAGCCAAGCGGTCAAATGTGCCGGTGTAACTATCCCGCTCCCAGATTCGGCAATATCTGAAACCTCTTTGACTATTACCATGGATTAAGTACCATTTACCCCTATAGTCTAGCTTCTTTGTCCCGTCCGTAGATATGAAATATGGGGCTAGCGCATGGCCTTTCCATCCCAATAACAGGGTTCACCCATCTTTTAGCTATGCTTTCGTACCTGGTACCTGGAATGGTCCATCAAGCCCTAATTAACTCGACATTTCCCTGAAAGTCAAACTCAAACTCGGTTCCTGCCTACATGGGGTATGCTAGATGTATATATTATGTAGGAACGGGCAATTTCCGAGTAGGCAGCCCGTACTATTGAAGATGAGGACAAAACGGCAAAAGAACTGGGCGCAATAATACCCTTTGACCTTTGCCAGATCTAGGACAATGTGTCAGATCCAGGCAGACACATCAGGAGATTCCTCCTTTTGGGTCAAATTGGTCTAGAATAATAATATTTTTTCTACCAACGAGGCACTACGTAACGCCACTAATTTCCAGCACAAACGTCACTTAACGGAAACAGGAAAAAAAAAGAAGATTGCCTTCGCGACCACCATGCCGTTATCACATTGGGAGACTGGCTTTGAGCTCTTTCACTTCTCTATCTAGTTCTAAGTCTTCGATCCAGAACGTGTAGTTGCGCGTTGCACTTGGAGCGGGGGCCAGAATTATTATCCTCTTTACGCGTCCGCGTCACGGTTATAATAAGGGGGCGGGGCGGGAGGGGAGGGGAGGGGGTCATCTTTAAACATAGACAACTGCCACTAGAGATATGACGGACAGGACGCTATTTTCATTTTATTTATTTCATTTAGTCTCATGTCTTCCGTTAAATAGTTAGCCTCTCTACCGTCTCCTTGGTCACGACAGGCCCCCTAGAGAACGGACGACACGCTTCCGGCACAGGGCTAGAGGGGAAACTAGGGAGCAATTCCGGACCATGCTCTGGGGACGTGCCTACAGCTTTGGTCCGGTAGATAGTCGGGTTAGAAGGATGTGCCACTACTGGGTCTTTGGGACTTGGGGCTTCTTTGTCTGCCCCAAGGGAAACTTACCGAGTACGGATACATGATCGTCTTCGACGCCATTGACGGGGAAAAGAAAAGGAGGGGCAACTAAATATAGATGGTCTTTTGGATGCTGTTTGTGAGAAACTAGTAGTTATTGTTGCAAGAATTATTCTAACATAACCATCTCCACCGTGGAGGGTCGATTTTGGACACTCGAGGAAAGAAGCGACAAGAGACCCTTTTGGGACACCGCAGCTAAAAACAGGAAACAAGAAAAAAAAGAAGAAAAAAGAGTGAAACAAACCCATTTGTTTTGTTTCCGAAGCCTGGATCAAAGCAAGAAAGTCGTTTCCTGAACACCGTGGAGACTGGGCACTCCTTTTCTTGCTTTTGAAATCTGGTGAGAATAGTGAAACCAGACGCATATCCTTAGACATCCATGATGATGATACCTTCCGGAGGATCTGTGTAGTGTGTCCTGCTGTAATGCTCTGTATCGAGTAAGGCAGAATAATGTGAGAGGAAGTAAGAGCTCCAAGATAATTCTCGAGAAGGAGAAGTATTGCTGAGTAGCAGACGGAATGAGACTCGGGGGAGAAGAGGCGAAGGGGAATTAGGGATTACAATCTGTATGCAGCAACTCTATACATGGGTATTCAATGAAAGACAAAGGGGAGGTGGAGAGAAAAGGACAAAGAGTAAAGGAAAGAGTGAAAAGGTAATAGGAAAAGAGAGAAAAAAAAAAGGAATTCCGCTTCAAACCAGCCGGACTCCATGATCACACCCAATCCCATAAGCAGTCGCTTCACAACCATCCAACCTGTTCCCAACACCGTATGTAAAACAATGCCCGTACTCCTGCGACGACAATACGCAGCTTAACCCTCAAGAGAGTCTTTGTCGTACTGTCGTCAGCTGTAAGATGTAATTCACGAAAACTTTAAATCGACTTCAGCTCATCAACCCCTCACGTGCTAATCCTTACGCCTTGCACCTTCTCTGAGCAACCATTTCAATATACAGACGGCAAGACGCTTGAACCTTTCTTATCTGTTCTTTGGCAGCGGATGGCAATCACTGCCTTGCGTACTTCTGGATCCCGCCTTTCCTGCTCACACGCGAGAGTATGCCTGGTTCTTGAAAGACAGGGACAGGCGAAGCCCCAGTTCTCATGGTGTCTCTAGGAGCGATGGTACGGTCATTCTCTGCGATGATCAAACCAGGACGGAACCTTGGCAGGATCTCGATATCAGGAAACATGACCTTCTCGTCCATCGCCTGAACCATGGCCATATATTCCCTGAGGCGCGTCACGATGTCGCGAATGTCGTTGAAAGACTTGTTGGGACCGACTTCCTCGCGGAGCCAGTCAGGAACAGGGGAAGGAGGGATGTACGGAGGCTTTTTGGACAGATTCTCATTCGTGGTATTGCCGCCCTCTTGAGTCTGAATAGCACTTGCTTGAGAGAAGCTGACAACGCTGTTTGGTGAACTGACTTCAGGGGACGGAAACCCTGAAGTTGAAGAAATGTTCTGCTCGTTGGACTCCCCATCGTTGTCAATCTTTGTACGACGGGTCTCACGTCTTCTGAGGACGAGTTCAAAGCTGTCGACTCCACCCCATGCTTCCATTCTGTCGAGGGAGTCCATGAGGAGATCGCACTGCGTGAAGGGCCAGACTGAAGCCCGGTACCTTGCACGTTGGTAGTGCTTGCGGCAGTAGTGAATCCATACATGCTGCGGGAATAACTTTGTGCAGTTCTTGTTTCTACCAAAGATGTGTGAGATGACCTTGCGCAGGTTTTCACCGCCTGTAACACAGGGCCCATCGGAGAACTCGCATTTAGGTTCGAGATGTGGCATGTTGGTGTGCGCGTATGTCTGGTCAAATGATGCTGGGACCTGATAGGTCTCAGTCGATAGTGACAATGGAGACTGAGAGGGAGACGGCAAAAGCCGACCGTCGTGTCTTGCAATGTTCAACGCGTTCAAGCCTTCTGGAGTAACTGGCGATGGGAGTGTCGCAGTGTTCTTTGTTTGAAATATCAACCCTGGATAGTTTGATATCTCTGAGCTGTCGTGGATGAAAGGATATTGCGCGTTGTTTGGCTCTGGACCTGGCAATCTGACGGAGGGCGTACAAGAGATCTGCTTGTCTGGAGAAGGGATATAAGAGGCACCTTGAGGATTTAAGATCTTGGAGAGATCCATCTTGACACTTAAATCCGCAAAGGAATGAGTAATCGAGGGTGAATATGGGAAAGTCACGATGTGGAAATGAGTCAAACAGTTGTCTGGTGTGTCATGAGACAGTTGGGAGGGTGCTGTGAAGAAACTGCACAGAAAGGATGAGAGGGAACACTCCGAGTAGGTTGCTCAATGAGACGAAATGTTTGATGGGATGACGCGTGATGTGAGAACACTTCGCTAGGGGCACCTTTGACCACCCTTGCCGTCCCAAGGGCAGCCAGACCGCTGAACGTCGCTGTGTTGAAGTGATTATTGGCACCAGAACCTGTTGTATCTGGCACCGAGTGCGCAATTGAGGGAGGCTTTTGGTAATAATGATGGGATAGCGAGTATAGCAGGTGATAAATGGGCCAGTTGAAGCTCTACATCGCAAGGGAAGAGAAGAGTCGGCGAATGAGATGAGTGATGCCTTTTAGCTCGACTGCCTGGCTAGCCTCAGGGCAGACGTACTGACGACGGTGGCACGAGAATGGATCATGTCGTCTCCAGAAAGGCCCGCAGCAGCATAACCGAGCGCAATGGCAGTCAGATATGGATAAGATTGAAGCTTTGGACAACCCCAGGAAGCTCGGGGATGAGTTCAAACTCTACCCAACAAGAACATGATTAACCATTCAACAGAGCTTATTATTTGTCGCTGGGATCTGTCCATCCAAGAGTCTTTTTTAGAAAAATCCCCGTTTCAACGGTCCTCGGCCAATAACCACGCATGATCCCTGCTGCAAATCATGCGAAATAAATGTCAAAGACCCAGCCAACGGCCCTTAGCCAACTCGCCATATTCGACTCAATCTCCCAGAGAACACTAAATCTACGCCAGTCTAATTATTACTCCCTATTGGCCAATGAGAATACGTCCGGAATACGGAAAAGCTGCCCGGCATTGCGGGTTTCAACATTTGGCATCGATGCAATACTCTCTGGATGGCGTTGAGATAGGGCCACTGTCTCACGAAAAACCTCCGAGCATGAGGAAACAAGGTCGATTCAGGGACTTCATCCCACTGTGGCGGGGTCTTCCAAATCATTTTCTGAGAGAACCAGGAGTCTGAATGCATGCACCCTAAGTCATTGCTCAGTGCAACAGTTCCAGATTGGATAACTCTATCTTCGTCTCGAAGTCGGGTGGAGAACAAATTCTCCGAGCGGCCCTGCAAGAATCAGCCAGGCATGAAACGCGAAGCTAGGAGCCTTGCGGAATAGGTAAGGTGTGCTGCTCGAGTCCTCAAGTACGTATTTCATATCTCACAAGGCGATCGAATCTCCAGGATATGGCCTCTCATCTCTATAATGAGGTTGTGATATTGAGCCAGGAGCCGGACAAGAAGGTCAGGGGATGAGCCGAAACTGCATAGCCCAGACCAGCGACGACGAGCAAGCGTATCGAGACCCACAAACCGTCGAGGCCGTTGAAAATCCAAGAAAAGCCCTTCCCCGTCGAGGTTCCTCGCGGACGTTACTACTCGGGACGTTGCCTGTCTTTCCCCTTTTGGATGGTCAGAGAGGTACCCAAGTTATGGGCCAGGGTGTCCGTCATATTGACCCTTCGGGTATGGTTTCGCCCCGCTGACATCTGGAATTTTCGATTCGTAGCTGTCTGCGTCGCCGATCCATCTACTTTTCGCCTTGTCGACTACTTTAGACTAGACGACGGAGCTAACGGGGAAGATCGTTTCATGCACTCATGCCAGCCCGCTTGTGAAAGAGATCCTGAGTTAGACACGATTGCGATCAGCACGTCCTTTCCGGATCGACGCGGGAGGATAGCGCTATCGACTACAGTCTCTTGCGCCGCTTATCGTGTAATAAAGCAGAGGTTTCTATATGGGAAAGCTCTGGGGCTATGAAGAACCCCTATTGGGGTCAAGGTACCAAAAACACAAAGACCCCTCAGGTTTGTCTATACTTACTAGCCCAACCTCCATGCACACTCACTTAAGCTCTTGCAGTACAGTACGGAGTACACGCGGCATTCCGACACAAGGCGGCGCAGAGGTCCATACGGATGAAGATCACTCCGGGTGATCACTGGTGGAGAGTGTATGAGTATGAGGTTCGCCGCCCACGTTTCTCGGATGCTTGCTACCCACGAGTCCACGACTCGCGAATAAAATGACAAGCAATCACTGGCGGCGGCGTTGTTTCCGAAACTCTAGTGATGAACGATCAAAATAGCTCCCTACCTCTGGTTGGACAGTTTGTTGTTCTGATGATCCCTGTCGCAACGGCATCTACTTCACCCTCAACTACCCGTTCGAGAGCTTCAAAACCTCACAAGGAGCCTCGCTTATTTGACGTCACAGACATACGACAAAAGATAAAACGACGTTTCCAAACTCGGGGAATGCGCGACGCCCTTTTAACCTTTTATCGTGTTGTGGGCTGTACGTGTTCCAGCCGGCAAGGGTAATATTCCCCTTCCTGGAAGGATTCGGATCAGGGAGATTCTGCCTCATTATTATTCCCTGACAAATAATCGAGTCTGACCAACTATCTAGACCAAGCCGCTAAGGGGCCCAAGGCTCAGCCCCCTGTCAGTTTCACTTCTGCAAGCAGCCGCTGAAAGTGCAGTGGATTCGATCGCGGGGCATGGAGAGATAGACAGCTGCGGGAACAAATCTCGCATATGGCTCACGGTCCATTGATAAGTAATAATAAACGATGGACTACGGAGTAGTTAATATTGACTGCCACTCGATGTGTCTGCGCACAATGGTCACACAACCTCCCGGCAGGCAGATTCTCCGATTGCCGGAGAGCATATTAACTAACATAATAATGAAAGCAATATCCGGATTCCGCAGTGCCTTTGCTCGCGGAGCAGACCAGTTTCAGCTAGACCGTTTCTGACGAGCAACCTCACGAATCACCCCCAGCCGTAACAGCAGTGGTTGAAGGGAAAAAGAAGCCATGAAGAAACCTGCTGATACGGCCGAAACAACCTTGGGGCAACGATTTCTTTTTTCCCCGACGTCACTGCATCATCTAAGCGAACGCCAAACTATTGAACTTTTTTGAGCATAATAATAACCCTTCCATGTTATAGAGAGACAGGGGGCGATCAGGTCGCGATCGCTTTACCGTAAGTATCTTTTCAACGACTATGGCTAATAATCTAGGGCGGGTCACGTCAGGTCCACGGGTTATCTCATTGTGCATGACGGGAACCCGTCAATCGTTTTCTATCTCTGCTCTCTCTACCATCCCTACGGGGGGTTCATCGATATGTCTACATTCGGACTAGGACGCGGTAAACGAACCAAAAGCTGTGTGGCAGGAATGGTCTATGGACTACCTATCGCGCTCTCTTGACTAGATACCTAAGGTACAACATGTCCTTGCTGCTGCCCAACTACTGACTTTCTCTACCTGATTAGGCAGCTGGATACCTGCTACGATGACATCAACGAAAATACTTTCGCGGGAGGACGGGACGTTTCCGAAACAAAAGGTAATTTGAATTCGAGCAAGAATTATCTCTCAAAGGCGAATTACATTCTCTTTTCCCGGGGAGTGTATGTGCATACTCCCATGTATGTGTACAACCTGAAGAGGAGAGAAAATGACGAAGTAAAGAAGAAGAGGAAAAGAAAAGAAAAGATTCAGAAGAAAGATCAGAAAGCCGCCCAGTGATGATCAGTCCAGCCCTAACGTGAGACATTTCAAACATTCAAAACCCCATAACAAAACACCTGATAACTGTGATTTTTGCACGCGAATAGAAAGGGAACCAGCGCGATGATAAAACTGGAAAGAGGTTGAGACGAAAACAAAGGTATATGAGTATCGTAGGGACTTCAGGTCGCCTGTTCCCAGACGCTTGGTGAAGCTTCACTGTTTCACATAGCATATCCAGCACCTCCGACCACAGAGGTTTGTGGAGCGTACCTACTACGTGCAGTCCGACCGGAACCACAACCCACGGTTCCGATATCTATGGATTTGATCTCCTTGCTCAATGCATCCATGCTTGGGCTGGCTCCCATGACTGGGTAATTTTGATTCATGGGCTGTGCCACTGGCACTTTGACAGGAATCGGTGGCCCGGTGCGAGTCGGTTCGTACAGTTTCGAGGCCGGGGTGGGCGAAGTTGAAATTCGATAGTTCCGAGATGTGTCGTATGCGTTGGGAGAGCTGTAATTCCGCGCGTGACCGTAGCCTGCATAGTTCTCGCGTTCTCGAAGGACTTGATCACTGCGCGGAGATGTCCGCACGACGGAGTTATTGGTCGGGCTCGGCGTGGCGTATGTTACTGGCCGTTGTTTCTGAAGACGGTTGCGACTAGCCCTTTCAGTCGAAGAAGGGGATCCGCCTACCTCTATGATCTGTGGCTTTGAATGTGGGCGGCTGGCCACCATATCTCGCGAACTTCTGGTCGGTGTCGACGACTGCGGCGTGTGCTTGAAACGGACGACAACTTCTGGCTTCTTCGTCTTTCTTTCCGGCTCAGGAGCCCATGTGTCACTGGGCAAGTGATCCGAGGGGTCAATAACCTTGCCATCGTCACCTATAATGGGTCCCAACTCATGGTCGTTACCAGCGGAGGCAGAATCTCTTCCCCCGTCAGGGCCCCCAAAGGCTACCACGGCGGTTCTGACCTTTGACGATCTTCCGGCGTTGGGATTCAATGCATCATACGAGTCAGGAGAGAATGGTACTCCCGATAGACCTCGCTCCTCCACTGGCGGTGGTCTAGGGCTCACTGACTTCCTCTTAGGGACACCACGGGTATTGGGGCTCACGGACCTGGGCTTACCAGTTCGGGTGTCCGCATAAGACGATCCTGGCTCAGCCGTAATAACAGCATTCGAACGCTGGACGCCGATAGGAGCCTGGTACGATGGTTGTTCAACCATTTGGGTGACAGGCGCCTCTGGAAGATGCATTTCATTGTGGTTCAAGTGGGCCCGTTTCTCGTAGATCGCCCTGTCTGACTCTGCCTCAGCAATCACTGGGTCATATCCCGCAACCAGACTTGGCGGTACATCCGGGCCATTGGCAGGCAGATCCTGCAAACGTCCCTGCGGGTGCTGGCTATACGACGTCCGGGAGGACATGGACATAGCGGAAGTTGCCATGTCGAAGTCTGTGGAAGGAGATGCTGAACGAACAAGGTCGGGTGTGTATGCCTGATAAGGGACAGCGGGAAGGTCCTGGGCCTGACTCGTCTGCGCGAAGGCCGATCTGTGCACCGGCGGTGGCGGTGGAGGGCCATCCTCATCCTCATCTTCGACACGGGGCTGCATAGACGCATATTCAGGATGATAATCCTCACGGCTCGCTGCCTTACGCAACTGACTCTCGCGATAGACGTCCATCTTCGCTGGCAGTGCGGCCGTTTCACTGTGATGACGAAGCTCTGCGGCACCAGGTACCGTCCGGGCATAAGTGAACTCTGGCGGGGGTGCATCGTACACCACAGTTGCTTGAACGGGGTTCGCAGCAGCTATCGACCGTTGTTGTCCATATTGTGGCTGCTCTGGATGGTGACGAGGTTGTTCTGTTGCGACTGGTGCATGGCGAGGGGGATTCGTCTCATAGCCCCTTGAAAAGACAACTTCTCCTTCTGGAGTCCGGTAATACCTGTCTTCCGCTTGTTGCTGACGGCGGTCTGGCTGATGGACAACTTCGTATGTTCTCTCAGGCGGAGCTTGTTGGTAGTGTACTTCTACCGGTTGTTCCTGATAGATCTGTCGTGGTTCATAGTGATACTTCTGGGAGCGGCTCTTCCCATGGCGACCATTGACCTGGACGTACTCTCTCTGGAGATCATCTGATGTGTGATATCCTCGTGACGTACGAGGAACGGAGGAGGAGCTTTGTGGAGGGGCCGCAAAGAGGGGCTCGGGCACAGCAGCGTGCCTTGACGTGGGCCGGACGTATTCTGAAGTCACTGGAGGAGCCGTGTGTGCATGCTCGTGCATCACCGGACGCGTGGGTGGGATATGAGCATACGCGGATGCAGAATGGGCATTATCCGCGGTAGCAGGCCGTGCAGCAGGCGCTCCGGTCGGGTCGATAGGCAGAGGCCTCCTCTTGAGCGGCTTGGGCTCTCGTGGACCGGAGAGAGAGGTTGCTGCGGGCACTGGAGCGGGGGCAGCTGACTTTGGAGCGACCTTCTCGACTCCCTTCCTTCTCTCGATCACTGCCTCGTCCTCTGGTCGAGTGTCGTAGTAGGTCATCTCGATTCTCACTTCGCCCGCATACTTGCCTTTGAACTGCAGCTGATGCCATTGGTCACTCTGGCCCCCGCCGGGGATAATGAGACTCTTGAGATCAATCCAGGTCTCACCAATCAAGTCAGTCTTCTTATCATCATTGAAGACTGACACCTTCAGCTGATAATAATCCGGAGACTCATGGACGGTGAACCGCAGCTCCTGGTCCCTGCGGGATGGGTCAGCGTTGAACTGTGAAAGAATCGGTCACGAATGACGCTGGGATGGATCCATACCATCTGGGAGTCTGGCCACCGCGCATATCTGTCTCTGTCTTCTTTGCTTCCTTACCCAGACGGGCAGCACAATAGGGATTCTGCTTGCCCATGGTCTTTCGATTGGGCAGGTTCTTGGCCCGATCCACGACGGCGACCAGCGTGCCAATGGAGGGGCCGTCGACGGACATGTCTGCATAGATGCCAGCGGTATGGCCATTGATGGCATTGATAGGCAACTTGGGGATCTTGGAGACCATGGTGGAAGGATGGATGGGAATGAATGTCCAGCACAAACACTGACTAAACAAGTGAACGAGGTTGAGAACCCTGAAGCATCTGGGGACAACTGGGGGAGAGGAGGCTGGGACCCTCTCGAACAGGGGGCGCTTGGGACGACGACGCTACGCAGGAGAGTCCTGTTTGGAGGGGTCGCCTAGAGAGAATGAAGCTGATGGAATCTAGCAAACTGAACAAATCATGCCATCCAGCATGGTGCGAGAGGGTTGAAGAAATAATGCAGCGACGACGGTGCAGAAGGATGGAGAGAATGTCGGAAACGGAGAAAGAAATCCAAGGAATTGCAGGTTGCAGAGCAGAGAGGACGATGATGCAGGCTGCCAGGGTGGGGTGGGAGGATGTTTTGGTTTGGCTGGATCGAGCTGAGGAGAGGCTGGGGAATGCGTGGCTGGTGGAGATCCTTGGTTAGCTTATCTGTATGGTTTAGTTAGTAGTTATGGGATGGGATGGCATGGTAATAATAATACATACAGCTAGTTGATTGATTGATCTTCACAACAATAATATAATAATAGTAATAATAGCAACTGAAGACATTCTCTGAATAATTAACATACACAGATCCCAATGCGGACAGCAATGCAACTGTGTCCCTCAGTTGTCCAGAATCCCATCCTACTACCTAAACTAAGTGATCCCCAGCCACACAAACGAGATCGCCGCTAATGTCTCGGATCTGCATCGGTCCGATCTCACGCGCTAAACCCGATCGGGCCCATCACTGACCTCTCGCCCCGTGCTCGACAACGTCGTTGGGCAATTTAGGCGAATATTCGTCGACGAGATCAAGCGCCCGTTGGCATCACGGGCTGTTGTCCGTGGAAGAGCTAGAGCTGGATCTCTGACAGCTCCCGTCGACCACATACGCTCTGCTGATAGGTGCTCGTCCGGTGGAGAGCTGCTACGGGAAGCATGTCCTGTACTTAGCATCGTCAGAACGGGTATCGACAAGACCACGAGCCAATATGTGATGGTTACCTGGCGAGCTACCGAACGACACACAGACACACGGTCCTAGAGCATGTACACTCTTCCAGAAACCCACCCGGAAGGCAGAATCCGGCAAACGCATTCCATCACACTATTGGCATAGGGAGCAGCCTCCATGCATTGTGCACAACCTGAGAAGCATCAGCCTGAAGCTGTCACACTCGCATCCCGTCCGCTTCCAGTAGTTCGCAATGTTTCAAGTCCCTCCAAAGAACTTTTCCCCAGCCTCGACGGGCCCTCTGGCATGCGGAGCCCGAGCCAAGGACGGCCCGCAGAGCCGCTACCCGTTGTCCATTGTCTCTTGCATGCACAAGTCGCTCTGCGGGGATCGAAAAACCCGTCTTAGGACCAACGTATGTATGTACGCCCGTTGGTAATCGCTCACAGCAGGGCAGATAGATCGACAGACAGGCCAGATCTCTGACCTCGCTGGAAGTCGTGGACCGTCGTTCATTTCGGGCACTGGCGGTCAAATCTGGGCACCGCAGGCCTACAGTAGTGCTCTCGATAAAGCAATTGCACACGACCACGCAAGATCAGAGTTATACTGACCGCTCTTCAATCGCTGTTACACATATCCAGTAACTTTCTCTGCCGTTCTACTCAAGCATCACCATCAGGCCCGATGAGAACCATTCCTCCGTTTCCCCAATGGCCGCAGCTCAACTGCTACATCCGGCACCGGTGAGGGAATAGGTGCAGCATGTGTAGACCGTCTAGGCAACGGCATGATCCGGGAACAGGTATAGAAGATCTAGACAAAGCCATTGTCTGGTGATCAATATTATCAGCCTCGTGGTCCTCTGTACAATCCTCGGAGCAATCTAGAGTCTTCATCGCCAGTCTACAAGAAAAATGTAAGAAGCAGATTCTAAGCATATACGGAAAAAAAGCACTGACTACGACCAATGGGATTAAAGGTAATCAGCCTGAGCTCTTTTATTCGCTGATGATCATCTTTCTCGGAAAAAGACGTGGTGATTCTAACCGCCGCCAAATATGATGGCTAACATTCCTGAGGTCCGGCTTGTCGGAATGCCCCTGTCGATCGCAGCCAAGAGCGGTCTTCTCTCTCGAAAAAAAGAAGAGAAGAGTGGAGAGTCAATGTTTTGAAGAGAATTCTATTGTTCTTTAAGCTTGATGGGATTAGGATTCAGACACGAAGTTAATCGCATCCTGCGATGCTTATGGCATAGTGGGATTCATTAGGGTTGATCACGTTCGGGCCCGGGTCCGGGTCCGGATCCATACGAGGATCATCTACCAGATGATTCTATAATTGAGGAAAACAGCTGTGCTGCCATGTCCTTGAAGAATGAGCACAGTCGTTTGACCGGACCTCTGATGGTCAGCTGAGGGGTTAACTGCTATGCACCGTGAAGATCGATCGAACGCATGCGGGTTGAAGAGAATTTAGATGGATAAAAAGTAAGTAAACTGACTCGATAGAATATCTCCTAGAACTTTGCTTCTCGAAAGGAAGACGGTTCAGATAGCCTTGAATGCTGACAGTGTCTCTTTTTTTCAGGGAAGCTGGTGAGAGTCTAGAGTAAACATCAAGTTAGAATACTTAACCCTCTCTAACAAATACATACTACAACATGTGCGCATCTTAGATAAACCAGTGGGATCTATCCGAGATAAGCTTTATCTGATAAATCTCCCAATGGCGAAGCTGCGTACTGATTGATATGTGATAGACTCTATTATTCCGTAGTCCAGTGACCGTTACTGTACATGATTACTGCCTTAGAATTCAGGCATATAAGACGAGGCAGCAACCGTTGATACGCGAAATACAGTATGTTACAGAATATCTTACACTAGCGCTCTTTCGGATTTTCCCCGACTCCTCCTCCGTAAACTTTTTTTGAGATAGCAATATCAGATTCTCCAACTGCGCCGGAGGAGACTTCATTAAAAATTTCATTATCGCACTGTGCCGGACGACCAGGACAGTCGCCGATGGATCGCGTATCACGGTAATAATCCTGCAGACATTTTCGCCCCATCACATTCGATCCGCTCGACTACTATCCCACAGCCACAATGGCTGCCCCCGTCCTGCCTCTTCAGCAGGTCAAGCTGCCGCAGCTGCCGTCGACGAAATTGACGCCCGAACAGCTGTACTGGAGGACGTTCAAGACTCCATTGCTGATCCCCTCGCCGTCGAATAATCCGATCAATTACATCACACAGCCTTCTGCGCCTTCTTCCGCAACAGCCTTTCCTTCCTTGACACAGCCGCCGGATATTTTCACCGTCACGACTGGCGCTCGAGTCCAGATCTACTCGATCCGCACACGAAAACTCCTCAAGACAATCACTCGTTTCGATGACATTGCCCGTGGAACGGACGTGCGACCGGACGGTCGTGTTATCGCGATCGGTGACGATACGGGTACCATTCAGGTTTTCGACGTTGGCTCGCGCGCTATCTTGAAGACATGGAAAGATCACAAGCAGCCCGTATGGGTGACGAAATTCTCACCAAGTGACCCGACTTCCGTCCTCAGTGCCAGTGACGACCGTACAGTGCGGCTGTGGGATTTGCCCAGCGAGAACAGCCAGCGGACGTTTGTCGGACACACGGATTACGTGCGAAGCGGTGCGTTCCTGCCCGGCTCAATGGCGGGCTCTGGAATGATTGTCTCTGGAAGTTATGATTCGACGGTTCGACTGTGGGATTCGAGGGTTGAGGGCCGTGCAGCCATGACGTTCAAGATGCCCGCGCCTATCGAGCAGGTCCTCCCAATGCCTTCTGGAACGACGGTTCTGGCCTCGGCCGATAACCAGATTGCTGTGTTGGATATTGTTGCGGGTAGACCGCTACATATCATCAAGAGCCACCAGAAGACAGTCACGGCGCTGTCGTTGGCGTCGCATGGTGATAGGCTGATCAGTGGTGCCCTGGACGGACATATGAAGGTGTTCGAGACGACGGGATGGAACGTCGTCTCTGGCTCAAAGTACCCATCTCCTATCTTGTCTCTGCGTGTGATCACTTCTGGTGTGGCCCAAGAGGACAAGCACCTCGCAGTTGGTATGCAGTCTGGACTGCTGTCTATCAAGACTAGACTGTCGGGGCAGCAGAAAGTCCGTGAGCGCGAAAGGCAGAAGGAAATGCAGGCTCTGTTGGAGGGTAAGCTGGAAGAGCATGACAGAAAGAAGGCCAAACAAGAGCGACTCCGCGGAAAGGGCTGGGAAAAGCGTCTACGAGGGCGCGATTTCATCGGAGAGGGAGTCGATATCGTCATTGAAGGACAGGACCGAAAAAAGCGCAAGAAGGAACAACCCTGGGAGCATGATCTTCGCAAAGCCAGATATTCCGCTGCCCTGGACCAAGTCCTGGCTCTGAGTGATAAGACTGCTCAGTTGACCCTGTTTACCGCTCTGCGCCATCGCTCTGCTCTTCGCACTGCACTCCAGGGCCGTGACGAGGTGACGCTGGAGCCGGTTCTGAAGTGGGTCTACAAGCACATCTCGGAGCCCAGACTAGTCGAGCTCTGCGTGGAAGTGGCCATGAACGTGCTGGATATCTACTCTGGCAACCTGGGCCAGTCCGTCCAGATCGACAAGCTCGTCGAGCGACTACATCGACGGGTGAGAGATGAGGTCGAAAGAGCGCAGCAGGCGTGGCAGACGAAGGGTATGCTTGATATGCTGAAGGTGTCTTGAGCAACCAGAAAGTGTTTTATCGAAAAGCAAACGAGATCCGGAGCCGAAGAGCTCTTTTCATACCACATACCACTCGATCTATCCTGCGCAGCCCCGACTGAGAGATCAACTGAGACCAGTCAGCACAGACTGTCGCATAGTGCGATCACGGAGACGCTGACACCGCAGTATGGTCATTGGGTGGATGTACAGTACATCTGGGTGACTTACTGGATACCCACGTTTGGAGTTTTGGGGGTATGGGAATGTATGTATTTAGGTAGACAAAAGCGCGACGAGCATTTATCTTTCAGGATGCAAAAAAGCATGGGATAATCGTTATATTTTTTTTAACATATCATTGTGCGAGCAATATCGTGGTGACAGTTGAGAAGATAATCCAGCCCGGATGGGGTTTGCATATATATGGCACTACAACATCAACTACTACCTAGACACTCCTGCCCTGATATAGTCTCGAGAAGCCCTCCCCATTCTCCGGCGGCTGTAACCAATTCCTCTTGTCATAGTCCCATCCCTCCCCGCCCTCAATCACATGAAAGGTATACGCATACCGGCTCTTGGAACTCGTATTCTTCTCACTCTTATGCAGCACATTCCCATGAATCAACACCAACGTGCCAGCTTTAACATCCAGTATCTCAAAGTCCTCATCCGTCTCCTTCCCCGTCTCCTCTTCCTCCATTCCCCTCGGCAGTCCCGGTCCATCGTTATCAATAAACTCCGTCCCACCGACCTCAGGCGGAGCGCGCACGAAACGCCTTCGAATCCGCCCTCCTTTCCGTCCCTTATGCGACCCTTTCCACATACCCAACGTCGCATTTCCAGGACCCGCATCCTGCATGGCAATCCACCACCCAACAGCCGACGGAGGGTTCGTGTACAGAAACTCCGAGTCTCGATGCGGTGGTACCGCGCCCCCGATCCCCGGCTGTTTGCAAATCACCATACTCTGCAGACAGCGAGGGTCGCGGAATCCCAACGACTTGGCGATGGCCGCGTTGCGATCCGAGAGCGTTACGTTCCTGAATGGCTCCGAGAGCGTGTGGAGCGAGTGTCCGATCTTGTTGATGGCGAGGTGTTTCGGTTTTAGTAGCTTCGCCTTTCCCGTCTCCGGGTCAGGGGTTGGGGAGAACGCATCGGGTTCGAAGAAGAATCGGACCTTGTCGCCTGAGGTGAGGAAGTAGTCGTCGCCGACGTGTTTGGCGGCGCGGTCTTCGACGTCGTCGCCGGTCGTGAAGCGCGTGAGAGGGTGAGAGTCGAGCGGGAAGTTCTCGAGGAGGTCGTGGGTAGTGGAGAGGAGGGTGGAGAGTTCTGAGGCGGACAGGTAGTCTGGGATGACGAGGTAGCCGTTGTCGTGGAAGAAGGTGAGTTGGTCTTGCGTGAGGCCAGCAGCTGGAGCGGTCGTTGTCTCAACTGCGGACGGGGCCATTGTTGGGTAGGTAGTTGGGAGGAGTGATGGAGATAGATTATGGTGTTGACTCTGCAGTTTGGAAGGGTTTGTTGTCGTCGTCGCTGGTTCTGTGCAGAGAAGCGTGGGAGAGAATATAAGGGAAGTAGAGGTGAGATGGGAAAGAGAAGAGAAGCGTGAAGCTGGAAGAACAAAAGCGGAGGTGGGGGTTGGAATGAAATAAATGCCTTATCGATAAGATCGGAGCCGTGACAGCGACGGGACTTATTATTGTTTAAGGAGAGCTTCCTCCACGCATCTATTATTAATTGCTGCTCTACATACCAATCCAGCCTATCTTTGGGCTTTTACGAACCGTTATGTTCTACCTAAGAGAATGGCTGGACTGCAGATTCTTGTTCGGACCTCAGAGTACAGGATGGTTCGAACAGTTCCCAAAGTCTCGAGTCGAGTTACCTAGGTAGCAGGCTAGCCTTCATTCAGACCAAGTAGTTAGCTATTAATTCGCGCCTGTTGACCGATGTAGCAGACACAAGCTATCTAGCTACTCGTGCTCGCTCTTTGGCACTGGTTGTGTGACGCTTTTACTGCAGACACAACTCCCCCCAAGCTTCTCTCAGCTTTCTCAGGGGCAGCTTGATTCTCAACCTCGTCGATCTCCAGTCTCGCGGATCTACGCGAGGAACACTCATTTCTCAAGATACGATGAGACGAATATCGCTTCTTTTTCGGCCGAAACCTGGAAGTCTCGCACCGGAAAAGCTGGCCTGCTTCGTTTTAGTGTAGATCCTTATTTCACCTTGTACGAGTAATACGGGCAGCTAAGATAGATAATTTAGGTAGTTATTATAGCATCAGCGTCAACAAGTTATCAGATCCCAGATGCAGTCACGATGACTAGCTATTTCGAGGATCATCATTTGAGTAAAGCCCATATAACCTCATCCGGTTAGTTAGTGAAACACGAGAAGCCCCCTGACTCGAGATGGGACGCGTCTGAGTTATTATTAATGATAATAGTCAGGGACTTTCAGTTAATCCAATTAGGAAAAAAAGAGGCCATAGCATCAGGTTAACTAAACTGGGCAGTGGGTATATCGGGCAAAGGCATCGAAGCTATCTAATCCAGATTAGGAATTTGTAGATTTTTGATCTTGGTGCAGAAGATCGATAAGCATAACTAGCTTAGTCTATGTCTTGCATAAGTAATAATTAACATCTAGTTATGAACATAACATGTGGGTAAGCAGGTAACTACTAACTAACTACTAACTTAGTTATTATTACTCCGTACTTTGTGGATTCTTCTCTTGGGTCTCTTTCTAGAAGGTCGATCTAATAAGGGAACAGCTGAACAAGAATAATAACTGACGGGTTTTTAGTTAACTAACTAACTAACTACTCATTATGGTTAAATCCACTTTCGTGGCGGAGACATATACGCTAGACTGTGGAATAATAATAAGACCCGTCGTTCGGAAGGTGAACGATACCTTTCCGACAAAGGAAGTACGCGTGGATGTTTCAGTGTTCTATAGTTCAGCCTCTTGGCTGACGCCCCTTTATGGATGAGCTTGAGAGAAGGGATTCGGGGTACGCTCGGCTGCTATGTCTCAGGACACTAGTATTATAGACTGATTCAATCATGGAGTTGCGCTGGTGGGTGGTATATGTAGGTATGCTTTGTGTTAACTATAGCGGACATGCACGTTCTTGGATGGCATATGGTGATTCCTGGAATAGAATCCCATTTGTAGGACCAGGGTGTCTGCTTCACTACAGTTCAAGAAAGAGAAGATAGACTGCTGCTATGTATTCACTACTTCGTAAATGTGTCTATTGGAATTTCCATTCCGGAGGGATATCATACTGGGAGATATCATCCCTCGAGGCAAGACCAGACAGACACTTACTGCAAGTCAAGACTTGGGGCTATAGTACGAATACAGATAACTCAGACTCATTTTCGCTAAAATTAAGAAGGTAGGATGATGTTTCAACTATCTGATAGCATAGTGACGAGCGGTTGGAAGACGAATTCCCCATATTCACGAGCTATCAAACCAGCCACCGTCTCTTCCCATACATACTGGCAGGCCTTGAGGGAGGAAATAATAATCGCCGTCACAACTCTACCATGAAATGCATACCTCAGCTGCGTGCTACTGATGACACGAAGTTCTGATGCAGAATCATGACAGATCCATTTCTGAACCGAGGAACAATTACGGGGCAGAACACCTCATTTCCAGTCTTCACAAAGAGCCACCCTATACAGAGCGAATAACACAGTAGAATATCAAAAAATAGAATCCTGACGAAGACACTCCGCACTCTCGAACGTAAACGAAACCCCGTGGAGGCGGTGGCTGGTGGTCAATACATCATCACTTCTCCGCCGACCCGACTCCATGGGATAGCTACCGACTGACATCCATCATCAACGGCAGGACAACTGGACAGGAATGACACTTTGCAAACAGGAACCATGAACCATGACCTTTATCACCAACACCAATGGAATCGTCAGGCACAGGCGTCTATCTGCCAGTTGTGTTCGTCGCCTCATCTTTCTTGCAGTGGAACATGATGTCAAACCCGATCATCAGTTGAGTGCGCCTACGGCTTGCTCGCCACGGGCCAGAATATAAACGCGCTGCAAACCTTGGTGAAACAGATGAGGGATGCCGAGAAGGATGCTATCCATGGTCAGTCGACGACTTTGTTCTATCGATACAACAATCTGTGTCTTCTGATCTCACGCATTCCTTTTGCGTCTTGTTACAGAGCAAACAAGCATAATCCCATCAGATCTGTTTCGCGATTAAGATACTAGATATCCATCTTCGCAACATTCCAGAATGACCGATACGTACAGCAGCTCGTCCTACTTCTACAGCTCCGCAACGAATACCAGCGACGGCTCCTCAACAACCGGTCACCGATATACAACGTCCTCCCACACCGATCCCAACGGAAATACCATCGTGCGCACAGCACATCAGGACCTCGGCGCGCCGGCCGTTATCGAAGAGCGCCGTTACGATCGGACAGGGCAGCAGTTACTGCTAGACACTGGCACCGGCGTGGCTGCCGGAACGAGACGAATCGAAGATCTAGGATCTTACGACGCAACAGGAGCGACAATGTCTGACCCAGGCACGACTTACGGTACTGAGAACGTTGGAACAGCGGCAGATGCGACGGCGGGAACTGCATACGGCAGCGATACTGTCGGTCCCAGCACCAACGAATACGATCAGCATCTCGACTATGACACCGACGGACATAGGAGACATCATAGAGAAAAGCAGGATTCAGAAGGCCGCTGGTATCATCGAGATGTTGACCGGGAAAAGTCAGATCCCTCGAGCGGACATGTACATCGGGAATATTCGAATCCGAATACGGGGAGGTCTTCTCATACCGATTACGAGTTCTGAGTTTGATTGAGAACCGGCATGGACTGCGGCCACTCGTTTGGCACGCTCTACACTCTTTGGGTATATTATAAGAGTTTACGAATTATGAAGCCTTGAGCGTTGGTTTTGTCTTACGGAAGAAAAAAAAGAAAAAGAAAAAGAAAAAGACACGAATGACTAGGCATAGATTCTCGGCATTCCTTTGGTATACGAAGTTACGACTCATATGAAGCGTTAAGCGTCGCTTTTTCGCTTTTTGTTTTCAATACCATGAAAAAACACAAAAACAACTTGCATCGACATTGGACACCATTTGGTACAGATGTTTACGAGCTATGAAGCATTTACCGCGTTGAGCGTTATTCTTATCTTCTATGGTACAAAAAGCAAAAAGACCGGCATGAAAATTGGACACTCGTTTGGTATATGATTTACGAGTCACGAAGCATGTAGCGTGGTTTCTACTTTTGTCTAAGAAAAATAAAAGCAAAAGGAAAAAAATGTTCGCTCGAGAAATGAAGACCAAGCGGGCATTGCTGTGCGATTTTTTTGTCTCTTTGGAAGCAGTGTTTATAGTTTACAAGAATGCCTACAAATGACTTCGATCGATTTTAGAACCAAATTGATACAGCAGCCGCTATAGTTTACAACGTAATCTGAACGAATCCAAGTAGACTTAGAGAGCGATCCATTATACAGTAAATACCAATTGCATGTTGATACTATGTATGAAGCGTGTTTGTTATTTGTATAGCTGGTAAAGTCATGGCAGAACATCTCTCATATATTGTCGCGTCAGTCATGATAGTCCTTTCAAACGCCCAAAGTGCAAAAATATGTGCATGTTGTAGATCAATAGCATCCATGTATCTGTGAGCACATGTCGGATGGATTTGAGATAGGTATTGGCATGGGAGAGACGACCGTCTGTGCTTTAATTGTGCATCTTCTGCGTGTCGTCAATAAACCAAGGCGCTTGCACCGAAAGAACTATATTGCCAAAAGTTATTCTCAGACTCTGAGCCTGCCATACGTCAAGCGTTCTCTGATCTTCGTGAACAAGCCTGGCAACTGGTAACTCCAGTGGCACAGCATGCCGGCAACGAATCCGATAGCATCGTTCTTGAATCCAACGAGCAGGCCAACGGTCACAATCATAACAGTCCATCTCTTCTTGCGCTCATAGTCAGTGAGAATCGGACCAATCGCCTGTTCTGAGTCTCCAATGATACCCGGAGCCTTGCCAGCAAGGTCTCGAGCGCCTGTTGTGTTCAGGCTTTCACCCACACTGGCTAGTTCGAGGCCCGCAGCAATGACCATGACGCCCAATAGAGCTGATGGAAATTGCTTCAGCAGACTGACAAGGGATTCACCAAAGAACAGGCCAACTATCATCTTTAGGGCTCCCAAGATGATGATGCTGGCGCCAGAACGGGCTCCAAACCGGTACTGGGCCGCCAACCCGCCAGATCCGTGACAGACAGGCATAGCACCAAACCAGCAACCGAAAAGGTTCATTCCTGCGACACTGAGACCGATAGAAGTAATCGAAGGTGTTTGAACACCCGGCAACAGGTCCGCTGCGAGGTGGACGACTGCGATCACAGAATTAAGCGTCGTAAGCGGGAGCTGGCCAATGCCAGCACCAATTGCGCCTGTTTTCCAGTCGCTGCCTACTGGGATAGTCATATGCGGTCTCCAGAACTCCAGTGATGGGAGACTGCCCGATTGCGCAGTGACAATGATGGCGAAGACCAAGCCAACCGCGAAAACGATTAGAGCATATGGCACAGTGCGATATGAATTCGTGATGATTAGGAATAAAAACGCAACAATAGCCCAGATCAAATTGTCTGCCCAGGATGGATAGATCCATCCCAACGAGGCGATTAGTTTTCCGGCTGACGCGATGATGAGGGACAGGCCGGCTCCTAGCTGGATACCCTTGACCACTGGGATCGGAATGACATCTGAAAACCAGCGTAGAAGACCAGTAACACTGAAGACAAGAATACAAGCGGCCACAAAAACGCCTGCGGCCGCGATTTCGCCGTTGCTGAAAGACCTGGCAATAGCAACGGCGGCGATCGCCTTCATAGGCTGCACGGGCAGCGGGATGCCAAAGAAAAGCCCGGTGAGTATATTGAAAACCCCCGAAAAGATAAGAGTGCTGGACAAGGAAATCGTGCCATTCAGAGCCAGAGCAATGGCAATAGGAAGGAAGGTGCCCAGATCCCCAAGAGCGCCAGAGATCTCAGATACTGGCCGCGACTTTAGTTTCCGGAGGTTGCGGGCGGAGATCTGGCGAAACGTGCTGGCCGCCATGGCGGGAACGAGGCGCGGGGATAATCAACAAAGAGATGCAATATTGGACAGGTCTATCCCTGATTATGCTGAGGATGGAGCCTCTGAGAATACACGACGGCAAGGGGTTGTTAAAGAGACTGGAGAAAGCTACCACCTCGCGATCAAAGGATGAAGGAGAATGAGATGATGCATGCACCTCCGCGGAGAACTTGATCAGCGAGATCTAAGATCTTGGCTCCACTAAGTAGTTAGCAATGCAGCAAATGGCCGTCACACGATCACCACAATCCTGAATCCGATCGACCTGGAGTCTGAATCAGCATTATCTACTATCATTTACAAGTTACAACCTGCTGGTGCTGTAGAAATTCCATGTGTACAATGTCAGGGACCCCATCTAGCCGACAACCAGTTATGACGGTAAGAAGCGGACGATATCGTCACCCACTTACGACCACTCGACCCAAAAGAAGGATTCTCCAGCTTGATCTCTCCAGATCTGACATAGAACAAAGACTGACGGGCTTTGATGGCCTGGCTTTGTTATAATCGTCGAGGACTGAGCCCCCTAAAGCCACCTTCTTTCGGAACAAAGCCCAAGAACGAACTGAGACCTTGCAGAATGGAGTTTTTGATGGGACTCTCAGTCGTTCGATGGCCTCGAGAGGTATTGAAATTCACTCACTTATGGTTACAAGCGGCGCTTTTCCATCAAGTCACTTTTCTTTCACTGCCCAAGTGATCTGTCGCCCCTTCCCAACAGATTGAGACAGGGGTCATCTCTGATCCTATTCTTCGGTGGTTTCACTTGCGGTGCTGCTCTGCAAACTTCTCGTGAATCAAGTCCATATTGAAGCATCTCATCTCCCTCATTTGACCGATTCAACTGCAGATATGGCTTCTACTGCCATTATGGATGAGCGCTCGGGACTGAAGCACTTTGAACGTGACAACCCGATGGCTCACTCGAAACCTACTTTGGTTCTTGTCCATGGGGGCTGGCAAGGGCCGTCTTTATGGACCTACGTGATCCCTCTGTTAGAAAGAGCCGGCTACGCAACGTACCCAGTGACCCTGGTGTCCCCAGACAGCGACCCTCCAGTCGAGGACTTCACAGCTGACGTCGAAGTTGTTAGAAGAGCCGTCGATACACTACTCGAGTGTGGCAAAGATGTTATATTAGTGCTATTTTCTTATGCAGGTTACGTGGGATGCGAGGCACTCAAGTCATTCCATGATGAACAAAGTACTCCTCTGCAGAATGCGGCGCAGAATACGGGTCCGGATGGAGGCGTCGACAAAAAGTCTGCAAAGAAAACTGATCTTCCATCATGGTTTGCCAGACCTCGACGCGGAAAGATCTTGCATATCGCCTTTATAGCGTCGTATATTGTCGCACCGGGAATGACACTTTGGAGCCCAAGGAAAGGCGACTGCCTCCCTGGAATGGAGAATAAGGTAAGCATCCGCAAAGTACATGTTATCTATTACGACCGGCATATAGTGAGAAGCAAGGGTCCCATCGACACCACAGCACATACTAACAGGGAGATTAGGACGGAGTGGTGCGCGTTCTGGATGGGCCAGAACGTTTCTTCAGTGACTTGCCGCGGCCGATTGCTGAGTTCTGGGCCACAAAGCTCAGGAGCCAACCTATAAAGTATGTGTATACACTTTGCCAGGTCTTGCCTCGAATGCGTCAAGTTGTTTGCTAATAGTCCAAAGGTCCTTTTATTCCAGATTTACCTACCCGGCTTATCTCTACTACCCGACCTCTTATCTCGCTTGCATTGATGACAAGGCCCTTGCATACAAAATCCAAGACCGTATGGCCAAGCTTGCTAAGATCGATCCGGATAGGGTTGTGAGAGTGAGGTCTGGCCACATGGTGATGGTCAGTCAGCCGATGGCTGTAGCCAAGTTCTTGCGTCAAGCGGCAGGAGAGACATTCAGCGTTCTTTAACGGAGTCTCTATGCCTGACGAGGAGGATACTTGATCTTCAGTTACCATGGCTCTGTCCTATTTGACTCCTTACAAGGGACTCTGTCTGCCTAAAGCGAATATGTCGACATTCTATGCAGTCTTTGTGGAAGTCGCTGATAAGGATCGTTAGATCGACAGGAACTTAGTCACTAGCGACGTCCAAATAATAGTTCAACAAATGATTAAAGAGGCACTTCTTTCTATAAGCACCATTGATCATGGCTCCAAAAAATCCAGAATAGACCATTACTAATATCGGTTGCTAAAAAGCTTACCCTCATTAGCCTGTCTTGCGTCCAGTGAGGTTTTCTGATATCAGCTCGCAGACCCAGCGATCCCAATACCGGCTAAATTGCTTCGCACCCCATTGACCGTGCACGCGGAATATCATTTTCGATAAGCGGTCTCGTTCAGCGCCCGCGGGACAGCCGTTGAATCTAAGTATCGAATCTGAGCGTAAGATGAACCCCGCTTTGCGCCTCATCCCGAATTTGCTTCTCCATGTAAAAAAGCTTGCCGTAGCGATAAACATCTAGAAACGACCCCGCAACAGCTCCAATCTCTCCGCTCAACAGCTAGGAGACGCATGACGGTGAAGGCACCTGCACATGTATAGGACGTTGCACACCATGGGCAAAAGGATTGTGTTCACTGGCGGTTCCGGCAAGGCTGGCCGTCATTGTATTCCCTACTTGCTATCCAAGGGACACCAAGTGTTGAACTTGGACCTCGTCCCGCTGCCCAACCCTGACGGTGTTGGACTTAACCCAGACGTGTATACGCTCAAATGTGACCTCACAGAGAGCGGACAGGTCTTCAATGCCCTCTCGTCGCATTTTCATATGGGCGAGTACGAGATCGAGCGAAAGCTAGGCCAGGAAAGTCCAACTGTTCTTCCAGATGCCGTGATTCACTTCGCAGCCTATGCGCGCAACATGCTCGTTCCCGACAATGAAACCTTCAAGGCCAATGTGACAGCTACGTATAATGTCATCGAGGCCGCCTGCAAGCTAGGAATCAAGAAAGTCATTATCGCTAGCTCCGAAACGACGTACGGAGTCTGCTTCACGCAGGGTGACTCTGACTATCATTCGTTCCCGCTGGAGGAGGACTACGACACCGATCCAATGGACTCGTACGCTCTGAGCAAGCTCTGCGGCGAGAAAGTCGCTCGTGGATTCGCTCGTCGCTTCAACACCGATATCTATGCCCTCAGAGTCGGAAACGTCGTCGAGCCTCACGAGTACGCACGAGATTTCCCGAAATACATCAAGAACCCTGAGATCCGCAAGAGAAACGCCTGGAGCTACATCGATGCTCGAGACCTAGGCCAGATCTGTGACCTGTGTGTAGCCAAGGATGGGCTGGGTTTCCAGGTCTTCAACGCCACGAACGACACTATCACGACAGACATCCCGACAGAAGAGTTCTTGAAGAAGTATTGCCCGAATGTGCCGATTACTCGGAAAATGGGCGAGTGGGAAGCCCCGCTGAGCAATAGGAAGATTAGGGAGGTTTTAGGATTCAAGGATGTTCATAACTGGAGAAAGTATATAAATGGCTAAAGGTTTGACATAGTTTAAATACTATGCAATAATGTGTGTCCAATACTAGAATCACGTACGGCAAGGAAACTGAACATCTAATTGGGACTTGTTATTATTATCGTTTATGGACAGCGACACTGCGGGGTTTTTATCTCGGCTGACAAATTCGCGGATGCGAACATAAGTTAGTTATTTCGGGCATATCCCGGGCGAGATTAAAGCCTCCGGCGCGAATGACCTTGGATACGAGTAATTTAGAGCAGACAAACATGAGGGGCAGTGTGGATCGGAGTAAGTAGTGTCGCACCAAGACATTATTTCCATGATGCAGCTTCCAGGTATTACCAAATCAGCTCAGTTCTCTTTCTGAATTTGCTACATTTCATTTTCGTGCGGATATAGAAAGGGATATTAGATTCTCCTCTCGACCATATGGTGAATTGAACTTATCGTATTCAGACTTGACAATAAGCTCTGAGATAGCACATTTCAAAGAGAACCGCAACCATGGGTGAAGCACCTGAAGCAGGCCGCGAGAAGATTGCGAACTTCCATTTGATCCAACTGGACTACAAGCAGTTCGGTGGTCATGGAATTCGCGCGGATATCTTAATACCAAAGGCTCCCTTCCAGGGCAAGAGACCAGTTATCGCCCGTTTCCACGGCGGTGGGTTGGTGAGAACCCTTTAGTTACAATTTATTAACCAGCCTACCGTCACGTATTTCTCTGGCAAACTGAATCACATTGACTGATAAATTTACAGATTGCTGGTGACTCTATGTACCTCGATTGGATGCCCCAATGGCTACTTCAACTTGCAGATCGACATTCAGCCGTCATAGTTTCTCCAAACTACAGACTACTACCGGAGGCGACAGGGGTAGATATTCTTGATGACATCGAAGAATTCTGGTCATGGCTTCATTCGCCTTCACTTGCTGAGACGCTCAAGAACCACGAATCTAAAACAGAGCTGGCCTTATCCAGAATCATAACAGCAGGCGACTCAGCCGGAGGCCTGCTCAGTATCTATCTCGCTTTATCTCATCCCGATGAGATCCGCGCGGCAACGGCGGCTTACCCCATGGTGGACATGCGTGAGCCGAGTTATCGCACTCCCCCGAATAGAGTGATGTTTGGCACGCCTGTACTTCCCTCTTCGACCATTACGGACCATCTAGCTAAGATGAAACCTGAGGATGCTGCATTGACATATCCCCCACCAGAGAGGTTTCCACTCTTCATTGCAGCAATGCAGCACGGAAGAGTTCTGGAGTTCTACGAGCGGGGATCGGAGAACTCTCCACGGAAAGATGATCTGTTCCTAGTAGAAAGACTAGAGAAAGAAGGTGCGAAGCTGCCACGCGGTGGGATTTGTATATTTCATGGCACTGAGGATTCTGTGGTTCTTGCTCGTGGCAGCGAGAGGTTCATTGCAAAGGCCAAGGAGGTCATGAAGGGGAAGCAGGGTGGCGATAAACTCGTTCTGGCGCTTCGACCAGGAGAACATGGATTTGATGGCGATACTAACCTTGATGATCAATGGCTAAAAGAGGCCCTTGAACCTGCTGTGGAGGCTTGGTTGGAATAAAGGCCACCGTTACTTGTCTGGCTTTCACAACTCCTTTGAAGCGTCGCTGCTTGTACCCGAAATAGTGTCCCCTTAAGAAACGTCGTGCGCAAAGAAAGCAATGAAAGAAAAAGAAAGAAAGAAAAAAGATGCTTCCCCCTTCATTCTCTATATATATGTATTTTCTCTTTGTTTATGGCTAGTTGTAGCATGACGACTGATTTCACATAGTTACCACCGTTATCTGCAAGGGTGAAATAGATCGCTTGAGTCAGGGCACGGTTGTATTCAATGCTCGAGTTGCACAACGGCGATGACTTCGAGGACTATATGACTCGTCAACTGACTCACGTATACAGGCTACAGTATTCAAATATATTTATATCATCGTATATGTTCCTTATTGTACATTTTCATCGAAAGCATTTCTCTACCGAAAGCAGTCAGATAACCCACATCAACGATCCTAAACCGTCTCGCATATGTTCTAAACCATCTAAAATCATAGATTCTCAACAGATGTCTTCGGAAAAGAATATCAGGCCGCAGACCAGGTCAAAACTTCTCTCTCTTCCTTGTGAGTTAAGGCTGGTGATATACAACTACGTTTTCACCAGCCAAGAAGTCTGCGATATAAAACGTGTTCCCATCCGCATATGGTGCGAACCACAGCATGAATGGCTGGAATACACAAAGTCCTGGCGTCCGGGATTCTGGCAACATAAATGCCAGCATCGAGCATGTTGGATGCAAGCCGCGGGGATCCTGGAGTCGGACATCTACTACGCCTCGAGTCCGATCACCGCGTCGACGCATTTCCCCTGTCCCGGTTCTCTGTCACCCTGCCCTCTGAATCTGGCTCTTCTTCAGACCTGTCGGACTATATACTACGAGGCTCGCACAATGCCTTATGAACTCAATAGGTTCCACACGTGGGAGCTAAGCAGCTTTTCAAATTTCACTTATTGTTTGAAGAGTTGGCAGATCCGGTCCATTAGCCATCTGTCGATTGATCTCAGTGATTCCTTCGGCGGTAATACGGCTGCGTGGAACGAGTCGCTCGCCGTTATTGCGCGCGCTTTCGTGGGTCTGAAGACCCTCTCGATCACGATATGGCTTGGCTCCTTCCATCAAGCCTTCAGACCGAATTTCTGGTCGGGGGGTCTGCTGGACCTTGATCGTTTGCAACTTCAGGGTCTTCGCCTTGTGATATATGGAAGACCAGGACAGCCGGTTTTTGACTACTCCGCAGGAACGGGCGTGGAGCTTCCAGTTGAGCATTTCAATACACACCTTCGCCAGTGTGGAACTGGTCTTGAGGGAAGCCGTTTGATAATGGAGGACTGCGACCAAATCTCCTACAAGGGAACGGTATCAAAAACTGCTTCTACCCAGCAATCTGAGATCAAGTTCAGCGCAGCGCAGAAATGTCTGGAGCATATCTACGCAGACTGGGCACACAAGAGATGCGATGCCATTTTACCTGTTGGGTTCCATTTCGATTTCTATCCGCTCTATATGCGGGATATGCTTGAGAGGCTGCCTGAGAGCGTGGGAAATGCTGAAATTCAAGGACACAATCTATTCACGCGGAAGTATGCATTTTGTAATGCGTACGATAAATCCGATGGAGGACGGCATCCGATTATAGGATATCAGTTCCATGATGACACGCCTCCTGAGGAAATAAACAGGGGCGTCGAAATGTTCCTGGAAGCTCGGAAACGGCTGAAGAGGTCCCATGCAAAATGGGCACCAGTATATCAGGCTGAAGCTCAGAAAATACTTCAGGAACGCAGAGCTCGACGAATGTCTCGTGGCTCGCAGCTGGAACAGAAACCCTGTCGAGATAAGATGGGTTATTCTCTGCTAGAACAAGATGGGGAGCCGGGAGAATGGAGACATCGCCTGGTTGCGGAGACAGTCGCTCCATTAATTGAAACTTTTCCGTGGGAAGTACCAAAACTCGCGAGGGTAGAGACTGATATCTGCATAGACTGTCCTAAGAAAGGACCTGGTCATCCCCAGTAGATCGAAGTCTGAGTCCACATTTCGAGATAATTTGCAAGAACAGAATTCCTGAATAGAGTATCTCAGCAGTGACAGTGTCGTTTAGAGGGGCATTTACCCTGTTTGGATAAACACATCTTGGCAATGATTGTGATTGTATTTGTATTTTGACCTGGGCACGTCTGCGATAGGCGATGTTGTACGTCAAATATTGAATATGACTGTATATAGTAGTTATGTCTGAATGATAAACACGTTCCGTTCCCTCTAGTAGTTAATAATCATTGAGCGCTAGCGAAATGTTTACAATATACTGGGTTCAAAAGTTTTCTGTTTTTTCTCCACTTTTTTCTAATCTCTCTGATTGGTCTATTCTGAGTCACCGCCACGTGACCTTTGATTTAATTGGTTTGTTCTGAGTCACCGCCACGTGATATAACTATAAACTGCTACTTATTACCGCCTTCCCTTTTAGGAAATCAAAATAACTCTTTTTAACCTCCTATATAGGTTCGCGTCTATATTAATTAATCTACACCCTTTACAGTCCTCCCCCCCTGCTTTTTATCGCCTATTTAGCTGTTATAAAAGCTTGCTTTAAAAGCATTTTCTTTTATCTAAATACTGGCTTCTTATTGGTCTTCTTATTAGTCTGTCTGAAATATCGACTATATTAGCTAAATCCCTCCTACCTATCCCCCTTCTACCTACTTATCCTATATAGACTTCGGCTTCTTATACTATCTATCTATTTAGATAGTTCTTTACAATATTTATCATCCACAGTTACTACACTAAAAGAACCTGATAAATTATTTGATTAAGCAATCAACCTATCTGCTAGGCTTTGCCAGCGCGCCAGCGCGTCAGCGCCAGCAGCCAGCTTGGTCACTACGCTCAATGATTATTTGCTACGGCCCCTCCTAGCCGTAGCGCACCTAGTAATTGTCCCCAAGCGTACTACTGTACTCCGTACATAGGCAATGATATATGTGCCATGTGGAGATCCCTAGTATATGGTAGGGGTGGTGAATTTCAGACATTTTCTTTTTTATTACTGAAATACTGAAATTCAACCCTTTTTTTTCGTTTCGAAATTCAAAACGCACAGACCATAAGTGGGGTGCGCTAAATACAGATTAGGAAATTAAGCTAAGAGAATAACCAATAGTAGGTACGATACTATTAATAAGTAAAAGCGCAAAATTTCGGTCACGTGCCTATTTGAAATTCAAAAATTTTTCGTGAAATTAAAATCTTTTTTATTACTGAAATTCATGACATTTTGAATTTCAAATCGCCATCCCTAGTATATGGTAACCTTAAGGCTGATCTAGAATAGAATAGTGAATAATTGATACTAGGTGCGCTACGGCTAAGAGGGGCCGTAGCAAATAATCATTGAGCGTAGTGACCAAGCTGGCTGTTCTGACTAAGCTGGCTGCTGGCGCTGACGCGCTGGCGCGCTGGCAAAGCCTGGCAGGTAGGTTGATTGCTTACCTAGTTCTTTTAGTGTAGTAACTGTGGATGATAAATATTGTAAAGAACTACCTAATAGATGAAGCTAGCTAGTAATTGCTAGATAGTATGAGAAGCCGAAGTCTATATAGGATAGGTAGGCAGAAGGGGGATAGGTAGGAGGGATTTAGCTGATATAGTCGATATTTCAGACGGACTAATAAGAAGCCAGTATTTAGATAGAAGAAAATGCTCTAAAAGCGAGCTTTAATAGGCAAAAAAAAAGCAGGGGGTAAGGACTGCAAAGGGTGTAAATTAATTAAAGCAGACGCGAACCTATATAGAAGGTTAGGAGGAGTTATTTTGATTTCTCAAATTAGAAGGCGGTAATACCTAGCAGTTTAGAGTCACATGCGGGTGAAAACGAATCGACCAATCAGAGAGACCCGGAAAAAGTGGAGCACTTTTGAACCCAGTATATTGTAAACATTTCGCTAGCGCTCAATGATCATCGCAGTGGCCGTCCTATGTATTTTACAGTCAGGGCTGAAAATCCTTCACGGAAGGCGCGGGCCGGAAGTAATTTATTAATAATTAGCAGCGCCTTAGCGAGTGCAAATATGGATTCTTTCTGTTTTTGCTCCATAACGCCGATAATGATCTTCGCTAGTGCCGAGGTTACTCCTTCGGAGGTGGATTTTTCCTGTTCGCGCCGTGATGGACGGGGCCTTTGGGCCTTTCCGCTATGTGCCGCAGGTTCCCGAACTGCCGGTTTCATTTTTTCTATTTTTGACGTACTCTACTCCTTTCGAACAATGAGATCGCAAACGCCAAGGGGTTCAATGCGTTGATCTTGTGCCTTGTGCCTTGTATCCTGTGTCTTCTGTCTTCTCTCAGGGAAAACCTCCCTGCGGTAGTGCAACATGACGGTTGTGGCGTCTCAGCAGCTCCCGGTCTTGCTCCGGGTGCGTTCAAGCACTATTTTCATTGTTACCGCTGTTGCTATTGCGGTTTTTACGGTATGATTTTGACGCAGCAGGAAGAACCCCAGAACTAGTTAGTTTCCAGAAAAGCTAATAGTTGCATAGGACACCTTTCTCTATGGGCAAGTTCACTTGCAATATCCCAATTGAGTGCAGCAAACTGACCGGCAGAAAGTCTCTTGATTCCTGTCTTTCCCTCGGCCCTCCAGGAAAGATGCTCTGTGCCCGAATCGAAAGGTGAGACTTCACAAGCCTTTCCAATAACGGCGTCTGAACTGACTTGATATAGTGCAAATGTACACGTCCTATCTAGTAGGACTAACTGGTGCCGGTAATCTCATTGGAGCTTGTATGTTTGATGCGATCATTTCAGTTGCTGTTGTGTCGTATGTACTGACAGACTATTTGAAAGTCTTTTTTGGCTGGCTCGCAGATCACACCAGCAACAGACGGTTCTCTCTCTTGCTAAGCCTTTCGGTCTTGACCGTGGCCACAGTTCTCATATGGATTGCGCATAACGTTGCTATACTATATGCAGGCCGATTCCTGCAAGGACTAGCCTCGGCTGCAGTATGGAGTGTAGGCCTTGCACTTCTCGTTGACACTGTAGGGAAAAGGGAGATACCTGTCGTCATGGGCTATGTCAACGTAGCCTTCAGCGCCGGCACAGTCACAGGGCCCTTCGTTGGAGGTATTGTGTATTCCCTCGCAGGATATGATGCGACCTTGGGACTCGCTGTCGGCCTTCTTGGTTTGGACATAATCCTACGGCTTTTGATCGTCGAGAAACGCGACCTACAACAAATCCTAGAATCTTCCGCGGTTGATGAAGCGAACGAGGACGTCGTGCAGCCTTTGCTAGGGACACCCACTGCATCTACGAACAATAGACATGCGCAGACATCGTATTCTTCCCCGCTGCCTGCCACGCAGGAGAATCAGGAGGATGAGGGAACTGAGGTTGAGGTTGCGTATAAGACACTGATAAACTCGAAACGTCTGGTCGTACTCTTGGTTTGCGCGATAGTTCAAGCAATAACAATGAGCTCGTTTGAGGTCACCCTGCCGCTACATCTTCGTGATATCTTCAACTATGATCCGAAGGGAGCAGGTCTGGCATTTATACCTCTAATGGTCCCGGCTTTCTTCTCCCCCGCGATAGGTCAGTATTATCCCCCCTCCCCCCCCTTTTTTTTTTCGCAATATATGTCTAAACGTGACTATCATAGGGTACGTCTGCGATCGTGTTGGCAATAAGATTGTTGCATTTTTGGGGTATATTCTCTGCGCCGTGGCACTCGTTCTCCTGCGGCTGCCTACACACAAAGATACCCTGAACGAAGTTGGAATGTTCGGTGACCTTTTGATGATCGGCACCGCCATGTGCATGACTATGACGCCGGTCTTGACGGAGATCTTTGTTGCAGTGGAAGATTTGGAAGAGCAAAAGCCGGGACGCTTTGGACCTTATGGAGCTTATGCGCAGGCGGTAAGTATAGCTATAGCTACTCGCCAGAATATCGTGATCGTTCGGGAGACTGACCCTACTTGAACAGTATGGCCTCTTCGAGTTTGTCTATTCAGCCGGTATTCTCGGTGGTCCAATCATGGGTACGTGTGCCCAAACCTCACCTAAGGGACTGCATGCTAATTTCCCCATAGCCGGATGGTTGAGGACCAGCTTCTCATGGAATGCGCTAACGCTTGTCCTTGGTACGCACTTTTCCTTAATTGACCGTTATCTACAGTAAAGTTATCTTTCTAACCTAGGACTCCGTTCGTTATAGGAATTCTGAGTTTTGCTACCAGCTTCCTAATGGTACGTTATGTCATAGCTCCTACAACAGAGCACCTGCTTACTGCTGATAGATACCCACGAAATGGTCTGCCATCGATGATCATGATGAGGAAGAAACCAGATAAACGTCATCGGTTGATGGGATAACACCTCCCGAAAAGACGACCTGAAACCACGGAAGTTTTTGCTTTAAAAGAATCAGTGTACTGTACTATAAGAGGTAACCGGAGGCACTCGCGCCTACTTATGGGACTATAGATGCGATAGAAAAAAGTTTACGTTGTTTATAGAATACAATAATCCTTAATGAAACCCTTGTGGTCAACAGGCAATTGATCAATTGAACCCATTCGACCGTTACATGTTCTGCACTTACGTAGATTCTCCATTTTTGGGGCTCCGAAGCTCGAAAGACGTCACTGGAGTACATAACCTGACATCTAAGCAAGATACGTACACACTCAGAAAAGGCCAATCATGATCGGTATACAGACATATTCTCGTTCCACAGGAAGCGGGATGCCACCGTTAATGTCCCGTTCACCTCCCTCCGTCCACGATAATCAGCTGAACAAGCTCCAAACGCCATCAGAAGAACTGAAGAAAAAAAATAAACAAGCTAGTAATATAAATGATCCTCAACGGAGTGGAGCAATCCGAAGTTCCGGGGATTTTGCAGAACCCTCCAGAGTCCAGAATTGAGTACATAGTTCATTATTCAATACGGTGCGGAATGTGGGTATTGTCTTCAGCCCTCGCTAATCATTTTCCCAAGCCAGCGGTTGGATATGAGCTATACGTACGGGGCGCCGTTCCGTACGATATGTCGACACCGAAGATGTCTTGTTGATCCACATCGAGCCAGCCATGAAGTTTCGGAATCCGTTCATTACGCGGTTCGATATCTCTCTAGTGGGAACCAATCATGGCACGTTATGGGATTTGGGGGGCTTCATTTTCTTTATTTCATCGTACTCGCTTTAACCGTCTGAAACCGCAACTTGGTGGATGACAGTTCTTCCACTTTTTTTTTCTTCTTTACTAGAGTCCAGATCTGTTTTTATCGATTATTATTATGACAAGTACGAATATGAAACGCTCCTACTCTCATCTCATGGAATACACAGAGCCCTATAAACTAGCAGTTACGTCCGTATCTCTGGGCCGAGCCCGCTTTCACAGCATACGAGAAAAGCTGTTGCAAGCCTCTCGTCATGGCATTCAGGGAATTGAGCTCTTCTATGAAGACTTGGAGCATCTCGCAAGTTCCTTTCCAGGCGGTGCCGTCAGCACGAATATCCTCCTTGCCGCGCATCATATTCGAAAACTATGCGACTCACTAGACCTTACCGTTATAAATCTCCAGCCATTTATGTTCTACGAGGGGCTTCTCGATCGTTCCGAACATGACCGGATCATTAATGAGAAGCTGCCCTTATGGTTTGGGATTCTGCGTATTCTCGGTTCAGATACAATCTTGATCCCGTCGAATTTTTTGCCGCCAGACCCTACTACAGGACAAGCTCGAATCACGGGGAATATCGACGTGATTGTCTCAGACTTGACAGAGATTGCAGACTTAGGGGCACGACAATCGCCTCCAGTGAAATTTGCATACGAAGCGCTTGCCTGGGGGACGTTTGTCGATACATGGGAGGCAGCATGGGACATTGTCTGCCGAGTCAACAGACCGAATTTCGGAATCGGTCTGGATACATTTAATATTGCAGGTCGTATATACGGTGATCCGACATCATTGACGCGGAAAACACGAACGGCAGAATTGGACTTTCATCTATCGATGCTTAGAATGTCACGGATCTTGGACCCTGGCAAGATCTTTGCCTTCCAACTCGCCGATGCCGAGTATCTGGCTCGTCCTCTGAGCACAAAGCACCCGTTTCACGTGGAAGGACAACCAAGTCGCATGAGCTGGTCGCGAAATGCTAGGTTATTTCCTTTCGAGCGGGGATTAGGAGCTTATCTTCCGGTTCTCGAGGTGGTAAAAACCGTTCTGAATCTTGGTTACACCGGCTGGATATCGATGGAAGTATTCTCCACCTCTCTTGCTAGTCCTGAAGCATTCGTTCCTCTTATCCAGGCCAGGAGAGCTCTCGACTCTTGGGAAATATTGATTGAAGAAATCGAAGGGCCTGCGGCGACGGAGTCGTTAGAAGATCGACGATGCGCTCCGAGAATCTCAGGCAGTAGTCCTAGAGCTCTGATGTAAATTAGATATGTGGCTTTGGGAAAAGTCCGATGATGGGATTTATGACTATTCATGTTTCAGATAGACATCGCGCGCGCGTTATGGATTTGGATTAAATGCTAGATTTTCTGCCTGCACCACTTTCGCTCCAACAAACATAACAACAGGACAAGGAGATTTATGGCCACATCAGTATATACTTTCAGAGCTTGTGAATCAGTGTGTAACGACAGAGTTAATAAAATACATCTTAACTCACAGCATATAGTAATGAGCCCTTTTCATTCCTTAGTGGGAGGTGGATAAACAACCAACTACTATGCATTAAATCGACAAGAGAGCAGCCATCTATCCTCAGAAGAGCACACAAAAATGGGAAATAACCACCAGACTTGTAGACTTTCAGAAAAACTAGCACGAAAATTCTCTTTCGTTTTAAGAAGACCAGGGAGTTCGAGTTCATTATTTCATAGTATGTATTCATCCTTATCGGCGATAAGGTTCCCTACCGCTTTAGTCCCAGTCTAGTTTACCGTCGCTAGTTCACCCCGTCCCCAGGTCTCGGGGGCCGCATACCATACTTAAGCATCAATCATCAACCATCATCGCCGACCTCAAACTCCACGGATTGACTGGATCTATGAGACACAGGTGTCCATCGATCCCGCAATACATCTCGTCCGGAATAACATCAACATTGCCAATCTCAATACCTTAATCCGACTAACCCAACACCGAGTACAACATACATCATGGACCCCGACACGCCTCCTCCACCCTCACAGCCCTCCGCATTCAATTACATCCTCTCCTTCCTTCTCGTCGGTATCGCATGGGGATTCACGACGCCATTCATCCGTCGTGCTGCGGTCGATTTCAATGCGCGACAGGCCGCGAAGCAAGCAACCACCACCGCCACCTCTGATTCAGATCCAACGGCAACAGGAGAAGGAGCAGGAGCAGCAGCAGCAGCAGCAGCAGAAACAGAACCAACTCCCCCACCAACAACAACTCGAACAGCATGGCTAAAACACAAACTGGTCACTCTATTCTGGACGGTGGTGAACCTCCTCCGTACTCCAGCTTACGCAATTCCGCTTATCGTGAACTTGACCGGGAGTATTTGGTTTTTCCTTCTAGTCGGCAAGCATGGTATGTTCTACACTGCACTCACTACCTACCAATTCCAACAATACAACCATTCCATCTGTCTGTAATCCCGACATAAACCGAGTAAATGCTAACGTGTATCTATTCTCGGCGGGAAACGATAGAACTCTCCCTCACAGTCCCGATAACGAACTCCATGGCGTTCCTCTTCACGGTTCTGGGCGAATGGTACGTTGAGCGGAAAGTGATTGAGCGCGAGACGTGGATAGGGATGTTTTTGGTTCTAGGTGGGATTGCGCTGTGCGTGCATTCGAAGGGTTGAGTGGATGATGTGGATTTATATTTAGGGTCTGTTATCTTGTTATTATAGATTGATAGTTAGAGATAGATGGTCATATTACTTGTGAGGTGCATAGTGTGGATTTAGCTAGGAACTTGATTTGCATTGTAAGGACGGGAATTTTAGATACATAGTTCGGTCTTCAAAATAGAGATTGGCTTAAGTGGACAATCCTGTGATAGCTAAGGGGTGTAGTCTATGGGAGATGCTTTACTAGGAAGACTTCAGAAGCAGCAGGATATTTGGCTGTTCAATTTTAATACTAGAAACGAATTTGAAGGGAAAAAAAAAAAGAAAAGACAACCATTCATAATAAAACACGCCCAAATGCCGCTCCAAGTCTCTATGAGGCTGCATATGACCAACGCTAATCATAACTGTCCCAGTAAAGGGGTATTTTCGTAAAAATAGCAATCCCATGGCGCTTCATAAGCTTGGTCGTAAAATCTGAGCAGAAAGTGAAACACACGAGAATAGTGAAACAGGGCCGCCGAAATGACGACCAAATAGATAAGATATCATCCAGTGCAAAGTCATCAGCGGCGAAGACAATCATTAGACACCCATCATTGCCATGTCATACTGTAGCAGGCCACACCGTAGCGCATATCTGTACAGAAGGAGGAAAAAGGAAAATCATGGAAGAATGATGCTTAGACACCACGGAACTAGAACGGAGAGTGTTAGTAAGGAAATCAAGAGAGCTGGCATCGAGATCACTCACCATGCGAACAATCAGGAACCACATTGCACCAATGAACCGGAACACCGACAGACCAGCAACACTCCACAGGACGACAGCCATATAGATTGTTGCTCTCTGCGTATCCGTATCGGAGTCGGTACTGGTATCCGATCTCTTGCTGTTGCTGCTGGTGCTACTGCTACTGCTGCTGCTGCTGCTGCTGCTGCTTGTCTGGTCCACCCGCTCCAAACCAGCTGCACTTAGAACGACAGCTGCAAGAGCGAAATTGCAGAAAACCCAGACCAGAACGACCGCACTTCGGAATCCCTTGTAATAATCTTCTTGCTTTTCTTCTGCAGAGACCGTCCTGACTTCCTTTGGAGGTTTCTGCGCGAACTTGGCCAATTCGGCATCATACTGAGCGTTGAGGTCTCCGTCATCCTGTGGGATGTTGACATCGACTTTCCCACCGGGCTTCACATTTGCTGACGGCAGCTTCTCAGCCTTGTCGTCACCCTTAGTACCCCACGTGATATCGTGCGTGTTACAAAACGCGTAGATGTTGAGGACATTGATATACGTCGGAGTGAGAAGGATATATTGGATGAACTATGATCTGTTAGCCAAGTGTCGTCGCTCGCTGGTAGATTGTTAAGAACTTACGCAAGTGAACATGTGCCAGGGATCGAAGAAAAGGAGTGATGCGATAAACCACATGACGTATGTCGACGACAACGACACGATGATCGAGAAGAACTCCTTGTTGGTGAATAGATCCGAAAACTCGAATGATTTCTCAGCTATTTGTTGCTGAATCGACTTGACAGTCACGAACACGGCTGCAAAACTCAAGTAGATCATGATGAAGACCCAGAAGTAAACCATTGTCATGTAGAATTTGTTCGATCCCTGCGGTCGATTGCCAAGGGAGAGAACGAAACAAGTAACAAGCGTCGCGAGGTATAGCCATTCGAAGACCACACCGAGAATCTTACCCACGGTGCCCAGCAAATCGCTAGAGCCAAGATATGTCGTCAGGATATGGAAGACCAGGAAGAAATTGCCCTGCATTTACGTTAGCGGATCAAGCCGTAGCTTAAGACATAAGAGTCCCTTACAATAGCAAACCAAGCAAAAATCATATTGATCGACTGGTAGATGAACTCAATGAGCAACATGAACTTCCTCATGAAGCTGTGATCACTGCGCCAGATCTGGTAGAAATGGGTGATAGAATATACAGCCGCGAAGAAACTGCCGTTGAGCCAACGTCGTCGTTGAAGAATGAATTCTGCCATGCGGTCCGGTACGTCAGTCTCTCCGGTAGAGGACTTAACGTACTGCAGGATCCATCGACAGTTGCGCTTGGTGACAATCTCGAAACAAAGGATACGATCTTCTGCCAGGTACATGTTGGCTGTGAAGATACCGGCGTTTGCACCGTGCATCTTCTCACCAGCGAAGTACTTTTCCAGAGGGCCTTGGCCGTTCTTGTCGTTCTGAAGCGCGACATACCGGTAGGCCGAGAAGGCACCAGGAAGCACGGAGATGAAGCCGAAAGTCGATTCCAGCGGCTTGTCGAGAATATTGCTCAGCTTGTACTCGAAGTTCTGCGTGGCCACGAGAGGGTTGATCAATTTCTTGCCATGAGACAACATGACCTTGATTTCACCGCAAGCGCCTCCGCACATAGGCTCCAAATCGAACGCTTTCCACAAGTGATAGATAGAATCCTTTCCTGGTTTAGTACCGGCATCAAGCAGCACACAGATGTTCGGATCCAGGACGCGACCAAATGCCTGGAAGAACCATCGGTGGGAATTGATCTTCTTTTGGTTCTTTTCCTTCAGACAGAACAGCATCTGCACAGGCGTGCCACTGCGCGGCTTCAGCACTACCTGCTCGCCCTTCAATTCCAACCCGACCTGCGTGGTATACTCGTAGAGATGCGCAGTCACGTCCTTGCCGTTGACTTGCTGCTTCGCAATGCCATCCTGGTAGACACCCAGACCGGCCAGAACAGCTCTTGTTCGCGGGTTGATCTTGGCACGACCATCGCTGATCACACAAACGACAATTTTCTTCCAGGCCTCCTTGCCCCAGGTCTTGCTGTTGTTTCTCGAACACATATATTCGATGTTTTTGAAGACACCCACCATCGTTCGGGCGAAGAGGAAGTCGTCTTCGTTGTACATTGTCACAGCGATGAAGAGTTCCGTGTGTCGTGGCTTTGCAAACAGCTTCTGGCGCAACGTGAATCGCTCATTGTAGAAGTCTGCTGGATCGCAAGTGGCAGCGGAGTACCGCATGTGTGTGAACTCATCACGGCCCGGGGGTTCTGCATGAGGCACTTGGCTCAGAAGTTTTGGAGGAACGGGGCAATCAAGCACGAGGTTTCCATTGAAAAGCTGAACTTCTTTGACTGTCTTCCACCGTCTGATCGGAGCAGGGCTGGGGGTATTCTCTATCCTCGGCTCATCCTGGTATTCCTGTCCGCTGTAAGGGTCCGGCCCGTATGGATTGTTCTCTTCTTGAAGCATGGGAACCCGGTCGTCTACGAATGGGTTGTTCTGCTCCAGTGAAGGATAGTGCCCCAGATCGTAACCCTCGTGAGGGGCGGCCGTGGGCTGATAGGGTTCTGTATAGTAAGCATCGTGGTGTTCTTCCGGATTGACGGTATAATCGTAACCAGGATAATGAACAGGAGGGTTGATATGGTCTTGCTCGTAAACGTCATTATGCCCGTATGAGTTGTGGATATTCTCCACGGAGTACTATGGAAGTTTTATGTATGTCAGCGCAACCAGGACGCCTGTCTGCTTCGGGTAGTCACTCACTGTAGGCTGTTCCATCAAGCGGTCACTCGAGGGCATAGGCAAAGGCAGGTGAGGACGGCTGTATGGATTATCTTCTAGTTGGTAACCGTTCAACGGCCTCCCAGGTGATGGTGTGCGAATCTGCTGCATTTGATGAGGGTTCATCATGGGCGAGTTGCGGTCGTCGTCCGCGTAGGGATCTGGCGCTGCAACTCTTGTCAGTCTCCTGATTGTATCGCAAGTTCCAATGCGAGATCAAATCCGCAGAAACTGGTAACGAGGAACCGCGCTGGATGCGAAAGCCGCGCGCTTCAGGACTGTCGCAAGATTGCCAGCAAGGCGACAGGTGCCTCTAGCAAAAGCACGGCACCCCAGACGACCGCAGCGACTTCTTGATGCGGCAGAGAGCGTATCAAGCATCAAACAACGGTTCCAGCGCTTTCAAGCTTTCATCCACAGCAGATAGGGGACATCGCTACTGCTTACCTAGACGGTTGTAAGACGACATGGCGACCGAGCGTCCTCGAGGAACTCGTTGTTCCAGCGGTGGCCAGGAGATTACCCAGGAGCGGAATGTTGCGAAAGGATGTCTCCGTGGGTGAGTGGTAGCGTCGCAGTTGGTGCCGTCGCAATTAAACTCAAGGGTAAACGGTGATTTCCACGTTGCAGCGTATGAGTCTGTACGCACTGTATGATGATTATTTACAGAAGATAGCCAACGGCGACGAGGACTTTTTGTCCTGGCGCAAACAGCTGAACCGCCACGAGCTACGGGCGGTGCATGTGGAGGGGGAGCCGCGCAGAGTTGCTTGGCTGCTTATTGTTTACAGGATGTTGGATACGATGTGGAGTCGAGCACTGCCGTTGATCTCTCAGGACCGTCAGAGCAAGAGTAGATCTTGACGCTTTTCTCCTGCGATCATCACAATCTCCCGGTTCTTCTGCTATAGCCTATCTTTCTCTGACCGCTACGGATGCCGATTCCCTAACCCCCCATGTCTCCCTAATCATTAATCACGCAGTAGTACAGCTCTGAAACGACTCCTAGTTATCGCCCACTAAACTACAGTATCTTCGCCGCTCGTTGAGCCGATCCTTGGTTGCCGCGGTGCGCCAATCGCTCCCCGTTATCGTCACTGGGCCAACCAGCGATCCCCGCAGACTTCTCACGATGAACAGCCACAGACCGTCGCAACTGCGCCTCAGGGACACGCCGTTTTTTCTCTCTTGCGCCACGGTTCGCCCAGCAAGGCACCGAAATTTGCAACGCGGCTGGAGAAGACCGGCGATATTCGACGGTGAGGCCGTCCTAGAAGAAGATGGGACACCGATCATCTGTCGACATGACGATGCCCTCGAAGACCCTTGACCAGCACGCACTTCAGTCGCCTCACAGACAGGCTAGCAGAGGTTAGCGACGGATACAAAGCGAAGGGGATGGAGTTGTTAGTCGAATGGTGATTCTCCCCGACCACCAGTATTCGTCATATGGCTATTTTTATCTGTCCACGCGACGGGTTGCTTCCGAACCCCAATCAGGTTGTCTCAGCCCTACTGCACGGTGTATCTATGGCCTGCATGTGAAGTTCCGTAGATCGGCCGTTATGAGAACTCGATGAATATGCCGGCAGACGCGATGGGAAATCCAGGGGCCAATCATATAGCATTAGCATGCTTTATGGTTGCTTCGGGATGCTGTTGTGTGGCTGTCCAGTATTATTACTATGCCCATTAATGATTGTGGAAAGAACCGATCCCCGCAAGCGAACGTTAAGCATCTGCTGTACTGGGCAGAGCTGTAGTTCAGGGCTAGGGTCCCATCCAGAGATATCCTATCAGTCACTATGGAGCGCTGTCATGATTAGCTATATCTTCTAACCAAATCCTTCATATCACCCAGGACCCTGTATTCTCATTAGTCGCTCAAATCAGCTCAGTGGTTATTGTTCAGAGACACATACTGCTTCCTAAGCGCCCAGTTGTCAGGGAATAGAGCGGATACATGAGTGTTGAAGCGCCTGTCAACACATGAGCAATGACTTGCTGTTGACTTTTCCAGTGGATCACCTACAGTTTATAAAGGTCTAAGCGTCCATCATAATCCTCCTCGGGCGAAGACTTAGGCACATATTCGTGGTACGCAGACAAATACTCGTCGCCAAAGCGATTGCACGTTGGTCGCCATTGGCCAAATTCATCTGCATAAAAAACCAACACGGTAAGTACAGAACTTCCGCATGAGAGTTGCTAAAAGCCAATCATAGAACTCACATTCATTATGCGCGTAAAAGCAACAAGCATCAAACACAACAGGTGTCCCTGTCTTGACATCGATTCCCGAATTCGCATACCACAAATCCCCATGAACGAGGGACGGTTTCACCGATCGCCCATCACTCTCGAGCGGACGAAGCAGACGAGGTATGACTTTATCAAAGATAACCGGCACTAACACGTCAAATTCAGGATCGTGCCCTTTTACTTGTATCTCCAATTCCAAGGCCTTCTTCAGGCTCTTCGAAAAGAATACTTCCCAGCTTTCTTCCCAATCTGTAAACTGGGCGAGATTCCCACTGTATGTAGGAACGTGGAAGCCGAATTTTCCATTTGGGGATTTGCTCTTCTGGTGAAGTGTCGCTAGACATCCGCCGAAGTCGTGCGGATCTGGCATTTCGTGCCTCATCTCCCGATACTCGGATAGGAAGAAATGTGTACCTGGTACATCGCGGTATGTGCCCCAGGCAATGGGCCTGGGTACAAAGTCAGATGATGTGGCGTGGATTGCTTTCATCGACTCAAATTCGCCGTGGACGATATTCCTTCCTGTTTCTCCTGGTAGGACCTTTATGAAGAAGGACGACGGGGTTCCATCTGCCAGCTCGACGTCTATGCGACCGGTGCTAGCGAAGAAGCTGGTGCCATGGGGCTTGACGGTGTGTATTCGACAGTCTTTAGGGAGTGCTTTGTGTTGTTAATGGTGTTGTCATATTATAGCTGTTCAATTCCATAGATTACCTGATAGAATACTCGGATCAAGTTCAGTACTTATCCTTGTTGGTTCTGAACTGCTATTGGCATTACAGCTCATGCTCTTCGATGCGCCCGTGGATGAATACTTAGGAGAAGCGTCTTGGCTGACTGGAGTAAGATAGTAGAGAGTAAAATAATAATATATTAGTTACGCAGCAGACCTTGACTGAGGGGACCCAACTGAATGAGTGTATAATTTCTTCCACGGAAACACGTCTTTGCAATCAGTAAGTTAGAAGCAAAATCTAAGTAACTATACCTAGCGACCCGCTTCGGCGGGGCAATATGGCAAGACGGTTGGTACATAACTTGAGAACATTATAATATTGGGTACAAGTAGTCGTTTATAATATAAAAAAAAGAAAAATCGAAATATCCTGGAAAATAAGGAATATCCCGACTTTATCACCAACAGGAAGTCTACGGCGCCACCATCAGTCGCAGACTCGCAGAAGGCATCTGGGCGGTGCGCACGGGCCATATACAATCTTCGGTACTATCGATAACGAAAGCCTTGTCGGAGATATAAGTACCTCACTCTTCACACCTTTGCCCCCGACATTCAGTGCACATTAAGGAACAATTCACGGAGAAACAAAACGCAATATGGAATCTAAAACAAATCCTCCAGTTAACGTCCTCTTTGTCTGCCTTGGGAACATCTGTAAGTCGTATTCCCCCGCTCACTGACATACTTGCACACCGGAGAAAGAAAGAGGTCGATATCGATCCCGTTTTCAAGATGAAGCTAGCTAACATATATCCTCAACCAGGTCGTTCCCCTATGGCCCATGCTGTCTTCGAGAAACTCGCAGCTCAACATCCCTCTCTAATCGGCGGGATTGACTCTGCCGGTACAGGCGCCTACCACGCTCTCGACCCCCCGGATCCCCGCACCATGTCCACCCTGCGCCGCCATGGCATCACGGACTTCCAGCACGCCGCGCGCATGATCACAAAGGACGATTTCCGCCATTTCGACTACATCCTCGCCATGGACAAGTATAACCTGCGTGACCTGCAGCGGGTGCGCGACAGTATTGTCGGCTCGAAGGACCCGAGCGTCGCCGCCCGGTCTGCGGGCATGAAGACTACGCGCGCCTCAACTGCTGCTGCTGCTGGAGGCGCTGATACGGACAAAGTCGCGGAGGTTCGCTTGTTCGGTGACTTTTTACCTAACGGGGAAGTCCATAGCAAGATTGGCGGTGGCGAGGAGGTGCAGGATCCGTATTATGGTGGCCAGAATGGCTTTCAGGAGGTATATGGCCAGGTAACGAGATTCTCGCAGGGTTTCATCGAGTATTTGGAGAAGAAGGCGGCTGGACAGGAGTCATGAGCGTATCATGCTTTGTTTTACTCCTTTATACACCCGTCGCTGATTTTAAGCTTACAAGGGAGGTTGGTCACTTGAAGCCGTTGATGTTGCAGATACCCAAAGATTTTAGATAGGCTCGCCCCCATCAATACGATGCATGGATGGTTGAGTCCCCACAAAAGTACTGATAGATGGTGTCGTTTTCTTTTATACACAGATTCATAAAATTAAGAGCTTCAACTCGGAAGGAAATTCGAACAAGACAGCCTAGCGTATCAGACAAATTTGGGTTCATTCCATTAAGTCCAACAGTATGCACTACAACTGCAGAGAAGATTCTGCTTCAGACGTGCCTGCAAACAGAATGAACGGGTTCCTCCAACGATAGAGCCCGCATTTCATAGTTGATTGAACTTCCAGAAAGTGACACCTCGCTCAAAGGTCCCTTAGATTCTCCCGACGACAAAGGAAAGGACCTATCATACAATACAATATCTCGACGATTCACACAACGCTAACTCTTATATTTTTTCGCTGATCATAATGGCACCTCTGCATCCGTAACGAATTATATTGACCAAGGGATCGTACGGCTTGGCTTCCTTGGCATCATTCTCCACGGCATGGTCGAGATGTTCGAGCTCCTCGTCACGAATTCTCCGAAGCTGCGCCAGCAGATCCGTGATCTCCTCGTCAAGCTCTTCACCGCGGCTTTCTGCCTCTGCCACCCAGGAAAGAATTTCGCGAACCTGCTCGTTGTAGTGTGACCCGATTTCCGTCTCCACGGCCTCTGTGCAAGCCATTGCAGCCTCACGACCCATGACCCCAGTCGACCATCCCAGGAAAGTGGCCGCCATCTCCCAGATGGGATACATTGCTGTGGGCCGGACCTGGTGCTTCGCGATCAGGTTGTTGAAAATCGAGAAGTGGCCAGCTTCTTGGTCATACATGTGCTTCATCAGAGGTCGCAAGTGAGGATAGGAACGCACGACTTGGGGCGTCTGTGCCTTATAAATAAGGGTGGCAGCTAGCTCTCCGGCCTGGTTGACTCGCAGTGCGCTATCCAGGAATTCCCGCTGTCTCTTATTCAGGATATATCTCGGCTTGCCGCTCGAGCTGGCGGGCCCTGGCTGCGAATTCTGCGCATCGCTAGAGGAGGAGGAGGACGATGAGGACGATGAGGACGACCACCAGAACTGCCGCCGGGACTGAGGTTGCTGCACTGCTCGCGGAGCTAGGAAATCGAGCACTAGCGGGGATGTTGAACTGAGAGCTCGGGAACCAGGTCGCAGAGCGGATCTGCGGAGGACTGAGAATCCGTCCATCTTCAGCAATTGGATGTCTGTATGGGGATAGTAGAATGAGGATAGAAATGAGGAACCTTGGTAGCTAACAGGCAAGCGAGACCTCCGATGATCGATCGCCTTGGAGCTCCGAGCTGTTCCACGCGGGTTCGCGGCGGCTCCGGCAGCCGCGCGCTTGCTCGGGTCTTGGCAGGAGCAGCGCGGTCTGGCTGGACGTCATGAACGGAACGTGGCCGGTGCCGCTGCCGACTTTATTCACTCCTCCATTGACCTCGTCTGCCAGCCACCCAGTCACTCACGCCCTTTGTTCTGGGGGTTTGACTCTTCTTTGTTATATTGCGATCTCTATTTGATCATCTATAAGTTCGCTTTTTATATCTAGGATATCTGTACGAGTTTTACAGGGCGTGAGGCACTGCGCGCTATTCAGTAGGCGCTTTTCACAGCGCCATTTCTATCCCCCAAGTCCTATTTGACTATTATACCAGAGCGCGGCCTGCAATTATACGGCATTGTTTCCTGTTTGAGGTGACGCGCGGAGAAACTCGAGACCTCAGGCAGCCAGTTTAACATTCACCATGGCGGACTCCGACTTGGACGCTGAGCTGCTCGCTCTTGCGGGCGACTCCTCTGACGAGGAGTCTTCTCACGCTCAAAAGCCCAAGTCTGCATCTCCCCCTCCTCGTCAATCTTCATCATCGCCACAACGCTCCCCGGAACCAGCACCCGCCATGGGGCGCAAAGGCACTGCCAAACCGGTCAAGCGGTCCAGAAAAGCGAGGAGAGACGACGCTGAGGACGGTGAACTGTAAGTGTTGCTTCACAGGTCGCTGTCATTCTGCTGTTACCTGGTCCTCGGAGTGTCCTGACTGGTATACCAATCTAGGTCTTCCGCTGAATCCCATAACTCGCTCCAGTCAGCCAGCATGTCCGAATCGGACTCTGAAGGCGAGGCTTCACCGCCCCCTGAGACTGACGAAGGGCCAATTTTCCCCTACGAGAAGCTCTATTATTCCGCGAAGGACAAGGAAGAGATCATGGCCATGTCTGAAATCCAACGTGAAGAGATCCTATCAGAGCGTGCTCAGCAGGTTGATCGTCATAATCAAGATCTTGCTCTCCGTCGCCTTTTAGCGAGCCGGGAGCGCGAGGAAGCACGTGCGCAGGCAAAGAAGAACAAGCGCAAGGCGAGCAACGCTGATTTGGATGAGGGGCATCGTAAGAGTTCGCGCCAAAAGACAACTCTGGGTGGACGCAAAGTAGGAGAAACATCCGATGCTATTGAGGCCTACAAGAGACAGCGGGAGCAAAAGGGCAAGCGGGACGAACTTCGTCGACGGGATGCCGCTACCAGGAAGTCGGACCGCAGAAGTCGCTCTCGCGATGGTGGCATTTCTGACGAAGACGCCGACGGCGAGAGTGAAGTGGAGTGGGATGACAGGGCTGATCGTTCGCCAACTCCTCCAAAGGATGACCCTCCTGCAGAACTCAGAGACCTTCAGCGCGTCCGTGTGGGACGTAGCAACTTTGCACAGGTTTGCTTCTATCCAGGATTTGACGACGCCATTTCTGGCTGTTATACCCGTGTCAACATTGGCCCCAATCGCGAGACCGGCCTGAACGAGTACCGCGTGTGCTTGATCAAGAGTATGTATTCTCCACACCTTTTGTGCTCTGGCTATGTACTAACATCACCTCAGAGTTTACCGAGGGCAAACCTTATGCAATGGAAGGCACCAACGGACGTACTTTCGCTACGAACCAGTATGCTGTTCTGGCACATGGCAAGGCAGAGCGAGAGTTCCCTTTCATTGCATGCTCTGACTCGCCCTTTACTGAGGTTCGTCTTAAGCTCGTGCTGCACCTGTAATAGATGTATTCTGACTATCGCAGGCTGAGTTCAACCGTTACCGCCAGACGATGGCCGTTGAAGATTGCAAGATGCCGACGAAATCGATGCTGGCTGCCAAGGTGTCCGATATCAACAGGCTCATCAATCATAAGTTCACCACTGAAGAACTAAACGAGAAACTCCGCAAGCAAGGTGCCTTCGATGTCAAAGGCATGACATTCCGCCGCATTGAATTGGAGAAGCAACTGAAAAGCGCCATGGCTTCTGGAGACGAGGCGGAGATCGCAAAGATTGAAGCCGAAATCAGGGAACTTACTGGACCGAAACTGATCTCCGGCTCCGCTCCGAGGCCGCAGACGCAGAAGCAAAGCGAACAACAGCGTCTCTTCGAACTCAACCTGCGGAATCAGAAGCTTAACACCGAGAATGTTCGTCGCGCTCAGATTGAAGAAAAGAAAGCTAGCCGCAAAATGGCTGCTGCCGTCGCTCGTGGTGAAGCTGTGGTTGATCGATTCGCTCGTGTTAAAACGAAAGCCAAAACTCATTACGATGTCACTGGCAATAACCGTCTTGTTCCGAAGAAGGATGATCTTTTCGAAGGCAGTGATCTCAGCCACACTGGCACCCCAGTCCCCGGATCTGACGCATCGAAAGTCAACACCCCAAAGCGCAGTGATACCCCGAGTGGTACTCAGAAGAGGCCTTCCAAGGGAGGCGTTGTCATCCGTCACAAGAACATGGACGACGAAAACATTGCTGCTTTGGACTTGGACATCGACATTGAAATTTGAATTTGCATTGTATCATAGCGGAGGAATATGGGGCGTTTGAGGATGGGATTGAATCAAAGCCAGCCCACGTCTGGGACGTGAGCACAAGAACTGTTAGGGCGATATACCCTCTAAGGCTCGAGATGTTGAAGTGCCGACCAGTTCTCTTCTAGCGAGATCATAAAGCATTTAATTCGACGTTCCGAAAGTGATGGGCTTGTTTTATGTGGCTACGGAATCACTTTATTCAGTTACTGTCTGGCCCGGAAGATTCTTTCTAGATATGTCAAATAGGACATAAAATAAAATAGTGTATCTTGCAAAAGTCATTAACGACTTACCTGAGAAATTCGCTCGTGCACTCTGTAGAAGCACCTTGGCAATGGACTTGCTGTTCTGCGTGCTAGTCTATGTTGGTTTCTGGCATGTAGGTACCACTATAACAACATTTGTGAATACAATGTCTCCGTCTATAACACCTTACACAGCCGCCTCTAATACCAATTATTTCATGAAAGATCCCTCTAATAGCTACATAATGGACTCGCAATACTGTGGTTGTTATCCCTGTAATCACGTGTGTCGCGAAAGCGCTCTGTCTACTTTTGGATTAGCGCGTAATGCCCAAACGCCAACGCGTGCTCCGCGAGTCGCGTCTTCCATAGTATCGAGTGGGCGGGCCAGCATACCTCCCAGCTATCCAAATACCCTCCACATCTGCCCTTCATATCTTCAGGGCAAGACTGACTTGACTTATTCATACCTTCCCAGAAACCTATAACCCGTTATGTTTCTCATGAATTGAATTCATTTTACCATAAAGTAACTAATTACTGTGTTATGGCTTCCCCGTCTACGCCGCGCTCGACGCGCTCCGCGTCTCCAGCGAACGTCGCCTCTAATGAAGGCTCTCCTGCGATTTTGACGCCGGGAAGGAAAATTAAGGCTATGCTTGCAGCCTTTGATGATAGCGATTCCGATTATGACAATGGAAAATCTACAATGCGGACATCCCTTCCAAAACTGAACTTGAATACAGAGACGCCGCGACGCAACCAGGTATTGGACAAAGAGGAGGATGATGATGATGATGATGATGAAGAGGAGGTTATCATTAAACCCAAGGGCCGCATGGCTGCTCGGATGCAAGTGCAAGAGCAGACAGGTAATGAGACGACATCGAAGGATGGAGATGAGACGGCATACCAGCGAGTAGCACGAAACTTGCAAGAGAACACAGAGACGAGAGAAGTCTCAGAAGAAAACGAGGCCATATCGTCCGACGATGATCTTCCCACAGCCGGCCCTAGGAGAGGACTACGGAAAGCAGCTCAGAACTCGGAAATCGACGATCAGGCACGATCGCCTTCCCCTGCTCGATCCTTTTCTCCTCTCTTTGTATCCTCACCGGCTAAAGGACAGGAAGAATCAGAGAATGAGGATGCAGCTATCGATGCAGGAGAGAATGGGAAGTCTAAATCAAATAGCCGCTTCTTGGCGCTGGTCGCTCAGAAGCGAAAGGAGAGAGAAGAGAAGGAGCGCCTCGAAGCTGAGAAAAAAGCAGCTAGGCTGGAGAAGATGAAGCAGTTCAGTTCTGATATTTTATCAGGCGAGGACAGCGACGATGGCACCGGACAGCGATTGTCCCAGAAACCTCGTCCTGCTCGCAAAGCTAGCAAAAAGGCCCTGGAGGAGATGAACCGAGAGACGCAGAGAATCAGCAGAAATATGCAGCTTGCACACGAAGCACGAACTAAAAAGAAGATCACCAAAGAGAGCTTCTTTGCTCGATTCAACTTCATGCAGCCGCAGGGCCAAGATGAGTCCACCCACGCACAGGATAACTCTTCCACGACCGCTGGCTCTCAGCATTCTTCCGACGTCGAAGCGCAGAAGGACAAGACAACTCCGCCAACATCGCCAGCCCGAGCACCGTCGCCAGATAAACCGGCTGATGCCGCAACTTCTGAGCAGGCGAATCAGTCTCAGCTGGCGGAACGGGAGGTTACTAATTATGAAGCAGAACTCCCTTCTGTGGAAGAACTCCTTACGCAGCCACTCCCATCCCAGGAGCCCACTCTTATTGCACAGGCTATGGTCCAGGCAGAAGAAAGTAAGCCAGAGCCTACAAAGAAGGATACAAAACCACTCCGACGAGCCCTTACAAAGCCTCCTGTTCGTGTGCAGTTATCTCGACAATTTGTAGCCGAACACCAGAAGGATGACTCCGACGATGACCTTGAAGTAATTACGTCACCTGCAAAGACTCGCCGCATTGCTGTCTTTGAAAACCTGCCGTCGAAACAGGCCCAAGAATCGGCCTCTATGCTTAAACTCAAGGCCCTGGCTCACTTGACCTCACCCACTCGTCGGAGTACGTCAATGTCCCCAGCGGAGCTGTCCGCTGTCCTGCGTATCCAGGCACGACAGCAGGCTGCAAAGGAGAGGGCTGAGAGGATCGAAGAGCTGCGAGCGAAGGGAATCCATATCGAGACAGCTGAGGAACGTGCCGCAATGGATGCTGAGGTTGAAGATCTGGTGGAAAAGGCAAGAAAGGAAGCGGATGAAATCAGAAAACAAGAGCGGGAGGCATCAAAGGCCGGCAAGCCCAAAACTATCGAACTTGATAGCGAAGAGGACGAAGACTACGAATTTTCAGACGAAGATGATGATGGGGAAGCGGAAGACGAGGAAGAGGAAGATGCAGATGATGAAAATCTTGTTGAAAATGAAGCTGGAGAAGCCGGGGAATCCGAGGAGTCTGAAGAAGAACCAATGGAGGAGGATGACTCGGACGTTGAAATGGAAGCTACCGTCTCAACCCGAAGAAAGCGTCCTCTGAGAGTCGTCAGTGATGATGAAGATGAAGAGCAAGAACCGGCGACTCCTGCGAGAACCGTCACACAACGTCCAGAATCCATCAAGAAACCTACTTTCCCGGACATGCCAAATTCCAACGACTTCACCATGGGTCTAAGTCAAGCATTTGCAGCTACATTAGGCGGTAGCCAGTCTGAGAATCAACAGGAGTCGCCTGCAATCCTCGGCAGTCTCCCAGACCCTGCTGGAGCTTCAGCTGGAGTCCAGGAAACGGATCCTGAAGTACTCGTGAAGGACAGTCAGGGACGAAGAGAATCTGTTGACATTCTTCACGGCTTGACCCAATCTCAAACTCGCATTTCGGAATCTCCTGGTCCGAAGATATTCTCGCAATATTCTCAGATACCAGATCCGACCCAAGATGAAGGATTTGTGATGTCACCATTCGACCAGTCTAAACGCTTTGTTGAACCCCCAGTGTCGACTGTTGAGACAGTTCTCCTACCTCGGGATGAATCGCCAGTCGCAAAGAAAAGCAGGGTTCTACGACGTGGACACCGTGCTGAAACTGTGGATGCTGATGACAACGGTTTTGAGATTGAGGCGAGCGCTTTCGACGTCATGCGGAAGGCAGCAAAGAAAAAGAAAGAAGCTGTTCTGTTTGACAAGAACAAGTCCAAGGCAAAGGAAATTGTGGATGAAGTAGCGGAGGAGTCTGAGGATGAATACGCCGGTTTAGGAGGTGCAAGCGATGATGAAGACGCGGGTGAAGAAGACGAGTACGATCGGGACATGATCAATGACAACAGCGGTGAAGTTGTCGATGAGAAAGAGCTGGCTGCACTCAACGCGTACGTTTTGCATTTTCTTATCATGAATGGTTATATACTGACTTGCTTTCAGGAACCACCAGCGTGCTATGGACGAGAAACAGGTCTCCAAGCTGCTGAGGGATATCACCACTGGTGCTCTTCGCCGTCGGCGTGCTGCAGATGACGAGTTCGATCTGGATGATTCCGACGACGAGTTGATGGCCCGTCGACGTGCCAAACAGAGGGAGTTCGCCAAGATGCGTAAAGCTCTTCTGGCTGACGAGAAAATCGGAGAGATAGCGGAGAATCCGAAGAAGGCAGCCTTCTTCAAGGCAATCGAGGACCGTGATCAAGATGACGATATGGACCTGGACTTCCTCGACGAGCATACTGACTCGCGGGAGCACGATTCCTCTCAGGATGTCCAAGCAGAACCCGCTTATGACGAGCCTGCCACAGCAGGAAGCAAGCGGAAGAGACCACTCGAGCCCTCCGCAGCTGATATCGCTAATCGCCCTCCGCCTCACCTCCGTCGCACTCCGGCTAATGCTGTCTCAAGGAAGCCATCGACCCTGGCTGAGATCCGGGAGACTGTTTCATTCCTCACAGAGACCCCGGAGTACGACTCTTTCCATGAGGACGCCTCAATAGAGGAGGAGGAGGATGAGCAAGAAATCAACGAGGTGACGGATTCGACAGCCGATGAAGAAGATGGTCGGATTTCTCAGGATGGATTTGCAATCCCCCGAAACCCTCGTCGCACTCGCGGTCCTGTAGTAGATCGCCTTTCTCTACTGCGCCAGGCATCATCCAATTCTGCATCTTCCGCCAACAGCAAGCTGGCCTTCCAGTCAGCATCTGCAGTCGACCCGGTTTCTAAGATTGGTTTCCGACTTCCTGCATTATTGCGCCGCTCCACCACCGGCTCTTCAACTACATCGACATCATCGGTATCCTCAGGTTCTAATTCCTCGCGGACAAAGACTGGCCCGGTTCCTGCTGCTGCGCACGGGAAGAAGGGAGCTGTGAACTATTACACAGCTGCCCGAGAACGAGAAAGAGAGAAGGAACTGAGAATGAAGCAGAGAGGCAGTGGCTCGAATATCAATGCGCTCTTGATCAAACACGCTGGCGGTTCTCTAGGATCACTCGTCGGGAAGGGACAATGGGAGTGAAGGACCTCTGGGAATTTAATGATGGAATTATACCCGCGAGAAGTTGTCATGAATTTTCACGGACCGGCTCTGTACTCATTGGATACGGCGTTTTATCAATTTGGCGTTGTGCGAATATAGTTCTATAGTTAAGGGTAACTTGGATGAGTAGTAGTGTTGAAATACAACAACATGCTGCAGTATAATTGATTGGTCTCTCCAAACTAAATAAAATGAGAATGACACTCAGAGAGGGTGTCAATAGAGCGACAGTCACGAATAACAGCTTCGATAATATCCAAATGCTTTTGTTCAGTGGAACCCCAGTCCCAGCTTTTAACCGACCGAACTGCTTCCTCGACCCTCTTTTGAAAATCCTCCTCACTTTCCTGACTTTCATCATAGTCATATGAATCCTGAAAAATAAAGTAGCTTATAAAGCAAACAAGATCTGACTCCACTTTGAGCCTGTTGATATCGCCAACTGGACACTTGAGAAGATAGCATATCAAGGACAACATATAATTTGGAGGTTTAGGTGTCAAAATTTTTTGATTCAAGTCGAAGGTAGATATGACCTCCACTGTATCCTCGAGAGTAAGACCGACGAACGAGAGAGGGTACAGATGTATCGTCATTGGGAAGCGATAATATTCGCCATTTATATTGTGTATGAGTGCCTTTGTCTCCCATTCTCCTCTAGATGCAAGTAGTTCAGAAGGAGGGGCCAAGGGAAATCCGTGGTCTAAGAGCGTTCGAGACGCGAGCGATAATTGATCGTCAGGCACGATCCACTCAACAGTCTAGAGGCTCATAAGTCAGAACATCAGTTTTGAGGTTGAATATATGTTTCTCAAACGTTACCTGAAGTACCACTGGGCAGCCGATACGGTGCATCAGCTGTTGTCCATACTCAACAATCATGATGTCTCTGTCCCGAAGACATTTTGCGGCCTCGGCGATAAGCTCCCGATCTCCTTTGAAGGGTCGCGGAGACTTGCGAGGTGGAGTGTTGCTGTGTTGCGGAGACTCCATTGTGAGATATAAACGCTGGTCAAGACCGGACTGATTCGAAGTGCATGTAATCAGGATGAAGATTTAGATATGGTAAAACTGCTAAAATCTTTGGTTCAAAGTGCCACAGCTGGATGAGCGAGACGACATCTACTCGCATTATCATTGCAAGTGTAAACAGCGCCGACCTAGTAGGTTATCGTAGGGACTAATTATTTCCTATTCCTCCCAGCTCGCATAGTGAAGTCTTCCCGTGAAGGCCCACGCCTTGCCTTTCGGATTCATCGCGTACCCCCTCCTCGGGCATAAAAAGGCGTCTCTGCCCCCTTCCTCTTTGTCTTCCTTTCTCCTCCTCGCGCATAATGGGCCGGCTGTATCACTCCTTTATGGCCTGGGCCCAGTGTGCTGGCTTTTCTTAGTGCATTCTTCAATCCCACTTCATGTATAGAACATTGGCATTTATTCAGTAACAAATTCTATATTGAGGTATAAATATTTCTTAAGGTGGCTTGCATCGTCCGATTCGTAATCATCATTGCTTTTCTTCTTTATTTAATAAAAGAAGCCTCGAAGCTGTTCCAGCTGATATTGGGTGAAGTACTTCGGAGGAATCATGAGTTTTTTTTCAGCATGACATCCAGCAACAAGTTGATCATCAAAGGTTGTCAGTTAATTCCTCGTTTCTTTCGTTCTTTTTGACCAATAAGTGTGACAATATTTGCTAACTTATTGCTTTTCAGGGGTTACAGGGACTGAAATTTGCAGTCGAACTGCTTCGAGGTGGAAGCGACGAGCAGCTGAAATTACCCAATGCGAGTTCTGTACCAGTGGATGCAAATTTCTGACAAATGACGCGGGCGAGGGTTATGGAGATATATAAAGTTCGTCTAAAGTTCCTCTATCACTTTCTTTTTGATTCACATGAAAGTTTCGAGTCCCAATTCTACATTCGTCGGCTCTTGTTCTGACAAAGCTAGAAAGGTGGATGCATATCGCAGGGTCTACGCGTCCTCGGAGCATTACCAGGGCCAGCGATGACTTAGAAGACATTAGAGTCATTTGATGGCTTTAAGCCAGTCGACCAAAAAGAAGAACTCCTCGTTAGTCTGACCTGGATCTGAGACCATTCTTTGCTAGTTATGGTGAAAACGGAAGTGCCTTTGCCGGGCACACTGGATATGACATTGACAGTTAACTCGCCGCAACGCAAGTTATTCAAGATGGAAGGAGGAACTCGGACCGACGCTATTCGCCTACTGCAGAGCCTCGGGGGGATGTTTAATGCAACCTGACCAGCAATTTGCGTTAGTTATGGGTGTTAGGAATATTCTAATCAATTTGGGGCCTATCAAGAGAAGCCCAAGGGCGAACTGTTCCCGGGCATCTGCTTGCTATGTGCAAAAAAAAAATCGTGAGGTTCAGCCTCTGCTTGAGACAATGATGGAGAAGGAGAACTTTGCCATGGTTGAGAATTGAGATGAGCAGGACTCAGGAAACGGACAGGGGAAAGTCTGAGGCGGATATAATTAAGCAACTCTGGAGGGGAAATGGATCATAACCATTGGCACATGTTTGTGCTCAGTCCCTGTCAACAGCATATGCCTCCAACTTGGGAAGCAATTCCTCCAAAGTCGATATTTTAGCAGCGTCATCGGGGCCCTCGTTGTTATCACGAAGGAGAAGAAAGCTCTTCCAACCCGCATTCAGAGCGCCCTTATAATCTTGCTCATAGTTGTCACCAACATGCACACAGGTCCAGTCATCCGTATTAGTTGCTTCTGCAGACACGCCCAGAAACGATGATGCTTGCCTCTTGGCGACCTGAAATATTAGCGGATGCGGTTTTTCTTCACCTGCCTCGTAGCTCGTAATAATCATGTTGATATCGTTGTACTGTGAACTATCTGAAGACGAGCCTTCTACGCCCTCTTCGAAGCCCGGCAGTTCCATACTAGATCTACCCTGGTCTGCACGAACATTCCCGACTTTCAGTCCCAATGACTTCAGAACGGCAGGTACGCGATCGTCTGAATTGGAGATTACTCCAACCACTGTCCGTGAGAATAATCCATGTTTATCATTCCCGCTAGTGTTCCGTAGAGCTCTTAATCGTTCAAAGAAGGGCTCCACATCCGGGTATAGCGCATACCCCTCCTTGCTAGCGAAGCGATCGAGAAGACTCTCAACCAACCCGTCCGGAAGCTGGACCTCCTCCTCATTATTATGTACACCCCCAAGGCTGTGACCATCTGCTCTGATGACACGAGTAAAACTACCTTTTATGACCTCTCCCCACCATTGTCGCGGGCCTCCGTAGCGACCGTTGAGGACTTCCTGCCTTCCATAGTTCGGCCAGCGCTTGCTCTGCGCCTTGTATGTCTCTTTGAACGCTGTCTTGATTTTCGAAGGAGTGACGACGCTAGGTGATAGTCCAAACGAATGAGCCGTTGAAGCGTATTGTTCTGGGACCGCAGGACGCGGGTGGAAGACTGTCGAGAAAGCGTCAAAGGTAAGAAGGAGAGTCCGGCTTCCGTTCGAAGTCGTGAGAGTCATTGAGTGTTTATCCGGTTCCGTGACTTCGTGAGGAAGAATCAGAGTGGGGTTGTTGCGCGAGAAGCAGCGAAACTGAAGTTGATCGATTGAAATTCTGATATGTCTCTTTCAGTTGACGTCGAGAAATTGAGAGTCCTGTTAGTTTCCGCTAAGATAAAGCTACCTTGGTCCGTGCTACGTCTCACTATGATTTAGCTTATGGCCCGACTTGAGAGTCTAACCCGCCTTGAGTTACTCTGTATCACTTACTGCTATTCTATATAAAAGATTTCTGGCCTGTTTGCCGATTCATCCTTTGACGCCCGAATTCGCTTGAAAATAGACTGCTACGGACTTCACGCTACCGGGATGTAATATTCAGTGAGGTCACTACTATGTTGTATGCAGAAGACCTGACCTTGACGGGTCGATATCAAGATATACTGTAGATTCTTATCATCTGGATCTTGGTCGCGATGTTCTCAGAGTGGCATTCGACATCCGGCATCGATCCGTAATCTATCCTAGGATCAGGATGTGGAGGATTTTGGTAATTTCGCGCACCTTATTTCCATGTGCTCTGGCTATTCAATGTTGATATATAGAAGCACCTGAGTACGGGACTACCAGGATGAGTTCTGTAGAATTCAATAGAGCAAATTGGATCCGGCTATATGTGACTGACGGAAGTACTGTACATAGTACGTACAAACGTGCGTAACGCATCTTGTAGTTTCTCCATGATGACATGGATCTTCTAGATGCAGACAATTTGTACGAGGGTACTATACTAACGCAATGGTGTTGTTGATGCGATATAGAGTACTACTTATGCCATGCCATAGTTGAACGCCGATTACCTGGATGGGTAAGGGTTTACGAAGGTGCCACGAAGCCAGACGCGCAGTTAGTGGAACACCAAATCTGGTTAAATCGCGAGGCAAAGCTCACTACCTATGTAGTAGTATGCACTGATAAGGCTCCACCAGATTTATAACTAGCTGAAGATCTTAAGCAACACGATGTAACCTCAGATCCTCGGAAAAAAGCCCAACGGCGTGGATGTCTTTGTTAGTCAGCGTGTGTTACAATGTCCTTTTTTGGCGGACGCGCCGCATCGGCCCGCCAATCGATACTTATCGCCTCTCTTTCTCTCATTTTCTGTTCTTTCTTTGTTTCTCGATATCTCGTCCTAACGTGTCCCATATCAAAATGGTCCCGTCCAGCGTCTCAGAGCATATGCCTTCATAGAACCATGCTGTCCTTACTGGGCTTGATGGTCCATCTAGCGCTCCTGGTGGCCATAGCAGGAGCGCTGTCGCCGACCCCAGACTCATATGGCTCGTCGCAGTCGCAAAGGCTAAGATATGCCAACCATATCTTCAATGCGATCCACTCTTCCATGCGACAATGGGGTTCTTCGCTGAATCACAATGGAATGTCTTTCTTTTGGGCCACGGTTCCAGAGGGAACGGAATTGTATCATGGAACCCATCAACCGGAGCCAGTCAACGGCACAGAGTGGCTTGCCTTCGAGCCAGAGCATGCGATGCTCTTCGCAGGCCCAAGGCCCAAGGGGTTTAAACCACCACATTTTCCAGGACAGCCAGGCGATATGCCTATGGAAAGAGACCCACTGTTCTCTAACGAACAGTCAGTCTTATCAGATTCGGAGTTGGAGGAGAGGCAGATCGAGGAAGATGAACGTCCTCCACCCATGGACTTGGAACAGGGCTGGCTCCACACATATGCGGCGATTAAGGATCTGCGTCTTCTCTATATCGATGGCATGTCAGCTGCAAAGTCTGACAAGGGCGTCTACGACACGCAAGATCGGATCTTGCTCAATGACACGGTCGGCGGGCCCGGTTTCCTAGAATACGTTCGCGCTCAGGCCATTTGCAAGCTAGCGCAGGAGCGATGGGATGACCGTATCGACGGAGTCATCCGGATGGAATCCGGCTTTGAGATCATTCTGTGCAACTTCCAGCGGGATCTGGAAGTGGTCAGAATCACTCGCGCGAAGAAATACGGTGCCGATAGGTTCACGCCGGGATTCGGGCTACCTCATGTGCCAGAGGATATGTTCCGGTTTTACAAAGCCATAGCGGATCGATATCATGGAATAGGAGGTCACCGTGTGCGACTCAACTATGACAATTTCGTCACGGCGTTCTCTTACGATCTCGACCTCTTCCGGAGTGGTGACTTGCCACGGTTAGCCAATCTATCAACGACGTCGCTGGAGCCGATGAGGAAAGACCTTGTTGATCTCGTGATGAAGCATGATCCTACTGAAAAATCATTTGACTGGCAGGGAGTGGTCGATATGATCGTTCAACGTTATTCCAACGAGCTGAAATATCTTGTCTCGGAAGATCTCTCCACCTCGAGACTCCTGCATAGAGAGCTAGATCGCATCTTGCGTGGATTCATTGATTTCGATTACCGGAACACGACTGCCGAGATCGAAAGATGCGCAACCCAGTTTATTCCAAAGAAGGCCCCAAGGAATACGCTCGCCGGAGAAGTTGTCTATCATGTGTCACACAAGATTTGCTCAACACTCTTTTACGCTCTTGAAGAGCACGACCGCAAAGCTGCTGTCGAGTCGATCAATGACCTTGTTTCTTATCTCTCGTGGACTACATGGAAAGAGTGCAATTGCTGCGCACCTAATGAGGTCTGTTTCATTCCTATATGGCCGGTCGGAACTTATGAGGACCGGGAACATCCTCGCTGTCGGGGAGAGATGCCTCCTCCTCCCAGAGAAGAAGAGAGGTACTGGGAGCTACCACCGCGGCCACATAAACGGAGACCACATCGAGAGAGCTCCTCATAAGCCTTTGCGTGTATTACTAATAAATAAAGATATCCCTTTACAGTATTTCTTGTTGGTTGCTACTGGTTTCATTGGAATCTTTGGCGCGAGATTATTACGGGGTCAAGGACTGTTTTTATATACTGTCTAGCGAGCGAACTTTTAACGATGGGACTGTTTGATCGTATATATTTCTTGCTCGTCATTCGCCCTCTATACAGTGGATTCAAAGTTGCGACTTCGGGCAAGATACGTCTCATAGCTTCGCTCTTTGCTGTCCTAGCTTCGATGACCTTTCACGAACCGACTTCCAATACTTTTCTTTCAGCGGCAAGACACCAAACGCTATCTCTGCCCATTTATCGTCCCACGGTGGTAACTCATATGCATCACTTTCGGGTGCAGGTGGGCCCGCCAGGTTCACCAAAAAATCAAAATATTCCTTGAAGTCGGGCTTGATCTCGTGAAAATTTGTGGAAGGACCTTTGTACTGCACCCGTTCCACTTCCCACAAATCCTGCTCCTGCAGACTGGGAAGAGGCTTTCCTCTTCCTGCGAAGTATCGTGCCACTGCAACAGCTTGGTACTCATAGACCCGGAAGCTAATTCCTGCACGAACCTGCCCGACTATCGCCAATGATGGATCACCGACCTTGAAGATGTGTTGGTAAAATCCTGCGAGACGGTTGTTCGGTGTGACAGGATCGGGTGTAAGGAAGGGATATGACACGCGGAAACCGGTCCCAAAAATGACTTTATCGACATTATCGGCTTTATTTCCGTCCGCGAATTCGACATTGATTCCCGTTGGGGTGGTTTCGATATTCTTGATTTGAGGTTTAACTTCCACATTTGGCAGATCCCATGCTGCCTGCAGCGCTTCGTTCTTCCCGCGTTGCGAGAGATATAGAGGGCCTTTAACAAGATGGTATATCTCTGAAACAATGTCAGCCGCCGAGACATTGCCTCCAACCACAACAACTTTCTTATTGATATAGTCATTCTGCGAACGGTACGATTTGGAGTGTTCAAAGCGGGTTGGATGGGCTTTGGACGCCTCATTCAGTCCAGGCACGTCGGGAATGAAGGGAATGTTGTAATGACCACTGGCGACAACAATGGCATCGAAGTGCTCTTGCCACCAATAGTCCTGAGGCTGGCCGTGACGGAGCTGTCCTGTCCGTCGAAGGGTGACGGTCCATTTGTCACCGACTTTTTCGACCTTCTCGACTGTCGTATTGAACGATACGAGATGCAGATAGTCATGGAACAGATCCTCAAGCCACTGCGCTACCACGCGAAAGGGCCGTGTCGGATTTGAATTGCCGAATCGTTCGATTGACAGAGGAGAATTTGTTTCCGGTAGGGGCGTGTGAGTGAATGCCATGACTTTGGCGCCCACATTGCTATCCAAGCCTTCATAGATACCTGTTCGGGCGGTTGTGTCTTCCGCGGCAGTTGGCGTGAACTGCGGGAACCGAGCTGGGATATCTTTAGCCTTCTGGCTGGTACTATTATCCTCAGGAAAAGGGAATACGTCTGGAACAGGATCATAGTTCCAGGTTCCTCCGACACGATCTCTTCGCTCAAACACGCGAATGGTGTCGAATATCTTTTCTTGGTGTAGAGCTCGAACGGCAGAAAGGCCGGAAGGGCCAGTCCCAATGACGGCGACAGTTCTATAGCGAGGACCCATTGCAACTTATAACACGATAACTTCTTTGGTAAATCCTTTGCGTAACGATATCAAGCAAAATAGAATACGATATACACCCCCAAAGGATCTCGCACCGAAAGAGCTCCCTCATGCGTCCATCCCATATCTTATAAATCCCAACCCAACCACTCCAGCTCCATTGCGCGACGCAGATCCACATTGTCGACATATCTACTAGCATGCAAGACAAATGATCCAGATGCATCGCGAAATACATTGAGAGTAATATAAGTAATATAGATAAGCAATCGACTGCAGCGATTGGAGCGGGGAAGGAAATGATGTTGTACCCGGTGTCCCTGACGTGATCCACCCCGCGTATGAGTCTACGCAGACCTCGAAAGGAGGCCGAATAACTAGTATGTCAGTGCTGATAAATAGGTTTTACATCGTTGATAGAAATGGAATTGAAATCTCAAGCATGTCTTAGGAATAAGGTAGTTTGTTACAGAGGTTCGATAATTTTGATGGATTATGGATTCAATGTGTATCTAACTACCTATGTACATATGTATAGTTGATGATATGTAAAAGAAAAAGAATGCATAATGTGGATTAGGTTAACTAGATTGGACCTGTGGTGTAAGCTGAGCTAAGCTTCACTTTCAATGCAACACCAATGATAGATGATTGAAACTTTCACGGGGATTTGAAGCTATGATCCTGCGTTGTTAAGTCTTAAGAAATGGGTCATGGCACCTTATAGATTGTAGACACTTTATTAGATGGAAATATACAAAGAAATCATATCCACACAACGTCCCTAAAGGTCCTGAATATATATATATTTCCTTTCTTATTTCCGTTTGGCAGAAAGAGACTACTACCAAGTCCTTCAACGCCTGTAAGAGGAAAATGAAAGAGTGCAAACAGAATGACGTAGATCTTGGGGTCGAAACTATTCGCATCGGAAATATGCCATGCCATATTTTGATAGTATTTACTTGCTCGTAGGACTGCCTTTATATCCGCAATCTGCTTCCGCTGGAAGCTTTATCCTATCCTATACTAATGAACCGCTAAGCTTGCTATGGAAAAAAAAAAAAAAAAGATGGCTTTGGCCTATAGTTTTATAGCCAAGTTTAGACCTCTCGTAGTATACGATAAGCAAACGACTCAAGTATTGCACCGTTTTTCTGCTTCCCTCACCCTGGGCCTCGTTTTCTGGCCGCTTTTATTGCCGACTATCTGCCTGCCATTCATCCATCTATGACACGCGATAATCTGTTTCCTTGATTCTCTCCAGCCCGACACGCTATTGCCTTTTCTTTGCCCACTGTCCGATTCTCAGGCTGTTCTGGCTAGTATTGGCAGCGAGGCGATCCGGTCGTCTGAGAACCTAGATAGTTGAGTCCTCAGCGTATCGCCTAGCTTCCTGTCAATAAGAAGTCATGACGCATAGTCCCCAATCATGGGTTAAATACCGCAGCGATGACCGAGAACCGACCGTCCTTTATGATTCGTGAATTTCTTAAAGACGATTTCTCGACAGGCACTTCGAAGCAGTATTATTGAATACCAGGTACTTCTAATCCTTCTAATCCTTCTAGATCTTCTAGATCTTCCTGGCCGAGTTAGTGACTCTTACCAAAAGGATGTGATTTTTTATGGGACTAAATAGATCCATCTACACTTATAAAAGTCCTCAACTCTCAGAGGCTCCCCCCCAAAGATATATCCTGATAGAGATAGGCTACTCTAGTAGATGTCGGATAAATCTTTAAGGGTCCCTCCCCACACGAGGCCGGATTGTGGGGAGAAATGTGGGAACTCCGGTCATCGGACTGCGGCATCCAGCGCTCCCCACGCCACGGATCGTTCATCTCAGCAGACGATGCTCTCTGTCCATCGCCACGGTGTGGGAGATCGGGCTAAAACAATGCCATCTCTTTCCCGGGAGCTTTACCGGGACATCAGACTGGAGCGCGATGCGGGGATTATTTGTTTCGTCACGTCTTAAACGTTCATAATTAAATCGATACCCCTCCTGTTCTTACTGTTTGCTTCTTACGCATTGTATATAAGTTAACACATTTCATCTGCCTGTCTTGTCCCCTAACAAAACATTGAGCAATCGAAATGGGGTCCATCGCAATGGATATATCCAACAAGGACCTTAGAATATGCATCATCGGCGCAGGTATGTCCGCAACTCCACCTTTCCTCTTCGTAGTATATCAATCATGGAACCAAATGAAACTAACTGGTGGTAAGGCATGGGGGGCCTCACGTCTGCGTTGGCCCTTGCAAAGGAGGGCTTTAAGAATATCAATGTCTATGAAACAGCATCCAACCTGGGTTTCGTTGGCGCAGGAATCCAGCTGGCGCCTAATATGGCTCGCATCTTGGACCACCTTGGCGTCTGGGAACCTATCGCAAAAGAAGCCACTAGTATTCGCGAAACAAGTATCCGACGTATGTGATCCTCTATATATGATGAGCGAATGCCTGCTAATCTATTTGCAGAGGGCGCCAATGACCAAGAATTAGCACACGTCGAACTTGACTATATCGAAAAGACTTATGGTTACCCGCATATGGTTGGTCACAGAGCGTCCTTAGCCGGTTCGCTATATGAGGGATGCAAGCGTGAGGAGAGTATCAAGTTCCATTTCTCGACGGGCGTGGAAGAGATAGAGTCCTTCTCCCCGAAGCCGAGATTTATAGCAAAGCCTCGAGATGGGGAGCCATATACCGTCGAAGCGGATGTTCTCCTGGCTTGCGACGGAATTAAGAGCAAGATACGCGTCGCGATGCTCAAACTACTCAATGTGGATGCGGAAGTCCAGGACACGAACCAGGCCGCATATCGAATCATGATCCACCGCGATGAGGTGAAAGATGACCCAGAGCTTCTTGAATTGATGGATAGTGACCGGGTTGTGCGCTGGATCGGCCCGAAGAGACACATTATTGCCTATCCTGTGTCGAACAAGACGATTTACAACCTCTCGACGACTCAGCCGGATGACAGGTTCGCGGCTGCACCTTCTGCTACATACACAACAAGAGCCTCGAAATCAGCGATGCTGGATGTTTTTGGCGATTTTTGCCCGATGGTGAAGCGCATGCTTGACAAGGTTCCCGAAGGGGAGGTTTGCGAGTGGAAGCTGCGTGTTCACTCGCCTCTACCTACCTGGGTCCACGGCACCACTGCACTCGTGGGCGATGCCTGTCATCCGACATTGCCCCATCTGGCGCAGGGAGCAGCTCAGGCAATTGAAGACGCAGCAGTGATTGCGGTTGCACTATCCAAGTTGCCCGATACGTCTCCAGAATCCATAAACAAGGCTCTTCGAGTCTACGAGCAGGTCAGAAAAGGACGGGCCGAGGCATTAGTAGAGATGGCAGCTGCTTCCGGAAGGGCCCTTCATCTGGGCGACGGAGCTGCCAAGGAGGAGCGTGACAAACAATTCGCAGCATTGAAGGGTGGAAAGGGTCCTGTCCCTGACAAGTGGGCGGACGCTGATGTCCAGAGACTGATCTACGGATTCGACTGCGCGCAGGTCACGCGCGATTCCTTTGACGAGATTTTCAACAACTTGTCACCCGTACAGGGTGGTTTGTGAATGCTCCAAGAGTGATGGAGTAGTTTGTCGGAGCATTCCTGCGTATTATCACTCGCAATAGAAAAGTGGGAAGCTCTTATTTCCGATCCCATATCTACGAACAGATGCGTTTCGAGAAACAGGAAGAAGGCATATAGCATCATAGTCATAATGGAACCTGTATCAAGTAGTGTTTCAGCGGATTTGTTATTCAATTCGTCGTTCAGCCAAGAAATAAACTATCTTCTTATGTCTCATACCTCCTATCCGGCCTTGTTTGTCAACGTTAACTAGAATATAGCATTCACTAGAGATGATTAGCAATTGTGAAACTAGGCAAAAGTGAACGACATGAGTCACCATTGAATGGAACTGCTACCTGCTCATTTACAACTCTACCCCTCCCGAACTGTGTGAATTCTCAGAACTATCCCACCCATTATAAGCTCCAGAATATCTGCAAGTCAACCCTCTCAACATCTCTATATATCCCTTTCTATTCCAAGAATGCCAATATGGTATCGAGACATGATCTTATTAGCAGTGCGAGGGAACGCATTAATACATATACATCTACTCCATCTAGTGATGATGAAAAGCTCATTCCTTGCATGACCGCACTCATCGATTGATGGAGTCGGGGATTCGCTTGCCGTTATAAGGATCTGCACTTCTCTGGAGTTGGCAAGTTGCAATGATCCCAGAGGAGCTAAATCATCCCTCTAATGGTATCATCTCTCGTAGAGAGATGATGATATACGCCAGTACTTATGTTGGGAAGGGCCCCAGATAACTGGCCAACTGCTACACCTTTTGCTCGGATTCCTCTCCGAGTCGCATTCCTATATACAAATCCATAATTTAGATCTTCCCTATATTACCTCATGGGAAATCACCAGAGGCAAAAGCTTCACCTGCGGCTCCTCTCCCGTTGTAGAGTCCGCCGCCCCAGCCTCCTGGGCCTTTCCCTCCCGCGGAAGAATCGCCTTCTTTCGGTTTCTTTTTGTAAGTTACTTCTTCTTTCGTGCAGTGCGTGACTGACGGCTGAAGCGGCCATCGTGTTTAGTCCTGCGTTACGCCTTGAAGCTGTGCCTTCGGGCATGTGTAATTTTGTTCCTGCAATTTCGCGTTTGCACCGACGGTAACTACGCCAACAATGTTAACCACACTCTGGTGCAGATGGCCATTCAAATATTATGTTGGATGATTCGAGAAAACTTCTGCAAAGACCACCCGTAAGCTGCATCGAATCTTGTCCATGAAATCGAACTCGGATTCTGATAATCCAGAGAGTTACTCGAGTATCTGCTTCCGACACGAGGCACTCTTCCGCCCCCTCGTGCTTATCCTGGCTCTGCCGATGCCTCTGTTCATCAGTTATACATGCGAGATTCCTGCAGGACACTGGTTCGTCAAAGGCGTGACGGAGAAGAGGAAGGAGTGCTCTTCGGGTTCTTTCATTCTTTTGCCGTCAATTCAATTCTCCTTAGGTATATCGTGATTTCGGGTAACCGGCAACATGCATATATGACAGTTGCGATTCTCGGCGGAGGGTATCGAGAGTACATATATATTGGAAGGAGTGGTCGATAACCAACAAGACTGCTTTTTGACGCTCAGATGCTATGGGCCATTGAATATGTATGAGAGGAAGCAAGTCAATTCTTTCGGACGAATAGCCCGATACCAACATCTTTTATACGACTGGAATTTTCAAGGGTACCCGGCATGTATACGAAATGAAGCTTTCTACATATCTTTTGGCCTACCCTATCCCCAGTGCTAAAAAGGTCGATATCTGGGAAGACTTCAAATTCGAGCAGATGATATTCGAAAGGCCCTGGATCTGGTGCAACGTGTCATAGAAGGCGAAGCAGCAGCCAAACAAGTTACGAAAATTGACATACTGAATTGACGCGCCTGGCTGAATGACGATGGTTAAGTGTCCCCTCCCTTCTGCGCCGTTGTGGCCTCTGGCCAACCAGTGTGCAGCCTCCACTGTGCCCTCGCCTGTTCTGCAACCAAAAAGAACGAACACCATACTTCTCAAAGACCACTTCTATGACACCCATAGGATCATTTTCGTTGAACCTGGGAAAGTTAGGCTTTATCCTCCACAGCCTACCTGGTCGAATGAGCTCCTTAATGCATTGCACCCAAAAGTCTCGGAAGGGGATGTCAATGGAGTGTGGAATTCCATACTCAACTGTGGTTTTAACCCGGTTAACTGGTATGGTCACAGCAAAGAAGTTCTTCGGCGACCATGACCAGAATCTGTTAATCGATGAAGCGCAATTGACTTATGATTCCTGGCTGTGGTATACAGTGATTAAGGCACGGATAGGGAGATCGTCCGGTCCTCGGTTGTATTTGTTCGGTTCATATGGTAGCCCCAGCACGGGTGCCGCCCACAGCGCATAGCCCCTCAGCAGCTCTTTTTAAACGTAAGTATCTATCCTTCATATTGTGGATTACTCAAGCTAATAAAAATAGTGGCTCCTCGAACACTGCTGCCCCTGCTATTCCATGGTCGGCCATCGAAAGTAGCATGTATACCGATGGAGATATACTTGCCGTAGTAGATTCGTACTCTGCCACTGCCACAGCAATGACTGGGCTGAACACGGAGTATCTTGTCGCATCAGCATTTGAGTCTCCTGCTTCCGCGCTCATCCTGAGCAGCTTCACTCGCAGACTTATAGATCTCTTCAAGGGCCAGATCAGTCATGAATATAAAGCCAGCTAATATTGAATCTTATCTGGATGCAAGAAAGCATATAGAGTGGCTTCTCTATTCTATCTCTCGCGGAGGTTACGATTATAACAGCAGAAACGTCCTAATGATATAGGCCTACGAGCAGGGATAGACGCCGGTTCTCGCAAGATGCTGGGGACGGCTTTAATTCCCGTTCGATACCCTTTGTTCATTCTGATCTTAACCCTCAATTAGGTCTTCTCTTTTTTTCGAAAAAAAAAAAAAAAAAAAAAAAAAAAAAAAAAAAAAAAAAAAAAAAAAAAAAGCCGTAAGTAGTACATCTGCCTTTGTTACTACTCCTTGTTTCTATTGAGATGACTATATCCCATCCCATATCCACGCCAAGCCTCTACCTCTCTCGCCTTGAAATCGTGCTCCTGTCTTCTTGTTCTGAGGTATCCGAATGTAGTGCCTCTGCATTCCTTGGTTTAAGCTTAGCAGGCATAGATCAGGATAGGAGACCCCAACCGCAAGGCGTAAATCGATTAAACCCTCTGGAGCGAAGCTCGCTGAGCTTATATTCTCTAGCAACTGGCTCAGCCTATTTATCTCTGTGGGTGGAGCTAGAAAGGCGTGGGAGAAACCCGTCAAGAGGGAGGCCTGCATGAAGGCAGGCTCCGACAAACCCCCTTGCCCAGGACACTTATTGTCGAAATGTTGAACATTAAAAATCTCTTCTTTTCTGGTGGGATCTTTCTAATTAAGATTATATCTCCTTACCTCGAGAAATTTACCGTTGAAGAGTTACATATTGAAAACTTCCTTCTTTGCCTAGAAGAAAGTCCGCCTTCAGGGAAATGTCTCCGCTGTATATCCGCAAAAAGCGAAAAACAGGAGAAATACCAGCATTCTTCATCAATATAATACGCCGCATCGTTCGATGCGACCAATATCAACAACGTTCGTTTTTCATGTTTCCTCCCGCTTTGACACAATTCTCTCTCATTTGCAGGAAAGACGCAGTAAGGATCACAAACCATGTCAGAAAGAGTTTATGTTGATATGGGAAAAGAGAATGCTGGCCCTCAGCCAATACCGGGGCGAAGATGGCCCTTCAGATATAGACGGTGCATATGTGGTAGTTGAATTGTCTTGTGGAAAGCTCGGTATTCATGTGCTTTAACTATTTGAACTGGCCTGTTTTGGACATCATCTCGCTCCTCGCCACCAACGCAACCCAGTGAGGTTTTCAGTCCTTGGAGTCTCTTAATTACCATTGTTGATTCTCGTTGAGGCCTTTTTCGTTTCTCTTCGTGGTCTTGGTTTCTTCAGATCCTGACATGAATATTTGAATGGCCCCACATACTACAAGAGTGAGGCAGTAAGAGATTTGCTGCACCCCGCATGGCCCCATGCTTTAGTTGTAGCGGAGCGTATATAAACAACTATTTTCTAATAATGTTACTTGAATTCCTGCTTTGTTCTAGTAGTAAGCTCTGGAGTTGAGCTTATGTGCATCTGCGTAACTTCTGACTGCTCCGAGCCTCGCATAAATGCAATCCGTCATGAGAGCGTTCAATTGGTCCAGTTTCGCACTGGGTATTGGCACCATCAATGCATTTACCTGCGACCCGACTTCACTTCAGGAGTACCTTGGATCTGGGATCAGTGTGACTTCAGCAAAATACTTGGCGAATAATGCTACTTTTGAAGTTCCCTCGAGCGATATCGGCTTCCCGACATCCCCTACCAATCTCCCGGCCCTCTGTGCCCTCGAAGTGAAAGTGCCCTCAACCAGCAATTCGTCTTATAGCTTTGGGCTTTTCCTTCCAGATGACTGGAATGGCCGTTTCTTGTAAGTATGGATTGCCACTAAGACTCTGATCTCTGTTCGGCTGACATACTATAGGGCCGTTGGGAATAGCGGCTTCGCCGGAGGCATCAACTGGTTAGACATGGTGAGAGATTGACCCGACATCTATTCATGCCTCTATGTCTCTTATCTCATAATATTTCAGGGAGCCGGTGTGAAATATGGGTTCGCAACCATCTCCACCGATACTGGCCATAGCAGCACATTACTCGACGCAAGCTGGGCCGAGAACGATCCCGAAGCGTTCGTTGACTGGTCCTATCGTGCGTTACATGGATCAGTCCTCGTAGCCAAAGATTTAACCCAGAAGTATTATGGGAAGGGTCCTGCGTTCAGTTACTACACAGGTTGTTCCACCGGTGGCAGGCAGGGCTTGAAGGAAGCCGAAATATTTCCCGATGACTTTGACGGTATCGTAGCAGGAGCCCCTGCTTGGTGGACTGTGCATCTGCAGCTCTGGAACATGAAAGTTGGGATGTATAACTTACCAACAGATGCTCCCCATCATATTCCTCAGGAGCTATTTCCAATTATCGGCGCGGAGGTATTGAGACAATGCGATGGCTCAGATGGTGTGATCGACAATATTATCTCCGACCCAAGGTGCTGCAATTTCGACCCTGAGACCCTACTCTGTCCAGGAACCACTGCTGGTGGATGTTTAACTAGCCCTCAACTTGATACACTCTACCATCTGTATGGGGACTGGGTTGAAGCGAACCAGACGTTTGTATTCCCACACCTGGAACTTGGAAGTGAAGGGAACTGGGGCATGCTTCTTGGTTCAGACGAGCCAACCACTCTCGGCACCGACTATGTCAAGTATGTGCTCGGACTCGGCTCGAATTGGACATGGCAAGATTTCAACCCCAGTGTCCTTGCCCTATCTGAAAAGCTAAACCCGGGCAATGCCACTGCTGGATTCGATCTTTCAGCATTCTCAAAGAAGGGTGGCAAGATCCTTCATTATCACGGTCTTTCGGATGGCGCTATCGCTGCTGGTAGTAGCTTGTACTACTATAACCATGTCCTTAGAACGCTGAAGCCGAGAGGTATCGATCTGGACGGCTTCTATCGCTACTTCATGGTCCCGGGTCTAGAGTATGTTATGTCCTTTCGTTCTATGTTCCCCATTCACAAGCAATTAGTAACATCATTTAGACACTGCACAGGCACTTCATCTACCATGAATGCGCCCTGGTACTTCGCAGGCGCAAATCAGGCAGGGGCACTAGGAACCGGCGTCAGCAGCGTACCTGGATTTGCTGACGCAGAACATGACGTCCTCCTCGCCATGATGGCGTGGGTTGAAAGGGGCCAGGCACCAGAGTATATCATCGGAACCAAATGGAACAATGATACGCTCCAGGATGAGGTGGCTAGACAGAGACCATTGTGCATGTATCCGAAACAGGCGATGTATATTGGGACGGGCGATGTAGATGATCCGCAGAATTGGGCATGCGAGATGCTCTACGGGGGAAATGGATTGCGAAAGAATAATTGAGTTCCTCAACTTGATTGATGTGTCAAATAGCCAGATATCCGATTGCATTAAAAACTCAATTTGGCGAAGACTCTCCGAACGGCCGGCTTCATTTCTTGAAGCTCAGTCTACGTGCCCAGTTCTTGACTCGGTCATGTCTGTCAACTCGTCAGCTGAAAGAGTAGCTATTTCAATAAAGCATGGTCAGTCACGGATTACTTAGCTAGCACATTCTCATAATAGTGTGCCTTCGCAGAGTCCATAATGGTTTTCACATCCGCTGCGGGGACCTTCTCCCTGCGGTCATTCGAATACAAGCCATTGACCTCCTGTTCTATATCGGCCCTAGTTAAGTATTAGTACCGACACAGATTGATTCACGTACGATTTGAAATCCAACGAAACTTACAGCTGGGTGTATACAACACCACACGAATGGCCGCCTCTGACAACTGCCATGATTAGCTTTTCAAGGCGGCTGAGTAGGTCCTTAGGATCAGCTGCAGTAGTATATCCCCAGTCCCTGTCACCTTTCGAGGCATCCTTCGCTGGAGCAATGTTGACACCACCACATTCCGTACAGATCACAGGTGCGCCCGGCCTGTGCTGTGCACCAGCGTCCAGAAGGATGGATCCGGAATGGATTGGTGGAACAAACATATCATGACCACCCTTCTTGCTGAGAATACCTTGCATCATGGAACATGATTCAGCAAGCTGCGGAGAATCGGAGTAGTCATGGTAAGTGGTCAAATCCGTCATGACATGCTCCCAGCCACAGTTATCATTGATTGGCCGGCTTGGATCAAGAGTTCTGTTTGTTACGATTAGCCAAACCACTGTCACTTCCATTTACCTATTAGGCGAAAAATCAGACATACTTGGTCATGTAGTACAGAGAACGGATGTGATTGCGTTGCTCGATGTTGTCTTTGAGCGAGGTATAGGCCCAACTCTCGTTGACAGGGGTCCAAGTGACGATAGATGGATGATTGATGTCTCTTTTCACAACTTCCATCCATTCGCTGTTGAATCGTTGTACATAGTCGTCACTAAATTCGTAGGCGTTGGCGATCTCGCCCCAAACCAGGTAACCCAGTCGATCTGCCCAGTACAGGAAGATAGGGTCTTCAACCTTTTGATGCTTGCGGCATCCGTTGAATCCCATGTTCATCGACATGATGATATCATCCTTCAGTGCCTCTGGAGAAGGAGGCGTCATGCCAGTCTCGAGCCAGTAGCCTTGGTCCAACACCAAAACTTGGAAGAAAGGCTTGTTGTTCACTCGGAATGTCCCATCGCCTGTGTTCCAGGATAGACTGCGCATTCCAGTTGTGGTCTGAACTTCATCTACGATCTTCCCAGCAGCATCGTAAAGGCGCAGGGTTAGATCATAGAGAATAGGGTATCCTGGCTGCCACAGAGCAACCCGATCGTGCCAGGAGCCAGCAATATTAAACGGTGGTTTGCTCCGTAATTCATCTGGATTCGGTACTTTCATGTCAACGTTAAGGCTCACAAATTCCTTGTCTTTAGGGAGCTCAGCTCTCGCCTTGCTGACGGGTAGCCCTCCCAAACGAGCTTCAATCTCAACACTGCATTTTGAAGCGGCTCGTCGACCAATTACAGAAACACGCGAATGCAGCTCACCACGCTCGATATCATCTGAGCGGAGAATCGTCCCTTCGCTGCTGCTCCCCAATCGCATTGCTGGTACACTCTCGAGCCAGACGGACTGCCAGATTCCGCTAGTTGGTGTATAAAAGATGCTCTCCGGCACGGGGCCCCAGAACTGCTTTCCGCGAGGCTGAGTTAGGTCATATGGAGAGTCACGAACACGTATCGTTAGACGAGCCCTCTTCTTGCTGTCCGTGTCTTGAAAGGCGTCTGAAATGTCCAAATCGAAAGGCACATGGCCACCACGGTGGCCCCCGACGAACTGGCCGTCGACCCAGACAGAGCATTCATAATCCACGGCACCAAACCGGATAATCAAACGATTCCCTTTGGCTAATTCATCGGTCGTGCGAATGTCACTGATTATGCGCTCATACCACAGAACTTCGTGGGCTTCATGGACGCCAATACCGGATGCAGGCGCCTGAAATGCGTAGGGAACGTTGATTTTGCGTTTTTTCTGTGCACCTGCTTGAGTCGGAACCCCCTTATGTTGCCATAGCTCTGACAATCCTGAGTCTGCATCATCAAAGATCAAGTCCCAGGGTTCGTTGAGCGACGTCCAATTTAGAGTCTTGCGGAAGAAGTCGGGACGCGGATATGTTGCGGAAGATGCCATCTTCAGAAGTAGATATGTAGGGCCTTTGACGACACAAATAATGGATAGAAAAGAGATGTTCCTGGTAGTTCTTCACTGGCGATAGATCATCCAGCCGTCTTGAAATCTACTGGATGGTCATTGTTCTTTTGTTTGAAGTTCGAGATCAGGTCAACAATTATATGATATCATACCCGTGGTCGCTTAAGTATGACCCCGCGAGGAGATCAACATACACCTCAGCAACCCCGCAGCACCGCATAACCTGGAGCTCATGGCTTCATCTCTCACTGAAGGATATGTATAAAAATGAGTCTCTATCATGTCGTGATATGTAGCTCTACATCATCCAGCCAAATTTGAATCCTGGTCCCAAACGTAATTCAGTACATATAGAAGTCTCCCATGTATGATACAATGCTGGATATCAACTCCTACTCGCTCTACGCTCCAGTGCAGCATAACAAACATGCAGGACTATACACAGCGCCAGGCGCGAGGCACATGTGCGTATCAAGTATGCCTGGTCCTACGTGAAATGTCAAGCAATCTGTAGATTCGGGGGGTGCCTCACCAACTTTGAAAAGGTCCTGGTCGTGGAAGTCAAAAGGTAACTAATTATTGTACAGTTGACTATGTAAGACATCGAGAGTCTCTTGAAAGATATACGGCAGAGACTTTGGAGAAATGCAAACCCATATAGCTCATCCTTCGGCCGTAGAGTCTTTTTAGTAACTGTGATGTCTTTCTAGTTTTGTCTGATCGAGAATAATAATATAGAAGATGAAAAATATACTTGCGGCTTCTCCCTTTTTTCCTTACCTAAAACCGATATTAGAATAATAACTGATGATATTTATATCGTCTGAATGTGCAGTACAGACGAGTCAATATATGGGACCGGTCAATGGAAGCAAAAGTTTTGATGCAAGCAGATACACGGAGCCTGAGCACCGGCAATCCGGGGCCGATGGTTTAAAATAGTATCAATTATTCTGGATAGGCTCTAGTGGTCTTTTTCTGTGATATATATTTACCGCCAAGCCCGCTAAGTAGAAGAAAAAAAAAAATAACATAGACAGAAAAGCGAAAAAGAAGACAAAAAACAAATTCTACTACCAATCTTATATAAGTTGAATTGTTGATTTACCTTGTCATTTGCTTCAGATGGCCCATTATCTCTCCCAAGCCAGCGCCAGGCTGTATATGGTGCTCTCTGCTTTTCTTCTTACTTCGTGGACTATCACCGCATTAGGCCTCAGCGCCCTCAATGTGCTCAACGATAACAAAACCTTTATCCAATCTCTTGCCGCAATCAGTCTTTTCACTTTCCTCGCCTGCCGTCTGCTTGTCCTTTTCAAGCCTAGAAATCCTGATGGTTCTTCAAATGGTACCATTGCGCACTTTATCGCCTCAGCAGACTATGGCTCTCGTAAAGGAGCCCTCGTGCTTTTCGGATTGTGCTGTACGTGGCTCTATGAGCTATTAGCAATGGGAATGCTATTGTTATTCACGACTTTGTTTGGCGGTATTATGGCTACAGCGCTCTACCAAGAATCCCAAACTCAGGACGGTTCGGCTGCAATAGACAATGACACACGCGTCGATGCATCGACTACATCATTAGCAGAGGTCAATGAGTTCAATGCCAAGGCAGGGGTGGATCTGACGGTGTTTTTCAAATGGATCCCTCCCAAGGCATTGGTTTACTTTGTGGCTGCTCTCTGGGTGAACTTCCTGAGTCTGGGCTTTTATATCTTGGGCCATGCTGCAAAATCCCTGGTTAAGGTATTAAGTTCGCCAGCAGCTGCGCCTGGGGCCTCATTCAATGTTTCAGCTACCGCGAAGCAGGTAACATCTGGTGAAGGGAAAGAGCTTGATTCCGCGCAGTAGGCTCTCAGAAGCAGATGTGGATAAGATAAAATTGTAACCAAATCTGTAAGTAGCATGAGTGTCAAGTAGATAGAGACAAAGGCTAGCTAAGATTATTCACAAACTGAAAAGTTGCCATATCTTGTGTTTTCCTTAATTCCCCTCGTATCGCAATAGGCGTATCACTTTTCGAACCTGGAAATAGTTCATGCAGTTCACCAGCACACTTACTCTACAGATGAAAGTACTCGATGCAATCTGGACAAGTTGCAGTATTTAGTTGAGGCTTTCACCGATAACTATAGTCTCGGTTAATGAACACGAACCCTTGGCTCGAAACCTTCGGGACTGCAGCCAGATATCAAGACACTCGTGTTTAGCAGGGGTAAAGCCTAGGCTCTGCTCGTGTCCCGGGCGCACAGCGAGAAAGATAAGAATCGACTGGGGAGAAACGGGGCATACGATACTATCATAAAGCCAAACAACCATGAAATACCCTCCTTCAGCCCTGCTTCGAGGTTGCCCGAAACCGCCCATCTCGTATTTCTTCGGCGAGATCTATCTGTTTCCGAGTCCATACATACTTGCTCATGATCATCTTCTGACTTGACGCCCAGCAGCCCCTTGAACCTGCATGTCTTTATCCTTATGTCACGCATGCCTCCTCAGCTTTGACTCGAAAATCGAAATGCCGAGAAGACATTAACCTTTGTGGTTAATTCTCCGTCTAAAAGGGGGCCGAAAATACGCCAACCGGCGGTGGCGGAGCGACACCAAGAGCGCGCGCTCGGTTAGATTAGAATGCGCGATTATACCTACTCGAACTATATTATACTTAGCGTGTGTGCTTTACGAACCAAAATTCAGTTTGTCAGTTCGGGCGTCTTGTGCCGTTCGCTTCTAGATGTAGAGGGAGGAGTTGGTAGGTTGTCTGTCCTGGGCTCTGCAGGGGCGGGCTTCTTAGCGTTAAATGAATACGGGAGGATGACGTTATTAGTCTGGGGATATGTTCGGGGGATGGTGGATCTGCCGCCTTCTAGAAGGGAAATGGAATGGGAATTGTCAGTCTAGTGGGACTAGAGGGATAGTGAAAGTTGGTCCATTGAGTTCGACTCTGAGTAAGGGCTGACCATCAGGTCAGATAGATGCGCTGATTGGATTGAATGTTTAAGATGCCTATGTTGTGAGAGAATGAAAACGACAATAGAAGAATCAGAAGTTCCCTAAAGCAAGTATTATACACTCATAATTCCCAAGTATAGGCGTATACGATCCCTCCGCAAAACTCCACAATATAAGCATAGTCCAAACATAATATTATGGTCCACGCAGCATTCCTGAGAAATAGCGGCATGATCTCCCATGACTGTCAGATCAGAAAATAAGACGAACTCCCCAGAACCCGTATATAGTAGACAGAATAAGTAACCCGAAATCATGAGGTATTCCCTCGTCGCGTCCCGTTGTCCAGCTGCGGGACGTACACCTCCTTGTTATACATGTCATCGTAGAAGAAACATACATAAAATAAAATGACCAAGACAAAGAGTATCGCACGCCAGGATTGTCTGCACCAGGCTCTCTAGAGAAGTCTGATGACGGAGCCCCAGCAGGAAAGGGAAAGAAACGAACATATGCAACGATGCACAGCGTGTTACAGGACCGAAAAAAAGATACAGAAGGAATTGCGTAACATCATAGAACATAGCACATCATATCGTCCAGTCGCATCGTATTGTAGCCGCATCATCTTCGGACCGCATTCGGGGACAAAGATTCTTCCTTTGCAGGCTTCTTCTTTGGCACTTCACGCTTAGCAATGTTGATGCGATGATACGAGCGTAGGTGCTCGTTCAAGTGGTCCTTGCGAGGGAAGCCGTTCTTGCCCTTTCGTGCACATTTTGGCACCGGGCAGTTTTGGAACACGGGGTAATGAACAGTAGTCTGATGTCGTTTCAAGTCTGCAGATCGGGTAAAACTCCTGCCGCAGCTGCACTCGAAAGGTTTCGTGCGTCTGGGAGGAATCAGCTAAATCCTGACGAATGTTGGCTTACTGAAAGTTAACTCACCTCTCTGATTCCAGAGCCTCCAGGCCTGAGGGCGGACTGCGCGAGAGGGTATTGAGATCATGGGTCTGATTCAAACTGGGGCCCATATCATATGGAAAAGCTGTCCGGGGGTCTGTTGGCGAGGACGACTGCATGAAATCGGTGCACTCCATAGGATTTAGGTCGTTCCAATCTGGAAGGTCGTACGCTTGACCATATGAGTCGAAGTCGTAGCATTGATCGAATGACATTTGGGTAGTATCGATGTTGTTGTCTGTCACCACAGGATACGAGGTTGAGTATTGGCTGGGAAGACTTGAGTAACTGCCGGTAGTCTGAGTCGAGTCATTGCTGCCCGTAGAGTATGATGGCTCCATAGCTGGACTATATCCACCGTTATAGTACTAACAAGGCGAAATGTGAGCAAAACAAGAGCGAGATGAACGAGCAAAGGTATCGTACCATGGTATGTATTTATAGCAGAATTCGTAGTAAGGTACAGTTTAAAGTAGTAGTATGGCACACAGTAAGCGATGATAGAGTTATGATATGTTCAGAGAGGAGAGTTGATAGCGTGATATATAAGGAGCAATGTACAAACTTTCTGGAAATATGAATCTTGAAGGAATGAAGGGCATTTAAGATGGCCTGGGTAGCGAGGTGCTGTCACCTGAGGAAGATCTACGCCTTCACCCATTCGATTTCCGTATCAGTTCTGGGATCGGGCTGGAACTACACGTGATGAATGCTGTGTTGGAGGTCTGTTAGACACACAGCCACCAAAGTAATGGTTATTGGGCGACCTTGGCGAGGACTCCATGAGATATTGGGGAAAAGTGATGCGAAGCTTCACCCTCGAACTGATCTGATCTTCTGGGTTACCAAACGAACGTGGCTCACCTGCGTGCGAACCGACGCCGTAACGGGAATCGAACGATCGAAGCATGCATGGAATGTTTTAGTGTCTGAGGCGTATCCAGCAACATGCCGGTGAACCGATCGATGACTTCGTCATTGGAGTATGCTGGAGACGAAACACGCCACAAGACGGGACGTTCTCAGGCCAAGGGTCCTGGGACGGACGACGAGTCACCGCTAGTTAGGAACTTAGGAGCTTAGGATATACCGACAGGGTGCTGTGCCTACCCGCCAAGTCCTCCCTGTTACCTGACTTAACCCAGTCGAAGGTATTGCGAAAGAACCATGACGATGTGGACCCGTGTTCGTTCAAGAGGCGGAGAGCAATTCCGCAGCCATGAGGCTCGAGTACGAGACGCTCGAGGCATATCGGAGGGGAACAAATATCTCATTGCCTATCTAGCCTTACCTATCGCCTCATTCTCAAAGATGGCAGTGCCAATAAGGGTGGAAACTTCAAAGGTCCCTGTCGGAACGGCCCGAGGCTTGCGATGTCCGAGGGCATCAGTGTGTGTATACGGGGCAATGAATAACTCGTATTGAGGATGATACTGAGATAGAGCCCAGGATACGGCCACCGCAAGTTGCTGGTTGAACCCAAGATCATCAGGTAGACAGACGGGGCAGCTTGAGGTTGAACACAACAAGGTACCTGGAAACCCCGGTATGTACCCTATCTCACAACGTGGATCTTCAGCTTCAGCGAAATTCCGCGACCATCAGACCGCTTCATCAGTGCTGGACAATGAGGTAGCCGGAGAGACAGTTGACTACAATGCCAGATCTTCGGGACGGCATACTCACACGGTGCATTATTGGGCCAGTGGACAGTCTCTGCTGGCATCGTCAGACTGCTGCACGGGAATAGTGACTGCAATCCTAATGGTTGCCGTGTTCAACTGTCGCTTATAGGCTGTTAGGAAGAGCCTTTAGGGAGCCGCATCGCACAGCCCCAATCGCGGTAAAATCCCGCAGCGACCAGACAAAGAATCGGAAAGACACAACCATGTCTGCACGGTAGTACAAAGTGAGGCGACTCTCAGCCAGTCCACTCACTGAGATGCGTGTCTTGACGTTGTCCCTGGCATCATCGTCCACAGGGTGCCGAATGGCGGGGTGAACGGGTGAAAGCGAACAACAGGCTTCATCCTCACTGGACTGGAATTCGACAACACCCTGCCGGAGATCAGATCGACCCGCTTCCCCGGAGCCTGGGTGGATTTCGTTTCAGGGTATCGATGCCGTTTGGGGACACGTTTCTTGTCATGCTGTTAGGAGTGTTCACTTCAGAGAGACTCGTGGCCTTCTGACCCCAATGGCCGCTTCTTCAGGAGCCGAGGTATGTATGGCATACATACTTACTCCCCAAGGTGCTCTGTCGATACTACTTCACGCCTGAAGTACTGTGCAAATCCTTTGTGCACACCAAGCCCTACTACTAATTTACTAGTTATGGAGCACCGCATAACTCAACAAAGCAAAGCACCATCTAATTCTACATCGGTAAAGCCTGCTCGAAAGCTACGCGCGTATGGTGATGCCGCAGAGCGCCAAAACGATGTATGTTGTATGTATGTACAGTACATACATACTTCCACGTGGATCAATAGTCTCCCACTGCTCACTTTCAGGCTCCTTCAACGTTTCAGATGTACGCTAACCCTCAGGATCTCCCACCCCTCGTCAGTTGAAACATCGTCTACTCCGTACTCCATAGATGAAATTCAGCCCTACAACCCAAAGATGGAGCGATCAATCTCTGCTTGAGCATGATGTCAACATGGCAGATAACCTCGAGAGCACTGCCGCCCACCAAGGGTTCATTTCGGCAGTGCCATCAGCTTCGATCGCTATCACAATGCGACCACATTTAGATCTCAACCAGACAGGCATTGAGAAGGCAATGATAAAGAACACCCAACAGCGGCCTGAAGAGGTGCGACTGGAGATGGACAGAAATCCATTGAATAGCTCGTTACCTAAGCTGTATCTTTGGGAGATTACCTCTGGTGACTATCATGGCTAGTCGTTGTTAAGTCGGTGTGAAAATATTCGACCATGAAACATGTTAAACAACCGATCTGCTGCAGTGCGATGCATACCACCCGCAGCATGGGAGGCCAAATGAGAATTATGTTGGCTCTTCACCGCTTATAGATCATTTCTACCCGATGTTTTACTACTGCTAACGAGGACTTCTCAGTTCAGCATACTTTCTCATAGTACGGTGGTCATTGTATACCTCTATCTGCACATTCCAGTGTTCATTGAGAGGCCTCATCCAATCTAGATAATTGTAGTCACTACGTGGTATATAGGTTACCAGACTGGCCCTAGAAAGGAAAAGAAGGAATATTGGACGATGAAGCCAAGGAAAAAATGTTTCCTGGCTTGAGCTTGAATTTGACGACTCTTGAGACATATGGGGGACGATGGCATGACAGTCAAAAAAAAAGCGACAGCCCACCGTAATAAGACAAACCAAGATTCCCACACGCCTCAATCAACTAATGTCCTTTCTTCCAAGCACAAAGTCCTGTCTGAGATCAATCCCATTGAATTCAAAGCCTATCGATATCGAAAGTATTTCCGTTATTGCAGCTGTTGACGCCTAGCCCAGCCCAGCCTAGTGTTATGAAACCTAACTGCCTCGGCTAACCATCCGTTTAACTGCCAAATGAAAACTACCGATCCCATAGGAGAAACCATGCCGTTACAAATCATCCTCAAGATACTTGTAAATAAATTTGAAGTCCGCCTTACGCCGATTCATCCTGGAGACGAGATGTTAGATCAGGTATGACAACAGGGCTGTTTATGATGACTTACCATGTGCTTTCATAATCGAAGAATCGGTAGGTACCCTGCTCAAACTCCTCTGTGATTGTCTTCGGCTCCTCGTGACGCTGGAACCAGGTCTGGTACTGCTTGTGGAAACGCCAACTCTGATTTTTCAGCGCCTTGGCCGCTAGATATTGCTGGTATGTGCCCTGACGATAATAGAAGATATAGAACAGTGTATCTGTGTCTATCCTTCCTGTCTCGTATAGCCGTGGGTCGTCGAGGATTGGCAGCGGCTCCTGAGGATAATAGATGGGCGTGTTATAAGGGTTCTGCGGCTTGTAGTGCTTTGGCTTCTCGGCATCGGTAGGCTCGGGGCAAGTCGTGAGCGATGCGGCCAGCAAACGCTGTACCGACGGCGATTGGTTCACTGATGCTGTTGCTCTTTCCTTCGTTATCTCGAAAGATTGTATTAGATCTTGCAAGCCGGGAGGAAGGTGATATATCGAATCCTCTGCATTTACATCCTGCTTGGAGACATCGCCATTTGTCACTGGTTGATCCTTAGTAGCTATGGACTCTGCCTTATCCGCTGCCGGCGTTGAGGATGGTCCAGCACCCAAAGAACCTGCCGCTGAGCCTGCTACTGGAGTACCTGGGCTGAGAGCTTGTGTCTTTGTCCGCGCTTGGGTGGAAGGCTCTTCCGCGCTTGGAGCCGTTGGCACTGCTTTCTGGACAGGTTGTGCAGCTGGAACGCGTGGGGAGGCCGTAGACGAAGCTTTCGAAACGGGAAAGGCTGCCGAAATTGCAGGGCTCGCTCCTGGAGGAGGTGGTAGAGGTGCAATACCGACCCCATTCTTATCGCTTGCGGCAGCAGCAGCAGCGGCAGATGCATACTTCAACGTCTCTCCGGGAAGACGGGTAGGTGGAGGAGCAGGCTTCATACCGCTAGCGGAGGAGGACGAGGGAGTATTGGGATGCAGTGTTGCGAGAACCGGAAGAGGCGACTTCATCTGGGTGGATGGCCTTCGTGGTGCCGCAGGATCTGCCTTGGGCTTCCCTCGTGCCTCTGGCTCATCCTCCTGTACTGACTGTGCATCCTGCGAAGAGACCCGGTCGTTGTCACCAACGACACCAAACTGAGACTCCTCGTCGCCAAGGTTCAAGTCATCGTAGAGCGTTTCATCCTCGCCTGAGTAGTCCACGTTGTGACCGTCCTCGACATAGTACTTAATGCTGTCCTTCAGATCCACGACCTGGGCCGTTTCCACGTTACCGTTCTGAAGTGACCGTAAAAGCAACTCGAGCTTGTTGACATGCCATCTATGTCGTTCCGATATCCGCGAGATGTCCGCTAAGCGATTCGTTTTCGCCACGTCCTTCTTGCCCTTCTTCACCGACGCATGTAGGGTCTCCTCTTCGGCCTCCATCGCCTCTATCTTCTGCTGGAGCTCGTCCACCATGCTCGACAGGAAATCAGCAGCTTCAGCCTTCTCCTTCTCCTTAGGATCTAATCGAGATGCGGCGGATAGCCCTTCCTTCGAGTATGCCTTCGTCTTCATCTCCTTCTCTACGGCCTTGAATTGTTCCATACACTGCATACTAGTTAGCTCACTGTATCTCGCGCAACCGTAGGGTATCGGCCATGGCGTACTGTTTCGATGGCCCTCCGCTGCTCCAGCAGTGGGTTCTTGTCTTTCACCTCATTTCCGGCCGCCCACGACTTGATCTGATCTCGGAATCGCTGAAGCTTCTTGATCTCTCGTTTGAGGTTGTCCTCTAGCTTATCGCGCTGCGCAGGATTGGACGTGGATCGGATCTTTTCATATATGCCTTCAAATGTTTGTATACCTTCAGCGACCTTCTTGAAGGTCTTGTCGATCTCTTGCTGCGTTTTTCGGGACGTCATGGCTGCTGTTCATATGAACAGGAGGCTGTGGGTATGGGTCCCTGTGCGGAGGAAAATAGGACGCTACAAGCTCCTACGTCGAGCAAGTGCGTGGACGCGTCTTCGTAGATGTTATTTGGGTGCGCCACGAGGGCTGTCTGAATGCTCGCAGAACCAAACAACGGTGGCGTTGTGCTGGGAAACTCGATTTCAGCGTCGTGAAGCCTTGTTCCGGAGGTGTCAAGCTGGACGATGCCAAGACCAATCAGAGGGCACTAACACCTGAACCGAAGATCTGACGTCTGCAAAGGCGACGGAAGCTATCTCAACGATTTGATTGATTTGTTTTGTTTTGTTTGGCAACTTGACCACTGGCTGTCCTGGAGACGGTCGAGAATAACACATGGACCGGTCGCTATGAGCTTTGATTGTTGATCGTGGTCGTCCTTCTGCTCTCGATGCCCAGCGCTGAGCATGCGATAGGTAGGCGGCCCCGAATCGATCGCCGCATTCGGTGGTCGAGGTGAAAAGAGATCTGTCGCACCCCTATTATTATTGCGCGCATTATACAATCATTCTGTGTTTATTCTTGAATACATATTTATTTTCAATATCCAACTGACTCGTTTCTATCTTCATCCAGAATCCTTGCGATCGTAAGCTACAACAAACGAAGAATCCAATATGAAAGGTCTCTCCCCGCTTTCACTCCACCCACGCCAGAATGAGGGTTAACCAAGCCAATAGCGATTTTACAGAGAGTTACGTCGGCTTCGGTCACGGTCGACAAGCAGCTTATCTCGTCAATCGGTCGGGGGATTCTGGTATTTGCGGCCATTGGCAAGGATGATACAGAGAAGGATGCGGAGTCTCTTGCGGCAAAGGTCCTGAAGGCGAAGCTATGGCCAGATGATTCTGGGTCGACGGTTAGTGGACATCACTGATGCATCGTCAGTTGCGCGAGTGATCTGACATCTGAGCGGGTGTCTCTAGTGGAAAAAGAGTGTCCAGGATGTACAAGGAGAGGTCCTTTGTGGTGAGTACTCTAGCCCAATAGCCTGTAGATGTAGCTGACCCAAGATATATAGTCTCGCAGTTTACTCTGATGGCAACCATGAAGAAGGGCAACAAGCCGGATTTCCATAGCGCGGCTGACCCTGAATCAGCACGAAAGCTGTACGACCACTTCTATAACAAAGTGCGAGATCTATACCAGGCAGACCGCGTGAAGAATGGCGTATTCCAGGCCATGATGGAGGTAGAACTCAAAAATGATGGACCGGTGGGTGTAGATTACCGCAGTGAAGACGGAGCGGTATAGTAACTACTATCCCGAGTCATGACATGGCTGACTTGACACAGGTTACGATCGAAATCAACACCAACCTTCCCAAACCAGAAAAGAAAGAGACGCCATCTGCTCAAGGCTCTGAGGGAAAGGGGAAGGAAAAATCGACAGAGTCGAAAGAAGGGGAATCCAAAGGAAGCCAGTACTTTGAATTCAAGCTTCCAGCATCCCTATTAGAATAGACATACCATATATATAGATCAACCTAAAATAAAAAATAAAAAAAATTAAAACAAGAGAAGTAACGAAACGACAAAGCACATGGATGGCTCGTACCATAGATCTCGAGCTGTAGCCTATGTACTAGTATCAGACACTATTCTTTAGTGTAAGCGCTCCGCCTAGAGTATTCCTTAGGGCTTAGGATTTTGTTCCTGGGCGGGGTTTTGCGGCACTTGGCGGGGCATCAACCATGCGGACAGGGAAAGTGAAGGGCGGCATGGAAGCTTCTTGAATATCCTGAGGGGCCCTGGCGAACCTGCCCCAGCAGTTAGTTCTTCAAGTGTCTCCCGGCTGCTGCTACTGAGTACAATACTTCAAATAGTGGACTTCTGTCGTCTCTTGCATCTCTCCAGATATACCCTCAGACGTCGTTTGCTTGAGCATCCATCCATCATGGCTGAGTCAAATAGTATGTGATTGCGCGACACCTGAAAACCCCGCATAGGATCGGACTGACCTTATCTCCCATCCAGGCCGTCCTCGCGTGTTCTTTGACATCCAGATTGGGGATAGAAAGGAGGGCAGGATTGTCTTTGAGTTGGTACGATGAGTCTCTTAATCAATGTGTGTTGGTGACGATTTTACTAACTGTTTACAGTTCAACGATGGTAGATGACCCCGCAACGAGTACGACAGAACACAGTAGAGGCTGACTGAATGCAGTTGTCCCAAAGACCGCAGAGAATTTCCGCGCTCTTTGCACGGGAGAGAAGGGTGTTGGAAAGCAGGGCAAGCCATTGAGCTATAAGGGTATGTGCTTTTTTCACAATCCGTCCAGCTCTCGCAACCGCAAGAGGTGCAAGCATTAACTGTAGCATGATTAGGCTCGATTTTCCACCGGGTCATTAAGCAGTTCATGATCCAGGGTGGTGACTTCACTGCTTTCAATGGTACTGGCGGCGAATCGATCTATGGCGAGAAGTTCCCCGACGAGAACTTCGAGCTCAAGCACGACCGCCCCTTCCTACTGTCCATGGCCAACTCTGGTCCTGGCACCAACGGCAGCCAGTTCTTCGTGACCACCGTTCCCACCCCTCACCTAGATGGCAAACACGTCGTGTTCGGAGAAGTGATCAACGGCAAGAGTCTTGTTCGCAAGATCGAGAACATTCCTACCCAGGCAGACAAGCCCGTTGTGGATGTGACCGTGGTGGACTGTGGTGAATTGAAGGGTGAGGACTACCAGAAGGCTGGAGAGAAGATCGTCGATAGCACTGGCGACACATACGAAGACTACCCCGACGACCACCAGGGAGAGGAACTGTCCGCGCCTCTGGTTTTCAAGATCGCCTCTGAATTGAAGGAGTTTGGTAACAAGGCTTTCAAGAGCGGCAACACCGAGCTCGGACTCGAGAAGTACCAGAAGGGCCTGCGCTACCTCAACGAATTCCCGGAACCGGGTGACAACGATCCCAAGGAACTTGGTCCGCAGATGAAGGCTCTCCGCTTCACCCTTCACTCCAATTCTGCTCTCCTCGCCAACAAGCTGGGCCAGTTCAAGAACGGTCAGACTTGGGCCACCTACGCCATCGAGACTGCGGCTGCAGCTAACGCCAAGGACGCTGATAAGGCCAAGGCCTATTACCGTCGTGCAGTCGCCAATATCGGTCTGAAGGAGGAAGAGGAGGCCCTCAAGGACCTCCAGGAGGCCTCCAAGCTTGCTCCCGGCGATGCCGCCATCACGAACGAGATTGCTAGGGTTAAGAAGACCGTCAAGGACCGTGAGGCCAAGGAGAAGGCTGCCCTGAGGAAGTTCTTCTCGTGAAATCCGGATAACTATCTCTCATTGTTGAAGAAGTTCAACTTAGAGAACTAGACTCAACACATTGTCTGGTGTGGTCCGATTGGATACGAAAAGGACATGTGTGTCTCGATGGGTTGCTCTTAATGATCATGAGCTCTTATTTGCTTAAAACGTGGTGTTTCTGCATTATGGGCAGCATGGAGAAATGGCGCAATTCTGCTTCCGTGGGGAAGTCAGGTACAGTGGGCTTTTGTTCTTATGGACGCAGGATGGGCAATAGTCTCTCAGATGAGAAGTAAAGAATGAAAAGTTAATCATTGATATATTGCAGAAGACCTCGCCAACTAGAAGACTTAACTAAGACTTGGTATCACCTACGCAACATCACCCCGCAGCCTTTCCTCTGACAACTCCCCTTAAAAGGAACACTAGTTATACTCCTTCAAAGTCACACACCCCAGTTTTCCCCTTACCCCATTAAACCTGTGCGTGCCAGGTCATTATTTCTGCATTTTATCACTTGTATAGGCACACGTTCCCATGTCCAACTTGACGGCTTTCGTTTCAGGCCTTATATCGAAATCAAAGATATCCATGGGCAAACCAATCGTTGTGCACGCGTTCGGAATGTCCACGATACCGGCAATATGGCCCTGCACAGGCGCAGAGCTCAGCAGAAGATAGATCTGGTAGTCATCGTAGCCATAACGACGAAGATACTCGATCACACGGAGACAAGTCTGCCTGTAAGCGACTGTCGTATCAAGAAAGTGCTGTTTGCCATTCTCGTCGACGGAGAAGCCCTCGAAGGTGAGATATCTGCCCGGGCCGAATTGCGGCTCGACGGGACCAGGATGGAAGATAGGTGATTTCATACCCAGCTGGGCTACGCCATCCTTGATGACGGAGAACTTGATCGTGATGATGCCGGCCATTTCGATGGCGCCGCAGAAGGAGATCTCGCCGTCACCTTGGGAGAAGTGAAGGTCGCCGACGGAGAATTTGGCGCCGGGGACGTGAACAGGGAGGTAGACCTTGGAACCACGAGATAGGTTCTTGATGTCGCAGTTGCCACCGTTCTCCGGTCGGCCCTAGTTTGGATTCTGTTAGGATATTGAGAGAGAGAAAAAGGTATCCGGTTAGAGAACATACGGGAATGGTTCTCGCTCCTTCTTGAGCGACCTTCTCCTTGATCTCTGGGGTGGCAGCACCGGCATGAGCATACTTTGGCTCTGGTGGCTTTGCAACGTCGCGACCCAGGTGAGAGTGAGTAGCGATCAATTCTCCTTCACGCTTGTTCCATTCCGCCAGGATCTCCGCGGATGGAGCACATCCCAGGATACCGGGATGGATGAGGCCTGGGAAGCGGACATGGGGAATGTGTCGCGAAGAGCAGAAGATTCCCTCAAAGTCCCAGATCGCCTTGGCGCTGTTAACAACTATTATTAGTGTCTTGATTTCGTTTGTAGCTGATGAATGAATGAATGCATTGGCAGATTTCCGTGCCGAGAGCGTAATTACTACTCACCACTCAGGGTAGAAGTCATCCAGGAAACCACCCCCGTTCTCCTTGTGAAAGATGCCAGTAAAGCCCCATGGTTGGTCTTGGAATGGCTGAACGTCCTGGATTTCTACAACCAGCACATCGCCCGGTTCGGCCGTCTCGATGTCGAATGGGCCTGACAAGTAGTGTATCCGGTTCAGATCGACATTTCGAAGGTCGTCTGCAGAGTCGTTGTTTCCAATCTGGCCACCAGTCCAGTCCATGCATTCGATCTTGACGACCTCATTGTTTGCGATCTTAGCGCAAGCCGGGACTGTTTGATGGGGTTATTTTCGTTAGAAGACTGGGAACATCCACAGATAGTGGCGAGAGTTAGAAAGACGGCAAAACACATACTATCTGGATGCCATCGGTTCTAAGGGTTACAGTTAGAAAAACAACGAAAGACATTGTCATCTGGTAAGCAATTTCGTACATGTAGATAAGGCTGCTCCCAGGCAGGCTTGCTCCAGTCAATCTTGACTGCCGTGCGGATTTCCTTGGCGCCCATTGTTCACTGTTCACAGTATATCTGATTTTTGGGAACTATTACCCTTATACGAAAAGAAAGTCTCGCAAGAAAAGAGAGAACCTCAGGCTGACAAATTCTCGAGTAAATAGTTAAAAAAACAACTCTTCTTGTAAGTTCACCACCGCGGGCGTTAGCGGTCCTTAAGTATCAACACTTCCCAGTTCCAGGCGGGGAGAGACCGTGCAATCCCTCCTCACTCCATATCGGACGAGAGGAGGCGCGATATTATTATACTTTGCCAATTGTAAATCTAAAATGCCTGGACGATCCTGAGGGCATGCTCAGTTATCGAGTGCATCCATCCTTGCCCCGCAGGAGGGGAAATGGCCAAGGATTAATGTTACGCGATAGCCAGGCCGCTTATCTTCTTCGCCTATCAATTTTTCCAGGTTTTCTTTCTTATCAGGCCCGAATCCCGCTCCAGACGTCGAGCAATTCCCGGCGCCGATTTCGCTGCTGTTTAGGGGTTCTTGTGCTTGTGGAAACTGGAAAAGACGTTGATGATGGGGTGTTTTCCGCCAATCGTCGAATATTTAACAGTCGGGTCGCGGATGCGGCTATGATTGTTGTCGCAAAGTTCCCAACAGTTCCACAAGCTGGTCTGCTACTACATACATAGTTAGATATGCTAGGTAGATCTGCTCTTCCATTTGCAACTTTCGTTTTTCCAGAGGCTTGGCACCACTACACACAGGGCCATTGTGGTTCTTGATCTCTATTCCGTCCTGGCGTGTGGTTCGTCTATCTTCAGTTTTTTTGCTCTCAACGGTAACGAACTTTAATCACAAAGAGGCCCAAGTATTAGGACTAGATATGTATAGGGGATGCCATGACTTACGTCTCGCGTCTGTCTTGGGGCTCATGCTATGCTGAGTAGGCGTTATCAGAGCTGGGTGATTTGCCCGGTTGGCGACGGTCTCTACACATCTCTAATAACACTCAGAGGTTTATACGTATGTTCAATACATATATAGTCGGAAATACCCTGTCGCAGATGGTGCATTTGTATGTCCCGGCTCCCTGATGATCTCTGGAAGAATTGACAAGAGGTCACTTGAGGCCTTTTTATTATCATGAAACCGCTCAAGCTTAAACAAATAAAAGACTTGAATGATAGTTAGGGATTGGTCAGCCCTGTATGCCAGTGACTAGTTATCTGGGAGAACCCTGCTCCAGGCCCATATCCCCGTAAACGCTATGTACTAAATGGCCTTGCCTGCCGGAACAGAAGACGAGGTGTCGTAGTCACTGCCCTGATCTTCACTGCGATCCACATTGTACTTGTCCAGATTGTCCAGTGACAGCTTCAGGAACTCATGCTTATTCTTCCATCTCACCTGAGACTCCACGAATCCTGAACTGTATGCTGGTGGAGGTGGTGGATCCGTGATCTTGGTAATCAAATAAGCTGTCGAGGCTTGAGCAATACCATACATGAGTACTCCGATGAATGGCGTCCGGAGAGCGATCGTGAAACCGAAGGCAAATCCAAACAGGACACCTTCGCGGTCGAGAAACCATCGACGTTTTTGCTCCTTATCGAATTTGACACGGGAAAAATAAGGCTCGAGCTGGTTGAAAGTTCAGAATGAGCAGCCAACGGATATGAATGCGAGAGCTGACTTACCAATTCTCGCATTAAGCTGCGGGATGCGAAGTAGCTGTGTAGAAAGGTAACAAGTAGTTTCCTGGGAAGGAATATACCCGACCCGAAGATGACAGCCGCTGGGACCGTTCCTACACTCTTTCGGAAGGCGTAGAAACTGGCCGCGGGCATAACAAATCGACCAACAACCGGAAGCAAGGACAGGAGGTATATTCCCACCCACATTCCAACCTTGCGGCCATATCGCTTCGCAAAAGCCGCCAGTGCCTGTGGCAATGGCTTGGAAGGTCCTGAAGGACCCTTGGTGGAGTACATTACAAGATTAGGGTAGTACATAGCGCGGAGTTCCTTGGGGTCATCCTTCTTATGCTTCTGGACATAGGTCGTGTCGACCCATCTCAGGGATTGCATGAAACTGCAATTGTCAGCATATCTAGTTTTGACCTGCTGCCAGGAAAACCTACATGTCATCCAGGGTGGGAGTAATATATCGCATCAACGTCATAAGAAGGAATGGCACCTGAAGCACGAAATTGGAAACAAAGTCCAAGCCCTCAAGGAGCTTGTCATCCCATGTGGCATGATCCAAGTCGGCAACTAATGATACTATCCAAAGCAAGACCTTGATCGCAAGGATCTGAAAGAATCAATCAATTAATGTCTAGTAAGCAAAGAAGCATTTGTTCTGCACGTACAGGTATCTGCACAATGATATGGATGGCAACTCCAGCGGCTATGGCAATTGCCGCTTGCCGAAAATGCTCATGTTTGAAGAGTTCCGGATTTTGAAGGGCGCGCACCGCTATTTCATATGTTTGATTAGACTCTATCCGCTTCGATAAAACTCTGCAGCTTGAGAGACTCACTTCCTACCACGGTGAGCTGGAAACCACGAATCACCGCATTGGGTTCGAAGTTGGACATGGTACCGTCAACTACTCCGTACCTCAGATATACGCAGGTTTCAATAGAGTTATTCGATCAAAAAAAGCGCTAATCAGATGCAAGAAGCATCAATGCACTTTATCATCAGTTTTCAAGTCCAGAACATCGAAGAGACTTGGTTCTTTGGCCAACTCGAGGCAGTAGCATTCCAGGCTGCTAGCCGCGTCACTGATCTGATAGCCGCGAAACACCGGGCAAACAGGACAAACTGGCCGAATCAGGCAGCTAGTCGGATGCCCGGGTCGATCATGGTCCGAGCGCGCGGTTAGATCACGTGCAGCACATGATTAAGCGCACGGGTCACGCGTTCCTGTCCCAGCGGGAGTCGCGACTGGGAATGTCTGGATTCCCCGCCTGCCGCCAACCAGGGATCAGAACCCTCGGTCGCAGAAGCGTCAGATACACTCCTTTTTCTATCCATGTTTGTTGACTCCTGTCATCCTCTGTGAGTCCGATGCCGTCTGCTCGACTCACAGTTCTATGTTGCCACTCCTTTGTTTCTCTTAACCGACCATGTCCACTCCCTACAATGCGGCCGTTGACGTCCAGCCGGTCCGCCGCGCCGTAACTCTCCCTACGAAACTCACGCATAGGAATCAGCCCAAGTCGGATTCACCTGAAGCCTCTGATACGCTTCTGTTCTACCATCCCTCCGTTAGGATTGTGCACTTCGCACCTCGTTCAGTTGTGCCGGTGCAGTTGAATGCCGCGCCCTCCGATTTCGATTATCCTGTGGACGCCATAGAAACACTGCCATGGAGATCTGCAACCGAAAGGACTGTTGCCTGTGGTCCGCTGAGATTTGAGCATATCCCAGGGTTAACAGCGTTTCTTAAGTGCGGAAACGTTGTTCATGCAATCCTCAAGAACTCCCAGTGCTGGTGTGTCGACGGGGTGTCTATCTTCGTCCTGCGCATCCGTCCACTTACATACTATCGCATTGAGCTTCCAAACGGAACCGAAGAGGATAAGCAGCGCGTTTCCGATTTGAAGATTGCTCTGCCGCAAATACTGCGTTACGAGATCACTCCATGTCCATTCAAAAGAGGGTTTACTGTCGAGATCCCCCTCGAAGCCATCCTCCCCAGAAGAAAGAAGGCATGGCGTCCGAGGTCGCGAGACAGCGCGCCCCCTCCACCCTCCGATGCATCGCAAGTCTCACAGGACTCTTGGATAAGTGATCAAGCGAGCACGGGGTATGATACTGATGGAAATGCGACCGATTTCAGCATCTCTGAGACCAACATCTCCGCGGCAGACTCCGCGGCAGACTCCACGGCAGAAATCGAGAGCGTCGCAGAGAACGACAAGTCGGTGCCTCCATTAGACATTCCCGTAAAGAGTGCATATGCACACTGCTCGGCACCAGAACTTCAGCCGAAAGTGAACACCCTGCCGGCGAGATTCGAGGCAATCCCAGAATCAGAAAGCGAGGCTGAGCAATCCACTCTCTCAACGAGTTCTGATTCTTTCCACTCTGTGCAGACCCCTGTGTCTCCATTACCACCTTCTCCGCCTTATTCCGATACCGCCTCTCCACCGCCGACACTCGATTTCGAGAAGAGATTGCCTATTCCTTCTCGTCGTCACAGCGGAGAGATATCCGAGATAAAAATAAATCCAGAGCATGTGTCCTCTGCTACACAAACTACTCCTCGCCTCTCTAATGGTGCCGCTACCTCTTTCGCGACGCAAACGTCTCCAGCGCACTCTACGTTTAGCGGGGTTTCTAGCACCTCAACTGCTGTGCCTATCTCACCAGGATTGCGCGATGCAGTGCCTTCTGCTCCTAGCGCTGCAAGCACTGGCGTTGAGCTTGAGGAACGAACCCTCAGAGTCATTTCCGAAGTCAGAGCTTCCAGGAAACGTGACCTATCGCCGATGCCTCCACCATCAATACTTTTCCAACCAACACCTGCTGACTCAGGACACCATCTAACGGCCTCAATCCTGCAGAAGACGTGCAGCATTGTCCTTGTGCCACCGTTCCAGTTGCTTGTACTGCTTATCCAGGTTGCAGCGAGAATTGCGGTGGGAAACGCCGTCGATCCTGCTCTTCACGACGCCAAGGACGGCAGCACTCTTGATTTCGAAGGCCAGGACGAAGAGGATGATTTCGGTCTTCCTATCACACCTGCCCTCTCTCGACAAGCTTCTAGATCGTCACAATCCAAAAACCCGGATACCTCTGAGCTAGACTAATCGCTTCCATTCCACTCATTTTGAATTTCCGTTCGAATTATGACTGATATTTGTTGTAATACTGTTTCACAACCAACCTGATTTATCTGAGACCTAGGTGGCTGGTCCACCTGCAGGAAAGCATCCATGGGCCGGATACGTGATTTTTTGGCGGTCTACTCTCTACGATTTTTCTTTTGTTGGATATCCACTGAGTCTTCTCCGCTTCTGACTCCCGTGTATATTTGATCTCGTTTTATGTATCGCATACCCTGTCTTTATAGCGTGCTGTATGATCAATAGAAGTTTATTCTTATCGTTAGATCTATTTCGTTCTCCTATCAGTTACTGTGGTTTGGCCGGCCTTCTTGTATATCGAGGGAAATTCTTCCCTCTCAGGAGAATACCTGGACGCCCCATGATTTCTTCTAGATACACGTGAAGCCCTAACAATTAGTTATCATTTGCAAAGCTGCTGACACAGCCTTGGTATTTCGTTCGTCGATCGGTACATTAAATGACAGGAGACGAAGTCTAGAACCCCCAAAACGCCAAAACTCATGCAACACTAGCCAGTTAATCCAGCGAACCAGCCATCCTCAGAATTGCAGCCAGCAATCCTTGCCATCACGGATACAGATTTTGAGACATCAAGTAAAGCAGCCAAGCTAACCTCCTCCCTCATCTCATGCCTTGGCAACCTTTCCAGCCTTCCCCTTCTTCTTCTTGCCGCTACGATCGCGCTTCTTCATGCCGACCATACCAGCCTTGCACACCTCCGCATATCGTACATAAAACGCCTCGATATCCTCGGGCGCGACGACCGTAGCCAGCTTCACTTTCGGGTGTGCGTCTTCTCTGCTCTTTGTTTTTGACTTGGGGTTCGCAGCATTTGTGTTTCCATCGGTGGCGCGGATGAGGATTGATGACTGAGATGGTGCAGAAGAGTCATCTGAAGAAGAGTTGTTGCCGGGTAGACGCTTTTGAGTCAGGTAGACGGAGCCACGCGACTTCTGTGTCGCGGTTGTGAGGAGGTTGGTGAGAGAAGAGAAGAACTGGTTGAAGATGGTAAGTTAGTGAACTAAATCCTAGAAGGAGCAATGCATTTATATCGCATATATTGTATGAGCGAGCGAAGGAAGGGCGAGTTTGTATGTACTTCGTCATGGTTGAGATGAGGCGCCATCTTGGATGATGTTCGCCGATTGAATTTGTGTGAATTCACCCGTATGAGCCTCGATGGGAGAATAGAGAGTTCCGTAAACGACGGGACGAGTCAATATAGAATAATATAAATGAAGAGGCAATATTCCCGGGCAAGAAAGAATATTATCTCTCGATCTCGAATTCGTAGTCGCAAACCGTGTCCGGAGAGGGGTCCAAGTGCCGGAGGAAGCTCGGGCCACATGGAGTCTTTTCTCCGCCTCCGCTCCGCAGAACCATTTCGGCGGCAGTAAAAAAAGTCAAGATCTTACCGCTCCGGTGGAGGAGCTCGCGAAGACATTTTTCAATATTTTTGTCTTTCTCCAGCTCCCCAATTTATTTAACGATGCCGCGTCCTATGCACAAGACGACGGCGTTGCCGCGGACGCTTCGTGATGAGCTGGGAATTAAGGATACTTATGGTGAAAAGAAACGCAGACGGAATAATGGACCCGCGTCTCGCAAAGAGCGGCGCAAGGAAGAGAGAGCTCAGAAGAAAGGTCGTCATGTACCACCGCATGTGAATCGGAGACAGTTACATCACGAGGATGACGACGAAGGTACCGATTTTGGAGGATCAGACTTTGGCTCTAACGAGTCTCAATCGGAAGAAGAGGAGGACCGTTCGACGAAGTCCAAGCCTACGAAATCAACGAAGCAACCGAAATCTATACTGAAGAAGTCTAAGAAAAGAGATGTCTCCAATGAGGAGGATGAGGATGGACCCGCTGAGCCAAAATTGCCCAAGGCTGTGAAGGAGAAGCTGGAACAGGACGATGCAGAAATCGCTGCGCTGGAGAAGAGGCTTGGGATCAAAGGAAAGAAGCTGCCCAAGTCCTTCCAGGAGGATGGCCTGGATGAGCTGCTGGGTGACTTGGCCAATGGTTCGGATATGGAAAGCAAGAAACGCAAACGAGAAGCGGATGACTGGTTACAGATGAAGAGAAGGAAAGCACGAGGTCTCGCATCTGATGAGGAAGACGATGAGAGCGACAGTGACCTTGGCAGCGATGACGGCCTGTCCGACCTCATGGATGGCCTTGACGAAGATGAGGAGGAGGACGAAGATGACGTTGATCTAAATGAGAGTGAGGATGGCATCGAGGAGGACGAGGAGAGCGGCAGCGACGACGAGGATGGTGACTTCGAAGGGTTTGATGAGGAAGAAGAAGAAGAAGAAGAGGCACCTCGAAAGAAAGTCAGAGAGAATCCTTATGTGGCTCCTGTGTCGAACGGAGAGAGCAAGCAAAAATACATACCTCCATCGCTCCGTGCACCAGCCGCATCTGAATCGGAGTCACTCACCCGCCTGAGAAGACAAGCTCAAGGGCATCTCAACAAGCTCTCCGAAGCTAATCTCGTGTCCATTCTCGGAGAGATCGAGAAGCTTTATCGTGAATACCCTCGACAGAATGTCACATCTACCCTGACGACATTACTGCTGAATCTTCTCTGTGAACGATCGGTTATGCAAGACACTTTCGTTATCCTACATGCCGGTTTCATTGCAGCCATCTATAAAGTTGTGGGCATGGACTTCGGTGCGGAGATAGTGCAGAAATTGGTCGAGACGTTCGACAAAGGCGGTGATGAAAGAGGCGCATTCGAGGGCAAGGAGGCCATCAACCTCATGTCTTTATTGTCTCAACTTTATAACTTCCAGGTCGTTGGAAGCACGTTGGTGTTCGACTACGTTCGCATGTTCCTTGAGAAGATCACTGAATCCAACACAGAGCTTCTCTTGAAGATCATCAGAAGTATGACCCAAATGACACCTGGTTTCACCCCTGGACTCTTTACTGACTGACGTTGCAGATTCTGGCCCCCAATTGAGACAAGATGACCCTTCTTCCCTCAAAGACATCGTTCTCCTCATTCAACCTGCGATAGCCCAGGTTGGCGAGGAATCCCTGTCAGTTCGTACAAAGTTCATGATCGACACCATTACCGATCTGAAAAACAATCGCATGAAGACTGGAGTAGCGGCGTCAGCTTTGAGCTCCGAGCACATAACCAAGATGCGCAAGATCCTGGGCTCATTGAACAACTCCCGTACGATCCGTGCGACAGAGCCGATTCGGATCTCGCGTATGGATATTCTCAATTCGTCGAAGAAGGGGAAATGGTGGCTCGTGGGCGCAAGCTGGAAGGACGATCCTCTCGAAGCTGCTAGGCAAGAACTCGGCAGTCTTCCTCGGAATGAAGCCCCTGTCGAAGACAGCGACGGAGAACCAGACCTCGTTAGCATCGCAAAAGCTCATCGTATGAACACAGATGTTCGTCGGTCGATATTTGTGGCAATCATGTCCGCAACTGACTACCGGGATGCGCATGTGCGTCTGCTCAAGCTCCGCCTAAAACGAACGCAAGAACTCGAGATACCCCGTGTCCTCATCCATTGCGCTATGGAGGAACAGGCGCATAATCCATACTACACACTTATCGCACGCAGAATCTGCGGGGAGCTAGGACGCCGCATCAAGGTCTCCTTCATGTTCTCCCTGTGGGACATTTTCAAGAAGATGGGTGAGCAAGGAGACCTGGACGAGGATGAGGATGACAATTTTGGTGCAGACGAGGAGGACAACAAACTCGAAACCAAATCCGTTGTCAATCTCGCAAAGATGTACGGCAGTCTGGTGGCTGACGGGTCTCTGACTCTGGGCATCTTGAAGAACCTCAACTTCGCCTACCTCCAACCGAAGACGAGCATGTTCGTCGAACTCCTCATCATCACTATCATCCAGCAATCGCAAAAGCAAAAGCAAAAATCGAAGAAAAAGGATGGCGAAGAAGACGCACGAAACGAGAAGCCTCTTATGGAGGTATTCCTTCGTACACGCGACACACCACAAGTTGTTAAAGGCCTGATCTATTTCATACGCAAGGTCGTTGCGAAGACAGACATCGTTCCGACAGATAAGGAACGGAAGCTGGTGAAATGGGGATGCAAAGTCGCCGTGGATGCGCTCAAGATAGTCTCAGATGGCGAGTCCGCTCTTGATGCGTGATAATGGCCGCTGTTACGCTGATTTGATGATTGTGATTTTCCCGTTTTGTCATCTTTATGTATAGAGATACCTCTCATTGTTTGACTGGGGAAAAGTTTGTGTGCTTTTATCCTGTAAAGCGAGGACCGTCGCGCTCTTGTACGTCATACTGTATTTACTCCCGTATGTTGCTTTGCAACCAGTCTCTAGCTCTGGGTTTTCTTGATCTGGCCTAGCAAAGAAGGTTATATTATTGATTCATGATATTTATAGAATAGTAGCCAGTTCCACTGTACTGAGAAAATCACTAGGGGTTAGAGGCATCTAAGATTTCCATAGACGAAAAATCTTCCGCGAACACAGCTCTCCAAAGCTTGGTACCCGGGACATCTTTCTTCAGATTAGTAGTGCAATATAGACAGGGAGTAGGTTCCTATAAGGTTTACTTACTGTAAGGGCGCGGAGGCGAAGTCCGGCACTCTATGATCAACCAGTTTCGCAGCCAGCCCTTCTGAATCCACGGAGTATAGCTCCCATTATTCACAAATCGTGAACAGTGGGCGTGCAGTCTATCTCCGTCTCGCAACAGTTCGATACCCCATGCGACGTCAGCAAGTCTGAAATCGATGCGGCCATCGCCATCGCCCAACCATTCACTAGATACGTTCGACGAAAATCCGAGAACCTCCTGTAAACACCGATAGAATTCGTCTTGGTAACAAACTTCGACAGGCCATATAATGGCTCCAGTGCCTACCCGCGTTGTGGATGATATATTTTGACGGAAGTCGACTGCACGACTAGACCAAGGAGGAAAACTCCTTACAGATCTGGCCCCTAGGTCTGATATATTTCTTAGCGGAAATTTCCTTAGTACCGCTTCCGCTAAATCCTCAATGGTGGGGTATCTTTGTATGGGGAACGGGACCGAAGAAGCAGTGAGATAGTGCTCAATATACCTATTCGAATTAGTAGACTTCAAGATAATGAAAAGAAGCATGTTCCTACTTAGCATTCAGTCTCGTTGGAAACACACAAACAATATCGATCGCATCGGCATCGAGGGGTTCCGAGTGCAACCATCCCCGTTCGTAACATGTTCTAAATGCCGTCATTGCTAAGGTCACGTTGAATGCTTCCATTCTTCAAAACTTCTCGGAGAACGTCTGCTGCATGGTAGCGGAGCGTTCGTCGGTCTACAAAAGACCGTTTAACTTCTGTTTGTTCGAGAAAGGGGAAAGACTCCTCTTCGTTGTCCATAATCATTAACTAGGACTTACCTTGTGAATCATGCCAAGTGCACTGTAAACAGCTCCAGGATGTCCATTAGTCAGGGAAAAGATATGACGGAAGTCGACTGCAAAATACCGTCGAATTCTTCACGGGTATAAAGAGGCTAATCTGTGGGGAATCTCCGATTCTCGATATGGTGATAGATATTCGCTGTTGGACCCCGAGATGTGCAAGTGTGCTACCAATGGGGTGGGTGTCCGGTCCCTCATAGGGGCTGCCATATGATGGAAATAAGCAGATTCTCGAACCATATTGGCGGCCACTCTGAGACTTGATAGAGTTTAACCACAGTCCATAATCTCCATAGGAAATTTGCGCCTCGTCGATGAGAAAGGTAGTTTCTACATCTTTGACAGTCTCTTGACGGAAGTCGACTCGACTACTAGACCAAAAAGGAGAACTCCTTAGACGTCTGGCCCCTAGGTCTGATAGAATATATAAAATTCGAAATACAGTGCTGTTGCAGGAAAGTAGGATGGGAAACAGAAGATGGAGGAGCTGGGATGGAGATGGTCAGTACACTTTAAGTATTCCCCGTCAGTGTATTTAAGTACACCGCCTTCTTTGCCCGGCCTTCAGGAAAATGTATACTAGAATAGACGTAATAAGTTACTTTAGAAAGCTTTGCCCCATTTACATTTACTTAAGGACAGTTTTTTTAGGTACGAGTGGAAATAATAAGGCCGTATATGGCCTCCATGGTCGTCATTTTCGGCGCCAATTCCACAGGTCCTCGCATTCTGACTGTAATGATACAAGGTCTGTGCCTTTTCCACGTTTGGGTGTCTCTATTTCTTTTTATAGCGACGATCATCTAGTCAACCGTGGAACTAGAATATATTACAGCGAATTATCATCGTTCACAGTATCATATAATTTATCGTAATATTTCCCATTCCAAGCCAACCAGCCATTTCTCTTTATTCTGTGCTGCCGTCGCCTCGCCGGGTCGACTGTCTAAACCACGCACCGTATCCTCAAATCCAAGCTCGACTTCCCATAGAAGACCATGGTGAACACCGACTACGTTATTCTTGCTGAGTTTAGGCGTCTGCTCCGAAGCCGTAGACGGTCCGAACCCTGTAGACTTCGACTGCGGTGGCCCAACTAGGAGCAGATTCCTATCCTGCGACGAGGAGTATTGACTAGGCTGCAGTGGCTGTATTTCTGCAGAATGTCCCTTGACAAGGGTAAAGGGCCCCGAGGCCAGCGTTCCTTGGCTAGCATTAATAACCTCTGCTGTTAGAAGGAATTTCTTCTGTTCTGGTGAAACATGTGTCTGTGCGGAGTTCGACATAGTCCTTCTATTATGCTCCCCGGTTGCTGCAGTCTCCAGAATCCAGCTCCGCACTTGAGTAGCCATACCACCAGGTACATAGCTTGGAGTATTAGACCGCGGCCTTCCCCGTCCCAAAGAGCGTGAGGATGGCGAAAAGGGTGTTGGGATAGAATGATCGTCAGTTTGGTATGACGGGGACGGTGAGCGCGGCAGTACGAATGCTGGTTTCTTTCTCTGCCGGGGAGACTGAGGTGCTGGCGTGCTGGACCCGAATCGTATCTGCGGAGAAGGGCGCGATACGGACTGAGACGCGCTAAATAGAGAACGAGGGGGGGCTCGAAATGGAGTCTTTGCGGCTATAGAAATGCCAGGTCTTGATGTTTCAGTCGTAGCAGAAAGACTCAGTCGAGGTGCTGGCGTAGCTATTGGTGCTGTCGCTCTAGGAAGCGCACTTGGCCGAGGGGATCCATTCCGCGCTTCGGAAGGCGAAGGAGGCTCAGAAGGAGATGAGTGTATAGGGTCCAGGTGAGAGCGTCGACGATAGGAAGAGAATACCTCCGGATCAGCAGAGACACGACGTCTCTTGACCCGGTTCGGAGTAGGCGGGAATATCTCATCGAATTCCGCGACTAGATCTCTTTCCCCGTCACGGGGATGTGAGTCAGGGACGTCATGCTGGGCGCCAGAACCTGGAGAGTTTGATGGATTCGCGTCTTCCTCTTCTGAGTCTTCTATAGCATCTTTTTGCCGAGAGGATGATGGCGCTGTATTGGATCCTAGTTCGCGTCGCGGACGAGCCACGGGGGATGAAGGTTCTTCCTCATCACTACTGTAGATTTCATCTCTACTGAATCGACTAGGAGTACTCCCTGGAAGAACAAATCTAGGAGTCGATGCAAACTGTCGTCCCGCACTGGAGGAGGCCGGAGAGCGGAATGCCAGCCCTGCTCCTCGCGCGGAAGCGGAGCGGGGACGTTGCGACGGTAGGCGAAACGGAGAGGGGGTCTGTATAGATTGTCAGCGTCCAGATTTGAATATTTCTAGGCCATTACTCGGGGTTCATACTCCTATAGGAGGCATGGGGTATCCTGTAGTTGTACGAGCATCTTTGAGTTAATGTAAGAATCAGAGAGATCAAATGTCTGATACAGTAAGCTGCACACCGCCTTCGACACAGGCACAAATGGACTGCTTTCGAGATACTTCTTATGATAGGTAATGGCAAACGTTGTATAGCTCGTGAGCAATGGTATTGATCTTTGGCTATAGTGTCCCTCTGTCCCAGCATTCAGTGGTGGTCGTTCACCATATTCAGTGTATTGTAGCTCGGGTGGCCGAGATTGCTATTGCCACACAAGGAGAATCAATTCTTTTAGTAGCGCAACCACATCAATAATAATAATAGTAGTAGTAGTAGTATGGGTCTTCAAAGGAGACTCTGTACCCATAGGTGTAGGTTCACAGGATATGATGAGGGGAGGAAAGAAAAAAAAATGAAAAAAACAATTAGCATGTCCTGGTTTCGATCCAGGGACCTCCGGGTTATGAGCCCGCTATTGTAATGTTAGTGAATTTGATCAATATATATTGGGTCACGTGATTTCTTACGCGCTCTCCCCCTGAGCTAACATGCTCTGATTATTGAATATATAGTGGCAGGTGGATTTTAAGAAGGATTTTTAGTTATCATAGCTATATTTTCTTAAGTTAGGGAATTATTATTTAAGCTAAGACATAACTAGTTAGTTAGTTAACTACCTTCTGTGCTTCCCCAGCTCTCTTATTATGTCTTTGTTTATAGGGGATTGCGGATGTGACTTTCTTGTTGTAGTGCAAGAAGATCCATTCAAACCCTACAAGAGGCTAGTTGTTTCCTTGAGTTTAAAGTTGATTGAAAACATATCTAGATTTTATGATGCGGATTACACCCATCTTTTGTAAAAAGATAGAGGTAAAGTCCAGCAGAATCTTCATCAGGGTCGATCATTCCAGATAGAATCCTGGCCACGATGGTGTCATTGACTCTTAGAAATGCCCTGGGTTATTTACGAAGAATCGAAGGGCCATATTCGTCTGTCGACATCAGCTGGCAGGGGAAAGTAAAATGAAAAGAGCACATAGGTACACCTTCGAAGAGACCAAAAAGCGTGACGAGTTTGATGACATTTTGCCGAATCCTAGGGCACGGAGATAATATTAGGATCTATACTGGCATTTGGAAGTAAAATCTCTGAATTGCCCGCTATCCTAATTAATTGGAATCTATCACTAGTTTTATGCTAGAAGACGAATGAAGAACAATATTGCTGCGTAATCCACCTGAACAAGCGGTAAACTGTTCACATCGGGCAGCTTGTCCAACAAAAAGGACATATAGACCCACTTTTTGGCCTGAAGATTATATCTAGGTTCCTCACATGCAATTCTTGCTTCCAGTTCCTGAGCACACTTCACGAATTCACATGTGAAATGAAGGCTTAGCAAATAAATGACAACCTAGAGTTGCATGACAGATGGAGGAGACCCGGAAAGCCTCATCCCCGAGTTCCTTGTCCACATTACTCGGAGAATTTCTGACATAGACGTCCACTGAAGAATCTCTAGAGCAATATCACAGATATTTCTCTCGGGTTTAAAAGTAGCATAAAGTCTTGGAGTCTGAAGAGAATCAGCCTCTAAGACATGTCTCTGGTTTTTGTTATCCAATGACCCTACCAGTCGCGGAGAGTCGGGGAATTCCCCGTGTAGGATCCAGGAACGGGCAGCTGATCTGATGGCCCACCCATCCACACGTATATAGATTGCATCTTCTCGTCGACTCATATTATGGGACCTCCACCTACGGGGTTGACCGGGCACACCTATAGAATGGTTTGGATCCTCTGTAGTGGATTATTGTTCTCGCGGAAGGATACTACTCAACCACTCTCTTTGCTCCCATGAATGCCTTACTGAGGTATCAGCAGCCACACTCATGAGGCAGTTTATGCGGTTTCTTTCCCCACGGATGGGTTGCTGGCCAATTGAAGGATATCGCAAGGTGGTTCCTGATATCCAACGTACGATGCCCGCATTTCTATTATCTCATGCTAATCGTCGAGGAGAGAGAGTCTGGAGCAGGACGATGAAGATAAATGGAGGCCATGAGCCCATCGAGGTGAGGAGGATAGGCCCAGCAAAAGTGAGTAAGTGTCAGTATCAGTTTCCCAATGGCTTTCTTCAGCGTCCCTGTCTCTGCGGCCAGCTCCGCCCCCGTTTCCGCCCCCGTTTCGACGTCTTCTTCTCCCGCTCTGGCTTGTCCTGTCTCCAACTTTGCCCCCGTTTCGACCTCTTCTTCTTCCTTTTCTTCCTCTTCCTTTTTTTCTACTTCTTCTTCTTCTTCTTCTTCTTCTTCTTCTTCTTCTTTCCCCCTTTTTCCGAGGTCTCCTGCCTCCGCTTTGCTGCCTCCTTATGCCTCGGTCTCGACCCCTGCCATTCCCCCTGTCCATCCCTCTGACTCTCTTGCTTTTGCTGGTCTCCTCCCTCCTACGCCTCATCCTGAGGCTCTGATTGTTCGTCCGCTTGTTCTGTTTGTTGCCAGGTCCTCCGCTGGCAGACATGACACCACTATGGAGTTCTTGAGAAATAGTCTCTGTGGTACCCGTAGAGACTATGAACGTGTCTATGGAGCCTTCGAGGCCGATTCCCCCGATTTAACATTCGTGCATGGCTCGAATCGGCCGTTTGCGCCTACGGGGCTTATTGCAACCCGTATTAGAACGTTCTTAACTCGAGCGGAGAACGAAAGACGAGATGTAGTTCTGGCCATAAATGGCTGGGACGGTCTTACGACAAATGAATTATCATTTGCCTCTCTTTTCCGGCCTGTAGAGAAGGTATGTACACATTCCCATTTTTCATTTTCATTGATGTCGATATACATAGATCGCTGTGAAACTCCGGATCTATGTCGATTCGCCCCGTGTTTTCAAAGAGGCCGACGCTGCTATTGCAGCGAAGGTGTTCACCGGAGAGATTGATATTGAAACAAATGGACATCTGCTTCCGGATTCCACGGCTCAATTTATCTCTAAAGTGCGAGCTATTGGCGCTGCAAAGTTGCTGTATGAACTATAAATTCCCCTGAAAAGCTGGCCATCTAATTTATATTATTAGGCTCTCCTCGGATATGCAGAGCCTCCTTAGTGAATCGCACCAAAGAAACACTCCGCCGAACCCTGGATCCCTGCAACGCTATAAGTGCGCTCAATGTGGCAAGGAAATGCCGACCATACAAACCCTCAATGTGCATCTTAATAGATCGCACGGTAACAAGGTCTCTTGCAAGTATTGCGGGATGATATTTGGCAGAAAGGACCACCGAGATCGGCATGAACAAGCGGCTATCTGCCCCGAACATCCAGACTATGTGGCTCCAGAAAAGAAGCGCCGGGCACCAAGAGGCATCTCTGAACGTTTCCAGAAGCGTGTAGAGACAGCCGCGAGCCGGGGTAATCCCAGCTCGGACAACGCCTATCCGGCGTACCACGAGTTGCAAGCTAACGACTCGAGATTTCCACGGGTTGATATTGACAAGCCCATTGTTTATCGAGGAGAGGTCTTCTGTCGATTTCCGGCGTGTGTTCACCCGGTAAGTATTATGATTTCTTTCTTAGAATATTTCTTTCTCACAAGCTAATATTGTTCTAGACTAAATTCAGTGAGACAACTAAGTTGAGAACTCACTATAAACTGAAGCATGGGCTCATGTACCCGGCCTACACGGTCGGGAGAATGTTCCCGATTGATGAGAAAACACACGCCGATGGTTTGGAGTGGTTGGCTCGCTGTGTCTATATGGGAGAGGATACTGCTGGCCCCCAGCCAGTGCCAGAACGGCGTTGACAGAATGTAAACATACTATATAGAAATATTGATATTTCTATGCCTTCTCTCACCGAAATAGCTCATTACTCCTTATGTCCCGAATGAAATCCTAAAGCTGCGAGCAGATAGGTCGCCGGGCTGCCGCGTCGCGTAGGGCTTAACAATCATTCAAACATACCTTAACGGCCTTAGAATAAGTCTCTGATCGGAACCAGGGAATGCTATCATCCTGTATTTTTTGATTTCTTTTCTTTCTTTTTCTTTTTTAACCTCCAAGTTATCTGTCATGTTCCGAGGGGTCAAGCTGGCCCTGTGAAGCTTATATCCTCCTCAGGGGCGTAAATAACCTTTCCACCAGATAAGATACTCCGTGACAACCTTATTCCGGCGCCTTGCAACACGTTTGTCGAACATGGCTTCGAACTTATTACCTCCATTGACTGCAGAAGGCCTCGTCAGAAGTTGCCGACCAAAAGTGTCTGCTTCGGAGCTGATTCTAGCTGCACGACTGAAATCACTGGATGATTCCACTGGCTGAGCATAAACAGTACACTGTCTCCTATAACACCCTAAGGTTTGATGGCTTCAATATTTTTGAGAGCATCAGCTAAAAGATTATTGTTGGATTGCCTCCTAATAGCTGATCACGTAGTGCAACAATCCCCCTGCTCGAGAAAATGTGGCCATAATATGGATGCCCTTCTTAAAACTTAGCTGGGTCTAGACACTCACCAATCAGAGCATGTTAGCTCAGGGGGAGAGCGCGTAAGGAATCACATGACTCAAATACATACATTGAACTGATCCACTAACATTACTATAGCGGGCTCATAACCCGGAGGTCCCTGGATCGAAACCAGGACATGCTATCCAATTCTTTTTTTTTCCTGTTTAGAGCAACCCTTCTTATAAATCCTAACCTTCTCTAACAAAATATAAATAAATTAATATACTATTAGTGGCTAACTAGTATATATCTTTTATTGATTCTTTTTCTTTAAGGTATTAAGTGATTCACCGCCTTCCTTGTTCAGGAATAAAAAAAGGGAGAGTGAAAAAAAGAATTGGATAGCATGTCCTGGTTTCGATCCAGGGACCTCCGGGTTATGAGCCCGCTATAGTAATGTTAGTGAATTTGATCATTTTATATTGGGTCACGTGATTCCTTACGCGCTCTCCCCCTGAGCTAACATGCTTGTGGATGTGTTTTTGTCGCCTGGATCGTCTTAACTGGGCATTCAAATTCCTGGGCACTCAGGCATTTATCTCACACCTTCCTTTTAGGAACTATACAGACACACACCCGGTATACGGTGCTATATACGGTGATACCGATGGTTAAAATCCTCTTCCGGACTTCCCAGAGCGGTCTGCTTTATTAAGATGATGTATTGAGATAGCAGTAGCTTACGGGCGTGGCAACATGTGTATATATATAGAGAGGGAGATGTAGATATACAGCATCAATTTAAACCAAACTCGATCTACTCCGATCATAACCGGTGGCTCCGCTCGAATCCTTGACACGCCGATGAGATAAAGTATTCAGTCTATAAAACCCAAGCGGCATCCTGCGGTCATAACAATGTACGCCGAGTTCTGTGGCTAAGAGGGCCATTCACCAGTAATGTGACATTTCTGGATGATAGATGTGAAGGTTGGGTGAAGATCTTAATCTTTTGTTCTTAATTACCTGCTACTCCGCCTATGTTATGATCCTTTTGGTTTAGACACGAGTATTTCGGTTTCTGGCTGAGGTCCGAGATTCTGAGTAGAGCGTTCGTGCTCTTTTGCGCAAGTCTTCGAACCTCGCAAAGAGGCGTATCTATGTGTAACTTGGGCGAAAAGGGGAATATGGGTGACAGCAACAGCGGTCAATATACCGTCGAGTAGATCTAGTTAATATCTGGGATGCCCCAAAAATGTACAGCACACAGATACAAAGGACACATTCCAGGCTCCTATATCAAGCCCTATGTCGGAAACCTGGATAAGCTATCCAACCCCTGGCCGAAGGCTGAGACTACCTACTACTGGAGCCTTCGAAACTCCGTAAATCCCAAACGACACCAAAACAAGCATGAAAATGCTAAAAGATCTTGATGGTCTTATAGTTACCATACCCGGTTATAAGAACCGTAGGGGCTAGTCTTATCTAAACGTCGACCTTAAGAAAAGTCTTGCTTCTTATACCCCGTGTCTCAGTATCAACACTCTTGCAAGCGGTTGCGGATATTTTGTCCATACTCGACCTGCTGGTAGCTCTTGCGAATCTTACATCTCTAGTATTGCTCGCAGGGTATGAACCTCAGACATCAAAAAGTAATCAGCAAATGCATCCTAAGTTCTGGTGTACAGCAGATTGCGCGCATAGAACAAACACCTGTCAAAACGAAACTCAGAGACCCAGAAATTATCATCCTGCTCCAAACCCACCATCCCATCCCGAAGCTCCCATCTACTCTTTCAGACCCAAATCAACCTTTCCCAAATCCTTAAAATCCTCAAAACACTGCCCCATCGCTCTTCCCTTATCATCAAAAATGACTCCTTCCCCTTTCAACAACTTCGTCTTCTCCACAGCATAACTCCCCCCATTTCCCCACGCTCCCTTGTACCCTCCAATCGTCCGATCCGTCGCCAGGACCCGGTGGCACGGCACATCCGGTGCGAATGGATTCGTTCGCATGGCATTCCCGATAGCACGTGCGCTGGAGTTGAGATGTGTGGATAACGCGGCGTATGTGGTCCAGCGGCCTGGAGGGACGGAGAGAAGGGTACGGTAGACGAGACGGCGGTAAGGGGTCAGAGTGGGGTGGGAAGAGATGCGGTGGAGGGATTTGGTTATTGAGGAGAGTGTAGGTGGAGAGAGCAGAAGAGTGGTGGTAAGGGCAATGGGTGATGTGGATTGGTGTTTCTGGTTCTTATGGGTTTTGAACGGCTGAGATGGAGAAGACCGTTTGATGATTTTTGAGGAAATGCTGTGTTTATGTAGAACGGCAGTTTCTGATTTGAGTTTCTTGGTTTGATTCTTTGCAGTGTTGACATTTGCCGTTGATAAGGCGGTGTCGGTAGATGATGTATGGTCTTTCTCCATTGTGTTGGGAATCCTTATGGACGTAAGTCTGATGTGGGAAGGCTCCGAGATGGAGAGGCGGATAGTTGATGTACCCAGCCTAGTATCGAGCTGAAAACAATCCTGAATGAGTAGATTTCCGATCTGCTTGTAGTGAATAGATGTTTTGTTGAGAAACCACTTAACGCGTCCAGACGCGTCGAGTCGACGATAGGAGTCTCGAAGAATATGTACCACAGGGACGAAATATCCCCGATAGTCCACCGGTCAGGTCTCTTAACTCACTGGCATAATAAACAGATACTTGAAAGGTAGAGGGGAGAACTGATATAAGAAGTGTTTGCCGAAATCAAATCCGTCTCGCATTAATCATGCTGCTCCGGAAATGACCAATGAGGATTGTGGAATAGACAGTGCGATGAAACTGGCCAATCACAATCACCTGAGGTGTTCTCTGCACATGGCTTTACAATGTCCACCTCAATTCTAACGCGTTTCCAGTATTTTCAAGAGCAGATAAATAAAATAAACGTACAGCGTTTCATTAGTGAAATAGATTGGATAAGTCCTCGAGTATCTCCAATGTTTGTGTACCTAGAGCCTTACGCTCCGAAGACGGTTACAAGCTTGTCGCAAGTGCATAAAACCACATTATAGTTATGGCAATCTATATTCATGGATTGCACCATTCATCGAACATCACCGGTTATTTCGTGTTATCTCGTCACTCATTCCAGTACACGTAGTTTCTCATCATGGTATTACAACGCACATCGAATAGACGCGATATCCAACCACTTCCACAATAAGGTAGAATGGATGATGATCCTATGCGGAGTTCACATGGTCAACAGCAACTTTATCGTCGGTTGAAGTTACTTTTCTATCCAAGTCCAGAGTCAGCGCAGGCGCATTAGACCGCAATGGCTTTCCCGTCTCTGGGTCAACGACACTGTGGTTACGACTGGTGCCCTGGACCAAGTCCGGGTTTTCGGCCTTGAGTCGAGCAAAAGTACGTTCTGCATCCCAATTCCAGGGAGTGTCTGCTGCAAATAGCAGGTCCATATCCTCCAGAGTGCGTTGGTTACTCTCCGGATAAAGAGCCCAGACCATCGGAATACTGATGACATTGCTGATAGCAAAGATGTAGAGGGTCTTCTCTCCAATGGCGCTGAACATGACAGGGCAGAGAAGGGTCTGGGAGCACAGCATATCAGATTTGTCAACCATAGGATGGATAAGGGTCGGAACTTACCAACCAGCCATTTCCAATACTCCAGCCTACCACACCCCAGGCGTTACCTCGCGCTCGGACAGCCAGGGGGAAGATCTCAGCAGGATACAACCAAGGAACAGTCAACCAAGTCGCACCGAAGACAGAAGTGAAGATGAAGACCATGGAGGCTGCTGCCGCACCGTACTGGGATGCCTTGGTTGCATGACCGGCCGCGGTAGCATCTATGCCCAGCCGAGAGAACCCACCCGCAAGGAACATGGCAATGCCTTGTACAACCGCACCCCAGTACAGGGTCCAGCGACGGCCAATGCGGTCCAATGTGAAGACACAAATGAGGGTGGCAAACTGACCAGGTGTCAGACAGATTCATTTGTGTTACTCAGATGACGTACCATGTAAAAGATGTTGTTCAAGCCACTGATCCATTGGCTCTTATCTGCATTGAAACCAGCGATCCGGAAGATTGTAGGCGCATCTTGAAATTCGGTCAGTCATCCCACAACTCTGGATCTGACAGGGAAGAATGGAACATACATATAGTAACACCTGCAATACCAACCCATTCTTGAATGATCTGCAGCCAAATAACCAGCTGGACACGACGACCGATGTGGAGTTTTCCAGACTTGTAGCCGAATAGCATCGCCAGATATGAATTGCCGTGAGCAATTGTCTTCTCAAGTTCCGCGATATTCTGGATGTCTCGGAACTCGGCATTCACCCTGATCAGATCTTCACCCTGACTACCACGGAGACGGCCAAGAATATAACGGGCTTCCTCATCTCGACCGACTTTGACAAGCCAACGAGGAGACTCTGGGAAGAACCACACAATGGCGAAGAGAAATAGCAAAGGGATAATCTGGAAGGCAATAGGAAATCGCCAGCGAATCGCAGATGCTCCTGCATCAATAAAAGACAAGCCACTGTAGTATACAGTCAGAATGGTCACAGAATGAAGTATCTATGATAATACGTACTACTCCAACCAGTAGGCAATGACAACGCCAAAGATATTGAGCGTAAACTCAATGGCGATGAATTGCCCTCGAGATGTGTGTTCGGCCTATTGACATGGTTAACGGAGATCGGAGACACGAAGACGACGACTAACAGTTTCTGTGGCCCATACAGGCACAATGGCATTCAAAATACCCGTTCCGATACCGTTGATGAAGCGCGCTATATTTATCAGCCTTTGCAGTAAAGAACTTTTCAGAAGCTTGAGTCTTACCGCAAATCATCCAATTGTGATTTTGAGCAGAACATTGCAAAGCTGCACCAAATACTGCCCACAGCGCTCCGGCAGCGATCGACTTGACTCGACCTATGCGGTCTCCAAGCCAGCCACCAAACAGTGCTCCGCAAAGAGTGCCCAGATAATAAACAGAGACAATTCCGCCTTGGAGGAGACTGTTTGTAACCACTGGTGTGTTAGGGGTTCCGTCTACGGTCGTAGTATAGCCGAAACCCATAAGGTCGATGTAGTCTTTCGCATTATTGACACCACCCATCATACCCTATCACGCAATCTGTCAACGGCCCATCGAGGCTTCATTGTGGTAATTCTGCTATACCTGGTCATAACCGAAGAAAAGAATGGACAACGCCGCCACACAGTTAATAGCTACGAGAAGGCTACGCTTCTCAAGCTTGTGGACAATATTCCACGGGGGTATTTTATCACTCATTGCGAATATCTGTCTGTCCTGGAAGGCTGTTCTAGTTCACAGAAAATGTGCAGGAAGAAGAAAAGGAACTCCAACGGTAAGAGCATCACCTTATGAAGAAATTGGTGCCTCTCAGGCCCAGACCATGACAGATGGGCTCAATAGAGTGGATACAGCTCCAAGGCTGTTGGCGGCTGTACCATAGAGGGGTCTTAATTGTTTCGAGACCATTCTGATCACTACGGACATTGTGGTGGCGCTCCAACTATTTAAAGCTGCAAAGAATGTAAGAGACTCTGGACCATCTGGGACGCACCCCGCGTGCAAGTTTATCATCCGTGCTTCAGCGTCTAGACCTGAGCAGGATAATATGATGTCGATCCCATACAATTTTGCCTTGAGTATTCGGGAATATTCGCAGATCGGCCTGTCCAGTCCACACTACTGGACAATTACTCCTCCCCGTGGGACAAACTGGAGAAGGCGCTTGATTGCTATTAGCGGGGTCTGTACTGCAAAGGGAACCTGGAAGCGCTCGAGATCGGGCTCTGAGAGCATCAATTCGGTAATCCGATCTATCTCCAGGCAGAAGATAACCCGCTCCCAGCGAGAGAAAGCCCTCTGATTCGAGTAGCATTTGCTCTTTGTGGCCATGATCTCCAAACCCTGACTCAGAGTGGTGTGACTTCATGGTCTAACTTCATGAACTAGCCTCGTGCAACACACGAGATTCTATCTCGAAATCTCTGTACATAGTACGTATATCGTTGGCTCTCGGCATATCCTTTCGGGATCCCACATGGGATGGGATTCACAGAGACTCAACAAGGCGCAAGTGAGCCTGTCGGTTACACCGTGGTTGTCCTGGAGGTAGACAATTACGTCGAGGTCATACCCTTTGCTGGTTAGTGGTTAGGGACTGTGCATCGCATCCCTTGAAGCGGGGGAAAGACTCGCGGGGATACTTAAGCCTGGGGATCGGATCGTGGAGAGAAACTGGGGGCGATCGGGAAAAGTCCGAGGGTCAGTTCGTTGGCGTCAAAATTAACCGTCGGCTTGGACCGGTGCGCGCAGTCGGGTATTTTTGGTCTCTTGCGGATTGTATTCTCCATGCAACTCCTATAAAGGACAGGATGAAGAAGCAGACTTCGATTGATCCACCGCAAGGCACTTAATGCTCTCCTGTCCAAGTGTCGATGCACGTCGGAAGATAGTTATTGCCGTGCTTGTCTTATTCGACTAGGGGACTATTATTATTTTCTGGTTCCCAGATAAGATGCCGTTGTTCACTCGTTTTTCATCTGTTTCCTTATGGCACTGACATCGTTACGGACATCTAGTTTTCGGACGATCCTCTGATTCTCTTTTCCTTTCTTCTTCCGTGTTGAATGCTCGAACACCATCGCCCAGATGGGTGGAAGATATTGTTCGACCACTAGCCTGGGTGTCCCAATCATTCTGATGCGAAGATATCGCTCGTTCACTTCAACTTCCTCCAATAACACAATCTCTCTTTTTAAACATTTGCTGCGACGAAACTTGGTTTGATCTAGCTGTCAATATGACTGCCAACGGATTACCCGTCCTGGAGTCGAGTGACTCCAGTCAGACGTTATCTTACAGAATTAAGAGATACAAGAAAGTATTCACTGTGCGGAATCGAGATTTAGCAGTAGTCATCCCAGTAGAAAAGGAGAATTCATTAATAAACCTACCCTCACAGGATTGGATTTCGAGAGATACCGACCGCCGTAATACCATCACTAGAAGTGAGAAGATTTATGATTTATCTAACTATAATACTTATTAGAATCAGCTATGATTCTTATATTGGAGTCTTGAACGTCCTAATTATGACTATAGAAGTTTATCGTACTCACCAACCGTGGATTGACGAAGAAATGAAGTCGATGATAGTCTCTAGATTCTTAACCCCGCATGACTATTTTCGTTGAACGTCAGCGTTGAAGTAGGCTAATGTCCCTCTAATTCAATACACTTCTCTTCCATTTGGTATAACTATTGGCTAATATTGAATAGTCATCCACCAGTTTAATGGGCAGTATACGGGTTCTCCTAAGAATCCTGACATGCAATATAGAGCAGCTAATTGGAAGACTTGCCTTATCTTTATGCTAGTATGCGCCCACGGCTTATCAGAGAGCAACTTGAAGTCCAATTTATGTGTATCTTTTATTGGACTAAGGTTTCTAAGACGTAGTGCAATGTATTCAGGGTATATTTTGAAGTCTAGAAAGGAGATATTCAAAATATTCCGTATATTGAGCAGGATAGCATAAAAGACTAATCTAATGGATACTTAAGAACTAGACGACTGATCGAAGAAATAATAATAGATTATCTTCCTAACGCTAGCCACGGTAGTCACGCAGATCATCCCTATAACTCAAGCTAAGCTCTTTGGTCCGGCGCATGTTCTTACTGAAGGAATAGTATCGATATATGGAGCTTCCCGCATTAATAATTTGTGGATTTGGGCGAGGTTAGCAATTACCAGTACTTATGGACAAAAGTTATATACCGGCATGAATCATTTTCATCCAGCTTAGCCCTCGATGTTGCCCTTTGGGTGTTATGTTACTATTAGCTCGGCCCAATCGAAATTTAGCTAAAGTCTTTTAGCTGTCTATATGCGGGGCCCGCCTAGCTGATATTTATATTTGGTCTGCACCGTAAACGGTGTTATCATGCGGCATTTTATATATCTTATTGACCACCCGTTTGATACAACCTGTCACGACGGCCACTAGAGTAGCTAGGCATAAGACAAGAAGCAGTATTTGATTGAGTACACTTGCATCCATGTAATTTATAGTTAGTCAGACGTATCTGATATCTCGCCACTCCGGTCGATCTATATAGTTACATAGTTATGGTAACAACACGTTAGTAAGCGTCTAGTCTTTCCTGCGGAACGGATATCCGGAAGTATCGGCAGTGAAGCGCATTGAAGGGGAAAATGCGTTTCCCAGACATGCAGACTCGGGACACCATTTAGCAGCCATCTCGCAGGGGTTTCGAAGCTCTAAGAGACGCTTGATTGGAGAGGCCGCTGTAGTCCAGAGTATCTAGACGGATACTGATCAAGTCTTGTCGACGCTGGCGGGCAAAGGCTTTGCCCCTAACTTACTTAACTTAACCGACGCGGCCCGATGCTGGATGATGACATAATGCACAGGACGATACGGTAACTTACCGGCGTTACGATACGAGCCCGGCAGCTTCTGCTTCAACGTAAACCTCCAAACTCTCGAATCCTCCCAACATCCTGAATCTAAGCTCATCCTCTCCACCCCTCCCAATTGCTCACGCTCCTCCCGAATCTTTCGTCCCCGAAGGATTTGGCCTTACTGCTCTCCGCTTCTAGTCTTGTTTTCTGGTCTCTTTCCTTCCGCCGTCATGTTCCGGACTATGCTGCCGCGGGCGACGCCGCGGTCTGTCCTCCGCACAGCCGCGCCTCGCGCTGTTCCCTCTAACACCGTCCCTGCTCCATCTCTCGCCTTTATGGGATTCTCAAAACGTGGCTTGGCGACTGCATCAGGTGCGCATATTGTCTCTTCGCCTGTTTCTCGTTTGTCTGGAGGAAACACTGGTCTCGCAGCTGTGAAAAAGGATTCAAGCTGACCCTTCGTTTGATGCACAATAGAAGAGCACGACTTGGTTATCATTGGTGGCGGTGTTGCCGGATACGTTGCAGCTATCAAAGCTGGTCAGGAAGGCCTGAAGGTGCGATAACCCGGTATCCCGGCTCATATGATGGACGCCGGCAATAACCGCAGTTTCTAACATGAGCTCTGAAGACCGCATGTATCGAGAAGCGCGGTACCCTCGGTGGTACTTGCCTTAACGTGGGATGTATTCCCTCAAAATCCCTCCTGAACAACTCCCACCTCTACCACCAGATTCTCCACGACACGAAAAAGCGTGGTATTGAGGTTGGAGATGTCAAGCTCAACCTCGAGCAGATGATGAAGGCGAAGGACACTTCCGTCGAGAGTCTGACAAAAGGTGTTGAGTTCCTGCTGAAGAAGAATGGTGTCGACTACATCAAGGGTACCGGTTCCTTCGTTGATGCCAACACTGTCAAGGTCAACCTGCTTGAGGGTGGCGAGCAGACCCTTCGGGGAAAGAACATCATTATTGCTACCGGAAGTGAATCGACTCCCTTCCCCGGCCTGACCGTCGATGAGAAGAGAATTGTCACCAGCACCGGTGCTCTGTCTCTGTCTGAGGTTCCAAAGAAGATGGTTGTGATTGGTGGTGGTATCATTGGTCTGGAGATGGTGCGTTAGCGACAAATCAGTTGTTCCCGTCAACAACTTAAGCAATTCTGACCTCTTTTAGGCCTCTGTGTGGTCCCGTCTCGGTGCCGAAGTCACCGTTGTTGAGTTCTTGGGTCAGATCGGTGGACCTGGTATGGATGCAGAGATCTCCAAGCAGGCACAGAAGATCCTGAGCAAGCAGGGCATCAAGTTCAAGCTGAACACCAAGGTCACCAAGGGTGACGACAGCGGTGAGAACATCGTCCTCAACGTTGAGGCCTCTAAGGGTGGTAAGGAGGAGACCCTCGACGCTGACGTCGTCCTGGTTGCTATTGGTCGACGCCCGTACACTGCTGGTCTGGGTCTGGAGAACGTCGGTCTTGATGTCGACGAGAGAGGCCGCCTGGTCATTGACCAGGAGTACCGTACCAAGGCTTCCCACATCCGTGTCATCGGAGACTGCACTTTCGGTCCCATGCTCGCCCACAAGGCCGAGGAGGAGGCCGTTGCTGCCATCGACTACATCAAGAAGGGCTACGGCCACGTCAACTACGCTGCCATCCCCAGTGTCATGTACACTCACCCCGAGGTCGCCTGGGTTGGCCAGAACGAGGCTGAGGTGAAGGCTTCTGGCGTGAAGTACCGTGTCGGTACCTTCCCCTTCAGCGCCAACTCCCGTGCTAAGACCAACCTTGAGACCGAGGGTCTCGTCAAGTTCATCGCTGATGCCGAGACTGACCGCATCCTGGGTGTTCACATTGTCGGACCTGGTGCTGGTGAGATGATCGCCGAAGCCACTCTCGCTGTCGAGTACGGTGCTTCAAGCGAGGACGTTGCCCGGACGTGTCACGCCCACCCTACCCTCTCCGAGGCCTTCAAGGAGGCTGCCATGGCCACCTACGCGAAGCCCATCCACTTCTAGAGTGTTTTGAAACCTGCGTCCGCTAAACCTAACCTGTCATGTACTTTCTCTCTAGCCTGGCATCGCTAGTCACCACATTTGGCCATGTAGCATCTCGATAATATCTCATATGTTATCTCTTCCATTACTGCCCGTGTCACAAAATATAAAGAGATATAATCGTCCGTCCATGCGTCAGATATCAAATATCCTTGCATCTAGTAAAGCAGTTATGTACATTACATGTGGAGACCTAAGTCATCTCACTTCCACGAGATAAAATTCCCTTAGCGGTGCATGAAATCGGGAAGAAAGGCATTATCACGAGATCGAATACAGCTGTAGACGACAGACCATTTTCTATCGTCGACTTTCCATAAAGAGCAAAAAGCAACGAATTCCCCAAAAAAGGAATTCGAATGTTGGTAATCCTGTTACTCCGATAGGGGGAATCGAACCCCCGGCTGCTGTGTGAGAGACAGCGATGTTAGCCACTACACCATATCGGACTTGGTTGTTGAATCACGTGCGATCTTATTGATTTATGAAGGGGTTCTCCCGCGATATCACCCGTAACTTGGGAAAGGGCATATCTTTCCCGCGAGGAGCACCGCCAGACGGGGAATCAGGGTATGTCAACCCACGAGGCAGAGATCCAGATGGAGGAGGCCTCATAGGCAGGGAGGCAGAGATCTTGCCCATTATCTGAGGCGAAAGATTGTTTGAGTGAACATGCGCGACAACATTGAATGCGCTTTTGCCCGCCAGAAGCATGGAATACTGGAAATAGCGTGCGAGATCAGGATTCGGATACATCTAGGGATCGAGAATGATTATACAGGAATTGCAAAGCAAGTGCAATTAAAGTTTTAGGATAGATTAACTACGTTCCTAAGCATTTGTCGGAGCTTCGGAGCTTCTACGTAAGTAAAACCCAAAGGGAAACCAGGCAGGAACAAGGACTTGATAAAAGAAACAAAAAGCAATTAATTCACGAGTGCTACCGCCAACTGCGATGACAATCGATTATGAATCGATGGATATGAAAAAATAAAAAGAAAAAAAAAGAAGGTCCTACCCGGAATCGAACCGGGGTTCCCGGAAGATCCTGAAGGAAATCAGAATCCGATGTGATGACCGCTACACTATAGAACCGTAATCCTGATTGAGCCAATGAGGGCTCTTGAGGAAACACGCTCTTAATTTGCTTTATTAATCGACTTCAGCAAGGATCAACTTTTTTTCTCAGACTATGAACTAGATCGCGGTATGAAGCAGGATCGACCAATCTGACGAACATAAGAAAAAAGCAAATGGGATTGATACAGTATACGAAGATGATATTAAATAAAAAAAGGGCGAAAAGATCAAAAAAACGTATTGAGTGGATGGATCTTGAAAATGTGTCATGTTTCAACGTTAACGAGCTATCCCGTTTCGACGCATCAGATATGGTAGCGGTGGTCCATATGCGCCTTGTGGTAGCATATTGATATGAGCGCCCCTATAGCCATATGCAGCATCTAAAGGAAAACCCATGGGTGTAGCGTATCGCAAGCCAGGACCAGGCATGAACCCTTGAGACATGACAAAGTTCAACATATTGAAAGGACCATATGGGTAACAGTGCTCGTGTTTATGGCGATGGCCGTGGTGGTGTTTGTGATTATGTTCATGAAAATGAACATGGTCGTGGTAGTGATGGTGATATTCATCGTAATAATCGGGCGGGCCTGGCGGTCCATACCCTGGTCCTCGCGGATGGCGGTATCGGTATCCGTGGTAAATCGATCCGCCTGTACCTGGGTCACCATAAGGAGGAGTCCCGTAATTAACACCAATGTCATCCCTGGTCCCTCGTGGAAGTCTGGAATAGTATACGTCCTCAGGACCATACGGCGGCAAGTTCAAATCGTCCCTGTACGCAGAAGAATTTGTGAGCTGATTTGTCCAACAGGTATAGGAAACCTCGAGTAATAAACGAGTGATTGGAAAAGTCATTGAAACACCTACACAACGTACTGCATGCGCGGTCTGTATCTTCCCCGTCTACGGGAATATGGACGACGATACCGTGGATACTGAGGCCAGTCCTCATCGTCCTCTTCACTGGCGACCCATGTTTCACGGCCATCGAAACTATAACTATCCAAGTTGTCTCCTGGAAAGTGGGATGGCCAACCCCCCATCTCGGGTTCATCAATGTACATGCCGCGTCTGCCACTGGGGCGCCTCCCATAGGCCCACGGATGAGGCCTTCGATACCCATACTCATCCATTAACGCGGATAGGGACAAATCAAGAGATGCACGCAAAGTCTGAAATACCGAAACACTTTACAGTGTTGTGTCGCTTGTATCTGAGGAAAAGATGAGAGATGTGCCTATCCAGAAAGTCAACGTAAAGGGTCGGGGAAAGCCTAGGACCACGAGAAGAGACAGTATTTATAACATGACCCAAAAGTGCTCACTGTCTAGCTTTAATCAGCTTACTCCTCATGTGGCATAGCTGGTGAAACGATAATAACTAAAACAAGGATGGATTTGAGTGTAAACATAAACAGACTCAGGAGCCCTGCAACACTGCAATGCGGTTTGCTCATCAAAGTTAGAATTAAACATAAGATGTTATGCCGGTGGAGAGCACTTTGGGTAGGGCATACATTCTAGACCAGAGATGAAAGATGGAGCCAAGAGAATTGCAAAAGAAACGGTTGGAACTCCCAGGGTTGTTTGCTTCCTAGGTCTCACCGCTTCCATCAATGTCTGGCGCATCAGCGCCCAAAAGAGCGTTGTTTGCTGCAGAGAAGATGCATTTGACTGAAACAGATGCAGCCTAATTTCTATATCTAATTTCGATCTTGCTCCTGACATGGGTGTCCTTCTATGAGTGACTACAAAAATTGGTCAAGATTCCGCAGACTCTAGACTTCGCGACGACTATCAATGATTTGTCTTTCCCGGAACCTTGAAGATATGCCCGGAGGACGTGGGTATTTGCGCGCTGTAAGTCATTGTTGGAGCGAAAGGCAGTATCCACTCCTTCAAGACGGCAGAGAATGTCTCGCAGACCGCAGCGACGGCCGCATCGCGCGATGGCTGGCAGCTCTCGATGTATACTTTTAACTGGTAATTAGCGGCCTATTAATCTCCGTTTCTGGGGAAGGAAACTCACCCTTGACCTTTGGCTCAGTTCCCGATCCTCTGAGCGTGAATTTGATGTCTCGATCCAACCAGAGGGTTAGCATCTGACTACTACTGTCAACCGGCAGTATTGGCTTTTTGTCGGGAGTTTCAGAATCATAACCTTCGGTCATGTCTCTCCACCGTAAGATCCTGAAAGAACCCAAGGATCTGGATTCGACAAAAGACCCGTTGCGGATGTTACGGAACAAGGCAGCCGTCGTGTCAGGATTGGGAGAGCGAAAATAGCTGTTCATTGTTTCATGGTGGCCATATTCTTTGAACAGCTGTTGCAGCTTTGTATATGGTGTAAGGCCCTGTGCTCTCCACTTGGCTTCCGCGGCAAGGAAAACCAAAGCCGCGGTGAGACCATCTTTGTCGTAACATACTTCCGTGAACATGTACCCAAGCGCCTCTTCAAAAGCAAAAGGGACCTTGAATCCGTCATTTTCGAGCTTCCGGGCTATGTTTCCCATCCACTTGAACCCGGTCAACGTCTCCTCGAAGTGCAGTCCTCTTGCGAGTGCCATCTTCTCTAGCATGCCGGTTGATACTGCCGAATTGAGCACCGCAATACGTTTACCACTATCATGTTTGATTGAGTCAATGATGTGAGACGCGAGGAGTACGCCAATTTGGTTACCGGTGAAAGTGAACCATGAGTCGCTATAATCGTCAGATGACAGATGAAGATTATTACGGTTGAGTATCCTGTCTTACTTGACTTTCTCAGCAACGGCAAAGCGATCTGCGTCTGGATCGTTTGCAATAATCAAGTCTCGGTTCTGTTCGTCTGCAGTTTTCATTGCCAGATCCAACGCTCCCGTCTCTTCAGGATTTGGGAATTCCACAGTGGGAAAATTTGGATCTGGATCCACCTGTTTCGCTACAGAGAGCATATCCTTGATTCCGATGGCGTTGCAGACAGAGGGCATTATCAGACCGCCTACTCCGTGGAGCGGAGTATATACGAAGGGCTGCGGCGGCTTCCACTCAGGTACGGTTGAAATCTAAAGAATAGTTAATAACGGAAATAAGTAACGTCTGGGTAGCATACCGCATATTGACTAATTGAATTGATGTATTTTTGCAAGACGTCCTGGTACGTATCGTATTTGATACCATTCTCATGTGGATTCAATTCGTTCCAGGCAGCGGGCCACGGAATCAAGTTTTCTTCAATAGATCGAGCAATCTCAACATCCATGGGTGAGTTTATTTGGGCGCCGTTATGGAAATAACTATAGAAGGTTAGTATTCATTTGGATATATGCCCAATTACGACTGACACTTTGTAGCCTACAGAAACATTAGCCAAAGTCAACATATGAAGGAAAGTAAGAGTCTACCGTTGTCTTGCGCGGGATTCTGATGACATAGTTAGCCAATTGCATGATACAGAGTTATTGAATATACTGACATGGCTAGCTGTAATCATTATTCCAGCAGCTGCTCCTAAGGAAATCACGCCATACGGGACCAGCGGTGTGGCGCCCGAGTTATTATACCACCAGACCGGAATTCCCAGGGCAACAAACGCATTAGCAGCAAGAGATGCGAACTTAGCTGAGTTGTGTCGAGCATCATGTCCAATGACAACTCCGCGAGGTGAGAGAGCGGGATGTTTCTGCTCAATGTATTTGGCCAATCCCTGAGAAGCTTGGATAACAGTGAGCGCGTTCATACAAGAGAAGCCTGCCGCCATCTGTCCTCGTAAACCCGCAGTACCGAATTGGATACCTATTGTATGATATATTAGTACCTAGAGAAGGATCCCATGACCCGTGGAGGTGGACCGCCATCTAATTTTGTGACCAGGGCTTGATGGGTATCACAGTGGCCATATCCAGGACAGTTTTGATACGGAGGACATACGCTTGAGCAGTCTCTTCTCGAGCTCTTCAACATTATTAGAGTCTCGAAGATTTTCGATCTCTGTCCTCGTTTGAGGATCCTGCTCCGTGTCAGCGAAGTAGGCTAATAACGACCATTGCAACTCAGCAAGCACGCTACCTGATCCCACTGAAGCCACGTCTGTATCAGTGACGAAAGTGGTTCCTACGAACTGCAGTCAACCCAACTGTCTCAGAGAAGGCCAAAACTCTGATAGAGTATGGCATGGTAACCAGTATTGTCTGGATCGTGACTGACCGCCGAGACCGCCATATTGGGCTTCTCTTGATACTTGGTCTTTGAGAGATCAGTACACAAGCCTCAAATCTGAGGATGATACGAGAGCCATCAAACAACTGCGGTGTGACAGAGAGAATGACACTTTTCTAGAGTGACTGATATACCCTGCACACTGCCTGTTGGACGGGCTGAGTCGAGCTATGTAAGTAGGTAGACGACTTGCCAGCCTCCAAATGGGATAGCGGGATACCTAGGTAACTAGTAATTGCTCAGTCCACTCAGTCCACTGATGTTTGTCTTTTGCAGGGTATCGCACCGGTTTAGATAACTTACTAAATGGCAAACTTCCAGACAAGCTGTTGATGCTGGAATGCGGGAGGACGATAAGTACTTACTAGCGAGCGGACATGAGCAGGTCCGAGTGGTGATCATCCCCATCAATCCCGGAGTTCACGGACGGGCCAGAGAACGCGCACGTTTCTCCCCACTCCACACCGACCTCCGCCAAGTATTATCACCAGCGCCCTTTCTAGGCTCCTGCGTTCTTTCTTTCTCCTATATCGTCTACTTGTACCTGAACGAACCAGGGCTTCTGACACGCCCTTGTTTGGAAAACATACGATGAGTCTCTCGACTCCTCGACCAACACCAACTCGTTACTAGATCCGGACATTCGTTTACATCGAGGAATATGAAAGAAAACAACATTGCCGCGGCCGTGGCTGCGGCCAAGAGCCGCAAGGAGACGATCCTGTCGCGACGCCAGATCGAGGGTATGATTGCGGAGGGGAGAAATGTCATTGTATTCGAGGGCAGGGTCTTAAAAGTGGATGCATGGATGAAGTTCCACCCTGGAGGAGAAAAGGCCATTCAGCATATGGTCGGAAAGGACGCGACAGATGAGATCAATGCGTATGCGTGCCCTGATTTCTGCCAGTCCTTATTGGAAGGCTCTGATACTGACTGCCCTTTGTCAGGCTCCATTCGAAGGAAGCTCGTGAACATATGCTGTCGTTCCAGATCGGTCGCATCGAGGGTGGATGGGTCAATTTTCTTCCGCCAATCCAGGGAGGCAAGTTCCGTCTATACAACGACGACACAGTAGCGGATTCGGATGCGTCTAGTCAACAGAGCTCCCGACCTCCGTCCCCGATCTTCGATAAGCCGGATGAGAAGACTGGCCTGCGGAGAAGAAAGTCAACAGCTTCGTCTGTCTCGTCCGCGACAACGACTCCCCCGGCTGGCCCGAAGGCGACGTCTGATTCAGAACCAAAACCATTCTTTCTCGACGCCCGGACGCAGCAGGAGATAGTGCTGGACATTTCCAAATACCCATCGTTAGACCAGGAGTATCAGGACAAGATCAGGGCGAGATATCGTGTCCTAGACGAGGAGATCCGTGCGGCAGGACTGTACCAGTGCAATTATTTTTCGTACTTTATCGAATGCTGTCGCTACACCCTCTTTGCTAGCTTGGCATACCTATTTCTCCGTTTGGGTTGGTATGGTACGTCGGGATTCTTCCTCGGCTGTTTCTGGCATCAGCTTGTCTTTACCGCCCACGATGCTGGCCATATGGGCATAACCCACAACTTCCATGTCGACACCGTCATCGGTATCATCATAGCCGATTTCCTTGGTGGCCTCAGCTTGGGCTGGTGGAAACGGAGCCACAATGTTCACCATATCATCACGAATTCTGCAGAACATGACCCTGATATCCAGCACCTGCCTTTTTTCGCCATCAGTCATCGCTTCTTCTCGAACTTACGAAGCACGTATTACGACCGAATTTTGCAATTTGACGCATTTGCCCAGTTTATGTTGAAATATCAAAACTACCTGTACTACCCAATCCTTCTCTTTGGCCGCTTCAACCTCTACCGTTTGAGTTGGGAGTACCTCATCCTGGGACAGGGTCCCAGGAAGGGCCCAGCCTGGTGGCACCGCTGGTTGGAGATCTCAGGTCAGGTATTCTTCTGGATATGGTTCGGCTACTATGTGGTGTACCGCTCCATTCCCGATGCGAGCAGTCGCTTCATTTTCATCATGATCTCTCATATGGTCACCTCTCCTCTGCATGTGCAGATCACACTTTCGCACTTCGCCATGTCGACCGCTGACCTCGGGGTGCATGAATCCTTCCCGCAGAGGATGCTTCGCACCACGATGGATGTTGATTGCGCTACCTGGCTGGACTGGTTCCATGGCGGTCTCCAGTTCCAAGCCATCCACCACCTCTTCCCTCGTATCCCGAGACACAACCTTCGTTCCGCGCAACACCTCGTTCTGCGTTTCTGCGAAGACACGGGTATTCCCTATGCGTTGTTCACGTTTGTGGATGGCAACAAGGAGGTTATCAGCCGACTCGGTGATGTAGCGAAGCAAGTTCGGATCTTAGAAGAGTGTAGAAAGGCGTGTGCACAGCAGGGCGTGTTCTCCGATCACCATTGAGAGCGTGTTTCCCGCGCGTTTGTTCAGCCAATTGCATTTGTATATACCACCTGCACCGTGTATATAAGCAGTGTTTACTCATTTCATATGATGACCATAGCAAATGAAGTTTTCTAATGAGAGCTAGATATCCCTTTAACATTCTACGTTAAATGCTGAAGACGTCTCTATTGGTATTATTGTATGCAATGCTGAACTCAGGATGCTTGCCATGTACAGAATACCCATGTAATGCATAATAAATAGAATGAATACTTTTGTTCCAAGCATGGTAAACCCAGCAATAATGCATTCACGATTCATCAACGGCTTTGAATGGCTCTGGATCCCATCAGCCAGGAAGTCCTCCACCTCGTGCAATTTTCTTCGCTCTTTGATCACGCCGATTGTGATTCGCCCTGCTGGCTTTATTCGCATCTTTCCTCTGACGAGCGATAGTCGTGTCCTTATTACCAGTAGGGCCGGCCACATCGCCGCCGCCTCTGCCTCCACCACGGCCCCCTCGGCCGCGACCTCCACGACCTCGGCCACGTCCACCTCTATTGGGACCGCCGCGGCCTCGAGAGGCTGGTCCAGCGGCCCCGTCACCGGGCTCATCTTCGTCTTCTTCATCCTCTGATCGAGGTTTGCGATATGATGTCGATGGAAGATCAGGTTGGGATACGGCACCGATACCGCCTCCTGCACCACCCGCAGCAAGGGCCATTTTGCTTTCGAGTTTCGACAAGCGCTTCGGATCTCGTGCTAGCATCACCGCCCATCCTTCAATGGCTTCGTCGGTCATGCCCGTCTCGCGCTTCAGTTGCGCACGGGGCTGGGAGCGACGCGTAGCGGAGTCACGCGCGAAGAGGCCAGGGTTGGACTTGTAGGTACGGAAGAGGGACAGTTCAGTTTCGTCTGCGGCTGCAGAACGACGGTTTCGAATGTCCGCGTCGGCTTCTGCGTCTGTACCGGCTGGGACTGAGTCGACGGTACCGCCGACGTCTGCGACATCGTACGTGTCATCGCGTTCGTCTTCGTCTGAGTCGAATGCCGCCAAGGCGGATAGAATAGCGGCCTTTCTGGTCGTTCGCTGACTGGGGTCGTTGAGCATGTCGTCGGCGGTCAAATCGCGGTTGACTCGGCCAAAATGAAGCTTCTGGCTCTGTTCGTCTCCGGAGCGAGCGAGCTCGACCAGGTCGACATCATTGTCAAAGATGTTCTTGCGTGTAAATGCAGGTTCGGACGGCGAGGGAAGCTGAGGAGGCGTAGGTCGAGGAGACAGGACGTCGTGGTTCCCGGTCGATTGTACCTCTGGTAATTGTTCAGTTTTATCGAGAGTCTGCAATTCCGGAGCCAGGGAATTGTCCAGGAGGCGTGCAATGATAGTTTCCGGGTCATCGTTGTAAAAATCGAGTAGTCGAAGCACGTATCCTGAGCCCAGATCCGGGAAAAGATCTTGAATCTGAGTTATCAGGGACATTTTATGCACATGGACCTCAGCCCTGGTGGGAATATCCTGAGCGCGATCTTTGCCTTTGTTCTTCTTGTGTTTCTGATATCGATGATGCAGATGTTTGGACTCTGTTTGGTATTGACGCAAGCTAGACACCAGATCCTGACCCCTCTTCTGCGGAGAGACGCTCAAATACCGTTCCATCCGTATCAAAAGATCAGATCCACAGATCAGATCTGAGAGCAAGGTCGGTTCTCTTTTCGAAGAAGGTTGGCCAACGCCAGCTGCTGCCTTCAAGCTAAAGAGCTGGTCCAGCAATAATGACATGTTTGTTTTAGGACCTTTTAACAGAGATGTGAATCCCACATAGACATTAGCGACGAGGACCCTCCGTATCCCCTCGCTTTTTTGTTCTTTATAGGCATCAAAAAGGGTATCCAAGTAATCAGAACCGGCCATGAGCACGTGGCCGGCAGCCGGAAGACAAGAGGCAAAGATTGTTAGTCTTCTAATGTCAAGCAACGTATCACCATCTGTTAGAGGCCGTGGCACTGATAGCTGCTTGATGATTAGAGACTTCCCCTTGTCGATACTGGACGTTATTGTGTCTTCGTGTCTACTCCATGTATCCTCGAGTAGTCTTTTCAGAGCCGAACTCGAAGAATAGCAAGCACTGAAATCGCCTAGAAACTTCCAGTCTAATAATTCGGAAGGAGGACGATTCCCATCCAGTAGTGATCTCCTTGTCCATAAGAAACATAGTCGTCGTAAAGCCCTGGCTTTCGGCCCCGCATGCAGAGCTGAGTCGTCTGGTGTGGCAAGTTGCGAAAAATAAGAACCCAGAAATGATGTAGCAGATGTATCCTTTGAAATGGAGGATCCAAATTCAGCATCTGATAATCTCAGCCGTATTTCAATGAGGAGAATCCAAGCGTCTAGACAGGCTTCCCATTCCTCACTTGGGATAATCTTCCGCACTGCAGATGGCGGGACAGCTGCCAAGGGTGGTAATTCGGCCATATCTTTTTTTCAAGCTCAGATTGAACAAGATACAGGAGGGAGATATGCACAGAAAAAAGAAAGAAAAAAATAGCCAACAACAAAGAAAACCCCGGGGTATCGAAAAGGAAGACAGAAGAACGTTCCGGTCTATCTCATGACGCTGTATGCCCGTCTTCAGCTTCCTCCAAGGCTTCTACGGCGCCAATGACGGTCTGATGCTTAGTCATGCAGCATAACTTGGTAGACGGCCTAGATCACGTGACCTCCAGTGACCAGGGCGGCCAAGAGGAGCCCCTGAGGGGACATCCAACACCTACCCCGAACTAGGCATAGAGAAACGTGGAAACTAGCTAACAAACTAAATACAAAAGAAATTTAATATAGAAAAAGTTTTTAGGTATCTAATCTATTTAATAATGAGCCGGTGAGCGGGGCGCCGTTTCCTGCTCCCCCGTCCCCTCACCGCCTGCCCGTTCGTGCCATCCGCCTGCCGCTTCCGGCATCGTGTCGCCGTGTCGCTATATTCTGCCCGCGCTTACCCACCGCCGTCTGCCCGACTCTCTATATAAAGCCAGCTCGCTGTCTTGTCGACAATGCACTTTCTTCTTTTTAGTTTGCACCCCTCATCATTATTTCAGCTTGTGTTTCCCGGAATATATTTGTCCGATTGCGACTGACGGCCTGTGCTGTGCATGCTAGAGCATTTACTTATTCTGGTCAAATACCCGCGGTGATGTCTCTGAATTCTTATCTTGTTCTTTCTTTGGTTTACTGTGCAGGCACAGTCTGAGTGTCTGCAAGTCTAATTCTCTACACCTTATATATTCCCGATTGTTGGTTCACTTGGAAAGATATTAATATTTGTTTTGCTTCCCTCCCAGCGGTGTCTACCTTTTAAGTTCTACCTGGCCGTTCCTCTTATAGGATATTGCTTGTGCCTGGTCAATCGTCTCCTCTGGCAGTCCTGTGTCCTTCTGTATCTTGTTCTGTGCTGTTATAATTATATAAGGCGTTTCCCGGCTTTAGCCTTTCGGCCGCATTTACCAGGTTCCTGGCTCTAAGCGGCAGGCCCGCAGTGTTACCCAATGGCATCTATGGTGATTATCCACGCGACCTGAGCAATAGGATACTTTTCGACGATTGTGGCTGTTAATCTAGACCGCTGATTCCCTTCCTGCTGACGAAGAGGCCAATTGAAAAAAAAAAAAAAAAAAAAAAAAAAAAAATTGCTACAACTCTCGGATTGACTTCTGTGCCAACTGCTCTTTGCTTAGCCGCCCTCATTGATGCTATAATATTTGCTGCATAATGTCGGTTGGTGATTAAGGGGCTGAGCCATGCAGAAGAGAGACCGCACCTGCAGTGGGTGTCCTGAGCAGTGGAATGTCTCTTGTCGAACGGCAGAGCACGGGCGTGAGAGGCCTATTTGGTATCACCATCTGAATCGTCCTCAGAGGCAGCCTCGTCATAAGAGCCCAGGCGGGCGAACAATTCGGTCTCCATTCTGAGCTCGGGCAACGGTCCACGTCGTATCTCCCCCATCATGTCTGCGCCTGGTGGGAAATCAAATTCCCAGAGAGGCTCGCCTGCACCACGCATATTGCTCAGTACCGCCTGCTCGAAGTGCCAACGCAGGAATTCTGGATGCACTGCACGTGAATCATTTGGCTGCCGGCACACGGTATCGAGAATCAACCCGTGGTATTGATAGGCATTTGGCCTGAAGCTGTAAACTCTGTATTCATCATCGGGATTGATGGAGAGGGCATAGCGGTGGTAAAGCGTATGCACATCGTTCTTAAGCAAGATCCCGTTCTGAGGAGAGTTGACGCCTTTGGGATGCGAATGCGTCACCAAGTTCGCATATCCTAGATCGACGAAGAGTTTTTCAAGGTTCCGCGGAAATATATGACTGGCTTGAAACCCCTCCCACATGTCGACATCAGCCGATAGAACAGGCGTGTGTGTGATAACACACCGGCGGTCTCTCTGCCTTACTTGAGTAGAGAATGCCTGCTCCCGGGGCGTACCCAAGGCGGGGTCGGCACGGCGGTGATATTGAGTGTCGCTGATCAATATCTGATCTCCCGGGGTCACTGGAGTCAGTATGTACACGCCATGCTGAATAGCCTGTGTCGTTGGAAGTAAATGCGTGTTGGATCCTTTTAGGCGAGTTGAAAACCCGCCGGCACGTGCCTTGAAAAGATGATTCAGTAATACAAGGAATTGAGCTGTGGTCAGGTTCGGTGCGGCACAGATACCCCCTCGTATGACGCCAGGCGCGGATGCAAACTCAATGAATACGTTGCGACCATTCCGTTGAACCGACATTGTGAACCAAGATCTATACTGGGTGAGGCATTAGAGAAAAGAAGTATCCTGCCCGGTAAGACGGAAAAGGGGGGTGTCTTGACTTCAGAGTAGTGGAGAGAGTCGAAGGACCTGCAAGATGTTCAGATCTACCGTGATATGTTGAAGTTGAAAGTGGAATAATAGAAAGAAGGTCTTGTAAAGGCGAGGGGGAGGGGGGAAGATGTGAATAGCACCAATGATGTCGGCCTCTACCATCACATTTACATTTTCACTCGTCAATTCCATGGAAACCCACGCATTAACTACAGTATTAAATAGACGGAGAGTACCTTAATCAACAACCAATACATTATATTCACCATTATCACGGTGATTCGATTCCTAGCAGTTCCTTATTTATTCGAGCTACCGACCACGTGTATTACACCCAATCACAGGGGTTATTTTCACTTTACAATACCAGACCACCATTAGAAGCTGTGCTCTGGTGTCAATCTTCTTGGAGCAACGGTCCCGGGAGCTAATGCAAACTCGATAAAGATATTCCGACCAGAAGGAACGGTCTGCCACCATTATACGGTGCCAGTAATATAAGAAGAAGACAATGGAACTTATATATATTTGGGGGATTTCTAGCATTTATATGGAGCCCGAGAAGCCGTAGATAAAGGGCGATGTTCAGGGCATGGGGCGAGGAGTGATAGTCAAGCTCATAGGGAGGAAGAAACCGGCAACAAATTCAGTTATTTTTTTTCACGTTCACTATTACCATTCAACAACTAGTGATACTCTGGAAATTAGAGGCCTCAGCCGTAATAACAAGTTGATTGTAGACGTAATAAATACTATATACGCTAAACCACCTTTTGATAGCTAGTGGTCGGCCGAATCCCATATAGGCGGCCTAGACCACGTGACAGCCAAGAAGAGCCTACTTATAGAAGTCCAGAAGCAGTTTAGCGCGATACACTAACCGAGTGCCAAGATTTACACACAAAAAGAAAGACTCCGCTGCAAGATGGATTCGCGATCGCAACTCCGCTTCATTTAACATATCACCCCAGCCTTTCATCACCTTACCGAACCGACCTGCGTTCAGGTCTTGATTGGCACCAGCCTTCCTTAAGGTGTGTGTGGAACTCTTGTTTTAATGAAAGGGAAAACCCCCGAAGATAAGACCAATTGGCTGACAATGCGATAACAGCATCTCAATCCATCCCACCGGTCAAACCGCACACCGTCGTCAAGATGTCTTTCCAGAAGCCCGAGAAGGATTTCGGCGAGGGCCCTAAGGTCCACAAGATCCGTACGTTCCTATACCATTCTGCTTTTGCTCTGTCAGTTCTTGATAAGCAAACTAACATAGTGAAGGTATCACCCTCACCTCGCGCAAGGTCGCCTCGCTCGAGAAGGTGTGCTCCGAGCTGGTTGAGCGTGCCAAGTCCAAGTCCCTCAGCGTCAAGGGACCCGTCCGTCTCCCTACCAAGCACCTCAAGATCACCACCCGTAAGACTCCTAACGGTGAGGGTTCCAAGACCTGGGACACCTACGAGATGCGCATCCACAAGCGCCTCATCGAGTGAGTTTTCTCCGATCCAGTCTGCGCGATCATATGCGCAAGAGATAGGACAGTATATCTAACAAGATGCGAATTTTCTAGCCTCACCGCCCCCACTGAGGTCGTCAAGCAGATCATTATCAACATCGAGGCCGGTGTTGAGGTTGAGGTCACCATTGCTGCTTAAATTCTCTAGTTCGAACAAGGAAGGATGGGGTTACGGTTTGCAGGATCCAGAACTATCGGCGCATGTCCGTCGTCGTCCCGAAAGGGTTCAGTACGGCATTGATAGTTGGGAATGCTTACGGGTTACGCCATGTATCGGCTAGAAGAGCAAATGGAACAAAAAATCGTAAAAGATTTGAAACCTGAATTCTCCGTTCGTTTCGTCTCACTGTAATACGCGTATATTATATCAGTAGACTTGATGTGTTGGTAGTCTAGGTGGGAAGTGCTACGATGTAACAAAGTACAGTACAGAGGTAACATTTTTAATGCTCATATATATCCGTGTAGGAGACATTCTCGCTCGGAACCATCTCCCTGACCATGACCCGTATTTCCAGTTTCATTCCCAACATTGCTCAAAAATCAAAGCTGACCCATTCAGTCTTGGGTGGCACGCTCGGAATAACGCCGTCCTTGAAAAATCCATTCTTAACGAAAAACTCATACTGTTCCGTAACCTCCGGTGTGTACTCTTCCGGTTTACCCTGTGCATCCCGCAAGCTCGCCTGGTCAGGTGGGCCATCGGGGAAGAATATGTGGACGTAGGTCTGACGATCGTCAGGGTGCAGATAGCATGGCCAGTCATCAATGTATTTCACTGGCTGGCCCTTCCACATAGTGAGTTTCTTGGTAAGAGGATCGCGTACGGTCTGGCCGGTAAGGTTTGGAAGAGGGTTAAGTTGTTTTGGATCGTCGACCTTGAGTTGTGGTCTGGGACCAAGACCTGCCGCTGGAGCAGGTTGAGGAGCAGCTTGGGTGGTTGTAGGGGCTGTAGGGGGCTGGCCAAATGGTGAGGCAGTCGTTGCGGCTGGCGGTTGACCAAATCCTGAAGGTGCAGGCTGTTGAGCGGGTGCTCCAAAAGGACTAGCAGTGGTAGATGGCTGGCCAAAGGGATTCTCAGTCTTCGCAACTTGCGCAAATGGAGAGGCTGACTGCGCAGCTTGGCCAAATGGACTAGCAGTAGTCGTCGAGGGCTGTCCAAATCCTGTGCCAGCTGCTGGGCCTGCAGGTTGACCAAAGGGCGAAGGACCAGAGGAAAGCTGACTGAAACCTGATCCTGTTGTCGGTGCCTGGCCGAATGGCGATGGGACACTCGGTTTACCAAAGGCTGGCTGGCCGAAACCTGGCTGTCCGAAAGAGGGTTGTCCAAAGGCCGGCTTTCCGAAGGCAGACTGGGAGCTGCCCAGAGCTGAAGGTTGTCCGAATGCCGAGCCTTGAGCACCTTGTCCTAGACTGGATGGTTGTCCAAAGGCAGGCTTCTGTCCCAATGTAGAAGGTTGTCCAAATGACGGCTGTCCGAACGCTGGTTGTCCGAACGCTGGCTGTTGGCCCAGAGCAGTAGGCTTCCCAAAGGCAGACTGAGTACCTCCCAATACTGCAGGCTGTCCGAAGGCGCTATTTGCCTGGCCAAATGCAGAAGTTCCTTGGCCAGCAGCAGCAGCAGCAGCAGCAGGACCAGTTCTTCCCTCTGTGATATCGATGCGATTCGGATGCTCTTTTTCCCCTTCTACCACGTATCTCACAGCTCCATCGGCATCATTGATGGCCGTATCCATCTGTTTCAAACATTCTGCATAGAGGGCCTCAGCTTCCTGGATTGCTGGGGTTGGATTTCCTGCAGCAGCAGCCTCGTAATGACGCAGCCGCATCTCCTCGAAACTCTGCTCCCGTTGAGGCCCCCCGAAGAGTTGCCGCGGAGCATTCTTCCCAGGCCCATAAGACGAGAAGATCCATTCTGGTCTTCCTTTCCCAGCGCTGAGATCAGCTCTAATGTCGCCAGCGGTCACACCATAGCTGTTATACCGTTAGATGGAGAAAAAGTACCTCAAGGGGCGAGATCCACATACCTAGGTGTCTGTTGACTCTGCGCCGAGCTTCGAGCTTTTCTCCAGGTGTCAGGGTCAATAAAGACCGTATTTCGGAACATTTGATGGAAGTGACAACGATTGAAAAGAGGGACAATAGAAACAAACCACTTGGGAACGGCTGAATAGTACACGCATGACAAGGATAACAACAACTGAAGAGGAGAAAAGATCGAATCCGAAGAAACCAGCCTAGGAACGTCGTAACACTACAAGATATATGAAGCAGCATAGATCTGAATACCCGAATCCGCAGACGATGATGACATTCACTCGTTGACAATAGGAACCAATAACAGTAAAGGATAGAACATCTGGGAGAGGTGGCTGGTCTATTTCCAACAAGGGAGATTGAAATAAAGAATAAACATACCTCCAAAGCCTCCACTACTCGTAGGACCTCCACCTGAGCCACTGAGCACTCCGAATCGATTCGATCCGAGCGTTGGTTGCCCGGGATGTTCGTATTTGCAGCGATCTGGAAGAACTATCAGACAGAGTCTTGAAGGGCGGGAACTCAATCCAGAGTACCTCCAAACCTGCAGCGACCTTGCTGGAAATACGTGCAGACAACCATTTTGCTAGTCTACGCGGAAATCCTTCTTCTCAGCGTCAAGTCGCTTTCCGCGTTTCTCTATGGGCGGGATCCGGTCTCAGGTCGCGTCTCTGGCGGGATCACCGAGTTCCGCCCATTACCACCACATTCACCAGCCTCCCGACGGTAGATCCTTTGGATATCCAGAAGAAGACAAAGAGATCCCTGAGGGCTGAGGGCTAGAAGGAGTCTTGCTGAAGCCGGCGTAGGACCAGGTCCGTATCTGTTTGTTTGTTGGAGATCGTCCGGGCGGAGCAACCACTTTTGCGATGCATTTTGCTCGTTTGCCGCGCGGGCCTGGACACCGCCCGGGACGAGCCTACAGACAGCTCTTGACTGCCAAAACAACCATTGCTAACTATCACTTGGCTCGATTCTAGTTTCTATTTGACGAGAATCACCAGATTGTGTATACTTTTCGATGCAATTGCCGTTTCATCGTATCAGATGCGCTTGGTTCTCCTCATAACGGTGTCACGGAGCTACGTATGCATACATATGATGCGAATCATCACGCCATCCCGATCATACGATAACTATATAGAATACAATATATATATTCAACATACTTCAGCATCAGCAACGGATAAATCGAAGGCTTTCCTCTTATCAGATGATTGTGGTTCTTTCTCATCCGTTGGATTAGTCATCCGTGACAACCCGATGACAACATTCGTGGATTCTGATGGAAGCAATGTTCATTCTCTCGAGATCTATTAAGTGTCCTTCATTTCTTCAAGTGAGAGCAAGTAACACTCTAAACCAGTATCATAGCTTGCGTTCTCAGGTATCTGCAGTTGATCGTCTGAGAGCAGTCCCCTCGCAAACGTCGATCCGGCAGTGGAGTTCAAGAGACTATCGATTATTGTCATCGTGTATTAACTTTAAAGCGGACAACATGTCAGCGCAGGACAAGCCGCTAACCAAACGCTCCGTTGTATCATCTTTGATATTTAAGTTTCCCGAATCTGGAAATGGAACGCCTGTTGTGGCTCTTTTTCGGAGGAGTGACAAAGTAAACACATATCGGTAGGTTAATATTACTTCTGTCGGTTGCTATCACCCAGAAGAATACAATGGGAAGGTCGATGAGATATTATATCTTGGCTGTTTCTTGCCAGTCCCAGTATGATGTCAAAGCTCATGTTCAGGGAATCGGGAGTCCTGATCTGTTCAGCCATATTTGATCTCAGGTTTCTTTATATAGTTGGACTTCATGTTCTAATAATTACCGGACAGTCACCATCTTGCGCCCATCTCAGGAAGCATCGATAAGACTGACCCAAATCCACTCTCTGCCGCGTGGCGGGAAATAAAAGAGGAAACGACACTAACTCCTGAATCTCTGGCATTATTTCGTCAAGGCAAGCCGTTTACTTTCAGTGACCCGTCTATTGGGAGAGAATGGACAATCCATCCGTTTGGCTTCCGCCTTAAGACTAAGGATGAAGGTGGAAAAGGGGAGGAAGGTATCCAGACGGACTGGGAGCATGAGGGTTGGGAGTGGCACGATCCTAGTACTGTAATCGACAGTCAAGAATTCGGCGGCGTCCCGCGACTGAAGGAAACTTTGAGCAGAGTCTGGTTCGAAACAGACATGGGGAAAGAAGCAGGGAATATATTGGCGGATGGTCTGGATACGCTGAAAAATGACCACGAGAGCGGGGCACGCGAGCTGGCCGCAATTGCTCTTTCTATCTTCCGAAAAGTGATCGTTGGAATGAGAGATGATATTGGTCGCGAACGCTGGTGGGAACTGGTCAGAATAGCCGGCTGGCACCTGTGGAAGAATGGGAGAGAGAGCATGGGCGCGGCAATTGTGAATGTTATAGTCAGCGCGTTGACTAGCATCGAGCGCATTATCTCCGACACCAGCGCCCATCCAGCTACCAAGAAGGATGAGATTCTCGCTGTCATCGATGAGATTGCCGAGAAACGGCAATCGACCGGAGCTTGCGTCAGTTCCAACTTTATATCATATCTAAGGACGAACGTCATCGGGGGAAGAAACGCATCTCCCGTCAAAATCCTCACTCTTTCATCCAGTTCAACGATCAGGTCAGCGCTTCTCCATATAGCTTTTATCCCGGACATTGAGAAACTAGAACTGCACGTTCTCGAATCTCGTCCTCTGTACGAGGGTGTCAGTATTGCCTCTGCCGTCCAGCCAGAATTCCAATCACGCTCAGTTCAATTGAAAACTACGATTTATACAGATGCATCTGCTGCGCTTGCTGCTAAGGATGTCGACATCCTTCTCCTCGGCGCCGACAGAATTGCATCTTCTGGTGACGTTAGCAACAAGACGGGCTCTCTACCTGCTGTTTTGAGCGCAAAGAATGTCAATCCAGCGGCAAGGGTGGTTGTCCTCACCGAACTAGAGAAGGTTGCGGAGCCAGGCAGCGTGACTCAACATGTTACCGAAGAAAATGACCCTGATGAAGTAATCAGAGGCTGGAAAAGCAGCGGTGTTAAAGGCTTTGATGTTGTTGAAAGAGAACTAAAGAGAGGGGATGGGCAAAATACTGCGCTCTCTGTGAAGAACATCTACTTTGAATGGGTCCCGGCGGACTTTATCGACGCCTACATCTGTGAAGAGGGTTCCTGGGACACTTCGCGCATCAAGGACCGCTCTAAGTGGGTTGGGGAACGGATTGATAGGTTGTTTGGAGCTCTGTAGCCTCTGCCGTCTCTTCGTTATAGGGCTAATCGATATATAAGATCGAGGTCTGCCATGCTGCATGTTATTAGACATGCAAACACGTAGGAGTGCATTCTAGAAACATAGATGTGCGACGAACAAGGCCAAATTCATGAGAGATCCCATTTTTTGCCTTTAAAAAGAGTTATTTCAGCTGTTAGAAATCATACACCCAGGAAGGCAGCGCTAAAGTCCTGAACTCCTTTCCCCATCCCAATGCATACCCACGTGATAGTGTTAATAAATCAAGGGATCTCCCCACTGCTGCCAGGAGCAGACAGAAGTTGAGCGTGCTTATTCATACTCTGTCTCAGATCATCCCAGTTCAAGCCATCAATCTTCTGACCACCCAATGATTCGACCTCAGCGGAGTGATCTTTCAATTTGCCGGTTGCGAGACGTCTCATCAAGACAGTGTCTTTTGCACCATGGAGGGCCTTCGCCTTTCCGCGAAGCAGTACATCCTCGAACCACTCTTCCTCCGTTTCATCAAACGGCAAGTTGATGAGCTCAATGGCGAGGTTACTCCTGCTCTGGCCTGGCCCAGACCTGTGCACGAATACAACCAGCTGCTCGATGTAGCTCTTTCTGCTAGCTTCTCCATGTTTTCGGCTGAAGTAGAATGCTTCCGTAACACTGGAGCGGCAAAGGGTTTCAAAGAAGGCGCGTTGAACCTTCTCTGATGCGAGCGGCGGGGAGACGGTAAGATAATACGCCATGGCGAGGCTATCATCATGTCTGGGAATCTTCTGCAACGTGAGGACGTAAAGGATCTCGTCGGGAAATGTTGGAATTAAGGACGGTTCAGTCAAGTATTCTAGTGCTCGCTGTCATTGGAGTCCAGTCAATAACTGATCGCTGAAATTAGAGAACCAGAAACACATACCCTGAATTCTAACCGGTCCAGGTACCATAAGCCGTCAATGAACAGCTTGTATTTCTCCGGTAGATAGCACTTGCGCGCAAACTGAGCGGCAGCATCGTTGGCTGCGCGACAATCCCGCAGAATATAGTAGATCAAGGATTGTTTGTGGTGGCTCGGGAAGGGGGACGCGACAATTTGCTTGTATAATGTGCGGAGGTCTTGATTTGATCTGGGAGGATAGGCCTTCGTAACTGCGATTTGTCAGATCAGGAAATGGCATTGTAGCTGACCGGAGAAGAGTTTACCTGCTTTGACGCCGAGCAGGGAGAGCAGTCGGTCGACGAAGAGTTGGTTCTCGAGACTCCGGCGGTTGGACTGGATCTGTTCCACCAGCTTCCCGTCGTATGTAAAGTTCCTACTGAAATGGAAGGTCGCATCAAAGTCCTCCCACGGCGCCATGGTGACTGGCGCGCAAACAGTTGGCTTTTCTGTAATGTGAAGCTTGTTGTTTTCCTTGCTTGTGTCTTGCTGTCGCAGAGTAACTCCTCGATAATTACCTGTTACGGTACAATACACCTCGCTGACATCAGCAGGGCGGTCAGACCGCACGTGCCACAAGCCGGGGCAGAAACGGCCTGGCCTTTCCTCTTCGGGCGTAAACGTAAACAACCCACGTCCTGGCGCAAAACACAAGCGACCGAGCCGGCCGTTCATCAACGAACAATCATCTTTCTACCTTCATGTGTCGGCCATCATCGGTCGGGACGAACTTATCATAATGTCCTCAATCGCCAAGGGACGACCATCACGGCGTGCCTCCGCAAGGAGGAGCTTCGTTGTCGAAGAGAGTTCAGAGGATGACAGGCGCAGCAGTGTCACCCCCACGGTTTCGAGTCATGACGGCGATAATGGCGAAGAGAACGAAGACGAATATACCCCGGTCGCGACAAAGATGCCAGTGAAGCGGAGGAGAAGGACGACAGCAGATCTTCCAGCACCCAGGGCGGCACGCCCCTCACGAGGCCGACGAGCAAAGACGGGCGATCACCTGGACACTTCGTCGCGAGCCCCAGACGAAGGAAGTAGTATTGCGACGACCACGACGATAGAAGAGAAGGAACAGGAGAACGAGAATGAGAAAGAGGAAGAACAAGAAGAAGCGGAACCGGAGTCACCTTCAAAGAATGCGCTGGAAACACGTAAAAGAAAGAGTATGGCTCATCCCCGCAAGAGTCGTGTATCAACCACGCCAGCTCCGGAACAGTCCTCACTCCCAACACCAGAACCCTCAGCCTCGCCGGAACCCGAACGTCGAATCCGAAGAGAAAGCCCCCTTACCGACATTACCGAGTCGGCCGTAAACCAGACCCCGAAGCCAGCGGAGGAGCCGAGATCGCAGATCTCCCCCGTGAATCCGATGTCGACGACGTTGGAGAAGCCAATGGACATAGTTCTGAAGTCGCGGACCTTGGCACCGCCTGCAGTGGAAGAGCCGACGGGTCCAAAGCCACGTATGGTCATCACCCATTTGGTGCTAACGAACTTCAAGAGTTACGCAGGGAGACAAGTGGTTGGACCGTTCCACGTCTCTTTCTCTGCTGTTGTTGGACCGAACGGATCCGGCAAATCGAACGTTATAGACTCGCTACTGTTCGTCTTTGGCTTTCGCGCCAGTAAAATGAGGCAAGGGAAGATTTCTGCTTTAATTCATAACTCTGCGAATTTCCCTGACCTACCCTTCTGTGAGGTGGAGGTCCATTTCCAGGAGATTATGGACCTCCCAGGAGGTGCTCACGAAGTCGTTCCAGATTCCCAACTAATCGTCTCCCGAAAGGCGTTCAAGAACAATACCAGCAAGTACTACATGAATAAAAAGGAGACTAACTTCACAGTCGTGACCAATTTCCTCCGCGAGCGTGGAATCGATCTCGACCATAAGCGTTTCCTGATTCTACAGGGTGAAGTGGAGTCTATCGCTCAAATGAAGCCGAAAGCCGCAAACGAACACGATGATGGCCTGTTGGAATATCTAGAGGACATTATCGGAACTTCCAAATACAAGACTCCGATTGAAGAAGCAGCAACTGAAGTTGAGACTCTCAATGAAGTCTGCGCTGAAAAGAATAACCGTGTCCAGCACGTCGAGAAGGAGAAGAATGCCCTGGAAGACAAGAAAAACAAAGCGCTTGCCTACCTCAGAGACGAGAACGAGCTTGTTCAGAAGCAGTCGGCTCTATACCAAATTTACATCAATGAATGCGAGGACAATACTCGGGTAACCGAGGAAGCCATTCTACAGATGCAGGAGCTACTCAACCTGGAACTTGAGAAGCATGAAGGCAACGAATCAGGGATCAAGGAACTCGAGAAGGCCTACAAGCGAGGCATGAAAGAATACGAAAGTATGGACAAGGCAACGCAGGCTATGCTCAAGGAAATCGCAAAATACGACAAGGAGTCTGTTAAGTTTGAAGAGAAGAGGAAGTTCCTAGTGGGTAAGCAGAAGAAGCTGGAGAAGGCCATGCAGGCTAGCCGCCTCGCAGGATCAGAATCCGAAAGCTTGGTCGAAAAGCATGCCTATGATATCGAGAAAAAGACTGCAGAGATTGCGGACCTCGAGAAGGAGATGAAAGCGGAAGAGGAGGAGCTGTCCTCCATTCGTGAAGGTCTGAAAGGCAAGACCCAGGGTCTCTCTGACCAGATAACGGCCAAGCAGAAATCTCTAGAACCGTGGAACACAAAAATTAACGAGAAGCTGTCTGCCGTTGCCGTGGCACAGAGTGAACTGGACATTCTGCGTGAGAAGAGCAATGCCGGCGCTGTGGCACTGGAGGAAGCGCAGTCGAAGATTGCTTCGATTGAGGAGTCCTTGTCTGAGAAAGAGGCCAATCTCGAAGAGCGACGCCAGCAGAAAGCGGAGCTAGAGGCAGAACTCGCGAAGCTCGAGGGCGAGATGAAGAAGCTGTCGCAGAAAGAACCGGAAATCCGCTCTCACGTCTCAAGCGCCCGGCAGAAAGCCGATGAAGCAAGAGCTAGCCTTGCCAGTACCCAGAACAGAGGCAGCGTTTTGACTGGTCTCATGAGACTCAAAGAATCAGGGCGTATCGATGGTTTCCATGGACGACTCGGTGATCTCGGAACTATCGACGAGAAGTATGATGTTGCCATTTCGACAGCATGCCCTGCTCTCGAAAACATGGTCGTTGATTCTGTTGAGGTGGGTCAACAATGCATTGACTACCTGCGAAAGAACAATCTGGGAAGAGCCAACTTTATTCTACTTGATCGACTTGCTCGCCGAGATATGTCTTCAATCTATACGCCGGAGAGCGTTCCTCGACTCTTCGACCTGGTGAAGCCCAAGGATCCGAAGTTCGCACCCGCGTTCTATAGTGTTATGCAGAACACCCTCGTGGCCAAAGATCTCGACCAGGCAAATAGAATCGCTTACGGTGCCCGGCGATGGCGTGTTGTAACGCTTGATGGCCAGCTAATTGACGTCTCGGGAACAATGAGTGGTGGTGGCACGCGTGTCGCCAGAGGTGGCATGTCTTCCAAGCAGGTCGCCGACACATCCAAAGAGCAGGTAACAAAGCTCGAGAACGACCGCGACGATATGGAGAGAAAGTTCCAAGTTTTCCAGGAGAAGCAGAGACAGGTAGAATCTCAAATCAGGGAGAAGTCTGAGGAAATCCCTCGTGTCGAGACTAAGATCCAGAAAATCCTCATCGAAATTGAGAGTGCGAATCGCAGCCTTGCGGATGCCAAACGGAGAATCAAGGAAATCAGCGCTGAGCATAAGCCATCCAAGACAGACGATAGCCGTGCCGCGGCGCTTGAAAAACAAATTTCGTCCTTGGAAGCGGATATTGAAGAATTGCGATCTCAAAAGGGTGGAATTGAGGAAGAGATCCAGTCCCTGCAGGATAAGATTATGCAGGTTGGCGGTGTCAAACTCAGAAGTCAGAAGGCCAAGGTCGATGGCCTCAAGGAGCAGATCAGCCTGCTTGCTGAAGAAATCTCGAATGCTGAAGTCGCCAAATCCAAGAACGAGAAGCTTATCATCAAGCATGAGAAGTCTCGTCGAGATGCCGAGAAGGAACTGGGGCATGTCGCTGAAGAGCTTGAGCATCTCAACGATGATGTCCAGAACCAAGCCAATGATGCATCTGGCTCGAGACAGAAGGCTGAAGAAGCTCAAGAGGTAAGGTGAGCTCGTGCGATGCAGTGAAGCAGACTAACTCCTTTTGTCAGGCCCTCGAGACGAAGAAAGGCGAGCTGAAGGCTCTAAAGAACGAGCTGGACGAAAAGACAGCAGAGCTCAATGAAACGAGAGCTGTAGAGATTGAGATGCGCAACAAGTTGGATGAAAACCAGAAAGTTCTCGCGGAGAACCAGAAGAGGAGCAGATACTGGGAAGACAAACTATCCAAGCTCAAATTGCAGAATCTCAGCGATCTAGGGGACGATGAGCAGCAGACCGCTGAACTTCAGAGATATACGAATGATGAACTGGCCGAGATGAACAAGGAGTCGTTGAAGGCCGTAATTGCCACCCTCGAAGAGAAAGTCCAGAATGCCTCGGTTGACCTGTCGGTCATCGAAGAATATCGCCGTCGGGTTGCTGAGCATGAGTCGCGTTCAGCAGACCTAGCTACTGCGTTGTCGTCGCGTGATAATGCCAAGTCTCGCTTGGACAGTTTGCGTTCTGCTCGGCTTACTGGGTTTATGGAAGGATTCAGCACGATCTCCCTGCGTCTCAAAGAGATGTACCAGATGATCACAATGGGTGGTAATGCTGAGCTCGAGCTAGTTGATTCCTTGGATCCTTTCTCCGAAGGTATCCTATTCTCTGTCATGCCACCAAAGAAGAGTTGGAAGAATATCAGCAACTTGTCCGGTGGTGAAAAGACATTATCAAGTTTGGCACTCGTCTTCGCACTTCACCATTACAAGCCGACTCCTCTTTACGTCATGGACGAAATTGACGCCGCTCTGGACTTTAGAAACGTGAGTGATACCCGCAACGCCTTCAATGGAAGGGAAACTTAACGTCATTGTTTTAGGTCTCCATTGTCGCTTCATACATTAAGGAGCGGACGAAGAATGCCCAGTTTGTTGTCATTTCACTCAGAAACAATATGGTAAGGACCTGCATCCTTCATTGTTAAGTGGACTCAGCTAATATTGTGTTAATAGTTCGAACTTGCGTCTCGTCTTGTGGGTGTATACAAAGTCAACCACATGACGAAGAGTGTGACGGTTGAGAACAAGGACTACATTACTGGACGATGATCATACGTTAACTGTTCATAAATACCATTGTTTCTCGATGGATTAAGGTGTTGATTTGCCTCGGTTGGAAGGTTGGCTTCTATGACTGGTTACTAGGGCTTGGTGATATCCTGTTTCTATGATTACGGTTACGTTATAGGTGATCTGACAGCGCACATGGTTTGGAAGGGGTTGGAATTGATTTGATATTCTTCAACGTATCTGTCACAATGACTTTTATGTGCGCTTCTGGTTGAGAAAGCCTAGGTAGTCCTAATCATTGTCGAATTATCGAACGCGGGCAACGACTGCAGAGCAATTTGACTCACAACACCACATGACATCGCCAGTGATCTGTCGCATTGCTTTCGAGAATTGCTTCTGCTACTGACTCCCTGTCCAACTCGATCCCACTGTTCTGATTCCAGGACCGCAACCTGTTAACCCATTCAGTACGCCTTGATCCATCGTATTAATAGCCACTTCACACAAAGCCTGTAACTCATCTTCACTGTAGCCAAAGTTAGGAAGCGAATGTTGTATGTCCTTTCCTGGGTTATTCCGTGCAATGAACTGGATGTCTCGAATCGTCCGAACCTTACGCCTCTCAGCGTCATTTGCTGCGCGTGGCGACCATGCAGGGGTACCTTCGTCCATTCTGGCGTAGATACCATAACTAATGGATTCACGTGGTGGACGAAGGATAACCTCGAGCCGAATTCGTTCATGGACCTGACTCGAGCTCTCTTTCCAGTTTGGACCAAATAAGAGCTCCAAGTTCTCTGGTGTGTCTTCGCCGGTAATGACGAGCCGTCGCAGTGGTTGGCTAAGACAAGTCAGCTCTTGAAATTATTATTCGGTTAGACGTAATGTCCTCACATCACATTGTTGCTCCCTTGTCCTTTTGGAAGGGTCAACTTAATTGATCTAGCTAAAGCTCGTGCTTCGGGCACTCTGTAGGCAATTTCGTTGTAATACTGAGAAGCGCTCATGGGACTGATTTCAAAGCCCGGAATGGCATCGTTTTCTGGTAGTGCACTTGAAGGACCCCCGCAGATTTGTATATGTTCCGGAGTATCCAAGAACTGACAGTCCCTGGAGCAGTAGTATACGTCTCGACATCCTGGACAAGGATGCAAGGGATCTGAGAGGGGAAACAGCTTCTTGCATCCATGGCAGAACTGGGCGTTCACACCAGGGAATTCCATTTCAGATTGTCCGAGGCTCTGGTTCTGATGTTTGAGACGCGCCAGTTCACAAAGGACCCTAGACCATGATTCGTCCGCCACTAGATCCTCGTATGCGTTTCCCCAGCTTATGGAGCAAAGTTCCTTTCTCACACCCATCCTTTCCAGTTTCTTTCCAAGGGCTTCTGCAAGAGCTTGATCTTTCGTGGCCCAACTGAATGGAACAGAGAGTAGTCGTTGTGGTATACGTTCCCCGTTCGGACCGCCGCTGAGACCGTAAACGAATGCTTTCAGGAGGAGAGGTGCGACAACTTCAGCTTGAGCCTCTGGTGAAGGGAGAGTTAGCACCGCGTAGGGACCTTCACAGTGGACGAGGCCACTGGAAGGATGAATAAAGTGGACGAGGTCGCCAGGAGGACTCAGGGGCACATGTCTGATGCTGAAGTACCAGTGGTTAACTAGGCCGCTTGGTGTTGTTGCATGTTGCGGTAACCTGTTGAAGGTCTGGACCATATAACGGATCTCGAGCGGTTGCAAGGGAGAAAGGTCGATGTTCGAAGGACTAGACATGATTGAGCTCTCTAATGAGATAGATTGAGAGCTTCAGTTATCTGACGGAAGTAGGAATACTGTAGAAGTAGAGCTATAAGTAGCGCGATGATAACAAAGAATTGTGAGTAACAAATACTCTAAATGCTACCAGTGAATGTTGTCTTGGGTGAACAAAAGCAACTTCGGACATGCAACATGCTTCTAGCCTGTGTTATACCTTCTCTTTCAGCTCCTTTTTGCATGTCACTGATATCCTGGAGCAATCCGTTTGCTTGGCTCTTATCAGTTTGTTTTTGCTTGTAATTTATGAAAAAGATTAGCTTTTGATTGTTAAAGTCAAACCAGTAGGTTAACTCAACTGATGGGACGAAACATGGATATAAAGATTTGTTGACATTTCTACTAAGATCCTACTGATAATCCATTCGTCAAACAAATGGGTTCTTGTTAGGTGAAGGGGTGGGTTAGGTGGCTGAAACAATCTATTTAAAAGTACCTAGATTTGCTTGCTATAATTGCAACTTCATGTCCTGTTAATTGAGACAGCAGAAAAATCGATTTTTAGACCTACAAAGAGGTTGCATAGCCGGTCGTCACGTTAGAGGCGAATAGAACTAAACACTGAAATCAACTGCTGACTGTAGTTCTGTGTTATTGGGCCTACAAAGATTAATTTGAGAGGAAACACACAACTTCAATATTTTAGATAGTAATGTGTTTATTGGGCGATAGTAATAGCTATAGCACTATATTATCTCGTATCTGTAGACCACTCGACCAAAAGGATATTTCTCCTTTTGGTTATCTTAACATACTATGATCAGCTCCAGTGTATAAACATGCGATCGTTCATCTCCACCGCTATAACCAAATAATTTTTGGACAATTTCTCGCTTACTCCAAGGTAGCTTAAAGGGAAAACTTAGAGAAAGTCCTTTTCAATACCACATATAATGCTGCAGTGCGGAAAGTGAAGCTTAATACTTTTTAGACTTTCAGGAATATCCCCATGTGTTTATCCACCAAACAGGAGGAAGCATATTACTTAGTGCTATGGCCTTTTCTTAACCTCCAAAATGTCCGTGCATCGAAAGCCGATCATCTTCCCCATGCGGTAAGACGAGACCAATTCAAGCCACTTGTGCATCGGCGGGATCTTGATTCCCGCAAGGGTCATGAGAGTCATACATTTCTATTGTTTCCCTCGTAATTTGAAGAAACCAAAAACCTATTTCATATACGAGAATACTCGCAGTTATGGCAGCTGGCCCATTATCTTCTTTCAACAGTCCTCAGCGGTCTGTTTGGACCTGTCATATCAAAACCTGTCGATGCTGTGTTTGGAATGCGATGAGCGCCGGCAAGCGTACCTCGCAGGATCTACTCTCCGGAGTTCCCCTCCTGCGATCTGTGATCTTCGGTCTTACACCGAACATAATGCGGGGTAAGCGAAAATAACAGATGTAACAGGAACGCTTTTGCTACTTCTCCTCTTCTGTCATGATGCCAAGTAGTGCGCTATGACATGAAGCATGGCCACGCATGCCGGTCGGAGTACGGTCCGTGGGGAGTATAGAGACAGTTAAATAGAGCTTCTTGTGAGAAACGACACCTGAGTACATGTATCCTCGAGAGTTAGCATTCTAAGCCGAAGTTCGTCTTGCACCATGCTTGTTCGCGATCTTATTGTGTACAGCATATTTTCTATCTCTGGAGTGACTGCGACTCCTATTGATTACTCCCAATATGTCAACCCGTTCATAGGATCAGAGGGCCCCATTGCTGGGAAGGGATTCGGTGGAGGTGACATTTTTGTTGGTGGTGCGCTGCCCTTTGGCGTAGTGAAGGTTGGAATAGACACCACCGCCGCGAATTGGTCAATTGCGGTCCTCAATGGCGGATGGACTCCAGATGGCAATGTCACGGGAATAAGTACGTTCTCTCATGGAGTGTGTGTGTATAGGAAGTCGTTTAATAACGGAATACAGGCATGATGCACGAGAGTGGTACAGGAGGTGCACCTAAATATGGACTGATTAGCCAAATGCCATTGACTTCTATCGCTCCCCCGGTCAATATTCTCGACAATTTGACTTATAGTCAGCCCAGGGTATGTCTTGAAGCTCTAATATTTTGAGGCTAAATAGAATCTAAAAGAACGGTGTAGGTTGGCAATGATACTGCTAGTGTGGGGTATTTCAAGAGTCAGCTACAAAATGGCGTCACGATTGAACTATCTGGGTCCAGACATTCTGGTATCATTCAGTATTCTTTTCCAGAGGGTGAGAAGCATGTACTCGTCGACGTATCCCATGTAAGCAATCTTCTTCCCTATCCAAGACAGTCATCCAGGATTTAACAGCTCCGCAGTATCTCCCAGGATCACCGAGTGATACAAGTCCACAATTTTATGTTGGAGGCGAGATTGAGATATCACAGGATGGTGCCTCATACAGTGGATATGGCACGTATATTGGCGGCTGGAACAACGGTTTGTCTATATTTCTAATCCGGAATTAGCCGCACACACTCATAGCTGAACTAGGCGCCCCGTTCACTGTGTACTTCTACGGGGAATTCAATCACAAGCCCAGCACATCGCAGACATTCACTGGGGTTAATACTGATCCTATTCCTCGGTATCAGAATCTCGCAAATGGCGGGATCAGCGAACCTGTCTACGGGAATATCTCCAAAGCGACATCTGGTCCTCTGAATGACCGCGTCGGAGCGCTTTTTACCTGGGATGATAGCAGTCAATCTTCACAGATCAGCTCCCGCGTTGGCATTTCTTTTATCTCAGTGGACAAAGCTCACTCATACATCAAGTCAGAAATCAGCTCTTGGAATTTGAACGATACTGTCACCGCGGCAGTAAAAGAATGGAACCAGGATGTCTTCAGTAAAATCCAAGTTCCCCTTGGACAGTCTGCTAATTTCACACATTTGAGATTGCTGTACAGTTCTCTGTACTTTATGCATCTCATGCCGTCTGATCGTAGTGGAGAGAATCCTCTGTGGGAATCGGACGAACCATTCTGGGATGACTTTTACACAATGTGTAAGTTCCATATCTCAATAACTGCGGATACAAAGAGCTCATTACAATGTAGGGGACATCTTCCGTTGCACTGTCAGCTTTTACCATCTTGTGCAGCCTACTTACTACGAATCTATGATCCGATCCCTTATCGATATCTGGAGGTAAGAAAGACATTACATTTTTAGGGAACTGTCATTTTTGACCACGTCCTTTTATAGACATCAAGGCTTCCTGCCAGATGGACGGTCCGGTAATTGGAACGGACTGGTCCAGGGAGGTTCCAATGCAGACAACGTTTTGGCCGATGCCTACGTTAAGGGCTTGCGGGGAGCGATCAATTGGACGGACGGCTATGCAGCAATGAAGAAAGATGCTGAGGTCATACCCTACAATACTTACGATCCTACTGATTATACCGCCAGCACAAAAGAAGGTCGTGGTGCGCTGGGCGACTGGAAGGAGTTAGGATATGTATCTCAGGACCGAAACACTCGATGCATTTCTCGGACCGTGGAGTACAGTCTTAATGATTTTGCTCTCAGTCAAGTTGCCGCTGGGGAGGTGCCCGAGGATCAGCAGAAATACTTGAAACGCTCAGCTAACTGGCAAAATATATGGGATCATAACGTCACCAGTCTAGGTTTCGCCGGGTTCCTGGCACCCAAGTTCTCGAATGGGACCTTCAATACTACCTATGATCCTTTACTTTGCGGTGGATGTGAGTGGGTCGATTATACGTACGAAGCTGTTCCGTGGGGTAAGTTATGTTGCCAGCCCACAGAAGAAAGATGGCGCTGATATTGAAAGAATACTCCTTCGTAATTCCTCATGACATGGAGACCCTGGTTGAATTCATGGGCGGACCGACGACTTTCGAGTCTCGTCTGGACTTGATGGTGAGTATGGAAAGGATTAACCGTAACCCCATATGCCCTCTAACAGCCTCTTCAGTTCAAACCAAATATGAGCCAGCAAAGTCTCGGCGCAAATGGGGCTGGTATCACAACTCTGATGAACATCGGGTTAGTATATACCTGTCCTTTTATAGAACTGATGCTAAAAGACCGTACCTAGCAACGAGCCCGATTTTGCGACTCCTTATCTCTACCATTACATTAGCAAACAAGCCAAAAGTGTCCAACAATCACGTAGTCTGGCTAATCAATAGTAAGTATCTCGACAACCTCAATTCAACTACACTAACAGCAATCGCGCAGCTTCAAGGATGCGCCGTATGGGATTCCCGGGAACTCAGATGCTGGGGCCATGAATTCGTGGCTACTATGGAACATCATCGGAATTTATCCCGTCGTCACCCAACCCGTTTACCTGCTAGGTTCACCGTGGTTTCCAGATCTCAACATGACCATCAATGGTAACAAGACGTTGCGTATTACTGCGACAGGGCAAGACAAGGGAAATTTCGTCCAAGGAGTCCAGATTAATGGGAAGCAGTGGAACAAGAACTGGTTCGAGCACAAAGATGTCATGGTTGACGGAGGCATCATTGAATTCCAACTCGGGTCGGAGATGAAGGTCTGGGAAACCGGAGAGGTACCCCCGAGTCCCGGACATTATACGCTGTAGAGTTTTAGTGTTGCTACTACTCTGTCATTAAGAATAAAGAGGATCTAGTAACATCAGATGAACCTCAAGAATTCTTCCTATGGATGTTAACCATGCACGTAGGCATTGATACAATGCATTGGATTCCCTATAGATAACGCCAAATACAAGACAATCAACTTCCACAGAAACAACTTGTTCCCCTGGACGATGAATGAATTTATAGGGGAATATGTGCTCTTAACCATTGATACCTTAACTCTGTTCTTGGACTCCAGCGCAATACCGGAGCTCTCGACCCATTCACCGATATCTTCGCTCTTGATGATTGTGATATTCTGGGCCAGCCGCGCGACCAATTAAGCTGCTTCGTTGAGCGCGAAATACACTGATAGAGTTAGCTGGTCTGATCACAAAGATTGGTTTTGAGTGAGCAGAATTAGTCAATGTCAAGTGAGGGAAGAGAGACATACTCCCAATGTAATTCGTCGGTTCCTTAAGGAATGGAATATACTTCTAGAACCATGAGTCTGAATGAGGAATAAATCCAAATAGAAACAGCCTTTGACCAACTTCTTACCCGGGTCTGCTTTGCAGAGTTCCGACACTCCGGAGAGAACTCTTCAGAGTCATCATCCCATAGATCTTATTGCTTCCTGCTTCCGAACTGCTTCATTATCACCCCAATTCAGCAATCCATTGCGGATTCGACATGTGAGTATATTAACCAAAGGAAAGTCCTAAGGAATATGAGCTAACTGAATCATCTCCTCAGGGACTGATGTCCAAGCTACCGTTGGCACTTTACAAAGCTACCTTATACCTTCCGCACTTTGCAATTGTGCACATATGCATTCGCTTTTGGCCCCATCCACATGGTGGGCTACAAGGGGCAGATAGAGGCAGATTATAGCCCCCACGCAACACATTCGATGATCTACAATCTTCATTTTAATGGCGCAAACTGTGTGGCCAATGAGATTTGCGATTCTTACTGCACAATATCTCTAGCCTTCGCCCCCAGACGACTTATTAAGATAAAATGATTTTCAGCATGTCGGGAGAAGAGACAGACGGGTACTATACTCTCACTCTTACTTACTTGGTACTGTGTAGGTAGACTACATAAGTAAAGAACTTCCCCGCCCCGCCAAGCTCCATCTCCATGATCGACGTATCTGTCCTCATCACATCTCCAGCCAAAAGCTCTGGATAATTCCATCGTCTACTTGATAAACAAAAAGTGCTTGGATAATATCTAGACACCTATTCTCGATGATGTCCGCGAGTTTTCCGTTGCCTGGTGTTGACCACGGCAGGCGAATTCTCGCTTCGGTGATCGAGAAAAGAGCCGAAGACGGCTCCAATAGTCCGTGGATATCGGTTCCCATTGACGAGCAAAATCTGTCTGCAGGCTATCGGGATATTTCTTTTCGACAGTTGAACAATGCTGCCAATAGTGCTGCTCATTGGCTCAGTCGGAACCTTCCTAAGACTTCAGAGCCGTTCCAGTGCTTTGCCTATGCAGGCCCAAAAGATCTCCGATATCAAATCCTTGCAGTAGCAGCAGCTAAGCTGCAGAAAGTGGTACGTGAGGCTCTCTTGTATGGTGGAGAAATGCTAGATAGACTAATTCACCATCGGTAGATGGTGCTTCCCTCCCCGTTGGCCACACCAGAAGCTCAGCTGCAAATCCTCGAAAAGAAAAACTGCACTGTCTATTTGAGGCCAGCGTCAATGGCAGATCCTGTTGAAGCAGTCCTACGCGGAGCACCTCACATACAGACGATCACCGTCCCGGAGCCCGAAGAGTTCTCACTCGAAGCTGAAGCAGAGCTAGTTACTTACAGTAAGACATGGGACGAAGGGAAAGATGATCCCTGGCTAGTATTCCACACGTCTGGCACTACAGGTATGTATCCAATTTATATGCCATTTCCAGAATAGAAGACTAAACTTGGAGCAGGACATCCAAAGCCTATCACCTATACTCATCGAATGATGGCTACACCCGATACTGCACAGACCCTCCCTGATATCGAGGAGTCTCATCTCCATCAGTATGCACAGAGAAGATGGTACACGCCGTTGCCCTCACTGCACGTAAGTCTCAAATCTTCTACCCATCATGCTATCGATTTCTCTTCGAACAGTTGACTCACATTGGCTAGTTTGTCGGAATGATGATGTCGCTCTGCATGACTTCTTTCGTGCATATGACGGGTGTGATCGGGCCTCCCGGACTGCCTTCTCCTGAGGTTGTCATGGATATCCTGCGTTTCGGACGTGTAGATGGCGCTCTTCTGACCCCGGCCCTGATCGATCAGCTCTGCCTATCCCCAGCTGGCGTCCAGGCATTACGAGAACTGAAATACATTCATTACGCTGGTGCCCCGCTATCAGCCAAATCTGCCGACCTATTAACCCCCTATGTTCAAGTGGTCCCATGCATCGGTAGTACCGAGGCCGGCGGCTACTTTACGACAATTCATGATAATAAAGACGCGTGGGATTATGTCGCATTCCAAAAGCATGCGGGGGCCGAAATGCAGCACAGGATGAACGACCTGCATGAGCTGGTCTTCGTGCGACGTCCAGAATGTGCAATACAGCAAATATTCCTTGTCTACCCTGACCGCGATCGCTTCGAGACTAATGATCTCTGGAAAGAGCATCCAGAGCACAAGGGCCTCTGGAAAATCATCGGCCGCAGTGATGACTACGTATATCTGTCCCACGGAGAGGGCTTGCATGCTTCGTCTCTGGAGCCAGAGATTATGGCTCACCCAAGTGTCAAGTCTGCCATTATTGGGGGTCATGGTCGCTCAGCTCCGGTACTCATTGTAGAGCTTATTCCGGGAACAGAATATGAAAATGATCGCCAGGCCTTCTTGACGAGCCTGGCACCTTATATCGACGAAGTAAATTCTCACTGTCATCCATCTGTTCAGCTTTCCCCTGAGCGCGTTATCGTGGCGACTAAGGGGAAACCTTTTATTACCACCATCAAGGGAAGCGTGGCTAGATTACAGACATTGGATCTTTACAAGGATGAGATTGCTGCCTTGTTTCCATAGCTTATTCTAGAACAGTTTCCAAGATAAATAAGTTCAATCAGTATCCATTACGTGACTATTTTGATGTTTCTAGATTCTGGCAATACTCATAACTGACTGTAGCTCGTACATTTGATAGTGGATGTCAAAAAACTGCACTGTGATTTTACCCATATAATCTACTACATTATCATATTCAGTATTTCTAAGACTTCCTGGCCTCGTCTCATAGTCTTCCCTTTGGCTTTTCTGTTCTCTTCGTCCCAACAGACAGCTGGGCGACTTGAAACGCTTCCTTCGACAGCCTCAGCATCTCCCCGTCGGAGCTCTTGCTCTTAGATTCCCTCCAGAACTTCTCGTCCTCTAACCAGCGTTTAAACCACCCGACGTTTAAACCACCCAACGTTTAAACCACCTCTGAATCCAATCGGAAGTGACAGATGCACACCAATCTGGCTTCTCAATAGTCTTATTGTTACCTCTGGGGGTGTGCTGGAGTATCACCGTATCAGTATAGTCACGTAATACAGCAGTTACTCCATCGGCTCTCGGTGGCCCATCTATGCTATCTAGCCCCTCAAAGTGATTGGTGATTGCAGGGCTCCAGCTTCACCACCAAGCATATTTAAGACTAGAATAGACCCAATAAACTGCGCAGATTAAGCGCTGCGTTTAAGATGAGTATTGTAAGGCAGGTAGCCGAGTCAGGCATGCATACATAATGGCACATTGTGCTAGCTTTCATAGTAGGCTTCTAACATTGTATTTAAAACTAGTTACATAGGATGGTGCTGGTCTCAAGTTGCTGTTATGTAAGTTGACGGAAGTCGACTGCACGACTGGACCAAAAAGGAGAACTCCTTAGAGGTCTGGCCCCTAGGTCTGATATAAGTTAAGCGCCTTCCTGCGAAGAAGTAAAGGCTTCTGCTATCGGTTATTATCAATGATCCATACTCCATAGAGAGTGCCAGCAACGCTTTTGGGGGGCGTCTTAATCTGCGAATAAACGTTGGACTTCGTACACCGTCTTGGGGGATGGCTCTGCAACAGAAAAAATAAATAACTATCAGCTGAAAGCTAGTTCACAATGCTTTTCTTCTTTCGTTCTTTTATTTTTCAAGTTCCAATCTATATTGTAGAATACTTCTCTTTGAAAAAAGCTCACCATGACAGAGCAAAAGGCATATCTGAATGAAAAGGATTTCCAACAAGGTAGTTGTTCTTCACTGCTCTCCTACCAAGCAAACCAACCCCGCTAATCCTCACTAACTAAAAGGTCTTGCCGCTCTCGACGAGGAAATGGGTCACAATGCCTTCATCGTTGCGTTCGCACCTATCCGTATCATTGCCGCAGGCGGGTTCCTTGCGGTGTCTTATCCGTGAAAGCAGTGGTGATCTCGACTATATGATCGATCCGGAATTTGCGGAAGATCAGCATATTCAAACTCCCCTCAAAAGGGCTATCTACTCAGTTGCGGTTAAACTTCATTACAACGATAAATGGGCCAGCGAAGATATCGCTATTTTTGTGACCAAAAAAAGCTCGACATACTTTTTGTTTGAACAAGCCGAGAAACAGGGCATCACGCTCTTCAAAGGAGAAAACCGAGAAGTTCTACTTAGCCGCTCCTCTCGAATGGGCTCTCGAGCGCAAATTACGAAGAATTCATGCCGCAGATCGCGGCCGAAAGGCAGAATATGATATGGTAGACGCGATTGCCCTTCTGAAGGAGCTGAGAGTACGTAATAAGGGGCCTCTCGATGAAGAATCGATTCGGACAATGAATATGAACGGATTCGATGTCCTTCCAGATCACGAGACGATGCGACGCGTAGCGCGTGAGTATCGCCACAAGTATGTACAATGAAGATATCTTCGGATAGGCAGGGGTTTGCGGGTTAAAGGTTAAATGGAGTCCGGTGGCATTGCATGGGTTTAATTAGATTGCTCCTAGATAGTATAGAGCCAGCCCGTGTTCGTGATAATGTTACGCTGTGCAAAAATCGGACTCTGACCCCCCGCCTCAAGCACGAGGTTTCCATCCGTATCAAGCTTATCTGGTGGTACAGACTGCCTCAATAGCTCCTTGTCAATCGGTGCTACATTCTTGGTCCAACCAGGCAAGTCCTCAGGAAGAAATGGTGGCAATGGGTCATCGTTCTGATCACGATAAACATGTTCACCATTTCTTCGCAGGCCCAGACTGAGCCTCCAATTGATCGCCTCGTGTAATTCCTCGACAATACAGGCGATAACAGCATAACGAAGCGGATCGGAATCTCTCAGGTCTGGGATATCTTGCAGCTTCCAATCAGGACGAGCAAAGAAATATTCCATTTCGTACCCCATTAGATCGTATCGATCAGCGAGGTGAAGCTCGTAGAGCCGGTAGAGAGACCGCAGTGGCGTGTCGCGCATGCGCCAGATGGGAATACCCCGGAGATTATGTATGTCACCAAATTGGGATCGAATTATCCCTGTCCCATTCTTCTGGTCCTCAATGAGTGCACGGAGAGAAAATGGGCCTGGGATTTCGAAGAACCAAGATCGATATGGGATAAACATGAGCAGCAGCGCAAGGAAGGGATGCTTGTGTTCTCTGAGCCGGAGCAGACTACTGCGTAGTCGGAGCGAGGACTCCCAGTAGCGAAGCCATGTCCGAAAACGTGCCCAGAGAGAAATCTTTGGCCGCGGACGGCGATGTGAAGGCATGGGTGATAGCGGATCGGCTGGAGAATCGTGAGGCTACGGAGGAGGTAGATATACCATACCTATCTAACGTCTTGCTGGATTCCTATTATGGGATGTTCCAGGCTACTTTTTAGCGTGAAACTAGTGCGGCTGAATAAGCATGTATCTAGAGCTTTGATTATCGTATTTTTTTTATTATTCTGATAACGAGCTGATACTTAAGGAGCCAAGATAATTATCGTAGAGGGAAAGCCGGCGGACGACCGAAGAGTGGAACCCAGAGATAGCCAGGTCGCATCGATTCCTCTACTCGACTACTAATGATGATAATCTAGTTAGCAGCCAGGGAGTGCTTATCTGTAAATGAAGGTGTCCTAGTTAATAATAATAATCATCATGTTCCGCGGGACGCTTGGTGGTGAACCATGTGGGCTCCTTTTTTTTTTTTTCCGCCTTCGCTTTTCCCCGCTGGGCGCGGCCGGTGGGTTAACTAGGTAGGTAGCTAATTCAGCTACAAAAGGGCCAGGATGGCTCTCGTCTTGGGCTAATCTCACGAAACGATCAAGGTGCGCGATCCATCCCAGGCTGCTTGAAGAGGGCAAGCAAGCGCAATGCAGCTCAAGTCAATCGCGGCCGGTCTTCTGCTGGCGGGCAGCTCATTGCTGTCTGCCGTATCGGCCAGTCCGACGGCCAGCTCGAAGGGAGATGTGGTGCGCAATGGCCATGCGAACAAGCACGGTGGAAAGATTGCACCCAAGGTGTTCATCATTTCGATGGTAGGTGGAAGTCTCATTTGCGATGCGTTCTGGACTTGTCTCCAATACTCCATTGCTTTGCTCCAATTGCAAGCTTGATTCGAGTTTTTGTGGCACAGCTATTTGAGACGGCATGGCCAGTGCTTCTCTCAATCGACTCACCCTGTTCTGTTCGATGCCTTTCTTTTGCTGTCACAGTGTCTAACTTAACAATCATGATCTAGTTCGCCCCTGAAGCTGAAGCCTGGTGGGGAATCCCAGAATTCAACCTCCTTGCGCACAACATCACCGTGCCCGGCTTCTCTCCCATCTTCCCCGACGCGCATTGCACTTCCGACTACAGCGTCTGCCAGCTGGTCACCGGTGAATCTGAGATCAATGCTGCCGTCACGATCTCGTCTCTGGTCGCCTCCCCGCTTTTCGATCTGACCAAGACATACTTCTTCATCGCCGGGATCGCCGGGATCAACCCGGAGGTCGCGACGCTCGGTTCCGTGACCTTCGCTCGTTTCGCGGTCCAAGTCGCTCTGCAGTACGAGTTCGATGCCCGCGAGATCCCTGCCAACTATAACACCGGATACATCCCCCAGGGAGCCTACGCGCCGGACGAGTATCCTGCCAACATCTACGGAACCGAGGTCTTCGAAGTGAACACCGCCCTGCGATCTTTGGCAGTTGAGTTCGCAAAGACCGCCAACCTGTCTGATTCCTCCGCTGCAAAGGCCTACCGCGCCCACTACGCCACTGGAACCAATGTCTACAAGGCCGGCGCTACTGGTCCCTCCGTGGTCGAGTGCGACGTCGCTACCTCCGATGTTTACTACAGCGGAAACATCCTGAGCAATGCCTTCCAGAACACAACTCGCGTCCTGACCAACGGAACAGGTCTGTACTGCGCGACCGCGCAGGAGGACAACGCGACGCTGGAGGCCCTCCTGCGCTCCTCCGCGCGCAACCTGACAGACTTCTCGCGTATTATCGTCATGCGCACCGCGTCCGACTTTGACCGTCCGTACCCGGGCGAGAATGCCATGTACAACCTTCTCTATGCGGATCAGGGAGGTTTCGAGCCCGCTATTGAGAATATCTACGCGGCCGGTATCAAGGTTGTGGAGGGTATTCTGAACGGATGGAATGCCACTTTCGCCAAGGGCGTCAAGCCGACCAACTACATTGGTGACATCTTTGGCACTCTGGGTGGTACTCCAGACTTTGGCCCGGGACGCAAAGAGTCCTTGGTGGAGGCCGGTGCGATCACCAAGCGAGGCCTCATGATGAAGGGAATGCGGAGGCGATCGTTCATGTAGATCGTAGGCTTTGATTGAGCCCATTAGCAATATATATATGGTAGAGGTATAGACTAGTGTCGTGAATTCTATACAGTCATTCATAAAGTGAACCAGTATGGTACCTGAATGATTAGTATTTCTATAAAGTAGATCCAACCAGTTGTGTTTCTTCTTCAACCACAATCAAGACCCACTCGAGGACATATTGTACATACATACCATACAGCAGTCGCATATCACGTATGGTACTATCTTCTGCGTATGGTAAAATCCTGCTTCTTTCTCGCACTTACCATAAGAGTATAACTAGTCAGTTCTGAACCTCAGTCGGGCAATTTGTATGGAAAATCCCGTCTTTTCCCCTCATCGGGAGTGACGTCACATCAAACAGCATCTCGGACGGACTACGGGAGGCTGGGAAAAAGTATGGCAAGTACCATGGATGCGGCGGAAGTTAATCTGTCGTGTCTGCTGCGAAGTTATGAGAGAAAATACAGTATACTCCGTAAGCTGCCGCTATTCTGTCAATTGTTTCTGCCTTGGTTTAGTCGAGGGACTTATCGATAAAAGGATCCAGCCCAGCCCCTCCTTAGACGGATTCAAAGGTAGAACCGCCCGGGTAGTACAGTGTATAAGGTCAATATGATATGGTTGCGCCTGGAGTTAAACACCAGCATAAATGTGAACAATGGTCCTTGTATGTACCTCGGTACCTGGGTGTATCGAGAGTATGGTAGAAGGTTTGAAGCCATGATAAGCCCGGTAGTTTCTTCCAGATGGGACGGGACACGAGTCTACTGGTACTAGAGTACAAAGCAGACCCAACGGGAAAGTTGACCCAGCAAGACAATTCGACGAATGTAGAAATAGACATTGAACTTGGAAGAATCGATAGCGAATCGGATGCTGTATGTCCCATCGGGGCGTTTATTCCTAGCGATACCACTGCATGGCATGATCGCATACATGAGAGAAGCATGCAAGGATAATCCTCTCGACGCTTGCACATTCCAGGTTTAGAGCGACACGCGTCGGGGATATTCTCCTGCTCGTGGTTAGATAGCACGGATCTGAAAGCCAGGCAAGGAAACGATCTGGGGTTGTGTATTTTTGTGCAATCGTGTGTCTGACGTCAGGAGCGGAGAGAATCTGGTGTTGAACTGGTCGGCTGTCGATGAAAAAGGATCCAGGCTTTTCCATACAGTAAGCATAAGTTAGCTTGCTTGTCCACATTCGAGTCGGTGGGTGTTCTTATGGTGGATGTGTGCCTCGCTGCCAAACCTCCTCGCAGGCCCGTCGCAGAAGAGTCGACAATCCTCCAGCCATCGTGGGCATTCCACCGTGCTGCCTCCACTGGCCCTCATATAATCAGTCTTGAGTCGTATATTCAAAGGCCTTGGTAGCATCAAAAGATTAATTGGGCACTCTATACGCAAACATAACAATGGTGAGTAGTTTGGAAATAATCTTCTGGTTCGCCGCAATTGGTTCCGCTCAGCAGAACCGTGGATCAATTGCTCTTCGGCCCGTCAGGAACAATAATCCCTCTTCCAGTCGCAAGTTGACTGAATTACTCATAACAGACTGCTAATATCATTTGCGTATTCAGGCTCCAACCCTCCTCACTCCACGGGCAGACACTTCGTCCTGTCCAAGTACGATCAGCGGCGGTGGCATTGCGGGAATCGTCATTGGGTCAATCGCTGGAACTCTCCTTATCATCTGGATAATCCGGCTGTGTTCCACGCCGGGGGCATTCTCTGGTGGTGACCCAGACTGGGGTTACAGAAGCGGAGCGACAGACTCACGGGGCCGACACCGCCGTAGAAGATCGGATTCCTATGTGATCGAGAAGTCTCCATCCAGATCACGCAGATATCGCGACGACGTGAGGCGACCAGCGAAAGTATATTTGAATCAGTGACGAGCCTCTCGATGAACGAGTCCGCAACATGCAGCGCGGAGCGAAGTGACTGAAAACACACGACGTGATGGCCATAGACGCCATAAGATAAATGTGTGTCATGACAAGCACGATGGAAATGGGAATCGTCCCTCGGATTTCTTTCTTTTTGTTGTTGCAGCTCCTGTAGCGCCAATGGGTCGCTTGCAGGTCTTGACGATATATTGTACGAGTAATGTCCTGATGATTGTCAACGTTATGATGATACGCCAATTCCACATTTTTTACCTTGTAATCGGCAGAGAACTGATGGAACTGATGATTCATATTAGTACTGTTTCCCTTGTAGAAAAAAACTAGTACTGTTGATAATAATTCTCCCTATGATCAAATATGTCCATCTATAGATGTGTGGGGTCAGACGTAATCTGCCAGACGTGAGTAAGAGCAGAACAGACGTCCTTAAGACGACATGAAATAAGACAAGTTGAGAATCTTCCAAAGAAAGCAATCTGCAGATACTAGGTCGAAACGAGTGAAAAAACATGAGCCTCGTGTCATCAAAGAATACCAATAATCAAGGATCTGTCGTCTCTGCCGTCGTGTGCGGATATTCGACTACCAGGTGCACTCTCGTCTTCTATCCCCGTGTTCCCTTTCGGCATCGCATTAACTCAGTATTTGCCGTCACTGTAATTGAGTGCACTGGCTCCCCAAAAATGATATTAGAAAACCCTCGTCAACGGCGCGATGACGTCTCTCCCACAGAGGGCTATAATTGGAATGATTTTAGGGGGATTTAGTACGGCATCATTTCTCCGTTCGAGGGCTAAGCTTTTGAGGCACCGATAGAAGGCCCACTAGTCCATACCGCCTCTCTCCTATTTACACAAGTGAAGCCCGAACACTGCAATAATGAACGTAAGCTCAAGCTCCCGACTGACGCAGTGACATGGTGGAAACAGACTGCCTCGAAAGTGGATCAACAGGAATATGGTGTGTATATTCCTTAGTCGCACATCCTTTCATGCGCTTCTGTATACAATTTTCGGAGCTCGAGTTTTTGAAGCCGCACGAGGTGTCGTTTCGCACTTCTTCCCCAAGCTGGGGAATCCGCGATCAGGTGGATACAGTACCTTGTAAGGAACCATCGGCAATCGGCATTTGATTGCGCATGACCTCAAAGCTCAAGCTATGGCAATTATTGGCACCGTCTTGCTTCAGTGTATCACCTGTAGCTTTGCTGGCTCATTGGACCAAGGGCAGAGCTAGAAGTCTTCGAACGTTTGGGAAGACATACCCATGTAATTAACCAGGACGGGCACTACGGCGTACGTATGATGCCCTTGGAAGTGGTAAGCTATCTAGTGCAAGACAGTCGTGGGTCCTTGTGCTGTTCCAAGATCGCCATAAGGCAATAATAAGTGTGCTGTGCAAGAGCAGGAGTTGGTTGAGCTGAAAGATATTTCTCTCATTAGATATAGCAAACAGGCGTGCAGAAAAGTTGGCCTGCACTTACTGCGTGCCAACAGAGTGAAACCGGCTGACCCAGTAGACGACCAGTAGACGATTATTGTCAGGTACCCGAGTTCAAAGGCCAATAAGAAGGTGGTTACTAGGAGAAATCCACTAAATCATGCCGTCGCGAGTTGGCGAAGTGACTAGTCTCACCATTCGCCTCGTGCCGTCGCCACGAAATCTCGTTCTCCGGTGGTGTAACCAACCGTAGATGGGGGAGAACCATTGTTCTTGAGATGATGGATTTCTCAGTATATCAGATCACCCAGAGGAACAGAGCTCTCGACAGCCACAATGGAAAGAGGCGAGCAGACAAAATGCCAAGGTGATGGACTGTGGTCGACAGGAGAAGTTCCTCTCCACGGTTCCACCGTGGCCAACGTTATCTCTCGGCGAGAACCGACTCAGTGCGGTTTGACCCCTGACGGCGCCGCGCCGGTGCTTCTGGCTGATAGATAGCCTCGTTTTGACAAGGAGAGAAACCACTCACAGGTCTACAAAGCAATAAGGTCTTGTTCTTTTCCCGAGACTAGCAGTTTAGGCGCAACTTGGATCTGCTCGTTTATTCTCCATGGTCGACCCCTTACTCGTTCGAGGCGCTGGCCGCCCTTATTGCACCAGGACCACCAAACCGTTATTCTTATTATTATTATCCTTATCATGCCCTCCGACCTCTTCCTCTCCCTCTTCTCTTTCCCGTTTTGCAACATAGATTGATCGTGTCTGTTATCCCTGGTGGCGGGGGCTCCTTCTCTCTTGCGGTGCGTCAAGTCGCACATCCGTTCTTTAAAACGAACCCCGAAAAGCAGACCGATCACCCCGCGTTCTCTGTCGACGTCTCAGTCCCTCGAATGAAGTGTTAATTTTCTATATATAAAGCAATATTGATCCGACCATGACGTTCCTTCTCCTTCTCGGCCTCCTGGCCACCAGCATCTCCTCCGTTACGGCGCAGACCTGGACGAACTGTAACCCGCTGAACGTGACCTGTCCCCCTGATCCAGCTTTGGGTACCAATGCCACCTTCAATTTCACATCTTCGCTTGACGACAAGATTTGGAATATCACAAACGGTGCCATTGATTACACGGACAAAGGTGCAGAGTTTTCTATCGCCAAAAGACTGCAGTCGCCGACGGTCCAGTCCAACTTCTACATCTTCGGCGGCATTGTCGAGTCCATCGTGCAGGCCGCCCCAGGTCGAGGTATCGTCAGCAGTGTGGTCCTGCAATCTGACGATTTGGATGAGATTGATTGGGAGTGGGTGGGATACGACACCACCCATGTTCAGTCCAACTACTACAGCAAGGGCGTCGCTACTTATGGTCGTGCGGAATTCCACGAGGTCAACGGCAGCGCTACAACCGGCTTCCACAACTATACCACGTACTGGACACACGAGAAGCTGGAGTGGTGGATTGACGGGCAGCTCCAGCGGACGTTGACCTACGATAATGCTACCAACGGAACGACATTCCCCCAGACCCCTATGAACATCCGATTGGGTGTCTGGCCTGCAGGCGATCCTAAGAACCCGATAGGTACTATCGAATGGGCTGGCGGCGAGGTTGACTACGAAGCTGGACCTTACAACATGTACATCCAGCGGGTGCGAGTACACGACTTCTCCACCGGCAAGGAATACAAGTACACGGACCGCAGTGGCACCTGGGGGAGCATCGAGACTGTGCAGTAAGTTGGAATTTCTGTGTTGCCCACAGTCCATATCGCTAATTCAATCAGGGGTAACTCCACCATTGAAAAGGAGATCAATAAGCCGCCAGCAGAGTCAGTGAGCCAGAAATGGGCCAAGCTGCCTAGCGGTGCCAAAATCGGCATTGCCTGTGCCATTGCTGGCGTTGGCGCATGCGCGCTTGGCCTTTTCGCCTTCTACTGCGTCAAGCAGCGACGAGCTGGTCGCGCTGAGTATAACTTGGAGAACAGCAAGTTTGACACTAACAGGACGGAGATGTCGAACTTCCAGTCGCAATGGAGGCAAAGTGGATACCAGCCTGTCCGTAATTAGATCTATCTGTCTTTTGATCTTCCCATGCCCTTACCCTCCCGGCTCTGCAGCGGCATCAAGCTCATGTCCAGGAAACTGCCACCGATCAAGTCACGCTGCGGCGTTGTATATCAACGGTGGGAACACACTCGTCGCGCACGGCTGGTCCAGGCGCCCAACGGTAGTTTCTAAGTGCATTTTGTCCATCCTCACACTCATCACCCGTTAGCACGCCGCATTGGGAGCCCTTGATGACCATTTCTGATGGAGTTTCCGAGTCTCTCTGTGTCCGGTCTTACCTGTCTTATTTATGCTAATCCTGTCTATATATCCATCTTTTTTCTTGTCTCTCGCTTTCCCCTTCAGGTGCGCGCGACTATGCCTGTCACCGTGATGTACATAAGGGGTTATCATTCTGTCTTTCAGCCTCCTGTCGGATACACTATGGGGTGTTTTATTATTTCCGGGAATATTCTACACGACCGCACAAACAGACCATGTTCTTGAAACTCTCATTTGCGCTCTCTACTGTAAACATTGCGGCGGCCGCAGTTGCGGGCTGTACGAATATTGTATCCGCCTATTCTGGAGACACGTCCGTGGGGCAGTCAACTGAAACAGCGCTCAAACCAAAGGGGGATAGATTCTAATCTGTCATCCTGATTAGACACCTAATCCATTCGGAACCAGGATTACTGGTTAGACCGGGGATCAGATGCATTGATTCTTCAGAGATGATCGGTTGAAGATTTTTTAAGTTGCAAGAAAAGAGTCGCTTCCGCTGGGGGAGGGCAGCGGCTTTTAAAGAAGGCCCGCGTTTACTCGACCCTCTTTTAACGCGACTTTCACCACCCTGATTGGTGGCAGGAGCTCTGGTGGATTCCCGCAACTTGATTTATTGTGTGGTCTCCAGAGCCCAAGTGATTGGCTGGATCACAAGGATCTCCTCGACCAATAGCATTCGACCTTAGGATTGTCAGTACTTGTACTCGAGTGAGTAACATTATTCTACCATACGGTAATAGATATATTAATGTTTAGCCTGCACCAGACCTTTGATGCTTGCATCACTTCCATGCAATGTTCATGACAACCCAGAGCGGTCGAGCTGGTCATGGAAGATGCGTGCTATCACTTAATATGATACCGGAGGCTACAACTTCCTGAGCTTGCGAACAGACATCGGGGTGTACGGAAGAGTGACAACGGAGTAATGATTCTACTTCTCTTTTCCCCTCAATGAACAAATATGGCGGTTAATAACACCTAAAAGGCCTCGTCATATAGTGCATAATTAATGCTGACAGTCATATGCACACACGTGAAAGACCCCTCAGACATGATGTCACATGATACATGCAATCGTCGAGATGAGACTTCAGTTTTTTTTTTCTCGATTCTCCCTTGCAGGACTTGTGAGACAACAGCCGTTGAGATTATACATTCCAGATATGAGGTGAGACAGCTATTAAGAATTATTGATCTTCTGGTATTCAGTACTAAATTGTTCGCAACAGGTCTGGGCTGCGTCTTGGCTCTTGAATAAGCGAGTTTCACACGCCTCGGGGATTTGTACTGGTTGCAAAGCATAAAACCTCACTGGTCGCCCAGAGATCCAGACTCCGATCGCATCGATTGGCTCCAGACCTCGCGAGTCGCTGGTCGGAAACACCATGCCTGATTCTGCTTTTTTTTTTCGAGTACAAGCAGAGTGGTGTTCGCGATGATTAATTCAAAAATCTCAACGGGAAAATTTGACTGAGACCGTGAATGCATTCCTGGCAGCCCGTGGAGAACTGGTGGCGATCCCATGTCTCGTGCATGCCGGTCTGATACCACATACAGACGCTAAGCGTGGATGACGCAGTGTCCGATATCAACAATCGGGGACTTCCTCATCCAAAATCGCTCCGATCCCAACGGAGACGGGACGGCGGCGTTCTACAGTGGAACATCCGAGGTATCTCGGCCATGATGGGACACTCAGGGACCCGCGCTTGTTCCGTCATCAGCCACATCAAGCGGATCTGTCGCGGGATGATTTAAGTATCTGACTGTCGCGACGCAGCTATATAAATGTAGAGGAGCATTGAAACGGCATGAGCAGATAAGCCGCGCTCAGACAACAGCCTACGCAATTGACGTCTCTTGGGAAAAGAGGAATCGCCTATAGGCAGTCATGGCGGATTTGTTGACATAGATCCATTCGCTGAACTTAAGAAATCGCGCTGTCACAACACAGCGTATCCTCTGCATATTACCAACGAGGAATTTCAGGCAATCTAGCGATCTCTCAGACTGCGTTCATCTTTTCTTGTCGCTAGTCAAGATGGCCTCTGCACCGCAGCATAGCCCGATCCCAGGGCCCATCGGCATGCCTCTATTGGGAAACATTTATGATCTCGATGCGGAAACACCCCTTAACAGCCTGGAGCGTCTGGCAGATACATATGGTGCGTTGGTCCTGGCGTGCGTATGTGATATGCGATCTTATACATCTTTCTGCGTCCTATAATGTTTTTCTTGCTTGAAATATAAACGAACTGACAGAAATTTGAAGGCCCAATCTACAGACTGTCGATCTACGGTACAACGCGAGTATTCTTGTCATCACATGCGCTAGTTGACGAAGTCTGCGATGAGGAACGGTTTACAAAGTCGGTCTTTGGAGGATTGAAGGAGATCAGGAACGGTGTACATGATGGCCTCTTCACCGCGAACTATCCCGAAGAGGAAAACTGGGAGATTGCGCACCGTGTTCTTGTCCCGGCCTTTGGACCACTATCAATCCGGGGGATGTTTGATGGTGAGAAATCACAGAAGGAGTTCGGATACTGTTTTCGGGTATGTATGGCTGATCTGATGTGACAGAGATGTACGATATCGCCTCGCAGTTGATCATGAAGTGGGCTCGACAAGGGCCAAAGACTCCGATCATCGTCACGGACGACTTTACCCGCCTGACACTCGACACTATCGCTCTATGTGCGATGGGCACGCGCTTCAACTCGTATTACCATGAGGAGATGCATCCCTTTGTGGACGCAATGTTAACATTGCTCACGGGATCTGGTAGACGCGCACGTCGTCCAGCTCTTATCAATAACCTCCCCACATCAGAAAATACCCAGTACTGGAACGATATCGAGTTCCTGAAAAAGGTAGCGAAAGAATTGGTCGATGACAGGAGGGCAAACCCGGAGGATAAAAAGGATCTGCTCAACGCTATGATCTTGGGTAAAGATCCGAAGACAGGAAAGGGCCTCACAGACGATTCGATTATCAACAATATGATTACGTTTTTGATCGCAGGTATGGATTTTCATCTCATGGTTATTGCGAACGTATATCCATGTGCCAACACTGACAACGCTAGGCCATGAAACCACCTCTGGTCTGTTATCTTTCCTTTTCTACTATCTTTTGAAAACTCCACACGCATATAAAAAGGCACAGCAGGAGGTAGACGAGGTAATCGGGAAAAGAAAAATTACCATCGATGATCTTCCCAAGCTACGTTACATTAGCGCTGTCTTACGTGAAACGCTCCGTCTGAGACCAACGGCCCCTGCCTTTGCTTTGAGGCCTCATCCAACCAAGAATACAGAGGATCCTGTCACTTTGGGCCGCGGCAAGTATGCGCTGCATAAGGATGAATCCGTCGTGGTGCTCCTAGCGAAGTTACACCGGGACCCTGAGGTCTACGGACCAGATGCCGAAGAATTCAAGCCGGAGAGGATGCTGGATGAGAACTTTGACAAGCTGCCTAAGAATGCATGGAAGCCTTTCGGAAATGGTCTACGGGGTTGCATTGGCCGTCCCTTTGCCTGGCAAGAGGCGCTTATTGTCGTGGCCGTCCTACTCCAGAACTTCAATTTCCAGATGGATGATCCCAGTTACACTCTGGAGATAAAACAGACACTCACCATTAAGCCAAAGGATTTCAGGATGCGGGCTACTTTGCGGAGTGGACTTACTCCCACCAATCTCGAATCTGTGCTCAATGGCACCGGCGCAGGTCCAGCGGAAGTATCCGGTGCGGCAAGCAGAAATCGTAAAGCAGAGGCGCCGTCGAATGGATCAGCTCCGGGACAAGGGAAGCCTATGTACATCTTCTTTGGAAGCAACACAGGGACCTGTGAGGCGTTCGCCAAAAGACTTGCAGACGACGCAATCAGCTATGGATATAATGCTCGGATCGATTCCCTTGACTCAGCGGCGCAAAATATCCCGAAAAAGGACCCGGTTGTCTTTATCACGTCATCATATGAAGGCCAACCTCCGGATAATGCTATTCACTTCTTCGAGTGGCTGAAGGGTTTGGAGGGGAAACAACTGGAAGACGTCAATTATGCTGTATTTGGTTGTGGTCACCGTAAGTACCAACTTGATTTTAAATTTCAGTTGTGACTTGCCACTGACTCACTCTACCGCATAGATGATTGGCAAGCAACGTTTCACTTAGTACCCAAAACAGTTGACAGTCTTATTGAACAGAATGGGGCTTGTAGGCTTTGTGACATTGGTCTGGCTGATGCTGCGGCTTCTGATATGTTCAGTGACTTCGACACCTGGGGAGAATCGGCGTTCTGGCCCTCAATTACCTCAGCGTTTGGACAGTCGAAATCCAAGGATGCGGCTAAGCCCAAGTCTGCACTCCAAGTTGAAGTAAGCTCAAGGGAGCGCACCTCCATCCTAGGTCTCCGTTTACAGGAAGGCCTGGTCCTTGAAAACCAACTCCTCACGCAGCCCGGTGTGCCTGCCAAGCGCATGCTCAAGTTCAAGCTGCCGTCCGATACGACTTACCAGTGCGGCGATTACCTAGCTGTGCTTCCGGTGAACCCGAGCCATGTGGTCCGTCGAGCCATAAGTCGCTTCAATATCCCATGGGACGCTATGCTTCGTATTCAGAAAGCTCCCGGTGTGACCAGTTCACCAGCTTCGGTCCCTCTCGATTACCCTATCTCCGCATTTGAACTCTTGTCGACGTACGTCGAGCTGTCCCAGCCAGCTACGAAACGGGATGTGAACATCCTCGCAGAAGCCGCCGCCTCAGATGCAGACACTCAAGCTGAACTTCGCTATCTGGCCTCGAGTCCGTCTCGTTTCAACGCAGAGATTGTGGCCAAACGAGTCAGTCCGCTAGATCTTCTGCTTCGGTATCCTGCGATTGACCTGTCTCTTGGCGATTATCTAGCAATGCTGCCGCCGATGCGTGTGCGTCAGTACTCGATCTCGTCCTCGCCATTAGTTAATCCTTCCGAATGTTCCATAACACTCTCGGTTTTGAACTCCCCCTCATTGGCGTCCGGTAAAAATGCTAGTGAAAAGGAGGAAGAGGAAAGGTATCTCGGTGTTGCCTCAAACTATCTCTCTGAGCTCTCGGCAGGTGAGCAGGTTCATATAACTGTTCGCCCCTCGAACACCGGTTTTAAGCCTCCGTCTGATCTCAAGACGCCTATGATTATGGCCTGTGCTGGAAGTGGTCTTGCGCCTTTCCGTGGCTTCATAATGGACCGTGCGGAAAAGATTCGTGCCCGACGCACCAACTCGGAGGGTGGTGAGGCTGTGGAAACCGAGAAGCCCGCAGAAGCCATTCTCTACGCCGGCTGCCGGACCAAGGGCAAAGATGATATCCACGCGGCAGAACTGGCTGAATGGGAGAGTCTGGGAGCTGTGCGTGTGCGATGGGCCTACAGTCGTCCTGAGGACGGCAGTAAAGGTCAGTATGTGCAGGATCTCATGCGGGCTGATAGAGAAGAGCTGGTACAGCTGTTTGAAAGTGGAGCTCGGGTCTATGTCTGCGGGAGCACAGCAGCAGGAAACGCCATCAGGGATGTCTGTAAGGAGGTTTACCTTGAGAAGAGGCGCGAAAGGATTCGTAAAATCAGGGAAACCGGAGAGACCGGGTCAGATTTGCCGGATGAAAATGAAGATGAGGAAACAGCGGCTGAGAAATTCTTTGCGAAACTGCGGGCTAGAGAGCGTTATGCCACGGATGTTTTCACTTGATCATATGCAGCCTGGGTTGGGATGCATTGGTTTCTTGGTTTTGCCGTTAAACTGTCTTGGTATTTCTTTCCTCTGATTCTACTAGATTGTCCATATATAGACCACACTGGAATTTATAGTCTCGATTAGTATTCATCTCGTAGAATCCCATCCCTTGTCTTATGCCTGAGGCCTTTATATTCTGCGACTTCTTGAATCTGGTCCGTGTCTACTAACATCAAACGAAGAACAAGATAAAAAGCTCGATCATTGAGTACTTGGGTTTCAGTGAGTAAATAAATTAATAAGGGCCAGCAGACTAGAGGCGTCTGATGATTCCCCTCCTGTCGACGCACGAGCAACCTGACTGGCAAGAAGGTTGGTGATGAACAAGATATTACTGGATTTCGTCACTCAGCTATTGGACCTCACGCGATTCATCATATGTCGAAAGTGGCAGACTGTATTGCTCACCTCCCGAAGAGCCCTGTCGTCATCTTCTAGGAGTTACATGACGCTGCTACTGACGATGGTAGTATGTTGTACTTCAGCCACGCTGCATTCAGTAACATTTTCTAAACACCAAACTGTAGTCGTCTCTGAAAACAAGACACTTGCCACCCTTTTCGATGAAATCAAGAGCTACTTCGTCATCATCGATTTAAGAACACTCAAGGCGGTGCTGAGCCCGGTGGAAACATCCGCGTCGCTTATCTTTACCATTATTTTGTACTTTAAGCTCCAGGGCTCTGAAACCACAATTCCGGATCCAGTATAGACTCAAACAATGTCCTGCCTGGTTCAGAGCTGGAATATAACCCTGGATGTTGTTGATTTTGATCCTAGGGACACAGCCATGTGGTAAGATGGCCGCAAGGAAATATCAAGTTTTTCACATCAATGTCTATTCAGAGATCCTCAATTGAAGACGATCCTGTCGTCATGATACTAACTTGGTTCTAATCTAGAACTTTGCCTCCTCCATCCTTACTTCAGACACCAAAGCCATGATCATCACGCTGGTGACTTGAACGAATCAATCTTTATTGAACCGCTGCAACGTTTCTTCTCCATTTCCGGCCTCCAGGATCTAAATGGAGTTGTTTGAATCGAAGAGAAAGTATACGTCCATTTACAATATGGACTGCGCAGATTTTGACTATGTATTCATTAGCGGCGCCTTGGCAGCTGATCCAAAGATGGAGCATACCATATCAACACGGAGTGAAGCATGATGATGCGGCGTCTGATCATGGTCCTATCCTGACGTCGTCAAACATTTGCAGATAATTGAACCGGAATAGGTAAATGGAGGACAAGAAGGGAAGTATTAGGCATTGGTTAACTATGATCGAGAGTAAAAGAGATGACGGGGATAAGCAAGAGGATATGTATGAACAAAGAAGGGATCGAGATAAGTTATGATGAGAAGCGTACAGTTAGAATCGTTTTTAACTACATATTAGCAGGAATTCAACTGGATCCAAAAAATCATCAACGCTCTCCAAACGAAATAGCCTCCATACAACAGTACAATAGGCCTAGTATTTTCGAGTATTCTCAAGCAATAACTCCGTGATGGTATAGAAGCATATTCTACCCAATAGCGGAATGAGCCAGATAAGGATCGTTCGTTCTTGTACGCCCAGTCTATTTAAACGCTATAGACCAATGAGCGAGGCTACGAGGCGCACACTTAATGGAATTTCGGACAGTTTGATCTACTAAAGCAATGCCCGACTTTCTTGGCTTTGAATGGTGGCTGCGTCACCAACCTAACTCTATCGCAAACTACGGAGTAGCGTGTCAAAACTCCTCGTGGATCGCCACTACTAGCGTTGTATTCCGATTACAACTCCTAGTTCGTTTCATCTACAACTACACCGCTGATAGTTGCTTTTGACCGCTATTTCTACTATTTCATTAAATATGAAGCTATTTGGATCAATATTCTATATCCTAGACCTTCCTGACTACTCCGGAGTCTATACGAACACCACTGCCAGCGACCGTGCTAGCGACCGTGCCAGCGACCGTGCCAGCGACCGTGCCAGCAACACCACATCAAGATGCCTGTTCATCAAATTGCCGCTCAAGTGCAAGCTTTTACTCTACTCCTAATAGGTGTTAAGCCTAAAGATATTCGCAAGCATACAGGAGTCCCTCCTTCTATACAAAGAGATATCCAGAAGCGAGCCTTTTAACGCGGTTATTGGCCACAGGAGAATCCTCTTATTAAGGATAAATATATGATCAATGCCCCCTATTCTAAACAATCTAGAGTTATTATAGAGGAGACTAAAAAAGCTATTATAGACTCTATTTAAAAGGACTGAGCTAGGCGTAAGAAATCTGCTAAAGTTCTTATATATAAAGCTAATATTTCTTATATATCTGCCTGTTGGATTCTTCGCGAGTATAAATTTTTAAGATACAAACCTATATAGAAACCTGATTTTACTAATAAGGCAAAGCGCTGTAGATTAGAATTTGCATATAATTATAAATACTAGACGCTTAAAGATTGGAAAAATATTATATAGAGTGATAAAATATCTATCATCCTTAATCGCCGCTATAGGCAAATTAGAGTCTGGCGTAAGACAGATAAAACCTATAATCCAACCTATATATAACAACGCTTCTCTAGGGCTTCTAACTTTATATTCTGGGGATACTTTTTATAAGATAAAAAAGGTCCTTATTATATTTAGAAGCTAGAGACTGCCCAAAAGAAAAAGAATATTAAGAAGGAATTAAAGATCCTAAACTATAAACGCGAAGCTCTTTATTACTAAGAATAGGAGCTTCTCAACCCTATAAGCCGTATGAGCCTTTATAATTTAAAAAGAAAGAAGCCAGTCTGGAGATTTACTATAAAGACTGGCAAGCTCGTACGCAAAGAAAAAGGTGGAGTTGACTGGTATTGCTATTAAAAGGTAAGTAAGATATCCCTTTAATTAAATAATACTGACCTAGCTCTAGCAAATCCTAATTATAAAGCTCATCCTCTTTATAAAGAAATGTCAGAGAGACTGACCAAATACAATTGTTTAGGAAGATAATGCTTCTTCGCATGCCCATCAAGCTTAGTAAGAGATATATAATTACTATAAAGTTATCCGGATACTCTGGCTGTCAAACTCGCCGGATTTAAATATAATTAAGCCCTGCTAGTATTGAATAAAGAAACAGACTACTATATAAAAAGCTCTAAGCTCTAAAAAGATAGGTAAAGGTCTTTAGCTTCAAGCATGGAAGGATCTCCCATAGAGCAAGATCTAGGAGTGGATAAGTTATATCCCAGACCATATTAAAGCTGTCATTGCCTATAATAGCGGAAATAAATATAAGAAGAATAATAAAGATACGAAACGAAGCTATAAAGGGTATAAAAATAAGGGTAAGCTTAGCAAACATAAGGATATTGGCGATAGTAGTATAGCCGGCTCAGCTGGCTCAGCTGGCTCAACTGCTGAGCTAGAGGAATATAAGGATATTGAGGATATTATAGATAACAAATAGGAATAGCTTCAATTAGCCCCTAAAAGGAAATGATTAGCAGCTAGAGTATTAGGGTATTACAGCCAAATTTACTAGTGCTCACAAGGATTTTTGACACGCTACTCCGTATACATAGTTAACTACCTTCAGTCGGGTATTATTGCAATCACAAACCGATCTAGACTCCAGTGTTCAAAAATCAAGCAATTCTTGAGAGAAAAGCTAATTTAGCTTCTAGGCCTAAGGGGTACGGTAAGCCTTAAGGTTAACTGATCGTCGCGGGAGCTCAGATTGTATAATATCTCTGCCGATAGTGACCACTTCCGAGGAGGCTTATAGGCCAGAGACATCAAAAATAGCGCATGGACGAAGAGAAACTTCAAGTAGCAATGGATTGGGTTTCCAGAATAGTCTTCTGCGAGAGAGAAAGAATATTCAAACGGTCTAGTTATTGTTTTTCTGTCTGCACCGGGGATGCCCGGAAGCAGAACACTTTTGGAACCGTGGTTTTGTTCTGTCCCGGAAGAAGAAGTTTGGCTCATTTTTTTCGGACATGCGGAGCGATCGCAAATCGCAAGGTTTCCCAGAGATCCGATCGGTGTCTCATATCAGAGTTTGGCCGTTATCGATAGACTAATGATCCATCCCAGGAACTTACTTACTGTCGGAGCACTATCTCTTCTAGAAGGAATGCGAGCCATCACGGATATGATACTCGATTCATCAACAGATTCGTAATCACCGAAGAGCAGAAAGACTGATGTCAGACGGTATGCAGTCACAGGCTGATCGGACGGGATCTCGTGAGAAGCTCAACTTCAACCGCCTGACGGCGTCAAACTCAGAGACAGCAATACAGCATACAACGCGGTCATAGCTGCAGCTATCATATCGCGTCGCGTTTCAGAATGGGAAACGAGGGCACACGAAACAAGATCACCGAAAGCCGCAATGTGATAGAAGGTGACTGCCAATACAAGCATTCTCGATGATGCTATCCGCGAGGCTCGAATTCTACCGGGAGCTCCCTTTCCAGCGTCCGTCAAATTTGGCTTGCCCCTGACCCGAGAGGGCAAAACTAGATACTCCGTACAATGGGCCGTTGTACGGGATCTGGAATAGCTTACTGCCACTACCGTCTCGCTAACCGACGAACTACTCTAGTCTGCGATTGATTGTGGATGCCCAGAACCCGACTGCAAGGTCCCGTACTACGTTAAGACGCAAAGGCAATGTTCCAAGGTTCGCATGAGGCGTCGGCTGCAACTCTACAGAGTTCTTCAGGTTCCGAGGGAGAACTCATGGCTAGGGTGGAGGAGATGCTGCTTGGGATACTGCGAAAGTCGGCGTCCCTTGCACAGGTTCGTCGTTTTCTCCCGAGGTGCTGTCGATCTCCTGCAAAAAAGTCTGGTTCTCACAGAGCTTGATAGCGAAATGTGGATCGCCGCGCCCGCTGTCTCTGGCCACTTGGATCGGCATCGCCTGGCGCATGGACGCATTTCATCTCCGTGGGTTTGTTGACGATGAACTCCACGGGCAAGCAAAAGCCTAAAGCAAAAGGCAACATGCGCAAAACTGGCAACCCAGAGTCCACGAGGATGAGGATGAGGATACTCAGTATTTTCAGGGTTGCCAGTGACGATTCTAGGACGGGATACAGCATGGCAAATGAATACTGTATTCTAGTTTCTTCTCGTGAGATTACAAGCCACAGTGATCTGCATCGATCTTCGTGGCGTGATCAGAGAAGTAAACAGCGGCGCCTCTCGACGTGGCGCTCAAACGCGTTTGCCGTGGCTAATGCAGGACACCAACTGCCATTCGGACGTCTTGTTTGCATAATACTCCGTACTCTAGACTAGAGTATCCAGCTGGAAGGGTCTCCACACGGGGGGATACACTGTTCGGTACACTTTTGATATAAGGGGCCGATCAGCAAGTCCAGCGCAACTCAAATGTCGATGCTTATGTGACATGAGTGGCGCATAAACTCGACAGCTTTGCCTTTCTTCTCTCGGACAGGAGTGAACGGATTAGGTATGGATGTGTGCAAAACAGGCTCGAGAAACTATCAGAACCATGAGCAACCCAGTCTTTTTTCTGTGATGGTCTGATCGATGGAGACCGACGGTCCATGTATCTCCTACCCGGGGACTCAAATTACTCTAAAGCCCCAGAGCTATGGCGTGTGTGCTCCGCTGCATAGGTCGATCTCCTATCTGGAAAAAGACGTCGCTGATCTCTGGCTATAAGAATCTTTCCCCCTCCTCGACCTGGTTTCCTTCGGTCAGGCCTACTGCTTCTTTCGATCCAGCAGCTTCGATATCTTCTCGACAGCTCTCATACCATACGAACTTTCCATCATATCGCTCTTTGACTTTTCTTGTTTCTTGACCAGGTCCTCCTTAACTTCTTTTTAATAGAAATCTTTTTGAATCACCTACCTACAAGATGAAGTTCACTTCCGTCGTCGCTGCCTTTGGCGCTGTCAACGTCGCTTTGGCTGCTCCAGCTGGTTTGGCTGGTCTTCGTGACCTAGTTCCTGGCCTGCCAGCTGGCCTTCCTGCTGGCCTTCCTAACGGCCTTCCTGCTGGTCTTCCTAGTGGCCTTCCTACCGGCCTTCCTACTCCTCCCTCCGGAGCTCTGCCATTCCCAACCGGAGCGATTCCCTCTGGCATTCCCACGCCGAGTGGTCTCCCCTCTGACCTCCCTGGTGAGTCTGAGGGCAACGCCATCGTCCGCCGCGGCCTCTTTCCGAAACCGCCCAAGGGACCTTTCCCTGAGCACCACCACCACCGCCCTCAGCCTACCGGTACTGTCCCTCTGCCAACGGGCGGTTTCCCTACTCCCACGGGTGGTCTTCCTTTCCTTAAGGATGACGTGCCCGTTACCAACTTCAGTGCTTAAACTGCTACCGCGTTGATGTTCGCCTGGTCGCCAATTCTCCACGCCTTCGGAGCGGGAGCAGGAAACTGTACAAAGACAGCGGAATCGTTATCGTCAGTGACGTAGCGGATTACTTTTATATCTGCGCCGCCGCACATCGGGAATATGTGCTGACCATCGATTGACCTTGATGCGGGTGCGGGCGTGAATACTTCCAGGACTGCCAATGACAGGCCCTTTCCGTTTCTGCGAAGTTCGAAACTCCTGTATTTTCTTTTTATATGTTTCATGTATATACTCTCTATAAGAGGTGCATACAGAACACCGACTTCCATTCAATCGCTTCACCATTGTGCTACCAATGTGACCCCTTTTTGAACAGATCAGCTCATCTTGGTGAGAACGCATCATTTCCCGTGCAGATGTACTAGGTCGTTAGTTAGCGAAGGTCGGGCATCGATCGACTCTGATCATCCAGGGGTTTTGTCGTTTGTCGTTTGGTGGGCCTTGCTGATCGCTGACATAAGCATCTCTGCCGTGTCCGATCCCGGATGTTTTCTGCCTGAACTCCGAGGCAGAAAGTTCCACCCTCCATCGTTGATCATCGTCAAAGTCCCATCATTCTCCCAATATCTACAATTTCGGATCTTGTCTCGTCTTTAGTATCTATATGTGTTCATAATGGTAATTCGACTGTGACTCCTTGTCTTGGATTTTGCTTCTATGATCTTCTCCTCCGTACCCGCGCATGTACCAAGTATTGACTGTCTGAACGACGGGCTACTTCTGTCCCAGAGTGTATCTGATCCCACTTACCCTGGAAAACCCCGCAATGTAGGTGACATAAGTGTGTTGTATGACGCTCTTAAAGTCCAAGTCCACATGTGGGTTGGTTATCGAGTGATCTGGATGTACGCCATCTTCCATGTTGGTATAGAGTCTCGCAGCTTAATTGACCTAAACACAGTCCTCCTCTGGCTGGCATATACTTATAACGACGGGCAGTTTGTGTGGTATGGCAAAAATAGTTATGGATGTCTTATTCCTTGGCCGATCTCATTCTTCGGCACCTGGCAAGTCCAGTTGTTGTCTGCGGTCTCTACGTCGCTATTGCTGTGAGATTCCCCACGAATGGCTGATAAGGTCTTATTGACATCGGCCGGTCCGGCCGACAGTATGTTTACTATGAACTTCCGCATCAAGATGGCCAATCGCGCCTTTATTAACTCATCATATCGCCTCTCAAGGGGACAGGTGACCTCCTCTTCGCTCGTCTCAGATCGATTACAGAAGAATAAAGCAGCACCTCTTCCTGATCTTCATGGTTCTTGTCTTGCAATGGATTTCTGCAGTGTCCCTGCTTGCAACAATACACGTCGCGTGCAATGCCAGGGCTGCTCCTCTTCTGCCCTGTGTTACATCGATTCTGTACTCGGGTATTTCCCAGGCGACCCGGATGGTCTGACAGCAATCCTTTTGATATCACTATATGTCATTGTATCCTCCCCTGGGCAGCCTGTGGTAATTAACAGGTCTTGCGTTGCGTCTTTGCGTTCCCATGGATCTCCATCGGGAGGCTCATGCAATCGTCGGCACGAGTCTCCAGGAAGTTGACACCCAACGACGATATTTCTAAACGATCTACAAATTGGACAGATTATGAGCATAACACTTGACTGACCCTATGAAATTAATGATATTTCAGTTCAGGTCGAATATCCAAGTGAGTAATGCGGGGTTTTTTAAAGACGAAAAGTTCATCCCATGCGCAGAAAAGGTGACCTCAACCACCTAACGCGGATATACGCAACTGGTATCAGAAATCAACAAGTCCTATATCACCAATGGAAAGTGCCATTCTTGGCATATCCCAAATCGGACTATGCGAACTGGAGACCGGATATGAACCGATGACTCAAGGCATGGTACGCCACCGTCCCCTGCCCAGAGAAAGTGGGTTCAAAAGAGAAACTTCCCTCGCAAGCTCGGTGGGATGCTCTTCACTCTGGCGCCCTTCTCCTGCTATATCGTCCGAGTCCTGTCACACTGCCAACTCTGGAGTCATTCGAGATGTGCGACAGCGTCAAGGATCCAGATCCAGAGCATCAAAACTCTTCTTGGCGGGATTCACATTGATGCATTGTGTCTTATACTCAAGGGGGATCCAGCGGCAGATATCTCTTTCTAATTTAGCGAAGACAACACAAAGTTGCAGCAGTGTTCTTGCGATTTATCGCCCCTCCCCCCATCCTATCTTGTTCCTGTGACATTCATCTAACGTTGTCTCTCTCTCGCTTCCTGTATCCTCTCACAAAACGCTTCCCCAATACAATTTCCTCCAGTGACAGCTTTGAAAACATCTCCACAGCCAGAATGAAATTGTATCTACTTCAAGCAAGACTCCCGAAATTAGCATCCATCCCCCTCGTAAGCCTGCTGAGCACCAAGTCTACCATAACCTCACGTATCTCAAATCGCGCTAGTGAACAATCAAGAACTTGAGAACGTGATCGACAACTAGGACGTCAGACACGATGTTATCTTTCACCGCGCCTCAATTTGGTGAGATGAAATACTGAACCACGCAGCGCAGTGGTGGGATGATAGCACCTCTACGGAATGGGAGTCGATATGTATGAACCAGAACAAATCAATAGGGCATTTGGATGAGTTGATAGACTGGTATATACCTTCTTGGTGTAGATTTTCCAATGACAAGGTGGGCATGGTATGGTAGGATGTGGAGTGTTGATATACTAAAGTATATGTATGTATGTACATTGAAAGAACGAAATACACACACCCGCTCCCACGACGATGAGCCAAGACGAGTGTGATGTAAGTGGTGTGATTTACATTATGAATCGAGTTATTTTCGTATCTTGAAATCTAGGTTCTTGTCCATGGTGGAATTAGATACATTTAATGAAGATTCCAAAGGCCACTTGCTGTATATAACTATTACGGAAGACCCAAAATGTAGGTAATGGAGTCTGGTCACGCCATTGAACCAGAACATGAATAATAAGTAAAGGACATCACAGCGATTATGAGTGAACTGCGCTGTTGTTAAAGACCTGGTTATAGAGAATGGACTGTCTAACGCGATAAGATTGAAGATCTACTAAATATATAGGTCCCGGGGTCGGGGAAGTTGGATATTGACGATCGCAATCGAGAAGTCCCGCTCAGTTTCGCGGTAGTCGCGTGAGATATTCTATGATCTTGAACTCTAGCCGACTCCAGGAATGTAGAAGAAAAATTGTTTTGTTTTGGAAGTATTATCAATGCACAGAATACTGTACACGTGTAGAAGGATCTTTCATACCGAGAAGATCCTATAGAAATAAGAACAAACAACACTGTCTATATGCAGTCATTATATCCCTGTCCCAGATAGGATCAGAGTTCCATATATATCAAAGACCCAGCGGTTTCAACCGCATCAATTCAAGCAAACGCCCAATTGTAACAATCGCTCTCAATTTCCAGCTGCGACAGGAGCAGCAGCAGCAGCAGCAGCTCCATTATCCTCTTCCATCTCCGGATCGATCGTTCCCTGATCCTCCGGCTTGAGATCTCTTCTCGACGCGCTCATCCTCCAGTCTTTCATGGGGAATTCGAACGTTCGTGTAGATTTCCACGGATCCGCGTATATGCCCAGCCCATCATCGTCATCCCACGCATTGCTCTCCCACGTCTCGATCACGATATCCGACAATCTAGACGCATCGCCCTGAGCCTTCGCACGCGATGAGACTTCCATCGCAGCAGTTTGGGCCTCCTTGCCACCTTCCCACCAGAGACAGGATACCTTGTGGTCTCGCTTGAGTCGTCCCAGCGGGAACAGAGCTAGATCATAAAACGCATTCATGCGAATACCCTGATCGAAGGGTAGGAAGTATCGATTGAACGAAATACCACCAAATCCCTGGATGATCTCGATATAGCCCAGCGACTGCGCGGGGGGCTGCTGGACGAGCATGTGGCGCCAGCTCGCACCTTTCCGTAGAAAAGCATCTCTGTGCTCCTTACCGGCCAGCGGTAAGGTCTGGAGATCGGCATGGCAGAAATTCTGTCTGGGACCTTCGGGGTCGGGAAACCAGAGGGGGAAGAACTTGGCTAGTAGCGGATTCTGGACTCGTTGCGTGTGTGGCGGTGCCGGTTGGAAGAACAAGGCTTGCTGCAGGGTTCGTGAATAAGTGATCAGGTCATGCCATCGTTTACAGACGAGCTGAGCGGATGTCAGCAGCGTCTGCAAGTCGACTTGGAGCAGGATCGCCTCGAGGAGTTCTGTCGTGTGCAGAACATGTCTCCGGGCTTCTAATGATTCCATGGTGGAACGAAAGCAAGAGGTGAGTGATCAAGTGTCAATCAGTCAATCAGTCAACAGCAGAGACGAAGGGAAGAGCAGAGGAAGATGGCGACATGGCAGCTTTTTCAACAAAACACCGTTGATCAGTTCTGAAGGCGCCGGGGAGAATTGGAAAAATCACCCGATAAGCTTAAGTGTCGCAATCCCACCAGATCGTCGTTCTTCGGCCCAACGACCGTCTTCATGCGCATTTGCCACCGCGTTCGAGCAACAGAATCGGATTCAGATCCAGCGATCAATCAAATAATAATTCAATAATAATAATAATACCGGGGCTGGAGATCTTCCCCGCCACGCATTCCAGTGCTTCTTTTGCTTTTGCTCCGGTCCGCGCCTGACCTTCCTCATGCGCGCCATCGCGTGAGATATTAATCTTCTTTCTTACCGAATCGCTCATGGTGCTGGTTATTTTTAACCTTGTTAAAAACTTAGCCTTCCATCGAAGAATTCTCGACGCCGTCGTTGCTGGTCCAGATGCGCACACTAACAGCTGGTGGATGACGCTACGGCTCGCGGAGACTCCGGGACCAGACTATCTATGACTATCTGAGACTATCTCGCTCTGATCGCTCCGTTTTCGTGCTTCTGGAACGAATCCAAGGGCGATCAAACAGTCAGAAGGACGACGATATCTTAATCGGGGTATCACCATGACCTCCAGTGGCGTGGGGGTTGTCCGATTATTATTGTTCGAGATGCTTGCTCTCTTCTTCAGCGTCCAAACTGGAAGAATTCAAAGAGAACAAGTTCCAGTCTAGTTAGATAGGCTGGCACTGCAGTATCACCTCGGTTGTAAAGAAACCCCGCTTACTATGCAGTGTTGGTGCGACAGCTGGCGCCATAGCAAACAGAATCAGAGGACATCAGATATTATTTATTATTAAAACAGCTCAGTTACCCCTGCGATCATGGCTGGGGAAGATCCACGACTCTCGACAGGCCAACACCGACACGCGCCCTTGCAGAACAGGAGCAGCTGCACATCGTACTTTACACTTATCTAGCTAGCAGCATGTCAGTTTCCGGATAAGTCCCAGAACGGTGTATCAACACGCAATTGACCTCGCACAGCAGTTAAAAAATCTTTCAGTTGACGTAGTGATCTTTTTCTGCCAAAGCAAACGTCGTGCAACCAACATTACTCTTGTGGGTGGGCACTGATCCGGAATCGATAGACAGACACTCAGAGCGGAACGGAAGCAGAGATTATACCATGAGTTTGACAAGAGCGGTGAACATATCAAATTCTGGGCAACTGGGCGTTTTTCGAGCTGACGTTTTCTATGCTTCTAGCATATGTCTGACCGGTCATTCTATTAGATCTTTTTGATAGTTACCAGCTTACTTTTTGACACGCGTACAGAGGAAACAGGACCGACTTGGTTAGTCCGCATACCACAAATTGGAAAGTCTGCCGGGCTTACAATGTCAGATGGTCAACATCATGACATGACTCTGTGGTATTTATTATTATATGAGACTTGGCGATAAGTAGGTACTTAGGCTGCACCGCGCACCTGTGAAGGGTGATATTCAGACCGCTCTCGATGGCACTGCTATCTGAGTTGCAAGAGTCACTCTTACCCTCCGAATTGTCCTTTTTTGACATGCCAGGCCGATCAAATCAATATTCCAATTGCAAGGTGATCGGACCTGATTCGAGGTTTGCCAAAACAACGATACCAAGCAGCTAGCAGTTGATTTCATTCATACTTAGTGGATTCATGAGGCTTAGTTAGTATATAGTAACGGCGGATTATTCATTCCAACCACTAGTTAACCAGGCTGAAGAGAAAGTAGGAATCAAAAAATACAAGATCCAAGACATAGTTATATTATACCTAATGCGTCATCCCCCTCGTCGCCGACTTCGTATGCAACCGTCCCAACCACGACTGCGACGTCCATCTCCTAATTCTCTTTCCGAAGATCATAAAAACCAACAACGCCATATTATTCGCCAACAACACCCCGCCAAAGATACCCGCAACCACCACCGCGTATCCGTTCGCCAGGATCCAATCGAGGAGATACGAACTCATCCCGAAGGAAATAGCTTGCTTGCCTAGATTCATCGCGATCAACATCTCAGATGTATTCGTGTAGTATGAATCGACAGCATATGCGAGCGTGAAGGTGAAGTAGAAGTAGGAGCCGAATTGGTCCATCGCGACGCCTGCGAAGTAGCCGATCCAGTGTAGGTCGCGCTGGGCTGTGAAGCCGTATAGGACTAGACCTGCGGGGGCAATGAGCATGGCGGGAAGCATCACGCCTAGACGCATCTCGGCTTCGCGGATGCCGCCATTGCGCCGGGTGTAGTATGCTGCGAGGCGGTCGGAGCTGGAGGTGAATGGGAGGGCGAGGACGTAGCCGACTATAGTGCCGACAGCGATGAGGCCGGAGCTAGTCTGTTGAGGTTGGTTATTTAATTTGCATGATAGTTTTGACAAGTGGTAGAGTGGCCATACCTCACTCCAGTTATATGGTGGCTGCGTGATTTTCAATGGGAAGGTGTAGTTGAAGGCCAGAGCCCCAAGGCCAATGTATATACCTAGTCCAAGTCAATGAGAAGCGCGCAACTATATCTCAAAGATGAAACATACCGAAACTCGAAATGACCCAGAAGACGGCCGGGACAAAGAAATAAGTGAACGACCTGAACATCGTGACGAAGAATTGGGCATCTGGGTCAATGGAACTCCATGGTTTGAGAGTCTCGATGAAGGATTTGCGTTCGGGCAGCACAACCGGCGTGACGTTTTCCATTTGAGTTGCTCCCTGGATCTTTTCCTCACTCTCGTTCACGCTGGGCAGGGGAGATTCTGTTCCTGGTTCCGGTCGCTTGTAGGTTGTTTCTTCGACGATGAAAAATGCGAGGATGAGCAGTGCCGCGGCGAAGGCGCTCTCGACGTAGAAGAAGAGTCGCCATGAGTAACCACCTGCGAGCATGTATCCAGCATACAAGGGACCAGTAGCTCCGAGACAGAGGCAGACTATTACCTCCAACGTCAAAAACAAATTTAAATAATCTGGGGATAAATTACCATACCTGTATAGTATCCAATGCGCTTGCCACGCTCGTGTAGGAAGAAGATGTCGTTGACAAGTTGAACAGGGAGAGATTCACAGACTCCACTTCCGAACGCATGGAAGACACGGGCGACCATGAGACCACTATAGCTGGTCGCGCGGGAGGCACCAATGAGGCCAGCAAGGAACTGGTTAAAAGCAAACGTTGGCGCTCTTATGCTTCGTGCTGGATGAACGAGAACATACCATTGCCATAGAAAATAACGTCACAGGACGTCGCCCGATTTTCAGATATAGAGGTACTAAGACAAGGGAACCTATATCCTGTTAGCCTCAAATATTGCAGAAGCATATGACAAAAGGACGTACTGAAGCCAAACGCGAGGTTCGGATACGAGACCAGTCCGGAAGCCACTGCAGGAGAGATCCCGAATTCCTTGCTGTACATAGTGATATACACTGATGGTCCGACCAGTGATGTATTTCCGAGAAACGAGTACACTGAGACGATGATCAGGATCATCGTTTTCTTCCAGTTCGGCCACTTCGATGTTATCAGTTTATCATTCGATGTTTCTGTAGAGTGAATCTCACCTGCAGGGGATCATTGGGATCATCAGCAGGCACCGGATAAAGTGCCTGTCCATATGCCGTATCATCTCCTTCCACTGCCCTCAGGTCAACAGTTCCCGGAACGTCTATTTCGTGCGCATGGCTAGAAATCAGTCAGTCCTTGAGACTGTCCCAAAATACCTCCTGCCTGCGAAGAGTATACCTATGCGCAAGATGCCTGTGGCCCTCCTGGGTTTCAATGTCCTTTGCCATGGTGTCAAGATGTCCACTTCTGCGGATCTGAGCTGCACATCCTAGACAGCGGGTCTATCTGCTCTTTTAAGAAGAGTCCTGGGTGTTGATGGCCGTTCGTTCTCCCCGGATCGTCCCTGTCATTCCCCCAGACGGCATCGCCTGGAAAACCAGCAAAAAGCTGCGGGGCCCAAGCCACGTGTGGGACGTTACGAGTTGTTCCGGCCTGTAAGGTTTAACTAGAATGACACGCGAGTACTCTGCAATCGAATCTCCTTTGCTGGTTGCGATATCCTGGGGGACCATTGGAGCCGGTGGCCATTCGAAGAGACCGCCAATCCCAGCTAACCCAACACCATTTCCTGCTATCTTTCCTTTGGAGACAGCTATTAATCAATCCATAGAAACTCTAGGAGACTGGAACTCATTCAACAACACGACTAAAAACGCCAAGTCCTCAAAGGCTGTTCTAGATTCCTCAACATCTGCCACAATTCGCCACGGACTACCTTTTCCCACTGACCATACGATTGAATAACCTTATCCGGTGTCTTGGGACCATAACCCAGTAATTTGGGATTGACTTCAGGAGGTTTGTCTGGGACACTGGCGGAATTCCGATCTTGAAGATTCAAGGATTCTTGGAGCATGGCCTGTGCACTCTTGAGTCTGGGGTAATTCCCCGGATATGTGGAGAAGCTCAAAATGCGGGGACTATCAGTTCTCTTGATTAAAAAACCAAGCCAATATATCCCCCACATGGGGCCCCCTTGTAGCTTTGTCTGGCCCCGCAGATTTGATATTGACTATACTCTTGTCGGGGGTTCAACCGGTGATATGTCGTCATGGTTGTAGACATCATTAACAGTCTTCGTACTGGACATGGGATTATGGAGCTTGTCTATAGCAGACACATGAGCATGGAGGAGATGTTCTTCAATGTCCGATACGTAACCGTATACAGGCGCCTGTATTTATTGGGGAAGGCGCGCCGTATAGAAGACCTAGCCTCGTCTCTCATATCTAGTGACAAAATATTAGCACGCACTCGGGAGAATTACTAGAAATAACTCGTACAGATCTTGTCCAATGGCCTTTACCAAGCCTGTAAAGTCGCCAGAGAGAAATAAATCCCTCATTAATGGGGGAGCTATATAGCCGAGGTCGAAATGTCCTTATAAGAATATGTAATTCAACGGTGTGCTCGATGAGACCACAGCAACACAAAGAAATAATGGTAGCTACGCTGTCAGGTTACCAGGTGACTTCAAGTCAGGTGGCTACGCTTCCCAAGACAGCAATGGGGCCTCAGGCAGCAGTTCACTGCCTTTTGTTTCCCACCTGCCTACTTCACCCTTTTAATCCACATCAGCCAGCTAAGAGTCTTGAGATGAATTGTCGCCTTCCAGCTCTATCTAGTCGATTAGATGATAGAATCGCAAATTAACCATCTAGACACTATGAAGTGGAAAATTAAGGGTTGCCTCCCTCCCACGTGGAAGCCTGCTCTTGGTTTCGTACTATGACGAATATACATCAATCATGCTGTAGGTCTAACTGATTATCACTTCAACCGCTCACTGTACAGACATAGACAGAGAGAGTTTCCGTAAGCTCAGGGAGATACAGATAGCCTGACAGCCTGACAACTGATCTTCCAGCAAGTTTTTATAAATTAGGTAGTTGCCTGATACGTTGACTAGAAAGGTGTTTCTACAATCTGTAGTCGAATCAAGGGCCAAATGCTACAAAATACTAAATAGCCTCCCATTGATTAGAATCAAATCAACTGAATCAATACTTGTATTGTATATATATCATTGTGAATCGACGCAGATGGCGAGTCACTTTTCAAGTCCGCCCCCATGTTCATACTCCGGTACAACTGAATAAATACCAGCTCCTCCCGTCCGGTTTCGAACCACCGCACCGAAGAGTTCGGAACTGGAAGTTTATTTCTTTAAAAAAGAAGGAAAAAATTAGCTTCTCTTTGATTGGGGGCTATGCCGACTAGACCAACAGCCCGTTGTCACTAATTGGAGTTCAACAACCAACAATATATAGTAAGCCTCTTCCTCCACCATTTTGGTCGCGCGTTCTAGGTTAATCGTGGTCTATTAGGATAATAGAATGTTGAACTACACGTGGGGGAAATGCAGTTCTTAGAGAAATAAATACAATGCTCTTCGACTAGGCTATAGTTGCTTAGATAGAAAATCTTCGCATAGCTTACAATGGCTGAAGAGATTAAAGGGAAATATTTCTGCTTAACGCCTATAGAGAAGAGTAACATACGTGTTAAACATGTTAAAACAATATTATGCTAGATAAGACGTATCAGTATATATGACGTCGAATACTATAGAAAGGAATGCTTAGACATGGGGTCTTTTTGACAGAAGTTCTTGAAAACACAAGCACGGGCCATGATACGACATTTCGTCAATACGTATATACATATCTCCAGGAATGAACGTATCTTTCTTTACACGGTACCTGGTTCGCTATCATTACCTTAGTTCATACAGGCCTCAAGGTCCACCAACGCCGAGAATCATTGCTACTTGTCATAGTGGTAAGGATCCATCTCAACAGAATCTGTGACTTCACAGAACATAGAGGCAGCCATCCACAAGCATTCAGCAGTAATCGTACAAACAGATACAGATAGGCAGTCAACACGTAAGAACGATTAGAATCACAAGCTGCAGTACACCTGTTTATAAACGCGTGAGACAGAAAGGTACATTGCCCGCACAATAGGAGCTTGGGGGGAAGGCAACACTTTTCTTCTCCAAGGGGTCGGACAAGCCGACGCCATTGATGAAAAAAAGGGTGAAGTGTAAGCCACATGGCACAGGGAGTTTCCAAAAATTGCTCTTCCGAAGAAGAGACGGAGCAGGTTAGCCTATCTATGACACAGTTAACGGAAGAAGAGAAGAGAAAATAAAAAAGAGGCGAAGGGGGGGGGGGGGGGGGGTGATGCTCCATATTTATGCCCAGTGGACAGCAGATTTGAGTCTCGAAATGGAAAGAATGATGGGAGCCTGCCTGTAGGCAGCCTACAGGCAGGCTCCCATCGGGTTTCTCCCGCGCCTTCTAGATCCGGCCACAGAGATAAATAGGCTGAGCTAATAGTAGTTGCTATAGAATTCAAGCTCAGCGAGCTTCGCTCCCAGAAGGAATTGTGGGCAGCTAGAAGTGGCCACGAGAGAGCAACTTTCGGTAGGTACGCAGTACCCGTAGATACGGCACCTCAAGAAGCACGAATAAGAGTAGCATGGCAAAATCGCAACGCTCTGTCATTACTAGTATCGTTGGTAGGCTTCTAAAAATGTGGGAAGATCACGATCTCTAACTCAAATATATACGTTTCTCTTTCTTCGTTGTGTTAAGTAAATCAGTAGTTACAGGGAACTTGGTATGTCCTGGGCTCCGTAACTTGTCTCCATTAACTCCTCGCAGGCAATCGCATCGGGAGCGACTAGGACTTCATGGAAGAAAGTAGGCAAACATATGGGGACCAAAAGCCATATTGTGTGTCGATATAGAGTGAGCCTTGTATATACTGCAACTGGATACAAGCTTTAGATCCAAGCCGCTGACGAGTAATCAATTGCCACAAATATAACAGCTGGGCTGCACTGATCCTATAATGTGGCGCATGAAGAACATGTGCATGATTTGCTTGTCGTATTATCTATTCGGACCACTTTTCGATTGTATAAACTTATTGCTCCTTCGTCATCAATAATTCCACATATGATGGTATTGAAAACAAGGTTACCTTTACCCCTCTGCATAATCCCCCCAACCATTCCACCGATCCGTCTAGGGATATATGTGCGGTGATTATCAATATAATATCATGGCAGATGGACAAATAGACAGGACGTAGAGTGCACAGTCAGTCTGTAGCATCATTATACTGCCATACTAGATAAGTACTTATACGAGAACTCAAGAGTGTTAACATGTTGCTCTTACCACATAAGAGAATTAAGTTAATGAATTCCTCGCGTCGTAGACGGACTCTGGTACTCTAAAAAAGGTACCTCCCAGAACATTATTATGAAACTCATCAATAACGTAATTCCCTACCGACCGGATCACCCGCCCAAGCGGATCAGTGCCGTATTACATACAAAATAGCCCTTTTTTAAACCAAAATATCTCAACAACCATATGTCTAGTATATATAATACTTAATATATAGCTTTCTATAATAGTAAACTTTTATATATTAAGATTTTAGGCTCTAAAAATTGCTTATTATCCAGGTAATATAAATTACTATTATAATTTTCATAATTATATTCTATTTAAGATATCTAAAGAATAGTAAGACTTAAGCAGATAAAATTAGATATATATAATCTTAATAATATATATTTTGTATATATCTGTTCTGATAACCTTTAGATACTTGGTTGTTGAGATATTTTGGTTTAAAAAAGGGCTATTTTATATGTGATACGGCACTGATCCGCTTGGGCGGGTGATCCGGTCGGTAGGGAATTACGTTACTTACTCAGCTGACTAATCTACACAACCACTCCTAGGTCCTGATATCATCGGGGTGCCAGCTCGGCGTGGTTCCAAAATCTCTCAGCGTGGTTCCAAATACTGCCGCTTTTTCCCGCCTTTATAACGCCCCACTGCTACCACGCTGAGATTTCTGGTCTAACCCTTTTAAAATGCTCGAACCACGCTGACCTATTTGGTTTAGTGTCATATAATTATAGGTTACTAAGCATATACTAGGGATATACTTAACATATGCTTTATATAATTTTAGTGCATATACTATGTATATGTTTAACATATGCCCTTATTAGGGCCTAAAAGATTAGGGGTATTAGGGGTTTTAGGGATATTAGGGATTAGGGAATTAGGGGGTTTAGGGAGATTAGGGACTTAGGGACTTAGGGAATTTTTGATTATATTTAATTAGGGAATTAGGGAATTAGGGCTTAGGGCTAGAAAGGTCAGCGTGGTTCGGATAGGCACTAAAATCTCATCGTGGTTCCAGAGAGTTTCAAACCATGCCGAGCCTATGCCAAGAAAAAGCTCAGCGTGGTTCCAGTGATTGCTTTAGGAAGGCGGAAGAAATGGGCAGAATTCGGAACCACGCGGAGCTTTTTTGGAACCACGCCGAGCTGTATGCCCGATATCATCCTACAACTGAGTCTATCAGCGTATAACCTTTCTTTCCCACTCGCGATATCTAAATACTTCCATTCGCAACGTGCTGATATCTACTATACTATACTTCCTGGTGATCAATTCCATCTTAGCTTCTTCCAATAAAACTACCCGACAGGCGGAGAAATTGCGGGGTTGTTATACTGACGATCCCCGCGACGCGAGTTGAATTTAACCAGTCCAATCGCTTATTCTCCGACTAATGGAGCTAGGATTCTATCGGGGTAACCCCGGAGTGAAACTACCTGTGTGAAAGAGTTGCAACCGTAGCAATAGCTAAAGAATTTGAATTAGCTTTAACGGACAGGATGCGTGGAGTAGCAACGTGCCTTACCAGATCTAGATTGTAGCAAGGAGGGGTAATTAGAAACTGATCGATCGACCTACCTACCTAGTAGTTAATACTCTATCGTCCTTATAATACTCTTAGCCAGGTATTTACTCATTCTTATCCTCTATCCTTTCTTAATTTACCTCATCTCTATAAACCAGATAATCATACTCACCATATAAATACTCAAAGCAACAAACGAGACAGAAACCATGGACCAATCTTTCAAAGACAAAGTCTACGCAATAACCGGCGTTTCAGGAATCGGCCTCGCAGTAGCCCGCCAGCTACATTCTCGCGGCGCTCTCCTCTCCCTCGCAGACATCGATCCCTCAGCTCTATCATCAGCTTTTGCTGAGCTCGGCTCCGACGCTTCCACTATTCTTACCACAGCCGTCGATGTGAGATCCGCCACGCAAGTCAACGACTGGATAGCAGCTACGGTGCAGAAATTCGGTCGTCTCGATGGCGCAGCGAACATGGCGGGCGCAATTGGGAAGTACCACGGGATCAGGGACTTGATTGATCAGGACGATGACGAGTGGGCGTTGATCATGGGCGTGAACCTGACGGGGTTGATGCATTGTCTACGCGCGCAGCTGAAAGCGATTAGAGAAGATGGAAAGGAAGGAGTCGAGGGACGAGGAAGTATTGTGAATGCGGCGAGCATTCAGGGTGTGAGGGGCTTTGCGCAGCATGCAGCGTATAGTGCGAGTAAACATGGGGTGGTGGGCTTGACGAGATCGGTTGCAAAGGAGGTCGCGCCGGCTATTAGAGTGAATGCAGTTGCGCCGTAAGTGTTTCTCTTTTTTTCTTTTTATTGTTATTCTGCTGCTCTGGTGCGTGCGGGGTGCTACTTCATAATAGTTCTGCGTGCTAATAATGAAATAATGTATTCTTCTAGAGGATCGATTCAAACACCGCTGCTCGACAAGGCTTTTGTCATTCAAGGTGGAGAATCAGTGTCGCCAACGACCATTCCACGAAACGGCACGGCCGATGAAGTCGCTCAGACGGTATTGTTCTTGCTGAGCGATGCGTCCTCCTTCACGACCGGGGCTATCTACACCGTTGACGGCGGGTGGCATTGCTAGAGTGGAAATAAGACACGCCAGCCATGGAAGCCACTCGTTTTTTTCACCCTTTTCGGCACGGATACTGGCGAGGATCCCTTGAAACTCCATTTCCACCAATTCATCGTCTGAAAGGTTATTTGCATGGTAGGATGTGACTATCTCCTTTGCTTCCACTTCTCGACATTTTGAGATTAACTAGCGGGGTGACTCAGGGCAGGAGTAGACCTGCAATATAACCGGGAGTCTCTAGCTCCAAGAAATCTTTATTACTAAGAGCACAGTAACTAGTAGCTCCAGGCAGCGGTGATAGAGCCAATATAGAAGCATGTCATGTATGTACATACATCGCAGTAATCTGCGCTCGTTGCCTTGTATGTGCTAGTTCTGCAAGTAAACTCGGTGAAGCTGTCGCTGCTGTATTGACAAATGTTTGGCCTATAGCCCCAGCGATGAAGACGAGACTGGACACAATAATAGACCACCGCCGTCCAACAGTATCAACTAAGTAAGCAGTAGGGAAAAGTGCCGCCATAAGTCCAAAGGAAACTGCTGCAATGACAGCGCCCTCTAACGAATTTGACGTCAAACCTATATATATTGCCTAGACCACCAGATCAAGCTCCTGTTTGGCGACCCAGTTTCCATGTAAACCGTGCCTGAGCCTAAGCGGAAGGTTCACGATAGCAACAGCCTTCTCAAAATTGTTCGTGTCGAGTATATGAAGTTCGGACGCCATAGTTTCGTAGTTATTGACTAGCATCACCACATAGCCGTCTCCCTCAGGGGCACTATCGGATCTTGGAATGAAAATGGGCTCTTGGAAAAGCCTTTTAGACCCTGCGAAGTAGGACACCATCTGACCACTCTTCACATTGAGTTTCGCGATTCCATTGTAAGGAGGGAAGCCGCCACCCATTTGTGGACTAATGGCCGCGAAGTCGGTCAATTTAGCGTCCATGGTTAGAACGAAACAATATGTGTAATCCTTAGTCGCCCAGCGATCATCAATGCGAGGAAATTCACAATCGACATTCGCAATTACTTCGGATGTGATATCGAGGTTGTCGGACCTAGGGTCGATCGTGAAGCGGACCATGGGATCACGAATGTCCATAGGATTCGGCGCATTACCTTCAGCGTCAGGCCACCACCAGAACACATTTTGTCTGGAACATGGCAGATCAAAAATCAAATTTCCAGACTCATCCTCGTATGCATTGGCTGTATGTCCTGGGAATGAATTGGGAGCGCGAAACCACTGATTTTATTAGATGTGCACAACGGGATATACATAGGCCTCAAGACTTCTTACCTTCACGTCTGTCCCTTTTGCTCCCCGACGCGGAAGGACACCAATGTAAAAAGGGATGGTCGGGTCCCACTGCCAGTGATCTCCTCCGTTCTTCATCCGTTCAACGTCACAGGTATGAGGAATAAGAGGGAACAAGACCTTTTTTATAAGAAGTCAGTCGGGTCTTTTTTTCGGAAATAGATGGTGGCATATACCCAATTCTCTGTCACGGCGAAGTCATGGATCATGGCAACTACCGGAGCCACCATCCAGACAGTCTCATTAAATTGACCATCCGGACTCACAGACATATAGCATACGTCCGGGGTTCCGTCACCTTTTGCTTCGTAACCGAAGCAAACGAGTTCATTTGTAGTTGGATCGATCTTTGGGTGAGCAGTGAACGTCGTGCACGGTAGTTGCCCATTGAAATCGTACAATCCCTCTGTCTCCAACGTTTTTGGGTCCATAGAATATGGTGGAGCATCTTCCTTGATCGCGAGGAGTTTACCGTTGAAATAAAAGATATTGGTGTTGGCAGTTGTACGCACAGTGAACGCTACGGCATCAGTGTACTTGTTGCGGTATTTTCCTAAAAGTTTGGACATGTTAAGACTGATAACGGTCTTCAGATCAGCTGCAATCGATGACTCCTACCTCCTAAGGCCTTTCCAGCCTCCCTTTCCCGTAGGAACTTCTCGGTACGGACATATCGTTGTTTGAAATGGATGGAGCCATCTTCAAAACGAAATGCACTGACGTTTCCATCTCCATTGAACCACTAGGCCGGATTTGTGAATAATTGTCTCTTTTTTAAGAAAGTAGGGTTCCGAGGATTGACTTACTGGATCGTTGGAAAAGCGCGATGGAAACTGGGGATCTGGCATAACTCTGTAGAACGTCCCATTGATTTCCTTCGGGATCTGACCGATAACTTCCAAGTTTCGGACCTCTCCTTCGTAGCGACATGGCTTCATGAAACCAGAAAGCTGAGGGACTTCCTCGAAGGCTTTAGGACCACGAGTTAACATGTGTCCGGCCATAATAATGATCGTAGATTCTCTTTGAATGAAACGAACTATCTTTCTTCTTGGAAGTGAATGTTGGATGCATACTTTCTATCTTATTGGGGGTAGAGCCTTCTTTTATACCCAGACAATCGATCCGCTTTTCAAAGGTATCGTCAATGTGTCCCTTTCGGCGTTACCGAACAATGCTGCCGTGATTCTATAAAAGACGAAAGAAGCTCTAGACCCATCCTAGGTATTGGCCACTAGACAGACCGTATATCTCACATGGTCAAGCAAACATTGCCGAAGTACGATCCGTAAATATAGAGTATGTCTATTGGCGCAATTGAGTAACTAGATGTGGGCAGTTGATGTCTCGGTAGTGGAATCGGTTCGCAAGCATCCAGTCACGTCCACTACAAATTCCGCCAGTAGGGTGGGTATGCTTCAGGTCGCTTCAAGTTGCTGAGCTGTAGGCCCGTAGATACACGGCTTGCTCGAGGCACCAGCCTCTTAATAAGCGGAATCTCGGAAGGAGCGGCTTAGTTAACTTCCGGGAAGAATGTTCAAATCAATTGACCTACTCGTCTGGTCTACATCGTTTTGCTATTGTTTCAGAACCATTGAACATGCGGTGCTGCATTGCTGGGGCGCTGACGACCCTGGTACTCGCTGGACAGGCGATAGCCGAATATCCTGCCTCTTGGGATGTCATCTTCACGCCAGCTACACCACCCCCAGTCAATTACACCTTTGGTCAGCAAACTAAGATTCTTAATCAAAATACAACCTTTCCGCCGGCTGCGTTACCATTACCATGTGACATTGTTTATGATCGTGACGCGTCCATCACTCTGCGCGACCGCACCGTCATTTACACGGATGTGTTCCGGCCTGTTTCTGATGGACAATATCCAGCTCTTATCGCTTTGAGTGCATATGGAAAGACGGTGCCAACCCTCCCGCAGGTTGATGCACCGGCAGACTGGTTTTCGGGCATTGCAAAGAATGAAAGCGCCGATGCTGCTGCCTTTGTCTGCTGTGGCTACGTTGTCGTGAGTCCGGATAACCGACGGGCTGGTAAATCTGAGGAAAATATCCATTACTGGGGTAGAGTCGATGCCGAGGATGGATATGATGTAATTGAATGGACCGCCTAGCAGCCCTGGAGTAGTGGTAAGACGGCCATGCATAGAGCATCGTGGCTCGCTACGTCTCAGTGATTCGTCGCTGCTCTGCAACCGCCACACCTCATGGCCGTTGTGCCCTGGAGGACAAGAGCGCCGAGCTCGAAAAGGTCAGAGTTCCAGCGTATGTAATCGCTGATGGATTAAGCGTCCACCACAGTCTCGGCGCGGTAGAGGGTTTCCGGCGTATCAATTCTAATGATAAGTGGCTGCGTATCGACGATACGCAAGAATGGTATGACATGTATGCTCCGCCGAATGAACGCGACGTCCTCCGATTCCTCGACCACTATCTAAAGGGTGTCAACAACGGCTGGCAGCAGGCGTCTCGCGTGAGAGCTGCAGTTGTTCCCGGAAAGTTTGTTCATAAATAAAAATAAAACAGTAGAACTGTGACGACGGGTTAGCTCACCCACTGTATAGAAGGACATGGAAAGAGCATACAGAATGATACTATACACCATGGCAGCGGAATTAGACTCTCTCTGCCACTTCCCGCATTGTGCTTGCCTTTATCGTCGCTGTCCGCGTCAAATGTTAGGGTCTCTATCTTCGAAGATAATAGAAACTGCAATCGGGGGAGGAGGGGCGCCAGGGGCGCAAAAACAGGATCACGTACCTAGAGTCGTCTCCATCTTCAGAAGGATCGGTGGAAGTATTAGAGCTAGACTTAGCAACCGGCCAGCCGTCCTCGTACGCGAGGTAGTTCCATCCCAAGTGAGCATCCTGAATACGCATTAGCGTGCTGTGCAATCAAAGAATTTTCAGTCTACTTACCTTGTGAGCCAGTCCGATGGATTTATTTACTGTTGTCCAGAGTATTTAGTCAACGCCTGTCCCCTTGCGACCATAGAGTCGAAAAGACTTACAGTAATGATAATATAGGATATCTTGATCCGTGCCTATTGCCGTCAAGACACCCAACCCACCTGGCGCATACACATCGCCGTGGTTGGAACCGTATACAATGGTTCCACCGTTCTCAGTGAGTTTCCTGCCGTCCTTATCGACGTATGGTCCTGTGATATTGGTGGCGCGTCCCACACGGATCGAATATCTGGAGAAGTTTCAGCGTCTGTAGGCGAAGCAAGAGTTACTAAAGGATTGTCAATGACATACTCGTCTCCTCCTGGCGGGAGGACGCGGCCCTCCGGGAAATGGCAGCACTTCCCGTGGCTGAACCAGAGATAGTAATAGGGTGCTCGATAACTCATGAAAGAACCTTCGACCGGACGGATCCCCTGTGGATCATAGTCGACGGGATATTGCTTCAACATAACATTGTCTCTCCCATCCAGAGTCACATACGCGACATTCCTCGCATCCGGTGATTTCGGGTTTTCAACGGATAATAGGTCGTCCGTCAGAGCGACCTGCCAAATATTGGTCCAGTAACTACCCCAAGTGAACCAGAACTTTCCGTCTGCTGGATCCTGCATGACGGCCGGGTCGATCGCATTCGAAACGGTATACGGAAACACGTCGTAATTGAGGCCAGACGAACCGGTGGATACCACAGCACCATGGTCTTCCCACGGACCATCGTCTATATTCGTCGTCGTTGCGACCCCAATGGCACTTTGGCGAGTACCACCCTTCGTAAGAGCATAATAACAATAAAAGGTACCGTTCTTTTCGATCACGCTGGGAGCCCACGGGCGCTTTCGTGCCCCTTTCTTGATGATGCTGGGTTCCTTTAACACCTTGCCCCGACTCTCCCAGGGTCCGCTGAGGCTGGTTGCCCTAAAGTAGGGCACTCCAATTCCACCATGAAAGGCATAGTAGGCATTGTCATACACTATGATATTAGGATCATGAGCTTCTAGGTTGCCCTGGATCGGGAGAGGGTATTCATCAGTATCTGGGAACGTCCCAATGTACTGGACCGGTGATTCCGCTCTGGCAGAGTGAAAGGTGAAGATCAGGCCCAAGGCCAAGAACGCGAACAAAACCATGGGGTAAAGTCGATATCCAGTGAACACGAGGGTGAGGACACGCTTAAATACAACGGAGCTCGTTAACGATGTATGATCGATAAGGTGGGCTTTAGACGGACGCAACCGTAGCCACTCGGAACTCCCAAACTTTAACAGAGTGTCAGATATCGCACAGCAATCAATATATCGCAGCAATTGAGATCAGAGTCGCTCTAAAATTAAGACCTACGCGCAGTGGAAACATGCGATTCTCAAAAGTCAAAGATAATTCGCTGTCTCGAGCGCAGCATCTCTCACGATATGATGCAGAGATAATCAATCGCTCTGCGTTGCACCTACCCGGCGCATACGAGCAGCTGTAAGACTGCTTGGCACGGTTAGATCAAGGGACAGACAAGCAAGATGATGTTCTGATCTCATACCGGTTCATTCACTGGGACTTACGACTCCTCAGCCTTTTGCCAAGCGATGAAATCAAGAAGACAGTGGGGCTTCAAGATCTCGCGCACCACTAACTCCTGAGTCTGGGAAATCCTGTTGTGTATTATGGAGTTAATCTGTGGCTTGGTCTAGACCTCAGGACGCGAGACGGCAAGCAGACGGCTGGATAAAACGAGAAGATATTGGCACGAGGATGGCACACAAGAAATGAGGGTAGACGATATCGTGTTACAACGATAGATAATTAATACAAAAGAGCGACCGTGGCGGATGAATTGCTTGCAAGAAGGGAGCGTTGTTGGCGGTAGATATTCCTCAGCCCGCAATCAGGACGGGGGCCGCCTTGACCATCGCCCCGGATGTCACTCATAGCCCCTCGTTCGCTCCAGTCAACAACGTGCTTTCTAGAACCAATGCATTTATTATTTTCCCAGCCCGAAGGATTTCCAAGAGCAAGGCCAGTTTCAAGATGCGCGTTGGCTACTCCGTATTCACTCTAGTTACACGGCTGAGGCCCCGCTGGAAAAGCTTAGCCCATGCTACGCCCGTGCGTACGGCCACTCAGGCTTTAAAGATAAGTCGGTGATCAGGGACTTCGGGTGAAGATCGCCGCATTGTTGACGCTAGTCTGGACTATGAATAGCTGGAAGCCCGAAGAATAATAATCCCCCATGCACAGCCTACGGCCCTACGTGATAATTTGTTCATGCGGATAATCCATGATCGCCGCCAGCCGTCGGCTCTATGCTACGCTGCGGGATACGAGCTCCAGTCTTTCTGACGAATGCCAGGCGTGATGATCGCCACAAATTGCGTGAGACACAGTGAAGATTGAAATTCATGCACAAATCTCTCATATGTCGCTTCCGTCGTGTTGGGTCGCCCTTCAAAACACTACCCCGGGAAAATAAACCCTGTTAAAAAAAATCCCCGAAACAGAGAATAGAACAACCAAACTCCAAAAACACTGTTAAATCGCTCTTAGTTTTACAGAATTGGATTTTCCGGATACGCGAACGCAGCCATGTCTTCCCAGTTGAACGCGTCGAGAAAGGCATCGAAATCGCCCGGGGGCTAGCGTCAAAAGTTTAGTTTCTATTCTTAGTCCAGGCACCAAAGTAAGCACTTACAGTGAAAGAAAAGTCCATCGACTGCGGCAATATGCCGTCAAAATTAGTACCGCACGGGTCGGAACTAGAGCCAGGGGTGAGTTCATGGGTCTTTGTTATAGTTAGCACCGGGTCCAGTAAACACGAAAATGCTCGGGATGCTGACCTGATTCGATTTATCGTGACGGGTATCGGTGTGTCGAGAGAGGAGATTACATGCAAAGGTGGCTATGCGGTCGACTGCCTGCTTCTTGTACAGCTCGGTTTCATTCGGCCATAACTTGGATTTCACAAGTGCGCGGATCATGTTGGTGAAGAAAAAGTATTTTGCGCCCTTGACGACGACACGCGCCTTGCTCTCCAAGGCATCCAGCGTCTTATCGACAAGGCCAAGAAGTGAACCGGTGATTGCAGGTACTATCTGACGAGCTAATACGGAGGCTGCAAAAGCGGGTTAGCAAATCGTATGCGGCTTTAGAGGAGCCGCGGCTATTCAGAGAACTTACTGTATCCCGAGTTTGTGGTGTATAAATGATGGCATACAGACAGACAAGCTTGCGGGATGGAATCCGTAAGGTGACATAATGATAGTTGAGTGGACGTCTCGTACAGGAGCTGTTGTCTCGATAGCATGGTCATTGCTACCTCCAACCGAGTGCGAGACGAAGGTACGAACATGGGCTCCCTGTGAGCGTCGATTGCAAACGGGGTATGAATGGCCAGAAGGAACTGGCATAACTTAGTTTCAAGCAGAGCTGTCCAAAGCATGGTCTTCTGGACCATTTTTTGATCCATCGGGTCCGGAATCGACCAGCTGGGTATAGATGACAAGACACGGGTGAATTCGCAGTCGATCCTTTGGATGTCTTCATAGCTACATGTAATTCTTGGACCGTTCATCAAGGCACATGCCTTGAGTCGGAGCGGCAGGGACTGGCTCAAGAAGGCATGGAATGAAGTATCTGTTGGCTCTGTAAGGGGTCTTTCCGGTGGCAGCTCAGTGCTGTCTGCGCTCAGCTCCTCATCGTTTATGTTTGCTGCAGGACACGTATCGTAGTCTGAGGCCTGCAATGTTGGAGGCATCCCGCGATCAATCGAAACTTGTAGATCCAGCTCTAGGATGGTCGACCAGATCCTCCTTCGCATTTCCTTGTTGAACACGGTAATCCCAGTCCACTGATCGGGGTCACGGTGATAGCCAGCCAACATCGCCATTTTCACCAGGCTTCCAGTGGTCAGCCACGCTCGGCTGCGCTTGATGCCTTGGTTGTTCTTGGCTATGAGGAGAAGGCAGTGGATACGAAGAATAACGACATCCGGCCGTTTCACATGCACAGTCTCGAGCCAATTGTCAGCCTGTACGATATAGTCGATGGCAGTATATCGTTTGGTGTTAGCTGCGCCAACCTCTGACAGCCGATCCGGATCCGCCAAGTTCCAAGCACAGGCTAGCACCAGCATAAGCTGGACCAGGAAAGGCGCGGAGATTAAACTCGGGTTTGATCTCTTCTCCCAGAAGTCATCGATCTCGCGTCGGAAGGATGGCATGTGCAGGATGCGGTGCGTGGACTCGATATACGTGCAGTATACATCTACCAACTCCTCAACGACGTCTCGAGAAGGCAGCATGGCTACCAGCGTTGGTACATCGGGCATGAGCAACGGTTGATTCAGCTTCTTCTTGTGGTGACCTCTCTTCAGGGTCTCTATATCCTGTCGCAACCGAACCAGGTTTGGGTTAGCGGCCTTTATCCCCTCGACAAAATTTCTCAATTCGGAGAACTGTTATCATCTGTTAGCATGTTAACTATTCGCAATTGGGAGGACGTAACTAACCTGGACCATGAGATTTGCAAAGATCCCACCGCCGTTAAAGCGCGTCCGAGTCTCTTTTCCTCGCGCCATTACTCTGTTCTCCATGTTCAATGGCTGAGAAGCGGACATAACTCCGAGCATCCCAGTACCATCAGCGGAGTTCGCCGTAGGACGAGATGCTGTCGTCGACCGTGGGAGCTCTGCAGCGTCATCTTTCTGCTGTCGAGGAGCAGGCGGGATGGTCTGTCCGAGAACAGTTTCGAGGAAGCCATCTCGTTTCTCCTTACAAGATCTCTTTTCTGGCAACCCAGACTGCCGTGGAGCGGTGCCTATCTCCGAGTCTGGGGACGATGTAAGTCGCTGCGCCGCGACATACGACGAGTGGGACGCATCAGCGCCCGTGCTCCCTCGTTCTTGGAAACCAGACGAAGGAATTATTGTGTTTGGCTGCTGCCACAGAAACCCGTCTTCGTAGGTGCATTTAATAGGTGTTTTGCTTTTCTTGCACCGGCCACACGTCGGATATTCCCGATCGCATTTGAGCTTCCTGCTCCGACACTGGGTGCACGCCATGGTCCGTCGGCGCCTCTTCCTCGGACGAGGCTCAGCTTCTGGTCTCTCATTCAGCCTGAACATGTTCTCCTGTGATGTCGACATGCTGTCTGGATTTTCCAAACATCCAAATTGTCTTCCTTGTCGAGCTGCTGGCTGTTCCCCCCGTGGTCTTTGTGTCGGATCCCGATAAACCGTGTCGGGCGACGTCCGGCTCACGCCGCGTGCTCGGACACGGTTGCCGCTTTCAGTTAGCGCCTTTGCATCTCCAGCTCATTCACGCTGGCATCGTTCAAATTGAAACAGTATATCCAGATCAAACCGAGTTTCACGCAGGAACATGAGAGTATCCTACTCTGCTCTGCATATAAAGGAGTTTATATGAGCCATCAGCGTTAGATGCCGACGCGTAATTGAGGCTTAGTCACTAGCCACGGCTGAAATAAGTCAACAGCAAATTTAAAGATTAGAGCCAAACCAAAGGATAAGATAATTCTCTGACAGAGAGAATATCAGCCTAGCCCTCCATCCGATCAAGTAATTGCTAGCCTCTCATTTTCTCACGACAGATCAATGTTAATTAATTAGGTATGCTCTAGGCAGCGATCCAGTAGAGATCTGGAGAGGCTCCTATCGCGCAGAGATATAGGCAGCCGCATTTCCACCGCAGATCTCGTCTTGCCACTTAGATATCTGGAGCGGATGTCGGTATATTTAACTACGCACGAAGCGGCGTTAATCATAGGGCGTTTCTATCGGACTAATGCATAATCTCGGGGATAGACACCTTCGGGGTCGGCGATATCCAGCACAAGCTCGGCCTAATCCTCAGATTTCTTACGTTTCAGCAGGCAGTAGAATATAAGAAAGTGTAGAAGTGTAGAAACTGGCCAAACTTCATGTCTACATCCTCAACAAAAGAAGAGTCCACTCTTGAAGTCCGTATGCGATGTTCAAATCGCTCCTCGCGTTCGCCGGCCGTGCTGACGACGGGTCAGACTATGTATTCCCGACAGTGAACCCGAAGGAAGATGGACCGGATTGCACGAAAGATTGCGCTGACTGCACTGTTCGATACCCATCAAGATTCAAAGTAGAGACCAGTCGTCAGCTATATGGCCACATCAAACCATTCACCACGCATCTTCTGGTGGCTACTGGCAAGGACGACTGGGCGGAGAAAGTCGAGCGGGAGCGAGGAAGTTTGATGGAGGCACTCCACGACAGCTCTGCAACAGATAAATTGGTGTCAGTCGCAACTAATACTTGGCCGTTTTTTCGTGCTTCAAGAATACTGACTGTCTAGCAATAGCGAGTCATGATATCAGCAGCGAATATCCCCGTGGATGGAGATGACAGTAACGCAGAGAAAGGCAGCACTGTTTTGGTTCTACCATCTTTCACTCTTGTCAACTCCGTGACAAGTAATGATATTCCGGAGCTGATCGACCGCTTCGTCGCGCCTAATAGTAAAGAGGGAGGAGACAGCGCAGTTGAAAAGCCCGGACGGCTCGCTTCACGCCCCTGCCCGCATGATTATGTTGTTCTTCTCTGCTCGCACCGAAGACGAGATGCCCGCTGCGGTATCTCTGCGCCGTTAATCAAGAAGGAACTGGAAAGACATCTCCGGCCACTAGGTTTATACCGCGACGCGGACGATGAGCGTCCCGGAGGTGTTGGAATCTACTATGTTTCCCACGTGGGAGGCCACAAATTCGCAGCCAATGTTCTCGTCTACAGAAAACAAGATCAGCAGATGATCTGGCTGGCCAGAATTCGACCGGAGCATTGCGAAGGCATCGTCAAGTACACGATTCTGAAAGGGAAAGTCGTGCATCCAGAATCGCAGCTGCGGGGAGGATTTGACAGGACGCGGGGATTGACGAGTTGGTGATTCCGTGGCGTGTATTTCTTCTGTTCTTGCATCGTGGTGTTCACATATTCTGTTAAGAAGTCTAAGTACAGTGTTATTACTGGGCAGTTTGACAATGCTCAGTGTGCTTAAGCCACACTAGCTACAACATGGATACATTATTGAATTGGTCTTCCAGTTGTCAATGGTTCTTTGCTCCACAGTCCATGGAACTACTCTACTCTGGTAGCTCAAATATCGTATTTCTGCAGATGTATCGCATATTGCCCAATCAATCATTCGACAATTGTAGAAAGTATCATTACGCGGTGGGGTTGGAGACACGCTATGCACGTAATTAAAACCGCGAACGCGGGACAACCCGCGCAGCAACGCGCGACTCCCGCTGATATCACAGGGACCGCATTGTGCTGCAGCCCCCTGGCAGCCACGAATTCTCGTCTTTTTGCATTTTCACAACGACATTTCTACTCTATTGGATAGTCGAGATTCTGATTTTGTGCTATCTACCATACATGCTGAAATTATGGCGAACGCGGACGTGCTACTCCCGGCGAGCAGCGCCGATGTCACGGCGCAGTCCACAGCTTTACGCGCGGAACTGAGGAATGGGAGAGGGCATTTGCAGCTGCAAATGGAGGAAAGAAGGCCGGTCGTGACGATATCAAACAGAACCCAGAAATTGGTATGTTTTGTTCGAGTCTGCCCACGGGGTTGGAAGCTGGGTGATTGTGGATCCCTTGCTGAACCTGGTTACTTGTGACCTAGCTGCGAAGTACAAAGCGTATGCCCGCCTACGGTCAGAAGAATCGTCGACAAATCGAAATGGGAAGGCAGAAAAAGAAGCTTCGAAGAAGAGGAAACATGGCTCTCCTACGGGGCCTGGGAATGCACTCAATGCCACGACGCCACGAAAGGCAGCCAGAGGAGACATGCTCACTCCGCAGAAGTCTCGATTGTTTGACGTTCATCCATCTCAACTGGACCCTTACGATTCGCCTTCCACGTTGCGTAGGCTCTTCAGCCCGAGTACACATCGACAGACGTCGGCGTCGCCCTTACCACTGAAAACCGCAATCGGTCCTACACCGCAGAGAGATGGGAAGGCACTGGGGCTATTCGATCTATTGTCTGCATCAGGTGGTAGCACTGCGACACCATCAGCGAAACGCGTATCAGACGTCACAGCAGCAAACATACAGACTCCGTCAAGAAAAAGGATGGATACCATCAAGGAAGGAGAAGAGGATGATGATGACGAGGATAACTTTCTTTTCAAACGCACGCCAGCCTCAGAAAGCAAGAGATTTCTACTGTCCAACTTCTTTGCCACACCAACGACTATGCGCTACGCTGCGATGGTTGAAGAGGAGGAGGGATTGCAGAACAAGGGTGTTGGTCAGACAGCCCCCAATGACTTAGGATCTGAAGAGCGAACTTCTGAGACGCCGTCTTTCCTGAGACGGTCTACCTCCGGCCGTATGGGCCCACCAGATGCTGCTCCAGGTGCATCGGGATTGAGTCCGGTTGCGGTGCGCAAGCCACCGAGATTATTTGGCAAGAGCCTTAGTGCGTTGGTGCAGGGACTTCGTGACATGGAGGAAGAACAAATGGACGATGACTGGGAAATTCTCAAAGAGATTGAAGCTGAGCAACTCGCGGAAGCAACCGCAAACGATGTTCAAGAGGGTGATAGTCAAGCTCCTGAAACACAACAAACATGGAAGAAGAAGGGCCAGAAACGAACAACGCGACGGGTGATTATGAGGCCTGTTATATCGAAACCGAAACCAGCCCCTGAATGGAAGGCTCCTGGAGACGGTGCAGAGAGTGAAGACGAGAGTGGTGTACCGGGGACGCAGGTTGAGAAGCAGAACGGAGGCCAGGACGAAAGCGCAAATGATGTAGCCTCGGACCCCGATCCAGATTCAGACCCAGACTACGACGGGGATGACAGCAGCGTCAAAAAGACATCGAGCTTTTCAGAAAAGATGAAGGCGGCGTTTTCATCTGTCCTTAACATCAAGAATAATGACAAAAGCGCCGTATCAGCAACCCCCGAGGACGGAAAACCGAAGAAGCCTGCAGCAAGGAAAGTTAATCCTGAAGCACACGCGAACTATAGATCACTAAAGATTCGAAACAAGAATTCGAAAGGGAGAGGAAGATTCGGTCGACGGAGATAGATCCGTTGTGGGAGGTGCATAACAGCATCTGCCTTTTTTTTTTAATGCTTATGACTGACGACAACTTTTGCATACCCGGATCCTTATACAAGCAAATAGAAGTTTTGGAGACCTGTTTTCTACATCTGATGTTCCAGAACATGGTAGATCGTATTTACATTGCTGCACTATACGACACAGTATCCCACCTATGGCGGGAGCTGCTGTGGTGCTACACCCAGCCAGACCATATATATGTACATATGCAGGACTCTTCCTTGCGTCCTCAACGCCAACTAATTATCAAGGGGTATAATGCGTATCGCCATGCTTTCCAACCCATAATTTCCTTCCCCAGAAGCTGTAGGCTGTTGTTTGCCTAGTCGGGCTGATACCGCTCCCGCGCCGACTGTAGTCTCCTGGCCCGGGCAAGCGCTTCACGGGAAGCACTCCGTCGATTTCGAGGAGATTGGGGCTTTGATACTCGTGAAGATTGGGAGCCACTTCTTTGTCTGCCAACAGGAGTCGATGAGGCGCGAGAAGATGCAGTACTGCTGCGTTCTGAACTGGCAGTCGAAGGCCCGGCTTGGCCTATAGTATCCCCATATTGTACATTCCGGTCCCAATCCTGCAGAGAGGTGTAAGGACTTCGTAGCCACGCTTGTAGCTCGTGCAGGAATAATCGAGCATTGTCCCTGCCTATGAATTCCTGGAGTAATTCCTCCGCCTGGCCCGCACTGCCCTTTATATCGACTGTCCGCAGTATTGCAATGATATATTCCAGCAGGAACTCTGCATTGTTTGCCCTGCGCGACGAGAGCCTCTGTTCTCCTGCCCGTCCAACTCTCTGTGTACCACTATCCTCTCCGTCAGGATTTAAGAAACTAAAGACTTGCAATTCCCGCCTGATCCATTTCCGGGCCCGTGAGACAAGTTCTTCGTCTTCGTTAAATAGTTGGGGTGTAAGCTCCCGATATTTAGATAGCCGGTTCGAGCCGACGCGTAGAGAAAAGAGCTGGTGGCGGTATACCTGTCGTCGTCGTATCAACGGGTCATCTGGCTCCGGGGCTCTGGGACGCGGAACGCGCCTTCGCGGACGGGGACCATGGCGTTCGAGAAATCGAGCGAAATCGGGCTGTGACGGCTGCGAAGCAGCAGTTGTTGATGGTGGTTTGAGTTGCTTGGGGAGGCGATAAATCTTTGGACCTGCCGCTGCTTGGAGGTCATACTTCACTGCAGTGATTTCACTTTTGCCTGAAACTCTTCATTAGCCTGTACTTACATTACTGAGCGAAAATAAAACTTAGGAAACAACCTACAAAGAGGACAAGAAGGACGCTGTTCCAGCCAGCTAACAAGACACAGAAAGTCGAAGTTGGCATGCTTGCATGGTATTGTGACTCCGGGCTCAGTGATGGTATCTAGACATATGACGCAGGGATTGGCGGCGCCATTTTCATCCTCATGGGCTACCTCCTGCAGCGTCTTCTTGAGGATTTCCTGTTGCAGATCTCCACCGTCGTCCATGGGATCAGTGTTCCAAATTGCACACGAAAAGACTGCCTGCTCTATGTTCTGGATATCCAGTTGTCTCCGTCATTTGGGAGGCAACTGCCGAAGTCACGTTTTTCGGCGGGAGCTTCGCGGGCGTGGCGCGCCGGGCGGTGTCTCTTCGGAAGTGGGCATTATCGAGGAAGGTGCTTAACTGCCGGCCATATAATAATACTGTCTGCCCAGGAGCAACTCTGTGGACTTCAGCTACAAGTGGCGACTATGGCCGTTGCATAGTGATGTCCAACCCTGCTAAATCAGCAGTCTCTGCTGTGTCCGCAATCAAGCGTCAATCCGCCGCCATGCCGCCGCAGTTCAACGGGCCTTCCAACGGCGATTCTCGTCGCCCGCAGACGTACACGATCACTGGCTTGAAAAGATGGTCAGTCGTGAACAAAGAAATACCCGGTAGGTTTGTTTGTGTGCTGTATTCATGATCTATGTCACTTAGCTAACTGATTTGTGTGCTTGACAGCCGTGTCGCAAATTAGGGCGATCCATGTCTACGACTTCGACAATACATGTGAGTAGCAGTTCCCACCCACGTGCCAATACACGACAATTAATTATATTGCTAGTGTTTCTAAGCCCTTTGCCAAACCCTCAACTGTGGAACGGCCAGACCGTCGGCTTTCTTCAGATATACGAAAGCTTTGCCAATGGAGGATGGTGGCACGACCCGAATTTGCTCGCAGCGACGGGCGAGGGTTCTGAGGTGGAAGAAGCTCGAGGATGGAAGGGGTGGTGGAATGAACATATTGTAGGTTGTTTTTTTCTTTCCGGCCCTGTCCTGAACATTGCGTACTAAGGAGTTGAAAGGTGCAACTGGTCGAACTGAGCATGCAGCAGAAGGATGCTCTCACTGTTCTCCTCACCGGACGCAGCGAGGCTGGTTTTGCAGATATAATCAAACGGATGGTGACGAGCAGAAAGCTTGACTTTGATCTCGTTTGCCTAAAGCCCGAAGTTGGACCCAACAACCAGAGGTTTTTCTCGACGATGAACTTCAAGCAGACGCTGCTCGAGGACCTGGTACTCACGTACAAGCAAGCAGACGAGATTCGGATATATGAGGACCGCGTGAAACAGTAAGTCCACGTTATCATCCCATCATCTGCGAGTCGCTAATACGATATAGCGTGAGAGCCTTCCGAGAATACTTTGAGAAGCTAAACAGGTCTCTTCTGTCAACGCAACCTTCAGCCCCTAGAAAGCCTATTGTCGCTGAAGTCATACAGGTAGCAGAAGGATGCACATTCCTTGCTCCTGTGACCGAGACAGCGGAGGTCCAGCGCATGATTAATGCCCATAACATCTCTTTCAAGGACTCGGGTCTGAATAAAACCAGATCACCTTATGGTCGACTGCAGATAAAGCGAACGGTTTTCTATACCGGATACCTCATCTCCAATGCTGATTCTTCCCGGCTAATCAGTCAGCTACTGCATCCTCTTCTGCCCCCTGGGCTTGCTGATTCCAATGATTTGAAGTACATGGCTAACAACATCCTGATCACACCACGACCAGCACCTAAATCAATCCTCGACAAAGTGGGTGGAATGGGCAAAAAGCTAAGTTGGCAAGTCACTGGTACAGCAGTGTTTGAAAACAAGCTGTGGGCTGCTCGGGTTACCCCCGTCCCTGAGACGGAAAAGTATTATACTGAAAACCCGGTGCCCGTTATTGTGCTAGCAGTGCGTAAAGGTGCTCGTCCTATAGACGCTGGAAAGATTCAGAACTGGCACCCTGTTCCTGCAGAAAAGGCATTTGTCTTCGACACAGTTGTCGGCGAGAAGGTTGTCCTACGCGTGGAGGAAGAAGACCCTGATGAGGGTGAATGGGAAAGCCAGTTCATGAACAAAAGCCACAAGCGGCGTCACCAGCAAGACTATCGTGATGAAGATGTCGTATACCCACCATCCAAAGATAACCAGACCAACAGCTACAACAATCCTTATGAAGCTCTGTCCTATGGCCGTCATCATCATCATCATCACCAACATCAGCGACACGGTCATTTCCATGATGACGGTGCTCGACGTGGTGGAGGACACTTCAGAGGCGGCCGTGGACGCGGTGGGGGAGGACGAGGCAAAGGCTCGAACTCCGGACGCGGTGGTGGCGGTCGAGGCAGAGGTCGCGGCCGCGACGGTGGTGGGCCCCCTCCGGGATATAAGTCCCTTGATGACTATGGTGGTTATGATGGTGGATACGAAGACCGTAATGGCGGTGGAGGCGGAGTGCCTGTCATGAATTATTGATCGATTTCTTGATAGTGGTTCTCTCGTCCGAGTTCCTCTCAGAGGAGTTGCCCCGGTGTGATTCGCAATATGCCTTGATATAGGCTTTGTTATAACGACATTGTACCTCTATATTCCTCGCGATCTATGTTACTTTTACATATCCTCAGCGACGAGTTGTCAGCATCGACTGCATCTGACCTTTGTCAGTTGAGAATGGCGTACGTGAGATGCGGCTTTGGCGTGCTTATGGGAATGGGCCAACAATCGGCGAACTACTGAAATAGTGTTGCTTTAGCACGTTCTCGTGCACCTGTTTAAGTGGTATGAATAGAATTTTATACATTAACCAGTTACGCGTGGCGCCCTCTTGTATTCGAAGTATCACAGTCTCTAGCATTTCGAGACGGAGGCACACGCCACCCTCGATAGGAACGTCCTGATGACGGGAATTCTATGACTCAGTGTATAGGAAGTGCCTAGGCACTTGGAGATCACACATGTGATATATGCGTGGCACTCAAATGCTGGAAGCTTCATGTCTTTCCCTGGCAGGAAGCTTCAAAAGATGCCGTATAAGGTCATCAAAGATTTCAGACGACGCTATTTCTGAAACGTTCCCAGCGTCCTTACACCTCCAAAGAACTATACCGTCTGGACGGACAAGAACAGCTCCTGAAGAATCGATTCCACATAGGCGAAACCAATCCCTGTCCATATCCAAGTCTGCTGTGGGCTCGATAGTCTCGATCTTCACCAGATCGCTGTGGAGTTCCGTCCAGGGCTCCTCTGCCATGGAGATGAGGACGCATTTCTCGGTATCCAGGAGATCCCAGGTTGATATTTGCTTCGCCCCTCGCTTGAGCCATGCGTGAGGCACATGATGGCCTGGAAGAGCGGACGGGAAATACTCCGTTACGACCATGTCGCCCCTTTCCGTAGTCTGGCCGCCGTGGTGACTCTTTGCGCCTTCTCCATATATGTCGAGACTAGGATAGAACCATCCTATCTCTGCGCCGGGGGCATGGAACTCTGTATCGAGGATCTCCTGGGCTTTCTCCACGGCATCACGAAGCTTGTCTCCTCCTGGGTCTGCCTTGTCCAAGAAGGCAGCTACTGATTTTATATTATCCTCTGGCGCAGCATCTGGAAGTATTCCCAGAGCACGATCCATGACTAGACTATGGTTTCGAAGGTTGGTCAGACTGGAGTGAGCGACTCGTAGAGCAATAGGTCGGCGTTCTTCCTCGTAGGAATTCAACAATGCATCGTATTTCCCTTCCTCAGATTTGCTAGTCTTCACGGCCATTGCCAGCTTCCAAGCCAGGTTCTGGACATCCTGCAAACCCGTATTTAGACCTAGAGCACCCCATGGAGGGATCCTATGAGCAGTGTCCCCTGCGAGGAAGACCCTGCCTCCCCTGCTCCTGAACCTCTCTGCCACGATCGAGTTCACGAACCAGTGGCTCACGCTCTTCAGCTCGATTTCCAGCTTCGGAATCTTAAGCGTCCGATGTATCCGCTTGATCATGTCCTCTGTCCCAAATTTCTGCGGATCACTAGGGTTCAGAGCGCAGGCGAACATCCATTCTTCCGTGTTTGGCTCCATGGGGTACGGGCCAACATGGTATAGAAATCCGGTACTGATGCTACCTCCCAGGCTAGGATCGATGAACCATGAAATCAGGACATCGGGATCTGGATGGTATCGACTAATAGGAGCTCTGATATGAGCTGACACCATGTCAACAATATCTCTTTCTCCCTCCATCTTGATCCCCAGTGCCTCAGCAGCCATCTTTCCGCCATCAGCAGCGACAACGTATCGTGCTTCGACACTTTCTTCCTTTCCCTCATCGTCTCCGCCATCAATTTGATTCCTCCCATACCGCACCCGCAACTTCACTGCGTCATTACCCTCTTCAATTCCCACGACTGTCGCCCCATTGATAATTCCTTCGGGATTCAGTTCCTTCGCACGCTTATGCAGAATAGGCTCTAGTCGTATCTGCGGCAAGATGGTATAATCGCACGGACTAGCTCGTTTATACTCCTCGGCATATCTGCCACCACCACATTCATTTCGCTTGAAGATCTGACGTCCATCGGGTCCCAAACTCGTGTACCACGCTGTACTACGGAAGGAGTCCGCCGGTGCTCGAATACGCTTGACGTCCTCCTCGATGCCTAGAGACCGGAAGAATTCGACACTGCGCTGATTCAGACCGACTGCCTTGGGATGGATCGACGTGGAGTAGTACCGCTCAAACAGTACGTGTGGGATATCTCGGGAGGAGAGGGAGATGGAGGTCGCGAGGCCGACAGGTCCGCCGCCGATGATGGCTACTGGATATACTGTTTGTGACATGGTCTTTCCTTATTCCGTAGAACAAGACAGGACTATATAGTAGAGTATCTTTGTCTAGGCATTTTCTTCCTCACCACCATACTATTTAACAATAACGGCTGAGCTGCACTAGCATAAAAAGAAAGTAATATCGGCCCGATTCACGCGCAGACAGACCTCCTAGTTTCATAGGCTCCGCTCTTTTTTGCCGGGCATCATCTTTCTCGTCGCAGCTACAGGTAGCTCAGGATCGTTAGAGTCCATTGGTTGCATCCCCTGTCTTGTGCCGAATCTAGTGTCTTACCTGATTGATAAAACGGAGCGGTTTAATGCAAGTTCCCCCCGTCTTCCCGAAATCTATGGGCGAGCAGCACCAATCATCTTCTTTTGGAGGTGGTGGAGGGGAAATAATAGCACTCATCCAAGAGGAGATTTGATATAGGGTAGATTAGGTAGCTTATGATACAGGATGGTATCTAGTGAGTGTTTGTGTCGAATCCTATAGCCTATAAGACTGAAGCAACGATATGGTTGGAATACACCTCATAGCTAGCTAGTAGCTAGGTTGCTTGGCTTAATTACTTGCTTGCTTGCTCATTACTTGCATATTTACTTGTATACTTGCTTGACCGTAGATCTAGGGGGGGGGGGGGGGGGGGGGGGGGGGGGTTAACCACCTATTTATCTCTTATAGCGTCAAAAGAATCTAGACCCTAGTGATCAGGTAAGATCACCCGCGCACTTATTTTTAAGCCGATAGCCTGTGTACGTAAAGTTTTCTAAAATTGGAGACTTATGATGGTGGATTGTTGCATTACTGCATCTTCAAAAATATACAGAACGCATATTGCCCTCCGCCATTACCGATGTCATCACACGATTATTATCTCCATCACAGTCACGCTGTCTTTAATTACATACTTTCAATCTGTAGAGAATAACTGTCTTGCCTACTTAATTCTTGGTAATCCTCTCCATGTAACTAAAAATGGTAGTTAGAACATAACTACCTAGTTAAACCGCACCACCCCGTACGATAGTACCACCATACATAGTGGCGTTCTCGGACCAAGGGCCTACCAGACTTCAGCATTAAATTTCACTGCAATAAAATATAACTCTAGACTACAGTTTGTTTTTGTTACACGGTATTATTTAAAAAAATCATAAAGCTTTAGCTGCGAAGAACCATGGAACGCGCATTATTGACTGTGGCCGTGTGGAGGATGTGGGGGGTGGGGCCCCTTCTCCGCAATCTTGAATGGGGATCGAACTCATGATAGAACAAGTTCAACAAGTAAATAATAATAAGTTAATGAATTATGCAGCGACGGGAGTTATCAATCAAAAGTCAGGATCACGACAGGTAAGTTACGAGACGGCAGGATTACTGTGTTTCTCAGAAAGTATAAGGTGATAGTTCCATATGCTAGAATATGGATCATAAACATCTAAGTCAATCATGATTAGATTAATTAATCATGCGTCTTCCTTTTCTTGACTTCCTGCTTATCAGCAAGGATAAAGTGATGCTCGAGAAGCCAGAATCCTTCCCTGTCCTGCCCGTCGATTTTTCGAGTAATGGGCGTAGTCTTGTGCACCTTGGCCATTTCTAGATCCTCACACCAGACTATATCCTTGGTGAGACTGCTTTTCGCACCGAAGACGGGATCGAGGACGAGACGCGGTGATTCGCGGTTATAGAGGGCTGTATTAAGCTTCTCGAACGAGGGGTGGGAGATGAGGAAGTGCTGTTTGTGGTGAAAGAGGAATTGTTAGTGTTTCGTTCTGATTTTGCGGTTGAGAATGAACCAAGAAAAGGGGAATGGCGTACCACATGCGCAGGCCTGTAAGCCTGTCTATTTAATAGATCGAGCACCTTACCCACCGGTCCATCATATGGGACTGGGTAATCTACTGGTTTGACACCATTAATGTAGAACCTTCCTTGTTCATCTGAGTAGAACCGCCCTCTGCAGTCTGGTCCATCCTTTTCTGGGTCCTGCATATCGTAGTGGCCGTTCCCGTTCGTTTCCCAAATATCCAGCAATGCTCCCTGGATGGCGTTACCTCTGAGGTCTTTTACTGTTCCGCGAATGAGCATCGACTCTCCGGCTCCAGTGGACGAGATCGAATCGCCATTCTCGAAGAAGTGCGAGTCGTTGTGGAATGGTCCTAGGACGGAAGACTCGGTTGTCCCGGGAGCTTGTCGGGAGTTGATGGTGTCCACGAGGGCGGATATACCGAGCACGTCGGATAGGAGAATCATCTCCTGTCGATCTGGCGAGCACGCTTGGCCGACCTGTGAATAAAGCTATTAGCTTGAATTCTATCCAGACGATACAACGAAATAGAAAATCATAATAAATCTCCCAATCGTACGCAGAAAAAAAAATATAAACAAACACTAACCTCCGTCAAGAACTGCCACGAGGCTTCCCACTCATCTCTCTGCAAGTCGACTTCCCGGGCGAAATCATGCGCATGTTGGATCAGTTTTGAAAAAATGAATTTGATACGCTCGTTACTGATGTTGGAGCTGATCTTGATCACATGCTGTGTGAGATTGTCCGCCGTGAGATCCTCCAGCTTTGCACCGTTGGTCTCCGTGCTGTTTATAGAGGACGGCGCTCCCTCCGCTGATGGCATTTTCTCTGATTGCTTCTTCTATATTCTGGTTCAACTGAAGCTGGAGAGACTCTTCGAAGAATCAATTGGCGATCTGGTTCGCTTTACTTGCGTATAAAAGTATTCTGGGGGAAGCTAACTATAGCAAGGTCTCTCAGGAGGGGTCGGGTGAAGCGTATAACACCAAAAAGTAGCAACACAAAAAACAACCGTAAGCTTTTCAGACGAGCAGCTGCTCCCTCCTTTAACATTGGAAAAACACCTCATACCATCGCGTCAGCCAAGGACAATATAGTTGGACTAACAGTTAGTCAAATCAAGGGCCTGCATGATACTACCACATGCTATCCACAAGAGCAACGCCTAGTGAGAAGCAACGATCTTCCTCAAGGCTAATTCGACGAAAAATTGACGGAGGTACGACAACAGGTGGGGAGAATTGGAGTGTAGGAGAATCGACTCTGACTCTGAGAGAGCTGATACGCAGCCCCACATGCATCTCCCGTGGAGAGCTTCGGGAAGGGAAAGACGGCAATCTCTCTTCTGGATCGACCGAAAGTCTCATGTAATTGCCCAATAGATGGAAAGATATTACAGGTCAGCAGTACATACTACAGAGGGAGAAAAGGCCAAAGAGAGAAGACGGGCTAGAGCCCGCTGCGGGATAGCCTACTGGTGCTCGCTCATACGCCTCTTCGCCGATGCATATTGCTGGAAATAGACAGCCAGTCGGCGTGTATTGAGTATAGGGCCTCTATTACTCTAGAGACACATTCTAACGGCCAATTCCTACTGCTACATGCTGCTGACGGAGTAAATGAGATGGAGAGATTGCATTATTCGAATAATTTCGACTGATATGTTTCGGATCTATATTACATACCGTGGATAACTGTCACAAGGACAGTATCCGCCATTGAGTTTCATCATATTCCATTATAGCACCATACAACGTGTGTAGGTCCCGAATGGAGGTTACAAGGAGGTAGGAAACGACATGGACGAATCGGCCAATGGAACTGTTCTCATTCGCGGGACGTGATTAAAGTCATCTAAGCGGCGATGAAGTTGCGGACGTCTGTTTGAATAACATTATTAGCCATCTACTGGATGGAAGAGCGGCACAGGCTGGAACTTACTCTCGAGCCAGCGGACATATTCCTTCTGTTCCTTGACCTGGATATAGTCAGGAATGACGTTGGCGAGCTCAGCGTTGATGCCTCTTTCCTCGAGGTATCGCTCAATGTAGCTCTGCAGGTCCTCATCGAGGTTCTCGAAAGGAGGACCGGCATACAGGCTCTGTCTAGCCCAGTCCTTCTCGGCGGTCTGGGCATGGGCCAGGTCGGACTTGTTGAAGTAGGAGACCTCCTCGACTTGGAAAACACCATCCTGAGCAATAGTCTGGATCAACAGAGCACCGGATCCGGGCTTCTCAACAGTCACGTTGACACGGGCAGGGAAGCTGGGCTCCAGGTCACGGTCCAGGTCGTCATCCAGCTCGCGGTCGGCGGGAGCCACGCGGTCCTCAGTGTGCGAAGGGACGTTACCAGAAGGACGGCTCTGGTTGACTGGCTGGTGCTGGTAATCCAGCTCATCGGAGAGAGCGGCATCGTCGAAGTCCTCCTGCTCACTCAGGTTCTGAAGGTCCGCAACGGTGAAAGTGACACGGATACTAAACAGAGTGGTCAGGTTCCAAGCTTCTTTCGAGCTGCTGGTCCCAAACAAACTTACTCTTCGTTACCGAACTTTCTCGTCAAAATCACCTCCTGCTCTCCGGGAACATCCTTGACCTATCGAGCTGTTAGTATATCGGCGGTTCTCAGCATAGGACGCCACTACGTCATACCTCCCAAGGGCCGTTCTCAAGCAGATATTTGACGTTCTGGACGGAGGCATCAAGGTCTTCGAGGCCAGAGGCCTTCTCGTGCTGCAGCTCCTCCTCGAACTTGGCGACGAGCTCGACATCACCTGGAATGGCAAAAGCAAACGATCAGCAAGGAACTCAAATTTTTCTCTTTCGCAGCTAGTCGCAAATTTTCAATGGCACATGGAAATATGCAAATTGTCTGTAGAAGTGTTCTTACCTTCGCCAGCAGGCTCTCTGAGTATCCTGGCCGTGGAGAAGGCCGGGTAGGAAGGTCTAGCAAGCTGCTTCCATGACGACTGGAGAAAGCTCGGCTTCTGGATCGTAGACAGCGGTCGGACGGCTGATCTGGAGGAGAGAGCAACGGATCGAGAGAAAGTGCGAGGCACAGAGCGGGAGAATGCGCGAAGAGACAACATTTTGAACAGCAACACTGAGCTTGGGGCTGTGTAGATAGAGAAACGACGATGCTGTTGGTGTTTGTAGAGAGATGAGCGAAGTTTGGACGGAGGCAAGCGTATGATGTTACCGTTCCGAGAGTTCGAGAAATGCCAAGACTTCGGGTCCCAGCTCAAGAAGACTTTAGTCCGACGGGGCAAACAGAGCTCTACGAAGGAGTCTAGACTAAGATTAACTAGCAGTATTGTTATTTTATTCCCCTAGTAAAGCTACGAAATTTTCTTGGGATTGAAATATATTATTGACATTTCATTGATAAGGCAAACATCCCATCTGTATAGCCGTAATTCTGGGTATTATGTATATCGGCATATGCAACGTAAAATCATTTCCCATGCATAAATAGCAAGCAAGCAAAAGCCAGACAAAATAAGATGCACTTTTCAAGACAAGCCTTTAGGCGGGAAACTGGAAGCTTGTTTGGTACCATCCCGCAGGAGGCGTATGAACTTCATCGTGCTCATGTTCGCCCACTCTCCGTTCCAGACCTTTAGTCTTAAAACCACCTCCTCCAGAGTGAAATCTGGCATCCAGAACCCGGTAGTGAACTCCTTCCCCTCTACTTGCGCGCGTTGTACGAGGGCATCTTCACGCTTGCTTGGTGGTCGTCCTTTTCTTCGCTCTTGTCGGAGCTCCTCGATCTCTGGCGCCGCGCGGTCAATGAACCTGTGGAACAGCCAGTGCGTCAGTTGCGTGCCTCGAAGAGGAAAATTGCTAGCTATATATCACACTCACTTCTGTACAAGCTCTGCCATTTCATTATCAGACAAGGCGCCTGAAGCGTCTTTTAGGCATTCCTGGAAGAAAGCGACTCTGTCCACTGCTGTTCGTCAGTCAAGGATTTCGGTGGAACTTGTGCATGGGACCAATCGCCTGTATACGACTGAAATCCTGCATGAAGGTACATACCATAAGACTGTCGTGTCCTCGATGTCACTGCCGCTGCACGGGCAAGTCTATCCTCCCGCGCCCCCGCTCGGCGCAGTCTCTGCGAGTCACGGCTGTTCTCATGGAGAGCTTCGAGTTTGCCGCGCTTCTTGGTGATCTGCTTCTGAACCTTGTAGAGCCCCTTCGCCATGATGTGTGATCTCTTTGGTTTCCCAACCACAGCTTCAGAATGCGGGGCGATGACGCTGAAAGTCCCTTGCGAGATTCTGGAATGAACCCATTCTCACCGGAGCAGTTTTTTTCTTTTTTGGACCAGCAGAATCTCAAGGCGGTGAGAACGGGAAGCAGCGTTGGACGCGGGGAGCCAATCACTGCGCATCTCCAAGCGGACGATCCAGTCTTCGCGTGTCGCGTCGTTCGCCGTGAACATTCCCCAGGGCAGGCTTGATGTGACGTTCTCCCCAGGCACCATCTGTTGCTTGTTACTTTCTCTCTCTTCTTATTACCAACTTGTGAATCTCTAATTGTCTATATACAGTCGTTCCCTGGAGAGTCGGGGTAATCGGTGTTGAACGAATGCTTTTTGGGTGCATGTAAACAAGACGGGGGTCGCCTCGTCTTTGGAAGGTGCCCACTATGGGCATTCAAGGTATGGACACCGAGATGGTTCTGGGAATTCTGCGAGCATTATAGTGACAGCCTCAGGTCTCCACGGTCTGCTCAAGTCGATTCAGAAACCATGCAATTTGAAAAAATTCAGTGGCCAAACTTTATGTGTAGACGCCTATGGATGGCTGCATCGAGGCACCGTGGCTTGTGCCGTTGATCTGGCCCTGGATAGGCAGACGAGCAAGTATGGCTAATTACCCATGCTTAAATGCAGGCCGCTCACCTCATCCCAGGCACATTGACTTCGTCATAAACCGTGTACGAATGCTGCTTTACTTCGGGGTCACGCCATATCTGGTCTTCGATGGAGACAATCTACCCAGCAAGTCCGGCACCGAGGCCGAAAGACACAGTCGCCGGCAGGAAAGCAAACGACTCGGGATGGACCTCTACCGCAAGGGAAGAATGAGCGAAGCTCACCAGGAGCTGCAAAAAGCAATCGACGTCACCCCGTACATGGCCCGCCAACTAATCGAGGAGCTGAAGAAGATGGAGATCCAATATGTTGTCGCCCCATACGAAGCAGACGCCCAGATGGTATATCTCGAGCAACAGGGGATAGTCAATGGGATCATCTCGGAAGACTCAGATTTGCTCGTGTTCGGTGCCAAGCGTCTTCTGTCGAAATTGGACCAGCACGGGGACTGTATCGAAATCAGCCGTGGTGACTTCGCAGCGTGCAAGGATGTTAGCTTCATTGGCTGGACCGATGCAGATTTCAGACGCATGTGCATCCTCAGCGGATGTGATTACCTTCCCAGTATCCCCAAGATGGGACTGAAGACTGCTTATCGCAACATCAGAAAGTACAAGAACGTGGAAAGGGTTCTGCGCATGCTCCAGTTTGAAGGCAAATATCATATTCCAACGGACTATCTAGACAACTTCAAGCAAGCGGAGTTGACTTTCCTTTACCAACGTGTCTTCTGCCCCAAGGCTGGAAGATTGGTCACCCTCACAGCGCCGGACGACAGTGTCAAGCTGGAGGAGATGCCCTTCATCGGTCATGACCTTGAACCTGAGGTTGCTCTAGGGGTTGCGTGTGGGGATCTCGATCCGATGACAAAGGAACCGATCGTTTTGAAGCCTGCGGTCGCGGGAAGGCTGACTGCGAGTTTGACCAGGAGACAGACGCTGGCCTCTTCTACGGAACTCAAGCCTAACAAGCCAATCAACTCATTTTTCACACCGAAGCGTATGCCGCTTGCTGAGCTGGATCCTAATTCTCTTACTCCCTCGCCGAGCCAGCAGCGTCTTCTGGAACGGCACGCGAACAGTTCGTGGAGTGCGAGTCCGGCCCCAGAACGCCAGGGCTTGACCCGGTCGGCATCTGCAGTATCGTTGTCTCGTCCAGCTGGCAGCCCTCTGATCCGAACTGCCGAGAGGGAATCTTTTCTGGCTCGAGCAGGTCGAGTCTCCGCGTTCCAGTCAGTCAAACGTCAGCGACTGTGTTCAGATGCAGATGAAGAGAAGCTCCCATCTGGCGGGTTGTGTCGCAGCAAATTTTTCGCTACAAAGGTGGAGGACCCCAGTCCTAGCGGACAGAAAGCCACTCGGGTCAAGAAAGCCAGGAAGTCTGACTTTGGCGTGTTTTCTGACGACGTTGCTGAGGACATCATGTCGTCCCTTCCCGACCCTGCTCCCGCGGATGAGCCAGCTAGAGATGAAACGTCGGTGGCTGAAACCCCAGATGTTGAAAGAGTGTCATCCTTGGTAGCGACGACAGAACCCGCAGAGGTTTCCGAAGACGCACAAGGGGAGAGCGGAGATAGTTCTGAGGACTCCCCATCAACAGATTCGAGCAACGAGTCCAGTAACGTCCAGAGCGATGCCACATCGCCGACTACCACGACATCCGTCAGTGCTGATAGTGATCCGGAGCTTTTCAACCAGGTGTTGGAGTCACATGTACAGAAACTCAACTCCAATCTCCTATCCAAGTATGCATTCAAAGACGACGAATATTCAGCATCAACTGGCAAAGCTGGAGCGCACCTGGATAATCCTGTGCAAGAGAAAGTCTCTTCAGCGACAAACGCAAATATCCCATCGCTGAAGCGACGCGCAGCGCTCAACGCATTGCCTTCGAAGCTGCAGGGGCTGACACCTCTGCAGCGTCTGGGACAGAGCGCTTTGAGCCGATCTAAGTCCTTGAATCAACTTGGCATACATGTTCCTGGTCCCGCAAGAGTCTCCAGGTATGAGACTGACTTGGGAAGAGCAGCGAAGAACATTCCGGCGATTCCCGCGACAAACGACCATGGCAGTGAGGATCTCCTGGTCCCGAATAGCGATGAGGAGGATATCGATGACAAAGACCACGACGCGAAGCCTCCCGTTGCAGTGAATCTGAGCCGGTTTTCCTACACACCTAGATGAAGGATGGATTAATTAATTGGCTATGATTAAGAGGAGGCCTATAAGTACGCATTGTATAGGAGTTTGGTCCTAGTGATAACTGTTTGGGAATATCGTTCGTATTAGCGCCTTTGAATAGGCTGTGACATTGGTGTTGGTTTCTATACTTGGGAAGAGCCAGGCGTGTGAGGCGTTTCGACGTCATGATAGTACTGTTTAGGGATATGAAACGTAGCTCCAAATATAATAGTGATGCTGTTACCACGATATAATCAAAGCTCATGAACAACTGTCTGTGTTGGACTGTCCGAGCGTGGATGCCGCGTGGATGCCCAGTTGGCCCGTGTTGGGCCGATCATGAGGCGATAACAGAATAAAAAACGAGGCTGGAGCGATAAGCGATCGATGTTGAAATGGCGATCCCGCCGCTAAACCACATCTAGGTTAGCATAGGGCGGTTCTGCCGGGCGGTGAGACACTGGTTACCGTGGAAAGGCCCCGCGTAAACAAAGCCCGTTGGCCCAGCCTCCCAGCAGGACTATGAGATGCCAGCCACCAGGTCCATCGCCAATGATACGCTCTTCGTCCCCGACCTCATGAATTAACGAGAATACGTGCAACTTAGGAGCGGACGAGACGGTCTCGCTCGTTTGGTTTCTGCCTTGACGTGGGCGGGAAGGATTTGTCCCTCAGTCCCTTTTCCATTCCCTCTCCCTGCTCTCTGATTCCTGACTCTTACACCCGATTCTTACCGTCACCTGAATGTCGCCGTGGACAAGGATAGTTTGATTTCTGACCATATTTCTGTTTTGACAGGTCCTTGGAAAGTTGTTTCTTCTGTCAGTTCTTGCCAGAACCGTAAGGACCCAGAAAGAGGTCCTTATATGAGCGACATCTCGATTTCTCCGCATTCCATACCAGCCCTGATCCACTACGGGACTACTGTGTCCCACGATAGCTTTCGTGCCAGTATCTGGCAGACACCCTATTCAGCTGGCACATTCCTACGAACGTCTGTCGACGCCTGGATTGGCTCTTGACTGAACCGTGTGCTGTGCTGAGTGGGAGCGTGGTTGCTCGATACTCCTTCTCGGAGACCCGAGAAGAGAGGTCAAGCCTAGGATCGCGGGGAGGGAAGCCATAGGCGCGTTGATGGTGGATAGGGATTGTGCACCATGGCTACTCTGAGATTCACGACCGGTGTAAAAAGTATGTGTCGCATAGCAGTCCCTCTCATATCATTGCTACTGGCATGATGGCCTACTGTCAGAAACCACGTGCTAACGTCTTCACTCAATAGGGTTTATACCTCTGATAGGTTATCATCATGTGTTGATGATATTCATTGCACTTTCTATTATTCTTCTCTGTGAGTCAGCCCATTGACCCTGAGTTTGAACTGAACTACAATCGAAAGAAAGACACTAACGACTATTCCCCTACAAAGCTCTCTTGTTGGCAGGCTGTTCATCGTCTTCTCCACAAATACCAAGCATCTTCCTGATATCGCTCTACTACGAGAAATATGAACCAAACTTTAACCCCGCTCAGGTAGACCCTGGTGTCACAACCGCGATAGCAAACATCGTCGGGGGAGCGGAGCTTGAAGTTCGGGTGGGCTATTTTGGCATCTGTATCCAGCCTGATGGAGGATCATGGATTTGCAACAACAACGCCACAGCTCTAGCGGAAATTGTCACGGTGGATCAGGATCCTTTGAACTTGATCTGGGTTTCATCCACATTCAAAGACGCGGTTGTCTTCCCCTATCTGATGTAAGTGTACTCCAGCTTACAACCACACCTTGCCTCAGTACTGATTGATTTCTTTCTAGAATTGTTGCTATCGTACTCGCCTTTTTCTGCTTTATTCTGCTCGCGACATTCCCAGGATGGCATGAAGAAACAGACGCCACTGGTTCGGAACGGGAAGTGAAACCGTTCCCTTCGCGTCCAGTATCACAAGCCGCTCTGGCGCTGATTTTCGTATCTTCCGTATTCGTTCTGGTATCAGTGTTGTGGCAACACACGGCCTCAGTGGCCGCCAGTACGATCGCACAAGACATGGGCAACGGCAGCGTCAAGAGTGGCGTAGGCACCTCAGCAATGGTGCTCGGTTGGTTCGGTTTCGGATTCCTAGTAGTCGTCACAATCGGACTGCTGGTCATGATTCTGAGCATCAGCCTACTACGAGAATTAACGGACGACGTGGATTGAAACATATGATGGACGGGAAACGAAATTAATGCTGATCGACGACATAATCTGACTACTTAAGGGACGGGTATTTGACTTGGGAACTTGTGAATGGGTTTATATGGTCTGATGGGATTTACTAGAGACAGGGAGAGAAACCACGACGCTTCGACTACTACCTCTTACGCGTCGCGAACCTCTTCCCGCCTCGAAATATGATTTGATGGTTTATGCATCTTCTTAATTTTCTATTTCTTCTTCATATGGAGGTTACGTACTTTGGGATCCACTCACAAAGGGAATTTGGGGAACATCTGTACATTTTTTTTTACGAACGACTGAAATATGGGACTGGGTTCGATCGAGACTTACAAAACTAACTCATTTGATCCCCTTTTGTGATTTCACATTGTACTACGTAGTATATTTTGTTTTTTCGGGATCGCGTCATTTCCTGGTGTATTTTACGAATAACACAATGCAATTACCAAAAAAGCAAGTAACTAGATAGATCGTTAGTCACGAATATAGTTGTTCTCATTTCTCGATTCGTTTGCATATATGATAATACCATAATTGGATTCATTGAGATACAAAGAACCCGATCCAACTCCCATAAAACGCCATTGCTTGCCCTTTAATTCCTGACTCGTTGTGAATAGGGGGATCCAAATTTAGACCCAATTCCCTGAACCCATTATGACTGTGTATAAACAAGAAGAAGAAAGTAAATGAAGATCTAAAACTCCATTGCGTCTGGTCCGCTTTTTGGTGCGTCATCACCGCGCTCACGCTTGCCGACTCGTTCTTCCTTGATCAGGCCCGCGATGAACGAGCGGAAATAGTCAATGTATGGTTTTAGGCTGGTCTTTTCGTAGTCTTGTAGTTTTCGTCCTCCTCTAGTGTCGGAATCGAGTTGCGTGCTTCCATCGCCTTCGGGGATGTCGGAGTTGGTGCCGGCTGGATGCTGGGCGTCATAGGCGTCGATCTCGGATAGAAGGTCTAATACCGTGGGGACGGAGAGGGGGTCAAATTCATCCACTTTGCGGCCATCGATGGGGACACAGACACGTCCGGTTCCTGGGTGGATGACGAAAGGGCTCTTGAGCAAATGGATCATCTTCTTGCTGACTTCAGCGTCCAGTCGTGGGTAGGTGTATTCAAGGACGATGTCCTGCTTTGCGTCTCGCAGAGCGGCTGGGTTCAGGGTACTGCTCTTTCCTGTCTTTGCGAGAGCGTCAATATCGGCCCATTTGCTCGTGCTGGGCCGGTCTGGTGCTGAGTCCCACTTCTTGCGGAGCGCATCGTTGAGGGTCTTATCTGGCAGAAGGGCAAGAAGTCGATCTGCTTGCTCTGAGCTGACAAAAGTATCCTGATCAACAAGGGTTGTTTGCGCAAAATATGGTTTGAGGATCTCAAGACTGCGTGCGATGTGCGGATGCAATGGTCGCTTCAGGTTCACTCGCTTTCCACTCTGGGATCCTCCGCGGACGAGCTCGAGGTAACCCGCAATGGCTCTTCGTCTGTCATCAGGCAGGTTGCGGGCTCGCGGGTCGCAGACCCATGCGTGAGCACCACGCCGACCTGAGTAAACCCACATGATATGCTCGAATCCAAAGTCCTCTCGCAGGGCGGCATCCACCACTTTGATGGACATTGTGACAAACGCCCAGCACTTCCCACAGATATTCGCCTTTGTACAGCAGGTACGAATGTCATCGTAATCGGTCAAATCGATATCAAATACTAGTTCCTTTGATAAGGGTTTCATCTGGCCGCCGCGTAGCGTCTTTCGGTCACGAGGATTCGTGCTATAGACAGGCCCGATTTCGAAACGGGAAGGGTTCATTTTGAGAATGTCTTTACGAAACCTTCAGGTGAATGCGTTAGTGCATGGTAGAATAGCTAAGTTCGAAGTCTTATGCTTACAGATCAGCCGTTGCATATGATTGATATCGCAGGTACGCTTCGTTCTGCAGCGTGAGCGCAAACTCTCGATTGCCGAAGTCGCGCGACGGTATGATGCCATGGTTCAACCATTGGAATATGTATCTGAAAGGGAATAATCGTTGATAGAACGCGAGCATGACTTCTGTATCCACCTTCTGAGCTGCGGGGACAGGAGTGCTAGAAATGATCAGTCTTGGATGACTTGGATTATTCCTCGAGCAATAGCTGCTTACATTGTAGGCTGTTGCATGGACGAGTTCCCATTTTTGTTATCTGGCGCACTTGATGCAGGAAATTCATCGTCGTCATCGTCATCGTCATTAAAGAGGTCCTGAAGTGGTACTCCGGCCTTTGCATCCTCTGCGCGTTCGCCCTCCGATTCCCCTTGAGTCTGATCGTTCGAGGTCTCCGCTGGGGGTGCGTCCGGGAGGACATCATCTTCGCCCTCTCGACGAGGCGAGCTATTCCCTGATACTGAATGAGGCATGACTGCGTCCTGGTGTCCCGGCGTGTTGGTTACCTTGTCACGATACCTTCCGGCTCTCTAACTCATGAACCAACTGCCCGTTCCGCGGCGACGCGACCAGACGCGACAGACGCGTAGAGTACTCGGGTAGCCCTAAGCCCTAATTATGACCGATAGAGATTTTATCACGTGACAATGTATTCTTCCGGCTATATTACATAATCACATTGCCGACTCAATTCTGACTAGCCAGTTATGAAAAGCTCCTCTTCGTCCGCAAACAAACATCTCTGTTTCCTATATATTCGACGTCTGCCAAGGTCATCTATTCGCTCGTGCCGCTTGCGGAATACTCGCTAACGCTGTGCTTGGAACGGCCCAGAGAAAAAGAAGTCAATGCCATTTACGCAGTCTCGGACCGCTTTCCGATCCCTGTGATTCTGGGGTGGAACGTTAACGTCCAGAGAATGAGATTATTTATAGAACTGGACCTGAAACGGCCAGACGCACTTCTACCAATATTACTTTGGCAAAAAGAGAGCTACTTCGAGTTCTCCTAGTGAAAACTAATGTTCTTAGAGTACATTACATCGTCTCTATGATGCCAAAGCAACTTGCAAAAAGAAGTACTCATCTCGTCATCGACTTCAGTTAGCTGAAGCTTCTATCTTCTTATAGCACTGTACTACAAGTCTATAGGAGGGGCCTAACTCCGATGTTGACTAGCCACATTCCTGAGATGCTCTGCTTGGTGCTTCTATGGATTCGATCCAGCTTGCTGGCACAATGTTAGCGGAGAGGCCCACATTCCAGTGCCATCACGATTAGTTTCCGGCTCAACACCTGCAGCAACTCATTTCTCTTCTGTCCAGACAAAGCCTCATGAGTCGCTTGTCCGTTATTCAATCCCGACATACGATGCATTGGTGTACTCCACGATGACGAATGCGATTGACACAATGGCTTGCACTGCAGGTCCTTGCCTAGCTAAATCTATTTAGGGGCATTTGCTTATTATATGCTGACTATACGCTTGCACTTCGATATGTACCATACCGCCCCGAGTGCATGTACCCATTAGCCACAGGCACATACTCGGTACGGTTGCTTCCGGACGTTGACCACGGAAAGAGTATCACGCTGTCAGAATTTTCGTTGACACCATCTAACCGCTACCACCTTGCGCAAAATCCATTCAATGCATAGCTCGTTGATGTCTGTTACCGGTTGCAGCAGCCTTAGTCAGTGTTCCTGAACAGTTTTTTCCCACTCTTGTGGCAATGTGATACTCCAGAAAATATACGGGCTGTTGCATTGTTGCAGGCCTATCCGGTCAATTCGCGGTCCGTTTACAAATTGAGACGGCCAATAGACTACATGCGTCATTCTATATCACATTTCACCATAGATTGGCTCATCTCACTCATTGTCTCCCCGCAAATGTATTTGTTTTCAAGGTGAACTGAAAGCCACCCAACAGAATCAACTCTACACCAACTGCACGCATTGGTCAATATATCCGCTGTCACCGTCCTGCGCACCTATCATACGCTTTCATCTACTCTCTTTTCCTGTTGATTCCTCACTGGTCATATCCTGCCATTGCACTTCCTTCTACTTCTAGCCTCGTTGGCTTGTCTCCGTTTCCAGAACCCATCAAGTGGAGACCTTTTACTACTCACGTCGAGTCTCGCACGACTGTTTTACTGTACTCAGATCCTGTTCTCTTGCGACCATATGGGTCTGCCCAGCCTGAGCACATTTCCCGCTCTTGCCGAGTCCTTCTACAATTCTAAGCACTGAACGCACTTGATGGCTGACTGTTCGACACTATATCGGCCCACCAGGAAAAGCCGTCTTTGCCACTTCCGGTCTACATCTTCTAGTGTTCCATTATCGCTTGCTGTCCTGTTTTGGTCATAGAACAATCTAGTGTATCATGACGACAGCCGTTATCAGCTGTCTACACCGTTTTTGTCTCTTGCTGGCTTGGCTCTACAATATCCGTCCACGAGTCTGTCCATTCAATGCACGGAGAATGCTTCCCTGCTTGAGCTTTAGTGCCATGTAACCTATCAATGTGTTCTATTGTCACAGTTCCACTGGAACTGGAGGCTAAGCCCGTTGTGCCAATGCATCGTTCTCTTTCGGCGACTGTACTTCTACACCTATTACCTTCTGTTTTCGGAAGTTTGTACAAGCTTCCAAGATAAGTCGATGGGGACTTTTCGTATCATGGGATTGTGCCACCCCATTTTCAGCCAGATGGTGGATCTTGACCTGATGCGGCTCTTGTTCCTGTTCCTGTTCCAGTGCGGAGGTCCTGGAATAATGTCCTTTCGCAGGTTATATAAACTGGTCTCTGACCGTCGGTGGATTTCTCTTTCCTCCATCATCATCACAACCACTCGCTTTCGAGGACAAATAATCATTTCCTCTTCCATTCGCTCGGTTCATTCGTTTTGCTAGTGAAATCTTGGGAGTTTCCAAACACTTTTGACATTCTTTCGTCGCTCAATCCCGGCTACCAACTATCACAATGGTTAAAGCAGGAGCTATTGCCTTGCTGGCTATTGCCGGCCCGGCTTTCGCTGGAGTTGTGAAGGAACGCGGAGGGGAATACATTGTTCCCTTGTCCACGGGCGTTCTTCCTCCTCCTCCTCCTCCACCTCCACACCACACTCCTCACCCTCCTCCACACCACACTCCTCGTCCTCCTCACCACACTCCTCATCCTCCTCACCACTCCCCTCCGCCTCCTCCGCCTCCTCACTGGCCCACCTGGTCTGTCTCGACACCTACGCCCGAAGTGACGGTGTCCACGCCCTGTGAGACGCCTACGCCTTGGGAGACTCCATCGCCAACGCCCTGGGAGACTCCATCGCCGACGCCCTGGGAGACTCCATCGCCGACGCCCTGGGAAACTCCTTCGCCGGCTCCTTGGCCTACTCACTCTTGGGGGCCGTGGCCTAACCAGACCACCGAGTACATCACCAAGACGACTACCATTGTCACTACCACCTGTCCAGTTACCTCGTCTGTCATTACTACTGGAACGGAGACCCTCACTGTCCCAGTCACTGAGACGAACACCATCACTCTTACCACTACCACCGTCTGCCCTACTGTGGTCCCTGTCCCCAGCTGCACCACTGGCTATGTTACCAAGACAGCGACCATTGTCACTACCACCTGCCCAGTTACCTCGTCTGTCATTACTACTGGAACTGAGACTCTCACTGTCCCAGTGACTGAGACCAACACCATCACCCTCACGCAGACAACTGTTGTCCCGACTGAGATTCCAATTCCAGTTCCCACAACTATCGTTCCTGCTCCTCTGCCTGGAAAGAACGAGACCTACACCACCAAGACGACAGCTTATCTGACCACCAGCTACCCAGGTAATACAATAACCCTTGACCCTAACTTTAAATATGATTTAGCTAATACAGGTGTAGTTACTTCATCTGTCATCATCAGTGGAAACTTTACGCGAACTGTCCCAGTTACCCAGAGCAGCACCTACACCCACACCGCTGTCACTGTTGTCCCTGTTGTCCCTGCTCCCGAGAAGCCTAGCTATGTGGCCCCCGCTTCCTCCGAGCCTACCTCTGCTGCGGAGAAGCCTACCTCTGCCCAGCCGACTCCTGTTGGCCCTAGCAAGGCTCCTGTCTTCACTGGTGCTGCTTCTCGCCTCGACAAGCCCGTTGCCGGCTTCATTGCCGCTGCTGTTGGTGCCATGGCTCTCCTGTAAGGGGGATAGGTCAAATGGATGCGCGACGAAATTTGATATTTTTGGTTCTCGGAGTTTCACCGGTTCGGTTCATAAGAGGACTGGACCCTGCTGCTGCAAGGTCTATCTCATATAATTCTCTACGGAAAAAAAGAAAGATCGTCTCTGTTCACGTTATCAATGGGCACAATTGTGGCATTCCTTTTATTGAATACTAACTTTTAATGATAATAATAATAAAAGATATCCAGATATATAAGTAGCAGAAATTAAAGGTTACTTATGTCACAACATCTGTGCACTGTAGTTGAAGTTATCCTTAGACTCGGAAAGACTTGTGCTGATAGAAAGTTGAGAACAGATCAGAATAATCATTTGAACAGAGAGGAAATTCAAACTAAACCAGACCTGGCGAATGGATCCGATGGAATCACCCGTCAAGCACCTTCCTGGCTTAGCAGACAACAAGGCAGCAACATGTGTTTACCTTTTGTTAAATCTCCTCTTTCTCTCACCTTTTTCTCTCACCTTTTTCTCTCACCTTCATCCCACTTTCATCCTCCTTCTCTTCCAGCGCCCATTTTCGAAATTTCCTCTGCAACTTTGCCAGCTGAACCTCCATTACATATATCTCTCTGTATTATTATCCTGGCTTATGACATTTGCTCATGAGAAACTTCGAGCCCTCCCACCAAGTTTGATTGAAACTGGCAGTTTTATATCACTTTTTAATCTCTTAAACCTCATTTTATACTATCCTTCTAATGTCCCGATCCTTAATCAACTGAATCCTTATAGCTAAAAATAACTGAGACTTGCAGTTTCAAATCACTTTCTGCTCTCTTAAACCTTATCTTATACTATCCTTCTAACATCCCGATCATTGATCAACCGAATCCTTACAGCTAAGTACTGTTGAGACTCTCATCTTATCTTCACGTCTTCTACCATGCCTGACAAGTTTGACCGTTTTATGCGCGCTACCAAAGAATTCTTCCAACGCGGAAAGGAAAACCCGCAGACTTTTAACAGTAGAAATGTGGACACATTTCTTTCCAAATGGGACAAGCCGGAAAGACCTCCCGTTCTTCCTGCCAGTTCGCTATCTCTCCCAGTCGTTGAAAAGGTGTTCCACTTGAAGAAGGATCCGCGATACGATGACATCTGGGATTTACGCGAGGAGGATCTCATACCAGTGCCCGAAGCTCTCCACAAACGACTGGCAGACATATCGTCTACACTTGGCCAGGATCCCAACAATGAGGCGAGCTGCCGTTTGCGGTTGGATGCGATCCTTCTCGATTGCATAATCGCAGAAAGAGAACTCCTTAGGTCGCCCTTCAACAGCGGAGTAATCAGAGACGACGACAAGCCTATCTCCCTTACACTGGAGAATAATCTATCTCTCCAGATAGAGTATAAGGGAACGCAGCGTACTCTTCAGGGAAGGTCAGATTATGCCGTGTGGTACGATGCATCCGATGACACAGCTACCAACCTCGTAGTACTGGAAGCCAAGAACCTAGCCGGTGCAGGTCTCGCACAATGTCTCTGTTATATGGCCATGGTCCATGCCATTCGAAAGCAAGAGCATAAAAAGAACCAGATCGTTTTCGGCTGCTTTTCGGACGGATACAGGTTTACGTTCCTGCGCATTGACAACGAGTCCCGATGGTCAGAATGGCCTTGCCCCCCGTGGGGAACTATACATAAGAAGCGCGAAAGTATTATCTATACACACATGCGTCTGATAATACGGAGTGCTGTCCGGACATCACCCAGGTCCTCCCCTGAGAGAGTCTCCGCGCAGACGGATCATAGACCGCATGCTCGCCCTTATTACGAGCTGCGGATTGGGAGCTCTTCTGACGAACAGCCGACGATGGATAGTGGATGGTAATGTCAACCGCCAGGGTCAACACGGGGGAGGTTAGTTTTTTTATACTTTGTCAACGGTCTGTTATCCAGGTTAGAGTGATGGTAGAAGGGAAGGTCGTTGGAATGCTCTGGGAGAGTGGATGTATCTACCGATCGGTGTGTTATGTGTAGCAAATAATTAGGGTTCCATTGTCTTGACCGCATCATTCAAGTTTCTCTTTGCAATCCTTTAAATCCGCGTCTTCGCTAGCCGTGTTATCAATATTACCAGTAGAAGGGTCGTTAATTGCCGCGCCAGCCTCCCTAGGTTTGTGGAACCGATCTAAATAAATTGCGGGATCCGCTTACTTATGAGACGCCATGTCCGGGCAAGCATGGAAATAAATGTGGGTGACGGTTATCGGAACACGGGTCAGAATTGTAGTTTAGACGCGGTGGGAATGAATTTTATTATATAAGTCAATTTGCACAGCGTGGTAGTGAGGAGCTCAGTTGGAGAATGTTCGGTTAAATTGATATTTAATACTTTGGTTCTGGTTAAATACGTATAGAGAGTACGCTAGTCCCTCGCGCTGGGGGCTGGTAATCACTATCAGTCAAGCTACTGTTGCGAAACAAAGTCCTGGTGGAATAGGTAAATCTCCTGAATAAGTTCTTTAGTAGGACTAAGAACGTTTGGTCTTGAGATATGAATCATACCTCTGGCTAGTTACCAGTGTGGATATATTTACTTACTTAGGTACCTGTTGTGGGAAATCCAAGCACAAACGGACTCAACCAGGTCGGATTCATAATTAGTACATGATTAACAAGTGTTAAAATAGACAATATCTGTATGCGCCTTAATGTATGTTTCGATTATGGGGACCTATCGAACTTGGCCGTCACAGTCAAATTTCAGATATCTCGTCCCTGTTGATTTTACCCGAATTACTTATCTACCGAGAGTCGGTCCCACAGCACGCCAACCAAAAACCCTGTGGGCAAGTATAGATAGGTCCAGCTGCTCGGTCTATTTAATCACATAGGTATAAATAATTCGCCAGAGCTTCTATCAATATGCAAATCAACTGACTATCGTCGACCGCAGCCACTATGTCCATGACCGAAGCCGAGTGTGCGCAAGCCCGGGAAGGCTTCCCCAGGCCCTACCCAGATACGCCTACCAATGTCCTGGAACAGTTTAAAATGACTGGAAAGGTCGTTGTAGTCACTGGAGCTGCTGAAGGTATTGGATATGCCGTTGCGGAGGCCATGGCGGAGGCGAACGGCGCTGTCGCTTTATGGTATAACTCGTACGTCTGTATTCATTGCCAAATTGCGCCGTCGATGGCAAGCTCTAGCTAACATCTATTACTCGCTCTGTCTGAAAGAAATGATGTCGCTATCCAAAAAGCAGAGGCTTTGGCTAAGACTCATGGGGTTAAGGCTGCAGCGTACAAGGTGAATGGTATGTTAATTTATCTTTTTGAAACAAAGAAGCCAAGCTAAGACTGCCTGAAGTATCGGACCACGAAGAAGTCGAGAAGACCATATCAGATGTGCTCAGAGAATTTGGAAGAATTGATGTTTTTATCGCTAATGCTGGTGAGTTGTCATAATATCTTGCGATGTTAAAGAGAGAGAGAGAGAAATGAGTAGCTGATAACACTCCAAAGGAGCGGCTATTTCAAAGCCAATACTCGAACAGACACTAGACGAGTATAAGAAGCAGATGTCCGTTAATGGTAAGCGTTCACATAACCTATCATTTTCCACAGAACATGCTAATGTATCATACAGTTGACGGGGTGGTATACTGCGCCAAGTATGCAGGAGAGGTGTTCAAGCGCCAGGGCACAGGAAACTTCATCATCACATCGAGTATGAGCGCGCACATTGTAAATGTGCCGGTGGATCAACCCGTATACAATGGGAGTAAGGCCTTTGTTACTCATTTCGGCAAATGTCTTGCTCGTGAATGGCGAGAGTTTGCCCGAGTGAACATTGTATCCCCAGGCTTCTTCGAGACCAAAATGGGCGCAAGCCCCCGTGTGATCAACGAGGCTTATCGTATGTCGTCCCTTGGTCGACAAGGTCATGTAAAGGAGATCAAGGGCTTGTACCTTTATCTCGCTAGTGATGCCTCTACCTACACCACTGGAAGTGACATGATTATTGACGGTGGCTATGTCCTTCCTTGACGCAAGCATTGAATGAATTATGGTTTTATGGCACCAGGAAAACCCTTGGCCTAATATACTGGAGGTATTTGTTGATTCTAGATAGTGTATATAGTGAGGGAGATTTCTATTTACAAGATAAGACTTCCCAAATTATGAACTTCTATAAGCGCGATGTAAGTCTATAAACGGTGAATAAGATACCAGATACTGGTTAACTAACTAGTATCTCCTAATCGGAATAAAGTCAACCGAGGTGTACCAAGTCGGGCGGGGGACGTCGGCGAGCTGCGCTCCGGAGCTCTCTGTATTCCAAGATACATACATGAGGGGTCGATGAGCAAGATGGACTGAGACCAGACACGCCATAATCATATTACCATCTGAAATCAGAGCATAATAACTAATATATAGAGCCTATTCGGGTTCCCGCCCCCGTCTTTCTTGTGCAGTGGTACGTCTCGCTATTTATTATTATCCAGTGTTCCCTAATCCGGGGATCTATTGGAAATGTCGGGGTCAACGGAGCTACCAGGGCGTGATGCCCTCACGCAGCGAGCTATCCCATCGATGGTACTGAGTGATGGAAGCCCGTCTTCCATGACACCGCCCCCTAAAGCAGAGATTGCGAAACATTCCACTACAGGAGCACAACAGAGGTTCTCAGTCCAAGGTAATGCAGTCGTTACTGGAGGGACTGGAACCTTAGGCCTATACGCCTGCGATGCACTTCTCGAACATGGTCTCAGCGGCCTGATGATCTTGGACATGAATGCAACGAACTCGCAGAAAGAAATAGACGAGCTGAGACCAAAATTCCCGAAAGCTACGATCTCTGCATTAGCAGTCGATGTCACCGACGAAGGGGCTGTTGAATCAGCACTCGACGAGACAACCAAAGTATTGGGATCGATTGATATTCTGCTCTGCTTCGCTGGGGTCGTTGGCTGCGTGGAGACACTCGAAATGCCGGTTTCACAGTGGCGGAAGGTTATCGACATTAATACTACAGGTACATTTATCTGCGCTCAGGCCGTGGCACGACGTATGGTTGCTCAAGGAACTGGCGGCTCTATAACCTTCATTGCGTCCATCTCAGCCCATCGGGTCAACTTTCCCCAGCCTCAAGCTGCATACAACGTCAGCAAAGCAGCGCTGCTCTCGTTGAAAAATTGCCTTGCTGCAAAATGGGCTCGGTATGGCATCCGTACGAACAGCATTAGCCCGGGATACATGGACACCATTCTGAATGAGGGAGATGGCATTGCTGGGCATCGGAAGATTTGGGCCTCGCGCAATCCCAGTGGAAGGATGGGCGCCCCAACTGAACTCACGGGGGCAGTTGTACTACTTGCAAGCTGCGCTGGTACGTACATCAATGGTACAGATATTGTTGTTGATGGCGGCGCAATTGTCTTTTAGATGCAGAATTTCGGCTATGTGAAATAGGTTACTATGAGAATGCTCTTTTTCTCTGTCTTTTCCCTTTCTTTTAAGATACTGGTTGATACTAAATGCACGTAGCCTTAGTACGAGAGGAAAACCCGCAGTGTCTTTCAGGCAGATTTGAGTTGACAAATAGAGGATCAGCGTCTTGATTCCCTCTTCACTCAGCCTGAACGACATTATTAAGATAGTTTTTCCCGGTTGTTTGCCTGTTGTTCTATGTAGTTTCCAAAACCTGCGCACGGACTCTAGTTATATATATGGCTGGATATTGTACATACGAAGACCGAAAGATTCTCGCCACATTAAACGGTCTCTACAGTCTAGAAAAACTATCGCGTCATCTGAGCCATAGGAAAAAAAAAAATAAATCAATAAGAACGCATGAGAATGACGTCGAGAGAGAGATTGAACCGTTGTCTACAGCGGCGAATTGTATCCATGTCTATTCCATAGCCCCAATAAGTCTACATTGCACTGCCCTGATCCGCTACGCGCCCGGTCAAACATCCGGCGAGCCGGCCAACCTATCGTGTTGCATCTATGTTGTTGGTTCTCAAACCGATGGCGTTGGCTCTGTAGTCAGCGCCCAATCTGATAAATAAACAGTTTGATGATCACTGAGAAAAGCGCAAATCATGCGGTACAAATGGATATATCGGGCGGAATTGAGCGCCACTGATTTTACTCCATAGCTCACGAGCACAGAAACGATTCGGACGTGTTCGAAATGCCTCGAGGCAGGAGCACCTTAAGGCACAGGAAGAGAAATAATGTAGATCCTCTTCAGTCAGTCCATCGTGTATGATTGAGAGATGCAAATTTCGGACATGTTGTCTGGACAGGCTTCATTCCGGCATGTCATGCATATCCCTGCTGGACCATACAAACCAGCCACAACATGAATTTCATGCACCGTGGCGCGGCTCTCCAAGTATCCTATCTGGTCAAATCCCCTTCTGAGAGACTCTTATCAATGATCCATTAGTAGCTATTCTGCCTATTTGTCCCCGTTGGTCCTTCGTGATGCGCCGCACTGAGCCTCCTTCTAGCCTCTAAGTATTGTGGTCGTGCGGGAGTTCCCGCAGTGTTTCGGGGGTACCTGCACTACCCTACAAGTGACTATCAGTAACTGTGATATATAAAACAGCTTTAATAGATCTCTAAGTCCCTCTATTGTACTGTGTATAGATTTTCTCCTCATTTTATTACAAAGAAGGCATTTTATAAGTCAACCCAGTGTTTCACACAACCCTTTTCGAGCTATATTTATTATAACGCGCATACTGTCGTCCTGCGTCCCCAGCTGCAGATATAATCACACATTCTTTTCAGAGCATATTCTATATTTATAGTCTACCTTTTTTTTCTTTTCCCAATGTGCATACCTGCTATCTGCGGCTACCACCCCGCAGAGCCTAAGATGTCCTTGTGGCGGCGGGGCGCCTCTGCCCTGGAGACTTTGGTCCAGATTCTTCCGTTTTATAGAAAAGATGACGCCGATAAAGACCAGATTATCAAGGTAGGATATTGACGACCTAAGAGTTCACATACCAGTGTGATATTCTCATATATCTGGGCTGACAAATAGCGTTAGAACCTCACGGCTGAGAACATACATTTGAAACGCCAACTACGGAACAGAAGTATGGACTTGATAGACCAAATCAGTAGCAGGCGACAGTGGCAGAAGCGGGCATTAGAAGCCGAGAGGTCTTTGGTTAGTAGCCTTAGCCTTTATCTATCGGTGTTGGACTCTACTAACTGTTAAAAATCACAGACTAGGAATCCGTTCGTAGTCCTCCTGATAGATGGCGACGGCTACATCTTCGAGAATAGATTCGTCAGCGATCGTGAGGCAGGCGCTATCAAAGCCGCTCAAGAGCTCTACGCTTTCTTCCGTGATTCTGTTCGCGAAGTTCATACCAACGACGAGGGGTTTTCCCTGGATTTCGAAGTTGCTATCCGTATATATGTGAACAAGACGGGACTGGCCACCGCGATGGTTGAAGCTGGCATCATCGACAACCCGGAACAAATGAACAGCTTCTTCGTTAGATTGACCCAGTCACACCCATTAATCGACGTCGTGGATTGCGGAGGTGGGAAGGAAAGAGCAGACGAGAAGATTCGAGGTATGTCCGTCATGGCTCTATGAAAGGATGAGGATAAGCGTGTATCTAACCGTCACTGTAGAGCAGTACAGACATTATACTTCCATTGCCAACTGCAAACATGTCTCGGTTGCATGCTGCCACGATAGTGGATACGTTCCGTTTCTGGAGAAGTTCCAGAAATGCGACGATGGGAAAGAGAAGACATCACTGTTTGCAACGGGTGTGAATGTTCATGCGAGTTTCTCAACGCTCGAATTTAAGCGCATAATCTGCGAAGATATCTTTCGCAAAACACCCAACTTCACGAAGACCCAGAGACACTCTGCGACATATGCCCAGATAATTGGCTCGAAGCCAGCGCTGCCATCACCTCGGTCACCAAATGGCTGTTCGCCTGTATCGTCATCTGGAACAGATATTTCGCGCTATTCTTCGAGCAGGAGTCCTATCCGGGTTCAGTCACCATCAACGCCCACGGTCCCTGTTAATCGATATGGTCAGCGCGTGGACATCAGTCTTGATATGCCATCAGAGGTGTGTTTTAATCGGCTTAGAAAGCGCACCAAGAACGGGCAGCTATGTGCGGAGTTCCATCTGAATGGCAAATGTTCTCAGGGAAAGGGATGCCAGCTTGACCACAATCAACTCAAGGCGGGCGTCAAGGAAGCATTACAATATTCACTGCGTGCCACTGCATGTAAGAGGGGTCTGGGATGTCGTAAAGCAGACTGCTATTATGGGCATCATTGCCCTGCTCCCGGCTGTGGTGCGAGGCCCTCTTGCGAGTTCGGAGGAATGCACGGTATCGACCAGACCATTGCCAAACATGTTCCCGCTGTTTCTTCCTGATTAGTACTAACTTAAAGACCATTTATTTGTTATCAACTGCCTATACGGAATTTCCTTGATTAGCAAATTTTCATGGTACGTACATCTGAACGATTATGCAAGCAAGATATAGAGAATGAAGTACATACACATATTGCTTTCAGCGGGTGAATGAAACAATCCTCGACTAGATTTATCAGCGGAATCGATGCTTTTCGTTTCTGAGTAGGAATAGCGCAAAAACGTAGAGATGCTTTCCCCGGGTATTAGTTAGTTTTTCTGTTGCGAGACCAAGGATATATCCCTTTCGCATGGATGTAGATCTGCGTTTGATGACTGTAAATGCACCATTACTGTCTACTGCGTGGTGTTCAACTGGATATTTCGAGGCACGCCTTCGGAGATATACCCTAGGCACCTATTGGATTGATAATAATGGACACGGGCGACTTATTAATGATATTACACTAATCTGATCTGCATTATTATTAAATTACGCGCCCTTCTACGTGCCACGGGCCGATCGTGGCCAATCAAGACATCACTGTCAGCGCTAAATAAAGACTGGCCCCTAAGATCGAGGATGGTATTTTTAGCCCTTCGCATTCTGGATTGGGATATATATACAGACCGCCATTCCGTTTATGGTGCAACGTGAGCAGATTTAATCCAAGGGCAGTGCATATTTCTTCCACATCAGGAAAATGGGCGTTTCGACCCGGCGCTTCAGTGTCGGCGTGATTGGATCAACGTTTCTGCTAAGCCTTCGTTTCAAACGCAGCCTGGAGCCGAGTGGCTGCTCATTTTTACTTACATCGAATGCTCAGCTGAAGCTAGATGCAGCCGAAAAAGCCGCTCGTCTCTCTGCATCCATAACCGTCATTTCCGGTGGTTATTCTGGGGACTGGATGGTTGGTTGACAAATCGAGGTTGACACGCCTTTTCTGTTGGGTGAATGCGATGGTCCTTGTGGGTATGTATTTCTGGGGAGGCGCAGTAGAGGGTTGCTTTTTTCTTTGTATAAAATGACCGCGATTTCTCTCTCCCTCAAAGAATTAGTTAGCTAGTCATTTAAACTTACTAACGGCCATAACGACTTTTGCATTTACTTCATTGCCTTTTTTTACTTCTATTGATTTCTGCATTTGCTACTTAATAGATAAAGACGTTACACTTGATTACCTGCTTCCTTTTTTTCTAACAAGGTTATTACCAACATAAACAACATTACACCAGATCACAAAATCGTCATGCGTTCCTGGATCACCACTGCAACAGCCATCCTTGGCTTCTCTTCAACTTTAGCAATAGCAGCTCCCGCCGTGCCGAGATCTGTCAATTTCAGTCCATTGCCACTGCGTAATGGCTTCCCGAATCCCAACCAGACTGAAACCAAGCAGATTCAGAAGCAGGCCTTCGGAACGTTGCCCAACGGTGCAGTGCCATCAAACATCAGCGCGGAAGGACTGAATAACCTGCGTGTCATTGCTTTAAATGAGCTCTTCGAAGTAGCTTTCTTCACTCAGTTGCTGTTCAACGTGACACATGATGTGCCCGGGTATACCGTCAAGGACAAGGATTCAAAGGCATTTTTAGTGCAGACTCTCACGGCTGTGCAAGCTGTAAGTGAAACTAGATACATGGACTGCATAGTATCTGACTGACTATCCGAATAGCAAGAAGAGCTTCATGCACTCAACGCCAATGGAGTATTGAAACACTTTGGCGCAGCCCCCATCCAGCCTTGTCGATACAACTTCCCTGTTTCGGATCTTCAATCTGCTCTCACGCTCGCTGGAACATTCACCTCCGTTGTTCTCGGTACTCTGCAAGACGTGATCCAGATCTTCGCACAGAATGGTGACGCACCTCTCACAACTGGCATTGCCTCAGTCATTGGACAGGAAGGCGAACAAGAAGGCTGGTATCGTCTCCTGCAGGGCAAGATCCCGAATGAACTCCCCTTCTTAACCGCAAGCACCCGCGACTTCGCTGTCAATGCGCTTAATCAAACCTTCTTCGTTCCTGGATCGTGCCCGAATCTGCAAACCATCAAGACCAAGACTTTCGAGCCGCTCACGCTACTTGATACTCCCAAGGCGAAGACGGAGTCTATTCGCTTCAGTTTTCAGAATTCGACATCTGTATCGGCTAAGGACCTTAGACTTGTTTACATCAATCAGCAGAACAACCCCATCGTGAAGAACTTCAAGGTCGTTGAGAAGGAAGAAAATACTGTCACGATCGAGGCTACGTTCCCATACGACGCGTATCTCTTGAATGGGTTGACTATCGCAGTTCTAGCGGATGCGAACAAGTCTCTGAACAGCTTGCAGAATGTCTCTGATGCGACAAAGTTCGGACCTGCGTTGATCATTGTAAATTGAATTCACAATTTAGAGGGATGATAGTTGAGAGTGTGGAGTGGATATGAGACGGCAATTCGACGGGAAGCTTTTATGTCCAGTATATCGGGGTTCTTCTATTTCTGATTTTGGGTCTTACTAGTCCGGTCATGTGGCTCCTTGCGAACCAATTGTTAGTATTCTCTGATGTTTTTTTTTTTATCAGTTTTCTAGGTACTGCCTCTACTTCTTCAAGAGTGAATTAGACGTTTCCTCAACATCGAAGGATATACTTGATTCTTGGAGCCTTCATGTCACCCAAGCCCCCGATTGTAGGCAGGCTATAGTATATGGACTCACCCCTCTTATATGTATATTCGTAATCTGAAACAGCAGCTCCAAAGGCAAGTCTTTTCACATGGCGTTGATCAGATAATCTGATGGAAAGCGAAGACATCCCAGAAGAGAGTGGTAGAAAGGGGATTATCAGAAACCCAAATATAGAGAGTTTATTGGATACCGCTGTTACCAATCGTTACTGTGATTAGATGTTGGTGTAATTGGAAACTCTCGGCCTCAGTTTAATACTTTGTAAGGGCTCCTGGTTCATAGTTTGGCGTGTCTACCTAGAGGCTAGATCGTGTACGGAAGGGGGCTCGGATCCCTAGCATCCAGACTTTCTACACCCGTGGTTTGCCAGTTGGCCTGACTGATCCGTGCTCGTCATGATAGGAATCATTGCTTGATTACCTGCTGTGTTAAACACTCTAACTCATCTCTGAAACAAGCCGCGACGTTGGTGCATCTCAATGGATACCAAATGACCACAACCGTACCTTGGTCACATTGCAAATAGAATGAATACGCTGGTAATCATAGAACGTCTGAACTGTTGGCTTCGGAACCTTCAAGGAGCTACTACAACAGTCTGCTACAAAAAGAACAGGTATTCGTAGAGAGTACAAAGGAGCAACGCGTTCTATTCTATATCTATATCTAAAATTGATTATATGCACGCCGTGCAAACAGATCTCATTACAGATCTCATTAACCGTCCAACTATTGTTCGTTGACCAGAACGTAACGGAATCGGGCCTTGCCCTCCTCCATATCGACGATCGCCTTATTAGCGTCCTTCATCGGGATCTCCTCGATCCATGGCTTGATGTTGTGCTCCGCAACAAGCTTGTACATGTCCCGAATATCCGCAGGGCTGCCAATTCCGGATCCTCCCAGCTTAGCACCGCGCAGCAGTTTGAAGACAGGGACAGAAAGAGCACCATCATCCGGAAGACCGACCTGGATGAAGGTGCCATTGGTGGCAAGAAGTTCGAGGTAGTCTTCCAACGGCATCTGTACCACATGTTAGCGTGCAAAGTAATAGTACGGAGCGGGTTTCACTTTAGCGAACCTTTGCCGACGAGACAGTGCAAATAATGAGGTCAAGGCTACGCGAGTGCTTCTTAGACCAGTCCGCGTCCTCTGCCGTGGCGATGTACTCGTCCGCGCCCAACTTGAGGGCATCCGCCTTCTTGTCAGCCTTGCGCGAGATCGCAACGACCTTGTCTGCTCCCATGGCCTTGGCAAACAAGACACCAAAGTGACCGAGTCCGCCAACACCGATAATGCCAACCCTCTTTCCTGGACCACAGCCGTTCTCCTTTAGAGGGCTATACACGGTGACACCACCGCACAACATAGGGGCAGCATCTGCCGACGGGATTGAGTCGGGGATCTTGATGACGAAGTGCGAAGGGCATCGGTTGTACAAGGCATATCCACCATAGGACTTGCCGCCGTTCAAGTGTATGCCATTGTAGGTTCCGACTTTGTGCTTGTTGCAGTAATGCTCCAGTCCCATAGCACATTCAGGGCAGTCACCCAAGCGTCCGCGGCAAGAGTCGCTCTGAGCGCCAACACCCACGCGGTCGCCAACCTTGATACCGCCCTCCGCCTTGGAACCGACACGGACAGCGATACCGACAAGCTCGTGACCAACGCAGCATGGGTACTTTGCTGGACCCTGTACGATGGTCAGTTTTATTTGCTATTAAGCCACCCTTTGATCTCTTGATGGGCTTACCCAGCCGCTTCTCAATGTGTGCAGATCTGACCCGCAGATTCCACAGTGGGTTATCTTGATATCGACATCTGTCTCTTCCCATGCTTTCGGCTCAAATTCCTGCCAGACCATTTTGCCGTCGGCCGAGCTCTGGTCAAGGCCCATCCAGCCCTCGAACTTGTAGTCTGTCTGCGCCATGATGATAGCCGGTAGGTGTATTGTAGGAAGAGAGAAAGATGACGATAGCTAGTGATCAGGTAGTTGTTCAAAGACTCCCTTCTTACTCCCAATTATATATATGTTCAACTCCCAGGCACAAACATGTTAATCAGAACTTTCAGGTCTCCATCTTTGTGGGCCATGGTTCAGGAAATGCGGAGCGGGCTTAAGATTTCATGTTCCGCCGTTTCAGAGTTTTTGGCGATAAGACTTTTTTGTGGCGACGCTCGGATGCATCTTTCACGACATATCAGGCACCTTCCATGGAGATGTCCAAGAAAAGATTCAATCTAGCTGCCCCGATTGACTTGGATATAACCAGCTTGACATCCTTAAGAGACGTAATTGTCTGTATCTGTGGTATGGTTCGAGACTGCATCTCTCAACCTTTAGGCTTCTCCGCCACGTTAGAACCTAACTCCGGGGAATCTCAAACTGCAAATTTTGCGTTTCAAGGGAACGTTTCCAGAAAGAGCGTAAATACGATCCTTGCTATCGGAGCTGCAAAGCGTTTGCGGCTTCATATATCCGACATTCAACATATCAAGAGGGCCACAACACATCTCACCGATAACAGACTCGGATGGGTCAGTCTTATTTCGGCCAGTCAGGTTCCAATCCCCAGCCACGCCGAACTGTTTCAATCCCACTTTTCTCTTCCTGGAACTCATTCAGCCACATATAGAAACGGGTGTCGGCCGAAAAATTTTTCTGCGGTAGATCGAGCAACAATGATGCCGATATGCCCTCCACTTATCTCCATTATCTCCATTCTTCGTGATTTGTAAAAGAACGGCAGTTATTTGGTCCGGTTCGGTAGTTGTGTTCGGAACTTCGCGAGGTTATCCGACCAAACCGTGATACTGGTATCGGTAGACGTAGTAGTGCCATGAAAAAGCGGTCAATATGCTTCATTGCCCCATAACAAAGTGCATGTGTGCTACCCATTCAGATGCTTCGAGCTGGTTTGATGTTCATCAATGGTCGCATATTATGATGGAACACTGTGCATCGGATCCACTAAGCTCTTCTAGTCAGTTAGATCGTTAAGGACAGCATCTTGCGAGCTTTGAATTTCAGCTTGATCGGTAGAGAATAGAAAATTGGATAAGGGCTGATTTTATATGGATTTTGTTCCCCAAAGGTCCTCATCCTCGTCCTCCAAGTATTGAGGGGAGATTCTCGCGAGGTCCTCACGCGGCGTGAAGCTCCAAGAGCTTCTTGGCCGCTCAGTCCCTAATTCAGTGGATATCTCTGCACTTATTGTTTTTGTCTTTCGCGAAGCATGCATCGTTATAGTGCACATTATGTGATGGTGTTCTCTGATCAAAAGATATTATTATTCAACTCGTGAGTAGCTTATTCCTTGAAAGGGCCGAGGAGAATGTTGTTTCAACGGATTGGATGCTTGTCAATTTTCTTTGTTCCCGTGTTTCTTGACACCCTGCGCTGAAGTAATGCAAATCCAAACAACAGAATTCACGTGTCTCAGTAAGTCTGCCGTGGAGATTGCAAGCAGATAATCCGGATTTGGATAATAAGATATATGATGCTTTCGACAGAGACATCTGAGAGTAGAGTATTTCCCCAAGGCTGTTTATCGGAGTATAGAATCATGCATATGATATTAAGAAAGAGGTAGCTGGTCGATTCAGGCTTCCAGTATACATACATTCAGATCGCAGATGATCATTCATTTGGCTAGACAAAGAACCGGGAAGCTGTCAATTCAAGGATAATTTCCAGACTAAATACAACTTCTTTAACGATTTCGGGAGACTTATCGGGTCATGCGCTTTGGAAACAAGCCCAGCTTTTTCACAACACGCTGAGTTGTCACAAAATCCTTTCCAGAATCGATCCACACCGCACCGATAAGAGCTTCGGTTGTTGAGGCCAAGGTTGTTCGGGCGTCTTCTCCGCGTTGGGAAGGATTTCGAATCAGATAATCCTGAAACCGACGGGCCTTGGCTGTTTCACTTAATTTGTCGTTTGAACCATATTCTTCGAGGAGCTTGTTCGCCGTCGCTATTGATACCGCTTAGCAAAAACCGTGAGTGGACTTTTGAAAAGCCAAAGACAAGCAGCAGATACCTGTGCTCGTTCCACTTGGGAACCACTCATCTGCAACTATAAGACGCAGTACTGCATCACCAACGAATGCGAGCCGTTTGTTTCCTTCCAATGACACATGCGTATCTTTCACTGCGCTCGAAGCACCTGCTGCTACGAATCCCTCCTTGAGAATGTCCAAATCTTTGAATTGATATCCGATCGAGTCCTCAAGACACCTTCTGTGGGATAGCATCGTTGCATCCCGTTGGACAGGCGGTAGGTAAAAGCTATCTTCTAGCAACCTGGACACAGGATGGCAAGGGAATCGCGTTGAGATTGCCAGCACATCCCGTTCTAGAAGCTTTCCATCTGTTTTTAAGTTAGAACCCCGCGATCCTTCACGCGCCAACGTCTTGGCTTTCAGTATGAGGATGCTTGCCCTCATTATTAGTGCTTTTGTTCCCATCAGAATCGAGAACTCCTGCTTGTATTGCCTTTGCGCTTCCTTCTCGGATCTTTGCAGTGCTCCGCCCTGCTGCTTTGACAGTCGGATACAGTCGTTGTCTCATACGGGAAAAGGACACTGGTGCTTGGATGATCGAGACACACCTAAAGAAGCAGGTTTCCTTGAGTGATGCAATGTCTCTGCTGAGGTGAGACGGAGAATCGCTAGGCGGAGTTGCGGGGTGAAGTCGCTGGCACGGCATCTCGACAAGGGTCGTACTACTCTAGAACAGCTGAACCTGTGTCACCCGTAAACATCGCACAAAGGGGAATGTCTTACAAACAGACCGTTCCCCGGAATCGTCCTGAGTCTTGGTACTTCGAAAGACATAAACGGTCAGAATCAAAGGAGAATTCGCTGGACAATATATAGAGCTTAACACATCTGCCACAGACTGTACGATTGCGACTTGCTCATTCTGACTGTTTCTCAATCTTCCAATCTCTTCTGTCCACAATGAAGGAGTATATCATTCTCTTCTTCGCCATCTTTTCGATTTTCGGGACAATTAGAGCCTCATCGAGGTCTCCTGGATGTGGCATGCCTATTCCAAACAACGAATCTCCCGGGAATTTCACCTATGTAGCTCTTTTCATGACAAGTGACAACGTCCCACGATCTTACATCATAAATATTCCGTCTGGTTACGATACAGAGAAGCCAGCACCGCTGATATTTTCATTCCATGGACGTGGAAAAACTGCCTATTCCCAGCTGCTTCTTTCTGAATTCTACAATGAGACATGGAACCCAGATGCTATCTCGGTTTATCCGCAGGGTCTAAAGGTACGTGTCTGTACCTGCCACGCTAGCTATTGCTTTTCCAGTATTGACTAATTGCTCTAGGGTTCCGAGGGTGAGACCCAATGGCAAGGGGACCCAAACTCCGTCGGTGTCAACGATGTGGGCTTCGTTCTGGATATGATCAACAACTTTTCACAGAATTACTGCCTTGATACAGACCGCATCTTCGCTTCCGGCAAGTCTAATGGAGGAGGTTTCACGGGACTTCTCGCCTGTGATGAGACCGCATCGAAGCAGATTGCAGCATTCGCTCCCGTATCCGGAGCGTTCTATCAACCTCTGAGCGAAAACGGCACTTGTGATGCAGCTGACACCCCCATAAAATGCAATCCGGCAGCACGCAAGATTCCTGTTATTGAGTTTCATGGCGATGCAGATGACACAATCCCATATAACGGCGGTGAACGTCGTGGAGAGTGTCTGCCAACTATCCCACATTGGGCTAGGGAGTGGTCGACGAGAGATGGGTATGGACCAAAGAGCGACTTGACCAGCTCATTTGATAATCACGTTTTGAAGTACGAGTATGGATACTCTGAGGGGTCTTTGGGTATGGTGACGCATTACCTGATAAGGGGACTGGGTCATGCTTGGCCAAGCACACAGCCAAATTCGGACAACCCCAATGGGACGTACATTAACGCGACACCGTTGATCCTGGATTTCTTCTCTAAATGGCCGCTACACTAGCACCAGACGGATCACGGGTGTGGATGACTGGACTGCCCTATATTAATAAGGCATTACACATTGTCCGGAGTGCCTCACTATTCATGACCAAGATGCTATTCCATAGTTACGCATTCGTCAATTTAGTTATATAGACGCATAGAGGATTCTCGGAATATCGTTTCTCTTATCTGATCAAATAAAACCTGAGTGGGATATTGCAACCGCAAAGAAGAAACAGTCTAAACATAAACCTCACCCGCCCTCCCTCGCCTGACGAACTCTCGGGTGCACCAACAATGCCATCAAGGCATACAATTGGAGCCCCAAGCCTTGCTGAAATACAGTCTCGGGAATCGTCGTCGCTATACATTTGGCACACGACCCTTCTGGCTTCTTGTTGAGGAAGGGGCATCCGTTCATCTGGAAATCTTCGAAGACAGAAACGTAGGATTTCGGTCCTTTTATCTGATCTGTATCTATCTTGCAAACTGATCACACTGAATTAACACAGTTGTTACAGTCTATCTAGACTTGTGCAAGCTCAATGGTCACTGCAAGTAGTATAGTCGCAAGCGATTCCATCTCCGCAGCGATCCCAGTGTCCCACGGACCGTATCTATTCATCTCAATGAAGGCATTTGGCGATAAGACCCGAATATTCTTGTCTGTCAGGTAGTCAACATAGTCATGATGAAACTCGGCAAATGTGATAAAGATCTGCGATTCATTCTGCGACAATAGCAGCCGGCTAAATTTCAGTTTGTTAGCTGGCTTTTGAGAAAGATATACAATAATCCCCTAAAAAAACTCACAAGTGACATTTATCCGGAGTCGCTGGACGTGCCGGTGGATCACAAACGATCCATGCGACTAACTCCGCTACCTCCTGCATTAATGGTATGAAGACTTTCCTTCGAGGTTTCCTCTTGACCTCAGCAATAGCGCTAACTACCTTTCCAGAATGAGTCCGAAGCTGCCCGTCAGTTAATGCTTCGTAACTTCCGTTACCAAATACCGCCACGAAATCTGCAGGTTCGAGGTACCACTCAGCATCTATATTTGGTGCCAGATGTGTGATTGTTTGCAGTAGAACTATGAACGCCGCGTTTACCGTGATCTCGTTAGGGTATGATTTCTTGCCAGGGAAATGCGTGGCATGTTCTTGCAGCTCTCGAACGGTCTTGAACGAACCAGGCCAGTCGGCATCCATTTCCGTGAGGGACTTCATTTGGGTCCCCTTCCCAATTGCCCGTACATATTTGCGAAACTCGAATGAAGTACCAGTCAGAGAAACTGCTGTTTCCCAGGAGCTTTCTGATACATAGCGATGGAGAGGTAACAGTGCTGTATCTATCGTCTCTGGACAAGCAGCACGAAACATGGCAAACTGCTTCTCTGTCACTTCTGACCCCGACTTCAGAAAATCATTGGGAAGGTCGTGTAAAGTTTTATTGGCCAGGTTCGCTTTGGTGATAAGCTCATTGATCTGCGTCTGATCCCTGGGGATGAAAAACCCCTCCACTTTATGAGGAGGGGGTGTGCTCTGGGGCTTCCTCGGCATTTTCACGACCTTGAATAAGGAATAATACTCAAATGAGAATTTTGTATCTGCGTATTGAAGAAGGATAGTCTGTGGTTGCAGGATAAATGTTACGTTCAAAGACGATTCATTAAAAGCTGCGTTCGAACAACACAAACTGTGTTTACAGACCGTTTACTCTCGTGTACACCCTACTATAAATGCCGGCAGCTATACTTCTAAGATATGCTGAGATATATCACTTGAAATCTTTGAGAGTTTTATAGACACAGCAAAAAGGCAGTTATGTCTGTTCCTTTAGATCTTTCCCTATACTGGTCACTAATAGCGGAGTCATTGTTGGCTATGCTGAATATGCATATATCTGGTTGGTTTTAAGCTTGCCTTTATGGGACAACTAAGATTAATCCTAGCAGCAATCTTGCAATAAGCAAGATACCTTCTGCTGATACTTTGTACACACATACTAGGTAGTTAGTCGTTTCCTTATGTATTAGAATATAAGCTTCATAATATGTGTCCTAGTTCAACATACATAAGAATTATAATTATAGTAATGCATTCTTATTTATACCATATTAGAATCTAAGAAACATATGAAAACTCAATTCGGTACACGTCTGCCTGTAACATTAGTGACCTTTTGAACGTTATTGTTTTTGCTTGTCTCTTCACTACTGTGTTTTTTACTCGTTTGTTCTCCATCCAAGGCACACCTGAAATAGCCTCCAATTCTAGATATGGTAAAAACTTTGTTAACCGTTCTGTGATTTCTATAGGAATTGGAAACTTCATCATTTGTCTGCCTGGAGCTGGCTTTCTGTGATTACTGGCCCTGTAGCTGTTTGCTGGGTATCGCCAACCACCTGACTTGTCATGTAGCGTAAGAAAAGGCTCGTGTTTTCCCTAAATTCCTGCAATGTCGAGAAATCGTAGAGCTTGCTCTTCCGTATGATCAGCATTCTGTCACTTGTATGAGCCTGCAGAATCCTGCCCTTCCTCCCCATGAAAGAAAATATCATCACCTGGATAGGAGAACCAACTATTAGCATTGCAGAAAATGGGGCGCAGCTATAGGGAAAGGAATAAAATGTCTCAAGATTCTCTATGGAAGAATAGAGAGACGAAGGATATCAAGTTACATACCGGGATGATACTGTGTTCGGCAAAGTCATCACATCGACGCCTCGTGATCATTACTGCGATAATTGCGAGCAATTCTCCGCGCAGCAAGCATTCGTCTTTGCCTTCAAAGCGATGTGCAATGGTGAACATCACGTGTGGAGCTCCCTCTCGGTCATACCATGCGTGCCGTGGTTCCCGCCTACTCGGGTAAAAAGTAGTATACTCGAATTCTTCATCGATCAGATCTCCGAATCCACTAAATATAAAACAAGACACCTTAGCTATTAACGTATAACACCCCAGAGGTTGGTTATCTTACGTTGGATTCCACTTTGTAACAGCAAACTGGAGGCTAGCCTTTCCTTGGCCCTTTGCTCGCCAACTGTAACTGAAATTTGATGTCAACCAGGTGCTGAGAAACCCTGCGCCGTTAAATAGATCATCCGTCAATCTCTCCGAAGATAGCCAAGCATTCTCGTGGGCTTGTATTGTTTCCATAACTTCAGTGAAATCCGGGCTAATGGGGTATTCTTCAAATAACAGAGAGGAGCATGGCTGGAAAAAGCATGTTGTTGAATGCTTTGAGAGATCATCAATTTCTTCGAGCATGAAGTCTGCGCATTCAATAGGGAACTCGATCAGATTTTCCATCAGGAAGTAGCCATAGCCATCATCATCTTCTTCAAGCGTTTTGTATAGGCTAGTGAGGCTCTCGAGAACTCTTTTGCGTACTGTTTCGCGATCATCCGTCCTAGCAAGAACTGAAGGTCTTTCTTTTTTTGGCTTCCTGCGAAGTGACAGATTGATATTCGACAGCTTTCTGGTGAGAGACTTGTAATCCATTTCAAGGTGTCTCTGAAATTTTGTTTTTGAGGCAGAGGAGAAAGTTGTGATCGACGCGGAAACGATGACATTTTCAACAAGGTCCAGTGACTGAGGACGCGAATATGTGCTAGTCCCAAAGTTACCATGGGTCGAAGGAGAATAATGCGTATGTACTCTTCTGCTTTACTCTAATGAATAAACAGGATCTGAGATCACTTTGATAAATTCTTCAGTACACTACAACGTTTCCAAGTTGACTGTTCATCAAGATATCGGGGCGCATCTTTCCCCTGGAAGATTTTTGGCACGATCAAATTACCCACTGACCATCCAACCAATATCAACGTCATTGCGAGTCATCGTGATGCCTTTTCTTGTTCTGACCAGCAATGCGTTATCATATTGTCTTCTGCGTTAAACGATTGAGTGCAGTAGAAGGCAATCAGCGTCCCAGCTGCATTCGAAGAAATAGGGGTCACTATCAGGATAACGATTGTTCCAGCCATTACAGGAATAGCCAATAACCTAGATCCCATTAGCCAGTACATATATCGTATTTGAGCTTGGAACCCTACGATCATGATCAAACACGATTGCTGGAACTTCGGTGTAGCCCGCGCAGAACTGACCATCCATATGATAGTCCATGGATTTATGTACATAATGTGCCACCGTAGAAAGCAACTCAAGGAAAAGCAATGACATTTCGCCAGTTGTCTAGGATCCTTCCCAACCTGTAGATGGATTCTAGTGTGTTATCATTAGATTGGAGAAGACGCAGAGGCCACTAATGACCAAAGTTTGCGACAATGCTGAGAGCAACACAGCACCAAACGAACGGATCTGTGAGCGCTTCGATGATCCGATACTGTTTGTACTGTTTATTCTTGATTCCAGTTTCATCGTGTCGAACTCTCCCGACCATGAGCATTATTCGGTCCTCTTCACCAAAACATTTGGCCGACAATGGACCGTCGGCATAGTAAGTAATATACATCCAATCTCAAAATTCAAACACAAAAACATATATAAAAAAAATCAAAAACATACAACAGCAGGGATTCGCTGGTGGTCACCCACCCAACTACTAACCTGCCGGCGTGTGGCTTAAGTACGGCTGAGCGGACGGGAAGCCCTGTTTTCCACACCCTATGGTCGTATGTGCTTGATTTACACTGGGGCAGAATTATATTTCAATCCTACATGAGATGCTTCCATGTCTTTCTCTGGGCCGTTTACCGAGTCATGTACATAGGTACTCATGTTCTAGGCAGCCCTTAAGAGTTTTATAGACGGAGGCGGTTCGACCAAGCGAGATATGAAATGCAACGGCATTGCAAGAGCACCTTAGGTACGCTTGCGATACTCATGGCAAGAATCTCTTCGGATTCCACCTCCATAGAATGACCCAGCCCCCAAGAAGCGAGGAAAGCCCTGTAAATACAATAAGAGGCCCGTAAGAGGTCCCATAACCAAAACGCTGGCTGGCCGATAGAGTTCCAGCGTTTAGTAGTTTCACACCTGCAATCCCTCCGCTTGCATATCCGATTCCTCTGACACCATTAAGCAGACCGTATATCATACCAGGATCAATAGCCTCGTTTCTCTCGGCAGACTCGCGCTCCATCTGTTTGAGCATCCCTCCCCAGGTAGCGCTATAGCCGCCGGAGAAGAAACCAAATGTCATGGAGAAGACTATGAGAAGGGCGATATCGCCCTGCGTAGTCAAGCCCCATAGAAGGAAGGTGACAACGGCGGAGCAGATAGGTGGAATAGCGGATACGGACTGGGCTGAAAGAGGGATTCGCTTATTGTCGCTCAGCCATCCAAAGAAGGAAGAAGCAATAATGCCGGGCGCATTGAAGAGAGCCAGCATCAGGGTGCCTGACGTCTGAGACAACAAGAGGGCGACTCGGGCGTAGGTGCTCAAATACGTCTGCGGAATACCATAACCAGAGCTTTGGAAGATAATGGCGATGCTGTAGAAGTAGATAGATCGGCATCTTAGGAATTGCCACGGAATTTTGCGCGCTCGAGTTGCATGGATCGAGAGTTTCGAAGGGTGGGTTGGTATCAAGAAGATAGCAAGGATACTCGTTCCACCAACGATCGCTGTCCAGGCTTTCAGAGCAGTCTGATAGCCATAGGCATCAATAAAAGCTCGAAGCATAAATGGGCAGCTGGTGCCGACGATGTTCTTGCAAGACAGGACAATTCCGTATGCCAAAGCACGGTTGCTGGTAGTATACCACTCTCCGAGAGACAGCGTAGTTGGGCTATAGATGAGGGTACACCCCAGCGCAGATGCGATGCCCTGGGTCGCGAGCAAGTGCCAGATGGTAGTGCTGTAAGAGGACAGAAAGAAACTGGCGCATGCGATCACAGTGCCACAAAGAGCAGCAAGCTGGCGCCGATGAGCCCATCGTCTGGTGAATAGCGCGAATAGCAGGGGCATAGATAGGTACATAACACCATTAGCGGTCGTGCCAATGACGCCAGTGATGTTGCGGTCTCCTTCCAACGTCCAGTTGTCGAAGTAATATTCCTGGAATACACCGTAGCTCATAGCAAAGCCTGGACATACATAAGTAACGTTACAATCAAGATGTGTGGTTAAACGTACCCCATATTGGGAGCTGGAGTATGCCAGAGCCTATGAGTACGCACAGCTTTGTCCTTTTCGATTCTATCTGCCTCGAATCAATCTGCCCCGCATCGGCGACACTTTGTTCGACGTCGAAAGCATCTCGCTCACCACTAGCCGACATCCGCGACACTGGAAGAGCGAATTCCTCAGTCTCTCTCATTGCGACTAGACTTGTCACTATTTCCTGGAGTGAGCAGGAAAGTAAGTTTAGAGAGTGCGAAACAAGACGGGCACAGTACTTAACTGGTCTCGTGCGGGGCCCCGTGGGTGCTCAAGAATCGCTACTTAAATGGTGTGGCCGCTTCTTCGGCAGAAATGGAATCTCGACTCGGTGAGATTGACTGTCTGGAATATATAACTAAGTCTTTAGCAGGCCGAAGCAGGCTGGGACTTATATTCTCCAGCAAGCTCAGGCTATTGTCCCTATGGGTGGAGCTCGTTGAGGGGAAGTCGTGGGAGAAATCCGCAAGTGACTCCCTAGCTAGGCAGGTGTTTCTCTGGGAGTTAGTTTTACATTAGGTGACTTTTATGTGGTGGATATTAGGGATACTTACTTAGTGGGCAAGGAAGCAGTTTTATCTTCCGGGCTTCATTCCCTAGAATTCCCTCAGTATGCACTCAAGGTCGCAGCCAAAAGTCAAAATAACAACTATATACATAATGACAGGGAGTAGCTCTCATCGTGATCTATGCGACATAGAATGTAATAGTTAGTCCAAAACAAGGACTGGTTGTTCGAGTATCGCTTGTAGTAGTTACCGTTCGCCGGTTTTGAACGCAGCGCTGACAAAGACTTGAAGCATGGCATGATCTGAACGGAGCTATATAAGTGTCCCCCCTAGCTCATATAGTATAGTCTGCGCCATACTACCTTCTTGTATGTATCATACTATCTGTTCGGTCACTTGGATAGTCACATCGTATATCTTCGCTAGAATTGACCTTCCGGAAGAACAGCAACAATCTAGTGTTTGTCCTTGCTAGACAATGACCGAAACACAGCAGCAAAGAACTCTATTCTCGTTTCCTGCTATACCACCTGGTCCACCTTCGCGACGAAATTGGTATCAAGAACTACTGGACGATCCTGAATGCCAAAATGACCCCGTCAGTTTTCCATTTAATATCTCCTTTGATGCTATTATAGGACCTTACTGCTTGATCAATATTTGTACTCCGTTAGATATCTTTCATGAATACCGAAGTCCCATTTGATTGAAGCAACGGCTTCCCTAATGTGCTAGACAATATCGCAGATGGGAGAAGCAGGTCGCTTTCGCTGGGCTTCGTCCAATGTTCTTTGGGGTTGAAATGATCAAGCTACGGTAACTGACTTCCCCGCAGAAGAAAGTGCAGGAAGCATACGAATCTCACCGCCATGCCATCCTGTCGCGATCTATCGGAGAATTCCGATCCTTGGCTAGATCCATATCTGAGGACATTCCAACCCTGATCACGCCGGATGTGGCCCTCATCCAACATGTCTCTCGTCAGATGGCCGGCTCGAAAGCCCACGAACCATTTCCCTTATCTCCTGCCAACTGTCTCGTTTTCTGGGCCCGTCCTCCACATTTCATACTTGAGTTAATGGAATCCATTCAGAGTGGGCTCTCCTCCTTAGCAGGTCGAGACCTGTATCTCGTGCCTCTCCCGCATATGCATCTATCCGTCATGGAACTCTCACATCGACATCCTATTGCCCATCTACGGGCCGTATACAATGTCGTCGGAGAGTCCCTTCTTCATACGATGGCGGACGTTCCTTTCACCAAATACAAAGAGTCTCAGGGAAGATCAGTGGCCAGGTTGATAAAACCACAGCTGATGATGGATCGTGCGGGAGTGGCAGTGACGTTTGTTCCTGACTACTCTCCACAGGAAGGAATGGATAATAGCGGGCAGGATATAACTAAGAACAACCCTTTCACATACCATCATCTCCGTGCTTCAATGCAGGAGCTCGCATTATCGAGTGGTATCGAGATAGATACGTCCTATACCGCCCCAAGTGCTCATATTACGATCGCACGATTCGTATCCTCGCACTTCTTCGATGGAGGTGAAAAGCATGCTACCAGTCCTCCTGTCCCAATATCGCCTCCTACCGAGCAGTCGCCCTTGTCTCCTAGTGGAAATCAGAATCAGCGAAGAGTGCAGAAAGCAGAGCAGTGGGTCGATTTAATCCACGGCATCAATGAGGAGCTAGGGAAACAGTCAGAAGATCCGGTTTTTAAGGAACAACTGGAATGGGTAGTCGGTCAGCAAAGGGGACTCGAGCTTCAGTTGGGCTACGTCAAATTTGGACGAGAAACTGAGAGAGCCGAGATGGTCGGACAGGCGGTGCCACTGGCGTAGCCTCAGATGCCAGAACGGTTCTAATATTTGGCAAAATGCAAAGGGAAACTATCACTTAATCATTCCAAGTATCAAATTTAATTGGTGCGAACAGGTAATAATGATGGGTTGAACGAATCTAACTTTACAATCTAATCTCATCCGTTCAAATATATGTATTTCATCACCTTCTCAATTACCTTTCGCAAGCAACAATTTGAATTGCTCTTATGATGTATATAATGTTAATATTCAGGAATATCCAAAGATTAATTTGTGATCCTGATCGTTGTTGCCTGCCACAAAGCGACATTTTATTCGCCACACCGCCGCCCCAACCTCGGGCTGCGCAGAGCAGACTGCGCTCAACTGGGAAATCAAGTCCGATGTATGTACCTGGAAGACCCTCTATCGGATCAGTGGCAAAGATGCGAGGACCTCGTAGATATATAATAATAATTTCGATTTCTTTGCTGAGAATTTTTCACTTGCTCAGACTAGAAGGGAACTGAGGCTTTTGAGTTCTGGCAGAACTAGAAGTGAAGTGACAAGATACAGTGGAGTACATCCATAGTTACTTCGAAGCCCACAAGATGTCTTTCCCCGGACTGCCTCGAGATGCAACCCGTATGCTCAAAACGACATACACTCCTCTCTTGGAATTCATGCATGATGTTGTAGGATTTGATCCCATGATCCTCGTAAACATCGGGATCATACTTGTTGGCCTATTTACTTTCCTCCACTATGTCGGGAATTTCCTGTACAGATCTGCGCAGAAAGTATGCCTCTCGACTGTGCGCGTGAATGAGGAAGACCTACTATATCAGCATATTATGCGATGGATGACCGATCACCAGTTTCAGAATCGCCAGTTCCGCTCCGTCAAGGCTATTAGTACGCCCAAATCTACCTGGGAGGATGAAGAAGAGGCTGTTCGGACCATAGTCGAGCAGAAGTTTGAAAAGGACTCGGATGCTCTGATTAGTTACCGTGCTATTGCTGGTCGGACGCCTATAAGGCTCGAACCCTTCCAGGGCACGCGCATATTCTGCCATCGCGGAAAATGGTTCTTATTCAGTCATGAAGTTAACACAAAGACGCCAGTGGTGCAGATGCCCAACTACCAAGAACGCGGAAATATCAAGCTGCAATGTTTCGGAAGTTCTACGGCTCCGTTGCAGTCTCTACTGGAGGCAGCGCAGTTGCATGATCTGGAGAAATCCATGACTACTACCATAGTCTATCGCGCGATATCTAATGTTCGAGACATCGTACGTTGGCAGAAGTTCAGTGCTCGTCCCTCCCGTGATATCTCCACTGTTATCTTCGCTAAGGAGAAGAAACAGGCCCTCCTCGAGGATATCAATGAGTATCTCCACCCGCATACCCGACGCTGGTACGCCAATCATGGTATTCCATGTCGCCGTGGCTATCTATTCTCCGGGGAACCAGGCACAGGAAAGACTAGTTTGACCTCTGCGCTAGCTGGAGTTTTTGGCCTGGACATCTACGTACTCAGCCTCCTGGACCCGAACCTGAACGAATCGCAACTCATGAGACTCATGTCCGAGGTGCCGTCACGATGCATCGTCCTCCTCGAAGACGTCGACGCTGCTGGATTGATACGCCCCGGGTTCACGAACCAAGACACAAACCGCGGTGCCAATTTGAGAGCTCGGAATTCTAGACATGGAAAATCGAGATCCGCATACGAAGACGCTCTTGACGCAGCAGCAGGACTGCCCATGTCGACTCAGCACAACCAAGCCCCAGCTCCAGGAGTGGCTGTCTCACTGTCTGGTCTTCTGAATGCTATTGACGGCGTCTCTTCTCAAGAAGGTCGCATCTTAATCATGACCACAAACTCAGCTGAATCGCTTGATCGGGCCCTCGTCCGACCCGGAAGGGTAGACATGCACATCTCTTTCGAACTACCAGGTCGAGAAGAGCTGCGCGAGTTGTTCCTTAGCATGTACACGGATACCACTAGCTCAGAGATGACTGGCCAGGTTATACAACGTGACGACAAATCTGTGCCAAGTCAGGTCTTGGAGTCTGAAAAGAAAGACCTCGAGTCCATGGCGGCCCAGTTTGCGGAGGCGCTGCCAGAGAAGAAGCTCAGTTTGGCTGCCGCGCAGGGCTTTTTGCTGCAATATAAGCGACAGCCACGAGAAGCGTGTGAGCAAGCCGCGGACTGGGCAGATGAGACCTGGAAGAGGCTAGAAAGGGAAGACGAAGAAAGGCGATTGGATTAGTTGACTGTATGCACGGTGCTCGACAATATCAAGATGACGGTTTGAAAAAAAGACATCGCACAGCATTTTCGACGAATAAATGAATTACAACCCATTGTTTCAAGCCGTCCTCTGCATAGCAGAAGTCGGCTAGGTAATCCGAAGTCTTAGAATATGTTTCAGTTAATTTTAATTTTTATGAAGCCAAACGAGATATACTGTACAATAAGGATACTTTTCATATCACCTGAGACATCAAAAATGAATTTCTATGCGTTCCAGGTCGTCGGAACTTGAGGGTATTTCTCTGCCTCAAGACCCAGGTCCTCGTAAACAGCATGATCACCTGCACACACGATCAGCAAGTACCAATAGACCATTCTAATAGACGACTTACCTCCAAGAGCCTCAATTCGTTCTTCGTTTTCTTCCTCCAGTTTCTCAACTTCCTCCCCGGGCTGTTCTTCGTGAGGCTGCTTCCCACCAGGCTCGGCGGTTGCGGCCTTTCCAAGCTCATCTTGACCTTCTCCAATCATCAAGAACTGTGCATTCGGATAATCGATCAGTTCTGGCTCCAGAGGAATCCAGCGATAATCACCAAATTTCTCCTGGACGCTGTGCTCACACCCCGTTAGCAGCGGTCAAGTCTCTAGGGGAATTCTGCAGGTACTCACTGTTCAGGATATTCGGGGTTTTTAGGTAGCTGTGCTGGACCAGGGTACTTCGGATTCTTCGACTGGAGGATCCAACTGCCACGCTTATGGAGACCGAAATCCTGTTGGATGTCCCCGGCTTCCGAAGGAACCGTTAGAATATAAGCAAGATGAGAAGCACGCTTTGTGGAAGTTATGGCGTAGACTCCCTCTGCATAAGGCTTGGCCTCCGGTTTGGTGCGTTCGCCCCTGGTTGATGTTTCATAGCTACCTCCTGCGATGAACTGTTCGTGGAGGTCCTTCATGGACATCCCCGCCTTTTCGACGAAGCCCATATCCCTCTCCCTACCAGAAGTGGGAAACTTCTTCTTGGGTAGCATCAACAAGCGGCAGTTCTGGGCTTCGACACGACCCTTGTCCAGAGTCGCTCCAAGCGGAGTGGGACGCAAGACGCAAAAGCTCCTCGCAACCTCATTGATACTGTGCGGTTCCTCAACATTCACGCGAGGTCTGAAGAAGAAGTAAATGATTCCCTTTTCCAAGATATTTGATGGAACGATATTCTCCCTCTCCTTAGATTCTTTGAGACCAGTGGAGGCACCGTTAGCCGTTTCAGGCTCCTTCTCGGGAGGCTTGTGCTCAGGAGTAGTTTCCTTTGCTTCATGGCCTTTCGAGGTGTTAGCTGTGCCGATAAAGGACAGAAGCAACGAAGACATCTCTATGATGGTATTCACAGTGATCTTACCATTTGGCGCCTGCGAAACTCCGTTTCCTTCATCCTTCTCTCGTGGCTCTTCCTTGGGCTTCGCCTCTTCAGGTGCTTCTGGTTTCTCCCCTTCAGCGGTCTCGGGCTTCTCTTCTTCACCCTTCTTCGGTTCTTCTCCACGACCCTCTTCCTCCTGCTTAGCAGCCTCCGCTTTCTCTGTCTCCTCTCTCTGCTTGGCGTCTTCCTCGGCTTGTCTGGCACCTTCCGCCTTCTTCATGTCATTTGTCTTCTTAGTCTCTTCATTCTTCTTCCCTCGTTTGGCTGCAGGGCCCTTCGCAGCGGATCCCCTACGCTTCGCGCCCGCTTTCGAGTCGGAACCCCCGGTAATTGCCTGATTGGCCCTCTGTGCAGCTTGGCGAGTTGATGTTCTTGCGGCCATTGTGACAGTGCCCTTAAATGAATGTCACAATTGGGTAAATAATAGAGACGATAAAGTCCGTTGAGTAAGTAAAGAGCTCCTATGATACGATAGAGCCCCTGTATGAGAGGTGCTGATGCAAGAGAACACAATGAGGTTGGGGAAGTCGATGGCCGAATGAAAGGTGCCTGACGTCATGCCTCTTTCCTCAGGAATCCGCTCGATTCTTACCACGTGATAAGATTACGAGGAGCATCACGTGGATACGGGATTGCGACAACAGTCAACAGGACACCTATCCAGCATCGACATGAGGATAGATGATTGTCATTTGATCGGAAGTTTGCCGAGAAGCAGACCTGTATGACTGGAACCGTTAATGCTTTTGCATCCCGTAGGAAGTAGTAATCAATCCACGTCCATTTTGTCGTCCGACTCCGCGTCTCTTTTCGATTCCGTTCCATTTGCTGTCGTGGAAAATGTTAACGGCGTAGAAGGTCGGCTGTCGCTGCTGATAGGCGAACTGCTAGCAATTGGTGCTATGTTTATGTCTTCCTTGAACCGTCTACTCCTCCTCCGCAATCGCTTGGGGGTGAGAATACCCCCATCAGCTTTGCTGTCGTGTGTCTCTGTAAATGCAGAGGGCGATTCTGTTTGGTAAGGGTAATATGTATACGCCTCTGAAGGTCCGGGCTTCCTTTTTCTGCCTCTCTTTGTAGATTTCCGCGGGCGGCTATCTGCACTGTCTGAGTTGCAGTCAAGATTGCGCAGAGAATCGACAAGGTCGTCTTGTGTATGCGCTGCAAAGCTTCGTAGTTTGGGTGTCTCCGACAATGCGGTCTCCGGCGTAATGGGATCGTCTGGTTCTTCAATGGCATATGGTTTTACCACCTCAACATCCCCATCATATCCCGGATCTTGCGAGGTGACTTCCTCTAAGTCGAAATTATCGTGAGAAGGACTACCATTTGCAGAGTGACTGTTCCACCCGCCGGACACTGGAGATTCTGGTTCTTGGTGAATTTTGGTCATAATGCTGGGAACCATGAACATCCGGCATTGACTGTTGTTCAAGAGGCTCTTTTTTCATACCGGAGCAATTCCCAGTGAGTCCCCGCTTCCTTGCTTACAGTTTTTTCCAGCCATCCAGAGCGTGAATTGAATACCGGCTACCTAGCTGGTGGAGATGTTATGGGACTTCCCGTAGTCAACGTGATGTAAGCATGACCGTGGCTCCAAAACCCTCCTTATAGGAGAGTCCAGATAGAGATATGGAAGCTATGTAGAATTAGTCTGGAGTTAGGAAGCTTTTTATGTAATATTTTAGGAGCAGAGGGACGCAGAAATAATTGAAAACATGCAGCGGGAGACGTAAAGGTAGTGACTGAAGTTCCTGGAATAAGGTGACCGGAAAAGAGAAGAAATGGACATGAAATCCGCAGACATATAGCATGTAAGAGAAACAACCAGCTGCCCCTCTGGCCGTCTAGATCATACTCTGATCCCATCGAAATAAACCGAGATGATGTTCGCGGGACATGGAATCCCCCCTGGTGGCTCATTTGCGGCGGTGCGGAGGGCGCCATTGGCCAGCTCCACTCGCTTAGTGGCTCCGCGACATAAACCACAATAAGTCCACGTACCGCTAAAGCTGGCATGTCCATAGACAAGCTGGCCGCAACGCTCCAACCTCATCCGCGCTCCTTCTGAACTTTTGTTTGGAGTTGATGCGGTGGACGCATTAGCTGTATTCTATTGACCGGTGTGCGGAGCGTGCTACTTTATGGTGCGGCTCCGGCCAACCCTCCTTCAACATGCAGTCCTCTCCGAACATGCTCACCAAGGCACGTCCGCGCTCCCCTTATCCGCCACGCCAGTTCCATACTGACGGTTATGATCTTATAGTTTGAGTCGAAGTCATCCAGAGCAAAGGGAATCGCCTTCCACCCGAAACGGTTAGAAGTTCTCGAAGCGCAATGCATCGTCGTTTCGGTACTAACTTGGGAACAGGCCATGGATTCTCGTATCCCTCCACTCCTCAACGATCCAGCTCTGGGATTATCGCATGGGAACACTCATTGATCGCTTCGAAGAACACGATGGACCCGTGAGAGGAATAGACTTCCACAAGACGCAACCGTTGTTCGTATCCGGTGGTGATGATTACAAGATCAAGGTCTGGAGCTACCAGACGCGGAGGTGCCTGTTCACGCTCAATGGCCACTTGGACTACGTTCGGACGGTATTCTTCCACCATGAGCTTCCGTGGATCTTGTCAGCCTCCGATGACCAGACGATCAGAATATGGAATTGGCAGAACAGGTCGTTGAGTAAGTGGTGTTGCGCTCGCCCTGGAAGACGGCCGCTGACAACTCGACCCAGTCTGCACCATGACCGGTCACAATCACTATGTGATGTGTGCACAGTTCCACCCCAAAGACGATCTGATTGTTTCTGCCTCCCTGGATCAGTCTGTCCGCGTCTGGGATATTACCGGGCTCCGAAAGAAGCACTCTGCGCCAACTTCTATCTCCTTCGAAGACCAAATGGCCCGCGCCAATTCCAGCCAGGCCGATATGTTTGGAAACACAGATGCGGTGGTGAAATTTGTTCTCGAGGGTCATGATCGGGGGGTCAACTGGGTTTCCTTCCACCCTAGCCTCCCATTGATCGTTTCCGCCGGAGACGACCGTCTGATCAAGTTGTGGCGCATGAGTGGTGAGTACCAACGGCCCAATACACGGGGAATTTTCTCTAACATGCAACAGACACGAAAGCATGGGAAGTGGATACGTGCCGTGGCCACTTCCAGAACGTTTCCGCATGTCTTTTCCACCCCCACCAAGATCTCATATTGTCCGTCGGCGAGGATAAAACAATCAGAGTATGGGACCTCAACAAGCGAACGTCCGTGCAATCCTTCAAGCGGGATCTTGATAGGTTCTGGGTGATTGCTGCTCACCCAGAGATCAATCTCTTCGCTGCGGGCCATGACACTGGTGTGATGGTTTTCAAGCTCGAGAGAGAACGCCCAGCATCCGCTGTCTACCAGAATCAGGTGTTCTACATTACGAAGGAGAAGCATGTCAAATCTTACGATTTCGCGAAGAACATCGAGTCACCGTCCATGTTGTCGCTGCGAAAGTTGGGCGCTCCTTGGGTACCCCCGCGAACGCTTTCCTACAACCCGGCAGAGCGGGCCATCTTGGTCACTTCTCCTACTGACGGAGGCACATACGAGCTTATTAACCTGCCACGGGACGCTACTGGAGCTGTAGAGCCCACTGACTTGAAGCGCGGCCAGGGTACTTCCGCTGTGTTCGTCGCGCGTAACCGATTTGCGGTCTTCAACGTCTCCAACCAGCAGGTGGATATCAAGGACCTGAGTAACTCCACCACGAAGACAATTAAGCCACCTGCCGGAACAACGGACATCTACTTCGGTGGTACCGGGTGCCTACTGTTCCTCACCCCTACGACCGTTGTTCTTTTCGACATTCAACAGAAGAAGCAGTTGGCCGAGCTGGCAGTGAGCGGAGTGAAATATGTTGTCTGGTCGAATGACGGTCTGTATGCGGCTCTTCTGAGCAAGCACAATGTGACAATTGTGACCAAGACCCTCGAGCAAGTGAGCACTCTCCACGAGACTATTCGGATAAAGAGTGCTACCTGGGATGACGCTGGCGTACTCCTCTACTCCACTCTTAACCATGTCAAATACTCTCTTCTTAACGGGTAAGCCCTCCGATCCACTGTTGCATTATTGTACATACTAATATCTGCACAGAGACAATGGAATTGTCCGTACTCTCGACCAGACTGTCTACCTTGTCCGGGTCAAGGGCCGCAACGTCTACTGCCTGGACCGCACAGCCAAGCCCAGAATCCTGGAGATTGATCCTACCGAGTACCGTTTCAAACTTGCCTTGATCAAGCGAAATTATGACGAGATGCTCCAGATCATCAAGACTTCCAGTCTCGTCGGACAGAGCATCATCTCGTACCTGCAGAAGAAAGGCTACCCGGAGATCGCTCTGCAGTTCGTCCAGGATCCTCAGACTCGGTTCGAGCTTGCCCTTGAGTGCGGTAATCTCGAGGTCGCCATCGAAATGGCAAAGGAACTGGACCGACCCAAGCTCTGGAGCCGCCTTGGAGCGGAGGCACTGGCGCACGGTAACCACCAGACCGTGGAAATGACGTACCAAAAGCAGAGACAGTTTGATAAGCTGTCTTTTCTCTATCTAGCTTCTGGTGACCACGACAAGCTCGCAAGAATGGCTAAGATCGCCGAGCACAGAGGTGATTTCACGTCACGGTTCCAAAACTCCGTCTACCGCGGTGATGTCGAGGACAGGATACAGATGTTCAAAGAAGTCGATCTATGTAGGTTTTTTCTTTACCCTAGTCACCAACAAAACTAACCTTTCTAGACCCCCTTGCCTACTTGACGGCCAAATCTCACGGTCTGACTGAGGAGGCAGAGGCTATCCTCGAGAGCTGTGGCTTAACCGCAGACGATGTTACTCTCCCGAAAGTGGGAGTTCCTTCGCGTCCTGCCAGGCCCGTTGTCCCCACCTACAAGTCCAACTGGCCCGTCAAAGCTGCTGGTCACTCTTCCTTCGAGAAAGCACTGCTGGGTGAGGTGGGTGCTATTGACGAAGAAGCTGCCGCAAATGGCTACGGATTGGAGAAAGAGGAAGAGGAGGCTGGCGATCTCGGCCGTGACACACTGGAAGAAGAGGAAGAAGACGTCGCCGGTTGGGATATGGGAGAGGAAATCATCGTCGAAGACGAAGGTGACTTTGTCAACGTTGACAGCGCCGAAGCGGGAGCGGGCAGCTCTGAGGCTGACCTGTGGGCCCGCAATTCTCCTCTGGCGGCGGACCATGTCGCTGCTGGCTCATTCGACACGGCTATGCAGCTCCTCAATCGCCAAGTGGGCGCAGTTCACTTTGCGCCACTGAAGGAGCGGTTCCTGGAGATCTACAAGGCTTCTAAGACATACCTCCCTGCGACAGCAGGATTGCCGCCTCTGGTTAACTACGTGCGAAGGACCGTTGATGAGACCGACCCCCGCAAGCTCTTGCCTGTCATTCCTCGGGATTTGGAGACAATTGCAAATGTCGACCTACAAGAAGGATACGCGGCGATGCGCACCAACAGACTTGAGGACGGTGTGAAGATCTTCAAGCGCATTCTGCACACTCTGCTTCTCAACGCTGTCACCTCTGAGAGCGAGGTTGAGCAGGCGAAGAAGATTATTACCACTGCCCGAGAGTACGTTCTTGCTATGTCTATCGAACTTTACCGCCGTTCGATAGGAACGGATACGCCCGAGAATCTGAAGAGAAGCCTGGAACTCTCGGCATACTTCACCATCCCCAAGCTCGAGGTCGCTCACCGCCAACTTGCTTTGATGGCAGCGATGAAGTTGGCTTTTGCCAACAAGAATTACTCTTCTGCACTCAGCTTCGCCAACCGCATGATCGCTAACGGTGGCTCTGCTAAGCTTCTCGACCAGGTAAGAATTATCTACGTAACTTGACTGAGTGCTTTAGTACTAACCCCAACTTAGGCCAAGAAGATCAAGGCTCAGTGCGAGCGCAACCCCCAGGATAAGATCGAGATCGAATTCGACCAGTTCGCTGAATTCGATATCTGCGCTGCCTCGTATACGCCTATCTACACCGGATCTCCCAGCGTCTCAGACCCGTTCACGGGTGCCAAGTATCACGAACAGTACAAGGGCACCGTGTGCCGGATTTCGGACGTCACGGAAATCGGGGCACCGGCAAGTGGCCTGCGGTTGTTCTTCAACCAGATCTGAAGATGATGAATGTCTTGACGGCTCCTGTCTCTTGTATCTTTTCGAGATGAAAAGGATTTCATGCTTTCTTCTTGAATCCTTGACCCTGCTTCGCAGCAGGGGCAATTGTTGAGTGGCGCTATGGCTACAGGTGGTTTCCCTCGTAGACGTAGCTTTTGTTAAACCAGTTTGATAATAATAAGCGGCCTTCTTACTTTCTTCACTGTTCTGTTATGTAGCACCCTATACTATACTCTAACTGGAGAAAAAATGCATTGATCATCTATAGTAGTACATATTCATAGAGTAAACGCGCTGTTTCTAGAGTAGAGAGATGTGCAGCCGCCCATGCAATGCAATGACGCCAATGTCCGTATACGACCATGAACCATGAGACCCATATCTTACAAACGTGTTCATAATACCCCCCCCGCGGGCCAACTTCTCAGTCGCAACGTCCATCCTTCCAACCCGTCCTCCACCTCTCCTCCCAGAACCGACAATCGAACTCCGGCTTGCCCAATTTGCGATTCACAGCATTATGCGCCTCGCACATCCAATTTCCAAACTCCCCTCGTCCCGACAACCGCGGTGCATTCCGGGGATCGGCCATCCACGTCCGGAAGTCGTCCGCACACACCCAGCACGGGTACAGGCGCGAGAAGAGACCTAGGAAAGACTTCATTTCCGTCTGCTGTTCGGGCGACGCTGTGCTAGGGTACGCGGCTGTGAGGGAGTGGAGGAGAGTCCACGTGGATCGGCCTAGCGCTTCGACATCAGGAGGACATTCGTTCTGAGTTGCTGAGGGAGTGGAAGTAGATGTAGACGGTGTGGTTGATGTCGTGGATGTAGTAGCGGTAGCGGCAGCAGCAGCGGTAGCGGTAGAGGAGGATGCGGCGGCTTTCTTTGCCATGGCTTTCCAGGATGCGGCGGAGGTGCAGAGACGGCATCTATAAGATATTATAGTGTTAGGCACAGTTTATCTTTTCGAATGCTATGAGCGATGAGAATTAGCGTAAACGTACGGCTTTCCATCTTTATCCAGGACAACGCCCTTGGGCAGGTCCTGGTTTTGGTTTCCATCCTGTTGCTTTCCAGACGAAGGACCAGCTGGAGCTTGGTTGCGCTTCTGCTGCTGGCGCAGAGCTTCCATCTGTTCTTCCAGAATCTCCGCCATGATCTGTGTTCTGTCGTGGGGTAGTGATGATCGGGGTAAGTAGTTCAATAACGAAAGGATCCCTCAGACAGGCTAAGTAGATAGATTTGAAACAAAAGAACGTAAGAGAGAAACTGTACAGGTCGAATGGATACACGGCACAAAACCGGAGCGGCCAAATTACTAAGGCGATGCGCAGTAGTTAACCAGTTAGTTCATTAAGTCATGGAAATGTCGCCGAAGGAAGAAGCTTTGTCAGGAAAATCCCGAAGTTGTTAAATAACTGGTTGAATTCGGTGATAAATTATTAGTCCCCGGATTCCGCCCAAGTTGGCCCTGGCGCCGCAAAGCTCAGGCCGCCTTGCCCATTCCTAGTAAGTAACGTGGAAAGCGGAGAAGCCGAAGACGAAGGAAACGCGACAGGACAGGACAACGTTGGGAAGTGTTCACAACACGGGTCTATTCACTTATTGCTATTAATCATTGCTATTCCGAGATATCTTTTCTCCTGGATCACGTCACTGCGCGATTATTGACGCGTGGGGCGTCTCTTTATCGGACGAACTTGCAACACTTCGCGACGCCATTGAGATCACGGCGCCGGGATGCCGCCCAAGTACACCATGTCCGATTCAGAGTCCGAGTCCGACAAGTCCACGCCAGAAGTCCTGTCGGATGAGAAGCTGGAGAAAGGTCTACGGGACACAGTTGCGAATATATACAAGACGGGGAATTTAGACGAATTGACAGTAAAGAGAGTGCGACTTGCGACGGAGAAGGCGCTCGGACTGGACGAGGGTTTCTTCAAGGGTGATGCGCGCTGGAAGTCTAAGAGTGATGAGATTATTAAGAATGAAGTAGTATGTGCCTCTCTGGGATTCTTGCGCTGCGGTTGCTATATTTGGTTTCTTGATCGTATCGTTGACCGGCTATTTCTTGTCCACTACAGGAACTACAGGAGAGTAACCAGGAAGAGAAGAGGGAGGAAGACGACGAAGAAGAGGCGTCACCGATTCCACCTGCAAAGGCGCAAGCACCGACCAAGAAGGCGAGAGACGCGAAACGTGGGAAGTCAGAAGATGCTTTCAAACCCAGGAAGCGTCGCAAGACTAGCACACCTGCAGAATCAGAGGAGCCTTCTGCTGGATCTAGCGACGAAGATGGAGAACCAGTGAAGCAACCCGGAAAGAAAGTCGTCAAGAAAGCAACAAATAAAAAACAATCAGACGCCGTTACCAAGGATGATATGTCAGACGAGTCTGATACGGCGCCCAAGGCGCAAACCAACGAGTCTTTAGAGCCTGGTGCAGACAAGGAAGCATCCGACAGCGAGATGTCCGTCGTCCTGGATGAAGAACCACCGCCAAAGAAGATGCGCCAGAAGAGCGCAAAGGCTGAATCGACGGGGAAGAAAGGCAGGAAACCAGCTGCTCCCAAGAAGAAGGATGCAGATCTGGACCCAGACCAGGCAGAGATTAAGCGTCTGCAAGGATGGCTGCTCAAGTGCGGAATCCGAAAGATGTGGTTCCGGGAGCTGGCTCCCTACGACACACCCAAAGCCAAGATCAAGCATCTGAAGGACATGCTGAAAGAGGCAGGCATGGAGGGTCGCTACTCTCTGGAGAAGGCCAAGCAAATCCGTGAAGAGAGGGAGCTCAAGGCTGATCTCGAAACGGTGCAAGAGGGAGCTAGGCGTTGGGGTACAGGGAGCGCAGGCGAAGAGAGCGATGATGGCCAACCTAAAAGACGAGCAGCGCGAGGACGAACAGTCCTGGCGTTCCTCAGCGACGACGGCGAAGAAACAGACTGATCGACCCATCACTGCTCTATATATTCCTCGGGGTGTCCATTCTCGAATACCCGCATTGTATCACTAGCTTCTCATGAGATTAATTATAACGAGTAAAAGAATGGTCGTAAATGGTTTTCTTTTCCACGTAGCATGGGACTTCGACGTATCATCTCCACGGGCTCATTATTATCATCTCATTTATAGGACTTCCCTCCACTCATACGCTGGGCCACTAGACTGAAGACCGCGACCGAGGATATGAAGAGCACCAGATTGTAGAACTATCCCACCAAGTCAGCACCAGTTTCTGTGCTCTGACATGAATGACCTACCGCATTTCTGGAGTACTCGTTCTCTTCAGCTTCAGATCGGGCTTCAACAAACAGTCGCCGCAAATTGGGAAGATTGGCCTAGAAGAGGTCAGATAGTGGTCTTTCCCTGGTCCATCCATGAGACTCACCATTTCCAATGGGATATTGGCTCACATAGGCCACTTATTCCCCAAGATACGGAGAATACGTCTCACTGTGCCTGTCAGGGGAAATACTGCGATCGAGACAGCCAGCGGTGTCGCTAGTTGACCGTTAAGCTCGGGAGGACGAGGGACCCCAAGCCGCCTTTTGTGGATCGGCCAGCATCAATCAATCCATATCAGAACAACAGAGGCTCGACCTTCGACTCTGAAACATCCCCACCGCTACTACACACCTCTCTCTCTTGATTCCTCCCGGCAGAGAATCCGCGCCGGCGGATAATGAGATAGTAAATTCGATCTGTCTGCTTACTTCCAGTCGCGCCACGTTCCCCTGACGCTTCGCCGCACTCGACACCGACCGACTCACCCCGCGGTCTTTCGCAGCAGACAGTTTCAGCTCAACGTCGACGTGCCATTACACTTGCGGAGGCGCGACCTGGTCGCTGCTGAAGCTCGCGCATCGCAGACATGGCAATCAGTCGGATAAGGGGCGCCTTTACGGTGCCCAGAAAGGGAGAGACGTTCGAACTGAGATCTGGCCTAGTGTATGGGAACTACACAACTCGAACGCTGTACGGAACAATGCTGACAGATGCCACAGATCCCAGTATGCATACGAACGGTACGGATAATTGTTATGCGATCCATGTGCGGCGTCATACAGAGCGGGAAGTGCTGACCTCTGGTGTAGGAAAGAGGCCATCCAGAAGACCATCATGGCCATGACTCTGGGCAAGGATGTGTCTGCCTTGTTCCCTGACGTTCTAAAGAACATTGCGACGAACGATCTCGATCAGAAAAAGCTCGTGTATCTGTATTTGATGTGCGTCATCTACACAAGGCTCGACAACCCCCTTCTGAGGCTCCCGAGTTGACAGCTGGCAGGAATTACGCCAAATCCCACCCTGATCTTTGCATTCTCGCTGTGAACACTTTCGTACAAGATTCGGAAGACCCAAATCCTCTCATTCGAGCGCTTGCTATACGAACGATGGGCTGTATCCGGGTAGATAAGATGGTGGATTACATGGAAGAACCGCTGAGGAAGACGTTACGTGACGAGTCACCGTACGTCCGAAAGACGGCCGCGATCTGCGTCGCTAAACTGTTCGACCTCAACCCTGCTATGTGTCTTGAAAATGGTTTCTTGGAGATGTTGCAAGAAATGATCGGAGACCCCAACCCGATGGTCGTGGCCAACTCGGTGACTGCTCTTGCTGAGATCAATGACACTGCTCCAGAAACCAAGGCGCTGCAGATCACTCCGAATACGTTACGGAAGATGCTGATGGCTCTGAACGAATGTACGGAATGGGGAAGAGTTACGATACTGACGTCGCTTGCCGACTATAGAACGGCGGATGTGAAGGAGTCCGAACACATCTGCGAGCGAGTAGCTCCCCAGTTTCAACATGTGAACGCAAGTGTTGTCCTGGCAGCTGTCAAGGTAGTCTTCATGCATATGAAGAACATCAATTCCGAGCTAGCCAAGTCATACTTTAAGAAGATGGCCCCTCCACTAGGTACGCCCGTTCCGTCTGATACGTAACCGCCAATGCTGATAATTACCAGTCACCCTTGTCTCTTCCGCTCCGGAAGTCCAGTATGTTGCGTTGAGAAACATCGATCTACTCCTTCAGAAGCAGCCCGATATCCTGAACAAGGAACTGCGCGTCTTTTTCTGCAAATATAATGACCCTCCCTATGTCAAATTCCAGAAGCTCGAAATCATGGTCCGGATAGCCAACGAGAAGAATGTGGATCAGCTGCTGGCAGAATTGAAGGAATATGCGCTGGAAGTGGATATGGACTTTGTCCGTCGGGCAGTCAAAGCTATCGGCCAAACCGCGATCAAGATCGAGACTGCCGCCGAAAAATGTGTGAACACACTGCTGGACCTCATTAATACCAAGGTGAACTACGTGGTACAGGAAGCTATTGTCGTTATCAAAGATATCTTCCGAAAATACCCCGGTTACGAGGGCATTATTCCTACTCTATGCAAGTGCATCGATGAGCTGGATGAGCCCAATGCCCGGGGCTCTCTCATTTGGATCGTTGGAGAATATGCGGAGAAGATTAGCAATGCCGGCGATATCCTAGCAGGATTCGTGGACGGTTTCAACGAAGAGTTCACTCAGGTATGTCCACCCCGCTCCCTATAGAGCACAGTACATGCTAATTTTCAAACAGACGCAGCTACAGATCCTAACTGCAGTTGTGAAGCTCTTCCTGAAGCGGCCTGACAAGGCGCAGGGTCTGGTCCAGAAGGTGCTCCAGGCCGCTACTGCGGAGAACGACAACCCGGACATTCGTGATCGAGCCTATGTCTACTGGCGTCTACTTTCTAACACCAGCGATCCCAATGCCGCAAAGAACGTTGTCCTTTCCGAGAAGCCTCCAATCGTCACTACAATCCAGTCTCTACCTCCTACTTTGCTCGATCAGCTGCTTAATGAACTTTCGACTCTTGCATCCGTCTATCACAAGCCCCCAGAGCAGTTCATTGGCCAAGGTCGGTTTGGTGCCGACGCCGTTATGCGGGCTGCCATCGAGTATGTTTTCTTTCTTTGACCTTCTGGTTATCGCTTGCTAACCTTGCCATAGGGAACAACTCCAGAACGCCCGCGAGAACCCTCTGGCAGCAGCTGCCGCTGCCGCTGCCGTCAGTGGTACGGCTGCCCCCCAGGCACAGAACAATGTCGAGAACCTGTTGGATATCGACTTCGACGGCACCGCACCGGCTTCTGCACAGAAAGAGCCCACGGCCGGCATGTCCGGTCTGGAAGGTCTTGCTGGCACGCCTGTGCGCGTCGAGTCGCCTGCCATCGGTGCACCTTCGTCAAGCAACAACCTCGACGACCTGCTGGGCGTATTTGGCAGCGGTGGAGATACTGCACCCGCCGCGAACACCGGCTTTGGCGGCGCCAACGGCGGTGCGAGCATGGACCTGATGAACGGATTCGCAGGCTTGGACCTCTCAGGAACCTCAAACCCGACATCCCCGCCTCCCACATCGGGTACCCAGCCCAAGAAGACCAACGAGGATATCATGTCCCTATTCTAAGCCTGTTATTCAAACCACCTGAGGGAAAGATAATAAATTTGGCACGCGAGGTTGTAGAAGTCGTCAGCTGGAGAGAGCGGGAGAGGGAGAGGGAGAGATATGCAGAGCAAGAGCAGAGCACGAAGAAAGTTGCGGGCGTCAACTTTCTTCAACCTTAGCTGCTCCAGTTAAATCATTAACTCTTATTTCAGACATCAAAGTCGATCCTGTGCATATTGATATAAACATCTTTGAGTTCAAGTCCTTTTTGAGTGTGTGTTGTTAATTGGAAGAAGAGAGCTAAATTATTAGATGGTTTTCTTTTTTCCCTTTTTTTTTAAAAAAAAAACAGTAGAATGCAGGATATAATGATACAATCGATATTATAAACTCGACATATTCGTATTGTTGCTTCAGTACATAAATACATGTTATGGAAGGAAAGCATTCCTACGTATGCAGGAGATGAGATACTAATCCCATACTATAAAACCACACGCGCAGCGCCACAAGCCATATTCTGCGTTTTCCTAATATCCAAAATCCACCTGACCAGTTCCTAGGAGCTCATTTTGAAGTCCAGGAATTATGACTTAAATTAGAAGAGAGTGAAGATGAAATTATGTCCTTGAATGTTATGCTAAGAGAGAGAAAAAAAAAAAGAAGGACGTCGTTTTCTCCGTATTACTCGTTTAGTACTTTTGTGGCTCGCAAAATGTCTTCGAGAGACCAGCATGGTCCGCCGGGGACCATCTCCGCCCACACTTCCTCAGGTACGGCGTCGTTGGGGTCCAGAAGGCTCCAGTTCGGACTGGGCTCTAGTTTTATCCATTTAAAATCCTCGACTTCGTTCCAATTGTCGGTAGCTTCGGGCTGGTTCTGGTCCAAGGCCTAGAGAGTGGACAGTTGTTAATTTCGAGCTTCAAGTACGCAAGGTGTGATTGGTAGGTGGGATTTATGTTATGCACAGCAATTAACAATACTCACATATACCTTTGGTATCCTTGCAAACCGGATATTTTTGCAATCCTCGATGATCGGATTACTGCTGCAGCTGAGATAGACGTCGACGTCTTTGCATTCATGCATGCGGAACTGGTGGCAGGAAACGAGGATAACACTGTGTTGGACTCCCGTGATGTGTGCTGGACCGTTGACCTGGCCGCAGATCAAGAGGCTTTCCTGGACATCCTTCACCGTTAAGCTGGCGTATGGCTTCCCATTGGCGGTTGGGATTGACATATCTACAACACAATGTCGCAAGGATGTAATAGATGCGGGAACTGTTGCACTTGAGGCCGACGCTGGAAGCATGATATGGAGACCATAGTGATTGTCAACAGTGACTGAAGAGGCAGCCGAGAAAGTTGGCCTTCGTATTGAGGAACATTTGGGATCGATATTGGTGATTCCTTCCTTGTCCCCTCCCTCAAAGACAGGAGATGAAACTGGTACTATTTCAGGTCTCATCTGCTGCTGCGCAGGCTCGTACAAAGGTGTGGATGGATAATTAGGGGTCGTGGTCGCCGACGAGTCCGGTGATGACCGTCCAGGAGAGCTGTAACCAGGAATATGACGGCGACCTTGGGCAGCAATTTGCGCAGCATCAACTAAAGAAACAGCAGAAGGGTTCTTCTTCGTTTTGAACGAGAACTTTTGTCGTGGTGCGACAGAGGCTTTCGTTTCCGTGAGTTTGTCACGCAGTGCTTTGATGGCCTGGTTATTCTGTCAATGCATTCATCCCCATCGACTTCGAAGCATTACACCCACTTCTGCATATATCCGCTGATCGTACGTGGGTATGTAACTGGACGCATCCTTGACCTCATTTGACAATCGCGCAATGCCTGCCAGACAGTGATCGGCCGCATCGGAACGTTCCCCGGCCACAAGGGACGTATCCGCGAGACGGTCCATCTGTTCTTGGAGAGCTAATGATTGAGAAGAAGCCTGGTCAGTTCTGCACCTAATCCACATAGATAGAACGAGTCCTCCGCAGTATGGGATTGAGTACCTATAATCTCATGTTGAAAATAGCGGAAGAAGCGTTCCTTCAGAGAAATGTCTGACTTGGAAAGTGTTTGATTCTCAGCCTGTGAAGGCCGGCGCTGTTCCGGTATCTCTTGGGACATATTGGGTGAAATTCGTGAGCAGCGATAGGTAGAAGGTGGCCTGCAGAAGAACGTTCGTCCACCTGGAGGGGAAAAGGGTAGGAAGCTTTGACGATATGCGAAAGAGGGTAGGTATTGATGACGTCTATCCAAACAGAAGAGATGCTGGGATGAGCGGTCCGCACTGCAAAAGTAGATCTGACGCAAATCCTGATCAGAGTAACGGCATTTTCCTTGGATTGATTATCAGATACAATGTACTGATACTAGTAGACCTCGCCAGTTCGTCGGAAGATTATCTCGACGTAAGAACGTGCGAAGAGGGGCTTGGTGGGGAGATCGCGGAGTTACTTGATGGATAGCGGTACAGTTGCAATACTTTAAGTTAACTAGGTATGCTGTACATCAACGCGACGTGGTTACTTTAACAGAATTCCAATGGCAATCAGGGAAAATGCCTGGATATTTCTGCTATGAACGCCTCCAGAGCTTCCGTAGCACAAGAGAATCAGCTGATATATCGGCTGGTCTTCTTTCTTGTTTATCGGGCACGTGATTGCTTGCCAGTGACGTTGACCCGGCAATTCGGAGAAACTTGGTCCGACGGAGCCATCACGTGGTCATCGCTCATGCTGCACAGCTAAGTTACACTCAACCCACGATGAATCAATCTGGGCTGGAACATCTAGGTAGCATCGTTAAATCTTGACCCTGGTTTCCCTGTTTCATTGGACTGAACGTGATCCTCCTGGTGATCCTATTGCTGAGACGGAGAAGGTACATTTAGCCCACTAATGCACTCCCACTATTGACTTGGCTCCCGTAATCCCTGCTGCTGCATACAATGAACCACCTGGCCTTCGACAGTTTCGACAGTCACGGGCCAGGGCTGCGGAGGATCGCTCGTGTCCGCTTGCCTACAAAGATGAAAACATCATGTGCCTGGGGCCCTGGGCCCTGAACAGCCGGCAGAGGATGCACCTATCTTCGATCTGTATGATCGCCTCGGTTAGCAGCATTCGATAATCTTGCTAAGATTCTGTGCCGCCTGACTCCTCAGGGAAATGATGCCAAGCGGCCCCGGGGGAGCCCTGGAATCCTAGGAGAGAGTAATGCCGCGTACGGAATGTTCCCAACCTGCGGGATGCTCGTGGGAACGGCATCTACAGAGATCGTGAGGATGCGACATTCACCCTCCTATCATCGCCCTGGAGCATCGGTTGGTGATATATCAGACCAAGCTTTCAGCTTTCAGCCAGAAGCCGTTTAGTGGGGCCTTGTTGCCACTGCGATGGCTTGTTAAGTTGATTTAGAGTGTGAGCTAAATAGCCTGCAGCCGCGACCCTGCCAGGTAAACAATGGCGGAGCAACCGTAAGCAAGAGCACGATAAACGATGAAGATCCCAGTTGGATTTCACCATGCAGCTCGCCAATCTTCCCCTCCTGAGGGCCCCTCATAAGGACCGGGGTGCTTACACCGTCTATCCCTTTCTTGTCCACGGCCCTACCTCTGCTGCGTATGATATAGTGGAAGGGGTGCGCGCTGCAGCAGGCTCAAAATCAGCAGTCATTCTCTAGTCGACCAAGGATCAGTTACACGGATGTTATTTTCAGCCTTGATTTTAAGGGTTATATCCCTTTTCCTATCATTGTCCACTGCTCCCGCGAATCCCCTGAAATATGAACTCGTAGAGCGTCATTCTGAGGTGCCTTATGGTTGGGTTCGGGGAACAGCTCCAGCTGCATCGAAGCTGCTCTGTCTTCGGCTTGCGGTTCGCCAGGACAGGGCCGCTGAGTTCGAAAAGCTGGTAATTGACCTTTCGACGCCCGGACACGAAAAGTATGGGAAGCACTTGAAACAGAAAGAAATAAAAGACTTCCTTCGCCCAGCTTCAAAGGTATCTCAGGCCATTCTTGCATGGCTGGAGTCAGAAGGAGTACCGGACGATTCCATTGAAGATGACGGTGATTGGATCAAGATTGTTGTTCCCGTACACCAAGCGGAACGAATGCTGAGTACCCGGTTTCACCACTTTCACCACATCGACAGCAGGGTCACAAGAATCAGGACGCTCGAGTATTCACTGCCCCGCGCAATTCGGCCATATATTCAGTTGATCCAGCCAACAACTCGTTTTGGCGAACCTAAGGCTCACAAAAGCTTCCTGATCGACCACGGCATTACCATCAGTGACAACGAGAAGAATATTGACTGCGGTTCAACTGTTACCCCAAGTTGCTTGCGACAATTGTACAAGCTAGACGATTTTGTGGCGAAACCCCATCCACGCAACAAGCTTGGGATCTCCGGATATCTGGGTCAATATGCTCGATACAGCGACTTTTATGCGTTTCTGAAGAAGTACGCGCCTAACGAGCAGGATGCCAATTTCACAGTGGCATCGATCAACGGTGGTCTTAATCTCCAAAACTCATCCGATAGTGCCACTGAAGCCGCTTTGGATGTCCAGTACGGCTATTCGCTCTCCTACGGAGTAGGCGGCACTTTTTACACCACTGGAGGTCGTGCGCCTCTTGTCCCTGATGCCGATGAGCCTGATGCGAACGACTCCGACAACGAGCCGTACTTGGACCAGCTTCATTATCTCTTGAAATTGCCAGACGACCAGCTGCCATCGGTCTTGTCAACTTCCTATGGTGAAGACGAACAAAGCGTGCCAGTATCCTATTCCAATGCTACCTGCAATTTGTTCGCCCAGCTAGGCGCTCGTGGTGTATCTGTCATATTCAGCAGCGGAGATAGCGGTGTTGGAGGGTCTTGTTTGAGCAACGATGGCAAGAATACCACCAGATTCCTTCCGATATTCCCTGCTTCCTGTCCGTTCGTCACCTCCGTGGGTGGCACAACAGGGATCAATCCCGAGAAAGCAATTTCCTTTTCGGCAGGAGGGTTCTCTGAGCGGTTCGCCCGTCCGTCGTATCAAGAGGCTGCGGTTTCTAGCTACCTCTCTCTCCTAGGCAACCGATGGGAAGGGCTATACAATCCGAAGGGACGGGGCTTCCCTGACGTTGCTGCTCAGGCGAACAATTTCGCGATTGTTGAACATGGATCCATCAGTTTGGTGGGAGGAACGAGGTTTGTGATCAGCTTACCCACACAGCAAGCTCATATTAACACACCGTTAGTGCCGCTGCTCCAACCTTTGCGGCTATCGTTGCAGACTTGAATTCCGTTCGCCTTGCTGCAAATAAGTCGGCCCTGGGTTTCTTGAACCCTTGGATTTACAGCCTCAACCAGACCGGTTTCACAGACATTGTCCAAGGCGGTTCTAATGGATGTTTTGGCGGCGAGACTTGGTTAGGCAAGTCGACACCTTACGTGCCATATGCCAGTTGGAATGCCACGCCAGGGTGGGACCCAGTAACAGGACTAGGAACACCACTGTTCTCAACTCTCTCTGAGCTTGCACTATCGGCGTGATCGAGTATCTTTTAGAAGTATTGTTGCTTCACGTTTATGCAGTTCTTCATGTTAATCCTATGCCGCTCCTATATCCCGGTTCGTTATGTCTCTTGATTGGCGCAAATGTATGCGTGGTAGTATAACGGCCCTATGCAGACATGAGCCTTGACCGTGAGTCTGCGGTCATCATCAGAGAAAATAAGCATTCTCAGCATCCCTCACGGCTACCAGTGCAGGATTAACAAGGCACACTCACAATCTCATCCAAAGGAGAACGTTGCACGCTACAGACTGCGGAACAGCCTGGGGAAGTCATTGGACGTTCATTACAATAATTAGTTCGGGTGTGAAATTCCCCTCCCTGTTGAGTTGTCTAACGTTAAGGTCTAACAAGGTTACCCCGCCAAGAGTCGATGTAAATTGATTATATAGCGGGCGATGGACTGGTTAGTTATTTACATATATTTATAAACTGCAGCGAGGCAAACGAGCAGAGCTGTCCCGCAGCTGGCCACTGGTACGATAAGGGGTAAACTGGACCCAAAATAGTGTAGCTAGAACCTCCGGCGTGGCCCCTAGGGGCCGTATTCATCGGACGACTAACTAGTGAACGGACAATTTTTATTTTGATTTCTATTATCCTCACATGTCAGACGAATATATGACCTTGTAGTTCGGAATATTACCATCATCACAATAATACGCACGATTTCGGCCCGCCTCCCATGCAAACAGCGTCGAAAACGCTGCGACTTGAGGCGATGAAGGTCCCTTCTCAGAGCTTCAAGTATGTTGCGCGGCAAGGGATATGCCCGCCTCTCTGTCGAACGCCTCGATTACATCCAGCAACGCCTTTACGGGTTTCAGATACAATTTTTCTCGAAAAGAAATGAAACAAATAGAGAGCTCCGATTTATTCTTCGTATGTGAAAACAAGTGTTCCGTGGTTAGGACCACAAAAGGCCATGAATGATGCCAAAGCCAGGTTATGTATGACGTCTACAGGACTACGTTCTTGGCAGTCAAGCCACGAGCAATCCAGATTCCCGGGAATGATCGTTTATTACTTATTCATTACTATTTAGTATTCAGGGTGCCGAGGCCTGTAGTGTTAACTTTTACGGGGGCCTGCACGATCAACGGACCTTACATCCTCGTGTCGGTATTGACTTAAGTCAAATTACCATTTCTCGCAGCGCCGGAGGCCAAACAGCGTCTTCTAATGAACCCCGAGATATGGGGGAGTTATCCGTTCCACTTATAGTCCTCCGTCGTGGGATCTATCTGGTTTTATCGGACCGTAACCCTCAGCCAGCATGATTGAATCGCGTTCGGATGGTGGCGAACATACAGCATTCCAGATGACTTATCTTTCAGCCTTATAAGGTCCGCTGGAAGATCGAGCATTGTTCAAACTTCAAAGTCTGATGGTGATGCGAACGAGGCCCACTCGCCCCGCCGATTCACAGCGACTAGCGTTTATCACATTGGGGCTTTGAGCGTGCCCATTATTTGCAGGGCGTCCTCCAACTGGGGCGAGGTAAATATGGAGGATGAGCGCTGTCTAATGCTGGTTCCTCAGTGAAAGAAAATAGTAAGTATACCAGAGCCGTGAGCCCCTTGCGCTGTTAATTTTTGCGTTTCGCTATTGAAGGTATGGATCGAACGGCTTACCGGTTCAGTTCTTTAAACAGGTCTAGAATTTCTTGCCGATTTCAACAGGTGACATGCTATGCTTTTCTGGACTTGTTAGCGCAAACATCTGATAGGGATTAGAATGGAAATTGCCTTCTAGGTGTCCTGGTACAACATGAACAGTCTTTCACTTTGCTTGGAAGACAAGCAACCTGAGACACATCGTCTAACTATGGTCTATGACCCGTGACTAAGTTGATGCTCACCGGAAGACAGGATATACACGAAGACTTTAAGCGAACAAGGCGGATTCGACTTTCTGCTGGGATTCGAACCACCCCTGGGTCCGCCGTTGACGCATTTGAGGTAGTCCTGACCGAGCATCGAACGATTGAGACAAAGGTCTATATCTCTCCTGATGAGCAAAAAGATTTGATGGAGTGGCTAGGTATTTGGACGAGTTGGAGTTGGTGGTTGAGACCGACTTCACGTGCCTACCTACCGCTTTTGCACCAACGGACCTGAACACACCTTGTCGTGACGCTATCCACATAACACTTCCTGCACGGGACACGATGTAACCAGAACCGTCTGCAGAAACACGGGGCGTCACCATCAAATATCAATTTCTCGGCTGACAGTTAAAGTGATTCAAGCTTGGACATGAGGTATCGATATCAAAGAGATTGGAGCTGACTTTCCAATCACGATGGCCCCTGCTTAACAATCCTTCCGACATGTGTTGATCCCTATCATGCTCTGTCAATCTCCAGTACTGGGCCTCACCGCTCGACGGACTGTTTACAGGACTATCCATCATCGAGAATCTCTTTTCGCCAGCTCTATTCGATTGTCCCAGGGTCACGTGACGAAACCAAGCTCATCATAGAATGGTTCTATCCAAAGCTTGGCGACTGCAGTATGACACTCTTGCTGAAAGATTGATACCTATGATTATTGGCATTTTGCATGAATAATGGGGTACGATCAAGAGAAGTATTGGATTATTCGTCAGTCTAATCCCACATACTGAATCACGCTAAGGGATCAGATACTGATTCGGTAGGTAGTTATTAGAGCCATCGCTTGCGCAATTTGCCCTGACAGCAAAAAATTCGCATCATCAAGCCCCTTCAAAACGAGCTGCCATTCTTTGCTCTTCCATCTGAATACCTTGTGACTCGCCTTGTCGACATGGAAAAACCTCGGTTGGCCAAAGCACGCGGACTGCGCGGCTATTTGTTGCATATCTACTATGCCTAGATTGCCGTGGTTCACTAGGTAAAGGTCAGTACAGGAATTCTACCATCTTCAACTTGAGAGAACTACCTTCCTGTGATTCTTCAACACATCGTACCGCACACATGGCAATTTTTCCCTGGGATGACCCAGACCTCCTCGCCTCGACTTTCACAATTCGGGCAGCGGACTCCTGGCATCTGATTATTGAATGTCAATTCTCGACCTCGGTCAGTGAACGCTATGCACGACAGAAACCTCACCGGTGCCATGACAGGGCGGACCATATCAGCGGGGATATGGCCCCCAAAAATGCAGATATAATTCTGGTCTTGGAGAGACTTAAGACACATGTTCCTCCAGCGAATCGAACTTCCACTTGATCTTCTGGCCTCTGAGGGAGATTGAGGTGAGGTCAATCTTATGTCGGTGCTCGGTATCAAAAGAAATAGGCCGTGCTTGTGTCTTTATATGGTTGGTTCCGAAGCCTTTGTTATGGACGAAGAGCCGCCACTCTTGTTGGTCTATCAGAAAGGTATCAGATGCTGCTTGCTGGCTGCATGTTACTTTGTCATGCGTATGTATCAATCCATAGCCATTGACGAATAACGAGCCCCTCTTATCGCAAACAGTTCTCGAGGACCCATAGATCGCTACACAACTGTTTGACGTTTCGGATACTAACCTGAGTTTTCACTCTCCCCGTCATAGGAAGAACCAACGGCGTGGCCTGAATCGAAAGAAGAAAAAGAAAAAATAATAATAAAAATGAAAATAAAAAGCAAAAGAAAAAGAAAAGGGAAATCAAAAAGAAGATCAGATGCGGCTGGGCCTGTTATTCAAGTGTGTTGCACGAATCTATGATTGTGCTGTAATGGGTTTCGATCTGTCCCGCCCTCAGAAAATCGCTGGAATTGTGGACTGCGTGCGCTGTGTACCGATGGTATCCAGCAATGGCCGAATGACAACCAAAGGATCTACCTGCTCTTTTCTTTTCGTCAGGTATGGATCCCGCTTCTTCAATCACTCTCTGGATAGGAGAAACTCCTTACGTGGACCTTTCCTGTCTGATATTCCGTGTATCTGCCGAAACCGTGGATGTAGTATTGCCAGGTCACAACTCATGGATTTGATAATGGTCTTTTGGTTGATGCGTCTCGGAACTTGTAGGACTATCCCCTTTGCGTTGGCACTAGAACCAAGGATATGACACCATGCTGATTTGATATTGCTCAGGTAACGTCTCTCTCCGTTGCGGAGACAATCGAGAGGATACCGGTATAGAAGTTTCCTAGACGTCATCCGACTCCGGACTCTTAAGCTTTCTCCCAGCCGGCCAAATGATACATGGCAGTCCAGCCATCGCCACCTTCTGCGCTACTGATGATTAGTTGGGCACGGCAAAGGGCGTCCCAATGGATCCATCAGAGCTGGCAACGGCCACGGAACGTGGCCTGAAGTTTTCCTTCCTTGGGAATGTGTGGACTATCTTGAAAAAAAGGGCCCTGGTCAAATTTCGTGCGGGGCTTCCTGTCTTGACAGATGATCTTCCAAAGGGTGGACAGGAGGATCTCCGGCGCAAGGTTGACCTGCGCTAAATGCGCCATTGACCGTCTGGGCCATTTCAGGTACCGCAAACGACACGCTTTGCAATTGGCAAAACATTAAAGAGCCTTCGACCTAACCTAAAAGTGGAAACAATGACTACCGATCCTGGCTCTTTCTATTGGATCATGCGCTGGCGTGCAGTGGGTAAGTACCAAGGACTAAGGAGGCAGAGGGCAGCTGCATAGCTTTCATGATGACCGCCGAATGCCCGGCTGGTCTAGGGATCGCCGCTTGTCTATACACAATACAGACCATAAGCTGGCGGAAACAGTATGTTTCCCCCATCACTTTCTGTGGTCCTTGGCATTCTCACTAGTACAGACATGAGGACATCATAAAGAATAGCCCTTGTCTTGATCAACCAAAGCTGCAATAGCTCATCTTCACGGCTACGTGCATTGCTCTCAAGTCTCACGAAGGAACTATTTTCCACCGCTTCAAGGTGTCATAATTCCCAGGACTGGGCATTCGTTTGCTTTGTGTGAACTTAAGCGCGATTATTCAAGCCACTTTGTACATACTTCTCCAGCAGACTCATCTCTATGGTCCCGCCTATCTCGGGAGGCGTCGGATTCCGCCGCAAACAAAGGGAGGGGTGCGAAGTCTGTTTCCGCGTCAATAAGCCATGCATTACGGAGTAACACCTGGTCGACTTCTCTGCCGGTTGACCGGCGCGCAGTAACATGGCCGACGAACGGTGGGGCAGGATCTATCGCTTAACACGCGCGGTCTGCGCAAGGCGTATTCCATTTCGGTTCAGAATAAGGGATACTGTCAGAACCAGACAGACCGAACTGAAGGATTCTCCTTTTGGTCGAGTGGCCTAGCGCCAATAGATACTACATGGCCCACGCCAAGATATTCGTTGGGACTTCGATTTCTGTTGAAGAAAAAAGTGGATATTTTGGGTTCATCCGAACATCCCTGTATGGGGGATATACGATATAGAGTCCCGAACCTGGCTACGCTCGTCAGTATATATCCGATGCTTTAAGTGCTACAGATGACTTCGCCGACTGTTAGTGATTAAGCAATGCTGAGAGTAGAGCATCGGGTTCACACAGCCGACGGTATGTCGTCGAAGGTCATTGCTGGCGACTTCAGCAACCTGGAGTGAAGGAGGCAGCGGGTGCTCCTTGAAACCTTGTCGCTAAGACCGGCTCCACTATTCTCTCCAGTCCAACTTTATCCATCGATCAGTAACAGCCGATGGTGACTAATTCGGTAATGGGGAAGTGATTATTGTGTGGAATATTCTATTATTATTGAGACCACTGATTCCTAAATCATCTCCTAGCGCCACGGTTGCAGCGGCAGTGACTCTGGACTCCGGACTGCGGCCTACCAGCAGAAACAGCATTATGCAGCATACATTAACTAACTATCAGCAGCCAAATGCCTGACTAACACTCGATACTTCCGAAAGAATGAGTATCCATACTGAACAGCCGATGTTACCGCGCGTCCGCATTGTTATCTCACTAATAGCAACACTCGCAATATTGCTCCGACCGCTACCCCATGCAAATGCAGGTAGACGGCCTAGAAGTGGTACGAACTTAACATTATGTGAGCGCTCGCTAACTGAAACAAACCATAGGAGAATCATTGAATTATGGCTGGGTGCGTCGCGGCTATCACTGGCTGACGAGACCCCGCTAGCATTCTCAAGTCGGGAAATGATTTGTTGTATCTGCAGATACCTATAGCGTTCAGACGGCACATATCTACTATTATTCGGTTGAGAGCTGCAGACTCAGCATAACATTAACCCACACGGGCAACTTACTGGAACTTTCTCTAGGCCGGTTTGTATTCCTACTCGAATGTAGAAGTTTAGGTCAAATTTATGCGGAACAATACACAAACCAATGAAGGAATTATCCACGCATGTGAGTTAACAATCACAGATCGAGAAGACCCTAGTCAGGAGAAACTCTTATGTGTTTGTGGCTAATATCACAGATTATGGGTGAACCAGACCAAAGAGATTTTCATCAAGTACTTTTTCTCTAACTACATGCATTCAGTATATTATGCATATATTCATATATTCATCACTTTCGGAGAGAGGCACCCATTTATTACTATTGAACCTATTACAATATCGCGAAAGATTTATCACCTTGTGATCTCCGTTAACTTGACCTCCGTTAACTGCACGCAGTGTAACGCCTGTTCGTGGGAATCCGCTCCTATACAGGAAGAGCGGTGAAGAGAAAATTGAAGGAAAACAGCTTACTCTAGTTTTTCGTAGAAGAAATACTGAGCCGGCCAAACTTTATCCCAAAATTTCAAATCTGCGTGTGGGTGTAATAATACTAACTGGCATACAACGGCATATTCAGTGGCGAGCTCTACGCCTATGACAGAAAGCCGCTAGGTCCTTTACACCTAAAGGTATCACATCTGCATAGTACCATACATACTTATCCTGCAATTGCCACTCTGGAATGGCCTACAATACTCCTGATCCCCGATGGAGACGCGTGCTTCAGCGAGGCTCGAGCGGTTTGTGGAGAAGAGGTCTCCATGCACGTCAACAAAAGAGCGACAACGGGCTTCGAAAGAAATCGGTGTGATAAACATCACGGTTCATATCCATGGTTCTAGACAGATATCCTTCGACGTGGCGCAATGGGGACATTAAGCACGCAAACCTGCAGGAAGACGGTGAAGGTTTATCGGATATCCGAAAAGCAACCTGTATGTGGGCAACAGAGGGAACTCGGCCGAAGCACATCGATGGCCAGGGCTTGGGCTCTTTTCAAGAACTTAATCTGCCTTCCCCTGGCACTGGCGAACGCAGGGGTGGGAACCGAAATCGGCATTGTCTCAGCGTCCTTAATCCTCGTTCACTGTCAATACCTTCTTCTGCTCATTCGATATGCGGCACGCAGCTCATGTATGGACGAACCTTTATTGTCTAGGATCTCCGGTGTTATTCACCAGTTCTAGCCACCATGGGGGAGAATAAACGGTAATCTTACTGCTACTTATCTTGGGAATCTTTTCTGCCGGAATGAAGATAGCGCCTTGCATACCGGACAACATACCACAGCAGATAGCATCCTGATCCTCACAATTCGACGTGATAGCTTGAATGCCTCGGCTTTCAAGATGCCTCAACATCCAATGGGCACGAGTTGGATCCGGCGAGCTAAATGTGCGAGTCGGTGCAACGCGCACATCATAGACTTTCGGGTGTATCCAAATGATCTCCTTTAACTTTTCCTGTGTGCAGTGTTCGAGCAAGCACTGGAAACACGTGGTTTGATAAAGCAACCTCTTCTCTTCCCTACCCAGAAATCCTGATTCCGTCACCGCATCTAGTGTCCCTGGGCAGGATGAACCAGGCACCGAGTTGGGCGAGACAACGACAAGACGACTTGCGTCTATACGATCGGCTGCCTGGTCTTCCGACTGGGAAACTGCGCCCGTTCTTGAACCATGATACGCGACTGGTGCCGGCAAAGTCTCATCATCATCGTTCTCCTTACCTCTTCTTCATCGAGTTCCGAATACGGCCGAGGGCAGCTTTCTCATCTTCTTTAGTCGAGGTCTTGTGGTACGCGTCGCTCATTACATGCATGGAATTGCACTCCAGAGTACCCCCGGTATGGGCAAAGAGCTCTTGTTCTCATCGATCTAGCGCGTACGAGTCACGTTCTCAACGGCATGACCGCGTCTTCCGATAATCTCTTTCCGTTTCCAATCAGAATATTCTGGATCCCATCATCATCAATGGTCGCTCTCATGAAACCACTCCTTATGGATAATCTGGTAAAGGTGACGAACATGCCCTCTGGGACAGTCCTGACAGCTGAACATTGCCATGAGATCTTGCTGATCTAGTCGTTTGCTTCATGCACGGTTTTCTAGGCGTAGGGTGCAGATCAAGATTCTACGAGCCAACCAGAAATCTACGATGCTGTCCCAGATACGACTTGAATCCTCTTACGTGCGTCTTCCTGCTCCTCCATAGGCCCACCACTTCGCCACTTTGGCCCACGAGACCTGCCACGGTAACAACGTATCCATTCGAACGGAAATGCCGCAACTTTACACTGAAAGCGCCAATTGGAGGACAGTTCCAGGTGCGCGATATGCGCCGTACAACCATCTTCTTTTCCCGCACATAACAGCTACTTTTCTTGGTTGGCATGGAAAGACACTCGCTATCTTTTCGACTTGTTTTTGAGCCATCAAGGGTATTGGCCCTATAATCGCAGGCGGACTGGATAATGGAGGCATAATCTTTTCTGGGTCAAAGTACAACCTCGTTATTTCCCCTGGTCGGCCATTCAGGTAAGGGGAATCTATGGACTGTGTGCATGAACCATGGAGCATCCATTACTGCACTGCTAGTTTACACTGATTTTGCCACTACAGAGAAATAATGCGAACTGTGAGTTGTATCACACAACATGTAGCTTCTGCTTGCTAGCGATGGACTAGGAAAGTTTCGACAATCACTGCAACATGAGACTGGAAACTCCGCTGGCCATGTCCCTGGTGAATTAACCCCAGTCAGATCGATAAGTTCCAAACCGAATATTCGATGAGCCGTTCGTAAGTAAGAAAGTCCAAATCACTCGGCCAACTTGCTGGTTCTCGGTGCTGTCGCGATCATAGAATAACACGTATCATCGCATGACTCCTGAGTACCTTTATAGTTGAGGTGAGGATCTACTACTTAGCTCGAGTCCAAAGGTGACGCTGCATTCTCTAGTGTACGCTAGCCACCCATAAGGAAGAGATAGTTGCAGTCACTTTCATCCATGCCATTTGACCGATTCGGTCACAGAACAAACCCTGTCTAGACGACGTCCTAATTACGTCTTCTTTCCATGCAAAGATAACAGCCAACTCTAGTCTCTCTTGCTCGTTGATAGCAAGTGACCTTTCTAATATGGGATCACCGTCCCAGCAAGAGGACTCAATTGCTCAAAAGGGAGAAATATCAGATGTCGACACACAGCTGGGTAATCCCTTTTCCGCGACAGGAATAAGTATCCTAGAACGATATCTGCTAATAACAAACTGTTAATTCTTCGTGATTACTGTATCAAATTTCAGATCTAGAAACTTGATGGGAGTGGTGCAGCAGGGAAAGAAAAGAATCAAGTTGTCATTCGATCGCTCTAGATTATCCTCCAAGATCATCTCCCATTCAAGAAGTTGATTAGTTAAATACTTCGAGTGGGGCCTTTCGTCCATCCTACTTGTTGTTTTGGTCGCTTCCAGTACTCCGAATCCGTATGGTTATAGTTGACATGGATACTAACTAGAGACCCATCTTTACGTTAAGTAACACCACTCAAGTATCATGTCTCACTTTATACAAGCTTTATCAACGATTTCTACAATACAATACATCTGACCGAAATGCCATCAGGACGATAGCTATTGAGTCGAATGTGTTGCGCGGTGATGCATGAATAGAAAGAGTGGCTGTAGTATGTTGAAGATTGGCTTCTTCCAAGGCTACTACTATCCAATACACACTCTTCGTGTTTCGACTTAAATTTGTGATTTCTTGCGAAGCATCGTGAGACGTTCGAGGATGTCTAATGCAGTGTAGAGGTAATCATCGTTGAAGGCTGCCTTCGCTGTAATCAGCAAGTACAGTGCAAAAGTGGGATATTCTCATTCATTAGTTGCTATAAGCTGCAACAGAACAATCTTAAGATATTTTATTTCGTCCAGGTCCAATAATCGCCTGCCCTAACCAGGTAGTCTGTCTGGTCATTCTTTGAATCTGTTCTAGAACCATCGATGATCCTCAGCAGACACTGTACAGAATCTACAAGAGCCTTACTTCGAGCCCGTTATTTATTACGAGTAGTCAAATATCTGAAGAGAAATCTCTACCGGAAGGGATATATCTGAATCTTAAAAGTAGGATGAATAAGTGGCACCGGATACTTAAAACTTTTAGCACCAGATGTGATTTAAGATTTCCACATTTAAACAGTCCGTTATATAAGTACTGAGACGTCAATAATAACTCCTCGTGCTCAAAACGTCTTGTCATCCTTCTTTATGACACATCGTTATTTCCTTTTCTGATTAGGCTGGGGTGGGGGCGAAAGCAATTCCCGTTGCATCTTATATGATAACAGAGACCGGGATCTTGATTATAATTATTAATGATTGTTTACCCCGCTCGTAGTTTCGACGTCCGAGGAAACTTCATCAACCTCATTTTTTTCTTTTACAGCAGAATCTATAGTAAACTTCTTTTCCATAAATTACCTATACACTGACGAACATAATGGCTCAAACAGAACCCGTCCACTTTTTCGACATAACTTCCAAGCTCCCAGGTATTATAGAATCAATCCCCCCCCTCCGCCCCCACCTTAAGCTCCTCGTTACAAAATCGGCCATAGTCAAAAACATCAACTGATCAAACCGTGACTAGGGCCGTCGCAATCATGGTCACCTAACACACTGAAGACCAGAATAGTGCTCAACTACAAGGGCATTCCATACACCCAGTCCTTCCTTTCGTATCCGGACATAGCACCAGTGCTCAAGCAGCTCGAAGTGCCTCCCGAGTCAGAGGGCTTTCCGTACACTCTTCCGGCAATCATACACAAGAGCACTGTCAAGACTAACCCGTTCGGTGCTCTGATGGATTCGTTCCCCATTGCCTTGCATCTGGAGCAAGCGTTCCCTGCGCCATCGTACCCGTCGATCTTCCCATTCGGCGATAGCAGCCACGCGCTCGCCCGCGCGGTGGAGTTCATGATGATCAGTTTGGTTTGGAAGAGTTATAGGCTCATCATGCCCAAGGTTCCCGATCTGTTGGATGAGAGGGGGAGCAAGTATTTCCATGAAACGCGTACTGCGCGTTTCGGAAAGCCGTTGGCGGAACTCTTGCCAAAGGATCAACAGGAATATGACGCGATCTGGAAGGAGATGGAGAGTGTTTTATTGACATGGACTGCTATGTTGAAGGGGAAGCCTGGGAAGAAAGGCCCTTTCTTCGAGGGTGAGAAAGCGGGGTATGCGGATTTCATAGCTGTGGGGTTCATAGCGTGGTTCGAGAGGATGGACAAGGCGACCTTCCAGAAGATGATCGAGGTCGGGGATGGGGAGCTGAAGACATTGTGGGATGCTTCGGTGCAATGGGTAAATGGTCAGGGCCAGGAGAAGGAATGGCCAGTTTCCTCCTAAGGCTTCCTTTGTTGGGTCGAGTGGATCCTTGGACGTTTCTAAGATGAATTGATGAACGTGAAACTTCGGAAATCAACGGGCCAGTAGTCGTTTACATTCATATTATACAAAGTCACATTCTGTGGGTTGATTGATCCACCAGGTTCCTCAGACTGCAGCACGAGGCCCCCCTCTTAGTCGATAACAACCCAGGTTGTTCTCAAGACACCAGGACGCAACAAACCGCACCGGAAATGATATAGTAATTTGACGCCATAAATTGTACATCCAATGAATAAATTAGCCAGCTCACAGTCCGCGCAGGAAGTTAGCCTCCCTGATGCCCTTCCTTCTGGCGGCCCTTGCACTCTTCGTGATTTCTGACCTCTTCTCCAGACTCTCTGCGGCTTCAGCAATAATATCCCTCTGGCTGTCATCGGTCCTGTTGTACGGAGCGGGTGTGATATCGGTTGCCTGTTCGTGAACAGGGATCTTCCGGGGCAGCGACGCCGCAAGAGCGGCCATCTTCTTCTCGTGACGCTTTCGTTGTTTCTTGTTCAATGCTGCAAAAGGGTTAGCATACTGACGCCTCCATTGATAATATGCGCGATATGAATAGTCCACATACTGCTAACATCGACGCCGCCCATATCAGTCTTCGACTGGTTCTTCTTGTCGTCCAGCAAGGTCCAGAGCCACTCGGGGTATTCCGAGTCATCCAAGGCGAAAAGATCCGGCTTGTTCTTAAAGTAATTGAGGCCCTGTAGCTTGGTTCCTGGGGGGCAGCTGCTTGGCTCGCGCTGAGTTGCAGGCTTCTTGGGCTTTTCAGGGTTCACATCGACATGGACACCCTCGGGCGTGCTCAACGGCTGCGAGACACCCGGCGAAGCGGAGGATATGGCGGACGGGATGGTGATGGGCTTTTCGCTGGGTCCAGGCTGGCGGGGAGCTGGCGGAGGTCCAGGCAGACTGTAATTTCTCAATTGACCGCGCTGAATCGCCCGGGAACATGTTGATGTGGACACCGGCGTCGGACTCTGGATAACAAGTCGCGACAGCAAACTTGTCCGGCACTGTCTACAGATCATTGTGGCGGACGGGTGCAGCGCTGCACAGGGGAATAGATCACAATATAGTGAATCCGGATAACCAGCAAGTCAGAGTTGAGAGATGCGGGCTTGCCGGACCCCGAGCGACTTTGACGGTTGATAACGAGGTTGAAATGATCTCCGTAGAAAACTGCGGCCGTGAATTTCGTGCCAAGCCGGAGGTCGCAGTCACGTGCACCCGCCTGTTCCTGCTGAGTCATCGTCATTCCCTTGAGCTCATAGATAACTTACCTGATATTGTTGCTCAATAATGGTAACTGTTTCTTAGATATCCTGGTTCCTGGCGAGTATATTCCTTAGGGTGATAGCTTTGTGCTCCGTTACTATGGAATAATGGTGTTGGCGTCGTTGCTAGTCAATAGTACTGATACTCGATAGCTTCGCAAATATATAGTTCCTATCTCAGAAGTTATCATGAAATAACCCATCAAATCGAACCTGCCTCAACCATATAATCATAGTAGAAGACCCAAAAACTGCAATGCAGTTCACTGTTACTATTATTGGGCCCAGTGGTTCTCCTTCACACATATTACTGAAACTTATATTATATCACTTACGCGTAAAAGATTCCCAACCACCTCTCCGGATTACCATGATTTTTGTTTTGAATACAATTCCAGACCTGGCCTTTCTATCTACCTAGGTACCAACAGCTGCATAGGGCCCCACGTGAAAAATAGGCGACATAGATGCACATAGCGCCTCAAATACTGTCAGTATAAATTTACTCTAATGAACCAGTGGGAATCTGAACCACGGAAGCAAATACACTGGAAAAGCATTTCATACGGGAATCAAATCTTGATGACTTAGAGAACTAGAAGGTACTGGAATCTATCTGCTATTCATTTCCCCCCCAAGACTCTATCCTATATTAACTGCTGCCTGGAGCTGAGCTAGAACACTATCTCTGAGCATCTATGGTTCCAGCGTGTCTGCTTTGATCCTAGATTGATTGATATAGATGGCTTCCCGTTGTTTGTTCTACCCGGTTTATATAGGGTAGTAGCAGCGGCTTGCAGCTCGTCTCCACAGAAGCTGTGAGCGCTGACAGAATACATCAGGTATCGTGGATAAATTGGAAGCGATATTGAATGGAGAGGGAACCAAGTTCATAAACGGAAAGCAAGATCTTATCAACCACACTACTCAAGTGTACCGACGCATCTTGGGATCAGTCAGGTGGTTAGGTACAATATGTGTATATTTCCCCGGAAATAAGTATTGGGTCCCTTACTTAAGTGGACATGAGACTGCATCTATCAGTTTTCTCAGCTAGAAGATTCATCCGGCTGGCAGAAGTTCCGGATCAGATGTTATTCAAAGCTTTTTATGTACATAAAAAAAGAGCAAGTAGTGGACTCATGTAATACCTATTATATCACTTGCTTCTCCTCACCATTTTACTGTCCAGGGGGGTTTTCCCCCAGATTTTCTCCATCTTGGCACGGCCCCTATGTCACATCAGGCTAAGTTACCTCCTAGTGAAGGCGAATCGAAAAGAATGGAGCATAAGTTAATTGCGATTCGCGAGTCTCATATTTTCGGCTTGCGGCACCGAAATAGACTCAGGATGCGATGCGGAACCGCACTTTAGTAGCAAAAACACAAAACAAAACCAAGGATGCACAATCTCTGAAGCTATCTACCTACCTACCCAGGTTGCGTGCCATGGCCATAGCCAGGAGGCTTAATTCCCCGCTTTCAAGAATAGTCGAGACATTCTCAGCGCATCCAGATATCCCTCTTATTATTTGTCGACGGGCAAAGCGTACTTACTTGCTCAAAAAGATCCAGCTCCTGTTTTGACCGCTAGCCGGATGATCGTCAATAGTATACTTACTCTTAACCTTCCCCGCATTTTCGGTTGGACATTGCGTTGGAGAGCCGAGCCGCATAACTAAACTATTTGCGGGGGGGGAAGTTGTGGAGGTGTCTAGAACTCTCTCTCTCCCCGGAATTAGGAGCGAGCCCTATTATTACGATTGGGATGACCGGGCCATAGAGCCGTCAGTTGCGATTGACGAATTCGTTATGGTCTTTTTATGGATGTACTAGGATTGTCTCTGTCTCTCTCTGTCTCTCTCTTAGATATCACGGCGAGAGGCATTGGTCCCAACAATACTGTATTCGGGTACTCGGGAAATCCGGGGAAGTCGGGCCCATCTAAATAGCAGAAAGTCTTGAGGACTTTCCGATTGGCATGTTTTGTCTGTGACGCCAAGTGGTTGGGTGGCTGGACGCGTGTCACAATGACCGAACTTTCGCTGGCTAGCGTGTAATCGTGTCTTTGTGGTAATATCACGTCTTGCATGGCAGCTTGGGATCTGCGTAATCGCATCGAGAAAAGACCCATCTGCTTTGTTGTCTTTGTCAAGTGTCAGATTGGAGCGCTCTCATAGCCCCTGTGCAGATCATCGTAATGGGATCGGATCCTAGAAAATTTTTAAGAACGCGTATAAAAAAATTATGAAGTAGGTAAATAATATTTTTGTTTTTTTGCTCATAAGAACAAGAGTTTTGACATGGTGGATTTGTTGATTTTTCCCAACCGCAAGCTCATAGGCTGAATCAGGCAGTGTGAATCATTGCAGCACACTAAGGATAGCAAGCATGTAATTGTTACTGGAAACCGCGAACAGCAGCAATCACGCTGCTGTTTGACATGGTAAACATTAAGTCTGTTGCTTCCTCGATGCCAGTCCGATATTACTGGTTCTTCCTCTCGCTGGCTCCTCGGACCAAATGACTGAGATCACCCACTGGAAGAACAAAGGGGAAATCGACGCTGAGAAGCAGCTGGGCTGCCAGAAGATACCACCCGAGTAACTGGGAAACGAAGAATATAGCACCGGACGCCTGCGACATAGTTAGTTAGATACGATCACATTGCGCAAGGGGAATGTAGGAAGAGGGGGTAAAAATAACGAGAAGGGAAACTGACAATTTGAAGTCTACCGGCCAATGCAACGGCTCCATCCGCGAGCTGAAAGTTGGCACCGGCGAGCAGGCCGAAACCGAGAGTGAGCGCCAAGAAGATGAGGAAAAAGACCAGGTTCGTGCGCAGACTGCATATGAGGTATATAAAGCAAAGCAGGCCGAAGAAGACGTAGTAGAACGCTGTTGATATCGTTAGATGAATTCTGATAGACTTGTACACAGGTAAACAGTACGTACCAAACGATGAATTGAAACCTGGATTTGTCGGGTCCTGAGGTTGAAAGGCCGCAGCAGCACCATATGCCGGCACCAAAGTCGTGGCAAGAGAAAGCCAGAAACCACCTTGAGTTCTATTAGGTCTCTGCTTACTCGAGCAATATAGGGAGGGAGAGTTCCGCGTACCGAAAGAAGCGAGGACGACCAAAGTGAAAGTGTTTCCCAGAATCCATTCCATAACTCCTGCAATTATCATAAGAAGACCACCGATGAAGTACATAACACCACTGTTATATATTGTTAACAATCGTGTGCGGGATATATGTTACGGGTATACGAACACAATGGCAGCGCCGCCGCCTCCAGATCCTCTCCATCCCATCAGCTGGCAAGACAGAGGCCCCAAGGTAACGATGAAACCCAGGATACCACTAGATAAAGAGAGGATATATGGTCAGTCATCAGACCCTTCAAGCATTTATTTAGGTAAAAGAGACTCACAGTGGCGTCGGATTGCCGACCGTGGCTCTGATATCGCCCTTGACTCGAGTCTTAGGTGTAAGGTAGATCTTCTCGAAGAGCTCAGGAGAGATTGAGATGCCACCGGCGGTTCGAATCTTCCTGAGAGCATCGTCCCTGCTCTCATGTTCTTCTAAGTCGTAGCGCGGCGAACGCAGCGAGCCATTGTGCTCGGTATTGCCTTTCTCGATATCAGACATAGCTGTCAGGCTGAGGATGCTTCTAGGTCTTCTGCTACAGTAAGTTATATCGACCTTATTCGAGATGAGATAGAGAGCAGCAGAAGATTAGATCACAGTAGAGAAGGCCAGCGTGATCCGCGGGTTAGCGGCGAAGGAAGCAGATGGTCGAGTAATAGGAGTATCCCATGGCTTTCTCTCCGAGAGACATTTGGGCATTTTATACTCATAACAGGATGCTACGTAAGATCCGGCATAGATCGCAACCTTCACTAGCTGGGTATCATTCTGTACTGTTCTCGCAGATCCTTCGTAAAAGGGCCATGAGCTCGCATGACAAGACTCATTTCCTCTGGGAGCCAAATCTCAAAAGTCTAAAATAGGGTTTAGCCATGGCAACACATAGGTATACAAGGGCCCACCGTACCAGTAGCTAGTTCTCCCCGTTTTCAGGAAGACGTCTGAGGACATCTACTGCGTACAGTCCTGAATCCTGATACTAAGGGTTCCACAGGCAATTCTGTTGCGGGGAAATTATGGTTCAAGCTTGTAAGCTGGATTTTGATTGGACTCGATGCGACGCGCCTATGTGCACATTTCAGACATCCCCAGGAGAGCATAGTATTGGCTGATGGCCAGCGTCAGCGACTGGCACAATGTATCTACTCCCCGCAGGGTCCCCGCACTCATAGTTACTGGGGAAGGGCAGAATTGGAGCATCGCATGGTGCTTCCTGGGGAAACTCATTGTTAGCTCGTATTTAACAGACACTGATGCCAGAATGCCAGAAGCCCTGAGCTGGAGGTAACAACCTACACAAATATCTGACGGAGGATGCTGTCTGGCAAGTGGAGAAAGACGACGGAATGCGGAGTACATAGGCAAGGGCTAGCCTAGGTCAAAGAACACCTCCACAAGAAGCTTGATGGCGATCATCCTAGCTCAATTCCAGAATAATAGCTTGGACTAGGCGTTGCTCCAGACTGAACGATATCCAGCTTGGGGAAGAAACTAATTTCCACAGTTCCCGTCGGATCCGGGGAAAGGCGGGGACGGTGGGTTCTTCCCCGGAGCGCGCCAGGAGCCAGGAGCCGCACCGCCATCCATATAGACGTGGGATGAGGAAATGATCATGATCATGATCATCTCACCTTTGGTGACAGCTGGTTAGTCGTATAAGGTAGAGTTTCGGGTTAAGGGAAACTGCCTGGAGTAACAGTTGGTGACCGTGCTTCCGAGGTCCTATAGAATCGCATGGTGCGGTTCCATGCCTCTGCGTGCAACTGATAAAGCCGGACGATCTGCCGGGCTGATTAGATCTAGATCATCTCTTTCCTATGAGGCAGGCGAAAGTTGAAACTAGTTTCATAATCCTGCTCACTTCATATCCCCTACTGGCGCTAGGGTATTCGACAAAAAAAAAAGGAGAATCCTCCTGTTGTCTGCCTGGATGTATCTTAGCCAATGGCGGGGGCCATGTCGAAAAGGAACAGGAACTGTCGGACTCGTGCGAGGACCGTGTTCTCTCAAGCTCTGTCTCTGGAAAAAAGAAAGCGTTCTCCTATGCTAGGTTCAACTTTCGCCTGCTCCATAGGAAAGAGAACACTGCGATTGCCCGTCCTTCTCTTGGGACTGAAAACAATACCATATCTCAGTTCCTTCAGTTTTATCCATAGACTCCATTATCACTCCTCTTTCCTTCACATCCCACAGTACCACTGGGAACAAGATGAATCGTTATGAACATATGAACGCGCATCGGATGCATCGGTAGACATGGAATTGCTAAAATTACGTCAGACCACAAAGTCAGCACATCGTCAGTCTTACGTGCCAGAACCATACTATTCGAACGATGCGATGTCCTTTTATGGAGAGTGAAAGTATCCTTCTTAGCAGAGAAGATCTCGTAGCAGACATTTCTTCGTAGCGACCGTTTATGATAAACTGAAATTTACCATACGCTCAAGCACAATGGGTTCAGGCTGGGATAAAGATCGTAACTGGGACATATACGCCCACAAGCATCGTGTTGGTCATGGAAGATCTCCCAAGACCATCACCAAGAATGATCGCAATCCGACAGATGCCAAGCTCGATCCTTATGGCACTGGAATTCGCCCTGAACCATATCGAAACGGTCTTGGCGCATCGATACTCGGCCCGCGCAATCGGGATAGAGAGAAGCAGGATCCAGATATGATTCGTCCACCGTCGACGGACTCTGGACATATGCCTAATTTGAAATGGAGCTTCGCTGACTCCCACATGAAGATCGAGGTAAGTTGATACGCTTCTACTATCATGGAGCTCTACGCTAGATAGGTACTCATTTTCGTGGTGTGAAGGAGGGAGGATGGGCGAGAGAGACTACTGTCAGAGAGCTTCCCACGAGGTTAGTACTACTTAAGAGGAAAAGGTCGTATTGAGATCGTCTAATCACGGTATGGCAATAGCATCGAGCTTGCGGGAGTCAACATGCGACTCGATGAAGGCGCTATTCGGGAACTGCATTGGCATAAAGAGGTAATCAAAATTCCTACTAGTTTCCTACGAGACCCTATACTGACCGTATAGGCTGAATGGGGATATGTCCTGGAGGGGACGACTCGCGTTACTTGTCTTGACAATGAGGGAGGCAACTTTTCGGACGAAGTCAGCAAAGGCGGACTCTGGTATTTCCCATCAGGTGTTCCGCACAGCCTTCAGGGAATGGGTCCAGGTGGAACTGAGTTCCTCTTAATCTTCGATAACGGAAACTTCAGTGAAGAAGAGACTTTCTTGCTCTCAGACTGGCTTGGTAAGGGTCCAGAAACATCTGTCACACCAGATAGACAAGCGTAAAAGGCAAGGCTGATGATGTTGTACCAGCACACACGCCCAAGTCAGTGATCGCACAAAACTTTCGCCTCTCTCCAGAAATATTTGCCAACATTCCCCAGAAGGAGAAGTATATCTTTCAAGGGAGTGTCCCCTCTGCAATAGAGCTTGAACAACCTTCCCGTGGTGGTGTGAAAGCTTCAAAGTATCGATTCACGCACAAAATGCTGGACCAGGAGCCCCTGGATGCCACTGGTGGTCAGGTCCGGATTACTGACTCTACTAACTTCCCTATCTCAAAGACTGTGGCTGCTGCTCATGCTACAATAAATCCCGGGTGCCTCCGTGAGTTACACTGGCATCCGAACGCTGATGAATGGTCCTTCTTTATCAAGGGTAGAGCTCGAGTCACAGTCTTTGCGGCAAGCGGAGTATCCCGAACATTCAACTATGTTGCCGGTGATGTGGGTATCGTGCCAAAGAGCATGGCACATTATGTCGAAAACCTGAGTGATGAAGAGCCGGTTGAAATGCTGGAAATCTTTCGGGCACCTAAGTTTGAAGATTTCAGTCTTGAGCAGTGGCTAGCCTCGACGCCGGATAGAATGGTGAAGGAGCATCTTTTTGCGGGGGACTCCGAGAGTGGACAGAAGTTCTTGAAAGCTCTCAAGGGGACAAAGGATCCTATCAAAAGTCCTTCAAGAGAATCTAAATTGTAGTTAGACGCATCACTCGAGGATACCAAATTCAACATCTGACAGACCATATCAAGAAGATCGGTAGGGCGCATATCTGGTGATAACAGCCACGGGTAGTAAATATGTCTCATAGTGTCTGGAAACTCCAATTGCCTAGGTCCTAAGAGCCAGCTGGTATATAGAAGAAACAGAATTCCAATGATCTAAAACTGTCTCAATTCATAATATGCAATGCTATGCTTCCCCTGAAAACGCCTCGAAATTCCATCTGCTAAAAATATCCATGCGAAGGCAAAAGCACGAAGGTCGAATATCACGGTACAGGTCGACAGAACATCTCAACTGCGGTATAACTCCATGAATACGCCCTTGGGAAAGGTATCTCTTCCTGTTTTAACCATACATCATCTAAAGACGGATACGAAACGCTTCAAAAGTCGACGGAATTCACTGTCCGGGCTTGGGCTTGAGGTCCGGTGCCACTCGCCGTTGAAGGCATTGACAAGCCAGTAAGAAAGACCTAGTCGAGTCAGCATTAAATCTTTGCTATCTCTGAATAGGAAAGCACTTACGGTCATAGACCATTCTATGAGCATTGTGGAAGTATATACTGTGGTCGGAATCAGGGTACACGTGCACATCATAATTCTCCACACCGGCCAGGTCAAGCTTGTCAATCAGTGAAAGGGAATTCTGTAGATGTACATTGTCGTCGGCAACGCCATGAATTACGAGAAATCGTACAGTCTGGCGCAACGCAGAAACGTCAGAAATGGACGCATTGTCGTAGCCAGAAGGGTTATGCTCGGGAGTATGCATATATCGCTCGGTGTAAATAGAGTCTGAAACATGTTAACAACAACACAGTCACATGTAACGTGGGACGTACCATAAAAGCGCCAGTCTGTTACTGGTGCTACAGCCATGCCATACTGGAAAGTCTTGCCAGCGTCTTGCTCAAGAGTCTTCAAGGTCATGAAGCCACCGTAGCTCCAACCCCAGATTGCCATACGTGTCTCATCTACGTAGCTTTTCGCAGCCCAGATCTTAGCTGTTTCGATCTGATCCCTAGCTTCATAATGTCCCAGGTTGTCACGAACAATACACCTAGCCTTTCTCCCAATGAAACCAGTCCCGCGGCCGTCAACGGTAACGACAATATATCCCAAGCTTGACGCGATATAAGAGTGGAAATCAACACCAAAGGTGCGATCAACAGTCTGCGAGCCAGGTCCTCCATAGAGATGGAAGAGCACGGGGTATTTCTTCCTTGGATTGAAGTGCGGGGGGCGTCGCTCAACGACCTGTAGTGTGTAGCCATCGATCGTGACATTCTGGTAAACCTCAACAGGAAGGGCATGGTCCTTGACCATCTGGGCCAATCCCTGATTTTCCTCTATCACTTCCGTGTAAGACATATTATTGCTCGGGGTACTCTTCACGGCCTGCCACGGAACAGAAGGTCCCGCGTAGGTCATCAATACATAGCCACCACCTTTGGAAAACGAGGCACCATAATATCCTATCTCAGATGTGTTCGTTATTGGTTTCAGATCGGATCCGTCCAGTTTGACACTATAGACGTGACGCTGGGTCGGGCCCTCCTTGGTCGCAATAAAATAAACAATGTCGTTCTCTAGGTCAACCGCAGCGGGTCCACCCACGACTTCCCATTCTCCTGAAGTGAGTAGGGTAGGGGTCGGGTTATCAAGCGGTGTAAAATAGGCCAAGTGATCATATCCTTCATGAGGAATCACGTCAATATATCCATCATGAGTCCGGCCCTTTTCAGGAGCTGCGGGAATGTATCGTGTAGACTGAGTCGGTTCAACCCATCCGCCGTCAAGACTAGCAATATCGTCAGACCTAACAACGCTGCCGGTTCTCGATGCAGTGTCTATGAGGATGACTTTCAGGACGTCGCTCTCACGATTAGTCTCTCTTACGAGAACGTTTTCGTTGGCCGTCCACAACACCTCAATGATGAGACGATCCTCATCCGGAAAGTCCTGTGACACATCCACAGAGAAGACCTCTCCTTTCTCTACATCGTAGAATTGCAGATTGACGGTGGGATTAGGGGAGCCGGCCTTGGGATATTTGATACGCCGAACTTCGGGGTAGTTCTCAAGTCCTGGAGGCGGGGTCTTTCCAGATGGTCTAGACATGAAGTACTGTACGGGGTACTCGGGAACAGTAGCCTCGTCGGTGCGGAGGAAAGCAATATACTTGCCGTCCTCTGCCCACCAAGTGACACTATTTCCAGAGAAAACTTCCTCTTCATATACCCAATCAGGTACTCCGTAAAACAGATTCTTCCCACCATCTGTGGTGATGGGGACGACCTTGCTGGACAGCAGTTTACGCAAGTACATGTTGTTCTTCTTGGTAAAAACAACCGCGTCAGACAGCGGAGACCATGATGCTAGTTGTACTCGCGCGTCGGGATCACTGGGGTCCAGCGGCTGAGCAGTTTGGGTGTCGACATCAAACAACCAGTATCTCCCAGTGAACGAGTGGCGCCAATTCTTCTGCTCGTCGGACAACACGAGTACGGTCTTCAGATCGGGACTCGGCCACACCCTGCTGGGAGTGATAGTCTCGCCATTGACATGTATATATGAACTGTTCATGAGGACTCTCGTCTGTTTATGCTCCGCTTCGACGTTACGGTACCTTACGTCTTCGACGCGAAGGTATTCCTGCTCATTGCCCCCTCCTCTCTCAAGAAGCAACCCGTCTTCACCATCAGGACCAGCGATCCAAGAAATCGCATGTGACCGCGGATACCACTGTCCTGTCAAGACTTGCTCAAGTGTGACCGGCTTTCCGTAGTTTGTTGTCGACTCCGAATCAGCAGCATAAACAACTGCCGCTGATCCCGTCGCAGCATTGCCTGCCCGCTTCTGTCCCAGAAACAGGAAGAAAGACAATACCCAACCTCCCACACACAGTATCCCAAGAACCCATAAGATCCGGCGTGTCTTGCTAGGGGTAGCCTTTCGCTCTGTATTGGGTAGAAACGCAGCATTGACCCCCGATTCCCCTTCTTCTAAGTCACGGTATCTCCCATGCTCCGATATCTTTCTCAGCTTCTGTGAAGCATCGCGGTTGTCGTCGAAGAACATAGACTCGTCTGACGACGACTCGGAATCGGAAGCTGGCAATGCTGGGGAGCTGGACCGCTGCGTGAGAGGAACGGACTCCTCATGGCTACTCCTCCTATCCATACCGGCGGGACTAACTCGCTCCGCGGTCTTTCAATGTTAATCCAACACCGAAAAGATCGACAGTTTCATAGGGGACGGAGCGACGACGGAGACAGCTAGGTGTCGGTAGTAGGGAAGCGCGGGCCACTCGAACAATGGAGGCGAATATACTTCGTACGATCCGGTCCTATACGTATACAGGGATTTTTTGATGATCAAAGCATTGAATGATAAATACTTTCAGCTCTAGGAGGACGGAACATGTATCGATCTGTCACCCCCTGGGCTGGAACTAGCTGGAGCTCGTCTGACGCGAGACCGCGGATGTCTTGGCATCGGCATTAGTTAACTTCGAAGACTCAGCCGCAGGTTTGCTAAGCGTTTATGAATCGTCTCCAACGTTGAATAACACGACTTTACTCAGACCATTACAGCGGGAGGATTTGAAATACAGGTATGAATGAATACGATAGTAATAAGTAAAAATGCGACATTTCAATTTCCATATTTCCGGAATGTGCATGTCTAAAGGTCCCTTTTATATATACACTCTCTATGTGCTACAGAAACCTCAGAGACCACACACGGAGGCTCTGTCTGCAAAGTATCCTCAATAAGCTCTAAATAGGGACGATATCTAAGTTGTGCCGGGTGCTACAATGCTATGCAAAAGCTTACAAAGCGCTCGTACCTTCTACATTGAATCTTTGATTGTACGGGAGATATAAGTGTCTTGGAAACTGAGATATGATCATATTAAAATGACTGGTATGGTTCTTGGCTGTATCTATTTGCAACACTTTTTTGCTTTTCCCAGCCTCAATTCCGCATCGTCACCAGGAGATAAAAATGCCCCTCTTTTAACATGCATCACACCCAAATTATCTTGACAAGGCAATATCATCGATTCTCAGAATCATCTTCACTGTCTCCGCTGCGAGCTCAATTGCACTTGTGCTCACTAGCAGAGGCTGAAGGACTCTCTCCTCTGTGATATTGTCCTTGACACCACCGCTCCTGATGCTAACACCAGCATTCTGTTCGCCCTGAGCATGACGGTGGCGCAGATCAGTCACAACTTTAATCGAGTTGAGACCAGCGTTTTCGGCCAAAGTGGTCGGGATGACTTCCATGGCGTCCGCGAAAGCCTTCCAGCAAATGGACTCTGTCCCACTAAGCTCACGGGAACGCATGCTGAGACGGTGTGCGACCTCGATTTCTGGCGCACCACCTCCAGCAATTAGGGCACGTTTCTTCACCAAGCACCTAATGACACAGAGCGCGTCATGGATCGACCGGTCTGCCTCATCCAAGATCAAGTTGTTGGCACCACGAGCGACAATCGAAACAGTCTGGTTCGGCGTGCTCGAAGGGGTCTTGATGCCGGTGACCTTGACATAGCGTGCGCCCGAAGATTGAACCTCCTCAACGAGGTCAGCGGTGCCCAGTTTGTCCTCAGTGAAAGAGTCGATGTTCGCGATGGGCTTGCAACCGAGACTCTTGCAGATGAACTCAACCTCATCACGCTCGATGTCCTTGACGGCGAGGATCTTGAGACGAGAAAGGAAGTGGAGCGAGAGATCATTCACGGCATCACGGAGAATAGATTTCTGGATCAGCAAGACATTACACTTAGTCTTCTGGATCTTCTTCACCATGTTGAGAAGGTATTGGCGCTCCTCCTTCAGGATCTTATCCATTTGTCGGTAGTCATTGACGACAATTTGGTTCTCCATCTGCAAATCATCAGCACAGAGCTCCAACCAAGGCGTGGGCTTCAACATACATCAGGCTTCGGTGGACTAAGTTGAAACTGAATAAGACCTATCCGCGCCTTCTCAATTCTCGTGGGACCTCCACCACTCTTGATAACGGGCTGGTTCAGAACCAAGCCGTCGATCATCTCACTGTCTTCGATGGTACCGCCGACCTTCTTGACAATTCGGATATTCCGTAGATCCACGTTGTCCGAAGTTTTAGGGTCGATAATTTTCAGAACTGAGTCGACCGCCATCGGGCCCAGGAGACTCGAGTGCTGTGACACGATCTTCGAAGAAAGGGAGGTGGAGGCGGCTTGGAGGAGAGTCGCACGGTCGGTCAGGTTGATAGGAATCGACATTCCGTGGAGAATCTCAACCGCGGCAGCAGCAGCTCTCTGGAAAGATTCAGCGATAATCGTAGGATGGATGCCTGGAAATGTCAGCTTTCGATGGAGAATTGTCTAGCTTGAAATATCATACCCTTGCCTAACAGGCGTTCTGCAGCGCCGAGCAGACTGCCGGCGATGACAACGACAGAGGTAGTTCCATCACCTGCTTCCACATCCTGTGCCGCACTGAGGTCGACTAGCATTTTGGCCGCGGGGTGCATAACGCTCATGGACTTCAGCATAGTATTTCCATCGTTCGTCTGATCTTATCAGTATTGGAGCTCGTATGGGCGAGGGTGAGAAACGTACGATGATGGTATTTCCTTTGCCGGATTGAATCTGCATAAAGTTAGCTCAGGAAATAATTTGAAGTCCAGATTCGCGTCTCACCATCTTATCCATTCCTCGTGGTCCAAGCGACTGTGTTCAATTAGCCCCTCACTCAATGATCAGCATTGCGGAGTAGTATATACTGTTCTGATAGCATCGGCGACAGCTGTGACTTGTCAGCACCAGCACAGAGAAAGATGTTTTTGCTTTCAAGGGACTGATACATACCTCTGGCTGCCATGATGTTGGCATTTCGGACAGCCATAGGCTTTTCCTTATCCTGCGGGCGATCAGAATCCACGTTCACGCACAGCTGGCATAAAATCATTTGGACGAACCTTGAAGGCATTATTGCCAGCATTTCCTTGAGCCACTGCTGTAGCCATCTTTCCCGCAGTAACCTGTAATCACCTAATGACAATCAAAGCAAAGGCGGGGTCTGAGGGGGAGAGCTCGAGTGTCCGGAGGCGGCTCTTTGGAATTTCGCGAACTCGCTCGTTCTCAGGATGCTTGGCACCGCTAGCGCCCGTCACGGAGCTCGACGTACTCACTCGGCAGCCTGAGGAGCTACAGCTTGATCATCAACACATCACTCCATCCCTTCCGCTCCCACCTTTCACGACCCTGTCTTTGGACGGTCCGCTGCCGCTGCTTCTTCCCTCCTGGTAGATATTGTATTCCGTGTCTATCCTACATTCTTTTTGACTCGCGTGTAACGCCCGGCGTCGCCACCATGCCCAGCGCCACGGGTTCCAACTGGGAGAAGTACCAGAAGAACTTTGCGGACGATGAAGAACCAGAGAAGAAAATCACACCTCTTACCGATGAGTGAGTTAATCGCGACCTGAGTCTTGCAGATGACTAACGGCATGCAGTGATATCCAAGTATTGAAGACATACGGCGCGGCTCCCTACGCTGCAGCTTTGAAGAAGCTCGAGAAGCAGATCAAAGAGAAGCAAGCGAGTGTAAACGATAAGATCGGAGTCAAGGTATTTTACACTGTTCGCTGTTGGAAGTACAAATCTGACGTCTCTAGGAATCCGACACCGGTCTTGCGCCCCCTCACCTCTGGGACGTTGCCGCAGACAGACAACGTATGCAAGAAGAACAACCATTGCAGGTTGCCCGCTGCACCAAAATCATCCAAGACGAAAAGGATGAAGATAAGAGCAAATATGTCATCAACGTCAAGCAGATTGCCAAATTCGTTGTCAACCTCGGTGAACGGGTCAGCCCAACAGATATCGAGGAGGGAATGAGAGTTGGGTGGGCAGATCCCTTCGTTATTACTGGAAACAGCTGTACTGACGGGTGCTTTTAGTGTCGACCGAAACAAGTACCAGATTCTGCTGCCCTTGCCTCCTAAGATCGATCCTAGCGTAACAATGATGACCGTGGAAGACAAGCCGGATGTGACATACGGAGATGTTGGTGGTTCAAAAGAACAGATTGAGAAGCTGCGGGAAGTGGTCGAGATGCCGTTGCTTTCTCCGGAGAGATTCGTCAACCTGGGTATTGACCCCCCGAAGGGAGCTCTACTCTATGGGCCTCCTGGTACGGGTAAGACGCTGTGCGCCAGAGCCGTTGCCAACAGAACAGATGCTACATTCATCCGTGTCATTGGTAGTGAGCTGGTGCAGAAGTATGTCGGTGAGGGTGCCAGAATGGTTCGAGAACTTTTCGAAATGGCACGGACAAAGAAGGCCTGCATTATTTTCTTCGACGAGATTGATGCCATTGGAGGAGCACGATTTGACGATGGAGCGGGTGGTGATAATGAGGTGCAGCGTACCATGTTGGAGCTTATTACCCAGCTGGATGGGTTCGACTCGCGTGGTAACATCAAGGTGATGTTTGCGACCAACCGACCGTCAACCCTGGATCCAGCCCTGATGCGTCCCGGACGAATTGACCGCAAGATCGAGTTCTCTCTCCCCGATATGGAAGGAAGGGCGAACATCCTACGGATTCACGCCAAGAGCATGTCAGTGGAGCGGGATATTCGATGGGAACTCATCTCGCGGCTCTGCCCCAACTCCACCGGAGCTGAGCTGCGCAGTGTAGCGACGGAGGCCGGTATGTTTGCGATCCGCGCGCGGCGGAAGGTCGCAACAGAGAAGGACTTCTTGGCCGCTGTGGACAAGGTGATCAAGGGCAACCTGAAGTTCAACTCGACGGCGACGTACATGCAGTACAACTAGACCATGTCTCTTGTGTTTTCCTGTTTGCATCTTCGGTTGGTTGGCGTGGGCTATGCGGGATGTACGACGATATAATAGCGTATGCTTCCGTCTGTGAATGAACCTTTGCGCTCCTCCTGTTTGCGTCTGTGCTAGACCACGTAGAATCATCTCTGTCTGAAGCCGCCCTTCTGAATGTCTACTGTCAGGTAAATATTGATTACTTGGTAATCAATTAGCCGATATGCTACATATGTAGGAATGCTTTTCCCGGTACATCAGGTGATCTCAACTACATGACAACCCATGTGGAGAAGAGGATCAATATAGCTGATCAACCTCCAGCTAGTCAACATATGCCCGTAGCCAGACCCTTTTAGAAATCTATCTGATCGTCCGGAGGCCCATCGGACTATTCTTCCCTCCTGGTCGCCCTGACTGCACGCATTTACCGTCTATCCGCGCTGCGCTTCCTGTCTTTTCCGGCAAAGCGAACAACCTGCACGTGCCCAGGCCCTCGCAGCCAACCAGGAGCCCCCGGCTGTCCGGGAGGATTACCTCTGCAGCCACGCCGATTGGTCCGCTCGGCGTCCGGACGAGCTCGTTCGGCAACAGATGGAAGGCTCGGGTCGGCTTATGTAAGGCCTCTGCCGGCTGTCGTTCGCTCTTCGTTCTCTCCAGACCCAGAGAGCGAGAAGAAAGTCCAGCTTCCCAGCGAGAACGCCAACCCTGCGCTCTCAATTCCTGTCCTCTCCTCTCCTCTCTTATCCCACGCTATCTCGCGTCCTTTTCCTTCGATTGTGTTTCGCTCTGGTCTCGAGCAGCTGCTCCTAACCACACATCATGAGCTCCATGAGCTTGAGGAGCCTGGCTCCCGCATCTAAGGTCAGTTCCCGGTGCCCTTTCGTCATGGCAGGCGAGGGCTTCTCTGCCGGCTGTTGGTTGTACGACAGTATACTGATATCTCTTCTGCTTGTAGATCTCTCGTGCTCTGAGGGATCAGAGACGTCTCTTTTCTTCCACCCGTCCCGCAGGTACGCATCGACGCGAAATTCGCTTCCCAAGAACCTAGACTGACGCTTCGTCCACCAGCCCGTATATTCGCCAACCAGCCGCTGCGCGCAAAGGCGGCCGAGGGCTTCATTGCCCAGAAGTATCCCATCATTGTATGACCCAATGCGGCCAATTAAACCATTGGCGACGGAAAACTGATTTGTTTAGGACCACGAGTACGATGCGGTCGTCGTTGGTGCTGGTGGTGCCGGTCTGCGCGCCGCCTTCGGTTTGGCCGAGGCTGGTTTCAACACTGCCTGTATCTCTAAGCTTTTCCCGACCAGAAGTCACACTGTCGCAGCGCAGGGAGGTATCAATGCTGCGCTTGGAAAGTGCGTGCTTTTCCCCGCCGGATTCCCGACTGTCCGATAGCCCGCGTGGGTGGACCAGCTAACATCATCTCTAGCATGCACGAGGACGACTGGAGATGGCACATGTACGATACCGTGAAGGGATCCGACTGGCTTGGCGACCAGGACGCCATTCACTACATGACCCGAGAGGCTCCGGCAAGTGTCCGAGAACTCGAGGGTTACGGTTGCCCCTTCTCCCGTACTGAGGATGGACGTATCTACCAGCGTGCTTTCGGTGGTCAGTCGCAGAAGTATGGCAAGGGTGGTCAGGCCTATCGATGCTGTGCTGCTGCTGACCGTACCGGACACGCTCTCCTTCACACTCTCTACGGCCAGTCTCTCCGTCACAACACCAACTACTTCATCGAGTACTTCGCTCTGGATCTCCTGATGGAGGATGGCGTCTGCAGAGGTGTTATCGCGTACAACCAGGAAGACGGCACCCTCCACCGCTTCAAGGCGCACCACACTGTCCTCGCTACCGGTGGTTACGGACGTGCCTACTTCAGTTGTACCTCCGCCCACACGTGTACTGGTGACGGTATGGCTATGGTCGCCCGTGCCGGTCTGCCTAACCAGGATCTGGAGTTCGTCCAATTCCACCCTACTGGTATCTACGGTGCTGGATGTCTCATTACTGAGGGTTCCCGTGGTGAGGGTGGTTACCTGCTGAACTCGGAGGGTGAGCGTTTCATGGAGCGTTACGCCCCTACCGCTAAGGACCTGGCTTCCCGTGACGTCGTCTCGCGGTCCATGACCATCGAAATTCGTGAGGGCCGTGGTGTTGGTCCTGAGAAGGACCACATCTACCTGCAGCTTAGCCACCTTCCCGCCGAACTCCTCCACGAGCGTCTGCCCGGTATCTCCGAAACCGCTGCCATTTTCGCTGGTGTCGATGTCACCAAGCAGCCCATTCCCGTCCTGCCCACCGTTCACTACAACATGGGTGGTATCCCTACCCGCTACACTGGTGAGGTGCTGACTCTCGATGAGAATGGCAACGACAAGGTCGTCCCTGGTCTGTTCGCCTGCGGTGAAGCTGCCTGTGTCTCTGTCCACGGTGCCAACCGTCTGGGTGCTAACTCTCTGCTCGACTTGATCGTCTTCGGCCGTGCTGTCTCTCATCGTGTCAACGAGATCTCCTCTCCCGGAAAGCCTCACAAGGAGCTCGCTTCGGACGCTGGAGCTCAGTCGATTGCTGACCTCGACTGGGTCCGCAATGCGGATGGCCCCAAGTCGACCTTCGAAGTTCGCAATGCCATGCAGAAGACCATGCAGACCGATGTTAGTGTCTTCCGTACGCAAGAGAGCTTGGATGAGGGTGTCAAAAAGATCACCGAGGTCGACCAGATGTACAGCCAGATCGGCACGAAGGACCGCAGCATGATCTGGAACTCTGACCTCGTCGAGACTCTCGAACTTCGGAACCTTTTGACCTGCGCGTAAGTAACATACTGATATTTATTTCTCGAGGCTACTGACTGACATTATCTAGGACGCAAACCGCCTACGCTGCCGCAAACCGCAAGGAGTCCCGTGGTGCTCACGCCCGTGAGGACTACCCCGAGCGTGACGACGAGAACTGGATGAAGCACACCCTTACCTTCCAGAAGAAGCCTCACGGCGAGATCGACCTGACCTACCGTGCCGTTGAGTCCAAGACCCTCGACGAGAACGAGTGCAAGTCCGTCCCTCCTTTCAAGCGTGTATACTAAACGAAGCGCACACGGGATATATTAAGTGTGCGTTGTTGGTGGGGCATTGGTGTGGGCCACGAATGTCTTTCTGCCTTCCGGGGAACTGGGGGTTGGCGTTGTGACATCGGTCAGTAATATGTTATTCTCGCCGAAGGATGTGGTACCGCCGTCTGTATTACAATGAGTCCAGCAGTGCCTGGCTCACCCAGCGAAGCTGCAACGGAAACGGGGAAAGGAAAGAGGGGACAAAAAACTCCGCATCTCCAATTTCTGGGCGTGTCATATATAACCACATGTAGCTTTGTATTGGGTTCTATGTACTCACGTTAGCTGTCATCTCTTTACTGTTAGTTTACCTTATACAGCGGGTTTTCCTTTTTGTTTGACTGTTGTCCCCATGCCGATATTTTGGGTAATTTAGGTTCGCGAGTTCATGAGTGATTATCTAGGAGCATACTGCCCTGTACCGTCCTCATCTACTCAGTAGTTCGAGCAACACTGGACTATGGAAGTGATCGATGCCAACTTACATGGTCTCCCGCTTTCATCTCCGGTGGCGCGTGTAACATCATATGCCATGGTGGTAGCAGTACCTCCATTGCTCTTTGTATACGCCCAAAGGGATGTACCTGAGACACATTCGCAAAAGGAAATTGCGGCGTGCTGGCTTTCTTTTATTATGTCTGGACCAGCAGCCTAACTCTGCAGGGAGTCATCGAGTAAGCGCACATGACGGGAAACCATCCCAGACCTGGTCGGAGACAGGACGGCATAGGCGCCATTGGGGACTGCTGCTCGAATGATATCGGGTCTCTATTGCGGCTATAATTTGTCATGGAGTACTTTAGATATACGAACTGTGCTACACCTCGTCTAAATCACTTGGTAGTACTTTGGGCGCTGATGACAACGGGCTTGCTGCAGCATAGCCACTCTGCACCCTTCCTTCCAGACAGGGATTGTTCATATCGCAAATACGATATAGTGGGGCCATTTTTTTGTTCGATCTTAAGATAATTATCACGGCTCGTTGCACGATGACACATGTGGTTACTTTGTGGGTAGTTGCTGATGACCCTGCAGTTGCACATGGTGCGGCTGCATAATTGCTCACTTACCCTCAGACCGAACAATTCAGCCTCATGCCAGATCCCCAGACAGAACATTTCTGCCTTTCGAAGGGACATTCACATCCGCAGATGCTCATGGCTTGACTTCTGAGTTGAATCAGTGAAGACTTGGGATAACTTCCAGTATAACTGGTCCATATATTTGCCTTTCCTTTCTTTCTTCCTTTCTTTCTTTACCCAGGATGAAGATATATTTCCCCCGTCAGGCAAACACCTGTCAAGCTCCATTGCAGTTTTACAGATGTTCTAAAGGGGACTTTGTAGGATGCTGCACTGCTGACCCTTGCGATACTGGCGTTTGTCCCGATGGCGATGGTCCAAAAACAACAGCAGATACGACAACGGCAGCGGCGGCGACCTCATTGCCATCAACGGCCACAAGTACAGAAGAAACTACAACATATCCCGTTTCTATCCAGATCCCACAGTCGAACACGGAAACTTCCAGTATCGCCACTACTTCTTCAGGTACTCATTCAGATTCGATAGTCCAGACGACTCAACCGATCACTTCGCAGCACACATCTACGACTTCGACTACATCAGCTTCCAGAGCTATAGGAACGTCTTCTGGTACAAATGCTGCTTTTGCTTCTGCTACGAGCAACTCAAGTTCTGGTTCTCATTCGGGAAGCAATGGTGGGTTATTGGGAGGTATGTTGGGAGGAGCAATAGGAGGGATCGTCTTGTTAGGGTTGATACTAGCCTTTGTTTCATGGAGACGAAGAAAACGCGGACGACAATCTTCAAGAACAGGATGGTGTCTCTGTGGCAGAAATGATAAAACTCACAGAGGACCTACTGATGCCAGTGCTGCAGAAGGGTTCCTCTGCGCTCGTGGAAGAAGACATTCGGTGGAAGAACGTCTTGGTAAGAAAATGTGCTCTCATCCTTCAAAAGCTCCAGTATTTCTTACACTTATGTAGGCAAAGGCGTCAAGAAGGATCACTCCAGACAACAGTCTGAATCTTCGACAGTCCCTTCCGGGACATCGGACTATGAAAAGAAAGCGTCACCTAGCCTGGGTTCGCCTGGGAAAGCCGGTGGTGGAAGATTAATGACAACTCTTGAGGAAGACCCATGTCCTTTACTTGCAAGCAACCCCGTCATTCCGACAGCTGAATTACCAGCCTCGATTCCTTCAAGGCCCGACACCACCCCCGAACTGGCAGACACTGGAAGAAGCCCGGGCCGTTCGGAGTTACCACCTCATGCTGATCGCGAATTAATAAATATACCGATCGAGGCAAGAGCGAACGCTAGGTCTTGGAGGGTGAACAGGAACCATGGTCCTGTAACCAGCAACCAGGCACATATAAAAACTACTCGCGATGGTGCCATCATGCGACCCAACATGAATCATGAATCAGAAGAGGATACACCATCCAGCTATCTGCGGGAAAGGGGGCACATTATGAGTTTCATGCAGTATGGCAATTACAATGGCACGCCTCCGAACTCCGAAGCGGGTTCGCAGAGACCGACTCCTATTCCTCAAATTGAAATAAGCCCACCTATGCAGGATGACGCAGAGGGACGCGAGTCCGGGACAATGCCATCCTCATCGTCACACCGTGTCGGGCTTGGGCTAAGCGGCATATATATGCGTCAAACCTGAATCTAGATTTCTAATCGGACAATCGATGGAGCTTAATATTACGGGTCACGACTACTTCTCGCATATTTTAGTGATGATAACCCATTCAACGACGGCTTTTCTCTGTTAGCGGCATATAGGCTTATTTATTATTCATACCGTACATACCCGGGTTGGCATGTTCAATAAGGTGACTTGACGTTCAGAGATCAATCCACGAAATGTCTTAGGCCACGCAGTTTTGCTAGTCAGTATATAAATTTGAATCTGCAGGCTGCGTGATCCCATTGTAACAGTTATTCCATAAGATATATGTAACCAGGAGTTAGTTACCTGTGCCAGAATGCTACAACCTCCGGATCCGGCCACTCCGGGTAAGCAGAAAGAGTACAGAGATATACAACAACGACTCTGAAATATTGATGGACGTGGATGTGGGTCCATATATGCTCCGTACATATACACCAGCAACGGAGTGTCCCAAACATACCAAATCAACTTTATATCTGCAGCTTCCACTGCATGCAGCCCACTGTCACCTACAATATGCGGGGAAGTGATCGTAGATCGGTTGTTGTAAGTAGTGGGGCGAGGCCCCATATTCTGTTTCCCCGGCATAGCAGTATTCTTACCACGCCTCTTGTTAAAGCTTTCCCAAATTTGAAACACATTAAAATGATTGAAATAAATGACACTTTTGATCGATAGATATTCTACATTTTTATTCCCCGAGGTTCACGTGGAGGAGGAATACTCGCCACTTTCGGAAATATGGCAGAGAACGGTACCATTGTTACAGAAGCACTCGTCTGCTCCAGCCTTGGTGGAGAGTTCGAGATTAAGAGACTCACGGTAGACGACATACGAGAAGATGAGTTGTTGGTTCGCATCGTTGCGTCTGGTATTTGCCATACGGATTTCTCTTGCGCGGATGTCCTGTCACCTCTACTACATAACTATCATGTTCCTCTATCTTGAAGGTCTATCCGCTAACTGTATTCTACAGGGAACCACACCAGTGGAATTCCCCTTCGTGGGTGGTCATGAAGGTGCTGGAGTTGTAGAACGTATCGGGGCCCATGTCAACCATGTGGAAGTGGGAGATCATGTCCTGCTGAGTTTCAGTTCATGCGGAAAATGCGCCCCGTGCAGACGAAACATTCGTGCCTATTGTCGGGATGTGTTTCGAATGAACTTTTCAGGCTCGAGAGATGATGGCTCAAAGGCGTTTACTATGGAGGATGGCTCTCCTGTGTCGTCTCATTTCTTCGGCCAGTCAAGCTTTGCTCGCAGGACAGTTGTAAGAGCGGTGTCAGCTATCAAGATTGAGAAATCCTTGCCGCTGGATATTTTATGTTCCATGGGCTGTGGTATGCAAACTGGAGCGGGAACAGTTCTGAACGTCTTGCGTCCAGCAATGGGGCAAACGGTGGTTATCTTCGGTGCCGGCGCCGTAGGGCTCGCTGCTGTGATGGCAGCGAAGCTTACTCCGGCGAGTATGGTGATTGTTGTCGATTTAGTAGCTTCTAAGCTCATCACAGCTCGCGAATTGGGTGCAACGCACATTATCAATGCCAATGAGACTGACACCCTCGCTCAGATAGGTTCTCTCACCGATGGATTTGGAGTCGATCGCGCCATGGACACCACAGGGAACATTCATGTTATTAAGACAATGATAGATTGTGCCGCTCCTGGTGGACTCGTCGCTACTGTTGGTGCCCCGAGAAAGGGTCGGATTATCGAGATCGAACCTGCAACATGGTTGGCAAGGGGAATCAGCTATGTGGGAGTCCACCAGGGCTCTTCAGACCCGCAGAAGGTATACATTTCTGGTCTCGAACTCTAGAAGTATGGCTCATCTAGGGATATTCACAGTTCGTTCTATATCTCGTTCAGCTCTGGAAGGACGGCCGATTCCCTGTTGACAGACTGGTGAATACCTTCTCCTATGGAGAGATGCGGGAAGCAACCGACGCTTTACGAAAGGGAATATGCATCAAAGCAGTACTTCTGTGGGATGAATAGTGAATATGATGAAGCCACCATGGCAGGAGTCCACCTCCCTTCACTTGAAGCCTTCACTTGCAGCTCATTGCTTTCCACCCCTCAGCACTATAAGTCATCACATTATCCTCATTTCCTTTCATCTATTTTTCTATATCTGGACAGCATCTTATCATCCTGAAGCAGCTCCCTCTATCTCTAATACTCTGTGTTGGCATCCTTTTGTTGTTTTGCTTGGCTTATATTCTATATTATTATACTACTGCCTGGTTAGCTTTAAAAATATTTTTTACCTCACTTATTTATCTAGACCTGCAAATATGGCTTCACGCTAGACTTCCTAGTATCATTATTATTAGTCCTAGCTCTAATAGATAAACGCCCGCTAAGTTAATTTAGTGGTCTATAATCCCTTAGATAGGCAATCTTTCTATATCTGGACAGTATCTTATGATCCTGAAGCAGCTCCTCTCTATCTCTGATATTTTATATTGGTATCCTTTTATTATTTTATTTGGCTTATATTTTATATTATTATACTATTATCTGGTTAGCTTTAAAAATATTTTTTACCTCACTTATTTATCTAGACCTGCAAATATAGCTGCACCGCCAGACTTCCCAGTATCACTATTATTGGTCCTAGCTCTAATAGATGAACGCCTGCAAAGTCGATTCAGTGGTCTACAATCCCTCAGACAGGCAATCCTAGAAAGGGAGAATTTCCTCAGACATGGAGGTGAAGACCAGTATCTTTCTTTTAGCAACGTGAAGCCATCGGACTTCGAAACGATTGAATCCCGCCGTTTCCACCTTGGGCGGGGAATTGCATTCACCTACTTTGGGGACATTGAGACGTTGATAATCAAAGTCCCCACTAAGGCGCACGAAAAAGCTCACGCTTCAATCGGGCATGAGACTTACTATTGTTTGCGGTCCATGGGCATCGGTGAGTACGAGTTCTGGCCGATAAACGCTGCAAGATCCAGGGGTAGTAATAGCTCCTCGAAAGAAGGCGACTCGGCCTATCAAAACCAAGTACTTCGCCCTCACGACTATGACTGGCCGAACTTCGTCATTGAGGCGGGGCACTCTGAGAACATTCCAAATCTCCACATGGATGCCAGATGGTGGATAGAGAATTCGGGTGGACAAGTCCTCATGGTCATCTTGATATGGATAAGCCCACCTACCAAGACAGTGCTCATCGAAAAATGGATCCCGAGTCTACTCAATACCGATGTCAGGCGCAGTAGCCGTATTGCTGCATCATCATCATCATCAGGCGCTACCGCCGTCAAGATCGCTGAAATCTCGATCAACCAGGCAGGGGCAACGTCCGTAATCACCGGTGCTCCTTTAGTCCTTGAGTTCGACAGGCTAGTGGGCAGGCTGCCACAGAATTACAACGAGAGAGATGTGGTTTATTCCCAGAGTGAGCTTGACCAATGGGCAAGGGGTCTGTGGATTGGGTTGTGATTACTCTATTTGTGTATAATAATTGTGTTCATGGACGTTGCATTTTGCTTTCTGTGGGTTGTTGCTTATTCCTTCCGGCAGATTAGTTGTCTTGAAAATTTATTTGGGACCAGTAGTACCCCTTCAGCCGATCAATCTTATCATACTCAAGAGTAAATATACTAAGTAGTATGTAGAAGCTTAAGAAAAGCGGATGGCATATAGAGCTAAGACTTCTGTGGGTCTGAACGTCAAGAGAGCCTTGTACTTCCTGCCAATTATCAAAACTGAGTAAATGAAATGAAATGAAGTGAAATGAATGCCGATTTTAAGTTAGTTAACTAACTAGTTAACTAACTAACTAAGTACTGCTGTGCTGACTAAGATCAATCTAAAAGGAAGTAACTAGTTAGTTAGTTATGACCTCATCGTTTCCATATCATCAATTCTTTCCTTTTCTTCAAAGGAGGTTTTGCCTGTATTGGATTCGAGTAGAAAAGAAGAATATGAGGAACTCCATTCTGGAATAATCTATTTTATTAGGAACATTAACAAATAACATGGAGAAATTGCTTCTATGGTAAACACCATACGGCAGGGTAGTTCATTCCGGATAAATAGGAAAGCGAGAAAAAGTCCCCGAACAAACGCAGCTCACGAACCGGACAAAATACACTCTGTTTGTATCAATTAATAATCGATCATGTCAATTATTCATCCCTTGCCCCTCTAAATCATCGATGGAGTAGGGTAGGGCAGTTTTACTCTCGTATGATATGAAAAGTGGAGATACTGCTCGCGTTAGAGTGAAGCTTGGCATGTACATAGTTAACCCCAACCACCGACGGTAGAGTAGAGCGATGAACTCACAGGTCCGTAAGAGTAGGTAGGTAGGTAGTTAGTTAGTTAGTGAATCCTGGCTCCTTCTGTGCCGGATGGCTCGGGATAGGCCTGGCTCACTGTTCGAGTAAGTCTGAATGCTTGCTGAGTGGGGTTTCTTTTCTCTGGGTTTATGGTCTTATGACGACGATGGATGGTGAACTATTATAAAAGCTTCCATGCCCACCCGCTGCTATGCCTCTGTAGGTAATAATAGCTATCTAGTAGTACTCATTATCGTGCGAGAAAGAAAAACAATACACTCGCAATTAATATCGACATCTATTGAAAAATCGTACCTTGAAGAAGAAAAAGAAGAAGAAGAAGAAGAAGAACAATCGAACAAGATGGCTCCCAAGATTCTCGTCGTCCTTACTTCCCAGAACAAGATCCCCAAGACCGGAGCCCAGACCGGTTGGTACTTGGTATGTGTAACGAGGACTTTCCCAACCCACCCACACACCCTGAAGCAGCCGCTAACATAACGATTTCTCTTTTACTTTTTCCAGCCTGAATTCGCACACCCCCACGAGGTCCTCCATACCAAGGCCGACCTGACCATCGCATCGCCTCATGGCGGCGAAGCCCCCCTCGACCCGAACTCTGTCAAGGCCTTCGAGAAGGATGAAATCTCGCAAAAGTTCCTGAAGGAGCAGAAGAATCTGTGGACCAACACGGCCAAGTTGGCCGATCTAGTCTCCAAGGCGGGGGAATTTGATGCGATTTTCTATGTTGGTGGTCATGGACGTAAGTAACCGTCTTCCAAATGAAGTAGTAGTCTTCCTGCAAGAAAGGGACAAGTTGCTAACAAGTGGTGATTTATCTCTTGGCTTTTTATAGCCATGTTCGACCTCGTTGATGAACCCAACTCCCTCGCTCTCATCCAGTCTTTCGCTGCGGCAAAGAAGCCCGTCGCGGCTGTATGTCACGGACCGGTTGCGCTGCTCAACGCGACCGCGCCCTCGGGCGTGCCTCTGATCTCAGGCGCTTCTGTGACTGGATTCTCGAACGAAGAGGAGACCCAGGTCGGTCTGCTGGAGGCGATGCCGTTCCCCCTGGAGACCGAGCTGAACCGCGTCTCGGGCGGTGGATATGTCAAGGCTGACCAGGCTTGGGGTGAGAAGGTCGTTGTGGCCAAGACGGCGGGCACGGGGGCGCCATTGATCACAGGTCAGAACCCTGCCAGCGCGTCGGGCGTGGGCAAGGCGATCCTGCAGGCTCTGGGTGTTCACTGAACGAAATCCCCTTGAACGTTCTATATCGATGGTTGATTTGGCTCGAGGGTTTGCGCAGGAGAGACGATAAATGTTGTAATGCCCACGCGTGTATGCTAGTATGCGCTCATAATACTTAATGTCTCTACGGGAATGAAGACTAGGAATTCCAAACTAGCGAATTCTCAGAATAATTCACTATAGTTATTGATCCCGTCTGAGGGGTCGGCGCTATGTCCACTTTCGACTCTTAATCAAAGGAAATGAAAAAGGAGACGGACTGGGGAATTGCCGATATAAATTAGAAGATAAATAAAACTTCGACTTCAACAACAAAGATCCAGCTAGTAAATTGCACGCACAGTCGACTGCGCTCGTTGGTTGGCAAGGAAACGAACTCAGTTTAGATGATTTGAGTGATTGATGGGTCAAAAGAACCGATCAGGGAGAAACACAAAGATAGACAGGACAAGACATCGTAATTGAAATGTACGCAAGTGGTATCGCTGCACGACTGCTGACGGCAAGAACTACCGTCGCTGTCGATTGATGGGGATATCTGGCGGGAAAGATAATAAACTTGTGAATGATAATAGGAGGAGAAAGTGGGATTGGCTGTATGATAGGAGAAATCGAGAGTGGAAAAGGCACGTGGAAAGCAATCGAGATATGGAAAAAGGCCAGTAGGTGTGGTGGTCGAGGGCGGAAAAGCGCACGTCTCGAAATGGGGTATGATATGTCGCAAAGGAAAAGGAAACAACTAGGGTATTTGTACACCGGGATATATCGACAACAGCAGCCTTGAATCTGACGCTACCATCTATCGCGCCGCTTCCATGTTGCCGGTCAACTCTGCAACGCGGGCCTTGATACGAGCAACACGAGATTCGATAGCTGAAAATAATATTAGACACTTTCAAATTTAGGGGCTTTAGGGTTATACTCACTCTCCTCTCCACTGGTATCACCGTCGTCAGTCCTTTCAGTAAGGCTGGTCCGGTTTCCTGCCTCGAATTGGGCAGCAGCCCTCTCCGCGGCCTGCTTGCGGATCTGTGCCCACCGATCATGCGATGGCGAGACCGGCTCGGTTGGCTCAGGGCTGGACTGCCCGTTTGTTGCAGTATCTATAGGCTGCCTTGTATCAGGGAACGATTCCGACACAGGCGAGTCTTGCGGCGTTCTGGCTGGCTGATCAACCAGAGGACCCTGGTCGAACGAGGAGAATTCACGATCGGCTGCGGCTTTCTCGTCAGTGTTGACGCGGGAAAGGTTGTCATAGTCCGCGTCCTTTCGGGTCTGTGGAGGTCCATTCGCTGGAAGTGAAACTGGAGCTTCCTGCGCCTTCTTGGATCCCTGAAGTTCCGGCTCTACTGCCGCTGGTTCTTCCACCGGTTTTGGTGTGGAAGGCTTGGACTCAGGGGCAGGCGACGGGCTTTCGGAGATAGACTTCTTCTTGAATCCAGACAGACGCTTGTAGGAGCCAGGCTTGGGGCCAGGCTTTTCTTGAGCAGCCTTGTTTCTGCCCTCCAGAGCAGCGCGTGCGGCGGCGACAGCACCCTGTCCACCAGTGGGCTTCATAGGAGGCGTATCGACCTTCTTCTTGTTGCCGCCGAAGATGCCCTTGAATCCTGTGTTGCCGGTCTTCTTCTTGAGCTTTTTATGTTCATCCGTGGAGGCGATGGACTTGGGCGACTGCGGCGACGAGGGTTCCTTAGCCGGCTGTGGAGTAGGGGCAGGTTGGGGTTCAGGAGTCTGTTCCACAACTGGTGTAGCAGGGGGCTCTGGCTCTGGCAAAGGAACGGCGGCCGCTTCAACAGCGTCTTTGTTATTTGGAGCCTCCACAGGTTTGGCTGGAGGCGCTGGCGCTGGCGCTGGAGCTGGAGTAGGAATAGCCGCTGCAACGGGCGTGACCTCACGCTTCTGTTGCGGGGAGGTCGGAGTAGCTGGAGGAGCAACCTTGGTTGTCGTGGTTGGGACAGGCGAGGCGCTTCGCGATCGATCATTTGCTTGGAGGTTCAGCGTATCTGTAGGGGCTCCGGTACCTGCGCGGTTGTCTCTGAGATATGCGGAACGGACAGCATCCTTATCGTAGATACTGGCCCACTTCATCGCCTGAGAAGCCTCGTTCAGGATCACCGGTTGTAGAGTCATTACAGAGTTCGTCTTCGTGGAATGAGCATCCTCAGGAATTCTGGCTCGACGTTCATTGGCGACTTCTTCCTCCTGCTCCTGGCGCTTCTTCTGAAGAGCGGCGGCGGCGGCCTGTATCCTGGCATGCTGGTCTGGCGCAATGCTGGTCTTGCTTTGAGGAGCAGGGTTGTTTCCTCTTGCATAGGGTTGATCCAAGGGACTCTTCTTGGCCGTGGACTTCCGGCGAGTTACCTTGCCCTTCCTGCTAAACCCGAAGAATCTCTTCTTCTCTGCGATATACGCACCAGGTTCAGGTTCAGGGGCTGCTCCTTTCACCTGCTCCTCGAGGACCAACCACTTGGCCCCGGCAATAATGGTTTCGATCAAAGCACATCGTCCAAAGACCGCCTTGCGTGCTGCTGGTTCCTCACCCGAGAGACTGCTAATCCAGACCCACCAGAATGAGTCGTCCAGGTCGATCCTAGTGACGTTGGCGAGTTCTCCGGGATCCAGAACAGATTCTGTATCGAGCGTGCGCTTATGCGACTGAGAGCTCTGGCCTCGGACGGATGCAATAGGAGGGAGCACCTTGTCCGGCGGCAGAAGGAGAGAATGGGGAGTTTTCATGCCGTTCTCGTCATTAAAACCCGTCGACAAGAAATCAGCCCAGGAAGGGGTTGTTGGACGACCTAGCGGACCCGCCGAGCGAGGGATTGACGACAAACCTGGAGCATCGCTTCCAGGGCTTGTCGTACCGTCAAGTGGTTCGTCTGTGTCCGACTCTACGCCGCCAAATCCGATGTCTTCGAACCGGGACCACGACGCGTCGCGCAGGCTTGTTGAATCCTTTGTGCTTGAGACATGCGACGACTGGTTGGTAGAGGAGATGCACTTGAGCACTCTTAGACACTCATCAGTCAAGGCGCGCACCGGATCTTCGTAAGCGGCAAAGTCTTGCAATTCCTGATCACTATCCCTATATTCAAAATTCTTCGCGCGCCGTAGCAAGGCAAACGGGGTCGGGGAGACCGTATCCACAATCATGACGACCTTGGTTGTCGTGATCTGAAGCAGCGCAGGCGCTTCTGGCGGATATTCCGTTGCTTGAACAAGGGACTGGAGAGCAATTGGAAGGGTCGAAATGCCCTTGATTGCGCGACCAGGATCCGGAGATAGGGAGCGCAGGTAGGCGAAGAATAGATGGCTCGCAGCATCCGCGGCACTGCAGAGATCATTGTCAATGTGATGAAAACACGAGGAGGCACGGGAAACTCACGCTGCCCAGTTCTTGTACGCTGCATCAAAGCCATTGCCGGCATCCGTGTGCTCGAACGCCCACCATCCTGCATATCTTGAGAGCTTTCTTCCACCCAGACCGTTCGACTTGCCATGAGCGGCAATCGCCGCAAGGAGGTCGAAGAAATCAAAGATGATCTTCGTTCGTGCATCTGATTCAACGCTGATTGGAATGAAAGTGGAAAAGGCATCGCGGGCGAAGTGTGAGTCTGCCGTGGCGTCAGATAAGCTTCACCGTCGCGTCTGCTTTAATCCGGAGACCATACCTTGCTCGCCAACCTTGAAGAGCTCGTAGGCTTCCCAAGTCACTACTCCTCCAGGGAGTCTGCTCCAGCACCATTTCAGCACACTGCATAGGACCTATACAACACGGAAAACCGAATTAGCCATGCTTCCTCCATCGGATCTCGATTGTCATCTCCCACCATTGCCTCAGTCAACTTCAGCTCCTGCTTCAAAGCCTCCCCACGAAGGGGAGTCGATCGCTCTAGGTTGAAATAGTTTCTAACGAACGTACGCGCCGCGCTGGGATCGGAGCTAGGACGGAAAGGAAGCAGCAGAAAGGGAATATCGAGAGCTATACATGCATCGGTTCGCGTCAGTTTCTGCGCGCACAATCAAGAGCCAGCGATGGCGACTCACCTCGAAACTTCAATTCCTGCGTACAACCGTGCAACAGCTCCTGCACCTCCTCCGGACCGACTTCCGTTCTGAGCCATGCGTCGGTCCATTTTGGCTTCGAAGGCTCTGCGGGTTCCGACGTTTTCTTGGACTGCTTCTTAGCAGCCGCAGATTCTTTGCCCCGGAAGACACGCGTGAAAAAAGTCATTGTCGAGGGACAAACAGCTCCGCGCTGATGATTCTGGATGGATTATCAGTGTCGCGCTGGTGTTGTGAACGTGCATCAGATGGGGAAGGTCGATGGCGGTGAGGTTGCGGTCTAGATATAGCGCTTCGAGTTTCAGGATCTACAGTGCCCCGCGACAAAGGGTTTGTTTCTTGATAAAAAGAAAATAGAAATAGAAAAAAAGGATAAAAAAATAAAAAAGCGGAAGGAATTAAAAAAAAGAAATTCGTTAATGGTCGAAAGAAGCGCAGAGATTAGAGACTGACCGCGAGGGCCAAAGAAAGTTGCGAGCAAGCAACCAAGGTCCCAATAACGCAGGCAGTCTGGATAGCACAGACAAGAAGAGGGGGATATGAAACAACCTTGTCGTCAGAACAGCAGACCCAGAGGAGAAGCAGATGGACGTGCTTTTCCTGGCCCGAGAGGAGAGAAAAGGAGATGAGACGGGCGTGCGGCGGGAGCGGGCGTTATTAGGGAATTGTCGCGTTTAGTTTTTTTCGACGACTTTGGGGATCTCAGGGGTAGCTAGCTGGATCCTCGAAGGCGTCAAGAACTTAGAAGAGTCTAGGTTAGATTTCTATCCGGGCCTCCAGCCACGGTCCAGAGTCCAGACGAGTAGATCCAGAGAGAGACTGCTCGTTTCTCCGCCGCACGGTCAGGGTGAAGTCGATGATGGAGATTGGGGGTTTTTTCTTCCTCTACTACTTCAACACTACGATGATCCCATGCTTACCCCACGATGCGGTTGTGTTGTCGACAATAATAATGGCCGATACGTCAGACTGGCTGTCTTCTCTCGCGTGGAAACTTTTTTTGCACGCGTTTCTTTAGCTACTCCTGATTATGATTAGAGTAAACTTCCCCCGCTTCGGACTCGCTCATATCCGACGACGCAAGGGCATCAATCAGGCGGGTAGATATGTCTCCAGAGTTCACTTGCGGGTTCTGATACTGACATCTTCTACATATCTACTTCGTACCAGACGAAACGCTGACGGCCCTGATACGACACTGCACCTGGCGTATACAAGAGCGCATTTAGGATTGCGGCCAGCGCGTCCCAGTCCGACACGTCGTGGTGCGTGACGATCCCGACAAGAGAGCCTGCACCCTCCAATAAGGCCACCGCGACGCGACGGACCTGGGTATTTGATATTCACTATCCATGATCCCGACCGGGCAGAACGAAACCTGTCTGGCTGGTCGGTTCTCCTCGGTTTTCTTCCAGCGCTCCCGACCTGCTGGCCGACTTGCTCGACTATGCCCGATATGGGCGACGAGGCGAACTTTCGTGATAGCTTCGAGTCTAAGTTGGACGGTCTTAACCGAATTTTCTCGTCCAGTCGCTGACAGGCGCAAAGTCAAAATTACCCTGAGCCATGTCGACCTGCACCGCCCTGGATGGCAGTCCACCCAGTCATAGAAGGTCGTGAATAGACGATGGAACGAGCCAAGTATTCAGGGCCCTTCCAGACATTATTGGGTATATGAACTCTACTGCGTGCTTTCGCTGTCTGTGCGATCAAACGTCCACTCAAATTTTCCAACCCTCGCCCAGAAATCATCAATTTCGGACGCGGAAAACGAAAAAAAGGAGTTTGGTCGGTCTTTTCCTATCCGCGGTTAGAGTGCGGATAGTAACCGTGGCGCGGTCATCTTAGCCAGGAACGCCCGCCTTCGCTCCACCATCGCCTGTGGCCCTGTGCCCTTAATTTACCTTCTTTCCCACCTGTGGAGCGTCTAGAAAAGCTGCTTGACCAAGTTCTGGGTAGAGAAGCTTGGCCTATGGTGGCCGGCGTCCATGCTAGGCCATGTTCCTCGACTGCCCCAGCTTCAAGGTTCTCAGCCTGCCAAGCTGCTACGTATGGAGTTAACTCATCCTCAAGGGCATGTGATTTGAAAGGTGTAATCTCAGTAGCCAAGATGTCCATACGAGCACGGAGTACATCCTCATGTAGGTAAACATTCTAGCATATTACTTGGATCTAGTTCTCGGAGATATTTTACTGCTCATCTCCGCTAGACTGTGTCACAGAATGCTGCAACTCGCATAACATATAGACTCTGGAGTACTGGCATCTGGGTTCGGAATATGAGCTGGAGTTTTAATTACTCCCCAGAGTAGGTAGATGAGGAGCCTCCTGATGCTCTGTGCTCAGCGAGGGGTGGAGAAGGCATCCCGGCCTCCAAGCCCAATGTTACAGTGTATGAAACAATCGTGGACCTCCCGTGAGTCCGTAATAAATACCAATTGCGGGAAGTAGCATCAACAGGACCAGAAGTCAGAGCCTTAGGTTGCGAGAGCCGTACAGCATTCTTTCTGGAACAATAATAATACAACTACGAGTTATGGAGTCTGATTGGGCTCTGGGTGTCGCTTAGTCCTTATTTGCTGGGGATGCCAGGTCCCAGGAGTAGAAATCTCCCCGCACTGATCTGGCAAGAATGTTAATCTCACTTCCACTAGTTCTCTGTATACTTCAGTCACTACTGCACAGCTAGGTCTAGGTCTCAGACTGGGTGAGAAACGAGATATTCCTTAATGAGATTATCGCTGATGGTGATCGCTGATGAGGACTGCTGATGATGGTTGCTGATCTGACAGTCTCATAATCTGCGAGGCTACACAGACACCTGGCGGCCCCCTGCGCTTCTGGGCGTGATCCAGCCAGGGGTTCTCCAAGCTTTGCCCCAGAATCGATACTGATTCGTCCTATAGGTAAGACGCACTGATTACGAACAGCGGATATATATCCTAAGGCTGGCAAGGCTAGCTGAAGGGTGGGACTAACATCTAGCGGACGACTTCATCGACTACCTACCAGACAGAGTCATCAGTAGTGTCTATGGCAAAAGGAATAACGTTGCGCGACAGTCGAGATGAAAGGATCGATGTGCCACAGATGTTTTCAAGCATCCGTTACTTACGTAGCACCCGCTGTTTTCGGATCTATGACGACTGACGCGCAGTGTGACCTGATTGGCGCCTGCTGTGGGTTATAAATAGACGCCCGTTGGATTACTGTGACCTGCAGCCAATAGGACACGAGGACGGCGGCTAATGGACAGCCTGCAGCCAATCAGACTGCATCTGGGCTGTGATCGGTCCGACCATTCAGCCGCAGCCGCAGCCCCTTTTGCGCTCGAAGAAGTCCAAAGCCCAACCAGATTGCCGCCCCTCCGAATTCCGCCTACTGAGCTTAAGCCGAAGGGAATTCCTCCACCTCCCACCGTTTTTCTTCTATCTTTAGAATCAATCCTCTGCATGCTTCCCCTTCCCCAAACTTCTTGCCAACCCTTGCCGCACAGAGCCTCTGCGTGCCTACGCTTCTGCGCTGGGTCGATCTGAAGATCGCCCACGTCCGCTTTATCGCTTTTGTTCCAACCACCACTCAGGCTGACAGGCCTGCCTCGTCCTCGGTTTCGCGACGGCCTCTCCAGCGACATTATCTCGCTGGCTGTCGCGCCTTTGTGCCAACGCATATTCCCGTCATCGTCGATCCCCTCCCCTGCAGGATTCTACGCAGGCCCTTATCTCTTTCTGGCTCCCTGGGAGCGTTGGTGTCGATAAAACAACTACGCATTTCTGTCTCTGCTGTCGTGTGGTTTGGGCGCGATCGAGGAACTGCGCGCTCCGCGTCTTCCGCCTGAGAAGCAGACACGGCCTGGATTCAGCAGCGACAGAGGTCGACAACACTGGTACACATATAAGCGACGAAATATCCTCATCGTTGGTGAGGTCTCAATCGAGACCGTTGTTATCACGGTCACCGTACCGCCCGACCTGATCTGGTGATATCTCAGCGGCGATCATGGGTCGGAGAAAGATTGAGATCAAGGCGATCAAAGATGATCGCAATCGCTCAGTGTAGGTTTGGACTTGCGCGGCGTATGACATTTGTATTGGATCAGGCTGACCAGCATTCTTGATCAATAGCACTTTCTTGAAACGAAAAGGCGGTCTCTTCAAAAAGGCACATGAACTGTCCGTCCTCTGTTCCGTCGATGTCGCCGTCATCATCTTCGGTCACAACAAGAAACTATACGAGTTTTCTTCCGGTGATATCCGCGAAACGCTAGGGAAATACCAATACGTGCGTATACCCTGATAATGTTCCATACCTGGCGCAGTAGCCCTCGAAGGTAGTGTTTGGGTGATAGTTGCTGATGGCTAAACTATTGCAGTACCATCCCCATGAGCACAAAGGACCAGCAGACTTCGCGGGGAAGCGCGATGCGGACGACGACGACGAGGATGACTCCCCAGGCCCAGAAGAACCGCCTCAGCAGGGCCATCCTATGGTGCCTCCGCATCTCCAGAACCAACCTGGCTTCCAGCACATCAACCATGCGCCATCTGCTTCCCCGCCCATCCCCAACGGAGTTCCCTTTGTTCCCCGCCATGGAACTCCTCAGCCGCAGGGACTGTCTCGACCGTCGTCAAGAACGCATATGCGTCGAGTGAGCTCGAATCTAGTGCCGCAACAGCATGCGCATGCTACTCCGCCTCCGCAGAACGGTTTTGCCTATATGCCTAACCCCTCCATATATAATCCGAACGCGCCTCCCCCTATGCACCAGCAGCCGCCCAGGCCTGGTCAGTTCCCGCAATACGGCCATCCGGGTCCTATCCCTCAGCATCAGCCTCCTCATCCGCATCCTCAGCACCCGCAGATGCAGCATATCCCACAACATCCACCCGCCCACGGGCTTCCGCAGCAACATCCACAACATGGTCTGCCGCCGCACCAGCAGTCCCATCCGGGTCTCCCGCAACAGTCACCGCCGCTGTCGCAACAGCGACAGCACCCACAGCTACCGCCGCAAGTCACACAGGCCTACATCCCAGACCAGGGACGGCATTCCATGCCCGCGACGTTCCCCCCAGAGCACCAGCACCAACCGCAGCCGCAGCCGCGTCCAATGCCCGTGCCAGAACCGTCAGCTCAGCAGATGTCGATGCCTCCCAAGTCTGAGGGCAGTCTGTCCCCTCCAGAATCGAAGCAGCAGCAGCAGCAGCAGCAGCCGCCACCGGTCAAATCACGCAGCATCTTCACCCCAATCGACGATCGTGGTTCGGTTCTGGCTCGTCATTTTGGGGTGGGTCCTCCCACGAGTGAATCTCCGCGGAATGATGCACAATCCAGGCCAGACCAAGAGAATACCAATACACCGACTGTCACCACTGGACCGCCTTCTGCTCCTCTGCCTCCTGCACGATCTGCGACAGATCCGCAGCGCACACGATCAATGCCGTCGATTCCCGAGGTCAAGCCACCGTTGAAAAGCAACAGCCTTCAACTCAATGCCAAACGACCGCGTCTGAAGGTGCAGATTCCGAGCGAGAACTCGGATGGCGGAAGTGCAACGGCAGATTCGTCTCCCCGTGGCTCAGCAAACAAGACAGCAACTCCCGCCAAGGCAGCTGACGGGAGTCATTCGGGAGTTGTATTGCCTCCTCCCTCGCCCTCTGCGGGCGCCCTTCTCAGTGCTGGCGCACAAGGTCCTCCGAACCCTTTCGCGCGACCTCCTCCACCTGGAGCTGCATCCCAGAACGGCACTGCGTATAATAACAACAACAATATCGAAACCCCGATTTCGGCGCTCCCTAGCCGTTTCGTTTCTGACGCTCTTCTTCCATCCCCCTCGAGCTTCTTCCCGGAGTGGGGTTTTGGTCGGTCTGGGCCCGACAGTAATATGTTGCCCAGCCCGCTTACGTTCCCGACTCCATCGGTTCAGAACGGTCCTGGATTCGCGCGGGAAGACGAAGTGGACAAGAAGCGCAAGAGCCCCGAGAGCGGTCCTGGCAGCGACGCGGGCAGCAAGAGGGTGAAGACCTGATAGGCCACACCTTATATTCGGCTTTATGATTGAACATTCATTTTCTAATTGCTGTCTTGATGATCTCATGGGCTGGCTGCATTTTCCGGCGTTGTGAAATATGAACGTTCTCTTTTGGTCCAAGTCCCGTCCTTGGAGGCTGGCTTTTGCGGGACAAGCTCTCTGCTATTGTCCATGCTATCCTTTGCATTTCATGAATTCGTTCATCTGTCATATCTTCTCCACTGTCTTTGAGTTTTGCTTTTTCGCCCTTATAATATCCACCAGCATCCTACCTGCACTATCTGTAACTTCTTGGTATGTGTCTCCTTGCTATACCCCTTTCCTGTTCTTTCTGCCAAAACCACGACTCTGTCTTTGCATCAATCTACTTTTTCTCCTCTCTCGGATCAAGAAGCTACGTTTCTTTTGCATCTCGCGATGCAGTACGATACAACAGGACACTCGTTTTTGGTTCTCTTCTCCCTGTCCTTTTATAAACCCGGGTCTTCGTTTCCCGGTGGTAATTACCTTCTGATACTAGGCTGGCTTACATTCTTTCAGGGGGTCCGGAGCGGAGTCTTCTGCCTAGAATGATTTACTATGCTCTACCTCCTTCTAATAATGTGCATACCACACCTTCATTGGGTGCTTCAAGATAATGACGGAGGAGGAACGGGAAACTGTGGTCTTGATTAACTTTTCGTCATCGGAGGCCGGGGCGTGTTCTTTTCTCTGCGGGGGGTGGGGGAGGAAAAGACAAAATAAATGGACGTACAGTATTATATAACTAGTATATAGGGGGAAACACTCGAATCAATAAAACTATTTCATTGGGATATCTCTCATTTTTACTTGTATAACTAGTCAAAATCACTGATGACCAAGTTTAAACTCCGCTGGCACACACACGTCTGTGGATGGTGCCCCAAGGTTTGTCGCAGGTGAGAAACCCCTCGAGAGATCGTACACAAACAAATCCGGAAAGCGACAGCCCTTCTAGAAGTGATGTACATAATCGCAGTTTGCGATTCAGCTTGCTAGAGTCTAAGGCTTGCATGTATATATATATATATATATACAAAAGGCTTCTTGTATCACGCATCCAGCACGAGGGGATCTAGATCATGGTATGCTGAATCTATCTATCTATCTACTGGTCCATTCTGGATAACCCATGGTCTGGTTGTTGGATTCTTATAGAGATTCCCTTTTTTTTTTTTTTCCTTTTCCTTTTTCTTGGTGATTATAAGTTTATAACCACACGGTAGGCTATGTATGTATGTATAGTATGCAAAGATGTACAGTACATGACCTGTGACCATGATAGAAGGGATCGTATGATAATGATGATGATGATGATGATGCTATGCATTTCTTTTTTTTTTCCCTCTCGGTTTCCTCCGATTTCTTTCCCATGACCTGAGTCAAGTAAGTCAGGCGAAATAATGACATACATCTGAACTTCGTCAATGGACTTTTTTTTTCTTCTTCCCCTTTTCTCGTCTATTGTATCGTGCGCTCGTAATGCGTCGTAGATGTCGAAGGATGGGGCGGGGTAGTTGGTTTAAGACATTAATATTATGAAATATAAATAGAGGAATGGGATTTATTGTAGGATCTCGATTCCGTTATCAAGGGTCTTTTTTTTTTTTTCGACCCTGACTAACGGAGATAATGAGATCAGACTTCCTCCTTGGCTTCACCAGAGCGCGCTGCTTTGGCGGCTTTCTTTTCATCGAGCAGTTCTTGACGGACGCGCTCTTGCTCTGCGAGACCGGTCTTGGTGATTTCGTGGGACTTGCTGAGTTCCTTGCGTCGGATGAAAATGCTTAAGAAGCACCCGAAGCCGGCGATGCAGACGTAAAAGATCCATGCACGGCTCAGAGAGAATGTGAATGCCTCGAAGACGACAGCTTTCTGGGATGGTTTCAGAGTGTCGAGAAGGCTCCTGTCCGAGCCGGAGAAGGAGTTGGCAATCTCCGCGGCCTTTTCAGGACCGAGAGCTGCCACTAGTTTCGCAGATTGTTTGCCCATGACATTCTGGTAGACAACGCCACCAAGGACGACCGAGATGGAGGTTGATAGCTGACGGATGAAAGCGAAAGTTGCAGTTGCAGCTGCCATGTCGGATCCACGGACATTCGCCTGGAGTGCAACGAGAGGGGCCTGGAAGTTGGGACCGACGCCCATTCCAGCAATCAACTGGTAGATGATGATGCGTGGCCACGACGCATATGGCTTCAGGTCGATAAAAAGACCGAAGCCAAGGGTCATAAAGATCATGCCGAACCAGATGGCTGGCATATACAAGCCTGTCTTGCGGATGAAGATACCCGTGCAGGCCGAGAAGAGCGAGAGCATCAGAACTTGGGGCAAGCTGTATACACCACTCAGAATCGGACTAGCTTCCAGCACGGTCTGGAAATAGAGGGGCATGTAGTAAGAGCCCGAAATAAACACCATTGCGTGACACGACGACATCATCAACAGTACGATGTTGCGCTTGTCGTGGAAGAGACTCATCGGCATAATCGGATACTTGGCGAGTTTCCACTCATTCAAGAGAAAGAGGGCCATGACCACCACACCGAAGATGATCAGGCAAATGACCGTGGCGGAATCCCACGGGCGGCTGACACCACCAAACTCAAGTCCAAACAAGAACATGATGGTTCCTCCCACAATAGTCAGGGTGCCGATCCAGTCGAGGGCGCGCAGACCGGCGAGCAGGGGCGTCTTCGGGGTGTCAATCTTGAGCAAAAACAAGATGATCACAAAGGACAAACCACCGATTGGCACTGCGACGTAATGTTAGAGCTAGAAACAGACGAAAGTAAGGCCGAGAGTTGAAGACATACAGTTCAGGTAGAAACACCACCGCCAGGTGACGCTCGTCGTGAACGCACCCCCAATGATGGGGCCCAGGGCACCAGCAATGGCCCAAGTCGCCCCGAAGATACCATAATACATTGGCCGTTCCCTAGTGCGGGTCAGTTCTGACTTCGACCGCAATATAAATATATTGCATGCTCCTCACTCACCTCACACTGAACAGATCCGTCACACAAATATTTCCCAGCACGATCAGACCACCGCCTCCAACACCTTGGATGACACGACCCGCCAGAATCATGGGCAGATTAATAGCAAGGGCACAGACCAGGCTGCCGACCAGAAACAGGAAGTTGGCAACTAGCAGGACTGGCTTTCGCCCCCAGATGTCGCTGACTTTGCCCCAGAATGGCACGCAAGCTGCATTAGCCAGAAGATACGACGACGCCATCCACGAGTACCCGCTCTGAGATGCATGGAAATGTGCTGCCATTGTGGGTAGAGCGGTGGAGATGATCGTCTACCAGGTATTAGCGGACCATCGTCTATATCAATACCTTAAAAACGGAAATAGGAAACATACCATGTCAAGCGCAGCGAGGAACAGCGCCAACTGTCATCGCGTACATTGTTAGCTTTCAAATTGCAGCGCATTTCCCCAGATGGTCACGTACACATAGAGCCACCATGATCAGGGTGATCTTCTTCTTCCCCAGCTTCTGCGCCTGAGAGGGCACCCGGTCGAGCTTGTTCGGTGCTGCATCCTCCTCTGGCGCGCGCGGCGCATCGCCCTCCGCATCCCCGTCGACTTTGGTATCCACGATGGACTCGACATTGGTGAAGTCTCCTGAGGTGTCGGGGTGGGAGTCTACGGTGGGCTGCACCGTCTTTTCCACGTCCGCGACAGCATCGCTGCTGCTGTGGTGAGCGTTGGCGGTCATGATTTCTTGTTGCGGTCCCAAGGGCCGCTGCTCGACCGGAGGTGAAGATGTTGATACTTGACCAAGTATGCCTCCAGGTCGGTGCGCAAGCAGAGATAATAATATTAATATGTCTGAAGAATCACGGAGGTAACCACAGGCGCCCGTCTAAACCCCGCCGACCATTCTCTGACTCAAGGATATCTTTCTTTGGCGAATCTGGACCGGACGGTTGGCCGACAGCCGAACGCTATATGGGCCCCTGCGACGATCCGTTCGAGACGGCGGCCAGACCAACCAAGCAGTGCTTGAAAGTTGAAAGAGAATTCAATTGTCTGAGCCGGACGAGAAACAAGAAGAGAAGGAAATAAGAAGGGAAAGAAAATATTTATTCGATTGTTCGGGTGAAACTTGCGGTGTCCATGGCCACTCAAGCTAGAGTTTTACGACCTCGAGTGGAGAGGATCGAATGTAGTCTAGATACCCAGAAAAAACAAGCCCCCATCTCGGCCGTTCAAGGCGTGTCGAAATCTCCGGGGGCGGCAAGTGGGAGAGCTTCTTTTTTGCTTGTTCGTTCGCGGACGGAATCAATTAGCTTCTGCCGTAGATCGCTTTTGGTGGAGGCGCTGCATATAAACGGAGTAGGTTGGCGCTGTTTCTGCTGTATCGCCCCGGCTTTTTGTCTGGACCGGTGCCAACGATCGACGGTGGGACATGCTGCAGTTGATTCAATTAATGTCACAAGATATTCAAGAATGTCGTTGTGTGAGAACGAAGACGATCTGGGATGTTCTTGTCTTGACGTTGTTCGGCGTCACTGCTTCGCTGTCCGAAAACGGAAATGGCCGCCGAGCCTGACCAGTAAGTCCGATCGTTATTTAATATTGTACGTTCTATTATATCGTTGATCAATGCCAGTTCCGACATGGACAGTTTCATGTCATTATCCATTCGTTCTTTTACCGCCTGGTTGGCAAGTCGACTACTGCTCTACGCCGCGTAACTACTACTCTCTAGGAGCTTTCTACTGGTGAAGACATACAGCTATAGAACGGTGAATCTTCTCATCCTAATCCAGTATTGAATAAATTATGTCCGCTGGAAGAACAGATGCTCATTCATCTTCTTGCCTTTCATCTACTACTGACTCTTCCAACCCACAAAAAACAGCCAAGCTTCTTCTTCTTCTTCTCCACATGGCGGGCGTTGGGCCCGCAAGGAGGTTATCGGCGTTCGGCGTCGGCCGTTCGTGGAGACCGAATCTTGCTTATCGCTGATTGTCAATTTTTGTTTATAGATCCTGTCCACAATAATAATAATAATAATAATAATAATAATAATAATAATAATAATAAAATCGGTCAGATCAGGACAGCCAAAGCTATAGCGAAAGTTCTCTTTCGATTGTCCTGAGGCAATCATGTACTTGAACCGAGTCTACCTGTCGATGCCAACACTGCATGATGATATTCCCACAGATGACAGAGGACAAATCAGGGAACTTGTCAGCTTCATAAAGTCTATCGACCTCACCACTAGCTACTTCTTCGTAGGGATAAGAGCCGGTCATTATAAAGTAGATCAACGACCCTAGACCGAATATATCATCCCCAGATACTGGAGGAACATTCCAGTCGTAGCCGGGAGGTCGAAATCTTATCGCAGGGGTAGCTGATGGGTCTGAGCCGCATAGAGATGCACCGCCAAAGTCAGCAATTTTTAAATCCAGATGAGAGTCTAGGAGAAAGTTTCTTGGTGAGAGGTCGCAGTGTATAACGTTTAGGTTATGAAGGACCGTTAGTGCTTCGGCAGCTTGCCTGCTCCATCGAATGCGAAGTTGAAGAGTTATGTTCTGATGATTCTGCCGAATGTAGTCTCCGAGATTTCCGTTCTCTAGATACTCCAGCGTTAGACAGCATGTTTCTTCGTCCCAGCAGATTAATCTGGGCATGCGTGGATGATCTCCGATCATGACATATACTCGGGCCTCGACACGCATATTCCGGCGGTGATCCTTTTCCTCAGGTGGGCAGTATGGATTTGGAATGGGTGTCTTCATGACAGCGCCCGATGGTAATCGTTCCACGATGGCAGTCCCTCCCCAGGCTAAAATCTCCCCCTTAGTGACATATATGACTTCCCCATGACGTGGTGGTGGATAGTTGATAGATTCGGCGGAAACACATATGTAAGTGATATCATCAGGATAAGTCTTTGGTGGTTGACTCGTTTCAAGAGATGGCGTGGCCGTAGTCTAATAAAACAAAACGGTGAGACTAGAACTGACATTTTAAGTTGAGCTAGACTTACATTTTCTAGACCAGCTTTAACAAAGTTGCCTGAATGTCCAATATCCGCTTTCAGGGGTTGCTGCTCTATGGGACTGCTAGGAAGAGAGAGAAATATGCTCGCCCTGTTGGGAGTTGAGAGGAGGTGGTAAATGTTAGAGCAAATCGACCGTAGCCATGACCATAATGGAAACATGGTCGAAATAATGAGACTGTCAGTATCATTGAGATGCAAGATTTCAGATTTTAGGATGTACACTGATTGTCTTTAGTGACCCGACAGCCTTGCTGATGGTTAAACTATTCATATCGATGCCAGGCCAGATGATAGACCGCATCCCCTGCTCTGATCACGTGTTGAAACCGAGGGAGGCTTGCACTGGGTTGCTGTCAAGGTAATGAAACGAGATTAGCACGGAAAAGAACAAGAACCATTATTATATGAAGGAGACGATCGAATCATTATATGAAGTCTCCTGAGATCCCAATAGCCTCGTTTGTTAAACCCCTGGTGGATGGGTTGGTGGGCAGGGGGAAAATGGGTGAAAGTCGAGGACAAAGGCCCATTGCCATTCTACAAGGTGGTTAGCATAGACAATGAGTGAGCTTAAACGAGCAAGCAAGATCCGGTTAGTATTTCGACCCTGTCGAGAAAGCATCATGATGAGGTTTGCGATAATTTCCTGTCTGCCGTGGGGAATACTACGCTAATTAACTTCCAATGGGTCCTTGATGGCTGTGATAGTATTCTGTTAATGCAAGGATTCCTCGAGGTGCTTCGAGCAAACCCAACGCAAATGGCCGCTCCACGATTCAAGAGGCTGCCTTACAGAGGCTCTCTGGCGCGAATTCAAGGGTTCTGGGACCATCGTATGCCAGTTCTATACTACTTTATTTATTATCTCTTCAACTTGAATGATGCTAAACACCGTCTATATGTGTTCGGCGCATTTTTCGTTCCCTAAACCTCTATATTAACTATCAGATCTCTAAGGACATCTCCTTTTTGGTCTAGTCACTTCCGTCATTAACTAAGAACCAGACAAGGAGGGGCAGGGCAGATGTATTTAGCACCTGCACCTCCCGGGAGATTAGCAACTTAGCTTTCTTCCTCCTGAGAATCCATCTATCAGCACCGCTGGGATAGCAACTCTACCTTAAAGTGAGCACATTTCTGGAAGCCCCGTTCAATGGTCTTAGGTATATAAAAACACACGTGGTATGCTGAACCGTCCTTTTATATTTTATTTTCTGTTTGACCATCCCTGCTGAGATCGGCTTATCCATTCATCTGTCATATCGGCATCATGTTACAATGCAGATTGACACTCATCTTGGGCCGTAGATGGAGCCTTAAATAAACTCGATTGCGCAACGACGCGCATTCTGGCTCACCCAGACAAATGGGCGCATTAAGATCGTCATACTTATACATGGCTCTGTTGATCGCATAATATTTACCATCTTTCTTTCTCGACAATCAAGTCGTATTACGCCAGATGATTCGCAAGAAAAGTCATTGGGGAATCCTTTTGAGAGAAAATTCATAACGGCGAGTTATAATGTGCTCTTGAGGAAGAAAAGCAAGAAAGAAACGAATTTGGAAGAGGGCATTATTGAGCTTTAGGGAGCACTGGTTATAGAAATAGCAGTTCTGGGAACGCTCAAATGTCACTATCAGCACCTGCCTCCTCCGGTATTGGGGAACTATATCCGCTCCCAGCACCATGACAGGACTGCCACCTCCCCAGTTTATGGGATCCAAGCATTTATTTACTTTTCTTCCTGACTTTTCGAGTCCTAGGCATCGCCAACAACATGGATATGATCAGAGACTTTGTAACTGTCATGGTGGCGCTGACCTACGTTTTCGTAGGTATCCATATATTGTGACTGGAACGAGGGCAGCGCAGGTTGCGTGGAAGAGATGGGAGAAACGGCAGACAAAGATCTTGCCACGAGTATGGGACTCGGTGTTGGCGTTCGTCTACGCGATGGCCCGGCTCGAAACCATCTAGCATGGGGTAGAACTCGAGGCCTAGAGGCATATTATAGGCTAGTGGTTACTGCTGTATATATTGTTCATACGGAGGTATTATCCGTGGAGCGGTTTCGATGGGATACAGGTCGCCTTGCCGATCGTACCGTCAACCACTTTCGGCACCCAAGGCCCAGCGACACTACCTTCATGCTTTAGGACATGCATATAGTCTCGGGATGTGTTCGACGTTGAACGCCGCCCCCAGAAGTTGCGCGGTGTCTCTTATCGTTTCTCTGATGGTGCTGAGCCGGTCCGTGGGAAATCAACGCTGGAGAAGTATATACTTCGTAAGAGTCCTGCTTTTGATGACCTTACCTATCAGGATTTCCTTCCTTTGACGAACCTCCAGCATGGGGAACGAACCTCGCGTCGCCACAGGCTTGGGACGAGCTCAAAGCACAGATACAAGCGGGGGACGAAGATAATCTTTACTGTGACGACCGTTCTGACCGTGGCACAATGCAGCAAACCAAATATATCGTCCTGACTACACTGGAATCCTTGACTTCCCAATGCACAATGTTGCCGGGCGCATCCCGGACTGGGACGAGCGTCGCAGTAAGATCTGGCACGTTTATGAAAGAGGCCGGCTTCAAAATTATGCCCACGGAGGAGCAGGGGACCCCGTTCTACCGCTTCACAAATTACATCCTGTCTGCCATTATCGAGGCTGGCAAATCCCATGATGCCATAGCGGTTATATGTTGTCAGAATGTCAGATCACGGAAGCAAGAATGGGAGAAAAGCATTTGATACGGAAATAGGATCTTGGGACTTTGTGCATCGACGTCCGAAATCTGAACACAGAATGGAAAGATGAGGACAAGAACATTTGGCAGGGACGGCTTCGTCGACCTTTCCCCCGTTCCAGGATGACGCAATTCAACCAAGACTCGAAGACGCATTCCTTGGTTGCTTGAGGAACTCTATAGATATCCGGACTTTATCCTCTTCGGTCTAATACATCCACTTTTCAAGCTCTATTATATAGCATATGGGATAGCTGTAGCGCCCACCAGATAGTATCAATATTCAGCTCATTTGTTTTCCCTAAACACAAGCGGTCCTTTTCAAAAAAAAAAAAAAAAAAAAAACAAACCGATACTTCCAAGATGATATGGCGCAAAAAGAACTGTTACGTAAATCAAAGCAGGTTTTTACTATCACACCAGAGCTCTGTCCCATAATGTCTTCATTTCCGATCGTTATGGCTCTTAATCCGGCTACATACGAGTGGGTAATGCATACTCCGTGGAATCATTGATAGCTAAATGTCCTAGGACCCAACGATGCTTCCATGCGTCCTAATTCTAAAACACAACAGCGAGAGACTATTAGTTTGATACGTTAGAGAATCATTAACTAGTATCTCACAGAGTCGCGCTTAGGCATATCGAAATCCAGACAAAGTTCAGAGCGCTGATCCTGGATCTTCAAGGTTTGAGAAGTAGACACCAGCTGCCAGAACTGCCAGGAGAAGACCGATAAATCCAGCAGACTTCTCAGAAGCCAGAACGCTAGTAATACGGGAGTTCAGGGATGTTATAATGAAAATTTGCTTTCTCCATCCTACCTTGCTGGAAATGAAGCATGTGGGGTCGAATATCTAGACTTATTTGATGTATCACCTATAACTGCATACTTCCAGTCCTTAGAACAAGGAAGTATAGCGGCAATAGCAATGTTGGCCTATCTGAAGTTCTCGTTATGATGATTAGACTCGAAGGGATGGGAGATACGGTCTTCTTGCAAGAAATCTGTCGCCTACTTTCTATGATTATGTGTTGGCAGGTATGCTTCCAGTATCGTACGATCGATCGGTTCATGACGGTCACTGGTTAGAAGAGCTGATTCTCCCTTAGATCTACAGCAACACACCGACACATAATCGATCTTCAATGATCTTTAACTGCCTGAGTAGTCAAATTATAACTACATGGCTCGAAGAGTCGAATTTTATGGCCCTTTCCGTGGTCGATAAAACCAGCCGGGTTCCTGGGGCGGAGGGATATGGTGATATCGGCACCTCGGAGATCCCCAGACGTATCCAAATTTTGGAAAGCCACCACTGAAAGGTTCTGTATAATTACTATAGTAGATTATCTGTGGTGTAAAACTGTGTCAAGGACCAGTAGCTAAATTTCAAATGGCGGATGGGACAAAAATCTCAGTATAATCTTAAGTAGACATTCGCCATTTGACTTATACACGATTTGCCAAAAACTAAATCAAAAATCAAACCTTTTTTTTTCAATTTTTCTTTTCTGGCCCTGGAGTCTAGTAATATTAGAGTATCCCTTCCCATCGTACAGGCCAAAGACTCCAGTTTCTTTGTGGCTACGAGGCACACGATAATTCTCTATCCTTTGACCTAATACGGAAATTTATAGATCAATCTACAAGCGGGATCTACATAGCCAGCACCATGTAAGATTGAACTCTTCTACTGTCCAAAATCATGTTCCGCGAGGCAAACGTACTGTTGTTGCAATGACAGGTGCAACAGCAGCACCCATGAAAGTCAAGGCCCTTATTGCTCTCGGCCGGCTGAATCGTCCCGTCTGTTCGAAACGATCCTTATGAGATTGGAGCGGCCATGTCGTTGATGTTATGCGTACGATCAGCCAGCGCTTTTAGCGTATAGTCAGTCTCGTAGGTCGGCGTTTGTGCTCTCCCCACTTGGAAACCACGAGATGGGTCTCGATGTCATTGTCCCCTGCAGCATGAAGACGCTAGCTGCGATCAGTTCCAGTACTCGTGACGATTTGATCTCCCGAACAGGGGATGTTATGCTGAAAGAGCCAAGAAAAGCGATTCTGGTGACGAGGGGAACTTGTCCAGCTGTCGAGGAATGATATTCATAATAGCCATAGTAGTGCCGTGTGCTGTTCTACCAAAGTAGCGACATACCACTGAGCTCACGCGAGACGTTAGCAGCATAACGCTGAACCATCTCTCCAGGTCCCAAATAGGAAGTCTGCAATATTCGAGGAAGTTCGTCCAATGTCGGACCGCTTGCTCATCTCATCCTCCATCAACCACCATCCATCCCAGCTTTTTGCATCAACCGGGACATGGAATCTTGCATTGCCGAATCTCAAACGATGAACTACTACAGACTAGGCTCTACTTGCGAGGTTGCGCTTCGATGGGGACGTGTACGTGGAGACTACTAGCTAGTCAACTGTTTCTCCAAGTCCAAAGTCCAAACGAAGACAGGCGGCCCGCTTGCTGGCGGTAAATCCATCTCCACAAACCACGTCTTTTTGTCGACTCGCACAGCCCTCGCTCAACGAACTGGCCAGAAACGGCGTCAACTCGTTACCTCTGACTAATTCTGGTCTAGTCCATTAACTTATAACTATGAAGCTGTCATTGTCGCCAGGATGGGGCCAAATTCCTGCCGCCATTGGTGCACAGTAAGTGTCGTTGTGCGATACTACTAAGTTGCTGTTTTTCTTTTCTTTTCTTTTCAACCTTTGGCGTGTATATCCATGTTCTGTTGTTTTTTCTCTTTCTCTTCTTATCCCACGGCTGTTCAGAGCCGATCATCCGACAATTGCAAAGATAATATTTGACGGCAAAGACCTAGAGAGAAAAGGAAGGATACGAAGACAGCTCTGTCGACAAGGGACCGTTGTAGTGCCACTGCCTGCGGGTCTACTCGTCCCTAATCGGGATGTGTTCGGTGATAATGAAGAATGATGCTACCGGCGCCAGGATCTATTTCCACTTCTGGGAGGCGGCGGTCAGCAAACTTTCTCAAAACCAGGGACTGCATGCCACCACGTCGAGATCCTGGATTACGATAAGCAGGGGAGATTGCAGGCTGTTCATCGGCATCAGGGTCGTTCGACTGTGCATTCTCGGCCCCATGCTTGCTGCCGAAGCTTGAGATGAATGATCATTATATTAATATTATCACTAGAGACAACCAAGCATTCGTGTGTTTAGCCCAGCCAGAAAGGTTAAACAGACCCTCATTTTAATTTAACCCCGACCTCCGACTAGATGGAGAGGACGGTAGGACGACCGAAGGTTTCCGCGCTAATTCGCTGCATTCATATCGGTTGGCCAGAGCATGTCACCGACTGTTGAATACCTTCCAGAAATGCAAGAATTGCCTAGAACAGACAATCTAGCGAGTCGGAATGAAGCGACTCTGGTCGTGTCTGCGACTCTGCGTACCCTAGCAAAAGCCTGCGGCCAGAAAAAAAAGAGACGAGACTTCCGAGATTCGTCAGCAGAAGTGACTAGACTCGTGGCCTGCCGGCGCCAGCTTCGGTAGTCTAGCAAATCTCCGGGTTTTGGCCCGCGACGACAGACATCAGGCTTGTTCTTAACTTGCGCCTCCCGATGTCTCGTGGGGATCCAATACCATGCCGCGGGTGCCAGACAATCTCCAGACCCAGGGTTAGCGAGACGCTAATACCTAGATTGGCAAAGATAGAAAAGCGAAGCGCCTTTCCGGAAGACAGGAAGGGCCTTCTATCGGTACCTTAGAGAGTCTATATGGTACATAGCTGTCGGGGGTCCGATGTGATCACACATGGCGGCGGCATCCACCAAGCCGCTGCGGCGCTGCAATGAAGGGCCAATCCAGAAATTGACGTCAGGTTCAACATGCTCAGCCCCAATCACTGGCGCTATCTGCCCGTTTGGAGCTCATTCGAAACCACCAACACGCCCAAAAAAGAAATGTTTTCTTTTAAATGGACGTGGACTACGGCTAACCTAGCCGTGACCAGCACGGAGTCTTACAATAATGAGTCGAGAACATAATTTTAAACAGAAAAGAAAACTATAAGCCTGGGTCAGCGCCAACTAGACACGTCTTCTCCCTCGCCTTCTGGGCTTTCTCGCTTCCTCACCCCCACTGGGTTGTCCCGTAAGTTGGGATTCTTTCTCATAGTCCTAGACGACGAACTCCCAATCTGTCCTGTGCGGCCCCCTCTGCGCGGGGTTCACGTATCAGGATTGTGCTCATATCCGTGTTAGCGCCCAGCGTCTGGTGCATGAAATCACTGTTGTGACGGTCCAATCTGCGTGTCTATCCTCGACTTCGGCTTCTGATTCGATCTTCTCTGGGCCTCAAAGTCTACGCGGCATTTCGTGCTCGGAGGATCCTGTTCGGAGGATTTCTTGTCGAGCTTCACCCCTGCGGAAAGGTTCCGCCAGGGTGCTGGTGCAACCCGAACAGGGAAACTCATTGCAAGCGGCCTTGACTGTCATCTGCTGGTATGGTACGATTTTGCATGTGTTTTGTTCTCGTCGTCATCAGGGAGACTCGAGCCGCTGACCACGGAGCAGCCCTGCCGGCATGAGACTTTGAGCTCCACTCGCCTGAAGGTCTAACGCGCAATCGCGCTCCAGATTCCGTCTCGTTTGAGCGTTCATCAGGCCAGGTGGGCAAAGGGTTCTTTGGACGTTCGATAGGGATTCGATAGCGTCGATAGCTCTCCACCGGCCTTTTACAAAGCGGTCCCGGAGGCAAGAGGAAGAGAGGAGAGAGGAGAAGCCGGGTGAGCTGACGAGGGCAAAGCAGAAGGGCAAGACTACTACACTACTATCCCTAAGGTAAGTCGACACTAAAAACATCCGACAGACGCTGTCCCGATCGGGAAACCGATGGATCCTCACTCGCTCTTTCCTTCCGAAGTTTGAATAGCGTTATCGGTCTTGCCCTAAAGAAGCTAGTGTCCTGGGCGCCTGCCAGATCGAGGCAGTTGCTCTTTCCCCAAGTGTTCTGTACATACTGTCATACATACTACTATCTACTACTAAAAACCCCCCCGGCTACGCCTTCCTTTACCCACTGCGGCGATCCGCCCATCGTTCCAGATCTGTTTTGTTCCTGTCAAACAGCCTGGAGCTTGAACCGTTCTGGGGCCCTTTTTTATTCTGCCAATGCCCCCCCCGGTCGAGCCTCATGGTTCTTGGTCATCTATCTCCATGTGCCAACTATACAGGTTTGGAACAGTTTCATGCCTTTGACTTAGCGGTTTCCTATGTCCCTGCATATACCTATTCTATGAACTATATTATATAGTTCCGATGCATTGATAGTGACTCGTTCCTTCTTCTGTATCACCATCCAGCATTTCTTTTTCTTTTTCTTTTTATTGAGGGGGCACAGCTACCTGTATATCCTATTTTCTGTTGGTATCTGTCGTCACCAGGACCCCGTCCCGGTCCCATATGACTTGCGCTCATGTTGCTCACATTGAAGCCGCCTAGTCAGAACGGGATCAAAGGCCCCCATGAATACTCCATCGTCCGGCAGTCCATTCCTACCTCACGGATCTCCTCCACTCCCCCAGCTGCTGAGCGCACAACTCCGCCTGCGTCAGCGAAACGGGCACCAGAACGGACTATGGACACGGCGCGCAGAGGACTTCCTCCTCCGTCGTCGATGACCCTTCCTCCTCCGGACGCGGGTCTGCCTGCCATGGCTCCTATGGGTCAACTGCCTCCGCCTCCGCCCCAATGGCAAAATGCGGACGATTCGATGCGCAATTGGCTTCAATCAAAGGCAGAAGAGGATCGCAGAAGGCAGGAGGAGGAAAGGACGCGGCAGGAGAGCATCAGGCTGGAGCAGCGCAAAATCGAGCAAAGTATATTGCGAGAATCCGTCCAGGCTGGAGTGCCACCGCATTTGATTCCACTGATATTTACTGGCATCGCTGGAGGAGGCACGTCAAACGCGACATTGGAATTGATCCAGCACTTTATTGCTCAAACGACTGCTCAAACACAGGCACTGCAACCATCACAGCTTCCGCCAACTCAGCCGCCGCCGACGCTGCCTCCACCGCCCCCTGCGGTGCAACCCGCACATCAATCGCCTCTCCAACCAGAGGTCCGTCGGGATAACCGAACTATCCCTCCTAATCCATATGGCGCGCAGGCGGTTGCCAGTCTCTCGCAGCAAACCGTGCCGGTATCGCCTCCACAGCACCTATACGGCCATGGTCGTTCATTGCAGGGCCCCCCAGCTGATACCCGAACCCAACCGACATCAAGTCTCTCACGCCTTAACACAGCTGAAATGCACATCCACCCTCCTCCCGCAAACATGGGGGCAGCACAGTATCCGCCAGGTCCTCCTCAACTTCCGCCAGTTTCGGTAAAGCAGGAATCGCAGCAGCAACAAGCGTCGCCGTCCATATATTTCCACCATTGGGTACCTCCGGGTCACTCGCAGCCAAACACGCCATCAGGGAGAAGTACACAAGACTCTTCTCCTTACTCATCACACCCACAGTCGCATCTCCGTTCGGAATATCAGAATTCTCCAGGGAGGAAGCGAAAAGCCCAGGGAGCTCATCAGCCGGCACCCGCACCTTCTTCTCGCGCGGCTGAGTTGTCTCCAGCGATATCGCACAGGTCGTCTCCTAGACAAACAACTCCCGGGAGCACCAGCCGCCGGTCAGGTTCAGCCGGTCATCTGCGACAACGAAGTGATGGTCCTGCAACGCATGAATCGCGTTATCGGGAGTTGCGCGAAGCCGAAGAGAGAGCACCAGCTCCTAGATCGACTCCCCCAACCGGAGGGTCAAGTATCAATGCTGGAGTGGAGCGGAGAGACCAAAGGCACGAGAGCTCTGGGGCTTCTACTGAGGTGATTGAAACGGAAAGACGCGGGGACCGTGAAAGTGAAACCCAGCAATCTCGTTATCCGGAGATCCATCATCGCGAGCAGCCGTCCAATTCCTACTCGTCTTATTCCCATCCCCGAGAGGCTGGTGTGTCTACTGAGCCACCAACCACGACTTCAGCGCCTGCTCCGGAGAACCGACCTCCTGAACCACCTCAAAGCACCATGGGACCACCTTCCACGAGGTGACATTGACTTCTCTTCGTTACTTTTGTTTTAACAGTCAGATTTGTCTCTTCCGCCTCACCTGTTGCATTTCTGATAGGCTCTGAAAACTCTGTTTCCTTCGCATAGATGAGTATATGACACCCCTTTCCCCTAGACATTTGATGGAAGATAGAAAATGGGCATGATGGCGCTGTTTGAGCGTGTGATGTGATATTCTCTGTCAGCGGTCTCGTCCGGGCGGCTTTCGTTTGTCTTTCCTTATTTGTGATCTACTCTTGGGTGGAAGCTTTGCATAGACATGCTCATTTTCCTTTTTAGTCATGGTATCCACACATCATCGGCTGGATCGATGCATTTACATGTCTATATCAGATTGACGCTTCTCTTTTCTTTTCTCAATGTAAGAAGTTCAATATCTGGACACGAGAGTGCTCAGTGAACAGATGTATGAGACGATATTACTTGTTCCACGTAGACACAGTATCAATAACAAAGCTCAATATTGCAACTGAGCGCGGGGCAGCAACCGTAAAGCCTTGCATGGCTGTTCAACTAACGCAGAATTTAGTAAGGTACCGTGATGAGTATGCATTATCATTATTTCCGAAGCCCTCGCAGCATATCAAAGTGCACACACGGAGAGACGTCATGTCCTTTATGTTAATCGTTTCAACCGATATTCCTCAGCCCCGAACCAGGGAGGAGTCCAGACGAGAGGTGCATTTCTCCAACCTTGCCAGGTCTTCTGATGTCTCAATTCTCGCTCGAGAGCGCGCGATCGTCGACTTCGCTCTTTATTGTTGCGAGCCTGCTTCCTTTCCTCGGGCGTCTTTCGAGAGAGGAGTTTTTTAAAAAATCCCATTTCGTTTCGTTCGTTATCAGATACTCTGTTTCTGTGATCTGCGTTGGTGGGGGGGTTGTTGTTAACTTTTTCGAGATCTGATTTATGGATGAATGAGGTTGAGGGGAGACTAAGTAGGTAGGTACCTGGTTTTTTTTTTTTATCTTTTAGTGGATATCACTTTATGCAATCGGATAGGATGGGTAGATAAATCTATAGAATAGATGACACTCTCACCGGGAGCTAGACATATAAAAGGTCATACATTCTTTTCCCCCCTTTATGAAGCTGAAATGGGTGATATATACCCCACACTGCACTGCCAGGTGATCTGCATATACTTAACGCATGAGGCTGGCGGCGGGTTGTGCTCCTCGTTGAACGTCTTTTCGATGCGGACGCTTGAAATGCAAGGCTGTTTCGAGGGAAGATCATGAAGTAGATAGTCATGAGAGTGCGATATTGTCCCAGACGAGAGTTATTAAAATGCCCTGCCTGCTGATGAGGGGATGATCACGAGATGCGGTCGGTTAAGTAAGTAGCTTTTGGCCCCCAACCGAGCTGAGCCTCAGTGTTGAATGTGAGTGTAGATTATTTGTCTGTGATGTAATTAGTCAATCAATAACGAACAGCTTCTGGTCTGGAAAGATTTGATTCGGTTAGGTATAAGTGTTTTTTCTAGTTTATGGGTTGATTTAAGGGGGGAAAGTACGACGAGATAAGTATGTAGATGTTGGTGAGATTGACTGTTGGACATGATGCGCGTAGATTTCCAGCAGAACAACACGGACAAATTCCGTAGGAAGTATTCGATGCCTTAAGACCGTGGTGCCTAACTTCGCCTATGAAAAGTACTTAGAGTATTGAGCCCGTAAATACTGAAGTTCCCAATTAGGCTAACAATAAACATGTCTAATCAACAAACAGTTACTTTGCAAAACTATGACTTCAATCTATTACCCGAAGAATATGATTTAGAGATGCTAATCACCCCGCAAGAGGCCGGAAATGGATCACATCAGATAAATCATGCGATGTATGAGGGCTATCAACGGAGCCTGCCAGGCCCAGGTTAACAGCCGGTAAGCATTCCGTGCGACTCGATAAGAAAGAGAACCTCCCTTGAAGTATATAGCTTGCGCGTTGGCTCCAGTTACTAATTGATCTTCATGTATATGCCTCCCTTGATAATGAGACTGCTATACCATACCCTACCGAAGCCTCAGAACCCCTGTGCCCGGCACGCAGTCAGAGATCGCTGCGCCGGTCCGATTTCTCTGTTGACGCTTACAGCACAGATCCACTTTACGGTACGTGGGTAAATAAAGCCGTCAGAAATGTGATACTCTGCAATATCAAGACCCAAAGATTCTTGATGTCATGCAAAATGTCCGTGCTGTGCCGCCGCTGCCGCCCTTTACATATTATATTACACGTCCCCTCGCCATGATGTGAGCGTTACTTGTGTAACCGCCAAGTTCCCTTGCATCGGGGAATATCACTCTGCGAGTACGAACATAAACCACATGGGAGAGAGTGGGGGTGGTGGCTTTGCTGTCTCAAATCCCCGAGATTATGTTGACAGCTGTGACTGTGCGAATGCAGTTATGCAATAAGCCTAGAACACAGGGAACCAGCGAAATTTTCTGTGATACAACATCGGGGACGCCGATGGTAATGTGCAATTGGGCATTGATATGGCATGTAAAAGAAGTTTGTTATTGTGTGAATGCTGAGACTCGTTGCCAGCTGGATCTAGATCTAGAGGATCTCTTTTAAGGTTTTGGATTCTACTCTAGATTCAGTATTGAGTTCTGGCTTGTCCTGTAGTTGCCAGTAGCGGAACTGCAGCAGGCGCAAGAGATATATCCCGAGGGATGGGAGTGGGCTCTTAACCTTTCATAAGCTTGTGTCAAAAACGTATGTGGCTTATCTGCGACAGGTTCGATTCAGAAACTACGTATTCCTAGCTAATAATCCTATAGTCTTCGAATTTGTCTCTGGCCAGTGAACTGGCATATACGTCATAAAAAAAATATCAAGAGAACAATAATGTACTGTACAATTTCATTAGGTTCTAAAATTAACCTCGTTGAGGGGGTATTATATGCGAACATATATGGTATGCTCATGGAAATAACAACGAAGAAAAGTCAAGGGTATGTTCAAAGGACGCACAAAAGCGCAATTTATGCTTTTGTTTCTGCGTTGTTCTGGCCTGACGTAGCCTCAGGGACAGCAGATCCATGAGTAGGTTCGTCTTCACTCGTATCATTTTCGCTTACAGCTTTCGCCTTTTCTTCAGATCTGACACTCTTCCACTCAAGGAAGAGCGTTGAGACAAAGGCAGCTCCGGCTGTGACAATGCATGCGATCAGGACTTTCTGGACGGCGCCGTTGTAAATTCCAATGAGAGCTGGAAGAGCGCGCGGAGGTACCGTAGAGCGGAATCGTGTAGCACCGGCTGCGATGACTTTGGCGATATCGACTCCAGGGAGCTTGTTCGACTTAGCAGCTCTGATTATCTCACCGTTGAGAATCGTGTTTCCAACCGATACGAAGACGGCGCCTCCTAAACTCTGAAAGCAGGTCACAGCAGCAGTCGCAATAGGCACCTGGTCTATGCGAAGTACTCGCTGAACAGCAATGAAGCCTTGCTGGACAGCCATGCCCAGTCCAGCTGAGGCAAGGATCTCATATCCGACCCATTTGGCCGTAGACGTGTGAGGTTGCAAAGTACTCAACAGGCCGCAACCAACTGTCGCTATTGCGCAACCAAGAATAGCTGGTGGCGCAAAGTATCCGGTCACTGTAACGACAACACCGGTGATAATTCCGATAATTGCATTTGCCAAGGTGTAAGCAAGCATGTCAACACCCGAGGAAGTGGCAGATGCTCCTTTGATAGCCTGGAACCAGATGGGAAGGAAATATGCGTGCATGAGCATAGTGGCATAAATGCAGAATGCCGCGGCGCAACTGGCCAAGACACTGCGTTGCAGCAGGATGCTTGGAACCATCAGAGCGCGGTCTTGCATGTACCATTGCCATCCCAAAAACAAGACGAGTGAGACTCCAAAACCAGTTAGCAGACCAATGATCATCGGGTCAGACCACGGAATGCCCTCGTCATTGTATTGTAGAGCCAGGAAGAGCATGATGAAGGTGCCCAGAAGTAGCACATTTCCGACAAGGTCGAGCTGCAAAATCCGTCGCCAGACCGGTAATTTCTGGGACGGGCGTTTGGTGGCTTTGAAAAAGAAGAAAATCGCGACCAAGGTAACACCGCCAACGGGCAGGTTGAAGTAAAAACTACAAGTTGTTAGAATGCCTAGCAAATCTCAGAAATTTGGGGACCAAACTTACCACCAGCGCCAGGTTACCAGCCCCGTGAAAACACCACCTAGAAGTGGACCGACTGCGGCACCGATTCCAAACCTGTCGTCATATTAGAAGCTGCTGCTACTACTTGGACGCGGTGTACTCACATCATTCCCACCGCAGCAGTGTATAGAGGCCGCTTATCCAACGGCACACAATGGGCCACAACAATGAAAGACCCCGTCAAGATACCAGCGCTGCCCCATCCTGCAATTGCTCTTCCCACGATCAGCGCGGGCGAGTTTGGCGCAACAGCGCATACTAAGCTTCCCAGCTCAAAGAAAACGAGAGATTGAAGAAAGGTCCATTTTATATCGAAAAGAGTGTATATGCGTCCGTAGGTGGGCTGCAGAGCACATGCTGCTAGCAGATATGCAGACCCGTACCAGCCTACGGAGCTTGTCGAGTTGAAATCATTGGTGATTTGGGGGATGGCCTGCGATAAAAGATCGAGTGAGTTATAAGTCATTAAAGCATCAGGATGAATGTTTCATACCGTTGTGACGATTGTTCGGTCCAAGGAAACGAGAAAGACTGAAAGACAGATGCCGATAGTGATCAAACCAAGCGCCAGAGGGCCTGGATACTCTTCTCTCCGCTTCTCATTGCCCACCTCTTCTTCAGTCTCCTGAGGCGCGACACCTCGTTCCAGGTCACTGTTGCCAGCAGGCTCCCTCTGTTCCTTCGACGCAACAGGCATCAAGGTGGGTGTAGAGGATGTCCTGTTGTCTACTACTTCTTTGACTAGCTCATCGATCTTGGAGTCCCGTCTGGAATGGCCCTCGGGCTTGGGCGTGGAGGGACCTAGCACAGAGTCTCTCTTCGAGGCGTTCTCAACTTCGGTCAAGGCGTCGTCAAACTGTCCCTCCTCCCACTCGCACTCTGTATGCTCCTCGACCGCTGTCAGGTACTCCGGAGACTGTGACACCCGCCCATCATCTAGGATGCGTTCTGTGCTGGTGACAGCCCCACCAGATACCATGATGAGGTCCTTCCTCTGCGGGTTATTATATTACCAATGCTGAGGAGCAAACAAGAGCAGAAAGAACCAGAAAAACAAAATCAAAGAGGTTGGTACAGCTCATCCAGCAGTGGAGTACGGGAAAAGAAAAGGCACGAGGGACTGAATATGAGTTCACCCGGATCGAGGGGCATATACAAAGTGGGAAGTATAGGGCTACGCGAGGAGCAGACAAGATGGCAGGGAATACGATACCCTGCCGACAGCTCTCATTATTGGAAATTGGATTGGACTTTTTTTGGGGGACGGCGCAGATCCAGGACAAGCATTGCCGCTGGAGGAGCAGGTTCGTATAACCGTGAATGTTACAGACCACCCAGGGATGCAATACTGGCTCCCCACGACGCACCCGAAAGGGCTACGCAATAAAGCCATGACGAAGCAGGCAGCCAGGCAAGCCGTGGAAAACTATTTACAGCTAGAGCTAGGCGACCCTCACATCACCACATCACGGTCCCAGCTGTAAGCTCCAGAATCTCCACAACCTTTTGATATCGCTGCAAGGGAATGACAAATCCGACAGTTCGGGGTTTTTCCTGCATCAGCTTTCCGATCATGGATTTCCTTTTAGGTGTGTGGAGGTATCAATAATCAATACTGGTACTTGACCTGGCGAGCGTGGCTTTCGCGAACCAACGGGTGGCTTAAAAAAGAAAAGAGCTAGGGACCATGATCCACCGTAGGCGTGTGCGAACTAGGAACGGTGGAGCTGTCCGAATATCCGGATATACAACAGGTCTAAAATTTAGCCATGAGGAAACAGGGAATCTCGATGGAGCATTTCGTCGGGAGTCCACTTCCACGGCAGCGAGTTGCTATCGTGATAACCTCGGACACTCCGAATCTGGGGCTTGATGAGGACCATGGAAAAGGTGGACGGGCAAGGGTTGTACTCCATACGACAGCGATATCAGATTGCCAAGTGTGGCATTCTGGGGGTGTTGACGAGATCCGGGGAGGGAAGAAGGGCCAATTAGTGGCAGGGAGAAATGCAAGGCTGAGAGGAGGTCGAGATAAGGCACAAAACAAAAGTTCCCATTGTTCGCTGACCATACCAATACAGGACCGTATTGTACCGCCACCGTCACATCGTTACAACCATCCGAGATCTTACCCGGTCCCTGACTAAGGGTAATTAATTAAGTTAGTTGAACTAGTGAACTAGTTTACAATGAATTATCAACCAACTGACTTGCGTATTGTGTTGGTATTGATCTACACAACCACCGCGTGCTTGCTGTCATTCCCCCTCTCTTCGATCCATTGTTCCCCATCGGCACCCCGTCTGTCGGGCCCGCTCTCGTCCAGTCGCTACAAATGACCGGTGTCGGTATCAGATCCGGGAACACTGACTTGGCTATGATCTCAGTGTTGTTCATGGTTATTTTGTTCTACTGTATACCAAAGTTATTGCTTATCGCAGAGTTGACATGGCAAAGCCCGATTGATGCAAACTCGCGACGCCCATCCCGTATACACGGGCCAAATATAGCTAGGCTAAAGCGTAGTCATGCAAGGTATTCGAGAAAATGAGGACATCCTAATCTTTCGCGTTATCAGAGAGGGTGGACGATATCTGGGGGGGCACCATACGAGCAAGAACTTCCCGTGTAATCATCCTTTTTTTCTCTCTCTCCTCCTCGAAGTCAGATCAGAGTCAGGGACTTGCCCACGCTCCACGGGAAGGGATGTGGATACAACAACTGTGCCTTGATCGACTTCATTGGCGTCCAAAAGGATTACCTAGTACTGTACACTTGAAGTAATCGACCGAATTAGATGGTCTGGATCTAGACACCCTCGACCCGCGTGCTGACGCCGGAGATTCCGTTTGGCATGTCATCCCTATGGGTTGTGGGCCAAGGATTGTGAATGTCTCAGTGATGTATGCTGCTCCGCTCATCATATCGTTCTTGTCGCCTTGTTCGATAACCGTGGAAAAAAGGGACCTTTTGAGAAAGTCCCTCAGCTAGAAAAATTCAAGAAGGGTACCTGATAATAATAATAAGTTCTCCACGGGGTAAAAATCGGGACCCTTAATCCTCTTTGTTCGTCGTTTCGTTCTTTTTCAGTAATGCTTGTGCATTAGAGACTTGGCTCTCATACACTGGCAGTATACAGGAGCTCATCATGTCGCTCATCTCGGAGCCCGTCGTGAATCTGGGCGCGTTGTTTGAGATATCATTTTTATTGAAGTTGACACTTATTGTGGTCATTCTGAGCAACTTCAAATGTCTTCCATTGGTGTGGCATGTAAGTATTTTTCTGTTTTCTATTCGGCTCAGAGCCACGCATGTTGTTATGAGATCAAAAAAAAAAAAGTCATATCTCTAACTTATTCTCTAGATCCGCCTCCTTAGAGGCTTTCGATTCGTGTTACGCTCGAACAGATACAAGAAAGAACCAGGCCCAGCACAGCTCTTTCAACCTCTCATCATATCGTCCGGTGGCTCCTTGATGGAGATGGACTACAATTTGCACAGTGAGTCACCGAACTGATCATCGAGTCAACTACTATCTGAACCTATAATTAACCGCCCTTTCACAGAGTCTAACAGCACATACTTTGCCGACCTCGACGTGGCCCGATGCCACCTGATGTGCACTCTCTTCAATCGCGGTGTGGACTATGCGCGCAACACCAAGTCTCTCGACTTTCTAGGCAGCTCAGACGGCATGGTCGGACTCGCGCTGGGGGCCGTCAGCTGCACATTCCGTCGCGAAGTGAAGCCATGTCAGCGCTACGAGATCTGGTCGCGCGTCCTGACCTGGGACCAGAAATGGATGTACATCGTGACGCATTTTGTCCGGAAAGACGCGATCAAGCCGCGCTCCTTCACCCTGCTGCCTGGCCAGGTGCGCCGCCGACAGGGAAAGCTCAAGGACCTCGCCAAGAAAGAGGATGCGATCTTCGCCTCGTCACTGAGCAAGTGTGTCTGGAAGAAAGGTCGGCGAACGATCCCCCCCGAGCTTATGCTGCAGGCTTCCGGACTCTTGCCCCCTAGGGCCGATCAGGAGGACTTCTTTGCCTCGTTGCGCGAAGAACCACTCTCTAAGCTCAAGCTCTCGCGCCAAGCAGAGGAGGTGTACGACATCCCGTTCAAGATTGCGGAGAAGATCGAGTCGACGTGGGATGCGCTCACGGACTACTTTTCCCCAGAGTCCGAGGACTCGGAGGGCGGCTTCTCTGCCGGTCCCAAGGAGATGCGCAAACAGGCGGAAGATGAGTGGACGTGGGATCGGGTCGAGCGTGAGCGACAACGGGGTATGGAGATCGCAAAGTCTCTCGCCGAACTAGATCGGCTCGACGGCGAGTTCACCGCTGAGGCCGATGCGTTGGGGTTGCGTCGGGATCTATGGTGATATATCACGCGCAAAAAAAAAGACATTATTAATTCCAGTCGAAACTTTACTCTCCTCCCTCCCCTGTCTTCGCCTTGACCTGTCTATTCCAGACTGTTTGATCGAAGAAAGGACCGAAGAGGAGGGGCGGTATTTTTTTTGGTTCTTGTGGTCTCTATCTTTTTCTGTTTTCTTTTCTTTTCTTTTCTTTTTCTTTTTAGATTTCCTTTTCGGGGCTATTTCTTCATGATTCCCATGATTAGTATAGTATGTATGGTGTAGTCACGGATCGTCTAATGTGAATGATTAATTCGATCTGCATCGCTACCTAATAAAACGCATTGACCTCCATCTAGAGTAAATAACTAGTTAGTTAGTTCGTAGTCCCTGCGCCTCTGCTGAATCTATTATGCTTAAATGTGAAGATCACGCAGACTTTAAGTCAAAGCCAAAAGCCATAAGTTAACAATGATCATCTCGAGATCGCTCCCTCCTGCATCCAGATCGCCGCTTACCCGAGCGCACGGATGATTATCGATGCATATGTATGTAGGGCTTTGAAAATCATAACTATATTATTAATACCTAATATAGTTCCCCAAAATTTCCCCCTAAAATTATACTATACTACTCCTTATCCCCGCAGCGAAGCGATAAGGTAATGCCTAATTTAAGCGAGAGATAGAATATTAGGTATTATTAGTATTCGACAAATAGTATCTGTGACTTATAGCTTATCTACTCCCTTTAATTGTGGGTGAGCCCTCCTAGTTTTTCACTTCTTACCAGTTTTTTACTTGTACCTTTTATATAGGAATATTAATAAAAGGTATATAAAGCAAAAAAAGAATATATCTAATTATCTCAATATTTTGTTAGGGGACCCCTTTATTTTAATTGATAATATTAAAATATTATTACTAAATAACTTATATTTAAATTTTTAAAAAGCTTTAATAAAAAATAAGTGATATATTATTATTTAAAGATTTCTCACTAAATATTTTTTATATGGGGAAAATAAAAAAAGCAAATATTTATTTTAATAATCAAGATTTTAATTTTAAATTAAAAGTATAGGTTATTATATTATAATATTTCAATACTATTAATTAAAATAAAGGGGTTCCTTAATAAATTGTTGAGATAATTAAATATATTCTATTTTTTGCCTTATATACCTTTTATATAGTATTCCTATATAAAAGATACCTAAAAATTTTAGTAAAAATCCGGTAGAAAATAAAAAACCAAGGGGGCTTATTTATAATTAAAGGGAGTAGGTAAGCTATAAGTTATAGATAATTTATCTTACTATTAAACTAACAAGATTTAGAATTATTAGCTAGTTAACTAAGCCATATAGGGGCTGTATAATTAAGAGCCGAGCCTTATAGATGAGTCAGATAAGATAGGCAAATTAATTGCTAACTAATTAAGATTTAATATTAGGTATAGATCCCAGCAATGCTAAGTTTATATCTTATATCCTGTCAGATTAAGAAATATACCTAATTAGTTAATTAATATTACTACCAGAGCATAAACTGCAGCTAGTTTTAAGGAGATAGTTTAATTCTAAATACTATTTATTCTTGCATCTCCAATATGCAGCTATACAATGCGTATTAGTAGTACTATATATAACTATATTATTAATACCTAATATAGTTCCCTAAAATTTCCCCCCAAAATTATATTATATTACTCCTCATCCCCGCAGTAAAGTGATAAGGTAATGCTTAATTTGAGTAAGAGATAGAATATTAGGTATTATTAGTATTCGACAAATAATATCTGTGACTTATAGCTTACCTATTCTTTTTAATTATAAATAAGCCCCCCCGGTTTTTTACTTCCTATTAGTTTTTTATTTGTACCTTTTATATAAGAATACTAATAAAAGGTATATAAAGTGAAAAAAAAATATATCTAATTATCTTAATATTTTATTAGGGGACCCCTTTATTTTAATTAATAATATTAAAATATTATTGCTAAATAACTTATATTTAAATTTTTAAAAAGCTCTAATAAAAAATAAGTGATATATTATTATTTAAAGATTTCTCACCAAATATTTTTTATATGGGGAAAATAAAAAAAGCAAATATTTACTTTAATAATCAAGATTTTAATTTCAAATTAAAAGTATAGGTTATTATATTATAATATTTTAATACTATTAATTAAAATAAAGGGATTCCTTAATAAATTATTGAGATAATTAAATATGTTCTATTTTTTACCTTATGTACCTTTTATATAGTGTTCCTATATAAAAGGTACCTAAAAATTTTAATAAAAATCTAGTAAGAAGTAAAAAACTGGGAGGGCTTATCTATAATTAAAGGGAGTAGGTAAGCTATAAGTTATAAATAATTTATCTTGCTGTTAAACTAGTAAGATTTGGAATTATTAGCTAGCTAACTAAGCTATATAGGGGCCATATAATTAAGAGCTGAGCCTTATAGATAAGTTAGATAAAATAGGTAAATTAATTATTAACTAATCAGGATTCAGTATTAGGTATAGATCTTAATAATGCTAAGTTTATATCCTGCATCCCGTCAGATTAAGAAGTATATCTAGTTAGTTAGTTAATATTATTATCAGAGCATAAACTACAGCTAGTTTTAAGGAGATAGTTTGATTCTAAATACTATTTATTCTTGCATCTCCAACATGCAGCTATACGATGTGTATTAGTAGTACCATACGTACCGTGTATTATTCGGTTATGTCTGTCTTCCTTCATCGCCCGAGATTTTCGGCGTAATGCCGCAAAACAGAGTCCCGAGTCGAGAAAGACCCCTAATAGCGTAGCATATGACATGTCCGATATTGAAAGAAAAAAAAAAACATACTGCTGCCTGCCTGCATATTGCATTCGTGTCAGTGGTGACTACCGCATGCACATAGATAGCGGCAACACCTGAGCTTGGGCCATGATACACATCGGCTATACTGCGTAACTACTACGAAACCCATGTATGTCCTCGTACTCGTTAGCATGTTAGCATTGTCACTGTAGCATGGCTGAATGTGGTACTGCAATAATATTCTGGACCAAGTACCACCACATAGACCTTGCTAGTGCATGGGGAGATGAGATATTCTAGACGCCGGCAGGGGGCCTGAGAGTCGTATTCGAATCTCGATCGCAGGACGACCCAATCGTCAACATACAAACAGGAGTGCTTGATGATACAGTCTGTTCTCGGTGAGCTGTGGTATGATTATGCGTCTATGTCCAGTTGTGGGAGGTAGGCCGGAGGGTGGCCGAAGAAGGTCCCTGTCTCCGAACTGGCCCATTCCTCATCGGTAGCCTGAAACCAAACATGTATGCAGAGAGCACATCGGAACGCTCCTGTCTCGCATCTGGATAACGTCTGTGTACCCAACAGAAGTCATGTCAAATCGGAAACAACAAGAGGCTCCTTGACATTTCCAGGTTGTCTGGCCTCGGGGACTTTGGTCTGTTGGGGACGGAGTGTATGTATGTATGTACAAGGGTTTGCTGGCCTGTATGGGATCCACGTACCTACGTAGGACTTACTCAGGTATAACGTCTACGAGGAAATTGCCAGGCGAGCATGAAGTTCGACAGCAGCATAGGAAAGGGTTTCGAAGGACTTCTAGATCAGAGGCCTCCCCCACTTCCTCTTCTCTCAGGTCTCTCTGGTCTTGAGACTTCTCCGCCGCGCAGACTAGCTGATTGCTGAGCAGAATCAGAATCGCTAACAGATGGTTCCAGTAGGATAGACGAGACACGGAGATAAAGTGTGGCTTACACGAATGGCCGAGACATCCGCATGAGGAATGCGCATTTGAGCAACCTTGTGGATGCAGAAGCAAGGCATAAACGAACAAGTGGCAGAGCAGATACGTACTTCCTGGATCCGTGGCGGTGCAATTCGTGGATCTATGTATTATTAGGGTTTTCATGATTCCCATGTGCCGTGAGAACCAACCTCCACCAGTGGCTGAGTAATTGTTGTTGCTTACTCGTTCGTCCCGCACAATCGCAAAAAGAACCCTCGATAGATTTGTGGCTGAGCAAGATACAATCGCACTGTCAAGATGCCGCTATAATAGACATCATTGCTATTGCCCAAGGATTGGCACTGCCAGCTGTCTCTACTGTGATCCAGTATTGCCAATTTATGATGCTGTATCCTGAACTTGTTCACGCTAATGACTACTCTAGTCCGAAAAACGAGTATCTTCTCCATGCGATCGGTTGGAAAAGCCGACCGTGCCGTGTTGGTGATGTCAAGTGTTTGCCAGAGAACCCCACGGGGCATGGTTGGAGTCCAACAGGACAGCAATAATGATCCCGGCGTTCCCGATGGGAAACGAAAACACAACATCGATCGGATATAGGTATCTGTATGGAGTCATCCACAGAAAGTACTTGCAATCACTGAGAAGGTACCGACGTGAAACAGGCTCTCTCTCACCAGCCCCAGTTGCATGGCAGATCTATCCGAACCACACATGTCAAGCTGGCGGCGTTGACCTCCGATCTCCGATCCGTGAATTGGCCCAGATCAAAAGACAAACTCCCCAAGGGCCTGAATTGTGCAGAGAAAACAAGTAAAGAATGTGATGGTAGGAAAGGTCAGAAGGAAGAACGGAGATCGTCAGGGCGCGATGTCAGGAAAGCTTGGTTGAACCAGAAAAGAGCGCGGGAACGGAACGGCAGTTATTCTGGTATTGTCCACGCGCTGGCGAAATCCCGAGTAATTTAGATTAAGAGAAGATGAACACATCGGGGGGCTGCAATCCATGGCTCCGACGAACTCCCAGAAACCATGGAATAAACACGAAGGGATGCTGAAGGCTGAAGTGAGACCTGCATGCCAACACGGTCGCGGGCTTCGCTTAAGTACTTAATTTAGGTATCTTCCCGAGCATCAAGATATGCACTACTTATCTACTACCAATACACGGTCGCTGCGACCTTACACGGCTCCAACACCTCCAAAGCATCTAGATGGGTCTATTATGACTACCAGTAATTCAATGAAAAGGATCTTAAGGATAACCAGTAATCATATTATGGATGAGGAGTCGCCCGTGGGCTATGACACGGAGTAAGTATATATATGTTGTGACGGCTGCAGACCACAGCAACCATTATTAATTAAACCTGGATCGGTGCCCTCCCATACGGTGCCGGACGGATCCAGCTTGACAGACAAACAAAAGATGGATTCAAAGGGACAAGCCAATCCACAGGATGCCCTGATGGCTAATGAAAGGATTATTAACAGTGAGAAGCGGATACGAGGGTGCCCTGCGCAAGGAGGTGGATATAGATCGACTTGGCTAAAACCAAGATATATCAAGCCCGTTCCGCGCCCCACACTGCAGGGACCATAGAGACGGATGAGCGATCGACAGGCTGGTCCACCGATGACTTCACATAGGGCTCGCGTGGGTAATTCGTGGAATCGGTTTTCTAGGAGCAATCACTCGGCCTTCCCCTGGATTGCGGCCGCCGTCCACTGGCCCCGGCTGCCAGACTCGACCATGTCGATACTGGCGTTTCCAAGTCTGCTGCGAGCCGACTTCAAGGTCTCCGCAGCTCGTCCAGTGGCAGTCGCGGACGCTGTTTCCTGGGCCCTGGCTTTGCGGGGCTTGCTACCGGATTTCTTGTAGGTCGCAATGTAGAAAGAGATGAACAGAACCAAGTACGAGCTGAGGATAACGCAGCCTGTCGCCGCAGCGAAAGGTTCTCCGCCGCACCGGCCGACGTGAGGTAGGCTCATCTCAGGGTGGATACTGGCAAAGTAGTCCCAGGTAGCGAAGTAGATGAAACCTGGGAGCAGGAGTCAGTTAAGAAAATAATTCATCCTGGGTGCTGTTGAGAATACACACCAAGGTCCAGGACGAACTGCGCAATCTGCAGGCGGGTGATCCACTCCTTCCACCAGACACGAATGCCCCGGGCACTCTGGAAGTAGTACCAGTACATGACAACGTGCACCGTGAGGTTGAGTGTGATAGGCACCCATGAAACAGGGGTGTGGCCAACGAGCTGAGTGTAGCAGAGGAAGGCGGTAGCACCATGGTGGTAGGTGTGTAGGAAGGCTAGATGGCTATCAGTAACACGGCAGTTTCGTTGCGCATGACAGGAAACACTCACTCAAAGGCTTCTTCTTCAGGACGAGGAAGACAGTATCAAGGAGCTCGACGTATTTGGTGAGGTAGTTGAGCTGGATGACCTTTCAGCGGGATTGTTCCCTTCGCGGGGGGGAAATAATACATACGTAGTAAAGAGTAACCAGCGGGTCGGTCCAACCGGGGTCACCGCAGATGCAGTTGTAGACTCCATGCTTCCAGAGCGATGGAAGAAGCTGGCCCAGGAAGAGCACCAACAATGCACCACTGACTCCGGTCAGGACGAAGTTGTGGATCATGAACAAGGTGTTCAGCTTGAAGGGCTCACGCTTGCGCATGAATTCCCAACCGGTGTAGATGGTGATGTAGTAGAGGGAGATCATGATCAAGGTCTCCTTCAAAGTCGCCATAGGCGTCTTTCCGGGGATGAACTTGAATTCATCAGCAGGATACCCCGTCACGGAGGTCCATGTCCGGTCAAACAAAGCCCATGGAGACGACTTGAGCAAGGCTGTGCTTGCTGGGCCGTAGAACGCGTCCAGCGAACTGGCAGACATAGCGAAAGGCGATTGATTGAATAAGCAACGATTGAGAGGAGATTAACTGGATAAGGTACTGATGAACAGTTGTCTATGAAAGGACCACAGACCGGACGGAGGGGGTATTAACGAATGTTGGTCCTGGAGTTCCTGCGCGGCAGAGAGAAGGAAGAGGGGATAAATCGAAACCACAAGAACAGCGATATTTGAAGACTATATGGATGTCCACCGGGGAAAGAACGACGGTCAATCTCCGCCAACCGAAACTAGAAAGCCCGTAGATGAGCGAGGTGGGAAACCAAGATTAACCCAACCGGAGACCAGAAGTCGCCAGGAAGGATATATACTACTGTCTCCGTCTTAGGTATCAAGGACATCTCGTAAGGCGCAACAACTCCTCTGTATGCTGTGGCAAGCCAATTCCAATTTTGAGACCCACTGCATACCACGTATTGTCCCCTTGTCGTGCTCCATCTAGATACGGAGTACATCCTCACTTCAGCCAAGGGAGCCGGAATCTGATCTGCTATCTTCTGGTTTCGGCCGGCCTGCTGTCCTTGCAGACATATCTAGGGGCCTAGAACCCTCCTCAATGTTGGATTTCCAATCTACACGTTATCCAATCGCATGATGCCTGTCGATAAGATGCAGAGCACGGATACAATACAATAATACGGTGATGCAACTGATCAAAGTACCATAGTTCCCATTGACCCTGACTTCATGCACAACTATCGGGATGCCCTCCACGGAATATGCTGCCGGAAGATAAAAGTGGGACGCCAACATGCAACAGGTCATTTTATCTTGATGACATTGATCTCAGGCAAGAAGCTAAATCTTCTCGTGTACACGATTATCTATCATCCATTGGGTTGCCAGGAGTTCACGTGGAGAAAGAGGTTTTAAAACAGGAATTCCCATGACCTCAGCTGTAAAATCCCACTGACTGACGGGCCGAGATATTGCCCACTCGGACTTGCTTACGCCGCTATACGAGCAACGAGTTATTATTATGTTACTCTCTGCAGGGCTGGCGCGAATGAACGTGGATGAACGTGCAACGCGAGATCCCGGTGGGTCGTTGGAGCCCAGGTCCAGCTTTGAAGAAATCTTTCAAGTCATCTGGGATCTACTCCGTACTTAGTTTCGCGAATCCCTCTTTGATACCGTTGATCTGCGTGACCCTCGCGAACAGTTGGAGATCAATATCACAGAGAATTGGAAATCATGCGTCATGGTATGTCAATAAGCAATCCATTTCGCTCGTATCTCGGGTTGAGACCCGTTGGTACGGCATCAATTCTGTGTTTATCGGAATCAACTACTACCATCTCCCGCAAGGAAGACCCGTTAGCCTCTCCGACACCCTTGATTATTATTACTTCCCTAAAGGAAAAGGAATCGGACAGAAACAATGATAGACGGGGTCCACAGAATTATCCCGAAAATTAACTCCGTGATCCTGGCTCAACGTAACATTGGCCACATCTAAAATTGATATAACCTAGAACAAGCAAGCGAACTGCCCATTCTGTACAAAAGTACACTGGTAAGAACAAGGGAAGTGCCTTACTTGGTAGGCGCTGGACAGTTCCCACGCTATGATGTGAGCCGTCTTTAGCGTGATAGAGCTAACAGATCTCGGAGATCTAGAGTATGTACCAAGTTACCACCCGGAACGCCAACGATACGCGCCGTAACATACCGGCGTGAAACGTGACAATGTTACACAGTACCAATCTTACCGTCCTGACAGCCTTACGCTTTGCTTCCCTTCTAGAGCACTACACCGAGAAAGGAATGTCTCTCTGCCATGAGTAAACATTAGTTATTGCATTGCAGACGTGAGCTCATAGCCTCCACTCTTCTCGTTGGTCATGACTGCAGGCATCTTCCACAGCCCTTATGGACGCCACGCGCTGCAATTGAGACAGCCAGCTCCAACTTGGTCAACATGGACCCATGTCAGTGTGATCTACGACACGCCTGACGCCTTGTTGAAGTATTTGCCGCTCCCCTTAATTCGTGGCTCCAATGGATCATATCCACTGGTGAGGTCCAGAATCGGCCCCTACCTTGGATAACTGCAATGGATATGGTTCGTTTCTCGGAATTAGACCGGGAGCCCTTCCCTCCCTGTCATCATGTAAAGAAGGGAACGGAGCAGTCGTGGGCAGAACCACAGCTTATCCGGTCCTGAATATAAACGAGAAATTCCTCTTGATCCCCTTTTCACACTGGAGCCAACCCTCTTCTTTCTTTCAGTATCGGGGCCCAGGGTCACTGCATGAACGTGTCCTGACTCTTGTATAGCATCCTTCATAGATCTTCGTTTCCAACCTTCTACCATGGCTGCTCCAACCCCAGCCAAGACGCCGTATCAGGTGTCCTTCACAAGTCTGATACTCGCGTCCACTCTCGCTGCAGGTGTCGCGTCGAGGACGACATCTCTCGACACATTCACTGCCCTCCTTTGGACTTATGCAGTTGCCATCCCGGCCTGGGTCCTGTACAAGTCGTACATCTACCCTTTCTATGTTTCTCCTCTCCGCGTTGTCCCCACGGTCTCTGGATTTCCCCTGTGGGGTCAGTTCTTCGAGATTATCACAGAGGAAGTCGGTGTCCCTCAGCGTCGATGGCACAAGGAGCTGGGCCCGGTCGTCCGCTACTTCTTCCCGCTGGGCGCGGAGAGACTGTCTATTGCGGACGATAACGCTCTGAAGCACATGATGGTCAAGAACCCGTACAACTTCCCCAAGCCGGTCCGGGCGAAGAAGTGGATGCTCCGGATCCTGGGCGAGGGTGTCCTCTTGGCTGAAGGCGGTGCCCACGTTCACCAGCGCAAGGCTCTGACTCCGGGTTTCTCCATTGCGTCCATTCGTACTCTCGCACCCATCTTTTGGCGCAAGGCCATTCTGATGGCAGATCTCTGGGAACAGGAGATGAATGCGGCAAATGTCAAGACCAAGTCCTTCGAAGTCTTGGAGTGGCTGAACCGCACGACGCTGGACATCATCGGCGAGGCGGGTTTTGGTTCTGATATCAACTCCCTCGAGCATCCAGAGGCTCCTCTGCGTGAGGCGTACCGTGCTGTCTTCGTCTTTGATCTCGGGTCCAGAATCCTGCACGGCCTCCAGGCCTTCTTCCCTATGACCAAGTACCTGCCTGCAAAGATGAACCGCGACATGGAGTTCTCCCGCCAGATCATTCTCAAAAACGCTACCAAAATCATCAAGGACAAGGAGTCCAGCGTCAACCCCGCCGACAAGGACATTCTTTCGTTGCTCGTCCGCGACAACATGAAGCTTCAGGCTGCGGGTGAGAAGGGTCTTACCTTCGAGACCATGCGTGATCAGGTGATGACTTTCCTGGGTGCTGGCCACGATACCACCGCCACTGGTGTTGCCTGGACACTGCATCTCCTCTGCAAGCACCAGGATGTCCAAAACAAGCTTCGTGAGGAGATTCGGGCCCACTACCCATTCCTCTTCGACGATACCACCCGTCATGACCCCGAGCTCTTCAAGAAGATCGATCCAGACCAGCTGCCCTACATGGACAACGTCTGCCGCGAGTCCCTGAGATACATTCCTCCTATCCCCATGACCGTCCGCCAGTCCCTCGCCGACGACAAGCTTGGCGACTACTTCGTCCCCGCCGGAACCACCATCTATGTTCTCGCCAACACCATCAACCGCATGCCCGAATACTGGGGACCGACGGCCAACACCTTCGATCCGGACCGCTGGGACCACCTCCCCGAATCTTACACGACCAACGCATTCATGACCTTCCTCCAGGGCCCTCGTGGCTGCATTGGTCGTAAGTTCGCTGAAACTGAAATGAAGACGCTGCTCTGCTCCTTGCTCAGCAAGTTCCACTTCGATCGGGACGAGTCCGTGACTGACCCTGAGGAGTTGAAGATGTGGCGGTTGGTGTTGCGGCCGCGGGACGGGGTAACGCTTAAGGCGACCAAGGTCTAACTAAACCCAAAAATAACATCATCATAATTATTATCATTACCACTCCGCAGCTAGGTCTGCTAATACCTTTGTTTTGGAGGTCGCATGTCGGGTGTTCCCCATTTTCTTTATGTCATAATATAATAGCAGTTAGTACACAACGTGAAAACTCTGTATCTCTTCTGGTATATAAATATCCTCGAGTACTATATTTTTCTGCTCCTATCCGTTCAATTTCAACCCGGACACCTCCATCGATCTTTGGTGAATGCTGCCTAAGTAGACACATTAAGTGATTTTGAAGATTTCGGACCAAAGATAGGCTGTGAATAGAGATATTATGGCGATCGACCATGTAACCTGGAATCAGAGACCAGATCCTTTAGTCGAGATGAAACTGACAATGAATCGTCTTCAGTATTATACAATTATTTGATCAAGCAGGAAAGAGCTGACGATGGCCAACTACCTACATAGGACTTACGATCCTGTGGAATCTGTATCTACAGTTCCTGTTATGCGTCTTATCAAGATCGGTTATGTTAGACCACCACCCTCTCCCACTAGGCAAGCCAACATGTGCATAACCGACTCCCAAGTGAATGCATAATTTACAAGATGGAATATTCTCTCTCAATATACATCTACGTGACAGAAGCAACATGACAAAACAACAGTTTCCCATTCATATACATCGGAAAAGAATAGGGAAAGAAAGCGGATTTGCCATAAAACACCGATTTATGCAATACACCACATGACGACTCTTGTTGCTCCTTTCTAAAGAATTTCTTCGCATAAAAGCTGATGATTCATGCCCTTGTCTGCCTTTCTGGAGTGGCATGTCCCTCTAGAATCGAAACGCACGAGAAACGGTACAAAAGAGATTTTGGTCTGTAGACATCTTGATCCTAGAGCGCGAGATGGAAAAGACGACGATGACGACGACGACGATGATGATGAGGAATGGCAATAAAACTCAGTGTAGTGGTAAATAAAAAGGGAACAGCGAGCCGTTCCATTGGGGGTATCGTATTCCAGAATTATATAGTGATTAGATTAGACATAACCGTTCGATGACAGCCCGGATTGGAAAGAAACTCCGACCGTGTACAGCCAGTAGAAGTAGATGAGTTAAGACGGAACATAGCCAGCCCCGCGGGAAAGGAAATCTGGAGGGAAACTGTAAGGGAGAGAGAAAATGTGATCAACGAATGTCTTGCTGGCGAGGCTTGATGGTCGTTGTCAATCCGGTATAAGCGATTGGAAGGATCAGGCGATGGGTATCTTGATGCAACAAGCCTGGTTTAATAATGAGACCCAGCTAATAAGGGTTCAGGAATGGTATAGGCACTCAAGAGAAGACCAGTCTCTGAGCCAGATGGAGAGGACGTGCTCGAGCATTCAGGTTTCAGAAATCGACAGAGCCGTGTGACGGATTTCAATGCTCGAAACGGGCCTTGGTGGACACCGTTAGCAAACGGTCAGATATGCAACGCTCCCAGGGGAAAAGGTGCCTGGGACCGCAGATTCAAACATCAAGCCACCTGCGGGCCGCGCTGGGGCTAATGCGCTATTCAAGCGGCCTTCTTCCGGTGTACTTTCCATTCAGCTTTCGCCACACGCATAAAAAGCTCAATGTCCTTTACGGGTACCCAGCTCGTGAGGACCTTCATAGCATTTTCGAAATCGGACTCGAGAATAATCTCGCGCATGCCATCAATGAGAGCAGCCGACGTTGCGTGCAAGACGTCCAGACTTCTTCCGAACGGGCTTGCTGCAGGTTGACTGCCATGGCCATCAGCGGAGCTCAAAGGCGGCTGAGACGACGCAGGAATGTCAGAGTCTCCTAGAAGCATGAAGACATCCCAGACGCGCAGTTGTGCTGGGAAAGGGATGGAATAATTGAACAGCGTGAGGTACCAACGCGTCCCGTATGCGGTTGGTGGGATGCCCAGTTCGTTCTGTGCATGTTAGCAACCTGGTTTTTTCTCATACTGAACGTCCACGACTTACCAACTTGGCGGCTACCTCACCACCTGCAAGCCAATCTTTTTCGAAATCATCCAAAGCTTCCATCAATCCAGCAAACCCAGATCTATATAGGCGATCTAAGCCTCGCAGCTGCCACAGCCGAACAAGCATGATGAACGCGTGCTCTTCGTCGAAATAGGAAAGCAGGGTAGCCGCTAGTGCGGCCATACCTTGTACGTATCCTGTCTCAGGGAAATACAATGACATTGCGTGAAGTACTCGAAACAACAATCTTTGCCCGCCGCGGTAGCGTCTTCGAAACATGATGTGGCTACTGATAGTGCGAGGGACATCGATATCGATTTGAACGTCATCGGCTGAAGACATATGTTGGAAGTCATGGAAAGCTTGCATTAGCTCTTCCTCGGTGGGGCTATCGTCCCTTTTCTTTGCACTCGTGGCAAGGAATGAATACCAGGCTGTCGCTCGCCATCGGTCAGGTATTCCCTTCCATGTCCGCTCCATGAGTTTCGAGCTCTTGGTGTCGAATTCGAATGTCATGCCACCACCATCTGGGTTCGTCTTCGTAGGCTTAGCCATCTTTGTCCACTTCTCCTCTCGTTCCCATTCCTTTCTTCTCATGGCACGAGATGCAGGAGTGTCCACTTCATCGCTCGTTGCGACGGGTTCAAAGGGAAGCGTGAGCATATCGGCAGCCTCGTCTCTCAGCCTGCGGTCTCTGTTGTGTGGTAGGCGGTTGGTCGCATATCGAAATCGAGATGCTGACCGATGTAGCGATGAATACGCGCTTTGTGAAGATGTTGGGCGATTAGAAACGTCTGACATTTTTCGAGCAGGGGAACGCCCTGAGAAGGAACGATTGCTGGCGATGGTCGAAGGGGCGCGTCTCACAGTGTGTTTTCGACGGGGTGTTTCAGAAGCAAGTAGGAGACTCGTGGATACACGTTGGATATGGGGTTCTGCTGCACACTCCCCAGAATGAGCGTTGCACCGCGGGATAATAAACCCATAACGGTCGACCTCCCCCGCCCGTATATCATGCCAGTCCTCGATACCTCCAGCCAGTTCATATGCCTCTCGTTTTATAGACCCATTGGTGTGCCCGACCGAAGTAACGCTCTTCATATCCGTAGACACATTAGCATCCGACCCGACGTCTGTTCCCCCTTCAGTAGGTGTGCTCTCCTCCCACAGCACTCCATTCTCAATAGCCATCGCCTTGGAGACCTCCGCGTCAGAGACATCTTCTTCTCCCTTCTCATACATCAGTCGAACGCGGCGCGATAACAAGTCCTCGTCTGCGGAGATTGCCCGTGACGCGCTACTTGTTGGCCGCAACCGGAGCGAGTGAGAAGATCTCATGCGCCTAGTGTCTGTCCTGTTGTCTGTCTTGTCTGTCCTGCGCACGTTGACTGCCGAGTCGCTCAGACCTGAGGACGTCATTGGTTTATTCTCTGAGGATGTTGAAGGTTTCTCCTCTCGATTGTCGTTGCTGACGTTGCTGACAATGCTGCCACGCTTTGAAAACTCCAGACCTGGTACTGAAAGGTCTTCGAAGGAGCCGGTTGGGATACTCAGCGTTATTCCACGAAATGGTGCTTCAACTGGAGGCGTAGGCGGTGGAGCCGTTTTCGCATCTGAATCAGTAGACGACTTTCTGCCCCTCAGACCAGCCCACCTCCGCTCTGACCAGTGCGAGCTGGGACGGCCGCTTTGTTCATCCACGACAATACTGGGAACACTCCTGGGCGATTTGAGGCTCTGCGCAGACTGACTATCCGCCGTTCGAATAGGCCTCAGTTCCTTCAACGCATACATGGTCGCAATGCCAGAATCCTGCCTCTCAGCATGATCCGATTCGCACGCGGGTCTCACAGAACGGCCGTCTGACGATGGTGTACTGGTGCACGATAGTTTTCGGTCGGGAGGTTGGTCGACCGGCGTAGGGGACGAAACGGACTTGATCTGGACAGGTGCCTTCGCTGCGACAGTGTCATCGAACGCGATGGCGCGCACGCTCGAGTCAACGGGCCGCATGGCGGAAGCTGACGAGTCTGGTCTCTGATCGACCATTATTCTGGCATGGCTTGCGACTCCAAACGGTTCTGTCAACCTTTACTTCGGTCGGGGACCGTCCCGTAATAAGGCACGAAGTCAATTCACCCTTGAGCCAGGGGAATGAGGGGATAGATCTAAGTTCGCCAGGGATCAAGAACCTGATAGGGTCGCGTGCTTGACAGTTAGTTATGCAGCGAAACCAGCACGGAATGGTCGCCGACGGAATCAAAGCCCGGCACGAGCTAGGTCGATAGCTCTGTGGACGCGAAATCCCAGAGTCAAAGAATGCCGGGATTGGAACTGTCTCATTCCAGAGAATTGCGACTGGGAAGATGGAGCAAGTGAGATCTGGACTATCTACTGCTGGAGGGACGGCATTGATCAGCGTCGGGGAAGTGGATGTCTCAAGTGGGCTCTTGAAAGGGGGTCGCAACTTGCTTGATTGTGTCCCACAGAGTTGGTAGAAGCCAGAAACAGCCAACCGAAATAATGATCCGAGCGGTGTTCAGTTGGTTTGGACGCACTGACGGGCGGCCATGGGTCTGTGGTGGTTGAGAGGATAATAGTACCAATGGCGATCAGATTCTTTTATTCGAGCTGTCTTTTTTTTTTTCTTTTCTTTTCGTCTTCCCGTCCTTGTCGTCGTCGCAGAAAACGTCCAAACGGCGTCCTTGCGTACGCTCAGTCACGGCAGCTAAATCCACTTGGAGGCGACTAAATCTTTAGGCCAATGGACCTATCTTGCTTCTTTAAAGCTTCAATTCCTGGTGGGGCAGCTCCTTGGGTCAGATCTCATTCTCCAGCAATACAGGGTCAGACTCAGACCCCTTGGGAGTCCCTGGGGAGCTAACTATCTCAATGGTGCTTCCACGTCTGCGGAACCAACTGCGATCGCGCGTGGCAAAGGCGATGAGAGATCAAATATAGCCGAATCCAAAGCTTAAGTCGGTTTATGAAGCAGCCTGTCCCACCAAGACTAAGGGAAGCTATCTACATCAGAGATGCAAGGAGCAGCCTGCTGGTTCGACCACAGCCAGTTCACTATGTAACCAAAAAAAAAGGACGAGAAACACTCCAACGCCACGGCCGTTCGCCAGCAGGCCAAATGCAAAGGGACCAGCTAACATGCAAACGCAGCGACGCCAACAGGGATATCAGAAAGATAAAATAAAAAAAAAAGGAATCAAAAGGGACCAGCGTGTCTGGTGTCGTGTTTTTGAACGTCCAAGCGCCGCCAGTCGTATCTCATCACGCAACGGCTGCCATGTTGGCACCGGAGCCAGCTGGACCCGCGGGCCGTCCAGGTGCCACGGGTTCTTTGGGTAAGAGCTCGATCTGTCTCACCAGGAAACTTTTCTCGTCCGTGAACTGGTCATCGTCGGTTCGGTCTTCCAGGAATTTGGGAAGAAACTTGAGCAATCGATCGCGGTTGTTGATCAGGATCCGCTGCACCGCCACAGATTTATTTGGATTCGCAACAAAGACCTGGCCACATTCTTCGGTTAACCCTCGCTTTTCGTGATGGTCATGATCCCCCGGGCCGCGTATGGAGTCAAAACACACCTTGAACACGTGGAATCCCTCATACTGCACCATCTTGCGGTCATCCTTCAATAACTTCATGCACAGTTTGAGATGCTCTCCGCTGTCAACATAGGCCGTCATGACGTTATAGTTCGCACGGTCGAGAAGGATCTCTCCGAGCAGCTTGATGCTCTGTCGCTTTGTAACGTAGGAGTCTGACTGAACAAGGATGCTGTTGTATCTCGAAAAGAACAAATCAAAATTCGTAGCTAGATAGCCGGACACAAGGGTCTTGTGACGAGTGAGAATCTCCTGTGATAGGTTCATTAGCTCACCGCGCTTACGGATACCTGTCCTTTTGAAGCCTACCCTGAAGGTCGTGAACGCATCCGCGCTCACTTCGAAGCTCCCTTGATCTATCCATCCAAAGAACTTCCAGAATACGCCCTCGCCTGATTGAACAATACCGGCTTGTAGGTCGCTCAAACGGATAGCGGGTTCCCCTTCAGCAGACTGGTCGTAAAGGATGATGGCCGCGATAACATCGAATTTTAGGGCTTCTCTCAGGATCGTCCCACAGGGCATTGCGCTCTGGCTGTACTCGTAGCCCCGACATAATTCAACAATGACCTCGGGTCTATTATGGACAATGTACGATATCACTGGCGGGTCTCCATTGGTAGATTGCGGATGTTTGAATCGAAGGATATGTGAGAATATTGTCTGTGTATCCTTTCTCGACTCGAAAGGTAATAGTCGTATACTCCGAGCCAGTTCATATAGCAAATCTTCTTGGATAACGGCCTGCACTAGTGCTTGTACCTGCTCTGGGGACGTATCGACCTCTTCGGGCACGTCAGCGAACTAGGCCTTCCAACTATATCTTCATAAGAGCGAGTAAAACCGACCTTGTGTTCCCTGGACCATTAGTTTCACCTGGGACAGCTGCTTCGCGAGGTCTTCCTCAACCTGGGTCATGTCTCCATCAGCAGGGACGAGCCAACGTCTGTCATCGAGCTGCTCGACCAACCTTAGCGATTCCAGGAGTCTCCTCGATCCTTGCCAGGAGATCCTTGACTGTCCTGGCAACATCAGATGGTTGCCGTGTTCGACCACGGTTGAAGAAGAACGCCATTGTCGCGGGGAATGATTGTGGACGGACAACAACGGGGCTCGAAGGCGTCAGCGCATGTGAGATTGTGGAAAAGCAAAGAACGGATGGGCGGAGTAGGAACCCCAAGTGTCGACTCGCCTCTACTGACGATGAGAAAAGGGAGCAATTGAGTTGTGACCGGCAGAGTTGAGATCCAGCTGGAAAAGCATGTCTGGAACGGGAAGTCCAGCAACACGGCGGAGGCGGTGACGGCGCGGCGGGGTTCCCGCACAGTCTGGGCCAGTCGTGGCGCCGATAAACAAAATGCTATCGAGCGGGGCAACCAAGCAATAATCTGTGAGGGACCGAGATTTTTTCTCTCTTCATTTTTATCTATCTACATTTCGCGGTGCCGTTCACAACGATCTGATCGCACTGGCAGTCATCTTTTTGTTTTGTTGTGATTCACGAGAAGTGAGACCTGACAATGTCTGCTTCTGACCCCCGTCGGGACCTTCCCGAAGCGGACGATCAGTTCTCCGACAGCGGTTCTTCGACCTCCGATGAGTTGGATATCACCAAGGACGAGGGATGGGAGGACGTGGAGCCAGATGACGATTCGCAGCCCATCGTGGGCTTGTTCAGCACAGACGTTTACCCGGACGTACAATCGATGTTGAAGGAGACCAAGGAGAAGTACAACTTCGACTTCAGGAGGATCCAGAAGGAGCTCGGTGTGTGGCCAACAAAAGTAGTGTAGGAGGGGCCGCGGGATGTGCTTTCACTGTGCCTCCTGTACTATCTTTCTCATTGAGAACTGAAATTCGCAAAGACTTGTTAAACCGGCTAACCTTTCCTCCTTGCTTTATACAATCAGACCTCGATCTCCTGGAAAGTATCAAGCTTGTCAACTACATCCGGTCAGAAGTCAGAGCCGGAAATACCAAGCCGGATATCTCTTCTAAGGCTATCTTTGAGGATGATATCTATATGAGACCCGTCCTCGAGGATGATGCGCTTCTTTACAGTCTCGAAGACCTTGGCGAAACGGAGGCAGAGGGCGATGCACCGGTGTCAAATGCTACTGCCAATGCGAAGAAACGCGTGCTGGAACTGCAAGAACAGTTGGAGCGGCTTCAGGGGCAATTCTCTGAATACAGACTTGCAGTCCAGAAGTCTCTCGATGATCAACTATCCAAAGAGGACGACAGCAGCGCCGCGAAGGGCCCGACTCGCAAAGCCACGGACAGGCTTCAAGAGGCGGATGCCGACTATTTCACTTCCTACTCCTACAACGGTACGTTACCGCGTTGGGACCATGGGTGGTGCGTATGTTTTGGCTGACGCTCCCCTTCTAGCAATCCATGAATCGATGCTTAAGGACGCTATTCGCACCGATTCTTATCGCGACTTCATCTATGAAAACAAGCGCCTTTTCAAGGACAAGGTGGTGCTAGACGTCGGATGTGGCACCGGTATACTGTCAATGTTCTGCGCCAAAGCAGGCGCGAAGATGGTTATTGCGGTTGACAACTCAAACATTATCGAGAGAGCCAGGGAAATTGTGTATGACAACGGTTTTGGTGATGTGATCAAGTATGTATAAAATCCGACTAAAGTTTTGCATATGCCATTGCTGACGAACTGGTCCAAGGTGCGTCCGTGGAAAGATTGAGGAAGTTACCCTGCCGGTTCCGCAAGTGGACATCATCGTCTCCGAATGGATGGGCTACGGTCTTCTCTTTGAGGCCATGTTTGACTCCGTCATCTATGCCAGAGACCGTTACCTTGCACCGGGTGGTCTCATGGTCCCCTCACATGCTACACTCCGTATTGCGCCTCTGGCCGACCCGGATTTCGTGGCGTCTCACATCTCATTCTGGAATGACGTCTATGGATTCAAGATGTCGAGTATGCTTCTCGGAATCCACGACGAGGCCCAGGTTCGAGTCATCCCGCCATCGAGTATCGTTGCGGATTCGAACCTTTTCTTGCAATTGCCACTTCACACTATCACGAAAGAAGAGCTGTCGTTCGTGAAGGATTTCGAACTCACTCTCAAGGAGGACATCGATGCCCTCGACGGTTTCGCCATCTGGTTCGATATATTTTTCATGCCGTCATGCACCTCTACAATCCCAGCGAATGCCGTACCTGTCGACATGCAGAAACAAGGATTTGTAGCATTCACCACCGGGCCTGATGGACCTGAGACGCACTGGCAGCAGGTAGTCCTGCTCATCAATCACGGGCAGAAAGAACCTGCTCACTTAAAGAAGGGTCAGGTCATCAAGGGCCAGATCGAATACCGAAAGAAGGAGGAGAAATCTCGGTCACTGGACATTGAAGTTAAATGGGAGACAGAGGGCGAGAGTGGGAAACAAGGGTGGTCCTTGCAGTAAGGATCTACAAAAGTACATCTTCTTTTTGCGGTATCAATGTACAAATGGGATATGTAGTCTGGATCATAATTCTCGACGGGATGTCACACAAAAAGGAGACAACGGCATTGGGTATCATTTCCATGGATCAGTGAACTATCTAGAAGCAAAAAGGTGTGTTCCGGTAGGAATAGAATCTCTCTGAACTGTTCGATAGAAGCTAGGACTTAAGTGGTTCTCTGGCATCTCTTCTGTCTCTCAAAGTGTCTCTGTGCCGATCTATGGAGTGTTCACGGTCGCGGGCATGGCTTCGAGACTTATGTTCATCGCGATGACTTCGGGAGCGCGAATGTCTCGATTTCCGTTCAGGTGATCTCTCATGGCGGTGATGATGCCGATGGCGATTATGATGACGGTGTGAATGTGTCCTTCTGTGCTTCTGGTCTCTCTCTCCGTCCAAGGTTGCATCTAGGCTGAACCCGTCTAGACTGTCAACGGATCTAGACCGAGACCTAGGTCTCCTTCTCCTTTCCCTTTTCTCTTCTTCTCTCTTTAGTAACTCCAGCTCGCGGATCCTCTCCTCTTGCCATTTCTTTCTTTCACGCTCCACCTCCTTCAATTGACGAACACCCTTCTTCATCGCAGCCAATGGATCGTTTGCGTCCACACGAGCCTTCTCTCGCTCTCTCCTCCTAGGATCTTCGTTGCCCCAGACGTCCTTATCAGGCATGCTATCCGGTGCTACAGCCTCCTTCCATGACGACGAGTACCACGGATTCCGGCCCACAGACTCCTTGAACCCAGCTGCGTTGGAGAACCGCATCGTATACTGGTCTTCGAACTCGCGCTTCTTTTTTGAAGCTTCCGCTTCGGCCTCCGCATTCTTCTCTGCAGGCTTCTTCCCCGTTGCCTTCTCCGGAAAGAGATTGATATGACCAGCGTTATCGACTAGTGGAGCGTCACCGGAGGAGAATCCCAACAGCTCCTCCCGCTTCGCAAGGGCCAAGGCCGCATCCTCTTTAGCGTATCTGATATCGCGATCTGTGTCGTTCTCTCCAGCTATACGTCTCCTCTTTCTGTATCTGTTGGCTTCGTCGCCCTGTCTTCTATCGCGCTTATCTGCGGCAGGTTCAGATGGCGGGGGAGGCGGGGTTGACGGTCGCTCGCCACGAAGGATCTGGATGCGCCGCTCAGCATCTATCTCCTGCATCCGCCGCTCTTCCTCCTCCTCCTGTGCCTTGGCTTGCGCTTCATCCCGTCGCACTCGGGCTATGTTCTCTGCGTTGTAGACGTTCCATGATTTCTTTCCGAGGAGATGCCTGAAGCTGTCAGCATAGCTTGCGAAGAGTCCGGGATAGAAGCTTACAGAGGCATCTGGAAAAAAAACAAAGTAGATATGCAAAAGTGGCGAGTATTAGAGAGCCGTAACCAATAGGTCTACACACACAGACTGGATGAAACGCAAAGTAGCACTGTGAGAGCATCAAGACAGATATCTGATCAACGTGCTCCGTCGAGGAAGCTAAGCTCCGCGGTGGAGAGGTTCGGCGGCGAACGACCCCCGCGAATCGGCGTGGCTGAAACCGGAGCTGCGGTAGTTAAAGTCGACGCTGCGACTCCATCGAGTTTCATTCTGACCACCTCTTGCTTCTTACTTCATACACGTTCCTTCACTCTTCTCCCGCCTGTTACAAAGCTGGAGGGCTCCATACCTTTTCGTCTGAATCAGCAGGATTGCTGATTTCCTTGATCGCAACGGAATTTGGCTGCCTGGACGGCTAGCCATACTGTTGAGCTTACCTAGGTCGATTCTCCATCCGCCTCCGCATTTCACGTTTCGGCTTGGACGGCAACACGATAGATATTTGGGAATAGACAGGAATCCTTTCTGCGTCTTTTCTCACTCCGCAGACAAATACACATCCCGATACCTCAGGCGACAATGTTTAACCGCAACAACTTTCCATTCGGTGGCCGGCCAGACGCCGGTCGCGCTCCCCCGCAGAACCCTTACGGACAGGCGCCTGGGGACGCACGATATGAACCGGTTCCGAGAGGGTATGGAGCTTCGCCTCGTCCAAATGGTTATGATACAGTGATGACTGACGTTCACGGTGATTCAAGAGGATATGGGGCTCCGCAACCTCCCGCAGCAAGACAGCTGCCAGCGCGCCCACCTGTTGGCAGGCCACAGAGCGGCGCAGTTTGGACGCTGCGGCCAGCTAAGAGCCCGGATAATACATATACCTTTGGGAACTTGTAAGTTTTCCTTGTCGAAGATCATCTGGAGAAGACCGCAGCTGATAGTGGTATAGAGTGGCCGTTTCCGCACAGGAGTTTCCTCCCTCCCGAGATGGTAGTGACCTTTTGCTGCTCGTCAACGACCTCTACGTCTTTTCTGCGCGCCCGCTCGATGGGTTTCCGCCTGGACAGATTAGTATGTCCGATCCACAGCGCACATGGGCTGGGGTCGCTTTCACGGACACCGTCAAGGTGCAGTTGTACGACCCTTTCAGCCAAGGCGGGCAGGCCTACCTTGGCTCGACCGATATTGAAGTTGGGTTCGCTGGAAAGAAGAGAGTCGAGACTCCATACGACCAGGATGAGTTGGCAAGCGTTGTGATCAAGGTATGTCTCCGTTAGATCTTACCGTCAAAGGGCGCGCTACTGACTGTTGTAGAACTTTGAAAACCAAATATTCGCTCCCGGCCAGAAGATCCTGATGGATCACAAGAGCATACCTCTTATACTGACCGTGAAGACGGTCCAGCTGATGGATTTGACAGCTGAAAAGCCCGGTACTTCGAATGCCGCCGTGACCACTGAACCTACAGCACGGGGAATCCTTACACGCCATACTCTAATTAATTTCTTCAAGGATGCTAGGACTGGTATAAACTTGAAAGCTTCCAACCGGAGACCGGCAGCGAACTCCATCATTCAGCCGGACTTCAAGTTTGAGGATATGGGTATTGGTGGTCTGGATTCCGAATTCAGTACCATCTTCCGTCGTGCATTTGCCTCTCGTATCTTCCCCCCGGGCCTAATCGAAAAACTGGGCATTCAGCATGTCAAGGGTATCCTGCTATACGGGCCTCCCGGAACTGGTAAAACATTGATTGCTCGTCAAATCGGAAAGATGTTGAACGCTCGGGAACCTAAGGTGATCAACGGTCCTGAAGTGCTCAACAAGTATGTCGGTCAGTCGGAGGAGAACATCAGAAAGCTCTTCGCAGATGCAGAAAAAGAATACAAGGAGAAAGGCGATGAGAGTGGATTGCACATCATCATCTTTGATGAACTTGATGCTGTCTGCAAGCAGCGAGGCAGCGGAGCAGGCGGTGGTACGGGAGTTGGTGACAGCGTGGTGAACCAGCTGCTTTCCAAGCTCGATGGTGTCGATCAGCTCAACAACATTCTTCTTATTGGTATGACCAACAGGATGGATATGATTGATGATGCTCTGCTGCGTCCTGGCCGTCTCGAAGTACACATGGAGATCTCCCTTCCAGATGAGAAGGGTCGAGTCCAGATCTTGAAGATTCACACTCAGAGGATGAGAACTAACAATGTGATGGACTCGGATGTCGATCTCGAGGAGTTGGCACATCTGACGAAGAACTTCTCTGGTGCTGAAATTGGTGGTCTTGTGAAGTCTGCGTCTTCGTTCGCTTTCAGCAGACATGTTAAGGTCGGTACGATGGCTGGTATCAGCGACGACATCGTCAATATGAAGGTGAATCGAGCCGATTTCCTCCATGCTCTTGACGAAGTCAAGCCAGCATTCGGTGTCTCCGAGGAGGAGCTTGCGACGTGCATCCAGTATGGCATTATTCATTTCTCGCCAACCATCAATGAGATCCTGAAGGAAGGACAACTGTTCGTGAAGCAAGTGAGCCAGGCCAAGTCCACCCCTCTGTTCTCTGTGTTATTGCACGGCCCTCCGGCCAGTGGAAAGACAGCACTGGCGGCGAAGATTGCTCTGGACTCTGGCTTTCCTTTCATCAAGCTCATCAGTCCCGAGGACATGGTCGGCTTTAGTGAAGGTGCCAAGGTTCAGCATATCAGTAAGGTGTTCAATGACGCCTACAAGAGTCCTACTAGTGTCGTCGTCGTGGACAACATTGAGAGGATTATTGATTGGGTTCCCATTGGCCCTCGCTTCAGCAATACGGTCTTGCAAACAGTCATGGTATTCTTGAGGAAGCAGCCTGCCAAGGGACGTCGCCTCTTGATCCTAGCCACCACTACAGAACGTGCGGTACTGAAGCAGCTTGACCTTTACAATTCGTTCAACTCTGATATTATGGTCCCCACCGTCAACACCCCCGACGAGCTGAAATATGTCCTCGAACAGTCTGGATCTTTCAACCCTCAGGAAGTGCAACAATCCATCGAAGGGATCGCTGGCATTTCCGAAGAGACTAGGATCGGAGTCGGTGTCAAGCGGGTACTGCTCGGTATCGAGACGGCCAAGCAGGATCCAGACAAGGTGGGACGTTTTACTCGCGTTATCACCCGGGCTATTGATGAGGAGAATATGTTTCAATAAATGTATATACGTGTGACAGTGTTCTGTGGCTATGATGCATGATATATCAGTGTGATATAGTTTCTAATATCTTTCCCTCCCATCTTTTGGAGTAACAGGGGAGGAGAAGCCAGGTTGTTAAGATACGCCTTTAATGTATGCAGTGTGATCTGTGAGTTAGATAGATATTTTACTTATCAGCACGTGACTTTTACCGATAAGAATTACAGATTATTAGTCTGTATTGTTCATCCAAATTAAAGTAGAGAAACACACTAGGGGGTTTTCTTATTAGACAACGTCCCTATAGACATAACCATCACACATTTAAACATCTAGCTTACGGTTCTGTTCATTATTATTTATCTCTGTTTATGCTGCCTCCTTTTAGGTATACAATTACATATCCACGCTCTACGCACAAACTTAGACATCATGGATGACAATCCGGATGATTCTATTGTCGCCGCGGCAATGGGCTTCTCTTCATTTGGAACAAAACCGCAGAAGAATAACACGTCTGAGTTAGGGACATATAAGGGTATGACCAGTTTTCCGTCTTCTGAAACCAAAACAACTGCACCTCTCACACAGCATCTCCAGATACCAAGAAACGCACAATCGAAGACATGTCTCCTGCATCTCATTCTACTATTACTGGTGGTGTTGCTGAAGGTCCGTTTGATCATATTTACTTCTTCCTTGAGCCTGTTTTCGATATCGGCACTGGTGCCAGTCCTGATGTCTATTATCTCTCTTTCTCCCCTGCCCTGCTTGCCCTCCATAGACGCATCTTGACTACCTGGGGGAACCCTACGATGTCTCCTCGTGCTCGTCGATACTCAGACAGCTCCTATTTCCCTATTCTACGGGTTAATGAGGACTGCGATACCATGGCCGAGATACTCGAGGGAAACCATCTGACCATGCCTGAAGAGCTCGACATCTCTGACATGAAAAAAGAACCCCAACCCAACGAGGAAACACCCATAGGCACTCAGAGCCACAGCGAAGTCACTCCCGATAAGCATACTGGAAAGAAAGCCAAGAAAACCAAGAGATCCAAGTTCGAGGGCGAGGCTGGTATTGAAGGGCCCTCTGCTGACGGTTAGACTTCCAACTCAGCCATCACACTTCCGTCTTAGCTACATTGACTGAGTCGCTAAAATCCTGCTCTCTCATCCATATAGGCAACTACAACGACAACGAGAAGGGAAACTTCTATGAAACTCCCAGCGGAACCGTCCTCTCTCCGGGGGAACTTCGTCGTCTGGCCGCTGGCGTGAAGAATGAGAATGGAGACACCGTTTTCTTCCGACCCAGCTTCATTGAAGACCCTTGGGCTGGCCTCAAGCCTGTTAGGATACAGTAGGCGGGGGAAAAGTGAGTCTCTACCATAATCCTCATCTCACGCGTTGAGGACATGACGCGTTACAGAACATACAGGAGCACTTGCTACTTGGTACATTCGATTAACGTTACTGACGAATCCTGCGTTTATAGATACGCCTCTGGTTTGATGACACTTTGGGGATCTCGTTCCTTTCTACGCTGTATTGTTATTTGGTTTTGTTTTACTTAATTTTTCCTTTTTTTTTTTTTCTCTTATCTTTGGGTCTTTGGGCCTTACAAGACCCATGATACTCGCTTGTCCTGTATTTTAGATCGGTGCCTAGTGCACCTTGGGCCTCTCTCGCCCAGTATGCATCGCTCTGGGGAATGAATTTGTCTACAGCTTGTATCATCAATGTGAGCTAATAATCCGGATTCGCAAGATCAATCAAGTTGGCAGCGTTTCAGAACGATATATGAAGAAAGGCGATAATGTAATATCGGCTATGCCTGTAAAATTCTAACGATGCTATACATAGTTAACAAGCCCAGAACAGACCCCAACTCCCATGCCCAATATGAACCGTATAAGAAGAAGAATCATGCAAACCAACCATCCGTGCTAGGGTGACAATTAGTACACCCGAAAATGATGGGGATATCATCATAAACCCAAATACGCTCTATATCATGTGGTACAGCACGCCTTGTGGTCAATTCGTGCTTCGCAACGTCAAACCAAGTATCTCTTATAGGTTGATGTTCACTCCCATTCAATGCACCCTTAAAGACCAGAGAACTCCTTTCATCCCGCGCGTTCTTCATCAAGTCATTTTCGAAATTCTGCATGAAATATTTCCGTTGTGCTCGTTGGCTTCCCCCGTCGCCGATCTCTGCTGAAAGATACTCCAAGATCCGTACGAATGGCGAGAATGTCAGCAAGGAACCAATCCAGCTGTCGTCGGATGTGCCTTGCTCTTCGGGAGGCACGGTGTTCCGCAAGATTGAAACCAAGAGCTGCATGCAATGATGGGTTGATATAAGTGTAGGTGTGTCTGTGAAAGGCGGCGATTGTAATATCTTGAACTGCAGTTCTCGGTACATAGTCTTCCGTACATCAGGTGGTATGGGAACCGGTAGTCGTCCTGCTTCGAATTCTTGCAGGAGGATATTCTTGTGTTCTTGTCGAGAACGGGCGTATGTTTCTAGGAAATAAAGTACACAATACCTGCAGCCGTTGAATTCGCGCATTAGCCTGGTTCCCTGACAGTCTCAACCTGGGGTAGTTAGGTAGCCTTACATGAGTGGGGTAAGGTTAAACCACAAGCTTGCGACACCTCGCTTGGAAAACTCCTGGCGCTCGCTCTTCAATGGAAATCTGAGCTTGACGAACGCTGGCTCACGATGCAGGAACCCGTTCATCACAAGATTCGCAATATACCAGCACAGCCTTGAGCACCATTTCTGCCGCCGGCGCAGACTATGCAAGTATCTGAAAGTATAAAGATGGCCGCCTTTCGCACTCTTCGCCGGCGGGAAGAGGTCAGACAGCAGCATCACATCATCTTCTGGATTTCGAGTGTAGGTGCGCTCATTATCGATCGGCGAGGGAAGGGTTCCATGTCTGCGCTGGCGGAGATATTGTCGAGCGATAGAATGCTCATGTGCAGTGAGGACCTCGTAGAAAGCGCGGCAGACAAGCCTCAGGGGCAACAGGTCTTGAACACTGCATTGGGCGAATATCTTTATCTGGATCTCTACCGGAAGAAGATCCCAAGGCGAAGACGTAGGGGTGGAATGCACTTTGCTCGCGCTGCAGTTCATTTGTCAATTAGCACCGGTAGATCAATACACTAACAGCTGAGCTGCTGCTGCGGTACCATAGTAGTTAATACATACCTCGCTGGCGCGTTCGGTCTGGGCGACTTGTCGTCCCCTCTCCTGCCTCTGTCGACGGAAAAGCGGAATTTCTTGACCTGGCTCTGGAGAACGGATATCATCGCGGACCGGCCAACTGCATGGGGAGGCCAGCTCCAGCATCAAGTCCAGCATTTAAGAACGGAGAAAGCGCCGCGGTTTTGACTTCTGGCCACACGCAGCGCCAAGTGGGATAAGCAAGTGACTAAGCCCGCCGGCGATCATCGGTTTGGGGATTGTCTCATATCACAGCCACGCACCGGCATATCGTAGAGGATTCTGAAGTAGCAGCTCTTCCAGCCCGTTCTCAGGCATCGGCAATCTTTCTGGTCGACATCTCGCACGTTCGCCTGCATATGCGGCAGACTTGAACTGTGTAGTGCTGTCGGGCTTCGACGAGTATCCGCCCTGGCTTTCTGTCGATACCGCGGGTTCACCTGCGACTCCTGGAACAGTTTCTGGACAAGCGAGGCCGAATCATTCACGCATGGATATGCAAATGAAGAAAGGCGAAATGTGGTCGCACTGTCCCTTGTACATACGAACTGTGTTAAGGGTGGAGTCGAGTCGAGTCGAGTCGAGTGTATCTTCCGTGACCCGCTGCCGCCACGACGACGCAGAAAAGGACCCTGAGGCCAATGTAGCGAGTTCAATTCCGCGAATTGGATACTATGAGGATGTTATGAAGAACCGGCTGATTCCATATGTCTCTGTCTTGCATGACAAATCATCACGCTCAGAGGATAATAATAGGGCTGCGATCAACTCTTCAAAACTCATACCAAGAGATAGCCGTGCTTCTGTCCCGGCACCTGGGAGACTTACAGTGTAAGTACAAATGGAAGCCTTTGTATATTGACAAGTGTGTTGGCTTCTTCCTTGCGATTATATATAGCAGTCGCTTATACCAGCAGTAATCTATGGACTAGCGTAAGCCACGAGGTACGTGAAAGGGTCCTATTTATACTTGTTACCCATGCTTACTCTAGATAGTAGCTCAAAGATGTACTGGAGGAGACACTCCATGCTTCTTCCGAATCTGAAAATGAAGAACCCGCGCTGTCCGATCAGGCACATGGTCCTGAAACTTGACGAATTGTTACTCAAATATCCTGCATTGGAAATACAATGAATCATCACCAATTATATTCGTGATAAGAAAATGGCCAGGTTCTCGAATGGTTTTCGGGTTTGTTGACTCCTCCCGCTTCGTAATCACAATAAACCCCGTATATATACATATAGGAATATCACACCTTGGCAGCACACGTCAGTTATTTACTGCCTCTCAGCGTTTCATAACATCTCAGCCGACCTCGTGTTTGACCCAAGTGCACCGGACATGTGCCATCTCTGGGGTAGAACAGCTTCCAAATCGGGAGGACCGAACTGTATGCTTGATCACCGTATATTTGCTGAAAAGAGCACTCGAAGCAATCGAGGTGGGATATTATTTATCACTGAAATTTGCCATCATTACCTCTCCTGGGCTTTTTTATCTTCAGCAGGGAACCGCCTTGAATTCAGTTGTTTGCTGCATGTGACAGATGCGTCAACTATATAGATCTGTCTTCGAGATCTACTGCGACGTTACGCATTTGACACCGTTTTCGACGGAACACCTCCCCTCCTCCCCAGAAAAACGAATAACTTCCCCATCTCTGGCCTTTCTTCTCTCCCAATAGCCTGCACGCCAAGCGTATCTCCATAGAATCTTTCATTCTTGCCTTCTTCTGCCACCAGCATCACTCTCCTCATATACGGCATATTGCTCCCGGATAGAGTCTCTGCAATGCAGTCGATGAGCCAGGAACCCAGTCCGCAGGACTGATACGCAGGTAGGATATAGACGTCCGCCAAATAGGCAAACGTGATGGTATCGGTGATGAGACGAGCAAACCCCACTTGTTCAACGGATTCGGTATCTATAGATAGATTTTCGCCGCTTAGCTGGGAATTATTCCGACTTGCATCACTCTCTTCGATGTCGACTTTATGTTCGTTATCTCGCAGGCGCGAGGGACGTTTGTAAACTCCAAAGCAGAGTGACCCCGCTAAGATCTGTTTCAGGACTTCTTCGGGGAAGGGTTTCGCCCAGTAGAGAAACTCCATGGAGAAGGCATCATTAATTGCCTTTGCTGATAGGAATTTTGGATCTGTTGAGATGAAGAAGTCATTGTCATTCACCTCTTGAGAGTTTGTCTCATGTTTTCTTCTCCATGTGCGGGGCGGGACGAGGGAAGAAGGTGGGAGCATCGTTCTCGGTTATAATGGCTGCAAAATGTCTGCTCGCGACGGACGGTTTCTGAAATAGGTTTATTTGCAGTATATGAGTTGAATGTAAGGTTGGTTTGTATTGTTGAGTCTCATAGCACTGCGCGGGCGGGGCTATAAAAGGTTACTGGAGGTGCCAGCTCAGCGTGCGCTACTATTCGATTATTCTGTGGAACATGGGCAAGATGTCCCACGATGCTCAAGGCTGGTATTATTTGCAGTTTACAGAAAGGAGCATTCTTGTGTTCATTACGCATTAAGTGGTATTGATACTGACTGACATGCAGACTTAAGAACCGACAGGACAACCCGGATATAGACATAATAACAGCCTCAAAAGAGGCTTTTCAATTTCCGCCTTGCTTCGTAAGGACTCCAGTTGGTGCCAGATCAAGCTCCACAGGACCGAAATACTCTTTGAAGGCATCCGATAGTGTCTCTTCAGTCAAGTGCATATGCTCGCCCGGAAGAGTCTTGAACTCCAGCTTCCCCTCCTCGTCCAACACCTTCAATCCTAGCCAATCTTCTTTATACAACTCTCTTTCCTTCAATGGTGTGACCTCCCCAGAAGTCATGTTGACTTCGGCGAACCAGGCGCTCTCCTTCGGAACAGCAGTCTGATCGTTCTCGAACATGAACATTGCAAACCGATTCAGCGACATCAGATTCTTCTTGTAGGTCACGTTCTTCAGGGCACGCTCGTTGTTCACGTCTGCCAGAAAGTTGCTATGCTCTAGGTACAAATCCAGCTCCGCTGGGTCACGGAAGTATTGTGCAGGCACCAGGCGCGACTGAACGAAATCTGTCCACGTTCCGGACCGCAACAGAGCCTCCGCACCGCGGCAAACCCAATCGCCAGCACTGGCGCATGATTGGAACTTCGAGATGCCGTTGTGCTGGCTCCCAAAGGTGACAAGGTTGCGGACCGGCGGGAAGTTACAACGTTCGACGTAGGCGCGCAGGAACTGTCCACCTTGGGAGAATCCCATGGCGTTGATAGCGGGTGCAGTGCTCAAGATCGGCTCTGATGCCAACTGCGCGCAGACATCCTCTACCTGCTCAGTGAGGTTGCCAAAGAAGGTTGCCTGGCGGTCCGCGGAAGCAGAGTCCGCCAACTTGATGATATGCACGTAGGTCCCCGGGTTAACCTCTTCAGCCAGGGCAGCGACCTCGCGAAGCCCTTCGCGAGCATAGTCATCACCTAGGCCGTGCCATATCACCAACGGGAGAGGCGTAAGCTCCTTCTCTGCGGGACGAAAAGACACAGACGTCGGAAGTGCGGCGGAGATGGCGGATAGCACAAGCGACCCGACCGTGAAAGGTAAGACAAGCATCGTTCCTCAGTATCTCCCAAATAATAGTTAGTCCCTATTTATCGTCAGCTCCTTTTGATATTTGATAAAGCAGCAGCTGGGACTGCTCGGAGACGTGGGCTTGTTGATGGAGCAGACGGATGCAGGTTGGGGATGTGATCGCCGTTCTTGGCATCGGCAGTTCAGATCCACATCGGATCGACATCCGTCATGGGAAACATGACGCTCTTTGATGAAGAACATTGATAATTGATAGCCAAGATCCCCTCCCTCCTCGCTTCATTGCTCCGGTATGATAACCTGACGGGCAGTGTTACTCCCTATCGCAACTTCCCCTCTGACTTTGGCTTTGCGGGCAAGGGAGTCTATCTCGGATATGCCGGGGTATGTACAAGAGCGATATTAGCTGCCAACTGCGGAGCAGCGGTATCACGATAGTTCGATGCAGACAACCCCTGCTCGTCTTATGTAGATAGCCACGGCCGCGAGCTTTCTATGAGCTCAAGTACATTCAGGATCCGCGCTGTCTGTCGATTCTGACGCGATTACTTGATTATTGACCAATGCTTTCAGATGACGCGTCAGTTAGACTCTCTGCTAACTGTCGTGCCGCTCGTCTTCAGCTACCCAAGAGTTTGGGCTTCTACTGATCCGAAAGCTGCTCAACAAAGATGCAAAACCGATCAGGTTCGAGTACAGCTTTAGACGTTGGAAACAAAGAGCGTCATTCGTCGCCATGGGCACGATTCAAGAGTCATTTTCGAATGAGGCCACCCGACGATGATGAGCCACAGTACGACGCAGATGTCAAAACGCTTCATCATAGATCTGGCTGACAGCCTTCAGGGACTGGTGGATTGCATCAACGGCAATCCCTCTTGTAGCTGCAGCTGCTGGGCCTCTAGCCAACGTTATGTCTATCAATGCGCTGGTGAACCCGCTACGAAATCACATATTACCAAACGCCAGCGGCCCGGACGATCCGTTAGAGCAAGTAGGCATTCACGATCCGCACTGGTGAGTTTCCATTCATGTCGGAGAATAATTTTGAATATATAAGGTTAAATCTCGCACAGGTGCATTGCACTCAATGCCACTTCGTTGGCCTGTGGAGCCGCTGGCAACATATTTCTCTTGTTTACATTCACTCGAACTGTCCGATACATAGTGGGCGTGCCTCTTTCGATCATTTTATGGCTCGTAGCAACAGGACTAGTGAGTTGCAAGCTCTCTATAATCATTTCACCATGACTGTTCTGACAGTCACCCTCAAAGCTGGTCGGAATCACCGCTGCAGTTGACCTATACATACCTCCCATTCCACCACATCAAATCTACTCCCAGGGTTACTGGAGTGCTGTGATCGCAGCAATACTCTACTTCATTCTATGTCTTATCTTGATGATTAACATGCTGGGGTACTTCCTTGGCCATTACCCGCAGCGCTTTGCATTGACAGATGAACAACGAACCTTGATCCTGCAGACTATGGCATTTTTGATTTGGTTGCTTATTGGTGCCGCTGTATTCCAGAGGGTAATGGGCATATCTTTTGCAAATGCTTTGTATTTTTCGGATGTCACGGTTCTCACGTTAGGCTTTGGTGATATAATCCCACCGAATGTTGTGAGCAGAGGTCTAATATTCCCCTATGCCGTGTTAGGAATAATCATCCTGGGTCTAGTGGTGGGAAGTATACGTGAATTTGCGGGGGAAATGAGTTACAATAATGTGGTGAAAGCTCATTTGCAACGACGGCGGGAAGCAGCTGTCGCGCGATCCGTGACAATCGAACGGGGAGACAGTGACGGAGATGTCGAGGACGGAGTTCCTCGGTCAGCCATATCGCGCAGGGAGAGCATCAGATCTGGCCGCGCGAAATCAGGCAGGAGCTACAGGAAGAGGCTCAAGAGGAAACCTATACGCAGCGCTATCAGTGCCCTCGGCCGTGCTGCGGTAAACCGTCCGAAAGTACTTATCATGAGGGAAGAGAAAGACCGGTTTGATGCAATGCGTGCCATCCAATCCGAGACCATACGATTCCACCGCTGGTTCACTCTGTCTATGAGTATACTCGCCTTCGCAATTGTCTGGACCGGCGGAGCAGCCGTATTCTGGGCTCTGGAATCACTCGACTATTTCAGTGCGCTATACTTCGGATTCTGTTCTCTCCTGACTATCGGTTATGGAGACATCACGCCGAAATCCAACCCCGGAAGACCCTTTTTTATCGTGTGGTCCTTGATCGCCGTTCCAACCATGACAATTCTCATCTCAGAAATGAGTGACACTATAGTTGCCGGTTTCAAACAAGCAACCAATGATTTCGGAGAATGGACAATCCTACCACAGGTAGACAGATACAGAAAATTCTTCGGTAAATTCCCCGGTCTCCGAAAGATCCTGCGCAGCAGTGAAGAGAAAAGACGTGTATCGCGCGGATTCCAGGTTGGTCTCGACGTCGAGCTTGACTCGGACGGCAACCCCGTCGCGGACCGTCCAACACCCACGATCGAAGAGCTGGCTCGATCTCCAGGGAATTCTAATCGAGCACTTGCGCGAGACCTCGCCTTCGCTATCCGTAGGGTTGCCGACGATTTCGGCTCCGGAGGAACAAAGCAGTACAGCTACGAAGAATGGGTTGAGTTTACGCGACTCATCCGCTTTACGGAAATTGTTCCTCCCGGAGTGGAGGGCCTTGAGAAGAATGAATACCTCTACGGCATCGTGGACTGGGATTGGATTGGAGAGACCAGCCCGATGTTGGCGGAACAGACAGAACCGGAGTGGGTTCTCGACCGGCTCTGCGAGAGCCTGATACGCTATCTAGATATGGATAATACAGCAGAAGAAGAAGAGAAAGAAGAAGCACCAGTGTTGAAGAAAGAGAGAGATCTTGGCTCCCAAGACGGTTCAGACCAGGATCGGCACGCCGACGAGCCCCAGCCATGGTCGGATTCCACCGCTCGTGGACCTGGAAACGACGGCTTCTCACATCCTCCTGTTGGTAGGGACTGGACTTCGAGTGGCCAGTCTGGACGAGGGCGCTCTGGTGATGGTGGAAGAACGTCTTCTGAAAACCGAAGGGATAGCGCATGAAATAGTTTATCTGTTTCTTGCTGTATATTACCAATGACCATCAATCACTATCAGTGACTGCTCAGCATGTCCTGGAACTGGTCTTCGTTGTATATATGTATATACATATTAGTCTTCGTTAACGATTAAATTAAGTTACATATACCAGATTCCAAGTATATAAGGAAATGCAACGGCCCCCCCCCCCCCTACAAAACGGGCACAATTAGCGTCGAAACGGTTTCTTGAAGACAGGCACTTTCTCGACATTTTCGGCATGTATATTCTCGAATCTAGCAGAGCTATCATCCTGGCACTGGGGTTCCTGCTGCGAAGCGGACAAAAGTCCAGGCGAAAATGGACTCCATCTCGGTACGGACGATGTATTTGGTTGAGTTTGCAGCACGGATAATCGATCTGTAGAACACGATCGTGCATTAATCCCGCTGCTATGAAGGAGGAACTGGGGAGATGCGGTTTTCTCATTCCTTATATGGGTCACTGGAGATCCTGCATTTGTATCTGTATTTGTATCTGCGAAGATGTACGACGGTAGGCCTTCACCGGACGAAGATTGGTCCCATTGTTTGTTCCCTGATATTGTGGCATTGTCTATAAGGGAATGCGGTGTCGCTTCTCGCTGATGGTGGTTGTTTTCAGATGAGAATCTGTTGTTAATCCAAGTATCTTTATGCGGATCTGTCGGTCTGTGTTTGCGAAGAAATGTATTTGGCAGCGGGATAGCCATGGGGCTTGTAGCGAGTTCTCTATGGCTGTGGTTTCTTAGCTCGTTCGATCTGTAATCGTAGAGATTCTGGCGAATGTTTTGATCCGATGGTGGAAACCGACCATACAGGTCGCTGGAGGATACTACTGCTGGGCGCGTGCGGTTTTCTTCGATTTGGTCATCTTGGGGAGACTGTCCAAAGAACTTCACTGGAGAGTGAGAATGGTCTGCCGATTCCGGTGAAACCCGTCCTGTCCCCAGTGGTCTGAAGATTTTGTGCTTTACTGCAGGAAGTCTACCGGACTGCTGATTGCTGGAAAAGGACAGTCGATCCGTCACTGACAGCCTTGTCTGCCTGTCATCTGAGATCTGACTGGGGAGAAATGGAGAGAACAGGTTGCTTCTGTCCCTGGAGATGCTACTTTGTCTGTCATCATTCCGCAGAAGCGATGAGATGTTCAATCTCCCTTCTCTTTCTGCAAGAACTTGGTCATCGATGGTGAATCGATTACAGACTGGACGGCCAGTCGCCCGTGACACGCAGGGAGAGTTTTGTGTCGAAGCAGTATCCGCCGGCTCAGAAGCGACGGAGGAATAGCCATCACTTTCATAGCCATTCTCACTCACGAGCTTCCTTGAAGAAGTATACTTTGAATAAATATCGTCTGATATAGAGTGCCGCTGATGGTTTTGAGCAGAGCTTGGCGTATACTTGGTCCCATCCATCTCATGGTCAGCGCTACCAAGAAGCAGTGAAGATTGGTCTGCGGCACGATATTGCTGGGTTCGCCTCCTTGATCTTTCTCTGGCCTTCACTATACTCGAAGGAATATGCCTTTCTTCTCTGTCCAAGAGCATAGATTCTGAGGACTGCTGGCTATGCTGTAATTTTGCCGCCGTTGACAAGGGAGCCGTATCTGGCCGGTAATCCCTGATCGTTATATTTATATCTCTAGGGGTGCCAGTCTTATTCCCTTCGTGGTCAAGTTTCCTCCGTTTTCTGGTATAGAACTCTGGCGATATGACTCTTTGGGCTGGGGCTTTCTGACGCTTGCGATCATCATCTGTTATCTTCCTTCTCCTGCCCACCTTCTCTCTTTCTTCAGCAGAGACGTAGGACATTTTTAGCGGACGAGTGACTGAGACTGTAACCCAGTCATTCTTTTGCAGCAACTTTTGCTTGAGAATATCCAATCGAGAAGAGCTGGCGGGGTGCTCTGTCGTGATCTTGTCAAGGTAAGCCATGAATAAGACGTCTGATAATTAAACCATCCACTTACGTTTCCATCTGTGCCCTTCCGCGTCTGTGAGTCTCCCGAGCGACCAGGTTCTTCTGAAGAATTGGCTCGACGTTGGGATATATATCTGCTGTCAGACTCCCTGGAGCATGGCACGTGAGAATGCTCCTGGTCTCCTTTCCCAGTCGCTGGAAGCTGGTTCCAGGCAGGCAGTGAACTGAACGGGGTATTATCCTGTTGATGAGATTCCTTCTGGACTTTTAATCTGGCTTTCGCAAAGTGCTGCTTTTGTCTTCTGGAGCGTGATCCAGGTTTATTGTGCGAGTGCCGTTGAAGTCGGCCACCAGTCCAATTCATCGGAGGAGAGTGGTTTAGTCTGTCAGTCGAGCAACGGTTTATTGACAGATAGAGATGGAAAGATCAGTATAACAAGAGGTCGGGTAAAGAAGGATAAATTTCAACGTGTGGTTACTGTTCCTGATAGAACGAACGCCATGTGACGCGGAGATAAGTCAGGGGATCTTCTCCGGAGAACATGATGCTAGCCCTACGAGTACCGCTGATTCTTTTCTGTGTGCCAGCTTCTCATTTTTACAGATCATGACTCTCGTGAAGGCGCAGAATATAAATTTCTTCAAGTAGCTTTGACAGGGATATCACTACCAAATATCCCCGGTCGTTCTTATTCGAGGCGGAAAGGAATAGTTATATATATGGGGCCGGACAGCAGACATCACCAAGCTTAGTAAGCCTAGCTAGATGCACATGAATCCACAAGCTTACCACGGCATTGAAATGTTGAAGCTTTTCCAGACCCAATTTCTTCACTGTCGCCATCTACCTACTCGTACTGTAACTATATCGATTCCATTCCATGGAGCTAACTTAGCTTCTGTGGTCGGGTCTCGGACATAGGTACTGCCGCTTCCGAGGTTAAAGCACACAAAATTTCGCCCTCAGAACTTTTCCTACTCTATCGGTCGCACAAAAAGATGGGCAATGATTCCATTGAATTGTGTCGCCACAATATTTTACCTCTCAGCACTTGGCAGTGACGATGATGATATGTGTACAATTGACATGATGAGGATGATCAGTTAATACTATTTCTGTCATGACGATCATGACGATGATGATGATGATGCTAGAGATATTGGATGGCAGCCAGTGCCCAACTGTCCTGTAGGTGAGTTGATTGCTAATTTCCGCCGATTACTTTGCCTTCCACTTGCAGAAGAACAAGTCTTCTCTCAATGATGATCACCATATTCATAAGCATAGTTCACCTGAGGTCTTCGGATCGCTGAACGACAAACATATACCATCTTTCGCTCCTATCTGAAAACACCTGTTCCCTTTGCCTGGCAGCCTTTGTTTCTTTTAGCGCGACGTGACGCTGACCACCTGTAGATCCTAGTCTCGATAGTGTCCTTTCCCAGCAGTCTGCTTCATCTAGCGGCTCTGCGAGGTGCGCAGTGCCGAGTTGGGGACGGCGACTGCATTGCTGCCCGACAGTCCCATGACTTGTCCATCCTGTCCCCTTCGCGGTCTGAAGGCCCGAAATCAGTCGTAGCCGCCGTCGTTCGCTTATGTTCGACTTGAATAGATAAATCAATTCATCTTCCCGCGCAGTCCCCCTTTTTCTTTTTGCTCTCATCCCATCTGCCTGTGTCCTCACTCACTCTCTCTTTTGGTCGGAAATTACCGCCCAAGGCTGACGGTTTTCCGTAGAGGGTCCGAGTGGGACGAGCCAATACCCATATTATTATTCTCGTAACCCGTGTCTCATGCTCTCCCCCCTCCTTCTTTGCCGGTAGGATTGCAATTGCTCTGCAGCAGACACACCCGGCAAGTCCATGTATGGTTGGCTCGTATGACTGCCGGAGGGTGTGACTCTGGGCCAGTTGTACAGGCGCAGGACCGCCTCGTAGCACTGTTTTGTGGCAGGAGAAGGCCTGTGGTCCAATCGTCCGGGCAGAGCGAGGGCGATGATGTACTGACTGGATGCACGAGAGACGCCCGGCCTTGATTTGCAGGGATTTGTGTGATTTCGCGCTCACCGCTGGCCAGAGGCTGACATCAGGCTGCATACAAATGCCACGTCAAGCCGCGGGCGATTGGCAGACAAGGCGTGATTTCTGCAGCGGAATCACACCCTGCGCAAGTCCGGTTCACGCCCGGCTCGCACCGTCTCCCGAGGCCCCACGCGGTGATTGCCCGCACCGTAACAGAAGGCCCGCTGCCCATGCTGGTTAAAGACCCGGCGTCTCCCCCTTTTGCTGCATCCCCCATTCTGCTTCCTCTTTTTCTCATCTCAGACTCTGAATCAGAAACACCACTACTGACTATACTACTGCTTCCATCCCATACTTTGAAGAAAAATTCACTCTGAGCTTACCCTCACAACACAAATTCTCCTGCTTCTGCATTAAGGTCTTGTTGTGCATGCTTCCAGATCTACTACTCCTCACTACTCAACAACAAACCCACCTGCAACCCGTGGATCTGCTACCACCTCCCTGGCTCCACAAAGATCCCATTGGAATCCAATCCATTTCCGTTTCCTGGACAGGCCCTGCTTTTGCTGTTCTTTTGAAGGACCCATTCTGAGTTGCCCTTTGAAGGGCTGCATCATTGCTCTCCAGGCTTAGTTCTGATCAAGTGACAGATAACAACAGGTAGTCCCCTCACATTTTTCTTTGCGTTCTTCCCCTTGCTTTTGTTGCTTTTTGGACCGGGACCTGTTTCCGTAACCATGTAACCTGGATCATGTGCAAACCGCACAGGAACCTCGGATGATACACTCTCTGGACCTGTTCTCGACTCGTCGCCAGTGCTGCTGGCACGGTCATACATGATGATGATGATGAAACCCCAAGGGACTTCTGGACTCCATGACAGCCGTCAGGAGAATATGGATACTCGAGTGCATAATGCTGCAAACTCGAAGCTCACTGTTGACACCGTGTGGAACCTTGCCAATGGAATACTCACTCCAAGCCTGGAGTCGGGATCTGGATTTGACTTTTGACTTTTGTATGGACCACGAGGACGAACCCAAGGCCCTTAACTCACGTGGACTTCTTTTTTTCTATCTGGACCGGATGACCCTTCCTGTGCTTAAACAACAACAATGGACCAATGGACCCAATCTTCGGATTACCTGGACTTGCTATTGATTTCGTGTGATGACCTTTGTTTGCTACATTTTTGAACCCCCATGGACTCGGGATCGACTCGTAGCGATGTTCATTAGGACTGGAACCAGCCTTTTTATGATGACCAGCTATCTTACACTGGACCTCCAAAGCCGCTAGTGATGCGGACAGTTATTTATGACAGCCTCTACTGGACCAAAGGATTTCTGACACGTTGCTGACAAGTCGCAATGGCTGCATGGCAAAGCTTGCGACGTTGACGAGGCCTTGAGAGGAGTAAAACTACGGATCGCCCCGGTGATAGGACATACTGCACTACACCCAACAAAGGACCCCAACTCCATTGGAAGCTATATCTAGGACCCTACAGGAAACTTTGCCACTTGGCCACCTTGGATGATCATGCATGATGACAATAAACTGGTTGGTAAATGAACTACCGTAAACATGACTTGAGATATAAAACTGACCCGGGGCACAGGACGCCACGATACTTGGACTCTCTCGGGACTTACTTTTCTTTTACATGCCTTGCACAGCTTCGGGTAACTGACTTGTCTCGTTTTATGTAGTGATTATTTCTGTCAATTTGGCATGTCATCCACAGGACTCAAGGCCACAATGTCTCCCAGGATCAAGACAGACCCCAACAGGATGATCTCTCAATCTCTTCAAGCACTTCCCCAGGGTTCCCGACCCATGCATTCCATGCACGGACTGCCGAGCTTGACATCTACAGCCTCCCAGGATGATGATCTTTCAAGCCAGGATAGGTTTTCCTTGTCTTCACACATGCAGAGCAACCAGACATCCCATGGAATGGAAGGATGGGCTATGACCTCTTCGGGCTCCATTGATTCCACTGATATGACACCAAGCGAGCCTGAATCCCCGGAAGTCCAGATGTTGTCTTTTTCCTTGTCACAGCAGTTGATGCCTAGCAGCCACGGCGACTCTGCCAACAGTGGTTCCATGTATTCTTCACTGTCTGATTTCCAGGCTGTCCAGGATGTGACCGACAACGACATGGATTTCACCCAAGCACAGGATTTTCACCAGTTTTCTTCCATGGTGGACTTTTCCTATGACCATGACACGTGCACCTCGAGCGGGACTCAGGGATGCACACCAGACGATGCTGCGTCGGTGGGACATGGCTCCCAGAATGATGACACCCAAATGATGGCTGCCAGCGATGCTTGGAGTTCTTTGGCCATGGAAACTGGAAGCTTTCATGGATCAACCCTGGACCACCTCTCGTCTCATATCTTCCACCCCGTTCCCGTCTCTCCCCCTTTGACCGAAGCAAGCAATGATATGTCTGTCACGTCGTCTTGTTCCAATTCTGGTTATTCCTTCCATACCCATGAGGATGCGTTCTTTGGAGACCTTGCGCCCACCACCATTGGGGGTCAGACGATCAACTTGGGCGATCCGCTCTTCCCTTTGACACCACCATTGAGTGAACAGGATCCCAACAGGTTAGGCTATATAATCCCCTCTTTTGCGGCAGACGGAGTATTGACAGAATATTCGCAGGACAATTAGACCTTCCAAACAGGCGCAGAGGCCACTACTCTCAGCGGCTACATCCCGCAACCAGAGGAAATCGGACCCTGAGTTTTATTCTTCCTTGTCTGTTAGAGAGCCTCTTCGCCAGCGGTCCAAGGACGGTTCCGAGATCAGAGCTCCCCGGGATCATCCATACTATTCTCTGCCAACCCAGGCCGATGGAAAGTACTACTGCCCTTTTGCCACTGGAGACAAGCCTTGTAATCACCCTCCTACTACTCAGAAATGCGCTTACCAGTAAATAACCCCTTTCCCTTATGACTTCTCATTCTCGGACGCTGACCAAGTCGCAGTAAATATCTGGACTCTCACTTGAAGCCATACCGTTGCAAGGTTCCTGCCTGCATGGATGCCCAGTTGCAGTTTTCTTCCAATGCGTGTCTTTTCCGTCACGAGAGAGAAGCCCATGGATTGCACGGCCACGGAGACAACCCCCATTTGTGCCTGTTTGAAGGATGTGACCGATCTGTCCCTGGATACGGCTTCCCCCGCCGTTGGAATCTCTTTGACCACATGAAGAGGGTCCACGATTACACTTCATCCGAGCGCCCCAGCTCTCCAGAGACCGCCCCTGGTGTCCTCAATGCGAAGAAGAAGGATACTGTGCGCAAGAGGAAGGTCACGGGGCCAACTGCAGCCCAGACAATGAAGCGTACCCGCTCTACTCACTCCCAGGCGAACCCCTTGAAGGCTGCCCATGCTACTGCCCACCTCGGACAGCGGCTGCAGAATGCGGAGAGGAACTACTATAACTGCCGCTCTCGCTTGCTCGAGGAGATTAGTAACATCACCCCTCAGGATCCAGCCATACACGAAAAGGTCAATGCCAGCCTCCAGGAACTGATCACCTTGGGTCTGAACTACCGTCACATTGAGGCTAGCCAAGCTGCGACCCAGATGAATGGAAGCGCCTCAACTTGAGGACGTTCAGGATGAGGTTCTTGACACTCGAAGACCTCTTTGGATTTTAACCTCGCCCCCAATTGGGAGATTGACCCACCAGATGTTCCAAGCTCACGATGCCCAGACATGAGCAGAACAGGTGCGCATGCTGAGCCAGTCCTGGAACACGCTCATGATATGACGCTTGCCTACTCTCGGACCATGACTCTGCCCAGAAGAGCGGTTCTCGAGATAGGCAACACGACATGACAGCTGTTAGTAGGCAGCTTCTCTATACTGTCTGTGAACTTAGAAACCCAGCTCGAGACTGACTGCAGTTGAGGAAGGCGCGGGATTTGCTGCACTGGGAATGTTTATATTTTTCCCACAGCAACGAGGATCAGATGACCTGGGGGTACTGTCTTCTTGCTGGTAGAGAAGACAGCTGCTGCTTTCAGGGAAAAAAAAAAGAAAGAAAAGTGGATATCGAGGGTAGAAGCCTAGACAGGCTTCACACAACGGGGATAGAAGAAGAGAAAAAAACAGGCGGAAATTTGTGCAAGCCGACCCTCCAAAGGGCGACTAGATCTTTTAGCAGGCGTTCACAGTTGGTTTTAGTGGATTTGTACTTGGTGAATTTTGCTGATTTTGTCGTTCTACTGTTTCTTATCTTACGCATTTCGTTCAAGGTTCAGTTTATTGGATTACAGGCGATATCTTAGATTACAATGGTTCGGTACCGATGTGTATAAGGCTGGTCCTCCAGGGAAGGGGGGAAAAGGGCAAAAAAGCTCCGCAAAGTGAGCGTCTCGGATTAAAGAGGGTTTATGCGCTCGGGCGGTATTCTTTTCATAAAAAGGATTAGTTATATATGGTTTCAAGGTGTTCAAATTGATACTGTTACATTCATCTCTATATATTCTCGCAAATATCTCGTGAACACTTAATTGGTGAGCATGTAGCACTCTTGGTTATAAGATAAAGCGAGGGATAGTTAGTAATGCTTTTAACTAACTGGTAGTCAAATGGAGTACGTTATACTTTTTATCTCATGTCGCGTCGTATCACGTCAAGAAAGCCTCACTTCAAACTTGCAGATTGGCCAGCGCCCAGTCGGGGGTCATCTTATGGCATAATATGCCGAATATTGCTTATGCATTGTCGCCGGAAAACTCTGCATTCAAGAATCTGACAAACGCATCAGGCACTTGATCCATGGTCAAACCGCCACCGCCTGCCCCGTGGCTCTGCCCGATATACGCCCGATTCAAACCGATCCACTGCCTTCGCAGGCGCTGCAAGCGCGGTAAAGCCAGAATCCCACCCGCACCCGCCAACTCGTCCGTCGTACCACCGGTAGCGACATGAGCCGGGATGAAGACCGGGAACGAAGCCTCCGGGACAGGGATCGTGATACCGCGACCGTCAGCGCTCTGAGCGACGGCGGCTTCAGCCGAGGGGGTAGAGAGGGTGAATGTCCGGATGGCATTTATGATGGCTGAGATGCGTTTCTCCAGGGAGTAGAGAGCGGTAGGGTCGGTTGCGGCCGGTAGGACCGTTGCTTGATGGGGCTTGACTTTGGGTCTGGGGAGACCGTTGCGACTTACCCCTGCGGTAGTCGCTTTTGTGACCACGCTAGGGGCATACGAGCGATTATTACTTGACGATGAAGCGGACGCAGAAAGCGCATCCGCGAGAGATGTCGCTTGAGGTGTCGTGTCTGGTTGGGCGATCGTAGTGCCTGTGAGAGCGGTCCAGATGTCGTGGACCGGAGGCTCTTTATCGCTCCACGGCACCGTGAAGAGAGGCTTGTCCCATCGGCTGTATGTCGAGGGCTCCTCGTACCGGAATATCAGGTTATCAAGGAGTTCTGGCGGGTATGGTTCTTCGGTATCTGGTTCTGCCTGGGCTGTGATTCTGTCCGGGGTGTGATTTGAGGTCTCGTTCTGGAACCCTTCGTGAGTTTCTGGCGTCTCCTGCGCTTGTCCGTTCCCTTGCTGTTGTTCGCGTTTGCGAAGACGAGCTTGATTGTTCGCGATACATTGGGCAGCGGGCGTACCCACATGGACCTGTAATGCTCATGAGATGGTTCTATGTTAGCAAAAAAGAAAGCTCTTTTGTTTCTCATCGAGAATCAATCTCATGTGAACCGTGTCTTCTTCCCTTCCAACGAGGACGGCAACTCGAAAAAAAGAGTAACAACATACCACGCAAGAAGTCGTACTCAAAGCCTTCGCCTCACACCACAACTGATATCTCCAACCCTTAATATAATTCATCCCATCCACTATAACAATACTATCACGACCCAACGCACGTTTCGTCTTCGCATACACGACTGCACGTGCCTCCTTCTCCGAGCGCGCATTATCGTACACGGTCCGTGGATGCGCTTCATCATGCGACGTCACGACATGGATCTTATAGCGTGGTTTCGTCTTCGTCGAATCATCTGAACCATCCTCGCTGATCGAGGCGAGGTATTCTTCCTGTATCGCTTCAAGTGATGCGGAAAGTTGTCGGGCACGGTATGAGAGGCCGGAGCAAGGGTAGCCGGTTAGGATTATTAGCTGTAGTTTCAAGGAAAGAAAAAATAAGTTTGTTAGCTATAAATCATGGATTGTTGGTGGGGAAGGGGAATGAATAGAGCCCATCTTACTGGCATGATGAAAGTTTTTTGTGTTGGTTGAGCTTTCACTCGTTTCTTTACTCTTTTTGCTTTTCCCCCTCTCGTATTATTCGCATCTTGGAAATTTTGAGGAAATCGCGGGGTTTCGGCGGGCACATGTGACTCGGGAAGGCTTTCGGCATGCCGAGCGGTGAATCGGGACCCCGCATGGAGGAGCATCCGAGGGAGTTCTACGACCTGTCAATGGGCTTTGAGTGGTTGGATCGGGAATTGCACCTTTTAAGAGGGAATTATGATATATGAGCCTTTTTATACACTGCCTTGGGAATTACATTGGGTATACTTGAAAGTTAACTTCTCACTACAACTTGGTAAAACTAGACAACAGAATCCTGGCCCACAGATTATTCCATGAAGCAAGGAAGACTCCAAGCCGGTGTTATATATATTTTGCGTCTCTTGCGGATGCTTCTATATAATGAAAGGTCTATTGTGAATGTCATGAGTCTGTGTCGTGAACGTAACTTTTCAGCATTGCATCATGCATGAATGCCCTAAACGCCTCTCTTAAATGACTTTTATAGTTGGTCTTCGGCCCATCTGATTTCATATCCGAAAACAGTCCGTCTCAGCTTCTCATCCTGTGACATTGTTAGCATGCAATTGATATTCCTCTCTGCACGACTTGGCAAACATACACCTGGGTCATTCTCAAACAAGACTTTGTCCATCAATTTCTCAAATATCTTTGTGACCGTAAAGCCGTTCTCCTCTGCCAGCGGGAAGAATTTCTCCGTCTTTGGAAGCAGCCATGGCTGATAAGGCGTGAAGATCACCAGTGCCACCGCCTCTTTCGTCTTCTTCAGCGTCTGCTGCATGGTCTTGACGAGATTGGGATGCTCCCGATGGCTGTACACCACATCCGCCATGATGAGCACATCGAAGGCCTTCGAACCCTCTGGCAGGTATGAAAGCAGTTCATCAACAGGGTTGCCCCATTTGTATCCGGTGACGTGCAGGGAGGATTGGCTTGGTATGAGCGACGCGGAGGACGAAGCATTCTGGCGCATGTTATCGACGAGGTCTGGGTCCGGATAGTCCGTCATGACTACAGTGCGCGCGCCTTTGATGGCGCAGACGATACTGGGTACACCTGCAGCGGCTCCGATCTCCAGCACATCCTTGCCCTCGATCAGTTCGTTGGCTCTCTCTTCTAGATAGTCTGCGCTGGTCCGGCCCGCGTTCCATAGCAGATCCCCCTCCAAGGCTGTCAGTTCGAAAATCACATAACAATAGACAATTGCTACTACAGGGAGTGCGAGGAAACAGTCAAAAGGTCATTCGATTCGTACGTATAATGGATGGCTGCCGACCAGGCGCACACGCACGGTCTGGCCGGAGAGCATTTTGTGCTCAGCATAAGTGGGCTCCTTCTCGGGCGGGTAGAAGCCCTCTGGGACGTCGAAGAGGCCGCCAGCATCGAGGCCATCCTGGAGTGCATCGTCCTCCCTGTCTGAGGCCATGGCGACTGTCGAGGAAGCTGCGACAAGCAAAAAGCGCGACAAGATAATAATATAATATAATTAATTATGGCCCGAAAAGGAAATCGAATTCTCCCGCGGGGCAGGCCGCAAGGAGACTAGCGCAGGTGTCAAAGGAGAAACTCGGGATGACGATCTGCACGTGATGCCGCTGACCGAGGCTTCCCCGACCACCGCGCATACCGTACTGTTACCGATCTTACGCCTGTTATCCGCAGCAATCCCCGTGGGGGCCGAGCCGAGATACAGACAGAATACACAGCCGGGTATTTGTCGGCGGTTCGCTGTTCCCTTCGTCCCGTGCTCCATCATGTCTCTTGCTCTTCTTCTCCACCTTTTTCCTCCAGATTTCCCCAGCGCAGTTCTGTCTTTTCTTGAAGCAGTCCAGTCCTGTCTGAATTGAATCCTCGGGACGAGGATTCTTGTTCCTTTTCGTCGTTCTTCAGCATCCGGTCGACTGTGCAAAGGCTCCCTTATCCCGGCATATTTACGTCCTGGACGTCATTCCGCCTTGACATCGGAAACCCCCCACGCCTATCATCTCCTACTGTCCTCTCTCTCCTGATCTCGGTCATCTATCTCCCCACAGTGGCCATCGTCCATCTGCTTTCAGTATCTTCCTGTTTCCCGAGCCGCATCGGAACTCGTCACCACTGTCCAGCCCTCAGCGAACGATACTTCGCTTCATAGATTATTCTCACAGCCAGGATAGGTCTCTGGCCCTTGCGGCTCTCCAGGTTCCGCAAGGTCGTCTTACCCCCACAAGGCTGGTCAATCTTGCGTGACCTTGCAGAAGCCGGCCTATATTTATTTAGTCTACCGTCCGGACATCCACGCCTACACTTCATGGACCGCAACTTGAGAACTCCTTACAATCTCCGTTCCTCTAATCATCCTGCTGCCCACACTGCCGCCGCCATGGCCTCGTTCGTTCCGTCTACCTCCACCAGCAGTGATCGTCTTACTGCTGCAACTTCGGCCTCCGTGATGTCACAGCCCTTCTCCAGTATGAGTGCTCGTAAACAATCAACGACGGTACCCTCGCCGTCAGGCAACGAGACATCGATCTTTTGGGGCCAGTCACAGTCGCAGACAACGAATTCGCAGACTCTTCATGGCATGCAGCCTTCTGCCAGCCAGCATCATGCCCCCAGCTCAGTGCCAGCTCAGCCCTCTGAGCGCGCAGGTGCTGCTGCCACCGCACCGTTCCTGAGAGATTTTACTCTTGTTGCAGAAGCTGCAAAGCGGGCTCAGATGGCTGTGGTCATGCGCGACCTAGAAGGCATTTCTTTATAATGGAGCGGACCTCGTGTGGAATTTTCTTTCTTTCCTGGCGTTTTGGGGCTTACACGGCGTGATCAGCTTTCGACACCACTCACGCGAAGACATGACGATGACGGATCCTGCAGTATATTGCTGTAGAGGATTTCCTTACGATTAATTCGGGCTATTATCCTTTCGGCAGTCTCTTGTCTCTGACATAGACAATTCCTTTTTAACTCATAAAAAAGGTGGCATGCGTGTTGATGCGGCGTCGTCCGTTGACTTCGGGCTTCGGTTGTCCTTCCTTGTCTCTGGCCTATCGACGGACTTTTTTTCATTTTTGTTTCCTTGCGATGCCTCTCAACTCTGTCATATATTGATACCTTTTTTTTCTTGTACCATTTCCGTTTGGAAATATCCCCTGTTCTTGAGACATCGCCTATTATCTCTCTTTCTATGCACGCCTTACTCAGAACATCGAAGTTCAGCCATGTGAGCTACTGGTAGATGGGATCAATTTGCTCTACAGATGATAGTGGCAGCCTGGAAGAGTGTCGTGCTTAATGCAAAAGCTTCATGCGAGAGACGTTCCAAGATAGAAGGTCATTGTGTTTCTACCCGGAAACAACGCAATTGGCCAAGATAATTACAAATCCTGATCCATCTAACCTTAAACAGGTTCTACGACAACAGTCGATCCATCCAGCACATTCCATATTATTACTTCACCAAAACATGTAAACATGTAAACAGGTCGACAGGTCCAGGCAAGAAAAAGCACATTACGTAATGCCTACACTTCTGAACCCTTTATCTTGAGCCAATTCCCGAGGTTATTCTTCATGAGCGGATGAGAGATTACCAGTATGGAGGTCAATTAAACTCTATCTACCCAGAAAAAATAAATAAGGTTACGCCCGCTCTAACTAGAAGACGGCATTGATCGTCGTTTAAAATCCCCCCTGACGTCAAATCGGGAGATATCACGTATTCATTATGGAAGAAGAGAAAGAGGAGCAGAGAAGTACGGTCAAAAGTAATTTGACATTCCCTTGGGCAAATATGGTGATGGGAGTCTGTTATTCAATGTTTTTTTCTCCGTCTGCGATGTTCTTTTTCTTTCTTTCTTTCTTTCTTCCCGGAGGAATGCGGGATTCTCTAATGGACTGTACATTGAGCATCACATGTGTTAAGCATCGGGAGGCGAATCCGCTCATCTTTTTCTTAAATAGCTTTTTTCCAATAGTCTAGACTAGGAAGGCCAGACCAGACCAGACCAAACCAAACAGAAACCATGTGAAGAGGGTGCACCATATTATGGTATATTAACTATCGTCCCTGCTGGTGATATCAATGTACTATACTATACTATACTATACATAGGTATATCCATATGAAAGAGATAAAATATAGAAAACCAAACTTATCCGAAAACGTCAAAAAACAAAATATATACTTCTCATTAAATTAAATCCGGAAAAGGAAAAGAATTGACCGAAAATTGCCAATCCGGGTCTTCCCGAGAATTGGTATTTGCTGTCGAATGAATGTACAGGTAGGGGCACGATAGATAGATAAGCAAGTTGACGGGGGAAAAAAAAATCGAATGATGAAATAGGAAAGCTTGATTGATAGTCCCCGGTGGAGATTATACTAGACTAATGGCGAAATTGAAAATGTCCATCTTAGTTGGTTATGTAGGTAGGTAGGTGGGTGGGTATGTAGGTGTATTTCTTGTTTCGCTGGCTTTGGGGTCTTCTTTTTTGCTTTTTTCTCGGCGTGCTCGACGAGGATATGTCATGCGAGGAGGAAGATGGAGATCAGGATCTCGAAGTGAATGGACGAGATTGCGTAGGACTGTCAGCATCCAGAGATCGGCGCTGAAGGAGAGTGCGTCCATCGAGGATTGATTTTGTCATGGTCACCTTTTTCGAAGATCGGGAATAATTTAACTATTGGTAGGCGTCTGAGACATTGGTGGTAGTGCGTCTATAATCCGGAAGTTATCATGGCCGGACGCATTGACACTCACAGGTAGGTAGGTATATCTATCTAGTCGAAAAAATCATCGTGGTCGGAGAGAGATGTCTCGTCGGAATTACACGACTCTGCAGAATAGAAAGGAGATGATAGCAGAGATTGCGATTGCGATTGCACGTCATCACTACATGCTTCCATCACCATCACCATCTCCTCCTGCTGTTTCTGTCGCTGTCGCTGCTGCTCCCTAATCCACTTCCGAGTCCGATTGACTTTCCAATCCGACACATCTCTATACCTACCCATGAGTAAAGAGTGACCTGTAGCGAAACACCAATCGGGACAATAGGATGTCGTGCGGAATGGATGTTTTCGTTGATGTTGTTGTTTAATGAGTCTCGTGACCGGCTTGAAGTAATCTTGTGGAGTGAGGGATGGGTATTCGAAGGGATTCAGTATCGGACGGTATTTGCTTTTGGCGAGTGGTTTAGTCAAGATTGTGATTGGTCTGTCTTTGACGGATGGCGTTTGTGGTTTCGAAACTCTTGGGTAGGGTGAGTTGTAGGTCGGAAAGGAGAAGTATAATTGGGATCTCAGGTGAGTGATTGCTATATAGAGTAAGTTTCGGGGAGCAGTCATAGTTAATGATTATTATCAAGGAGAGGGATAGGAATTGCCCATGCGGGAAATAGAATTGGAGTATATAGTTGTGTGTTGTGGGTGAGGTTCAATAGATTTCTTCGAATCTGGAGTTATTATATGCGAATCGAATCCTCTTGTAAGTACTTCCAGTCACAAAGACATTCTTTCTTTGGAGTCCGGGGTCTATCGGTAATCGACGGAGCTTTCCTGCGATAAATTTGAGCGACTTTCCGGGGAGCTGAAGACGGGTCTTTGTAATCTCAATAAAGTCAGAAAGAGAAAGTAGTCTTTCATTATCAATTAAAATAGGCTATGGATATAACCCATATAACCAAGAAATATGTACAATGCGGTGATCAAAGAGCGCAAAAAGAGTCAAAAAAAAGAAAAACATGTGACAACTCTGCTCGGTCGCTATTTCATTGTTGATTCAGTAAAGGAATGCCGTAGAAGAGAGAAACAGAATTAGGCAGGATGATCCAGCACCTACCGACAAAACGCTGTAAAATCAAGCCAAAAGATGCGAATAATGCGAACGCTTGGAAACCGTAAAAGGAGCGGAATATGTCTTCGAGCTTAGGTGTATGACCACGGGACCTGAGTTTGTCGAGGCTGTCGTTACTCTGTTCCACTTTGCATGGATCGTTTCATTATAAGACATGTCTTCAGTCAGATGAGATGAGATGAGATGAGATGTTCCGTCCACCACTCTCTTTGCCTTTTCTCTTTTCTTGTGTTTTCTTGATTAATCCTAGTTTCTTTCTCCTCCGCCCTCGAGACTTCCCGGTATGCGAAATCAATGTACACAAAACGCTATGCAATGCGAACCGCCTTTTTGGTGAGATATGAAATGAATGTGTGGGTATCAAGAATTAATGATAGTTCTTTTTTAAGATTTTTCCGGGCACTCCGCCCAAGTTGGGATGCTCAGATTCTTCCAGCCAACTCAGGGTCTGTTGCGGTCCTCTTCTTGAACGATAGCCAACGTCTCTTGTCGGGCCGGGAAGATGAAGTAGAAGAGCGAAAGGAGGATAGTCTGCTCTGTATCCTTCTCAGAGAAGGGGGACCGGATTCCTGAGAACCATGGGAAGAAGAGAGCATATCGAAAGAGAGCACAGATGGCCGTCTAGCCAGGGATCTCGAAGGAGGTGACGGTTCGGTAGGAGTCGCTTGGAGCTCGATCACTGATGCAGCTTTCTTGACTGGGGACCCGGGGATTCGCGGCAATGGTAGTTTCTCCTGACTTCCCTCCTCAAATGCGTACATTGAAAGCCTGCTAAAGAGTTTCGGTGGTTTTTGGTCGATAATCGACGGCGGCCGCTGCTTGAGGCCATAGACCTTCAAGGGAGTCGAGTCAGGAATGTCTGCATTCAGCGGAGTGGAGTAGTAGCGGCTTGGAGAGGGACATTTTTGACTATTCGAGCTGGTGTCGCTGGCAGGGGGTTGCGGCAGAGGCGCATCTTCGTAGACCTCGATGTATATATGGTTGTCCGAGACCGAATGGGAAAGCATCATGGGTGTATCCTTGTCAGATAACAACAATCGACCAGATAGGCAGATAAATAAATGAATAGATAGATCGATAGAACGAGCGACAGAAAGAGATAAGGATCAAAATTTAGGAGAAAGACCAAGCGCGCTGTGATGTCAACGGGGTCGACTATGGCATAAGATTGGGATCGACAGCGCTGAAAACTAAGGGGTTCAAAGCTTCGACAAGAGCTAAGGCTTTAATATGACCGACTCTCAATGCCGCGCATATTTTTTTTATGATGTTCAGAATGCTGGCAAGAGCACGACAGATTTTGGCTCTGTTGACGACCTACTAAACGAACCGTTCCCCCAAAGTCGGATATCGGGAACGAGTAGGGCTTCTTCGGATGACGCGGCTGTCAAGGGCGACCGCTGAGATTTCGAGAACGCACGAACTGCTCCGCTCAAGCCTCATAGTGTTCCACCGTTGAGACTTCACTAAGCTTCTTAGCTGCGCTCTGTTTCAGGCCCGAGCTCGGTTCAGTCGGAGTTTTCTGCGTGGTTTTGTTGTGGCCGTCGTCCACACAAACCAGAGGCGGCTATTCTTGGTATACCATATTACTCTGCCATACATCTCTCCGCGTCAGCGCTGATGAACGAGGCGCAGTGCATTCGTCTGTTGTCTTCTTCCTGTCTCTCTCTCTCGCGGATGGTTGTCTCTGGAAAAGAGATGTCCAAACTCCAGACAGTTTAGAAGTACCGATCAGATTTGGTTCCTAGATCAGAAATAGTATGGGGCTCCCGGCAGTCAATAGGTGCTGATCTTTTCGCCACGAGGATCGTTCCGCTGCCCTCCGCGAATAGTATCTTCAATCCCCTGCTTGGCAATTGACAGGAACAACATCCTAAGCTGTCCGGGGAATAATTTGTACGGAGTCAATGATGATCCTCCCTGTAGAAGATACGGAATAAATGTTATCCCCATCCAAGAGTCTGGAGAAGTGCGAGACCTGTCAACATTGCAACAATTTTCTGTTAGCGTCGGCCCTTTGGAAGACCGCCGAAAGAGACATACCATAACTCGAGATCAGAACACCCCACATTATTGTCTCTCACCGAGTCACCGCATGCTAGGGTCCAGTCAGAATTATTCCATCTACGAATAATGTGTTTTAATCGAGCCACGGCTTCAAGTACTCTACCATACCATAGATGGTCGAACTTTGCCACCTCCTGCAGACGGAACATCCTGGCCCTGCAGAAACCCTATAGGCAAGGTTCCGAAGGATCCGCTATCTGATCGCGGCGGACTAAACTGGACCGTTAGTCCATATCAAAACTCATAGCAATAATGCAGAAGGTCTCACAGTGCATAACAATAATCATAGAGTTTATAAACACCGCACTCGCAATGCTTCCCAAATAAAGATCGGGCAAGCCTGTCGAGAGCAAGTATGACAACTGCGTCTGCAGTGATAATGAGGTTAGTCAAGGGCCAAAACAAAATGCATTGTACAACTGGCACGTCACAGAAACATCTAACAATAAAGTAACAGTAAATTCCAAGTTCAAAAATAGCGTTCGATCCTATCTATCAACTTATATCACACATAATGTATGAACACGGACCTGACAACAGGGGGTATCGTTTTCAATATAGGAAAGTTCCTGGCAATGCCACGGGCGCCTAAAAAGTACAGTACAAACCGTAAGTCATGACGCATTCAGTGCCGCATTGGGAGTCGTATATTCATATCACATGACGAAAAGTAGATTCACATCTGCCATGCCACATGTTAGCCATCAAGTCAACAGCAACTCGTCTTTCGAAGTACGGAGATATGAATACCTAAGGGATGGCTGCAGCTCAACTGCGGTTTTTGGGTATATCTACCATGGAGCTCTCCTCTTAGGCTATTCAATAGCTGCAGGTAGCTCTGCTGTGGGTACTTTTTCAAGGCATTGATAAACGCCCAGGTCAATGCGCCTCTAGCTTCTCCAGCTTGGAAGGTATCGGCCCTATCAAAAGCGTCGTCAGACAGAGTTTCCGAATAGCTTAAGCTTGGGTGACCCACGATGTCTGCGTGTCCTTGGAACCAGAGAACATAACCACATCCGCAGGAGAGGTCTTGGTTATCATGCACCGCTCGCGGGCAGAGGTCCCAATCGCAGCTTTCTTGAAAAATCCAATGGCAGTCGTTGCCATGCCTCCGATATCACCCTTCTCGTACGAAGCTAGGGCGGAGATCAGGTCTTGGGCTGCCTCCTTGGCCAGATTTGGTTCTTTCAACACACCCTTTGGCAGAGTCAGTACGCGGCAGAGGGAAAAAGTGATTGGCTAGGAGAGAATCGAACCTGTGTCGAATAAATGAAAGGAAGGTCCAATGCCGTTCCGGAATGGCACGCATCAAACAGAGCTGTAAGTCGAACACCCGGCAGTAGAGGGCGGACCCTTCCTCGATGGTCAGCGGCCACAACTCCAAACACCGATCACTTCATCTTACATGATATCGTGCATGTCATCATCAACAATGTGGCCCGCAACGCGGAAATCCACAGGATATATGACATCATCAAAACCTATCTTCGTCAACATCGATTCTGCGATATACCCAGTTGAACTCCCAGGGCTTACCGTCGTCCTCATCTCCGTCGAGATCTGGTGTGCGTCCACCGTGGCCTGTTGCGTATTAGCAAGCCGTCGTTTCCCACCTCAGTGTGTGCATCTCCATACCCGAGAAATGAAAGAAGAGCGAGTCATGGGGCTTCGCGTTTTGGACCAACCATCGCATTGCCCTCAGGATATTAGCCTTTGTGGGCTGGCTCATGGGATTCCTCTGATCATCGGTCAAGATGACCATGTCTTCTCTTCGATAACCGTGGACGTTGTGTAGGAAGATAGACATCTGCGTGACATCGTTGATGCACCCTCTCAGTTGGTTTGGCTGGCCCAGATAATTGATCCCAATCAAGAGCGCCTTCCGGCGACCGGTGCAGTTCGAATACTGAAACTTGTAGCTGGAGGGAGCGCCATGGCCAAAGCTCTGGCCGCCCTCCGGGGGCCGTACCGGACGAGGAGGAAGATCTGGCGGGGTGTCTATTCGGATTTTCTTAGTCATGAAGTCGATGGATCTTAATGTCTGTATATTCTTTCTTCTTACTGATGTAAAGCCCGCCTGCACTGTGCCCCTTGGATGGGCGTCGACGGCGGCGGTGATGAGACTCCGCGGGCCGCTGATAAGGTTGTGGTTGTGGGTGTTGATATTGATAACTGCCGAGGGGAGTAATCACCGGCTCAGTTGGCCTTCGTCTCTCATACCTGGAGTCCCGCTGTTAAAAACCACCAGGAACAATGACATTCGAGGTGTGTCTAGCTTACGAGTAGGGCTGCTGCGCGGGAATCCATTGTTGCTGTGGAGGACAGCTGGCCCAGCCAGTTGGAGGTGGTGCGCGCGGGGGAAGGTACATAGAACGGGCGTGGAGAGGAGAATTGGCACGTTCGGATGGCTGATGGGGAGGGGCAGTTGTAAAGGGGTGAGTTCTGTGGGATGTACAGTTTCTGCAACGCGATTGTCGTGAGAGAAGCCGCTGTCAGTAGTGTGGCATTTTCATTGTGACAGCGGATGGCGTTCTTCTTGATTATTATATGTGCCGATAGTGTACACCAAACTACACCAAACTGCACCAGCGGCAGAAACAACCAGTAGAGACTCCAAAATCTCCAGAATCTCCAGAATCTCCAGAATCGAGAGCGACCGTTCACCGCCAGCCCCGGCGTGATGGTCCAACCGGACGCCCGGGGCTGGCTGAAACGTCGAGAAAACTGGCGGACGCGAACATCGCTAGCGACAGCGGTTTGATGATGATCAGTCACGTTGGCGGGGCTGAGAGAGATGTTTCGCTTCTTTTCCTCTCTCGCTCACGGCGATGCCGAACTGTTAGACGCATGGTCTTTGGTACTTTTGCTGGCCAAAAGCGACAGTTCGATGGCTCATATCTACATCCAATGGACTATCTATCTACCTTTATGCTTCTCGAACAGCTGTCCACCGCGGGAATACCATCATTATTTGTGTCTCCTCGGCACACACAGAATGAGACTCAATGAGTACTCGGGATAGCTTCAACGCTAGAAGAGCTTAGCCACAAGCTAGTCTCCGCGACCTTCTCTGCCCTATCGGCCCCAAACATTTAGCAAGTCTTGAACCGGTTTAGGCGCTCCGCTCTCTTTCGTCATCCAAGAGTTGACAACTAAGCGATGCGAAGGAGACAAGAAAGTTGAGATGAGATGGCGTCTTTTTTGGCCTCGATACTGATATGCCATTGGCCCTGTCATCGCTCAGCCCTGTGTCCTTGTGCCACGCCGTTTTGGCATTCGATAACTCGGGATCGGTGACTGTCGACGATATAACCGCGTCGTTACCTCAGGTGTCCGGATCAATAGGCAAATTGGAGCCCATAAATAGTCTATCTAGAGTCCTAGACTCTAGAGGACTCCAGAAGCTTTCCCCACAGCGCTATTTCTTAAAAGATACCGGGATGATCGTGCGACTCCAAGTCTGGACCTGCTTGAGGACCGTGCAATGATAATCAGAGAACTGACGATTTCTTTGTTTAGACAAGCCTTCCCAGGAGCGACTTCCGCTTCCAGTGTACTATTTTGTTAATTAGTGGCTACGGAGAAGTCGGATCCATTGATCTTCCTACCCGCGCGGGCAGACCCAAGAAGTCCCTAGAACAACCGTCCTCAGGATCACTCTACATGAGCTGCGCATCACAGGAACAGAAACGAGATTCCCATGGAAGGACGAAATGGGGGTACAGATCCTGAAACGGCGGTACCCTCGGAATCGAGCGCAGAGCTCCTAACAGAGACACCGCTGTCCTGTCTTTCAACTGTTGACCAGCGACCGAACTCTGAGATCGATGATGAGGCAAAGCCTTCGCCACTTACGCCCAGTATCGAGGCACAGAAGTCGTCAGGATATCTGCTCGACCACAAAGCCATTTTCACAAGAACAAAGCGTGGCAGCTACGGCTTGTCTCCGACCCATCAGCGCAAACTGCGTAACAATCTTCTGCTAGGAGTTGGGTTCCTCGAGCTTGGCAACTGCGGAGACTTCGCCGCAAACGTGTGGAATACTACCCCAGTACCACATTTCGCAACCGCTTTGATGGCGATAGGCGGAACAGTCGCTCTGTTTACGAGCATATTTGCTTTCAGAGACCTGGGACGGAGCTGGATGAATATCCGCTTCCTGCGAGAGGAAAGAGAATTCCTACGATCACGGAAACAGACGACCATTCAACAAGACGAGGAGAAACTGGAAATGCTCACCCAGGAAGACTTGGATAGCTGGCTGTCCATTGATTTCAGAGAGCTGGGTAGTGAATTCGTTGATCGATTCATGATGGATCTTCTCCTGGGAACCTCCGCAGTCATCGTTGCTGTTGGTACTTTCCTAGCCATTGGCGGCACCAACAAATCCGTATACCACGCCAGTAATTTATTGTCAGGCTATATCGGAAATGCACCAGGCGTAGTGTTTGGCCTTCTCAATGCTACGTGGACCGGTTACCTGTGCGCCCGCCTCCACCGGCATGCTAAGGCAGTAACGAGGGAGGCCCTACCAGCTACCGTGAAGCTTCGGATGACCGACCGTTTCCACATGATGCAACGGCACCATGCACTCAGTGGCATATCCTCCCTCGTCGGTGGCGCCGCTGGTATGGTGACTGCCACTATGTGGTGGGGATATGTGGTTTTGATCCCTTGTATAGTATCCCAGATATTGTGCAATTATATCTGGAGAAAGACCATCGGGTATGACCGGTTCATCGTCCAAACCTCGCACGGAATAGAGGACACCCCGGTCCTCAAGAAGCTGGAAGACATCGTTGCCATCAACCAACTTCTCTTGAAAGACCCTAATCAAGCGATCCCTGGACTCATATTAAACCCGGAGTCGATGGACTCGTTCTTGCAGTTTATCTTCGACCATGACCTTTTTGACGACTTCTGCCTTTATCTCCTCAAACACGCTGACTGGAGAGCTCTTTTCTATCCGGAATCACAACCAGAAGCTGAATTTTCGATTTCACCGCGCGAATTGTTAGATGCGGACGAGCGGGCACTGTCTAGGACGATGGAACTTGCAAAGAGGTTCATCATCCAAGAGAGCCCGTTGCACTTCGAATATATGGAAAGGTTTCTTTTGGAGATGGCGGGATGCTACGTATACTCCCGTCACTATTCGGGAGGGAGAACCGCGCACTGAGAAAGTGAGCGCAGCCCTGGAGGCAGATCGAGAAATATAGACTGGGCAGGGTCCCTTATTGTATGTAATTATATAATGACTAGACCTAGACACTGTTTCTGGTAAATGATGTGGTGGCGGTTGTCCTGTACGATTGACAATGACTAGAATGCCAATGTAAGAGTTAAGTGTTCTATTTTCAAGATACTCTCCACGTATGGAATTCGATATTAAACCGGATAGCTCCACTCATTCCGTCTATCTACCGTACTATGTATTCTATATCTCGGGACGAGCATAATGCCAAGAAAGATAGATGGTTCCTGATAAGAAGATGGAGGCTGCGTGATTATGAGTCACCTGACTACATATGTGTAAATATGGTATTCAGGGCACACCGCATATTGTGAGTGGAAATAGAACATATTATTATCATCTTCTGAATCCTGATGAAGCTCAAACAACTCCATTATTATTATTGTTGACGGAATGGATTGGGATCCGCTGAATCGGCGGTGACCGATATGGCAGGCGGTGAAGGTGGGGTCTATGGACTAAGCCCAAAAGGACACTGAAGGCGGGCAATAAGGTGCATCACGTGGCGGCACTCAGCGTGACCCAAACTGTGGACCACAAGCAAGCGGAGAGACACAGCAACTTTCCCATGTCCATCCCCGCCATCGAGTGTTGCTGCCACTAAGTGTCCTCGTGGCATTGTCTGTGAGCTGACAGCCTCAGTGATTTACACTGAAATCCCAGCCCAGAGCTAAGCTGTGGCGTTGGACCTGGCCTGCAGTGTGTGTGTGCATGTGTGTGTGTGTTTGTGTGTATGTGGATACCTCTACAATACCAGATGTACTTCCCGTACTGACAGAGCATCGATTTCGGATGCTAACCAAAGAGACAACTCAGAGTTCTGTCGCATGCCTCTCATCTGAGATCTCTGAATCTATCCATCCTGCGCAGTGTAGTGTATAGCATACCAAAGCCATCAATATTCGAGAGTCAGATCCCGTCGATCGGAACATCTATCCCGACCTTCCCACGGAGCGGTTAACAGATCTCCGCCCCTTTTAGCACCACTCCACAGAAATCTTCGGACTGGTCCCTAATACACACGGTGCTGCTCCCTTGACCGCACCGCCATGCCGTGCTTCAAGGGCCTTGCGGTCAGCATACACACTCCTGAGGGGCCCCTCCCCGAACACTCGGTTCAGCGCCAGTCGCGGGCGTCGCGGATAGCCTGTTACATCCCAGTCCCTCCCCCTAAGATCTCCGATGCAGGGAAAGCCGAGCAATCGACTTTTGCCATCTCGATCACGCTCCTGAACCCTGGTCAGAACGTGCCCTATTCCACCCCGAAACCCACGCCGGACAACCCGTCACCGAAGCCCAAGGTAGTGGGTGGACTTCCTGGACAGACGGCTGAGCGGGGGAAGTATGGCCCGATCATAGGCCCCTATCAACCATTGACCAATTCTCCGAACGAAACCGTGGCCGCTTACATATATTTCGACGGACGTCAGAAGGAGGAAGTGGCGACATTACTGAGAAGGGGAGAGGAGACCTGGGTCAACTCGAGATGGGTCAGTGTACCAGAGTCGGAGGGTGGTGGTCTAGCTGAGCGCGAGTTTTTATTCCGTGAAGTCGGTCTCGAGCGATGGCTCAACGGACTTGATCTCGAAGGCAAGGATGCTGCCGCCAAGATTGAGCGAAGGAGACAGAAGATAGAGAGACATCGGCAAAAGAAAAAGGCCGAGAGCGACGCAGAGGGGAACGGTGAGATGGAAATGGATGGGAAATCTACCGCTGACGGAAAAGGCGTCATGCGATACGGCAACAACGATAAATCACCGCTAGAGGGTCTCTCTGACGATGATATGTCGTCGCTATCTGGTTCTGATGACGATCCAATTCCGGAAACGACTGGTCAAATCAAGGTCGCGCTCTTTCGAGTACTAGCATCTGGGGAAATCAAGAGGGGAGAATACTCTCCGCAATTCGATGCTCACGACGACGACGATGATTCTCAAGGTGGACAAGGGGGAGGAGCAGATGCGGATATCGACCATACCACCAGTTTCGCCAAGCCCAAAACGCTCGACCCCAAGACCATCAGTACCCAGACAGTCACTGGAATTGATCCGACAGACAAGCCATATGCTATATTTACGTTTATGTATCGAGGAGAACGTGAGTGTATTATGATTTGGTTCGAAGATCCGCGCTAATGAGCTCATTAGGCCAACTGCAGAAGATGGGCATCCTCAAAGATCCAAAGTCGCAAGACACTCCTGGTTCCACGAAGAGGCGATCGTTACAGCCAGACTTTTCCAATCTTGGCCCACTAAAGCCCGGTGGCACAGTCGGCTTCCTGAACTTCAGAGACAAAGATGCCAACAAAGGGAAGCGAAAGTCAAAGAAGTCCAGCGCAAGCGACATGGATAGTGATGACGACGACGATGATGATTTAATAATCCACAAGGCTGAGGATGAGGAAGCGAAAGATGCGGATGTGGAGCTTACTGCTGAGGAGCTCAGGCGCCAGGGAGAGCTTGCGGAGGGTGTGCGGAAGATCAAGGTGAGAAGATGAGCTTTCCACTTTACAGGGCCATGAAGACTGATGAAATCGAATAGCTCAAACGCCAACACTCGTCGGAAGCTGTTGGTGGAGAGGGTGATGCCACAAATTCCAATACACCCGCTGCCGGTTCCACGCCACCGGTATCGACGACCCCTCCAAACGCTTCTGGCATCCCATCTGGGCTTGCGGAAACGAAAAAGTCAGCAGTTGATTCCCTGGATAGTGCCTTTGTCGGGAGCCCCTTGAAGAAGCAGAGAGCGAGCGTATCCGGAGCGGACGAGGACGGATTACTGAAGCGCATGGGTTCCGGGCTTACCAGCAACATCGGTGAGGTCCTGGGATCATCAAAGGTTTCTGATGGTGGAGCAAATCCCAGTGCAACCAGTGCATTTGGTGGTAGCCTGGGACAACCCCAACCCACTCAGCAACCGAAACAGGAGGAAGACGAGGAAGAATTGTGATTCTTGGACGCGTCCAATCTCTCCTTTTTCTGGTCCAATTGGTTGGCACTAGACGACTGCTTTGCTTTTTTTATATCCTTTTATCCGTCCGTCGGGTTTGGAGCAGTCTTATTTTTCAGGCCCCAGTGCTTGCTTTAAGACAAGGGAACCCCAGCCTTGTTCTTTTTTTTATTCCTTTTTTTGACTCGATCTCCTAGCGAGCGAATATGTCTAGGCTCCTATATTTTTTTGCTTCTACGCTATATTCTCTAGATACATACCTGTTAGCTCTGCGCAGTGAGCAAACGAACAAAAAAGACTTGGATGATTTCTACATTGGGCGTCGCGTGTTCCCTTTCGCGCCTTTTTTTATTTTGGCCCTACTTACGGAGACCTAATAACTATACCTAGGTAGCGTCCCTCGTGGCTACTAATGCAAATTACCCCGCGTGTTCGCGCTTAGGTACTTATGTCCTTTCTAGACTGTCCTATAATCAAGTATGGTCAACCAAGACTTGCAGCAGGAGCACGTGCCATACGTGCCCTATCTGCTGCGGAAGCAAGACAGGAATAAAACATAAGATTACTTTATTATCTTGATGGCATCGCCTTAGCTAATTCATATATATATACACATTACAAAAAGACCACCGAAGAGGTATACCTACGGCTGAGAGACTACGCAAGCAAGATTTTGACTCGAGATTTTTGCCAAAGCTGAGGTAGTAGAACATATATAGATATATATATATCAGTCCCGAAAAATGATAGCTATCGAACAAGAAAAGAAAAAAGCCAAACATCCATGAACGCAAGCCGTAACCTTCGTAGAGTTCCCTCTCGGTTTATTAGAGACCGATTGCAACCACACAACACAACAATTATGAGGTAGACTGACTCCCTGTCCCCCCTACCCTGCTTTTTCCTCATGTAATACCATACTCGAGGAACTGACAGGAAGAGTTGTCGTGTTTCCCATAACATCATATAGCAGAGCTCTGATTATAGAATTCATAACATAGACGCCGGTACAGAAGCCAGGCTGCCTCGGTATCCTTTCATAATGTAATATATGCAGAACCACAATTAATCAATTACCTTTGCGCTCAGGAAAAAAAATCTCAAGGTTGATAAGCTCAAGGCGCTATTTTTTTTTTTTTTTTTCATTCCTTCACGTGAGCGGAAACAACGCTGTGCTTGCGCAATTCCTGGTTCGTCTCGTCGGTAGCGACGTGATCAAACTTGTAGAGAGGCTCGAGATGCACGTTCCGGCGGAAAATGTAGCGGTTAATCCACCACGGGAGGACCTCGAAGACCTGGTAGTGGATGTGCTTTTTGGTGGGAACAGCAAAGATGTAATCGAGTTCTTCTAGAGTACGCTGCTTGGTTTCTGGGACGAATAGATAGATCATAACTAGAGCAACCACGTTGAGGCCGCTGGGAATGAAGGTCAGTATGTTAAGGATAGATAAATAAATGAAATAAGGAATTGTGAGTGTGAACTTACGCATAGAAACAGAAAGCGCCAGTTGGAGTCATGACAGCAAGCATTCGTGGGAAAGTGATCGAAAGCACAGCAGCCCAACCGAGACAGGTAGCCACAGCCCAGGACATGCCAACCTCTGAAAATAAGGTAATTAATATTAGCTAAATGAAAACGAGAGTCCTCGAGGTGGAGCAGAACTTACCACGATGGGACAATGGGAATACTTCTGCAGAGTAAGTGAACGGAACAGGTCCTTCACCGGGTGAGTAGAAAGCTGCGAAGAGGAAGACGAAGAGGGCAATGACACCCAAGTGAGCCTTCGAATCTGATGGGATGTAGAAGCTGAATGCGGCAGCAAGAAGCGTCCATGCCATCTGTGGGAAGGTGAAAAGCAGCAGCGATCGTCGGCCATAGGTATCGATGGTCCACACAGCGGGGAAAGCGAACAGGAAGTTCACCAGACCAAAGCCCCAAGAGGCAAGCAGCGCACCGGTAGTAGTAGCACCAGCTTGCTGGAAGACGGTTGAGGAGTAAAATGCCACAATGTTGATACCGCACATCTGCTGCGCAATCATGACAGTAAACGAGGCCAGAGTTGCACGTCGAACACGAGGAATCGTAAACAGCTCCACGAAACGAGTAAGGTAGTTGCTATGCCCTGAAATCTCCTGCTCCACTTTGATCTGAGCGTGGATGTAGTACAGATCACGGGCAGCCTGGAGCTCAGTGTTTCGTAGACGACAGAGTGACTTATATGCCTTGGCCATCATACCCTTCTTAATGTACCAACGCGGAGATTCCGGACAGAAGTAAATACCAAATAGAAGGGGAAGCGCAGGAATGAAGGCAGAGCCCAGTTGAAGACGCCATGAAATAGCACCAGTATCCTTGACAGCAAGGTTGGCACAGAAACCAAGGAAAATACCGAACGCGGTCCACCTGCAGGAGTAGGTTAGTAACAGTGAAATGCATGTACAAACTGAGAAAGAATAAAAAAATGAATAAGGGTCTCTTACAGCTGCCAGCTCATAACTAATCCACCACGAATGGCGGCAGGTGTGTTTTCTGCACAGAAAATGGGGATGGTCGAAGCCTTCATACCCATACCTAGACCGAGCAGCAGTCGGGTCACAAACAACTGAGGCCATGTCTGGGTGAAGGCGGATCCAATAGGAGAGATGACGCAGAAAATAGCAGATCCGAAGATGCAACCACGACGGCCGAACCAGTTGTTTAGTGGATCGGATAGCCAGCAACCCAAGAGAGCCGTTGAGATATAGGGAGCACTATGAAGAGAGTTAGTCTCTGGGCGCAAGGACTCAATGTATTAGCACTGACGCATTTACAACACCGACAATCCACTGATTACGCTCCGCATTGGGGCCGTGGCTATCAGGGATCCCGAAAGCATCTGGGAACGAAAGATTGGCACCGTTTGATCCAGTTTGGTCCCATCCCCTGGGCAATGTTAAGTATGCGATTAGATTAATATTGCAGGTTTCTCATCACTTACTGCACAGCAGCACCAATGGAACAGAGAATAATAGTAAAGTATAGCGCTTTAGGCTGTCTCCACTTATGGAGGACCTCATCACGGATGGCAGTGGTCTCAGTCTCAGTCAGTCCCTCCACTGATTCGAAAGCAGCCGGGTCTCTGGCGACGAGAGCACCCTTCTGCAGGAGTGGTCTGATGTGATCTAGTTGGTACTCGGTGGCGAACTCATCAACATCCTTGAGGACCTGTTTCTTCGAGAGATCTGCCAAAGGGTTCTTGATTCTAGAGGAGGATTAGTGAACTTTTCATAGTATACCATAGCAAATGAACTTACTTCGCTGAAACATTCTTGTTCAGGTTGATCTTCTCGAGATGAGCAAGTTCCACGTCATGATCAGAGCTCTCGCTGTGGGATGTTAGCCTGTCATTGGATATCAATTGGAAATAATTGCTCTTGGACTGACCTATCGAGACCCTTTGACGAAGGAAATACGCCGTTGTCAACCTGAGTGACTTCGTCCTTCTCCACGATTTCCGCCATAATGGAAAGAGACCTAAAGAGGCCCTGTAAGGCTGAAAGAAAAGCAACACAAAACAACACCGCGCAAGTTCACACTGACAATTTGCGGCGCGGGGACAAGGTAGTAAAGGTGATATAAGAGGATATTAGAAAATTTTCAGGTTGGTAGTTGTGCGGATCAACCTATATATGTTTACAAAGACCTAACGGCCATCCATTCTGAAATTATGTACCCGCACAACCCGGACCTCCACACGCCATGCTCCATGTCAGACATCTCCTCATTGAGACCATTTGCCCCTCCCACAGACGGGTCCAGAGAATAAGCTGGATGCTCTGCGAGCGGAAAATGGCTGCAAAGCCGGCATTCCTTGCAGGCTTGAACCGGCTTTGAAGACATCTCGGGCATAGCTCTGGGCCGGACCGGTGGCGAACTGTTGCCCATGGGGAAAACAAGCGTGACCTGGAGAAGTCGGGGAGAACTAGACCAACCGGTCAATTGATGCCCATCGTTTCAAGCCGCTCCCGGTTCAACAAGAACCATGGCCATGTGTTGTCGCTTTGGCGGGTCTCAGTGTATCCGAGGATGCCACTGGACAGTGAGAGTAGATACGATTTGCTTGGCCGTAGATGGTCAAACCTTGTCAGAAAGCGGCTTGTTGAAGCGTCAGAGCTGGGGAAGCGGCGTTTAGCAGATATATGAACTGCCCAAAAGCGTAGATGTTGATTCGCCATCGGCGTAGCTTTCCCTTGGATCAGTGTCCCTTAGTGACAGGTCCCTGTCGGGATAGAAGTTGGAACCTAGTGAGGAATACTCTAGAGACAGCTAAGGCTGTTGCGTCCAAAATCCCCAAAGCATAAAGGTCTTCGGAGTTCCTGGCTAAGCCACGAGGCCGTAATAGAGTAGAATCTTGTGTTCCCGATCCGGTACAGTAACGGGCTATTTTGCTTTGAGACTTGCCCGTCACATTCCTCGGACACACAGTATTAGCCAACTCCGAGTGATCGATCTTGCATGAAAGATACAGAACTCCGCCATCTAGCCAATCCTCGGAGTCACTAACTGGAATAATATAGACGAAATAGCGCTTTTCCGGGCAAGGGGTCAATGCGCCACGCTGCTGTCGGCTGGCAAAGCTTCATATTTTGCACGGCGGAGGAACAAGCCTAAGCGCCAAGTTTTGCGCGGTGGCCAATCATATGGTATATTAAGACAGAAGGGGAAAGTTCTATCGCGAGCAGTCCATGGTATCTGGCATTGACCATCCAGACGGGGTCCCAACAGGCTTATTTTGCCCTCTCTTCGCGCTTGGACGTTTCATGGCTTCTCAGGACTAGTCCGGATATTGTTTAGTGTATCACCACTTTCCTGGCAAAATAATTAAGTTGAGCGGTCTTCTCAAGCCTCAATCGACTGTCGTATCGACACGCGATGGCGGTCTCAGGAGATTTCCTCCTCGTGGCTTTATAGGGCGCCCGAATCGGCTTCTTCGCAGGGAGGGCAGCAAGATCCGTGAGCCGGTTGGTTCTCTCTTGAACTCGGGCCCGTGAGCACATCCGTATGCGGTCGGTATACTGGAAACTCCGACGTAAGATGGCAGGTAAGATCGGATAGTTACGTAGAATCATTATTATCGAACCCAGTGGAAATCCGGGGATTTTCGCTTGGACAAAGTTGATCTCTCTTTTCTCCATAACTCCGCTTTTCGGGTCACAACTCTTCGCGCGGGGATGTGGAGAAATAAAGGTCAACAACAAGTGGAATGGTTGTGGAGGCCAGACCGATTCTGCGAGAAGCTTTTTCACCGGCCGGGCCTCATTCGGTCCCTCTTCGGCCGTGTTCTTCGTTCTAGTAAACGAAGTAACGTGCTAGCCGAGACGGACACGATATTGTAATTATTATCGCAGGCCCAGACACACTCCGCCTATACTTAGCCTGAGAGGGCACATCGCGACGGAGAAGTAGAACCAGACGCCGTGCTTTCTGGACATCACGAGTCCCCATCTTTGTCATGCGCTTGGTTAGCACACGTTGCGTCATGTTTCGAGATTATGTGAAAGCCCCGAACAGTAAGTAGCATTAGTGGGTTCAAGAGAATTATGAACAAGAACACGAGAGTACGTGTAAAGCAATAATAATAATGAAATGCATATCCAAAACCTGCGGAGTTTGTGACATCACTCCGATCTCCGATATGGATTGGTTTGTCAGCAATGCCATAACCACAGGAAGAATCCCAAATGATACTTACTACTTATGGCTGGGAAAACACATACACAATTGTCCCTCCCTTTTCTTCTTGCCAAGGTGTTAGTTAGTCTAAGTTAACATCAGATCTCCTTGGCCATGGCTTCCCGTACCATCTTCCTAGGTCCCACAAGAGCACTATCCCGACTCGGACAACTCTCCTCAACTCTCGGCGCGACTGCAAGCCCAAGGGCGCCGTTATCGACCGTGTCGTCCAATATTACCCTGTACAGCTGGCCTACGCCTAATGGGATCAAAGCCTCGATCACTCTGGAGGAGTTAGGTCTTCCGTATAAGCTGGTGCCTATCGACATCGGGACTAATGTTCAGAAAGAAGAGTATATTATCCTATCTCTATAGCTGGACCAGTATTGGATGTATTATTGCAAGATAAACTAACATATCATTAATTAGTTGGTTCCTGAAAATCAACCCCAATGGACGTATCCCAGCGATAAAGGATGGCGAGCAACGCGTCTTCGAGAGCGGAGCCATCATGCTGTACCTTGTCGACAAGTATGACAAGGAGAAGAAAATCAGCTATGCCCCCGGCACGCCTGAGTACGTCGAAATGCTGAGCTGGCTCATGTTCCAGATGGGAGGCGTGGGTCCAATGCAAGGTACAGTAATAATTAATACATGACAGCGGATCTTGCTTGTTTTACTTTTCAATTCTCGAATTCATTTCACTAACATCACTCAAATCAAAATAGGTCAAGCAAACCACTTCCGCGTCTTTGCCGGAGTCCGCTCCGACTACGGTATCAAGCGCTACACAGAAGAGACCAAGCGTCTCTACTCCGTCTTGGAGGCCCGTCTGAAGGAAAGCCCTTATCTCGCCGGATCCAAGTACACGATCGCAGACATCGCCAACTACTCCTGGGTGCACAGTGGGCCCACAATCCTTGAATTTGACCTGTCTGAGTGGCCAGCTCTCAAGAAGTGGAAAGAAGAGATCGACCAACGCGACGCTGTCAAGAAGGGCGCCGACGTACCGAAACGCGAAGGTCCCCCAGGGCAATTCGAGCAGTTTCTGAAGGATGCTCGGGCGAAGATCGATTCGATGCAAAATACAGATAAGCACTAGAGCTTTCCACCGGTCCTGAGCTACTCAATGTGCATGTACAATATGTGATATTAGTATAATATACTTTGAATAGGTAATTCACTCCTAAATGAGCTTACAACCCAACCCGACGTTGATTGATTGATGCACATCATCTAGATTTGGATACGATAATAGAATTATCTACACTACTACGTCAGCCAAGTCTTACTCTGCAATCCATCGAGCTCCCAAATAGATTTAGCGTTCCCCCGGATTTCTAGAGTATACCCCGGATCCACGAACCGAGAGTTGAGCTGACATCACAGCACCCTATATCCAAATCCGGAAAGGAATGAAAACCCACGATCAAAGTCACCTGTCGGGAATCAAGGAAGATTGCATTGCATTGCATTGCAACAAAGAAGCTTAAATCTGAGTGTTGGATCTGATACCGACTCACATTCTTCCGCATGCGGAAAGTTGGGCAAAACACCCGGATAGCGCAGATCCGGTAAGACATCCGGATCGACTGGGAAGCCCAGATTATCTGGACCACTTGGGATATATTACATATGGTTCGATAATGCACTCCGGATTCTACACGTGGTTGTCAAACCTGTCAGCTGATCCATAGTGGCATTGTCGCTTCTGGAATATGACAGCACCGGTTCCATGGGAATGGTGTAGATTGCAAATTTAAGCGAAGCGTCCATCCTGTTCTTGGATATACATGGTCGTCTAATTTTGCCTGTTCCGTACCGTGCCAGTATATCCGATATCGAATTAACGTATGAGTGCTAACAAATGTACATTCTATGTCCATAAAACCCGTAGCCGTCACGATTACCAGAATCTCAGGAAACTATGCTCTATCAGTGAAGATGCCAGTTGACACCACTGGGGCCGTTCAAATCTCCGCAAGTCTATACCTTCTCCATGCTTCGAACCCTACCTTCTCGTACCAGTCCTTCATGCTTACCCAGTCTACAAAGACTCCTTCCACGCCCCTGTCTTTCATGTTGAGAATAGCGTGGCAAAGCATTGCAAGCCCTACTCCGGCTTTGCGATGTTCTGTGTCTACTCCAACGCATCCGATCAAGCCTGTGTTGGGGCCGCAAAGCGGCGGAAGTGCCCAATCCTGCTGAAGAAGAGGGCATGATGGACCAAGCATTAGGGTCCAGCCTACTTGGTTGCCCTCGGGGTCAAAAGCTACCATGACACTGGATGGATGATCCACTGGATTAAGTGTCACGTATGCCTCGACCCATCCCTATATTTACCCGTACACATTAATATTTAACTGTTTAGAGTGGTGTCTCTGGGGTCGGATACTCACCGCGTAATAACCGAAGTTCTTTCTCTGACCCGCAATGCATGCATCATATTGTTCGGGTTGCAAAGGACCGAAAGTGTAGCCTCCTTGTCTTGCCCGCTCGACATACTTGGAAGGAGGTTGGTAGTTCCTTATGTCCTGGTACAGATCCTTGTGTGTCTCATCCAAGGGCGTCACTCGGAACCCACGGTGAATGAAAAACTCCGGTATTCTTGATGGTAGATCCGTGGGGATTCCTGGCCAGAAACGAGGAAAGACGCTTGATAGTGCAATGTTCGATAGTCCAAAGGTATTCCTGAAGTATGCACGTGTGTCCGCCAATAATGCGGTTCCAATGCCCTGCCCTTGTCTCGAAGGGTCCACCACCAAAGCAGCTATTTGACCTGTTATCTTGCCTTGCTTCGTCGCGGTATATGCCACACACACTCCCACAATATCAGAACCAATGCGGGCAACGAAATGGTGTCCGTTTGAGCGAACCAACAGTCTCTGGAGACTAGCTAGCGTAAGCGGATACGTAGGTAAGGCCGCGTTCCAGATTTTCGCTACTTGTTCGAGATCATCCGGTGCATGAAAGGGAAAGACTGGTACCGCTGGCTGTAAGGCTTTCCGTCCAATTGGTAAATGGCCCTTTCCAGGGATAGAGCCGAAAATTACATCTGCAGCTGCAACAAATGCTTCTGGAGTGGGCTCATAGGTCGCGATATATGTTTCGACCGACTCCACATCCTCCAGGAAATCATAAGGGTTGCACGTTGCGACAACGATCAAGTTGTTCTTTCTTTTTGCTAGCTCTAGACCCAGTGTTCTTTGATATAGCGCCTCGAGAGCGTTGCGGCTTGCAAATATCACGGCATCTGCCTTATCGATTTTCATCCATTCATCAGCGGATAGCCCAGTGCCGTTGTAAAGAATGTCGACAGTTGTATTGTTGTGGATACGTAGGAACTCGATGAATCCTGAAGGTATATATGGACTCCTTGTTGGTGCTTCTCCGCTGTGAACAGCTCCTCCGGTAGGAGTCGATTCGCCAGGGGTGAGCAGAATCACGTTGCCGAATTTGGATAAAGGTAGAAGACCCTTTTTATCGCGGATAACTGTGGTTGAATGGGAATATATCTCCTTGGAGAGAGCAGCATTGCTTTCATTGAGGCCCGCCAGTTGTTCGTGTCCTTTCCGACCCAGTGCTGTCTCCCAGTTCAGGAATCGCTTCTTGAGTTGAGTAACCCGACCAAATGCCTCCTCCAGGCGTTCATGAGGTATTTCGCCGGTGCGAATAGCGTCACAAACCGTTACTATAGACGCAACCTGCATGCTGTACTTATGACAGACCATTATGCTATCACTGCCTGCTTTCAGAGCAAGAACAGAACCCCTTTCTGTCCCGTATGTGGTTCGAATCCCGTCCATCTCCAAACAATCGGTCACCACCATTCCTTGATACTTCATATCTTCACGGAGGATGTTCATAGCTTCCACAGATAAAGTTGCAGGCATGTCATTAGCTCCGACCTGAGGCAAGGCAATGTGTGCTGTCATTACTGCTTCAATTCCTTCTGCCACGGCCCGACGAAACGGCACAAGCTCACACCGTTCTAAGTCACCTCTGCTTTTCTCTATAACCGGGAGGCCAAAGTGAGAGTCGACGGCGGTATCACCGTGACCAGGGAAATGCTTCACGGTCGGTACTACATTCGATTCCCGTAGTCCCTTTGCCATGGCGCTTGCAAACCTGCCGACAAATTCGGGGTCATCGCCAAAACTGCGCACTCCAATAACAGGGTTTCGAGGTTCCGAATTGATATCACAGACGGGGGCATAGTTCATATTTATCCCGAAAAACTCCAGAGTTCTTCCCGTAGCCTTGCCCACTTCATATGCAAAATCCGTCGAGTCAGTGGCCCCCAGAGCCATAGAACCCGGTAATTGGGAGACTACCGGAGGCGAGATTCTAGTGACAAGACCGTTTTCCTGGTCAATCCCGATGAACAAGGGGTATTCATGCCCCGCGTCCTTGGCTTCTTGCTGAAGAGCCAGCGTCAAAGACTTGAGATCGCGTCAGTCGGTACAGCATCATCAATGGAAGCACAAAATTCCTTCATACCTGTAATTGCGCTGCATCAACTATGTTGCGCTTGAACAAGATGACTGCACCGACACCATACTCGCGGATCAAGGTTTTGATTATCGGGCCCGCCGTTGTTCCATGAAAGCCAACAACGAACAGCTGGAACCGCGTATCAGTCAAGCATACTAGAGGCCATATTCAACCGGGACCTATATCTCTTACCTGGCCGACCTTTTTACGCGAATCCATGGTGGTGGACAATCTTGGCCAATTTCCACCGCCGTGGTTGTTGTTTCTCTTCGATGTCGAGACCGTAGACCGGTCGTACCCCGCGCGCCAATGTGATACTAATGAAGACGCCCGCGATCGGGAACAACGAATGGATTCAGATGATCCCCCCAGAAGTCCCAGTGCGGAGGTGGCGTCGTCACTTTCCAGACTTTGTCAAGTAATTGGTTTTTATGTCTGAGTGGGAGGAAGTTTGGATAACCCGGCCGGGATATGTTTATCGTCCATCAGTCGTCTAAGATCGGAGTGTCACTTCCTCGCACGATGCTACCTTTGGTTGTAACTTCCTGGTCTGATTATACTACTTCCTGCCAGTGCTTTTCAGGTTCAGCAATGATAGTGATAAAAGAGAGCTAGCTGACATGCCCCTTATCTTTGGCAGTGGCGCCCTCAAGCTCTCTTCGAGAGGTCTTTCGTCGGGCTGGCAACCATACTTAGTACTGGTATGTATTGTGCTTCTTTGACAACACTGCCTGTTAACTCTTCAAGGAGTAACTTTAAACAGAGCACCTCGCTTAAGTATCGAACTCTTATCGCATCCTTTATCCAGAAGCACGAGACTCGATAACTCATGTTGTTGGTCTCTTTGTACTGGCCATCCTAGCACCTGTGATGCATGAACCTGCATCTGATCAAGCCGGCCGTTAGTCTTCAGTTAATCTAGACTTCTCCCCGCAGGAGATAAGGTCTCGCTGCAGAATATCCGGTGCGACCTACATAAGCACTATCTGGTCCTGCGGAAGCACCAGTTTCATCGTTAGGCTTTCTTTTGAAAGAGCTCATAGCAGCATGTCCGGAATGCATCGCCCTCGTGTCCATGACGAATCTAAAGACGACTCAAAGCCTCCAGATGGCATCCAAGAGACAGTAGCACGACCGACCGACCCAAATCGTCCCTATTCGAAACAAAACCGAATCCGGCAGAACATAGAAGAATATGAACAGCTCTTCGGCGTTGAAGAGGAGGCATATAGCCAACCAACTACAACGAAAAAAGAGCTGTGGTCTTATTATCTGTACTATAATGGTCAGCGCTACACTCGACACTGAGTATGAGGACAGCCATTGTTTACATTTCTCCAGGCGATAACGGTGTGGGTCCGGGATCCTACACTCAAGCTCTGTATGTTCCAATTATCAAAGTTGTATGGGCGGGCACCTGGCTAATCTTTTCCAAGGTTTCAATGGGCACTGAACGGAGCCGGATTCCAGCCTGGGACCAATCCACCTAAACCTTGCACGAGTTCTTCTCCGTGCGTCGTTCCGTGGGCCGGTAGCACGCGGTCAACTGCTTCTGTTGTCTTAATAGCAAATGGCCTGTGTTTCACATTCATGACTGTGATGTTCGTATGGTTGGGAAGTGCGGCAGACTACGGATCATTTGGTCGCTGGCTACTGCTGGCTCTAACAGTCGTCTGTTGGGCCCTGCAGTACGGTATGATGGCGATAAGGCATCCGAGTCAGTGGCCAGCAGCCATGGGTATGTATATCGTTGCGTATGTCGCTTACGGAGCCACCTTGGTTTTCTATGCGGCTGTATTTCCAAGGCTTGCTCGTTATATACCTCACGTACGTAAGGCTCGCGAGGAAGATCTCAAGGATGGCAAAATAAGCCAGCAGGAGTATGATGCTATCGAGTCTTTGGAGAGAAATCACATCAGGCAGGTCTCCACACCCAATTCGATTGATCATATGCTTATAACAGTGACAATAGTAATGTTTCAACCGCACACAGTAACATCGGCTACTTGCTGACGCTCGTCATCAATTTGAGCGTCCTTTTGCCACTACAGAACAACACATATTCAAATAACTTGGCCCTTTGCCTTACGAATTCTTGTCGGTATTCGCACATACAGGAGATGTGATATACGCTGACTGTTGTTCTAGACTGGATTGTCCTTGGGATATGGTGGTTTATTTTCCAGCAGAAACGAGCTGGTCCCAAGATACCGAAGGGCTCTAACTATGCTACCATCGGCTTCAAGCAAGTGTGGCTAGCATTGCGTGAGACTCGGTCCCTACCGCAGACCTTTCTCTATCTGGTTGCTTTCTTCCTACTTGCCGATGGACTGAATACAACAGGTATGTGCGTACTATGTATGCATATGGAGACTCAAGTTATACTGACGTCCGGCAGGGTCGCTCGTCACGTATGTCCAGAATTGCGGTTAGGTACATGTATTAAGGCTGACTTCTTTATTCTAGTATAATTCAAAATGGGATCGTCGAATTCAGCTTCCTACAAATCACGTATCTAGGAATCGCACAGGCTTGCTGCTCTATAGCATCGACTTTCGGCTTCTGGTACATTCAGAAATATTTCAAATTACGAACGAAGCCCATGTTCTTGGTTACAAACTTCTTCAGCGTATTCATCCCATTCTGGGGCATGCTAGGACTCTGGACGAAGAAGATCGGATATCATAATAAGGTTCGTTTCATACAACGGGATGATTGGCATTTACTCATGTCTCCTAGTGGGAGTTTTATTTCTACAACATCATCTTTGGCCTATTTCAGGCGCCTTATTATGCGGTAAGGGACAGTGATCGACTCCTTAAGTAGTGGAGAATACTAATGATGCTTGCAGTACTCACAAACTATGATAAGTGAACTAATGCCTCGCGGCTACGATAATATGTTTTTTGCTCTCTTCGGTATCACCAATCGTGCGGTAAGGATTATCCCCGTTGTGCGAGTATGTGAGACATCTAGCTGATAAAGGATGTTATGACAGTCCTCAATAATCGGTCCGAATGTGGTGCAGGCAATCATAAATGACACTGAAAATAACTGGATGGGTTTCCCATTCCTATTTGCTATCTGTGCTGCGGCTATGGTCGGCATCATTTTCGTGGATATAGAGAAGGGTCGTGAGGATGCGAGAAAGTTCGCAGAGAAGCGAAAGATCAGTCGTGTTGCGGCAGAAAGTGGCTGAAGCAAGGACGACCTAATTGAGAGGTCTGCTGGTGGCGGCTTATCTACTGTTCCAGATGTCGCCCCCGAAGATGGGGCCCGACCTAGGACGGATTACACATGAGATTATAAGTCGGGATTGACGGTCGATTATATATTCATTACCAGAGCAGAATATGATTTTCTACCCTCGTTCGTAAACGGTCTTACGTTAAAAAAAAACACTGAAGCGATGACTTCTAATCTAAAACAAGTGTATTTTCTAATGAGCATATAGTCCATACGCAATAGACACGAAATAACTATAAAGCCATCCCCTTACCGACCACAGCTACAGCTCAATAGGATACTTCACGCGGACAGTCTCTCCAAACTTATACAGCATGATCAGAAACGGACAGAACCCAACCGTGACGAACCCAAGCAACGAGTTGCCCCATCCAAATCCCAGAGTCTTATACATACTCCTCCCCGCGAGAGGGAGGAGAGCGCCTCCAATAGACCTCAATACCGTATTCGCCGCAAGGGCTGAAGCAGCATATACCGTGAATGCATCGACGAGATATCCCATGACAGGCATGAAGAAGGACATGCTTCCGAATCCGAATAAGGCAGATCCGATAATAGGGACAATCCAGTGCGTGTGGGCCTGGGCGCTCCATCCGTACCAAAACAGGCCCGCGGCCATGAGTGGTCCTGCTGCAATGAGTAACGGGAGACGGTCTTCGGGCTTGAGTTTGCCTTCAGCGGCGCGAGCCTTGATGTATCGATCGCTGGTGAGTGTGAAGGTAATCATGCCAGCTATGTTGCCGACTCCGAGACCGAGGTACGTCAGGCCGGAGATGCCAGTTGAGAAGCCGTATGTTTCGCTGAATACGAGAGGGAAGGTGGTTAGGAGGAGGTAGAACATGCCGTAGACGAAAGCGGAAGATACTGATAGGAGGATGTTGATGGGTGAGAGGAGAGTCATCTTTGTAGGGCGGACGATGGCTCGCGTGAGTACGAGTCGAGGTGATATTCCCGTGTCTAGTCTAGAGCGTAGTTGGTAGTTTCCAGTCTGTTTCTGTAGACGCTTTGTCTTGCGCGCGAGGATTGTGACTGCATAGGTTTCGCGCATGAAGAGGAGTTGTGCTATGATAGTTGCTCCGCTCTGTTGAAGTAGTCAGTGTCAGCGTGGTACTGGAGAGACTGGTGAGTCCACCGGAAGTATTACAAGAATGGTAAGCAGCCAAAAGACCCATCTCCAACCTTTGGCTTCTGCCAGGAATCCTCCAGCTACGGGACCGACAGCAGGTCCGCAGATGGGACCTAGCGTGTAAAATGACAGAGCTCGACCTCGCTGGTGAACGGGGAAGAGGTCCTAAAGGGTCCATAGGTCAGCATTGATGAAAATATCCAGGAAGAAAAAGGCGTATGCATACTGCGACTGTGCCTCCTCCAATTGCGAGAGGAGCGCTGCCAACTATACCTGCTAGAAAACGGAAACCGATCATCATATTGAGATCTGTTGACACGGCGCAGGCCAGAGTGAACACCAGGTACATGGTATTGCACACGAAATATATGATCCACCGGCCGTATACTTCCGACAGAGGAGCTAGCACAAGTGGACCAAAAGCTAGGCCCAAGACATAGATCGAGACAACAAATGCCGCTAGCATCTGGTTCGAATTGTGAAATTCTTCCATGACTTGAGATACACTCGGCGCAAACATGGAAGACGCTAGGGGCCTGCCATACTGTAAGCATCGAATATTTAAGTCGTCACAATGGTACGTACGTGAGAAAAGTAATCATGGCCATTACGGCGATATTGGCCCATTTTTTCTTCTCACTCCAGTTCATAGGATTCTCAGGATCATCGTCACCATCCCACCATACTGTGTTCTCATCTTGTACTTGCTTCGTATGCTCGCTCACAGGAGATTCTTTGTGTTTGGGGCTAGCATTTCCAGTTTCGATATCCTTCTCTTCTTCCTCGGCTATGGAAATGTCTGAATATCCTAAGGTCGATCTGCTCTCTGTTGGCGCATTCTCCAGCACAACATGGTTCGCATTTGGAGTTTCCGCGGTTTCTTCCCTGAGTCTAGGTCAGCACGACATGCGTGAGGGGTGTGTTGACTCAGAGTATCTACTTACTGAGTGAACATGACCTTTTTCCTTTCAGAGAGACGAAAGGACTGCATATTTGGGATTCCGTGCCTTATCCTATTTCTATCTCGGTTCTAAGAGGCCTGCTGTAAAATTGGCTTCAGAAGGCTTCAAGTCGGTGAGGGCTGGCTTAATGTCCAACAGCGCTTTATGGGAAATGGTCGACAACAACAAGAGTTTGATAAAACGAGAGGACACCAGTTCAGACCGGAAGGATAACTTGAGAATCTTGAGATTTCTTTGTCGAGCGGGCTACGACCTTTTATCAAGATCCATGATGGGAAGCCACTGAAGGATAGTGCGGCCGTGTTTAAGAGGCCTCGGGGGAGGAGCCTCACATCGTATGTCCGGACCAACAATCAGTAGAGTGGGAGTTGTTAATACCCAGGAAAGCCCGAGGTGAGATTCCTTTGTGGCGCATTTTGTGGAAGAAAATAGGGCCCTCGTAGTTCAGAACTCGCGCCGTCGCGTAATAATCATCCCATAAGATAATCAACAATGCGATTCTCGACGTATCCTTAAGGTTAATTTAAACTGTTCTTGGTCATAAATTGTACAGGGAAACGTGTTAATAGATGCTTTATGCAGAAAAGCACGCCTTGGACAGACGCTAGAAAATGCACACCGGCCTACAGGAAGCTCTCTCTGCGGACTGATAAGCCAGAGCGAGGTCAGGATTATGCGGGGATTCAGCCCAAGCCTCAGAATCAGAAACCTGCCTCCTCAAAGAACAAATCAAAAGTGACGCTTGGTCCTTGTTCTCCGGGAAATCGGCATTTTGGTGGTGTGCTTGAGTGCTTTCTCTCTGGGTGCTCCAAAGAAATGATTTTCAGGTTTATAACGGCATGGCGGTTTTAACCTGGTCATTTTTCTTTGATGCGGCTGACTGCTTATGTTATTGAAATATTGCCCTGGTCATCAAATCAAAGAATCAGCACATCATTAGTACTTATGCAAATGGCTATTGAGGAGATTCGGCCGATGAAGTTGAGTCCGACCCCGCCTCCGCTCCTCGGCTGGGGATTACTTACTTACTTGGCCACAATGCTTAACTTGAAAGCAATAAAGACAAAGCATCACCACGCCTCAAACCGCTACTAATTCGTGATCAAGAACACAAAGGGAAAAATAGTAGAAAAACTACTACAGATTAGTTTTTTGATAAATCATCTCAGAAGAACAGTGTCTTTTTTCAGATGCAACGGATCTTTTCGTTTCCTATACGAGTTTCGCCATTGCAGATATCGCACACAAGCCGCAGCATAATCATACAGGCATAGTCTTGGTGGAAACGAAAGCATAGGTCATGCTATCTCCATCATCACCCCAGTGTCAAACGATTCGGATCATCCATTTTACCATCCACCAAAGCCGGCGCTGGCATTGTCACTGCCGTTGCCGCTGCCATTCTCCGTACCGTAGTCACCACCCTCGTTGCCGTTGTCACCCTCATCACCGCCGAGGAAGATAGGTCCGATGCCACCATCGGTTTGCTTTCCAGAGTCCTGGCTGGGGCTTCCCGGAGCGACAGGCTTGACTGATCCTGCTCCGTCGGGGAATTCGCGCGCAGCCATCTGAGAGCCCTCCTTCATCTATAAGACGTTAGCTACTATCCACCGTGGAGGACGATTCAATATCGTAGATATAGGCTCAATCGCTTTACGTACCATTGAAGGGTTGGAGATGGCAGCCGCGAAGGAAAGGGCCGCGAAGGCGAGAGGAGCAAAGACCTTGAAGAGCATTTTGTAGAAGTTGTAAAATTTAAAGTCTTAGATGACAATTTTGTTATTTGTATGAGGTGATTGTTTGAGTGGATGATTGTGTTTCTCGACGGTATACATGGACGAATTTATATCCCGTCGAGTGCCCTCTCTGACTGCAAACAACGAGCGCAAATCCCGTCATGAAAGCAGAGGAGCTGATTGCATTCTCAACGAGCTATACTGGCATGTGCTATCCAGCACTGTCATGTTGCAAAGCATGGGATGGATGAAAATCAATTGCCCGATAAATCCCCTGCGTACTGCAAGCCAAGATCCCTCTGTAGTAGCAACGGGTACAATACGATGTAGAGTACGCATGGGGGTAGGTATTTTTTGTTTCCACATTATTATTCTTATTCTTAGGACAATCTTTTCCAGAGATGTGTTTCATACTACATCGGAGGTATGTATCGTGATCATTGGCCCTTACCGATCTGTAGATGATCGCCAAGCTGGCCAGTGATGAGTTTCCGATGCAAAATAAATACATACCTTGACATTCCAAAGAGGACTAGATGTGTGGAGGGATCTACGATTCAGCTGTCTATTTATGGTTCAATGAATGCGGATTGGTGGCAGAATATTTGATTTTGTTTTGCTGGCTGGCTGGGAAGTGGTTGGGGGAAGTACTTATCCCTTGATCGACCTTGCGCCGTGGAGCAAACCCGTTAATCCCTCCAGATTCCGATACGACATTATTATGTCTATGGTACAATTTATGCTACATTCTGGCTAGGTATCTAGTTGTGGTACACAATCCCCCTATTATTGTTGCTGATTCTTCACGAATCGCGTGACTATCTTGAATCTTCTATATAATATCCAGTACTAACTAGTATTAATGCTCTCCGGAACCTTTCCGATAATGATATCTTATAGAGTAAACGGTTGGTAGATCTTTCTCAGATTGTCCTCAAAGTGGATAAAGAAAGTACTTGTTTTCCAGATCCGTCAGATCCAATAGAGAAACTTCTGCTTCTACCTCGACTGCACGTCCACTTTCGTCCAGCTGTTCCACAATCCCAGTCGCATGCCTGCCCAGAGCGTCTTGTTCAGCGATCCAAACTCGACGTTCCTCATTGCGACGCGCTAAGGTCCATCTGATAATAAGCAGGATGATAGGTGCGCCAACCCAGCTGATCACGATCTGTACGATCCACGCGGCATAATACCGCGGTGCATCGTGAGCAACCCAGATCTGTGGCCCGACTAGATTCGCGATCCCATATCCTGCCATAAACAGTACATTTCGCGTTAGTTTCTTCGTGTAACCTGCCGCGCTGGACGTCGTCCATCCAAGGGCCGTAATATACGTTACGCCGTAGGTGGTTGCCGCAAGGGTGAGACAGGCAAGGAGACTAATCTTCTTATGCCAAGGTACTGTGACCATGCCAATCCCACCTGCTACGGCAGGAAGACACCAGAAGGTCCCCCAGTAGGCGTTATTATTTGGAAATAGTCGAAAGAGGATAGTTGCGATGATGCAGCAAACGACAGCGAAACCACCACCTGCCACGCCCACAAGAGTGGATCCTAAGTCCGACACGCCGATATCGAGAAAGAGGAGATTCTGCTGGTAGTAGAGATTGTTCGATAGCATCAGCATAAATGGCTGTAAGGTAAACAGCCACGATACCGGATCACGGAGGGTTTCCCAGAATTGGTACCATTTGAATTGCTTCTGTTCGATGGAACTTCTGGTCGCTTCATGGACACGCTGAGCAGCATGTACTTTCTCTTCCAGAGTAAGGAATCTAGCCTTGACGGGGTTGTCTGGATAAAAGAACCAACTATACACAGCCAGGATGAGGGTAAGTCCACCGGTGATGATCATAAAGAATTTCCAGGGTCGGATTCTGCTTGTACTGTGCAGAAGACCGTATGCGATGAAGCCGCTGGGTATTGGAGCAGCCACGCATGATATCCAGAACACGGGTTGTAACCGTCCCTGCGCGATGGGCGGGAAGAACATTCCAAGGGTAATCTCCATGGCAGGAAGAAGACATGCTTCGAATACACCAAGTAACAATCGGAGCACGATGAGACCGCCATAGTCCTTTGCGGTGCAGTGCAGAAAGATGATAATCGACCATATAAAAACAGTAACAGCCACAAATCGTCCTAGTGGCAAGCGCTGCATTAAATAATGTCCTGGGGCCTGCGCAATTATATAGCCTGGTATGGATATATTAGCTTCCCTTTATTCAGTGCAATGTTTTCGAAAACTAGAAAACATAACGTAGCAGACTAACCGACATAAAAGAATGTATTCAAATTGTTATATTGCGACTTATTGATATGATTCTCGTCAAATAATCCCAGAAGCGTAGAATACGACAAGGTCGATTTATCAATCTACATGTATATATATAGTTAGCTCCCAAACATTTACTTAATCTTCCATGGCAAGTCACTCACGAACAGCATCAAATTGATCGAAATCAACAGAGTCATAACATGAAAATATAGCTTCCATCGTAATCTCTTCTCCTTCTCCGGGGTTAACTGTCCCACGCTACTCCCATATTCCTTGATGAATCGCAATGTGACATCTGCAGATCGTTCTGATATTGACTTAGTTTTCTCAGCTTCTGAGGCTGGGGCTGAAATAGCCACCACAGCTGCCGTTGACTTTTCGTACTCGGCCATGTCGTCCGGCGAATAAATGATCGACAGACGGCCGATGATGCGATATGACAACGAAAGAATTCAGAGAGATCTATAATTCACAATTTAGCCCTGGATAGCTACATTGACCGGCGGATGGAGAGCTGAATATGGTCTCGAGAACGCAATATATGGCGTTGGCTGCCTCACCGACGTTTATCTGCGAAGCGATCCCTGCAGTCTTCTAAGGCAAGAAAGTCTACGTTACACTATCTTCGTCTCGCGTGATGCGGAAATATGCGCTCACCAACCGCTGCCTAGATAATCTCTTTTAAGTGAACAAGAAATGATAATACTATTAGTACTGAATACCGTTCTAAAATTAAGTACATCGAAATATGTCATTGAAAGGTAGGAAATACCCCACGGAACAAGCCATCTATGTACACAGTCCCTCCCAGCCGTCTATATCGTTGATCTCGCGTGTCGAAAAAAAAAAATACCTCAGAGTCGAAGGAAATCGTAACATGGCAGAAACTTGCTTTTTTGCGCTCGTAACACAGATAACGCAGTATGAGTAGAAGATGGAAATTCTTGGGCCGTCTATGCATGTTCATGACAAAAGGAATAAGATGGAGAGGAAATCACAATAGGAAAAGAGCGGTCCCTTGAAGTTGAGAGTCAAGGATAGGTGTAACGTTTCACTGCTTTTCGCTATCCTGGGCAGCAGGGTGCACCTCTTCTTCTGCTGCTTGCCTCTGAGCATCTGCATTGCTCTGTTCGATCTTCTTCCGTCGATTTTTCTCGTCCACCCTTTGTCGCCATTTGGGGCCCCAAATTGTTGTCGCCCAGACGAGGAGGCCAGAGAACAGGAGGAAAAATGCACTGATAGTGCTGAACCATCCAACCCCTATTGCCTCGATTGCTGGAAGGACAACGCCAGTGCCAATGGCGGCGAAGACGTACCGAAGCATGTAGTTACCCGCGACTACCTCCGCACTTCGGCCCTTGGACTGCATTACATCCAAACAGTAGGTGTTGAGACTGGGAAAGCAGAAAAGCTGGGCGACTCCTTGCACGAACATGGCCACTACCGGGACAGGGACTCCACCCACTTCTTTCTCCACTGTCCATCCGTAGATGAGAATGCTTCCGGGAATCACAATGCAGATGAATTCCAGGCATGACTTCAGACGATCTTCGGGAATCCGGACATTGCCACGTTTGCGAATCCACTTCCTCACGATATAGTCGGCCCAACGGCCTCCCATGAGCGTGCCCAATAAGTACCCACAACCAGGAGCCATGTAGAAGAGACCAGATTCGATAGGGGACGTGAGATGAAAACGTGGATTCAAGACGTATCGAATCGGTGTCAGTAGAGAATATTGGTTCCAGACAAGGGCACCTGCAGCCAGACCAGCGAAGCTGAGGTTAGGATAGGAAAAGAGAAGAACCGCAACCCGAATTGGCGAGATGAGGTGCCAAATTGCCTGCGTCTTCTGTGGCACTGAAAGCCCTGCAAGCTTGCCGCAGGTCTTGTATGGGATAGTTTCCGTGATGAATAGAACGACGAGGACGGTAGCCAATCCTCCTAGGGCTGACTGGAGCCAGAAGATAACCCTCCAAGATCGGAAAGTAACTATGACTCCCTACATTAAAGTTAGGTAACATCTTGATGTAATGGGGATACAAGCATACTCCAATGAAAGGGCCTATTGCAGGTCCGATAAGGGTTCCTGAAAGAAACCAGCCCAGCGCAGTTGCTCTATCTGCAGGCGCATATATGTCCCCGATAGCTGAGCTACCTACAACCAAGAATGATGTTCCTTGGAAGGCAGTGAGCACCCGAAATATATAGTAGGACGCCAAGTTCGGAGATAGCGCTGTGCCTATGCTAAACGCAAAGAATAGAAACGCACTGGCAATGCAGATCTAACACAATATGAGCTTTATTGAGTAACCACACCCAAGCACAGATGGAGAACTCACAGGACGACGGCCCCAAACTTGACTCAGTGGACCCCAAAACATAGCTGCCATACCCATAAAAACCATGTATAAGGCATTGCTGGCATTGATCACACTCCCCGTCGTATTGAAGGTGCTGGCAACTTCAGGAACTGCAGACAGAATCGAAGTCGAAGAGACAGGAGCCAGAAATGAACAAAAGGAAAGAATAGCGACAATTCCTATCTTCCGTGCTCGCGAGAAGCGTGTGTACTGATCAGCGTTAGGTTCGATATAGTCATTCGTCACTGCATGCATGTCCTGATGGGACATGCAACTCTGAACAAGGTCCAGCGGATCGGCTGCGTGGGATGCAGACAGAGTCTGAGCTTTTTCGATATCTTCCCCGATCATGTCTTCGTTTAGGGACGATGCCATTGTGATCGAGTGCCGTGGAGATTCGGATTCCATATCGACTCCGGATGCTCTCAGATCTGAAACGGGATATGAACAATTCATGTAATCGGCTACTTCGAACGCTTATGCTAGTTGCCAGATTGAAAAGAAAGTAGGAGAAAAAAAAAAGATTATATTCGAATCAATGCCGGAAGATATGTGGACATGCACATAACGATTGAATGGAAATAGCAATTGAAGTCTTTCCGCGGACACTCCTGTCACTGATGCTGACCAGATAATATAGTGAAGATTCCTTTCAAAGATAAGACGGGAACCTGCTTAATATATACAGCAAAGTGAATGAAAAGGTGAGTCAAAGTGACGGTGAAGGATAAGGGTTCCCATGCATAGGGACCTGGACCGATTTAACTATGGGAATCCGGCCCGACTAGGAAAACCCCGAAGATCGGCAACTGGGAAAGCTGTCAATTGATTTTGACAGCTGATAGGGCCGAATCGAGAATTAACGAAGTATTTTTTGGCAGTTGTGCCTACTTTAGCCGATCGGCGATCCATTTCTAGCTGCAGAGATACAGCGCCGTCGCCACGGTAGATATGGGTCGGAAAAAGCCCGACCACGTATATTGAGGTCCTTGCAATGTCCATATTTGCATACCTTTGCTTCGTAGTTGGTCTTCACCGCCAGAGCAATCTCTGCGTCCTTTAGGTGCTCATGGAAATAAGATGAAATATCTCCTTGAGGTGATAGCCCGAGTATCAGCTCGTGAACATATCGTTTTGAAGGTCGCGTGTTCTGCCGCTGTTTATGTTTCTTCAGCGGGAAACGAAGTAAAGCACCGGGTATTCTGGCGGATAAATATCCGTGACATGTCTTGGCACGGCCTTTTCCTCCATCTACGGTTATCTTCATGATACACACTCGGTTGATTTTCTATAATCCGTCTGGATCACAACGGAAGTCCACAGAGCAGGTTGAAGCCATGTGGAAACCCATGGATTAGCGCGCTGCTAGGTAGTATGGCTGTGTTTTTTAGGTAAGTACGCTGGTATGGTTTCAGGGTTTCCCTGGCTGTAGGATACAAGTGGAAAACTAAGAGTCCCTTTTGCGGATATTGATATGAGTCTTGGACGGATCAAAATCCGTCATGGCACCGTTCAACTGTTGGACTTTATACCTATTGTCCTTGTTAAAGCTGTTCTAGTTGCCTCGAAAGCACAAATCCATGGGTTGGGTTCGAGCAATTTTTTTTACTGAAACGCATTCAGTCTATCCCCATCCCCATCCGTAAAGTGCGATAATTGACGTTTCGATGATGATGATAATGATAATGCTCTTGTCCCTCGTCCAACTGCTTTTTCTGCCAGTGCAGGAGGGATCCATTCGTGGGCCGCTTAAATGCACTGTGATAAGTGGACGGCGGGGTCCGAATATCAAAGTTCATATAGAACAGACTTGCAGGAAGAGTATAAAATATAGAATATTATGCGATCACCACCAGTAATATCCGACCCAGGAATAATTGTATTGCACCCCCAAGACTGCCCCAGACGGGGCTAGTTCCATATCCAGTTCATCTTGATATTATTATTACTGGAATCATAAATAGCCAAAAGAGAAGAGAGCCTAGTAAGAATATAAGAGGGGGTTAATAGGTAGTCGTGAGGTAGAGATGTTATACCGGTGTTGACATGGCGAGTAAAGACCGAATCATATGACGCCATCTGTATCCAATGGAATTGGTGGTTGAACACGGTCACAGAATTGACCATAAATTAATCACACTGACGCCTGAGTGTTGTTGGTATAGAGACAGGCCTTTTCGACTTTCCAGTGTCTGTTGCCATGTAGCAGGATTAAGTAGAAGAGCATTGAGCATAGCATGTATGCTAGATAAATATCGATCTTGTCTCTCTCGACGAATCAACGTGTTCGACGTTGTCGTACGACATTTACTTTGGAGCATACCATTGATCCGACAGAAGCTGTCTCTATTATCATTCGCCATTGTCCAGTTCCGACATCGCAAGTCTGATCTCAGAACTCTAGACTACCATACACGAAAGGTGCACATGACATCAACATCAACATCAACATCGACCGCCGCCAAAAAGCACTCGACCATCCCCAGGTTCGAAGTCGAGTGGCAGCAATAATACCATAATAATCACTTGGGCTCCTCGATTGCCTCCTGGGCTGCAATGCCAACTCGACTATCCCTTTAGATCGTGTGAGCACGGGCGGGGTTGAGGCCAGCGCCGACTTAGCCAAACATCGCTGCTGGATGATCGCCAACGGATGACGCAAACGGTCACTCCTGGCGGGCTCCACCAAACCTTCGAAACGACATTTGAGATCTTTTTTCGAAGATCTCCAAGCCAAATATTATTATTATTATTGACTGTGTCTGTCCGGCCGCTTGGGTCTCCGTAGATTACTTTGGATACTTCAGCACTGAAGAGGACACGCTTCACTGGTCTCCTTGTTTGTTAGTTACTCCGTTGGTGTCCACAGAGGAAAATCAAAAAAATGTCGTCGAGCAACGATGTACCTGCTCATATCCCTGCCTCGAGCAAGGGCTCGTGGACGAGCTTCCTGAAGGTGAATATATCGGATATCCTCTTACACTCCAGGTCCGTAAAGCTGTGAGACAACTGCTGACTTCAGTTTTCTACCAGTCGATTGCCTCCTTCAGCGGAGATCTCTCATCCCTGACCGCTCCCCCCTTCATCCTCTCCTCAACCTCCCTGGTCGAATACTCCGCATACTGGGCCGAACAACCGGAGCTGTTTGTCGCCCCGGCGAAGGAAGCGGATCCAGAGAAGAGAGCTTTGTTGGTTCTCAAGTGGTTCCTCAGTACCCTCCACCAGCAATACTGCAGTCGCAGTGAGAAACTAGGCAGCGAGAAGAAGCCCCTGAACCCCTTCCTAGGGGAGTTGTTTATTGGGAAATGGGAAGACAACGGTGAAGTCGGCGAAACAGCTCTGATCAGCGAACAGGTCAGGTACGGGAAAGCACGTTACGCTTAGGAGATAGCCGGGTACTGATCCTGCACAGCCATCACCCGCCAGCGACAGCCTACGCCATCCTTAACGAGAAGCACGGCGTTGAGGTAAGGTTCTTCTTGACAAGCTATCAGAGCAATGTGCTAATGCTGTCCTTCCATAGCTGCAAGGTTACAATGCCCAGAAGGCTTCGTTTTCAAGCTCTATCCAGGTGAAGCAGCTGGGTCACGCCCTTCTGACGGTTACCCCACCTGGCGTAGACAAGGACGATGCGGCCGCGAAGGACACATACCTTATCACGCTTCCCAGTCTGCACATCGAGTCTCTGATCTACGGAACGCCGTTTGTCGAATTGGACAGATCTACACGTATCGCCAGTTCAACGGGATACGTCGCGAAGATTGACTACTCCGGTAAGGGCTGGCTGGGCGGAAAGAAGAACAGCTTCTCTGCCATTCTGTACAAGGAGAGCGAGGGAGAGAAGAATCCACTCTACACTGCTGAGGGACAGTGGTCCGGTACTTTTGTCATCAAGGACTGCCAGGCCAAGAAGGAGGTCGACAAGTACACCGTCGGCGAGCAGAAGACGACGCCATTGAAGGTGGCCGCCATCTCCGACCAGGACCTATACGAGAGTCGAAGGGCGTGGCAGGATGTCGCCTCCGCCATTGAACGCGGGGACATGGAGGCCACTTCCGTGGCGAAGTCGAAGATCGAAAACGCCCAACGTGAGCTGCGCAAGATCGAGAAGGAAGAAGGAAGGGAATGGGAACGGCGATTCTTCAATCGGATTGATGTGAACGACGATAAGATGTTCTTGAAGCTTGCCAATGTGCTGGGCATTACCGACTGCATCGACGCCGACAAGACAGGCGGTGTGTGGCGATTCGACAAGGAGCGAGCGAAGGATGCCAAGTCGCCATACCACAAAGAAAGCGGTCGAGGTTTAGGATTGGCCAACTAATGAAGTGGTGAATACACTATCTTCCCCATTCGAAGGAAAGATCTGGAGTCATGTCTTGCATCAAAGGATATATTTTCTACATAGAATTCGGGTTTGGATTTCCTTTTCTATGTCCCGCAGATACCTACACGGACGGGCTGTTATTTACCTGCCTTCTTCTGACTGCGAAATTGTCGCAATCTATGTATATAGTCCGAATTAGCAATAGCGGTCTTGGATCATAGCCATGTTCAGCGTCAAATCTCATCACTTGAAATGGACTAACTCATCTTGTTCTGGGCGTGGTTTCGATGAGATATATAACTGTCATACTTGAAACGAGTGTAAATGCCATACTCAACGTCTGACATGCTTCACGAAGCATGTATATAATTCAAGTCATAAGCATCCAGTAAATATCGTCCGGATACTCTGGACTCAGACCAGATCACACATCTCGCGCTTGAAACTCTCAAGACCACCCACTAGTCAGATTCCATAACCCCTCATTGGAACAAAAGAACTACACAATCTCCCATCGACAAACCCAAGTCCAATAAATACTTTATCTACACATCCTTTCCGCCTTCCTTCCTCTTATCCATTCACTGCAGGAACACACCCAATCCCTTGGGAGGAGGTGGAAAAAGAAACCCGCTAACTTGGAAGTCAGCAGCGGCAAACCAGCCACTTACTGTAAGCGACAGCACCCATAGTAGTGCAAGAATGAATACAGTTAAAGCTAAGGTCTACACTTTCTTATAAACTTGATCCGTGCTTTTTTGCCACCCTCGCTAGATAGCGATAGTTGAAGACCTGTATTCTATGGTGAAGATGTGAGTGGATGACACGTTTGCTCGATGATGACTTTGGGAGGAATCAGGATGCTCAAGGAAGGGGGTTTGAAAGGTAGATACCAGGGGACAAAAAGCACACGACAACTCACAAATTGAGGTCGAATGGGGATTTTTGTTTGGCTTGGTAGAAATCAAAGCGGTGATAGTTCGATGGGCGGAGTTGGTCGTTGGAACAAAGGGAGCTTTTTCCATTATTGTCGATTCGCAGTTAGTATTTCCGCATTTGGGTTTTGGGGCATTGATTTGATAACAGTACAGATAGGCAACGTCATGACCAGTTCATTTCATTCAAGCTCATATACTAAATTTACAAGTGGGCCACTATCTTTGTGCCCTTTTCTTTCTTTTCCCATTCCTCTCGGTTCTAACCCTGTACGCCTTTGAAAAGTCGACGGGCTTGTAGACCGAGCAAGGCATAAGACAGTAAAAATAGAAAAAGAAAAGCAGCTTATCGAGAAAATTTCAGCGTCGGTCAATCAAATGACTTCTTGATTGAGTCTTGCATAGGTAGGCGAGCGTGAATCAGCCACGCCTTTCCCAATTTTCATCCTAATCTCATCCGTCGTCGATCCCATGGAAGACGAAACTAAATGATACAGGAAACTTGAAGAAAGCTTTGTAGAACAGACAAGAACAGCAAGAAAAAAAAAAAAAAGACAAAGAGTCATGGAGGCGACACATTAGCGAGATTGAGACATAAAGCAATAAAGCATGGTCAAGTGGCTAAATTTTTTTCTTCCGGTTGCGGGCCACATCAATCATAAACCCAGAGCAATAAAATCAAAACGAAAAGCCAGCCAGGCTCCCACAAGAGAGAAGAGATTACACATTTGAGAAGAAACCCAAACGCTCTTCAGGCTTTTCGCCATTGAAAAGAGCTCTCATCACCACAATGCAATGCAACGCCGTGACCCTCAATGACCGTAATTGCCTCCCCAGCCTCCGCGACCCGTGTTCCCATAATAGTTGCTTCCGAAACCTGCGCCTGCGTAATTACCGTATCCAGTACCCTGGTGGTGGCTCTGGCTGGCTGCAGCCTGGTGGTTTCCAAGTCCACCGAGACCACCGTATTGCGGGTTCAAATGAGGATAGGCACCAAAGCCTTGCTGACCCTGCTGGGCCTGCAGCGGGGGAAGCCCGGCTTGGGCCTGGGGTTGTCCAGGAACGCTGTTTGTAGCGGAACCAGGGCGGTTGGCCTGAGCCAGCGAGGGACTCGGGCCACCGGCCTTGGACGCTTCAAACGTCTTCGAGGCTTCTTCAGAAGTAACCGGCTGCTGCTGAGCGATCGGTTGGTTCTGACCGAAACCAGACTGCGCACGTCCAAAGACATCAGTCATACCAGAAGCGAAGGCGTTGCTACCAGCAGACTGCTGAGTTTCAGACGGCTGGGCGGATCCAGCACGTCCGTACATTGATTCACGACCAGGCAGACCCTGGTTGAAAGCACCTACATTGGCAGGAGAGGAGGAGTGGTCGTATGAGAACGCATGTTGCGGCTGACCATACATTCCACCCTTGCCGTAGGGACCGTACTGACTTCTATAGCCGTACTGGCTGCTGTGAGGCATATAATGATCATCGTATCTTCTGGCATCGTCGTACATCGGGCGATTCTGTCCATACTGGTGCTGCTGATTCATCTGGTTCATGTAAGAAGCGTAGTGGGGGTTAGAGTAGTATGGGTATCCGTAACCATAGCCACCGTGAGCAGCTTGAGCACCAGGAATGTGCTGTGCAGACGGCTGGGTGACAGTCGCGGCAGGCAGAGCAGGGTTCGGAGTGTTGTGACCACTGTTGGGAGCTTCAACATGGCCATAGCGAGCCGGAGGCTGGCTCGCAGGAATCTGCGGCTGGACTTCAGCGCCAGTGACGCCGAAGCCGGTCGCGGCCCTTGCGGTAGCATCCTGCGACTGACCGTACGTTCCATAGTAGTTGTATGGGAGACGCTGCTGGTCCGCAGCATAGAAAGGAGAATATTCACTACCAGTGGTAGCAGTTGGCTGAACGGGAGCCTGGTTCGAGAAAGGCTCCGGGATCTGGGGTTGCGGCTGAGTAACCGGCTGGGTAAAAGGGTCGTAGGGTTTCTGGGAATCGCCGTAACGAGCGAAATCGGTGAAAGAAGTATCGGTAGAAGCTTGCGGAGCAGGAGGTAGACCAGGAGCGGGACGAGGGATAGCAGGGGCCTCTGCAGGCGGTTGAGCGTGGGTCGAGGGCGGCAACGAAGCACGAGGAGCAACGGGGGAGTGCTGCGGAGGCTGAGCGCGAGTCTCGGCCTCTTCTCTCTCTTCATCAACATCAACATCGTCAGCACCACCATTCAGGCCCATACTGCCAAATTGAACGGCAGCGCGATCGACGGCGTGATTGGCTGGCATGACCACTGCCTCCTGCTGTTCCATAACACGGCGCTGGTAGCCGGGTCCACGGGCAGTGATGGAGGAGGTGGCCTTGTAGGCAGTTGCGGCGAAACCTGAGGTAGTGGTGGTACTGCGGGAAGGAGTCATGGTAGATAGGTTATCAGGATCCTGGGCGCCAGCAATGGTGCTAGTCGTTGTAGCAGCTGCTGTTCCGGTAGGGGGAGGAACGGAGACATCAGGAACTTGCTCGAGGTTTTGCTTCGTGAGATCGTCCTTAACTGGAGGGACATCTTCAGCCACAGTCTCAGCGGGTGCTTCAGCCGGCGCAACTTGTTCCTCTGGTGCCTTCTCAGCAGGAGCAGGAGCAGGTTCTGGTTCGGCTGGTTTCTGTTCAGGGACAGGTTCAGCTTGTTTCTCGACGGCAGGAGTAGCGGCAGGCGGTTGTTGCTTCTGAGGAGGTGGAGTCGGTTTCGCAAACAAGCTTGCCCATCCCGTCTTCGTACCCTCAGGTATGCCAGGGGGCTTAGGAACCTCCTTCGCTGGCTCCTTTGCACCCTCAGCAGTCTCTCCTGTGACTGTAGTATCAATAGCACCGGTCTTTGTGCTAACAGCAGCCTCAGCTGAACTGGTTGCTGTAGCGGGCTTCTCAGAACGAGTACCGTTGGTATGAGCTCCTGCTCTACCACCACGGCCGCCGCGACCTCGATCTCCGCGACCGCGACCACGGCCCTCGAATCCGCCACGTCCACGGCCTCCACGAGTCGAGGCTGTGGTAGTTTCGGGCTGATGGCTCTGGGCCTCTTTGACCTTGGATCGGGACCTGTCTGCGGTCGTCTTCTTCTTGACCTCTCCCCACTGCGACACATTACCTTTACCGAGTCGTCAGCAATTGCACCGGACAGATTCGAAAACGTATACTCGTACCTTCAGTTATGCGCTCAATCGCACTTTCGAGATCGCCGTTCGAATCCTCCAGTGCGAAGACCAGATCATCCTCAGTCCAGTCTTCAAACAGTTCTCTCAGCGCAGGCAGCTCGTTCGAGTATTTCTTCTTGAGCTGTCCAATATCTCCCTCATCATCGTACGACGTCGGAGTAGAGGCATTGTCTGTGGTGTCGAGCTTTGCGGACCTGCTACCGCCGCGACCGCCTCTAGAGCTGTAGCCACCTCTGCCACCACGGACAGAGCCTCTGCCACGAGGGGCTGATGGTCTCGATTGAACCTCAGACATGTCTTCGGTCCTGATGTGAAGGGTTTGTGAGGAGGAGTAATCCAGGTATGTGTCGGAAGGGAGTAAGACGGAGAGTTCGTCAGGATGTGAGCGACGGAGAGGGATTGGAAGATTGGTCGGGTGAGCTAAGTTAGTGAAAAGAAAAAGCGGGTGTAGGGTGGAAGATCAACGATGCTCCCTCTCAGAGAGGTCGGCACCAGAACCGCAGCAAAGAGGCCGCCAGATTCAAGATGCACAAAGCAGAAGGGCTGAGTAGGAAAGGTAGAAGTTTGGGCCTTGTTGGAAGGATGAGGCGTGTAAGGGAGAGGCAACTTTCGCGTTCTGTGCTTTAGCGAGCGGCGCTAGAGTTGACTCGGGGAGGCTGGGTTTTGAGCAGCGTCACCACTCCGCCTTGTCTTTCCTCTCTCTCTCTCTCTCTATTCACCATTCCCCACCGGACTGCCATCTGGTTTATCTAGTCTATCTAGCAGCGTTGATTAACTATTCTTCTCTAGCGGTCTCCTCGCTTCCTGCAGCTGCTTTGCTTTCTGCTTCCACTCCGTCTGCGTTGGTGCATGCACATTGGCCATTGGCCTGACCTTCGGGCATCGTCCATGTCACGCAATCAGTCACTTCCTCCAGCACTATGAAGGGGACGTCGATCCTCAATTTCAAACCCTGGAGAAAGATCCATCCTCCCCTGCCTCGTACGCCTCGTGAGTCTCAGCAGCTGCTGAACGCTCTCACCTCGTCCTTCCGTCGCCAGCTGGACCAGGCCTATCCACCGTTGGACCAAGCGCAACAGAATAATAATGAGAAAGATGCCCGAGATTCAGAGACGTCAGCGCATGCTGCCGATAAACATCTCCAATCCATCCTCGACAACCCACTGTTCAAAGTTGTCCCTTCTCAGACCATCTTCTCCTCGGTTTCCAAGTCCGACACTCAGAGCAGGCGAGCATTGCAGAAGAGACTCGCCAAAGAACCCATGGTCGTATTTGATGAACTAGTAGCGTCGGGCCATGTGGAAGTGACATCTCTGGTCGATTGTCTCAAGGCTCAGCTTTACCTGACCGGCTCAGGAGATGGCGCCCGCGAAGCTATGAAAAGCTCCGGCGCCGGGAAGAGACTCGTTTCTTGGTTTTGGGCCTCCGATCCATCTTCCAGAAAATTGCTATTTAAATCACGCAACGCCACATCGACCGCTCTCAAATTCATGGTCGCGGAAGACTTGCAAGATACAGTCATGGTCTGGCTGAGGATGTTGGGCAAGAATGATCTGGGAGGTGTCGATGGTCAGATACCCCAGGCTGTGGTGCCGCGGGTATTCAAGTCCTTTTTGTCGGACTTCATAGCGGCCGAAGTCCGCTACGGACGAGGAGTTGTCTCTGCACTAGATTATTACTTGCAGGCTTTCAGGATGTGCTCTTTCTCGATATCCCCGTCTACTCCCGACTCGAGGAACACGATGCTCGTTGCCGCCGCCACTCAGCTGGCTCACTGGATCGTCGACAATGCCCAGGGCCAAGCAATCAAAGACATACCTGCCTCACTATATCAGCAATTTTGTGAAGCTATATCCACAATAACTACGCGGCCTTTCCTGAGTGCCTCCGCTTGGCTCTATAATCCCACAAATCCCGATGCCCGACCGCTTCTGGAGTATGCGAAATCTGTTCCATCACATATATATAGTAGCTGGAAGGAACCTAGGAAGGAGATATTCCTCAAGGTCAGCCTGGACGCTGTCAGATTCATGATGGAGCGAAAGGAATTCCGCGATGCTACTTGGCTAGTGCAACACGTCAAACAACTACTGTCAGATGAGCAATCTGCGGTCAAGGAAACAAAAGAGTCTCGATCTCGTTCGAGTCAGGAAGTCATGCTACACCATTTGGACCTCGCTCTGGCCTAGTTGCAGCGGTATGTCAGGAAAGGATTTTCTCCACGTTTCCGGAATTACAGCCAGGACAGGGTCATACCATTATTACTGAGGCGACCTGCTGGCTTCTCCATGTCTCTCCGCTTTGGACTACGTAAGCATGTGGCTTTAGTTTCGGAACTCTACATCAGGTTGGGGTCTATGTTGAATTGACCGTCCTCTCCTCATTCGCTCGTGTTCGACGATGAAGATGTGGGCTCCGCACAGCGAAAGCGGAGCTGAGTCGGAAGCTGAGCATGCTGTTCAATTGCCCCTCATATGATTGATTAAGCTTCGTTTCTATTTCCGGGTTCTCGGATTTTCGCTTCATCTGGGCTGAACGGGGACTGGCTTAGGTAAACACCAACCACCACCTGCTCTGACCGCGCATTGCCCAACTTGACGGCTTTGTGTCTTATCAGGTATCGGCTTTCCATACATTGTTGTCCTCTGAAATACAAGGCAGGCCATCTGATTCCGAGTTCCGATCTCAACTCTTGCTTTGACGATCTTCTCAAGATAGCCATCGAACGGCACTTGTTCTCTGCCCTGTTCCAGCACACGACGTCACTCACCTGATATGGCTACCGAGGGAATACGAACGGCTTCGGGTATGTGACTTCTATCTCTGCTTCCTAAGTCTCAGCCGCTTGCTGGAAATGGGATCGTCTCAAGCAATATGGATGCTTAATTACGCGTTGCATCCTTTCGGTCCGAAGCTGACTGCGACTCTTAGAAGCCAATGATGCGCTTGGGGCTGAGGAGAAGAATGGTCCTACCAAGGATGTTGAGTCACAGCAGAGAAGTCCTCGAGTGACTGATGAACCGAAGCCTGATGAGAAATTTGCTGCTCTCGGAGAAACAGAGGCATTGCAACCGCCAGCAACGGAAGATAGTAATGGGCCGAAAACTGGTGAAAAGAGGCCGATCAATGGAAGCGATAACTCAGGGAATGGAAATAAGGATGGCGAGCAAAGTGGTGAATCTTCAGAAAAGAAGCAGAAGGCTGAGCAACCCTCCGAAGCAGAATATCGACCAGTCGATCCCTCTGCATCTAATGACGGAGAGAAGAAAAAGCAGCCTGGTCGGCCAACGAAACTGAAGGATGCCTCAAAGAAGCCAACCCCACGCTCCACGGAAGGGATTGGAAGCCGGACGAGGAGCCGGACCAAGGCAACGTGACGGCGAGACTGTTTAAAACCGGCTTCCTCCTTCGTTACAAAGCAGTCGAGTCCATCGGATTCCTGGACTTTTTTTTCCCTTTCCCTCTCTTCCCCAAGTCAGCTCGTTCTTCCTCTATCCTAGAAACCCGAGCCTGGCTCTTTACGAACAGACATCACCCGCTCGGTCCATTCTACCTACCACAATAGCCAAATCTAGAGTCTGTGGACGCACAGGTCTAGTTGTCTAATCTGTCGATCGCATTCCCTCAACACTTTCAGTAGTCGCACGAAATTCCGGTTCTAACCCGTGATCTCCAATTGTTCAAATCTTGTTGGTCGATCAATGCCTTTGCTGTAGGAAATACTCCGTATACGGTTTGCCGTAGTTAGGCAGAGTAAGGGTCCATGGATGGCAAATCATCAGCATATAGCTACCTGGGTAACTGGTTGCTTGTGAGTGGCCACCGGTGTCGGAGGGGAAGAACAATTGCCCCCCGATGTCGCCGGAAATGGAAATTCTAGTCCCCCGCGGGCGGATCGCTGAGTCAATAGATTATTGCTGCCCGCTTTGGCATATACTTGCACAACTTCTTTTTGTCAAGCAAATAAAACCGTTGACGCTGAATATGTCTGGCACTAAGATCTGGTTGAGAGCTGAAACTAAGCCTGCTGAGGCTCGATCAGCTCGTAAGTTTTTTTCAAGCCCATTACCCCGCTCAATTGCAACTGCAATCGCAGCCCGCATTCTAATCATGGAAGATTTCATTCTAACTCGCGGGGATATCCTCTAGTCACTCCCACCACTTGCAAGGCTCTCGTCGATGCCGGTTACGATGTCACCGTAGAGAAGTCTACGCAGAGAATCTTTGAAGGTGAAGAAATTTCCCTTGGTCCCTGTTCACGAGGTCATTGTCTTGCAGAGTACTGACCGAGACACAATTCAGACGAGGAGTTCGCCAAGGTTTGTGATGAATGACTCTTGAGAGATCTGAAGTGATTCTTATAACCGTTTGATGTCCAGGTTGGAGCGCGCATTGTTGAGGAAGGGTCTTGGGTCAAGGATGCCCCCAAGGATGCCTACATTCTGGGTCTCAAGGAGCTGCCTGAGGATGACTTCCCCCTTGAGCACGTCCACATCTCCTTTGCCCACTGCTACAAACAGCAAGCCGGATGGGAAAAGGTCCTGAGCAGATGGCCTCGTGGCGGCGGAACCCTCCTCGACCTTGAGTTCCTTACGGACGAGGCTGGTCGCAGAGTTGCTGGTAATGAATCCCCCGTTACGTCCTGAACTTAGCCAGAGTTACAATGTCGCTAACTTGTCTTTCTACTCTACAGCCTTCGGATGGTCTGCTGGATATGCTGGTATGACCATGGTCCCCCTTTCCTCCAATACACAAGAAGATGCTAAGACTAGATATCAGGTTCTGCCCTGGCCATCAAAACATGGGCGTGGCAGCTAGCGCACCCTGAGGGAGAGCCTCTACCGGGCGAGAAGCCCTACGCTAACAAACAGCTCCTGATTGAGTCGGTCAAGGAGTCGCTGGAGGCTGGTAAGAAGATCGCCGGTCGATCCCCGAAGGTGCTGGTCATTGGAGCTGTGAGTAACAATCCGTCGTCATTGCTCGCGAGCTGCTCATTAATCTTCACGTAGCTTGGTCGGTGTGGAACCGGTGCCGTCGACCTTGCCAAGGATATCGGCATCCCGGAGTCTGATATTATTAGGTGGGATATCGAGGAGACCAAGAAGGGTTTGTTGCTCTTTGCGATGTTAGAAGTCTGCGGAAGTACATGTTGACTAACAATTTTCGTTAGGCGGGCCTTTCAGGGAAATTGTTGAGGACGCCGATATCTTCGTTAACTGCATTTACCTCTCTGCGAAGATCCCGCCGTTCATCAACGCTGAAACACTCTCCTCGCCCAACAGGCAGCTGAGTGTTGTCTGCGACGTCAGCGCTGATACGTATGTAGCCTTTCTTGAGTTATAACTGGCATCCATACTGATGTTTTATCACTATAGCACGAACCCTCACAACCCGGTTCCCGTTTACGACGTGATCACCACCTTTGACAAGCCCACTGCCCCTGTCAAGCTTCCAGCCGGTAGCAAGAACCTGCCGCTCAGCGTCATTAGCATTGACCATCTGCCATCTCTGCTTCCCCGTGAATCTTCCGAGATGTTCAGCCAGGCTCTGCTCCCCAGCTTGTTGCTGCTGAAGGACCGATCCAATGCCCGCGTATGGACCCAGGCTGAGGATCTGTTCAAGCAGAAGGTCGCGACTCTGCCCTAATCTTGGAGCGCTCGAATGCCGATCATCTCGTCCTCGTGATGAAGTCCAGAAACACTCGAGAATTCACTTCGTGTTGACGTTTTCCATAAAGAAAATGGCCTCCAGTGCCGACAGGTGTATAGGATGCATATATTAGACGTGGATTTACTATGGAAATAGTTGTTACATAACTACGCGTGATGTATTCGCGTTACGCACCGGATCACTATAACTCTGTCCCCGATCAGGTAGACCGTCAGGTAGTAAAAGAGAAGACTAGCATCCCGGATGGTGGTAGGTATCTTGGAGTCATGACCGCGTAGAACGAAGCCGAGGCTAGACTTTCGCAGACAAGCTACCAGGTATAGCTGATCGGCAGGATTGTCTTCAGCCGGCGTCGATCATTTTGCGGCGACGGCTTCATCCGGAGATAGACCAGACGAACCCTGCCATTTTTCTCGGTTGCAGAAAAAGAAGAAGAACAAGGAGACTGTTTAGCTGTGGGATGCTGTCTACTATAGACGATGCGATGAGATTTTCTCGATTTTCTAGCAGCGAGCTTACTTGTTTGAGATACACATAACCTGAGTCGCTATGTATTAACCCCGGTCACCCCGCGCGGCTACTGCGGCCAGCCGTCTCCGACTTGCAGAACTTCTTCGCTGCAGAAGGAAACAGGAGGGAAGAGATCCCATGGATGGCTTTCAAATCGATCATCTTTGCAACCGCATGATCGGGTACATATCAAGCGAACTTCATGAAATCCACAGTGTATCAATACAATCGAACGGCTGAGAACGTGTGGAGATCAATTCAATAATGGGTCTCTGGGGTTCGGAGATGCCGCCCCTCCGACGCCTGGAGAGAGTGGTGCTTGGCACGCATCGACACCGCTGCGTTCTACTGCTCCTTTTTCTTCCTATCTTTCCGGTGAAAGAGACAGATTCCCACGGCCGATTGATTCGCGGTATCGTGAAGCTGGGCAAGGTCTTCCAGGTTTGTTTTCCGTGTTCTTCACCCGCTGGCCACAACCCAGCAAGTCCTACTGACATCTTCCCGACGCCGCAGTGATATAACCGAACGGGAAAATAGGGAGGATTTATATTCTCAGAGGGAGCTGTGGAGGATAACCAAAGAGAATCGCCCCAAGGGGCGGGGTCCAGTTTGACATTTACAATCTTTGGCCCTTGTTCCCCAGCTCACCTCCGCTGCTCGCCTGCCAGGACTCGAGAGAAATGATCCCCATGCTTGCTAGCCGACCTCCTGCCATTTCCTGTATATAACCACCGATCGCTACATTGTCTCGACTTTCATGCCCGACAAGCCTGCCACTGTTGCCGCATATGCGGCGGGGGCGTCCCTCGCCGCTATCACGCTGTTCTACGTCTTCGGGCCTAACTTCACTATCGATGGCGATGATTCAAGTAACAACAACCGCAAAAACGGCATCGTGGGCCTCTCGAACCCCGCCAATGACTGCTTCATTAATTCCGTGCTGCAAGCCCTCGCAGGGCTCGGGGACTTGCGTCTATACTTGATCAGAGAACTTCACCGGCGCGAGCTCGATGGACCAGAGGTGTATGATGTGCTGCCGGAGCCGCAGGATATGCCGAGGGACCAGAGGCCTGAGAGGCTCAGGGAGCTACAGCAGGGGACGGTTACAAAGGCCTTGAAGGAAATGCTGGACCGGCTCAACGAACGACCGATTTACAAAAAGACCATTTCTGCGAGGCCGTTCATTCAGGCCCTCGAGTATGCGTTCCGCACGCGGATCAGCCGCAATCAGCAGGATGCTCAAGAGTTCTTGCAGATTGTCGCGGAAAGACTCAGTGATGAGTATCATGCTGGGATCAAAGCCAGGCAGCATATGCCGATGTTGGTTGACCCGTCGTTCGACGCAGATGCATCCACGCAGCCCACACAGGATCCAGACGCCGCGATGAACCAGAAGGAAACCAGTGAAATTGAGGTGCGAATTGACGATAAGTCAGAGAATGGCCTACCAGCTGTTCTGACTACGAAACTGAAAGAGACGGATAACGAGTATGGCTTTCCGTTTGAAGGCCAGCTGGAATCGCAAATCGAGTGTCAATTTTGCCACTATCAGTACAAGCCGAATAAAACATCGTTCGTGAATCTCACGTTGCAGGTGCCCCAAGCGAGCTCGACTACGCTAAATTCCTGCTTCGACGGTCTTCTCAAGACGGAGTACATCGATGACTTCCGGTGCGACAAGTGTCGATTACAGCATGCGCTGGAAACCAAGATCAAAGAGAAATCTCGAGCTCATGCGGAGGAAGAAAGGGAAAGGATTGCGACGGAAATAGGGCTGATCAAGGAAGCGTTGGAAAACGATCCAGAGCACTTACCGGACGGGGTGACGATGCCGCCCTCAGATCTAGCACCGAAACGGAGGATCGCGAGGCATATGCGGATAGTAGTCTTCCCCAAAATCATCGCTATTCATTTATCGCGCTCTATATTCGATCACAGCAGCTCCACCAAGAACGCAGCCAAAGTGTCTTTCCCGGAGCGTCTCCCCCTAGGCGGCATTCTGACGCGCAAATGGTATAAGTTGTTGGCCATTGTGTGTCACAAAGGAAGCCATCAGAGTGGTCATTACGAGTCCTTCCGGAGAAATAACTTGTATCCTCCTTTCTCCACGCCCGACGTCTTCAGGTCCTTCGCTCAGAGCCGGGCGGCCAGTGAGAACCCTTCCAGAGCCCCCAGCCCACGGATCAGAGCAAAGAACTCTGCAGAGCAAGAGCCTGGGTCTTTGAACCTTTCTCCCGCAGAATCGTCGGCGTCACTCTCCAGTCCCACCCTGCCGTCTCCCGCTACATCTCTTCCAGTCCCGCAGTCGCGAGAAACCACGCGTCCAACGTCGAGTCCCCGTGTGTCCTTCCAGAGCGGTCGTTCGAAGTCATCGTCGAAGTTGATGTCCTCATCCACTCCGGAAGGGAGGGACTCTTCCACATCACCGTCTCTACGGTTGCGTAATTCCAAGTCGAGCCTCTCGTTGTCCAAGGGCAATGGCGGGCCGCGACCTTCTACGGAGGCCTCATCGGGGGCTCCCTCTCGGTTTCGTCGCAAGCGTAAACACATGGACCGATGGTGGCGGATATCAGATGAGAAAGTCAAGGAATGCAAGACGGCAGATGTGCTTGGCATGCAGAGGGAGGTCTATCTCCTTTTCTATGAGATTGAAAAACCGGACGCCAGCCCTCATGGGGCGGATGATGCTTGATGCACCTGACGAGGGATAGTAGAAAACCCTCCCTTTTCTTTTTCCTTTTCTTGCATATGTTGCATGTAAGTTCACTATTTTCTGTGTACTTCATGCGTGAGATGACCGCATACATACACATAACTACATAACTCTACATACAACCGCTCGCACGGCTTCTTGGCAATCCAACCTTCCCTATTTGGCAATTGAGTAGGCGATATACGGTAGATCCATTGTTACAAACCGCGACAGGCGCAGAAGTCTGGCAGCGTTGACGCCCAGTTCTTTGGGTGAAGAGAGTCGAGAGCAACGAGTTTTGCTGATCTAGGTCTACATGCTGTGCATTGTTGTCCAAGATACGTGGCCCTCTTATTCAGGTCAGTCATGGGACGCCTGTGGAACGGTCTGCGAGAGCGGTCTACCATACACTGATAGAGTATGGTTACTATGGTATAACTGGGGCGAATATTAGGTAGACTGGAAAGATACCCGAGACCAGAATGGGCCGCCATTATCATTCTAAGGTACTACTATACCGGTATATCATACTCTAGAGCTCTAAACCCATACAAACGGTCGCGGGTCCGTTTAGGTAGTCAGTGATGGCTAGAAGCGATCTACTATTGTACGACGATTGCCCTTGTCGACGTGCCTATGACAGCAGCAGAGGGTCAGTAGTAGTCTCGACTTGTTCTTCCCCGTCAATCGGGAGACTTCATCGCCAACAAGTGGGGGATCCGGGGAGAAGCTCGACGGCAACCTCAACGTCTGAGGGGAGGGCAGTGGGCAGGCCTGATCCACCGGATGGGAGGATGGACCATATAGTAGTACATACAGTAACTAACTACTACTCTAGGTAGAGTAAGTAGAATCGAAATCAGCAGAAGAGGTTCGAAGGGCCAAGACAGCAGAGGTCAAACAACTGAACGGCAGAGTGATTGTCCGGGGAAGTGTGAATCCGAAAGCTACACGGGAAGCACGAAAGAGATACGGAGAAGAGGAGGTTTCTTTGCAGCAGAGACTATCATACTAGAGGTCATGCGCCAAAGGAGGATCTAGATCTTTATCTGTGGTAGTAATGAATTATACAGTACCAGTGATAATTGATTCTTCGTAAGCAGGGACCGCAGTTAACTAGTTAACTACCTAGGTAGTAGTCATCGATGCCTCGAAGGTCCTTAATGATCCTGCACGGTGCCTGGGAACTGTCTGTAATGGGGATAACTCTATCATACAAGATCTATGCAGATACTCTACCATATACACAATCATAATCATAATCGTAATAATCATAACTGTACTCTAACCATACTTCCAGAAAACCCACCACCAGAGACAATGCGATACTCCGTACTTAGCAACAACCGCGGTTATCAACAGCTGGCGGCATCGGGCCCATGGAAGAGAGCAGAAAGAGGCAGGACGGGGCATTTCGGAGCACGGGGGGAGCGAAGCAACATGGAACAGCGTCATCGCCCGACCAAAACCCCACCGGCAGCAAACGAGGGGCAGCAAAGCAAGCAACAAGGGAAGACGGTTAAGGTGTATTATTTATTATATCATCGCCTTTCATCTCTTTCGCTCTCTCTCTCTTTTTCTCTCCTTCTCCCCTCATCTTCTCTGCCCTGTTGTCTCTGGTCTCCCCAGTCTAGCATTTACCATAACTGTCTACCGGGATTGAATCATACTGACCTCAGTTGCTCCCGCGATTCTGCTGTCTTGCTCCACCAACGCCAAACCGGTGAGTTCTTCGAGTTATGACGGAGCTGCCCTTGCCCACCCTGCCCCTCACTAGTGGCTCCTTGTGCTGCCATCACACCACCTATTTAATTTCCCCTCTACCGCCCCCCTCCAGCTGTAAAGGGAGAAAAAAAATAAAAGACGAAAAGGAAATCAGATATTATTGCGTCTCTCTGTCATTTATTGCTTACTGACACGGAGAGTTTGCTGTCCTTACTAGAATTTGAGCCATTGCCCGATCGCAATCATTCATCATGGGTGTCCTCGAGAAGCTGAGCCGCAAGACCGGTGTCATCGTCGGTGACGATGTCCTCCGTCTCTTTGAGTACGCTCAGGAGAAGAACTTTGCCATTCCCGCCATTGTGAGTTTTGCCTTGCATTGCATTCATGATCCATCCCTTGTACGGTGATGGCTCAGACTGACATTGCGGTTTAGAACGTCACCTCTTCTTCTACCGTTGTCGCTGCCCTCGAGGCTGCCCGCGACCAGAACTGCCCCGTCATCCTGCAGCTCTCCAACGGTGGTGCCGCTTACTTCGCTGGCAAGGTAGGTTCTACTGCATGGTCCAAAAAAGGAGGGAGTAGACAAGTGATACTGATCTTTTCTTCTCAGGGTGTCCCCAACGGCAAGCAGGAGGCCTCCATTGCTGGTGGTATCGCCGCTGCTCACTACATCCGTAGCGTCGCTCCCGCCTACGGCATCCCCGTCATTCTGCACACCGACCACTGTGCTAAGAAGCTGCTGCCATGGCTCGACGGCCTGCTCGATGAGGACGAGAAGTACTTCAAGCTGCACGGCGAGCCCCTCTTCTCTAGCCACATGATCGACCTGTCGGAGGAGTCCGTCGACTACAACATCCAGACCACTGCTGCCTACCTCAAGCGTGCTGCTCCCATGAAGCAGTGGCTCGAGATGGTGAGTTGTTTCTCTCTGCTGTCGCTGTTTGCCATTTCATGAATTTGGATGCTGACTACTCGTAGGAAATCGGTATCACTGGTGGTGAGGAGGACGGTGTCAACAACGAGGATGTCGACAACAACTCCCTTTACACCCAGCCCGAGGACATTCTCGCCATCCGCAACGCCCTCGCCCCCATCAGCCCCTACTTCTCCATTGCCGCTGGTTTCGGTAACGTCCACGGTGTCTACAAGCCCGGCAACGTCCGTCTCCACCCTGAGCTGCTCAAGAAGCACCAGGCCTACGTCAAGGAGAAGATCGGTTCCCCCAAGGACAAGCCCATCTTCTTCGTCTTCCACGGTGGTTCCGGATCCTCCAAGGCGGAGTACAAGGAGGCTATCAGCTACGGTGTCGTCAAGGTCAACGTCGACACTGACATGCAGTACGCTTACCTGTCCGGTATCCGTGACTACATCCTGAACAAGAAGGACTACCTCATGCAGCCCGTCGGCAACCCTGATGGTGCCGACAAGCCCAACAAGAAGTACTTCGACCCCCGCGTCTGGGTTCGTGAGGGTGAGAAGTCCATGAGCAAGCGCGTCCAGGAAGCTCTGGAGGACTTCAACACTGCTGGTCAGCTGTAAACGGTCCCAACCGACCGAGCCTCAGTTTTGCAATCTCAAAATGACCGGTTAATCTGCAGCGGGACTGGATTGGACATTTCAATACTCAAATAATCATCATCACATGTTCTCTTTTCATGGAACCTTTTCAGTGATGTGGAGTTGTGCACAAAGTTGGCCGGAGAGCCATCGGGGACGGTGTATCGCATGTCGATAAAGTATGAACGAATGAGATAATGATCCTCCAAAAAAAAATTAGTTTCACCTGCAGAGCCTGGATTGCTTGTCCTTTGGAAGACCTTCTCTGTTGTAGTCTGAAAAGGTAACCATCTCAGAAAAAAAGAAAAGGAAAGAAAAAATAGTGTAGCGGTCATTAGTTTTGTCACTCGGATCTCCACCTTGAGCAGAACGTAAGCTCTTCTTCCCATTACATACATAACCAGCTCGGTCTCTGGGGAATTCCATTAGGATCGTTTTGGTATCTTTTCAGTCATCAAAAGAAGCCGCCGTGTATTTTGTCACATAATACGAAGTAAGAAGAATCGAGGACCCGAGGAATTGGAAATGATGTCATTCTTTTCGAACCACCAAGTTACCTTCTGGAGCTAGTCATGTCCTCGTCTTCTGCCTGAACGAGTTCCACTCATAGAGATAAATTGCCTAAGCATGCTGGAGAGTCTAACGCCAGTTATTATTTATGTATTTATCCATCACTACAGTTCGGTCTCTTTATTTAGGGAATTTCTTTTTCGCTGTATATTGAGAAAAGTCTGCTTGGTACTAACTAACTGCACATCGTCTGATGTATCGATACGTATGTGTAGTTATATATATATATCCTATGAATGAAATAGGAGAATGTCCAGTTTGATCTTTGATCCGCCACGGTCTATGAGATTTGATCTGAAAAACCTTATTGATAGCTTAGCAGGGAGTTGTAGGTGAGTTATGCCATGCTTTGTGGCATTAGAAATATATATATAAATATATATATAAATAGAAAGCGCCCGTCGCGTCCTTGGATTCTGTCTAAGGTTGCATTGCAGCATCTGTTTGAAACTTTGATGACCTTTTAAGGTTCAGGATGAATCACTTGTTGCTTGGCATGCATGCGGGCAATAATAGAGTCCTTGAGTGTGATAAATCCTGTTGGATAGTGAGGTATGTTATATTAAGTATGTAGTTAGTTGGTTAACTAGTTAACTATTGTGTTAGTATCAGTCAGCAAGCACTGTTCAATAACTGACTACTAACGAACTACTCGAACGATCTGGGGTAACTGGATCACGAGTAGATGCGTGGGGCTCATGAAGGAATGCGAGATCTAGTCAGTAGTAGGTAGTCTCGAGCAGTGATCAACTGAGTACCTAGATGGTACTTTTTCGTAATCGCGTGACGGCTTGCGACGATGTATGGTACCCCGTATAAAAGTTTTATTTCACCAGTGTTGGCCTTCAGCTCCATTATTCAGGTCCCGCCATGTTTATCCACAAGGAAAGGAAACAAGCGATAGGAAGAGCTGAGAAGGGCGGGGGACTGATCGTCCCCAGTGTTTTTGTTCCACAGCGGCGAGTGAGCGAGGTTCGGTTAACCTGTCAAAGTCCAACGATGCCGCATGTCTCAGACGGTCTAGCCCCCCGTTTGTCCACAAGCGTTGCGCAACCACGCAAAAATAGTATCCAGTCAAAAGCCCAATCAGGGCGGACACGATGGAGTGTTGTCTTCTTGGCATTTGTTGTCTTTTTCTCTTTCTTTGCAGCGGAGGAAGAAGAAATCTTGAGGGACAGGGCTGAGAGAAAAAGATGAAAGATTTGAAGAGGTTGGATCAGAAGATGAATAGGAGAGAGCTGGGGAAGAGTGAGTATCTGACTTGCATTCGTCGCTGCATGAGATCGGGGTCTTGGTGAGATCCTACTGGTCTCTGATCATTCGTAGCGTGTTGATCGGTCTTAGATAGTCTCAGGTCTGATGGACAACCGCTTATCTTAGGTCGAGTAGAATTTCTAAGTCCATGACTCGTGCCCTCCGGACAAAAGGTCTCGTGTCCATTATTATTATTGTTGTCAGGTTTGGCTCTCGTCGTCGAATATTCTTTTCTTCCATCGACCTTCCCACTGCCTGTGGCAACTTGCTGCGTATCCTCATTTCCTCGCTCGTCCAGGACCACGCATTGGATCGCTCTTCCGTAGATCGTTCTTCGCCCGCCGACCCGCCGTTACCAGTCCAGGCCCTATTATTGCGCTTCAAAACTGCTGGAGACCCGCCTCCACGAGAGGCCAATAACGCCCAACTGGGCTACTTATGGCCTGTGTGCTTTTCTAACGCCCAGCGTCATTAACTTATTCTCATCGAAGGGGATCTGCATCTTGCCATCGTCTCTCCCGCAGCCCATTTCGATCGTTCCCAACTGCTCCCTTCGTTTGCATCGTCCTCGTTCGTTCGTTAAATCGTCGAGATACTGGTGGTGGACACACGTGGCTGTGTCTGGGCGTGGGAATCATCGGCCGATGCCTGCTGCTGTGTCGTTGAGCTGGGAAGCGTTGCTGGGTCAGGGTGCATAAGTAAACGCGGCAATGGATCGCATCAGCGACCTTGCGCGACGGCAAAACGACTCGCCAGCAGCACAGTTCTTGCAGCTTATCCAGAACCCATTCAAGTCTGCGGTAGGTCATGAGAGAAAGAGATTCGGTTCCAGTGTCTTGGAGGATCTGCTTTGATCGACAGTGCACGTTCGACTGACCGGTGTCGTTTGCAATAGTTCCAAGTCAATGCCATCTGGGCCTCGCTGGGCACCTCTATCGGCATCTCCATCCTCCTCGTCCTGCTCTTTTCCTTCCTGCGACCTCGTCACTCCCTTGTGTACGCTCCGAAGAAGAAATATGCCGACCAACTGCACGCCCCGCCCCCGGTGGGCAAAGGCTTGTTCGCATGGCTCAAACCGGTCCTTAAGACCAAGGAAGATGATCTGGTCGACAGAATCGGTCTCGATGCCACCGTCTTCCTACGCTTCGCCAAGATGCTGCGGAATATATTCATCTGTCTCAGCATCATTGGCTGCACCGTCATGATCCCCGTCAATCTCGCTGAGAGCTCGAGCGAACAGACGGCCCAATTCAGCAAATTTTCCCTCATGACACCCATGTATGTTTCCACAACTGCGATTTGGAGTCAGGTCGTTATGGCGTGGGCCTTTGATGCGATTGCGATCTACTTCCTATGGCGCAACTACGTTGGGATCTGCGCTCTACGCAGGAGATACTTCGAGAGTTCAGAATATCAACGTAGTTTGCATGCGAGGACGTTAATGGTCACCGACATCCCTCAGCCTCTCCGATCAGATGAGGGTCTATTGCGCCTGACAGATGAAATTAATCCGACGGCTGCTTTGCCTAGGGCAGCAATTGGACGCAACGTCAAAGATTTGCCGCGACTCATCAAGGAGCATGAGGAGACAGTGAGGAAGTTGGAATCCGTACTTTCTAAATACTTGAAGAACCCTGATCGCTTGCCTTCAAAACGTCCGACTATTCGCCCGCCCAAGAAGTACAAGGGCGATCGCTACGATGGAAAAGTCGACGCGATCGACTATCTGACAGATCGCATCCGTGAGTTGGAAGTGGAAATCAAAGATGTTCGTGATTCAATTGACAAGCGTAACGCCATGCCCTATGGGTTCGCCAGCTGGGAGTCTATCGAGCATGCCCACGCGGCCGCTTACATGGCACGACGGAAGCATCCTCAGGGCACGACGATCCGCCTGGCTCCTCGGCCGCATGATATCATTTGGGAGAATCTACCGCTGTCCAAGCGGGCCAGAAAATGGAAACGCTTTATGAACTATATCTGGACCAGTATCTTGACTATTGTCTGGATCGCTCCTAATGCGCTAATTGCCGTTTTTCTCTCGGATTTGTCCAACTTAGGTCTTGTCTGGCCGGCCTTCCAGACATCCCTGAACCAGAACAGCGATGTGTGGGCGGCAGTTCAGGGTATCGCAGCTCCTCTCCTGACATCCTTGGTCTACCTTATCCTGCCTATACTCTTCCGACGCATGGCCATACGAGCAGGAGATGTGACCAAGACTTCCCGTGAGCGACACGTCATTCGCCATCTCTACTCCTTCTTCGTGATCAATAACCTGATCGTTTTCTCCACATTTTCTGCGGCATGGGCCTTCGTCTCAGCAGTTGTCGATGCCAAGAACCATGACGAGAACGCCTGGAAGGCCATTCAGGACGGAGAGTTCTATGAGAAAGTCATGAGTGCTCTCTGCCAGGTGTCTCCATTCTGGGTCTCATGGCTTCTTCAGCGCAATCTTGGAGCGATGATCGATCTGGCTCAGTTGCTGAGTCTGGTCTGGATCTGGTTCTCTAAGACGTTCCTGTCTCCGACGCCGCGGCAGACTATCCAATGGACCGCTCCTCCGCCATTTGACTATGCCAGCTATTACAACTATTTCCTCTTCTACGCTACCGTGGCTCTGTGTTTTTCCACTCTCCAACCGGTCGTGCTCCTTGCGACAGCGCTCTACTTCGGACTGGATGCGTGGCTGAAGAAGTATCTGCTGCTATACATTTTCGTGACCAAGACGGAATCAGGTGGCCGCTTCTGGAGAGTGCTGTTCAACCGGATGATCTTTGCCATCCTTCTCTCCAATATCATTATTGCATTAGTTATCCGGGCCAAGGGCACGTGGACGCAGGTTTATTGCATGATCCCCCTCCCCTTCTTGCTCATAGGGTTCAAGTTCTTCTGCAAGAGGAAGTTCGATGATAACATGCAATTCTATAACAAGGCAAACTTGACCGATTCGGAAGCACTGGGTGTGGGCAAGCCTGGCAAGAAGGCAGGGGATCGGCTCTATTCCAGATTCGGACACCCAGCTCTTAACAAGCCCTTGCCTACGCCAATGGTGCACGCCAAGGCGGCAGAAGCTCTGAAACAGATCTATCGGGGCCGTCTCGGTACCCCAGACTCCTCGGGCGATTATACAGACATCGCTATGCAATCCATGTCGGCCTTGCAACCCGGAAAGTCCACGGGTCCTTCTGGCTCCGCGCCGTTTGAGGTTGTCCCGGAGAACCAGCTCGACTTCTCTTATTTCAAGAACCGTGCCGATTTCCGGGACGAGTATGGCGGCGGCATCTACGGACGGCCGGAAGATCTCATCTCGGAACGATCACAAACCCCCAAGAGTTTCATGGGCGAGTGGTCTCCCAGCTCATCACGGGCATCCTCGCCGGCTCCGTCTGTGCCACCACTTCCCGGACGAAAGGGATACGAAGGTCTGGATATTGCAGATGGTCGTCCAAGCGATTTGGATCACCCTGCCTTCCGGCGTCCAGAGTCCCCAGGCGACAACGGGTCACTGGCGCCGGGTATGGGTATGTATAGTCTTCCCAACGAAAGCGAAACCCGTCTTTTGAACCATGCGCAACAGCCAGCCGCGAACGGTGGACCGAATCCTCTGGATCGATGGCGAACGGGCGGTTACGGCCCTGTCGAGCAGGAAGAGCAAGATCCCTACACCTCATACGACTACTACCGTGGTCGAAGATAGGCCAGCTCTGTGCTGTAGTCGTCGTCTTCATCTAAGTAATATATTCACGTTGTTGATACACCACATATAGACCGGATTTGTTCGAAATCACGCGGGGAAATTTAGGGCGGGATATGTATTGGAAATGGGGCGTCACATGAAATGTATATTTGAACGCGACGTTGCACGTCAGATTACGATGATGGATGTTTGATTTTCTCTGATTGGGTATGATTAGACTTGATCTAGGTTCTGCCCTGGAGTATGTTATTGCTCCGGGCAGCATTTTCTGTTTAGAAGCCTCGATGGAATGGTATAGCAATTGGAGCTAGTGGATTTAATACTAAATATGGGAAGTCTCCTGCATAGCATATATGTACTTTTCATATGGCATGTTTTCCATCAACTATCTACAGCTATGAACATACGGCTGTCGGCGCCCTCCGCGCTGCACCTTTTCAGTCTTATCTTAGCGGCTTTCCTCCCGATAAACTCAACCCCGACAATTCATTGACAGCTCCAGTTCGGAGTACAGTTGCATCTGGCTCAACTCACCCACGATCAATTTAAATCTTACCTTTACTCTAGTTCTCGTATATCTTGATTTCAATCAGCAGACTACCTATTTGTGACTTCCACCAGGTTCCTCGTTCCGTCTCAATGCCTGCTCCCACCTTAACGGCCTCCCCGCCGCGTCTCCGCGTGTCTGCCGCTCCTCTCACGGCCGAAGGCTTCGCGCCCTTTGGAACTGTCATCTCTAGTCCTCTACCGCGCAACATAACGACTGCACCGCAGCATCCCTCTGCCTTTATCCCGCCACATGGTCCTGCTCCGGTGTTGGCAAACCAGGGCTCCGCACTGAAATACAGTCCCATCTCCCCGCTCCAAGATGGATACACAGGCACTTGCCCAAGTGGCAAGGCGGCTTCTGCAAGAATGAGCATGTTCTCATGCTTCCCGCGAAAACTGAGGTCACTAGACGACAAATCTTCTTCGGAAGTCCAACTGAACGGATCCTCAGCAGTATTTGACGTTCGGATACTTGAGCGCCACCCTTTCACGACACAAACATTTATCCCAATCGATCTATCCAGCAAAACCTATGCGGGCGGCCAGGAAGAGCCGAGTTTCCTGGTCATAGTTGCCCCGACATTGAAGGGAGAAACTGCATCGGCTACAGATGGATCTGGAAAGACAGTTTCGATCAATGATCCTCCAGATCTGAATAATATCAAGGCATTCATTGCGCGTGGAGGTCAAGCGGTCACCTACGGAGCGGGGACATGGCATGCACCTATGGTAGTCCTGGGTCAGCGCAGGGTGGATTTTGTAGTTGTGCAGTTCGTCAATGGCGTCGACGAGGAGGATTGTCAGGAAGCAGCTTTTAAGGAAGGGGTTATGGTTGAGCTGAGAGCAGATGGGGGCGTTACGAAAGGGCTCTGGCAACCTTCTAAATTATAGAATGTGGGGTCGTCGGATATACATATGAATCGAAATTGTTAATGCGGGGGTTGAGGAATAGACAGACATCAATAGGTCACTATGCTTCTGCACCATTCAATATTCGACATATATATTGAAATCTGTCGGAGCGTGCCTACAGCCAGACCTCTGTCAGGTACACTTCTAGCTCCACCCACAGAGATAAATAAGCTGGGCTAGTTGCTAGAGAATTCAAGATCAGCGAGCTTCGCTCCGGAAAATCGATTAAACCAGCATATACTATCGAGCGATATACGGTCTTGTCTTGTATAATTACCCTACTGGAACGCTCGAATAACTAAACATTTGCGAGTTGGTGGCGTATTGTCCATCAAGTTTTAATTTTGCTTGATAAAGATCCACGGGGATTTATGAGTCATCACAAGGGCCTGTGGCGCAACGGTAGCGCGTTCGACTCCAGATCGAAAGGTTGTTGGTTCAAATCCTGCCGGGCTCATGTGTCTTTCTTTTTCATTTATTGTTTTTTTTTTACGTCTCTCTCAGCTGCTCTTGGCTGAAAAGGTATCCTCGAGAAAGGGCACATGCCTTCGGTTTCCTCGGAAGGGCTGCCTACCAATAGTATTTAAACATTAACTGACCGTGTTCAAGCGCCTACGGGAAATTTACGAAAAATTAAAGCAACCTTCTTTCACTGCTCAGTTCAGCTATACGGGAACGGTTTCCTAGCAGATCCCAAGGTTACAGAGGATATGCCATAAATATGAGTATATATCCTCGATCGATTTTTATTTCCTAGCGCTGGCACTGCGTGCTATTTCATTCCTCGATACCTTCCTTTCTTACTCGCTCCACGCGAAACTTTTTGTCTTGCTAACACGCCGGCAAAAAGGGAAGAGAAAAAAGATCTTTTCTCCTTGCAGCATCATTCTTTCGCAGGAGGGTTTCTTGGATGATATTAGCGAGAAATTATCTTTAAATGACAGGGTGGCCGAGTGGTTATGGCGACAGGCTTAAGTTAAGGATTGGCGTCTTTTGGACGCGGTCTGGAGTCCTGTTGTAGAGATACATCCTGGGTTCGAACCCCAGTCCTGTCATCAGTTTTTATCTCCCTTTGTTAGTTATATCTCGTAGTTTTACCGCGACATGTAAATGTACAATTTTTTTTTTTTGGCTCAATTGTAAGGTAAAGAAGTATTTAACTAATACAGTTCTTAAAGTTGCTATTATTTCGGCTGATGCTTTTCACTATTAGCGCGCCAGCTTCTGCTTCTACTGTTCAGGGTACTGCTACTGATGCCACGGTTGCTTAGGCAAAGCCTACAGAGGCAGGCTTCCATTCATATCTTCAACACCCCCGAGTCAACATCAGATTCATTTTGCTATCTCTTCCATCTACAGATTCTCACGCGATAAAGCTGCCTTCCTTCACTCAGACCATGTTGGCATCGCTTCTGCGGTCTTTACCCCAGCTCGGGCGGAGATGGAAGCCCCTTGATTTCTCCAACCCGAACTTCGTTCGGATACATGAGCATCACAAAATTGAAGAAGAGACCCTCCCAGACTATATTGCTTCCCGGTATTATCCCACTCGAATAGGAGAAGTCATTAGGGAGCGATATCAAGTCGTAGGCAAATTGGGATTTGGATCTACCTCAACTGCCTGGCTTGCACGTGACATGAAGTTAAGATCTCTCTTGATTTATACCAGTACGCTTATGCACTATAATTACAGTGGCCGTCGTTATGTTATGCTCAAAATCTTCATCCAGGCTTCGTCTATGGGCCAGCTAGTGGATAACGAGCTCAAGATGTATAGACGCATGGAGCAATCCCCAAAAGGCCATCCTGGGCGTGATGCTGTTAGAACGCTACTTGATACTTTTTACATCGATGGGCCTGAAGATAAGCATCAATGCCTTGTGCATCCCCTATTATGGGAGAGTGTTTTGACTTTCTTACGCCGCAACCCAGTAGAGAGGCTGCCTTCAGCGGTCGTAGCATACATTCTTCGGCGCCTTTTTTTGGCATTGGATTATCTACATACGGAGTGCCAGATCATACATACTGGTTTGTTGTGTTCCGATTTGTCCTCACCCTACTTCTATAATTTACTCACTCCTTTTTCTATTAGATATAAAGGCTGATAATATCATGCTCGGTATCAACGATGATTCGGTCTTTAGCGACTTCGAGGAGAAGGAGCTTCAACGCCCTGTTCCGAGGAAGGAGGTGGACATGGACGGGAGAACAATCTACATGTCCCGGGATCTCAGAATGCCTAATGATTTGGGTGCCCCAGTCCTATGCGATTTTGGTTCGGCCGTGCTCGGCAACCAATACCACACGGAATTCATTCAACCTAATATCTATCGAGCACCGGAAGTAATTCTAGGAGTTCCATGGACGTATAGCGTCGATGTATGGAACGTGGGGTGCATGGTATGATAAACAGGCTGATTATTATGGTACGAGAATTGCTGAAAACTACAATATAGATTTGGGATATTTACGAAGGCGGTTCCTTGTTCACCGGCCAAGACCCCGAATTTCAGAAGTACCGAAGTCGAGCTCACCTCGCTGATATGATAAATCTTCTTGGTCCCCCGCCGCCTAGTCTTCTTGCCCAAGGGAAGCTAAGAGACAAATTCTTCTCAGGTGAAGGCAAGTCAAGCTTCTTGTTATCTTATCGAGGTCTTACTATCTGGTGAATTTTGGTCCAAATCCGCTAACTATATACGACTCTCTAGGTGATTTCCGCGCTAAAAACCTATTAAAGGATCAAGTTCCACTTGAGGAGCGGGAAACTACACTCGAGGGAGAAGAGGAGAGAGAAGCTTTTTTACGCCTAATGCGAAAAATGCTGCAGTGGGAGCCCGGCAAGCGTAGCTCTGCTAAGGAGCTAGGGGAGGACGAATGGATACACAAGCATTTATAATTAATATTAAGTAACTATGCATCAAGGAATGGAAGCCTAACTACAGAGGCCTTGCAGCTAGGAAGAGAACGAGACAGCGATGCTTCACATCCATCTCAGTTAGCTATAGAACGAAAGAACGCCACCCATTTTCTAGGTTAGTACTACTACTAGGTTTAGTCACCCACGCACAGGATTTTGATATGAGTATGGAAGAAACGAGGTTTCTACTATCGCAATAAGCAGGGCTGTCGGATCCCTACCCTATCTCAAGCGAGCTGTGCGCCCATGGACACGGCGGTTCAGCATATGGATTCTTCTGATTCTGACTCCAGCCCAGTAGCGCAGGAAGCCAAGTGATGTCGTCTCCGTCCAGCCGAGAGTCAGCGCTTTTTGTAACTGCTGGGCTTTGCAGCCGAGCTCATCGTGGAGCCTCTGTATTGTTTTCTAGATATCATTGGCCAAGGAAACCATTTTGGTTGGAGACTCGAACTATTAGTGGCGTAAATGAATTTGTCGTGTCCCTTTCGCGCTTGCGTGTGGAAGGTGTTGCTACCTCTTTAGTTGCAGAGACTTGTTGCGTTATAAAGCAGGGTTTCCTATTACAGTAAACCCTCGCTATAACGAACCTAGCTATAACGAATTTTTCGCTGTAACGAACCGAACAGCGTGTCTAATTCAAACCCCCATACAAAATTCGTTAAATCTGCCCTATAACGAAATTCGGTACAAATCCCTAGCTGGCCGTCATTTTTGTATGGGGGATTCGTTATAACAAGTAACATGTCACGTGTAAAAATCCTTAAATAGCCAATAAAAACCCTTTATTTTCATGTATCTATTACATAATATTGAAAAATTTCTCCCCTTTACCATGATCACATGACGTAAATCACCTTTCCCTAATATTTGATATAACGAATACCACGCTATAACGAATAAAAGTGCCGGTCTGATTCAATTCGTTATAGCTAGGATTTACTGTATCAGTAAGTGTAATCCCAGTATTTCCCCGCGGCAAAGTGAGAATGAAAGCATCGTGTTTCAATAAAATCGTATAATCAGTCAGTAAAACAGCCGAGGAAGGGGGCGAACGAGAGGCTAGACCAGGCTGATCAAGGTCTGACTAAAGACAGCGAATAATCTGGAGCGAAGCTCGCTGAGCTTGGATTCATCTAGCAACTAGCTCAGCCTATTTATCCCTGTGGGCGGAGGAGCTAGAAAGGCGTGGGAGAAACCCGACAGGAGGTCTGCCTGTAGGCAGACTCCGACAAATAACTAAGCCCTAACTATCATCTAGGATCTGAATACAACTAGTTTTCTCGTCATTTTCATTGGACAAGGGTTGAGCAACCCGAGCGCTCCGAGGGTTCGACACATGCAGTAGCAGTATGTATCCTGTATCTATGTCGAACTTGAGCTCTTTCTTGTTATACAATCATTATACCGCTTAGAAAGAGCTTAGAAACACAGTACAACTGCATTATTTACATAGATCGTAGCCATCGGATCCACCCTTCCGCGTCCGGAACCATCCTGATCAGAAAAGGACGCCGCCGATGGAATGCGTCGAAAGAGAAAGCCGAGTTCAGAGTATGATTTTGTAGACCATTAACAAGCAATATGAGGTTTATCTCCGCACCTCCCACGCAGCCCCTGTAGCGCACCTGCTGGATCGAGTATGGCTTACTGCACCGTGGGGTTATTAGATAGTCAGATAGAACTCCTGGTTATTTCCATAGTGCTCCCGAGATTTGATTATTGGGTGGTGTGCAAACCATCTTAGTGACACTCAGTCCGTCACATCAAAGATGGCTGTATTCGAAAGACTTTCACCGACCAGAGAATACAGGCAGGAGCCGAAGCTCTGTGTTAGCTCCACAAGACATCAGATCCTCGTCTTGGTCATCAGACATATCACGTATTGCATAAAACCGGGTCCTATCGAAGGCGCTATCATGAGGAGGTCGACTTGTGATGGCCGTTGGGAAACGCCCAGGATCACCTTATGCATGAGACATTGACACTGACAGTCTGCAATGTGCTATAAAAGGATAGACTAGCCTTGAACTAAGCACCCAGTGAGGCTTGATTCGACATCATCCAATAATTTAGCAGTCATCTATGCGCTAGTTCGTACATGTGCCGCGTTCCCGATGTGCTCACGAATCGGTTCTGCTTTTCTAGCTGTGAGGGGGAAAGCAAGTAGTGACTAGGCGCATTGGCTTTGTCTCCATAAACTGTCGTTAAACAAGAGTATTTCAAATCCAGCTAAAAGTCCGGATACTCAGAGTATCATGGCGATCATTTTCATGCGGATAGGCCCCGTTTCCCCGCATTTCAATCCAAAGCAATTGTCAATGCATCGGAATAATATACTGACACGCAATCGAGATACGCCGATTGGACAAGCATGTAACAGCATTATAGTACAAAAAACTGTCCATCGGACAGAAGTACGACGTAAGGATTGATTATAAATTGCCAGAAGAATACCGGATCTCAAATCGATCTATGACATCTCTCAATAATCCCATCGTCAATAGAACCCGCAATACTAGTTCAACAATGGGTCAATTCTATTCAAGCCAAACAAGGAACAATGTCGACGAGACAAAGTCCCCTAAGTGGGTTCCAGTTCTTGATCAGCCAGTCCATACTCCTCGCAAGATCCGGGTTGTATGCGTCGGAGCCGGAGTTTCTGGCCTCATTCTTGCACACAAGTATAAATATGAACTGAAGATGGACGAGTATGTTGATTTCACGATATACGAGAAGAATCAAGATGTTGGAGGTACTTGGTTTGAGAATCGATACCCCGGTGTCGCGTGCGATGTACGTAAGGCTTCAATTGCGTTCCTCAGAGAGCAAAAAGATAAGCTTACATTCAATAGGTTCCCGCCCATATATATGTGTTTCCGTTTGAACCCAACCCAGATTATAGCTCATTCTATGCTGCCGGTCCAGAGATTTGGGAGTACATCAAACGCACCACGACCAAGTATCACCTTGACGAACACGTGCAGTTCAATTCTAAAGTCATATCCACGGTATGGGATGAGGGTGCAGGCAGCTGGAAGATCAAGGTTCAGCGCCAGGATGGCACAATCATTGAAGATAGTGCAGACGTCCTGGTAAACGCTTCAGGCATCCTGAACAAATGGCGTTGGCCGGATATTAAGGGTCTTCATTCCTTTCGGGGAAAGCTCCTTCATAGTGCTTCCTGGGATTCTTCCCTCGACTGGACTGGAAAACGAGTTGCTATTATCGGGAACGGATCATCGGCCATTCAAATCTTGCCAAAGATGCAGTCTGACGCCAGTAGTATCGTCACATATATCCGCAGCCCAACTTGGATCACGGCAAACTATGCTTCCCAATTTGCGGGGGAAGATGGAAAAAACTTCTTTTATACAGAAGAGCAAAAGAAGAAACTACGCGAAAACCCCGAGGAGCTTTATGAACTACGACATAAGATCGAAACTGCGCTCAACCAGTTCTTCTGGGCTATGATTCAAGATTCTCCACAGCAGGCTGCCTGTCTTGATGCCTTCCAGAGGCAGATGAAGGAAAGAATCGGTGACGACCAAGAGCTACAGGAGAAACTAATTCCGAAGTGGGCAGTAGGCTGTCGCCGTGTGACGCCGGGAGATGGCTATCTAGAGGCACTACGGGAACCTAATGTGACCATCGACAGCAGTGGAATACAGGAAATAACGCCTACTGGTATAATATCAAATTCAAGACAAGATGACTTTGATATTATCGTTTGTGCCACTGGATTCGACGTGAGCTTCTCTCCATTCTGGGAGGTCATCGGGAAAAACGGAATCAGCCTAGCCGAACAATGGAAGGAGGACCCAGAAGCATATTTCGGCATCTGCGCTCCTAATATGCCCAATTATTTCATCTTCCATGGACCAAACTGCCCTATCGGTCACGGAAGCCTAATGTCGGTTATGGACTTTACTGCAGCATGGATCCTAAGGTGGTGTCAAAAGATTGCCACCGAAGGAATCAAGTAGGTCAAATGTTTTATCACGGTCACTGAGCAGGACTGAATGACTAATAATTTATAGATCTATTCAGGTGCGTGCAGATGCCACCGAGGAATACAACATCTATACCCAGGAGTTCATGAAACGTACGGTGTGGACCGGTGGTTGCCGTTCTTGGTATAAGAATAATCAAATAGACGGAAAGGTCACAGCCATGTATGCGGGGAGCATTCTGCACTACAAGGAGATATTGGAGAGCTTCCGGACGGAGGACTTCATCTTTGAATACCGAAGCCGGAATCGTTTCCAGTTCATGGGGAACGGCTTGACAGTAAGAGAAACCACCGGAGGAGATATGGCATATTATTTGCAGAAATGAGCTCTCGGTTCAGATGTCTTACTGCAGAATCAGATGCAGTATTTCGTACATGATGTCATGATAGATACTGGATCAAATGGGAGTTATATATGAGAGTACTTGCCTTGTGAACTCATTTTTAGGGGAAGTGAACAACGTGATCCTAGAAAGACCTGGAGGATACATATACCTTTCTGAAGGAATAACCCAGGATACTTGTAACGGTGGTACCAGCCAACTATTTGACTTGGAGACAAGAGACAGACGCTTTACTCGCCTTTTCCTAATTATGCCCTTGGGAAGTCTCCCACACCAAAGGGCAATCTCCACACTCGCATCTTCCCATCTTGGTCAATGCTTCCAATCAATCCACTGCGATAGAACACCTTAATGGTACTATGCCAATATCCTGGACTCCAAGGTGAGTCCGGCTTCGGACCGAAGTATAGCTCTTGGTTGGTATCAAAATCGTAGATGAGCAATGAAGCATTGCCTGGATTAAAGGCGAGGACTTCCCTGCTCTCCTCCCGGTTGGCAGATTTGATATTGAGCCACCGAATATCATTGATTTCCACAAAGCCGAGCCCGCTATTTTCCTTGTCGATTTGCCAGACTTGTTCGGTCTGTTTCGTATGAATGTTGAAAACCACCAGCTTTCCGTTTCGACCTCCAGCTGCCAGCAGCTTTGAGTCAGGACTCCAGTCAAGAGACCTCACCCACGCAGGAAACCCATTGATCTCGATAGCAGTAGCCTGCGGGTCATTGACTTCCCAGATGAATACTTTACGAGAACCAGTTCCCACAGCGATGAATCGACTGTCAGGGGAGAACGATGCACCCCAATTTTGGCCACCAGTGTGACCGTAACTCCGTAGGAGTGCGCCATTCTCAGCAGAATAGACTTTCAGTGTTTGGTCCCATGATGAGGATGCAATGTGTCTGCCATTGGGGGAATAACCAGCCCATACGATAGCACCAGTGTGTCCCTCTAGACGGAGGAGATTCTTTCGAGAAGCCACGTCGTACACCATAACTTGTTCTTGACGGCCGGCACGTTCATCCGTCGTTACAGATTTATAGAGCAATCTGCACCCATCGGGACTGAAGACCACCGATCCAAATCCCGGAAAAGTAGCCTTAGAGATGAGTGCTTGCCGAGAAGCATTGTGTAAACGCGCTGCCTCTTCGATGGTATTTCTGAAACGAGTCTCCAGAAGTGATACAGCTTCTTCAGATCGTGACCAATTGTCCGACGGGTCCAATGTCGATAACATTTCAAAGGCTCGATCCACAGCTCCCGCTGTGACGAGCTGGACATCTATGGACCTTTGCTTTTCGCGAGATCCACCGTTCGCGTTAAGGTACCAGATGACAATAAGAGGTTCGCTCCGAACAGTCGATGAGGTATCTGAGACGAGCATATAGCCACCGTGACGTGATGAAAACCCTTCCGGTGCAAACTGAATATAGCCAACCTCCGCTACAGGACCTCGCAGTATCTCAATGACTGTGAATGTCGCTACATCGTATATAAGAATGTCCTGCCCAACTCCGAGAGCTAGGAATTTCTCATCATGGGTTAGAGAAGCGGAATTGATACGCTTGTCGAAGGCAAACGTTTTCAGTTCTTCCCCCCACTGCTTTGGATGACCGGAGCTGAAAGTCGCGGACTCGCCCTCTTTCTGGAAATTCGAGAGTAGCACAGGAGGTGAGAGTGCTCCTTGTATTTGCACGGGCATGGCGACTGGGCTAGGAGATCTGGCTATGGCGGGTATGCCCACAGACGAGCTCTGAAGACCCGTCAATCGGTGCGAAAGATGATCTTATAAGGTTTCCTCTTGAATTGAAGAACGCTCATTTCTACCCTGGCTGATCTGCGCTAAAAGCATGTCACTCCAGCTCAGCTTGCTTGCCAATCAACGTATATTTTGCAGTCCGCCCGCCCACTATTCTCTGGTTAAATGCTATTGGAATGCCGGAGTATCGTTGCAAGGAACATTAAGTGGACCAGCAGGACCAAAGATCTACCGTTTTCGAGGTATGTCATATACATCCCGGGAGAAGTCAAGATTCATGCGGTCAGCCCCACGACCAACTTGGTCCCTGTTGCCTGCAGCCGTGAGATTGAGTAATATATTTCAATGATCAGTCACCACGTGTGTAGATTTAGCGGTCTCTACCAACACCGCCTCGGATATTCAATACTGGACATAATTTTTACCATACACGGAATTTAAACAGCGAAGCTGAGTACCGGTGGCGTTGCATACAGGCAGATGATAGGGATCTCGCTTATGAACCGGGTCCTCTCCACCTTTGAGAGCGGGGAGCCGATGATCGCGGGATTTAGTGTATTCGAATGTGGATATTGAGTCATAGCAACATCTGTTAACTATTCTGTCCGGGAACGTCTGTCGTTAATCGAAAGACCCAGGCCATTAAAAGGAAGAAAAGGGGAAAAAAGAAAACGCACTTGAAATATAAAACATGGAGCCTCGAGTCGGGGTAGGCGTGTTTGTCATCAACAGGGACGGAAAATTTGTTCTAGGGGTAAGGAAAGGCAGCACTGGTTCAGGTACGAACGACTATTCCAGGCCCATGGTTTGCCACTGCTGGATTTCTTACAATTCAAAATAGGGACGTGGGCTCTCCCCGGGGGACACCTTGAGTTTGGGGAGACATTCGAAGAATGTGCTGCTCGTGAGATCCTTGAAGAAACAGGGCTTGCTCTGAAAGACCTACAGTTTTTAACTGCAACGAACAATGTAATGAAGGCGGAGAACAAGCATTATATCACGGTTTTTATGGGCGCTACTGTTGTTGGAGACAATCCGAAGCCACAGGTTAGTCACTTACATAACCTAACTGTACATTCTGCGCCTCTATTAACAATGGCAACCACGATTTTCATGTAACTTAATTCATCTGCTTACATATTTTGTATTAGTTGCTGGAGCCAGAAAAGTGCGAAGGGTGGGAATGGGCATCGTGGGATGATATCTGCTCTATGCACGAAGCGGAAGCTCGGGCTGCGGACAGTCAGAACTACGAGGGAAAGCGGTTATTTCTCCCTCTCACGAGTATCTTTCAACAGAGACCCGGGTTTAATCCTATACAGCAATACTTAACTAGGCAAGGGAATTGACCCATTGACGAGTCTGCGATTGAACTTATATCAAGGATAAGACACGCGATTGTCTTCCTATTTCGTTCTTCGTCATATCTTCTGGAGCGAAGCTCGCTGAGCTTGAATTCTCTAGCAACTAGCTCAGCCTATTTATCTCTGTGGATGAAGCTAGAAAGGCGTGGAAGAAACCCGACAAGAGGACTGCCTGTAGCCAGGCTCCGACATATCTCACTACTACTTTGATAAACTCTTCCTTACGAGATTAGACCTTCCATATTCAGTTTTCTATACCTGTACATAGACTGTTTTCTGAGGAGAGGCTTTGTCTATTAATAGATCCAAATAGATAATTACACGCCATACCTGTCCCGAAGCACGCCATATGCAGTGCATGTCCTTATTCTATCATGCAGTGATTAGTATATAGCTATAGCGTCGGCTCCAAGCGTCGTTCCGTATCACTGTAATATCTAGGAAATTTGTTAGCATTGCCACAATGTCCACAGACAGCCGACCTCTCCGAATCGCAATCATCGGTGGTGGACCCGGTGGTCTTGGTGCTGCCATTGCTCTGTCTACGCTTCCAAATGTTGAGTTGACCCTCTATGAGCAGGCTCATGAGCTTCGGGAGATAGGAGCAGGAATTCGAATCGGGTACAATTGCTGGCGCGTTCTTGAGCTATTAGGTGTGGATGCAGACGTTAAAGGGCATTTGAAGTCAGAAGTCATTCACCGGTGAGATTGATACATCCTTGCTCGTATATTTATATACGGGATAAACAGATGATCCATACCAATAGCTGTCATGCAACCTATCGACACAGTTGAAATCTTGGTAATGTAACAAGTGATAACATCCATGACTAGAAACGGCCTGAGCGGGCAGCTCCTGAAACAAACGAGCCCATCTCCTCTGCTGCCGCTGAAGTACCACCCTCGCAGAGTAAGGAGAACGCGACTCCAGGGTGCACTACTCAAGCATGTCCCACGAGGCATTATTCATTTGAGTAAACGGCTGGTATCGCTGGAGAATCTCCAAAATGGCGTGCGCTTGCTCTTCGAAGATAAGACGTCCGCCACAGCCGACCTTGTAATTGGAGCTGACGGTATCAGATCTGTTAGTGAATCCCATGCCGATGTTTTTAGATCTATCAAGAGCTGACATATCGTGTTGGATTAGGTGGTACGAGAGCATGCATTTCCAGATCATAAGATAAAGTTCACAGGTTTGTCGCATACTCGGTCCGACATCATGGCCTTCAAATGACCCTAAAAAATACCAGGAACTACAGTCTGGCGCGTTCTTATCCCTAAAAGTTCAATCTCCCACATCCCTGACGTGAGTGAGTCAACATCCTGGTGGCATGGTCCCTCTGGCCATGCGTATTTTTCACCAGTCGATGACCCCTCAGAAACTGCTCCGGAGGACGAGAAGTTCGAGATATCAGTTAGATACGTGGTAGACCCAGAGATGGATAAGGAAAGGCGTTTTAGCTGGGGAATTCCAGCGACAAACGAACGGGTCGCGGCTCATTTCACGGTATGTAGATGAGTCTGTTGCTATTCGCTTTCCTTTATGTAGCCATACCTACGTTCTACTGACAATATCTGGATACTATTGGACTAGAATTACGACAAGCGAGTTCGGGAAACTCTGGCGCAAGTTCCTCGGGGCGAGTGGAAGGAATTTGCTGCGTTTGCGGGACCTAGACTGAAGACACTCACGAAATGGGATAAGATTGTTCTAATTGGGGACGCAAGTCATCCACTGTCTGGTAAGTTCTATGATGATGTTACGATAGAACACAGTAAAGAACAACTGATCTCATAATGTTACTCTTTTACAGGCGCCTTCGGTTCGGGGGCAGCTTTCGCTCTTGAAGACGGTTGGATCCTTGCCCGCACCCTGAAACACACGAATGCGACCTTGCAGCCTTCGCAGGAGTCACTTGGAGAAGCTTTATCGATCTTTGATGCGTTGAGGTCCCCTTATTATCTTCGAATGTGAGCATCTATACCCTTCAGTCGTATATACATATATATATTAGTACCCTTCTACGCGACAAAAGAACTACATGTTGACCTCTTGCCCTAGGTACGATCATCTGGACGGTCAAAAGCAAAAAGTGCAAGATGCGAAGGCCAAGTCAGATAGTTTTGAATACATTCTTCAAGCGAGAGTAGAATCCTTCGAAGCTGGTAAAGAAATGGACTGGATTTACGGAAATGATATCGAACAAGTATGGAGAGAATGGTTGGACAATCAGAACTCGGATAAGAAAGGTAATAGGATTAGTCCTAGCCTTTAATGGCGCAACTAAACCTGCCATTCACTTACGTCTTGAAAAAGAACATCGTTATCTAGAATGTCGTTGACGAGTTATTTGTAGAATGTTTCATTCTCGATTGAGGCATACAAACCAAGCTCCGAATAAGTAAATTGCAATTTGTGATTTACTCGTAATATTATATGCACCAGCAACCATATGTAGGCCGCCAGTTAGGAAAGCTAAAGCTTGCATTCCTCAATTTTGAATAGCCAGTCCTTTAAGTGTCCTGTGGTAGAGAGGGAATATTTAAAGTACCTCAATGGTGTTTTTGCCCCCTTTAGGTGCAAAGTGACTCTATTATACAGGGAAAGTTAAGACCTCTAAAGAACAGTGAATGGAGAATAGATGTGCGGTCAAATACAGGGACTCAGCAGACCAGCCGCTGATTTGCTCCCATGGTAAGACCCGAAAGTAAAATCTAGATACATTGAGCCGAACGTACGCCCTGAAACCCGGGTCTATTTGCCCGCATATCGTGCAGCACGTCTCTTGCCACGTCGATCGCCTCAACTGGCAAGCCCGCCAGGCTGGCAACCTTCAGGGCGTGGGATTCCCTGTTGACTCCTCTCCGCAACCGGTGAACAAACGAAAAGCTCCCGGAAGGTGTTTCTTTGATATCGGTGCAGTATGTCCCCAGCTTCTCGTAATCGCGCGTCATATCTGCTAGTGCATGGAAGTGAGTGGCGAACAGGGTTCGGCAGCGATTTACATGATAGAGATGATGTAGGCAAGCAAAAGCAATAGCGGTGCCATCTTCAGGCGTGGTCCCTCGGCCTACCTCGTCCATAATGACAAAGGAACTAGGCGTCGCCTGTTTCAAGATTGCAGCGGTCTCCAACATCTCGACCATGAAGGTCGATTGGTCACGGAAAAGGTCATCTGCCGCACCGGTACGGCTGAATATCTGATCAACAACTCCGATTTCTGCATACTCAGCAGGAACAAAGGATCCGACTTGCGCGAGAATAGTGATCAGCGCATTCTGTCGTAAAAAAGTGCTCTTGCCCGCCATATTGGGGCCAGTGATCAGCCAAATACGTTCTTCTTCTCCGAGAAAGCAGTCGTTGCTGACAAACCGGTGACCTTGCTCCTCAAGCCCAAGTTTGACAGTCGGATGTCTCCCGCCGACAATCTTGTGGGCAGTGCCTCTGTTCAGAATCGGTCTCACCATCCGCTGTTCTTGCGCCAGAATAGCGAATGAGCACGCAACATCTAGTTCATCCATAACAGCAGCATTCCGGCGTATCTTGACAAGGTTTAATATTATGCCTCGTCGTAAGTCTTCAAAGATTCGCTGTTCTTCCTGGCGAATTTGTACCTTGGCCTGGTCTATCCTTGTTCCTAAGTCGGACCACACAGGTAGATAGAATGACCGCGTTGATTTGGTTGAAGAGACAGACCGCGTCACGCCCAACTCTTCAAGTTCTGATTGGGAGATTTTCCCTCCCTTGATATGGCAAATATACCCAAGCCCGGGTGTCCATTTTAGCGAGAGAGTATTGGATCCAACTGCATCTCGGAGACGTTGCGTCAGCGCAGACTTTTCGTCCAAGAGGCTTTCGAGATTCCCATGCAATTTTCGAAGAGTTTCACTGGCATCACGGCGCATGATCCAGGTATCATAATCCGCAGAGTCCGACTCCGGGGAAACTCCTGTCTTGCCGGTGTTCTTTGAACGGACCTTTCTGGGCATGGAATCGATCTCCTCGGGCAACCCTTCACTAATGATTACCTCCTGCGCTAATTGCACAGCGTCTGCAGCGGTGCTATCCTCAATGCGATGTTTCTGCATGAGACCTTCTTCATCGATTGCTTCAAGTATCTTGTCTGCGAGAGCCGTCGGCCCATCAAGATATAGACGATTGATCATGATGCCCAAGGAGGTGCTCAATTTAGTCGTCTTGTCTGCAGCTCCTTGGTTTGAATTGGCAGCCATTGTGTCTGACAAGACCCGTCTGATCTCCTGCGAGGCCTGAATTGCCCTAGCCAGACAAATGAGGTCATCCGGATCACCTCTACCGAGCGAGAACTTTTGGACAAGTCTTTGTGCATCATAACTACGCTTTAGCAATTGTACGACGTCGTCACGTAGAACTTCATCTTCGACAAATTGTGCCACAAGGTCGAGGCGCTCATTGATTTCGTCAATTGATGAGGATGGCGAAGCTGTGTGGCTTGTTAGCTTTAACTGTGCCATAATCTGTACAGTGACAGTCAAGCAAAGACATACTCAACCTGTCTCTTAAAAGACGTGTCCCGCTCTTGGTGGAGGTCCGTCCTACTGCGTGGAGAAGACTGCCCTTTCCAAACCCGTCACGAGCAGTCTCCAAGATCTCGAGACCCCTGAGACTATTGCGATCGATGCTCATGGACCTGTCCAGATGTCTGCGACGAGGGGGCTGCAGCTTCATGTTAATGCCCTGCAACTGGTGGCGAACATACTCTAATAAAGAATAGCCGGCGGCAGTTTCCTCCGTTGTAAACAATGACTCCTCGCTGGAGGAGACTGGTGCTTCTAGCATTGGACTCCATTCCGACATTGGGCTGATCTCTTTAGGACCCTTGAAGAACGTCAGAAGACGGTGGTCTTGACCAACCAGCAATTGTAGCTCCTGTCCCACTAGATCCCGAATTTCTTCGTCAACAACTATCTCGCGCGCCCCGATCCTAGCGATGGCTGAAGACAGCATTTGAGGGGTAGTGGGCTGGGTGAAGAAGTCACCGGTTGAGAGGTCTAACCAGGCAAGGCCTACACGCTGAGAGGAGGAGAGCAATAAATGTTGATTGGACGCGTCGCCTACTTCCGTCATACCAGCCTTTAACGAAGGGGCATCGATATGTATAGACAACAAAAAGTTATTCTCAGATGGATCCATGAATTTCTCGTCAATCAACGTCCCCGGTGTTATGACCCTCGCGACCTTCCGTTGGAACATGAGGCCTCCTGACCGCGCTCTATCCTCTGCATCATTGGCGAACTCTTCACTGATGGCGACATATTTGTTCAGGTCTTGTACGAGGATCTTCAGGAAGCGGTCCAGTTGGAAGTAGGGAAAACCAGCCATCGCAACGGGACCTGCGCTGGTCTTTTTCGTTGCCAATTTCAGATTCAACAAGGGCGCGAACTCTTCTGCTTGCTCGAGGTACAACTTCGAATATGTTAACCGCAGTAACTAAGGCTCCGCATCAATTCATTTTACCTCGTAGAAGTTGCCCACCCTTGTCAGAATAACACAGTTCTTGAATTTCAGCATATTATCCCTATGGCCCCGTACCACCATTGGGTACTGGGGACCGTCGTCAGCACCATCATCGTATGCATCCAGCTTCAAGGCGCCCTGGGGCAGATCCTTGAGCTTCGTGGAAGTCTTTGTCTTGGCTCCTCGATGGAGCTCCCATTGAGCTCTGCGATATGGAGTCGGGCGACGCGCATTGTTACAGAGCGCGCGAAGCTGTGGTCTGCCATGAGCAACGGGCGGCTGTAAATTAGCACGTCCCAAACGGAGGGGAATCACTGCGCGTGTCTGCAAACTCTGGATGCGCATCCTTCAGCATCTTGCGTGGTTGTTGTGGTTGAACCAAGTTCTTCTTCTCCTTGGGGCTCGTGGCGGGCAGAACCAAAGCTCCCTCGCCAAACCTTCCCGCCTTCGCCACATCTCCATCTCCGAACACCGCAGAGCTTTCAGAGATTCCAACTCCAACTCCTGCTGCCAGCAAGTCATCCTACAACTCGCAGCCCTTGCACGACTGGCTGTTTTTGACCTGTTTCTCGGGAGGATGAGTCAGGTCTGTTGAAATCCTGAGGATAACATTACTACTTCGTTCTTCGTGTCACAGGGTGTCGACGCGCCTGTTGATGCAGAGCTCGATCTGAGCTGGTGACGGTCTTCATATCGATCGCCACGACGCTCGACGAACAACCCGCCCAGACAGAAATTGGTGCAGTCAGTCAAGATGACGGACCCAAATCATGTCGCGCAGTACAAGTACTCGGCGATGTCCAACCTGGTTCTCCAGGCGGACCGCCGTTTTGTCACTCGTCGGACGGATGAGGTGACTGGAGATCCTGAGTCCCTTGCCGGTCGCATCAACATCAGAGATATGGGTGCACGAGTCGCCCGAGACACAGCGCCAAAAAGCAAGAAGACGGCAGCAGTCCCGAGCACCGTCGAGAGGGGCTCAATTCGAGAAGGTGAAGATGTGCTCGAGAGGGAACAGAAGAAGCGAAAACGCGGTGAGCCCGCCCAGCTACGAGGCGCTGGGATTTTGTCTGCGGCAGATGCTTTGATTGAAGGATTGAAATATCGACCACGGACACCAGCGACAAGAGCTACCTACGATCTCATTCTTACGATGACCGCGAGCCATCTTGGCGACGTCCCACACGAGGTCGTTCGGAGCGCAGCAGATGCGGTACTCGAGATGTTGAAGGACGAAGATATGAAGGACTTCGACAAGAAGAAGGAAATCGATGACTTGCTGGGGACCACAATGAGCGCCAAGGAGTTCAACGAGTTGGTGAACTTGGGCAAGAAGATTACCGATTATGATGCTCAGGATGAGGATGAGGAAATGGAAGAAGGAGCTGGTGAAGGAGGGGAGGAACTGGATGAAAGGCAAGGTGTTGCCGTCGTTTTCGATGAGGAGGAAGAAGACGAGGACGGCGTTGCCGCGGTTAACGAAGTCCCCGACGAGGATGAGATGACTGATGAAGAGGATGATTTTGAAGACAGACCTGGCGCCGAAGAAGCTGCTACAGCTGGAGCCCCGGCTGCTGAGGTACCTGATCTTTCTGATGCGGAGGAGATGATACTGGATGGAGGCCTTCGAACGGATAGACGACGGGATAAAGCTGCATCCAACATCGTTCCCGCACGCGAGATTGACGCCTACTGGCTCCAGCGACAAATCGGTACTATCTACTCGGATGCACACATCCAGCACGAGAAAGCACGGGATGCATTCGCGATTCTCGGTGACAAGCTGGAGGACGGGACAGAGCGCCCTCTTCGCGATGTCGAGAACGATCTCATGGAACTCTTCGACTACGAAAACCCTGAGCTGGTCGCTAAGCTAGTAACTAATCGGAACAAGATCGTTTGGGCCACTCGCTGGAGGAGAGTTGCTGAAGACGATGATGCCCGCAGCGCGATCGAAAAGGAAATGATTGAGACCGGCCATCGTGCTATCTTGGACGAACTTCGTGGGAAAGCAGCACCAGAAGATACTGCGGAGCGACCTGGAAAGAAGATCAAGGTAGACTTGATGGACGTTGACGTTCCGTCTGGCCCAGCTGCCGAGGAAAAGCCCAAAGAGGGCTTGGTTGGAGGTCTGCAGCCGCGAAGGGTTATCAATCTCGAGAACCTCGTATTCGAACAGGGAAATCATCTTATGACAAATCCAAATGTCAAGCTCCCGCAGGGCTCTACCAAGCGTACTTTCAAGGGCTATGAGGAAATCCACGTACCGGCCCCCAAGCCAAGGAGAGACCCTGGAGAGAAGAACATTCCCACCTCAGAACTGCCTGACTGGGCTCGCATTGGTTTTGGATCTTCAAAGGAACTGAACCGGATCCAAACCAAATGTTATCCCACTGCGTTCCATGACGATGGAAACATGCTTGTCTGTGCTCCCACGGGTTCCGGAAAGACGAATGTGGCAATGCTTACTATTCTGCGCGAGATCGGAAAGAATCGCAATCCTGAGACAGGCGAGATCATGCTCGATGACTTCAAGATCGTGTACATCGCTCCCTTGAAGGCGTTGGTGCAGGAGCAAGTAGGTAACTTCGGTAAACGACTGGAACCGTATGGCATCAGGGTGTCCGAGCTCACCGGTGACCGTCAACTTACGAAGCAACAAATCGCGGATACCCAGATTATTATCACCACACCGGAAAAATGGGATGTCATTACGCGAAAGGCCAGTGACACCAGCTATACGAGACTGGTCAGACTGATCATTATCGACGAGATCCATCTTCTCCACGATGATCGTGGTCCTGTCCTCGAGAGCATCGTGAGCAGGACAATTAGACGTATTGAGCAGACCGGAGAACCAGTTCGTATTGTCGGTCTGAGTGCTACGCTGCCGAATTACCGTGATGTCGGCACATTCTTGCGTGTCGATCCAATCAAGGGCTTGTTCCATTTCGATGGGTCATATCGACCATGTCCCTTGAAGCAGGAGTTCATTGGTATTACAGACAAGAAAGCAATCAAACAGCTCAAGACAATGAACGATGTCTGTTACACTAAGGTTCTGGAACAGGTCGGACAGCAGAGAAACCAGATGCTGATCTTCGTCCACTCGCGGAAGGAGACCGCCAAGACCGCCAAATATATCAGAGACAAGGCTGTTGAGATGGAGACTATCGGACAGATTCTTCGTACTGACGCTGCCAGCAGGGCTATCCTTGCAGAGGAAGCTGAGTCCGTGGATGACCCAGCTTTGAAAGATGTCTTGCCCTATGGATTTGGCATTCACCACGCTGGAATGAGTTTGGCGGACCGTGACTCTGTCCAGGCGCTGTTTGCAGATGGTAGCATTCAGGTGCTTGTTTGTACAGCGACACTTGCCTGGGGAGTCAACCTCCCGGCCCATACTGTTATCATTAAGGGCACTCAGGTCTACTCTCCCGAAAAGGGAAGCTGGGTGGAGCTCAGCCCTCAGGATGTTCTCCAGATGTTGGGACGTGCCGGTCGTCCTCAATACGATACTTTCGGTGAAGGCATCATCATTACCTCGCAGGGAGAATTGCAATACTACCTCTCCCTACTGAATCAGCAGCTACCTATCGAGAGTCAGCTGATGAGTAAACTTTCTGACAACCTCAACGCCGAAATAGTCTTGGGCAACGTCCGGAATCGTGACGAAGGTGTAGAGTGGCTTGGTTATACCTACCTTTTTGTCAGAATGCTTCGTTCTCCGGGTCTGTACAGTGTTGGTGCCGACTATGAGCATGATGAGGCACTCGAGCAGAAACGTGTCGATCTCATACATTCTGCTGCTGTGGTGCTGGAGAAAGCAGGATTGGTCAAATACGAGAAGAAGACAGGCAAGCTGCAGGCCACTGAGCTTGGCCGAATTGCCTCTCACTACTATATTTCTCACAACTCGATGTTGACCTATAACCACCATCTGCAGCCCATGATTGGTACCATCGAACTTTTCCGTATTTTCGCACTCAGTGATGAATTCAAGTACATCCCAGTGCGTCAGGACGAGAAGCTCGAACTGGCCAAGATGTTGGGACGCGTTCCTATTCCCGTGAAGGAAAGCATCGAGGAGCCACATGCCAAGATCAATGTTCTCTTGCAGGCATATATCTCCCGTCTTAAGTTGGAGGGTCTTGCCCTGATGGCGGATATGGTTTATGTCACCCAGTCCGCTGGACGTATCCTCCGAGCGATATTTGAGATCACATTGAAGAAGGGATGGGCCTCCGTGGCCAAGACTGCGCTTGATCTGTGCAAGATGGCAGAGAAGCGGATGTGGCCTACGATGACACCGCTGCGCCAGTTCTCCTCGTGTCCCAGAGAGATTGTGCAGAAGGCCGAAAGGATCGATGTTCCCTGGTCAAGCTATTTTGACCTCGATCCTCCCCGAATGGGCGAACTCTTGGGCATTCCAAAGGCTGGCCGAACGGTTTGCGACCTTGTCTCGAAATTCCCACGTCTGGATGTGCAGGCTCAGGTACAGCCCATAACGAGGTCTATGCTACGAGTCGAACTTGCCATAACACCCAACTTCGTATGGGACGACGCTCTCCACGGCGTGGCGGAGAGTTTCTGGATCGTCGTCGAGGACTGTGACGGAGAGGAGATCCTGTTCCATGACCAGTTCATTCTGCGCAGGGAATATGCGCAAAGCGAGATGAATGAGCATCTGGTTGAGTTTACGGTCCCAATCACTGAACCGATGCCCCCTAACTACTTCATCTCTCTCATCTCCGATCGCTGGATGCATGCGGAGACCAAGATAGCCGTCTCCTTCCAGAAGCTCATCCTGCCGGAACGTTTCCCACCTCATACACCACTGCTGGACATGCAGAGAGTGCCCGTCAAGGCCCTTAAACCGGAAGAGTACCAGCAACTGTATCCTGACTGGGACTATTTCAACAAGGTCCAGACGCAAGTGTTCAAGTCTCTGTTCGATAGTGATAACAACGTGTTTATTGGAGCGCCTACTGGCACCGGCAAGACGGTGTGCGCCGAGTTTGCCCTCCTTCGTCACTGGTCTCAAGAAAACAGTGGACGAGCGGTATATATTGCTCCCTTCCAGGAACTCGTCGACCAGCGATATGCGGACTGGGAGAAACGACTCAGCAAGCTCCGTGGAGGGAAGAAGATAGTGAAGCTTACTGGTGAGACGACTGCCGATCTGAAGCTCCTGGAACGGGCCGATCTCGTTCTTGCCACTCCTGCCCAGTGGGACGTCTTATCTCGACAGTGGCAGAGGCGAAAGAATGTGCAAACCGTCCGCCTCTTCATTGCTGATGAACTCCACATGCTTGGCGGCTATGGCGGTTTTGTTTACGAGATTGTTGTATCCCGTATGCATTACATCGCTCTTCAAACAGAGAATGATATGCGCCTTGTGGGCTTAAGTGTGCCCCTCTCCAACGCCCGCGACATTGGTGAGTGGATTGGTGCCAGCAAGCACACTATCTATAATTTCAGTCCTCATGTCCGGCCGGTCCCTCTGGAGCTGCACATCCAGTCCTTCAACATCCCTCACTTCCCTTCGCTCATGCTGGCGATGGCCAAGCCCGCCTACGCCTCGATCCTGCAGCTTTCACCTGACAAGCCAGCCCTGGTTTTCGTCCCGAATCGCAAACAGACTCGAGCAACAGCAGTCGATCTGTTGGCTGCTTGCGCTTCGGACGATAACGAGGACCGGTTCCTACATGCGGATGTTAACGAACTAGCGCCTCTATTGAACCGGATACATGAACAGGCTTTGGCTGAATCTATCTCTCATGGTATTGGATATTACCATGAGGCACTGAGCGCAAGCGACAAGCGGATTGTCAGTCATCTTTTCTCTATCGGTGCGATTCAGGTGATGCTTGCTTCCAGAGACGTCTGCTGGGAGATCAACCTGACTGCCCATCTTGTTATCGTCATGGGTACCCAGTTCTTCGAGGGCCGGGAACACCGTTACATCGACTACCCTATCAGCGAGATTCTCCAAATGTTCGGTAAGGCTTCCCGCCCAATGGAAGACAAGATTGGTCGTGGTGTCCTTATGGTCCCTGCCGTCAAACGGGACTACTACAAGAAATTCCTTAATGAAGCGTTGCCCATCGAGAGTCATCTTCAGAGCTATCTGCATGATGCGTTCGTTACCGAGATCAGCACCAAGACTATTGCGTCTACCCAAGATGCAGTCGACTGGATGACATACACTTATTTCTACCGACGTCTTCTCGCGAACCCAAGTTTCTACGGTCTCACGGATGTCAGCCACGAAGGCTTGAGCACGTTCCTGTCCGAGATGGTTGAGAATACGCTCAAGGAGTTGTCCGATGCCAAGATAATTGATCTGGATGAGGAAGACGACAGCATCTCTCCGCTGAACGCCGCGATGATTGCGGCTTACTACAACATCTCCTTCATCACTATGCAGACGTTCCTGTTGTCTCTCACTGCTCGTACCAAGCTGAAGGGTATTCTGGAGATCGTCACGTCAGCGACGGAGTTCGAGTCTATCCAGATCCGACGCCATGAAGACCACGTCTTGCGTCGTGTATATGACCGCGTCCCGGTGAAGATGGCACAGCCAGCGTACGACTCGCCGCATTTCAAGGCGTTCGTGCTGCTCCAGGCGCACTTTTCGCGCATGCAGCTGCCGATCGATTTGGCTAAAGATCAGGAGGTCATTGTCAGCAAGGTTCTGAATCTTCTTAGCGCATGCGTTGATGTGCTCTCTTCCGAGGGTCATCTCAACGCCATGAACGCCATGGAGATGTCGCAGATGGTTGTCCAAGCTATGTGGGACCGCGACAGTCCTCTCAAGCAGATTCCTCACTTTACGCCCGAAGTTATCAAGGTGGCAAATGAATACAACATCAAAGACATCTTTGAGTTTATGGAAGCCATGGATCCCTCCGAGAACAAGGACTACGCGACTCTGGTCAAGCGTTTGGGACTTGACAACAAGCAGCTTGCGCAAGCCGCGGCTTTCACTAACGACAAGTACCCCAACCTTGACCTGGACTTCCAGGTGGAAGATCCGGAGAACGTCACGGCTGGTGAGCCCGCTTATCTCAAGATTAAGATCGAGCGTGATGTGGAGGAGGACCAGGAGCCGGACACTACTGTCCACGCTCCATTCTACCCTAACGAGAAGATGGAGAACTGGTGGCTCGTCGTTGGAGAGGAGAAGACCAGGAATCTGCTGGCCATCAAACGCGTTACTATCGGCCGCAAGCTGGAGATGCGCCTGGAATACGTGGTTCCCACTCCTGGTGAGCACGAGCTAACGCTGTATCTGATGAGTGACAGCTATGTGGGCGTTGACCAAGACCCCACTTTCACTGTCACGGCGGCTGAGGGCATGGATGAGGACGAGAGCGAAGAGGAAGAGGAAGAGGAGTGAATGTTGTCTGTTCTCATTTGCGACTGGTTATAGGGTATCTGTGTATTGTAATTCTAAACGCTGCTGTACGATGTCAGGGGTTGGCATTTATGATTGTTTCGAAATTTCCCAAGATGCTTAGAATAGTTTAAAAAAATCGCCTTCAATTTCAAAAGGGGTGCCGGGGCCATCTCACAGTTCATCTCGTAGTCCCGTCGATTCAGCGTACTTGTTAGTATCTGCTATTATGTGAATTGGATTAAATCCAATAGAGGAATGGCCGATGGAGTCTCCGACTAGGTACGATCACCGAGATCCGCAGCGGGGCAAGACGGCGCAACTCACATAACGATATCCCAGGCCCTAACTAACGCTGGTCATCGCAAAGCTGGTCGTCGAAGGCGGGCATTCAACAGGGCATTCATTCATTCTACTCCGCAGTGGCATCGAAGGACCTGGTGGACACTCTTGGCTACTACTAGGTACTTAGCCCGACCCCAGCCTCCGCCACGTACTGTATCAGCTGTTCGACCCTCGCAGATCGCCAGGTTAACTTACTTACTTATTGACAGTACATCTTCCTCGCGGCTGGCTTCGCTTTCCCCCCAATTCTTCGCTTTCAATTCTGGAGAGGCTCGATTCAAAACAGAATGACGATTCGTGCGGTAAAGTTCTCGCCCGAGTAAGGCACCACCGTCAGCGTCTGATCTGGAAGCTTACTAACGGGCGTCGACAGGGTCCTCCTCGAAGCTCCAAGACGCTCTGCCGCTGTCCCCAACGCTACTGGAAGTCTGGCAGTCTACACGCAAACCACGTACTCGTTCGAATCGCATTCGAGAACCAGTGAAATCCGTGTCATCGATATCGCCACTGGACAATCGTACCTGATCACAAACGACACTGCCGCAAGCAACCCATGTTGGCTGGGTGATACTGATCAGTTGGTCTGGTTGAAGGAGAAGGAGAATGGCAACACGAGCTTTATTATCGGTGACGCGTACAAGGTCGGGGAGACCTATACCGCAGGCACGGTTCCGGGTCCTGTGTCGGATCTGAAGCTCACCACGATCAAGGACGGCAAGATTGGATTCGCGGTCTCTGGAAAGGCGAACCCGGATGGGACGCTGTACAACCCGAAGGATGCGAAGAAGCCACACAGCACGGGGAGACTATATACCTCTCTTTTTGTGCGGCATTGGGATTCATACGTTGAGCCGCAGAAGAATGCCATCTGGTATGGTTTGTTGCAGAGAGCACCGGATTCTCCAGCCAGTAGGCAATCTGGGAAATACTCCGTGTCTGGCCTGACGAACTTGATAACTATTTCTGGCTTGACGGGTGTCGAATCACCCATCCCGCCCTTTGGTGGTGCTGGAGACTTCGACATCAGCCCGACCGCCATCGTGTTTGTCGCGAAGGACCCAGATCTTAATCCGGCCACTCACACCTCGTGCATCCTTTACTATTGCCCTATGTTTTCGTGGACAGATATCAGCGTCCGGGAGGCCAAGGTTACCAAAGTGACCTCACTGCAGGGTGCCATGTCGTCTCCCGTTCTCACGAAGGATGGAGGATCCATTGCATTCTTGGCTATGAGAGAGGATGGTTATGAATCGGACAAAAACAGGATCGTCTACGTGCCAAACCCGTGGGAGGGGCGACTAATCGAAATCTTCGAGTCTAGGGATGGAGAGGGTCTCTGGAATCTCAGCCCCAATACAATCTCATTTTCTTACGACGACGAGTCTTTGCTCATCCAAGTCGAGGAAACGGGTCGCGGAGTCCTCTATAGCCTTCCAATGGAGGACATTGAGCGTGCTACTCCTGCTGCGCTAACAAAGTTAACGTATTCTGGATACGTGACAGACGTTGTGCCTGCGGCGAAGAACTCTCCAGCTCTTTTCATCACGAGCAACAGCCTTGTCGAGAGCTGTCTCTACACCATCCTTGACCCGGGCACTCCGGACGATGTCAAGATCGTCTCGTCTAGCAGTCAGTCTGGCTTGACACTTGGCCTATCAAGTAACCAGGTGGACGAAATTTGGTTCGCGGGAGCCAATGATCATCCTGTCCATGCGTGGGTGGTCAAGCCGTCTACATTTGATCCGAAGAAAAAGTACCCTCTTGCTTATCTGATCCACGGAGGCCCGCAAGGAGCATGGAACGACCAGTGGAGCACGCGCTGGAATCCGGCTGTCTTCGCGGAGCAGGGTTACGTTGTCATCACGCCTAACCCAACCGGAAGCACTGGCTATGGACAGCCCTTCACAGATGCGATCCGGGGTTCTTGGGGCGGGCTGCCTTACATTGATATCCAGAAAGGATTTGAGTACATCGAGAACAACCTTCCGTACGTCGATACTGACAGAGCCGTTGCACTCGGTGCATCTTACGGAGGATACATGATGAACTGGATCCAAGGACATTCCCTTGGTCGCAAGTTCAAGGCCCTCGTCACCCACGACGGAGTCTTCAGCATGACGGGCCAACTTGCGAGTGAGGAACAATACTTCCCACTCCATGATCTAGGAGGACCCTTGTGGAAAGTCCCGGAACAGTGGGAGAGATGGGACCCGTCTCGTTTCACTCAATACTGGAAAACGCCACATCTAATTATTCATAACGAACTGGATTATCGATTGACCATCTCGGAGGGTTTGGCCGCATTCAACGTTCTCCAAATAAAGGGGATTGAAAGCGCATTCCTAACCTTCCCCGACGAGAACCACTGGGTGTTGAAGCCGGAGAACTCTCTTGTCTGGCACCACACAGTCCTGAATTGGATTAATAAGTATGTTGGACTGCCCCCAGTGACTGATGATGGCAATTTTGTGTCAAAGGTTGGGAACGAAGACCTTGCGAGGAGCGTTGATAACCTTACTCTTTCGTAGTCTGTCTCTTGTGTCTCTCGAGTTTACAACAGTATGGCAATAGTGAAATCCTGTACTGTGACGTATCCTAGTTTATTGATAGGAGCATATGAAGCGCTTTTCATGATAATTACGAAATCGTGAAAGGATATTCTGTCCATGACTAAATTCATTTATAGTAGGTGCTAGCATTTTGACTATGCGAGCCATAAACCTAAATGGATTCGATTATTTCTCTTCTATGGAGCTTATATTAACGTGAACTAGATTAATCCGAACTAGATCAATCCTTCCTCGCGAGTTAGGGCTTCCTGTCTGCCAGTGCTATTTGGATCAAGATAAGGTCTTTCTCCGAGGCTCACTGCTCTCTGACCTGTTCTAGGACCCAATCCCTCGTAGTCATATGTCGCGGTGTGGTACACACTTCGGTTGTCCCAGATTGCTGCGTAATACGTTAGCAAAACAGTGCACTTTTCAGCTCGAATTTTATGGTCCTTACCGAGGTCATTCTTGTTCTGCCATCTCAATCGAACTTGCAGGTCATGGTTGTCAACAATCAGTCTGACAAACCACTTGAGAAGGTGTTCGCTCTCTTCCTCTGCGAGACCGTTGATCCGCTGAGCATGGTGGCCCACTGCAAAGATGCTCTTCCATCCCGTGACGGGGTTTGTGCGGACAACGGGGTGGATTGCCTTGAGTTCGTCGCCGACGTTCTCTGGAGCACCTCTGGGCGCTGTGTACAGTTCAAAATCATTCTCCTGTGCGCTCTGGTTGAAGAGTGGTTGCGCATAGGTAGCGGTCAAGGACTCTAAAAACTGCTGGTATGGCTTAGAGATACGATCGTAAACTTCGTATCCTGATGCCCAGAGTGTGTCTGTGTCCATATGTCAGAAAAAAAAAACAGCCTAAATATCAGGACTAGTTCATAATGAATACTCGCCTCCGCCAGTTTTGGGAAGCTCCGTCAATCGCAGAATGGCGTAGTCACTAGGGACGGGCTCAAAGGTGATATCACTGTGCCAGCCCTCCTTATGACTCTGCTTCTTCCTGTCCGCATTGAACCGATTCTTATAGATCTTCTTGTGTCCCTCAGAACTAATGACGCTGATCTCATTATCCTTGTCGCCATACTCCCGTTGAGAGTTGCTGACAGGATGAATATGCAGTCCGGACGTGCTAGGCTTTCCAGACAGCTCACCCAGTCGCTGGGCAAGTTCCTTCTGCGTGTCATTGTCAAGATCGTCCTGGGCGCGGAAGAATACTACTCCTCGTCGTGAGACTGAATGATTTCGTTGTAGTTAGCTTGTTGTCTTCCTCTCTTGGGGCTTGTATGGTTGTTTACCCGTGATGGCCAGCTCACGGATAAGTTCATCCGAGTTGGGCGCACGCAGCCATTCCTTAAGGTTCGCTTTGGGGAACTCTCTTCCGATAACTGGAGTCACGTCAAACGATTCATACTGATCAAGGACACCGCTCAGCTTCAGTGGTTGTCTCTGCAATGTCTCAGAAGCCGCGGGCGCCGCTTTGCCAACCGGGATAGTTGTGGGCGGCGTAGCAGGATTCTCAACTTGAGCAGAAGGGGCCATTGCGGTTTTTGGACTTTCAGATACCGCGATAAAATAAGTAATAATAATTTACTGAGAGAAGTAGATACCCTGCAGAAATACCCCGCCCATTTATACTTAACATCCTCTCCATGAGTGGGATCCTTGTCATATGGCGATAGCTTCAAAACACATAACATTTACCCAAATTCATCACACTATGCATTACAAATCCTCCCGCATCTAGCCTTTCAATATCTATGGGATAATACGCTTTAAAAAGGCCCAGATACCATATCTGAGCAAATCAGCTCGTTGCGAATACACCATATCTTCGCGATGGAGGGGGTTTTTCGGGCATTCGCCATATCATCATGAGATATTGCAATTGAGGAGTAAATCACGCCGCGCTTGTGACCGGGATGGTATGAAGCGCGGGTTGGTTGATCGGGAATAACGGCATCTTTTTTTGTTTGATGTTGATGTATGAGAGGATTTCGGAGGTGGATTGCGCAAGCGGTCCGAACTTGCAAACTTCCGAGTAAATAGTTCTGGAACACTTCACAACTGTCGATGATGAAGACTGGAGGACGTTTAGTATTATATAGAGAGTAATATAACATGCTTAATCTAGTCTATAATAAACATATGGGAGAGAATGGTACGGAGAGTGATTGCTTAGGCACTTCCATATCCGGTAGAGTTATAAGTAAACCACCTTAAAAGTCATAAGCGACAAACTTTCAGAGACAGAGGAAGTATACAGGTAGTAACATCTGATATGAGAATCAAAGAAAGGGTGATCTTTAATCAATCTCGATCGAAGTCTACAACAATGTACTAAGCCTCGCACTATGATGAAAGGCAAGAAGAACTATGGCTCATTGTAGAATGGCATGTCAATGACAAACGATGCTATTAACAAGGGATAACGCAACACATACGCATATAGTTCCAAAGAACTCAGCTATAAGGCTGTGCATAGAAGCCATACAAAGAGGCTCTTTGAAGGCATCTATTGTTGATACTGTTGAACAGAAAAAAGTCGCCTGTGGTGCCGGTCAACGTAGCATATCTTTATCCTATCCTTTGACAGCTTTTCTTTGGCACTTCTATTCCGGGTGATAATGGCTCTTGTGCTGTCTATATTTACAGAGAATAAAAAGACGTGATGATACTGGTGAAAACTGGGCATATATTTCTGTAGTATCCCTTCGTTCTAAATGCTGTCAGAGACCTAGATCATCACGGCGAGTGAGCTGTTGAATTCCCTTTGCATAGGTTTAAGTGGAAAGCGATCGATCTCGACAGACTCTATTCCTTATCGCACAGGGATTCTAAAACTCTTTGCTTCGATCAGCTCGAGCGTCTAGGCATTCATAGTCAGGGTTGTTTCCTGGAAACCGAACCTACGCAGTTCTCTGGAAAGTTGTCGCCCACTGACACCGAAGCTTGTCTCGTCGGAAACAATGGAGGACAGAAATATCCACAGACAACATCATAACACAAAGCGGGGTATCAATCCAAGTGGCAGTAATTGCCCCGAAACACCACTGTCTCCACGGTCTCAGCAGTCCTTCGAATATCAATTGGAGGCTGTACCAATATTGCACTCGCTGCCACAATCACAATCACCATCACCATCGACTATAAGTGTGGCAGATAGAATAGCACATATATCCGAAGAACTGCCGTCATCCAACAAAGAGAATCTAAACATAGCGTCTGGTGATATATGCCACCCCGCCTTCTTCCACGCTGTCAAACACCTCTCATCGCCTCTAGCTCCTCTCGTCTCAATCACGACGGGTCTCCCACATCGGGACTTTCCACGGACTCTACTGGCGTACCATCTCCTTACCTCCGATCAACTGGACGATATAGCTCGTCACTATCACCAAGTATGGCCGCCCATGCCAGAGACATTTGGCTATCCTATCCGGGTACCTGCCTGGGTCGGTACGGGAAGAGAGTACGAATTAGACATAGAGACGAAGCGGCGACGACTAGGACGATTCATGGGATTAAGAGGGTGCGAGAGTCCGGTTGTTGATAATGCTCATACAGAGAATTGGCAGCGGGAGGCATGCGCCTGGGAGAGTGACGAGGAAATGAAAGAAAGGATGGAGCGTGAGTGGCAAGCCGCGCTTCTGTGTGCGAGGAGTCAGGATAGTGATGAGGTTTTGAGGAAGAAGGCGGGAGGTTTTTGACCTTCAAGCCATCCCGGTTATAGGATTTCTTGATCATTTATGATGCGAATGGAGTCATGTATAGATTTCTGTGGAATATAGAGAATCACAATTGATCTTGCGACGATATACAGAATCCACCCGCTAGTTGTTGTAAAGGGAGTTGGGATGAAACTATTGGATGCAAGATCTAATGGCCCATTCCCCTCGCCCAGTTCTGGACTACTAGATCCCAATATTTCTCTCGACTACGCTCTCTGAACGTCTTGCCCCATTTGATCATGATGAGGAACACAGCCGCACATGCCATTCCAATAAAGGCAGCTGAAATGAAACAGTTCTGGTATCCTAGGTTCTCGACCCATGGTGTGATTCTGGAATCATATTATTAGCTTCGGCTTTTTCTGCGAGGCGATCTGAGTAACTATTGGCATCTTACCCGTAGCCAATCGCAAAAGACATTGTATTTCGGACCAGGATTACAGTGACCACCGCATCTCCGCTTAGCTCTCTGTAACTGTCAACGAGATAGTTTACGCTCAAGGTTATTCCGCAAGTGTTGCAAAATGCTAGCGTGCACATGGCGACCAGCAGCCCGAACCAGTGGATATTATGGGCAGCACCAACGCCCCACAAAATCAAGGATGCAGGAACAACAATGATGCATGCTGCGAAGGGCCAGAGGCGCTGCTCGGCTTCCATGATACCCTTGTTGCGTCTTGCTAGCTTGATTGTAAGCCAGTCACTGAAGCGGCCGGTAAAAAGCGAACTTGTGTTATCAGTTAGCAATCCATCTTATCCTTTAGGGGGCAAAAGGGTATCTACGCTGCAATGGTTCCTAGACAACATGCTACATAGCTCAGTCCCACCATTGCTGAACTATACTGTTGTTAGCCTGGCTTCCGACTAGGGGGTCTGATAATATTGTACCTGAAGTTATATGGTGCCGAGCCTAAAACTATAGATGCGGTACCATTGAGTACATTGAACCAAATCAAGTACGAACCATACGAGAAACTGATGGACTCCAAGTTAGCATATTGCATCTCTCATGGGTTACGCTCGAGAGACGAGTGTCAGTACATACCCGGCGTAGAATATCACAGGCCAACCGAGGAAGTACAAGGTCTGGTACACCCTATGAAACATGTTGTTCTTTCCTCTATTGGTATTGATGAGTGCTAACTTCTGGACGTAAGTTTTCTTCTTGTATACTACTCCCGCATCAAGATCAGCGGGCTCTTGCCTGTCTGTTGGCTTTGGTGTTTTCTCCTGGTCTTCCTCCGAACGAGGTGGTGATTCATCCCGCTCGCCATTCTCCACAACACGGGCGGATGTCCGCACATAGTTCGTTTCTTCCATAAAGAAGAATAAGAAGACCACTGCAAATCCAATGAATATGCTTGGCCAATAGAATACCCATTGCCAACCCTGGTATTGGGCGATGAAACCGCAAATCACAGGCGCGAAATAATTGCTTCCCGCTAGAAACAGAGCGTAGAGGCCCATGTATGTACCACGCTCATGCGTGAAATACTGCGTGCGTCCAGTAAGCATCCCTATGTTTTTGTTATCCCCATTGTACTGTACGTACCACATCCGTGACGCTAACTTCAGGGAGAGCCTCGGTTGGTGCCTCGAAAAATCCCAGTATGATACTTCGCGCAATCCATTGGCCATTTTTGTGCGCGTAAGGACTATTCCATTGTCAGCACCTTCTCCTCTTAAGCATCATTTCACACACTCACCCCCACATTGTCATGGCCTGATAAGCAGTCAGCTAGCTCCACTTGATGGTTCTGAGACAATTGCGCGTACCAGACAACCCAACATTGAGACAATATATGTCAAACGCTTGCCATAGTGAAGTGCAAAAGGCTGCCAGAACAGAAGACCCCATCCTGCTAAGAGGAACATGTATCCGGTACCCTGGTTGAGAGTATCGACGGGCACTCCTGATGCCTCCGACAACGGAACAAGGACAGAGTATACGACTGAACCGGAGATTCCAGTGAATAGAGTGTATCTAGTATACACTTCCGTTAGTAACCACTCAATGCAATGCGTCTTTCAGGCATAACCTTACACGCTCACACATATCGTGGATAGCAGCTTCCGTCTTGGCGACCAGTTCAAGGGATCATCTGGATCGTCGGATGGGGTAGGGACAAGAAGGATATCCTGGTCTCCCCTGTCTAGATGACGCGCGGCTAAAACATGTTCTATATCTACCAGAGTAACAGTTCCTGGTACTGACTCTCTGTCAACAGTCGGCGCCATGATCCACGATGGCGAGGATCGTTCGTTGTATTGAGTTGTTGCGGTTCGCGCAGTAGGTATGGCTCACGAAGAACCCAGAAGTCGAGGTCACACAAAACCAATGATGCAATCGTAATGTGGATTTCCCAGACAGTAAAAAATATGTCCGTTGCTTATAATATTCGCAATAACGGCTTCTCATGAGCAGATCATAGAGCTAGTCCACACTGCACTCAGAACATAAGAATATCTGTTCCTCGCCCGCCCTACGGAGTAAACTCATGATCTAGAGCTCTTCGGAAATCCTCCGCTGATCAACATCCGTTTTGGATGCGACGATGATGGTTACATGGACCGAGGGCAGCATACTTGATTGGCTTGACAATGCTGCTGATAAGCGGCGGTGTATCAATCTTGACACAGCTGCTGATCGACAGGGAGATAATAGATTAACCACAGATTCCGATAGCCAAAACTCTTCATACTGGCTGCAGAACCGACTCGATGTAGAATTTCGATTAGGCTGTAGCTACTATCTATCAGTCACAGTGACAAGTTGGAGAGACCTATTCGTTTTGTTTCCCAGACCTTTACCCCGCTGCAATCTAGGGCCGTGTTGGAATTAGCCGATCATCATCGTCCAACAACAAGCAACGACTCTGTTGACATCTCGGTTTAGCCTCTATCTGATAGAGTTGGCCGAATACCTTGTAACTGATCACTCTCATTAGAATAAGCTTCAGGTACATGTAGAAGATTTGGGAACGATCCCAGGTGGATTTTTGCAAGCACATAGATTCCAGACCAGAATCGAATATAGACTCTCAGCCATGGTGATTAGAGACCGGCAATAAAAATGTTGCAGAGAAGCTCACCGAGCAAGTTGCTGCAAGAATGGAGACTCCCTTCAACCATTCCTGAGATGGTGTCCCCTCACACGAATACCAACGTTTTCTGAGGTGCTTAATGTCTCATATGAGACTAGATACTCATAATCCAGTATGCTATATTGATTGGCGCTACATTTCAACAACAGTAGTCACGAAGCGAAATCTATTAAGTCTGAATTTATGATACTATGACCCGAATTTCTGATCCACCAGCTTTTCGCTGAGCTCCCATAGCTGCTTCGCAGATTGCTCTCCGGCAGGGAAGTCAAGATTTGGAAGGGGGACGACGTGGCAATTGTCCAAGAAGGCACCGGATTTATCTCAGAGGAAGTCAGATATGAGCACGGCCGTGCCCAAAAGCCAGTACATAGTCAGAGGATACCCAGCTTACCTTCCAGAGTTGGATCAAGCAAAGCTCGCAGGACTGTGCCGCAACCTTGTGGGAGAGATTTGGGGGCTTGCTGCAAATTCAACGGCGCTTCCTCTCCCGCTATCGTGAGAAACGCGGTAAGCCTTTTCCTCTATCATATAAATGTATAGAATTCCATACCGTCTTTCTTCTTCTGCAGCCATGTGTTAACCAATTCAGGGCTGAGATAGGTCTGAAGGTTGCTCTTTATATCTGATAACCGTGAGCGTATGCACTTGATATATTATCTTCTATTTTCATTAACGGCTTACTTCCTGGATTCACAGAGAAAGCTGCTATTCCATCCTTCGAAAATGACTTGGCCAAAGACTTGGCGAATAGCACGTTTGCCAGCTTTGACTGCGCGTAAGCTTCCAATGGATGGTAGGTTTTCCCGTCCTAGGATGACAGTTGTCAATATTTCTGCTTTATCGGTTAAAATCAGGAGTGATTCCTTACGGAGAAATTGTAATCATCGAAATTTGGTACTGGAGCATCGGGCCTGATGCTACTGGCCACCAAGACGACTCTCGTGCCTTTGCGTTTCGGCATAGCACCGAGCAGAGTATTGATCAGCAAGAAATGGCTCAAATAGTTTATTTGGAATTGGCACTCAATTCCATCGTCCGTCTTCTCGTACTGAAGTCCGGTGATGGTCTCGCTTGCGATAATGCCATCTACGGGAACATCCAATTCCCTGATAACCTTTGCGGCACCGCGGACCGACTCGAAATTACCGAAGTCTGCAGAGATAAAGAGGGTCTTTACCGTCGGAAACCTTTGATTTATTTCATCCACAAGAGGTTGCGCATCGCCTTGGGACTTTCCAACGAGTATAAGGCATGCTGGTTTAGCTTCAGCTAACGCCAAAGCTATGGCTGCTCCAAGTCCTCCTTTGGTTGGCTCGGTGATGACAACTATGGCAAGTCAGTCAGACAGTAATTGTGACAGTCAATGGTGTTTTAATGAGATCAAGCAGATTCTCAAATACTGCACAATGGAAAACATACACGTTCCATGTCTCACTGCATCTGGAAACGCAGCCACAACATCAGTGCCTTTCGTCTCATGTCCGAAATGTGCCATTTTCGCAAACAGGGCAGCCACAGTTGATTTCATTCCTTTGAATCGGGGACGAGACGTCTCAAGCTATAATTGTTGGAGACATCTCCGGCAAACTTTCTTTTCGTCACTGTGAGGTTACGTACCGCTGTTTCTTCGCTGTGAACCTCCGACATAGTTAGATGACGATAGAGGAAAACTGATTTCAACAGAGTATAAGTGCTCTTCAGTTTTGCACGCTTAATTACGCCTTGGATTTAACGAGATCCTGCATGTGCTAGATTGTTTTCTCTTTCTCTAGCTGCAGGTAAGTGAACACCATCTTGGAGCTACAATCGACATTGTTTAAACTTCGGGAGTACCGGATGGTGGCGGATCTTCGGCGTCATAGAACCCAAAGTCTGACATACTTCTTATTCGTCTTTATGAACTCCTTCGGAAATTCTGTCGTTTAGTTTCCATGAAAGCCCCTTGAAGGATATCATGCTGCTATTTCCCAGAAAGTTACTTGATTGGGTTGTAGGATGTCTGATAAGCTATCCCGCAATTGTGTGATATAGAGTCAAGCTACTATTATGCTATGCACATGCTAACAGTGGCCGTGCGGATTCTCTTATCTGGACTGAGATGGACACCGGATAGACATGAAAAACTCCAAGTCGGTCAGAGATCGGTTAACGAAGTGTTTATAGTCTATAACGTCAGAGATAGTATCGGTCGAGCCTATCAGACTAGGCATCGTATTCATTTCTATGAATGCTGCTGCATACCAGGCAGTAAGCATTTGATTGCATATACGGAATCCTAGTCTCCTGCTTATCAGTAGCTGCGAGTGTTGAGTAGAGTACATAAGTGCTCGGTTGCTGTATCAATTTCTTACAGCTTTTTCTTGCTTGACAAAATGCAGCACCTTTAGCATCATCTAGTCAAACGTACACGAACAACGCAAGATATTCGTTTTATATGGAACCCACCATGGCAGCACCTTTCAAACCACCCATGTCCAGTGCTCGCAAACCTAGAGCTCCAAAGTGGACACCGCTAGAATCCACTAAGATGAGCCTGGGCCGACTTGCATACAATTGAATTATCATTGCTGGACTCCCCCAACCCAGATGTCATTGCGAAGGTCGTAGCAACAACAAAACAAGCAATCGAAGAGAATGGCTTCTTATTCTTAACAGACGACGGAGTCTCCTTAGAGGACCTCCATCGTGAATTCGATCTGTTCCAGTATCATCATCTGAATATCACAGAGGAGAAAAAGAAAGAGCTGCTCTGGGACCCGTTGACAGGAGTCTCTGCGAGATTCAAGCGAGCAACAGGCTGGAAACGAGAGGCAGGCAAATACGGCGGGATTGAGCAGTTTACTCTTTATTCCCCAGAATTCGAAGATCTTCAGAGAGTCCCGAACTGCATTCGACCGTTCATGGATGAGATCACTGCTTTTTGTGACTATATGGAAAAAATCGGTCACTCGTCACTTGTTGCAGTTGTTGTCCTTGGTTCTCGAGCTACCCAGCGACTGGCTATGGGATGCTTCAATTGTTGATTCTGACTGGCCTGTCTCCAGAAGCGGACACGGATGGCTTTTCTTGGCGAATATGAATGGTGAGCATGAATTAAAATTCAGACTGCAGCACAGGCTGTCTGATGCAATAGTCTTTAGGTGAAGTAGATGATGAGCTGTTATTTCAGCCTTATGAATATGGAATCCTTTCTTCATCGGAAATACGGATTCGGAAAGAATCCGCGATGAGTCAGGCATGAGTCAGCTTCTCCTAGGAAAATGAAGTTGCTGACTCACCGTCGTAAGATCTGGTTGACATTTACCTAGTCGTATCCAGTTTGAGCTCCATCATCTGAGGTGACGACGAAAGAGACATTTCCACCTTCAAGGTGAACGGCGATCAGACAGCAAAATGGAAAATTCTGCATTGTAGGACAACCTGGAATCAATTTCTATAATGAATTGGATTCCGCTGCTTATCTTATCTGACTGAGAATGGATGCACATTCTATCAAACATGGCAGACGATCGAAAAGCAGGGCCTTTGCCGGGCTGGCGAATCTCCAAAGCATGCCAGGAGTGTCGCAAGCGAAAGATAAAATGCGATGGGGGGAATCCTTGCAAAACGTGCCGTGAGCGCAGCACTTCCTGTGTCTATCGTGATGTGATCCGGCAACGTCGGAAGAAACAGCAGCAGCAGCAGCAGCAGGAAAATCGCGATTCCAATCCTCACTGGGGCTCCGCAGAAGAGAGCGATATAGGTCGACCTCTATCTCCGGGGTCATCCCAGGGCGCAGGCTCTGCTGGCCGACGCAACGAACCAGTCATGTATACCTTCCATAACAGCGTCTCAGCAACACATATGGCGTCTCCGTCATGCAAGGTACAGCTGTACTATGGCCCAACATCTCATTTTTCGCTGTTACAGCACATCTATCGAGATTTGGTTTCTGTCCCCAACCTGCCGCCAACAGAACCACAAGGCGAGGTCGAGCATGCAGATGCCGGGCTCGATCTGTTCAATTTCCGTCGAATCTTCTTTGGAAGCCTGGCAGAGACGCATGATGTTAGCAAGGACGCTTCCATGGGGAATACGCCGCTAATGTTCTTGCCGCGGGAGGTAGCGATGTTTTTTCTGGAGCGGTATTTGGCGACGTTCTATTATTTGACCCCGTTTTGGCCAAAAGAAACTATACGGAGAGACGCAGAGAGACTATACGACCCTGACATTGGCTTGCAAATGGACCCTTCCGTTAAGTCAGTGATCCTGATGGCGATGGCATGTGGTGCCTTGGGAACTGAACACTATGCCTGGGGCGAGGTTCTTTATGAACGTGTCAAGGCATCTTCTAATTCTCTAGATGATGTTGTCAACCTCCAGACAGTGCAGACGTCATTGCTTATGATAAGTATATCCTATAACTCTATGATGACTAGGAGTATTGACGAGTTATTCTAGTGAACACGCCCATTATCAAGCCGACCAAGGTCGACCGAACTCATCGTTTTTGCACCTAGGTGTTGCAACCCGAAAAGCATTCGCAGCTGGTCTGCATAAGGATGCGCCCGACAACGAAAGGGATGCTGACAGGGAAACGGTCGAAAGACGGCGGACAACCTTTTGGTCTCTATACTTCTATGAAAAGTAGGCTGTACTCTCTGATGTGTCGATATGCAGGTGCTAATAGGACCCTAAACAGTCTCCTGTGTTTTCACATGGGAAGACCAAGTTCTCTTACCGCGGATGATATCGGCACGGTCTACCCGGAGGACCCTTTCTTGTTGGCGCTAATTCATCTTTCGAAAGCCATCTCGCGCTCTGCCAAAGAGATATATGGCAAAAGACACCAGTCCTTGCTGCAAATGTGGAAAGTCGCATTGTCGATATCGGACGGATTGAGCGGTTACGAGTGTCGGATGCGAAAGGCAGTCGGCTTTGGACTGGAGAAAACTCCGCAGCCAGGGCATATCGGTGTTCAACAGACTGTTCTCGCTTTATGTAAGTGGACTGATATCTCTTGATGCTGGAGACCCTGCTGATTGCCTAGGCTATTACTATACCCTTCTTCTCACGTTCCGGCCGTTCTTGATCTTTCGAGGTCGATGGCGACAGAGCATGAAAACGTCTGCTCAAGCCCCTGCTGGAAATGACAATCGGCCACATGAGATCCCTTCTTGGCTGAATGAGGCTTGCGACTATGTCTTGTATACAGCGCGCAAGACAATCCACTATCTTTGCAAAGCTTCCTTAGTAAATGAACTTGTGAGAGTACGCATTTCTGTCTCGATAGCCGCTCCATGTGGAAATCGCACCGTTGAGCGGCATCAGCTTTACATTGGAGCCTTTTATCTGACCTATCTCACAGGAGCTCCGTTATCACACATTCTTTTTAAGCAGCGCTACGTTCACCATCATTTATGATGCGCTGCATGATGAGAAGGCAGCTACCACTCATCTCCCATGGGCACACGCGGCTTTACAATGTCTCTCGACCATGCGCCCCGGTGACTCAGTGTCAACGTCTATTTCAGGCTTACAGTCCGTTTTGCAGCAAATGAATTTCCCGCTTGATTTGACAGCCGAACAGCAAGTTGACGGTGATTCTGGGAACCGTTGGCACTATGCCTCCCAGGGTACGCGTGGATGTGACCAGACGGGAAATAGCATGATACCTATCATCCCAGAAGCCAGTTCTGATACTGTCGGACTCACACCGCGGAATCTCCCCGTCGGCGATAACATTACGGTGAACGGCTTTAACAAAAGCATGGATAACAATGGAACCGCAGAGGATCTTCTAGATCTCACGGAGGCCGATATGGGGTGGGGCTTTGATTTCTCGACAATGGACCTAGAGGGGTTCTTTTCCATATATCCGACAGTAGATACGACTGTTCCCAGCTTCTAGCCAATCGATACGTTATACTCAGTCATTCCTTCTTTCGGGTTATTTACATCGCGCGTCAAACTATATCGAGCTATATTCTACCCCCAGGGACTGTCCAGGTTCGTGTGTGGAACAGTTCGAGAACTGGCCAGACGAGAGATCAACGTGCACTGTCAGCTATTGTATGGACGCCCTAGTTCGCTACTCTTCCCCACCTACGACGCGCAGTGGTGTCTCATGTTGTCTAGGAACACAGGTCTCGGGCCTGGAGCTTAGGCTCATTAACAATCCATGTCGCTTGGTATGCCTTCGAGAACATGTCGATCCATTTAGCTTCCGACCTGTCCGGTTAACACCGTACTAAGTCCGCCCGCAGTTATCTTAGCGTCTCGCTCTGTCTTGTAACTAGACGGGGTCACAGTTGAACGGACATACCTACAGTTAAACGGGGTTACTACTAAGGGAGCTCAGCGTGGGTAGAAATCATCGGCCGAGAAAAGTCTTGGCATTTTTTTCCTACCCACTCTGAGCTCCCTTAGTAGCCCCGTTCAACTGTAGTTTAAGTTATGGTATGTCCTTTGGAAACTGATATATCCGCAGATTCTGCTGGTCTGGATCTCCAATTACGGAAAATTCCGCTGTGATTGTGTCATGATTATTGGTTGTGGCGATCTGATAAGATCCACTAGCGAAGCGATAACGGAATTCCGGATATGGACGGTTTTTCGGCAATACGGATATATAGAGATGAACTTATATCAAGGAACTGCGAATAATAACCTCTGAAGAGAAGAGCTTATGATCTTTGATATACAGCTGAAAGATTATCTGGATCGCAGGTAGTCGGTTCGACTGTTGGGTGTTGTTGAAGTTGTAGTTCGGCATGAAGATTTAGTTTCTGGATTGGGACAAGGAATAGACTATATGGCGACTGAGCTTAGGACCCCGTCCGCGGGGGCTTCGTCTACCGACATCGAAAGGCAGCCTGATGGGCAGCCTGATGGCATTCAGAAACGATTAACTGTTACGTTCCGCGATTTGAGTATACGAGTCACGGCTCCAGATGCAGCATTGGGCAGCACATTGTTATCCGCCGCCGACCCTCGACGCTTGCTGAATTTGTTTCAACGGAACAAACAGCCGAAAAGGGTACGAATCACCTGTTTAGCTCCATATTCGTGGTTATAGCTGATAGGGTTGATAGACAATCCTCAATGAAATCAATGGACAAGTTCGGCCGGGTGAAATGGTACGTGTGGCTTCTTAACTCGATGTAGAGCTTTTGCCTGACGAAGAATCCAGTTACTGGTCCTTGGCCGTCCCGGCTCTGGATGTACGTCTTTACTTCGAGTCTTGTCCAATGACCGTGCGGCGTTCGATGAAGTCATTGGTGAAACGCATTATGGAAGCATGGATCACAACGAAGCGAAGGCCTTCCGGCAGCAGATCATGTTCAATAACGAAGGTATGATACGCAGTATTTTTTTTTGGCTCACTACGCATTATTAACACCTATTCTAGATGACATTCACTTTCCCACCTTGACTGTTAATCGTACAATGAAGTTTGCGCTTGGAAACAAAGTCCCCCGAGAACGGCCATCACATCTACAAAGACGCAGTGATTTCATCCGGGAGAGCAGGAACGAGATTTTGGAGTCGTTGAGGATAGACCACACGAAGAAAACCATGGTTGGAAATGAATACGTGCGAGGTGTTTCTGGAGGCGAGAGGAAGCGTGTATCTCTGGCCGAGTTTATGGCTGGTCAGAGTCCCATTCAGTTCTGGGACCAACCGACGCGTGGTCTCGACTCAAAAACTGCATTTGAACTTGCCCGGTTGATGCGTCGCGAAGCTGAGCGCAAAGAACGGACTATTGTGGCCACCATGTATCAGGCAGGAAACGGCATCTACAATGAATTCGACAAGGTTCTCGTTCTGGCGGAAGGCCGAATTACCTATTACGGTTATCGCAATGCTGCCCGACAATACTTTGAAGATCTTGGATTCGTCTGCCCAAAGGGTGCGAACATTGCCGACTTCCTGACTTCAGTTACAGTGGCGACAGAACGTGTGATTCAGCCTGGCATGGAGGAGAAGGTTCCCAATACAGCTGCAGAGTTCGAGAAGCGTTATAAAGAGAGCGAAGTCTTTACTCAGATGATGGATGAGATTGTTCCTCCGGAGAAGTTAACTTATGAGGTTGAAGACCTCAAGATGGCGGTGGCAAGTGAACAGCGAAAGCACCATATTCCAAGGAAACACAGCGTATATACTGCCGGACTCTGGGATCAAATTGTTGCATGCACTATTCGGTTCGTCCTCCACCCCGACGAGATACCTTCCCAACTGACGTTCCCGCAGCCAATTCCAGATTATGATGGGAGATAAATTGTCACTGGCTATCAAGATAATATCGGCCATCATCCAGGCCCTTGTATGCGGCAGTTTATTCTACAACCTCAAAGACGACAGTACATCCATCTTCCTTCGACCGGGTGTTCTCTTCTTCCCCGTTCTCTATTTCCTCATGGAATCGATGTCGGAAACCACAGCCTCCTTCATGGGACGTCCTATCCTTTCCCGCCAAAAGAGATTCGGTTTCTATCGTCCAACGGCCTTCTGCATCGCTAACACGATTACTGACATTCCGGTGGTGATCTGCCAAGTGACATGCTTTTCCCTCATTATCTATTTCATGGCTGCGCTCCAACTTGACGCAGGGAAATTCTTCACTTTCTGGATCGTCGTTATTGTCGAGACTCTGTGCTTTCAGCAATTGTTCCGTGCAATTGGCGCCGTGTGCAAGCACTTCGGGCTTGCCTCCATGCTGACTGGACTGCTGACCACAATATTCTTCGTCTACGGTGGTATGTATTCGCATAGTCTGCATTGGAGATATTGCAGTGATTAACTGATTCCTCAGGTTACTTGATCCCCTTCGAAAAGATGCATGTCTGGTTCAGATGGATCTTTTATCTCAACCCAGGTATGTACACTACTCCCAAAGGTATATATGATATCTGACTAAGAAACACAAGGTGCATACGCATTTGAGTCGCTTATGGCGAACGAATTCAGCGGATTGAAGTTGGACTGTGTTGCACCGGATTACATTCCCTACGGAAATGGTTACTCGGACTCAGTGTCGCAGTACAGAGGATGCTCTGTTCTGGGAAGCAATGCTGAGGGAGTCATTGATGGCAATACTTATATTCGTGAGCAGTACCACTACTCCCGCCACCATATCTGGCGCGGATTTGGTGTGATGATCGGGTTCTGGGCTTTCTTCCTTTTCGTCACAGCAGTTGGATTCGAACTCCATGACAGCAAAGGAGGTTCATCCATGCTTCTCTACAAACGTGGAGCAGGGAAGACAAAGCGTGATGAGGAAGTTTCTTCTCAGAAACAGGAAGAAGTGAAGGCCAACGCACTTTCTCAATCACTGAAGCAGTCCACCTTCACCTGGAAGGACCTAGACTATTATGTGCAGTACCATGGAGAGCAGAAGCAGCTCCTGAACAAGATATTCGGGTTCGTGAAACCAGGAAATCTTGTCGCCCTTATGGGAAGCTCCGGCGCGGGAAAAACCACGTAAGTGCTATATATATACACGGCCTCTGCGTGCAAGGAAAATATTGATAAGTTAATACCCTAGGCTACTGGACGTGTTGGCGCAACGTAAAGACGCTGGTGAAATTCGCGGTTCCGTCTTAATTGACGGACGACCTCAAGGGATCAGTTTCCAGCGTACAACCGGCTATTGTGAACAGATGGATGTTCATGAGGGTACCGCTACCGTCAAGGAGGCTCTGATCTTCTCTGCCGTTCTCCGCCAGCCAGAATCTGTTCCTTACGAAGAGAAGCTAGCTTATGTTGAGCACATCATTGACCTGCTGGAGCTGAGGGATATTAGTGATGCGTTAATTGGACGTAGGTCGCTATTCAAATATCTCGATGCTCTATCAAATGCTGACAGTAATCAGAACCTGGTGCTGGTCTCAGCATCGAACAGCGCAAACGTGTTACTCTCGGCGTGGAGCTCGTTGCGAAACCAACACTTCTCTTCTTGGATGAACCCACTTCTGGACTTGATGGCCAGTCTGCGTACAACATTGTTCGTTTCCTGAGGAAACTGGTCGACGGTGGACAGGCTGTTCTTGTAAGGAAGAGAGAGTCTCATTACTACTTGTCCAGTAACTGACTGCGCTTGCAGTGCACGATTCACCAGCCTTCTGCTGTCCTGTTCGATGCTTTCGACACTCTGCTCCTTCTAGCAAAGGGCGGTCGGATGACCTATTTCGGAGAGAGTGAGTTATTGTCTTTCTTTCATTAATGGAGCGGTCATGCTTACATAGAGTAGCTGGAAAGGAGTCCTCTAAGGTTCTGGAGTACTTTGCGAAGAACGGCGCGCCTTGCCCGCCGGACGCTAATCCTGCTGAACACATCGTCGAGGTCGTCCAGGGAAACACTGACGTGCCCATCGACTGGGTTGAAGTCTGGAATAACTCCGAAGAACGCCAACGGGCACTCACCGAACTGGAAGCGTTAGTCGGTGCTGGCAAAGCGGACCCGAACTATGTCGAGGATACTGCGGACTTTGCAACATCGCGTTGGTTCCAGTTCAAAACCGTTAGCCATCGACTTATGGTCCAGATCTGGCGATCTCCGGTGAGCATCTTCTACGATACCACAGGATGTTGTGGAATATTTTTCTAACTGGATTTCCAGGATTATATGTGGAACAAAATCATTCTCCACGTCTTTGCGGCGCTCTTTAGCGGTTTCACTTTCTGGATGATGGGAAACGGCTCATTCGATCTTCAACTGCGCCTGTTCGCTATATTCAACTTCATCTTCGTTGCTCCCGGATGTATCAATCAGATGCAACCATTCTTCCTTCACAACCGCGACCTCTTTGAGACCAGGGAGAAGAAGGTGAGTGCACTTGATGCGAAAGACTTCGTCTGACCAGTATTCTGACATAGTCTCGCCATAGTCTAAAATTTACCACTGGGTGGCTTTTATTGGTGCTCAGGCAGTCTGCGAAATCCCGTACCTAATCATCTGCGCGACCCTCTACTTCGCTTGCTGGTACTTCACTGCTGGCTTCCCCGTTCGTGCTTCCATATCTGGCCACGTCTACTTACAGATGATCTGTAAGTTTCCCTTATTATCTACCAGATGACAGTCTATTAACGTGCGTTAATCTACGAATTCCTCTATACATCGATCGGCCAAGCCATCGCTGCCTACGCTCCCAACGAATACTTCGCCGCAATCATGAATCCCGTCCTCATCGGTGCCGGTCTGATCAGTTTCTGCGGTGTCGTCGTCCCCTACTCCCAAATGCAATACTTCTGGCGCTACTGGCTTTACTACCTCGACCCCTTCAACTACCTTGTCGGCGGCCTTCTAGGCGAAGTGCTTTGGGATGTCAAGGTGGAGTGCAAGCCCGAGGAACTCGTCCACTTTCAATCTCCTCCTGGCCAAACATGCGGAGAGTACATGGCCAGCTTCCTCTCTGAACAAACTGGATATTTGCTCGATTCGAACTCCACTTCGTGCTCGTTCTGCCAGTATACGAGCGGAGCCGACTATGCGAAGTCGTTCAACCTGAATAAGAAATACTATTCTTGGAGAGATGTAAGAATTCAACAGTTGCGCTGTATTCATCGTGATGAAAAACTAATATTTTGCGTGTGTTGTAGACTGGCATTACGGCCCTCTTCTGCATCTCCTCATACGCCCTTGTGTTCCTGATGATGAAGCTCCGGAGCAAGAAGACGAAGAGCGCTCGCTCTGAGTAGATTCGCCCGCTTTAAGCGTGCGGAATCTACACCACAGAACCGAAACCAATCACCGAAGATGCAGTCTTCATGACGTGCAGCCATATTAATATTCGCAGCGCATCTCTTTAATCTATACAAGAGAATGTCTAGTAATACTTTATATCGTTAATCTTGCGTTTTTGGGCGTTGGAGGTCTTTCGGGATACATATACACAGATAAACATAACTTATAGATTCTAGGAAGATATCAAATAGCAAGGTTCAATAATGTCTTGCTACCTATTTATTCAATCAAGTTATTTTCTTTTCTTTTCATCATTAATATTTACCCAACTTGTCAGCTTGTTCAACACATCTTCAAAGTAACAAATCCCGAGCAAGGCATTCTATCTTTGCAATAGTTAATCCCATAGTTACTTACTTGGGATTTACTGCACGTGAAGGGCTCGGACCACTTCTTAGTTATCACTTTAAACTCGTTAGTAATAGTTGGTAGTTGAAAGAAGCGGTGAGAAGCTTTCTTGATTATGGTACTAGTTACGAGCCGGGCCGAGCCTACCTATGTAAGGTAGATCGTCTGGATCACGTGTCGCAAGTTAACAGGGCGACCAGCAGGAGTCCATGAGGGGGAATTCCGACAGTGGCGTTTGGTGGCGCACCACTTTATATATTCATCATACAATAATATTACAGGAATAATTTCGCGTTACTTATGGAGCCCAGAGTAAGGTAAGTAAAAAAAGAACAAAGTTAAACTAACAATCTAAGTCTAGTAAACATCGATGCGTAACAATTTTACAGAATGTCATCCTCTACACCGAGACGGCAGAGAGAAATCACAGTCTGCTCTGGAGGAAGTAAGGGATGTTCTTGCCCTCGTAGATGTCCTTGTAGTCGGCCTTGATGATGTCGGCAGCCTTAAATATGTGTTAGTCTTTGTCGTCATGATATTTAGCAGGGTTGGTTTTGTTAACTCACCTTCTCTCCGATCATGTAGACGGAGTTCTGGATACGGCAGTCAGGGATGACGGGCATGATGGAAGCATCAGCGATGCGGAGGTTGCGGATTCCGTGAACACGGAGCTTGGAGTCGACGACACCCTGCTGGATGTTCTTGGAGAGACGGGCAGTACCGCAAGGGTCTATTAAGTACGTTAGTTAAGTTTCGTTGCAAGTCTTTGTGTCAGGGGGGAGGGGTCTTACGGTATCCAGTCTGGCTGCGGTCCAGAACAGCTCTCTTCATGTCCTCATCGGAGTGGAGAGGCATCTTGAAGGGGTACTCCTTGACGACAATGTCCTTGAAACCGGCACCGGTGGTCAGGACATCGTAGGTCCAGCGGATACCCTCGCGCATGGCCAGGATGTCCAGGTCGTTGGCGAAGAAGTTGAGGTTGATGTTGGGCTGAACCAGAGGGTTGGAGCTGTTCAGGGTGACCTCACCCTCGGACAGAGGACGGAGCAGGTCGACGATGACAGTCATGTAGCTGCCAGACTCGGGGACGGGGTAGTGCCACTGGAAGGCAGTGCTGAACATGCCAACGAAGTCAAGCTCGAAGTGAGGCTGGCCAGCGGGTCCGAAGGGGTCCAGGCCACCGTTGGCAGCCTTGGCCTGGCGGTACTCAGGGTACTTCTCGAGGCGCTCGTCAATACGGGGGAAACCAACAAGCTCGAGCAGACCGGAGCTGATAGCACCAGTCTTGTCCTTGGCGTAGGCCTTGATGGCGACCTCGTTCTTAGGACCGGGGCGGAGGATGTGGTCGTCCAGACCGTATCCGTCCTTGACCTGGAGGACGAAAGGAACGATGGGGTGGTCCAGGAGATGCTGTCCAACGTGAGGAGACTCGAGGATCTGGGGGATGTTGTGCTTGGCCAACTCAGCGGCGGGACCGACACCGCTCAGCAGGAGGAGCTTGGGGGTCTCGAAGACACCCTGGGAAAGGATAACTTCGCGGGTGGCGTAGACACTGATCTCAGTGTTGTGAGCCTCGCTGATAACAGTGACACCCTGGCAGACGCGGGTCTGGGGGTCGATGATCAGACGCTTGGAGTGAACGCCGTAGAGGATAGTGACGTTGGGCTTGTTCTTCAGGTAGAGGTAGCTTCCCTGGCGCTGACCACCGTAGATGGTGTCAACACAGTGAGTGAGACCCTTCATCTCACCAGAGTAGATGTCCTCGGTCAGAGGCTGGCCCTTGGAAACCCAAGCCTGAGTGAGGGCGTCACGGAAAGGAGCCATCTCGGGAACCAGGTCGGCGTGGGCGATGTTGATGGGACCGCCAGTTCCGATCTTCTTCAGATCGGCAGGGTAGAGCTTCTCGTCATCGTGGTAGGTAGCGCACTTGCGGAGGTAGTCGACACAGTGATCCCAGTTCCACTCGGGGCCACCGAATTCCTCCCAGTCGTCAAAGGTAGGCTTCGAACCGGGAATCCAGGTGAAGTAGTTGGCACCGGAACTTCCACCAAGCATCTTTCCACGGGTGTTGGGCTTCTCAATTCGCTCGTAGTCGTCGCGCTTGACCATAGTAGACTTGTAGGCCCAGTCATGCTTGCTACCACGGAGGTTGAAGGCCTTGGAAGGGGTGGTGATCTCCTCGAACTGGTCAGGGTTGGGAATACCGGCCTCGACGACCAGGACGCGGACCTCAGGGTTCTCAGCGAGACGGCCGGCAACTGCGTTTCCAGCAGTACCACCGCCCACGACGATGAAGTCGTAGGAAGAGCCGTTAGAGACAGTGGCCATTGTTGTTGAAGGTGACTGTGATTGTTATGGGAGAACAATTAAATTGAAGGTGAACTTCAGTCACTGCTTGTCAGTGTCAACAGATGAGATTGTATGTATTGTGAGTGTGTGGATGTGTCAGATCAAAGTCGCAGCAGCTGAGATCAGCCAGGGTCTTTATATCTCTCCATCCTGTGTACAGTGTAAGTGTCATACTTGGAGACAAATCTCCCTTTCCGGGTTAAGAGCGAAGGCCGCGAGGACCCGAAGTCGCACTTCAAGCAGTAGTAGTACCGGATAGGGTTAGTTGATCTCATTCGTATGCGCGCCACGTGGAACGGATGAACTAGGGATAAACTAGTTCGGTCCGAGTTGATGTTCGTGAGGAGAAAAGCCGCATTCTCGAAGGATGTTGGTATGGGATGGGATGGAATGCCTCAGAAACCCCTGTGGCTGCGGCGGTGGCTAAGTAGGCTCGGCAATTACTCTGCGATAAGTCGGCCTCCCGCCCAATCTGGTTCCGGCCCTTTTCGCTGACGCTTTTTTTGGCATTTCTACCCCTCACGTCTTTCCTATAGTGTTGTCTTACCCCTCACGGATCTAGTATAGACAGAATGCCTTTGCTTCGATGTTTCAGATCTGACCGGTGGATATCCCTTTGTGGCGCTGCCTCTGGTATTTTTTCGATCTGCTTCCGGCTTTCCCCTCACGGGATGATTATCTATACAACGGGATTACTTCGGGCTCTGCCCCCAAGTCTCGAACGTCATCGAAAACGTATTAATGTATAAATATATAATGAAACTAATAAAGGGCCAGACCCCCTTCCCCAACACTTAGGTACTGACCATTCAAACTACCCTCAATTGTCATTCAACTGGAGAAACCAAACAGTCGCAATGTCAAAGCCTACCTTTACCCTGGCCGAAGGTGCGTTTGTGCAAGCTGACAACAAGACAATTGCTCTAGTTTTCTCTTCTGTTCTAACACGTAGCTACAGGCCAGCCCGTTAGAGACCCCTCTGTTAGCACCACGTTGCCTATCGTTGGCGGTGGTGGTATCACGACCCTGGGTGACACCCTCCTCCTTGAGACCCTTGCGCACTTTAACCGCGAACGTATCCCTGAGCGGTAAGAAACAATTGTCACGCGTCACTTGCGAATTCCTAGTTTCTGACGTTTTGAATAGTGTCGTCCACGCTAAGGCTGCAGGAGCATGGGGAGAATTCGAGGTCACCCAGGACAACTCATGGCTCACATCGGCCAAGTTCCTGAACGGTGTGGGCAAGAAGACTAAGGTGCTCTTCCGTCTCAGTACCACTGGTGGTGAGAAGGGTAGCTCAGACCTTGTCCGTGATGTGCGTGGTTTCTCCGTCAAGTTCTACACTGAGGAGGGTAACCATGACATTGTCGGAAACCACCTGGTAAGTTTCTACGCCATGTCCCTTGACTTGGGTTATGATCCATATTCTAACCTCTCCTCAGCCGGTTTTCTTCGTCCGTGACCCTATGCGATTCCCGGCCGTCAACAGAAGTCACAAGAAGCACCCTATGACCAACCGATCCGATTGGAATATGGTAAGTAGTAATATCTCATTCTTCTTTGCCTGATGAAGCTAACTGTTTCAGTTCTGGGACTTCCACGTCAACCAGCCAGAGAGTGTCCACACTGTGATGCAGCTCTTCGGCTCTCGCGGAATTCCTAGCTCGATCCGTCGCATCAACGGTTTCGGTGTCCACACCTTCAAGATGGTTACGGCCGATGGCAGGTGGCGCTACGTCAAATTCCACTTCAAGCCAACTCAGAAGTTCGCCGGTTTCACTGGACAGGAGGCCAACAAGGTGCAGGGAGACAACCTCGATTACCATACCGAGGATCTGTGGAATGCTATTGCCCGTGGACAGTACCCTGTCTGGAGACTGTGTGTGCAGGTGATGGAGCCTGAGCAGGCCGAGAACTTCGGTCGCGCTCTCTTCGATATCACCAAAGTCTGGCCTCAGAAGGAGTTCCCTCTGATCGAACTTGGTCGCATGACCTTGAACAAGAACGTAAGATTACATTGTATTGGAAGACGATAAAGAAGCAAATGCTGACAAAACCACCTCCAGCCTGAGAACTGGTTCGCTGAGATCGAACAAGCCGCATTCTCACCCTCGAACATGGTCCCCGGTATTGCCATGACTCCTGACCCTATGCTGCAAGCCCGTATGTTCGCCTACCCTGACGCCCAGCGATACCGTCTGGGAGTCAACTACACACAACTTCCTTCCAACCGTCCTGTCTGCCCCGTCTTCGCGCCGTACGAGCGTGACGGTATGGGAACCATCACCCGAAACTACGGAGGTGAACCCAGCTACGTGCGCAACTCTCTCGGTTCAGGTGCCCCTGGCCAGAACATCTCAGCAACGATGCAACACACCGAGCGTATCGAACGCAATGCTTTCCTCGGCCAGAACGAACTTGCCGTCACTGACGAGGACTTCGTTCAGCCACGAGACCTGTGGAACAGAGTCTTCGATGAGGATGAGAAGAATCTGTGGATCGGAAACGTCGCGGGAACCCTGGAAAGCGTGTACCCTGAGCTCAAGGACGCTGTCATTGCCATGTTCGGCAAGGTCGACCCCCAGATTGCTCAGCGGTTGGCCGCCAAGACGAAGGAGAGCCACCACCTTTAAACGACTAGAGTTCGTCACCATCCTGTACACCAATGATTAATTAGAATGGAACAATGATGTTTACTACATATACTCTATCGCATTCAACAAGGACCAAAACGTAGTCATACTCCTTTCTTCTGCATCCAGTAATCTATAGATGCAGCTATCTATCTCAGATGTAGCTGTCATAGTAAAGACAATTCCGGCCTTGATTACGACTATTTACTTTTGCCCCAAAATTAGTATTTCTGTATTAGGCAATACTAAACCCAACCTTAATTCTGTGGCGCAGATAAGGTTTCTTGGATCCCGGTACCCAATCAGAGACATTTGATATTTAACCCAAAATCCGATACTCAGGAACCAATCGGAAATTGCGGCTACTATATCCAAATCTGGTAGCCCGATCTCCGAATAACCATAATAATACGCGCATTATTATTGTGATTGATTCGTCCAAGAGTGCAAAATAATAATAGGGAGAGAAATTGCTCATAACGAACTATATTTAGCCCTCTTGGGGTTGGTTTATCCTCGGAGGTGGCGGGAAGGGACTTGTCACATTCCTGAATATAACCGTGTAGTTAACTAGCTAACCCCTGAGCATATTATTATTATTACGGACCTCGGGATACCATGTCTTCGTAGTTACCCCAATGCGGGGAGGGGGTAGATAGTTTGGGATTCTCCACTAAATCCAACCCGGACTCCCGGTGCCTCGATACGAATATCCGCTGCCATCAACAACATGACAAGGACGGTAGACAAGACTAATGGACGTTAATCGATCAGATATCGATTACATACCTACAGAGATGAAGAGAATCCATCACTCATTTCTTAATAATACCCAGCGCGAGATTTATAACTATGTCATAATCCCAATAATAAACCCGTTTGGTCTTATTCTCCGAAATCTGCCCCCTTTTTTTCCCAAGTCAACAAACAGTAAAAAGGGTTGAGGATACTAAACGTACTTCATGCAGATCCTCGGCCGTCTTTCGCACTCTAAAATGCACGGTCGATCCCGCCACAATCCGAGCGGAGCCGCTTTGTCTCTCGAAGATCTCCGAGTCTTTGATGTCCACGACAAGGGAAATACTACTGTAATTGGCCATATGCACCCTCCAGTGTTGCTTGCATGCCGGACGGGCCGAAGACAGGAGCCGACGTATGGGAACGCCGGAGCTTCTATTCTGTCTAGTTCGGGAGATCCTTAGTCATGCGCCGCCCATGCCGCTAAAGTCGCGCTAATCCGCAGGCGTCGATATGTATACGTGATCGGCAGCGTAGAATGAAAATGCATGGGGGATTTGAATACAGCGAGGAGGGTGCTTTGCAGATGCCGTTATTGTAGAATAGATACATGGATACGGGAGGCATGCGCGGTTTCGTATATAATAATAATATGCAACTAAGGATATTGAGGCTGCTAAATATGTGAGCAAAAGAGGATGTAATTTCCCTTTTTATGTTTGTGTCTCAAGATGAAGATGTAGATTTCCTTCTTCCTGCCTATACGTACAGTACTACTTACTCTTCTGTTCTTAACGTCTCCTTGATTTAGCTAACCAGTTAGTTAACAATTTACTATTGCACTTTGCGCAGCTGATGAAATTGTCAAATGTTCGAAGAGCACGGAAGCACGGGCTGATTTAAATAACCTTGAATTGCTTGCTTGATTCTAGTTCTAGGGGGTTTTGAACCCGTATTCACCTTTGTAACATATAAAGAATATAGTAATCTATGAAGTTCTATCCTATATTATATAGGACATAGAATCTGCTGCAAACTGTCGAATCCTAAACAGCACGGAAGCAGGATTTGAATTGCTTGCTTGACTCTAGGTCTAGGGGGGGATTTGACCCCTTATTTATCTCTAGCATACAGAGAATCCAGTAGGTTCGATCCAATTCCATACGGGAACGTTGTGTAACAGATGATTGCAGATCACCTGGCGTTTGCTTTACACGCCGACACAAACGGACAATTAACATATCACCTAGATGTTCCCTCTGTGCGCCGATATAAATCTCTTGCCTATTTGGGCAGTCCCGCATCGTATCTTTAAAGGTGGCGAGTGGCGAGTGAAAAGGTCATTGGATAGTTACAAACGAAATTAGTACATGATTAATATTCGATTAGAGCACCGAGTGCTTTTTTCAAACAGTGACTGGATCTTCTCATGCTGGCGAATCCATTATATTTTCCTTTCTGCGACCGTACAGTAGGATACACTTGCCATTTATATATAGCGGCAACACTGTTTCCGGGACGACTGCTGCACTGAGTATATTATTACAAAAGGGCGATACTATGTCAAGTCCAGGTGCTAGACGGGCGCATTACAGTGCCCTGAGTGTTGAAATACGTATTGCTTTACCCCTAATGCAATCCAATACAGGGAAAAACACATCGTGAAATATGAATTCAAGCTCAACTTTCCCTGGCTTGATAAGAACATGTCTCCCATTCAGGTCGCGGACAGGCCCGCGAGGACAAGGAAAACATCCTCGACACTTCTTTTGCCGTGTGCCCTTGAGGTTAAAACCTTGACCAGAACATGAAACGCGCAGCTCACCATAGGTGATACAGGTCAACACTCATACATGCTGATGTACAATAGACACCCCAGTACAGGAACAACTGACAGGAACGTACCTTTGTGGATGTCATCCCACCATGAACAAAGCTTTGACTCCGGATACAAAGAATTCCTCAACATCCTCTTTATCACTTTCGTCTCATATCCTTACCCCATACCCTTGTCCTTTACTTTATCTCCTCTCTTCCCCCTTTATCTTATTTCTTTATGCTTTGTGCCCCAATTCCCGTCCATGTCGCAAGTAGTTGTCGGATCAAGGACAACGTGATGTATCAATGGAGACCGGATGCGCGTCGAATGGCTGTTGCGCGTTCGTTGTCGATGGCACAGGTAGATGGCGTAATAGTTGTTGGTGATATCCGAAAGGTGAGCCAGCCCCAGCTTGGTGTCGAATGATGCCATAGGGTTGAGGATACGTAAGAATCGTTCGGAGGAGGAGGAGGATGATGATGATGATGATGATGATAGAAGCCGTATCAATGGAGAGTGTTGATGCGCCGGTGAAGTCGTGTCGGTAAGTTCGGAGTCGGAAGTGGCATCTCCAAGCTGGGGCGGCGAATAGAGTTGGATCGTAGATCCGAAGATGAGAGCGATCTTGACATCTTGTTAGTATGCATATACATTGGAATAAAAGGACTCTTACATAGTAGGCTCTGGTCGTCCACTGCGGTGCGGATGGAGTTTAGCCAGTCTAGATCAGGGGTGGTCGTCAGTCACTATTCCAACATGAAGACTGGATAACACTTACAAGCCCCGTGACTCACTGGGCCTGCCGCGATGCAGTGGGAATAATGAGAAGCTGCCCTCCAATCCTCCTACGGGAGGACTGGGCCTGGCGTGCATCACAAAAGCCCAGCTGTGACTACGATAGTACGTAGTGCACGCGGTCGCCTTTGGAGCTACTGACCCAGGTCTTTGCCATTGGTGCCGGTACCTAGGAATATAGTCAGCAGAGTTCAAACGCAGTTCAAACGCAGAGCAAGAGAATGTTTCTTACAGCTAGCAGAGCTGGACCAGGCTGCCTGCAGCCCGTAGACACACGGTCTATTTTTTTATTTGGCGAGCTATGTTGCAGGCCATAAGGGCAGCTTCAGTATGTGCGTTTATACTCATGCAGGAGTATCCGTTCTCGACTAAGGAGGTTGTCCTCGCGGTGTCGGCGAGGTTATCCTCTCAAAGGAGCTTTGCCACTTCCAACCTGGAGAAAAAGAAACTATGTGACGCGTTGTTAGCAAGTGCATGTATAATCAGAAATGACATAGTTCTTACAGTGGGAATGCCAGGTCGGAGCTTCACTGCGGAGCGGACTACATTTTTTTTAGCCAGCCTATAACACAGTTAGCTTTCATCTGACTTGGAAGGCATGGAGGAATGGATAGCACATAGCACTTACAGGTTCTGCTATCTACTGGGCTATCCGCTTTATGCAGATCTGAGGCAGAAGGAGATCACGGTCCTGTGGCATGGTGAGCAGAAGGGACAAGGGGACATAGTTACCTGAAAACGAATCTGCGGTCCCGAGGACTGCGTGCTGGTCTCTGGAAAGAGTACAAGAGAGGATAATATGTGTAAAGAAGAAACGAATGAAGGAAAAGTGATTTATTTTCAAGCTGGAGCTGAGCTATAGGATGTGTTCTATGAAGGATGGAAGAATGACTGAGATGAATGTGAGAACAACACGCCGTGAGGAAGGAAAAGGTGAGGTGGAAGAGAGAAAGAGCAGAGGAGGGAGAACAGGAAGGAGATGGCCAGTTTTATGAAAGGGGTGGCTGGTCGAAGTGGGAGGCCGCTGGCCATATGAGGGCGAAAGAGCATATGAGAGAAATAACACGGTACAAAACACGCCTGCTCACTGTGACGAAAGCAAAGAACCACCCAGCCCCCCCAGATATCTTGTCCAATTTCATGTGCTTAACACGGTGAAGCTTCCTGATTGGACTTGCACTGCTCAATAGTGAACTCTCTTATCAAAAGTAGTATTTCACATGGCATAGCCCTGCTCCAGTCTGACAATCGGCGCCAGAGATGGTATCGTTACCCCCAGTCCATGAAGTTTCCCGTTCGAAGATGAACTACTGAGCTTTATATCTTCCTGGCACCAACATGTAGCCAGATGAGCCCAGTGAAAAGGCAAGAGCGCCCGATCCTTTTGGCTTCAGGCAACGTTCAATCCATCGCGAGTCGAATGATATCGTGGATGGCGTGAAAGGGCAGTGGCTGGGATCGAGGAAGCCGGAAAGAGCATCCCGATATCGTAGAAGAGCTCCTCCATCACATGCAGTCGAGAGTCTCGTCACTGGGAAAGGACGATGGAAACTATAGCTGATTGAGTCTGTCAGTGGGCAGTCGTTGTTCTCTGCCAGTAAGTCGAGGACAGGCATCTTTTCGAGAAAGGAGAAAACGATCTACAGTATAAGAAACAACAAGGTAATCATAATATGTATAATTCTTTGACTGGGAATTGGTATATAGAGACCCGGACAAAAAGTTCGATATGCATGACATGATTTCACCGTGGCTCATACTCAACATCTAGACAAACGCCGCGTACAAGACCGTACACCAAAGAAACTCCTACCAACTTTTGATCCTTTTGAGGAAATGGGTATCAGATACAATGAAACAGTTGACTTGGTGACAATCACCCCGAGGGCCGGTACCCTACCAAGTTCGTAGGGAAGGCGCCTCGAAATCACTGCTCGGTGGCACATTCCGTCACGAATGACGCAAACTGCGAAGGAAAGGACAGCGAATATGAGCGAGTTGTCGCGTTCACCCCGAGCCTGGAGCAGGCGGACTGTTGTTGGACTCGGTCCAGACCCTGAGTTCAATATTTCTCAGCTGATGACAGCAAACAGGACCAGGCCAGTGTCTTTATTACCCGCGGACCAGGTTGTCGGCGTGCAAGAACCGGCGACTGGAGACTCGTCTGCTTTTTCTGGATATGGGAACAGTGGACCGGTAACACCACTTCCATGAACCGAATCACAGACATCAACAGGTGGTCGACGATAGCGAAGGATTCTCCTTCCCAGCTTGCTCTCTCTCAGGCAATCTTTCTACCAACATTGCCAATACCCCGACCAACAACACTTATCACAACATCTCCATTCTCATTCTCTCCAGACGCATCCCGGATACCCCAGCCAGGAGCACCGAACTTGGTCAGGTCCCTTGCTAACTGTATCAGGTTCTCATCCGCAATGACCTCTCTTCCTAGCTGCAGACGACCAACATCTTCTGATCCCATGGCCATGAGCGTCACCATTATAGGGGCTGATGCAGGAGGCACACATCCTCCTTTCGAGATAGTTTCGAGCAACTGGTATGCACACTGCTTTCCGATATCTTCGGGAGGAGTACCGCCGGATGGAGGCGACGCCAGGTCGGCGGAAAATAGACAGCCCGTGGAGGATTCAGCAACAAGGGAGAGACCAAATCCAAGACCTGTCTTCTTCTTGGCTGAGGGGTTGTTCTTCTCCGGAGCCGACATCAGCGGCGCAGAAGATACGTCAGAGAAGATATATGTGTCGGGAACCAGTTGGTTAAGGACTCCTCTTGCGGTCTCGATCATTCTGGAATTGTTGGAACCAGCCACTCCAGTCGAGTATGCGACACCACGGATTCTCTTTATCCTTCCCGGGTTCAGCAAGTGCAGAGTCTTCGGAAGGCGGACCTGGTGGCCAAAGACCAGCTGCACCTCTCCACCACCACCTCTTCCGTTGGGTCCGGGATTAGAACGTTTGAGAACGCGCAGTTCGATATTGTTGAAAATTCCAAACTGGTTAAAGAGAGGGAGGACAGCGGTTCTGACGCTGTCCACAGACATATCACCGGTCGGGGTACTGGAAGTGATAACACCAGGGCCGGTGAAGAGAACATTGACCGGAGCTTTCGAGAATGGAGCGAGCAGACATAACGGCAGCAAGAAATAGCTAACTCCACGCGAGCAGTTGGCAGGAATTTCATGCCTAATCACACCATTGATGGCACCCGAGCCTTGTGCGCTTCCTGTGATCAAACCCGGTTTGTAGACGACGATTGTACCGGTGTAGGAAATTTCCATTTGGGAGCCATTGGTGACGGCTTCCAGTAGACGCAGAAAAGAGATTTCATGAGGCGCCAGACCAGGGTTGGAAGCAGATGATGGTCGAATCTGCGAGATATGAACGGCACGTCCGGTCAATGTCGCCAGAACCAAACGGTATACCAGGTTCCTGTGCGTCGTAAAGCGCACCGGAGGCTGAGGGGTTGCCATCTTCTCCCGGTTAGATGGCTAATTTAGAAATGAAGTGATACCCAACCGAAATATGCAGTTGAACTGAACTGTATTCGAGCTCTGCCTACCGCCGAAGAAAGCCTGCGGATTTGAAAAATTGACGACGAAATGTTTTTCCGAACCGACCGCCGCGATCTTTTCTTGGCATCGCCAGTTAACTCCGCAGTAACCCCGCCGCCTATCCAAATCGCATCCGCGGATTATTATTCACTATTGCGCTTTTCTTTCGCTGCAGCGCATCTTCTGCATACTATCCTACTATTAGTCGACTTACCCAATTGATCCAAGCAATATAACAGCAGTCATAATGCTTCCTCCAGCCTTGAACATTCCAAAATGGTATGGATGCTCGTACAGTACATCAGTACCAACTTTGCCCCTCCCCCGCATTACTCCCATGGCAACCTGCAACCTGCGTAGCTATTCAACAAATCATGCAAGTCGAGACTAATGAGTATGGTGTTACAGGCTCGAAGCCAATTCTCATCTCCTTCAACCTCCAGTAAATAACTACTGCGTCTACCACCCGTCCTCCCCGGCCACAGCCGGCTACACCGTCATGATTGTCGGCGGCCCCAACGCGCGAACAGACTACCACATTAACACCACCCCGGAGTTCTTCTATCAGCATCGAGGATCGATGCTTCTCAAGACCGTCGACACATCCACTAATCCACCCACGTTCCAGGATGTTCCCATCCAGGAGGGCTCCCTGTTCCTGCTCCCAGCCAATACCCCGCACTCCCCCATCCGATTTAAAGATACTGTGGGCGTGGTCTTGGAGATGCCACGACCTAAGGATGCCGTGGACATTATGCGATGGTACTGTCGGAAGTGTGGAGAGATCGTATGGGAGAAGCGCTTCGTGTGCACCGATCTGGGCACGCAGGTCAAGGAAGTTGTGGAAGAGTTTGGCGCAGATGAGGGCAAGCGAACGTGTAAGAACTGCGGAACGGTGGCATCGACCAAGTACGCAGAGGGAGAAGTCGTGCAGCCACCGCGATTCCCGGAGTAAGAGAGAAAGGGTGCTGTTTATGTATAATTCCAGGGGCAAACACCACTGGATTGTTCCATTATAGGTGGTAGTTAGTATGCGGGGTGATGCCGATGTAGTGTAGAAATAGAAAATATATAATACCCGTCTCGCTTCAGTCGCTTATGATGGATGTCCTCATGAGTACCTTGTGGTCATAAATACAAAGTACCATAAATAACCCTTGTAGATTGCAATGTCTACACAATGTCCAATCAGACATAGAATGCACAATGCATGACTCAATAATCCTGATGCACAGCCTATCCAACCCCACCACGTTCCATTTCGAGATAATACATAAGAACTTCAAGACCAATATCCAGAGTACCTGGGCAAGAACAAGAGCAAGCACGACTCCAAACTTCAGCGAAATGAATTATATCTTACATTATTATCAACTATAACATACCCTCCAGTGAGGCTATTGAATCGATGCCCGAATGTGTCATCAGCGAGGGAACTCAGAAAGGCACGCATTCCACATTGCGTTTCCGGGAATAGAATCAGAGTAAAAGAAGGCAATGGGCAAGCATTGAGTAAAGAAAGTGTGAGGGTATCAAGATACGAATAAATCCAGTAACCCACCAGAATGGATGATGAAAGAGAAGGGGGCAGTTAAGTTACAGGACATGTGAGAATCGAATAGAAGTGGATTTTGAAGGCAAGGATGGGGGAAAAAATGAATGAGGTATCGAACCAAAGAAGAGATTGTACATGATTGAATAAGCAGCCATCATCATCATTATCATTCAAGAAATGAAGTGATAAGCACAACACCGGTTTACGAAACGCTTCTGTGCTGTCAAAGCTGCATGCAGAAAGAAAGGAAAGGATATACATTTATATTGTCCTTCTCACATGAACACTGGGTAAATGCTCGATTAATCCTCAAATGGGCAATCGATACTTTCATGGCCGTCACGTTCGCAGAGCGCGCACCATTTGCTCTCATCAACCACGCCAGATTCCTTTCCGGCGACGGGAGACATAGAAGATGTAAGACCGCCGATCCCCTTGAGGCCTTCAAGGACCGCGTCCCGGCCAGTGCGCTGAGAACTCGGGCTGCTCGCAAGGTTCTTACGGATGTTGAGACCACCTCCGCTGAGACCAATTTGGGTGACTGGGCCACCCACGTGAGGCATATCAGGCTCAGGAGTTACAGGCATGGCAGCGGCATTCTGCGTCTTTCCATTGGCATTGCCAAACATGTTTGTACAGGTGAGAATGTCGTGGCCGCTCATCTCGCAGATCTCGCACCAGGCTGCAGAAGAACCCGCATCAGAAGATTGGTTGTCAACTTCATGCATCGTGTCGAGTCTCCGCGGCATATCGTCACTACGGCCACGGACAAGCGCCGGACGCTGGGCAGTGTCATCCTTGCCATCGTTCCACTCGTTGGGAACCACAGTGCGGTCAGAGCGCTGGTGAGCGTGGTGAGGACCGTGAGGTACATTTGGATTGGTTCCATTTCCGGCACTGGTTCGTTTACTAACAGTTGCGCTGCGGTTACGGCCTGGAGCAGTGTCGTTCAGATGCATCTGTTCGAGTTGACGCTCCAGCTCCTCAATTAGGTTGTCCTTGAGCTCTGTGATACCCTCAAGTTGCTGGACACGCTCCTCTAGTTGAGCAACCTTCTCTGGGTTTTGGGACTCATGGTCTGCCCCCGACGCCCCGTCCTGGCGCAACACGGCCGGGTTCGCTTCTCCCCTGCTCAATGAGTGGATGATTGCTTTGAGCCCGCGGATTTCGTCCTCTTTCTGATCCAGTTCTTTGACGTGCCGTTGGCTATCTGAAGACGACTCCACATCCTTCAGAGCGGCTACGGCCTTCTCACGCTCCTGCTTCAATTCCAGCTTGGTCCTCTCTACTTCGCCGCGCAGGAACTCGACCTCTGCCCGGGCTTCGGCTTCTCCTCGTCGAGCGTCCTCGAGACCCTCCTCGAGCTCCGACACCAATTCTTCCAGCTGCTTCAGCTGCCTCGCGACGGTCTCCACATCTTCGCCGCGGTCTTGTAGTTCTCTGTTCTGTTGCATCAGTTCATCCAGTCTTCTCTCGTAGACTCTTTCCGTCTCCGATGCAGCTATCTCCAGCGTATCTAGAGTGCTCCTGAAATCGGCCCGGTGGCTGTCGAATTCCGCTGTCAACTGGGCAATCTTCTCATTCTTCTCGCGCAATTGAGCCCTGATAGAGAGAGCATCTGATCCCTCCAGCTCCGTGATGCTCTTCTGGAACTCGGCTAGCGTAGCTGCTTGATCCTCCAATTGCTTGTCGCGATCCTTGAGTCGTGCTTCGAGTTGTTGAACCTTGTCTCTCAATTCCTGCAGCTCTGCCTGTGCAGCTCCTCCCGCTTGCAACCGGAGGGGATCGCTTGTTCGGACGGACGTTGGAGTGTCATCCTCTACACTCACTCGGGACGGCGGTCTGTCTGACAGGCGTGAGGGTGTCTTCATCGGCGATCTGGAGAAACCGTTTGTAGGTAATGTCCTCATCTGAGCGGACGGGGTTCGTAATCCCGCCAAGTTCAGTTTCGACGGAGGTGCTCCACGAGGAGACTCCGGACGATGTAGAGAAGGGCGTCGCATCCTGGGTTTAGGCACAGCAGGGCTAGGACCGACAGACTTGCTGAAGTTCATCGTTGAGGACTTGATAGGAGACTTCACGGGCGATCTCACGGGCGTTGGCGGAGTGCTGACGAGGCGCTTCGTGACATATTTGTTGTTGTTTATCGGGACGAAAATCCCAGAGCCTGGAATAGATGTTTTGAAGTAGGTTCGTCCGTCGACATCTCCGTTATTCTTACCTCTGCTCGCATGTTCGGCGGCGAGCTCGACTCCAGCAAAGCGACCTGGTTTGCCAGCGACGGTACCAATAAACCGTACTGTCCCGTACATTCCTCCTGGCACGTTGACCAGGTCCCCGACCTGGATGTCGGCCATGTTGACGACTCAGACCTGGTCAGGGCCTTGTGTGTCCGTGTAGTTTTGTAGCTCAGAACCGTGACAGGCAACTCGAGGGACAGTGACAGCAAACTCCTCGCTTGGTGAGAATGAATAAACTGGACTGGAGTGACAGCGCTGCGATGCTGTGTTGTCGGAGAACATAGGATCTTCTTCGGGCCACAGCTTTCAGCTTTAGTTAGTGCTGGCCTGGTTTCTGGGGCGTTCGTAGCCTCGAGGCCCGCTTGGGGCAGAACTGTACCGGACTGTCGGGCCAAAGGTTGGCTGCTAGAGGATCAAAGCAATCTCAGGATCGTGATACGGCGCACTGGAGAGCTCAAGTACTCGAGTAGTTTGAATAAGGAGAGGGGTTGCTGGGCATAGTAGAGCAAGTAAACATTGAGCGGGCGCGGGATGAACCATGGAGCGTGCCTGGAAGTCTAAGAAAAGACGAACCGCCACGTCTCCACTGAGTCGCGGTTACGAGTCAAGAAGAAGAATATTAATATCTTATCCCAGATCGATGGTCCTCCGTCAATGCGCCCCTTCTCCTATATCCACATTGTACTGTACAGTCTGCTCTACGGAGTGATATTATTCTCCTGTCGTAAATTCCAAAGCAGGCTCTCCTGATTGCTGGTCCGGGCGTGTGAAGCTCGAGCCTCGAGATCTCTCCGCGTACGCTGCGACCGGACACCTGGCCCATCATACCAACACGAACACCAGTACACGGCTCTGTCTGCCCGACCTCATACAGGCAGGATGGCGCAGTACTTTTTCGATCTCCTTTATACCTTTACGGATTGCATGTGTTGCTTTCCGAACTCTCCGCAGCTCAAGATTAACAATCGCAGCTTCAAGCTGTTACGGTTACTAGGCGAAGTAAGACCATTGTCGCACCCATGGCACAACCGTGCAGAATGCATCTAATACAATTGCTTTGATCAGGGCGGCTTCTCATATGTCTATCTCGTTCAAGACAAGTCTACGTCAGAATTGTTCGCCCTCAAGAAGATCCGGTGTCCCTTCGGTCAGGAATCCGTGTCGCAAGCTCTGAAGGAAGTCGAAGCCTACAGTCTCTTCACCGGCACTCGAACTATCATCCACTCCATCGACCATGCCGTGGTGACGGAATCCGCGTCCAAATTCCGAGCCGACGGAGGAGACTCTGGCAAGACGGTCTACATCGTTCTTCCGTACTACCAGCGAGGGAATCTCCAAGATGCTATTAATGCGAACCTCGTCAACCACACACGGTTTCCGGAGAAGAGGCTCATGCAGTTGATGCTCGGAGTTGCGAAAGCTCTCAAGGCCATGCATCAGTACCGCGTGAACCGCAACGCACCGACCACCCGCAAAGCCAAGGCAATCAGAAAAGAAGGGGAGGACGCAGATGAAGATACTGCTGTCAAGGCTGGGAAACCTAAGCGACGACCTACTCGTCGCATGGAAGCAGAACCCGAGGAGGATGAGGAGGAACCTTTGATGGACGATGAAGTGACAAGGAGTCAGGAAGGCGTCCAAGAGGGTGATTTCCGCCCATATGCGCATCGGGATATCAAACCAGGTCAGCTCAGGCATCTACACCCACTTGCTCATGGAATACTAACTGGTTATTTTAGGAAACATCATGATCGATGACGATGGTCGCACCCCTATCCTGATGGACCTCGGATCTCTGGCACCCAGTCCCATCGCGATCACGTCCCGGTCCCTCGCATTAGCCGTTCAGGATACTGCTGCGGAGCACAGCACTATGCCTTACAGAGCTCCAGAACTGTTTGATGTCAAGACCGGCTCGATAATAGATACAAAGGTGGATATTTGGTCGCTGGGCTGCACTTTGTATGCCTGTCTCGTTGGCAAGAGTCCCTTTGAAGCGCGCAGCGAAGAGACTGGCGGCAGTCTGAGCATGTGTGTCCTTGGTGGAGATTGGCGGTTCCCTGATGAAAAAGCCGGTGCTGCCAAGGGCAAAGGAAAGGCGGGTGTTGCGCAGAATGGTGCATCGAACGACAACGAGCCGACTATTAGCGAGCCTGTGAAGGAAATCGTCAGGAAGTGTCTGCAGGTTGAACCAGCAGAGCGCCCTGACGTTGACGAGCTCATCCAGATGCTCAAGAATGTCATCCAGACCCTGCCTGATGATGAAGAGATTGGCAGTTCCTCTCACTGATATGCATCTGTTACTCTTTATCTGCTTCCTGTTCCTTGCCGGTCGAGGGTTCTCAAGCCTTTTTCCTTTATTTATTATACCGTTTCATGATGGCGTTTTGGGTCATTGGAACTGATAGCGGACATCCTTTTACCGTCTCATTGACGGTGACTTGTACAGTTAGGCGAATGGAATGGGTATCGAGTCCCCATTATATACTGTCATATTGGAGTCTCCTCTTTCTTTGCGTGGGGAGTGTAGAAGCATATTCCAGACCGCGATAAGCAAGTAGTCTCAGTATACCACTAGAAGTTTGTAGCAGGACAATAATGTCTTAGGCCTACGAGATGATCACGAACTGGTTGGCAGCGGTTGACAACCCAAAATGGACGGTCGCCAAGACCAACCACAATCCATCATGGCAGCATCAGCCTAGCGAGAATTGCAACAGTATCACAGGCAAGAAGACAATTAGGTCTCGTGGCAGACGCTCTGGATACTATCATGCCGATTCGACCGTCATAGAAAGGAGCTGGATTGTGACTGTCGAATAGTCTAACGGCCAAATATAGCTGAAGCTTCCACACCCGCCTTTTTTTGGACAACCTCAAGAGCCTGTTTGGCCATCTTCTATCTGCTACTACATCAGACAGACCAGTGATGTAATAATCTTTATATTCTTCTAAATCAGCAAATGGCAACAGGCTCTGAAGATCGCCCAGATCCCATTTCTGGCAGCGACACGGCCGCTGTGTCCCCGTCCTCCGCTCAGAGCGAGAGGAGGCAGAGGCATTCTTGTGTCCTCTGTTCCAGACGAAAAGTGAAATGTGACAAGCACCATCCCTGTTCTGCATGCACTAAGGCTCAAGTCCAATGCGTTTTTTCCTCCCCGGCTCCTTCGCGGAGACACAAGAGGAAACATGTCGAAGAGGATGTCTACGCCCGCTTGAGGCGGTATGAAGACCTGTTGAAGAAGAACAACATCGATACGAGCACCAATGATGGCTGGATTCATTACGGTGTTGAGTCGAGAGCAGCACGTCAAGTGCCTGCTACTTCTAACCAAGTGGCAACAGGGCAGAAGAGCAAGTCTGCTGAGAAGGAGAGGTATGCTGGCCTTGATTCTTATTCGACAGGTTAACAGTGCTGATGAGTCTTCAGCAATCTCTGGGTCTATCTGAGCGACGAGGTACGAGGAATGTTAAATGTGTTCCATATAAATCCATTCACTGATTTTTACAATCCTTTTTGCAGCTTCGTAACCCTTCCCAAGATCGGCTTGCCAAAGCCTCACCTCCTCCAGAGACCATATCCCCCAACCGGGTCGGTCCAGCTGAACCGTCTCCGGACGGGAATTTCCTTTTGTTGGGATCGGTTCCGCCAGGCATTGACCTGGCATCTGCTCATCCACGGCCTTCGAACATATTTCGTCTATGGCAGATATTTCTGAATCAGATCCATCCTCTGACCAAAGTCATTCATGCTCCCACGGTCCAGCAGCAGATTCTGGAAGCAAGCGATGACATCCAGAATATACCGAAGGAGCTGGAGGCTTTGATGTTCGTGATTTACTACTTTGCTGCCCATGGCCTAAAACAGTCCGAGTGCGAAAACTTGTTTGGCGAGGACAAGTCGGTGCTTGTCTCGAGGTATTGTACAGCAGCACAGAAGGCACTGATTGCAGCTGATTTCATTTCGTCATCGAGTTTGACGACCCTTCAGGCATTTGTTCTGTTCTTGGTAAGTCTGATACATATTTCCCAGGCCGATCGTCACATGTATTGCTACATGCTACAGTAATCTTGTCTTGATAAATATTCTGACTTCACAAAGTTTGCAACGCATAAATCGAACTCCTTATTCATCCTTGCTGGCGTTGCCCTGAGAATAGGACAGCGACTCAATCTGACCCAGGTCCAGCCGGGTCCTGGCATAACTCCTTTTGAATCTGAGATGCGACTCCGCCTCTGGTGGCAGATTGCATTCTTAGATCTTCGCGCGTCGCGTGCTGTCGGGTTACACTCATCATGCTCCATGCAATTGCGTGCCTCGCGGCCGCTTGGAGCAGACCTGACGGATGCCGACGATGATGATGTCAGACTACCTCTTAATGTCAACGACTCTGACTTGTATCCTGAGATGAGCTCCCTGCCAATCGAACACTCGGGGCCAACTGAGATGATCTACTGTCTGATGAAATACGACGCCGCACTCTTTCTACGGCACTCGCCAACAGCCGCTCCGCTCAAGGGACGGCCGCAGGTACTAGCAACTCCAGCGCTTCCAATGGCCGTCAAGGATAAGATCCTCAACGAGCTCGAAGACTTGTTCAACCGAAAGTACTTGCGATATTGTGACCCGCGAATCCCACTGCATTTAATTACCATGACCATGGCGGGGTTGGCAATATCTCGACTGCGATTCCTCTCACACCACCCACGCCAGTATCCTGACGGCCAGGCGTCGTTGTCACGGGAGGAGAACGACATGTTGTTTGCTATGAGCGTTAAGCTTCTTCAGTTGGACACTCAACTCCGCAGGATCCAATTCCTAGAATACTTTCCCTGGCATGGAAACGCTAAAGGACAACTCGACGCCTTTATTTATGCACTCAGTGACCTCCGTCGTCGAACTACAGGAGATATCGTCTCGAACGCTTGGGAGCAAGTCGAGATCCTCTTCGAAGAGCACCCGGAGTTGATCACTGATCGTGAAAACAGCCTTTATTCCGCTCTCCGTGAGCTGACCCTTTCTGCATGGGAAGCCAGAAAAGCAGAACTCGTCCGTCAACGACAGCATGATGCCTCAGACACTGGACCTGTGGATCCAAATTTTATCACTCAACTTCTCTCGTACTCTAACAACACTCAACTCGATTCTCATCATAGTAATAGCACCACCAGCAGCAGCAACAACACCACCAACAATAATAATAATAACAACAATCAGACACCACACACCGACATCCTACCCCCGGAAAACACAATGTCCATTCCAGCAATCATACAAAACCCACCACACCGTCCTCTTCAACGTACCGACCACCCATTGAACAGCACGGGCGGCAGCACCTTTCTGGACTTCCAGAATGAACGATCTGCTGCTGCTGCTGCCACTGAAGTCGGGCTACCAATGAACAACAATGACGACATGGACTGGACGTACTGGGAGGATCTGATGCAGGGACAAAACCAGAATCAGAATTCGAATTTGATCTTCCAGAGCCTTGACGGAGATTATTACGGAAGGCCGTTTTTCGAACAGAATCGGTTTTGGCAGTAATATTCTTCAAAGGATAAGGATAGGGGGGGACGAAGAGAGTGTTCTAGTTAATTACTATATATGGGGTGATCCACGCACTTATTGTAACGTAGTTATCATCCTTAGAAATACCACAGAATCGAATATGGTGTATGGTGTACCAATTATCGGGAAAACAAGTTTTCATGTACTGTACATACATACATTCGGATGGTGAGGTGATATGGAGGCCTGCCTGAACCGTTGAAGGTACCTCTCTATCGTGTGATCTAACCCAGTTACTGTATCGTCGCTCTTTAGTTACCGAACATGCATTATTATTAATTCTCCTTTCGATTGTCATTAAACACAAAACTCGTTATAATCCATTCATCCCACATCTCGATATCCACCAGGACTTTTATGCAACAAACACAGAACAAATGCCGATCATGTCAAAAATATTAACAATAGCAGAGACTATTCTCCCGTTAGATACAACCATTACTTACTATATATAGACTGGGGAGGCTAGGGAGAGTAGGGGAATATTTCAAATCAAATCAAATCCCTCTGCTGCCTCGCTTCGATAATTTCCTCTCTCCCAATCGAACTCCTCTCACACATACCCCAGAAAACGCCCCCCTGGTCGAATAATTCGAGAGGCGTGCCCACTTCCCCGACACGACCCTGATCGATCACGCAGATGCGATCGTAGCCGATGATCGTCTTCAGACGATGCGCGATACAAAGTAGCGTCTTTCCCCTGAAGCCATCGAGGATGGTGCGCTGGATGCGACGATCTGTCTCGAAGTCCACGGAGCTGGTGGCTTCGTCGCAGATGATGATTTGGCTGTTTCGCACGAGGGCGCGGGCGAGGGCCATCAGTTGGCGTTGGCCGAGGGAGAAGTTCTGGCCTTGGTCGTCGACGGAGGTGTCGAGTGTGATGCGGTTCTGGGGTGCGGCATTGTTGTTGTTGTTGTCATTGTTGTTGTTTGGGTCGGCGTCAACGATACCTGCTTGGCGGAGGGCAGACCATAATTCGAGATCGGAGTGGGCGTTGAATGGATCCAGGTTCGAGCGGACGGTGCCTTTGAATAGAGTTGGGTCCTGAGGGATGATGGACATGCGACTGCGAAGATCGCTGAGTCCAACGGTGTTGATGTTGATGTTATCGATCGTGATGGAGCCGCCGGATAACTCGACTAGGCGGAAGAGAGCGCTCATGATACTGGATTTGCCAGCACCGGTACGCCCGACAATTCCGACTTTCTCGCCCGGTTGGATGTGCAGGGACAGCCCTTGAAGAACGAGGGGTAGTTCGGCACGGTATCTCATCTGGACGTTATCGAAGACGATCTCTCCGCGTTCGGGCCAGCTTTGGGGCAAATCGACAGCAGTGTGCTCGGGGGCTTCCTGTTCGAGAGAGAGACCGTAGTAGTGCAATCTCTCGGCGGAGTTCATGTTGTTTTGCATTTCAGTGACTTGTCGAACGGTGAACTGGAGCATTTGCATTATGGATATAACGTATGAGAGAACCAGGCCGCTGATGCTAGGACTGATTTCGAAGCGCGATGTGACCACTAGCATGCATACAATGAACGTGAGGATGATACCGATGGCATCAATTCGTACGTTCAGCCATCTCTGATTGGCAAAGGTCAGGAAATAAGCACTGTTCATGTCATCGATGGCGTCGTTAAGTCGATCCGAGAACTGCTTCTGCAGACCATACGCCCTCACAGTCGGGGTGCCTAGGACGGCTTCATTGAAGCGAGCGAAGACGTGACTGCGGAGGACGGCCTCGTGTCGGTTCACTTCTCTGGCGGATGGTCGGTAATACATGGCCATGATCACGTAGAGAGTAAACAGGGGCACAAGGGCGGCAGCAAAGTAGTAATAATAGGCAATTGTCAGGATGAAAATGGCGATTAGGGAGGCGATGGTCATGCAGGCCATTCGAATGCTGTCAGACAGGTTGTTGTCCATCGTGTCGACATCCTTGGATAGTCGATTCATCACTCGGCCCAGGGGCGTAGTGTCGAAGAAAGACATCGGAGCTCGAACAACACGCTGTAGAGCGCGACGGAGCATGCCTTTACTGGCTCTTGTGCCAAGGATAGAGACTGAGACGGCCCATGCGAAGACTGTGACGGCTGCGACAACACCCAGGGCGGCGTAAACACCTATCTAGAGAAATAGTCAGTATAGCGGTAGGATGCTTGGGAGGTATCTTCAACATACGTAAGCACCTGTCGAGAGGCCAAACTTATCTGATGACCACCATGCCAGCCACAGACTCGTCAAAGTGTTTGCTCCTTGTGAGATGATCAGGAAGAATAGTGTCATAGGAGCAATCCAGACAGAGCCAGTAGACTTGCAATAATCCACGTAAACGCTCATGGGGACTCCCTTGACTGCCCGGTCCTCCTGTTGCATCAGGGCATCAGCCGAATCGCCCTTCTGCTTTTTCGGTCCTCCGGCGACCATGTTCTGATCAGTAGGCCTGTTCTCGACAACGGGGTCAGTTGTGTCGACCGTTTCCATGATACTCTGGAACTCCTCATTCTTCTCCATAAGAGCATCAAAGGTATCGAAGGCAGTAATATGGCCGTCCTGCATAATAATGATCCGGTCGCAGCGATTCAAGATGTGCAATTGATGTGTCGCAAGGATACGGCATTTGTCTTTGAGTAGACCGCAGATGGCATGTTGCATCAGGTGACGACCAACGTGAGCGTCGACGGCGGATAGAGGGTCATCCAAAAGCACGATATCGGCGTCAGAGTAAATGGCTCGAGCGAGAGACAGACGCTGCTTTTGTCCACCGGAAAGGTTGATGCCACGTTCTCCCACCTCTGTCAAGTTACCGTGCGGAAGCATCTCCAGATCATGGCCAAGAGCACAGGCGTCAACAACACGATCGTACTTGTCCTTGTCAAATTCACTGCCAAAGGTGATGTTTTCCAGGATAGTAGCATTCTGAATCCAAGCCTGCTGAGGGCAGAACGCACGAGAGCCACTGATCACGGCGGACCCTCGCACCCGACGCATATCTCCCGCGATAGCAGACAGAAGCGAACTCTTTCCGGAACCAACACTTCCAATGACACCGATGAGTTCTTGTTTACCGGCGACCAAGTTGATATCAAGAATTTTGAAAGGTGGCTGTGGTCCTGGGGTCTCTTCGGAGGTGTCATCGGGAGTCACAGCCTGAGAGATGTCAGTGCTGCTGACGGGCATCTTTTCCGGGTCATGATCCGCGCTGGCTTTGGTCTTTTGTGCCTTCTTTGCTTCCTTCTTCGCCTTCTTCGCATCGAACTTTTTGTTGTTTCCCTGGCCGCCCTTTGCCTCTTCATCGAGGTTTGCTTCCCAGGTAAAGTCTGCGTGCTCGATGGCAACGGCGTCTAGGCTGTCCTTGCGGATCTCAATGTCATCCTTCTGGTCTTCGGCAAGTAGGAACTGCTCGATTCGCCCAATACCAGTGAATGCATCAGCAACCAATCCGATGATCATAGGTAAAATGGTCAACGGCTGACGCAGCTGATTGAACAGCGCCAGCGATGAGAACACCGGTGCAGGGTTCAGCGGATGCTTGGAAAGCTGGAAAGTGATGAATGCCAACATGGATGCAAAGACCGGGATACAGACACCGAAAGCGTTGATACCATTTCGGGTACCAAGCAGCATCTGTACCGATCGCAGCTCTTTGTTTCGAATGGCGGAGATACGCTGCAGAAAGTCGCGCTCCCAGTTGTAATACTTCACAAATCGGATTCCTTGAAGGATTTCCTGCGTGAGGCCGACTCTCTCGTCCGTGAACTTGTTGGCCTTGGCACGTCGACCGAGGAGGCTCTTGACCGCTATGCCCATTGTGGGCACGGCGAGGAAGAAGATGCCGATTCCAGGAAGCGCACTATAGGTCAAGTTGATCAGAAGCAAGATAATCGTGACGATGATAGACACTGGACTGCTCCAGGCCAGGTGAAACCATCCAGACGCTTTGTCGATACGGTAGGTATCCATCGACATCAAGTTGATGATGCGACCATTGCTCCAGCCCTGGCTCTCGCGCGCCTTCTGCGCCTTGCGCTTTTCCTTCTCGTCATCACCGCTCTCTTGCTCCAGCTTCTTCGCATACCATTCCTTCTCCTCCTCACTTCCGGGTTTGATATCCATCGGCAGTTCATCCAAGACTTTACCACCGGCCTTCGCTCTACCCGAGATGGTCATGGCCTTGTCAAAAATCAGCGCAGTCAACGCAGACCGGACCTCTCCACCAAACACCATGCCGCGATACATGAAATGGTTCATGCCAACACTGCTGATAATCTGCATGCCGGCGATACAGAAGACATATCCAATACCTTTGCCGATCGGCGGGCCCTTGGTGTGCGTCTCGTCTGCCACAAAGGCTTCTGCCGCAAAGGCAATGAGGTATTTGAGCACGAACGGGATCAGCACTTGCGACATACTGGCCACTAGTGCGCCAATGGCCCCGATGGTGAAATCCATTTTAAAGGTCTCATAGATGGCGAATGCCAGGGGTCGTTTCGACCCGGCTTTGACGCGAGCGTTGAACCTTTCTTTCAGCTTTCCTGAAAACTGGCGCGCAGAACGGTCTGGGTTCACGAGCCAGATGTCGTTCAGTTCAATGGGACGTTTCCAGCCAACCTGTTCACATAGTCAATATCCCGTATTCCTTGCTCGATTTTCTGTGATTTCGGGATATAGATATATATACGTACTGCCAAAAGTGGAGCAGTCCATTGGAAAGTCAGCAGACTAAGAAACCCGGCATTGTATTCCGGACATACTGTCCGTTCCTTGGGGACAGGCGGTTTTTCTTTTGACAGGATCGTCAGTGTCGGATACCACTTCTTGTGCTGGTGTTTCACAACATCTGGGCTGCTTGTCGAGTCCGCCATTGTCACACCTCTGTCCCTTGTTTTTCTCGGCGATCTCAGACGGACAGAAATCTGCGCCTGGATAAGTATCCTGGGGAGTCGATACGGCCGTCCGACTCTTGCGGTGGTCGGGCACTCACGTCACAGAATAACAGGACATGAGGAATGGCTAATTAATAAATCAACCAAGATGACTCGAAGACGAAAAAAGAGCCCTCGATGTCCTTTTAGACTCTAGATAAGCAAGAAAACTGGCCACAGAGTCACAGTACAAGCGTCCCCACATCCAGCCCGTTTCTCCATCAATCTAGTAGAGGATCCGTATTATTCTAGGCTTCCATCTTTATTCTCCCGTCATTTGACTCGGAACCGAATCCGGGGGACCTGGACTAGTTAGTCTCGACACAATCTCGATGCTACTTCGGATCAATGTGATGTACTGTTCTTGCTCCGACCTGCACGCGCAATTGGTCTTTCTTTCTCTCTTTCTTTCTGTCTTTCTTTCAGAGTCCAAATGTGTACGCAGATTCAGACAATCATCCAGTGCATCTCTCTTTTCCCCCCTCAAACTTCCCGGGCGTCAAATTCGTCCGATCCCGTTGGTCGAAACGAGCGTGTCGGGTCCGGTTCTTCCTAGTCAGGATTAGAACATCGGGTTGTCGGGCCCGAGGGTTCCTGTTATGGATAAGCGCATGGGTTTCTGCAGCAAATCTGGTGGATTATTCAGCACGGACAACCCGAAACGGCATTTCGGAGTCCCGAGTTACTCGATGGGGATGTTCTTCACTGCTCCAACTAAGGCTGCCTGGGCCTTTCGATTCGTATCCCATCGTTGCAAGGGATGGATAGGCCGAGATTAAGTACTTTAGTAACTATACGTTATGTCGTAGTGAATTAACTATTATTAGTCCGTTACGTACTCGTTAGTAGTTACCTAGTTAACCAAGTTAACCACCTCGCACTGTCTAAGATCTGATCTTGTCTCTTCTAGAAGATCACAGTGGTCTTTATTTATTTATTCGATGGCTACTTGATATGGAAATTGTGATATTGATGCTTCTAGACCGCGAGATTGGCACGATCACATCTCCGATTCCGATATAGGTCTGAAAGACCATTCTCTGGGGTGGATAGAAGACTGACTGATATGGTTTCATTCTATATAGGAAATATCATCATTCAAGTGAACGTCATTTTCAAACATTGTCGTGTCGTGGAATCAAGGGGTATTCATTGAGTCGGAAAATGGTCATAGCAGATATACTGTGCTGTACGTATCAAACATAAAAGAGACATGTCTTCATGCACCCATGTGGATGAACGGTGCCCACGACAGCACGTCCTTACTCCGAGCCACTCTTGGGCTCAGTCGGATTCTCTGAAGCGCTTGGTGCAGGCAATAAGCAATGTCATGACAGCGGGAAGTCGAAGGGTCACCTAGCCGGCGCCCAATTTCCTCGTAGAAGAGCTTAGCCACTTGAACGGCGGCTTTGTCGCTGGTGTCCCAGAGGGTTCCAACTACATGCGGGAACCCAATCAGCTGGAAAGCACTGGCGACGTGGATGATTTCGTCCATGAGTTCCTCCGCAGAGTTCTCCGCCGTGGAGCAAGCAGATAGGTACGCCAGACGGGCGTCGTCGTGGTTGAGCATCGAGATCTCTCGAACGGTAAGCCGCTCAGGATTTCCGTCATGGCCGGGTGCAAGCAGCAATGCCGCATCAGAAGGATTGTTTGGATCCGGAGACCCGTGGCATGCAAAGTGAATGAAATGGTGTCGGGGGAGTTCACGCAAGATATCCGTCTTGGACGGCATATCGAGGACTGTATATGTCACAGATCCCATACTTCTCTGGATCGCTTCAATCTCATCATGTGTCTTCAGACTAGGCTTGCCCATGGTCTCAGGCACAGGAACGATTAACATCTTTACATCTGCGTCCGGCGGGGAAGGTCGCTGTCCTTTCTCGCGGGAGAAGCGGAGTCCTTTAAACGTGGGCGTGTAGCTGGAGATAACGTAGTCCATAGTCACAGACTGCTCATCCCCAGCTGCGTGTAGCGGAAACAGACCCATATACCCGCTGGCCACCCACCATAACCGCGGAACATGGTGTTCAGGCTTGGTCGACATGAGCCCCAAATGTAAGAGAACCGGCCGCACCGCTGCTTCCCACAACCACTGCATTATATCCCGGAGTTCTTTGTTCCGTTTTGCCTTGGTGCTCGGCTTGCCACGAGATAGCCGTTCATTCCCTACCAGACGTGCAGCATTGCGTTTCAGTTCATCCAAGGATAGGTCAAGAGGGATGCTAACAATACCCCTCTTGGTCGCAATCAAGGCGTCGCTTCGGTATTCGGTAACATTGAACGCTGCTACAGGGCCTTTCTGGGCAAGTTCGACAAAGTCGGCCGCCGATAATGGAACGCGGAAATGCTCAAACCCGGAGATAGTCCGAATCTTCTGCTCAATGGCTTCAAGTTCCTTCATACTCTCCGTCCGTCGTGAGATAGCATTCGAAAAGTTAGTCTTCAGCCCTTGGAAGTTCAACGATCCGGGGGTTCGCTGATGCTTGAGCGTGTCCGCACTGGGTGCCATGCCATTGCCGGACGGAAGCAAAATCTGTCGACGCAGTTGTATGTATTGATTGTACAGCAGCGGGTCAATGCGCTGCAAGCCGGATATATCAGCGCGTAGATCGATGGTCAGACTGCCAATGACGCCCCGGCCAGCTTCCAACATCTCGACAGCCTCTGCGGCCGAGCCGCCCGCCTGGAGCACAGCAGATGCAGCCAGTGATGAGAAATTGGTCATGTTCTTGATCAGGTGTTGCTGGTCATCACGATTCAACCAGCGGGGTACCAACCACGGCAAGAGCTGCACAACATCTCTGGCTACAGTCGTAGCCTTAGCCCAGTCCTCTTTCCTAACATGACAGTCGAAGGCGTTTTGGCCGGCCTTGATGCGATCCAGAGGCGGCGCGTTGTACTGTTGAAGAGCTTCGGTAAAAAGAGCGACGGGCTCTCGATTGCCAGTGATTATCTGCCCCCCTTGGACACATGGATCCCTGAGCAAGGAACCAAGGTGATTTAGGTACATTGCACAGTTGGGATGTCCCTGGGGGGCTGCATCGACTGCTTGAGAACCCTTCCGAACAGCTTCCTGCAAGTCAGAGAGATGACCCTGACTCCGAAAACGATCGAGAAGCCTGCAGCTCAGATTATGTAGTAAAACAGGACGGTCCGGGTGACGGTAGAGAATCATGTTCAACGCCTTTTGTCCGAGCAAGATTGCTTCGTTTAGGTCCGCAGTAGATTTAGTCTTGAGGAAACGAGCTCCAAGATGAACACTCAGACTGTTCAGAATGCTGACGCGAATCGGTTCATCCTCTCGAACTATTGCTGATGCTTGTTGTCCCATCTCGATCGCTCTGTTGAGATCACTCACAGTGTCCGTTCGTTTGTAAAGGCTACCGAATTGATTGCCAAGAGTGTATAGGAAGCTGACTCGGCAAGGGTGGTTGAAGGGAGTTAGATGAACAACCTTCTGCATGAGATAAATTGCTTCTTGCAGATCCACCAAGGCGCCAATTTGCTCAAACCTATGCGTCAGCTGAGAACTCAGACTGTACAAAAGCTCAGCACGGATAGGATCGTCCAGAGAAGCAATTGTTAGGGCCTCCTGACTGGCGCGGATTGCGGTTTCAAGGTCGGTCAACCAGCCGGTCCTCAGGAAGCTGATCTCCAGTCCGATGCTCAGTTCATTGAGGCAAATAGCACGGTTAGGATTGGCGCGTGATATCCCATCCATAGCTTTCCGAGCGAGTTGGATCGATTCACGGATGTCCGCCACGGCCTCGGTCTTCATATAACGGTCCCGTAAACGACGGCTCAGTGCACACAGATTGACGGACCGCTCGGAATCATTTACAGGTCCCAGGTTGATTGCCTCCTCGGTCATCCTAATGGCCATGTCCAGATCCTCTATGCTTCCAAGCGTCTGGTATCGGTAATGGAGGTGATTACTCAATGTTAGCAGGTAATCCGTCCGCGAAGGATGGTCGTGGGGCGTGGCCTCTAGAAATCTGGTCTGGAGCTCAATGGCTTGTTCCAAGCTGGCCACTCTCGCCGGGGTTTCAGAATGGTATCCCAACCGTTCGGCCAGATATACTGGGATATCTGCAAAATCACCCGCGTCGCTTGGGGTGGTATCCCAAGTAGCTTGTGCCAAGTAAGCAGAACTCCTTCGAGAGTCCATGTCGCTGTTTGGGCCGAACGACAGGGAAAGAGGGCTGTCTAGACGCTTGAAGATCATCGATTCTTGTGCCATTGTCGCTTGTAAGGCCTCCTCCTCTTCGTCATCTGTCGGATCTGGAGTCTCTATCGCATGAAGGTTCACCCCAGTACTATTGAGCCGATTTCCCAGTGGAGTATCCTGCCGTTCGATATGAATGGCTCCTCCAACAAGCTTGGTATCATTGGAGCTGTTGATTGTTTGCTTTGGCGTATCAAACGCATTGTCAGGCTCCAGTGCCTTCTCCAAGTCCTCGAAACTCTTCTGATAGCGGATCCCTAGATTGTTAAGATACTTGATCCATCCCTGACGACTCCCGCTTTCGAACTCTACTGGCTCCTGTGTAACTTTGATGGTCTGATCCAGACCGCCCAGATCTTCCAGTCTTGAGAATGGATAGCCTCGATAAGAGCTAGGACTGTTTGGACAGCTAGTATGCGGCTCATCGATGGGAGAGAATGTACTCGATGCCTCCACTGATCGGGAGCCTTCGGCTGATCGGTCGTCTGGGGAATCAGATTCATCGTCGAGTATTCGTCTCGAGATCGTGCGACTTGCAATAATAGCATGCTGGGCGAGCTGCAGAGATTCCGACAAGTCCTGAACCTTCCCTTCTCGCTCAAATCGCTCCCGAAGCCGCCTGCTGAGCTCACTGAGATAGGCTGGGCGCTCTGAATCTGAACATAGATCTACTGCCTGTCGTGCGAGTTTCACGGATTCATGAAGATGGTCTATGTTTCCGGTTTCGCGGTACAACCGCACAAGCTCGACGCCTAGGCGATCAAGGCGCGTCGCCTCCTGCACTTGGTCATGGCTGGTAAGATCCATGATAGCCAGTACGCGAAGGATAGATCTGAATCATAGCAAAGTGGTGGACACTCGAGTGGTAACACGCCGGCCTGGATTGGTGGTTCCCTGTGCGGTCCGGTCCGCGAACAAGAAAGAGCGGTTGCTGGCGTCGATTGGAGTCAATTGAATACTGTGAGCCTGTCGAATGGCACGAATCGCGTCTCTTATTATCATATACACAAGAGAGATAGCGATTAGAGTTGAACCCGACTAACACCCGGATGCCGCAATCATTGATCTCCCTCCCGTTTGACAGCATGCAGGGCGTGCGATCCAGGCAATTCAATTTCTGGAACTTTCAGCATGACTCACGCTAGCACTAACCGGTTTAAAGGAACAGCTGGTTTGATTTTGATCTCTAAGTCGCGATGAATCTGGAGGACTGACTGCGGTGATCAGGTCACTATCCTGTCCGTGCTTCGATATGAAACACGACGGTCCCTGTCAAAGTGCATCAACAACGCGCAAGATCCGCACCCGTGACCCCTCACACGGCCCCTATTCTGCAACTGTAAACATCGGGTGAAGTTAGTTGGAACATGTGAATAATTCGTTGAAGGGCTTCGCGATCTGTAGTCAAGACATTGCGCTTCCGCAAAAGTCGACCTTTCCACTGGCGGAGAGTCGACCTCTCTCATCTGAGCATCGAGATGGCTCCACGCTTAGCACTCGGCCATTGCTTCTTCTCCCATGATGATGTGGAGCTGGCGAGCCTAATTCCCAACATCCGGGACCCTGAACTAGATGCGATGGAGAACCCTTACCCTCTGCAGAGAAGCGATTATACGGTGAAAAGAGTCCACGACTATTCCGCCCTCCTGCGCACGCAAAGGACCAGGAAGGGCGAAGCCGTTCTGTCGAAAGTCGTCAAATTTACATCAAAAAAGACTCGTCTGTCGAACATGCACCTCGAAGCGCGAACGGGGTATATCTACACGCTGCGGAAGCCATCGGTCTGGTTTCGGCGACTCTGCGAAGATAAGATAATCCGACACTGGTTGCAAGAACAGATCGAAGATGGAAACGTGGTCCACTTCGTGGTTGGACTTCACACGCTCTTCGATGCGGCGACAAGCAGCAACGCGAATCTAGCCATGCAGCATTCCGGGGAGCTCACTATGCCAGTGAGCGATGCTGGTGGATGGTCCAATCTGTCTCATGCGGGCGACTTTAGTCTCTCGGGGGGGCAGTGGTATAATAAAGATTCCCAGAATGCGTGCAAGGCGCCCGGTGAACAGATCTTTGCGATTCGCGTGAAAAAGGTCAAGTTTCGCTTCTGGGATACCCATGACGTTGAGAACGTGCGTCTGGGCAAGAACAGCTACTGGAAAATGGCGTCGGACAACAGAAGCGCCACCGAGGACGACTCAGAAATCGTGGAGGCATTCTTGGACAAAGCAGAAAAGGCGGAATCTGACAGCGAAGATGATGAAAAGTCCGACAAGTTTCCTGGGCGACTGAGTGACGATGATTGGAGCGATGACGAGCTTTATTTCATCGACAGTGATGAAGAGTGAAGTTGGAGGTAAATGGCAAGATAGCCTAAGGACCCAGGGCGGTGGAGCTGCCACAACTTGGGCCATTTCGCAGCCTGACTGTGTTTTACGTCGAGATACGCACTATAATGAGTTCTATGTTTTAGTTATGAGCTGAGCGATTTGCTTCCTTTGCTTTGTACTGTACATCAAGTTATCTTTCCTTTACCCAGATGCGGATCTGCGCTATTTAATCCCATCTGGTTTGAGGTTTACAAATCTAACTACCTTACTTAACTGAACGCCTTCCAACCACTTGTGAGCTAATGCCTATTTTGTTATGGCATAAATTAGACTCTTAAAATTATTCGTCCATCTCCCTTCTAAAGGAATAATAATTTGCGTGGTTTATCTATATTTTATTAAAACTGTTCCGCGTTATTCAAAAATGCGAACTTAGGCATTGTTACCAAGCAATTTTGAAATTCTTTGAGGTCTGCAGGATTAAATGGATAAGTATACTTTGGTGTGAACTTTTCATCACCGGCACTGAGGAAGTGTTTAGTAGAAAATTGCAGAAGTAGCCAGTGCTAACTAACGTTGCAAGGCAGACCCGACGTTGCGTACGGGATTCTTTCTTTGGACACTCAGAGCTGGTCTGAATCTCCTTTTTTACCGTCATGACGATGTCGCAATACCATATACGTTGTGGTCCTCGCGATAGAAGGCCTGGAGTCTGCTTTGTCCATCAACCTGGTGATTTTACATCATTCCCAATGACACAGGTCTGCTAACCGTCTCAAATACTCCAGGCCTTGCGGCTGTACAAGCTCTCCCCAGAACGGAGAATCGTGCTGTCACAACATCAACTCGTAATCTACTTCGGTCTCTAGGCTCAGTAGTTGCCGTCTTCGAGTAGTTTTTATTATCCTGGTACCGCTAATGTCTCTGTGCTTTATAGGCAGTTTCTTCGTTGCTGATACGACGCTGAAAGGGGATGTGAAAGCAGAAAAGAAGCCATCAAGTGATAGTAGGGTCATGGAATCTTCGAGGATTGGGAAACAGAATATGTAAGAAAGAGACGGAAATTTTAATTCGTGGATGAATCAGCTGGCTAGGTACCTAGTCGATATCATGAAGATATTGCCTCCTTGTTAACAAGTGCGGAGGAAAAGGGGTGCCGTAAGCAGATATAGATATAGCCGATGAACATGAAACAATATTCTTCTAGATTGTTCATGCAATGCGCATGTTTATCACCGCATAATACCTACTGTAATCAATTATTCCATTGTTGTTTTGAACTAATCGACGATGACGTCGATAAACGCTGAAACGCCGAAATGTTCCTCCGAGCCGAGCGGACCGTCAGTCAGAAAGTCCGAACTTCCGGAGATTATTATTATTATCATTATCATTATTATTATTAACTTGAAGATCATAGAAATCTCTCCCTCTACCAGCAACGTCGCCTTTTGAGATTCGGTTATTTTACTTGCAGTATTTTCGTCGCTGTCTCTCTTCCGCTGTAGACATACGTATACGTATTCGGGACTACAACGATGAGAGCCGCCGTCACATCTGGCAGGCTGCTCCGACAGCTCTCCACCAGCAGCAGGGCATCGCCAGCAACACTGACAGTACAACGGTCTCGATTCCCGGGAGATGTGCCTAACAACGTGTGTCTCCTATGTCAGCATTGGTCTGGAAGTGCTAGAATTACGCGCCCGCAGGCCCATCCTGAGCAAATAGGGCGACGGTTTGCTTCCACAAGCAAAGACTCCGCCGCGACGCCCGCGTCCGAATCAAACGCGGATGGAGTTGAAGACAATGACTCCGTGGCTGGCATAATGGCCGTTAGTCCGGACGTCTCCAACTACTATAGCATTTTCCCCAAGACTCTCCCGAACGGTCCGCCGCCCAACTCTCCTTTCGACATCTCAGTTGCCGATCTTCGTCGCGAATTCCTTGCTCTCCAGAACCAGATACACCCGGATAAGCATGCCCCTGGCCATGCGAAGGAACGAGCAGAAGCCCTGTCTTCTCGCATCAATGAGGCGTACCGGACGCTGGCAGACCCGCTAGCGAGAGCACAATATATCCTCGCCCATTGGCACGGAATCGACGTGATGGCCGAGGACGGATCGTCTCAACATGCATTGGATCCGGAGATGCTGATGGAAGTGATGGATGTGCAGGAGACCATCGAGGAAGTCGGGGCTGATCCTCAGGCGGAAGCGGAGATTGAGCGACTCAAGGGAGAAAATAATGCCCGACTGGAGGAGACGGTGAAGGCGTTAGGAGAAGCTTTCGACCACGGCGACATAGAGGCGGCAAGGAAAGAATGCGTTCGCCTCCGGTTCTGGTACAGCCTCGCACAAGCCCTGCGGGACTGGGAACCGGGCACAACGGAGCTTAGAATCGTGCATTGAGTTGATGCGGATTTAAATACGATTTAGAAGATCGCTCCTCCATCGAGTATCAGCACCTTTTTTTTTTACCGTGAAAGGTGGCTGGGATCATGGACCTATTGCTGAATGAACGCAGCATCGGTGGCTGGTGGTGATCTGGAAGAATTTTCTTAGAACCACGTAGTTATATATAGCATGTATATTATGCCATATTTCGATACAGATCAGAATTACTCTAATAATGGATTCACCGTTTGATCTAGAAGGCCACAGCGAACAGGCCATGCTGGCAGACTAGCGGCATCTAATATGTAGGTTAAAAGGGATGAGGCGAAAACTCCATGTTTCGGTGACTAGATCCCTTCCTAATACTCCTATGGAAGCATTGCAGAGCTAGACCGGGTCGACTTGCGACAAGTCTAGGATGATTTCTTCTAGCGGAGGGGACTGGGGCGGCGTTTTGTATCATTCCGCCCAGTGTGAAGCTCTGGATATCTTTAGGATCAAGGCGTGTTCCAGCAGCTTTCCCCAGATGGGTTTCGTTTCTGCTGTAGTCTGAGCGCGGCGCCATTGTAAACGTCCCATCTGAATCTGACCGCAAGACACCAATGGGTCTGAGCAGTCAATGGCCGGTCCACCGTCGCGTCGTGGAGTATCGAAACATGCAGCAGCCATCACCGCAAGGTCATCAGAACACAAAGACCTGGCCCGCAATTGGGTCTCCAACCGTCTGGGTTTCGGGCAACAACCGGTGGGGGTCTGGATACGGACGAGAAGGAGGATCGACTGGGAAAAGCTGTCATTGTCTCTGTGTGTGTGTTCATGTCCTGAGTGCTGAAGGGAGATCGTCGAGAAGGAATTGGGCTGGTCAGTAGGTAGTGACGCAGGCCGCTATGGCACGACGGTTGAGATGCTTAACCAGCAGGTTCGCAAGACTCGACGGAGAGCCGTGATGTGGTTGAAATCCCCTCCAAGGCACGACCAGTTAACTCGTGGACGGGGCCAGCACGCCAGGAGTTTTAGATGCAGCCGTTTAGTGGAGGTGGCCGTTCACCACTGGCTGCCCTGTTGCGCTTACAAGACTCTGCGGTCGTTGGCATCGCCAGCGCTGCTCGCCCAGCAACCGCCAACGCCAGCGCCGGCATCGCCCATCATGTCCTCCCACGTAGCACCGCGCCTGACCCATATGAGTCGAATGCTCCGCTCGGGGGCTGGGGACGAGATAAGTAGGGGGCTGGAAGGCAAGATACAATAGAAAAAGAGCCGGTTGAGGGTCGTAGTCGTCGAGAGCAATCGACGAAAACCAAACAGCCGCTATATATATATATACACACGACCGCGAACGGGGAAAGCGGGATGGAGTCTGCTCGGGAGTACAACAGGTACGTTCCGTTACCTCTCGAGAGAGCAGGTTTCGATTGAGGAGCATCGACTGCTCCAGGTCCAAAGACTTTCCGTTTCCCCGTAGAGATCATATACGCCCACACAAGGCTCCTGAGGAATATTTGCTGACAGACTGACTCATTGACTGGTCACAGTATCGTCCATTCGCCGTCCTTCACTTTCCTCGTCGGACCCAACCACACCAGATTGACCATCCAGACTGCGTTGGCCAAACATGTCTCTAAACCGCTAGATCTGCTTATGAACAATGGGGAGACCCGTGAATCCAAACACCGTATCGCTGTCCTGGAGGACGAAGAAGTCGAGGTCTTTGTGGCATTCTGTGAATATGCCTACACCTGCGATTACAGCGTACCCCTGCCTGGTTCGGACCACCATGGGGGTGAAAACCCATGGAAGGGAATGTTCCGCTCGGAGTCTGTCTCCTCCATCATTCCTCCGCCAGTACCTACACCTCCCCCCGGATCGATAGGGACTCCCGAGAGATTTGACCACAATCCTTTCCCGTCGGGCCATGAGCCATTCCCGAGTCAGGGTTCCGGACTTGCTGTCGAGGGAAACGATGCTCCCACTGAGGGTGAGAGACACCCTCCCGCCGACGATGGACCAGGAGAAAGCTCTGAGCCAGGCGGCAAGAAGAACAAGAAGGGCAAGAAAGATAAAAAGAAGCAGCGAGGCCCCGGTGGCGTATCTTTCGATGAATCTGCACTGAATCTGACACCCCCTTCGACACCGCCGCCCGAGCAAAGCGAGGACTATGCTAAGCCAGCCGGTGTAGAGACTGCGGCAGCATCCTCTGCGATGGGGGAATGGTGGAATCAATCCCAATCAGCTGGAGGTGAGATGGTGAGGACAGATGAGAAGGAAAAAGAGCCCGAGGAGCAGCAACAGCAACAGCAGCAGCAGCAGCAGCCGCCTTTCCCCCCTGAGGCCTTGACTACATCGTTTGTTCCTCAGAACTTTAACCCCCTTCATCCCAAGGAAATCAACATCTGGGACGAGTTCTCCGGGCTCGATTATCCCTTTCAGAAGCCCGTGAAGGACATCTCTCGACTGGGCTCAGGACCAGGAGTGGACCTCCCATATATCCTTTTTCACGCCAAGCTCTACGTCTTCGCGTCTCGCTACTTGATTCCGGCATTAGCCCAGCTGTGTCTCCAAAAGCTTCACAAGGACCTGGCTACACTGTCATTTTCGGCCTCTGGCAATGACAACCAGAGCCAGAGCCAAGACTACAACACCATGATGACGATCAAGGCGAAGATGATCCTGGACCTCATGCATTACACGTACACGAGAACGACTCGCTATGAGCCAGTGCATCCAAACTCACCCACCCTCCTGCGGGAAAACGAGCTACGCAAGCTGGTCACACACTATGCGGCCTGCAAGGTCAGGGAACTTGCAGCTTTCACCCCGATGCAACTCACCACATACCCTGCGATTCCCGGCCTGGACGGCGCGGCCGTGGCGGGCCGATTCTCGACTGGCGGCGGCCTAAAGGACCTTCTTGATACCACGACCGAGCTGGCTTCAGACTTGGTCTTCCGAATGATGTAAGGATCTCTTGCCTGATTTCAGCCTGTTTGCCCGTTTCTAACGATATCACAGAGCATAAGCCAAAAGCATCTAGATAGCATGGACGGAGCGTCGGAGTATTCTGGTTGAAAACGTCAAACACTCATAACGAATTTCTTTGGTCAACATTTGCATCCTTTCTGCCTATACTATGAACCGGATTCTGTGTTAAACTGCCGTGCGTATGCATTTATACGGTCCGCATATTCACAAGCTCTTTTCTTTTTGGAATTTTTGGGTCTCGCTTTCTTGGACAATGGCTTTCATGACTCTTGATGATATGGCATAACAGAATGGCTGCCAGCCCCTGATGCATATTGGTCCTCTAATCCTTTTTTTTTTCCATGTATTGATCATATCTGAGGTGAATGCATACAACTTGCATCGTCCTATAAAATTTTGTCATTTTCTCACATGCAGATTAAGTGTAGACAGATAATTCTAGACTGCACAAAAAAGAAACTTGCCGTTACCCACCAGAAACCGAATTTTCCCGAGTCCAGGAGGCTAAAAAAAGTAATGTTCTTCCGCCTTATTTTCAACATGAGGGTTAGTGTGGTCTTGTCCGAAGCTTATTGTTTCAGCACATTTGTGTCTGTTTGAACCAAGACTTTTATTTTGTGAGAATTCTTTTCTCTCTTCCTGTGCTGAAACTGGTGACAAGGTTTCGAACGAGCACTTTTCTTTCTTCCAGAGCATGGGCCAGAAAACAGGACATCCATGAGGTATATGTCTTAACTTTTTTCAAGTTCAGGACTCAATTTTCCAAGAACGCAGATTCTAGTCAGGCCTTCATTAGTTATATGCGGGATATATCTACTCATAATAATCTAGGAAAAAGAAAAAGTGGATCGCTACAGATCCTAGTTCAAGAACGCGTTCAGCACATGTCTGTGGATCAGCGAGTGATTTGATCAAACTTGTCGACATATCCCCATTCCGGGATGGAGACCATCACATGGGTATATGTTCCAGGTTATCTCTGTGCAGCGTTGCATTGCCTACCATCAACGTGGTGGAACGAAAGAGAAGAAGGGGCCAGACTCTGATAGATCAGCAAAAAGCAGGGTTGATGCCGAGTATATCGGCTGCTTTAGCATGTTTCTGGGCCAAGGTCTGAGACGGGAGATAGACAGTTAGTTGGGACATGGGGGGAGAAAGTTTGCATCCGAGGAGTCGTATCATAAAGTCTGAATGGATAGACTTCGCGCGGGATCCCGGACCGATAGACTTGGTATGGGGGGTTTATAGAGTAAGATTCGGTGCTCCAGTGCCTCTGGGAGGATTTGTTATTGATCCAGTCCGCAAGCGGGTGTCTTTCACAGAACAGAAGATTTCACTGTTTCTTGGCGGATGGTATTTCTTGGATTTGACCGATACTCCGCTGGAGGGATCTGGTGGTCCTGGCAACAAGGTGTGACTGTATCGAAATGGAGGGCATCTGTTGAAACAGATACTGCCAAGATAAGTATCACTTTGTAGGTAAGTAGTTACTGAGAACGGAAATAATTACTATCGTTCTCGACTCCTTCTTCCTGGTCTAAGGAGAGCAACGCAGTGCTGCCATTGTCACAGACGCAATGGATGGCACAGTCAAGCCTTCACTGTTATCTAACAGTCAGTTGCTATGATGATCCAGAGTGGATTCTTGCACTTAACTATGTATCGTACTTATGTGAGTATGATTTATCAGTAGTAACTCTGGCGATACACGTCAGAATCCTCAAGAATGCCACGATGAGACAGATACAATGTCTTCTAGGCTGCAGGGAGGCTGTGTCTGATGACAATTTGATTATTCTTGTACTGTACTTTCCTTATCTCTGCTGGAGGGATGAAGTCGTTCTTGGCTTCTTGGCTTCTTGTCAGCTTGTGGCACCGCAAGTGGACTGGATCTCCGAAGTTACCGCCAAGTATTGGGCAGGACGATTGTAGCTCCTGATAATGCTGTCTCGAGACAAATTTGTCTGCCAAGAGGGAGTCTTGAGAGCTATTGAGCGAGGACATCTTGGCGACGGCGTTGCAATATCGCGTCAGGGGGCGCGGCGGGCATAAGCCGCACAACGTGGGCGATCAGGTTCGTGCGCACAATCCTCAGGGGAGAAAGGGAATTGCAGAGGCCCTTTCTTGAGAATCTGAGATAGGTAGTGGATGGCTGTGCAGCTCAAACAGGATCGGGACGAGCAATTGCCAAGGTGCGGAACGTCCCTAGAGTCGTGTTGATGTGATACTGCGCATTGCGGTCTTGACTTATTCGGCATCTATTTACAGGGACCCGAATGGACGAAATAATAAACTCAGTGGATATCCCGGCTATCACCACCAACTGTTACAGTCCACTAGATACTCTTCCTTTGTTCCCAGGCCGAAAGACGTTCTGAGAACCCGATAGCGACCGGGAATCTTGGCAGCGGGCTGCTTTCGTGGACGTGAAGATCATCCCGGGAGAGAATGCTTGGCGATGTCTTCTTCTCATGATGGTTCATGCCAAGCGGACAGTTGCGACAATCATGACCCTGCAACAGTGGAGAGACGAAGATGAGCCGGTCTGATCATGGCTCTTTCCGGCCATTATTCTATTGATATTATTGTCTGGCTTTGTCTTCGGCCATGGATATTGAGATCCGCTGAAGGCCCGTCTCTGTCGAAGGGGGCAATATACCTTCTGCCCTTGGAGGCTTAGACGTACACAATTTCCCGGGCGTGCCAAGGACAACGTTAGGATCAATGATACTCTATCGACTTCGAGATCCTCGCAAGGAGCACGCTTGCGCTGGCATGGCTGGGCTGCCAACGTCAGCCATTGTTATTATTGTCCGTTGACCGCTGCACTGCCGTCCTGGGCAAAGCTAAGCTTGTCGAGACATCGTCGTCACTATCAGCAGCGGAGGTTACAAGAAGAGCCTGCCAAGGTCTTGGAAGATTGCTGCGGTGACCCGCGTGAATGCATAATCCTGCACAATTCGTGGTCTATTCTAGGCAAAAGAGACCAGTATCCACGCATCTTCAGATCCTGCTCCCTCTTTCGTCCAACTATGTAACGCATATCCAGCACAGTCTCCCGTAGAACAAGGGCAAAATTACGGGGCCCGAAGACTCTAGTACATCTTGGCGGGCGGTTATCTGGTGGCTTTCTTTGGAACCTTCTTCCCCTGATCTCCAACTAGTCCCGAAGTTTCCTGTCAATCGTTCCCTTGGCGTCAGGCTCTCGAGTCTCGACGAACATCTGTCGGGTAGATAGTCTCTGCGGCGAGATATGCGTGCCACCATAATAGTCCCCTTAGTTTCGCGTATCCTTCCAAATGGCACCTTGCTGGGGAATGTCCGTGTCTTGATCTTTCGGGTACTCCAAGATCTCGATCCCTTCGGAGCTTTATAAAGTCCAGTCTGCTCCTTTCACTATTTACTTCTCCATACGCAGATCCGATCGCTGTTTTTCATCTCCTTCTTATACGCTTTATACACTGTACACACATTATTACCTATGACAATCGTTCATTAAATTAGTGAATATATTCATTTATCCAACGTCTTCCATCAGGGCAATAGGGCCAGAGAATCCTCTGCCATCATGTTCGAAGAACATCTAATGGGGCCGTATCCCCGAGATGCACACTCCGCAGCGACCTCACAAAAAGATATGCTTAGTCGAAGGACCTCTATCGCCAGTTTGGAAAGGGGCTACAAATCTGAACAAAAGCTGGGCTTTAAGGATCGGATAAAGCATTTCACATGGGCCTGGTATACGCTTACTATGAGCACGGGAGGATTGGCTCTGCTCATTGCAGCGCAGCCAAATACTTTCAAGGGTTTGCGGGAAATTGGCCTAACTGTGTATATCATCAATCTTATTTTCATGAGTATTGTCTGCTCCTTGATGGCTGCCCGTTTCATCATCCACGGCGGTTTCCTGGAATCCCTCAAGCATGAACGAGAAGGCCTCTTTTTCCCAACCTTCTGGCTCTCCATTGCGACTATCATTACAGGTCTACACAGATACTTCGGTGACGAGGCTACGGAACCCTTCCTAATAGTCATCGACGTTCTCTTCTGGATCTACTGCGCCTGTACATTCACCGTCGCGGTTGTGCAATACTCGTTTGTCTTCTCCGCCCACTCATACGGTCTCCAGACCATGATGCCATCATGGATCCTGCCAGCCTTCCCCATCATGTTGAGCGGTACCATTGCCTCCGTTGTTGCTGAAGCACAGCCGGCTAGCCAGGCGCTCCCTATGATCGTTGCTGGAACCACCTTCCAAGGCCTGGGCCTATCCATCAGCTGTATGATGTACGCTCACTACATCGGTCGACTCATGCAAGCCGGCCTGCCAAACCGAGAGCACCGTCCTGGCATGTTCATCTGCGTTGGTCCTCCTGCTTTCACAGCCCTAGCCATTGTTGGAATGTCCAAAGGCCTGCCGGATGACACGCCGCTCATCCATAGCAGAGATGACTCGGACGTGATCGAACTGCTAGCAGTCACTTCTGCAGCCTTTCTCTGGGCTCTGAGCTTTTGGTTCTTCTGTATCGCCGCTGTCGCTGTTATCCGCAGTCCTCCAACCGCCTTCCATCTGAGCTGGTGGGCAATGGTCTTCCCCAACACCGGCTGCACCATCGCGACTATCACCCTTGGCAATGCGTTCAACAGTCCTGGCATCAAGGGAGTCGGCTCAGCCATGACTATCTGCATTATCTGCATGTTCCTGTTCGTCCTGGGCAGCCATATCCGTGCAATCATCAACCAATCCATCATGTATCCGGGCAAGGACGAAGATGTGGCCGACTAAACTAAACTAAACTCATCTCTGATTATCATTCCTGATCCTATCTCATCTGGCGTCTACATCTACATCTACATCATCTACAGCGTTCAGGCGAATCTCGAATTTGGCTCGTTAAAACTTTATACTACCTCGTTCCCACTTTTACTACCACCATCGCTCACGTCTTCCTGGATTATTTCATTCAACCTTCCCCTCACACTACTCACACATACTTTGATGACACGATTCATTTCTCTTCTACCACTTTAACCACATCAGCCCTTTTCTAAAGACCAAAGACATCATAGCACAGAGGCAGGCACCTTGAACTATGGAATTAGTTTCTTGGAATCCCCAACCCCCCCCCTTTTTTTTATTTTACCGGTTCTTCGTCACTTTGTTCCACTGCTCAAAAAGTCTGGGATGCGAGCATTTATTCCTATTTCTCACACAGGACAAGACACACGACATGGACCTTTGGGATTAATTTTGTCCCTGATTTAAGCCGCTTGTTCTTTCCGGGTGAATACCTATATGGACTTGATTTGAAGGTTGGGAGTTTTGCATTATTAGCATTCTAGCATTAGCGTTGTCGTTTTTTTTTTTCTTCTTTGAATTTGGATTGGAATATGCGTTATGTGACTTTTTCACTATGATAGATTTCTCGATTAGACTTACTTGTCTTGTGTTGGGTCTTTTTGAAGTAGACGACTAGAATTGATATACGTGATATAGTTATATTGAGATAGCATGTTCTATTATTGGATAGTCTATTCTCACTTGTTGGTTTTGTAACCGGGGTTGGGAGTCGATAAGAGTGGGTGGGTAGAGGGTGCCATTGTCCCGAATCAGTATGGAAGAACATCAGACCAATTAATATTCCGAACTGGAGCATCTCGAAGTGAAGCACCCGTTTATTAGATGAGTGCGTTTAATACCTAGTTTACTAAGTGTGTGATGTTGGAGGTAACAGTTGTGGGGTATCATAGCCGTTATTATTTGTGGCGCTTTCTAACGATATTATTATAAATACATTGAACCAGTTGAATATATTATTCAATTCCCCATAGTTTCACTGTTCGATCGTGTCCACAACTAGCGATCCATCTGGCGTCGTCGCTGACATCGACGCTGAGAACGTTGCCTGAGTGTCCACTCAGGGTCTTCACCAGGGACCAGTCATCGGCGCTGAAGATGTTGATGTTCTTGTCGAACCCACTTGAAACGAAGAAAGTGCCCGACTTCTTCGGTTGTGGCGTAGCTTGGCGCTTTTCCTCTATCGTTGGAGGAGCAGGGCTGTCAATGTCCATGGCACCGTTGGCTGCAGCAGATGGGAGATAGGAATCAGAAGACTCTGTCCCCTTGTACCACCGCAGGTCTGAGACGATGCTTTTGTGCGCTCCAAGACCGCCAATATTCCTGACCTGTCTCAGGTCCCAACATTTGATCCATCCATCGCCTGAACCTGATAGAACCCTGTAGCCGTCTACCCCCCAATCGAGACCGAAGATCTCGCGAACATGACCCTCGAGAATCATCACAGTACGCCCGGTGCGCAGATCCCAAATACGACCGATACTGTCCAGACCACCACTAGCTAACAAGGAGCCGTCATTGTTGAAAGCAACCGTGTAAACCTCACGGGAGTGACCTTCTTGTAACAGAAGCTCTGTAGTGGTTTCCACATCCCACAACCGCCAAGTAGTGTCGTACGAGGCTGAGGCCACATACCGACCAGAGGGGTGGAATTCGACACGACAGACTCGCCCAGAATGGCCTTCCATGGTCGCAAGAGGCTGTGACTTGTCCAAAGACCAGAGAGCAACATTTCCTTCTCCGCCTCCGGAAACGAGATTGACTGAAGATTCAGACACGTTCGAGCCAGGCAACGTAGCGCCGGGGAACCACGATAGTCCTCCAACGCGGTCGTTATGACCGCGGAAATGAGCCTTCTCTTCCAAATTGGGCACTGACAACAACCTGATTCCTCCGGCCCAATTTCCCGCCGCGATTGTTTGTCCATCCGGTGAAAATCGTGTGATACTGACGGGTCGCTCGCCAGCAATCTGTGAACCGTAGAGGTCGAAACCCTGAAGTTTCTCCTTGATGGCCTTGCGATGCTTGATATGCGTCCGTAGAGGAATAGTCGACTCTTCCCTTTGCCTAGCAACCCGAGCCTTTGCTCGTGGTAGCGAAAAGCGAGCGATGTCTTTCCGTGCTTCAAGTAGCGCATCTGTTCCCTCTGTATAGAATTCCTCTTGCTCATCGCCCTTCTCCATCTCTTCCGCCTCCGCGGTCACGCTTCGCATCTCGACATCTCCCTCTTCCTGCCTGTCCGCAAGATCTGTCAAAAGCTCTCGCAACCGATCTCTCCTGTCACCCGGACCTTCTCCGAACAGTGTGATTGGTTCTCCGAGTTCTCTCAACCGTGCGCGGACTCGATTATCGTCGGTAGGAACGGCGATGGCGGCAGCTCTGCGTTTCCGCGAGAACTGCTCGAGAATAGCAGAAGCTTTTTCGGGGGCGATCCCCGCAGCGCCCGTAGGAAGGTCATAGTTGCGATCGACAGCTGTTTGAGCAGATTGGTTAGAAGCGCTTCATAGACAGCATTATGGTTTGGTTGTGTACTTACGAACATTGGCCAGATCAATGCCGGTGTCTACTTCCTATCATCCAGCCACAGTCAGCTAACAGCCTTAGAGGATCGCGATATAGGGGCTTAGAGACAATGGGAATAGCAATGGTAAGTGAGGGGAGAAATGGCACCAGTGGACTCTTACCTCTGCGGCCTCCTCTACATACGCCTGCCTCGCAGGGTGCATCATCTTGGCGATCTGGAAACTGTCCACTGTACCCAAACTATGCGACACGTAGTCTGAATGCGTAGTAATGAGACTAGTTTCTGGTCTCTAGTGTCTCGATGCACCTGTTGAGGCGCGTTGTGCTGAGGAAGTTGGCGTCTGGTAGGGCGATGCCGAGCTCTGGAGCTTTTTCTCGGGTGGCCGAACTGTCGGCGGGATGCTTGGCTGGCGGAACGTCATGTCCGCGCTAAGCGGCTGAGTACACCAGCACTTTATGTATATACATGGGTAAACAACCTGACTATAATTGATGGAAAAATCTCACGTACTGTAGTGCCCGTGTGCATCTCGATGTATTTATTTCGAAGGTCAAAATAGCACGACAGAAGACTACAACTTGCCCGAACAGGAAATCGCAAATAACTTCAGCGTCGGCTGTGAAGTCCGATCGATCGAGCTATCCGGATCTCGCTTAGCGTTACTGAATGTGCTGATAGAAAGTCCGATAAGGGAAAAAACATCAAATTCCACTAGGGCGGAACATCCCTCCTTGTTGGGGTTCGTTGGGCTTGATTCTCTGCATCTCACCTCCTTCATAGTACATACTACATACACACTCTCCACTCATTCCTCTGACAGGCTGTGCGCGCATTACTGGGGCTGGGAGTACTTACGGCAGCGGCCGGCCGTGTTCATCAAATGCTCTTACAGACCAACGAGCTATCACTGCTGCCGCCGGAGGGTCTTGAATTGCATGGGTAGAGACCCTGCAGTTACGAGCACGGTCATTAAGTATAGCAGCCGATGATCGCGCCGACTCTCACCAGCAGAGCCTGCAGTGGCCTGCCCGCCTCTGCCGTCTCCAGCTTCTGGAGTATCGCAAGCGGCACATCCTCATCAACGTGGCTCGATGGGCGCTCTCGGGTTTACAATGGATCGCAGTCGCATCGATTGAAGCGAACATGGACACGGTCATTCCATTCGACACTCTCACGAGACGCTTCCAAACCTCGCCTGAGCTACCGTATCGCTGCCGCATCCTCCGCCAAGGGTCGTCGCTTTCACCCGGACAAACATGCGTACAATTTCGACCCGAACGTGCAGGATGCCTTGGGCCTGCTCACTGGCACAGATCTGATTGAGAGAAAGAAACAGAGACCAGAGAGCGGGGAGGACGCCTTCTTCGTCAGTAAGGTCGGCCAGACATCATCCGGTGTCGTCGCGTTCGGAGTCGCGGATGGCGTGGGAGGTTGGACAGAATCCCGGGTTGACCCGGCAGACTTTTCGCATGGCCTGTGTAGCTACATGGCACAGACTGCACTGGGTTGGGATATGGAAGCGGACACGCTGCATGCAAAGAACCTGCTGCAGAAGGGATATGATCTCTTGGTTGAAGATCCATCAATTCAGGCTGGTGGAAGCACAGCCTCCGTTGGAGTCGCGCAGACGGACGGTAGGGTGGAATTAGCAAAGTATGTTCTGACAAGTTCGGATTCTCGATGGAATTGCGGTAAACCTGACCTCATCTAGTCTTGGTGATTCTGGCTCAGTCCTTCTCCGCCTTGCCGCCGTCCATCACTACTCCAAACCACAGACGCACGCGTTCAATACTCCATACCAGCTTAGTATCATCCCACCGCGCATGCGTCTGCAGGCCTCCATCTTCGGGGGAAATTACCTGGAAGACCTGCCTCGTGATGCATCCGTAACGAACATCAACATGCAGCATGGTGATATCCTCGTGCTAGCGACAGACGGTGTCTTCGATAATCTTAGCAACCAAGACCTCCTCAAAATCGTCACGACACGTATGGTCTTGACCGGAGCGTGGACGGGAGCAGCCAATGCGGGCATTGCGATCTCAGAACATCTCGACGCGCTGACAAGACCAGGCGGCCTGGCATTACCCCCATCTGGTGAATCATCGGAGAAGGAACGCCAGAAAGTCCCCCGTAATAGCCGCCATACTCTTCAATCTCTCCTGGCCTTATCAATCGCCGGAGAAGCCAAAGTGGCCAGTCTGGACTACCGCCGCGACGGCCCCTTCGCCAAAGAAGCCCAACGCTACGCCCCCGCGGATTGGTACCGTGGCGGTAAAGTGGACGATATCTGCGCTCTTGTCATTGTGGCCGTTGAAGAGGGCAAATGAACATATCATTCCACACACACACACATATATGTATCAAGCAAGCGACTTGGAAACAAAACAAGAAAAAAAAACAAGAGGAAGGAAACAAAACAAACAACCTATATATAGAATAGAAGCACGCGCTACCTACCTCATCTTGGTGCCTTGGACGTCGTACAGTATACGAGGGCATGCTGCATGTATCCATTCCTCAGTGATTAACCTTGCAGAAACATCCTGGTCTTGGTTCCACGAAATCATAGCAGTGCCATCTGCAAGGGACGAGGTACCTAACCAGTTACTACTGGCTTTGGCTAGTTATGTTTTTTTTTTTTTTCCTATTAATCTTTAATTTTTGCATTATTGGTGTTCCTCTTTTATATCGATTATCCTCAACGGTTGGAATTTCAAGCAAATGGCGTCGACCAAGTAAGATAAGAATTGTTTTCTCTTTTCGTTGGTTGTGTGGATAATGTATGATGATATCTGAAGCTGGATCTGTCTTCGACTTTCCAGCTCGTATATATATCCCTGGGGCGAGATATTCCTGAGAGATTCCAATTTCTGTTGGACAGTTTTCATTTTATACCATTTTATAACCACACCAAGACCTTTTAGTATTGAGCACTGCTACAGAATTCATATACAGTCCGCCCGTAGTAAGATGAATATATACATATACACTACCCAATACATGATAACTCCCCCCCTTTCTTCTCAACAGAAAATGGCTTCCAAAGAGATAAATGAGATGCATAAACTCCTCCTTAAATCAAGTAAAAAGAAACAAACAGAACAAACGGTGAAATTGAATCGAACGATATGCCGTGCGTTCCATCGCATAAGATGCCGTAGAGTACAGGAGGTGCATCTGACGCGGTCATATTGAAGAATCGCTCCCCCAACGCCTGAGTCGATGCAAATGGTGTAATGCCAAAAGGAAGAAGAAATGCAGCACCGAACATCGTGGAGTATGAGAAGGATGATGATCGGTTTCAGATAAACATTAGATCGACGTGGGTATATATCTCCTGCTAGATAGAACGGAGGAAATCGAATTAGAAAAAAAACAGATAGATGGAAGGTCTGATCGAAATAGCACGAATTCTCATCACTCGAGTCGGTGGCTGAGAGGCGTCGATCGGACAGGTACCCCTTCAGTCGCGCGGAAGATTCGTGATCGTTTGGTGATTCCTCTCCTGAGTGACTGGGTAAGCAGCCGCTTTCAAGTATGCGACATGTAGGGTTCAACTTACTTCGTGTCCCACTCTGGCTCCCATAGCTTCGTTTCCTCGTTCCAGTTGTGACTGGGGAGTGTTAGCATTTTTGAGACGAATGATCTCAACGGGTATGGAGCGGTCTTACTGCTCGAATTTGGTCACGGTAAGGGCTTTGCTGCCATATTCTTCCTCTAGCAGTTTCGTATACTCATACGGAATCTTCACAACGACACCCTCAAAGAGACTATCGCGCAGCGGGAAGATGTCGGTCTCCTTCAGTGATGTTAGCCTGGTTCCTCCCTGGTTGCGTAGATCTAACTCACATCGTATTGATGCTTGTCCTTGCATATCAACGCGCCTAGACGGCCCCGAGCACGCGCTTCCTCATTCACCCGTACGGTCGTTATGTCGATAAACAAGCCCGACGACGTGTCGATCCATCTCGCATCGATGACATTGAGAACGTCATGAGTGGACCGGATGGTGTAGTGTGGATTAACCTCGAGCATATATGTGCGCCCACCCTTGACGCCGGGGAGGTTGAAATGGTGCTCCGTCATGTTGTAATAATCGGCCAGGAAGTGCATTGTCGGCTCTGAGACCTGAACGTCGAGGTCACTATCCCATGGCAGAATCTATCGATGCGTCAGTTTGCCAACCACTTCTCTGTTATCCGCGGTTCCCGACCTTCTGGTTCCACCACCAGCCTAGCAATGTTCCATGCATAATCCATGTTTCGGCTCCCAAGTCGGCCATGGTCGATAGGTACGTCTGCATGAGGGCGGTCAAGTGCGGCAAACTCTCCGTCTCCGGCAAGGTCTCAGAGGCGAAACTGGAGGGTAAATCAGCATCGAGTCTCGTGCGTAGCCTTTTCTGTATATACGCACCGGCCATCGTAGTGAGGATGGAATCTGGATAGTGAAAAAGTTGTCTCAGTAAGCAGCTTCAAAGTTTAGAGGAAACGAGGCGCGACATACGTAGATTCATCTACTTGCTAGTCAGTGTCATTGTGCAGCGAATAATCAGGACAGGAACACTCACGAAAGTATTTCTCTGCAGGGTCACCTCCTTTCCCACTATAATCCTTCGCCATACTAGTTCGTACACTCATAAAGTCGGCATCGCCGCGGACGAGTCCGGTGGCCGCCGCTAGCAACCCGCAGAGTCGTAGCAACCGCATCTCCAATTTGGCCGTTTGTTCCAAGTATTCACGATTGATGGAGGGCTATCGAAGCATGCTCAAATCCGAGTCGTTCCTAAAGAGTGAGGAGGTATCGTTCCCGTGGCGGTTCGTCGACGAGAGACAATAGAAGTAGTATCCTGCGGAGACCGGCGATAAATGAATGAATGGCAGACTGCGGGCGGACGCGGACAGAACACGCTTAGAGAGTGAGCAATAGTCGATGTTTTAGATAGCCCCGTCACAGCTGAATGAGGCAAACGAAGGACCCTTGCCCACGAGTCCCAGGCCGGAGAAATGTCGCGTGCACAGTTACGAGAATAAAAAAGGGACCGGCGAGGCTCTCTTGAGTCTAGGGCCTTGAACCACCGACACGGGTTGTCACGAGTGTGGGGGGTTCCCGTTCAGGATCTGTCCGATCTGATGGTTACGAGCCCCTCCGTGGTCACTCTTCTTTTCTTCTGTCTCTCGATACCCAAGTAGATAATAATAATGATTAATTATGCTGGCTCAGTCCAGTTCGAGGCCGCGAACGTGGGTTCTATAGTTAACTAACTAGCACTTCCAAAACCGATCGTGGCACTGCCTTGCAAGGAGCGAGACAATGCACGGGCGACCAGGTGGACAAGGTGGCAGGTTCTGCGACTCTATCTGCTACTTTCTTTGGATCGCCAAGATTGACCAGATCTTACAGAATCCTCCGTCCACAAACCTTGGGCGACAATGCCACATCCTCGCGCATTCTCTTGAGCTCCTATGGTAATCATAACGATGAACATCCTGCTTGCCCCAGCTTGCCGATTCCTCTCTTTACGCGTACGGAGTATAAGATCTGGCGTTATTACTTCCCCCGCTCAGAGGATCTGCTTGTCGCGGACTCTTGGCACAGTGGCCGTTTCAAATTGCTACTTTTGGCGGATAGGTCACTGTTCAGATTGGGCGATCTAATAATAAATCTTATGATGGCGCCGTAGGGGCCGCGTCAACTCGTCAGAATCCGTGGGCAGAAACCTGACTAGCGCTATCCTGCGCTCCCGGCTCGCCAGGGCACACCAGTGAATTTTCTTTTAAGCATTTAATAGTATTATGATTTTCTCATTCCAACACTGGAGCATTCTGCAAGAAAAGCGTACTGAACATAAGCTCTGGACGCGAAAAATTGAGCGAAACAGGAATGCCGGATGGCCCCGGTTATGTCCACGTGATCTGGAGGAAACAATGGCACTGTGTAACTTACTACTCTTTAAGCTTGAAGCATGAGAACTATAACTCAACGGCTAAAAAAGCCGCGCCATATCTTTCCCTCTCAGCTGTGCGTTGATTCCAGGGGATCGAAGTCAAGGACAAAAGTAAACACACCTCAATGCCAATCATGTTGACACTGTATCTTGTCGCAATCAGCCGGATCCAAGCATGTAGCCAGGCACTATGCATTTTTACGCCTCAGGGGTGAGCAGTAACTTAACGGGCGTCTCATCTGATTTGTCATTCAAACCCAGACGTTTCTTCTCTCGAAATTATCCCCTCATACTCCGTGAAGAAAAAGTCACACGCGGGAAACGGTTCTCGTCGAACATGAGCTCTATGTCCTCGTGAATAAAGAAGCGATAAGAAGGCTAAGAAGGCCAAGGAGGCGGAAGTCCTCCAACACACCATCAAAGAGACCAGCCACAAGCCGGAGCTCAGACTATGACGGCGCCTGGATGTATCCCCGGGAGTTCCAGATTGTCCGCTTAAGCTTTGATCGATCTTATATCTTATCAGCCCAGATCCAGACCCAGAACAAGATGAGTTCCGACTCCGCGGTCGGAGACGGGGAAAGACAGGTCCCGGTTCACATGATCGCGGCCGTTGCGCCCCTGGCACAATGTGGGGCTGGAGATTGGTTCAAGTTGGGTTGTGAGGAGGGCAATAATGTTGAGATGTCGTTCGCCTCGAGGATGAATTAGGACTCTAGATGGTGTCTTTTCGTTCCACTCCTATTCAATTCTAGACTGCCAGGCGTCGGAGAGGCCCTCAGTTGAGTCTGAACACTTCTGATCCAACGATGCGACGAGGCCGGATCACCGTTTTGAGCTATCCCAGGATACAACGCTGAATAGTCCCGACACTCGTGCCTTGTTACATCCAATGGGCTTTACCTGATGATTCTACTACGCGTGCTCATGGGTGAGCCGGTACTCTAGGATTATACCCTATCCAGTGCAAGCATGTATCCATACCCTCTTGCCAAGATGTCAGCAGATCAACAACTTGGCGACGTTGGCACGACCCAGCAGTCAGGGTCAGCTACGCAGCTTAACCGGTCGTGTGAGTCCTGCAGAGCGCTCAAAGTGCGCTGCTTACCCAACCCGGAAACACCAACCCAATGCCAGAGATGTGCCAGAACGAAACGAGCATGTATCTTCGTCGCTCCTCAAAAGCGCCGCCCGCGCAAACGGACTGATTCGAGGGTTGCACAGCTGGAGAGGGAGATGCGCGCTATGCGCGTCCTCCTGAAAGATAAGCACCTGCCTGTAGATGAGGGCGGCCAAGATGAATACAACGAGGGGGAGGAGAGGAAGGAGGGAACAGACGAGGTCGACTTCGGAGCTCAGGCTGGCATGAGCGTTAGAAACATGCATCCTGCTCAAGGCAGTGGCATGGTCCCTCCGAGAACGACAGACTATTCTCCTGTGTCGACACTTCCACCTGGTAGTGCTAGTGGTGCTTCCATCGGTGCTCTGTCATTGCCAAATGCGCAGAGTAGCCACTCCTCTGATTTGACAGCAAATGAGGATGTGGTAGACCGCGGCATAATTGCGATGGAGACAGCGAGCGAGCTTTTATACCTATTTATAAAAGATCTTGCACCCTTGTTTCCGGTTGTTGTGCTACCAACAGATACAAACGTGTCGCAGCTGCGGCGATCTAAACCAGTGCTCTTCTTATCCGTGCTTGCGGCGGCGGCCATCGCGGTGGATGCAAAACTGGCCGAGATTCTGAATCGGGAAATCGTAAGGCTATATGCGGAGCGATTTTTTGTAGAGGCGGAGAAGTCCTTTGAACTGGTTCAGTCATTGTTGATTATGATTGTATTCTCTTATCCGCCAAACTCACCTCTGAAAATCCAGATCTACCAATATACTCATATTGCTGCGACGATGGCCCTAGAGATTGGCCTTGCCTCCAAGAAACGGGTGCCCAAGAAGCCCACATCCGGCAGGACAGGTCGAGACCTGCATGATATATTTGATGAGCATATGGCTGAACAGGCTCGCGCGATCTTAGGATGCTATCATCTCTGTTCTCAGTAAGCACTTTCCAGGCGAGATTCTAACACAAGATGAAAATTACTGACCATGAAAAAGAATTGGTATGAGAACACGTCGGCCGAACATGTTGCTGTATAACGATTGGGTGAAGGAATGCGTAAACCATCTAGCAGATTCACCGCACATCATCGATCGGCGCATGGCAACGTGGTTCGAGCTGCAGAAGATGGTTGATGAAGCAATGACATCTTTCGGCCTGGATGATACTAGCTCCACGGCACCTCTCACTGAATCCCGAGTTCAGGCCGTGCTAAGGTGGTTCGACAATCGAATGCAGGATTGGAAGAAGACCACCCCTCCGGATCTGCTCACTTGTAAGCCCGTCAAGGATGTTTCAATGGAGACGTACGCTGACTTGCTTTCTGCTAGTGCCCCTCATGGTCGAGTATCATCACACGAATCTCGCGGTATATGAACTTGCCATTGGTGAAGCATATCGTGACCCTGACGCGATCAAACGGCAACACTACACGCTCCCTCCTCCCGACGAAGAAGGCAGTGGCCAGCAGCAAAACGCCCCTTTAAGTGCGATTCGCATCGATATGACGATGAAGTGGCTGAATGCGGCGCGTTCCATACTCGATGTATTTCTCGGTTGTGATGCGGATACCATGCGAAAAATGCCTAATCTTATGTATACTCGGATCGTTTTGGGCCTCATGACCCTGATGAAAATCTATTATTCAGTGCGATCAGGTGCACTTGGTGAAGTAATTGAGCCTTCAAGTGTCAACCTGGATGTGTACCTCGAGGAGATGACTAGGAGGCTTACCGAAGCTAGTGGCGGACAGAAGTACAAGATCCCGAGTCGGTGGTTGTTTGTCGTTGGAGTCAAGGCGCGGGATTGGTACGACCGGTTCCAGCACCGTCAGTCTCAAAAAGAAGCCGGATTGCAAATCCAGCAGAAGGTTTCTGTGCAGCAGAGCATTCCAACGAACCAGTATTCAATGCCCATGCAGAGCAATTCTCAATTCGACCCGACGGTCACGCAGCAGACAGCGGCTTTCAATGTCCAGCCTATGATGCAGCCCCTTCTCCCAGAGAACACAAGATCCTTCAATGCTCATATCCCGACGACGATTCCATGGCCGTTACCAGATGATAGCTATGTTACTCTCAGTCACCCCCCTGCATACCTACCCGGAGTAATGGCACCGCCAATGACTTTCGCGTCTTCGAATCCGCTGCCCACTTTCAGCCAGAATCAACCCTTCTTCTCTGCTGGATCAGGTATGGAGATCGATGGATGGATCCCAGATGGTGGCATATTCGGCGGTCCCAGCTTGCCAGGGTTTTAGTATGCGAAGCAGCAGCAATAGCGCGTGGTCAGTTCGCTCTGTATGCCTTAACGATGTCTGATGAAACTGTCGATGTTCGACAGTCCACATACCCCGACGATATAATATTTGCAGTTCTAATGAATCCGGTGCTCTTTTTGGTCGTATATAGAAGGATAGGAATTGGTTTTGCGTCTTCTTTTGATAGCAAGGGTGTACGTACGTCAAACCCTCAAACCATATCCTAATCGAGCATGTCGCTTTCTTCCTTTCACTCCATGAAATCAACAGAGTACTCCCGTAGAGATTCAGGAAGAAAACTATGGGGAATGTAAGAAACCCAAGAGAGCTCCGGTCTGAAAGGACAGAAAAAGAATTAGTTGAGAACGCTCATCGATTATTATTACTTCGTCTCTGTCCATGACACGTCTTTTACCCCACGCAACACGGAGTGTCGGGGATGTCGGAACTTCCGATAAGTATGGACGTTGGACAATTGCCGCTATCCGACACCTCAATAACTGTCTGATTCAATCCGACAAAAAAATAGTTAATTATGTGATCTGATGCCAAGCAATGCACAAGAAACTATCATATCTGCTAGTGGCTATTCGCATGCGGTTGTACATACAACTTTGACTGGGCTTCCAACCTTGGAAACAAAGGAGATAATCCGAATGAAGTTATCAGTATACAATATTTTGTATGGACTATTATTTCATCATTGGATACCATTATGCCTAATTTCAAAGTGCTATACTGGCGGAAAAGACGATCATACATACGGAGTTGACCTTGGTCTCCATATCTCTCATAAGCTTCGATAGCCTTAATCACAGAGCTTGCTATGATTCCCGTTTCAAGGGAGTGTCTGCAAGATAAGTACCCGCCTTCTTGTACTCTCGCAGTATCAATCGCTTTCTTTGTCTTTGTCCGCCCCAGGTCACGTCTTTGATATGCTCATTGAATTCTGGTTAGGTCAAAGAAAGATTCCATCTGCTTGTCATCCTACTAATAAACCCCCCTGCCAAGCAAAAATGATGTCTTATATCCAAAATTTTCTCTCTGGAGGCTTGGCAGGGCGGCGCAGCCGGACCAGCCGCGAACAAAGTTCGTCACAACGCTCATCCAACGTCAGATTCAGAGACAATCTTGTCTTCTTTACATGCACTGGATCTCCAGGAGCAATACTGCGAACTCCATGTCTTCGAGTTTACCTTATCCACTGCCTATGCTAAGGACCAGAAAGTGCGGGGCATTCTGGCTAGGTCCCATTCACGATGCAGTCGGCGGGACTTGAGGCCTTCGCACCACGACACGCTGGGCTGGATATCCAGCAAAACAGCGCACCAAGTCTGCCCAGGGCGAATTCCAGAAAGCATTCTGCTGTCTACGACTATCTACAACGCAGTTCTTGGGATGGATTCTCATTTTTTCGATCGAAAGACGCTGATCGCGACGTTTCCTACCTGAGCGATCTCAGCACCAAAGGAACGCGCAGTCACCGTCACCGTTCGCTTGATAGTGAGCTCGATGCCGTCAAGGAGGAGAACCTGAAAGATCGGGTCAGTGTTAGTCAATCCACTGGTGTGGACAGGCTGCGGTTCAGCCTTCTGTCGTCCAGATTCGATTCGTCGATTCAAGTGGCCAACATCGAAGAGTTGTTGATCCACGACGGACCCTTCCATGATATCGCGAACGGAGAAGTACGTGATGGAGTATGGTGGCTCGACGTGACGAGTCCCTCGAAGGAGGAGGTTGAAACGCTCTCCAGGATATTCAACATCCATCCGCTGACGACGGAGGATATCATGACCGAAGAGCCGCGAGAGAAGACGGAATTGTTTGAGAAATACTATTTCCTTTCTCTGACCTTGTCGCAGCTTTCAGACAAAGGGTCTGATCACCGACCATCTAATATGTATGCCATTGTCTTCCGGAACGGCATTCTCAGCTTCTCCTTCAGCGACAATCCGCACACTGCAAATGTTCGCCGTCGGATCAAGAACTTGAAGAGTCACTTGAATGTGACTAGTGACTGGATCTGCTATGCTCTGATGTAAGTTGGGATATTTCTTGCTTCTCCAAAATCATTCCACTAACGTCTTGCTAGTGACGATATCGTCGATGGATTCGAGACGCTGGTTCACGAAGCAGAACGGGAGCTTGTAGCCATAGAAGATAATTACGCCATAGCCCGTCCGGACGACGTTGGCTGGGTTCTACGGCAGATCCATGAGTGCCGCAAGAAAGTCAGCGGAGCGAGACATCTTCTTGGCGGCAAAGTCGATGTCATCCGGTCTTTTGCGCGGCGTTGCGATGAGCGTTACAGCATCACCCCATCCAGCGAACTAGGCCTTTACTTGAGCGACATCCAGGATCACGTCGTGACTATGATGACTAGTCTTATCCAATTTGAGCAGATCCTGGCTCGCGTGCACGCGACTCTCCTTGCGCGCCTTTCGGTCGATTCTACACGCACCGGAAGCATGACTATCAAATTCTTGAGCAAGATCAGCGTTATCGCTGCGATTCTTGTTCCGATGCAAGTCATCACCGGACTGTTTGGGATGAATACGCCTGTTCCCGGTGGCAGCACCAATGGTCTAGAGTGGTGGTTTGGGATCTTGGGGGTTATTGGAACGCTTGTCGTCGTGAGCTTGATCATCGCTCGGATGGCCAAGTTTATATAGGATAGTTTACTGCAGATCTACACTTTAGATCTATACTACCTATGCTATTTCATGATACCAGCTTCCATGTTCATTGAGTTTATGAAGATCATATACGTAACACTATGATACAGTACAATTGGGTAGTCATGCTATATAAGACAACAGAGTAGACTGTGAACATGCATCTCAGACTATATGAAATGCTTCCAAAGCATCCATAAACCCTGCAACGGCACTGATACCCAGTAGTCCTCTAGTTGCGCCTCTCTTCAGGTTCTTATGGCGGTCTCTTCTATCATCTCGTGATTCTCGCCCACTGCCAGGGGGAGACTGGATCCGGACATGTTTATCCCGCGAATCGCGGGGCCGCGTATGACGGGATGGCCGATGTGCATGGTGATACTGAGGATCTGTATGAGGGCTGGAACTCATGTAGGATGGCTGGCGTGGAGACGTAGAATGCGCAGGACTCGACGACATTAGATGAGGTGAGGATCTGTCTTGCGGGCTGTGGTGGTAATACTGCTGGGGGTGCTGAGGCCGAGGGATAGATGGCGGTCGAGGATGATTGTGATAATGTTGGTGATGATGGTGATGGTGATCAGGTCCCTTCCGCGGACGGGAATCGCGATATGACGAGCTCGACGAGTTGTGGCCGTGGTCGCTGACGTGTCCGCCGGTATGAGCATAGAATGCAGGTGGAGGCTTAATGTCTTTCGGTGGCGTCTTTGTCTCCGCGCTGGTCACGCCCTCGTCCTGTGTCTTCTGTTCGCTGCGGTCATCGCTTGAATCTGAGCTGTCCGAATCACTATCAACGTGCGCTTGGTACTTGGAATATTCCTCTCGCAACTTGGCAGCATGTTCCCTCGCCTGCTGCGAGTGAGGCTTTCTCCAATCATCCGTCGTCCCTTCCAGATAGTACCCTTTGATATCGTGGCCATCAAACTCGCTGCGGAGGCTGTCGTCGTCAGTATCAGAATCGATGGCTGGGCTGCTGATCTGGATATCTGGTATGGTCTCAAACGAGCTGCCATATGCGTCTGGAAAGCGAGTCCAAATGTGAAGTAACGAGTTGATGACCCGATCAGAGCACTGTATCATTCCTTTCGGAGAGTCATGTATGGCACCCATGGAAGCGTCAAGGTCTGCAAGGGATGCAACGTGTATTTTGACCGGTCCACCAGTCTTGGATCTGGAATCAGCTTGTCGAGAAGACGGTATACTGTTCCGCACTGGCGGATCCCAGCCCATTAATGAGTTCATTGCATCATGCTCCGTTTCCCTGGCTTCCTGCTCTGCACGATGCCGTAAACGGTCAAGACGTCTGAGGGACCAGTATCGGACGATGACCATGTTTTGGGTGTCAGCCCTTTCTTGTGCGATCTCATCGTCGACATTGGATCCATCTCCTCTCCTGTTCTACCGTTAGTCGGTAATCGCACGGATATAAGCCGATTTCCCAACCTCTTGGCTTCTATTAGCTTACCAAGCTGCAGAACCTGCAGCATCACAGCGAGACTGAGTTTCAGACATTCGAGTTGCGATAGAAGATAAGTGACACGATGCTTTTTGAAACACCATCTCACACGTTGCTGTACGGAGAGGCCGTGGGTAGTTGCCAGCGCTTCAGACGCTTTGAGTCTATCCAGCATATCTTCAATTTCATTCAGGATCATGTAGCCTTGGTCCGTGATCTCCCTTGCCTCCGCAAGTGCTTGGGCAGAGTGCACAGGGTCAGTTTCCCGTAATGCCTTCCCGACATGTTTGAGCGCTAACGCGAACAATGAGACTCCTTTGGAGATGCTATGGATCTCGATCCCAGAGCTTGCTATCTGACATGCCACGGCGTTGAGCAAAAGGGACAATCTGAATCCAGCATTTGCCACGCCTAGTACCGGAGCGACACTTCCTTCAAGATGGTCTCAGCGAGAGGGATCTCCTCGTAGCATGGAAAATACTTACCGGTGTCAGTCATCGTTACGGAGAATTATTCGTGTCCGCTCGGCTGAAATGAACTCCAGGTAAACCGAGTGTACTCGGAACACACATTTGGCTCTTATGGTAGGTGTTGGTCTGGGCCCAGGGCAAAAAGAGCATTTCAAACTATACTGGATTCTTCTGGTCTTCTGCCAGTCGATTGGTAAGTTGGCCACCGTGTGAAGCTTCTCTGTATTGTATTGGCTGTGGCCATTCCGTCAATTATCGTATTTCGCAATGAGGCTCCAAAACCTGTCGGCCACCACGGGCCTGCGGGGATATCTTTCATCGCTATTATTGGATGTAGGATGAGTAACAAGTCGCCTTAAGCCATTCAGATCAGCATCACGCAGCGCCCGGCTGAAGAACAAGTGCGCAGGGCAGGCTAAATACGAGAACGCGGTAGTCTTCTCTCGGCAGGGCGTTGATGTGGGATAGCCGGAAGGCTGATCCCGACGTCATTGGGGTTTCAATGCTTCGGTCAGCTCAGCCTCACGACTGGATAATACGATTGTCAGAAGCGATGCAGCTCTATGGTAGGGCCCTCCAGAGCACTGCTTGAGATCTCAGCTTAGATCAGCTGTCTCATGAGGTGAACCCCAAAGTGGACATCGCTCGTCTCTACTCTGCAAATATATATAATCAACGAAATGCTTCTCACCAGTGAAATAGCCACCAATGTCATTATGTGACTTCCAACAGCGTTTGAGCTAATACAACGATCAAAAGGTCTTCAGCAGATTGGACCATTTCTTACTGACTCACACCTACTCTTCCATACCTATCTCGAACGGCTGCAGATATGTCCGAAGAAGCGCAGTGGATATAACGAACACCAACCTAAGCCCCCATTACGATGCTCTACTAGTAGAGGCAAGCTTTCTTAGTATTTATATTACGAGACCATCTTCTAACGGAAAGGTCAGCACTACAAGTTCCACAACGATAATCCAGAATCGGTGTCTATTTCCTGAAGCAAAATCCCGTCAATTTTTATCCAGAAGAACTATCTTTTGATAGTCGTACAGTACATAATCGATACAAAACAGGTTAAGATCTACACAGGACAATGTACCCAAGTGAAAATAAAATCTACTGCCTTACACAAACCACAGGTGCCAATTCATACCCATCATATCGACACCGGGAAACTGGCTTCTGTGCATTCTCTGGGTCCGCCAACCAAGCAGCCGCACACAGAAAGTGCTGAAGAATGTATTCCGCCTCCTTCTCAGGCAGGTCCGGATACATGTGAATCATGTCCATATGCATTACGTTCCTGTCCTTCAAATAGGGCATCCATGACCATGCTGTTGGAGACAGATGGGTCGATCCAATCATCTCCAGAGCCTGCTCGGGCTTTACCGTGAATGGCTCTAACAGCCAGTCGAATATTTGGCCATGGAAAAGGTCGCGGACCATAGCAATATCGGCAGTGCCGTTTTCGAATTGCGCCAGCTTGTCGAAAACTCTACCGATTGGAGCATGTTCACGAACCATCATCTCGTCCTGATCGGCTCGAATTTTGGTCAGCAATTCGAGCGCAGTTTCGTCTGGTACGACGGGAATGCGTGAAGCCGGGTTCGTGAAGGTCGGTCCATCGATTTCCATCGTGCTTGATGGTGCAGTACTTGTGTCGGCTTCCAGAGGCCACGACCGGCCGGACTGGAGGTTTAGGAAAATAGCCTCGCGTGCTCCCGAGTGTCGGACATTGACCAAGGCACAGGCAGCCATGGCGATGATCGGGGCAGATATGCCAAAAGCCAACCGCATCTGTGTAAGATGAGGAAGGCGAACGTCGGAACTAACGATAGTTCGTGTGTACGCTGCATGCCCGGGCCCAATGATACCGTCCTCGTGCAGATGACCAAAGTACACCATATGGCCTTCCTCAATCGGGCGCCCAAAGGGCAATATGGCATCTTTAGCAGCAGAAATGCCCCGGAGCCTGCGGGCGTAAAACTCGACCGACTCGTCGGCCTCCGGAGTCGACCGATATGCATCATAGGCAGCGGCGAAATGACGGTAAGGTTGCCATGTTAACATAGGCTTCCCATCTAAAAGATGATCTAGATCCTGGAACCAGCGTCCTAGCAGTGCCCCATCGAAAATAACATGATGCATGTGCAGAATAAATCCGCAGATGGATGTCCCTCGCACAGGTAGAACGGTGAGTTTGCAGAGAGGTCCAGTCCTCGAATCAACGCAGTCCTCCGGTTGGTAGTCTATCACTGCTTTTATGTTCTCGACTTCGGGCCCATGGATTATTTGCTGTTCAAGCCAAGATTCAAGGGGGCGCATGACTGCATAGACTGGCCTTTCGTTGTCAACAGTCGCAACCATGCTGCGCAGTAACCCGTGTCGCCGCAGCCATGTCTCTAAGACGGCCGTTACTTGATCTGCAGTCAAAGGCCGTCGGATGATGAAAGGTATCCGGAAATCCCAGGCACCAGGGAACGGCCGGTTCACGCCCATGAGTCCGAGGATGTCCGTCATTAGGACAAGCTCCTCGATATCATCTGCGTCGATTCCCAACTGCGAAGCAGCTATTTCCTTCTTGATATCGACAATGATGGCGCTGGTGGTCGATTGAGGTGACACAGGAAGGCTCAACTGTGCTGTTCCTTTCTTACCCAATAGCTGAGCTTGCTTCTGGACGGTATCCGCAGCCAACAAATCCTTCAGGGTGAGCTTCCATCCCTTCTTCTTCGCCAGGTTAAGGAACTGGATCTGCATCGTGCTGTCTGTGAACGTGCGAATTGGCATGTCAGGCTTGATATTCTCAGGCTCTACTCCAGAGATAGCAGACCAACAGGCCGTGAGTTCCTCACTGATGTCAACTCTCAGTGTGGTGTCAACTCTTGAAGGAATATTGGTTGTTTGTATGTCTGATGTGGCGGGTGTACCAGAAATTTGCACACGAGACTCCGGTGTCGTATGGTTCTCTATATGACCCACCACCCATTCCTTGATTATATTTTTCTTAATCTTGCCGGAGGTAGTCGTTGGGTATTTCTCGCGGCCCAGATCATTTTGAAGGTGCAGGATCAGTTTCGGCGCGAACGACCGGCCCAGGGCTCGTATCACAGCGGACTGAAGCTCGTTGAAGAAAGCCTTGCTTTTCTCGTCGCGTGTCTCGATGACAGCTACTGGGACTTCACCCGCAATATCATCGGGTGCTCCAACCACTACCGCACTTTTAACTCCCGGCTGACCGCATAAGCATTGTTCGATCTTCAACGGGGAGATATTTTCACCTCCCCGAATGATCAAGTCCTTGTATCTCCCCAGTAGATAGACACAACCCTCCTCATCCATATATCCACGATCTCCAGTCGCAAACCAAGGCACGGCTCCCTCACGGTAGCAGCTGGAATTATCTTCCTTACTACCGTCAAAATATCCATCAAAGACCGGATAACCTCCTTGGTGGAGCTCGCCGATTTCACCGCAACGCAAGGGTTCTCTGCTACCCGGAGCACAAATGCGAAGATGAGATCCCCCTTTCGCAGTCCCTAGACAGACATCGTCACCGTCCTCAGCGTTTGTAATTCTCGGGTCGTTCACATCCATCGGGTTGAATAACGTCGCAACACCTTCAGTCGTCCCGTATCCCGCAATGATCTGTTTCGCACCGAGCGACTTGCACGTCCACAGGACATCCGGCGTGATAGGGGCTCCTCCAAGACAGATCCCGAACGGAGAGGGGAGCTTCTTGTCAGCGGTCGTTGAGTAGGTATGCATAGCGTAGACCATTGTCGGTACGCAGGCCATATACACCTTGGATCCTGACCCGAGTGCCTCGAAGGATGCCGTGACGTTAAATTCAGGACTTGGAAACACGACAGTTCCACCGGATACCCAAAATGTCAAGATAAACGCAACACTAAAAATGTGGAAAGAGGGCAAGTGCTGGCAGAGAGTACTTTCTGGCCCTATCGACCAGTGATCGGCAAGTCCCAACGCCGGAGTGACGATGGTAACCGATGTATGAGGGCAGACTTTCGGGCGAGATGTTGTACCACTGGTACATAGCATGAGGATGGTATCATCGCGCTTTAACGAAGAAATCGAATTTGTTGTAGGAGAAGGCCCAGTCATGAGTGCAGCTAGAGTCGTCCAGCCGCGTGGCAGAGAGCCATCTACTTCTCCTACTACTCCTGTAGAGAGAACGCATTTTACTCGTATCTGTGGCATTAATTCCGTCTCAAGGATATTCTCAATCTGGCGGGCAAGGCTGAGATTCGACACAAAGATTGACTCAGCCCAAACTTTTCTCAAAAGATACACCGCATCGGATGGTTGATTGAGGGTTCGAGGATCCAGCGGGACAAAGTGGCATCCCAGCCGCGCACTCGCAAGAAACAAGATCGCCCATTCAATTTCATTAAACAAAAAGGTGGCGATACGATTCCCTCGCCGTACGCCCGCAGCAGCAAGTCGATGAGCTAGGCGGATACTCCCATCGCGGAGTTGAGAATATGTCCAGCGAAGAGTACCCATGCCGAGGTGATCTTTCTGATGGAGCGACATGACAGCCGTGCGATCAGGATGTCGTTGCGCGACCCGGTCGAACACAGTGACCAGATCATCTGCTGGTTCGCGTTGTCGCTCATCTTTTGATTGCGCAACAAGGCGCTGGATGGTTGTGGTCTCAATCGCCATAATCCAGTATACTGGAAGACCAAGTTAGCCCTCGTGTCCAGTTAGCCCTCGTGTCCAAGTGATGGGACATATACACACCTATGGCAGGATAACGTTGAAACCAAATGATTTCCTTTTACGGTATCATCAGCAAAGGCGTTGTACGATAACGCGTTAGGCACTTATAAGGGACACGACAAGACACGCCTAACCACGCGATAGGTGTCAGGTCCGGGGAAAAAGGGGGGGCGCTGGAGAATCTAGAGAGTTGATAATGGTTTGAGGCTAGAGCCCTAGGATTTCTCTCTCCATCGCGATTCCTCCCCCTACCTCGTATTGCATGACAGTGGAGAATGTGGACTAATATTCCTATCTTAGCTGTACTGCCCCCCTGCTCTTGATGAAGTTTCCGCGCGTTTCAACGGACCAAGGATCAGGTAAGAGATGATCAGGTGTTCGAGATTCCGCTATTGGTGCGGATCGCAGATACAGGGGCAAAGGACCAATGTTAAAAGCCCCTGGATAGATCGCTGTCAGGTTCAGAGCGGTGTGTTGATTGAACAAGTGGATTCTATTCAGCCATGGTTTTAGCATATTTGCTTAAATTAAGTTCGTCAGCTTGTCAAAGAGTCTGGCAATCCTATCTAGTATCTAGTTATTCGCCGCATTTGGACCTATCCGAAACATTCAACATGCGTTACAATGTTCTTTCGAGCTATTGTCAGACTTGACAGGTATGCGACCCAAATCTATGATGCATCGATATGCCTCTCTGTTTTCTGGACCTGTAGAGTTCGTCCGCGCTAAAACTGGGCGTCTATTTGACATGTCCCTTATGTAAAAAAGGTTCATTAGGGGAAAGCACGCGAGGAAACCAGGAGTATTATTATAAAGAAAGAATGTCAATTGGAGGTAGACATTCTGTTTGTAACAATTATACAACACCGGAATGTCGATAGATAAAAGCATAAACAAGGACCTTGCAGCTATAAATCAATGGTTGGTAAAGATTGGCGAGATATTTAACTTCAAAGCGGGAATTATTTAATACTAGATATACTCAACAGATGATTTCCTGTTTCTGTATTACCATTTCAGCGAACTTTGCGCGTGAAATATATACCGTCACGTGATCGAATTTACCCTATCTCATCCCTTGCGACCATTATTGTTTCCTGTCAGTCAATAATACAATAGCTACTTGCAATGTTATTAACAAAGCAATTATATCTCTAACACCTCAACTTTTCATTAAATACGTGTAAACCACAGAGGCGCCAGAGGCCATAGTTTTTTTACATCATGTGTGGAATGCGTAAACGGAATACGGCCGATCTTTGCGCTCTTGACGCAAGGAGACAGTTGATCGACATAACCACGGAGCAATCATTTCACAGCACAATGTTTTCCTAATCTCTAAGAATGGCTTTCGCGTCAAATCCAGTGTAATGTGGCGTTAGATACGCCGTAGATCTGTCCAATTGATGATCAACGAGACATCCCGCCCGGCCATTTACTCCAGGACGAACATGGCGAACTTCTAGAGTACCTACTCAGTATGATAGTTCACAAAAGACCCACGTGGTCGGCAAGCTTAAGTCAATTGCCTTACTTGACCCGCCCAGTAGTTGACTGCATGGTTCAATCCCTCGTTGCCTCATCCCAGCTCTAACATACCATCCCTTGCCTGCGGAGTGCATTGCATGTTGTCGCTCGTCTACGCTGTATTGACTGGAAGCTAAACTAATATTATACAGGCCTTCTTACGGATTACTTCGGCGCAGATGCCACATTGACCCGTATCTACTCACCAGCACATGTCAATTTTCATTTATCATATTCGTGGTATCGATAACGATAGGCTATATGTAGTCCAAATACCCTAGTGAATAGAGAGGCGAGAGACGGAACAGGAAAAGAGCCGCTTTTTCTTGCCCAAGTCCCCGAGCCTTGTATTTGTTTCAAAAATACCAAGCTGAACTAAGAAGAATAATAGCGTTTGACAAACCAAATAATATTGAGGTTTCATCTGATGGTATCGTGGCATTGAGAACATAAGAACTCTACTAGACAGATGCACGGAATGCTCTGAGCACACACCAACTACATGCAGGATATGACTGAGGTATGCCACTGCATACACATACAACTGCCTGGAGCTCGCTTTCAGTAAGGTCTCACCGATATTTCCCAACAGGAAAAGATCCCAACCGAAATGGGGCTGAACACGACTACCGATTACCCGAAGAAGTTTCGGATCCTGATGATTCATGGTGAGTGATATCCTACTTATCATCCCACAATCGTTGCTAACAACTAACCCTGCATCCTTACAGGATTCGCTGCTTCGGGACAGAAGTTCGAAGCAAAAGCAAGACCTATATCAGACCGCATAAACGAATTGCTCACTCCAAAAATCATCGATGAGTTCGCTGGAGGTATTGAGTTCTTATACCCCGATGCGCCTATTGTCCTAGAATGCCCAATTGGACTGGAAGAGAGGCGCGATGACGATGCAGATGACAAGGATAAGAATGGTCAAAGCACAATCGAAGAAGAACCTAGGGACCTCTCGAATCGTGCATGGTGGTATGGCCGAGATACAATCCACGCTTATAAAGGCCTCGAAGATTCGCTCTCATCTGTGGCTACATTTATCCGCAATCGGCCCATCCATGGAGTCATTGGATTCTCTCAAGGTGCTGCAATGTCGGGAATGATTACTTCTATCCTTGACTGTCGCGACAATCCCTCAAAGGTGGCCGCCTTACGAGGGCAAGGTCTTCCAGTGGACGACTTCCTCAATCTCCCCGGCCAGCACCCGTTGAGGTTCTTCATCGGGTGTGGAGGATATCAAGGAACACTGAAATATTACGGGAGTCTGTACGATTGGCCGATTCAGACACCAAGTTGCCATACAATCGCCGATATAGATGGTGTTGTGGAGGATTACCGGACCATAAACCTGGCACGTTGTTTCTCCTCCGCAAAAATGGTGCACTACTTCGGTTCTCATTTCGTCCCAAGAGATCGTGCTACTGTACAAACTCTCGCGTGCTTTGCCGTGAAGAATTCTTGCAGTGGCCCCGCGTCAGATGGTGTACCATCGGTTGCTCCTTCACTGAGTCAACCGGCAAAGAGAAATGCCAGCAAAGATAGGGATGATAATAGACTGGGCTATACAAACTCACAAAAGTCACTTCAGTCGGCTAAGAGAAGAAAGATATTCACTCTCCGCAGCCGACGAAAACAAGTTGTATCCACACGCCAGATTGTCCCCGCATTTAACCACTCATGCTTCGTTGTCTAACGATAGGGCACATGGGCGATGAAGCTGTTAGAGGGGAATTGGGCATTAGATCTGCGAGTTAACATGAGGATATCCAGCTTATGTCTGTTTATGAGGAGTATAAAGTTGTTATATGTTGTATCTAGCATTTATTGTTACTATTGTTCTCCTTCCCAGGGGATTTACTATCGAGTTTGAACCTTGAAAATTGTAAACGAGTATTTTTTTTTTTCTTATGCATCCAATGAGATGTATCTAGACCTCATGAATGTCCTTGTATAGCTCTAGGAACATATAGTTCTTCCAAGTACCGCTCTTCCTCCTCTGAAAGCTCCTTGCCCCTAGCATCCAGAGCCTCCTTTATGCGGTCGCTTGAACTGAACCCAATAATGGGAGCCGTGACCCTTCGGTTAAGCCAGGCCAAGCTCACATGGCTCATTGGCCATCCTCGAATTGTAGCAATCTCCCTTACCCTTGTTACAATACCATGTAGGTCCTGGTCACCATTGTCATATAGTGATCCGTTAGTGCTAAATGCCGCCCGTTTTGAAAATGTGCTCTGTGTTGGGTCACGGGCCAATCTTCCTGATGCCAACGGAGCCCACTGTTGAGGGAATAGGTAATTAGCACTTGTAGAACGGCGTGTTGTCAGACTTATCGGGAGACATTACAGGAATAAGGCCGATGCCTGTGAGATTGCAAAATGGGTTCATCTCGCGCTCTTCTTCCCGATATAATAAATTGTAGTGATTTTGCATTGAAATGAATTTGGTCCATCCGTGTTTCTCTGCGGTGTGCTGCAAGGTGGCGAATTGATATGTCCACATTGAACTGGCTCCAATGTAGCGGATGCACCCTGACCTTACTAGATCATCTAAGGCGCGCATTGTTTCCTCTGGTGGAACCGTTGGGTCGTATCGATGGATTTGAAGAACGTCGATATAGCTGGTGTTAAGACGCTTAAGAGATCCCTCGACGGCTTTGAAAATAGCGCTTCGTGATAGGCCTTGATACGAGTTAAAGTCTACGCGAATGATGGATAAAGGGAGAGATCTTTTTTATCGGGGTAAAACAGAAAAGAATTACATACCCCATTGGTTCACATAGTCCTTGCTTGAATCTGCCAACGCATGATGCATGGTTACCTTAGAACCAGGATCGTAGTTTTCAGAATCACAGACGACCCTATAGCACTTTGTCATGAGAACAACCTTCTCACGAGGGATCTTGTGTGTCTGAAGGGCCTTGCCCATGACCCTCTCGGATTCGCCATTAGAATAGACATTCGCCGTGTCCCACTTGCATTATATTAATTTATTGCCCTAAAGGGAAAGTCTAAGTGCAAACATACCGTGTTTATTCCGCTATCATAAGCTGTTTTCAAAAGATCAAGTGCCTATCAACCAGTAAGCAGAAGCAATCACATGAGAGAACAACAGAAGGAAATACATGATCTTCGTCTAGTACCCATGGGAGCCAGCGAGAACTACCCAAGTTCATACCGCCAAGGATTGGATTTGACACTCGCAGACCGGAGTTCCCAAGTCTTCGATACTCCGCCTTCGAGCGTGCCACAGACTCGCGCAGACATTGGGGCGCTTTTGCTAGGTTTTCTAGCACTATCCTGCTCATGTTGGACGGAATATATGATACATTTGATGCCAGAATTCGGCGATGAATCACTGTCCTTCGGATTCACCACAGATAACCCGAAATTTATGTTTAACCACCTCTGTCGGACAATCGACCCGAATCTTATGCTAAATGAGGGGAACTCGAACACGCGCAGATTGACACAGCTAGGACACAGCCTAGTGTGTCCAGATTACTGTAACAACTAGTAAATCCCGACTGCAGCTGCGGAGTTGTGGCGGCTTGATTGTGTCTGTGGCTTAGCTACCCCGGCGGACTTCATGATCACTGCGATATGGCTCCTCCTCCTTAGCCCTTCATCTTAACCCGTGAAAATCTATGCGCTTAATATTACCAATATCCTTAGCCAAGGATTGCTGTACAGGTAATTATTAATCATTCCGTGTCAGAACACCTAAAGCCCCCTTCCAGCTCTTAGTTCGAACCCCTTCCTTCGCCAAGGTTCAGTATGTAAAGTACGTCTAGTAAGTTACCAGTGGTGTTACGATACAAATACCCCCATCCGACATTGTATGTAGAAAAGTATCAAGACATGCTAAAGTCCTCACGATACACGATTAGATTCACATTTTCTTATAAGCTGCCTTTTTCTTCTTGGCCTCACTTGTCTTTGTAAGCCTGCTTTCCCAAAATCATTGAACGAAGATAAAAATATCCATTCCTCGTCGATGACGCATCCACTCAAGGGATAGATAGCTATCACGGATTGCCGATCCCTTTTTGAAACGAACATGCTGTTTACAAATGATGCACCAATCTATTGCGCTGTGGGTCAATCATATGATAGACACGAGAGACTGACCACGGCTGAGTGTCACCCCTTCTTTGTCCTAGTGAAAATATTCGAGTTTTCAAGCGCCCTCGGTCAAGTTTGACGTTATTACGAACTTTGGTCAGAACTTTGATCTGAGCTTGCAAACGCTATATAATAACAAGACCATAACCCTTTTTCGCGCGTGGCAGATAAATGAGACCAACAATTTGGACCTAGCCACCCGGCAGCGGTAGGTCGGAATGGATATGTTGTCACAATTGATGAGGTGGACGGATTTGCAGGTATGATCGAGACCGAGAGACATTGAATTGCGATGAATCTGAGTACCTAATATATCGGATATGTAGTTGCCAATCGATTTAAAAAGGATATTCCGAACCATGCCTGTCAATGATGCAGAAACGGTGACATACTGGCGAGAAGCTTTAGCCAGCTCAGAATATGTACCGTATCCGACTCTACCGCCGTTTGTCAATCAGCCAGTGGCAGATAAGCTGGTAGAGTACCAGTTCCCACGACCCAAGGAGCCCTCAAATAATATTACTGTACCGATTCTAGCCCGTGCTGCATGGGCCATAATCGCCAGTCGGCTGACCGACTCGGACGATGTTGTGTTTTGTGCGACAGCATCCGCAACAAACGCGCCGGTTCTGGTGCGCGTGAAGTTGACCGACAATCAGAAGGTTTTGAAATACCTGAGATTAGTACAGCAGCAGGAACCCTATATGGTCACACTTGAGCAGGCAGGTCTACATGGAATCACCCAAGAATCTTCCGATTTTCAGAAAGCGTCCATGCCACAAACACTGCTTATCGTCCAACCGCAAAAGGACGGCAGAGAGATTGGCAACAAATTGCATCAGTCCGACGCGTACGGTCTGACAATTCATCTAGAGCTTTCTAGTGCTCAGATTAATGCTACCGCCGCCTTTGATCAGAGGGTGATTGAGCCATGGCTTGCGATTAAGCTACTTCAACGCCTTGAATTCGTGATGCAACAGCTCAGTGATGCCAGTCCTGAGCTGGAACTGAAGGATGTCGGGATCGTGCCTCCACTAGACGTGCGACAGATATGGGAATGGAACAGTGAGGTTCCGCCAGTGGTTGAGCGATGTATCCACGACATTATCCTGGAACACGCTTCAGCGCAACCCGATGCGCCAGCAGTCTGCGCATGGGACGGTGAGCTGACATATCGCGAGCTAGACAACCTCTCAAACCAGCTTGCCTGCCGTCTTGTTGAACTCGGTGTTGGCCCCGAGAAGGTCGTGCCGTTGTGCTCGGAGAAGTCGATGTGGACCGTCGTGGCGTGGGTTGCCGTTCTCAAAGCCGGTGGTGCTTTCGTCCTCCTAGACCCTACGCTGCCTGAGGGTCGAATCCGAAGCATTTGCCAGCAGGTGCATGCGGCAGTTGGTATAACGTCCGCCTCCTGCGAATCCAGGCTGTCTCCATTCACGCAACACATTGTCGTGCTGGCAAGGCAGGCGCTTGGGTCGCAAAATCACCAAACGTTGTCACAGATGCCAAAAGCGACCCCGAGAAACGCTGCGTATATCATCTTCACGTCTGGAAGTACAGGAGAGCCGAAAGGTTGTGTCATTGAGCATCAATCTTACTGCTCGGCAGCGTTCGGCCATGGAGCAGTACTGGGCATGAACAAAGACATGCGCGCTTTACAGTTTGGCTCCTACAATTTTGCTGGGGCGATCATGGAAATGCTGATGACCCTAATCTACGGCGGCTGTATCTGTATACCATCTGAAGAGGAGAGGGCCAGCAACTTGGCGCAGGTAATTGGGAAGCTGAACGCCAATTGGGCCTTTCTGACTTCCACTGTACTCTCGCTCCTTCACCCAGAGAATGCCCCATCCCTGAAGACGATCTGCGTTGGTGGCGAGCCCATCCGAAGTTCCCAGATCAGGGAATGGGCGCCAAAGGTTCACCTGCGACAGACGTACGGCAGTGCAGAGACCGCTGCTGTTGTCGCATCAGCACGGTTATATGCATCGTCAGCGGTTACCAGCGTTGGAAAAGCGACTACCGCCAGATGTTGGCTTGTTGACCCTGCCAATGTCAACCGCCTCGTGCCTGTGGGATCTCCTGGTGAGGTTTTGTTCGAAGGGCCGGTAATTGGACGCGAGTACATAGGGCAACCGGAGAAGTCTTCTGCGACCTTCATCGATGCACCATCCTGGAGATCTGAGCTGGGACGCTGCTCAAAATCGTCTCGCTTCTATCGGACAGGTGATCTTGCAGCATACAGAAGCGATGGATCCATTGAACTCCTGGGGAGGAAGGATACCCAGGTCAAACTACGGGGCCAGCGCATCGAGCTTGGGGAGATTGAACACCAAGCACGATTATCATCACCAGATGTGAGGGACGTCGCTGTAGAGCTGACTGCCCTCAATAATGGCATGGACAAAGGTCCACAATTAATAGGATTCCTGGTAATACGAGAGGCTCACGCAAAAGTAAACGGCAGCGGTTTGCACAATGATGAACATACTCGCACTGTCATCCAAAGTGTCCGGGCCCGACTGGAGAGCGTGCTACCGCATTATATGGTCCCATCAGTGTTCGTTCCAATCCCAGCGCTTCCGTTGACAGCATCCGGAAAGACGCACCGAAAGAAACTGCGGGAAATGGGGTCTGCAATGTCAAAGGAAGAGCTGGAGGTGTTACGAACGAAGGCAGAAATGCGGCAGCCAACAACACTGGTTGAGAAGCGTTTGCAGGAGATTTGGTCCCAAGTGCTCAAGGTAGATGCGGCTACCATTGGACTTGATCACAGTTTCTTCAGTCTCGGTGGCGACTCAATCACAGCAATGAAGGTTGTGGGTGAGGCTCGCAAGGTCGGCATTAATCTGATGGTGGCAGACATCTTCCGGCAAGATACTGTTGCAGGATTGGCTCATCAGCAGTCGCTGAACAGCGCACAAGTCAGTCAACAATTCGATGGTGTTGTTCTCGTTGAACCTGCCGTCAAAAAGATTCTTCTCGAGGAGATTGACTCTCTTGGAACTGGTCACCGTTCTACAGATATCGCAGATATCTACCCTCTGACGAGCGTTCAAGAAACGCTTGTGGCTGCCAGTTTGGCGTGTGGAAAGTTGGCCGACTATTTCTACCTTGATCTGGATGACAAAATCAGTATTCCAGCCCTCGAAAGTGGCTGTAGCAGAGCTCTGGAGAAGTTTCCAATCCTCCGCGCATGCTTTTTCCAGCTTCAAGGAAAACTCTGGCAAGCTATTCTCAATCAACTCAGTCCGACTCTTCGCGTGGAAGATGTCAGCGGTGATATGGATGAATCCTTCAGGGACATTTGCCTCAGAGACGGAAAAACTCTTTCGCCAACTCAGCCTTTGGTCGCATTTATCCTACTTAAGCACAACGTGAAAGGCATGAGACTGGTTCTTCGAATGTCGCATGCTCAGTACGATGCTTTTAGCGCGCCAGTCGTTTTTCAATCGCTCTTTGACGACGACAAAGTTTCTACTGCGCCAAGCTTCTTCAACTTCATGTCTTACACTTCTGGCCGACGTCCACAGTCAATTGCATACTGGAGCAAGTTGTTAGAAGGATCGCGTCTCACTGTCGTTGGGCCCAGACTTCCTCCTGGCAATGCCAAAGATCCTGTGCCGGAGGCGATTATAGCTAAAGCGGAAACTCATTTTCTGCAGCGTCCCGACAAGATTACTGCGGCAACTCTAGTCAGGACTGCGTGGGCTGTACTGCTGGCACATATCAGTGGTGACACTGACATTGTCTACTGTCAGGTAGTCAGCGGTCGCAACTCTGCAATGCCAGGAGTGGAAAAGATAGTGGGATGCTGCCTCAATATTGTACCTACACGAGTTGTTCTCTCCTCTTCCCCGACGGTAGCTGAGCTGGTTCATGCCGTCCAAGAGCAGTTACTCGAGATGGGAGAAGCAGACACGCTCGGTTTCAGGGACATCGTCGAAAATTGTACCGACTGGCCAGCGACCACGAACTTCGAGTCAATGATCCATCACCGAGATATCGACGAACACCCTGAGATACAGACATCAGCGGGCGTATCACGGATGCAGGCCTTTGATAACCCTGTCACATCCCCATGTATTTTCGTGGTATCGTACGGACGAGGCGACAAAATTAGTATCGAAATTTGCGCAAATACTCACATCATGACCATGGAGACAGCTGATGCGCTAGCTTGTGGTCTTGTTCAAATTATTGAGAAGGTAGTTAGTTCCATGCACATGCCTGTGCAGTCATTGATGGACGGTGTTGGGTTTGTTATATAATTGCAGAGCTTCGATGTATGTATATTAGCACCTGTCAGGGGCAGCCAACGAATGGCCGAGCTTCAATCCATAAACGGAGTTAATAATTGTGAAACTCTCAAACCAGAACGCTCTATTTCATAGTTTAAGCAAGCTTAAAGCCGCAAGCTTCCATTCAACGACAAGAAATGTATTTGTGCCAAAATTAGTCCTTATATGGGACTTCTTGGATGACTTCATGGCCGTAGCTTGATTGGGCGCACACGTTGGGCGATACTTTGGTCGGCAGGTAGAGAAAAGTTGTTGAAAAAGAAAAAGCAGAAAGAAACGTTTCTTTTGCTGTTGACTCCTGCTTGTATTCTCCTCGTCCATGGTCGAATGTATTGGATCATCCATTGGCTAGGATCTGAGGGCACTGACGTAACTCTAGATAGATGGCGGAGGTGAACGTATCCCAAGAGATTCCTATTCAACGAATTCTCAGTATACCGGCCGAAAGGGCTTCGAAACATCGATCTTGCTTGGTCTTCATATACGCCACGGAGCTTATAAAAGCTCACAAGGCGGAGAAGATCAACCGTATACGCCCCAAATAGCTTCGAAGAGCAAACTAAGACTAATATCGCATCAGGTAGTTCGCTCCGAAAGCCTTGAACTTTGCCCATTCTACTCTCTGAACTTTGGAGCATAAGTAACATTTTAGCACCGTGCATCAAGCATTAGCTGTCACCCACGAAGGTTCACGATTCAGTACTCGCTTAAATATCTCGTTGTTGCACTTGGGCTTCCATGATCGAGACTCAAAGCTGCTGGGCTTCTGGAGGATTGACTGCATGGTCAATAGACGGTATTAAAGGCGGATGAAGCGCAATCAGAGTGACCTGCACGTGAATTAGGTTCATTGTTATCTTGATACCTTGGCCATGTTCATTTCCACATCAACTTACTGCTCAGTTGTTCTGAGTCACAGTATCTCTAAACATTAGCTAGTAGTAATTGTCGACATCCTCAGAAAGAAAGACTTCATTCACAAGCCTAAATAAGAAATGAATCACCGAATGTCAACTGCCAACACCGCTGTTAACGGCAGAAATTGAGGTGCATGTCAGGCTCCCAGAGATGCTGTATATTGAGTCTCCCTTTGAACTATTGACAGATAAGTTTGGAGTTAAGATGAACTAGGAGGATGACGACTAGACTGGGCGTATCACTTAGCCTTTTCTAGATGGAGTCTGTTCAATTACTCTCAAAGCGGTCCTCAGCAAGAATAAGAGATCGATCACATACGACAGAAAAGAAGAGTTGAGGAAGATTTAGGTCAAGACCAGTTACAATGGCTACCAGAGTGTTGACTAGACTTCTCCAAAGGGGCCATCTCGAGGGCGCCTCGAAAGGCCACGAAATCTCGAACATCAAGATGGGAAATCACGTCTAGAATAGAGGTATCTCCAGAATCTGAATGTCTGTGCAAGAAGTGCAAATAATAATTAGCTGGAAGTTGGGTCTTCTGAGACAATGTCTGAGCAGTCAAGCAGGTCAGTTGTTACCCCGCCAGTGCGAGGCGATCAGACCAGCCGCCCCTTATCTAAACGCGGTCTTAGCGTCCGGCCTACCAAGGAGAGTCGGTTTACCGCTTTCGGGCAACTCCTCTGGCTTGCTTCCTCGAACCACACATCACGCAAGCTGTCAATTCATTAACGCTCTGTCTGGAGAGGCTTCGATGCCAATGCGGAGCCCAGAAGACTGCTTGAACGATCTCTGTCGGTGACGCCGGCGTCAGATTCTGCAGAATCAAGTCTGCGGAGCTCTCCTCCTGCACCGTGTCACGCTACTCCGTACCCCGTCCTTTGACGATCGACAACAGCCCACCGGGGAGCATCGGACGAGAATTACTACAATCACTGAGCGGGGAATAGAGGAGAACTATTATACTGTGAGGTGAACAAAACCTGCGGGGGCCGTACCATCCGCGCGGATGGTTGTTCCCTCACATCCCCCGAATTCAACGGACGGCGCATGCGAGAACTTGCGAGGAAGAACGAGAGACATTGGGAAAGAGTGAAAGCAGGTAACTGGTGACGCTGCTACAATCGATAATGAGCACTGGAGCGACAACAACTGCGGCCAGCTCTTCTGACCTTCCTGCGGCTGGAGATGCTCCGCAATTGCCGTCAGAACCTGACAGTTCAGCCAGCAACAATGACCTAGCAGGTACTCAAGAGACTGGCAGTGCTTTAGATCGGTCGGCTGTCCAGCAAAGCACAGGAAACAAAGACCAGCCGGCGGATGGTGGTAGCGGACAGAGTCATGTCGAGCTGGATGAGTTTGGTCTCCCGATTCGTGTGTTCTCGAAGCCTTCACGCCCTGTAAACGATTCATTAGGGGAATCCGAAGCATTCAGTGAAGCGGCAGATCAAATAACCGAGAAGGAGAAGCCAGGCAACAAGGAGGAGAAGCAGACGAGCAACGAAGAAAATCCATCTAGCCAGCAGTCGCAGCCGGCTGAACAGTCAAAACCTGGCAGTGAACCGAGAAAACAGATACATGCGGCGGATATCGGCACATATACGCAGTCGCAGGAGTCCAATGTGAGCTCTGGACCGGTCGATTCTGGGGCTTCCGGCGAAAGTGAAAAAGACAAAGAGACAGCAAAAGACATCTCAGCAGGAGAGAAGACGGAGGCGGACAAGACTCACCCTGAAGAGCAAGACGACAAGCTATTGGATAAGGAGCAACAACCTCAGGCCGCTACCGCTGAGGATGCCTCGCACAGCGATCCTTCTCAGAAGCGACACAGCAGTGCCAAACCTTCGGAATGGTCGCACCAAGGACTTGTGTTGCATCACGATTCGGAGGAGGAATCGGAGGAAGAGGAGGAAGGTGATTGGCAACCCATGCCGGCTCTTGGGGAATTTGATGTTTATGATGACTATGGCCGGCTGGTCGCTCGTGGTGCAAAGCAGGAGGACGATGAAGCTGTGTATCAAGGGCTAGGTGGAGCTGGGAAAGGATACACTCGAGTACAGCTTGATGAAGATGCTCAATCGGCCACTAGCATGGACGAGGATACCAGCTACCTTTTCAAAGAAAATGGTCATACTGTTGGCGTTGATGAGGAATTGAGGGATCCTACGACCCAGCTTCAAGCCACGAAAGATCTCTTGACGGAAGGCCAGAGAATCGCGTATGTTGGTGTGACAAGGTTGTCCATATATCAGATGGATGAGGAACTTCGGAGTATTGTGACAACGAGAGGAAGCAAAAAGGCCCTGCAAGGTGCATCGGATTCGATAAAGAAGTGGGGTCAAATGATGATGGCTCGACTTTACGCTCATATGGACATCGACACTGCGGAACAAATTATGATTGAACAACTGGCTGATCATGGTGTGCAACCGGCAGATCTTGTTCGGCCACTGATGCAAAACGCTCGAGTTAAGAACCCGATGGCAGAGGAGCTTAACTCTCCAAAAAAGTCAACATCGATGCCTGCGTCACCGGCTTCCAGGGATCTCGGGGCCAGTCGTTCTACTCCAACTGACGATTCCTTCGATTTATCCTCACCTCCACCCTATGAAGAGCACAAGGACGATGAATTGCCGGAAGTTCGAACACCGTCCCAGCTCCCAACTTCGCAAAACATCGATATTGACCTTCGCTGGACCGTTCTTTGCGACCTCTTCTTGGTCCTAATTGCGGACTCCACATATGATTCCCGCTCACGACGTCTATTGGAGAGGGTTGGTGAGGCCATGGATGTGCCATGGGTGCAGATCTGTCGCTTTGAAAAGAGAGTCATCGACGCGTTGGAGATGCAAGAAGAAAGCGCCAATACCAAGGAAACGTGGGATGAAGCGGAGAACATGGAACAACGCCGCAAAAAGGCACTGAAGAAAAAGTACATGATAATGGGTCTCGCTACTGTGGGCGGTGGCCTAGTCATAGGTCTCTCTGCCGGGCTGCTGGCTCCCGTTATAGGCGCTGGTCTTGCAGCAGGTTTCACTACTATTGGTATCTCCGGAACAGGTGCCTTCTTGGGGGGCGCCGGTGGGACTGCTTTAATTGCCTCCGGAGCGACGCTTACAGGAAGCACGATCGGTATCAGAGCTTCGCACAGGCGTACTGGTGCTGTAAAGACATTTGAATATCGTCCTTTACACAATAACAAGAGGGTCAACCTGATTGTTACAGTTTCTGGCTGGATGACTGGTAACGTCGACGATGTCCGCTTGCCATTCAGTACTGTAGATCCGATTATGGGCGATTTGTATTCAGTGCTCTGGGAGCCAGAGATGCTGCGAAGTATGGGTGATACAATTAACATTCTCGCAACAGAGGTATGCGCCTTCGTTTTCCCGGTCGCGTGTCATGGCTAATTTCTTGTGTAGGCTCTGACCCAAGGACTGCAACAAGTACTTGGCAGCACTGTCCTTGTAGCACTCATGGCATCGCTGCAACTACCTATTGTGTTGACCAAGCTGGCCTACTTGATCGATAATCCTTGGAACGTGTCTCTAGTCCGTGCAAACGCGGCTGGTCTGATTCTGGCCGACTCCCTAATGGCCAGGAATCTTGGGAATAGACCTGTTACGTTGATTGGATTCTCTCTTGGCGCTCGAGTTATCTTCTCTTGTTTGAAGGAGCTTGCAAATAGAGGTGCCTACGGGCTGGTACAAAATGTGTATCTTTTCGGTTCCCCAGTTGTGGCCAAAAAGGATGAATACCTGAGAGCGCGAAGTGTCATTTCAGGTCGATTTGTCAATGGCTATGCGTCTAATGATTGGATTCTGGGGTATCTGTTCCGTGCCACCAGTGGTGGAATTATGCAAGTTGCAGGCCTTGCACCCGTACAGGGTATCCCTGGTCTGGAAAACATTGATGTCACCAATCTTGTCAATGGCCATATGGCCTACCGTGCAGCAATGCCTCGAATTCTCCGTGAGGTTGGCTGGGAAGTGCTTGATGACGAGTTTGCGGAAATCGAGGACCCCGATCCCGAAAACCATGCTGAACGGCAACGGGAGCTGATTCGAGAGATCGACGAAGCCCGCAGAGAGGCAGAGCAGAAGCCAGAGAAGAGACGCTTTGGTTTCTTCAAGCGTGGCAAGCTAGCGGAAAAGAAAGCATGGGAGACGTACGACCCGGACAAAGCCGAGACAGGGCGTCGCGATTCTGTCGACAGCTCGAGCACCAGAGCGGGAAGCGTTCTCTTTGATATTGATGCTATCCGTAACGAATTAGCAGGCGAGCAAATCGAGGTCAAGCAGCTAGAATCCACATTACCTCCTATGAAAGTGGAACTGGGTTCATCTAGCAAACCATCATCACCATCGACAGTAGAGCGACCAGCAACTATGCAACACAGCAAGAGTGCAGATGCCAGCCTTCCTGTACCTAAGATTCCCAGTTCTCCCGACACCAAGTCCCCTCACGACCCATACTCGCACCCCGAGGAAGAAGAGATCCAAATGACCTTCGATACTTCCTACAGCGGTCACGACCACCACTCTTCAACTTTCTCAAGATCGCAAGACGAATTTTCATCCCCTCCATCTTCCAGGCCAGGGCTCCATTCCTCCGCCACCATGCCTGCCGCTGTCGGTATCGGGGCTGGAGCTGTTGTAGGCGGAGCCTTGGGTCTGGGCCTCGAAGAGAATGCCTGGGCCCAGGATGATTTCGGCCATGGAGGCGACGACGAAATCCAAATGACGTTTGAGTGAGGAAGTCAAAGAGTTCTAGAAGTCGCATCGTTTTCTTTGCCCTCCCGGCTTTAGAGAAGGAGATCGGGATGAGAAAGGCTATGATCCTTATTTTAATACCCCCCACCTTTTTCTTTTCTTTTGCGTTCCGTTTTATATAAAACTCTAGACCGTCCTTGATACGCGGAGCTCGGTACGTCCGGTCAAAAAGATGACCTTATGAATGAACTGCTACGCGAATTTGAGATATCCTTTTTCTACCTGGTTGATTGATTGGCATGCTTGAACTTGACACATGCCATTCCTGTCTTGTTTCCTCTTCTCTTATAGGGATCCTCTTTTCTCTTTTTCTGGCCAATTCTTGGGCAATCTTGCCCTTTGCATGGGATCTATATATGCAGCCTATACTTCAACCATACAACTGAAGTTGTCCCTTTTATCCTTTTACTCTAGAGTTGGGATTAGGCGTCCGGGCGTTTTCTCTTGGCCCACTTAATACCTGTATATACTCAAATATTCAATCTATATATCACATACCCTCTTTCTGGCATATTGATTCTTATCGTCGAGAACATGAGAGCAGCAGTAGGATTTAGCAGACATTCTCGAAACGGCAGTAAGCTTTGTGGAGCTTCCCGCACAGTGGACGGTGAATGAGTATAGGCAACACTAGGACTGGTCCTCAAGCTTCTCACCAAGCTTTGCCTTCACCTTCACCTAAAACCACTGTCGGAATCTGCTCCCACGTAGCAATCCGAGCTATCGTCAAAAACACGACAATATCATCGAGTCCTCACCGAGATCATCGTGTCTAGGTTTCTCCTATTCTAGAGTGTGGAGCATTCGCTGTTGTAGGGATTCCCTTCCCTAACCTCACCGAGATTTTGAATCTACAAGCTCCAAGATGTCAACTCCAACCACGCCGACAAGATCGAAGAGGGATATCCCTGATTCGAGCCCAACGACACGTATTCAACATTCATTATTCGATGGCCTGACTGGCATGATAGCCGCGATAGAGGATACGGAACCAATCGAACCTGTCAAGGAAACTCTGGAGAAGATGAAAGACAGCCATCATCGAATCGGACCAGCCAACCCCCTCCAAGGAAGCCAAACTTCGATCGAATGTCACGCAGGCTTCACAGCTAGGTGATCTGATCTCTACCGCAAATTTACTGTCTCTTGATTACAGCTGGGATGCGGCGCATCTTTGGCAACCACCAGAGGGACCCGAGGTGCATCTTTCTGCTAGTACTAGTATGCCCATCCATCTGATAATATATTAAAATTAAGGCTAGGACTAATCTGCCTCCAGTGACTATCCTGAGAAGAATGCATGACGCCAAATTCTGGAGAAGAGATTCTTCAGAAACTCTTTCTCGAACCCTCATTAACCTCGTGCTTTTCGACCGGTTAGAGGCTCATCAAGAAGAACTCGCTGCCAAGCAGATATCGATACGAGGAGGATACCCAGTGGAGACTCGAGTCCCTAATGGAAAAGAAATAATCACCGGCAATGCTGACTATGCATTGGGATATGGTTCCTTTCTTGATGACCCATTCGAATGTATCTGTGTTATTATTCAGGTGAAGGACCTTAATGTCTCCCGTGGATCTACTGGGATTTCCCAAGCTGTTACCTATATGATGGGGTTGCAACAGCAGTGCATGTCTCGGAAGAATCCGAAGACTGTTGACACTGTATATGGTGTCGTCTCAGATGGTGTACTGTGGCAGTTTCTGAGGTTAAATGGCAACCTTCTACAACTTTCGGGCCCTTTTGTCATCCTTTCTCCTGCCGCGTGCGTCGCTATCAACCAGTTTCTTGATTATATTGTCAGATCGGCAATATCCCTGTCCCAGTACCCTGTTATACCCTAGCGGAACTCTCCAGCAACGAAGGGAATGGGAGATTTCCTAGCTAAGAAAGATGATAGCCTTGAAGGTATCGAAGAGTTCGAGATTCTTCGTCCTACGCCTTTTGAGGTAAAGGTAAGAGAAGTATTATTATATCTAAAAATTTACTAAGGCTAATGGTTTTGTAGCTGGCTCCCATTAGACCAGCAGCTTCTTCTCTGGCACAGAGTCACTCTGACTCTAATGAATCTGGAACAGGTATCAAGGGAAAACACTGCAGTCAACTAACCTGAGCAGTGAGTAACGTGAACATGTCATATGAATTAAGGACCCCGGTTTCCATCGAGAAAATATGATATCCAATTGTTCAATGTCTCGTCTAGGGTATCGTACCATCCCATGACAGTAAATTGTATGCTTCCGTCTACCATAGTTTTGTTTCGCGCCATGCGAGAGAAATATCGTATGCCTATTTGTAGACCAAATTCATCTCTTTGATTGAGTCAGGAATCACAATCTGATTTAGTTACTACTGAACGTCAGACCGGACGTGGGGCTCTGTAGTTAATCGCAATCAAGCTCCATGCGGAGAAGTGCTGCGTGCTTAGCGTGTCGTCTCGAAAGACGCGCTCCACCTTCAGTGTTACCGCCAACCCGACCTCGAACTCGATCCCCGCTCTCCTCAGGTATCCTTCCCAGTTACACAGCGGCCTGTGACGCCAATTCGATGGACTCGATGGATTGAACTCGAGCTATTCGTGTCTGAGTCGTCCGCAGTTCTTTGTCCAGATACCGGTCCTTGGAAAGCAGACTGCGACGCGTGCTAGGACGGGATCCTGAGGATCGTCGAGTGTTTCTGGCAACCGGCACGTACCGTTTCCTAGCGGCAATAGCGCTCGTGAATACAAGAGGGAAGAACCCTTCGAGGGACGACAGCGACTCAAGGGAGGAGAGGGTTTCGAAAGGTCGAACGTCTCCGCGAAACATCATCCCGAGATCATGGTTACGAGAGCGAAACCGGAAGCGAGCTTTGCATCCACACGACTGACGAGGAGCAATTATTATGGACCACCGTTACTGAGTCAAGTGGGAGGAAAGAAGGTCCGCGAAGACAGCAAATATGGAAAAGGTCCGGACCGAGAGAAAGAGTCAGGCGAGAAAAAGGTTTTCGAGCCGGCAACGGATGACGAGCCATTGAGTTCTAGCGATGAGGCAGAGTCGAGTGCGGAGTCGTTGGATTATGGGAAGACGAAGAGTTTAGAGGGTAAAGGGAATCGATCTGCACAGAAGTCGCTGGAAGAGAAACTGGCAGACGAAGATGCTGCGACAGGGACGGGAAACCGGGCATCACCACGGAAGAATAATGGAAGGAGCACCGCAGTGGACTCTCTTCGAGATGGATCGAGAAAGTCGACTCGACAACACCGGAGACAATCGCCCAAACGGACATTTAGTGATCTTATAGGCACGGATGACGAGGAGGATGAACTCTTCCCATCCTTTATGTCTTCGTCGCAGGCGTCCAAGAGGAGGAGAAATATTGGTTATGGAGGTTTGAAGAACGTCCATACAGGTTCATCGTTCAAGGTCCCTGCTTCGAGTATGCTTGAATCGTCACAACAAGAAGCGCCATCGCCCGGATTCAAGAAGCCAGCTGAGATGCCTAACTTGGATGAGCCGACAAAAGATACTACGAGTGAAGAGGAAAATAGCGGGTTTAAAGTCCCGATGGAGATCGAAATAGCCAGCCCTCAAATGAAGAAGGGAAAGAAAAAGGGCACCAAGAGAGACGCTAAGCCAACATTCAAGATACCTCCAGGATCAACTGAGCATGATGTCGTCAGTCACTCCTCGCCATCCAGGGAATTCAAGCACCCGCTGCCCTTTCCCAACGATGGAATATCTAGTTCGTCACTTGCTACATCATCTGCAAAGGATCGACTGTTCGACTTAGATGATGATAATTCTTCGTTTAGTTCCCTAAGCTCAGTGGAGTCGGACTTGTTGCTGGATGACCAGGACAAGACAGTTCTAGCCAGCCAGCATGCTGTGCCAGAACCTTCCGATGAAGCACTCTGCCCGATGTGCAAACAGCGAGTCGACCGAGACGTGCTACTAGACTTCCTCGCGCAGCCCAAACAACGTGTCCGTGATCAGGAGCGCTTCTGCGAATCTCACCGGAAAGAATCCGCGGAACAGGAGTGGCGCGATAAGGGTTATCCGACAATCGATTGGGAAGGGTTTGATGAGCGTATTCGGGGCCATTTCGCTGCTCTCGAGAAGATACTTACTCCTGACTGCCACTCATTCTACCGCAATATCCTCGACGGGGAGATGAAGTCCGGGAAAGCGAAGAACTTTCGTCTTTCGCTTGCCGGGGAAGGTCTGGAGAATATGTCCTGCGGGTATTATGGGTCTAAAGGCGCCGGAAAGATGTATGTATCTTCCTGTCTTCTCTACTGCTGCGACTTTTTCTAATGATTGTATTAGGCTGCATGCTGTAACCACACAGTTTTCGAAGAAGCTGCGTCGTCTGGCCACGACAGATCATCTTGTCAAAACTGCAGGCGTAACAACCTACGCTCAGGCGGTGCTTGTTCCTGAACTGACTGTTCTACTGGTGAAAGAAGACATGGGGGTGAGTGATGAGACGGCGCGACAGATATTGCGAGAAACGATCGACATTGGCGAGAAGCTGAACCATGTACCAAATGATGTTGTTCCTATACCCGAAGATGCGGAGAATGCTGTATGAGATCTCCGAAAGCGAGATCAGTATTCATGGTTGAAATATTGCTGCCTATTCTGTTTCAGACTCGCGGTCTGGTGCATCTGTGCCGAGTATTATCCACAATTGTTTTCTTGTATCTAACACGACGCCTATACGGAGTATTGATATGGGTTACATAGCGTAACCGGCTAGTTTGAGCCAGCGCGTTACATGCAACAGTTTGCAATAACTAATCTGAATCATGACTATTAACAATAAAACATGCAGTATAAATAATACGAGTAACTCACCTACCTAGGTTGTTTATAGCGAAAACGCATCTGCTTGATTGCCCCTTTTTTGACTCAGGGCTCCCGCCGCTTTGCTCCCCCGCTGAACTCCCTTTGCCCTCACATTATTACTCCCGTCAACTCCCATGCGGACAATCCCATAAATCGTAGATATTGAAAAAGCGATGCTGCACTTACGGAAGTACTCCGCATTACATACATGGATTTATCACCAAGGGCCTTCTAAGCAGTTGGCGCAGTTAGAGAATATAGCTATTAGCTAGCAGTTAGGCATCTTATGTACAGTACGCAACAATAGGACAACATCCTTTCTCCAATAGTAAAAAAGGGGAACAATATGTCCGTGGATATGTCATACTGATAATGTCATATCCTATAGCACACTTTCTTTGCCTCAAAACATAAATTTTCACCAACAGATAAAAAAAAAATACAAATTTACGTTCTATAATTCTTTAACTAATAAATGATATCTAGGTTTTAGCTTGTCACTGACCCCTATCTTATATTAATGGAAAGAATCTGAATCATGAGTCTCGAAGATTGTGTCTCTCTTCTGCAGTGTTATATGAAGTCTCCTCTTGGCGTGTTTTAGAGGTGCGAATTTGCTAATCTCAGTTTGAGGTTCCGGAGGTAGATAACAATATCTGTTCCAAATGGATGTCATAAAATCCTTATGAGGATAAATACGTACATATTTCCTATGGTAAGCCTAATACTTATAGCTAAGACAATCAGCAATAAAGGGGTCCTAGCCTATCATCGTCTTCTTCTGATTATTGTATAAGCTATTTAACAGTAAAGCCAATCAAGCAGTAGCCGAAATATTTCATCAGTAACTCGATAAGACATCAATTTAGTAGTAGTCTGCCCATTTCTTCGCTGGGATCCATTATCGTTACAGGGTCCCGCATATGCTAACGATTCTGACTTGCTAACCAAGTCTCATGGGCTTTCTTCTGGCGTTCCCAGTCCTTCCGGAGTTTCTTGCTCTTGCTTTTATTGATAGGCTCACCAGCAGAATCTCTGGTGGGAAGACCATCCTCATCCCAAGCGCTGAATTCCTCGGTCCGGAACATTTCTAAATGGCTGAGCTTTCCCTTCTCGAGCTTTTCTTGTGCTAGTTTTTCACGCTTCTCCTTCTCTATTTGTTTCTGTAAAGCTTTTTGTTCCTGTTCTTGACGCTCTGAGAGAAGTTCCTTTGTAACTGGTCGGATCAGTGCGGGTTTATCATCTCGGTCCTCGAGGTATATGCCGAGGTTAAACAGATCGACATCACGAACATAATCGCAGATATCCAATATTTCTTTGGAAATATTCGAGGACTCTTCAGGCTTCAAAGAAAGGACCTTTCTGTGGAAGTCACTAAGTGCACGTGCGTAGGGTCGAGCTGTCTCGGAAATGTCCTCATCCATGTCTCGGGTGGTGGCATTGATAACGCTTTTGAGTTCGTCGGACTTGATTTGAATTCCTGACTTAGCCAATCCACGCAAACGATCACGAGTCGCTGAGAGTGGGTATATAAATCGTTTAGATATCTCAGGTATGTCAATACCCTCCCAACCAATCTCAGGAGAATCCGGAGGCGCTGTGCCATTTAGCCCGAAGATGTTCACAATCGACGTAATCCATCGCGCGAGTTCATGGACCTCTTCAAGGACCAGGCTCGACTCTTCGGCAGTATTGAATGAAGAAACTAGTTCTGATATGACGCCCATAGCACCAGGTGTATCGAAAGAATCACAGAGGTGGTCATTCACCTTCTGCTGTGCGGTCTTTAGTAGTTCGCTAATAAGACCAGTTCCAGTGGAAATTGTCTGCTGCAAAGCGGACTTATCCCACCCAGCTAGTAGGTCTTTAACTTTGAGAAAGAAATTGCTGAGCTTCTCCTCCCACGCTAATGCAGTTCTTATAAGCCCTTCGGTAATTTCAATGCCACTTTTCCAACCGCCTAGAAGAAATAAAATTCGCAGGCTTCTTGCTGTCCAGTCACCTCTCCGAAGAGCCTCTCTGATAGTGGTGAAATTTTTGAGAGATTTAGACATCTTCGCACCTTGAATGGAAAGATGTCCCATGTGAAGGAAGTAATTTACCCATTGTTTGTGATGATCTGTCCAATAAGCTTCACTCTGCGCAAGCTCATTGTCGTGATGTGGAAATGCCAAATCAATTCCACCAGAGTGGATATCAAGCTGGTCGCCCAGTCGACTCGATGCCATTGCTGAGCATTCAATGTGCCAGCCAGGTCGTCCCTCACCCCATGGGCTCACCCAGCTAGGTTCTCCAGGTTGGGATGCTTTCCAAAGAGCGAAGTCATCAGGCGATCTCTTCTCCACAGCCTTAGATAAAGACCCGTCGCCACTCGTTTGAAGACGCTGATTCCCTCGACTCCATGGTTCCAGTTTTGCATAATGGTGCCCCTTTGCTTCGAATGAGTTGATATCAAAATAAACAGAGCCATCTGAAGTGACATATCCCATGTTATTTTTGACAATCCTGTCCACGAAATTCAGAATTTCACGTCCGTACTCAGAAACTCGAGTGATCTCATCTGGGTCGAGCACGTTCAGATCACGCATGTCTTGCATAAAGCGAGCTTCGTACTTTTTGGTTAACTTTGTAAATATAGAATGCGCATCACCGGGAATACTGGCACCGTTGAGTTCATCAAGGTAAGGGAGGAAGATGTCTTCGGTGGCAGAGTAGAACATTTCATTGGTGATCTCTTCATTGTCGGAGTTGGATTCGCGTTTCGCGAGATCCGCATCCTTCTTCTTTGCCATTCGTGATATCATGGCAGCAGAAGCAGTAACAGTCCTGATATGCATCTTGATTTTGACCTCCTCATCACCAGGTGTCTTTCCGGGATCCAATGCCCCGCCTTGAATAACCACGCCATATGCCTCCTCAGCTGCTGAAACAAAGTCCTCGAGCGGTGTGTTTGGGTCTATCAACGGTAGGTTCGATTTTATGTACGATCTGTATGCTAACTGCGCAGTCGAGAGGACTTTAGGAGTAACTGTCTGGTTTTCTTGCAGATAAAGTGCAAAGAGGTGCCGTTGTCTCGCTCGAAGGATGATCTTGAAATTGAGAATTAGCCTAGGTTGCAACCAAATACCGCATATCATCCACATACTTTATCATCAATATCGGTGATATTCATCACAAATTTGACATCGAACTTGAAGTAATCCTTGAGTATACGACGAAGTATATCCGTGCTAACGTAGTTTCTGGCGTGTCCTAGATGGGCGTCATCATAGACCGTCGGGCCGCAAGCATACCATTTCACTTTGCGGCCTTGAGGGTCGAGAGGAACAAAAGGTGTCTTGGACCGTGTCAATGAATTGTACACTTTCAGGGGTGGAAGTGTCGTGCCAGGTTTCTGAGCGGGTTGCGCCCAAGGTGGCTGTTGTGAAATGGTCATATCTGCGAAAGGTGCTGATGCTGTGGAGGCTTTCCACCATCAGTGCCTCAGATCAACATCAGAGACTATGTAGACGGACGTTTCGACAAGACAGTAAAGAAAGACTACGAGAGTATCGATTTTATCTGGACACATTGACTCATAGTAGGGCTTACACAGTACAGCCCAATTAGGCATGATCTAAAGGCGGTGGCAGAATCCTTACTTAGACCACGGAGAATGTTTTCGACCATGTTGAACTGTAACGCCTGTGGTATATAAAACGCAATGATGAAGTAAGGATGAGACTTGAAAGATAATTATGATCATGTCATTCTTCAATTTTGTATGTTAGTTTTACACTATGTACCTAGTATATATATACTAGCCACAAATAAGCGATTCTACTATCTTATCGGCTATCGCAGCTTTGGCGGGGCGAGACCATTCCAGGAACAGCAGGAGCTCGTCATGGCATCCACTTGGCTCGAGCTGCGATGATACCATCCAGGCGGCATCTCCGCATATCCTCACTACCTATCTCTTCTTCTCCCCTTCCTTTCTTTCTTTTTTTCTTTTCTTTTCTCTTTCCATCTCCAATGGCCTAGGGCTAAATACATTATTATATACATCCATAATCCTTGCCGTGATCTAACAGCAGGATGAAAGAGAAGGGGCCCATCATGCCGGTCAGCGAAAGCACGCCGCTCTTGGTCGTGCATGAGCCAGCTAGGCCCCGGTGGCAGTATCCTCATAGCCGCCTGCGTCGTACCTGTACGTCCATACTTGGAGCGCTCCTCCTGCTAGCAGTTGTTCTCTTCTTGACTCCTGCTGCCGTATTGCCCCGCGAGCATGGTTCGGTCTGGTCCTATCTGCCCTGGGCCCAGCCCTTCCCTCATGCCTCTTGGCCGCATGGCAATGGCCTCTCCTACCAGGAACTGCAGGAGATCCTTCTTCACACCCCATCTGCGGAAAAGGCAAGGGAGTGGAGCAACTACTATACGGCCGGACCGCATCTCGCAGGCAAGAATCTCAGTCAGGCGCTCTGGACACAGCAGAAATGGCAGGAGTTTGGTATCGAACACACTGAGATCACTGCCTATGACATTTACATTAACTATCCGCTGGAACATCGACTGGCACTTCTGAAGAAGCACGGTGATGACACGGAAGTCACCTTCGAGGCCACTCTCGAGGAGGACGTGTTGGAAGAAGACCATACAAGTGGTCTACCCGACCGCATTCCGACCTTCCACGGCTACTCGGCCAGCGGGAATGTCACTGGACAGTTTGTGTACGCAAACTTTGGAACGTACCAGGACTTCGAGGACCTTGTCAAGGCCAATGTCAGCCTTGAAGGCAAGATCGCTCTGGTCAAATACGGCGGTATCTTCCGTGGTCTGAAGGTGAAGCGTGCTCAGGAGCTTGGAGCGATTGGTGTCGTGATCTATACCGATCCACAGGAGGACGGCGAGATTACGGAAGCGAACGGCTACAAGGCCTACCCGGAGGGCCCTGCTCGTAACCCGAGCGCAGTGCAGCGAGGAAGCACTCAATTTTTAAGTACATACCTTCCTCTTTATTCGATCCCTTTGACTTCTGTTGCTAACGATTTTACAAGGTGTTGCGCCGGGTGACCCTACGACTCCCGGCTATCCATCCACGCCCGACGCTGATCGCCAGGATCCGCACAACTCTATTCCATCCATTCCATCAATCCCGATCTCGTATAAAGAAGCCATCCCGTTGCTCAAGGCTCTCAATGGGCACGGTCCTAAGGCATCTGACTTTGGAGATGGCTGGGAGGGCGCGCTGGGCCATAAAGGCGTGGAGTATAACATTGGACCGTCTCCTGAGGACGTGGTGGTCAACCTGTATAACTTGCAGGAGTATGTCACGACCCCATTGTGGAACGTTATCGGCGTTATCAAGGGCACGATTCCGGACGAAGTTGTCATCCTGGGCAACCACCGCGACGCTTGGGTTGCGGGCGGTGCTGGTGATCCCAACAGTGGATCGGCAGCTATCAACGAGGTTATCCGTAGCTTTGGTGAAGCCCTCAAAGCTGGATGGAAGCCGCTGCGGACGATCGTCTTTGCCAGCTGGGACGGTGAGGAGTACGGCCTCATTGGTTCCACTGAATGGGTCGAAGACAAGCTGCCTTGGTTGTCGAAGGCCAACGTGGTATATCTAAACGTGGATGTCGCTGCCACTGGTACCCACTTCTCAGCGAGCGCGAGTCCACTGCTGAACAAGGCCATCTATGATGTGACCAGCATTGTTCCATCTCCCAACCAGACGGTGAAGGGCCAAACAGTTCGGGATCTCTGGAGCGGGCACATTGGCACTATGGGCAGTGGCAGTGACTTCACCGCGTTCCAGGACTTCGCCGGTGTGGCGAGCCTCGATTTCGGTTTCGGTCCGGGCCCCGGCGACGCAGTGTACCACTATCACTCTAACTATGACAGTTTCGACTGGATGGACCGATATGGTGACCCTGGCTGGAAGTACCATGTCGCTACCAGCCAGATCTTTGGGTTGCTCGCCGCCCGTCTCGTGGAGACGCCGGTGCTAGGACTCAACGCGACGGACTATGCCGCCGGACTGGGTGAATATCTAGACCGTATCAAGCCTGAAGCTGATAAGCTGCCCAAGAACTCGTACTTCAGCTTCAGGGCACTGGAGCAGGCGATTGCCAAGCTGTATGATGCGGCTGTGACCTTTGACGCCTACACGGCGGACCTGGCGGCCAAGCTGGAGGAGGACCTGCCGTGGTACCTCTGGTGGAAGAAGGTCAAGCTGTACTTCCAGGTCCGGGCAGCCAATGACAAGTATAAGCTGCTAGAACGGAAGTTTCTGTACCAGCCTGGTTTGGACGGCCGTAGCTGGTTCAAGCACGTTGTGTTTGCACCTGGCCTGTGGACAGGATATGCAGGTGCAACTTACCCGGGATTGGTGGAGAGTTTTGAGGCGGGCGACCCAGTGAACGCAGAGGTTTGTTGATCCATTGATTGATGAATATTGCCCATGCTAACGATTGTCGACAGAAATGGGACCGTATCATACAGGAACGGATCGAGGATGCCACCTCTCTGCTGAGTTAGACGCAGTCTGACACGGTTTGATCGGATGCGGGTTATGATATGACGTCTAAACGATGATCGTGGTTTAGGTATTTAGCATCTACACGTTGCGGGGCTCTGCCTTTGGTCGGGCCCTCAAAAGTACATGAGTCATGGCAGTATCTGCTGTATATACTCTGAGCCATTACGGGCATAGTATGTACAGCACTTTGCTGATAGTGCCCCAAATTGAGGTAACTATACGGAATTCTTCAGCTACGTAGGATCTGGCCGTAGTTTGAGTATGGCCTTTAGAAACTAGGGTGCCCCCCATCTCGATCTTCTAGCCAATAGAGAGGACTAGCTATTTCAGCGGCCACTGTATTCCTACAGTGAACCAAAGCGGTTCGTCTCTTTGGTTGTTGAAGGAGGAGAGAAAAGGATGGAAGGGCCGCCCTAGCGCTAGACTCGGCACGCTTTCACATACGCCTGAGCATTTCTGTCCCCGGCCCCTCGTAGTCATCAGTACTTCTATCACGATGTCAACTTCTGACAGATCCTTGCACCTTTCAGATTCTTTCGGCATCAGCTGTGGTACAGTCACCCTTGATCCCATTCGAAGAAAAGTGCTCTTGATCCGATGGAAGAAAACAGGAGAATTCTTCCTCCCGAAGGGGCGCAAGAATATTGGCGAAACACTCGAAGATGCCGCATTACGAGAGACCTATGAAGAAACTGGGTTCAGAGTGGCTCTCTTCCCTCTGCCTATCCCTACCCTTGCAACACCAGCGACGGTAGAGGATACACTTGATGGCTCTAGCGTCGTTACAGAGCCAGTTGCTGTCAGTCAACGGGTGCGGGATGGGAAACTCAAAATTATCTTCTGGTTTGCTGCGCGAGGAGATGCTACCGCGATGGCTGATGCTGGGACACAGGAGGAATGGGAGGATTTTGAATCGATATGGGCGGATTACGCGCTGGCAGGCCCAACTCTGACTTTCGATGATGATAGATCGATTGTTCGGGCGGTTCTTGATATGGTCTGCGAGACATCGTCCGGCTGATAGAAATCGAGTCAGTCACGCGTTTTTTTCCTGTGCAATGGGGGAATATGTATCTCGGGCACATAGCACTCAATTATTGTCCTGTTATTACTTCTCTCGCTATGGTTCCTGTCACGGTGAGATACGAGGTTTCGTATAAAGGCCTTGGTACGGTTCGCGACTACAAGAAGAACCTCTTTCACATTCCAAATCACTCTTGTTGTTTTACATCTCTATACACTTCCCGGATCTCCTTTGGTTAGCCCCTCAAAAGCACATAAGTACAATGGTTAGGCTCTACGCTGTATGGACCACTTCTGCATGTCTCCTCTCAGGGCTGAGATCGAGTCGGAAAACCGACTAATTACTATCCATAGTTAGCTACATTTATCCGGGGCCTTTTCCGGCCGAGATGACGCACCAATGGGCTCGTGATCGGGTGTGATCAGCCCTGGCGCAGGCGGTAAGCATTTCATCACATCTCATTGGTTGTCCTCTCTTCAGCGGCTGGACCAAGACTGCGGGGAGGCTGGCGCTAAGCCGGTTAAGTCGGAAGGCGGTCAGGCACAAGCTCAGTCAGCAGATCGGATGAGAGAATATTGAATTACTCGAAGATGCGGATATCATTCATTCAGTCATGGATTTATTCAAGAGAGAACGCTTTTCATTTGAGTTCTACACTCTCTTTTTTCCACTGTGTTATTTGATTTGGTTTTGTTGGTTACCACCTACTAAATACTCCTGTGAACTGTTCCTCCATACCCCTGTACCTTAAGTAGTTATCGGTTGCTCCACTAACTAATGTGAAGCTACTGAGGTCTGCCACCCACCACTCCTCACTGGGTCCGGCTGACCAGAAGATTTCAGCGTCATCTTCACTGGCGTGCTTTCTTTTATTTCTTTTCAATCCTGACTGTCGTTTCTGTACCAGTTGTTATCAACTCGCGATCGTTTGGAGGAGAGGCTGTTATCTCGAAATCCATGTCGACCACGTAATAGCACTTTTTTTTTTCTGTGCCATTTTTTGTTGTTATTTTATTTACACGGAAATGCTGAAGAGGAAGCAACCCCAGCTGCCCGTGCGGCAGTTGGTCATTCTCTGTGAGTTTCATCCCTCTGCTTCAAGACATGGACTGGTACTAACTTCTGGTATAGCAATATGTCGTTTTGCAGAACCTGGTATGTCGCTGCTCCTGCGAATCAAAACCCCTAGAGTGTTTGTCCAATAGCCGCGTGCATGCAGACTAATTGTATCCAGTCGTCTTAACGTCCGTTTTGCCATATCTTGTATGTACAGGACACTCGTCCCGTTATATCCGCTCAAGTGCTCCAGCTAATGATCCACTCTTCCAGCCCGAAATGATAGAATCGGTAGGCGTCGCAAAGAGCGAAGTCGCCAAATGGGTCGGAATCACCTCTGCCGTTGTCGCTGGCTGTCAATGCATCATGGGTGTCCCCTGGGGTACTGCATCGGACTACCTCGGTCGAAAACCCGTCATTCTACTCGGCTTGACCTTCACGATGATCTTCTCCCTCATGTTCGGCTTCTCCCGTACCCTCACCTCGTTGATTGTCGCGCGCGCGTTCCAGGGTCTGATGAATGGAAACGTGGGTATCATCCGGACAATGGTGGCAGAGATGGTTCCGGAGAAAGAGCTCCAGCCCCGTGCATTTAGTGTCATGCCGCTTGTGTGGACGATTGGAAGTATTTTCGGACCTGCGTTTGGAGGTGCCCTGGCCAATCCGGCGGAGAAGCATCCGACGATCTTTGGAGGTTCGGAGTTTTTGAAGAAGTATCCTTTCGCCTTGCCCAATATCGCCTCGGCTATACTTTTTGTCGTTGGGATAACGACTGGTTTCTTGTTTATGAAGGTGGGAATCAGTGTTTTTTCACGACTTGGATTCGAGCCTAATCATGCGACAGGAAACTCTGGCCACGAGGAAGAACTCTCGAGACTACGGCCTGATTCTAGGTCAGGTATTGACCAGCGCCTGTACCGGATCACGCTCCAGACGCCGCAGCGCACACCCAGTTAAAAGGCTAGATGACGACGAGACAACCGCCTTGCTTGCTGGAGACGAAGAAGTGGATGAAGAGGACTTTTACCAGGAGTCTCAAGTTCAAGGACCGACTACTCCGCAAAAGAACCAGAACAGCGGCAAAGCCAAGCGTCCGAGCTGGGGCCAGGTCTTGACCCCGCAGTCGATTCTAGTATTGATAGCATACGCCATGTTGGCAATGCATAGCATGGCATTCGACTCTTTATTTCCTGTGTTCCTGCACTACCGTCCGCAGAACCTCGAGGGAAATCCAGACGTGAACCTTCCATTCAAATTCGCAGGAGGCTTTGGCGTTGGTATGTTTGGTAGCCTACCTATACTCTCCGCATATAACCGCTAACATACATATCACGACAGACTCCCAGACAATTGGTATTCTATACACTCTCATTGGAGTCATCGGCATGTTCGTCCAATTCCTCGTCTTTCCGGCCGCCGCCAAACGCTACGGCGTCCTGAACTGTTTGAAGGTGACCTCGATCATTTTCCCCATTCTACACGTCATCACGCCATTCATCGTGCTCTTGTCCGATCCTATCCGGAATTTTGCCGTCTTCCTTCTCATGCTCTTTAAACTCTTCTGTGTCATCTTCAGTTTCCCCTCGTGCACCATCCTCCTGACCAACTCCGCGAGCAGCTTGAACATTCTGGGGACATTGAACGGAGTGGGCACCAGCGTCAGCGCTATCGGAAGGGCAAGTGGGCCGGCCCTTGTCGGAGCCACGTTCTCCTTCGGCGTCGAGAAAGGATATATGATCATCCCGTGGTGGACTCTCGCGTTTGTTGGAGCTCTGAGTGCCATTCCTGTCTTTTGGATCAAAGAGACAGATGGTTTCATGGCTAATAGCCAGGATGAGCAAGACGACAGCGACGATGATAACAACGAATACAACCACGATCATGAAAGCCCACGAAGATAGCTGTATTATAGCAGCAGCAGCAGTAGTGACAGTTATTAACGTCCAGCGAGGTGTGAGCCTCTGTTAGTTGGTCCGGAGCAAGCCCGGACAGGAAAATTTGAGTCTGAAGCCGGCATAGGAGATATGAATGAGTTACGTTATGTTCCGTTATGAGACGAGATGAGACTGCATGAGGGCGTTTGGGTTTGGGTTTGGGTTTTGGGTTCCTACCTGCTGTTTATCGCATGTTTATCGCATGGCCGGGGTACGCTCTATGTGTATACGCATGCTGTTTCTTCTTTTCCATAGTACGCTGTACGTACTCGCCAAAAGTTATAAGAATGAGAATAATAGAGTATTTCTTCCTATCCTATCCCCACTTATTTATAACGTTCTCGACGCCGGTCTCTTTACAAAGAGCACCGATCCTGCTCTCTTCAACCACAAGACTCACGCCGAATTACTCCTGCAAAACAACACCCAAAGCACCAGCAGAACCATGATTTGAAGAATCGTGTCGCGATCCTCGCGCCATATCTCGCGCAATTCCCCAGATATCCGAGTCTCAGGCCATATGTCGTCAATGTCTCTTACAGATCCATTCCATTTACGCGAAGCATTATCCCGAACTTCGCTCCGATGAGATGCCTCTACGGAGATGAAGGGCTGTAGAGAATTATTGTCCGAGAGCGGGAAATCAACTGTCGTGTTGGTGGCAATCATCACTTCATGAAATGGGACAGTCAAGGGAAACGATGAGTTCGTGTCGTTGCACATATCTGTATCAAGCATTATGAAAGATCAGCAAAAGATAAGCCATTATATTCAATTGATTTCTCTCAGGGAAAGATAAATACCACTCTTCATACTTATCTCTCTGGTATAGTTCAATGTCAAGTTATCAGGAGACATCATCGGCGTTTCTTGAGGTTGAGAAATGGCTCCCGGAGACGCGCAACACGGAACCGCTGGTGGGTAAGGGTATAGCCAGAGGTGGAAGGCCGTTGTGAAGAGATGTCGGACGGACGGGATATAAGTCGATAGAGTCATTGCTTTGGGTTTTATTTCTTATTTTCAGGTTCGCAGAGTTCGAAAGGGAATAATGAGTATTGAGTATTGATAGATATTCCCGGTAGGGAACGTGCACAGCAGCAAAGGTAAGGATTGTTGAAGAATATGAAGAATGGACTGGATGGATATCCAAGTCAAGTCTTCGGCTTTTCTTCTTCCTTTTAGTGTGGAATAAGAATTGAATGTTGATAGCTTTTTGAGTTTTGAGATTGTGTATAGCTGTGGTAAGAACGACTGATGCCGGGCCCATTCGTTGCTACTGCACTAGGGATAGAGTTGCGGGAGTGGACGGGATGGGATCGATGGATAACCTTGTCGGGGCTCTAGTCTGGTTAAGATTATGATAATGCCTTTGTGAGTTGATATCTCATATGTATAGGATTTCATAGAGCGTGTTTAGTTTTGTTTATTTCGTGTGGTTGAACTTGTGTTTTGGGATGACTTTATCATTATGGCGGGCAATATGTAGGCGTATTCCGGGAATGACTGCATCTGGGTGCTCTCCTACTAGGTTACTTATCTGAACCATTCTCTACTCTCACATTGAGCATGAATATCATGAGCGTAGGATAAGCTGATATGCCCAAACCAATCAACAGTATCATTCGTGATCATAAATACAGTACATCTGCCTCTCACAGCAACCCAATCACCACATCTCCATAGATCTCTGCGTCCAGTTCCAATTTCACCTTGACTTTCAAATCCAGGTGGATCTTGATGTTCAGACTCTCCTTTTTGCCATCATCGTCTTTGGTGGTCGAAACGTTCTTGCCAGTCGCTTTGTCTGCTAGCGTGGCCACTTCGTTTCCCTCAGCGCTGTCGTTGCTGTCCTGACTATTGCGCTTCTTGCGGTCACCCTTGGGGAGAGTATCGCTGGGACCGTTGTTAACTATATTGTTTGGAGCAGGCTACATTGATTATATGAAATGAAGTGCATACATACTTCAGAGCGGGCGTGGCAACGGCTGACATCTCGTCGATCTTCTTGGATGCTTGTTTCGTATACCAGAAGAGAAGGACTGTCAAGATTAGGGTTTGTACCTCAGTCAATAGTTTCAAAGGATCGAGGCTTGTCGGCGGGTGGACAGCCATATAACTGCTCACATTTAGACGTAGTATGAAGAAGCAATAGGGTTCCGTCCTGGACAGATGGATTATATTATATTAGAATATTGCGACGTAATTAACTACTGGTCAGGGTGGTTTCCCGACGCCAAGTCAGATTGCGCACCCGTTGTTTCGAATAGCAGGGGGTCTGTTGCAGCTCTGATGCGGCTCTATTGCGGACTGAGGGGTAAAGGGACGGAGATATTCCTGTCGGCACTGCTATACTCCAGTTTCTGCAAACATTCGGTAGACCTTGCCATTGCTTGGATCATGTCTGGTTTACGTAGACTTGTTCGTTCACGGCGAAACAACTCAGCTACCGGACATCTCCGTGAGGGTGTTTCAAGCTTAACCAACCTCTCCATGATTTCTATTCCATCATTGGGCGAACATATGAACCCAATGCCCTCCCCAGCAGCGAGTCCAGACATTCATCCCTCTCACGACGGTATCGGATTGCGCAAAGTTCGTCGATCATCCGTCTCACTGAGCCGATCAGAATTGTTGTCTGCTTTTCGATAGCCCGCGTCCTCCTCTTATTCGATCAGAAGGAATTATCTCAAATTTTGTTTTTCTTCCTGGTTCACGACGACAGCCCTTTTCCGCCCAGCATGGTACTTGGGATTGTCATGATGACAGCTATGATCCCGACCATCGTTGGGCTGAATGAGGCGACCAATGGTGCGAGGGACCATGAGGACAAGCGCAGGGGAAATGCACGAAAACAGCGATGCCATCTCCAAGTTACCTGTGCGGTTAATGCCGGGCCCCAAGAGCTGCGACAGCAGGTACACAATGCGATGGTGTATCTGGGGACAGACGGTAAGGTATGGCTATACTTGCGTGAACGATCATTTCTTGCCTTTCGCTTTGTTTTTTTCTTGGATTCGACCGGACGCTATGCTGGGATGTGGTCAGCAATTACTGACGCGATTACGAGATATAGATGTATATCACCAAGAAACCAAGTGCGGACATGACTCCCTTCAACGGAGGATTCTATACACATCCTGCCTTCCCACCGGATAATACAGCCGGATTTGTCACTGTCTCTGGAGAAACACCGCCGACATTACGATGGGTCTTTCTCGACGCGGAAACTCATGCCATGCGCTATGGCAGCCGGCAGGATAGCGAGGGCCACATCTGCGGTCCGTTCGACTGGACCGACGACGAAGCCAGAGTCACATTGGAGGGATGGGAAGGCTGGTTAGCGGTCCAGTTGCCAGAAGATCAACACGAGAGTGGGATCTGGAGACTGTATTTCGACCGCGATGACAACGGCGCTGAACTGCCGGCCGGCAGTCGAGGGCTGGAGATCACAGTGAAGAGAGTGCAGGCAGAGAGTTGATGAGTGTAGACGTCAGACTCCGCGCGGCTGGACAGCGGTTTTGGATTTGGACTTCATCACATCCATGGTGTCGATTAGATTAGAGTTGAACTCCACAGCGATCAGCGATCTTGATCTTGCGCCCTTGCAAATCAGCCATCTCCAGTGCCGTCTTCTTCTCCACATTCCAGCGATCGCAGTCCGGTCCGATCAATCTTGATGGCCGCTCGGCACGCGCCGGTTCACTCTACTGGAACCCCAAGACATCATCTCCTCTGACATCAATTTCCACCACGGTCCACGGCACCACAGGAGCGCATTTGTGAAGAACTCCCAAAGCCCAGATCTGATATTATTGTGCCGGAGGTCCTCGGGGGCTAATGATATTCCAGTGTGGCGGATCACGAAGCTGGACGAGAACGTCCGAAAACAGCGACTTTGCGGGGTTGACGAAAGTGCTTGTGACAAATTATAGTATGCATCGATCGGTACATTCTACCCCAGAGACATTGAATAGGCGTCATGTCAGCTCAAGCCACAATGGCTGGTGGCTCTGCAGCTTCAACACCAACCTGTCGTGCAGCTCGATGTCCCAGCACAAAAAGATAGATTTCGCCATCAATTGGAGGCATACTGTGAAACAGCTATGCTGTCATTTCTGATGACACGTACTTGTGGTACGGAACAGAAGCATATCTGCGGTCATAGTTCAGGTGGAACGAATCAGTTCGCTCTTTATGGTCTTCTATTCCATCTGAACCATAGAGATACACCCATGTACGATTTTCACCCATGGTTCAAAGCAACCAGGTCACATCTGCCCCTTGTCGCAATACGTGTTCTGAAAGATCCTTTCACCGTATTCCCACTGCGGCCCGATATGGTGGAACTGAGAACGGGAACCAGGTTGAAATCTGGAGAACATATGTGCCCTTGACGTCAACCACTTTACAGGATACTCAGCGTGCAGCTCAGATGATGTTGCCAGTGGGGTCACTGCGACTTCGAACTATATCAAAGGCGTCGTAGATAAACCGGGCCATAATCCAATGATCGCATGACTCGATCTCAATCAAAATCACTCAATACACTGCATTTAATGTCTACCTTTTCCCCACGCGGCGGCCATTGAACGAACGTTTGCGCCGTATTATCCTAATACAATCACGAATCTAACGAATGTGCTTTTTGTTGTTTACTTCGCTCGAGTTCACTTCAGGCTTCATCCGCTGATATCATATCGAACCGCGCCAGTTCGACTCTGTCTGCGATATCAATTCAATCAAACAGAGTACATCAAGATGTCAGCCAGGCCTGCTACCAAGGAATTCGGCGTTCCAACAGGAACGCAATCTACTAGTTCCCGAAATGGAAACTCCAAGATCCTTCATAGCCTCTCGCAAGAGAAGGCTACTTCTAAAAGCTCAACAACCAACCAGAAGCTGACGGTAATTCGGGAGAAGACCAAAGCAGTCTCTGGTGAATTCAAATCCCAAGTTGGGCTATCTGCGGAGGAAGTCAGTGAGCTAAGTCCTACTATCGACGGCTTCTTCGACACAGTTGCAGCCGAGAGACTACGTCGTATGCCTCACAATGGAAGCAAACTGGATATGGCTTTCCGGGGAGCCTCCCAGCTTGCGTTCACAGTAAACTCGCTCCGTGAAGCTGTCGGCAGTTTCGCCCTGTATACGGACGAAGCTGCTATGCTCATCTGGGGAAGTCTCGTGCTCCTGCTGGAGGTAAGTCCAGTCTACGGCCAGAGTAATAGACTCTCCAACTGACAATGATGTAGATGGGTGTCGATCAGCCCGATATCCTTGAGAAGATCTGTGCAAAGTTCAGCCGTGCAGCAATCGGGATCTCCCTGCTGCTGCAATACCAGCACCTCTTCAGTGCCACTTCGATGATCCAGTCTGAAGTTGCACATGTCTACGCTGACCTGCTCGACCTTGTCGCCCGTGTCACCGTCGACTCCGGCAAGGGCTCTCGAGGCGGCAAGGACAGCCTCAGGGGCTATCCTGTCGACAGCACGTTCCGTGCCTACTTCAAGGCTTTCTCGACCCGTCGCACCCACATCCTGGAGCTGATGTGGAGGACTTGGGGAGAAAGCCGTCAAGGCATTCCCGAAGTCAGCACCGTGAGGCAGTTCCTCGAGGTCCAGGATCGCGCCCTTCAGACCATGCTGGAGGGCGAGACTTCCTCACGTGTAGAGGAAAGCTTTGAATGGTTTGATAGCTACCTGACCAGCTTCACGACCACGAAGAACCACCTTCTGCACATTACTGGCAGCCCAGGCTCTGGAAAGAGCGTCCTGGCTGACTGGATCATCGAGCGTTTGCAAACGTCCGGTGACCATGCAGACTGGGATGTTATGTCTTACTCCATAAGTAAGCACCACTACACGAGGCCGTGAAGACCATGACTGACTTTATCTCAGGGGCTGATATACCCGCCACAACCATGTCAATTGGTGTGCTCAAGAGCCTCGTCTTGCAGAGCTTGGATCGCTGTGTCGGTGATTTTGGCATTCTAGATGCTATTTGGAATGCTGCGCAGCTATCTGCCAATGGCGCTGAGGAGTCGCGGGTTGAAGATGCCCTGTGGAAAGCGCTGCGGATGCCCCTGAAGTCGGCTAGCCCTGTCATGTTGGTCATTGATGGAATGGACGGTCTTGAAGGCGGCCATACTGCCGCCGCGACGTTCATGACGCGACTGCTCGGTGTCATCTCAGAGTACAGCTCAGTCAAGGCGATTGTCCTGAGCCGTCCGCTCAGCAAAGTACCTTCTGGAAAGGTGCAGCACTTCGGCCTTGCCGACACTCACGTTCTCTCTGATATGCGGTCTGCTGTGTTCAATATGATCAGGGCATCGTCCCGGTTCAACGATATCAGAGGCGACAGGCTTAGCACCCTGGTTGATAGAATTGTCGTCAACAGCGGTGGCTCCTTCCTGTGGGCTGAATTGACGGTCGAGAACCTTAAGAGACAGACGAGCGAGCATGAAATGACTTCGTGGTTGCAGACTCCGAAGGCTCTGTCTGACAATCTGAACACCCATTTCGAACAGATTGATGTCAGCCAGTATGAGACCAGGTGCCTCTTGGCCTGGTTACTAGTCTCAGAGAGACCGCTGTTTATTGATGAAGTCAGACAGTTGCTCGACGTCGAGGTCAAGACGAGCAAGTCTACTCCTCGACTCCCGGGTTCAGAGAACCAGCTGCTGGCTTCTGTGCATCCGCTGATTGTGGAGCGGGATGGTGTTGTTTCCTTCAAACATCCTATTATCAAGGAGCACTTTGTTGATGTGGCAAACAATGTCAAGGACTACTCCAACACTGGAAAGTTCCCGTTCCATCTGAAGGAGGCACACTATGATCTCCTCACCAGGGTCCTTGCCTGGGTTAAGACTCATATCTATGAGGAGGCAGCCCTCTCCTTCGACACCATGGAGGTCAGTAAACAGGACGAATTCTTCGACAGCTATTCCCTGCTGGAGTATGCTGCCAGATATGGAACAACTCATCTGCGATCCTCGCCTTTGGTTGCATCCAACGGCGAATACAAGTTCCCAGCATCATTTAAAAACGCAGTTCCAGACTCGGTTTTGCTGGCGCTTCTCGAGGGTTCGGTCCATGAAACTCAATCCACAGCCTACCGTGCAGTGCAGGAGCACCGTCTCTCTGTTGAGGTCCGCAAATTTGTCCTTGGTGACAAGGCAGAAGCTCTTTTGCAAAGTTTGATTCTGAGCGCTCGCGGCGCACTGAGAGTCCGGGCTCCCCATGCAAGCGAGCATTGCTACGAAGCCTGGAGACTAGGCAGAGAGCTCCTGGGCCGCTCATCCAGTATCGTGATAGCAATTGCTGAGCTTTTCCTCTCCTCTACCGATGGCCAGTTCAGCACTCGCAACGAGACTGTTACCAGAAGAGAAGAAGTCCTAAAATACCTCATCTGGGTGGGTCAGGATGCAGGTGGTTTCAGCTATAACCACACTTTGACGTATGTTGAGATGCTTGTGGAGTTGTACACACAAATCGGAGAGAACGACAACGCTCTGGCCCTGTCCAAGGCCTTCTACCAGCGTACCGTTGCGAAGTATGGGCAGCAGTCCTCCGAGGCAGCGTTGATCTCAGCTTTCATGGAGAAGAGATTCCCAGCCTCTAAAGACGGCGCCTTCCTTGAAATTGCTCAGTCGAAGCATGACTATCTTACGCGCACCCTTGATGTGACTGACCCACGTCGCCTTGAATCCACCCTGGCCATAGTCAAGATGTACGAAGAGCGAGGTGACAAGGTACGAGCAGAGGGAGCTCTTGTCAGTCTGTGGCAAGCCCTTCTGGCGTCTGAGGTCCACTCTACTTCGATGCTAGAAACGAAAACGGATGTCGCTCTCGTATACTCAGGATTCTTGAGACGCCAGGGCCGTAACACTGAGGCGGAGGTCATTCTTCGTACCGTTTGGCCCGACATTGAGAAGAGCGGAATTCAGTCCGACGGCATGTATGAACGCACGCTGAAGGTCGATAGTCAGCTCAGGGACATGCAGAAGGATGATCTTGCTCTGCCAGCATCTTTGCTGGTCTGGAACTACTATAAGAAGACGGGCCAGACCACCTCAACGCAGGGAGTCGCTCTGGCGAGTACACTCCTAGAGACACTTCACAGATCAGTTTTGTCCTCCAGGACTGACAAAACAACATCTGGCGCGCAAGTCATTGTCACGACACAGGAGAGACAACTGATGCGAGAACTGGTTGACTCGATCGTTTCCTCGTCCAGCCACCTCTCAACTTCGGCCCTGGAGGTCACACACATGCTTGCGTCTATCTACATCAAAGAGGAAAACTGGCAGGAAGCTATTACATTCGCCTCTTCTGTGATGAAGCGCATCTGGCCTTCTGTCGAGACGGAAGGTTCTACCACGACTTTCAAATCCGACGTCGCACCCCATGTCGTTGAGATCGCGTTGGATCTGGCGTATGCGTATTTCCGAACTCTCCAGATCAGTAAGGCTACGGCTGTCTACGGAAATGCCGCCACTGCTACTATCACCACGGAAAAGGTCGTGGTGCCAAGGATGATGGAGGTAGTCACGACCATTGTCGAGTTCTACGAGACAACATTCCAGTTCCCGAAGGCAGTGTCGCTCCTGCACCAGATCCACGGATTCCTCAAGTCTCGTCTTGGTGAGACACATAAGTACACCCTGGAGTGTCTGTACATGTTGGCCGATCTTTCGACCCGCATTGGAAGACGAGACGAAGCCGAGAGGAGCTACCGGGAGATCTGGCTTGCGGGTGTCCATGAAAACAAGACTGACACCAACACAGTCAAGGCCGCTAACACACTCTGCACGATGTATGAGGAAGATGAGAACTGGGGCTCTGCACTGGAGATGTACAGATACCTCTGGCCTCTAGCCTTGCGTCAAGGCCAGAGTGACAAGCCAGAATCTGCAATTCTAGAGAAGACCTACACCAACTACTCGCGCATCCTCGAGGAGAAGGTCACGGATAATGTCGAGGAGCTCTACCAGGTCACGTCGGATTACCGCTCTGCGGCCATGAAGCTCTATGGTGGACGCAACGACAAGACCTTGAGAGCCACGCTTCGTCTCGCAGACATCTGCCAGCTCAGCGGAACTCGCGATGACCAGGCCATTTCTCTTTATGAGGAAGCTCTCACGGGCAAGAAGGGCGTTCCCACAGGATCCACTCAGCAGCCATCATCCTTGCAGACTCTTCTCACAAATGCTAAGCATGCGCTAGCTCTGTTGTATGTGCGCAACAAGACCACTTCCACCAAAGCCATCCCGTTGTACCAAGAGGAGCTGCAGCTCTCCAGAGAACAATTGGGCCATGCTTCCCACACTACTCTGGGTTGGCTGCGTGAACTCGCAATCCTGTATTCGAGACAGGGCAGCCAGGAGTACTCCCTCAAGGCTACAGACTTGTTGCATGCCTATGTCTTCGAGATCCTTGAGTATGAGAGCAACGCGCAGAAGCTCCAGGAGTCTGCCAGATACATTGCTCAGATCTACCTGGATTGTGGTTACACGACCGCCGCACACAAGGTTCTGGATGATCTGCGCTACCGCATCATCTACGGCTCCAAAGTCACGCCCAAGCTGTCCGTCGACCGCGCCTATGCCGTCTTCCTTGTGGCTTTCGGTGAAGTCATCACTCAGGATGGAACTTACTCCAATGTCATGGAGGAGCTGATGAACGAGCTTCTCCTTCACGAGTCGTTCTCCAAGTCCCTGAGCACGTCTGGCGACTTTGTTCCTACTCTCGCATCGGGAGCACGTCTCCGACAGTTCCAGACAGAGAAGAATCAGACGCAAGCTGCGAAGGACACCGACTCCAAGCTCTTTGAGTACTTCTGCGGCGGTGTAGCGGCGTCTAGTGTCTCCAGCAAGGACATCGTGCAGCAATTCTACAGCCTTTGTCTCAGGGAAATCAACCATGAGAACTACGATGTGCGCATCATTGAGTCCTCGACCGATATGATCCGCAGTCTCTGCGACCGCTCCCGATTCCAGGACGCTTATGATCTCTCTGTCCTGCTGCACTCGTTCGTGCTTCGTACCAGCGGACTGCGCACCGTGGAGAGCATTCTCTCCGGTATCAGAGCCTGTCTGTATCTCAGTGGACACCATACCAAGAAGTGCCCGGAGCGAAAGATGTACAACACCATGGCTACCCAGTCCAAGGTGCTACTACAGGATATCATTGCCGCGTCCAGGAAACTTGGTGTCCAGTTCTCTGAACTACCATTTAGCCAGATCAACGATCTAGTCACCCTGTTGGGTGAACAGGAGAACTTCGAGGAACTTGAGGTTTGTCTTCCTTTTCCCAACTTGCTTTCGAGGACCTTACTAACACTGCATTCGCAGGAAATCCTCACCGATCTGTGGACCTCACGTATTGTGCAAAAGACCTGGTCCCCGGACATCGTCGTCTGGATCGGCCGTCGTCTCGTTGAGACACGCTTTTGCCGTGGAAACACGCAGGGCGCTATCCATCTCTGCCGCGACATCTGCTACAACCTACAGCACGTGTGGGGTCACAATGACAAGACCACGCTGGAGATGAACAAGCTCCTGTCCAGCCTCTACACTGCATCCAACGACCCGCGCTCCGCCATGGAGCTGCACGAGACTGCCCTGACGGAGCTTCTGAACGATGCAGACGCTCAGAGCGATCCGTATGCGGCCGACTCTGCCGCGCAGCACATCCAGCTCCTGAACCGCGCCCAGCAGCGTCACGGCAAGTGGGACAAGGAGCCTGAGCTTTACAGCAATCTCATCAGCCGTGTCACTGAGCGATTCAGCCTGAAGCAGAACCAGACGCAGAGTACTGACAAGGGCACCACGAGCGACGATTACGGAGTGTGGCGCCGACCAGGCAGCTTCAGCCTCGACGTCGAAGATCAGAGCCAGCATCAGAACCACCTGCGGAGAACAAGCGGTGCTGGACTTCTCGGTGGATCAGGCATGCGGAGGACTTCTATTCCTGCGATGTAAGGAAAGGGTAAATTGCATTTGTATCCATTTGGTTTTATATATATATATATAATCTCTGGGCTTCGGGAGTTTGGTTCATGTACTGTACTTTTTATTTGTCCTGATCGATCACTGTGGATCCCAGACTGCCTGATATATGTATAATCCACAGTGATATTATCAATATGTATAATATTCGTACAGAAATATAAACATTCGATACGAGAATTTGTCTCATCCAAACCAACCTGTAATAGCGTAGACGATGATTCTCAGTATGAAAAATGGTCCGTGCACTTCCCCGAAACCTCCGACGGCTCGACCCGCAGGAGCTCTAGCTCCTCTTGAATGATACGCATGATTCTCCGCAAGTTGCACCATCATCAGAAGAAATCCTATATCCTGCTCTATCTATACCCATATATCCAAAACACACACACACACATCCCACCATCCAAGCAGGACCAATAAAGTCCATCCTCTCTCATAAACATCCTCCAAAATGGTTCGTACTGTACCATCTCTCACCCTTCTCCCCTCCTCCCCCTCCTCCTCATCATCATATGATCAATAATACGCCATCACATCACAATCACAACAAAACTAACAATATACCACCACCAAAAAGTCCACCAACAACTTCACACTCTCATCCGCCGCTGCCCTCTCACTCCTCACCTCCCTAGGCGGAATAATCGGCTACGCACGCACAGGCTCCATCCCCTCCATCGCAGCAGGTCTGTCCGTCGGAGCGCTCTACCTACTTGCCTTGCTCCGTCTGCGTAATGGCCAGAGTTACGGCGAGGAGATCGGATTGCTCGCCTCGGCGATTTTGGGCGGGAGTTCGATCCCGAGAGTTATTAAGACGAGGGGAAAGCCTGTGCCGATGGGGTTGAGTATTTTGGCTACGTATGGATTGGTGGTTTTTGGGTTGGCGTGGAGGGATAAGAGGGCTGGGGTGGTGGGGAGAGTTTAGGGGGGTTTAAACCGGGTACGCACAGGCGTATATTGTGGGAAAGGGGGAATTGGTATGTGTTTGATGGAGGAATTGGGAAGAGGAGGAAAGATAGATACCGGGGTTGGGGTTTTGTACTGTACCATAGTATGCTTCGATGGTGTTGTGAAGTTACAAAGTCTACGCTGATGCGATTTGATCATCGTCCCCTGGTGGTCTGCTATGTACGCGACATATTATTGACGGTTCTGTCTGTCCACTTATGCTCCTATGCAAGAACACGCAAATCATGTCATGATATCTATGTTGAACTACCATCTAGGCCTACCTTGATAAAACTCAGCAACTTACATGGACATTAACCGGGACGAGCAAAACACAAAAGCTCTATCCCACGACTTTCCCTAGAACATGCCCCCAGGCTATGGGGCCAGACATTTCGAAATGACGAAAATGACGAGCCAGTGGTCTTCCCTCCACAGAATGAACAAGCGACTATCAGCCTCCTTCAGTAAAGGTCGACGAAGCGACTCACCAGTGGCGGCCTTCAAACTCTTTTTTGTTTTTTTGGGAACCTACACTCTGAGCCACGGTGGCTAGAGCTCCGGAAAACGAGGTAGACACGGATATGTAGATATGAAGGCATCGACAGTCCGGAAATGATCTTGTTCATGAGCCTGCATCACCATACTACTCATGGATCAGGGTAGAAAACAAAGAAAAGTATCATGTACAACGAAAACTGTGATATGTGTCGAACTTAGCTGGAGAGATTTTTGCCACGCTCGAGCGAAAGCATGCTGATCCGAATCGGATAGGGCACTGATGAGCCGTAGACATTAAGATGGTATCGACGAGCGTGCCCGCGCTACTTTATCCCGATCGATCGATTATGTCGTCTGAAGTCGTGACGACCCCGGAGACTGCAGGAGTAATGCCCTCCACAAGAACCATTTCCGGTTTGCGATCAAGAACGAATGCGTACCTTGGCAGCCTGGCCATCTTCTCCTCCGGACTGGTCTCGTTGTCGGCATATACCATCCTCGTAGGCTTCGACTTATCTTTCTCCTTCTTTGCTGGCTTCTCCTCCGCAGCCTCTGCTTTAGTACCATCCGGCTGCGCCGCCTGCTCCGCTTCCTTGGCAGCGCCGGATATTAGGTCGTCGACAGAAGAAGAGACAGGAGCAGCGCCTGATGGCTGCGCACCATTCGCGGCAGGGGGTTGGCCATACGCACCAGGAGCTGCTGGTTGTGGTGGCGTCGGCAGCTGTCCATGGTGCATCTGTTGCATCTGGGCAGCGTTTACTGGAGGCGCACTGAAAGGAGGACGCTGCGGGAGACCGGGAGCAGACGGAAGACTCGGGGGTCGAGTAGGGAGCGATGAGACATTCTGAGGAGGCGTTTGAGTTCTCGAAGGTTGCTGCTGTTGTTGAGCATAGGGCATAGGGGGCGGTGTATTCCCGTATACTGCAGCTGTGTACGGTGCGGGAGAGATGCCAGGGGATGTATACTGGGTGGGCGGGGGATACTGCTGCTGGCCATTAGGCGAGTAGTTCTGGTACACAGGACTCGCAGCAGCTGCCTGGAAGGGAGAATTGACCGCGCCGCCATAAGGCTGCGGGTATGAATACTGTTGGTTGGGAGCAGCAGGAGCAGCGTTGCTGAAAGGCTGCTGGGCCGCCGCGTATTGGGTAGGTTGAGCCTGCACATCGCCTGTTAGCATCAATCCAAGGAAGGGCATCTGACGACAGAGTACATACATATCCAGTAGGTGTCTGCATCGACTGTCCCGCCCCAACAGGCGTGGCATCGCCGCTGCTGCCACCCGCGGCTCTCTCCGCAAGCTTGGCCTTGTGCTCCGCCAGACGCTTCTTCAAATCGGCGGGACTCTCCAGCCTGGGCTTCTTTGGCTGGTTTCCTGACGAACCCCCCGGTGCTGGATTTCCCGTTGCTGCCCGTCGCTCAGCCTCTGCCTGCTGAAACTGCGTCAGAACCCGCTGGTTGTGAGCCTGGATGACATCTTCCGGAACACCCTCCATGCCGAAGATCTCGACATCGAGGCCTGCACGGTTGGGCAGGGCATTCTCAATGGCCGTCAATTGCTCCTTGTGCACTTGGCTCATGTGCACCGACAGTCCTGAAGAAGAACTAGTCAGAAACCACTGCAGTGACATTGTACATGCGCGCGAACAAAGACACGGAGAACCTACCTCCAGCAGTATTCAATCTCTTGCCACATCTCTCACATCTGAAATGCTTCGCCTTCTGATGTGAGATCAGGATCTTGAGATCGTCGAAATCTCGCTCGCAGTAGTAGCACCACGGGCGAGCAAGGATCTCCTCAAGATCGGGGTGACCGCGCTTCTTCTTTCCCATGGCGATTGAAGCCGGCGTGGATGTCCTAGAAACGAGTACTTAGGTCGCTGCGAGCCACCTCCAAATATAACAGGGGCTAGAACGAGGACGCACGCTGTAGGGCTGGATGATGATTCAAGGCGCGAAGTTGCTGCTTCGACCAGCCAGCCATGCAAAGGTTGCCGCATCAAGGCGACCGGCCCGCACGTGACGTGACGGAAGGGACCACGTGATATAGTGTGATGCCTGAGTTTCAAGGTATCAGAATGCAGAACGGAAATAATGTTGAATCGACTCGACTTCAAGTTTCCTTTCACGAGCTGCGTCCAATTGCACTATGGTATATTTGGGTCACCTGCATATCCCGAATTGATACTGTCGAAATTGTACGAGTTGTACGAGAAGCGGTACCAGACCGACTTGCAACTCTCCAATTGATAACGGTTCACCCATTCTCTTGGCTAAGTATAAGTAGACACCTAAGTAGTATGCCCTGATCCCACTGTATCCCATTCGAGATCGCGATATATATACTGACTTTGGCAATATTTCCACCTTACTCGGGTCAACTGTCAAGCTATGCATATCACTTACTGTATACACTTGACTCCCCGGAGACTAAAGGCTAGTGCGGGCCTACGTCATGCTTAACCAGAACGGCGGCAACCCTATCGCGGACTTACCCGCACCCCCACTGTTGGCAGTGGGACTATGCTTCCTCTATAGTACTTTACCATACATAGTTATCACTGAGTACTCTACGAACAGTCGCATCCTGGAGTTCATAATTATACAGCGAATTTTCTACCAGCATAGACAGGAAGACAACTGATTTCAGATATTCGTTACTCTGATTCTCAATTGAGTAGTGGTACAGTACAATCGCAACTAGCTCTGGTGTATGGTATCTGGCCAACAAGAAAACCGGGCACCGAGAAAACACACAAGAAAACAAAGACACGCAAGAATGGTAAATGGAGGCCAATATTTGCTCTCCTTCATGCCGCCAGACCAAAGCCCAATGCGACCGGCCAGGTAACGCCGCGACCAGAGAAAAGAAAAATCCAAACTATTCCGCCCAATGCTCATTGCTGTGAATGCTGGGGAATAAAGTTGTTGATACAGAAAGGACAAACAGAAAAAGGCCTCCCGGCCCACAGGCCCTTCTATAAAGCGGACCTGGGGCCGGAGGCCACACACTAATGTACACACGCAAGAAGGGAAACAAAAGAATAAGTAGAAGACAGGGCCCAGAGCCCGCATCGCACCGGACTCTGGGCCAGAAAGACGACTACAGTTCCCGCCCAGGGCGGAACCAGTATCGAGAGACGTAAAAGAAGTATCGTAAGGAACAACAGTCATCCTGCCCAGGTGAAGGGCAATGGACGAGTCACAGGCCGCATGTGGCACTTTCGATCAATGTGTGTGATACATGCAGTTAGGCCGCGCGGGAACGTCCATCCGGGCCATGGTGCGCAGGAGGCGGAGGAGGGGGCGGGTGGTGAGCAGGCACAAAGTGGTGGTAGTAATAATCTCCTGGGTAACCCGGGTGCGGAGCATACGCCATATGAGGAGGAGGCGGGTGTGACTGCGGGTGCGGTGGTGCATGCGAGACCGGATGGCCCTGAGGGTGAGATTGGGGAGGTGGCGGAGGAAGGTTGACAGGTGGACCAGATGCGTATCCATGAGGGATGATGGTGATCGGGTCATGCGGGCCATAAGGGCGCAAGATCGCATTGGCAGGAGGCAAGGGAAGGGTGTTCGGAGCAGGCATCGGCTGAACTGGCTGCGAAACGGACGCTTCAAGCTTGGGCTTCTTGACGGGAGGACCACCGTTAATGGCCGGAGTGGTGGCAGGCGCGATGCCGGGCGTCGAGGCACCACTTGTAGGAGTGGAGGGAGCCCCAGAGCTCTTACGCTTCCTGGATCCAGGTTTCGGCTGCTCGGCTGCCGTCTTCTTCGTAGCCTCAGCAGCACGATCTGCTTCAATTTGCGCCTTGGTGCGCTTAGGGTTCCGGATGCGTCCTTCACGGTTGAATTTGGCCCAGTGGTTAAGCATGGCCTCTGTACGTTTGGGGTTCTTCGAATTGGCGATCTTCTGGCGGCGAGCCAGCTCAACCGGATCCAACGTCGCATCAGTACCTCCGAGAACACCGTTCGTGGGAGCCGCAACAGGTGTGGCTGCAACTGGGGCAGCAGAGGAGGCGGGCGCTATGGGTTGAGCGGGAGGAGCGGGAGTCGCCGCAGGAGCTGGCGACGGACGGGCCTGAAGAGGCACAGGAGGCTGGATAGTCGCCGTTCCAGGAATACGAGTGGAAGTCCGGGCAGAAGCACGAGCGGGAGTGACGGGAGGGGGCTGAGGGGTCGAAGAAACGCCTCGCACACGACGGCCACCACGACCACCGTAACCTCCACGGCGACTAGGAGCAGGACTAGGAGGCGCAGTCTGTGTCTGCAGGACCTCACGCGTGGTAGCATTCTTTCCTCCACGAGAGCGAGTCTGACGCTTGGCTGGAGGAGCTTCTGTCTCCTTTTCTGGCTCAGGAGCGGGAGCAGGCTCGGCGGCGGCTTCAGGAGATTCAGTAGCTTTGGCGGCGGCGGCTGCCTCCAACTGAGCAGCCTTGCGCTTCCGCGTCGCTTTGCCCTCATGGTGTTCAATTGGGGGGTTCTGGAAACGAGGGACGTGTTCGACGCCAAACTTCACAATTGGTTTCCAACCGTCGGGGTTGGGGTTGTCGGGACCAGCCTGGGCTGTCATCTTCCTCATCTGAGCCGCGGTCGGCTTGAAGCCACCCTGAACAAAAGGGTCTTGATTGGAGATCTTTGGCTCCTTCGGGTCATACTTGTACCCATACAGCATTGACTCTTTCTTGTCCTCAAACACTTCAGGCCTCTCAGTCTTGCGAGGATTAGCGGTCTTCTTCAGCATGTGGCGGGAAGCCTCCTTCGACAGTCTGTCAATGGCAAGATACTCGTCCTGCCAGACCTTGAGTGCATGAGCGACGTTGCATGTCACCGCGTAAAGCTCATCATGAGACTTGGATTCAGGATCACGGAGCAGCTCCAAGAAAGCTTCGATAGGAGTGATTTTGAGGAAGTCCCCCTTGGCAACCGATGGATTCTCATACGGGCCAGGGCGGGTCGGGAGTTCAGGTGAGTCGCGTTTCTTGGAGCGCTTGGATTCACGATAGACATAGTCCCAGGTGTGCTCGAGGTCAGCGACCTCGTCATCAAAGTCGAAGGAAAAATTGCGGACGTCGTGGATGTTCCAGAAAGACGCCAGACGCTTTTCGACGGAAGCTGTCTGCTGGTGTCGAGAAAATTCATGCAATTGGTTAGAGAGAGCAACATCAGGATCGTCAATAGGGGTCTCGTCGAGAGGCGTGTTGATAGCTGGAGTCTCATCAGCAGGAGTCCCATCAGCGGGAGTCTCGCCTGCGTCCTCATCTTCTTCGATGATGTGATCAGCTTCGTCTGCGTGCTCATCTTCCATTTCGACATCTTCAGCCTCAGCTTCCTCTTCGTCGTCATCACCGGCACCATCATAGGAAGCAAACTTGGCTTTATGTGGATGCACGGCGGCGATGTGATCATGAAGAGCATCTTCGTGGGCATAAGGATCCTCGTCAGTGCTCTCGAAGATCTTACCACACAACGAGCACTTGGCCCGATGGATAGATGGGGTGGGGGAAGGAGACGCTCTCATCGAGTTGGAGAGCGGGTGCAGTGGTTCGGAGAACTGTCGGCGCAGCGGCGAGTCCTGACTCTCAAAGTCTGACGCGCGACTCCCGACGTCGATGTCATCCTGGGCGGCCGGAGCCATGTCGGATGACATTGACTGCGAATGAGTATTCACAGTTCTTGTTTGTTTTATTTTCTTTTTTATTTCGTCTGTTTAACAGAGACTGGTAGACGTAGTGCGAATACTTGGTTGTAAAAGCCTTGCTTTATAGAACGTTAGTCGGGAACCCTGGTCGAAAAGCTCGCTTGCAGTGCCAAGACTCCAGTAGTAATGAGAGCGCAATCCCGGACAAGGACACGGCAGGGTATGAAAAAAAGGACGACCACGATGCATGTGGTGGCAGGGGAGCAGAGAAAAAACAAGAGAGGACAGGGAGAGAGACTGTGGACCAAGTGTGCCAACCAGGAGTAGACGCGACAAGCAAGCAACAACATACCTTTTGATGCCACGACGTGATAGTCAAACCCGTCTCCGTAGAGAAGGAATGAAGAATTCTGATGATAGCCACTACTGCTGGCAAGGAGGATTGAGAAAGTGGTGAGGTTTTACAAGGACAGAGTTTGATGATCGCGAACGGCTAATCGGGGAATAGGTGTGTTCTTTGAGTAGTAAGACCGATCGGGTAACCAAGAACACCAGGGGTTCAACCCACACGCGAGAAAAGAAAAAAAGAATAGTAAAAGCTCAAGATACGAGAGCTAGATGAGGAATGAATCGGTCCATGCACTTTTTAGATGCTCTGACGTGCGGCTTGACAGGTCTTTTCAACCGGCGTGGCGCGGGTACTATGAAAAGATCTTACCGACGGAAAGACATGTAAGAAGGACAAGAACGCGATAAAAAAGGAGGGAATGGAAGAGATAGAGAGTATTGCAGAGACTACAGACTCCAGAGCCGTACGAATCGACGTGGTCACAAGAGAGAGAAGAAGACTGCTGCAGGAGGAAGAAGTAGAGGGATTGATTTGAGTAGTAGAGTAGAGTAGGTAGAGAAGGGCGAGTCGTAGAGTGTCTGGGTGTGTCTTGGAACGGGAGTAGACTAGATCAGGATCAGCGGCCGCGAACGCCGGCGGAGGGCAAATCTGCTTGGGCGCCTCTTTGAGTCTTGCCCTTTCGCTGCCCGGAAAAAGACGGGCCCGCCAGCAGCCACCGCTGGCCCGCCAATCAGAGCTGCCAAAGTCAGCGCCGTTCCACGACTTCTTGGCAATGACAACAACGAAAGGGGTCGACTCGATGCTGTCGCGACAGAGAATCACCGTCAAGAAGAGCAAAAAATACAATTCTACGATGGTGATAGACAAGAGACCCATGCAGCCAAATGTCTGGATGTGATTTCATGCAGAAAAATCTGGCAGAAAGGGCTGGGGGAAGCGAAGCTGAAAAAAACCAGAAGGCGCTTACATACTTAGTCTAAGTACTCCGTAACTAAGGCCTCACGATAAGTACCAGTAAGCCAAGCCACATCATTTACAGTAGCCATATTACATGCAGACACACAACCAGCAAAGGCCATTAGATGCATGTCATCAAGATCCTACCTCGTCCAGTCCCGCATACATGTCATTTTGGACATCTTCATGACCCTGTTCTACCGTTCTACTCTCAAAGAATGAAACAGCAGACGACCAGGGTAAAAGCTGAAACCAGCTACAAACACAGCATACTCCAAAGAACTGTGCGTTTCAAGTCCAGCAGACTATGTACAGTACTCGAGCATATCTAATAAAAAGACGCCGTATTATATGATGATCCAGCAGGGACGGATGATAGTGGATATACTTGACTGTTCCTCTGTCTAGTATCACGATCACGATCACGATCACTATCACTATCTACTGGTACGGCTGCTCCCGTCTAGTCTTTTTTCGCTACTTAGCCCATGATACCACGCCCGACCTGGGAGATTACGAAACTATCCTGCCAGCATCCAATCGCATAGGCCTAGAATGGATAAAGTCTCTAACTATTTGTCGCGAATCGCCGTATCAATGCGCAGTCATTTGTGCGGATTTCTGAGCTGATATTTTTGGTGTTGCTACCCCTGCTACTTAAGTAGTGCCTCAGCTAAGCGCCTGGGAAGTCATCAGGCGGCCCTTCATAATAACTACTCCGTCTGTATGAACTGGGTACTTTTCTCGCGCTCCGGTCAATATAATCATTACCAACAATCGTACATGAAGAATACTGTCAGTCTTTCATCATTTTGCCTCGAATCTTCCAGCCTCTCTCCGTTCTCTGTGCTCATACTCACTGATATGACATGGAATACAGTCGCGCTTGGCATCAACTAGGAGAAGACTATGTAATATGCATCACCCTTCTTGTAAATATATTCACCCTCTCTCGGCCATGATCGAGTACCGACAGGCGTTTGCTAATAATGACTATGGGTTCTGTGTCTAGGGTGGATGATGCCGAATTGGATTTTACCGACCGCTTTAGCAAAAAGTAATCTATCACATAACTAATGGTTGCATGCTTATAGCAGCTGCCAGGGTCTAATCCCTGCAGGACCTGTGATACTTTTGGCCGCTAGTCTTGTTTGTCATCAGGGTACAGGAACAGAAGTATAGCGAACACACAATGTAGACAGAGGGCCGCCTGGCAACGAGATAGGGTGAGGCACCCAATCGAATAACGGGAAGAAAAGTCTGAGATACTGGAAGCATAGGCATTGCGTTCTGACAATATCGCGGATGGTAGATATAACCCAGAAATAGGACTTCAAGAAACGTCTTCCTTGTCACGTCGATCGCTGTCCCAGGTTCCATATTACGAGTACAAAAAGTATGGCAGGGCGGTCATAAAGAAGCATAGGTAGTCTTCTGCTTTCCAGGAACGTAATGGTTCTTAGCATTGTTGTCTTCTCAGTTATAGAATGCCATTCTCACAGTATCATGACAGAATACTCATGTATTCTACGAGTCGACAATACAGCAACAACAGCACCATCATCATCGGTTCCTCTCTCCCACATCCAGCGCGACCAAGAACCGACTCACGCAATTATACGCCGCAACCGTCGCTGTGATCTCGACAACCTCCTTCTCGCTAAAGTTATCTTTTAATTCCTGAAATATCTCATCAGGAACCTTGACACTCTTCGTCATAGCATCTGCATATTGAAGAACCGCATTCTGCTTTCGGTTCAACACTCCCTCAGACCCAGATGCTTGCGCATGACCGACGACACGCATTCCCTCTTCATCCATCCCAGCTTCGCGCAGTAAGGGCGCGTGGTGGTCCCATTCGAACCATGCGGAATTGATCACGGCAACGCGGCAGATGGCGATTTCGCGGATGTCTGCAGCGAGCGTGGTTCGAGTCCGGATGGCACCAAGGAAGGCATTCCATCCATCAGCGACGGGGAAGGAGTGTAAAAGGGCCAAGTCGAGTGGGAGGAGTCCGTTCTCGCCCCGTCGGGCTTGGACTCGTGCGAGGATGTCTGCTTCCTCGGGGGTGCTTGTTGGGGGCGGATTGGGGGCGTATGGGAGACGCATTTTGTAGTAGTTGAAGCCAACGCGAGTGGGTATCGAATCGTTCTGGGGTGATTTCTTGTCTTTATTTAGCTTGAAGATACTTACTTACTTTGCTTTGTGAGCAGTCTCCGAGTTCTTTCCATGGGTAGTACTGTACCTTTGACTTAGGGTATAACTAATGCGAATGACTGCAACTGAAATCTCGCTCAGTCTATTTGCGAAAGTAATATTTGGGCTAGAAGGGAACTCACCTGCGAAATATATTCTCAGCAACGAATTGCTTCCACTACATGTGTCTTGTTGGATTGATTAACTCGTGGACACTGCTGACCCCACATCGGAGCGCCGCCAATAGCGGGGTTCGAGGAGAGCAGTATGTAATCCAAGAGCGGAGAGAGATAGACGTTCTGATACAAGAGCAAGCATCAGCTCTAGCATCGTAAGCCGGTTCCATACCTACTGGGCTATTTTTCATCACATAACTATAAGTGGTGCAATACTGTACAGCTGCTGTATCCAAGGAAATTGACCTAATATGACGGTAGGGTCTTTTCTAGCCATCTCACTGGACATTCTTATTTCCAGCATCAGAAACAACCAGGCATTATCCACTCAAACGAGATATCAGCTATACTAAGCAGAAATGTTTGGATGAGCGGTGACTTCTTCTTGAAACTATCGAAACATGATTAGCTACGGACCACGGTACTTAGTTAAGTGTGATGAAGACATAAGAATTATCCCCCTGCTAAAATTACAATCTAGATATTAGGTACTTACTAGGCAAGGTACGCTCCCTCAAAAATTACGCATAATAATTTCCAAGGAGAATAAATAGTGCGATTCGTTGGTAGACCAAGTACACTCGGTGTATACAGACAGTAACTTAGTTACCATTATTGTTTACTCAAACCACCGGTACGTACTGTACTTCCCTCCAATCTGGGGATTCTTGGCACCGGTCATGAGCTGCTCCACCGGCTACGCAAGTCAGGGGATTCGCAAGGGCCACTTACTTGTAACACTCTAGAGTAGCTTCCCGTCTGTCGGTTCTACATAAAACAATCCATCAAGCGCAATATAGAGACAACGGTACTTGAACATCCTTCATCTTCCAGCAGAAGGATATACACAACGATGCCCCCTAAAAACGCCAAACCCACAAGCGATGAGCTTCTCGCTCAATTTGACGACCTGGGTGTCGACACTGAGGACCTAAAGACAGAGCCCAAGGCGGCGACAACGACGAAAGCAGCTGCACCACCAGAGCAGGATCCCTTGGCTGAGCTGAATGACCTCGTTTCCCAACGCCCTGCTAGTCGAGCGGCTACTCCTCGACTCTCATCAGAGCTCCCGCACCGACCGTCACCCAAACTGACCTCAGCCGCGACCCCTCCTGCTGGCCGGACCAGCGAAGATGCAGCCGCGCCTCGCAAGTCAACGGAGACGGGGCGCACATCGCGAGAGGCTCCAAGTGAACCGGCGCCCCAACGCGCTGAGGAAACTCCTCAGAGCCAAGGAGGCGGTTGGTGGGGAAGCATCTTTTCAACGGCCAGCGCAGCAGTGAAACAGGCTGAAGCTGCCGTAAAAGAGATCCAGAAAAACGAGGAAGCTCAGAAATGGGCAGAACAGCTACGAGGAAATGTCGGATCTCTCAGGGAACTAGGTAATTTTCTCTCTCCATAGCCAGCTTCGTGCTTGTTCTAATGATTTGCCTAGGCGGAGAGCTACGGACTCTTGCCATTCCTACCTTTACCAATCTACTTCATACTCTTGCGCCTCCGATCTCCTCACACGAGCGTCTCCAAGTCCACATCACGCATGACCTCTCCGGCTACCCAGAGATCGACCCTATTGTCCATGCTGTGTTCGCGCGGGTCATGTCTCAGGTGGAAGGTGGTGACCTTCTAGTTGTCCAGCGGGGCCAGGAGTCAGGCCCCAAGCGCGGAGGAGCAGACTCAGGATACCTGTCGTCAGCTGCAGGATGGCACGATGGTCCTTGGTGGCGGACCGTTACCCCTGGGAACCCACGCACCATTTCTGCGGTCAAGGGAGCTGTTGAGGGAACAAAGCTTGCGCGTGCCAGCGCTGAAGCCTACGCCTCCGAGTATTTCTCCTCCCGTGGGGGTGTCGAAGAAGCTGCGAAGCACGCGACCGAAGTTCTGAGCGAGTCGAACCCAGTCCGGAGCAGCGACATCTTCCTGGCCATCCAAGCAATCAACCAAACCACACCGAAGGATCTGTTCCAAGCCGGTCCAACCACAGAGAAGGCCACTCCAAAGGGCGCTGTTGAAGTTGAGGATGACAAGGAGAACGAGGAAGTATTCTTTGCGCTCTACCTTCACGACCCAATCCACGGGATCGCATTTCACACGCTCTCTCAGGCCATCCCACAGAAGTGGATCGACTGGCTCGATGCGCCAGCACCGGCTGCTGCGAACGCCGATTCCGTCGACGCTGAGATCCCCCACACCGTCGTACCAGACTCTATCGCAGAAATCATCGAGAGCGGTGGTGTCGACCCCCGTGAATGGGTTTCTGAATGGGTCGAAGAGTCTCTTTCTCTAGCGATTGGTGTCGTGGCTCAGCGCTATGTGGCGCGGCGGATGGGCGTTGGCGAAGGCGGAATTAACAAGGGTAAAATGAGAGCAGAGAAGACATCGACTGTGGAAAGCGGAGCAGGTGAAGCTGCCAGGGCGCTTTAAGAGATATTCCCTTATGTTCTTGTTCCTTTTCTTTTCTTTTTTTTTTCCAGGATAACGTCCGCAAGTCATGACCGTTGAGCGAAGTTGGGGCGTTTGATTTACCCTTGACAGATTCAGTTGCGGTGGAAAGGGCTATGATATTCCGTGATTGATTATTCCTATGTTATTGTGAATGATATACCTTATCACGCTGTATTGTTTCTTTTCTCTTTTACGCAGTAGCAATACTACTACTACCTTATCTTACCCTTACCTTAGCTCGTCTGGACAATCTCATGGTCCCAGAACCAGATACTAGAATCAATGACATCACCCTAATATTCCATGATATCCATAATCGGGAAAATATACTGGTACTCTACCATAGAACAGCGCCAAGAAGACCATTATCCCACAACCTCTCTAACTTGATTAGATTCCACCTACAAATAGATAGCCTAGCCTGGCCTAACATTCGCTCGTCTATTTAGGTAGATATAGATATATACCATATATCATAGTCGTTCATCATCACAAAAAGAATTGGCATTGAACCATGACCATTGATTGATTGATTGATCCAGCAGAAATTGCATTTGCGTCACAATTGACAAAATCAGAATTCTTTTTTCTCATCCGTTGGGGGGGTATCTCGTATCGCGTTGAGTATGTTATTTCAAATATCGAGGTGCAATTCACCGCTGAAACCGGGCGGGTGGAAGAAATTAGCGCGGAGGGGGGTTACACTGTTGATTTTGGTTAGAGTTTGGTTTTGGTAAAAGCGTGGAAGTTCCCGTTGGAAAAAGTTCCCTGTTGGGAAATGGAATGAATGGAATAGATGTATATATATACCTTGTATAGCCGTTCAGGACGGTATGGGCATCTGTTCCTTCTGGACTCTCCTTGAGACTGCGAACTATGTCTGATAGTTCCGCCGACCATTGGAAGTGGCGTTCCTTCACGCGGCTGACTCCGTTGGTCTTGTGTACTCCGTTCACACCGTTAAGACCATCGATTCGATCCACGCCGTTGATGCCATTGATTCCATTGATATGATCTCCGTCGTTGCCGCCATTGGTCGTCGGAGGCTGGACTGCATCGGTCTTTGCTGATTGGTTGATCGGTCCTCCATTCAAGCCGGACCCTTCCGAGTCAGCAACAAGCTCCGCGTACAGACTTCCTTTGGTCCAGTAATTCGGTAAGGCGCGCGTGTATCGCACCGGACGGCTTTCGACGTCCGACCGCATCGGGATGTTGAGGTTGTATAGTTCGACCCGATCGTCCCAGTGCCGATATAGATGCTCGATCAGCCGCACCGACAGCCGGGATGCCGCACGGATGACTTCCACGTCCTGCTCTTCCTTACTGCCGAACGACAAGGCAATACCGCGCTTCCCACACGTGGCCGCCTCGAGGGCTCCGCCCACGGTTCCCGAAGAGAGGTTGTAGATGGTAGATGCGTTGCGTCCGTGGTTGGGGCCGGAGATGACGAGATCGATAGGATCCCTGTCAGGAAAGAGATTGTAGAGTCCCAGCTGAGTGCAGCTGGCGGGAGTGCCGTTGCTGATGACGGCCCATGCCTGGTCTTCCGCTGATCCAGTCCCGGTCCCTGTCGAGTCCCACGATCCGTCGTCTCGAAAAGCATCCGGGGGTACGTAGGACGCGGTCAACGAGGCCCCGATAATGTGTGCTTTGCCGATCCATGAGCGTGATGCGGCGGGAATGGCGACGGACACTAGATGGCCTGCATCCTGGAGAGCGTCGACAAACGGTCGGATATAGGGCGAGAGACGCCTCGAGGGCGGTCCATCATCGTTGACCACCTGTTGATAATAAGAAGACAATATACACAGGTCAGTTCAACTTGTCCTTAGGAAGTATATGGGGAGGCGCGAAGCATGATGAAAGGAATCGTTTGCGCTGCAGCAGTCTCATAGACAAGAAGCCACGGCCGGTGAGGTGAGGTGAGACGGGCTCCGACCGGCCAGTGAGAGAGACACAGCAAGTGACAAGCAGACGTACCAATATATGCATGATGAACCAGGGGTGGGCGGAGGGGAGCTCTCAGCAGAAGACCGGAACTGGAGGAAAGCTCACAGTCAGATTCTCTGCAGGGGGAACTCGCCTCCCCCCGGGGTTGTTATATAGCGACCTGGGGAAACTGGGGAACCTCCATGGCCACCGAAATTCCCAGTCGAATAGCCGAGTAAAGGCCGGGAGAAAGGAGCTCCTGGCTGATTGAGGCTGCGCGACGTCAGTTCTTGGATTACCGTTTTGGGACATCCAGATGGAGAGGCGGCAGGTCAGCTTTCACCGGGCGTGACAAGACAGGTCACACTGTTACCGGTATCGCTGGAATCGGCAGCAGGAGCCAATAGCATTGGTAGTCCTGGGTGATAACTGGGGAACCACGTGTGTATGGTACTGAAAGCACCCGCAACACCGCAGTCCCAAAAGGAGCATGCGGTGAAGCCGTCCTGGTGTTCTCGCCGAATTCTTCTCTTTGAGATGATTGATTATTCCGTCAATCCGGGGTGATAACATTGGACAGGAGTCTTCTGCACAGTCTTATTAATATAATATTATCATTATTTATTCTCATCAGGTGGCTAGCATAAAATACTCTAGTTAAGTTAGCATCACTATTATTGCTGACAACAGCGGGTCTCAACGGGCTGTTTTAATTATAATAATATCTATGTACAGTATGAATATCGGATTGCTCCCGACGGACGGCTGCCTCTCCTCCGTAGCCCTAGGGCAGAGTGGAAAAAAAACACAAAAAGCACAAAAAAAGCACTGGTGCCAGTGAGACACTCGAGTCCGTTCCAAAGGATAGAGTCGAGGAAACGAACTAATTCCCATCATAGTGAACGATTTCTCGTGGAATCCATTAATTAAGCGGGTCCGAACGGGGCGCACAAGCACAGATCTCACAGTTCTCCAAGCCCCTGATCGATCTGTCAGTCTGGAGTGCGTCTGTGAGTCAAATCGTAAGTAGCACGCGTTCTCGACCCAACAAGTGAGAAAAAAAGAATTTTTGGTAGACGGCCCAAGCCGTTCGTTCAGTTTCCTTAAGCTAGGAACACATCCTGACGACGGTTTTCTAAATAATCGTTGCGTTGTGTCGCCTTTTTCTCTCGGAGACTTCCTGTCAGCGTGGTCGGTTGCAGTATTACTACTTATTGCATATTATTACTATTATTACCCCAGACGGTTCCCCCATCGCATCCTGTCCTCCACTCGACTGTATACTAGTAATGGACTTCACCCTCGACCGATGAGCAATTCCCCTCCAGCTCTTGTGGATTCGAGACTTTGAGAAGCGTCTAGTTGCCTGAACGGTGTCTTGTCCAGTCCGCAAAGGTCCTCCGTGCGCAAAAAAAGGGAGAGGGATCATTAGACCGCAAAACTCGTTGGCGGGGAACTAGTCACCAGCCGCAGCTCGTATCGACTCACGATCCCCAAGATCCCCGCGTTCTCACCTGGTTTCATCCATTCTTCGATCGTCCCCGTCTCTCTCGTCGGGCTGCAAGAACATAGTTCGAATATCTCGAAAGGAATTCGCTGCGGGGTACCGGATTGGACTGCAGCGTCGCTGCCCACGCCCGTGTCTCGCTCAGCTGGTATGGAGTGTGGGAGCGCTGAACCTCCCCCGGGCTTCGAGCCCAATTTCCTCGAGAACTGGCAGTCAGACGGTGCTTTCTCGATCGCATCGTGGGATAGACCAGGATTCGATCAGTCCCCCGAATGGGACACCAGTCAGGAGTCCTCCCAGGCAGACATCGGGGAGTTCAGCTCCCTGCACGGCGCGCTGGCTCGCGATCAGCAGGAGGGCTCCCATGATTTCCCCAACCTTGATTACAGGTCCGCCTTTCCATCTGACCCATCGCGATAAGAGCAGACGCTGACGAGCCTCGTTCTCTACAGCAATCCCGGGAAGTCGCAGAACAAGTTTGGCTTCCTCGATGGCACCATCACCCCAGACACCCTTCCATCGTCGACCGACGACAACCTGCCCCGCGAAGAACAATGGACACAGTTCCAGATCCCAGAGGCTCTCATGGCAGCAATGCCAATGGACGCGCCCATGTTCTATTCGTACGAGAAAGGGCCCAGAGTAGTAGCGACCAATTCCGTGATCCTCGATGGCAGTCACAAGCCGCTGGATCAAGGCTTCCACCAGCTGTCCTCAGGGCAAGTAACGCCCTTCCAGCACACGTCGCCCACGTTCCAGTTGATGAACGAATCATGGCCTGATTCACTCAATGCTGCACCAGCACCCGTTACAGAACTATCTGATGCCGCTGTGTCGGATCCCCAACGCGGAGATGGAGATGGGCAGGCCGTGGACTTGCCCGCACCAGCCCAGCCTCTCGACCTGGAATGGTTCGATGAGCTTGACGTGCAGATCCCGGCCAATATGACCTCTACTTTCTCGGTGGTGCCCCAGAATCTGGGCCTCTACGATGACTATCAGGTAATGAAGAAGGAATCTCTGGAGCATTCTGACAGCCCTCTTTCGGGCCCGGAAGACGTCTCCAGTGCCTTTGATGGTTCTTACTCTGCAACTCATGATGATATATCGGCGTTCGCCAACCGCCAGCTCAGTGAGGAAGATACTCGTTTTATGGAATGGAGCGATGTGTCCCCAGGCAGCAGCACGTCGAATCTCTCGCATATCATTCCCAATGCAGGTGGATTCGCTGTCGGTCAAGGGATGCAGCAGTCAGCATCCGCCTCGATTCCTGCAAAGGCTCGAAGCGCGTCCTCGCTCGCACACCGAGGGTTGGCACGTCACACCTCGCTTTCTCTACAACCGGTCACGACGGCAAGGAAGAGGAAGCAGCGCAATGCTGCTTCCATCGACATTTCTCAGCAGCCGAAACCACTGCAAATCGTGCAAGAGGATGGTCAAGGAGGGTCGATTTCCTCGGCCGATTTCGTCTCTCCTCCGCGCGGAGCTCGTCGGAAGGGTCCCCTGAGTACCGTGGGAAGAGCCAACGCGGGAATGCGCCGGAAGAACAAGGATACTTGTGTTCAGTGTCGTCTGAATAAGCGCAAGGTATGTTCCTTTCAAACACCACGACTTCTATGATACTCTTGAAACTGACTCGAATCTAGTGTGATGGAGGCGCGCCGTGTGATGCATGCCGTCCTACGCTACACGAGCAACCCTGCGCACGCGCGTGCTTTGCCAGCATCGTGGAATACGGAACGTGCAACTACATCTGTAAGATAATCGTCTTCCTTTGTTAGGATACAGCGCTAATGTATCGCAGCCCAACGAGCCATTAATCACCCTACGTTGAGCGGGACTGGCAGGATGCGAATGGAAATCCCTTCCGCCTTCAACTTGAACGACCTCCTTTCGCTCCTCAGTGAACGCAGGGGTCGATTCAACATCCGCGCGACCCAAGCCTGGGGCACTCTATACGTTCTGGATTTGGGCGAGACCTACAAGTTTCTCAAGGGACTAACTGAGTACAACGGCAACGCTAGCTCCACCTTCCTGGAATTCATAGACCGTCGAATCATCGAGTCCAAAGACAAGTCAAAGAATTGGCTTGCTTGTGTTCGAGACTGCGATCCCATGAATAACATCTTTGTAAGTCTTGACATTCTTTGAAGGGCCACGAGTCACGCTTACTGATTGTTTCTGTCATCCAGTCTCTGTTGTCACAGTGGAACAACATGCCAAGTCGAGCTGCATACAGCTTCGTTCCGGTTGATGAAAATGGACAGGAACGTCTCATGGACGTCAACGATCCGGAAGACCAAAAAGAGATCTTATTGGCGGCACAGTTGTCACGTATCTTCTGCCGCATGCTTGAGGTTGAGGGTTTCCGAAAGCTAGAACGCGACTTCTACAACATCAAATGGAAGCGCATCTCGCATGAAGCACATCTGCGCTTCCTTGACGAACTCGGTCACATCCTCCTCACCCTCCGCTGGCGCGTTTCCTGGTGGAAGCTCTTGGGTGACGGCGGTGTCGACCCAGACCCCAGTAAACAACACTATGTCGACCGCGTGCAACTCCTATGCAGGATTCTCTACGTTTATTACACCAGCGTGCTCGCCAAACTGCCATCCTGGTCTGCTGCAGATGTTCCCAAGGGAGTATGGTCCACCTACGCTGATGCGAATCCGGTCTGGGATGACTTCCCCGCGGATGCAACGGACAACGGCTTCAATGAATGGATGGAGAGAGGCCGTGATCTCATCGAACAAGGCGGCGTTCCAAGCCGTGTCGCGAAATTCTAGAAGCTTGGGTGCAACTATTTCTTATCGGCGGATTGATGCATTTCTGGATACCCTCATTGCAATTGGATCAGACGGCGTATAGACGCGGGGGCGATAATGATTGATGAATCTTGTGCACATGTTTTAGATGGGCCCCTAGACTGCTTCTTCTTCTACTTCGGGTGGTTTGTGCTACATCTTATTATTTCTTCATTATAGATAATCTCCCATCTATTGGACCTCAGATATTGTCATTTAATTTGTACATACCTCATCACTGACATATACAACTTTTGGAATATGCATGATCGTCTATTATAACCAGTTTTATCCAGGTGGTATCATAAAAAGGCAGCGCCGAACGAGATCAGTCTCTGACGCGGGCGTCCCATGCACCTCTCATTCCTTTTCGTGTCCAAGGCGTTTACGACAGGACAGGACTGGGACTGGTCTCGTCCGGCCATAAACACTGCGGCCAGCCACGTCGTACCCGAACCCCTGTTTCGGCTTGGTTCCAGTAGCCATGGCTTCCCGTTCGCATGGGCAGAGAGCATCCGTGTCCGCATTAAGTCGGGAGTAACAAGGAACAGCCTGTAAAGGAACATCACGACACTTCTCCCTGTACCGGATGATATGAGTCGAGGCTGTGATCGACACCCAACAGAGCCAAGGACATCAAGCAAGAACTCCATATCTCAAATTTCCAAATATACGCTCCTTGAACTTTCAACCCTCACTTCCTTTGAGCCCCATTCTTATCCTTTCCCTTTTCCTTTTTATCTTTCTTTCCACCCGCAAGAAGTTCCAAATGTCCCGCCCGCTCAGCCAAGTTCCGCTCCGTCTTGTTGATCAGACCGGAGGTGAGTTTCTACATGATGAAATCACGTTAGATCCGATCCGACTGCGACTCGACATGTACCCTTGAATAGAACCAGGAAAAAGAGAGATGGGGGTCGATATGACGCACCTTGGTGATTTTTCGCTGCTTTACCAACGATGCTTTCTTGGGCGCGATGGAACGTTGGCCTTTCTTAGGACCGAGGGCGTTAGGTCTGAATTGTTCGTTAGCCTGACTAAATCTTCTTTCAAAAGATGGAGAGATCGAGTGTTCCGCCATGATTATCCGACATGACATGACATGACATGACATGAACTCAATAGATAGGACACGACATACCGCTTCGACGCCGTCGCCGCACCGGGCTTGGACTTCTTGAGGGCTCCTTGGGTCATTGTTTTTCTTTGTTTTTGTTTTCGTGAGATACCGAAGCAGTGGTATTATTATCACATAAAGAGAGATCTATTCAAAGCGAATTTCCGTTCCACGAAATGGGCCGGGGGGGGGGGGGGGGGGGGGGGGGGTTTTTTGTCCCTCTCTTTTCTTCCTTCCCCGGTCTGGGAAAATTCCTTATCTCGATCAAAACTTATCGGGAGGTCACGTGGTTGGTTGGTGAGTTAGTTACTGCGGGAACGGGGTAAGTTAGTTAACTAGTGCGGTGCTTTGATTGGTTGAGTACGGTCCATACTTAAGTTAACTCTTGAAGTGTGTATGGTATTCCTCTACGACTGTTAACTACCTAGGTAGTAGGGCGTTGTTTCGAAAGAAGAATAGATTAGGTATATACTGATAAATACTCATTATTTCTTACACTAACTAAACATATAGTAAACATAACATAACATATACATGATGCAACATCCGATTCGATCTTGTTCTCTCAGGTAAGTACCTAAGGTATATAGATTAATACCATCTCAACGACACAAACACCGGCCGACCCTGTCCGTAGACCAACTCCAGATTCACAACCTTACTACCCGATCTCTTTGCGATGTGAATCTGCGACCCGTCTGCGATATCCTCCACTCGAGCCGTGAAATCGATTGGGGCCCCGTCAGGCGGCGGGGTCGGTCGGACCGCAAATCGGCCGCGTTTAGGCCCTTCCATTTCGAAATTCATCCAGATATGATTTGCCATTACGTGGAGGATCGTGTCTTCGTCGAGGTCATGGCCGTCGGAGATATGTTTGCTATTCAGGAATTGGGTCGATGTGGATCCGTCGGATACTGATTCTGGAGAGACCGGGTGTGCTGGTGGAGGGAGGGATAGAGACGATATGGAGGATGGAAGGGTTGATGGTGTTCTGGCTCTGGTAGCGGCAGAGGTATGTCCGGTGCTGGTGAGTCTGTTGCTGGAGACGGATCTCGTGCTTGTATTTGTATTTGTATTTGTATCTGAGGGTGTGATTCCAGATAAAATTCGTTCGCGAAGATCGAGCAAATCGAGAGAGGGAAGATGATCGGCTGATTGAGCCATGGCCTCCCTTCCGATGCGATCATTGACTTCTGAAAGAGCTGCTCGCAGTCGCATCCGGCCTGTGGGAGGATACTGAGCTAAATCGGGTACGGTCCATTGGCCGTGCAGGTGTCCCTGTGTTTGGGAAAGGAAGAATGATCCATGCGAGTAGATGAATGAGTTGCATAAGTAACATGCTGCTTTGCTGGCACCGATGACTCGTGGTCGTATACGGACGCCGTTTTCTTCACTCTCGTAAAACGCGACCATCTGCACTTCGGCATGGACATGGCAGAAGTGAGTCAATTGTCCAGAGTGGGATTGAAACATAGTGGATTGGTAAGGAGTCAGGATGTCGTATCTGAGGTTGGAAAATAAGTCTGCATACTTCCTAGCTGCTGAGGTCAGATTGGCCGAGAGACTCCAGTATCGTCCGATTTTCCCTATCTGCTGGATGGCAGCTTTGCTGAAACAGCACCGCTTGTCTCTATCGGGGTATTGAGACGTCGAAATAGATCTGGCCCACCATTGAAAGGCCTCGTTGCTTTCTCGACAAACTGCCTTGAGGGCCTGTATCTCTCTACCCCTCTCGGGGATATCCTCTACGGAACGGTATGTGTCAGATAACGTATTCAAGATATCGCACACTGGACCCGTGCTGTTGGAACAACAGCAATGGGAACTCCGAAGTCTCAGAACTATTTGATTTAGTGCTTTATAGAGAGGTGTAGGATGTCCATTGCCGATTTTTGAAGCGTACGATGCGCTCCTCTCCCAACGGCTCGAGTGCAGACGCGCATGGATTCGATCGCGATTGAGTCTGATGACGATATCAAATACCCTCTCTGTGCACTCATTTCGCGATATTCCTTGAGAAAAGATCGCACTGTTAGGATAACTCTACAATGTATATTGTCAGGGGTTTGGGGATTAAGGGACAAACGTTTCTTAGCGCGATCAACAAGTAACCCTAGAATATCCTTGAGTGCTTTCCGTACCCTTGTCGTCACTGGTTCATCGGCCGCTAGACGCACGACTAATCCTTCAGGCTCCGACTGCTCTTCTATGCAAACTGCAGAAGTTGCTTTGGACTCAGGCTCCGCGGCAACTAGAAATGCAAAGTCTTCCGCCAATTGCTGCTCCGTGTTGAAGGGTATAATGTAGTCCTGCGAGGACAGCTCCGCTCGTCGCTTCTCCCAGCCATCTCGTGGGACAGTTTCCTTTGGACCAGGTCTGGTCTTAAAGGATTTCTCCAGAGAGGCTATATTTTGACGGAATGTTCCCTGGTTGATTCCTTGCCATATTGAGTCGTCCGGTGGTGCTGTGCTCACCGGCAAGTACTGTTGGTCCTTGAGCAGCATTGGTGATTTCTGCCAAGCTGGGTCAAACAATGTAGTATATTATCATCGGGAAATAATGTCAAAAATATAAATATAGCCTAAAGAAAAGCATATCAGTAGAGAGGAAGTCCTAAGAATTATGCGTCTGGAAGCGGACATTATGTGCGTGAAATCAAGGTGCTCTGTGGTCTCCACCACATTCGATCTATGAAACCACGCTACCAGCTGGCAACTGGTAAGTGATAGAGAGGCGGCCAGCACATATTTGCGGAAGATGATTATTGGCAGAGTTGTCTGCATAGTGAGCGAACGAGTGCCTGATTCTCGAGGAGAATGTTGGTTGTTGCTCGTCTGGTGTGGGACCACGTGTTGCTCGCTGCAGCTGTTCCCAAGCAGTCGCTCGAACTCGCGGGGTGGTGGGATCGAGAGTCTGCTTTGCACAACAGACAGACGACCGCAAGGTAAGCTCTGGATGAGTTGTCTGAGTATGGTTCTCTCTGATTCAGTAATGCCGGTGCGGTATGCGATCTTGTCACACTGAAGTGAGCTATTCTATGAGATCCATATTCGATCGAGTGACGGTTAAACATCTGGCGATGCCAAGCCTACGAGTAAGAAGTAAAGGAACCTTTGGAATTGTGAGTATGCGGCCGTGATATCAAGCACCAGGCCATATTAGAATACCCAATTCGAGACTGGAAGCGAAGAATTGCACGATTAAACGGACTAACTCCGAAAAACCTCCGCTCTCAATTGACTCGTGGTATTAACGCTCGTGCACTGGCGATTATGATATAATAAATATATGCAATAAATTTAGTTAGCTCCAATTGTCGATGGAGAAGGTCCTGGATTGGCTGACTGCAAAGGAAGGAAATGTTATGCTCTCTGCCTGATCTTCTCCATCGCGCCCTCTGTGCGCGCGAGCTTCTGGAAGATGCGCTTTGCCAAGCTTCCCTCACAGTGATCATGGCCATCCTCAGTCAAGCTATGCTGGTGCAGATCACGCTTGAAGCTGACACCTGGAGTGACAGTGATGCAGTTGTACCGTGCTTCTGCCGCACGTAGCTGGCAAATCTCATCCGTAACACAGGAGCCAGTGCAGCTATCCACGTCGTACCCTCTCCACTTCCGAGCCCAGTACTCGTCGAAAGTGCTTGAATTGCTAGCAAGCACTTCCGTCACATTATGCCAGAAGGCGGGAGTTAATTCTGCGGAGGGGTCGGTCAACGGCGGCGTCACCAGCGGTCCGTAGGCCTCTTTGACTGAATAATACTTCTCCCATACGGGGCCATCTGTCTGATAGGTGCTGGTAGACATGTTGGTGATATATGTTATCATGTCGAGGATGCCAAAGGTCACAGGATCGACGGTGAAGACCCGAAAGGCAGGGTTGCCGCTGGTTGGCGTCAGCGCTGGAGCGACGTAAGACATGGCGACTGCATTGTCGGCTATTCGAGAGGAATAGTTGCTATACGCAATCTCGAATTCGTCCTTGTGAGTGTGGCCTGACGTCGTGTCAGCTGCAATCGTTTTCGAGATAGATAAATCAGAGCGTCCATACCGTAGAATTGCGCAGCAATGGTAGCTTGGTACCGGTTCACAATTTGATTGAAATAGTTGGACCCGTCATGGAGAGCGTCGCCAGACCCCATAGGCATGTGGCCGATGATATACACGCGCTCGCCTGCATCCTCAGCTGCCTGAAGCTCACCAACCAACCAAGCTAGCTGACCACTAGGATCTCTCTCCATGGTAGCTTCGTATAGCCAAAAATTCTCCTTATAGTACATATTCGTGTTGATGGAGATGATTCGCAGGTTGCCATTTGGATACCGCACCGAGTACGCTCCCGAGTTCGTGTCCGCTCTTGCAGCATCTGTCGAGCCAATCCAGGTGCTCCAGAGGTTTGACAAAGTATCATATACCCATTGACTGCTCATTGTCGTGCTCACCGCAGAGGGAGGGAAACTGTTCACGGGATTGGAATCGTGGTTACCAACCGCTCCATACACCGACTGATTCCGCAACATGGACTGCATCTTGCTATAAGCATTGTTGAGATCGTTGGTCACTTCTGTCTCGGTTGTCATCCATACTGCACCTTCGACTACGTCTCCGGTGAATAGTGTGAATGCGGCATCAGGAACTATGTCCGTGATCGCGTTGTACAGACTTTCCTCGAGGCTGGGGGGCGAGTCACATTCATGGTTGCCATATGGCCCTGCCGGATAAGATGTGTTTCCGGGAGCATCTGCCGCTGTATACGAACGGCAGCAAATATTCTTGGTGCAGTTCCAGTTGGCCCCGGTCTCGTAGAACCGATCAACGTGAATATCACTGATCTGGACGATCTGAAGAGGAGTCTCGCCGCTCACAGATGGTCGAACGACTGTACTGTTTTCGACTGGGAAGGGCACCTGGTACTCGGTAACTTCAGGATAATCGCATAGTCCGAATACGGTGCTGCAGAACAATTGTGCTGTCTTTGTGCCGACTGTCAAAGAGCGCAGATCATGTGCCAGGATGGGACCTTCACGGGAGATTGCACCAGAGCAGACGTCAGAATCTTCTAACTAGAAGAAGTCAGCTCCCATTCTCTCTCCTGAAGCAGCATAATAAAGTACCTGCAGACCGACACAGACATCGGTGATCGCGCCAACAAAAGCATCGTTGCCTAGGTGCGCAAGGCCTTGGAGGAGGACGAGGAGGGACTATATTATGGTCAGCACCAGTTAACTGCAGTTAGTTACTAGGTTCAGCTTACTTCACATGCCGTGCAGTCTACTGCATCCTCAATTGCTGTGATGATATCGTTTGCCGTATCATTGCGAGGGAGGAGAGCCAACCCGGCATTGAGTGGGATGGCAAGCAGGGAGATGAGGACGGCGATGTCCGCAAGAAGAGCATATAACCTCATGTTGCTCTCTTGTTATCGAGGTTATAGTTATCGGCTGGACGATACTGCTCGCGATGGACAACGCTGGCTCCAGCCATCCTCATTCTTTAGAAGAGGCGAACATCTATATTTAAGCGTGTCCTCGGTGTCTATTTAATTTTGCGATGTGATGCGATCGATGGAGCAGGATCGGAGTATGATCCCAATTCTGACAGATCTTCGGCAGGAAGCGGCATTGCTAAAAATAGCCAGTATCCCATTTGTGTCTGCATTGATGTTAACCCCTGGGTCGTTTAAAGATCCCCGTTGTTGTCGAGATGGAGGGGATAGGGGAATCACGTGGTGCTTGTCGATCCCGAGGAGATTTTAGTTAATTAATAACAGAAATCAGATAGTGAGACGCACGTAGTGGGATTGCATCTCTCATAAATCCATAGACACATTTTCATCTTAAGTCGGTATGATGGTTCGCAGATTGAGACGTGGCGGTTCGATTCCGCAATCTGCTGATGATGTTCGAGGAATACTGCAACTTGCAACCGTCTGGGATACTTAATGCCCGTCATGATATGCAGGGAAGGAAAGACCTTAATCAAATCTGATAATTAATCCCAGCAGCCCTAATCTCCGCAATAACAATAGACTAAGGACATTATTCAGGAACAGTTCCTCGCTAGATCAGGGTGAAGCTGCGATCGACAGTTTCTCAACCCTAAAAACACATGGTCGTTCCGCCTTTCCTGACTGGTCGATTCCGTTCTTCATCTGAACAACTGGCCGGTGCCTTGGGTTTTAGACAAAGATCCAGGATGCGACACAGTATTATTATACAAAGCTAAATCACATCCAATGATGACTGCCTTTTACGCCCCCAATTCCTTCCTCCGTCTGCAGTGCAACCCGGCGAAAATGATCTACGATGGATAGTTTACGCTGGTAGCTAGCTAGTATCGCGGGCCGTGGCAGAACTGGGCCAGAACACCAACCAGACCATAGAACCACCGCTTCGAGGAGATATAGCTGAGGATTTAGGTTCCGTGAATCTCATCGGTCATTGGACTAGAAAATCTGATCAGTTTTCATCTAACTCTTCCTGCGGATACTTCTAGGTTGCAGTCATCAGAGCTTAGTTCAGATTGTCATAAAGACATCGTCGTCCTACTATTTCAGATACTCATCTTTGCTGGTTTCCTCATTAGGAGATCATTCAATCCTGCATCTAGAATATAATCACTAACATGAAGTTCTCATATTCTCTTCCTTTGCTTGCCCTGTGGGTATCATCTGCCTCTGCTGCTGCGACCGTTTATCTGATCCGTCATGGCGAGAAGCCATCAAATGGATCTACCGGACTAAGCACTCAAGGAGAACAGCGTGCCCAATGTCTTCGATCTGTCTTCGGAGCCAGTTCGTCCTATAACATCGGATACATCCTGGCGCAGACGCCAAAATCTGGTAATAAGAACCATCCTCGTCAACATAACGCATCCATTCTAACCGTTGTCTGGTATAGATGGAAAGAGAGACCGTCCCTTCGAGACGGTCGAGCCCCTGGCTCAAGATCTCGGCTTGACGGTCGACACGAGCTGCGATCGTGATGATCCAAAATGCGTCAAGAAAGCAGTCGACAACTACACTGGTTCTGGCAATATCCTCATCTGCTGGGAGCACGGTGAGTTGACTGACATTGTTGATAAGCTTGGGGATGACAATGCCCCGACCTATCCGGATGATCGGTAAGAAGGCTCGAAAGTGGAGCGAATTATAATCAATTCAAACGAGACGCTGATTTCGTCTAGCTATGATATCATCTGGACAGACCCGTCGCCATATGATAGTATCACGTCCCAGACGAGCGAGAATTGCCCGGGTTTGGACAGCTAGAAGGTTTCAGATTCAGATCTTCCAGAAAGGCCTTTGAAGTTTATAAGCTAGATTCTTGTTCCTCATTTCGTGAACATTGTTCCCCACACGCATTAGGTGGTATTATTTGAGATTTCCCGCCGGAGATATAAGTAGAGATAAACCGATACAGAAGAGGTTTTTCCTGCCGCTATTAAATCCAGTGAATATAAATCCGGATGGCCATAGTGCCAACACCATGTCTACAACTAGATCTTGAACAACTATACATATTTAGTAAGTTTCCGGGAGCTGAGAGATGATGGAGAAATTCACAAGAAGGAAGCTGGTAGCAATTTTTGAAAGGAGCGAGAACTATTGTTAGCGACATGCATTTACCTAGGTACCTAGGTAGGTAGCGTGTTCCGCATTCCAAATACGGTTAAGACAGCCGGGTCTCCTGCTTGACAACTGTTAGAGAGACAAGCAGACCAACATCAACTAACCTGAGGATCCGTCTAATCATTTATCTGCACTCTCAGTCAATAAGAGATTCGTCGTGCTGTGAAGCAGTTCTCCTCACTCTTGACGACAATTGTCATTTCTGATGGCACTGAATATTGGCCAGATCATCAAGGGGAAATACAAGACATATCGGCTTGTGGATGTTTTGAAGGTTCCTACTGTCTTCAAGGCGCGGGTGCTACCCGATCTAGGCGTCAAGTCGACATCGTATGTCTTCTATCTTTCTCTCTCTACTTTGAAAAAGATACTAATTTATACAAAGCGCGGTCGTAAAAACTGAATTGGGTCCGGAGAAGATTTGCTTGAAACGAGAGCGAGATAACTACCGAATACCTGCCATTACATCATGCAAGTACATCCGAGAGTTATGCGATGTTATAAGCTCAGACAGCAAAGAACTAAGAGCAGAGAAAGCCGACTCGGCCATTAACTCTTTATGCTTGGTGTTTGAATGGATGGATCATGACTTAAGAACAGTGCCTTCCTTTGAGTTCCGGAGTAACTCTGATCTTCCAAAGATTATAAGCAAAGCAGTACTTTCTGCCCTTGCTCTTCTTTCTCAGTTTAATGCAGTTCATACAGGTGTGTCTCATATGTGCAACCCCCCTGTTATCGGCGAATGCTAAGTGAGAAGATATCAATCCCAACAACATTTTTCTTTCCAACATTAGGGGCGCTTCTCCAATAGTGAAGGTAGGAGATTTAGGAAATAGTAAGTACTCTCTTCCAGAATCTGTAGATTTTGCTGACTAGGTCAGTGTTGTCACAGGGTTACAACAAGATCCGCCTTCAGAGCCTTCCTACTCGTGCACCAGAGGTTTGGCGAGGTTTAGGATGCTTTCATTCCTCTGACGTGTGGTCCTTTGGTATTACTGTGGGTTGGTTAAACTCTTCTCTGTAGAAATCTATACTAATTGCGAAGTTGGTACATTGGCTGGCCCAGAGACCTATTTTCGGCGCTAAAGATAAGATTGTCGAAAATCTTACTGAGGCATGGTGCATTGCAAAGATTCGACGTCTTGTTGGACCGTTTGGGCCCCCTGTTAATAAGCCCGATTACGAGGAAGAATTCTTCATTGCGGAATATTTAGAGTCGACGACGTTTAGCCATCCGGACACAGGTGCGGAGACTCCTTTCATAAAGGTAGGCTCTTTGCGCCAAGAGCTCGAGAGGCTGCCAGGGCCTGTGGTATCGCCGGAGTTACTGGACTTTATTGAATACTTACTAGTGGTCGATCATACAAAAAGACCAACAGCTTCAGAGGCATTGCAACACCCGTATTTACGGTCTCTTGATTGAAGTCTTCAGCTACTATGGTATTATAATGCACTGCATTTCTCATGAAGGATAGTCAAAGAAAGAGTATCAGATATATCATTGAGTAAATAGAATAGATTAGTCGTTGTGGTATTGATAGCACATATAGCGAAGGCTTTCATTGCATTAATGTCATCATTCATCCCCTTTCATGCTCTATATGCGTGTCCTTGGAGGTTTGTTGACAAAAAAAAAAAAAAAAAAAAGACTGGTATCGATAAGAAACTTGTGGGTATAGTCATTCGGGAACCGATGCGGAAGCTGTGCCGATATCTGATTATCAAGCAGTCTCAGCATCTCGACTTACATCCAAGAATGGGTTTCAAGCTGATTCAAAAGAGTTAATTTCATCAAAATAGTGGGATCTTTGCCGTGTTGACATAGTCGATGTTGTCCTTGTAGCCCTCCACTCTCGGTCGAGTGGTGCCGAAGAGACGATCCCAGACTCGGGTCTGCTTGCCGTAGTTGTGACTCTTCTTCCACCCTTGGCGATGATGCAGATCGTGGTCTTCGATGACCAATTCGAGATCGAGCATTCTCAAAAGGAAATTGAGCGGGTTGACAGCCGTGGCTTCCATCCGCAGGCCGCTGTGTCCTAGGACCTCCGTAAAGACGACATACTCGCAGGCAAACCACCAGTCGTAAAAGCTAAAGGACATCCCTAGGAGCTTTAAAGTCGCGAATGTCATCATGGGGATTCCAACGATGTCGAAGAACTCTTGCTCGTGGTCGGCGTAGCTCGTCAGGAGAGGGTTTGGATGTTTTGTCAAGTGGTGCGTGCGATGGAATTTCCAGAGGGTCTCGGTGGCATGCATCACACGATGATACCAGTAGAACCAAAAGTCCAGCACGATGGCATAGATGCCGATCTTGAAAGGAAGCGACAACCAGTTGATCGATGAGGGCTCCTGGTTGACATTGTATCCGAAATAGACCATTATTAGTGGACGAAAGAAGATGACGGAGAGCAAAGAGCGACTGGTTCTCCAGACGCCGACATCCGGAACCCCATCGCGCTCATGCTTGTCTCCGTCAAAAAACCCATATGTATGGGCCACACGTCGAAGAACATGTATCTCATGGACCGCGTTTGCCGTTAACGAGAAGTGATAGAGGAGCCAGACAGCCCATGGAGGTAGGTTCTGGTGAGTGTAACTGATGTAGGCCTGCTGCAGAACTACCGGGAGAGCGGCATGAAGAAGAACCCAGATATGAAACTGGGCTTCGGGGGCGTAAGGGACCTTTTCAGTCTTTTGATGCACCGGGATTTTCTTGTCCAGCTCGACGTGGTGGACATTGAGGACTTCGATCAGCCAGTGCCAGGGACCCCATTTGCTATGATCCCACCTGCGCCAGGTGGATGTCATAGAGTCCTTCGGGTTGCGCATAGGAACAGCCATTGTAGCAGGAAACGACAATGATCGCTGATACTATCGAGGTTTCTACTACAACAACAGTGGCGGAAGAAATGGCTAGTTAATTTAATAGTTTATCGTTCGAGAACCATGTGCTGGTCAAACCCCGCCTCTCACATGTTTGGCGCCCTCAGATCATTGCCAATTATGACAGCACAGGATCCGGATACTCTGAACTACTGTCAACCTAGAATAGTAATTAGTTCAATGTCACAGTTGGCTAAACTCCAGTCCAAAAGAAGCCAACTGAGATACGCTCTTGAGAGTCGCTGACAAGATATGCCACCTTCAGCAATGAAGGATCCGTTAGAATCAACGCCTTCTTTTGGACGTAGGGGCTCTCATCGCCATCTGAAAATATTGCTGCCTTCAAGTTATAACCGGCACTCCCAGATAACAGGAAACTAGTAGAACTAACTCGCCACCAGAATGAGTCTGATTGCAACACCTGAACCCGATGATCCAGCGCCGGTATCTTGTTACTAACCAGACTCCTGGGTGGATTTCAAATGATTCTGGGGAAAAGCTGGGGGAATCCCATGCTCTCGGGTACTCCGCGAAATATACACCTCGGTAGCCCACAATGGACGGTGAAAGTCTGCCTTCGATCTTTAACGTCATCGGATGCTAAGTACTTTCCTACCCGCCTTTTCTCAGTCCAAGTAGATTGCCACCAGAGTCTCGATTCTGCGGACTACTCCACAGTTTAATATTATTAGGTAGTTAACTGATAGAGGGATCTCTGGATCTTGGAGCACCTCACGACAACAACCCATCCTAATCCGGTTAGACTAGACTAGCTACCGCGCCTCCTCGCAGGAAGAGAAAGCCGTGATGATTGGTCTGGCATCGCATGTACCAGACGACATCTAATTACTCTACCATAGATTCTCTTGGGCTGCTGATTTCTAGAGACTGACTTCGATGCTCGAAATTCTCTTCCCCATCTTTCTCCTCGCCATCCCCCCTCTATATCTCATCTACAAACCACCCGGTCTCCTAATCAGCCATTTCCAGCGTCGCTGGCCGGATGTCCTATGGCGCGTCCCGACATCCGAAAAGGTCGTGGCGCTGACTATTGACGACGCGCCATCTGAATATACAGATGAGATTCTACAGATTCTCAAAACTCATCATGCGAAAGCAACCTTCTTCGTGATCGGGTGTCAGATCGCGGGTCGAGAAGAATCGCTTATTGATCTCGTCCGCCATGGGAACGAGCTTGGTAATCATGCTATGTATGATGAGCCATCGCGGAACCTGAGAGACGAGGTGCTAGAAGACCAGATCCGTACTGTCCAGGGTATGATTCAGGGTATTTATGAGACTGCCGGTATTCTCCAGAGACCGCAGAAGTACTTCCGTCCGGGTTCGGGGTTTTTCAGTACGAGGATGCGAGAGCTTTTGAAGACGTTGGGATTTCGTCTTGTATTAGGAGACGTGTACCCGCATGATCCTCAGGTGCAGTTTTGGAGACTGAATGCTGCGCATATCTTGAGTATGGTTCGTCCGGGGAGTGTTATTGTCTGCCATGATAGGAGGGCTTGGACGGCGCCTATGTTGAGAAAGGTCTTGGAGGAGTTGGGACAGAGAGGGTATAGAGTTGTTACGGTGACGGAACTGTTAGATATAGTGAATTAGCACTCTACTGCGTGCTTTGAATAGAGCCAAAAAGTACAGACATGCTTTGCTATCAAAAAGAGATTCTTGAGTCAAAAGTTGCCATTCTAGAGAATCTCTGGAAAGTCCAGTACTTGTAACAGAGAACACAGGGATGGCATCGCAGACCGAATATGCTTCCCAGGGCATCGCTGGCAGCCAGTCTGACATTATGGAAGGCTCCATTATACAGTGGATGTGTGCTAGGCAGTTGCAGGTGAGTAAAGGCTATTGCCATCCTGTTAGGGGGGCAAGAGAGAAAGAAGAATAACAAGGCTAGTATCTATGACTATAAACGCAACCCATTCATGGGAGCCCACCGCCATCATACGCAAACAACAACAGGTAGCAGTGAATGTAATTGATTGTTGACTAGACTTTAGAGCTATTAGGTCACTGTTATCTTCTTCTAAACTATCTCCCCAACAACCTCCAGACACAGATCTCTCTCTCTCTCTCTTTCACTTCTGTTGAACACACATATCTAACGCGTTCAACACTAGAAGAACGCGTCGCGCTCTTTATCTTCACAGTAATCAGGACAACACCAGTCTGAGTTCACAAGTCGCTCCTTTTGGCAGTTTGTTCTAAGTTGCCCATTCACCGTTGAGAGTATTCACGGCCTTGGTAGAACCATGGCCCTTTTACCTCCTATTGACTTCAATGACCCAAGGTGAGTCCAGCTTAAAGCTTATACAAGCAGACAGCATCTTGGAGGAATCTTCAGAAAGAACACAACTCCCTCAACTTCCTTGTGGTCCTCTATCATACATTCAAAGAACTACAACTGCTACTACTCATATCATAACACTGACGCAACTCAGTCTCCCTACTCTTAAAGGAAGGAAATCTAGAAAAGATCGCGCTGATCGTCCTCATCGTGGTCGCCACAGGTAACTCCTCATGGCCTATGCTGAGAATAGGTGCTGACGGAGTCTTAGAATGAAGCGTAACGCTAGCAATGTTGATCTTCTCCCCCGGGATATAGCTACAGTCACCAGAAAAAGAGACACTAGCCCGCATGACGATACTCGACTCTCCCTTGCCAAGTACAGACTTGCAAAGGCACAGGCGCTTGACCAGCCCTTCGAGTACAATGAAACTCCGGAATCGAAGAAGCATCGTCCGCCCCCATTGAAAATCATGGTAAGAAGCTTGAAAGGATAACAACTGAAACAGAAAACATGTAATGACACTTAGCTAGGGCCCGCCTAGCACACCGCCGCTGGAAAACGAAGGAAATACGCCCGCGCTTTCGGGAGACGCTATTGCGTGTATCCTTGAGAAAACCAAGCCGGATTGTCCCAAGGCACAGGCCTGGATCAAGGCGCACGAGGTGTCTAAAAAGGTGACTGAAAAGGCAAAGACCCTTGGACATATCCCTCGTGATATGCACAATGACTGCTCTCGAGTTGAGACTCCCTCCCAGCCAGACGGGAAAGGAGATGAACATGCGTCGGACTTTGAGAAAGTTGTGAAGGCCCACGAGAGGCTTCAGAGAGTCATGTTTGGATAAACCACATGCGATGTGGACAGGAAATAAGACTGGACTGGCAGATGTGGTATGAGGTTGATTCTAGAACTTAGGATCCGGAGCTTGGAAGCCCTTGTGTCCATGATTTGAGATTTGACAACCGTCCTCGTAGGACGAAGCGACGACTGATGACTGACGAACGATGATTTGGCTGTGCCACAAGATGATTTTACCGAGATGATTCCTCCTATTAGTTTGAGTTAAGAAATGTGAATCTCCAGTCTCATTCATGTCTTTTTTGCTTTGCTACCAGCGCGTACTTTGGCAGGTGTTTCTATTTTATCGACCAAAGGTCTGTAAGGGGCTGCCAGCACATGCTCTGGAGCTCTTTGTACGGGCTCTTCTCGTCTAGGTTCTCCCGGAGATGGACGGCGCTGCTGCTCTTCGTGGAGTTTGTCGAGTGGTTCCCCGACGATCTGGTACTTGGCCCAGTTGATCGGAGGCATACGGACCACATTTTGTGGCGGAGGGATCTTTCCAAAGTTGGATCTTTTCTTGTCACTTTGATCTTTTGCTGCTTCTGATGTCTCATTACCATCATCGTCATCATCCGTGAAACTGATGATGCTCTCTGATGGTCCCTTGGATACTAGATTACCAGCTGCGAGCTCTCTCGCGAAGCCTTCCGGATCCGCCCCAGCCGCTCTCTTTATCTGTTCCAGCGCACGGATGTCTCGAACACTTTGCTGTTTCTGCAGTTGAAGGACCGTGAGAGCTGACCGCAGTGCAATAGCATCCGGGTTCTCACTCTCTGATATAGGCACAGGCGCCGGCTCTGGCACAAACGTAGGTGGGCGGGATGAAGAGGCTGCGCCACCCCCGTAGCCAGGCGGGATATCCTGATTAAAACTGAACCTCGTATTCGTGGGCGAAATTGCATTATCAGGAGGAACAATCGATGCTGAACCTTGAACAGGCGCGATATGCGCGAGAACCGGTGTGACGGGGGAGTATGGCGGGCGGGGTGGAGTGCCTGGCCGATCACTTCTCTGGTTCTGCTGTGATGGCTCCATCTCGTATAGTTAGCACGCTCACAATGAGCTTGTCGCGATGGTATCTGATTGTTTCATGTGTTTTTGATCTGAAGATCTGGATGGATGCAAGGTCAGGAGGAGTTCCAGAACTGCGAGGGCGAAACGCGGAGATCGGATCGGCAGGGCAGAACTCAGGGACCGTCTCCAGGCAGAACTTAGAAGTTATGGAGGATGACGACGGCGAGAGACCGTCGTCAGGTATAAAAATAGCCACTCCGTATTCTCGTAGTTCATACTAGCAGTTGCACATAATCCAGAGCTTGATCTTCCAGCTCACGCCACCAGTCAAGAGTCACAGTTTCCCGCCCGACTGCAGAATCCCTCACCGCCCGGTCCGTCCGAAAAAAGTTTCCAAGGCCGATCACTGTCAGGTATCTGCTGGTTAATCGTCCACCTCACCAGCAGTCATGAAGCGCAAGACAGAGACGAGAGAATCCCTGGATGCCAATACCCAGCCGGAAAAGAAACGGGCCCTCTCCAACGAGACAGTGAAGGCGCGGTTTCGCGATGGCCTGTTCGACCCAGCGGAATTGGAGAAGTACACTAAGAGCTATGCGGAGTCTGCACCGTACGTGATCGAAAGTCCAATCGCTGTCGTATTGAACGGATTGTATTGCATTGGATGTCTAACACTCTTTGCTATTTTCCAGGTATAAGCATGGTGTCATCTGTCCCCTGATCGAGCCGACTCTGCTCCGCGGCGTCCGCGACGAAATCCAAGAGCACCTCTCGTTCACGGAGAAGGAAACGGATATTTACAAGATCTTCCAGTCGGGAGATCTGGCAAACCTCGATGGCCTGGATGATGGCTCGCTCTCCCGGCTGCCGTCGCTGCTGAAGCTGCGCGATTCTCTCTACTCGCAGCAGTTCCGCGAGTATCTCTCGTCGGTGACGGGATCAGGAAAGCTGAGCGGTCGCAAAACGGACATGGCCATCAACGTCTACACTGAAGGCTGCCATCTGCTCTGCCACGACGACGTCATTGGTAGCCGACGTGTCAGCTACATTCTGTACTTGACGGACCCCGACAAGCCCTGGCGTGCGGAGTGGGGAGGTGCGCTCCGTCTATATCCCACTACGGATGTTAAAGATGAAGATGGCGAGGACCTCAAGATCCCCAGCCCAGATTACAGCCTTTCAATCCCACCGGCCTTCAACCAACTCAGTTTCTTCACTGTCCAGCCGGGTGAGAGTTTCCATGATGTCGAAGAAGTCTACCACCCGTCAGAGGGAGCAGACAAAGGGGAGAAGAGAGTGCGAATGGCCATCAGTGGGTGGTTCCACATCCCGCAGGAAGGCGAGGATGGATACGAGGAGGGCCTCGAGGAAAAGCTGGCCGAGCGGAGCAGTCTTCAGCAGCTGCAGGGTCGAGGAGATTCTCACGACCTGCCTCAGGCCAAGCCGGTCGCGTACGAGGATGCGCTGGCGGCTGAAGAAGCCTCGAAAGGGAAAGGAAAGGGAAAGCAGGCCGTTGCGGAAGAAGATGAGACAGAACTTACCGAGACCGATCTTGACTTCCTCCTCAAATACCTCGCTCCGTCCTATCTCACTCCCGATATCGCTGAAGAACTCTCCGAGACATTCTCTAATGAGTCGTCTCTTAGTCTGGAGCGCATCCTCTCTGACAAGTTCGCCGCGCGGGTGCGCTCATACATTGAAGAGCAGGAGAAGCAGTCGCTGCCGAAAACTTCCCCCGAGATCGAGTCCACTACCCCGTGGAAGGTCGCTCGTCCTCCACACAAGCACCGATATCTTTTCCAGCAACCAGGGGAGGCGACAGAAGCCGAGAAGTCCCCTATTCAAGAGCTGCTGAATGATCTCCTTCCATCTAAGGCCTTCCGCAAATGGCTATCGCTTGTCACCGGTCTGGATCAGCTTACTAGCTACAATCTTCTTGCCCGTCGTTTCCGCCGTGGGGAGGACTATACCCTAGCTAGCGGATATGATGGTGAAGCCCCTCGTCTGGAATTTACCCTCGGTCTCACCCCGACTCCTGGATGGGAGAAGGAGAATGCTGAGGACGATGAGGACGAGGACGAGGACCAGGATGGAGAGGCCAAAAAGAACGGCTCCAAGGAGTCCAAGGAGTCCAAGGATGGAGAAGCACCAAGTGAGGATGGTCCCGCTGTGGGTGGTTATGAGATCTACATGGCCGGAGAAGACGATGAAGAAGAAGAGGATGCAGAGGGCGAGGAAAATGCCGACCAAGTCCTGAAGCCCAAGAGGAAGCTGGATCCGGCCATCTACAGAGCTGGGGACGATGATGATGACGGTATTCTCTTCAGCATGGCCGCCGGGTGGAACAGGATGAGCATCGTCCTCCGTGATAGCGGTACACTCAGGTTCGTCAAGTACGTCAGTGCCGCGGCGAAGGGTGACCGCTGGGACATTACTGGTGAGATTGGTGTTATCTTTGAGGAAGACGATGAGGAAGAGGACGATGAGTAAGGTCTGATGGAGTGGACCTCCACTCAAGACGTAAAAAAAGGAAAAAAGTATCTGTGAATAACGATTTGGGAATATATAGAACCGGCGTCTGGTAGCCGGATTGTCAATACGGAGTATTTATGCTGTTTACACGAATTTAATCTTTCCTCAATGTTTCGCAGCCCATTAGTCCTTCCCGAATACTTCTGCGTATCTAATCGGTCCGAAGATAGCACGGATCATCCAACTCTTAAGTCCTCTTTTATAAACACAGATGATAGATCCCAGTTGGACCGTCAAGCCGCAATCTGATATGCCCTTAGATCCTAGCAAGTTCAGCCTCGCGGTGTGCAGGGATTAAGTACGAAGTTCGCATCTAGACCCAGATCCGATTGGCACTGCACACCGAACGCAGTAAGCTCTGACTAACACATCCATCGCGGCAGGATAAATACGAACTGAAGTAGCAAGCAAGCACTAAACACAATCTATAGTGTTGCAGTAATATAAAAATGAACATGAGATATCTATATTCTCTAGTTTGTGGTCTTCTTTCCCCCTTGGTAGGAATTTGAAACTAGCCTTAGGTACTTACTTATCGAGACTTAACATTACCGCCACCAGCAGTTATCCGTCTATGTGTAACCCAGCCTTCAACCGCGTTAACCCTTGCCCTTGTCCATGTGGCATGCTCAAAGTTCTATGGTATATCTACCCCTCCCTCAACCCCGGGCTGGGGAAATAATGAATCCCCCCTTTCATTTATAGCCGGAGCCACGCGGAATCCCAGGGATCTGGACAACTCAGAAAGTACTTACCATGAGTTTGATTGGGTCGAACCCTGCTGGGCTTGAACGTGGTTTTCTTTATTGATCATCGATTTGCATACGAGAGTGCAGCTGATCTCGAGGTAGAGTAGGTGCTCAGCGAACACATGTTTTTGAGTGTCTGCTTGGGTGGCTTCTTTTCATGCGCTTGGATGACTAGAGTAAGTTACTACAAACTATGTACGTAGGAGTTACTCATCTGCTCGTCGGGTTTGCGCTGGATCGGTATTAATAGAGTGAATTAACTAATATCTCCCAAATACAGTACGAAGGAATTCCACCGAAAAGCCGGAGATTTCCCTCGGTTCCGCATCAGATCAGGTGCCACGGGGCATGATCCTAGATAGGCTGTTTTCTCATGCGATGACTTTCTGATTGATTCGACTCCACTGTAATAGTTCGTTGTCAAATGTGATTTCCTATACGTAGTATAGAGTCTGCAAATGCCATGTGGTCGGGGTATGTATGTACCTATGTATGTACTATCTATTCTTTCTGCCTTAGTGTGCAGTAGTTACTTACTTATGTGGTGGTCAATTTAGACAGGAGGAGGGGGCACGGGTGAGTTGCCCAAATCTCCGCAAGGAGTTATTTTGGGTGGGATTTCCAAAATTCCGTGATCAAGCCACAGCGGTTAAGTTAGAACTTAAGTAGAAGTACATACATAATCTAATAATACTAATAATAATATGCCGAGGAAAGAAGGAAAGGTATGAGATCTCTGTGGGGTTGATCTATGACGCGCGCGATAGCGGATGTGACAGGTCGCTTGTTTTGACCCTTTGTATGTATGTACTGTACAGCTCGAAGCCGCCTCGAGTATGTATGTATGTATGTAATCGATGATGCCTAGACATCTTCTATGTAACTATATGCGCTTCCGCGCAGAAGATATCTACAACGTAAGGTAGGACCAGTTTAATCATGATTGATAGCTTTTTTTTTTCCAAACAAATGTTATTCCGTTCTTTGTGTCTGTGGAACTGTGGGTTTCAGCCATTTGATTGCCAAGACGTGTGGCAGTACTTTGCTCCTTGTTTGATCGCGTGGTGCTCGTGAAACGAGTCAGAAAGACCAAAGGGACGCCTGTCGTGCTAGGATAAGGGACAGTTATCCCCACAGGCGTAGAATTCCTTGGGAAGGATAGATAGTATTAGTATCTGGCTGAAGCCGGAAGCAGGGGGTGAAGAATAAGCATTTTGACACGTAACTATTATTATTATTGCGGCGCCTGACAAGTTGATATACTTGATAACTAACTAGGTACATAGTTAGATAACTAGTTACGGTGTACTCCGTAGATAAATCGTAGTTACTTCGTAGACCAGTAGTATTTCCGCTCAGCCGGCTGTCATGTCCATGCTCTCGGAGGTTGCACAACACGAACTGTGCACGGGCAAATTGGCCTGGGAGGTGCCAGCATCATCCATGGAATTCCTCAATACTAGGGTTACACGTCACGACCGGAGAATGGGTGTCAAGGCCTAGTGTTGTCGCTACGATCTGCAACGGCCGCGGCGCCGGGTCGAAGTCCGGACTCTGGAACTCCACAAGACAACCACGTAATAATAAGTTACCGATCATTATTATTTACCAGTTGGCTCGAGTAGATACTTCGTAACTAATAGATGCGAATATCATTCCCGTCAATAGTTGCTGGGAGAAACGGTCTCTCTGCACGCACGGCCACTTTATTGATCCTGGCGGTGGGGTTAGATGCCGTCTAAGATTGTCGATGATAAACGTTGTTTTTGCCATTGGCATGATATCATACGTGGCTGATCAAGATCTACCATAGTCTAGAGTAGATTATGTCTATGTATCATTGTATGAAGCGACGTCAATAACTTATTCGAGGCCCTGCCAAGTAGCTTTCAATCGACGAACTCATGATAACTATTGTGGGAATAAATGGACACTGATAACGAATAATTTGGAGACTCTTTTGTCACTTCTACGCTAGTTATCATGGGTATTATTGATCCCAGCCGTAGCGTTGATTTTGCTATCTGTCCAAACTGATGCATGCTCGGGCCCTCGACAGGCATATCCAGTGGCGCCAGGCAAAGGACCACTGGGTGACTGGGGTGATATGTCGCAAATCTGCTCTGTGCCCACATTCCTCATTATCTATGGAGTAGTAGTTAGATAGTCTCCGTCTATCAGCATTAATAGGTCAGGTGTCAAACGGCACTGTTCTCGTAGAGTCCGGAGAACGGAGTATACTCCAGAGTATTGTACGACCTTGCTTAATTTCGGTATGAGTTGCTCTTCCTCAATTGGCGGGTAGTTTGAGCGTAAATGGACCGCCCGCACTGGGAATATGTGTTGACCAATAAATCCGACTATACAACCAGTAGTGAGCGATGATCGTCACGCTAGACCATGTGTCAGGACTCAGGACTCAGGAAAAGTCCAATCCCAGGACACAGGTCACCTCACCTCGTCGGTCATGTGATTCTCACCTCGCACGGACCCTTTTAGAGCCCACCTCACCTCGTTAAATTCTAATCCCACCTCGTCCCCTAGTTATCCTCTCCGGGGGGAGACTATAGTTAAAGGTCTTACCTAGGAAGGGGGTCGCTCCGGGTCCCCAGCTTATATTGGTCGGTGAGCTTGTATCCTATAATCCCAAATATCCTTCCCGGGCTTTAACACCCGCCCGGTGAGATCTTTACCGGGAATAAAACCCCTTTTAACTATTATACTTACCCGGAGCGAAGGGGATTGCTCCGGGTAAGACATTTAACTATACTTAACAGGAATGACCCCCGGGAACGGCACAGTGGCTAGTCATGTGACCTTACCTGGGAGGGATTATTATAACGAGGTGAGGTGGGCTTACAAGGCTTGGCGCTTTTTTAGTCCGTGCGAGGTGAGGATCACATGACTGACGAGGTGAGCTGACATGTAGTCACAGTCCAATCCTCCGTAGCTGCACCCAATTTTGGGGTTCATGGTGGGCCGGTTCACTCACTGACATCCGCAACCGGACACGCATCGAGGATCGAGGTTCTCCCTTGTCTCTTCCGCGGGAAAAATGGTGGCAGCAAACTGGGTCAGAACTTGAGTAGTACTGACATTTTCCGGAGAAAACTAATCGTTCATTCGGTAAATAATACACGCAATACAATACAATTTACATTGTAACCCTGGTGGGCTATGGTCCCCAGCGAAGGGATGACACAGTTACCATGCAAACCCGCCATGCGCCTGTTCCCGGCTAGGGAGGATACTTGCTGTTGGAAGCAAGGAGCACAGGGATGCTCAGAGGTCGAAGATCCTTGGAGATGATCTCTGAGAAGCGCCACGTGAAGTAGGTCACATCCAGATCCTGCATGCTAGACACTCCGCGTGTTGTCGGCCCTGGGGCCGTCCGTTTCGCCACGGCTTCCAAGTTCCGACACAGACCGGGGGAGTAAAAAAGGCCTCCAAGGCCAGGGTGCCTGGCTGTGACACGCTGCGATCTGAAGACGGAGGCAAGACCGCTGTTCCGGGAGAGGCCAGGCGGTTAAGTTAGGATCGATCGTCGCGGCCCCAACGTTGTCGTTTGGGTAAGATCCTCCAAATGCCGAAATTCTTCAGCACGGGGTCCGAGGAACCTGGTTGGTATCCGCGCGAAGAGAGACGAACGAGACGATATCATTTGCAGCCCTGCCGGATTAACATTTAGAGAAGCTCCACTTCCCTCTTTCGCACATGGAGTCCATGTTGATGTGAAGGTCCATGTTGCTCTCCCGGATCCTGGCGACTTCGCCGCCGAGCCATGCTGACCCCATATGGACGAGCATGGGCTAGTTTCGCGCCTGTGGTCGTCCGCCATTCGCGCACGATTTCTTCCCTCTTCTTTTCAGAGACATCAAGCTAGGAATTCAGCGCCAGATCGACATCACGCTTGCCTAACCAGGTTATCTACACTGCCCCGTGAAGGCAGGTCGGTGTTCTCTGCATGCTGCACCGTGCAGATAGCTGTCTTCCGTCCGGACACAGGCAGCCGGCGCCCCTCTCTTGCTGATCCATTAGAACGCTAGATAATCATCGCGTGCTCAGAGTAGCCCACTGTTTAAAGCAGCTGGCCACGCATTGGGGCTGGACAAGAAAAAGAACAGCTGTCGGGGACCATGACTATCGTCTAAAGACTCTAGTCTGCTTAGTCCGTAGTAGTATCCCAGACTGCCAGTTGTCAGCCGGAGTTCGTAGGGAAGAAAAAAGAAATTTAAATTATTTACCAGCATTAGCCCAGAAGTCTGACAGGGAGACCCAAAAAAAGTCAGTTCAAGCCTCAAGGTTACCCCCAGACACGACCTCGTGGTTTTACGAGGCCGGGCGGATTTGCGCGCAGTAGTGCACATCAACCCGTTGCTTGGCCGCGGTCCCGTCATCTGGGATCCCTTCTGAGCCGTGCTGAGGATCTCTTCTCCCTGAGCAGGAGAGGATCGGTGGGCAAAGATGATAATAGGCAACGAGGCTGAACAGAGAGAACAGTATTCACAGTAGAGATGTAGCACCCATCCGATAATTATAACGAAGCCCTGGATGTCACTAGATAGCTGGAATTGTGGCTCAGGTATATCCACTGTACAATACTGTACACGACTTGTGGACGCGGATTGTATGGAGTGAGTGCTGTGCGTCCTTGGGAAGTAGTAGTAGTTGTTGTTGCTGAGAGGGCGGTCGCCGCCTCCGGTCTCACCAAGTAGTCCACGACTATCCATTCCCCCTCGTACTCCTGCTTTGACTCCCTCTTTTCTTTCTATCTCTCTCTCGTCGGACTTTAATTAATTACTGCCATGCTTCAGACTTCTGCTTAGGGGCACCGCTGTCGCACCTAGCCTGAACGTTATTCTATCGTAGCTCCCGCTAGACTCCCACGCGCCCTTGGCCCGTCCGTTTCGCTCAGCTCCTCAACCCCGTCCCTTCAGACCACCAGATCCTACGTTCTCCCCTGGCCTTGCACTCTGCGACTTGCCTCTGTTCGACAGTCCTGCCCCGACTCAGGTCTATCAGTGCACATTCCCAACGGACGCTACTACTGGGCCCGGGCTCTCTCAATTGCGATTCTTCCTGCGACCGGCTGTACTGAAGCTGGCTCGCGTCCATCATCGCGGATAGGTACTTCCCCCTCTATCATCTGTCCCGCAGGAGATCAAGTTGGACAATGTCTTGACTCTCGCTTCAAGTCTTTGGACCTTCCGCCGTCTGCAGATCGCATACTGACATGCAGGATTAGGTCCTTGCCCTGCACTGCGAGCTGCCTTGACCGCACCCTCGGACACTATCACGCCTAATCTTTTCCGTCTTCAGGGAGCGTTATACAGTCGACAAGATTCCCCGCCCTCATCGCATTCTCAGGCTCTAGTCCTGCTGCGTACCGGCAAATCGAGTGCCCTCCGGATCTGACACTGTTCCGGTTTGGCTTTCGCTACCTAGTTCTTGGTAACATTTGGACCTTGGCCCTTGCCTTGTTTTTGACGTCTGGATATAAGAACCGTCCTGGACTTGGGATTCAGTCTGAGATAGTCGCGCCAGGGATAGTGCAATCAGTGGATGAGCGCAAGATATTGCGAAAGAGTCCGTTTCAACTATTGCAGGTCCGGAAACATGAGATAGCGCGAACTCTGGGGTAGCACTCTCTACAGCGCATTTCTGGAACAGCTTCCCCAATATCTCCCTAAAACTTGATCATCAATGGAATCCTCAGTGGGCCGTCGTCCGTGGGAGGACACGAAAATGGGCCCTCAAACCCCTCCTGTCCCGTCCTCACAGACCCTTCCTTCGATCTCCACGCTTACGGCGAGTATGAACACGGGTCCTCCGCCTGCGTGTGAGAGATCTCCGGGGAACTCCTCAATGAACACAGTGGAGCGTGATTCTGGGAATTGGTCGATGCCGCAGAGTACTAGTAGGTGACCAGCTATATCATCAGTTATGACACAGATGGCTAATTTCGCAGGGTCTTCAACATATTCTAATACTACGAATGGAACGAACAATTATCATTCATTGTCATTCCTCACCTCATCACAACCTTCGCCTAACCGTCTATCCGGCGTCTCTGACCGATCTCCATTTTCCAATGAGCAATCAAACACCCCTTCTTCCGGCGCCGCGCACCCATCCCCGGGCTACAACTCAACACAGCAAACCTCAACGTTACCCTCCATCAATCAGAACTTCGAGGCTCCTTCTCATCGTGGCAGCATTGCAGACATATCGGATTCACGACGGAGTAGCGTGGATAGTCGGATGAACCAGGGCATCAGCTCCTTAGCCATCAACCCCGCTTCGCCTTACCACAGTACAAATGCTTCGCAATCATCCATTGTATCCGGTCTTCAACGGGAGCGCGGTATTCCACCTGACAAGAATGGTGCCTATCGGGGTCCCCGGTACTCCGGCGGGCAACCACTTTCTCCGCTAGGACCCCGAGAGCACCGCAGCTTCACAGCTGGCCGTACTGCACCTGCGATCTCTTCTAACCCGCGTTCAGAGATCTACAATGCCGAAGCTCCTACAGCGGGTCTAGCTTACGCTTTTCCAGATCCCGATGTCGCGCGCTCGAGTACAAGCTCTACGGAGAAATCAACTAGGGCATCTAATCAGTTTTCTCGTAAGGGTAGCACTGCGGAATCCCTTGCCAGTAGTGTATTGACTACCGACTCGCGTCTGCCTCGAGGGCAGCAGGGTATGTCACACTCCTGGCTCTACTCGAGCATGTATCGCTAACATACTACAGAGCTGCCCCAGAACGTACACCACCATACTTTGCAGCACAAGCAGGTGCGAGAATTGATGGGGGATCCCGAGTCGCCTAATAGCAATACCCCGTACAGTCGAACGCCCGAGCTTCGCGTCACCCATAAATTGGCTGAGAGGAAGCGTCGTAGTGAAATGAAGGATTGCTTCGAGATGCTACGAATGCGCCTGCCACAAAGTCAGAACAATAAATCTAGCAAATGGGAAACCTTAACGAGAGGTACGTCATGACACGATGAAATACGGTTTCAGATAGCTGACTGTATATAGCGATTGACTACATTAGCCAACTTGAGAAGACAGTGAACCAAGTCCGCCGCGAGAACAGCGTCCTCAGAACAGAGGTTGACGAGCTTCGGACTCAGCTTAGCCAACAGCAAGCAAATGGCCAGTCCCGGCAGCAGTCTATGTACGACCATCATTCGATTCATGGAGCCCCGCCTCAGACGAACGGGCAGGTCCAGGGCCCCAATATGTTCCCTAATTACGGTGGTCCGAACATGGCACAAGACCAAGCCCGTACATTACCTCCGCTTATGAATGGATCCGTGGCTCCTATGCAAGGGGTACAATATACTGATGAGAGAAGATAGCACGATATTCTCTCATTGACTTTATAGAGGTCTCCTCTAATCGCTGCGGCCACTGCCTGTTTTTCGTCTGCCATCTCAGCCTCATTTTAGTGTACTCCTGCATCAGGATATAATACCTGTTCGGAGTCCTGCTATTGCATTCTTAGCCTCCATTCGATCCGAGCATCATCTTGGGGCTAGTTCAGGATTGTCTCATGTGCGTTCTTTTGCGAGTTCGTGGAATATTTCTCTGCATTGGGGGCGAGGGCCATGTTCCGGGGGGGCAAGATCTTCGGACCGGTCCACCATCTATTTCTCATTTATTTTTTATTTTTCATCTTCATTGGGCTTACCGGGGTTTCTGGGCTGGTCGAGGAGTTTAGTGCTCTCACTGATGTACCAAAAGCGTGATTGGGGTGTATCTGGTGTCCTTTGATATCCTTCTGAATTACCATGCTCTGTCGTGTATATGAAAACTAGCGGTGCCGTAGTAGACGGCGTGCATTTTGCACCTCCAGTTGTTGAAAGTCTCTCAGCATTCTGATTCTGAGACCAAGTATGCTCGCTTGGTAAACGAAATAGCAATATGAACGAATCTCCGTTTAGCAAGTCTGACTTACGGGATTTTCTCTGCTCAGAACATTTTGCTGCTCTCTCATAACGTCGTTTCTATTTACGAGCAGACACCTAGACTAGGATCTGGTGGAGATGTGGCTCGTGGCGATTGATCTATAATTATTCGTGTAGGCGCTGGCTAGTATCAAGTGTCGCCCGTGACTTCGTATGTACATGGTCTGATTGGCGACCCGTTACTCTTCTCTCCAGGAAATCTCCCGTGTCCCTGGCCCCAACAGAACAACCACTGGCCCGGCGCTTAGAGACCAGCAGAGTCTTGCTGTCCACTGGATATACAGGATGGCTTGAAACTATTTCAAACAGGCTTCTAATTGGAGAAGCTGTATGCCTCGGCGCCAAGTGAGGTTATGCGAATGGACAGGTTACGGCATCAATTCTGAGGGACTGGAGAGTGTCTCCAATCAAGAGCCCCATGCCTCTATTCAACGACCTCATCTACCAGGAACGGAGCGACTAATTGGAAGCCAGACCATCACGGGTCGCGAATCGAAATGAGTGGTCATTATCTAGGCAGGCCCGCGACATGGCAGGGTCCTCCATGCGTGCGTCTTGTATGCTTCTGCACCTTTCTTTCATCCGAGCTGCCTGGTTATTGACGCTTTTCATTCACTCAACTGCCTTTCTCACACAAAAACCATTGTCATATTGTCGAAGCATTTCCTTTGTCTGATCGTATTGTTTTGTGGTATTCAATGTCTTCTCAGTCGTCTTGAACATTATAGACTCGCCTTGCTCTCTTTTTTGCCACGCAGCAAATTAATCCTTGTTTCTATATCTAGATGATGATATTCTTTGTATCTTAGAGCTTGCTTTTCCTTTCACTAACATTGCTTCTCCTTCGATAGCATAATACTCGTGCACCGGTACGTCCATCGCTCCCCTCCAAACAAGCACCAGCATCTGACATTGATTAATCCGGTCCTACAGACAGCTCAATGGCTTCCAACGTCCAGATTAACCAGTCTTCTCTCCGACCTCCTGCAGTCCCCAACTTTCCTCTTTCCTCTCCGATAACAGAGGAAGTATCGAGCCTGAGCTGTTCCTCGGGGGACATGGACATGGAAAAAAGTAAAACAATTGAATCTCACGTCCGACGCCATATCGCAGCCTCGCACAATGTCGCAGAGGACATGGGAAATCAAACCGATACGGCTCTGGGGATGTATCTCGATCCTTCCAGTGCCGAACATGTTCGACGCAGGCCTTCCACAGAAAAGCAATATAAATCGAACCGAAGACAGAGTATTCACGGCATTGTTAAGAAGCAGAAACCGACAGGTCTTAGCTTGATCACAGATTTCTCAAGGACAGAGTCCAGCAAACGAAAAGAGGAGCCTCCAGCGCCCTTCGTGGACCTTAATGACTTGAAGTTGCTATCGAAAACTAGGGAGAAACAAAGGTCTGCGAAGAAGATAAAGCACATTTTGCGGAGGGTGCCTCATGCGGGATATCATGAGCTTGAAGGTGGATCTTCTGAACCACAGCCACTCCAGCACCAATTGACCAGCCAAAATGGCACTGGGCAGACAAATTCTGTTCAAGGGCCCCATGGTCTGTCGCCATCGGATAGGCCGATCGTCATTGGGATGCAGTTTCCGTATGATGCCGAAAGAAATAAGGAGGACGGGGTCAACATACTGTTGTCTAAAGAGCCGGAAAGCGCTCAGAGCCAGGCTACGCCAATTACACCATCTATAATAGTCACACCTGCTACTGAGGATCCAGATTGGGTAACTGATACCACCGGACCTCGTCACCCTCGCCCGACATCCAGCATTTACTCGGACCACACGCTACACGCTTCCAGGAGAGAAATTGATATTCCTCCAGTACCTGCGATTCCAGAGCAACATAGAACTGAGAAGCTTACCAAGGAGAACTCTCTAGTGTCGTCTTCGGATCCCACAGTTTCACAGAGCAAACAGCGACCGTTTTCATCCGGAACGGTGTTTGAGGAGGACGAAAGCCCGGGGCCTACTAGCGGTGGACAATCCTTGGCTAGAGACACAATACTCCATCGCTTGAGTATCAACACGGATACAAACAGACACCAGTCGCAAGGATGGTGGACGTATCTACTTTCTCCTCTTCTAAGCAGGTCCAGCACCATGATGACTCGAAAGAGGACTCCCGATACGGAGCGGCCTTCTATGCCATCAGCCTCTGCAGCATCAGTCACTTCTACAAATTCAAGTGAGAAATGGTGGGAGAAAACCAGCTTTTCTCCAGAAACACCGAAGACATCTACCACCAGACAGAGCGCCGTGACGACGTGGTCCAACATTGGGGAACGATCTTTAGCCGAAAAGGATGAAAGCAATGATCCGTTTACCGACTTCAGCCAATGCTTTGCAACGGATTCTTTCTTTGACACCGGCGGTCGAATAGCGGGCTCCGCTGCTGAGTACTACCAAGCTTGCGCAAGTGAACTGCTAAGCAGAACACCATATTTCGAATGTGTCAATCATGTGTGCTCGGTTACTCCCAGAGACCGAGCAGTGGTCGTGGACAGCCCGGAAATTACTGCAGATAGCGATCATGACCATATTGTGGTTAATCCGAATAACCCATTCACCACTGGCAACACAGGATCTAACCGTGAACGCTCGGACTCTGAATCAACGATCATCGAGGAAGGATCTGTTGCTTCACCCAGCGAAAATTCGGCTCGAGTTCGCAGCGTTGAGTCGCCAGTTCGTGGGGTCAGATCTGAAACGTCCCCCGTCGCATCTAGGCGTGAGTCATTTGCGGGGAGATCGAGACCACCAGCACAACCTTCAGAAGCGCCTTTTGAGTCACGAAGCGCGGAGAGTGACCATACAGATGCAGCAAATCCTCCACCATATTCACATTTCGAGACGGGGAGGTCCTTCCCCCGTTACAGGGCGGTCTTCCCACCAGCGCGCCCTGCCCAACCAGAGTCCCCGGATCCAATATCTCCAGGATTTCAAGAGACGATGGTGAGCAGAGGATCGCTGCCGATGGCTGATATAGAACAACCGCGCCAACCTCTGCCAGCATATAATTCGGATACTCGCTCCGTTGGGTTGCCTCCTCGTCCAGGTCTTCCAGTTACGATAGCCGACATGGGCCACCCCAGTACTGCACAGAACGAAGCAGAAACTCGACGAAGGAGACTGGAGAAGGAGGATGCTATTGGTAGGAAAGTCGGAGGTCTCTGGCGCGGTAGGGGTCCCTTTAGCAAGAAAGGCTGTTTTGGAAGACCGGGCCGTGAGGGAAGAGTGAGACGCAGGTGGTACATCGGGCTTGGGGCCATCTTCCTCCTTATAGTTGTCCTCGCGATTGCACTAGCCACGACGCTCACGAGGAAGGGTGACGATACTCCTGTTCAGTCTCAGTGGCTTAATCTAACGGGATATCCGCCGATGCCAACGGGTATCTCCACCATTGCGGGCCCCGAAGCTCATGTGGAGAATACGGGGTGCGTCCATCCATCGACAATGTGGAGCTGTGCGCTCCCCAAAGAGCAACATGCGATGAACAGTCCGTATAGCGCAGACGAACCGAATTTCAGAGTTCAGATCAGGTTCCACAATGGCACCTACGGCAATTCGACTACGGTTGCGTCGAAATCTACACGGACTGCGAAGAGGTCCATTCCGGGCTCAAACGTAGCAGTTCGTTCAGTCTGGAAACGACTGCTTCGACCGAGAGATCTCTTTGCTGAGAATCTCTTCGATCCCTCGCCGGCAGCTCCTAGCATCAAGGATCAGATATTTCTGGGAAATACCACGGATAACAATACGGTCCCTTATGCTGGAGAAGAGACGCCTTTTTTCATCACCATCTTGTCACCGGCTAAAGTTTCAGCGTCACGTCTCACCCGACGGGCGGATGACAACGCCTTTCCGAATCTTACTTCAGTTATTCCAGGTCCTGACATTGCTAGTGACGGGACTGCAGCGGCAGCTAATCTTTATCCGTTACCTGTATCTCAGCCCATCCGCTTATACAACCGCGGTTTGCCAAGTGAGCATTACGGCTTCTATACGTACTTTGATCGATCCATATTTCTGAAATCCACCGCTCCTCTGAATGACAGCGACACTGGAGAAGTTCCTGATGACGAGGACGGTGGATCGACGAAATCTGAGGCCCACGTCCGATGTACGTGGTCACAGACGCGTTTTCTGGTTCAAATCTGGACGCAGCCAGATCGCTCCAGTATGACACTTATTGGAAATTCAAGTACCAAGGCTTCTGCCGCTTCGTCGCGGGCGACGGACTCAGGCGATGCGCAAAACGTGACCAGTTCCTCTGCGGACGATTTCACGCGCCCCGGTTCCTTTCCTTACCCAGTAACCATCACCTTGGATCGCCATGGAGGCAACACCAAGGAGAAGATGGTCTACTGCTATGGCATGGACGATCGGGAACGCATCATCCCAACGGATAAAAAGCTTCAGCTGGAATTTCGCGGGTTTGGAGGGACGTTGATCAATCCAGCTCCGGGGATATTCAATATCACCAATGACAGTGACTCCGATTCTTTGGTGGGCATAGACGGGGGCACAGGAGGCTGCTCGTGCCAGTGGAGGAACTGGATTCAGACCTTGTAGTGTTGAGCGCTACTAGCCATTGGATGTTTTGCTCTTTAGATATGAAGTTGACGGCTGATTGACTCGATTAATGTACGGAACTTGTTGAGGCTAGGAACTCATGTTCACTCATTTTGTCCTTCTAGGATGTATGCATAATCTATATATCTCTCATCATTGGCATGTAACTGCATCAATAAGGCCCTAATGTGCTTGGTGTGCTAGACGGGTCAATCTAAGTAGTTCATGGAACTCAGATAATGTGCGTAGATCAACATTTGTCTCGGCCGTACTATCCTGTACCTATTTCAGGCACCCGTGAATCAGGTAAACTCGTATAGACAACACGAGGACACCGATACATAGTGAAAACTCGGCAGGCTAGAGTGGATTCTCCAGCAAGCTCAGGCTATCCATCCCTATGGTTAGAGCTTTCAAAGACAAAGACATAGAAGAACTCATCCAGGAACTCCATAGGATGGGACTCTTCGGGAGAAAAACATCACACACACATCACGTGTCTTAGTTGACAGCTACGGATTAAAATAGTAATACTAAACCCCTACAGCAGGTCATAATAAACAAAGACACCAAGAGTCCCCAACATTATATATTAAAATTAATAACATGGATATACTAACCCATTGTATCAATATATAGTAGTAAGTAATAATCCAACTCCTCCACTAATTACATGTCTTCCCCCTTTTTTTTTTGCCCCCCTGCCTTCCTCAAATTATGTATTTAGCATTAGAACGAGAATGTCATATGAAAATGAGAGAAATGGCATTTATGCCAGAACCATGAAGGCGCCCCAGACAGCAGATAGGGCGATGGCAGACATGTAACCGAACTCAGGAGAGAGCAGCTTGTTGGCAGGACTGGATAGGGCAGCGCTGGAAGTGGGAGAGACTCCGGAGCTGGAGCCAGAACTAGAGCTTCCAGAGAGAGAGCCAGAGCCACCGATACCACCAGCACCAGAGCTGGTAGAACCAGAGCTGGAAGATCCAGAGGAAGTGCTTCCTGAGCCGGTGCTGGGTCCACTGCCAGAGCCAGAACCAGAGCCACCGCCGATGCCACCAGCACCACCACCAGTGGTAGTTCCATTCTTGGAGCCAGAACCACCACCGATGCCACCGGTGGTAGTTCCATTTTTGGATCCAGAACTGATACCACCGGTACCAGGTCTAGTTGCGTTGTTGGGACGAACATAGCCGGTTGCGAGGACATAAGGAACAGTGGCAGAAGGCTTGTGGCCAGAGCCAGTGAGGATACTAGAGAAGGTCACGTTGGAGTAGCTCGTGGTGTGAGAGCAGCGAGGGCAGTGAGTGTCGGTGACAATCACAGTATCCGTTATAGTTCCAGTTGAACCGGCAGCAGGCGCGTCCGTGGTTGCAGCAGCAGACGTAACAGCGGCGGTAGTAGAAGGTGTCACAATAGGTCCAATGGGCGCGACGGAGTCAGCTCGGGCTGGAACGGCCGCAATGGCCAGAGCAGCGATAGAAGCAGTACGGAAGAACATTTTGGTGTCTTTTTTTCCCTTGTGGTGATGAACGAGACTGTATGTATATGAAGTCTGGGGAACGAGTGGCAAGCCCTGACAGGACGTGTTCAGACTCCGCTTTGGAGATGTGCGTAGCTAATTGCGATTGTTAGTATATGAAATGTTGTATGATATTGTCGAGAGTGCTTCGTGTACTCACCAGTTCCAAAAGAAAGCTGTTCAAGGAGGGATGATGGAAGGAAGATGACCCCCGGGATTCTCAACTAGATACTTATAGATCTCAAGTGGCGACTGCATCCGGATACCATACACTTTCAACCTATCGATTGCGTCTTCTCAGATAAGCTTTCTGCAGCCCCGACTGTCCCATGGATTGAACCCGCTGTGGCTAGATCTCTCCATCGTCCCGGATTCAGCCAACCAAGACGAGTGGCTGAAATGCAGTCATTATTGGCGAAGAATGTTCCGTGAAGAAATAGAAGTCAGTAAGTATGTAGTCACGTGCCGGAGGTTCTGGTCATTGACAATGCTCACATGCCAGGCGGCTCGCATCGTCGTGGCTGCAAACGGTCAGATACTATATCAAGATTGACTAAAACCACGGTTTCGACTGGCAATGTTCAAGTCTAATGCTACCGTCGCCAGAGACCTCACGCCAGGATTCAGTTGTAATTCTGACTGTCGAGTCGCAGAGTATTTTCTAGCGATGTGTACTAAAGCAGTGATACGCAGGACCCCGAGAGTCTGGAGCGTCTATGGAAACCGAGTTCGCCGTACGCAAGCAAGACAACTTGTGAATGAGCGGCTTGATCCCATAACTCCCGCATTAAAAGGAAACAGAGACGATAATCGCGCCGGGTGTTTCTTCGCAGGAAATCCAGTGGCACATGCTATTATTCCTCTACTGCGAGGTGGGATGTTAATTTTAATCCACGAAGAACCTGAATATGCCGATTTCAAGGTGTCTTCTCGAAGACTGCGAGCAAGAGAAGCCGGGCAGCTCTCAGGAATACCACGGTCAGCAGTGCCGATCTCCCCCAGGAACTTCGCGGTCTTTCAACTAGACCAGGATTCTAATTAGAATTCTAAATTCCAAGGCAATTAGTCCACGCAATCAACTGGATTATGTCAAGTCTCCGTTCAGGTACTGATGCAACCCAACGGCCGAAGAAAGCCACTTCTTTCTGCATGCGGAAGGACGGTCACATCACCTTACTGACTGGGAACACCACTGGTTTTTATCCAGTTCCTCCTGTTTTTCGACTCTCGTTCACTGACAGTATAACGTTCCAACCAGTTCTCTCGATCTGTTTCCACTGTATATCTTATGTCGACTTGAGACTTCGTGTGTGTGATCCCGGCGCTACATTCATTGCCACGGGATCTCCTCAACAACCCCATTCACAGTGGTCAGAACATCAATCGACCACGGAAATGACGTGTAGTTGTACTTCAGCCGCTGGTATCTTTCAATGTAACGTATAAATACACCTCGATATGTCACGTCGTGACGGTCATTGTTGTTATGGCGTTTAATTCTGAAGTGACGCTCTCAAGAAGCCACAGGAATAGCGACCTATGTTGTCAACCCCACTAGGCAATCACCGTATCAACTCGCGGTTTAATAATCATAGTATTCCACGAGCTTTTGAGATCGCAGACCCTTGCACTTTTCAATGTGAATCAGAAGGGCCTCCAGGGCGGAGGTCACACCAGGTATCCCCGCAGAACTACATACTGCGGATAACTTTGGCCGTGACAATAATTCGCTATTGAGCCATCCGTCATCAGCAAAGGAGTTTGATTCAAGAAAGACATGAACAACTGTGGCCATCTATAATCGTTCAGATGTTGGGTGTGTTCAGGTTTAACTTCGACGCAATAATAATGTCCGTCGCGGGGCGTAAAGCCGATGCTAACCTAATGAGGGCCTGGACCATCTCGGTCGCCCGCAACATAGTCTAAGCTACGAAACAGCAACTGACTACCTAAACGATTAACTTATGCTCCTCCTAGAACAACAATCAACCGGTTCGCCCTCCCCGCTGATGCCCCAGCTCTCTGGCGGCTATCTCACGGAATGCCGCTCATGCCTCAGAGACCAGAATCGCGGAGTCCATCGTTACTCTCGCCGGGTGACTACGATGACGATGTCTCGTCCCTAAGGTCAGCGTCGGAGCAGGACTCCGACACGGAGGATGATGAATTCTTGCAGGGTTCCCGGACAACGCTCGAACTAGCGGAACATGATCGAAAGGTGTTGGAGGATGAAGAAGAGTTGGAGAAGCTGTTGACAAAGAGAGGGCCGACGCAAGGATTGCGAAGGATATTCAGTCCCGGTGGCAGCAGTGTTAAGATTGGGAAGAAGGAACGGAGACAGCGGAGGAGGGAGATGAAAGCTGCGTATAGAAGGCGCAATGAGAAACCCGATGAGGAGGGAGAACTGATGCATGAGATGGAGGAAGGATATCGGGATGAAAGTTCTGGCCTCAATACACCGTCATCGGATGGCGAGGGTGAACTGCTGGACGGGTTCGAGTACAAGCAGGTATGCCGGGCGCATCAGGTTTAGATATATTCGAATACTGACACTCGTTTGTTCAGTCCAAAGGAGATTTAATTCGGAAATTGCTGCTCGTGTTCTCCGCCATCGCCGTCCTTTTCCTCATTCTCCTTTTAGGAGCGTACAAAGCCTCCAGCAACTTCCGCGTTTCCCACCGTCCCAAACCACTAATTTCTAACGGCACTGCACTTTTTGCTCCAACAACTATCTTGATTTCCCTCGATGGCTTCCGGGCCGATTTCCTCAATCGCGGACTGACACCCACGCTCAACAACTTCATCGCAGAAGGGGTCAGCCCCAAGTACATGCTTCCGAGTTTCCCCAGCGTCACTTTCCCGAATCATTATACACTAGTAACAGGACTCTACCCTGAAAGTCACGGCGTCGTGGGGAATTCATTCTGGGCCCCAGAATTCCAGGAGGAATTTCACACAGAATCCTCCGTCAGTACTCAGTCCAAATGGTGGAACAACGCTGAGCCCCTGTGGGTTACGGCAGAGAAACAGGGCATCCATGCTGCTATCCATATGTGGCCCGGTTCAGAGGCGCATATTCATGATATCGATCCCACTTTTTACGACGTTTATAATGGGTCCGAGACTCTGCCGCGGAAAGTCGACCGAGTGCTGGAATACTTGGATCTCCCTGGAGAGGAAGTCGAGTCCTACGACGGGGATAAGCGCCCCCAGTTTATCGCCGCTTACGTGCCAGATGTAGATGCAGATGGCCATCGATATGGGCCTAATAGCACGGAAATACGGGCAACTATTGCCAAGGCGGATGACATGCTTGCTCGTCTCTTTCAAGGAATTCGAGACCGCAACTTGACCGACATAGTGAACATTGTCGTCGTGTCTGACCATGGCATGGCCACAACTTCAAATGAGCGACTTGTGCAACTTGAGGACTTGATCGATATCAGTTTGGTCGAGCATCTTGATGGATGGCCATCGCGGGGACTGCGCCCCAAACGACCAGAGGACCTGCCTATCCTTCAGGAGCAGCTGGAGAAGGCAAAGGCCGACTACGCTGACAAAGTTGAAATCTACAGTCGCGACACCATGCCCGAGCGCTATCACTTTTCCAATAACGAGCGCATTGCGCCCCTGTGGGTGATCCCCAAGACGGGTTGGGCTGTCGTTGAGCGGCCTGACTTCGACGCAGAGAAAGCGCTCGAGACAGGGGAGGTCTATCGCCCCCGGGGTGTCCACGGATATGACCATGAGCATCCGCTCATGCGAGCTATCTTCATCGCGAGGGGACCTGCATTCCCTCATCAGCCCAACAGTCGACTTGAGGTCTTCCGTACGTCATTCAGTATGCCTTTTCTTTGACTTGTGCTAATTGTCAACAGAGAACATAGAAGTGTATAACATCATCTGTAACTCCATTGGAGTCAAGCCGCTGCCAAACAATGGCACCTTGCATCTGCCCTTACAACCGGTGGGATTACACTCAGATGAGGGAGTCCCTGCCATCGAAAGCCCTCCTGATCCACCAGCCAGCGTCTCTGTGAACCCAACCACAGAACTGGCCCCAGTTCCTAGCGTTACATCCTCTGCCGTTGATGCTTCTGCTACTGCGGGTAACCAATCGAGCGAAGTCGACGATGGAGAAAAGCAAGGAGAGGAAAACGAAGAGGGAGATGGTGTAGTCGTTGATGGCGACGATGATCACGATGACACCGCTTCGCAAGACACAACATGGTGGGGAAAGATGATGGACAAGCTGGAGTCTTTCAAAGAATGGGCAAGCGAGTTTATCCAGTCAAAGACCGACAATGAGGCACCTAAATAATATCCTGACAAGTTTGGCTCCGTTTATTTCATTGTTATAATATCAGTCGCAGTACTTGGGACAGCGTGTCGTGATTTTGTTTTCCCTTCTGTGTCAGATCCTATATTGCCCTATATAGATAGTCTTTTTTGCGTATAGTAATATGATACCCTTTTTTCTTCGCAATCCCTCGAGGAAGTTGCGAAGATTCCATTCAGTCTGTCCTACATCATGCCGTCCTTCCTGATGTAAATGTACAGACTAGTCTCGACAGCAGAGCATACAGGTACCATCTTCAACTGAAGATCACATAATACCGGGGCATTTGCTTGCTGTCATGAGCAAAGCGTGAACCCACACTGGTCGTGTCAGAGTGCAATAACGGCACCAAGAGTCCAACCTGATTTAGAGTCCGCTTTAGTTTATCATGACTCTCGTGTTAGCTAAAGGTCAGTATCCACTTCAGTTCGGTGCCTAGAATCGTGCTGGATCATTGCCAATTGCAGTAGAAATCTTGGATTGTATCGAATAGAAACTCCAGCTCCACCACAGATGCTTTCCTTGATCATTGCGCATCGGGCTCAGAAAAAGGAATTTCCTCGAGACTGGTGGGAATGATCTTATTTGATCGCCAGCCCAAGGGTGGCGCGTTGCACCTCAGCCCCCAAACTAGAGCTCTCTAGCATCCATGATTGGTGTCAACGTACAATCACCTGAAGAGGACTGGAGTTCTGCCTTGCTGATTGAGGTGACTCAGTGAATTGTGCGGTATGCATTGAAGCCTAAAAGTGAGCAAGTGTCAGCAACACATTTAAGGATGGGAATTTCCATGCTTCGATCTTTTTAACAGGTCGGCCGTCACACGTCGTGGCCTTCTCGCTGCAGGAATCATCCCCAAGACAATTAAATGTCTTCTCTCCCTCACGCCATGGCTTGCCCGGGGAACGTTTCCTTCAATCAACCGCAAATGTTTCCCGGGGATGCCACCGTTCTGGATGTGCTTATCCCTGGGTATTCTGTGGTTTCAAAGTTCCTGGCGGCTTACTTTCATATCGACCTGTCTTTCTACCTCCCTCTTATTGCCATTTTCGCAGCTACTGTGACCGCTCTACAATACAGTATCTCCCCGTTGGTCAATCTTTTCACCCAGCATTACACATCAACAGCGGAGATTCGACTCAATGACGAGGTCTACAATTATGTGATGGCTTGGATTGCCCGGCAGTCATTCTCAGACAGTACACGCGACTTCGTTGCGGGAACCAAGACAGGGAGTGAGATGGTCTGGACCAGGCACGATGATGATGATGATTCCAATGAAGATGGCATCCTGGAGGACGACGATGTATCTTTTGACTTCGATGAGTACTGGACCCGGAAGATGAGTCGCGACAAGTATAAGCCACTCCGGTTCACACCCGCGGACGGAACCCACTATTTCTGGTACAAAGGTCGCCCTTTGGCGTTCAGGAGACAGAAAGATGAGAATAACGGTGTGAGATGGGTTGCCAATGCTGAGAAATTATACATTACTTGCCTTGGACGGGATCCGACAATCATTAAGGAAATGCTGCACGAAGCGCAGCATGCTTTTGTGGAGCGCGATGCAAACCAAACGATTATCTACCGCGGTCAGAAGAACGCTGGAGAAAGCGCAGACTGGGTAAGGTGCATGAGCCGCCCTCCTCGTCCTCTGTCAACGGTCGTGCTGGACCAGGGACAGAAGCAGGCATTTATCGAAGATGTAAAGGAGTACCTGCACCCGATGACGAGGCGCTGGTATTCGAACCGCGGCATTCCTTATAGACGAGGATATATCTTCCATGGTCCTCCTGGTACGGGAAAGACGAGTCTCTGCTTCGCAGCTGCAGGGCTTTTGGGACTGAAGATGTATCTGATCAATCTGAACTCGAAATCCTTGGACGAAGAAGGTCTTGCGGATCTATTCCAGGAACTGCCACGGCGGTGTATTGTCCTTCTCGAAGATGTCGATTCTGCAGGTATCACGCACAAGAGAGAAAACAGCCCAGAAACCCCCGACACATCTGTCAATGAAAAATTAGAGAAGGATGGAAAGGACAAGCCTCCGGCTGAGAACAACGATAACGCGCCGCGGGGAGTTTCTCTTTCTGCCCTGCTCAATGTCATCGATGGGGTCGCTTCTAGTGAGGGACGTATTTTGGTGATGACTACAAACCATATTGAAAAGCTGGACGCGGCTCTTTTGCGTCCTGGCAGAATTGACATGAGCATCGCCTTCAACTACTCCGACACTGATACTATCAGAGATCTGTATTTCGCTATTTACGGTGATGAAACGCGACAGCAGCAACAGGGGAAGTCAGGATCGCCCAGATCTTCTCCTTGTGAGAAGGCCAAATCCCATCTCCGTCACGGCCTCTCCAACGAGCAAGTCAAGGAGCTTGCTGCTGAATTTGCTTCAGTGGTTCCCAGTGGTGAGTTTTCGCCTGCTGAGATCCAGGGATACCTTCTCAAGCACAAGCATGAACCGGAGAAAGCGGTTCAAACTGCTGCGGAGTGGGTGCAGAGTGTACGCAATGATCACGAGAAGCGGAAGGCTGGCGCCAAAGAGGTGAACGTCGCCGCATAATCGAGTCCGAGAACGAGAACGAGAGCGAGAATGATGCATTCAGAGATGACTAGATGATTTTTTTTTTCTGTTTGTTCGCATCCAGAAAACCTGTGATACATAGGTTAATACCCATGTTAACTGATAGATGCGCAACGACTGGTTGCATCGCTATGGTCTTTTCATAGCGACTTCACGGGTCCTGAAAAAATAATAAAAAAAAAAAAAAAAAAAAAAAAAAAAGAAGGAAAAAGGATGGAATATAAACAAAAAAAAAAAATAAGACATCAATCACATATCTCCGTGTCCCAATGACGAGTATTAGAATAATAAGCCGGGTTCACCCCCATTTCATATGACTATTAAAATAGAAACTCTCCCCCTAGACCCACGCAATACGAACAAATGACAAAGAAGCAATCGAGGACACGAGGATGATTTCTGGAAATAAGTTGCGTTCGCTTCTATTACTCTCGGAGCGAGATTGACAAGGTCTGTATAATAACTCGGTTATACTAAACCATGTCATACGCACACCCCCAGCCGGATGTATATGACAGCTCCATTGATCCTCCCTTCTCCTTCCCAGATTGCCTTCTCAGATAATTACGATGAGCAGTTTTCGCTTTGAGGATCAATAAAATATACACATCCCACATCCCTTTCTTTCACACAAAGAGGTCTGTAGAACCGATCAATTGATATTAAACCATAATATTAATTAATTAACCCCGTCTACGTAAGTCACGTACGTGAAACTATAAGTTACTCTAATGTTATTGATACATCGACGCGGCCCTGAATGAGCTCCACCGTTTCCGCTATCTGGAGCCGATCCCCATCGCTTTCCGGCGCCCCGGTGCCAGAGTGTGGTAACTACTATGGGCCCCGCAAACGGGAGCTTGGACTCTGATCCAAGATTCAGTACGAGGTGTTCGATGGGACGAAGTGCTGAAACCATGGAACTTGGAAAGGATTTTTGGGTTTTTCATGTCCAAATTCTAAGAGTATAGTAGTGGTATTATCTGGAGGGTGTCTGGATGTAAACAATGAAATTCTTGCCGAGAGATTGTATTTAGTAGAAGGGCTGAAGAACAGATAGTTTATGGAGGGAAGGAGGTTCAGATATGATTGCGGCTGTACTGTACTTTTTTTGACGACTCAACTAGATGTAAACATTAATACAGTGGTTAATTATTCCACAGCCCGATATTTCCAAAAACGCCTATCCAATGCCGCGATATATTCCAAACCCATCCTAGTCAAAAAAAGGTATATCGCTCAATAGAAATCACAGTAGGAAATGAAGATGTCGCAGCGTGCCGACGGTGTATATATATAATGATCGTAGGAGAGACACGGATGTAGTGCGAATCATTTACAGCACTGTAACCGTTTTGCCCTTGATGGATATATTCGCAGCGTATGCGCATCGCACGTTCGGCTCGCAGAAACTATGCAAGACCAATTTATCTCCAGCACCGGAGACTGTTCCTCCGCCAGGGGAAGTCATGCCAAATTCGCCGGTCTTAAGCAATTGCGTGTTCGTCTTGGTGTAGGGACCGGTGATGGACGTTGCTGTGGCATAGCGCACGTCGTATTTGGGATCCGTGAAGCAGTGAGTCGAGTAGAAGAGGAAGTAGGTGCCTTGATGCAGGATCAAGTTGGGAGCCTCAACTAGAGGTCCGTCGCTGCTGTCGCGGTCGAGGATCTGAACTGGATCTCCAACGGGAGTGACACCATCTTCTTTGACCTTCTGCAGCATGATCGGAGTCGGCTTGATGGGCGCAACGCCGTTGTTACAGTCTCCCCCATTGCCGATACTGTTGCCATCAACCTTGTAGACGACGTAGCGAGTTCCGTCGCTGTCCAGGAAACCGGCAGGATCAATTGAGCCACCCTTGTCCAGGTTACAGGCGAAAGGGTTCGGTTGAGGGATGTATGGACCGGAAGGATCTGTCCCTTGAGAGACGGCTGCGCCGACGCAGTGGTGTCCTGTGTCCGACTTGGCCTCTCCGGAATAGTACATGACATATTTGCCATCGTTCTACGCAGGGTCAGCTATGTTTAATTCCCAAATTCATTCATCAGGGGAAACATACTCGCATGATCACGTGGGGGGCCCAATGGTTAACATCTGTCTCCCATCCACCCAGCGTCGGTAGAGCCTCTTTGTCTAACAGAGTCCACTTCTGGAAATCTGACGAACTCGCAACCTGAACTCTTTTTCCATTGCCGTTGGTACCAAATGCGTACCAGGTGCCATCGGGAGTTCCAACAAAGCTGGGATCGGGGAAGTCTGTGTCCAGTGCCATCCACGGACCACTGGCTCTCTTCTGGAAGGGGGAGGCCAGGGCCAATGGCAGGAGAGCCAGGCCCAATATATTAGAGGAAAACGAAGGCCACATTATGATCACGATCCGCCCTACCTCAGTGGTAGCCAGAAAGATGGACACAAGGGAGCACAAGACAGACAATCGAACAGCAAAACCAAATAACAGGGACGGAAGAGAATGTTATATATCGAGCTTGGACTTATCCTCGGTCCTGATCGAGCTTGGAAAGCAGTCAACCTTTATAATTCCTTGCATATTGTAAGTAAGCGAAAGACTTTATCCCAGAGGTACCCGCATCTGGGCCCCTCTGGAACCATATCCACTGAGGTTCTGCACGCAATCATCAGGCACCAGATAGCTAATGCTATACCGATTACCGAACACAAAGATTGGGGTCTGAACGCTAGCTTCTAGTCTCCTGGCGTGGGACTGCACTGGCCCTCCGCCCCTCTGCACCTGGCAAGGCGTAGATGCAGTGGAGACATTGTAGTCAGGCTGCCCAGCCGAGCTGCGGCGTGGATCTAGGAGCGCGAAAAGGGAAATCAGCCAGTGAAAGCTGAAGGAAGCAACTGGCGCTCCGGAACATGGCCGACTATGAATGCTGAAAACACTATAGGTAGAGGAAGATTACCTATTGTTGTTTGGTTCTCACTTGGCCAAGTACGGAACCGCCGCCGCAAACAACCAGACAGCAGCATAAACTGTTTCATTCGAACCAAGTTTTACCATTCTCTGATAGTTTCTTGGTTATGCTACAATGCATCCGCTGCACGAGGACCTCATCCACCATGTTATTGACCCAGGAACCCTCCAATAGTCGGCGATGAGACCTACGAGGCCAGGAACAAAACCCATCTGCAGATTGGTCAATGGCGGTCCATCACGGAACGATCACGATAATCATACTTGGTTCGGGTTCAATCAGGAATCCGAAAACGGTATCCAACAACGAGATGGATAGTACATCAAGGCCAAAGTCTATGTCTCTGGGCCGTCTAAGCATTGAGCGCTCTCCCAGCGTCAGACGGTCAATAGAACGGACGGATCCTGCAGAATCCGAGTCCTCCGTGTTCGATGCTTCAACTGAAAGTGAGAGAGCATAATCCACACTAGTAATGCTACAAAGTTAGTAGGTGGCCAAGCCTCGGGAGCAGGAAAGCTAGGGAGGTCGCTAATTTAGAGTCCGATCGGTAGGGCGGCCATGGCCAGATGCAAGGGCGCTGTCGGCTATCGTCTCCTTTGTAGTCTTATCGTCAGACCGCCGCCCGAATATACGATCGGAGGCGTTAAAAGCTGAGATATAGCCTTAACAAGTGGCAGCAATCGCGGGTTGACACATCTGCCAACACGATCATGGGGCGCCATGCTAGTCAGACACAGTTGTCGTGCAAATACGAGTAGGAGACGAAGGATCTCCAAGTCCATCCAACTCGACCCGCTTCCGGCACAGGCACGATCAACACAGCCATCAACAACAGACGATCTGGAGTCCAGCTTCTAAAGGACGCTTGATCTGGCTAGAGACATCATATGGCCTTATTCATGGAAGTCAGCTCCGCCAAGACGTCTCTTTCTCTTACCATCTTCAAAAGCGGAACAGCAAATCGTCTTACTCTAAATCTTCGATATATCTAATCTTCATCTTTAGTAGGAGGGATGTTGAAGAGAGCGCGACAAACGCCATCTACGCCTCTCTAGACAGGCAGAACCTTGCATTGTTCAACCCTATTCTGAGTCGGATTACCAAATCCAAACAACACACTCGATATGTTTAGTAGTAGTGACTTGCTCCCTTTCTTCCCTAGTTAGTTACTGGGAACGGCCAGCGGATGATTCCCACCGACCAATACCTGATCTGCGCCCCACTGAAGTCGATCATTGACCCCAATCTCCCTTTCCGGAGAGGACTATTTTTGAAAACAGGAACATACGATAATCCCATTGTCACTGGATCCAAGCAGACGATAGAGATTCTGTGTTCATCTTGTGCGCAAACATTCCTTCCAAGAACTAAGTGCATAATTTGGCACGCGATATCAGGACTGAATCGTCACCTGTTGCAACTTCATCTTTAACTATCAACGAAGGATCTGTTTATGAAGAATTTCCGACCCACTAGAAAAGGGCATACTGTACTGTTTTTTTATTCTGCAGCACACGCAATATGCAATGATCGACGCCCCGGTAGAGTGGCTCTATGAACGCAGAAAAAAATGATGCAGCAGATTGTGGGGGGTCTACTTAGATATTTACCATAATCAGTAACAGGAATATTGTATTTGAGTGAAAAAGCCTACTTTTTACTTATGCACTATGATGAAAACAAAATATCTCCAGCGGCTGTTGTACGGTTCGTATTTTGTGATTTCTAATATGAATGTGCTTCTAGAACTCTTCTGCGAATACGAGTGATCATTGGACAGGAAGATACTTGCACGGATCAAATTGCATGACAACACCATCCAAACCGCTTGTGCCGTTCCGTTCTCTCAGTACAGCTGTTGATACAGCAACCACAGAGGTTGAAAGGGGTTGCTCTAGTCAATTGATATCTGATATCATATTGTCTGCTGCAGTTATACGCGGACGACATAACTCGATGAAGATCATAAACAGGAAATATAGATCTACCCCATGTGACGATATGTACACCTTTTAATCCATGCAAAAATAGGTTACCTCGAATTATAAGCTTGGCTGCGTTCTCATGCGGTCAAGGAGGACATCACAGATGTCATAATCGGCATTTTCCCGACAGGAAGGAAATTAGTAATTCCAACTCCATCTTTTCTCCCTCCCTCTGTCTATCCCTCCCTCTCTCTCTGAGGTGAAAGCACGCAACGAAGGAAATCAATAGGGGAAATCGGCAGGGGTCAACGACCAAGACTCGAAAGGCACACCGCGCAGCTTCTTTGCCCTGATGTCTGAATAGATCTTCGGCTCGAAATCACATACAGATGCATATTGCACGATAAGCTCGCGCCAGTAGCACGCCTCGGCGGCCGGTGTGAGATAGCGATCGCGGAAGGTCTGCACGGAATTCTGCGCGATCCGCTCCGCCACCTCCGGGTGGTCGATTAGATATCTCATCTTGTCATCTAGGTCCGAGAAATCGCGCTCGACTTCGACAAAGTTGGCCTCTGGACCGGATGCTACGAGCGCCCCGTGGTGGATTTCCCGCCATTCAAGCTTATGAGCCACCATCACGGACCGGCAGTTCTGGAGATACTTCCCTCGCCCAGAGAAACTTCGTCCTTCAGTGTGCATGAGGAACATGTACCGGCAGTGATCTTCCATTGGAATCACCTCTTTGCGGAGATGCTCCTCGTTGTTCCAGTCGATGGTGTGCACACTGGCCCAGCTCTTCTTCTCCGTCATTTTCATGAGTTGACCACGCAGCTCTGGTGCCGTGGCAGTGGTACCGCGCCAAAACAGCTGTTTCTTCTTCCTGTGGAAGTCGATCCCACGCTGCGACCTGCCATCAATGGCTATGCCATCATCTACCGCGATGATCCGTCGACGGATGTCCCAGTACGGTCCCACGTTGACCTCTGGCCAGGACCAGTAGGCAAAGTCGGGCATCAGCCAGACATTCTCCTCGCTGTCCCGCTTCGAGTATGCAAAGATCGGCCCAGGCCAGGACGGTGCGTAATCCTCGGTCATGAAGATGAACTCAGCACTGCGAAGGTCATGTCGGTTCGGTATAGATCTCAATGCGCGGTAGATCGCACTGAGGGTGGCCCGACCGCGTGAATATGTTACAGGGTTGTAGTTGAAGTCCACAACATAAAGCTTGGAAAAAAGACATGTTAGTCAAGTCCATAGCATAAAGAACCGGGCCCCAAGCAGTCTCAAGAGAAGCACCAACCTCGCCCTGGTGAACGATCACTCTGACCATTCCCTCCCCGACCTTCTTCGAATTCAATTCCTTCGCTGTAATGGGCTTATCCTTCCTCGCCGCGACCGACTTTTCGATTTCGACAAACAGTTTGGGGAACGCGATCCGGCATTGTTCGCGCGACAACCCATAATCCTCCGCATCGCGAGCGGGCACAAACTCCCATTTTCCATCGTTCGTCTCCGGAGACGACAGCGGCGACGATGGCGGATCAATGTGCTGCTGCTGGACACATTCTGAAGCGGGCCGTTTCAACACATAGTTCACTACGTCATCGGCATTGCGACTGTGGAAGACGAGGAATGCGACGACAAGCAGGAACAGGATCGAACCAACTGTGACTGAGCGACCGCGGGGTTGTAGAGGAATGAGCATCGCTCTGATTCGTCCTGGGTGTGAAACGGAATGGGCATAGAATGTCTCAAAAGCTGCTGGGTTGTCTCTGAGATGGTCTCAGGATAAGGGCCGATAAACGCAAGAAGACCTCAGATCGCGTCCCGCATGTCCTGGCGCGGAATTGTTCGCCGTCAGCGAGATGAGGGGGAACCGGGAGTCGTAAACCACGCGAGATGGCGTTTTCCCACGATCATGCCCACGTGTATGTCCTTTTTTTGCGTGAGAGAAGAAGACGTCAAGGGCGAACACGCTTGGCAGAGGCTGGTGGTTCTGTTGATCGTCGATTCAGTGCGGCCGAGTTCATGCGCCGTGATTCGCCCTTCAGGCTCTCAGCGTCGGCACCAAGTGGAGGATTCCCACTCGGAGAGAGATTGTGACGTTCACTCGGGCTTTATTTAGTATAATAATAGATTATTAAATGATGGACGCTTCTGTCTATATCGGCTTACAGCGGGATTCCTCGCATTAAACCAGCCAGTGCTGCTGTGGATATCTACCAACTAACAGACTTCAGCACTGTTTGCAATACGACACATTGATAAGCTAGGTTGCCAGAAGCGTTTCGATCAAGATTTCATTGATAAACGTTTGTCTGTGCACTGTTGACTGAAACCAAGGCGGTAACAAACATAGAGATCACAAATGTAGGTCAAGATTATCAGTCATCGTCTTTCGGTTCTATGTAGTGTATCATGAACAAAACAGGGCATGTCGAGTATATACATTTAGATGGATAGTCGTGGACGACAAGGTAGTTAGTTTGCAGGGGGTATCTCAAATAAATGGCAGAATAACGAAGGGAGTCCCGTCTCACCGGTCGATACGGCAAATGGTAGGAATAAGAAGACAAATAGAACGAACGGGTAAAACGAAAAGCGGATGAGTACAAGTTTTCAGGATTAAACAAGGCATGTATACGTTAGTCAGATCATCCAGCCATCAGAAGATACGAATCAGCAAGCAAAGATGCAGCGATGAGAGACAGGCATTATCAGCCGTCATCGTTACCATGTCCGCTGCTGCCATTGCCACTGAAGTAGCTTTGGTCAATCTTGAGGATCCATTCGACCTTCTGTGTCTCAGAGCGCGCTGCGAAGAGGAACGTGTTCTGAGTGCCGTAGACCGCAAAGATATTAGGACGGCCTCGTACCGACACTCCACTGTCTGCGCCAGCACCCGATCCATCCAGAAGTCGAGCGAAGTCTGGCGCATGGTCGACGCGGGAATTCCGCAGGTTGATTGCATTAATCTCGTCGCCTTCAGGAACCGAATGGACGTGAAGATATGGCCGACGCAATTCGACGAACCTCCTCACCCAGAGACTATTGGTGTCGTCTGGGGTCAACAAGTAGCCGGATTTCAGAACAGAAGGATTCTTGGGGATATGTTGGATAGTGGCCACGAAGCGAGGTTTCGCAGAGCTGTCCTCAGATCTTACACTGGTGGTATCAGGCGTGGAAGACTCCTTCGTCCGCTTCGCAAAAGCCGCGCCTCCAGCAGGTGGCTCAAGGTTACTCTTCACCAGGATAATCTCCGTGGGATCTTTCTTCGTTGACCAAAGATCCAAGTATTTCCGAAGCAGTTTGACTTTGCGTTCTGTAAGTTCCTGGCTCCGCAGAGGCGTTGACCTGCCACTGCCCCTTGAAGGCGAGGTAAGGCTGCCAGCGCTTAATGCACCCCGGGCAGCATCCAGCTCGGCAGCACGCTGCCGCCGTTTGCGCGTCGCGATAAAGTCTCGCACTAGAGAAACCTTGCGTGGAGCCCAGTTCGTCAGCAGCTCCTGGCCCTTCACATAGTCATTCTGCGTATTCATGCGCCAGAGGTCAGCCGCTCGCTTGGCAGACACTGGACGGACGGCAACCGAGAACATGCCGACGGTCGAATGTACAACCCGCGTCGAGTTCCAGAATTGCTTGAACATGGACTGTGGGCGGACATAGGTCCGACCCTGAATCTGCAGCGTCTGGTCGAGTGCAAAGACCATTGGATCTTGTAGACGAGAAGAAACCAGGTCCCAACGCAAAGTAATCTGTACGCGGTACTTGTCGGCTGTAGTGCGGTCGAGGAGTAAAGAACCGTGCAGACTCGAGTCCCACTGGCCAATTATAGTCACATTGGATGTCCCGTCGGCGTTGTCCTTGATCATCGGCTCTTGTATCAATTTCAATGGAATATCTGGTGTCTGATCATGATCAGGAACCTTGCCCCAAGGGTCAAGAAGCCGGACCGATCCCACTCGAATATTCGTTAAATCATCCCAAGGGAGACTCTCCGTTGAGCTGTGAGTTAGGTTAATGACAATACGACGTTGCAGTCCTTGGTGGAGCTGGTAGGTCCCCGCATCGAGGCTGCTGGTCTGCACCACTTCAACGGGTAGATACTCTCCATTCTCCGCTAGCTCCAAGATCTGGATACGTGCAAACACATCATGCCTCTCTTCGGAGTAGTACTCGCTCTCAGCAATCCGGGGAGTTTTTCGTTTCTGGGGCTTGTCATCGGCGGCATCACGCATGTCGTCCCAGCTAAGAAGCATATCCAGATGCATCTGTGTAACACGAGCATAGATACAGACCTTGAGAGATGCTGTGCGAGGACTGGAAAGAGGTAAGCTCATGCTGTGCACACTCTCAAACAGTACAGGATTCTCATCAAATCCGCTTATCATCTGGGTTGTTGTGGCACCTCCTTCTTCAGATACACCCGGGACGAACAGTTGCGCATGCACATCGGTACCTTCTCGCTCGGCGAACCCGACCATGTCCCGCATGACAACATTGAACTTGAGGGTAGACGAGGGTGCCTCAGCGGAGGATGGCTCGAGCGAAAGCCGGATGATGCCAATGACACTGTGGGTATACGGAGATATCACTTCTACGGAAAAGTCTTGGACGCGGGTCTCAAACACAGCAGTGAGCGGAACGTCAGCATCTCCAACGAGAGAGTACTGAGGAGAACATGTCTCCGAGAACGGGTTCTCGAGTTTGAAATGTTGGATATAGTCCGGCCGGTCTATGTATTGATGCAGTTGTCGCATGGCTTGAACGCGGCGCTGGAGTTTTTCGAGGGACCATAGGTGAATGACACTATGCTTGAAGTCGATTACTCGAACTCCTACACAAGGCTTCTTCGCATCATCCAACGCGACATCATCGTCTCCCGCGATGCCATTCAAGACTAGATCATAAGACGAAACCATATTATGACCCTCGTCGACAATGGCAAACTGGAAGACGACATTTTTATCCATGATCTGGCTCATGACCTGAGCCTCTTTGAGCAAGGACGCATGTTGAAGGATTGCTTCGGCTATGCGAACATAGTTGCGCTGGGACCAATGCCGAAAAACAGACTTGGCAATCTCAATCTCTTCTGGCTCGAGTCTAGCGAAACCGTTCTCATAGATCTTCGGAATAGGTTTCCCCATCTCTTTGATTTGCGACTCGAATGCTGCTTTCTGCTTTTCCAATTCTTGCTGGAATTCTTCCTTGGCGATGCGCAGAGCTTCTTCCATGCGAACTTTCTCCTGCCTCAACTCGTCCACGTCCTGTGTCGAAGAAGCCTCTGCATTTCTGAGCTTCTCCTGGTATTCTCCTTTTTGTTTGTCTAATTGACGCTGCATATCATCACGAGCTATCTGCAAAGCAGAGTCGCTCTCTCCGTTCTCCGAGTCTCCATTCTGGCGAGGAGTGCCAGGCATGGTAATCGCAGTGTCCAAGGAAAAGTTATCAATCGTCCCATTGGACATGTACTTATCACGAACGGGAAATGAACTGAGCGAATCCGAGTCTTCCTCATTGTCCGCGAGCCCCCGACGTACTGCTCTCACTTTCTGCACATCCTCGAAGAGAGCGTCCAGCTCATCATCAGTGAGATGAGATATTTTCTGGTCTGGCCCGAGAATTGCACTAACGGCTTCTCGGCGAGCATAGAACCAGTCATTATCCCGACTGCGATGAGATGGCAAGGGAGAGTCGGCTCTAGTGGAATCGCCATCGACATCGGATCCCGTCTTGCTTATTGACCGATCGTGGCCCTTAGCAGGAGCAGGCGATCCTAGCTGGCTTGTAGTGACGGAGTGACGCAGCAGGCTCTGTTCCACTCTTTCGGCACGAGCTTCCTGCGGATGATTGAAGCGAAAGATGTGAAAGTCTCCCAGGATGATACGGTAACCACTTCGGAGTCGCGTTGGCTTGTCGATGCGGAGACCGTTGACCATAACCGCAGCGCCCTCGCTGGGTACAATGGTGACGACATTGTCGACATTCTCAAAGGTACAATGATGATGTAGAATTTTTGAACCGTTCAACCGAATCTCAGAAGATTTAGCCGTATCTACGTTGCCGACAGTCGTCGTTCCTGGTTTGATATTGTAGACTAAGCACTCAGCCAGCAGCGGATCGTCACTCAGGTTGACCAAGTGCGGCGTCTTCTTAGGTGTGCTCAGACCGACGAACCCTTTTTCGATGCTGATACCCAGTTCCTCAAGCGCAGCCTCACGTTCCTTGTGAATTTCCTCCGTCTTCTGTAGCTTTTCCTCCCACGTCTGGTTGAGATCCTTGTACAGTTTCTCACTCTGGTTCAATTGCTCAACAATCTCCGCCTTGGTGACTTTCTTGACACTACCGTCCGGTTGGGCAATGGACACTATTTGCTTTTCCAAAGGAGTGTCCGGCGGGTAGTATTCCTCAGCTGGAACACCACCAGCCGCTACCGCACCACCTGCTGCCGCGCCGCCTCCCAGTTTGCTTCTGAGTTGAGCCAATTCCTCCTTGAGTTCCCGGATCATGCGCGCATTGGGATCTTCGTTGACGACTGCATGGTTCTTAATTCTCTTGGCGGAGTCTGCATATCGCAGGGTACTGAGCGTCTCCTCGAAGTTGATATCTGCGGGCGATATTGCTGCAATCATTGCAGTCATAGAATTACCACCCAAAGAATCTTTAAGCAGCCATGTCAGAATCGAATCTCGATACGGAACCATAGATGCGTTCTTCTTTTTGCCCGCAGAAAGATCGGCCAGTGCAGCGATAACACGACCAAGCGTTGAGAGGGAACGATTAATTTCCGCTCCTTCTTTCAGTCGAGCACCTGTAGCACCTGTAGATGTCGCTCTTTCGGAACCTGCCAAATCAACCAGACTGATCCTAGAAACCTTTTCCGTATCCATTGTCGTCTCGGCATCGTGTCGTTTTTGGGTGAGAGTAAGGGTGAAGACCGCATGAGATCGACTGGAGGTTTCGTTCATGTTGGTGGCGGCCACGGTTCTGGCCTTGTTACCTTCGTCCATGAGATTCTCGATTTCCTGGAACGATCGTACCACCAGCTTTGCGAGATCTTCGACATATGGACCGGTCGATGGATGCTCGCGAACCTTCAAGTTCCCTTTCGTCGACGGGTTCAGAAGATCCCGGACTCTTTCGTTGTAGATCTCCAGGTAGGAAACCTCCACCGTGCACGTCAGGTTCTTATCTTCTTGAAGCTTCGCTATCCGTTGGAACATGTTTTGGCAGATCTTGGGAATCACACCGTATTCCTGTCCATAACCCATCATCGAATATGACTTTCCTGAACCGGTCTGACCATATGCGAAGATACAGTTATTGTACCCTTGAAAGGCATTGTCCAAGAGTGGCAGACCCAAGTCATTGAAGAGGTGCTCCTGTCCGGCATAATTCGGGTCTTTCTTATCGAACGACCAGTAGGATCTATCGAATGCGAACGCCTTGGGCCCCTCGGGAGCACCTTTCATACCTCCCTTACGGAGTTTCTCATCGGCGCCAGGTGGTGGGGTGAGAACCGTCTGGTTCCCTTTCATCTGAACGATACATTTTGCCCTTCTCTCGACCTCTGAATTAGAAAAAGGGAGTCCCGTCAGTTCCGTGAAGCGCAAAGCATGATTTTCTGCCAATCCTACTAACCTCGACTATTGAACGGCCTCACTCTCACCACCACCTTGATATTTCCTCCTCCGCCTGGAGCCATGTTTAATTGCGCCCCATAAACTCAGGAACCCGCCACAGACTCCACGTCCTTGTCCGCTTTCCGGCGCGCGGAAGCGGTCACAGCCGGAAAGGCCAGCTGCGAACGCCGCAGTGAGCGTCGCCTCGAGACGGACAGCAATCAGACTCGTGAGGTGCGATTCCTTGCTGTCAGGCTGGCTTCTCTCTCGACCTCCGTCGCTATACCGTATGCTTGTAGAACCGTGCCGGAGGTCAACAGAAGCGTCATGTATGTGCAGCGAGCGTTTGGCGCGTCTGAAGTTGACGATGGGGAAAGATCAGCCCGTGACAAAGTATCGGCTTGTCGAACGTCTTCCACCGAACGGACCCGTGGAAACGAGATGTCCAGAACGCGTGGAGTGGAATGCGGCGGTGTTGCTTAATCTCGGAACTCAGTCCTCTGTCCAGGCACGGCGGAAAAGCCACATGAGGCCGAAGCGCGGCCGTCCTGATTAGATAAGCTACCAGCTTGGGCGCAACAGTGCGACAGAACACCACAACATGGGAAACTGGTTCAGATATTGTGTTGTTCTATATCATTCGGGATTGATGCTTGCCAGGGTGGTCTTATCTTATTGATTCTGTCTACACGGTTATCGGAAACTGTCAATGTTGTTTCGAGGGGCGGTAACAGCCACGACCACTGGTAGTTATTGCGCCACACGCTAAAACATCCCACGCCCTATCAGAACAGCCTTAAGACATTATTCATACAAGGGCATGTCCTTTCGAGGTCAGAGTGCTCTATATCATCGCTGTAAACAGATGTTTTGAGACTTGTCCGTCCCAGGGATCGTTCCGCATCGGGCCCCATTGCGGGGGCGCGTACCGCGGGACGAGTGTTGACTGTTACCAGAGTTCGTGCAACAAGCGAATCAGTTAAATTGGAGAAAGAATCATCGTCTGGTCAGTGTGTTGTTCAATTCTCCATTTAACTACGTAATATATCACAGTGTACGGTTTGTATAAATATAAATTGGCTAATTACGAATCCCATCAATGAAAGCTACGGGGTAATGTGTTAGTATAAAATGCCTCCACATGAGACAGATGCTACAGCTCAAAAGATCCATTCGCTCTCCCATAGTCAGCCAAGAATCGAGTCAAATAAATCAATTTGGAACGAGTATGGCCATATTATTGAAGCCAGGAGTAACACCTGCGAGTTCCGCTACTAGCAGATGATAACTATGTTTCGGTGAACTTGCAGACGCAGACTATCTTAGTTCACCCCACTGATCCTGGCAAGAGAAGACTCGGACATTCACTATTCCTTATCCAGAACTCTCATCGAAACTCGTAGAAAATATATTGATAACATTCTGAGAACTTCAAGCTTCTACCACAGATAACGAGCACACGCGAAGCTAAGCTAGCAAAGTCCGTAACTTGTAAAACGTTCCGCACAGAACAGGCCAATTCGGGAGTATGTATAGTTAAGACCCTACAACCCGTTTTTGGAATACTACATGTGACATGGTGAATCGATGAGGGGAAAATGTCGGCAGTTGATTGGGCTTGTAACTCAGTGGTAGAGTGCCACATTTGCATGTATCAATACACACAGAAATTGTGGAAGTCGGGGTTTCGACTACCCCCAAGTCCAATTTTTTTATCCTGCATATACCTCCCGCCTATCTTGATAAGGCTCTCGTCTGAGATCCTTTGCGTGATATTCAGTGATGATGTTTTTTTCTTTTTTTTTTTTTTTTTTCGGTGACTTTGAATCTGTAAGCAATATCCCTAGTCTAACCCCTTTCTCCTGGCGTCAGAACAATAGTGGCCGTCGTCTCCATAACAGACGATGAAGGAATTACAGGTGAGAAATGCAGCTATCCAAGCTTCTAGTACAAGAAGCAGCAGACAAGTAGAATAGTCGACTGGAAGAATAAAATTAAACCCAAAAAAACGTATCCTTCCGTTGAGAGCTGAATCTTGGATTGTAAAGTAGCTCTTATTTTTTTTTTTTATATGACCAGAGAACTAAGTACAGTGTACTTACTATATTCCCTTCCACGATCAGCATTTCGATTATAAACTCGAGATAGGCGAATTTCTCCTGCTTCGGTACAGATTGACTCTGGCGGACGAGAACGCTAAATTGAAGGCATTCACGAACAGTGCGCGTCTGCAGATACGATTCTATGTCACTCTATCAGTATCTACCGCGTTTTGGAAATCGGGGTACTTAGAAGGGGACGAGCGAGAATGACAAGCGTAGAAGTTTCCTTTCGGGGAAATAAATAATAAATAATAGCTAACCTTGTTGTTGAACATATCATTAAGTAATTCGATCCAACGATTTCCCGCTCACAAGCAATGTCAAAATTAAAGAGGAATTTTCTTACTAGATCCTATGATGGAAGAAGGGGAATTCCTCCCTACGTACGTACGTATGTACATACATAACCGAGAAAAGTAATTATATAGTACAGTACAGTTATCGCAACACCCGCACACCACCACTACCACCAAACACCATAACTAACAATATTAAAAAAAAAAAAAAAACAAACAAACCCACTATATACCCAACCTCAACCCCTCCCTCCCTCCGCACTACTCTCCTCTAAAATACAAATCCCCCATTTTCTGCATGTCAGAACCCCCCTTCCGGCCCTATGATACCCCAGCCTGTAAGAAGCGAACAAGTCATAGTTTATATGCGGTTCCTTTGCTGCCCAACCAAACTGGCAATCTAATCTTGCAGGAAAGGAACCACAGTGTCGGAATCAAGGTTTTGTTGGTTTATCATTATATCGTTTGATTATTGGAACTGCATGTTAATTTCAGCCCTGGATGGGGTTATTGGGATCGCGTGAGAACTGTGAATAAAGTGGGGGGGAGGTGTGTGTGTGTTTTTGTTTCTTTCTTGGCTATCTGGAGGGGTTGGGCTTTTTTTGTTTTTGGATTCTTCTTTTTTGACTTCTTGTCCTTCTCTACCTTGCTCCTCGAACACTTTCTGCCTGAGATACCTGGAATATCGGGTTTGAATTTCGTGTTTGCTCTCGAAATGAGGGATTTCGATCATTTTTCTTTTCTTGGTGGACCGGGGGGATCAAGCTATGGCTTCTACTCGATTAGGGGCATTTGTTCGATGGTCTCTGCCTCCTGCACGTAGTCACTGGCGAAGCGGGCTGTCATTTGGAGATAAAAAAAGGATGCGGAGATGGGCAGAGACCTGTTGCAGGAGTGAGTACTGGCTGCTATGATTCTGTTTATGGACTACAGATGAATCACTGCTGTCTAGGATGATATATATCCGATATTCAATCCCGCCTGCTTATCCTGCCCCCGAGAATCGCATCCAGGTCTAGAGACAGCCTCGGTTTTCAAGCTGTCTTCATTCTACTATCCCGGCCAGAGTCCTCATATACTCGCCCCTCAATGATCAGTGCGTTGGATGCTAAGAGCCATGCGGGATATCCTTCATGAGTATGCCCGAGGGATCTCTCCCTGAGCCTCATCCCGCACGTCCCACACCTGTATAGCGAGAAACGACGGACCGTGACCTCTACGAAGGCCGAGACAATGTCAGACGTGCGAAGAAAGGGGGAAGGACATACTTGCTGTCGCCACCGCACCAGGACAGAGTGATCAGCTGGGAAATACGGATCTCGGGCCCGAAGTCCATCACAGTGGAGCCTCGCTGGTATCACGCGCGGCATTATCCAGAGGGATATTTGGACGGAGCATTTGCGTCCGGGACGGCCACCTCCCATGACTGACGGTACACAGGACGCCGTAACCTAGTATGTCAACGTATACGGAGGTCGACCAAGAGACTTCACACTCGGAGTGTCCGATGTAAGAACCAACAGTAGATGAAAGACGCCATCCACTGGCTTTGACAGCTCCGGCTGATAATCAGACGAGGCTGCTTCACCATTTCCAGGGAAACTGGGTATTATCCTCCCACTTAATCGTCGGAGCCAGGTGATAGCCAGAGCCGAGCACCTAATATACCAACAGGGGCATGTCAAGATGGGACGTAGATAGAAAGAGTTTTAGGAGTATAAAAAAGAATGATTCGTAGATGCTGTCAACCATCCATGACAGAACCACACATAGTCCACCCGTGAGGCTGCTTATTGGCGTCCCTTGCGCTCCCGCCTCATTTACCAGCGTATGAGACGTGGAACGGTGCCTGATCAGGCCGTTGAAGGCTTCTTCATCATCCATAGTTCCCGTCCTATCACGGCGTAGAAAGGGTTCTGTTGATGCTGATTGGGTATTCTCAAATGGGGCCAGTCAACTCAACTCAACCCATCTGGCAACAGCCTTCTTCCCATCTTCCGGAGCTAAGTCGACCTTGTCCAAGGCCAACGGATCCGATGGCAGTGAGGTCTCGACTCAGGTTAGAGAACTAGGTCCTGCGTTGTTTCTTGATCGATTGCTGTCTGGCGTGGAAATCTAACTGCAATTGCCGTGAGGTGTCAATGTAGTAGAGAGCACAAGTCATCAACCTAGCGTACGCGAAGATCTTTGACAAGAGGTCTAACCGGGGCCGTATCACTCATCCGAACCTCCATAGCCCTACACCTTGCAAGCCACGTCAAGCAGACGTCTCAAGTGACAAGGGGTTGGATAAGCAAGCAAGCGTTGTCATCCCGTCAACCCGCCCGGCACGGGGCCATGTTGGCTAGCCAGTATACTAGAAATCAGTGACACTCTACTCAAATGAGCAGCCAATTGCCACGGTATGAACAACTGATGCAATCGCGTGGCGCCAACGGCTGCTTCAAGGCCCCCATAACCATATCCCTCTTTTATCAACATGCGAAGTAACATGCCAGCATCAAGAACTACGGGGTTCACCTGTAGAAATCCCGCAAGCTAGGACCGCCGTCGTGATGATTCGATGAGCCTGCTCCACGGTCTGGGGCGGATCCATTGCTCGTTTCGTTGGAACGCAGGTCCAGGCTGAGACGAACAGGGCTATGGCCGTTGACTGATGTCTATAGTGGACCCAATCACGTCCTGGAGACAGAGCTGCTATGGCAGACAGGGTGGCAGGAGCTAATCAGGCTCAATCAACTATCTTGACGTGAAGTCCAGACTGGACCCATGCGCTCCGACTCCCATTAGCATTGAGGCTGCCGGACGCAAGTACGGTGTCCGCGATGCGTACAACTTAGGCATGCTCGACTTGGGCAACACAAGTGTATTAAACCAAGTGGGACTGATATAGAAGTACAAAAGTGAATTTTCCTTCCGTTCTGCCATCGCACCAGGACGTGGGATGCTGCATGTGTAGACTGAGTTGTCGTCGCGAGGCACATCTGTTATCTCCAATGGAGCAGACTGCTCCGGATGGTAGCCAGAAGATAACTCTCCGGGATATTGCCGTATTATCTCCTGAATGAAGCCTGAAGATTGATAAGGAGCGCGAGGCATCCAAAGACGAGAGCGATGGAAGCCAGCGGCATACATCTCACGTGAATATCAGATCGCCCGTGACATGGGTGTAGAATGCGGGACCAAGCTTATTTCTATACATGCAGTAGTCTTCGACATGGCATAAACTCTGAAGAACGAAGTTGGGGATTTGGTCGAGGTGTCAGGTTCGCAGATGCCATGCAGTCAGGTATGATAGCTTCAGGCATAGTCATTTTTGGCGCAAGCAAGAGACTGCACTATCAGGGACACCGCCTCAGCCTTTGCAACAGAGGAGTTAGAAAACGATGGAGAATAAAAAGAGGTATTAAATGATACTAACTGCAGGAGTTGGCATGAAGAGGCTCATCTCACGGTGTTGCTGTAGTCATATCGATGTGATCAAGTGACTTGACGGGGAAGACAGGTGAACTTGCGCAAATCTGCCATGACGCGCTGCAGCAGCATCGGGCTGGAGAGCTGGTTACAATCTCAATTGGTTCATGTTTCGCGAACATCTGCACTCGAGCAGACAGTACTCCAATTCTGCGGATGACCACAATGGGGCAAGAACCGTGGAGTTGTGGGCGCGTCTGGGCTGCATCCCGACCCCAATCTCGACTGCGAGATCGCGGACGTCATATGCAAGAGCGCGCATTGCTGCGGGCTCGATCATTCTTTTTCTTCACCGGTGACACGTAAACGCGCCTAGAATTCGAAGCGTCGACAGTGTTCTGGGTGGAATGATTAAGCGAACATAAGTGAGGTCCATCGTCGGCCAGACGCGCTGGAACGGAAAACAAAAACCATGAGCTAATGAATTCTTATTATTATTAACTAATTCACCAATATTCCTTCTGTTTCTGGATCGCAAGAAGTCGCGCTAAGTAGATGCAGAGGCAGGTCACCCGAAGTCATAGCTCGTGGAGAGCTGCACGAAAAAAGAAGAAAGCAGGAATCCATCGTGATTCCAGGAATGTCGCAGAGGTTTTGAGCTGTGTCCGCGCTCAACGGCATGTTCTCAGTTAACTAACTCTTTCGCATTCTACTCTGACTACTCTACGATAGGGAAGCTGACGTCAGGTGGCCAGAGCTCTTCCCTTATCACTCCAGATTTCCGCCGGATTGAATGATGATTTGTGCGAGCTTGGACCGTGATCGCGAAACGAGATCCTCCGTCCCAAGTTCGGGTCAGGTACCGGGTGCCTACGATTCGGGGAGCAGACCCCCCATCTGCGCCTGGAAGAGCCATTGGCATCGCCGCCCAGATTCCAAGGTTTGCACACCGACTCGATCAAGCGGTCAGGATCTCACGATTTGTCGGGGACTCGGAGGCGGTAAGAACGAGCTTCGCACGTGGAAGACGGGATCGACGATCATGGGAAAGGGCAATCTCTTAAATCGCGTGAGAGCCCTAGATATCTACTCTAGTTGGTTTCATACGGGGAACTACTTGAATCATCTGCAGGGCCTCCCGTCCTCTGTTTGGTCTCATCGGTCGAGAGTAGTAGATGCGGTCCACCCCGACTAGCAGTATACTGTAGTACATATTCTCGATATCAAAGAATGAGTTTTCTCAATACTAGAACAATAATAATAAACAAGACAATAAAACAGTAGCAAGTACTAACCACTAGTATCCTGAATTTTCGGGCAGCTACTAGTAGTAGTGGGTACAGAGGAGAGGGCTGGGCGCAGATTTTTGCAGTGACGGGAAAAGAGTCTGCCTGAATCGGGGACGGAAAACAAAACGGAAAACGGAAAAGCATCTGAGGGTTTTCTCCGCATGGCGATTGCTCTAGATACATACATACTGTAGTATTATTATTAGCAGGTGGAGCCAAGGACTTCGCGTCATCATCTCGAGCATGCATCAGACGAGTCCAGCGTATATAATTGAATGGTAAATTCTAAATTAATGATGAGTGATATTATGTTCAACTACCTGGTTATATCCGTCATACGGGCTGCATGAGTTTGGACGACCAGGATGATGGGAGAGAGGGAGGTAGGCAACCAGTTCAGGCCGGCGCTCGGTTTCATCAGATTCGGACGGTTCGCTGCGTTTTCTGTTTCGGTCGTAGCGTCGCGCACAATCCGTTCCATGCGGGATGAAGGATGGTGATGATTATTATTCTTCTTAGCAGGGGCGTCTCGAGGGAAGCCAGCCTCCATCGAAGATCGAGAAGCCGAGGGAGCCCGCCGGAGCAGAGATGAGACTGGGATCACAACACGGCCCCCCATTCAGCTGTCCGACGATCAACCCAGCGGCCACCCGCGTCGGTCGCATTCCGGAGGGAGCCAACCGTTGCACGTAGGAGATTCTTAATTAGACTAGTCTAGTCTGGGAGCAGATTATTATTATTGTTGCCAATAATGAAAGAAAAAAAGAAAAGAAAAGAAAAGAAAAAAGCAAAAAGAAAACAAAAGAGATAGAGTAATTATTACTGGTATCGCCAGCAGAGGGGTCTGTTGCTAGAATGATGAGACGACCAAATTCAATTCATTCCGCGTTGATGAGTTCTTCCATTTTTATCAATATCAATCATCAATCGATCAATCAACAATCGCGTCTTTCTGTTGGGAGCGCGATTCTGTTTCTCTGTTTCTCAGTTTCTCAAGACTTCTCAAGGCGACGTCGAGTGGAGGAGTCGCCCGAAGCGGACAGTCAGCCGAGCGCAGGTGCCGGTCACGAGACCCGAGAGGCACGTTGAGCCTTTTCCCGGGCCAGCGCAGGGCGCTGCGACGAGTAACCTCAGAACAGCAATAATATAACAATACCTACGCATAATAATTAATGATAATAGCACTGCGCCAGCCAGTCAGAAAAAGAACGTAGCGCTGGATTGTGTGATTCGCGAAAAAAAAAAAGAAAAAAGACATGGGCGAGGAATCGGATAGGGGCAGATGGGCAGACGGACATCCCATCGAGCGTGCGTCATGGGCGATACGCGGAGCGGGCACGACCGGATCCATCGCGAGTTGCGCTGGCGAGCCAGTCAGCTCGGGCGGCGGTACAAATGCCCCATCGCCCGCTCTTCTCGTCGCTGCGGCCTTCAGTCTCTGCTCTCTCTCGTTGGTCGTCTTGCCTCCCTGCGACTCTCGAGGCTCATCCTATCAAGCATCTTCGCACCTGTTCACCGTCAACCCAATCATCGCGTTGGATTGATCCTATCCTATCCTATCCTTCAATCATCAATCGCATACTCTGTTGGTTTGCTCACCGTCGCAGCAAATCATCGACCTACTCGACCAGGTACGTTTCGTCGTTTTTTTTTTGCTTTTGGTTTCGCCGGCGCGGTCCCATCCTGCAGCCTCATATCCAACTTTTCCCGCCCGTTTCGTTTCTCTGATTTTTTTTGGCCCTCTGCTGCTTGTTCTTTTGCCTGTTCCCGTGTCCGCGCTCGGGGAAAACCGTCAGCGCGCACCAACAGGATCCGGCGCGCGGCTGTTGTGCGTGCTGGTTTGAGAGAGAGAGAGAGAGAGATACTAGGTACTACTGCTACTCTAGATAGTAGTAAGTAGTATCAAGTAGTAGCAAGTAAGGACTGTGCTTTGCTCAGCGCTGCTTGCTGCTACTACTAAGTTACCTCTCTGACTTGGCTCTGGCTCAGTCGCGTTGGGTCAGTCACATCAACTGAATCAACATCAACACGGCCTCGCCCTCGCCCTTCCCGTCTTCCCCTTCGATTTATTTCGTTCTTCTTTCTGTGATTGTTATTTTATTCTTCGCATTTACCATTTACGATCTACTATTATTTTTTTATTATTCCTATTGGATTACCGTATTCCTGGATCATTATTCATTTCATATATTCACCTCCGCGTCCGGCCGCCCTGACATCAGCGCCCGGCGCCCACGGTCGCGCGGAAGAGCCCTTGGCGCTGGTCGCCATCCTGTTGGGCTGCACATTCTCTCGCTTCTTTGCCCCCCCGCGAATCACCCAGAACGATTCCCTCGCCCACTCTGCTTTCCCCCCTCTCTCTTCCTTCCCGCCGGTTTAACGTCTTCCCCTACCCGCTGCCTCAAATCACCGTGTCCCTCTGCTCGGGTCCCTGCTGTGGTCCTGGAATCGTCTGCTCATAGGCGCCCCTGCGGAGAATAACCCGTCAAGCCAGACTACCTGGCGCCCTCTGCCCTTCTTGTCCACTTGCCCAAGCTTTTCTGTCCGTGTTGTTGCGGCCCGCTGTCGCGCCGCCATCCTGCCCTCATCGTGCCGCCCGTGAACCTCGAGCGCCCACTTGCAGTCCCACGAGCTAACATTCGCACACGCGCAGGCCCTGCACAGCTGAGAGAAGGACAGAAAAAAAGAGGGAAAGAAGCACAGTCAATCGTACGCGCGCAACCTGGTTGTTGAACGATCGCCAAAAAGAAAAGAAGAAAAGAATCCGTTGTCAGCCCAGATCATCACTGGTGCGCCGTCGCGCGTTCCCTTCGACTCAATCGCATCTCTGTCGCCGCCGCGTGAGACGGCGTCATCGTACACTTCGTTGCGAAGCTCCCTTCTGCAGTGCGTTGTCGCTGCCTATCAGCTGGCCCCGATCCCGCTGCCCCTCGCGAAGAGGCACGAACGGTCGCACAGGAAAAAAGAAAGGAACCTTGCGCGCGCGTCTGTGGTATAAGAATTGGACGTTTTGGTAGGGTACGCTGGATGCGCGAAGCTGATCGACAAGGTATGTTTTCTTTTTTTTTCTTTGGCTGCAGCACAGAACAAGCTCCCGCATTCTGCCAACGCATACATCCTCCCGAGTCGCCGGGCTAGTTTAACGCGAAACCCCACCATTCCTCTTTCCCTCCCCCTCTTTATCAATCGCTCCCCCGAGTGCAGACGCGGGAAAGCCTGTTGTTGGTCGACGATGGCAACTGACGATTGTGATCTTAGAACTGCCGTCGCAAGCCCGCTCCTGGCGCATCTCTGACATCAGAGAGACCTTCTGAACCCTCTATCGGACCTCGAGTTGTGAGGAACCTAGTTCTGCTTCGGAACCCGGAAGATCTCTCGGAGCACAAGCCGCTGGCACCGTCTCATCTTCTTGTTTCACTTGCTTCAGAATTGCTTCCCTGCAGGCAACAGGCAGATCGAAGCAATTAGCGTCGGCCATCTCCAAGTTCGCGTAGCTGTGCCGCCTCGTGCATCGTCTTTGCGCTGGCCGGTAGACAGTTCCCTGCGCCACGATCAGGTCATCGATATCACGTTCGCCCTTGACAACGCATCAAGGACGGCTTTTGTTCGAACCTACCCCGGTCCGCTGCATCAGAGCCCAACCACGTCTTATTAGGAGGGCGTTGCGTAAAGACTGGCACAAAGACCCGGAATTTCCACAACGGAAATCCCCAGTGCAGACTGAGCAAACAACGAACGCTGTTGTCCCATACTCCCAAGTGCCGTCGTAAGACGCTGTATTGGCGAAGGAAAAGGTAAGCGCTCCAGTTGTCGCCCTAGAGCCCCCATCTGAAAGTTCTCCACCCGACGTCCGTTCCTAGCCAGTTAAGGTTGAGTTGGATGCTGACGCGACGTCTCGAAGCTGTCGACAATCGTTCTCTAGCCTGTCGAATCAGCTGCCCGCAGACGTCCTTCGGTGGTGAAAAGCTCCGTATCCCAAGGAGCACCTTCGCCCATCTCTGCCTCCCCAGTTAAGACCGTCAGGATACTCGCGACACAACCTGTCCTGCATCTTCGCATTGTGACCAGGCGAGTCGCATTTCGCCTTCGTCGCTGACCTCCGTACGAATCCTTCAATCCTCCCGTTCATTGTCCGCGGTGTATTTATTGAGGTGACGGGAACCGCAGTCACTACCCCGATTCCATCATGGAATATCCTCCTCAATACCAGCAGCCTCACGGCCAACATCCGCATGCCCCGTCCCATATTCCCGGCGCATATCAAACCGCGGCAGCCAATGCGCCTCCTCCAGTCGGATCGATGACCTCGCCAACGAACGCGCAGGCGCACATGCAACAAGGACACCCCAATCACCAGGCGTCCCCGATCCTTCCGTCGCAGAGTCATTACCAGCAACCGCAAAATGCCCCGGGGGCTGTGCATCAACAGATGAACTTTCCTCAATCCTACGCCATGCCCCAGACGTATGGAATCTCTCCGTCCCAGGCAGCGGCCATGGCCACGGCGGCCGCCTCTGGTCAGTTCTATCCTCTACATCAGGATGCGATGGCAGGCCAGATGCAGGGACCTCGCGGCTCCCCCCGGATGCCCGGAGTGCAGGTCAAGAACGAGCGGAATCCTCGATCTCCGCCGCAGGTGCCGGGCCCGATGCCTCACATGGCGCAGGTTCCCATGTCGCAAAATGCTCAGTTGCAACAGCAGCGTCGCATGAGCCATGTGGGCAGCCCGCATGTTCCTACCGCGCAGCCCGTTATGAATCACGTCGGACGACCATCGGTACCACCCTCGATGCCGCCTCCGCCGCAGCCGCCCGTTCAGCAGAGCCAGCCTTCCCCCGAAGTAGGCGCCGCCCCGGCTGAGGAATCTCCCCTCTATGTCAACGCGAAGCAGTTCCACCGCATTCTCAAGCGACGAGTCGCGCGGCAAAAGTTGGAGGAGCAGCTCCGGTTGACCTCCAAGGGCCGGAAACCGTACCTGCACGAGTCTCGTCACAACCACGCCATGCGGCGACCTCGTGGTCCTGGTGGCCGTTTCTTGACCGCTGACGAGGTGGCCGCCATGGAGAAGAACCAGGCCGCAGGATCAGCCTCGGGGAAGGAGAATGCCAACAGTTCCAACGACCACTCCTCGACGGCCCAGAAGCGCAAGTCTGACGCGCTCGGGAACGACAACGATGCGGCCGCAAAGAAGGCCAAGACAAGGACCAGCGAGGAGAGCGAACCGGAATCGGCTGGCGTGTCGGACGAGGACGGTTGAACGAATCGCCTTTTGTCCTCTGGTCCATTGCACTTGGACCCTCTCTTTCTGTCTTTCTTCTCGGTATCTACTCTTCATCATGGCTGCAGTTATGGATGGATGGATGTCTGGTATTCTTCTAGCAAGCGACGTGTGCATTCTTGTGTGTTTTCGTTTCTCTTGATGCTGTTTCATGCTTACTCACTCAGATTGACCCGCTTCACTCTTCATGTTATGTCCGTTTATAGTGTTTTTTTGTTGGGAGGGATGATGATGACGTTATTGTTTCCATTGTTTTACGGCCCCCTTTTTCTTCATTGATCATGTCTTCGTTTTTCCCCCTTTATATGATGCGCTCCATCTCCATGAGACGATCTTGCCCCCTTCACTTTATTGTCGATGCCTCAATGTGTTATGTTGGCATCTTCGATTCGTGCGGATATATTTATATATGTGGATTGACGGAAAGAATGCTTTCTTTCACATTTCTTCTTCTCCGGCACACGCCAGATCTTCCTGCTGCTGGTCGACATGCTAAGTGTCAATTGATGTCTCTAGCGATCCAAGGCAGGCAGCATAATGATCAACCACCTGCCGGCCGCATGGCGTGTCTCGCAGCAGTTCTTTTGCCCCACGATTATTGATTGTTTGTCATTGCGTTTATTGGGACTGGGTTGGGAAATTTAGAGAGGTATCCATCACTGGTAAAACATATAAAAAAAGAAACACTGAGCAAAGGGTTGAAGTGAAGGGCATGGCAGACTCGGGACGTTTACAGAACCGAGAATATGACCCGTTATTTCCTGTTCCTATGAGGAGAGGCGGATTGACTACGTATCAATGATACCTGTCATGTCTTCTTGGGATGAGCTTTTTTCCTTTTCTTGTTTTCATTTATCTGTCTGGGGGATTCATGACTGTTTCTTTAGCATCTGACGGTGGGGACCGGTTTTGGGTTCTGGGTTGGGATACCCACGATCGAATCATGCTCCTTCTCTTCTGACGCTCGTTTGTACTCTTGATGAAACTATTTTGGATCACGCTTGACGAATCTCGTTCTTCTACTTTCTAAATTGTTCGTTCCACATGTCTTGGTTCCTTGATTCTTCCACTCGGAGGTCGTATGATGATGCCATGAACAAGTTCGCCGGGGAGGGTGTTGTAGATTTGAGAAGAAAAAGAAAAAAGACAAAAGGCGCTTCCATGTAATATAATCCAGCCCACATAAAAAAGAATATTTATCATCGGCGATGGCCTCCATGTCTGGCGTAGTAACTGATCAGTCGTAGTTAAGGGGAGGATCCGTCGCAATCGCGTACTATTGACCATACCAACAATGACACCACAATAGGGGAAGAGAGATCAAAGAAATGAATAACGATTATGCAGTGAATGGCTCTATTGAATAGCAGGCGCTAAGGGTCTCGATCCGTCTTTATAGGCACCAGTTGTTGTTTCGTCAATGCTGTGAAGTTCAATGGAAGAATATCAATGTCTCTGGTGCGAAGCAAAGGCGCCTCTAATCCTCTGTTATACCTTGCTTTGCAGAGTTACTAGGAGTATTACTCAACTTCCATCCACGCAGCATTGTGCTAGCTACTACCTAGATAGGTGGCCATCGAGCGCAGAGGCTCGAGTTCTTGGATCAGGATTGGTGGATAACTATCGATCAGATCAGACTTGCCAGGTGAGAGCTCACTTTCCCCTTGTATTCAACATTGTCATCGTCCCTGCCTCCCCCCATCTCCTATCACCATCTTCCCGACGTGGTGGACGAGGGAGCTGTCATGTCGAACGGTTGATAGACGGAGGATGGTGGCCATACCGGGCTGGGTTTAGCCGCACGCGCTCTCCACCGCGATCCGCCCGTCTCCAGCTCCTCTCCAGCCTCTCTTTCTCCCCTTCTCCTCTTCGCAACGCCATCCTTTCCCCGATCCAGGTCAGCGTCTGCTCCCCCGGGTCGAGCTCCACGTTCATCTGATCATCAATGTGCTCGGGGATAGCTTCTTATCTTGTCGCTTGCTCCCCCTGAATCTTTCTTGTCTGGGCTTCTTGTAGGTTGCCTGCCTCACTTCTCATCTCTCGTGTTTAGCCGCTGCCCTTGTCTCTCGTACCCCCAGTCCTGGCCTTCTCTTCTCGCATCTCCTCCCTTCATCCTTATTTTAATTATCTCTCTCTCTATCTTCATACGCTACACGTTCCGTTTCTTTTCTTTCTGAGGTCAATCTTCACTTGCCTCGTCACGCTTCGAGCGTCCATCCATCTCCGTCACTCCCGCGCATCTGCCCTAGTTCCTCTCCTATTCATCAGGTCGCCGTGCATCAGCTGGCTGGTTGTCTCGGTGAACCCAAGAGTCCACGATCGTGGCTGGGTGGATATACCAACTCTTTTATCACTTCTTTCTTGATCGCTCTTTGGCGAAGCCTTCTTATCGCTCTCTCTTGCTGAAACAAACTCCCTCGCCTCTGTTGCCCTACCTGCACGGTCACATCGTCAACCACCTTTTCTCTTGAAAACTGTCTCTAACGCTCACTATGTCGGATCTTAGCTTACGTTGGCGATCTCGAAGCGTCCTGTCGATAGCTTTTGGCCAGTGCTGGTCTCCCGGCGTGACTTAGCGTGACCTGGCGACGTGATCGTATCGCGTCTGTCGTCATATTATCGGTGTCTACTGATTTACCAGAAAGAACCCTGGGGTCTTGTGAATAGTCCATTCGGCAGCAATGGATTCGTACGACGGTTATGGCTCCCCTGGGAGGAGTCGCGACGGAGACTCCTATCCGTCTAGAGCCCCAGTCGATTCGTATCGTCGCAGGTCTCCTGGTACCAGCGCCCGTCTGACACCCCAAGCTATTATTATGACATATGGCTGACAATTTGCAGCTTCCCAGGATCGCCGCCGTGGACGTGGCCGTTCTCGATCTCCTGTCCTGATTGACCGTTACGAACCGGTGGACCGTCCCCGATCCTCTCGTGATGACTACTACGGAAATTCTCGTGACCATGCAGCAAGGGACCGTGAGGACCGCCGCAGAGCTCCTTCGCCTCATGTCGCCAATATCGACCGCTACGTTCCCGGACAGGATTCCGGAAAGCGCCCGATTCCTACCAACCCCCTTCCCAACCCGTTGACATTGGACTTCCAAGTTGGATTTAATTGGTTTGCGGAATGGTGGAGAGCGGAGCAGGCTATCAAGGAGGAAAAGGAGCGCGCGAAACATGGCGGACGGCGTCCGTCTGATCGCGTCAAGGGAGAGCGCGAGGCCCGCGAGGATCGAGAAAGGGAGAGGGGACAGATCCAGGCGGCCTACGATGCCTATAAGGCGGAACTGCAGGTAAAGATGGCTAGGGCCTTCGTGCAGCAGCATCGTAATGAAGAGTGGTTCAAGGAACGCTATGTCCCAGAGATCCGAGATCCTCTGCGGCGCCGCCTGATGGATTTTCGGAGCGGCGCTTACGCGCAATGGGAGCGCGACATTGAGTCGGGCGTCTTTGACGAATTCACCCTGGAAGGAATTTACAAGAGTGAGAGCGACGGAGCAGGCGGTATCATCGAGAAGGAAGAGGGTGAAGCCACCGCTGTCGGTGAGACCCTCGGAGTCCTCGACTTGCTTCCCGCTAGGGGCGCGGAATTGCGCGACGAAGCGCTTTCCCAGCCCGCGCTTCTTATCAAGACACTGGCCCCGAACGTCAGCCGAGAGAAGATCGAGGAATTCTGCAAGGAGCATCTTGGTGAGCAAGACGGCGGCTTCAAGTGGCTCAGTTTGAGTGACCCAAATCCGGCAAAGAAGTACCATCGGATGGGATGGATTATGCTCCACCCCGCTCCTGAGCCACCGGCTGTGGTTGAAAGAGGCGACGGCCGCGATGAGGAAGGAGAAGAGATGGAAGCCGATGCTACTGCCAATGGATCAAGCACGGCGTCGACAGCCGAGAAGGCACTGGACGCCGTCAATGATAAGACCATCCATGATCCAGTCCACGGTGACTTTGTCTGCCATGTTGGTGTGCATGTGCCACCTTCGCAGCCTCGCAAAAAGGCTCTTTGGGACCTCTTTTCGGCCCCAGAACGTATTGAGCGTGACCTCGCGTTGGCAAGGCGACTGGTGGCCAAGTTTGACTCGGAAATGGGTGAAAATGCAGATGGTTTCACCAAGATAGAAGAGCGGGTGGAAGATCTCCGCGGAAAAGGCTGGTTGCAGCCTCCCGTTACCGGGCCTGTCAGCGTCAAGAAGCGCAAGAACGGGTTTGGCTCAGAGGACGGGTTGGACGAAGGCGAGGCCGAAGAAGGCGAAGAACAGGAAGGATGGGAAGAAGAAGAAATTGACGACGAAGACCTACTGGTCAAGAAAAAGAAACTGGACCTCATGGTCGAGTATCTCCGCCGGGTGTATAACTTCTGTTTCTTCTGTGTCTTTGAGAGCGACTCCGTGCATGAACTTGTCCGGAAATGTCCCGGTGGCCACCTGCGTCGTCCACGAGCCGGACTGACCAGTCAGGCAAAAGCTGTGGCTAAGGCCAGCGCCCAGGGGCAGCCGTTCCCTGCCAAGAAAAAGGAGCAGGCTGAGGAGGGTGAGGAGACCACAGTTCCGGTCGAAGAGAAGCGCCCTCAGCGGTTTGCTTCCAAGTCGGAGCAGCAGTTGCAGCGTGCGTTCAACTGGGTCAAGACGTTTGAAGACAAGCTTCTCCAAATTCTAGAGCCGGAGAATGTGGACATTAGAAAGCTGGGTGGAAAGCCCGTCGAGGAAGCGCTTGAGGAGGAATTGTCCAAATATATCAAACAGGAAGACGAGTCCAAGTTCCGCTGCAAGGTCCCGGAGTGTACCAAATTGTTCAAGGCGGAGCACTTCTGGCGTAAACACGTGGAGAAACGTCATCCTGAATGGTATGAGAACATTAAGAAAGATGTAAGTCTCTGTGTTCGCGAATTTCCAATAGTTCTGGAGCTGACAAGCTGTAGCTTACCCTCGTGAATGCATATGTTCTGGACCCTGCCCACATTGCGCCCTCTCGGTCCGACGCCAATAGCAATGGTCACTTCCCTCTTTCATCTGCGCACATGCAGACAGGGACTCCTCGTGGCTTCAACCTTTCCAACATGCCCTACTTTGGCGCCAACGGCGTCGCTGGGAACTTCCAGGGTATGCCAGGTCCAGGTTTTGCTGGCTTCGTGGGTGTAGGCCAGGCCGGTGCATTCAATGCAAACGGACTGATCGCTGGAGACCCTTCCCTCCATCAGCCTGGTGTCATGCGTCGAAATGGCGGTAGGTATAGCAACCGCTCGGGACCGTACGACCGTCGCGGCGGTCGTTACGGCCAGGGAGGAGGTATGGGCAATGGCCGTTTGAGCCCTGTCCGAGGTATGCCTGGCATATTTGGATCTGGTGGCCGGCTTCCATACAATGCTAGTGCAGCGTACGTTCCCCCAGGACACCCGGCCGCCGAGCTTGTCGGTCATGGCGGTTTCCCTGATGCTATGGGTTCTGGAGGCGCACAACAAGCTATGGGTCCTCGTGAAGCTGTGCAGGGTCGCAGCTTGAAGAGTTATGAGGATCTCGATGCCGTTGGAGGTGCTGGAAGTGGCGAGTTGAACTACTAAACGTTACTACCCGCCATTGAGACAATTTTGCGCGCCATGAATCATTACTCTGTGCTTAGTTGCCCTTCATTCTTTTCACCTGCGATACCAGGATAAAAAGCCCTGTTGCCTTGTGAGCCATTATCGGCTAATCACGACTATTCTTGCCTCATTTCTCCATTTTCACTTTTTATTCCTAGTCATGCAAAAGCAATCAGAAGGGTTACGTGAACCATGGCGGCTTTTCGGGACAGTTATGCAGTGAGGGGGATCTTTTCGACATGTGTGCCGTGTATCATATTGCTATTCATAGGAATCGATGTCAGTTAGGCCTTTTTATAATTGATCTCGCGCTCATGTCTCTTAGAGTCAGCGACAAGTATGTTGCACGAGTCATCATGAAGCAGTTGTAGACAATACTGCAGTCGATGGCCAATTCGTATGTTTGGCTAGTACGGTTAGATTCAATTGATGCTCTATGCATTCTCCGTTTTGACACCATATTTGGCCAGCTACCGCTATTGTTTCGTTCGCTAACTGCGAATATTAACGTATTAGTTCAGTTAATAGCCATCAAGAATATAGTCACTATTGTCTTATTGGTACAGGTGTCAAGTTTATATTATGTAGCAAGCGCCCAAATCTACTTCTGCAGTATTAAAATGATACCAAGCGTGTTAAGACTGAACACTAATTAGCAAGAAAGGATACTTGGCAATATATATATATATATATACGTGGTTTAATATATACACCAACAAGAGACGGCAGTTACGGCATCTCAATAACGGTGTTTTCCGCACCGTCCTTCCATTGTGCTCCCATTCCACGTATGCGACGCTCACTCGCTAGGAAGAGAAGGAGATAGACGTGGGAAGTGACTTCGCCCCAAGTGTAGACTTTTAGAGTTAGTGGCCTGCCTATGGAGTCTTGCTTTGGGACAGAGGCTTCTTCTAATATACACCAGACACCCCAGCCGGCACGGCCTTCTTTGGCGATGAAGTCGGCCAAAAAGGACCAGAATCGAGTGAAGAAAGAAATGCTCCATTGGTTCGCTTTTGCAGGATTTGGCTCATCGAGAGTATTTTGTCCCTCTTTCTGGTTTTCTCCGGATCCTTCGTTCTGGTCTGCGATGTAGATGCGTAGAAACCAGAACCCTCTTTCTAGCTTATCTGGCTCTCTTGTCTGTCGTAGAGGCTGGTATGTGCGCGAACGTTTGAGACGTTCCGCAAGCATGCGCAGAGTCGGCGTGATATGTGTCTCGAATCGTTCTGTCGAGACAGGAGGAGGCGGTGGACGAAGCATAAGGGGAAGAACATCTAGAGACAGCAATTGGCCAGGTTCATGGGATGTTTTGTTCTGTGGAGAAGCTCCAGCCGTCACAGAATCGTTGGCTGAAGCATTGGATAACATTGAAGGCGCTCCCTTCTCTGGCTGGATCTGTTGGTTGGTGTCCTGCAACTGTCTCCCTTCTGGCAGAGAGGAAGGCACACGCATATCTGTTGTGCTGCTATCAGCTGACGACTCTGCGTTCAAACGGCGCCTTTTCCTTGTATCACTAAAATCCGATTGGAAAGACCTCTCAACATGCACGTCAGGAAGTTGCAGATGCTCGAAAGTGGTGTCGCCTGTCTCCGTAGGTGGTGGAGCAGGTTGCGATTCTGGAATGACGCTCAGCGGCGTCTCCATAGAACCCGACACACAGGAGCGTTGAGATGGTTGGTCGTGGACGCCATCTTCCTTCGAATCAGTGGAATCGCGACTGTCTTGCAGACCCGAAGGACGGTCTGGAGGGTGACTGTATGATTCCTCATTGTCGGGTAAGCCTGACGGTAGCTCCTCACAACCAGGGGCCGGACACTTGGTTACAGATAGGCTCTTGTTTATTGAAATCGATTCCTGTGTTGAAATGACGCTTTCCAGTTCATCTCCAGAGTTGATTCCCCCTTCTTGACTGGTAGGTGAGGCTCCCGCGGACCTGGCTGATCCGTCCTCGCCGCCAGGGCTATTGCAACTGATTTCCTGTTCAGAAAACACACATTGTCGCGATATTGGCTCGAACGCAGCGGCTGCTTCGGCGAGCGTGCGATATCTAGCGTCGTCCTTTGCCCGACTAGGCGCGGAGACGTGGACAAGTATTTCTGATCGTCTCATGAAGCGGAGAGCCCTTCTCGCCCGCCCTCATCGTGAACCGCAGCAGACAAATCTGAGGATCAAGCAGATTGGCAAAGATCTAGTTTATTCTGTGCGATATGGGCTCTCACAGTCGGGCGTCGTGATGCTGGTGACGGTGGTGGTTCTCCCTAGCGGTACGATTGTCGTTCGAAAAAGCGAAGGCCCGTCATTTCCTCTTCGGGACGTGCCGTCGAGCCTCCCGAGGTTCGCTACCAGAAAATAATAATCTGTCTCCGTACAGTTAACTCTTCATCATTATTACGAGTCATAACCGTTGGCAGATCAGCGACGATAAGATGTGCATTGCTGGATGGGAGTTCTCTCGATTCACTACTCGCCACCGAGTTCTCTGAGATAGGCGACATTCCTCGCCCAGCTGGTCGGGGCACAGTGTGAAATAGGAGTACAGTTCGTTCAACTTCTCGTCTCTACCACTCTTCGCGCAAGTCAATGACGATGTATTTTTTTGCTAGGCAAAGAAGAGGCTTCTTAAGTGACGCCCGCCAATCTGCTGCAAAGGTTCTCTGGGGGGCTTCTGTACATTCCATTTCTCTCTTCCCGCTCTGCCACGGGAACAGAGAGCTGTCTGAAACGACTGCGCAAGAAATAAGGGACGGCCCACCCTTACCATAATAATAATGACCCGGACGGTGACGAACTGCTCAGATGAGGAACGAACCTAGATCGAATTAAGATAGTCCTCCCTAGGACGGCCATTTTCTCTCGGTTCAGCTGGGTCCTGAACACTACTACTGTTTCGATCGCCTCCCAGCGGTCATGATATGAGATCCGCACGGGCGTCGATTATTGGGATACTCGATCTCCTACTGGAACTACCTCCTGGGCTGAGAGCTAAGTGGGTTGCGCCGCGCGCGATGTCTGCGGGGATCGTGACCCATCTAATCCACAACTTTCGTCTCTTGAGACGGCCGATTGCCGACTCGTCGGAAGCCTCCCTGGTGTCGAGGCGGGTAGACGAGCTCTGGCGAATCGTAAAGTTCCCCAGCAGAGGCGGAATCGTATCCCAGATCGAGAGGCAACTGGTTGGACCGGTCTGCATGAAGAAGATCGAGCCGTCTGGATTAAAGGGCAGTGAGCCCTGGGAATGAAGATTCGATCGTGCGTTAAACTGGGCTCGGTGGCTGCAGTGGAGAATGAGCTCTTCGGTTTATCGGACGATCAACAGCATTATTGGCCCCGGCCGCGGGTCGCCGCTATGATCTCGAGGGTCTAGATGACCGCAGGCTACGGGCGAAAGGGCGCCGTTGGATGCGTGTAACGAGACGAGAAAAGTTAGTAGTCTCGCGGATGATCAGATGAGGACCCTCCCACTCAATTCGAGAAGCGATCGTATCCTTAAGTGATTCCTTGGGTCGTTCGTGTCTCCGGAGCCGATCGTCCAGCGTCTTGGCTGGCGTTGCACAGACGACTCTCAGCCCGCGAGGACAGCCCTGTCTGGGCGGGTTATCCGTAGAACATATCCGGAGCAAGAGACGAACCATCTCTCAACCAGAGAGCGCGGCACAGAAAGAAACGACTCTGGGTTGCAAGAGGTTGGAGCCAAAAAGTCTTCTGCACCCCCTGGCGGCCTGGAATCAAAGTTAATAGACCACCGTCGTCCAGACTAGGTCCGCAACTAATTTATCCACTCGCTCATCTTTCTACCACCAGTTTGAGCTTGATGTAAGGCGCTTAGCTAGACCTCCTCTCAAACCCATCGGAGCGTCTGTTGGAGTCACTAGCTTTCGGCTTTATTATCTACCCTGGCCGAACTACCGTGCCGCGCGGAAATCTTGAGATAACACAGACTTGAGGCCCATTGCTTCTATCCCATTTCCCAATTCTCGTGAACAGCAGCACGTTTCAACGTTCAGGACGCTCGGGAGCGGCAGGGTCCACTTATGGTGAGCTTGTTCGCTCGTTGTCTCTTTTTGAAGACTCCTTTCTTGACGCTGGTTGACAGACAGTTTAGGTAGCAGCAGCGACCTTCTGAATAATCCTAGCCGTTGAGCCTCACATACCCCGGGACTTCCGTCGCCAGTGTGGTAGCCCCGCGATCATCATCACATCGAGATAGTTGTCGGACGAGACGAGGGAAATTGCGAGTGCACGATGAGTTCCGCAGGTGGTTCATTGTCCCCCGACCATGGCCTGGGTCAGAATATGCAGTATGATGGAGGATATGGTAAGTTTATTTTGCGAGATACCTCCCTGTACAGCCTTGGCCGGTTTCCGCCCGGGTACATTTGCACCACAGTCAAGGCCATCCTTGTTATACGAAACAGCCGCTGCCTCGGTGGTGTCTCGTGGTCTGGTGGTCGACGTGAAAACAGCTGCGCCTTCACGCCAGACGTGACTACCCGTCTAATTTGGCAAACTGGGACGGCCTTGTTCTGTGCTCTGCGTTTAACTTCTCTCATCATTCTGTTGTTTTTTCTGTATTGATTATGAAAGCTTACACTCCTTGCACCGTATCTCTCTCGTCCATGGCCGGTCGGGCGGATCCATTGACTATCATCACATCTGTTTTGCGGGCTCGGAGAAGCGCATGGCAGGATGGTCAGTGAGCCGTCTCGCTCGGTTCATGGGAGAGGGCTGGTGCACGGTACTGTAACAGGCCCGCCACAACAACCTATCCACAAGGCTCCATCCCTTATGAATATAAGCTTTTTGAAAGCATTCGGTAGCGCCCAGAAGAAGCCCATGAAAGGTCTGTCTTCCCTGATCCATATGTCGCGGATGGATCTCAGAACTGACCAGTCGGTTAGATGGCCAAGCTCCAAAGCGTCGAGGCCCAAAGCCCGACAGCAAGCCCGCCCAGACGAGGAGACAGGAGTTGAACAGACAGGCTCAGAGGTGCGTGATCCCTACTACGCAGTACGAAGAGGGTCTGACGAGCGATTCAGAGCACACCGTGAACGTAAAGAACAGTATATTAGAGCGCTTGAGACCGAGGTCTCGAGGTTGAGGGAGGCCTACACTGCTGACGTCGCTTCGGCACACGCATCACTACAGCAGCACGGAGAAGCTCTGCACGGGTTGAGGGAGGAGAACGCTATCCTGAAGGATATTTTAGCTTCGCACAACATCAATTACGAAGCAGAACTTCAACGTCGCAAGGGAGAGAGACCGCCAGGATCCTTCGCAGGAAGCAGCACAGGTTCCCAATCTGCCGGCCTCCAGAGTTCCGGTGCACCACCTATGTTCACAACTCCTCCAACTACTATTTCCTCTCCGGGAGGCAGTGGTGGTGACCATTTTGAGCTACCGCCGAACAACGGTCCCTCGTACCAACATAGCGGTTTCCAAGTAAGCCACGGTGGTGAGCAACCTGGTCACCTTGACTTTTCGTCCAAAGCGGCCAATGGGCCGGTATTATCCGAGGTTCCTGGGATATTCGAGAAAGACCCTCAGCTTGGGGTGGACTTTGTCCTGACGTACGTGGAATCCCAATTGAACGTGAAGAACTCCCCTGCTAACAATGAGTCCCCAGTCTCGAGGCACCGTGTCGTGTGCACACCGAATACCTTTGTCGGAGGTCTGCATCGGTTCCGGACGAAGATGATATGCCATTCTCGGGCCACGCATTGATGGCCTCTTGTCCGCCACCAACCCATATCCATGGCACTACGGAGGAGCATCCGTACCCTCATCAGACTTATGATTTACCGGCCGCAAACTTAGCTACACTGCTGAACCTGAGTCGCCAACTCGTCACTGACGGCCAGATTACACCAATCATGGCACTCCAGAGTCTGAAGAACCACGAACTGTACCCCAGTCTCACTCGGGAGGACGTGAAAGCTGTCATGGATACGTTGCTTGCTAAGATTCGGTGTTACGGTTTCGGCGCTGTTGTGGAGGATTTCGAGCTCATGGACTGCCTCAGCAGCGTGCTGGGCACGAAAATAGAGTCGGGCTTCTCTAGGTCCGCTGATGACATGATGTACTCCTAGGCGAAATCGGGGGTTAGTCACGAACCGCATCACCGGTGTCGCGCACTTGGGGAAATAGGTCACAGGCTGGGATAAAGATGCTGTCTTGGGTTAGGTGCTTATTCGGTTTACAATATATAATACAGCGGCGAGGCGGGTAACCTCACCATTCAGGGTGTTTTCAACTGCGGACTCTGCTGTCGATCATGATGTCCGTTGTGATGGGAATGGGGCTTTGGTGGGAGAAGCCACGGCGTCGTTTAAAAACATCAGTTTTTGGGTCTGCATAATTATTTGGAACTATTATTACTTGTGTCAATACCTGTTAATTCTTGGATATTTCGGCCTTTATGATTTATGATATTTCCTGTCCTTATTAATAATTCTTACGAAGGTTTTGGTCAGTATATATTTTGACGATTGACTCGGTAATGGTGTATAGCCTCACTGATAGCCGCTGCTGATACCCTGGAGACCCGGTGTCAGCTCGAAATCGTTGCTAGACTACCCTAATATGGAGCGCTCTTGGTGGTCTCGGACAAAGTATCATCATCCACTCTTGGTGTTTAAGATGTGTCATTGCTTTCCAATCTTAGATTGCTAGTATATTGCTAACTGCGGCTACCAAGACACCCCGTTGGACACCGTTTCCAGACGCGGGACAAATCAGGGGTTGGTGACACAGCTCTAATCTATTATTATATACAGTTCTCCCGACATCAAACTGACCGACCCCTTACTAGAGCGTAATCCATAGACGTTACACGAGCCGCAACGGCTTCAACCGATGCCCCCTCTCGGACCTGGGTGATTACATCCTCCACTAGATCCGGCGGTGCTGATGCGAGCAGGGCGTACATGTTTTCTAACGCTGCATATTTGGTGGCCGACCTCGGAACTGATGAGCCCCTGACTGTATTCTGAACGACCGCGGGGGACGATGCACAGTCGGACTCAGATACTGTGACTGAAAGGTCTGATTGCGTCTCCCGCTCCAGGATCGCCAGTCTGTTTCTTAAACGATTTACCTCGTTCCGCAGGTTTTCAATGATTTCCGCCTGGGAGATGTAGAAACGATCTTCGCTATTCGTATTGTATTGGCAGGCGTCTGGCGTATCTTTGCTACAGCATGCCCGGCAGGGTTTCGTTCGATCACACTGTCCTCGTTATTAGTACAAGGCGGGTATATTATTGAATCATTTTATCAAATCATTACGAGCCAATAATGGCTTCTGCTCACCTTTACTTTCCTTCTCCGACATGGGATGCACGAGGGCGATGGACGATTCTTGACTTGTTGAGATCCTTCAGGGCTACCTCGGGGACCATCACTGCCAGTGGAATTCGCTGCACGTCTCTCCCGAGGAGCCATTATTCTCACCAGATAGCCGGAAGAACAGCGGGCAGGTCGCAAGGAGCGCAGATCAAAGGATCAGAATCCATCTAATGGGCCGGATTTAGACAATAGCCGGCTATCTCGATGAGCGCTGTTATGACCGAGCCATTGTATATTGAGACGGTTGAAGAAGGTCTTTTGTCTCGTCGTTCAAGGGAGTAGATGAACGAACTACAGTCGATCGATTGAGGAATGCTCTGTGTAAAGGGGATGATATCTTTGATATAACTAACCCATATAGCTTGACCTTGCTCTCTACCCTGATGGATCCCCGCTGCGGGATTTAGTTCGAGTCAGTAAGTCTCCGTCTAGTCGATCGGAGTGTACCATAGAATCCATTAACTCTATCTCTCCAGGACCGGAGCGCCACTCTCAATGGAAATCTTGTTGCGCCTCTCTTCAGTAAGTAGTGATCACGGACCTCCAGCCTTAAGTACTCACAGACCAGTTAAAAAGTAGCGCAGCCCTGCAGGAATAATTAGTCTGGAGACGCATGGAATATTATTCCGTCCTCATGGGTAATAATAATAATATCTCGGCCACGGCTGCAAGATGAAGTTTCATTTTAGCGCTCGAAGGAAACTTTTGGTCTGTCATAAACGCCAAAAGACCGTCTCTTTCTCGTCCCGGACCGGCCGACCGCCCTAAGTTAGTTATCTAGGGTGGAGAAATGGGATGTTGAAACGAGGTAGATAGTTTCGCACGCGTAAAACGAAGCGAGCCGGAAGGAGGTCCGTGTTGCGAGCTTGTTAGGTAGGTAGTTAATACTACTATATTTTAGGAGTTCCTACGCGAAGTTGAGGAGGTTTCCTGGTTTTATTTTTTTTTCAGTAGTGGCTTGTTGCATTCGCTGGATTGTTGTACCGGTACGACCCAGCTGAATGGGCTTGGAAGTAAGTAAGTAGATTTTCAATGTGTCCCTGCGTAACAATCTCTTGTGTACTACTTAAGTACTGTGCTCGGTGAGACTCCAGAAATAATACCTAGGAGATGTTTGTACAGTATATAAACAATACAGGCCAGCGGTAGTAGCATAGCAAAGATTTCTCTGGCAGATTGCGATTGATGATTCATGCTTATTCATTATTTGATGAGGAGATGGGCATTTGGCTGGTTACAATGACGTTAGGCTCGGTTTATCTTATCGGCCACTGTAACTACATAGTTATCTTGCTTTTCAGTAGAAATCTCCACTACTTAACTGACCACGACGATGAGTAGATGAGTAGATGGACCTCGGGGAGGCAGAGGAGCGCTTGAAAGTCCCCGAGAGACCAGGACGGCATGTATATCTGGGAATCTGGAGAATATACCATACGCATGGAGAATTCTTGTTTCGCCCTTTCTTAACATCCATCTTGATCTTATTGCATGACTTTTCTGTTCATCCCCGTCGAGTTACATAATCCTGACATCAAGGTGCTGCGCTCGATGATACAAGATGTCGCGATGTCTCTTTCTTTCTTTTTTCTCTCTCTTTCTTTGAAATGGAAGATCAGATTAGCATCAGTCCCAAGCCATTGCTACCAATTCTTCCATAATGGCAGCCCCGGGTAATCCTCTTACCCGGCAGGAAGTCGTTCATCCGCTGCGGAGTTCCTCCAACTCCCCACTATCACTGCATGATGTCGGCCTTTTCAAATCGACGATACTGCCATCATTTACCCTTCATTCAGGTCTCTCCGCAACCAGCTATGTTATAGCGCGAGCGACCGATCGCCTTGAGATCAAGGACTGGCTGTGGCCGTTGGCCCCCGTCATCAATGCCTGGTGGAGCAGTGTCGGTCGCGCTCTCTACTACAGCGATGTCTCTCTCAAGGTTGCTTGGGAATCGCTCTCCTGGTCTGAGAAGTTGCTCCTTGGAGGTGTCACCACCTGGGGGCTGAGACTGTTCTACCGCATCGCATCGCGGAGCATCGCCCGCGGCAAAGATGACCCTCGCTATGAACAGGACAAGAAACAGCCCGGTTTCTGGAACAAGGCCTTCTTCACCCAATTCCTGCCGGAAATACTCTTCCAGACCGCCATAACCCTCCCATTCACTGTTCCGTTCCGCGTTCTGGACCGCCCCGTTTCTCTGGATGCGGACGTTCTGAATGTACTGCGTGGAATCGCCGTTGGTCTCTTCAGTGCGGGCTTGGCTCTGGAGACATTGGCCGACTCGCAGGTCTCTTCCTACCGGAAGGTGCATGATGGCCTGTGCCGTGATGGTGTTTGGAGCATCGTGAGACATCCCAAGTAAGTAGTAGTACTTGAATTCCATAAAGAAACTGTGTCCCGCCATGGAGTACTGAGACAGCCATCACAGCTACCTTGGTGATACTCTCGTTCACCTTTCTTTCCCACTGCTTTGCGCCAGTGGGCCATTCCACCCCATCACTGTCGTGGGACCGCTGGCAAACTACGTCTTCCTCCGTTACATGGGCGGCGACAAGGGCACCGAAGAATACCAGGAAAAGCGCTACAAGACCGAGGACGCACCCAAGTACGTCGAGCTTCAGGAGTACCGCCGCGAGAAGAACAGCTTCTGGCCTTCGTTCTCCGAGCTGAAGAATCCATGGACCTGGAAGATCGTGGGCTTCGGTCTTGCTGGTGTCGCTGCCGAGGAGATTGCCCGCGCATTGTACACCCCATAAATCAAGGTACATACATACTTCATGCTATTTGAAATAAGGGATATATGTTATTTTCGTGTATTGTATGTATATACAGTACAACCTCATCAGGGATCTGTGTTGACGAATCTTTAACTGAATTGAGTCGTATATAAATTGCTATAAAGAGTCGATAGTCAATAATAATGAAGGGCCAGTACCACACTCTCAGAAATAGCCTCTGTCATTCCAGGACCGTTTTGCCGTGTTTATACCGTTTCATGAATATAAAAAAATATAAATACATACGACAGCAGGGATTCGCTGGTGGTCACCCACCCGACTACTACTTAACCTGACGCGCCCTCCCTCGCCTAATCTCAACATTTTCATCAAGGCATGCTTTGCTGAAATACAGTCTCGGAAATAGTAATGGCTAGACATTTGGCACACGACCGCAATTATATTGAGTGTAATTATTGATTATTTATCACTGTAGTCATATCGATTCTTGCAAACTAACGGACAATCTCTTTCTGAAACCGGATTGGAACTAATACAGAGTATAGGATCTCTCTATGTACAACAGTGCTTATAGAACACTGCCAGTTCTGAGCTCACGCATTGCTACTCGGCTTGAAACTGTCCCTTGGCTCTGAAAACCTCAGGCTTCGCATCCTGTTATACTGCCCAGTACGCATAGTAATCGGTGGGGCAAGCACGGCGAGATTCACTCGCATAGTATGAGCACCTGGATTGATCTATCATATATCACCCTTCTAGACCTCACATGGCACCTGCCCGCGCGGTTGAGCTAGAGGGGAGTCTTCATCTCAATTATGTTGTATAAGAGATCTATTAGGGTTACTTCTTCCACGCTAATGCAAGACGTATAGTCCTCAAGACAGCATCTGTTCATATGACTAGTTAACGTAATCAACCATAACCCAACCACCGAGCGGGCATATCCTACCTTTCTTCTCTTACTCACCATTGTATTTCTCCCATCACGACTCACGAAATTCATTTAAACCAACTTCGTAATCTTCAACGCTCATGTAAGACAGTTTCTCATTCTTACATCTCTCTACTAAAGTGAGTAATACTATTACAAGTCCACATTCAGCTTCCTGCGCTGGCTAATTCTGAAGGCTCAAACGCCTCCCCTAACCGACAACGGGCGGTATGAGTGACAAGTCGTGGACTGAGGAGTTCTTCTTTCAATGGCCCCGTCCAGATTGGATAAATGCAGTACATGAGGATTGTCAGAATTTCAGACCTTTTCTTCCGCAGGGAAAATGGATGTTGGGAAGGTCAGTGGGTACCAATCTGCGCTCCAGCGAGGATCAGAATCAAGTCCTATGGCTTTTCGTCCAGCTTCAGCACCAAGAGACATATATACCCAAATATGTCGCCAAAGTAGTAAGTATATAGGAAACAGATCCTTTTCAGGAGATAGCTGATTTCAGATAAAGTTTTCTGAATACACTGAAAAGGATGCACAACTTCAGCTTCGACGCTATCCACCCCGTATACCTAAGAAGGCTAAGGAGGTAAAAGATGAACTTGACCCGTATACGAATGAAGCTCGAGCATACCACTGCATTGAGATGTCGTGCGCAAGCTCAGAAAGGATATATTATCCAGAGTTTCACGGTGTTATCACTGATCTTGGAATATCAAGGTTCACTTATGGCTTTATCAATCCTCGGGCCATTGTTCTCGAATCCATCAGGCCAAAGCTTGCATCACGACGAATTCTAGCGGCCCACAGAGAAGATAACTGTGAAATTCGGGATCAGCTCAATCATTTAGGACTCCTCAGTGACTTCGAATTGGAATACTATCATAGTCTATTCCATGACCGGATCCGCCGTCTTTTAGTGTTACACAAACTCGGAATCACACATGGTGATGTACGAGATGATCATTTCAGACTACCAGGGGATTTCTATGATACAGTCTTATATGACTTTTCTCATTCATATACCTTCTCTTCAGTCATGCCTTACTTGGTCAATTTTCGTCCACCATGTTCTTTAAAGACGATTTCAGACCACGAACAGACCATGGTTAAGCAACAGATCTATGAACGGTAGGCAACACAAGACAATATCATTGGCAGGAAGCTAAATTTTAACCAGGGCCAAAAACTTAGACTTCCGTAATCACCTTGAAAAGTCTAGCGGGCTTACTCAAGCAATGCTCCTGGATGCGCTCTTCCAACCACTCAAGGATGAACCATTAGAATTGATAATTCTGCGAGTAAATTTTCGTCCTGACGGTTAGTTTACCCCTGTTTCATTATTTAGAATATATCTAATACCTCATAGCCTTCTCTATGCCATCGGTGAATTCGGTTTTCCCATTCCTTGAAGATATCAGGCCAAAGGATGATAACACCTGGCATATCCGTAGAGGTCGGCTGTTGGAATCCTATGAATCAATTTGGATAAGCTCTACAACAAATGATTCAGGCCATACTTCTATGAGCATCGTGTCTGACCTTGACTATACCGAAAATGTCACGGGCGCAAAACGCAGATACCTCCTCTGCTTAGTACCGAAGGAGTGGGGAGTTGAAGATGTCCGCAGTCCACTTATAAGTATCTGTTCGTCCTTGCCGCGCGGTGCTCGTGGCTGCATTAAGACCTGTATCGATTTAGAACACTATAACTAATTACATACCATGGTGTCCTTGACACAGAAGCCCGATACACTGTATCAGAGTAGCTTTCTCATTCCATTGCTTGAAACGGCATTCAGGCTGCGTGCTCTGGTTCCCCAAGCAAAAGGGACAGAATCCAGGTGAGACTAATGTATAACGGAATGTTAATAAATCCACAACGCGGCTGAAGATTTCCAAGATGAGAACAACAGTGCTCCTGCCAGTCAGTCTCTCTATGGAACCACTTTACACACAAGTGACACCATTCCAAAAATGCTCGGTTAGTACGGTGATGGGCTCTTCTCCCATTTCTATTAATTTGCTGGTATGGTGCAGCGTTGAGAGATCTTCTTGTGCATTGCAGGATATGCCTCGAACGACTTTGGATATCAAGTCTGCAAATGTCAGTAAAAGAATCTGCTAGTAAGATGCTTTTTAACATACCTCATGGAAAAGAGACTCACAGAGTATGTCGTAATGGCCCCGACGCGACGCTTACTCAACGGTCGGGAAATAGCCAACGCTCTCGAGCGCTGTGGATGACCAAAGCAATATCCTTCACGCGCTGGCTTACCATGACGAACTAGTCAGATTTCTCAAGCATTTGTAGAGAGCAAGAGAAAGACCATTGAGGCTTTAACAGTAGTCCACCTCGTCAGGGTGAAGGAATGGCTACGGGGAAGTTTCCTGTGTCCCCATTGAGATCCATCAGTCAGGCGAGAATCCAAACAAAAAGTCATCATGCGTTTCCCTCTTCCATTCCGGATCGGCGCGAGGCCTTCCGTCCTCTGAATAGGAGACATTCCAAAGTCGAGTTCGTGATATGCACCTGCTGATGTTTCCTCCACTGATACTCAGGATGCTCAGTCCGCATAAAGGACTTTCAGGCTCAGATAGTACATATAGAGTAGACTCCAACAACGTGGCTCTGCAGGCTTCGAGTTCTACGTAAAAAAAAAAAAAAAAAAAAAAAAAAAAAAAAAAAAAAAACTTCTGAATATCAACTCTAGCCGGAGCAGTGGTCTTTGTGGGGTATTAGTTAATGGCATCATCACCACCGTTGCTCAATGTTATCAAAGGAATCAGCAGGATTATAGGTATTTTTCGTAGCCTACGCTGTCGCTAAAGTGACATTCCTCATAGTCTGGCAATGCCCATTTTCCCATCCATTCACATTTTAGAACATCATGTGCAGTCAACCGCTTCTCTGGCTCAAAAGATAGCATTGACCGCAACATGTTCATAACAGCAGCTTTCTCCTCTGCATCAAATGCCGGGATTGCAGCCTTCTGCCGTGGGAGTTGGATGTGCTTTTCAATGCGTTCATCCCAAGACCTCACTTGTCGACCTTGATTTGGTTTTCCGCTTTCATCGAAATACTCGTGTCTCGCCTCCCAATTCTTCTGCCACCGTAGAGGTAATTGCCCTAGAGTGTCAACCTGCTCCGCTGTGATGTCGTCCGGAGTGGCTAGTATGTCCTCGAACAAGGGACGCTGACCGAGTATTACCCATATAGAACATGCAAGAGTCCAGATGTCAGCTGGGAAGGAAAGACCCAGTTCTGGCTCAAATCGGGCTTCAGGCGGCATGAAGGATAGAGGGGCGTGCGAGCTATACCGATGCTCTGTTGAGGGTCGGTATGCCTCCCCAAAATCACTAAGTAAGACTCTAGATTCTGAACTCGTGAATTCCTCCGAGGCTTTTCCAAGCCAGATCGGAAGGACAACACTAGATGGAACGTTAGGCTGGAGGGGTTGACCGTCAAGACGAACAACTGGCTCAGACACAGGCGGACCGTATCTTTCATATAGCTGCTCAATAGACAGTTGGTCAAAATCGGTCGGGAGACGCAGAAGGATATTGCCGACGTGAAGATCTGATGTAGAGAACTATATTAACGGACGACTCTGAAATACCTAAGATATGAAGGACTTACCTCCATGAACGACTCCTTTACTATGAATGTAATCGACAGCCAGTACAAGTTGCATAACAAGAGAACGAGCTGTCTTAGCCTGAAATATACGTCGATACGATCCGTCCTTAGCACCGGAGATACTACACCTTGCTAGGGCTGTCACATAGCAAGAGTGGTTGCCGTTAGGGCCACGGAGGACGAATCTGTCTTGAACGGAGGGTATCATTGCCCTTCCAGGGTGGTCAAGTGGGGAAGAGTGATTGAGATAATCGAGGACATCCACCTCTCGAGCGCTTGACTCTGCAGTTCCAACCTTGACTGCCACATATTTACCAGACTGGCAGTCTTGGCAGAGCCAGGTGGTTGAATAGGTTCCGTAGCCTAGCTTGTGGGCTACACGGTATCGGGATTGCAGAATATCACCTATCATTATAGGGTGATATCCACCAGGCTGGTACTTTTCGAGTCTCTCGACTTCTTCGACGGGTACGTATTCGAAGGGGAGGGGAGCAGAGTCAGCGCTGGATGAGACATTCTTGAAAGCCATGCTCGATCTGAATGCACGCCGCCCAACAACAGAACGTCTCCAAGAGCAAGGATAGCAAAGTGACAAGGACAGCGTCTGATGGAGCTGAGATGTGAAGCCTTGTCGATGAGCCCAGAGCAAGTTTTGTAACCTGATCGGAAAAGCCATTACCAAGGAATTAGATTCAGCAAATGATCAAGCAGCAGTCCTAATAAATACACCCACCACAAAATCAGACACAGAAGCAGCAAAGTTCCCAGCTGCCAGCTTGTTGCAAGGTCTTTGACTTGGTAGGAGATATCTCCCAGTGTCTCACTTAACACGTGAACTTAAGTAAACCATCACAGCGACCATGTCCCAACGGTTACAGTAAAGCAGTGGCTAGGGGATGGACTAGCAAAATACTTGGTTTGGCCAATCGTGATAAAATGCCTGGGGCAAATCAAAACATGCGTGTTGCAAGTAAATACAGGCATCTCTATAATTTCGAGCAACGGTCTTTAAAACCCTGTACATGGAGGTCTGCCAGCAGTGCAGCACATACAGATGCTCATAGTTCATGCAGCCTTTCAATCGCACGGTTTCCCCGAAGTCACCCTATCTACTCGAAATAGCGCTGATCCGGCACAACGCCAAGCGCTATCGTGATGCGATTAGAATGATTAAACCATGCAATAGTCTCGATTGCCTCGAGAATCTCCTCATCCTGAAAGCCGATGTGCCTTAGGTGGTCTAGATCTTTAGCCGATATCTCTCGCGGCGCCTGCGTCAGTCGCTCAGACAAATCCGCCAGCGCATGCTCTCGCTCGTTCAATTCGACCAGGTGATGGTCTGCCGCGATGCGCTTTGCACGAACCCGGTCGCCGCCTATCGCGGCGCTGAGGCCAATTGTGTGATTTGCGGTGCAGAGACCACATCGATTCGTCGCAGAGGTCACCACGGCAATAATCTCGCGCTCCCGGAGAGGAAGCTTTGCGTTCGGATTCGTGAATAAATCCTCGTAGTAAGTGACGAACCGGCGGGCTGTGTCTGGGTTCAGGGAGAAAGCGCGCGTCCAGTTATCGCCGTGGTGTTGAGCGATCAGCTTTCGCGTCTCCGGGGATAGTTCTGACTCGTCAGGAATTCGAAGGCGCGAGATGTTGCTGATACTTCGGGTTGTTGTTCTCGAAAGGAGTGCAGTGTTGATTCTGGGAGCGATAGATGAGAGTCGGGATGGTCGCGAATGGAGAAGCATCCGAGCGAGGCTCTGCGGCGATACCATTGTTGTGTACTATGTCGATTTGTATTTCCGTATGGAGGGGGGTAGGTCTAGGTCTGTTCTAGAGGTCAATAATAAATAACAATTTCCTTATGTTCGAGGGTATGCTCTGGTAGATATAGGTCTGCTCGCATCGTCGTGGGGTTAAAGGACCACGAGACAGAGACAGCCTATCAACGGCTTGTCTTTTCATTGTTGAAAACAAATCATCTCCACGGGTTGACAGCTCTGGTTTCATGGCTGGGTTGGCGTTGTTGTTCGGATGTCGTGATTCCCCATCATTGCCTTGTACGGTAAGGAGCTGGTGAGTGCAAAGAATTGACTTGAATGGCGTCACTGTAAAGGCGTATGCCGGGATTGCTTGTCCCTTCACGCGAAATTAGTACATCGCAACGCAACTAGTTATAATACGAGATATCCTCGTCTAATTGCATCATCAAAAATGCCAGATTATCAAGATGATTATCTAGCTCGATAGCTCACATTATAGTACATAGCACCATTGGGTGGAACCACAGCCAATAAGTAACAGGTGTGGGAGTATCCTGACTAGGTAAATAATGAACTCTTACTGGAGGGATCTTACTATTAGAAAGTCAGTAGAAAGACATTTAACGGGGAATCCCTGAGGTATCGTATTCTAGCGGTACCCGCGGGTCAATGAAGTAGGATATTTCTAATATCATTGGCTTCACTCAATATTGTTAATATAGAAACCATATGTTGTCGAATAGTTTGATCTTCAGGTAGATTAATATTGCATTATTCGGTCTAATCATAAAATATCTAGCAAACAATATCGTTGTTCCCCCGCTTACACGTCCATAAACCCACAACTGCATTTATTACACGTCAATAATCCTGTCTCAAGCACAGCAATTCCTTCTCTACCAAGCCAGCACTACAGCTAGCAAATCGCCACCAATTACCCCTCCACCACCCCAGTACATTGACCATATACCATTTCACCGGAGCAGGCAGCGGTGGGAAACTGTCCCATTTCCCATCCTCGAACTTCGTGTCGAGGTTGTACCATAAAACGGGCAAGACATCTGTTGTTGAATATCTCTGCAAACCATACTGCGTCGTATGGTCGCCAAGAGCCTTCATGTCAAAGCTGAATTTGGAAAGTGCAAGAAGGTTCGCTGGTTTGTGGAGCAAATGGCTATGCAACGCTGCACCAAAAGAACCCAGAACTTTGATAAGTTCAACGCCGCTGTATTTGGATGGTGTAGCCAGACAGGTATCGATGTATGTTTTGAGATTTTCCAACCCGTCGTGAAAAGCAGCTTGTAGTTTATAGTTTGTTTTTAGCCGATAGATAATAGATAAAGGAGTATGGATTCCGAACGAACTTACCATGCTCTTGGATATCCGTATCCATAATCCCCTTGGCGCCAGTAGCTTCTTCAATTCCAGGGAATAAGACGCGCTCGTCGCTATCATGATGGCCTATCACGAACTCATACCATGCGTGAGAGTAACGCAGGAAATCATGTACATCGGCGGGTTTCACGTGGAGAGCTTGGAGGTATATGCTATTGTAGCCGCGGAGAATAATGTTGTGAACAAGCGCCATATGAGACGCGAACTCGACGAATGGGTCATTCTATTATTGAAATTCAAAATAAATGTCAGTTTCAGTGCAATTGATACTTTAGTAAATTGCGACTCTAATGAAGATGCATAAACAAAAACTCACTATATCAGCGCCCTTACTGGGAGTCGGGATCAGACTCAAAGGGCCAAGCGTAGACGAAGTCATTTTGTTTTCTTCCTGGAATTCGTTTTGCACCCAAAGAGATATAAAGAAGTATAGGGCCAAAAACTGGAAGATATCTGAGAGGAAGTGACTAAGATAGGATATTAATGATAATACAATAAAAGCTAACTACCTACCTACCTAACTGTTGAATACAGAGCGAGCATTGACCGCCCCTAAAAAGCTAAGCATGGCACGCCTGAAAAGCAACCCGCTCAACCGCTTGATGATATGCACGGATAGGGGCGGAAAAATTAGAAAACAGTAGAGCTGATTGGTGATATGAAACATTGACACGTCCTAGAAGTATTTCAAGCTTCAAGGTATATGGGATAGTTTTGACTTTGCTGTGCTCGCATGCAGTATTGATCAACCACCGTGAGCGAATCGAAAGTAGGCATGTTCAGCTTATCAGGCGTCAACGCTAAAAAAACACAAGCAGCTGGCATGTTTTGCTGGAAACTCTTTCGCACGGGTTTATTTTAACATCATTTTAACTTCCATTGTGTGGTGTGGCTGAGCCTATATTTGGCCAACCAGGGAAAAGGTCGAGGTTGGACAGCAGAGCAAGAAAGGATATGCATCCAGCTCGAATGGGTTGCCGAATCGGGTAAAGTTGAGCTTCGAATGGGTTTCCCGAAGGGGAAACAAGCTCAATCACCGCTTCTATACAATAATAACGCAACGAAAATCCATCAGGCAAGCAACTAGTATCCGTATAGCCACCTTTTCTCGTATTCAAAAATATTTATAGTGCATATGTAGTGTTTTGGCTGGACCATGTATGATGTGTATGTTGAATCTGGTCGAATATTTATAGGACACGGAATCCTGCCAACAACCAGGTCAAGGAAGTCCAACGATCTTTTCACTTTCGTCATCGATCTACAGTTCAGATTTTCACTCCTGATATTGATTCTCTGGCCACAATGCGTTCTCCCATCTACACAATTCTTGTGCTTTTGATCGCATCTGTGTCGACACTCGCTGCAGTGCCAGCAGCGCCAACTGGTTCCGCAAGCTGCAGATACCCCGACAAAGCTGAAATAACCAAGATCTTTACCAGCTTCACCGAAGGAGATTACCCTGGCTTCTTCTCTCACCTCGCACCAAATTTCACCTGGACGATGATGGGCACTCATCCGCTTGCGGGCCAGTATCACAATGTCACTATCTTCGCCGATAATATCCTACTAAGACTGGGCAATGTATTGCGGACCTCGCCTGCGCCTTCCACGAAACTGCTCAACGTGATTGGTGGTAACAGTGAATGGAGTGTGCAAGAGGTGTATGGAACGGGCGTTTGCAGGAATGGTGAGTTACCACTGCCATGATATCGAGGAGGGACAAGGAGAAAGAACAAGAGGTCGCTGACAACCGGTGTCATGATGTATAGGCCTCAAATATGATAACAGATTCGCATGGGTCACACGCTGGAATACCCGTGGCGAAATCGCCGAAGTACGATCCTATTTCGACTCCGCACTGGTCGAGAGAGCTCTCAGGGAGAATGAATCTCCTGATTACACTTATACCGACCAGCGGAATACTTTGGTGGAGGGTCCTGTGGGCTTGAATTGTCGTTCTTGAGACTATCCTACCCGGCGATCGATGACAAGTTAGCTGCTGTTGGGTCGCCATATTTGGAGCATCTGTGTATTGAGGGATAGGGACTGCTCACCGTGGTTGAAATAGTATATATGTTCACTTATTCTATTATCTCCACTTGGAGATCGGTTAAGATCACCAATATCACAGGGGAAACATTGCGTTCCAATAGCTCTTTTTGCTTTTGAATTATAGGATGTTCGAAGAAGAAGAGAAGTTGCGCAGAAAAGTTAGTTTGCTTCTGAAATGCCCTGTCGACGCAGTGTCTCCCTCGCTAGTCTGTTAATGTCAGTTAAATTGTATCATAGAACATGTGAGACTGGAAATAGCACTAGAATTTGAAGACGTAACTACTCTATGCTCTATCGAAATATCCAGGATAGCATCAATTATCTATCTATGTATTTCCCGTCTGGCAGCAAAGAGGGGAAGAAAATTCCAAAAAGAAAAACGAAGGAGGGGTATTAATGAATCCGGTAAGTAGGTGGCCGGTGGATCTAAGACATACCTTGCATCTGAGTCATGATTTCTCGACGAGAAACCCAGAGTATGGGTTCTGTCACTACGTCCATCGCTGGGGCTCTTTGTTGGCCCCTACAAGTTATCATCAAGTTTCGGTCGGATTGCTTCACAGCTCGGTGCTCTCTGATTCCGTGAGAAGAAGCGAGCTTGTCGCTTCTTCTGGGAGATACCTCGGCGCAGGGTCTCTGTCAAACGCCTGTCGTACGCCGATTTCTTTGCCGATAAAATCCAGTATTCTCGCCGCTTCTTTCTTTTGCGCTGGTAGTGTCGGTTTGAAGATACAAATTGTTGTCAGTGGCCATATGAGCCTGAGGGCATCAGAAACTAGTTTCGGCGACTGTTCTCCATTTCGACTAAAATGGTTGATACAGACAGGCACACTATTAAGGATATCCTGTGCCGCAACTCGTATTTTTCGCACAGAATAGTTTCGTTGTGCCTCGAGGTTGGGCAGAGAGAATCGTTGGGCCGGGTCATGGGTGAGAAAATTGGCAAGAAGATGTAGGAAACGATGGCCTTTGATCACACCTGATCGTTGGAAATTCAGTACAGGAGGGGCAAGGGAGGCAGGAATGGGGTTGGCCATGAGGAATGCATCATAGTTTTGCTCGGCAGTCGTAAACTCTGCCACCAAACGGTTGTAGTCACGCGATGCAGCCGAAAAGTCGTGGGAATTAAGGATTTTCAGGATTTTGCTGGCGACTGCACAGGTCCTAACGATGAAGAGGGAAACATGGTAAATGTAGCTTTTGCTTGTGTCCGTAACACTTTTAATGACGCCGAGCCATTCTTCTGATTCGGGGGGACACTCGGAGTTTAGGGAGAGGGCACCGATTTGCTGACATTTGATCAATATCTTTCCAGTGAAATAGAGAGAATGAAGACATACTACCGTGATAAAGGCTAACCAAAACACTGCTCGTCCACGTGCAGTATACAGAGGCGTTGTCCCTCTGGCCTTCAAGATACTGTAAAGACCGCGAGAGTGAAGATGCCATGGACTCTGAGCTTGCTCCCGTCGCAGAGAACCGACCATTATCTATTTATATTACCTTGCTCAGTGCCGAACCAGGTCAGTAGGAATTATCTCACCTCATAATTCGTGAGCATCCAGACAGTGAGGAGAATGTCATCTCTGAGCACGCCTTCGCGAGTTTGCAGAGCATGACGAACCGCACGGAGTGTCTTCGTCAGATAATTACTGAGTTCTCGTTGGGTCTCCAGTTCGGAACCCCGACGACATGAAACTGGGTGACGCAGATTGGCGGTATACGTGCGCGAAAAGAGGTGAGATACCCACACAAGGGGGCTATCTGATAAGTGATTCTGGGACAAAGTATCATGATACATGTCTGCGAGGAGCTCAAGCGCAGGACAGATGTCGAGGACAATAGGCACTGAGTAGAGACTCCAGTGCTCGTAGATGGTCCTGACGTGTGCTGGCTGGGCCACAGCAGTAACAGCCGTAGCCATTTTAACATCATGAACGGTCAATTGGTCCGAGGGGTCAGAACTTGATGATGCGTGATGAGCGGCCTGCATGGATCTATTCTTCCGCTTCTCAATGGTTGCAGCGTTGGCATTCCGGAACATAAGCTCCTGCTGGTCGCGATATCCCGGACATGCAACGCCATACTTGATGCATCTCTGACATTCTGGTCGCTGAAGATCACACTAGCAATGGAGGTCAGCAAATATTGGTCTACAACGGGCATGGGCAAGCTAGCAAAAGCAGATTGAACCTTGACACGGCGCTGGCGACACAGTTGGCAGCCTTGGCTGGGTTTACCAGTGTTGGGCATGACGGCGTGACACTGCTCACGGCAAATGGAAATCCCCTTCCAATGGGAAAGATACAGCAAGGACTGTATTATAAGAACAAGCCTGTGAATGAATTGAATTTAGTGGTCGACAGTGAATATAGCGACCAGACTTGGTCGAATTAACAGTGCCCAGAGGTTCCTGCAAGCTTTCTAGGCTATTATTGTCGTCTTCTCCCCTTAAGCCGGCGCGGTGCGGGATCGCCAAGGCCTTGGATCTCCTCCACAATAATGAGAAGGAAATCTTTGACTAGTTGATACAGATCCTGAGGTGCGAGACCCGGAAAGCGGGGTATCTAGATAGTTGTGTTGCTGGTCGCTGTGACCTGCTGTACTTATCTCAGCCTACTTAGCCACTTCTCGTGTACGGGTTTCAGTTATGGACATCGAGACAAGGCAAAACGACTGGTTGTGTACGACGCAGCTAGAATAATGGGGTTAGCCGCTAAGCAAACATCCATCCAATTACACACTGGGATTAGAGGTTGCAATGTTATCCATGATTCAATGCCAGTGCAGTTCTCTCCATCGTGTTTTATTCTTCTCGGAGAGCTGAACCTGAAGGACGGCATTCTTCTATAGTGTATTAACTCGCCAGCTAACAAGAATACTAGGAGTAGGTCTGGGACCATGTAGCCCGAATCAAGTCATTATGGGAAATTCGTAACATGAAAATTTAGTCTTATATAGTCATACTACTAACACAGGAGTAGTGTGCAATTCCCTATTGCACACAGTACCGATATTCCATATTCACTTCAGTTCCCTACCAAGAGGACGGTCCAAAGGTGGCCCCAGGAGGAACGGGCTCTTGGACAGCAGTGTCCAGCGCGTCCATGGTGTTCTCAGCGATATTAGTTCCCCACCACGATGGGAAGCTTGTGTTGGTAAGCTGAAGAGCACAGAAGATCAAAATCGTGCAAAGCATGAGACCGACATCCAGGCCGGCTGACACGATGTAATTGTAGTACATCCACCAACCTCTCCACTTGTTGCGAATATAAGAGTTGAAGATATAGCCAACAATTCCCCAGCTCAGATAGTTGAGCGGTGTCGCAGGGGGGATCAGCCCTGCGCCTCCGAAAATAATGGGAGCGTTCAAGTATCGAATCTTGCTTCTGGGGAAAGCCCGGGCACCAAGATAGATGAGAACAGGGAAGATAGCACCGGCGATGAAGAAATACAGGAGCGGCGAGTAGATACTTCCAGGCGAGAATATACGCGCGGGTCCGATAGCGCCCCAAATAATCGAAGCGTTGAAGAACACTCGTCCATTGGGGCACGTGTAACGGTTTTTCTGGTCGGATGAACAGACATCTTTGATCGCGCCGAGAGCCCAGTTCATCACGCCGATTTGGACAACAGATGACCACAAGCAACTAACCATTTGGGCCGCGAAAGTCACACGAGGAGGAATTTTCATGTAGTGGCCTTGTTTCCATTAGCTGACTGGATATCGTCGTGATCATGAGAGGTCACATACCTAGTTTCATGTCCTGACAGAAGAAGACACCTTGATACATGGTCATATAGCCGTAGGTCTTGAAAAGCATCATAGCCATAGGCTTGCCGGGTTGCATATAACCAACGATGAATTCTGTAAGGACGTTCAATCCAATCTGGATATTGGTTGCCCCCTGGATCAGGCCACAAGGAACGAACCAAACACAGGCAATAATCAATGAAACGAAAAACGCCCACCAAGACAAGTGTGTCGGGTAACCAAGAACGACACCCAAGGCCATTCCGATCATGATAAGAGTGATTGCCGCGTACCACCAGAATGGCACGGTCTTGAACCTGGCCATCAGGCGCCCGTGAACGTCTTCCTCTTCAGTACCGAAGTTCCTAAACCTAATCCACAATTCAGATCCATGAAACAGGCCTGTGTGAATGATAACAGCGATGATTGTGGCAAATGAGAGGCCGTAACATAGAGAAAACGTGGTTGTGAGGAAAAGAGGCGAATAGGACTGGTATTTTTGCAAGTCAAACTCGTTGTTCGCATTCAGGATTCTGCTCACGTCGTAAGTTGCGCCAGTGTTGTCGTAGCTATTGGAGTCGCTCATTGGAAGATGCTTTCCATAGAAGAGGCCTGAGTAGTGGATACCAGCAGTGGTGATCCAGTAGAATACGACCATGCCAATGAGAGTGTTGGCAATCGCGTGCCACGGAGCGATCAGGGGGCTGAAGTTGAACCCAGAGATCTGGGTCCAGTCAAACGTCATGGGGATCAGGGAAAGACCTGTCCAGCCACCGAAGAGCTGGTTGATGACTACATTCTGGGGTTTTATCCATGTAACCCATGCGAACACGCTCAGGAAGGGAGCAATGTATCCCGGGAAGAAATACCAGATGAAGGAGCCACACATGACGTACAGGAACAACCTGTATTTGCCAACAGTCCATCCTGCAACCTTCCTCGGATCCGGCCTGCTGTGATCGTGGAGAGCAGTAAACAAACTGCAATTGATCAGTGTCGATGGCCAGATTAGAGCCGCAGGAGTCACCAGGAACCGGTGAAAGAAACCCGCAAACCCAAATCCGAGCATTTGAGTTGATATACACATAAAGATTTCGAAGGCCCAGCCGAAATTCTCGCCGTAGAAAGCCCGCTGTGCCAGAAGCACATCGGTAGCGTATGCGGCACCACCTCCGAATGTTGCATTCGCCATGATAACAATGACTGCGTGCTCCTTCTTGGTGAACGGTCCGGGGTTTAGGTTGCAGGGTATGCCGAAGAACTTGAACTCGACTGCAGGCATCCAGTTTGCCCACGCCAAGCCGACTGGATACGCAACTACCTGCGCAACATATGAGGGAATGACAATGTACGGCTGGCGCATTGAAAAGAGCATGTTCAAAGCAGACCCGATCGTGGCGAACAACAGACCAATCACCCACGCGCGAATCGTATTCGAGTGGCCACCCTCATCGTAGTTAGGAACAGCCGCCCTGACTTCCGGATAGGGAGAGTTCTCTAGCAACTCGTCGGCAACTTGCACTTGCGCACCCTTGTCTGAGGTGTCAAGAGCCTGGTCAATCTCGTCGACAATGTCGTCCGGAAGATTGGGATCCCAGGCATGTTGCTTCTTGAGGTTTTTGAGGTGGACTTCAGGAGCTGCCTCATCGGCAATGCCTGTGGCCACTGCCACCGTCGGTTCGGTAGCTTTCTCCTCCATGGTGGGAGCTGATCGAAATCGCCAGCCGCTGGCGGCGCGGGAACAGTCAACGGGATCACCGTGGTCTCAAGAAGAACAAGGGAGAGGGCGAAAAAAGGTTGACCTGGTCAGGATAGAGACCCGGGAGACGGTGTTGGCAGTATATAACACTGCGCGCAATGGCGCTTGTTTCGCCATGAGATAGTCCACCCGCCGGTCCTCCGACTCTTATCAGAGCTCCTGTGGGAACCCAGATACTGGGCTGGCTCAAACGCGCTTTGCCAGGATGGTCACAGACACCGCTGCCATGTCCGAGCCCTAGAGTAGATTCGTGTTTGTGGCGCTTGATTGGGCACACGCAGATGTAACGTACACGAACGAAGTGGGCAACTAGATGGATAGAATCATGGATGGGTGATATTGCGGGTGTAGAACTGGCTTTCTGATCCTTCGAATTGGCTGGATTGCTCGCGTGTCCTCTGTTGCGTTTTCTGTTGCGTCTCGCGGCCTGTCTCTTCCCCCCCAAAAGGCGTTATCACTGATCTAGAAACGATCAGAGAGTGGAGACGGAAGAGGCAAACCAGTGGTCGGTCTTAGAGCAAACGCTCCCTGATAGCGGCAGTAGGCTATCTCGAGTGCATATGATAACGGTAGTTAGTTAGTTCTTTCGAATCATCGTCGCAAAGCCCCCTGTGATCCCATAATAATGGCGAACCAGAGTGTTCCCAGGGATGGAATATTCGACACATTTTTTCGACTCTCCGGTATGGTACATACCATATGCACTGGGGGTTGTGTCGCCTGGTAAGGAGTCTCTTATCTGGACCAGCGTAAAGTTCGCGAGGAGAGTCGGTGGTAAGATCTGTCCAATTATCATCTTCTCCTTGGATTGGAATGTTGTAACGGCCATGTCCGAGCGGTAACCTGTCCCCTCCCCTGAGCTTCTGATAGCGGCGGACAGCCACTCGAGTATCCGTATTACTTGTCTTCCTCCATGCGGGGTAGAAACAACAACCTCGCCTGTGTTAACTAGTGTCGCTTGAGGTCCCAGTCGATGTAGGGGAGAAGGCGGCGGTTGTTTTTCCGGAGAGAAGAAGAAGAAGATGATGATAATAATAATAACCTATGTGGGGTGTGACAAGGTTATCCAAACGAGTTGCCTAAAACGGCCAAGCTTCAGCGTCTTAGGGCCTCATCCGTCTGACACAAGGGGCAAAAAGGCTTGTTCTTGATAAGTTGTCGGATGTTAACAAACTCAGTTAAACTGATAATGATAATTAGTTATTACTCTGTAAGTTAACTTGGCGCACAAGCCTCTTGATCCCCGTAGTAGATAACCTAGCTACCTCGATATCAGCGGGGAAAGGAAAGTCAATTGGACGCACCAGGCTGAATTCTATCCCGCAAGTGGCAGCTCTACTACCAACCGGGCTTGAACCTACAATCTTCCCAGTCCTCTTAGAAGAACAATCCTGCTATCGTACTACACCACGTCTGTGCCTCAGTCCGCGCTTGCATTCGCGAGCGCCACCTTCAGGCTGGTCATGCCTCGTGATCAAGTTGTGGCAACGCTCGGTTTAGATCGCAGAATGCAAGAATGTAACCCTCCAGCGTGTGCTCTATGTCCTGCGCCAAGGATCTTCTGAGGTTCTGGAAGCCTGTCAGCATCGTAAGCGATGATAGTCGTGATGCCACATGGCTAGGTAATCTCCACCTCAAAAATCAGATCGCATGCTGAGGGCTGGTGGAGATAAGCTCGGAGGGCGTGACTAGCTTGTCTATTCTCTAATCTGAAGGTGGAAGATAATGTTCGATTCCCTCGTTCACGCATGCGCCTGGTAATCGGAGGCTTTATCACGACCTCACGGAAGTGGGACTTCATCGTCCAGGTTAAGCACCTTCGATTCTCATGTCATCATTTCAGCAACATGGCTAAAATATGGTAGATTTAAAAACACTGGAGAAGTATGTACCAAGTGGGACATCTCTCAATATCCATTTCTCAGACAGTCTGGAAGGTGTTGTGAATGCGATATGCAGTCGCCGTAGTGGTTTCTAGCTAACCGCTGCGACCTATTTAGGAAGTTGTGACACTTATCTTATCTGTCTGTACGTACAGATTCTAGAACATTCACTGCCAGTTTTCTTATTGGTTTCATTATAGCCTGAATTCCTCTTACTCTATTTAGGCTTTACAAGCGAGTGGTGTTAGGTCTAGAGGCCCTTTACAGTTTTAGTATCACTAGCAATGTATAAAGAAGGGTTCAAGGAAAGAGGTCAAAATGAAATTGCGCAAAATGATAAAATACACAATGGGTACCAGTGACTGTGTTCAAGATGAATACGATAATCGACGTATTGACTCTCTTAGACTTTCCTGTCGCACATTCGTAGTCTCAGTTGATAAAAGAAAGGTCTATAGGATTCCTTCCCGTACAGTGAAAACTCATAATGTTGGACGTAAAATGTTCTTGCTTCCATATGCTTTGCATGTGATTATATCATGACTGATTAACATACAGAAATGAGATATTACAGCTATATACAGACCATCAGACATTGCTACTATCGATCACTACATATATTCAATAAGAAAGTGTACATTTTCCTTCCAGTGACAACCTTTGTCAAAAAAAAAAAAAAAAAAAAATCATAAACCGCTCGTGGTCGATGACCATATAGGACCACATGGTTCTGTAGGAGGAAAGAGACGATTATCACCGAGTGCCCACTCGAAATCCGAAAGAAACTGGTCGTCTAAGAAAAAAGCCTCCTGGCTTTCTGAAGGGATGGCTGGATTGTCGTGGCTAGTGGCGCCAGAGTTCTCATGGGTGTTATGCTGACCTGCTTTTATCAACATTAGCCATCTTTTTGACTTGGTGGTCCAGTTATAGGCCTCACCCTCAGTTGATTCTTGGGAAAGTAAAAGAGTTCTATGTTGCGTGTCAAATTCATCACGCCACCGCCAGAACGCATCAATTGTAACGCTCATGCTTAGACGACTCCTGATTCTTAGACCTGAATACTCACTGCCCTCTGACTTTCTGAAGGCCTTCGAACTGTTCCAGAGTTGATTCAGTATTAGCACGAATTTCCCTGCAGTTTCGTTCCCGCCCGCGGAAATCTGCTTCATAATGTTGATCCCGAGGAAAATCGCCGATTTCGCTCTTTCGATGTCCATGTTTCCAGAAACTGAGGTCTTCAATATCCTCAATAGTAAGCATGCTGCGATTCCAGCGGCCGAAACGATGTGGAGAGGACTGGCAGCCAAAAGCCCTGGTTTGTTCCCTAGATCCCCTATCTTCTCTAACACAGTACAGGAGATTGCAACTAGCGTAGCAATGAAATCGTCGGAAAGGTTGTTCTTGAACAAATGGAACGACTGGATGTGGAGACGGCATATTAAGATATGAAATCTATCCGTATCTAGACGTTATCAGCTCGAGTGGATCTTTCAATACTCATTCACATACACACCTGACGAAGATTGCAACTCCAGCTCCTTCACCTGGGTATCGAACATGCGCAAAATAATGTCCAAGGCCCGCTCCTGATCCGGGGACAAAGCTCGCACACCGTTCTCAAGAACAGCGTTACAGCACCGCACGATGGTTTCTTGGCACCTTAGCTCGAGGGCCAAAGAAGGTGATATACGCTGAAACAGCACATGGCTCTGAATCGGTTCGGGTGTTAGGTCGGAAAGCGACCGAGGAGACTGGCCTTTTGAGAGACAAGTGCTATCTGCCATCAGCTAAGCATGCTTTAGTCGAGGTTCTGAGACCCACCGTTGATATACTATCACACACTGTGCCCATAATTCCGATCTCTTGGTCAGGTCAGCCTCAGATGGAGCAGCGATTCTCACTCTCGAAAACTCGTGACTCGACATGGGGATATGAAGGCCGTTCTGCATAGCGAGGTGCAGTAGCATGCCACTTAAGGGGAAAGCAGGGTCTATCGCGTCGTTCTCCCTAGGAAATGGCCAGTACAATAGGATAAGCAAGCCTTTGATCGTATACATTGCCGACGATGTGGAGATCAGAGATAGGAAACCCATCTCCATAATACTGCGCGAGAGCGCATTCAGCAAAGTAGGGTTTTTGGAGTAGCTTCGACTCGCTGCTCTTATGATGGACCAAAAAAGGAATGGCGACTTGGAGTAATACGTATTTGGGCTTGTCTTGGGATCAAGGATCGGCAGCCATTGCGCATAGTCTTGAAAGAATCTGCTGGTGTTAACTGGATCGAAAACTTAGAAGACACAAAGGTACCAACATACAATTGAAATATGTCATCAATCTCATCACTCGTCAGCTTGATACCATTGATGGTTCTGGGAAGGGTTCTATCAGATCCTCGACTTCCTGATACGCTGTCAACAGACAGTGGCATCGACGGAGGAAATAAAGCGGGCTGTGTAATTGCTGGTTGACTATATCCCAATGAGTCCTGTGACGAAGGAAGCGCAGATTGATTCTCTCCACTGCCTATAACATTTTCCATCTGAGCTGCGGCAGTCAACATTGCGATAGGCGAAGAAATGCTGCTGCGCGCCTCCGAAGTTCTCAGCTTACGTCGGAGTTCGTCCGTCTCCTGTTCGAGCTCTGAGAGTCGTCTTTTCCGAATATTATATTAGCACTGGAAATTGTATCAGCATCCGGTGTTTTACACATACTTTCTTTTATGCTCCCTCTTGAAGGGGTCGGAAATGATACATCGCGCCTTGACTTTCTGACAACGCGAACATGGCTGACCCGGATTCAGAAACGCATCGCATTTTGCCTGCTCTCAGGTCTCAGCTCTGACTGAACTAAAATTGATGAAATGAGGCTCATTAAATTTCCAGTCGCAGACCTTTTGCTGCCTACACTCAGTGCAGGCCTTTTTTCCTCTTTTCGAAGGCATTCTATCTTCGTGTCTCTTCCCAGCTCTGAGCAGACATGGAGAGCAGCTCGGAATTAACTCCGCGATGCAAAGATAATCAGCGCCAGATTATCTTAGATGCATCTTTCTCACAAGCTCGATGCGGCTGGTTCGACGAGCTTGCCTTGACTTATCCTCGGATGGCATGCCTTGACAGCTCGAGCCACGCTAGACGGAGTTAAGTAACGCATGCTTTAACTCCGCCAGTACCCGGTCCACAAGGACACCATCAATGTTCCTTGAGTTTCATGCTTGCTTGCGACAGGATAACTCAACCTGTTGTGAAGTCACTGATACATATATCTCAATATTTTTCGTGTATCTCATAGCTGCTAAGCAAGACAAAGAGAGCGTCGGATTATCCTGCCCTGGCCCAGCACTGTCAAGAGCACATTATCCACAGGTACAGTGTAGTCTTATTGCGCTCATAGAAATGTATTGAGAATATATTTCTGGGGGCTCTGAAAGTAAGTCTATTCCACGGTCTAGAACCTTGCTCAATGAAGTCTACGTTGCAACCCATAAAGACGTACTTGAACGTAATACATATACTGGACATCAACTTCATCACCAACATCCCGAGAGAACGGTAGTATGGAAGCTTATCGTTTATATGAAAACACGAGATAAGAATAATTCTAACAGTCTACCTCTTGGTCGGACGTTCTGCCCAGCTGATAATAGCCACAGTTTCAATAGTGGCGTCTGACCGATCTTCGGTGGCTTAATGATGTCACAGGCGAAGCAATATCATTTGTGGAACTCATGTTCTGCACAATCACAATCCTGCCTAGCAGACTCGAAGGCGATATACTCCAGACAATCTATTTGTTGCGCGAACGGTTACAAATACGACACTTCGGTTTCATACTGACATCACCGAAGCATGAAGGGACTTTTTATCAATACCTAAGCCTCAACCGCCATAGTTTTTTTTAATTAATCAGAATATGTCCATAATCGAGTTATCATACCATGAGTGGTTACGAACTGCCATCAGTAGGTGATCTTAAGCGTGCCGCAGCAGCCGGCCAGCGTATAACACCGGAAGATGTGTCTGTGATCGCGCAAGCCGAGAGCGAACTTACAGGTACCGGACCTGTTAAGGGTGGACCAGCAGGTAATATTATCGTCCTCTTTATCTCATCGAGATATACCTGTGTTAATTATCCAATGTCCTGATTTCTGGCAGCTACGGCCCATAGTTTAGCTTCTCGGCAGATGAACTTCGATACGAAACTTGATGAGTTATCGAGGAAGCCGCAAAGTCACATCACACAGTTGGATGCGAAAGAAATCCAATCTACAGAGGTAGAATCTTCAAGATGTAGCAACATATACGTGGATTAATGGAGCTGATTAACCCTGCTAGGCTCGCGCGTTTAATGCACCGCCTGGACCAGGCTCGGTGTCTGCTCAGGTTCGCTCCATAGCCGATAGAAATGAAGCCCTGGGACTGCCACCAGTCATGGACCCTGGTGCTGTATATATCACGAAGGATGAGGCCAGTGAAGCGCAAAGTGCTGAGTCGAGGCTATGGGGTGGGCAAGTCCCTAGAGGAAGTTATGCAGCTCTGATGCAGGTAAGTCTGGGTCACTAATGATATATATGTTCCTGACTAAGACTCCGATGCAATAAAGAGTGCTGCAGATAAAATTGAGCATGTCAAACACTGCGGAGACTGAATACAAAAGAGAGAAGAAATGCATTGACTGGTCCAGACGGAGACTAGGTTACTATCTAACCTTCTATGTGAATACTGCTCTACAGACTATACATTTGAATAGCGAAAAGCCCTTTTACTAGGCTCAAGGATGTGAGATAGGCACTGTATCAATTCTAGTGATCTCGTAGGTTCTATTCTAAGATCAGGATGATTATATAACAGATCGTCTTCACGCAGCGTCTGCATCGACATACCAAAGTTCTATAATGTTCTATAATTTGCTAAACAAGCCACCACGAATAGCGATATAATAGATCATTACGCGCGTTTTCCTGCATGCTCTAACATCCCTCAAAACTAGCAATCGCTAGCTCCAACATTCATCTCCTGGACAGGAAAATCTGAAGCTACCTACCCAGGTAAATCCGTATACTAGTTCTTCCCAGTAGAGACGTGTTGCAATTAACTACCTAGGTAGCCTTGTAGCACATCCGGTAGACCGACAGCATCTCAATAAAAAAGAACTAAACAGCAAGACTCGATCGACTCCCCACATTGTAGGGCGATAGAGGTGGAGCGTGATCTCTCAGGTTCCATAGACCGGGACCGGGCGAGACTATGGTAAGTTGTGAAATATGAATTATTATTGTTATTATTATTATTATACTGTATAATGCAGTACTATACTGTATAGCGCCTTCGCTGCACGGACATCCAGCTAAGCGTGCGATGTGTCCTATCTATCTACCTAGGTATCTAACCATCTAGACCGAATTCTGAACCACTAGTTAAGTAGTCCTGAGCAAATAAACTTCGGCGGGGTTAGGGGATATGCAATGATTTGGAATCATGATCTGCAAAGAAGATTAACCTTCCGTAGGTCCCGACAGCTTGGTTCTCCACTGGATATGTATCTAGAGAGTTTGTTGGTTATCATTATTTTATCTAGTTACTCTTCTTGAGATATGTCGGTCAGCTTCTCCGGCAGCAACCCCAGTCCCCCCCTCCAAAGCTACTGAGAGGATCTGCCAGCAAGGGGGAAGGAATCTCAGCCACACGCGTCATTTCGCATTGGGCTTAGGATAACACACCCCAATAAAAAAAAGGGTATTCTCTGAGCGAGTTTCAATGGTTCCAAAGATTGCTTTCTGTCGTGGGGTGAGCCGCGGTCAATAATAGTGGTGTGGTCAATTGCCTATTTTTCTCAGAATTCACCATCCAAAAGGGTGGAATAATAACGGGGTCTGGTTTGGCCTTCTAGGCGTAGACTTTTTGGCAAAGTGCATCGCATCGTATCGCATCGCAACGCAACGTCAGACAATAATGATGGCAGGGATATGATTTGGAATAATGAATGCGATACTTAGCGCTGATGCTCAATTTCGAATCGCAATTCTCATGGCCAGTGCGCGCGATTAACCAAAAGATCTCAATGCGTTAACTAGTTAGTTACCTACCTAGGTACCTAGTTATCATCACTCTCCCCCACCAGACAATGACAAATCGTCCTAGATAGTTAGTTCAGGGTCGAATCCCCCCTCCCTTCCCCATCTTCTTGTAGGTTAATAACAATAATCGAGTGGAGAATCAGATTGATAGCTAGCTAGTTAATAATAATTGTCAGATTTTGGGGGCCATAACACTTAGATACTTACGGCATCACGATTGTGAGACACAACAAGTTCGGCAATATCACCCAAACCCCGCTTGACCATGAACGAGAGAGGTTTAAATACCCTCCCAAAGACCTTCAACCAAGGTCCCCAAGATCAAGGACCTTGAAAGAATCAAAACGCAAAAAATATCCCTAACTAGTCTATTACATAACACTACATACCATAACTACTTAGTTACACATCGCCCACCATGCCTCTCACTGGCCACTGCCTCTGCAAGGCCGTCACCTACTCAATCGACATCGACAAGCCACTTGCCGTTGCTTATGACCACTGCGACGATTGCCAGCGTCAGAGCGGCTCCACCTACTGTATGTACAGTGCAGTGCAGTGCAACCTTCACATATGATCCATTCACCAGGAACGATGACTGACTTAATTAAAAGCGCTGGTCGCCGTGGTTCCGAAGGATAAACTCACCATCAAGGGTCCTACGAAGAGCTGGGCTGGGCTAGGAAGCTCAGGGAAGGCCGTGCATCGTGTGTTTTGTTCTGAATGTGGTTCGCCAATTGCCCATGATCCGGATGCTGCGCCTGAGATTATCGCTATCAAGGCTGGTACCTTTGACACGGAGATTAAGAAGGCTTTGCAGCCGGTATGTGTGCCCACTTAAAAATAAAAAGAAAATGAAGATGAAAAAAACAGAAGAGTTAACTGAGATGATCTTGCAGGACACTGAAATCTGGACTGTGAGCAAGCTGCCTTTTTGCAAGGAGAGCTTGGCGCACCCGTTCGAGCATATGCCGCAATAATTAATTCGTCAAATGTTATGGTCTATCTATCCCGTGCCTTTTGGGGTGAAAACCTTACCTGCAAATAACCATTTAGATCAGATAATGATCTCTTCCCCATTGAGCATATTTTTGCCAGTGAAGCTATGAATATAGTCTATCTTGATGACGATGATGATGATGATGAGTGTGTAATCAATAGACTGCAAGAAGCTATATTGACAACAATAGAAGATTCTTTATATAAATTATTATAACCATTAGAATACGCTAAACAAGAACTTTTTCCAATGCCATCCAAGCCATCAACCATTACACTTTCATCCTTTGATACATCGAGGGGAGGGAATAATCTGCCAGTAGCGCGAAAAAAAAAAGTACTGCCCCCTGTTATATTTTGGTTTTTTAGAGGACCTGTCCCTTGTTCTGCTTCCGGTCGACGTTGTAGTTCTTCCACATGCCGATGGCAGGAATCGCCAGAGCGAGGATGGCGGTGGCGGAGATGCATCCGTATTTCTGACTGTATCCCCAGGCGTAGTTGATGGCTTCTCGGATCGGCGTGCCTGGCGGGTATTCGAAGGCGACCAGGTAACCGCCCACATAGATCTTCTCCACCAGGTCTTTGTCTCCTGCGGGTAATTTTTCATATAGTGCCTTGGGGAAGGTTCCACTGTAGATGGATGCGGAGACGGCATAGCCGATGGCACCGCCGACACTGTTGAACAGGCCGAGGATGGAAAGCATCATCGGCACACCATCACGGTCCGCAGCCGCCATGACCGCCATCTGTTGACTGATGACGAGCATACCACCAGAAAAGGCAATAAAGATCTGGCACATGATGACATAACCGATATCTCCGTCCTGTCCACGGAAGTGGATCATAAGACCAGCACCCAGGATCATCAGCGGAAGGGCAAAGCAGAGTGCGGCGTACTTGAAATGCCTAGTCCAGCGGATATACAGACCGAATAGTGGCGAGAAGAAGCAAGATCCGACGTTGTAGATCGAGGTCATGTATCCCGTGTCGGAGATGTCCAGGTTGTAGACCACGATAACGAAGTTGTAGAAGTACTGATCCCAGGAGTAGAAGCTGAAGTACAGAATCGCGGCCAGACAGCTGGCACCGAGGACCGTACGCTTCTTGAAGAGCTCCCACCGGACGAAGTGGGTGCGAGCGAAGAATTTCTCCCAGATCGCGAAGACCGGGAACAGACAGACTCCGACGACGACCATGGCAATGAAGGTGGCGCTATCGTAGTTGGCCTTTCCGTAGGTCTGCAGACTGAAGGGCAACAGGAAGAGTACGAAGGCGGCCATCAGCAAGAACGCACCGACGACTAGAGAGGGTCGAGTTAGCCACCTTTGTTTTGGGGTCAATTTTCAAGAGAGAGTTCCCAACTTACTATCAAACTCATGAATGTAATGAATCAGCGACTGCAGTGGGGTCCGGCCACTGTCCACCCTCTTGAACAGGCCCATCTTCTCCGCCTTGATCTGATAGAACTTGAAGACGATCGCCAACGGACCGAAGACCACGGGCATGATCAGGCAGAAGGCGCCAATGGCCCACCGCCAAGTGGTCATTTTGAGGAATGACTGCGCCGCCAGCGGTCCAGTAAACGCAGTACAGATGAACGGAGTGCTGGAGAAAGCGAAGGCGAACGCTCGGTTCCGTAGACCGGACGTATCGGCGATGAAGATGTCCAGGATCAGATAGATGGCATCGTAGCCGATCCAGTAGAAGACATAGCCTGCGGCATAGGCATTGGGACCATTACTCGCGGCCACGATGATCATTCCCAGCACGTAGACGCCGACAAAGAAGAGGAAGCTCTCGGTACGGCCCCAGATATTCAGGGACTTTGCGATGGGCAATTTCAGGACTCCACCGATGATGGTGCCCAGAATGTTGGCCGTGCTGATCTGGGGGGCAGACTGGAAGTTGGCGTAGGCGTTGTTGTAGACGTTGCTAAAGATTGACTGTTGGAGAGCGAGCATGAAGTAGCAGACCCAGATCCTACGGGTTGTGTTAGATGGCGTCCCTTTTTTTTTTCTTGTCTTTCTTCGTGCCTGATGGTGGCATTGGCACTTACCATGCATATGTTCCATAGACGGCCTTCTTGGGCCAGACGAGGGCAGCAGCCTCAGCCTTTTGCACACCCAGCTGGGCATCCTGGGTGATCTGATCCGGGTGCTTCTCGATCTCGCGGGCTTCGCGCTCCTCGAGACTCAGCGTTTCGGTATCGCTTCCGGACTGGTCTGGCACGTGAGCCTCGGCCTTGGAGGGCGGGTAGGCCTCGGACTCGGAGACGGCAGCGGCGAGGTGGTGGTCATGACGACCTTTGATCAGATCCAAAGCACCCATGGTGGAGAGCGCAGGAGCAACGGGCGATGGTCTAGGTCCAGGATTGTCCGCGTGGAGATCGAGATCGAGATCAAGATCAAGGGTCAGGTATATCTTATATATGTTGCGCAGCAAGCGTTGGCAACGAATTTTCCTACACTAGAGAACGTTGCACGAGTGGCACCCATGGCTTCACTGCCAGTCAGACTGCTGCGACCGAGTCTAGTGTGACTTGGCTGGCCGGAGATAACCGTGGCGGCGGATCTGATAATCTGATAAAGGCGCGCTGTCCGTCCGCCCGAGGGTAGCGGCGCCGCTGAGTGGCCAGTGATTATCACGCGTCCATCTGATAATTTTCTGGCGAGACTAATTAGTCACTTAGTGTGAACTCTGAAGTTCACGGAGAAAAGTTAGCACCGCAAATACATCCATGGATATTATTATTATTTAATAGTAGTAATTATTACTACTTCGTACTAGTATTCCTCGATCGCACGCTGGCTGCTCCACCACCGGTCGTTCCTGCCTGCCCGTCGTGGCTTCCTCATAGGTCTGCGCCTGCTCTCGGCCCCCATCGTCGCTTCCTTTTCCAGGCGCACGCAACGCCGCCGGATCAGCGTTTCCCGATGCGTCAATCACGGCCGATGCTATCTGATAATGATCGTAATATTAAATCTCTCCCCCATCAACCAACCCATGGCCAGAACCCGCCATGACAGCGGTTACTAGTTAGTCTTCCGGGCCAAGCCTGTCTGTGAGCTTCTGTGGGCGAATCCGTCCCGAAATCGCTCGTTTTCGCAGACAATCGGAGAACGCAGGATGTCCCCACACTTCTCCTCGTGGAGACGGATCAGAGCAAATACCGTGGTTTGACGTCGCTTCTCGTCGCGAAAAAAATTCTCCATGTCCGTTATTCGGATGAAGAGGACAGCTCTAGTGAACTATCTAATTCAATTCTCTATCACGAGACGAAAAGGGGCGGTTCTCGGAGGATAATAATACGCGAGAGGGGAAAAAAAAGAAGAAAAAGAAAAAGAAAAAGAAATAAATAAACCCTAACGAAATCATTTGAGATTCTAGAAAAGTGGGCACCGTATCATGGCGCCATCAAAAAAAGTAAGTACCGTAATTATCTGGCAGGGTATCGCGGTCGGAAAAAGCCGACAGCAACGAAAACAACCACGTACTATACTCTCCCGATGATGTCTTCTAGTAGTAGCCACCAATCTTCTTCTTTCCCCCAAAGTGTGAGGAAATCCGAATCAGCCATCCGCACATACCGTACTTTCTTTTCATACTCTAGAATTGATTCTCGAATTCCAGCCATACCTACTACTCTCCCTGTCCCTGATGGCTGCTAAGTTTAACAATCCCTGATGCGAGTGGAGAGAGAGAGAGGCCCGGGGAAGATCGTCTAGTCGCATCCATAGCGCATGCAACGTTCCGCGTGTGCTGCAGCCATCCCGCGCTGTTTGAATTCTGAAACTCTCGTCGAATCCAAAAATACAAAAAGAAAAAGCAACCCAAACGCAAACAGTCGATCTGTGGAAGCGTCCCCTGCTTTTTCAGCGCGCATTACTCCGTATTTGCCTCTCTCTCTCTTTGCTGCATCGAAGCATCGTTCCTACCACACCCCCTGAGTCGGACCCCCTATTTATATGTTGTAGCACCGATTTAGCACCAACCGTTCAGGTTGCCTCACATATTCATTCGATCTGGGATTGGAGCACAGATGAACGAGATTCTTGTTCCCATTCCATCTCCTTTTGCAAGAGATATTCTCAGCGCTCCAGCTTGTGGCGTCGACATCAACCCATATCTTCACTCCCTCGGTGGTAGGATCTCACAGTGAGCCTGGAAATCCTTTTCTCCCAAATAATATGTCGTGGCAAGAACACGCGATCACATAACTGTATCAGATCAGTTGCATCGGGGTCTCTCTCAGGCTCTCGGCTATCCCTTCCAGGAAATATCGTCAACACTTCGTAGTGGTCCGGGACAACCGCTTCATCAACGGAGCATTACGATGATATCGACAGATCGCCACGGGTAGTTGACGACACGACCAGATGAGCAGACTAATTGAAATCGCGTCAAGCGCGCCTTTATTCGAGTAATTATCATTAGTGCCTCCTATACATCTAGAAGAACTCTGTGTTCTATGGCCAATCAATCCTGCAACTTTTAATGATCGGTGTCGCACGCGGCTAAGACTTGCCTCCGGTCTCAGCATCCGCCCCCGGCATCGGCCAGGTCTATTATCATGTCCAGATGTCCTTGGCAGTTGCCATGACGAGGCCTAGACTACAGACCACGAAGGTGGCAAGTATCGCTGTCACGTAATACAAAATATTTCTTCGAACTAAACCCTTCAAATATGCCATCAGAATCGTGGAGTAGCGAATATGTCACACGACTCTGCTAGCTCTAGTTGTACCATACATCTACAACCTTGTAGGTTGTGATCAATTGTGTCCAGATCAGAACCGAAGTCGAGGAGCAGTGGTACATTAACACTTCTATTAGCACTCGAAAGCGACCCAGATGTCGTGGGATGCCAATAGCAAACGCAAACGAACAACATAAGTAGATCATATCGATCTTATCAACAATCAAAACTACCTTTGCCGATATAACATAAATAAAATGCACCATCTGTATCCTTTTCATCCCAAGGCTGCTTGTTTCCTGCGCTCCTTCGTATCACAATTGATGGATCGAGGCGTACGAGGTCGCAATGTATCCATCCGCTTCTATCGTTCTAATTCAGTGTCCCGTGGACACTTCTACACCTTTTTGTCAGTACCATCGATTCCCATGAGATGTCTAGCCTTGACCATCATGAAGCATAGAAGCGTATACCGCTCGCTCTGGCATGTACTCTTTTCTTCCCTTTTCATGATTTGTAGGTCGGTCTGTGAGGGGAGTATGTCGGCAAATATATGTACGCATTTAGTTCATTTTTGATAGCCTTCCCCATCTTTCATTTAGGAAATCCACTGCTTCAAAAAGAAGATAACTTGCACATGATAGTCGTTGTCACTCCTCATAATCGCTCCTTCTTTCAGATATCGCGGTGAAGATGCGCTGTCAGCTACCGTGCTTTAGTCGATTGGCTTTCCCTCGGCTTTCTTCAGGCGTAGTAATAGAGACAATTTCCTAATGTGATCATCAAATAATCTCTATGGTCTGTATTAATTTGTCGCCCGGTCTATTTCTTATACTCATTCAGCAGCCGTAGAAATCGAAAAGGGGCCGAAAAAAATGTCAAGTAAGTACCTACTTAAGTAGGGTGTGGCTGCCAACCTCCAAGAGCGGTCTGGATAATCAGCCATTCCGCGTTATCCAACACATGGTTAGCAGCTCTGGTGCCCAAACAAGAGGAACAATCCGCATTTTTAACTAGCCCGCGCCTACTTGCTAGCTAAATTTAGCCGCGTTGTCTCTGTAGTGCTTACGCCTAGAGTGCAGGTGCGGTTGGGGAATTCCCGTACAAGCCACACACGATGTTGGCAAGAATCCCATGTGGAGGGGGCCACGGCCACCCTCCGGGGGATAATTTATCTCGCACGCGAGAAGCTCGACATTTTATCTTCCCTTCAGAAATCAATAATCATTTGATACAGGTTCTCTGGCTCCTCTCCGCTTATTAGTGCCCGCACTGAACAGAGACCAGCTAGCCCGCTGGCGCATATCTATCTGTCGCCATGTCGAAACGCAGTGTCTTCACCACAGTCACGCCACTTCCCCCATACATCACACGGGATACAGTGGTCGAAACTCTGCACAATCATTCGGAGATGATCGAGTTGAACCCCCTAGTTATCAAGCATGGACGTTGCAAACCACCGCCAGTCGCTACCGCGGACGAGTTCCACTGTATCTGGTACGAACTCACGGACAGAATATCGTACCTGCCCGGAGGCATGGTGACTGGAAAGGTGAGTTACAAAGCTTGCTTTTACGACCTGCCGCGAGGCTTACAGACGCATGTCTATGCGCCCGCGGGTCTGGATATCAAGGAGAAATGGAGCATTTGCGGGAACATGCCCGAGGAGCCGAGAGAGCCAGTTGAGCTAGGGTTGGCAAATGCGCCACGCGAGGGTTTATATTTGCGAGAGGACGTCGACATGCGATGCAATATTGTAATGAACAACTTCGTCAAGCGGACGTTGAAAAAGGCGCACCAGGTCCTGGTTGACCGGCTGGTTGTGAAAGCGGATATTATAAAAGAGCACGCAGGCCGGACGTCGGTTACGCACGGGAAATCATCGCCTCAGATAACATTAGGGTCGGGTGGTTCGATGTATTCTGGATATTCTGGCCATTCCGGGGCTGTTGTCTCCCCGGCTGCGTCTGAATTTTGCGGAGGTCAGGATCCCAGGGTTCGACATCTATCTACAATATCAGCGGCAGAAGAACTGCAGGCTGCACGATTAGCCTCTGCCTATCTTGCGCCGAATTCGATGAATGTTGCAGAAGTACCAGGATCGCCACCTCCAGGCCCAAAACCCGACCCGTCGTCTGGGTCACGGCCTGTTTGGCAAGACTCTGAACAAGATCGTAACTACAAGCAGAGCGAACTAATGCCAGCCCCTTTGAATCGGTCTCGTTTGCGTCAGCAGCAACAGGGACGAGAGCCGGAAAGGTCACTCTACGAGATGGAATAGGCATCATTTATGTCGAGATATTGATGATCACGTCGGCATTTGAATCACTGAAAATGACGGCTCTACGTGTACAATGGAGTACAATTCCCCTTCTGGGATCTCTCCTACCTGCTGTACCGTTTGGGTCTTGTGCGACCAGCGCTACAATGGCAACTCTCAGCGAGATGCTAAGCGAACACGAGGATCTACGCACAACATTCTGATGGGTGATCTACGACTATATACTCGGTATCAGAGGGGTTCTGATTCTCGTATACAATTCATTTTCAGGTTCTAACATTCTGTATTTATTCTATCTCTATACAATGCAATGATAATGAAACTTTCTATAAGCGGGAACATAAGGCCAACCTAGGTAGTTTTAGAGCAGACTTTCTAGCTCTATAGAAGTTCCCTTGGACGGTTGTAACTCTTTCTTGCTCCCAAATATTAATGCGTTGTTTTTATAAGCCATTGAAATGAACAGCTCGTGACTGTCAATAGAGATATTGAATACAGGTTTTGGATCGCCTATCGTTCAGACTTATGCTGGCATGATGCGCATGAGTTGAGTCTTCGAGGTAGCGCAGTAGAGACGTTGCTCATCCTTGTGAGAACGAACGAATAAATCTGCTAATGGCAGTGAACCTATCCTGTCTGAACCACCCATGATCATTGCATTCATTGCTTTCCAATCTCTTAGACAAGGCGCGGCTAGCGTTTATAACGCGAACTTGTACCGTCAGAATCCTCGGATTGTCCATCAGTTTGTGGGTGGTAAGCTGTAGAGAACAACAGCTTCGTATCCAGCGTCTCGAACAGTGAACGCCATAGCTCAGATAAAAATTTCCTGTCCCGATCGGTAATGATACAGCGAGGGATACCCCAATCGCCAAGGCGGAGCCGCTCAAGTAAGGCTTCTGCCCAGCGCGCGGCGCGCTCCATGTCACGGCACCAGGGATAAAGGTGACTCTCTTGGTGAACTTGCAAGTAACTGACATACAGCAGTCCATACCGTTGGAGCTAGAGAGACCCAGGATGAAATCAATCGTTATAGTATGGAAAGGAATGGCCGGCGTCAGTATAGGTTGGAGCGAGCCGAACGGCTTATGGCGTCGCGTCTTGTTTAACAGACATTGGCGTCACTGTATACGGCGATACCGAAGTGTCACGACGGCTTGAAGACCTCGTCAGGTCATATGATATATGGTCTGACCGTGGTTTCGTCAACATCCCTCCTGACCAATGGTTAACAATTCCGTTGAAAGATGGTTGGGAGTCCAGCGTTCTAAAGCACGCAAAGGTTTACCCCCTGGGACCTAAGGATCGAGAGGTCGTTGACGAAACTTTCCGATAAGCTACAGGAACAAGGTCGGATGGAGTACGCTTCTTATGCAACGATAAACCAACCGCAGCCGAAACAGGTATACAGGCGTAGTAAGTAACTGAGACAATATATATGGTGTAGCGAATAAGCGAGTCTCGCTGAGATGGATCACAATACGAGAACATCCGATGTCGTATGCCATGGTGGTAGAAAACACTCGACCGTTTCCGTTGACCTCGGTTGGACAGCGTATTTCGATATTAATCTATGTGCATTCATTATTAGCATGAGCTCCAACCCTATAATTCTTTTCATATTAAATGGCATCAAATCGGACCTTTTTAAGAGTCATAATGTTTAGTTACCTGGAACATAATGATGCCCGTCCCCCACCACGACGTTCAAGACGAACAGTCCCATCTCTCTTACAGTTATTTCGAAGGTGGACAGTTCTCAGTGGTCACGAGGTCAATGTCTGCACGTCGGACGTGGTCCCTGTGGAGGAACAGCGAGGCTTGGGTATATTGCAGAGCTCAATCCTCTCCAAGTACCGCTGTGCCCGCAGTCCAGCGGATTGTGAAGTGTAGATAAAATGCAGACCCGTGGCTGAGAAGTTTGTCCATAACCAGCCTTACCTTCAGACCTGATACAGTTAAGGTGAAATTGTAATAGTTCCGGTGAACAGAGGCTGTAATAATTAATGGAAAGGAGATTCTATTCCTTGAACTTTTAGAATCCTTTTCACTTATTGTAACAAAGAGAGAATGGGTTAAGGCAGGATAGTCTGAAGGATCCTGATCAGCTAAGATCCGAGAAATATAAGTTAGTTAAGAGATATCCTAAGTTAAGCTCTAAAGGTACAGTCCGATTTAGAGACTGTAAAGGGCTTGAAGAAATTATACTTTTATTTATTAACCGAGTTAATATCGAAGACAGATAATAGTTAAGGTGAGAATAGTCGAGGTGAGGTGAGCCTTGCAGCCCGAAGCTAGTAGCTGTTAGATTAAACGGTAAATAAAAGAAAAGATATATTTTACAAAATGGGTTCCAACGATCTGTCTATCTCCAGATACGCACAAAGAAGTCCTCGCTCCAAGGGTTGTCGAGCGTCGGATGGAAAGGTGGTAATAGGTAGAAATTTGATTATTGGTGCCAGTAATAACTATAATAAAAAGAATGGTTAAAATATAAAACACTGTGTAACTCAGTAGGTTAAAAGAAAAGATAGATTTGGTTTGAAGCTGTGAGAAATAGCTTTATTTATTATTAAATTCGCCTGCGAAGTATCGATAGTAAAAGGTGGTATAAAAGAATAAATTTTAAACCCCCACTTTAAGCACCGCTAGCTATATATATCTGATAGTAATTAAAAGTATTCACAGGCTGAAGTTCCCGGAATATTGTTGCTATCTTGCTTTTAGATGGGAGAAGCCGTTAATAATAGTAAACCCGCGGGAGCTGAATAGTAGAAGCCATTGGTAATATTGTGCCTATAGGGACTTACCAAGGAAGAAAATATATGCAGCCGGGACTCTGAGACAACTATACCATAGTGCAATATAAGCTGTAGGCAGCTCAAGATATAGTACTTGCAAACAAAAGTAATAACTGATGGCTGACATTAGTTAAAGTCCGGCTAGGTATCCTTATATCCTTGCATCCTGGAGTAAATGGTTAGATTGTAATTGCTTAGATTCAGAAGACACACAACGGAGTAAATCTAATAGCAAGGCGTAGGGAGACGCACCAGCGCCGGCTTGCCAGGATATCATCCACTTTCATGAGCCACGGGAAAATCATTTTGCAAAAATAGTATTTTGTGTCGTATACCGCCGACGTTGATATTGATATTCAGGGTAGTACGGCGTATTGTCTCGCATCAACCACACAGCGGGGCTGGCAGGTATCCGTGTGTGACGCACATGCCCTTGCGCAGTGAAATCATACGGCCATTTGGTTGCTCGCCGGGACAGTGACATTGTCTTTACGACGACATAAACCCAGGCATCGCAGAGCTTAACGTACGCTGGAGGATATCCATATACCTCCGGATCCCAGAGCGCCGTTACGATTTTCCATGTGTCTGATTCACCAACTGCTGCTGAAATCTGGGATTCGCTGGTGGACCCGTCGGATCGTTTATAAGGTAAAAATTATTCCCTATGACTAGTTAGTAGATCCAGATTATAATTAGATTGATTATTTTACCTTTGTCTAGAAAGAAAGTTCTTTCAAATACTATGATGTATCTAGGTACGTTTCTGCCCTTTTGGGAAATGATAAGTTCATTCGAATATAACTGTTCTTCTGGAATGGGAAGGTCTTATATATTCAATAGCAGCATTGGTTTCCTCGAGACTGGGGCCAAAAAAAAAAAAAAAAAAACGTGATGGATTCCTTGCAGAAGCAGGATGCTCTACTAATTCCAGAACTTCTGGCTCTTCTTCGTTATAGTCTTCATATATAAAGAGAGATGGCCCATGGGTATCTCGGATGCTTTCATCAAGAGGAATTATAATTGACATTGCCTGGAAGCCAATGGCGGGAAGAAATTTCCTGCTATATAATGCGGCTCCGAAGGTGAATAATCTCTGGATAGCAATGACAGGGGTGAATGGGGGAATGTGTGAGTGGTATCCATTAACGTCCAGCGGAATAGAGGTGAAGTATGTGGCCCTGGTGGCCTCCCATGGGGTATAGGGACGTGCTAAGGTATGTAATTATATACATAAAGTGCAACCTTAGAAGTAAAGAAAATCTTGCCCAAAGGCTTGTGGCATACCTAATTAATCAGTTAAGCTGAGAGAGAGGACAGATGAAATGAGCTTGTTATGATCAGATCGCCTGATATAGAACCTGATAGAAGCCCTAGTCCGCGTTATAGATCAGAGGGAGTCTGACTCTTGAACAAGAGTAATAATCTATATTAAATATAACTAGTTAGCAGTTCTAAAAAGAAGAAGAAAAAAACCGTTAATTTCTAAATTCAAGATTAGGAAGGGAAAAAGTAAATATTAAATATTAAATATTAAATGGCATCAGATCAGACCTTTTCGAGGGCCATGATTTTTAGTTACCTGAAACATGCTGCTGCCAGTTTTCGTGTACAGTGCCGATGGCGTTGGATCACTCATTCTCTGTGGCTGATAAACCAACCGCTGCTGAAACCCGGGGTTTCCTGCCGGGCCCGTTGCGCTGTTCATAAGGGCATAAGCTGTACCCTATTGATGGTTAGTAGATCGACATCGAAATTGGATTGATTAGTTTACTTCTTGCCAGTAGGTAGGTTCCTTCCAGTCCCACGTATCGACTTTTCTACCCTTCTGAAAAATGACCAGCTCATTTGAACACAAGTCTTCTTCTGGGAACGTCCTATGCCATTCAATGGCAGCATTGATCTCATTGAAACTAGGCGCGAAAAACAGATCGTGACGGATTGATTCCAGAAAGAGGATTCTCTCCTTATGAGTAGCGGGCCATTTTCCTGCTGGAGCCGTTTTCAGAGGTAGTGTCCCCCATTCCATTGCTTCTAAGAGCCAAAAAGTCAGTACTTTTGACCTTCGAGTAACGTAAGTTAAATGTGTTAGGGGTGAAGGATTACTTCTTCCTAATTCCTGAACTTCCGGCTCCTCATAGTTACGGCCCTCAACCAGTGTCGCATAAAGATAGGTGGCCCATGGGGTGCCTTGGATGCTTTCATCGAAAGGAACCATAACATCGTCTGGAAGCCGACAGCGGGAAGAAGTATCTTGCGACATGATGTGGCTTCGAAGTGACAGGATCAGTAAGGCGTACTGTGAGAGACGGTAAAGCCGAAACTGATGATCTTTGGATGCCCTGAGAGGGGAAGAGAGGAAAGTTGAAATGAGCTTGTTATGTTCACAATGACGCTGTGTTGATCACCTGATATCATAGAACCTGACAAAAGTCCAAGTCTGCGTTATAGATTAGAGGGAGTCTGACCATTGAACAAGAGTAATAATCTATATCAAATAATAAAATAATAATATGGTACCCCTAGTACATAATTAGGTAGGTAGTCATTGATATTAAGAATAATAATTACCTTTCTTGGCCATCAATCTGGCGCTGTCCCGAAACGCTCTAGCCCCGATGTCGCAATCCGTCAATCGAGCATGCTGGTTGGCTGAAAGCAACAAACCAGGTCCGACGCGTATTTATCGGAGATTTTGGTATAAATAGTGATATACTTGCTTCTGTAGACTTTCCGGATGCAGCAGACAGCTCTCTTCTGGCCTCTGACTACATCATGTTGAGATTCCGAACGATGTACTTCGACCGCAGCTCGGTCCTTTCGCTCTGGATCTCTGGGCCACGTTAGGCAAGTTAAGGGAAACGAATCCCGCCAGAGACACCTCCGTTCCAGCACGACTCCGTTCCCCGCAACCCGACGTTCCTCTACGACATTATTGTCTACAATTACATTGTTCGAGATGTCGTCGTGGACGGACATCTGGTAATAATCGCTCTTGGGAAAGGAACTTGATCGTATGCGGTCTCAGTAATGGCCGCGACGAGAGACAATGTCGGCGACGATGCGCACCCCTCTGTCCCGAGCGAGCACAATGACAATCCCAACAATCGAGACAATCGAGACAATCGCGACAATCGCGACGCAACAGAACTGGACGAGATCCACATCACCGATGACAATCAGACGTCGTCCAGCGTTTCAGTCTCCTCGGATGAAGACCGCATAACCGCCCGACGGACACGGTCACAGTCGCAATCGCAAGCCAGCCAGCGCAGCAACGTCCACGGTCGATTTAGCGCTACCAGGAAATTCTGGACAAGGAGCATAGTGTTGACTGTTCCGCAGAAGTCGAGTCGCGATCACCTTGGTAAGTCTTTCGGCTTTTGGTCCTTTCAGCTGGTCTATCTGTCCGCGATGGAGCAATGTGCATCAAAAAAAAGGCTTCGTATCAAATTGCAACTTCGAGTCTTTGTCCGGATTTCTCCATCGACAAATGCATATCCAAAGTCGATTTTGTGGAATCAACACTCTGAAATTTCAAGTCGTGGATATCGAACCTCTTGAAATCAGCACCGTTTAGTGCTTGAAGTCAATCTGGAACTACAGCCAGCTAACTCTCTCACCTCCAGCTCTTGAGCGGACATTCCTAGCGTACATTCGTACCTCCGTCGCGACCTCCATGCTAGGCGTCCTCATTGCGCAACTCTTCCGCCTGCAACGCGAGAGATTATCTCCGCCGCCACACGGCTTTGGATTCTATACTGTGGGCATTCCCCTCTCAATAGCCTGCCACGGTGTAGCCATTCTCATTGCGGCCCTGGGCGCACACCGGTTCTGGAAACAACAGCATGCGATCGCCCTGGGGAAGGTATATGCCGGTGGGTGGGAGTTGTATTGTATTGCGGCCTTGATAACTGCGGTGAGTTTCGACAGAATATTCTTTTTCTTTTTGTCTTCCCTTTTTTTTTTTTTTTTTTTTTTTGCTGATGCAGAGTTACCTCAGGTGGTCATAACGATATTCGTCCTCGCGATCGCGATCTTGGCCATTCGCGAGCATTCATAGCGGAGTTGTCTGCTGAATTACACATGATGTCGACATTCGTCTGCTGTTGTAAATGCGCTCTTCCCCATAATTACGATTGCGGTTTGTCTAGTACTGCCTGTTGGATCAGGTCTCTTGATATCCTCTTCTCAAACAAATTCCGTGATGTGTTTGGTGGTTTTATGCGGTTTTCTATCCCCGCTTTATTCGCTAGTTTGGCAATCTCATCTCGATAGACAAGGATAAATCAAATGTATTCATAGTAACTATCAATCAATCTTGCTTACAATCCAGAACAATACTAGCGGACGAAGCAGTTGAATGGGGTGTAGACTTGATCAAGACTTTAGTAGGTCCTGGTTACGCTTGCTATGACTGACTGTCTGTCTGGCGACTATTCGACTACGATTCGATTCCCGCACAGGTTACAAGCCGGATGAAGTAGAATAGAAGATGAACATATTTTATCTTGGTAAAAAGATGCTACAATAAGAACGGATTCAGAAAAATAGGCAGATATGAAGAAACCCATCTAACATTCGATCATGACATATCGGTTGCTCCAGGTTGCTCCAACTTTTTGAGGATTGTTTTATCATCGACCACGCACATGTCACGTCATGTCACATTATGTCTATGCTGCCCATCCATTTGTAGCCTTTGGAAAGACATTTCAATTTACTCCTCATCCCCTTCGGTCTCCTCGAGCTTGCTCTCGGCCGCAGCCTCTTCAGCATCCTCCTCGAAAGTGTTGGGAGGGACGCTGTACAGCCGAATGACGGGCTTGTTGGGGTCCTTGACCAGGACGTACTTCTTGATCTTATCGGCACTCTCTTCCTCCTCCTCGTCATCCAGGCTGCGGACGAGGTCGACAATGGTCCGGACGATACCCCATCCGTTGGACAAGTTCAGGTTCATCTGGACAGCGAAATCGCGAGGCTTGTAACCAACAACGCCCAGGATGATGTGAGCAGCAGCAGAGCGCGGGTTGACACGGGACACGAATCCAAGCTTCATCATGTCTGCCTTGGCAAGGATAGCCTGCGTTGTCCAGCGGGCGAGCTTGCAGCTGTTGTTCTTCATCTCAGTGGCCACGACAGCACCACGCTGAGAGGCCAACTTGGTGCGCCAGTCGAGAGAGCCACCAGAGCCTTGGGCCTTGCTGTCGAACTCGTTGAGCGCCTTGATGATCAACTGCTGATCCTCCCCACTGGCGGTGTTCTTCATGACCGCATCGATTTCGGTCCGGACAATCAGGTTGAGCGGTTCCTCGTCCCTCTCGAGGGAAAGGTCGAAACGGCGGTACTTGTAAGCCTTGGACGCCAGGGGCTCGGTCTCTTCAGCAGCGTTGTAGAACGGGTTGGGGTGGCTGAATTCCACCTTGGCGGCATCTGACTCGATCACTGTCTGCAGGGCAAAGTTATGGTTGATAACGGTCGCCTCCAGGGCCAGAGATCCAGGGGTGTTGATCGTCTCCTGCTTGCCAGCGGTCTCGGATGCTTCAAGAGGAGCGTCTGCGGCGTTCTCATTCACGGTCACCAGATCAATAGAAGCGCCCTCACGCTTGTCGAAATAGATCTTGTTGCCCTGGCGGACAATGACAATATCCCACGAGTACACACTGCGGGGGGAGCACATGAGCATCGATAGGATATCGGAGGTGGCGAACACAGTAGCCTCGTTCTTCTCAGCCAACTCCTGGATAACAGGATCCTGGGAAGTGGTGACATTGTAGGCCGCGCGGTCGAGGGATTGCAGCTTGCGCTCGTGGCCCTTGACGGGCATCTTGTCGTAGGAGCGGTCGTAGTAGTAAAGGAAGCCATAGTTGTCAAGGTCCTCACCATCTGGCGTCTCCAGGTTGAGCTTGGAGAGACGGCTGAAGTCGACCTCCTCAACCACCTGCCACTCTGGTCGGATGTTGACCGAGCTGTCACGGTTGCGCTGAGGCTTGTCGTAGTCCTTCCATCCGAAACGACGTCCGCGGCCACCGCGTCCACCGCGCTGGTCGTAATAACGGTCACCACCCCCTCTGCCAGCACCAGCCCTCTGGAAAGCTCCTCGTCCACCACGCTGGCCAATGGCACCGCGCTGGCCACGGCCGCGGAAGATGGTACCGCCACCACGGCCAAAGGCACGGGTCTTCGTCGAAGTACGGGTGTTGTCGACAACGGAGAAGGAGGACTCGTCTTCGGCGACCTGAATGCCAGCGAAAAGACTGGAAGTACCAGCACCGTACACTTGCTGGTCTGGTGGGTGTTAGCAGAGTTGATCTTCTTGCGCACGATCCGTCAGAAATGCAACCCACCTCTGTAGTTTCTGTTGTATGCCTGGCGACCGCCTCTCTCGCGGTCCTTTCCTTCAGAAGTCCAGTCGGCCATGCGGCCTAGTTTGTCACCCTTCGAGAAGGGAGCGTATGGGACGCCATCGAGGCTGTTCTCAGAGGGCGTCGCGGGGCCCCACGCGTCCTCGGAAGGGAGTGCAGACACGATGTCTGACAAAGAAATAGGAGCCATGATCCTATCTGTGCCCTTTGCACTGCTTTGCTGTGTCCGAAACGTGAATGGACAGCGGAGCGGTGAGGTGGTAAAGATTGGGCGGATTTGGATGCGATATTCGAAGTTTTTGTGTTTCTCTCCGCAGTTGGTGGGTGTTGGGCTTGGCGTCCCTCGCCACGCTTAATTCCATCTGGCATGGTAGACTACTTAAGTACCTAAGGTACCGCACCGCTACAGATCTCCCTCCGCTCTCTTGGGTAGGTGATCTTTGTTACTTCCAGAGCATTGGGTGCAGACCGATCCCTGCGTAAAAACTAGAATGTAGCTAATGTGGGTATCTCCAGCGATCATATATCTGCAGGGTTTGTGACAATAATGACACCTCCGCTAACTAATATCAAAATCCACGTCATCTTCACTATGTATGTACAGTACAGTAATGTGAAGCATCTTCGTCAAGAGACCCCATCACGTAGCGGCGACAACTTCCCAGGTCCATGTTCTTGGCCGTGGAGAGTATCTGCTCTGGGCTCTTTTAGAACATAACGTCGAACACTCTGCCACTGAAGCTCAGAATGTTGCTGACTTGCGGTCCGCGAACACAACTAGTAGGCCTAGATCAGTATGGCACGTCAGGTCCATTAGGTCCAATCAATAATCAAGCCATGAACGGCTGGAGATCCACCAAGTTCTCCAAATCCAAGAGGATTTCGCTGAAATATTCATATTAGATTTTAGATTTCTCTCTCAAACTCCGAACTATCCATTCCGGAGGCCCAGTCAAAGGCAATCTGTTCCTCACTGATCTGAGGGATCGGCACCTCGCTGGCGTCAAATTCCCATGCCTCCTTCCTGGCATCTTTAGTTTTCCGCAGATACAGCGGGAGGGTCCATTCAGTTAACGATGCCTTTAAAGCTCCGGTATCTCTATTCTTATCCCATCTTTTAGTAGAGGCCTTGAAAGCCTGATTGACAGGCTCTCGACGAATATTCTCGTAAATCTTGAAGGATAGGCCTGGTGGGTGATATGGATAACGAGCAAGGGTACGTGCGAATAGAATAGCATCGTCCAAGGCGTACGCTGCAGATTCGTCCCTGGGTGGCATCTACAATCTAAAGTGAGCTTCCACGTGAATAGGTCATTGGCGCGATTGTTGTTGATTTCCTTACCGCGTGAGCTGCGTCCCCCAGCAGAAGAATCCGTTCCGAGTACCACTTCCCTCCCGGTGGCACTTGATAAACCGGATACAGGAACCAGTCTGTAGGGAGCTGTACAATTTCCCGGACACAGTCAAAGGCAGATTTTGAGAAGCGGTCCCGCACTTCCTCTCTAAGTCCCATCTTGATTGCATGTTGCGCCCTCCATTCCTGGCCATATTCGAGTCGATTCTGCTTGACCAGGTCTTCATCATATTCGATAATAGCGGCCACGAATAACTCCTCGCGATCCCGATCGCAGTAGCTGGTCAACATGGAGCCATACCGGGAGATGTTGAGGGCACTGGTATGGAAATGGATGTGAGACTTCAGATCCGCCGAACGGATCGTGGTCTGGAGGAACGAGATGCCCGTGTATTCTGACCGGCGACCGATATCGACGATCCGTGTCCTTGTTGGCGAATGCACACCATCACAGCCCAGAGCCAAGTCTCCCATCGCCATCGAGCCATCTGCAAAGTGGATCATTACTTTGTTGCCCTTCTCTTCTCCGCCCACCACCCGTTTGCCGAATTCGAGCTCAACATTGTGAGCCTTTTCCACGGTAGCAATCATTGCTAACAACAGGGCAATCCTCGTGACTCTTCGACCTTTGTAGCCTTTATATCCTTGTCCATGTTTATCGCTAAAGTTGACTGAGCCTAAGGCTCTCCCTGTTCGGATCGAGTATATCTCAATGGCATCGACCTCCGTCCCACCGTCCGGGCCCATTCTATCTAGCTCCTCTAAGATTCCCAGATGAGCCAGATGCCTCTGTGCCACCGGCGTCAGGTTGATAGCGCCTCCGGAGGTGGACGGAACCTCATGTCTCTCAAATACTCTGATTTTCAGATCCGGAACAATTGGACCGAGTTCCTTTGATAGAGCCAGGGCTGAGGCAATGCCCGCAATGCCACCACCGAGCACCAGGATCTCACGCACAGGCATAGCTATTAGTTTTAAGCAACGAACAGAAGAGTGGAGATTTTGAACCAGTACCGGCCACGCGCTATCCGAGAAAGAAACCCGAAAAGGGAAAAAAAGAAAAAGAAAAAAAAAATTATCTCGATAGCCAAAGAAGTAGCCAGCCAGCGAAAGGAGAGTGGAAGAAATTACAACAACCGAGAGAAGATCATATCACACGAGCAAACGAGGGGATACAAGAAATAATAATAATAATAATTAATTGGAGGCGCTACTGCGCCGGTGCAACTGCTGTCGCCCCTGTCAAATAAGTCTCCTCCCCGGGTCTGAGCCCAAGACGTTGCGATTATGATGGGGATCCACCATCGAAGAAGGCCAGACCAGGAGAGGCGCAGGCTCCGAGCGTACATCGCCTGCTAGATCTCGCTTTCGACAATTGCTATTTGCAGCACAGAAAACGCTACGACTATGAGATCGTAGCCATGGATGGCCGGCGGCTAAAACTCTTTTCGTGACGCTATCGATTTTGTTTCAGGAGTCACGTGTGGAGACAAAGTCGGCGGATTTGACCGTAGCATTAAATAATTATAATTATAATAATCATCATCATCATAATCGATTTCAATATACAACCGAGGTTCAATCGACTCGCGCTCTAATAGTAGTGGGCATGGATCATGACGCGGACTGTGGGATGAGAACTTTTTTCGTGCAGTTTACCCAGCAATAATGCCTGCAGAAATATTCAAGGAACTTCCCTACACTGCATGATCTTCATCAATCGGTCTCCTCCCCCGCATAGGCGCGATTACCGATAATAATAGTCGTGCGGACAATTTTTTTTTTTTTAATTTTTGCTTTTTTTGTGCAATATCAGACGGTATAATAGCCTATCTATAACCGTTGGCCTGAAGCAGTTGGTTAATTGGCTTGTAGTGTCCCTGACTGAAAACCTGGTACGACAATGCCTAGTGACTTTCGACGAATCCTTCATTATCTTCAGTTTCAACGTCGCGCAGGCTATCTGATCAGGCTGATAATCGTGTACAACCATCCTTTCCATGGATTCGACAACCTTTATACAAAGTAAACCATAAGACAACACAAACGTAGAACGAACTCAAAAGTATATTCTGAGAGAAAGATGATAGAATGACGTGTCTCACGAGATTTTATTCATACGGATGGCAGCAGCTCTCTGCTTGCACTGCAATATATTACTACTATCAATTATTAGTATCCGCCATCTTCTCTTTGTTGCCATATAATATAATAATACAAGATCAACATGGGCAGAATAATACACCACAAAGCAGCGCCACAGTCAGCCCGGGAGAACCGTGCCCGGGCCCACAAGACGAAGCAAATCGACGAGTCACCAAGTCTGTTATCGCGCGTCTGGTCAGTTGAATACCTGATCCCCGTACCCCTTTCTCTTGTTTGAGATCCTCGTTGTATAGGTTGATAGATCAGAAATGATATATTAATTACAGCGTGGAGCAGAGATGCTGCTACCAAATCTTCCATGGATTTATGGAGTTACATAGCAGCGCTGAATTTCGGCGAGATGCCGGCCTTTTTCGTTTAATTAAACTGGCACAATATGACAGAACAACGGCCACTAACGTATTACCTATCACGTTAATAGGAGCCAATGCCGGAACTCGTTGAAGTCGCCCCGAATCATGAAACGCACTACACAGACAAGACCATCCTCCTCTCAGTCTCGGACTAAAAAAGTCGCTTTTGCGTCTGGAGCTGTCATTATCCCGCCCGGGCCACCTCCAGTGCCAGCACGGGCTCCTACACGACCAGCACAGACGTCGGCTTGTCCGGAAGTTGTGCTGGAAGCAGCAAAATTTCCTCGGCAGAGTTACTTTCTGGGTGTACTCGATATGACTTTTATCGTCCAGAATCTTATAGGCTTGTAATAATAATATTGGTTGTGGCGCATTAATTAGGTACCTAGTCTAGGAACAAAAATGTCATGATTTGATGTTCGATGTTCCTGCGAATTGGTCATAAGAAATTCTCGACCGCTGTTATGAGAATCGAATGCAATATGCCAAGGGTTTTCATATGGTCTCTTATTATTATCATTATTGTGCAGGGGGGCATCGCATGACTCTGCGTGGAGCCGCTGAGCTCGAGGACACCGGGGAATAAAAGAATAGCACTTGGTGCTGGATCGAGAATATACCATAGCTAGCTAGGTCAGATTTGGACTTCTAAAGGGGTTATATAATATTATTCCCCATTGTTACTGAACTGACTGCTTGATTTTCTGTAAAGACGTCTAACTCGGCTATCTAAGATACAGTCTGTTGTCTCACCTTCACCCCGTACATTAGCACAATGGATCTCTATAAAAATCACCGGTATTGTAGATAGCTGGTTGGTGGGGATAGGATATCGTAATCATTCTGGTGGTCAGCAAGGCCCATGATGATTCTGACCATCATGCTATCCGGATCTTCCGTCGCAGTACTGTATGGACTATCGCTATGAATACTGTTGAGCGGGTCAACATACGTATCAAATCTGAGGATTCTAGTTCCAAAGATTCATCTTCCTCGTCATATCTTATTGCAATACCTGATTTCTTGGAAGAATTGAGCATTATTTGAGGGCGAGTTATGAATAGATCTGTCGGGAAGCGAGCCGACGGGAAGCCTCCCGGACTGCCCTCCTTCGCTCCTACGTCATACGATGGTATTGATGATTCCACCTGATGTATACATCACAGATGGCAGGCCAGTATGGTATATTATTATTATCTTCGATGGAGGGGCTGCCGGCATTCCGGACTTGCGTGATGGTCGAGTAGCACGGAGAATCGGTATCTTCCGTAGCTTTTCTAGCCGACTGTCTACAGCATACCATAAACCTATATATTTCCCAGTGACAATGATAAATCTGCATCTGGAGGTTTAGCAGATGTAGTGTCTAGTTGATAATACTCCTCGTCTTCTCCGGCCGCATACGCTCTCCCGTTCTACTGGCTCGCTGGATTAGGGTGTATCTATCGTTGAGAGTATTGTACCCGTTTCAGTTGAGATATTACTTCACTCCAATAACTGCCCATTCCTACCGGTATGGCGAATGTCATAACATCAAGCGTCCTGCGCCGTCGTCTGCTTCTTCGCGGCCATGCTCAGTTTCGTCTTCTATCCACTACTCCAGCGCGATTGAACGTGAGCAAGGACAATAATACACCTCACCTCAATCTCCGATCACTGGTCTCTGCTCTTCGCGAGCAAGGAGATCTAGTCGATATCAAAGATCAAGTCTCCCCTAACCTGGAGGTTGCCGCAGTTACCCGGAGAGTATACGAGACACACGCACCTGCGCCTCTCTTCCATGACGTCGCGGGAACAGATCCAAAGACCGGTCTCTTCAAGATTCTAGGAGCACCTGTTGGGTTACGAAAGGATAAGAGAGACCGCTATGGCAGGATGGCTCTTCAATTAGGTTTACCGGCCACGAGTAGTCCTCGCGATATTGTCCAGAAGCTGATCGACACCAAGAACGGGAAGCCAATGCCCCCAGTACGTGTATCGGATGCACCAGTCAAGCAGAATATCCTTAAAGGAGACCAGATCGACATGACGAAATGGCCTATTCCTCGACTCCATTCTATAGACGGGGGCACTTATCTGGGCAGCTATGGATTCCATGTTGTGCAAACGCCAGACAAATCTTGGACATCGTGGTCCATCTCTCGTACGATGCACGTCGCCAACGAGCCGCGCTTACTGACTGCTCCTGTGATGGCTGCCCAACACCTTGCCCAGGTGAGAAAAACGTGGATCGACTCGGGGGCTGAAGATACTCCATGGGCTCTGGTCCTAGGTGGCCCACCAGCCGCGGCATTCGTGGCTGGCATGCCGCTACCAGCGAAGGTTTCAGAGGATGGGTATATAGGCGCATTATGCGGTTCGCCTGTAGAAGTGGTCAAGTGTGAAACAAACGACCTCTACGTGCCTGCTAATGCAGAGCTCGTGATCGAGGGTCGCATCAGTAACTCCAAGAAAGTCCCCGAGGGACCGATGGGGGAATATCACGGATACCTTTTTGAAGACCAACCTCTTGATGAGCCATTGTTCCAGGTTGACTGCGTGACCTATCGCAATGATCCTATCGTGCCTATATGTGTAGCTGGAACAGCTGCAGATGAGACGCATACAGTATGGGGCACTGCTATTGCAGCTGAGATAATGGATGCGCTGGAAAAGAACAACTTCCCTGTGGATTTTGTGTGGATGCCTTTCGAGGCCCAGAGCTGTTGGATTGTGGTCAGCGTCGATATCAAGAAGCTAGCAACCATGGGAATTGATGCAGAAGAACTGTGTCGTCGCGCAGGCGATATCATTTTCAAGACTCATGCTGGATGGGAGGCGCCCAAGGTCATGTTGGTGGGAGATGATATTGATATCACGGACATCAACGAGGTCGTATGGGCTCTAGCAACGCGATACCGTCCCGGTTCAGATGAACATGTCTTCGGGGACATTGGAGGAATCCCTATGCTCCCGTACATGACCAGAGCTAATAAGAGCAAACAGCTTAAGGATCCAGGAATGGGTGGAAAGAGCGTGATGAATCTTTTGCTTCCACCGGAATTTGAAGGAAAGAGAGATTGGGTACGGAGCAGCTTCGCAGGTGCTTATCCAGAGGAGGTGACGGAGAAGGTTATGAAGAGGTGGAAGAATTGGTTTCGAGAGTAAAGACACATTTTGCAACAATGCAGACAGATTAAGTCTCTAGATCCCGGGTTTTATCTATCTTTACAGAATTACGTTAGCGCGCAAAGGCAGCATACATTGTCATCCATAGTACTATCCGTTTGCATTTGAGTCCTTGGCATAATAGACGCTTTTGCATTGCTTCCTGGGTAACTAGTTCCTGTGTCAGTTACCGCTCCTAGTGAGTATATATATACATTGCTTGCTCGATACATCAACCTCAAAATCTCAGTTACGATGACAAAGACCCCGTTCACATCAGCATGGGGCCTATTCTTCTCAACCCCCCAACTCTTCCCCCAGTGGAATACGAGTCAGAATCGACATTGTACACCTTAAAAACGGTTTCTGAACTATTCTGTTGATACTTATGCCAACTCATCCACGGTGCCCCTCTTCTTTGGCTGACTCATCAACGCCGCCAACTGCCGCATAGTTACACTACCTATGGCCTCACGCCGACATCACTTACAGAAAGCTTGAGGAAGTTCCATAAGAGTTAGAACCGGACTGATGTCCTCCACTGTTCTTCGAGTCGCTTCGTTTACCTTTGTTACCGCGTCATCTCAGATCGTGTTTTGATCGCAGAATTACTTTAGTCTGTCGTTGTTAGCTTCCAATATTTCCAATCTCACTTACGCTTAACTGGAACCCTCAATGTTTTCGCCGACGCCAGGAAAGATAACAGCATTCAAAAATGGAGACATTATCTCTGGTGGCCGGACTGTGACAAATGAGCTATACGTTGACGGGGCCACCGGACGTATATTGGACGGCTTCGAGTTTCCTGAAGGCGAAAGAGTGGTAGAGGATAGGACAGTAGACCTCAAGGGTCGGATCCTATGCCCGGGGTTCATCGATATGCAATTCAATGGTGCTTTTAACGTGGACTTATCCCGCCTGCCGTCTAATGGTGACATTAACTCCTTTAAGAATGATATTCGTGTCATGAACCAGAGACTAGTTAGGACAGGCGTGACGAGTTATCTGGCAACAATGACAAGTCAGAAGCCGGAAGTGTATCAGAAGGTAAAATGAGGCCGAGAGTGACTGTTGGCAAACGCGTTACAGGCTAATTTTGACTAGATCCTCCCTATAATCGGGGCAACCAATCCGGAAAGAGTTCCAAATATGGGTTCTCAATCTCTTGGCGCACATTGTGAAGGCCCTTTCTTGAACATTGACAAAAGTGGCTGCCACGACGTTGATGCTGTTAAAGCTGTCGGGGGCGACTGTAGTCTAGAGCGTCTCGTTAGTTGTTACGGAGGGCTAAATCTTGGATTTGCGGACCACCAAACGACCCAGTCGGCTGTCAACACCCCTGTGAAGATGATTACTATAGCACCTGAGCTTCCAGGCGCTCTTGATACCATTCATCATCTCACAAAAAAAGGAATTGTAGCCAGCATCGGCCACACGAAAGCTAACTATGAAGAGTCCATTGCCGCGATTCAAGCAGGAGCAAGATCCATTACTCACCTATTCAACACAATGTGCCCCTTTCATCATCGTGAGCCCGGACCACTCGGAACTATTGCTTTCTCAAGCACCAAGGCCAATACAGCACGTATCGAGCCTGATAAAAGACCCTATTTCGGAATTATTGCAGATGGGATACACGTCCATCCTGCCAGCGTCAATTTGGCGTGGAGATGCCATCCCCAAGGGTTCATCCTGGTTACAGATGCAAGTATGATTGCAGGATGTGAAGATGGGGTCTATGAGTGGACTGGAGGAAGAAATATAGAAAAGAGAGGCGCCAAAATTACCCTGGAAGGAACAGATACTATTGCAGGAAGGTGAGTCTGTCCATGAGACATAATTCTCACCAGAAAGTGACAAGCCTAATGTTCCTAGCGCGGTTACTTTGATGGATTGTGTCAATAATTTCATCAACTTCACCGGGGCTTCTGTGGCAGAAGCTATCAGCGCCGTGACATCGACTCCGGCCGCGTTGCTAGGAATTTCTGACAGGAAAGGGAATGTGATTCCTGGTGCTGATGCAGACCTTCTCGTGTTGAAGAGAGAAGACAGCATAGGAGGCACGAAACTAATCGTAGAGCAGGTATGGAAGTTCGGTAACAAAGTCTTCGACATTGCAGAGGACAGTAACAGACTGGCCGCCATAAAATCTCGAGTATAACTTTTTCCGTAAACTCAGTTTTTTTTTTGTTTTTTTTCCATGATATGAGCCGATTAACACTCGGCTCTGGCGATTATTCCATGACTCATAGAGACGGCAAATCAAGATAGAAACACATAATGTCAGGCGAGGGGCAAAGGATGCCACAACATGAAACTAATTCTCCAAAGTACTTTTTTCTTCCTCCATCCGATGGAAACGAGGCGGGTCTCCGTCTGTCACCGGCGCGATGTGTCATGACATGATAAGTGAGTCGATGTGTTCGAGTTGCAGGAACAAATTCCGCGATAGATGTGATGTGAGGCAGTTCCCCTCAATGGAGGCTTCATTCGCGGTTGATAAGGCGTGATGGTTTGACGCCCAATCACAGAGGCCCAAGTTGCAGGGCTACTGCGCTCCGCATCGAGTGCCTTTTGGCATGATCAGAGAATAGACGATGAGAGCTTAAAAGCCCTCGAAGGACTCGAGTACTTCATCATGAAGGCTTCGTTAGTTTCAAGGATCGCAACCAAGTCTCAAACATATTTGTATCTTGCACGGTTAAATGGGTCCAAACCTGTCACTTTTGGATGAAACAGGAAGGTGCGCGCTCAATTGCTCCCTCAACATTTCCGCGATTCACTTCTGGAGAGTTCGAAGTATTGACAGAATAGTAGCGACCTGGGTGCAGAGATATACATGCCTTATACCAAACGTACATCAGTTGACGCTGTTTACCGGTCTTCGCATGTCCACAGACACAAGAGTGGCCACCATCGAAATGTTGAGAAGTCAAACGTCACAGTGCATGCTGTGATACCGACATATGGCAACAAGCAAAGCAAACAGACTCAACGTCAAGAAATTACTCAAGCTTTAGATCTATCATTGACTCAACGGACGCTTTCCGATCTTGCTCCGCATGAGAGACCTCTTACTGGACCAGGGGAATGCATCGTGTGCCTGGAGACATTTCCTCCATCCTCTTTCCCTGATCGAGCGATCTCGTCTATTTGCGATCACACAAGCCCAGAGAGGCATCAGCAAAGGGTTTGCAGAGGTTGTCTTGCACAGCATTTGGATGCGCAGCTAAACAACTCCGGTCCTGATCGCTTGACATGTCCTATATGCCTGGCCGCTTTGGCACATACCGAGATCAAGCAATGGGCATCTCCAGCAACATTTGTGCGTTACGACTCTCTTCAGGCACGGACGGCGATTTCCTCTGATCCGAACTTCATATGGTGTTGCAACCCGACATGTGGCGCTGGCCAACTTCACGTTTCTGGCGCCGAATCACCAATTGTTATCTGCCATGCTTGTGGCGCCCGTACTTGCTTCAACCACCCGAACGCGATATGGCATGAAGGGTTTACCTGTTATGAATTCGATCATCCCGAAGTTGCAGAGGAGCGTCGCAGGCAAGAAGCCACAGAGACGGAAGCCCTTGTGCAAGCGCAACAGGAAGAAAATGACCGCATTCGTGAACAGGTCCAAAGGGACCGTCGTCTCGCAATGGAACTTCAAGAAGAAGATGGACAGCAAGAAGGTTCACAGTTGATAACTAATGTTGCAGAAATTGAGAAAGGACAGCAAACGAACGAGGAAGAAGTGCTGCAACAAATGGAAGCAGGGCAGAGACGGGTTAATGAAGTAACCAGAACACGTGCAAAGAACCAAGAAGAGGAAGCGGCTATTGAAAGAAATCGGTTGCAAGAGAGAGCCGAAAGACGCAAGGAAGAATTACAAGGAGAAGCAGAGGTGTCCAGGACAAGCAAACCGTGTCCCGGGGCAAACTGCTCATATTGGATAGTCAAGGTTGATGGTTGCAAACACATGACCTGTAAGTATAATTTAAACCATGCTCGAAGGGAGATACTAATATTCGAATTAAAGGCTCTCGTTGCCATCATGAGTGGTGTTGGGTCTGCAATCAACCTTGGAGGAATGGCCACCTCAACGAAGCCTGTGGATAGATACAAGGCAGATATTCTGAACAGTTAGAATGTAGGATCTCAAGGGAGTACTGTCCCACAATCGAAATGCTCGAAATACCAGTCGCCCCAGGACTAATGACAGACCAAGGGAAATAAGCTTGAATGCTGTCCCAAATCATGTCCTTGTCTTACTATACTGTTTGGTTATCATTTCTATATTCAGCGAGCTGTGATCAAGCGTCATATTCACACCGTCATCGGTCTTTACACAAATGACGGTACACGTCCTATTTACCGTGTCGATCGAATGTTCTCTGGTCCTGGCCAGAGAGGTGGAAACACATTGTGTGTTTCCCAATGCCGCATACTCCTCGATGTCCCTGGACTACACAGTAACCATCTGTTGGGGTAATCAACGGCATACTCGTCATTGTGATCTGTTCATGTCTTCTTTCCCTCCTTTCTTGAAGAACGGGGGCTCATGGAATTGCTCACCCGAAACTTGCTGTGCAAGTAAAATATACCAATGCATCTCTATAACGCCGTGAAACAAAGTGAGTGCAAGGCAGAACTGTATGACACACACCAGACAAGAATTCAAAACACTGCGCTCGACTAATACGGATCAATGAATATTCATGGGAAAGCGCGGATGATCGAGGCGTGCCGACCACTCCACCCAGGTTGGATGTTTCTGATCATAATACCTAGCGGTTAGACAGAGCATCGACAGATGGGGATTTTTCATTTGTGTCCTCAACTGAACAAAAGAGCGGTGTGAATACCATAGCAACCCACCTCAAGCTTGCTTATGGGACCTTGTCATGTCGGGTGACATGTTTCCTTGAGGTAGGGTAGGCCCTTAGAAATGGTCGAGAACCTGACGTCAAAGAGGCGGGTCGAGGACCAGCGAACAAAGATCCTTACAATAGTCGTCCAGGGGATGTATCGGGAGATTGTGAAGGAGTTGCTATCGTTTAGATGGTGTGGAGATCCTTTTGTCACAGAAAAGCTAGAGACTCGGTAGCAGAGCAATGACGGGATCCTCTCAACAGAGGTAAAGTGAAGCTGCAGAGCCGCAGAATATACAGCCTTGCTTCTGGACTGCTGGCCAGGTGGAACCGAGTCTCATATTTCAAGTTTGCCGGTATAGACCTGGTAAGTGAACGCGCCCCCGTTCAGAAGAACGAAAGTAATGCAATACTGCTTAGATCAAGGACCTGTATACGACTTCCGAAAGGGCGGAGCCCTGGCGAGGAGCCCCAAACTCCACTATCATTTCAAATGCATGTATAGGGACGGCCATGTCACCCTTTCTAAAAGACGTGGTGAACACGACATTCAGCGACAGCTCGGGCCGAACATAGTTTCGACAGAGTGAAAAAGCATTACGTTTTCTGAAACTGGTTATGTTCTTTTGGGCATGCTAGGGGTAGAAAAAAAAAGGAACAGGCTTCTAATGACAGGTTTGGCAGTCTCGAATCTCCCACAATAGTTTATTACAGTGTTGAGGCTGCAAGAATTTGCTTATCCTGTTGTACCTGTCAGTCGGAGTTTTGTCTTCAATGAGCTAAGCACGTTGCTCCGCCGTTGTCGTGCCAGTTGGACTGGCGTTACCAGAATACAAGTCCATGTGAGATCCACTGCATCAATGGGATGATATTTCCAGGCTAATAACAGAGCAATGAAGCTCCTGACCAGGCGGTATCGAGTCTAAAGAACATTCCAAAACCGGCTACATTCCCATTTCTGATACAGCGCTTTATAGAAGGGGAAAGCTTCCGGTTATCCACAGAAATGTTTCATACGGACTATACCCGCCTTCAGACTCTCAACGTGGCCCACGTTTGAGACAGATTTTCTAAGGTACTTGGCAATTGACCCGGTGGATAGATCTAAAGCTATGTCAGGCAGCGGGTCCTTGGACGGCGATCTCAGTTAGACGACGTCGCAGGAGAGGGCGGATCGACATTCTAGGCCTATTCTTCCGTACTCAACAGTAGTGACCATTCCCCTATCCGGAGTAAACCTCATTGCTTGGATCTCTCTCCAACTGACTAACATGCCTAGCGGCTCGCTGACATTGGCAGTGAGGCCATATTTCTGTACCAATCTCAGGTTTTCTATTACTGACGAGTGCGATTTAGATCCACCATCACCCTCTCGTACGGAGTACGTACTGCCACTTACCGTAAGTTTGAAAGAAAGACTAGCTAGTGGGAGATCGCTTCTGCCATTTTTAGATCGATCTTGTTCTCGGAACTATGCGCGATAGAGATCTCCGCCACTGGAATCTGATTTCATCTTTCAATTGGGACCAGAAAGCATACTGTTTCCACTATGATTCACAAGGGCAGTTACGGATTAAAGCTCTACGCGGGTTTCCGAGATATCGTACCAGCAAGGGGTAAACATAGTCGGCAATCGAAAAGGAGTATTCGGGATAGGACCAGTCCCGAAGATGGCGGACAAGGCAAACCCAGGAAAACAAGAGGAACTGCCGCGTCCCGAAGACATGGATATGGCTTCCGGAGCTGAAGATCCGCGGCCCCACAGAATTCCCGAAGGAAAACATCCGAGAAGAAAAGAGAAAAGAGAACAGAGAGAAAAAGAGAAGCTGTGGGCCGGTGCTCCAGACAAAAGTCGACCGCCCTTTTCTTGACGGGCTCCCCCAACACGGAGTCGAGACTGAGATCTCTAGCACGGTGGGCCTCTTGGTCTTTTGGAAGCGGGAAGTGGACACACGACAACTCATTTTCGTTTCTCTTTCCCTGGCCGCCTCGCGGGGAAGAGAGGAAGCGATCCGTACCTACGGGGCACGATGGCTTAGCTGGAAGTTGGACTGCGAATGTGCAACGTAACCGGTGTTGTTCTCGTTGAGTGTCTCCGAAGCGGTGATCCCTGCTCGTCGACCCTGCCCCGGATAGCGAGACGGCAGTGGTGAGCTGCCAGCTATTACACAGCAACGTCGACTTGAGATTAGTTAACTATTATTACTAGTTATTATGTGCATCGTTGACCTCTGAGGAATGACCGGGATGCGGCCGAGAAACAGCTATCATGGTCCTCCGTGCTTTGTTCTACACTACACAGCGGGAAGACTTCCCAGTCGCCAACTATTCCCATCGCAAAGCGCGTCAAGCTGCAAATGGGAAACGTCCCATCGGCACTTTAGAGGGTCTCAGAGATCCGGGCTGAGTCGTGACGGCCCAAGTGCGCGGGACGGAGCGCGCCGCCTGCAAGGCTGATGTCCATTTATTGGAACCTGATACAAGCGGCTTCACCAGGACTCTCTTGCCCGGATCGCCGATCGGGGAGGATGTTTGGCCTGGAGAGAAAGAATCATACCACACGTGTGGCCGGGCACGAGCTTGTCTCGGTCTTGTTCTTCATTTCCTTGATGTTCTCGCGATGCCAACTCCCTTGCGCTAATATTATTTAAAGTACACGGAATCTCTGCGTCGGCTAGTCGCTGATTTCTCATTTATAACTGACAGTTGAATATTACTACTATATATCGTTCGCCCCAACCTGGAACTAATTTTAAGTTCTGTACCTACATACACCGAATCACTTTTGCCACTATTACATCATCACAAAGTGACAAACTGTTGTGAAAAGAATATTCAAAAGAGCAACGAGTCCCTTATCTATATCAACAAATTTGCGATCCGCTTTGCATCACATCATCGTTTCCCACCAGATGTCATCTCCGGCTCCCAGCAACCCCAAAATGTCTAGTGACAGTGATCGCACCGACCTAGGGCTCGATGAGCTCAGCGGCCTTGATGTGGTCAGCTACCAACGGCGTTGGGATGAGATCTATCACAAGACAATCCGCCAAATACAACAGATCAAAGGTTCGTATATGGTACACATCCATTTGTTCACTTCGACATGTAGAAGATCTCTTCCTAGAGAATACTGGTACTGACATTTTTTAGAAGGTGAAAAGATCTCTCTTCAACGAGATCACCCATCAATTCCTGCGGACGACAAAAAATGAAAACCCATAAAGTCCAACGAAACCTTCCGTTTCTTATTTATTTATCTGACGCCTTCTTTTTTATGCGACGCTCACGCTTTGGGGAACTAGCGACATGAGATGGATTCGATCCTACGGGTGTACATTTTGTTCTCCTCGCTTCGCTTCGTTTCGACTTCAGCAGTATAGACTTATTTCTTATATGTCCGGCGATGGACAGCGATATGAATGGGAAGGAGTCGGTACGGAAAGAAAATGGGAAGGCGTTTTGGAAATATCCAGCGGGTCTGGATATGTGTCTCTCCTCTCTTAGCTTTGGCGTTTTTCTTTTTCCTTTTTTTTTTTTTTTTTTTTTTTTTTCATTTATACTGGATGAATTTCTTTTTCTCACGATAGATCAAGCTAGGTTGATGGCTCGTGATGAGGAAATGATAGATGAATTTCATATCTACGTTCACAAGACAGCGCGAGATGGTAACTTTTAGTACTTTCTACATTCTAGAGGAGAGAATACGGAGAAGATATCTCTCGGGATTGGTCTAGATACCGGTAAAAGAAATGTATGTTTTCTTTCCCTCCAAGAGTGCCATTTCTATATTTCGTAGTTTAACAAAGAGCAAATTTTTGTCTATACCTATCACAAATGCAAAACATTATTATTGTGTCATTCCGAGTCAGAACTTGAATCGGAATCAGAACTAGACTCCGAGCTAGAGTCGGAGTCTGAATCAGAAGAGGAGGACGATGAGGATGATGTGGCACGTCCCGCTGTTGATGAGGATGAAGTTGAGTTATCCGAGTCAGAATCTGAAGATGAGCTGCTGGAGGAGTTGCGCTTCGGGGCGGAGGAAGCGGGCTTCTGCGTTTTACTGTCCTTGTCATTGTCGTCGTCGCTGTCGCTGTCGCTGTCGCTCTCACTTTCGCTACTGCTCGAAATCTCAACGACGGCAGTACGGTTCTTCCGTTTCTTCTTCTTCTGAGCAGCGCTAGGAGGCTGTTTCGGCTTCTCTTCCGTCCAGACTGCACCGTTCACAGCGTACAGCACGAGCTCTGCTCGTTTGCGCTTCTCAAGTCGCTGCTTCGAGGCTGCGTCCAAAGCCTCAACGGCCGTAGGATCGCTGAATTCCTCCTTTCCGGCAGATAACTGGGATCGGAAAGCTTGCACCACGTTGTGGTAAGCCTTGCTCGTTTCGGTCTCGGTGTGGTCCTGCTCCTCCTCGCCTTGGGTTTCCGTTTCCTTTCCTTCTTCGCTTGTCTGCTTCTTCTGTGATGCGGATCTCTCGGCCTCTATATCGTTCTTGATCGACTCCCCAGCCGCGATGCGAATCCGCATCTTCGCAGCCTCGCCTCGTAATCCTTTCAAATATGCCAGCAACGCAGCGTTATAGCGAGCAGGGACATGCTCGAGCGACAGCAGATGCTTCAGCAGATGCGTCTCGCGGTTCTTCTGGAACTTCCAAATATCACGGTTTTCGTAGTAGCGCGAGAGGTAGGAGAGGACGGGTGTTTCGTGAATGTGATCGGTTTTGGTAGTCGTAGTCGAAGTCTTCGATACGTCGCCCTTCTTTGCGCGCTTCTTCTCTTTCTTCTTTTTCTTCTTGGATCCTTCTTCGTCTTTGTCCTTGTCTTCTTCCTGGTCTTCGCTCTCCTTCGATTGCGTCTGTAGCGATTCTTCGTCGCTCTTGTCGTCCTCCCGCTTCGTATCCGAGGTGAAAGTCACGCTCTTCCTCCTATTCTCAACCTTTGCCTTCTTCACATCCTCCACCTTCTTATCCCCATCTTCCTCAGGATCCAAGCGTCTCTTCTTACCCCGCCCCTTCGATTCAGAAGCTTCTTCCTTATTATCATCATCATTATCCTTCTCGTCATCACCATCTTGATCTTCCTCGGCAACATCACTCTTCGTCCGTTTGCCCTTCTTCTTCTTTTCCTTCTCATCCTTTTTATCTTTCTTCTCCCCTTTCTCCTTTTTCTGCTTCTGCTTCTGCTTCTGCTTTTTCTCCACCTTTGTATCATCACCCGCGCCTCCTTCTCCTTCACCATCAGCGACATCTACCTCCATCGCATCATCCCCAGCTGACGCAGAGCGCTTCTCATCCTTGGCGTTCTTCAGCTTCAAACCGAGCTTCTTCCACGCGGGAACCCGCGCTTTAGAATCGGACATCCTTATCCGTATATCCTTATATCCCGTACTTCAAGTTTTTGCGTGTTGCGCGCGATTGGCGGAGAAAGAAGGAAGGACGAGACGGGCGTAGAATTGACGGTGAAGCGATGGGACCAATTAAATAAAAGGGAAAAAAAAATAACACGCAGATAAGAGAATAAGAGATGATGAAAGAAAGAAAGAAAAAAAAATCACCAGCCCGATCGCATTGGCGAAATAGTTTTATTTCAGCACTGGAATTGATAATAATAGGAGAAGAGAAGAGTTGGGTAGCTTTCTTTTCTCTTTCTTTTTTTTCTTGTTTAGCTTTCTGGGGAAAATTTCCCACGTGAGCGGAAGGGGAAAGCTTTTTGCCTTATTTTTTTTTAAAGTTTTGGTCTAAAGCGGATGTCATAGTCTAGATAATCTAAACACTAGTTAACTATGTACTGTACTGTACAACTATCTATCTAATTATTTTTTTTGATTGTTATTGTGATAAGTATTTGTGTTTGTAACTAAGGGTGATTATGTACCTGTCTATGTATAAAAAGTACTACTAGACACTCAATAAATCATCTATTTTACATCCGACTAATCTCCATTGAGGATTATTTTTGAAACTGGTGTAATTAATTAAAGTGCGCCATTGTAAAGATCATGACAGAAAATAGACCTTTCTATGATCCTCGCAAAGTCCTAACTATGCATTCAGCGCAGCAAGCACTCCTCACTCCCATATATACACCCAGTCATGAGTCTCGCATCATTCACAGAACATGAGTAAGATCCAGAGCGTAACGGAGAACGGGGGACAGGAGAGAAGAAGAAAAAGGATTCGACAACTGAGACTCGTTGGAGATGGGCAAACTCAGTTCTATGAGATGTTCGCATTTCCGTCTCCATCCTCTGGGCCGGTTCCATTCGTTTCCTTGCCCTTGTCTTTCTCCCTCTGAGTGCTGGTTTCTGCATTGCTACCGGAACCAGAGCCATTCCCTCCTGATGCTGATGCTGATGCTGCCGCCGCTGCTGCAGCAGCCTTGCGCCGTGCCCGTTCTTTCTCCCGGGACGAGGCGCCTGCGGTAGCGGTCCGTCTCCTCTTGACTGGGTGATAGACATCGTTGAAATTCATCACAACACCCAGGAACCGCATGTCCACATCCGGCTGGTAGGCTAAGTCACTCAGCAGGATGTTCAGACGGGAGCGGAATTCGGCTGAGAGGTCGCGAAGGCGCGTCCGCAGAGACGGTAGCATATGGTCATCAACAGAGAGACCACCACCACGAGCAGTCGGGGTGTCTAGCTCGTCGGCTACTTCCAAAAGATTGGGAGTGGCGGCAAAGGACGGAGATTCTGAAATGGAGTTCTTATGCGCTCGGCTGCCCCGTCTCGAAGACGGAAACATGTCTCGTTCCGTGACGCCCCAGCGGCCCTGCGCTGTACGCGTCTCGATCTTCGCACTCAGTTCTTGCCGGCGGCTGAACTCGGCTATTGAAAACGAGTATAGGCCATCCACGGCATCCTTATAAGAGAGCATGATCTTCAGGATGTGATGCAGCTGGCTCAGGAAACTCTCTTCCTGATATTTCCGGGAGCTTGAGGATGACCCTAAGAGACCCTTATGCGTGATCGAATTCAAGTATTTCGTATGCGCTTCAATCAGATCGTCGAGGGTGCAGCCGGGCTTGGAGATAGCAGCTTGTAGCTGATCCCAACTGGCTTCGATGACTTCGAAGAGGATGTAGTATTGCAACTGACAGACGAAATGGATCATTTCCGCAATAGCACATCGCGCGAGTTTCCAGTCAGCGCCAACCTTGTCGTCAACAGACGCCAACGAGCCTCTGGCGCCGGTCATGAATCGACGCCAGCTGCTGCCCAGTGCAAATTCCACGCGTTTCACGCGCCATAAGAAATTGAAAACTTTGAGGTACTGTGTTGAGCCCCATGGGGTGATGACCACGTCGACAGGAGGATCGATCTTGTATTCCAGCGTGAAACAATCCCACCCGATCTCTCCGTGGCTGAGTTCGAGCATGCGCGCGTCTAAACGGCGAAGAACATCCGGTGAGTCATACTGTGCATTGGATGCACGGATGGCATGCTCCAATTGAGCAGTAAGCGTATGACGATATTGTGAGTTCGCCGGACGGTCAAGATTCGAGGCCAGAGACTCCATAAGCAGAGCAATGAAATCTCCCTGGCCAAGGAGAAGGTATTTCTTCAGAGCCTTCAAGTGGTCGAAGAGCTTAAATTTAGTGTCCATGAGATGGATCAAGCGTGCCATCGTGGTTTTGTAAGCTTCATCGATCGAACTTTCTAAGCTTGCCGTGTCGCCATACCGCAGCTCTTTGGATGCTTGCTTGGAGTATGCTTCAACCCACGCAGACTCCCCACAGCCGTACCGGATGAAGTTCAGTGACTTTCCAATCAAGAAGACCTTCTTCGCAAAATCCTGGGTGATGATGGACGGGACCATATTATCGTCTAATTTGTACTTATCCTCCCACACACTAGAGGCTGTTCGTCGAGGGTCCACGATGGGCTTGAATTCCGGCTCGACGACAAAGAATTCCAGCCAGGGGTCAGATAACTCACCGTCGTAGATCCACTGTCGAAGCATATCATAGAAAGGACGTGTAATGTGTGTTAGGAGTCGTTCCGCAAAGGCGCAAACAAAGGGATCGCCATGCGACGAGGAGAAGCCGTGGATCAAGGAGATCAGTTGGCCACCCTTCTTGTCTACTGCAAGTTAGAGTCGTTCTGTCAAGAAGAGACCAGCCTAACTTACTCTTGGCTTCCTCTACAATCAAACTCATCAATCGCAAAGCCATTGTAGCGTCCCTTGTCCACACGACACAGCGCTTCAAGGTAACGCCGCCTTTGACAACTCCCCTGGGATCACTTTGGTCCGTAACAGCAGCCAATGCTCTCCTAATTTCCCCTTCCAGTGTGGCCACCAATCCCAAGTATGAACGCAGCTCATTCCCGACCGCAGCCCTCAGACTCTGCGCGACAAGTCCCCCGTCGGAACCTTCTGAAAAGTCCTGAAGACCTTTATATAGCAGACACGGTTCTGCCAGAGTGTGTAGAAGTGATAAGACAGGGATCGGTAGCGTCGGAGGTAGTTTAATAGAGGTGGGAGAGGAGAACTCCAGGTTTTTCGAAGACAACCCTTGCAAATTGAACGGCAGATCTCGCAAAAGGGCCGATTCGGGCGGTTTCATCGCATTCAGACCTGGTTCAGCAGTCAACGGGGAGAGCTGCTCCACCTCTGGGGCTGTCTCTCTCGACACGCTTTGAGCATGAGCTCGAGCAGCACGAGGCGTCGTCTCCCTCTCCGGTTCAGCCACACTAGGTCTCTTCTCTTTCATCCGGTCTTTCAATTCCTTCGCCTTCCTGGTCGACGCTGTCCTCTCAATTTGTGCTCCCCGCTGCGAGACAGACGAACTGATAGCCGGACCTTCGCCTTCAGGATCATCCCTAAACCTCATTGCGGTGGTACCATTCCTCCCTCTCCTTCCCTTGAACAGCATACTCTCCAGATTCCCGTCCTCCATCAACGGACTCCGACTCCTCTCAGCCTCGTCTACCTCCATCGGAAGGGGTCCTCCCATACCCTCAATCTCATCCGTCCCAGACTCTGAGAGCCGGTATAGCAGATATAAAATAGCCCATTTCTGACCCAGCACCGGCTGCGTTAGCAGCCGCGAATAGAGATTCGAGAACCGCACCGCTTTATCTGGACTGGGATTCTCGCGCAGGAGCTTCCGCTTGATCAGATCAGAGGCACTGTTGATGTTCTCTCCCATTAAACTTCCTCTGCGGCCGGAACCGACCCCGGATGGGGAGTTTGGATCGTTCCCTGATTCGGAGGTGTGATGGTCGATAATGCGCCAGGCACGTTCGAGGTAATCGCGGTGACGCTGCTCTTCAGCTGCAGCGAGGGCTTCTTCATCGTCGGAGTAGGCGTCCCCGATCGCGGAGGGATCCAGCGGCGGTACGAAGGAATCGACGAGTTGGGAGAGGGCATCGTCAATGCGACGTGGGCGCGCAGATGTGTGACGAGAGGACATTGCGACGACTCCCGAGATTCGAATGAGTTTATCACCCTTGGCGTAGCCAGTGCTTCTTGCTGGCGAGCGGTTCGGTAGTCTTGGACGTGTACTGTGAAGCTGTACGCGATGTTTCCGACACCGCGACTCGGTGCGATCAGATCAGGACCGTTCAGCGTGGTCGCACCCGTAAAAACAATGTTAAATGCCACAGAAATCCCCGACCTGGATGGCGCATTTCGTCTGGCGATTCTAACAACGGGATTGCATCGCGCCTCGCATCTTCGTTGTGGGCTCGACCGTATCGTATCACACATGTGGGACGCGACTGATGTTGATGTTTGGGCTGTTTGGTCCGCTCTGTAAGGCATCTTCTTCAGGCATCTACGGATACAATATTCGGGTTCCCTACGCACACCACATATCCATATCGAAAACAAGGCTAAAGGGAGAAAGAGATATTAATATGAAGTTGAACGTTCGTTTTCTAGGTCAAATCGCTTAGCTATTATAATAGCAAGCTGGAGCAATCACAAGCTGATGTGATCAAAATAAACACAGTCGAGCCACCGGTACGCCGTCCAGCATTGGTCTCGACCGAGAAAAGGCATTTCCTGTGCCGCGCAATATCAAACAGACGAATGTAAGACCCCAAGAGACGGATAGTGGGGGGAAAAAGGAAGAAAGATAGAAAGTACAGAACAGCAAGCACACATCCGAAAACACCGGAGACAACCTGGCCGAGACAAATATCGCCGCCTATAAAAAAGACACACAAGAAGGGAGAATAGAAACCGTTTAAACCATCGTACGAGCCGCCGATTGTGCACGCCCAGGTGAGAGGGTTGCACCTGCCTATGCTCCCACCGTTTGTGCCATTCCCCATCCCTTTTAGTCCGTATACATCGTGAAGACCCAGCCATGCCATAGCTCCCAAGTGATGCCGCAGGGGATAAAGAAGAAACAGAGATTCAAATAGTGTAAGGTGACGGGGATTATCCGTCGACCCATCTAGAAAGGATGGCGCCTCGCCCCTGTGAAGCAAAATTTAGTTGTCAAAATTAAGTACTTTTGACGTTCGTTACGCGTTGACCGTTCATCATATGGGGAGAAGTTGATGGCTATCTGCGAATGCCCTGAGGAATCTGGGCCCCCGGCGGCATTGCCATGCTGCCGGCGATGTTGTACGGATGTGGGTCGAATCCAGCGGACATGCCGTTCATCAATAGGGGACCGAGTCCCTGAGCCTGAGAGACGGGGCAATCTTTGTGAGCCAAGAGCAGGGTCTTGAGGTTGACAATCTCTTCTCGCAGCTGAGTGACTGTCGCTGTGAGCACATCGTTCTCTGACGTAAAGGCTTCCACCTTGGCCTGGAGGTTTGCGAGCCACTGCTTCTTGCGCTGACGACACTTGAGGGCGGCAACACTACAAAGTAATTAGTGATGCTTGATCTACGCAATGGCTTGAAGCTCAAGACTTACCGATTCCTCTCCAAGAAGTTCCTCCGCTTCTCCTCATCAGTCATCTTCTTGTTATCAGTCTGCTGAGATCGGTCTTCTTCATCAGACTCGGGCTCATGAGATCCGCCATTGGCGGAACCGCTGTTACCCTTCTGTCTCTTATTAGAGCCCTTATTAGCGGGCGAGTCTTCAGCCTTCCGTCTAGTCGAGGAATTCGTGGCCTTTGTTGACGTGTTCTTCTTTCCTTTGCCCTTGGCTGCCGGCTTAGCCTGTTCACCCTGGCTATCGGAGATCGAGGCACTCATTTCACGGCCGCTGCTAATGGAACCATTGACATGAGAGTCACGCTTGATCGCAACGCCCGAAGATTCTTCGGGGCCAGCATTCTGAATGGTCTGCGGGGGAATGGACGATTGGTTGGAAACGGAGAATTGGTTGCCGGCCTGGCCTCCTTTGGCAAGCATGAAGAGACCGTTAGCAGCATCGGCTGCATCATGGTGGGTGAAGGGGTCCACAACCGCCGGCTGAGTAGTCTTCGTATCCATCGTGGTCATCTGGTTGAGAGGAGTAGGCTCCGTCGTCGGGTTCGAGGTGGGCGCATTGAGGCCGCTCTTTTTAGCCGCGTTCAAAGCCGTGCGGTGGAACTCGAGAGTCGACGGAGTCGCACCACCGCTCTGCAGTTGTTGTAGAATCGCCTGTGAGTTGGGGCTCGGGGCAGGGAACATCGATCCCCCACCACCGGGGGTCAGTCCAGTTCGCAGCGAGGACTCGTTAGGCGTGGGGAAACCGCGCGCGATGCTGTCAAAGTAGTCTGTTCCGCTCGTTGGGCCCGCCAGCATCGCTGGGCTCAGCGGCCCGGAGCGGAGAGAATTGGTCCAATTGTAACCACTTGCGGAACTCGCTCCAGGCAAGGCCGGCGACGTGAGCGCTGCGACAGGCGGCAGCAGCGATTTCCCAGGAGTCTCCGCGCTGGTACTACTGAAGGACTGTTCGAAGGGATTGGGCTCCAGGGCGAATGGGTTGTGCACCGAGTTGAAGTAGTCGGGGGTGTCTGTCGCAGTGGTCACCGCTGGCCGTGGAGGCGGTGCCAGCGACGAGTCATCCGTTTTGGAATCTTTATTATCTGTCGACTTGGTATCTAGAAGATGGAAATCGGATTAGCCCCAGTGCCAATTGTCATGCTATGGTCCCACCGGTGATACCGCAGCATACCCGTAGCAGGCGTATTGTTGTCAGTCAGAAGAGATGAAGATTCCTTCGCATCCTCTGTTACAGAACCCCAGAAAAAAAGTGCATGTCAGATAGCCATTCGATAACCAACCCCAATCGATAAGAGTAATTGTGAGGTCATCCCGAAGGCAGATAGGACACTAGAGACCGCGGACGGGCATGTGTGGCGGGCGCCAGGCCAGAAGGGGGGAAGTTTGAGCCACCAAACTCGCGACACGGGGCCTGGAGTGTCCCAACGGCCACGAGAGAAAAAAAGAAGAGGGAATTGAGAGCGAGAGAGAGAGCGAGCTACGTACCTTCTGACTTGAACGTGTTCTTTTTCGAGTCCATTGGGGTGGATGTACTTGACGCAGGATGGGAGAGATGCGGTGAAGCCCTATGGGCGACGGCAGCGGACATCGTCGGGGTTGGGCGTGATCAGAGACTGACGACGGTGCGTCAACGACGGACGAGCGAGAGTTGTGTGGCGATGACAGCAGCAGGAGGGAAGTCGAGATAGAAAAGAAAGACCAGACTCCAACACTGAGCGGCCGGACGCTGGAGAGGATCGGGTTCGCACCGTTTTGGGAGTCGGGGATGATATTTTTTTTTGCAGTACCAGCACAATTGGAATTGGAAGGGAAGGAGAGTTGGTGACGTAGTCGGGCGGAAGAGGCTTAAGTCTTAAGAGGCCTTTTTTAGTTTTTGGGGGGAACCGCGAGAGGGGAGGCGGTCGGGGGGTCTTTTTGTCGGGGGGTGCGAGACTACTGTGGCAGCAGTGGGAGCACTGGGAGGCAAGCAGGAAAGCCTGCTGAGCTAAGGGCGCCTGTCACTGGCCGGACCAGCAGCGCGATGGGCCCGACCGCCAGTCGGCAACCCTACGGGGGAGTTATGCAGGCTGGATACACCAACTGAACAAGTTCTCTGTCGCAGTCTCGGCCAATCTGGTGGCGGCTGCAGTGGATGCCGGCCGCGACCCTGGACACCGTCCGCAGCGGAGCAAATCCAGGGAATGGGGATCAACCAGCAGATCAGGATATCCCGGATCGTGCGTGGAATGTACCGTATGTACAGTACCTTTGTATCCTGATCGCGAAGCCAAAGCTGATAACAATAATCGAGTGCTATTAGGCGCCGTAGTCGACACGCGAAGGAGACATATAGAGACAAGAGAGACAGGCAGACAGACAGCGGCAAGGTTACGGATGAGATCACGGTGACGACGACAGGAATTTTCTAGGTGCGGGCACACCAGCCAGCAGCGTCCACCTCGTTTCCTCGGGCCGCACCCACTGATTGGCCTGTCAGCGTCGGCGGACCACTCCCACGCCCGCGAACCCGACGAACGGAACGTTGGAATCCTTCGCAGTGTGCCAGTCAGAGAGCAGCAGAGGGCTGGCCCGGCTGCCGGTGGGGCTGCTGGCTGCTCAGTGACCGTTCAGGGGGGTCGGCTCAGGTGGGTCCATCTGCACTGATTGGCTGGCTGGATGACGCAATGCAGCAGACAAGAAGCATCCGTCCAACGACCACGTGTCACGTGACACTATCCTCCGCCCCCTTTTGCTGCATTGGTGGTCGCGTTTTGCCACGGTCCGGAAGCGACCAGTAGTCAACAAGGCCGTCCTCTGCCATACCGTAGTTACCGGTAAGGATGCTGTGCAGTGTGAAGTTCTGAACAGATCTGCGCAGGACAAGAAGTCAGTAGTAGAGGAATTAGTTAGTACTACTACAAGACCAGAGTACTAGAGAATCTACCATATGGCATACGCCGTATAGTCCAGTGCAATAGTTCCTCGCCTTGGTGCGCTTCGACACCCTGCTCGCGTGTTTGCCCAATCCACAAGAATGCCAGATAACCACCGGGGCAGAGAGACGCAGGTACGGACGGGAGGGCAGCCACTTCCACACTGCGCTCCCTGCGATGATCTGGCGCCTGTCCGTGCTCGGATCTGAAAGCAGTTCGTAATCCAGTGTAACCTGACAAAGGAAAGTCTTCGTCAAAAGTCTTCATCAACAACATGGCCGACACGAACGGTCTTCTCTGGTGGCTCCACACGAGCGGAACGAATGTCTCTGCTCGGGCCTCGAATGTACTCTAGCCGGCTGCGTTGAGTCGGCTAGCAGTGCTTCTTCCCTGTACCTGCAGGACTCTTTGCCGCCGCGTTGGGAGGGCGGTGATGCCTTCGGTGCATCGCTTCTGGAAGGGCTGCTGGACCAGATAATCAGCAGCACAAAAGCATTGTTGGTGCTGTCATTGTGCCCCAGGTGTTCTGTTTATTTCCATTCATCCCTTGGACCCTTGCGCGTCTGTTGGATCTCCAAACAATCAGATCTAATCAGTGATGTAATTCATCCCTTTCACTTATCACTGATGTAATGCTTTGTTATCTTAGCGGTCTCGGATGCTGCAACCGAACATTGACTCGCTGAATTGATCGGCCTACAAAGAACAGTGCACCCAGCATATTATTGTTCAGATTATTATTGGAAAGATGTACGGATAGTACTGACTTTGGCTTTGGACTTGATGCTGCTGGCCATCGGAAAATAAAGAGGTCAGTTATGCCGAGCAACTGCCTGACAGTGCTTACAAATCACTAATCAACCAACCGATCTGCTTAGATCTCCCTGTTTTGGACAATCAGAGAGCTGTTTCCGATAGAATAGTCGCTTACTCTCTTCTAGACATATAACCAAGAGAGGAATGTCTCTCGGCTGCATACAGACCGTTCGCAGGTTGGGATCTTCCAAGGACGATAATAATGCAGCTCCGTGTTGACTTCGGAAGGTCTACTGTACTTTGAAGTTCATGGAACTCTTCTTGATTTGGAAATCATACTTCTAACACTTTCATTGGCAGTGCGTCGATCTCTTGTCTCAATGGAGCACCTCGTGATACCCGTATGCTCGACTACGTTCCCCGCTCTGTCCGCATGTGGCAACGGCTGGCCTTGCTTTTTCACTGATGCGATCTGAATGCCGGCCTGATCTGCAAGAAACAAGTGTCGTCGATTAAGCTGTTCGAGCAAATCATTTATGGCTCTGCTGCCATATCCCAACGTCCACCGGATCTGCTCATATTCCTGTGGAGCCTTGTGTTTCAAGCCGGATACTGTCATATCCTCTTAAGAGCCTCGATATGTAGAATAATTCCACGGTCCCAAGAGGACTGGCACATGATAATGTCTCCACCCCTCTTCGCCTTCTTTTCCTCGTCCCTTGACTGTGAACTTCACCTCTACCTCTGGCCAGAAGCTCTCGACTCCCTGAGCTTCGTACCAGGGGCCCACTTCAAAACGAACAGACCAGCTGGTTTTGCTGTCTGGCGCTGGCAGAGAGGACAGTAGGGCAGATACTGTCGCTGACCCTGAGCTGGCGGGAGTCCACATCTTTACCCGTCCATCAGAATCTGTGGTTGCATGGAATGTGACCGGCGACTGGCTGCTGGAAATCGACGTCAGCAGGGTCAATGTGACAGGGAGGTTCGCAGCTGGCGTTCCAGTGAGGGTATTGAGCACGTGGCATGTAATAGGATCGCGGGCCATTGTTGTTGTAGTTATCTCGTTAGCGCCGGCTGATGATGTCGTCGTTGCAGACGTCGAAGCTGAGGCTGCTGGAGATGAGTGGTGTGCCTGAGGCAGCGCAGGACCGTCGAGCTGATGCTGGTAGAGTGCCAGTCGCGTTGTGATCTGATTCAATTGGGGAGGTACCGAGTTCTCGAATTCGTTGCTCTCCATTCAAACTGGTGACAATATGTTTTTCGAAAGAAGCACGCCTGGTGGTGGTGGGAGCCAAGTGCGTATTTAACTCCGCTTTCCATGCATCGGAGACCGCCGACGACAGACTGTCAGGTGGGGTTGGCGACTCTTCCTGCTAAGCTCAATCCCCCAGGAGATTCTATTACCAAGTATGCAGATATACTCGTGGTTAGACGTTATAGCATTATACTTATCCATATAAAAGTAGTAATTTTTTGATAGATTTGATGATAAAAGCGCATCTGGACTCAAATAGTAGTACTTTCTTGGGGGCGATGGACTAGAAGAGCATGGGGTTCGTTATCGATAAGAGGCCTGCGCCACGTGTTCAGCCACACGAGACAGCTGCGGCAACGTTCAATAATGGGGAATTCCAGGCTACTCTAAAGCCACACATCGTTCGGTGTAACACTGTGTGCGACTCCCACTTGCGACTCTCAGACTGATAGTCCACCGTCAACAATATCATTATCTCCAGGGTACGTACCCGCTCCAGACCTATTTCTTGACTCCTGCGCTCTTCAACCCTTGAAGACTACTGGCGCTTCCCCAGAAGCAAATCGCCCGGTGGAAACAACGTGGTCTGAGCTCCGCAACTGCATATAAAAACGGTGACTGATGATCGCGTTAACTTGCACAGAGATAAGATCTCTCACGGACTCCCAGCATACTCCAGATTCTCTAAAACAAGTGGATCTTCTGTTCGCTACCGAGTAGACAATCCACCTCAAAGGTGATCCAGGCCACGGATCCGCAAGCGTTTGGGTTGTCTTCCGGAAACTTCGATCTCAACGTGGTCTAACCGTGCAGAAACCGCCGCACTAGCTCTGCCGTGAACGCCTCAAACCAGCTAGCTGTGCCTGTCAGTGTCTTGGATTATCTGGCCCTTCTGTCCTCCTGTACCTTTACAGGAATCGATTTGGTGCGAGTTTTCGAGAACGTCGCCCCGCATTCAAAATGTCTTCCACCGCTCTCGTCCACGATGACGATGTGATGGACCCTAGTCTCCAATCGATCCTCGACCAAAAGACGCTGCGATGGATCTTCGTCGGTGGTAAGGGAGGTGTTGGAAAGACAACAACCTCGTGTTCCCTTGCGATCCAGCTCGCGAAGGTCCGCAAGTCCGTTCTGCTCATCTCAACCGACCCCGCACACAACCTGAGCGATGCGTTTGGTCAAAAGTTCGGCAAGGAGGCCCGTCTGGTCGATGGGTTCACCAACCTGAGCGCCATGGAGATTGATCCGAATGGCAGCATTCAGGATCTGCTTGCTGGTGGAGAGAACCAGCCCGATGACCCCTTGGGCGGATTGGGTATGGGAGGCATGATGCAGGATCTGGCTTTCAGTGTATGTGGTACCTCCCGTGGCGCGCTTGAACCAGCTTGTTTTCTATAAAGGATAAGATCGTTAACATGAGCAGATACCCGGTGTTGACGAGGCTATGTCCTTTGCTGAAGTGTTGAAGCAAGTCAAGTCTCTCTCTTACGAAGTCATTGTTTTCGACACTGCCCCCACCGGTCATACTCTTCGTTTCCTTCAGTTCCCTACTGTTCTGGAAAAGGCACTGGCGAAGCTTTCTCAGCTGTCCGGCCAGTTTGGTCCGATGTTGAACTCGATCTTGGGCTCCCGCGGCGGTCTTCCCGGTGGACAGAACCTGGACGAGCTGCTACAGAAGATGGAGTCTCTGCGCGAAACTATCAGTGAGGTCAACACGCAGTTCAAGGATGCAGACCTGACTACCTTCGTATGTGTGTGTATTGCCGAGTTCTTGTCCCTATACGAGACGGAACGTATGATCCAGGAGCTGGCAAGCTACCACATCGACTCCCACGCCATCGTGGTTAACCAACTACTCTTCCCCAAGAAGGGAAGCGACTGTGATCAGTGCAATGCTCGTAGAAAGATGCAGAAGAAGTATCTGGATCAGATCGAAGAGCTGTACGAGGACTTCAACGTTGTCAGAATGCCACTCCTGGTCGAGGAAGTTAGAGGAAAGGAGAAATTGGAAAAGTAAGATCAATCATTCCTTTTACCGGCTATCAGCAGCCAGTGGAGATATCAACGTTGCTGACTTGAGTTTTGCGTTACAGGTTCAGCGAGATGCTTGTTCACCCTTACGTGCCGCCGGAATAGGTGTACATCTAAGAAACACAAACTGCAAATTTGAAAAATTAGCGAGACGAATGACGAATGAATAGATTTAATTCATTTAACCCCGAGTATATCTACATCCTTAGAGAAAATCTCTTCACATAGCTCTTGTTTATTTCCTAATCTGGAAATGATACTTCCAGCGCATCATCCCTGCACAAACCAAGTACCCAGCAGGCTCACCACCTAGTTGTCTGGCGTTCCTTGCCCGCCTTGTATTCTGCCTTGTATGAATCGCCACTCGCCTCACTATATGCTTCATCTCTCTGACCGTCAGCCCCAGGAAACATCTACAAACGTCATGGGGTTCAGGGAAGGCCTCACATCGCCTTGCGAAGAGACTGCACGCCCGCATGCAGTTCTACACTACCAGAGCTGAGCAGCGACAATATCAGCGTTCTTGAAGGCGTCCGCCTGCTTATGCGTGACCAGTGCTGTCTCATAACAGCCTTGAGAAAGTATTGGCTCTGAAAGAAGCAAAAATCCCTCAACTGAAGTAGATCTTTCTAATGAGACCATACACACCTTCTTCTTATGGTTGCTGTACCGGTGTGCCATGGGTGGGCATAACACAGCTCACTACGTCTTTGCTCCAGCCCCCTCGATAGTATGGTATTGATAATCAGACGCGTAAGTCCCAGAAGTTTCCAGAGTCGCTCATCTCATCTTCTTTTTCGTCATATCTAAATATCATTCGTTTTGTATTCATAATCTTATGTCCCAAGATAGCAGGTGAGGGGTGGGGGAGAGGTGGAACTACCATACACTGAATATGGCCGTAATGATATGGCATATGCGATCCTACAGTACACTACCATAAAAGCAGCCACACATCCTCGTTTCGAAGAGCCGAATCAATACCTCTGAAAGAGTTGATACTTTGAGATACTGTACCTCAATAGGAATTCCTACGCAGTTGTTATAGATTAATATCGTAAGCTGCAAGGTCCCATTATAAGAAATGCGCTGTATCCAAGCTCTGGCACATTGAAAAATATATCCTTGATTGAGCGGGTTTGATTGTTCGATCCGTCCGGCTTCACCCTTTTTCTATATCGTCTATAGCCGTTTCCCCCGGTGGCATCGAGCCTGTATTACCTCGTTTTTCTTACTCCTTCCATATATGGCTGCCTGTGACTCTTGCCGGTCCCAAGAGATAAGAGGTACATGAGAGCTGGATGGTACGAATATCCGTTAGCTCCATTCAAAAAGATGTAGACTCGCATCCACCGAAAGCGGAGGCTATATTCCGAGGATAAGCCAAATAGAGAGAGGTGATTACGGCCGTGTCTGGCGATATGTATTCCCATATTCCCATATGTGGTTAGTCATGATGATAGATAGATCTTCGAGGCCAAAGATGCCTGAAAGGAGGCGCACAATGGCATGCATTATACGAGCGGTTGTATCCAGGTCTTCCTTCCCAGTGGCAAAGCATTGGCTTCTGTACATGTTTCCTGTTTTGGCTTTGGGCTCTGGCGTTAGGTCAAGTACAGTACCTACCTTAGGTAGTTACCGATTATGTCAAGCATGAGAGCGAAAACGATGGGGGGGACATGGCCTAAGAGAATACTCGACCCTGCTTCTGTGCATGCAAGGGGACCTTGGGCTTTTCTGCACCTTTTCATGGTCAACTTACAGATGGCGGTTTGCCACCATAGCTAGAGAGTGCTCTCTCCATGATCCCGCTTTGGCGCCTCACTTGTTGGATATACACAAGCATGGACAGGCTGTGGGTCGATGGCACTGTGGCCTTGAGGATAACCTACCAAGCCTTCGGAAAGGTGGGTCGACTTGGAATGCTATGGATGTATGTACTAGGCGCTAGAACTGATTAACTACAGCCTCAAAATCACGAACGTATGGTTTCTGAATGAGAATAGAGACCGCAGTAAGGTTTTGCTCCTGCACGGGGACTATCTCCACCGTCCGTTCGAACTCTGATCCGTCGGAGCTTCGCAAAGATTCATGAACGACAGATTCTCAATCGGTGAGAAATACATCTACCAATCCCTCGGATACTTTTTTGGTCTGCCATTATCAGCAGCGTCACTGACGTGCTTTACAGCATGGATGTCTGTACCGCCGTCAGCTGTATCAGTACGGCCCCAGCGCCAGGAGACACTGCTGAGTCAATCGCCCATCTCAGACTCCCACCCAGGAGCCTGGACTAAAGATAGACCATGGAATATGCCAGTGGCAACAATGAAGCGGAAATTCTGCATGACAACTTCTTATGTGAGGTTTGTTTCGCATCCAATAGCCGCGCGACTTCTCCGGTTTCGGGGGTAGCCAGGAGGGATCAATAGGACCCATTATCCACCGCCTGTCACGCGGTGTGATATTAATGAGCACCATTTTGCGTATTCTGAGTTCGATACAAAAAGACTCCGTACCGGAGAGGTACTGTTTTGTCGGCTGCTGCGTCCATCATGCCTTCCTCTCGTCCCTCAACTCCGCTATGGGTATTGACTAAGAACCTCTGCTTCCAGCTAACGGAAAGGAGATTATGTCGAGTTTCCCAATGACTCCGTATCGGCGCAGTGTATTATGCGAGACTGAAGTCCTTAACGCTGCAAGAAGGTTCTGGGGCAAAGTCTGGACTCGAGGCACTGTGCGATCCGTGGGGCCACGACATCGTCGCAGCAGCACCCAAAATGGCGTCGCATGCTCGCGCGCAAAGAACATCTATGACGAGCCAGAGGCGACTGCAGGAAAACGGACGAAATAACCCAGGAGTGACCGGATTCAGTGGACTGTGTGATCCTCATCGACTTGGGAGGGACCTGGACCGTGAAGCCTCACTTTGGCGATCGTTGGACGGGGTCATCTGAAAAAAGAGTGAGGCGGCGGCTCAGCGTGACATAAACATCATCTTCAACGGCGAAGCGAGGGTCTCTCATCTATTCCCGGTAATCGGTATTCCCACGATGGATCTTCCATGTCCGCCTGAGAAGCGGTAGCTTTCAGCCCGCGATAGAGGCGTGCGTGAGACCTCGATCCCGCCAGATGTTTGCGGTTTGTTCCTGGGCTTAAAAGGTGGGAGTTCCTGCTCGACCATGCCGATGTGGAAATGCCACACGTCTTATTAATCTATTTAGCTCCAGTATAGCCTCTTCGACCAGTGCAGTACCCTGCTAGTGTCAACTATCAACAGACTTGCTTACTGTATCAATTATGTCCCGGGTTCAACGATACTGGCTTCCTGGATATGGTCTCTCACGGCACATTGTACTTGGTCATATACAATACTTTCTTGGTCCATCTGCTTCAGCACGACCCTATACTTATCAGGTAACGACATCCTTGCCATATGGTGCCTCGTATCATCCAGACTCAGATTGTTCCTGACTCTCTCTTCGAAGGGGCGCGATGGTTATCTTATCGTTGGTATGCCTTTGACACGAGTATGCCCTTCAACCATGTTCGTATCCATCACATAAAAATAGCAATTGACTTGACATTAGGAGCAAATCGAGGATCTAGCGGCCATGTCTCGAGAATACGAACGTCAAGAGGCTCTTCGAATGGCTAGCAACGCGTATCTCGACAGCACAGGGAGATACTCGCCCACTGAACCCTATATCAACGAGCTGGTTCCTGTGGAACAGCGCCCACGCAGACGGCCAGTGGAGTGCGACTCGAGGCGATATCGTTGATGTTGAGCCCCCGGAAACGGGTGCTCTTTCTCTTAAGATCATACAATGATCGGATGATCGATTTCCTTTAATTGTTGCAACAAGGGTAACTCTCTTGTTGTTGCGTCATTGAGATACAACGTGCTAAGTATGTACCTTTTGGTACTTAGCATGTTACACTGTTTCGCATGGTACACAAAACTGCAGGGCCCATTCCCATAATGTCAATCTGGCGTGGGGAGTGGCATCCATATCCATCACCGTCAGTTTATGGGGTGTTTATGGCCTGCAGTCGCGAATTGTCGAGTGAGGTTAGTACTTAGAGCTGCAAATTACACCATTATACCCCTTTCGGTTATCTATCTCGTCGTGAATTCTGAATAGTGGAATTTTCCTATTCAAAAAGCTTACTGTTCTTCATCTACACCCCCTCTTCGTGAATGTTCAATGCTGTTATCCTTTATTTCCCATTTCATACAGATCACCACAAAGATATACTTTCGGCTATACACCTGCTTATTGGACGTCCCAATAACCACTTGACCAAGAGACTTTGGACAGCTTCAGGTCGACGACCTCTAGCATCAATGCCACCACCCCCACCGAATGAACTTTAGATGCTTCCAGCTTATAGTAATGTTTATGAGTAACATTGATAGTCATCTTCCTGCATACGCGAATATCGTCAGAGAAGTTCCAGCTCCGGACTTTCGCCAATCTTCGTGCTACCCTACCTAGTTCCGGTAATCTCCATGGACGAACCATATTAATAATAGCGCACCATCCATGGGAAGATATCTATGGCCGTTAATAACAATATTTCCTAGTAAGAGGGAACACAGAACCTCACTTATGCTAAACCAGCAGATGGTATGCCGTCTACTTAACATACGAGACTATGACCCACTGTATTGTCACCCGCTATCGAGAGCAAATTGGAGAAAACAGACAAATAAATGCCTGACGGTCAGTCGAGCAGATACTTAGTCAAAGCCAGCTGTGGCCTACAAGCCAGAGCAACATATCAGCCATTGTCTTAATCACGGATTAAGTGAAATACACCCTGAATTATGCATGCAGCTTTCCAGCAAGAGAAGGTCATCTTCTGGTTCAAAGCTAAGTCCGCATTGTCCATTGTTGAATCCCACAACTTTACAGGGCAATGTGCTTCGTCTGTGTTCGATTACAGCTCGGACACTACTGAGCAGCTATAGGACAAATGGTCGGACAGGAACCATAAAACAGTAGGATATACAGTACATCAAATTGGCGCCGTCAAGCAACTTCATCCGAGGGATAACGTCTGTATCTACCTTCCGCGCCAATTCACCTCTCAGTGTATCCTTATGAAATCAAGAAGTACCGTCCATACTTATTTTTGCTTGCGCAGCATCGCTGTTTGAGTGGGTTACGTGCTGGGTTCACCAAGGAGCTAGGAGAGGCAGCCGCCAGTGCGAGGTAGTGTTGAGACGAAGGCCTCGTCCCAGTAACCGTAAGCAAGTAGAAGTCGCTCGAAAGCGGTCCGGAAGGCGGGGTATATCAGACGCTGTAGTGAGAGGAAGCATAACCAGGGAGCTAGCTCATGTCATGTAAAGAGGCGTAGAAGGAAGTTACAACTCTCAATGATCGGTGGGTTTTAGAAAAATTCAGCTACAGGGGGTAAATATTTTTGACGAGATACCTAAGTATAGATGGTCCAGTATTTAGACAGCGCCTGATTGGAGCGAGATTACATTACTTGGAGCGTGACTGGGGGGCTGTGCTCAAGACCTTTGAACCTGGGCGGCTAATAAGGCGCACTTCGTGCTGCTTCACACTTGCCCATCTGACTCCCCATTATATTCCTTATGATGACAAGGCTCCCGTCAAATTTTAGCATCTGTCTTGTTTTCTCCCTCGACACATCTGTCGGCTTCTTTTGATTCTACCATCTTGGCCAGGTCTTTCACGAACAGATAATAAGACGCGACAACTTCACCCCGCAAGCTGAGCTAGTCTTGGCATCAGCCTCAATGAACGAAAGACTAGGAATAACTATACCACGTTCTGACAGCTTGCTCTTGTGAGATTTGACTTGAACATCGTCAGTCTCTCTGCAATACTATTCCGTTACAGCAGACGGCGCGGGGTAGAGTAAGCTATACGACGGAAACAAGATGCCAGCTTTCGAGCCAGAAGAAGGACCCCCCGGTAAAGGGTGAGTTCATTATACACAAGACTGATGGCTTATAAGCTAATTCATTTGAAAGAAAACGCAAAGCTGAAGACAAAACGCCGTTCAAATGTGATGAACCCAATTGTACACAAAAAGAGGGGTTTAGAACTGCAAATGATCTTGAAAGACACAGGAGACATTGTCTATTCAAGAAGTCTGGAAATGGACCTCGGATGGTATATAGATGTTTTGCGTCTGAGTGTGGAAAGAGGTTCAGACGGTGGAAATATTTGGACGATTTTGGTCACCATCTTGCCGAAATGCATCCTAATGAAAACCCTTCTGAACTGTTGAAAAAGTAAGTATCCATTCGCTTTATGTATTATTATGCTTTCTTATCATACTTTTTAGGTCTGAAGAATGGTTCGCGAAAGAGGAAGCTCGTGCCAAAGTCAGGCTGTGGGGTTCATCCCTACGTCCTCCTCTAGCTCAAGATTCACAGGTGGGAATTACAGAAGAGGCCTCGAAGAGGTCTAGAGACTTGACTCTTATAGGCACTGGTTCGGCCCCAAGTCCCCCTCTAAACTCCAAAGTATTTACCCCGAATATTCTCGGTTCATCCCAAAGCTTTATCAATACAGAGAACGTACCGCAGATGGAAATTACAGAAGAGGTCTTGAAATCTCTTCATATAATAAGTCGAGAAAGCTACTTGGCCGCACTATGCGTCCGGAAACCAGAGGCCATTGTATCAACAGGCCCCCTAAAAGGGATAATAGATACTTACTACGGACGTATTGCGGATACTTTCGATGCAGTTATTCTGATTGAGGCTTGCAGAAGAGGTCTAGTTGAGCGAGTCACACGATTTCGATTCCATTGGCTCTCCAGAGCGGTTAGACCAGGCTCGGTTCTCGTTTTTTGTGAGGATGAAATGGGCGCTCATTCCACCCAAAATGTCAGGCCAAAGGGCGACAAAATGGCAATACTTCAATGTATCGCTTCACGCTCACTAAACCAACTCACCAAAAGGTGGTGGCTAGTAACTGACCCCGACAATTATACCTGGACCATCGTGGCTCATCCTCATCCTCATGAGCAAACGCATGAGTTGAAGCGGCCGCTGAACGATCAGCGCTTCTCTCATATCCACTCTATGCTAGCCTCAACTAAGAGTCTCACTGATACACCAGGATTATCCGGCACGAATAAAGAGTCAAAGCTGGACGAGGGTCAGAGTCTCTCCAAATGTACTGTGTCCGAACTTCTGAAGACAGATGCAGATTTAACCGTGAAGTCCGAGACGGAAAGCATATACTCAGATGACTACGCCACGTCCGACACTAGAATGGAATATCTCAGTGAATTTGCTGACGAGCTTGTCAAGGTTATCCAGCCTTACCAGCCTGATGAGAAAACTGTGCAGAGAATTTCCGCTGTCCTCTTGGATCTTCTCAAAGCTTTTGCCCTCAGCCTCGGTCATGGTTCACCTACCCCGTTGCATAGTGACATGGTGGTTCTCATTCACAAGAATCGGAAGTATGTTGAGCGGAGATAACGGTGCACTTATGGAGCGTTGCTAATTGTCGTTATTTTCCACTAGATACATCGTGACAGTGTTCAAGGAGCGCCTAATCAGAGACAACAGCAATAAGGAGAGGCCGGAATATGGGAATGACATGCCCTCGGGCGACATCATGTGCCTTCGGCAGTCGAAGAACGACGACCATGCCCATAAGCAAGTCCAACATACTGAACGCCAACTGGAGGCAGAGGCTCATGGACACGAATCTCTCCGTCTGCTAGAATACCGACGTCTTGTCCAGGGCGCCCCGACATATACATGGCTTCTCTCACACGTAAGAAACGAGTGCATTCTTTACACGCCTGGTCAGGACGTCGCAAAGGGCATCAGAAATGCCATCCTCAAATCATTACCTGTTTCATCGAGAATCAGCCATCAAAAGCCCACGGAAACTTTTAGCGTAGGTTTCAAAATAAAATGGGATCCTCTCAAGTTTCTGCTAGAGGAGTACGAAGAGGACCCGGCGGCAGCCCTCGAGCAAGCTCTTACTTTTACCGGGTTCGACAGTGAGGTCGAAGCAGAAAGCTTCGGCGAGTACATGCGTCGAACATGGCCTGTAACCGGTGATGCCATGGTTCTACTCCTCAAATCCCTTGTTTCAAATACCCGTGAAGGATTTGGTATGTGGTTGTCCCTCCCATCCTGTGCTCTCGCCACTAATACGCAACACGAAAATGCAGTCACCCGGGATGACGGTATAACTATGAACATCTCAATGCATCCATCACAGGATTGCAAGTCATCATTGGTTGTATGGCTTGATATCTGTGGTACTGCGGCGTCTATCGCGGAAGTAGGCGAGCAGCTTGCGTGGGCTGCAAGTGCTCTTCAGTCTGCGCAGCACGAGCATACACTCGTGAGGAGCAAACCCATCATTAATTCGGTTCAAATTGGACACGTATCTAATCAGGACTCTCCTTCGATATCTTATGTATCTGATATCGGCATTGAACTACATGAGATAAATCCTTCTGCCGAATATTGCTGGTTGGGGCTAGTTTCTCGCCCAGCGGTCGTTGAGGGCTTCCCAATTCGACAAAGACCAGCAGAGTGCCCTCCGGGTCTCGAAATCCCACTTCACGTCATGGCTCATCTTATGGATACTCGAAAGGTACACCGGTTTCATGGAAAGACCGTGCTAAAGGGGTTCTCGACTTTGTTGGTCCCAACGGGAAGCATCAACGATACCATTAGCTGGCATCTTATTCAGCAAAGTAATGATCAGCGAATTTCGTATCTTGAGAGTCAGATATTCCCAGACTTGACTATTTCAATCAGCCAGTTAGAGAAGGCCCGGCATATCCTGGGTTGGTGCCCTGAGATGGTATTCTACGGTGGTAAGGGGTTCCATCCCATTCCCACAAGGCTCTTGCATCTGACACTTAACACAGGAGCAGCCGATGCAAATTACGGAATTAGCGACTCTCAGCTTCCTCGGCTCCCTCCGCGTTGTGAGCTTCGTATTTTGAAGGATGCATCTCTATCCTCTGACTACACAATCACGGGGACCAAAGGATACATCCTGGGCCGAAAAGATGTTCGTTTACGACGCAACGGCTACGTGAGTAAAATGAAATGGGTCGCTGAAAAATACATCAATGTTTGGGACGTTGGAGAGGAAAGGGGCTGGCTACTCAATGGAGCGAGTGGTCTGCTGCATCTAGTTCGTGCGTCTTTGGAGCGAGACAGGTCTGATTCAGCTCTCAGATCAGTACTTCTCCTCAAAGAAGATAGCTTGACTGAGGCTTCGAAGGCACACCACCCCGCCGCCGCTCTGCACATCCTTCTTAACCCGAAGAATGTGGACCTCAGTATATACTGTGTCGATGCGCATGTAAAATTCAAAGACCGTGTGGAGGACTTCTATGATCAGCTAGAAAAATTATACGACTACCAAGTCAGTGGCCTCAGAGATGTTGAAGGAACGGCTGCGGTACCACGGTCTTTGCTGGAAGGATGGGACTTTCAGGACCTGATTCTCGAAAGAGATCCCATTCATCCCCGTCATACCACTCTCAACCAAGACGGATTATCTTGGGTTGATTTCATCCGCTCAATAAAGGCCATCACAGTATTTGGGCGTGGGTTCGGGGATATCATTAGGCCGCTGAACTCTTCTTGTTCGAAGTGGTCAAGATTGAAGCCGAAGAAATCATACCTTGCTGCTACCATGTTCGATCTGAATAAAATCATGGCTGCTCATGGTGATCCATACAGTGTTCCAATGAAACTAACCCATGATATCATGTGGAACATACCCGAAGAGGCATTAGCCCTTTGTCCGTGCAACGGAGACAGGCACAAAAGTCACACAATTTTGGTTCAGAGTCTTCTTCCCTCGAGCATGCGTCGTCAGCTACTTGCAATTTCCTCCATTCCCTCCAATATGGGACAAAATGACGGAGCTGTCATCTTTGGATTCAACAAGAGACACCGGTGGTTCTGGAGCGATACTGGTCCACCATCACGGACGCCAATCCACCTGGGTAGCGATACACCCTATAAAGAGTCTCTAAATACCCACTCTGACGATAGTGGCCTTGGGGGGAGTTCATATTCATCGACACCCAGTGAAACTGGGATGCCAGCTAGCTCTAGTTCGTCCGCCAACGATAACCCGAATTCCAGCCAGCGACTTAGGAAAAAACCCGGGTCAGGTAAGCGACAAATAGGCATCGGGAGCAATTCTCAGTCCGCAAATAAATACAGAATAGGGATTGTGTGTGCTCTACATATTGAATTGAAGGCTGTCCGCTCCCTGTTTGACGAAGCCCACTCCAATGTGGCAATAGCAGATGGAGACCCCAATTATTATGCTTTTGGACGCATGGGAGGGCACAATGTTGTTGCTGTATGTCTTCCACATGGAGTATATGGCACGAACGCGGCCACGGATGTCATATCGAATATGAGACGGAGCTTTCCGTCACTGGATTTCTGTCTCTTGGCTGGTATTGGAGCGGGTGTACCTTCGACGAAGAATGATATTCGTCTTGGAGATGTCGTCGTTAGCACACCCTCCGGAATGTACTCGGGCGTTCTCCCATATGATATGATTAAGAGTCTCGAATTAGGAATATCGCGACTAAATGGATACCTATGTCCACCACCGCAGACTCTGATGTGTGCAATTAGCGAGTTGGAGTCCGACCCAAATCTATCACCCACGCCCCTCGATGAGTTTCTGCAACGGATCCAAGAACGCAGTCCACAATATAAATATCCAGGAGCAGACAATGATCAACTTTTCACCCCCGAATATATACATCCTAATGAGAAGGATGAAACTTGTGAGAGATGCGATCCGAGCTACTTGATGAGAAGAACAAGACGCTCTTCCGATCAACCGAGGATTTTTTACGGTCTGATTGCATCCGGAAACCGGTTGATGAGATCTGCTAGTGAGCGAGATAAACTTGGAAGAGAGCATAACGTGCTTTGTTTCGAGATGGAGGCAGCAGGGGTCATGAATACTTTTCCGTGCTTGATCATCCGCGGGATATGTGACTACGCCGATTCTCACAAGAACAAGACCTGGCAATATTATGCATCCGCAACGGCTGCGGCGTACGCAAAATTGCTTCTTTCCCGCGTCAGAGGGTCAGGTACAACAGAAAGTCTTGCCTCAACAGCTGAGGTTCTCCAAGATCAGTACTCCTCGAGAAAGAGATTACGATCACAAGAGACAGGTGGGTACAGGATGTCTAGGAAACGGCAGCATAACCAAATGGCAGCTGCACAGTCGTGCTGGGATGGGGATGAGGGGAGACCCGAAAGATCAGATGAGAACGATGGTTCATCTGTGCACTATGAATCGCTGAGTAGCTCTGAGTAGCTGTCAACAGTGAGATCCGAGATGGCCATCGGTCCGACAGTGGCGCTGACTATGTTCGAGTCTAGCAAGCGAAAACTGTCTCATTATTTCACTTCCAACGCGCTACTAGTATCTGTATCTCAAAGGCTCGCGAAGAATATTATAGGCAGTGGACGAAAGAATACCAGTTTGGTCAGGTCTTTCGATAAGGATACTCGTCAAAATATACTGGTCTTCATCCTGGAATAGATTATTAGTGGATATGATTTTAGCAAGGTGAGGAATTCGTTTAGAAGTATTCCGCCATATCATAATCCAAGATTCTCTTTATGGGGTTCAGAGGGCAATGTTTAAGATCGGACACACGTAGTTGAAGAAGAGATGCCAGTAGGGGAGACCTATATACCTATAAAGCCTGACCTATTCCAAAAGTTCTGTGTAGAGTAGTTGATCAGCTGATGATCAGAGTCTGTAGCGGTATCTAATTTACTCCAGTGTACAGGAAGGGCTCAATTGGTCTTGGGCCGCGGGTTTGATTAAGCATTAAATAATTTTGCATTCCTATTGAAGCTAGAGTTAGCTAGCAAGCTAGGAGAAAAGTATAGCGCCAGGCAACAGGGTACTCCCATCAGTTCAATATCAAGCCTGCGACACCTCGAGGCCATGAGCTTGAAGCTCCATTGCCAGCAAATTGGCCATGCTTCTCTCTATATCCTCAGAAGATTCCCAATCTTTTTTAGTACAATCTTTGTAAGCTTCAATCACACGTGAATACCTTCCAGTCCATTTGGCATGGAAGTCCGCAAGCTTGGTCCCATGAGGAAGCCAAAAGCCATATGCGGGAATCTCAATTAGGGCTTCTTCCTTTTCATCTGGATTGACGGTGAATTTCCGCAGTCCCTGCCTAAAACTCGAGGCTAGTTTCGAATCCAGTTCACCAAGAACTGGTATAGTGCTTAGGCGGTCGATAATGGATGTCCAGTCTGAGCAGGACCTGACGATAAGTGTCGCAAGCCATTGGACAGGCTGAATGAAATAGGTGCCGCAAATCTTCTCCTCATAGTCCATGCATGACTGGGGGATCGTGAAACACTCAAGAGCTGCCATGACTGATGCCACCGATGGTGTTGCTTCCCAGAGATTCATAGGAGCATAAATGGCCTCCAATGATAACAAGCCGACCCGTATCAACTCCTCAGCTACGCAAAATACACGCTCCTGTACTTTCCATCTGAACCACGCAATGTAAGCAATTTGAGTGAGGGCCTCCGGTCTTTTCTCAGGAGGAAGCCGGGAGAGCGTGCACCATTCGGTTGTAACGGCTTCGTCCCCACGAGCGCACCACTCGAGGTTGATCAGTGCCATCTCGCCACTAATCATACTACTTGCCGTTGCGTAAGATGGATCTGATACTGTATTTCGTGTTGTAGGATGTCGCAGAAAGTCCAAGGCTTCATTTCTTGGAGTAAGCACTCGGCGAGCACGGACGGGAGCATTCGAAAAGGAGATATCTAAGTAGTCGCGGCACATAACTTCGCGCAAAAGGCGAACAATTCGCGAGTCTGTGAAGGATTCTGGTGTCGACCGCAGGTTTGTAGGTATATTAGGGTTATTTAGTTTTTGATAGACGTGGGCCTTCTGCTTCCGCAGTGTCCAGTTTTCATCATCATCTTTCATTAACCCAAGTGTTCGCACAAAGGTCTGGCCCAATAGAGAGTTTCGAAGTCGCCCATTGGCGGAACGGCGATCTGAATAACTTAGTTGACCGGCTTGGGCGGATATGTGCACGTAGATATTTGATTGATTTAAGTCAAGTTCCGCGGAGATGAAGAAAGTAGGTAGTACTGACAGTAATGCAAGGTGATTGTGGCGTTGCTATTATGCTGGTCGGAAGGTCGACAGAAGCAAAATCAAGACCCCTCGCGGGTGCCTGCTTATCGCCAAGCTTCTCCTTCGGAGGGTCTGCTGCCTAAGAACTGTAGCTGCCTTTTTTATAAATATATTTCAGGGTGTAAAACGGCGGGAAACCTGCTATGCGGGAATCTGTCGAATATTGAATGATGGCACGGAAGCATAGCCTGACCAAAACGGCATGAATTGATTGCTTGCTCGCTTGCTTGCTTGCTTGCTTGCTTGTTGATCTAGGGAGATCCGATCCCATATTTATCTCTAGCATACAAAGAACCTATATCCTAGTAATCTAGTAATCAAACGGATGATTGACAGATCACCTGGCGTTCTCTTTGTAGGCCGACACAATTCGGACACACGTAGTTAAAGAAGAGATGCCAGTAAGGGATGCCTATATACTTAACCCACAAAGCCTGGCCTAATCTAACCAAACCCCATTGATTGGGACGGACTATGATTTAAAATACCAAGATGTTGTGCACATTATTCATCCACTTTCTATTTCAAACACGAATAGATACAATCCAAAGTGTACTGCGGAACAGAAAAACTATAAGATCTCACTCAATGACAATCATCAGTTTTTTCCACCAAGTATCACGGACACGCTCAGGTTTTTCAGCTGCAATGACTTCGTCCAGCCCAGTCTGTAGGTCGACAGCTTCCGATGGCCACATCCAAGGCTCATGACGGTAAACGATTCTGTGACCGACATACAAGACCACAAAGGCCGGAATACCAATGTAGGCAGTAAAGAAACCAGAAACAGACCATTCCTGGGGAAAGAATACCGTGAAACCGTTGACAAGGGTGAGGAATATAGATCCCACGAGAGCAATATACGCGCCCCACGGCTGCAGGCGTGATTTATACGGCCTCTCCACGCCTTGTACTTTGGTCGCTTTGAGGAAGCGGAAATAAATGATGGCGCAGCAAGCCCAGCTGAGGAAGCCAGATGTGTTGGTTAGATTCACAAACCAGTTGAAGACAATAGAACTGGATGTTCCTAGCGAAAGGTATGCCAGGCCGGAGAACAAGGCACTGGTTCCAACAGCCACGTAGGGAAGACCCCAGCGGTTACAGGTCTTGAAGACGGAAGGTGCGTGGTTGGCCACAGCCAGAGAGTAGAGAGATCGAGATGACATGTACAGGAATGAATTTCCGGAGCTCCAGGCCGATGTGAGTACCACTGCGTTGACGATGTGGTCCAAAACTGGTATACCAGCATTCTTGATACCGATGACGAAAGGCGAGGAGCCCGCACCAGCACCGCCGTTTGTCAGCTTCTTGCTGTCCGATGGACAGATAACCGTGATGGAGAGGGTTCCCAGAATATAGAAGAACACGAGACGGTAGAAGAAGCGTCTTGACGCGCGAGGGATGTTGCGACGAGGGGACTCCATCTCGCCGCCTCCGATGACGATCAGTTCCGGCGCAAACATGAAGGCGAAGGCACTCAGGATAATGCAGTGTAGGAGGGCAACAAATCGTCCGGCATTGCCATCCACTATATATGTCTTCCCTGCTGTATACGGATGTTTCCAATAATGGAATCCTAGTCGCTGATGGCTCGGACCGCCTCCCCAGAAAAGGATGAACGACAACATCAGGAGACCGACGAGAAGGATGACTTTGAGACTGGAAAACCAAAACTCCGATTCACCGTAGAAACTGACAGGCAGCAGGTTCAGTCCGACGATGATCACCAGCATAACCTAACCATCGGCGTCAGCAGTCACTTCTTTCAATTCGGGGTTTTCATCGCCAAAATCTCAATTACTTGCCGTTATCCACACGCCAATTGAGATGTGACCTTCTGGATCCCAGTATCCTATCACTAAGGAAGCGGCTGTGATCTCATACGGAACCAGAATTCCTAGTGAATACCAATACAGGTACCCCATTGAGAAACCGAGGCTGCTGGAGACATATCGATATCCGTAGTAACTCATACTTCCTCCGTGCACCGGCAAGTAAGACGCAACCTCGGAAATGGCAGTGACGATAAAAAAGACGAGAAATGCGACAATGATATACGATGCGAACAAGAAGGCTGGGCCGCCCAATGCTAGAGCTTGGCCACTGCCTACGAACAGACCGGTACCAATTGTTCCTCCCAGGGCCATCATCTGTAGATGGCGACTCTTCAGTCCGCGCTTGGTGGATGCATATCGTTCGTCGTACAGATCAGCTTCAATCTTCGACGTGAGGTTCTGGCGTGTCTCGATGACCTCGCCATCTTCCGGGGCATCTTCAACGTCAGGCGGCAAGGCGCCCTTGGTATCTTGTGATTTCTCCCACATGGCTGGCAATTGAGGAAAATCAACGAGTGCAAAACAACAACTAATGTTGATTTTCCCTGGGGGTTACTGATGGATGCCCGGGGGTCTCAGCCTATGCCGCCTGGGCGTGGCCGGATCAAGATCGAGGATAGGGCTGTTGACAAGAATAAAAAGCAACAGGGTCTGGGAAAACAGCTATGGGATATATTACTATATTATTATTCTCCTCGTGGCAACATGACAAGAGCACCTAGCGCATGGGGTCCCCATCTTTGGTTGAGGGCGCCGCAGTAAGAGCTTCCGTGCACATACAGTACACCTGCAACGGCCGCAAAGAAACCACATGGGAACAGAGACTGACAGATTGCCGAGAAACTTAGACAGAGAGCAAAATGCTTGGAGCTGGGTTGCCACGCCGCCAACTAGTTCTTGTCAAGCGTTATGCGAGATAACCATCGAGGAGACGCCATTGGGTGGAGAATTATCCTTGTCGTAGTTGACAAGCGTGGTAGATAAGGAGGACAGTTTCGAATCTACAAGCAAGAGACAGCCTCGTTGAGAATCTCTTCATGTTGATCAGTCAGCTCCTGCATATGCGCTTCGAAGATAGTCAGCACACGGCATTCTAGAAGGACAAGATCATACTTGTCGCATTCCCGAATTAGAATATTGAAGGAGAGCCGGAACTGACCACATTCACATCTTACCATTTGCATCCATATACAGTGCAATTCCCCCCGGTCTCTCGCCCTTCCTCGTGGATCCGAGAGTCTTATCAAACCCTGCTATAGCACACGTAAACGTCTCCTGATAAGCTTAGAATCACCCCAAAAGTAATAATATACACGGGACTTGGCAAGAACGACGCCACATTAACTCGCAGTCTTTTTTTCCTTCCTTTTCCATCACGAGAGGTCAACGCCGCTCATAGAATAGAACAGCGCCTAGGTGTGCGCCTCAAAAATGTTATGACGGCTTATCTTTTCTTAAGTACCACGTAGATTGCAGTAAGTAAGTACTCCCGAGACAAAACGACGGCGGTTAGTTATCATTTGCCGAGCCGCTCCTTTCGAGTTAGGGCAAAGGGAGAAGAAGCGTATGACTCGGCGAGGATCTTCGGGCAAGTCTACCCAGGTAGTCTACTTACTCCGTAGTTGAAACGGAAATGGATGAAACTTGGCCCATATGCCTAGAAAGAATTAGCGTACTCGTCACGAATATACTGTTAGTACATACTACATCGTAATCACAATAGGAAGGGCATTGCAGTTCAAGTAATAATCGAGATAAAGAGGTGTTTTTGTGTTCACACTTCATAACTTCTATGCTTTCCGTCAGTGGCTTTCCAATGTCCGCTTTTGTTCATTCTGATATCTTAGGCTTTGCAGATACACCCGGAGAAACTACTAAGATAGTATCTAGCGCATAGGACAACACGCTACCGTATCCCCAAGGAAAAGTCCTACTGTACCAGTATGTCCGTGGTGAGCGCCACGCCGAGTACGAACGTCCCGATAAGATTTCGCATCCAAGATATGATCGAAATGCGGAGCGATATGATATCAGATAAGGTCCGGGCTATCTAACTCCTTCAAGGTCCTGATTGTGTACGTAAAGTGGGCGATACGACAGGCGAGGATCAGACCAAAACAAGGGAGAGATAATGAGGGGAAGGTAACGAGTTTAAGTCCCATTAGAGAGAAAAAGAAACCCATCTTCACTTGCGTCTATCGACTATTCATAACAGCATCATAGATCACATGATATTTTTTGTGTGACCCACGGGGTACACTGCACCATCCCATCAATATATTTTGGGAGTCGGGGTCTTCCCGACGGAAAATAAACTCTCGAAGGCAATAAAAGGCAGCTTCAAGATGGGTAAAAGGAAAAATCAGGTCGAACAGAAAAGAAAAGGTGGACCGCCTGAACGCCAGCCCTATGCCACACTACTGGTCCCATCGATCAAGAAGCCTGCAATTCGTGGTTTGTTGATTAAGAAGAAACAGAGTCGAAAGAGACGGCCCTGCCACAGATCATGTTTATTTGGCAACAGCCGCACTAGAACCATATGTTAGCTATACAGTCTTCGTTTGGAGGAGTTTCCTGGACGATACGAACCTCAAGACTTGCGTTCTGAAGAACGCACCCTTGGTCTTCTCGATGACCTGCTGGTACACCGACTGAGGAGGGTGGTTCATGAGGACAGTGCCCTCCTTGTAGTCAATCTTGGCATCGACACGGGTGTCGCGGATCAGGTTGACAATCCACTTCTCACCCTCATCCTGGTTCAGACCCAGACGGGTGGAAAGGTCCCTGAATAACCATGTTAGCACTCTTGTCGGACGGTGACTGCACGCGTGTTACATACTTGATATCGATCCGCTGGTGGATCTTGCAGTAGCTCTCAGAGATGAGATGTCTGGCGGCCTCCACGAAGGCATCAGCGGCGGCCACGAGGAAGAAGTCGCTCCGCAGCACCTCCTCGGCTTCACCAAGTTTCTTCTGGGCCTCCTCGAAGTCAAAGTCGACGTAGAGGGCCTTGACGAAGTCCGTGATCGGATCAGAATACTCGTAGTCCTCTTGTCGCACTACTCGGATCAAATCCTTCAGCTGCTTCTGGTAAGCGTTGGTGTTCTTGTGTCCCCGGTTGCGGTTGGTAATGACAGCGGCAGCCAGATATCGAAGGATCCAGGGGCAGTTGGTCTGGATGGTGTTGATGTAGGCGGGGGAGAAGAAGAGGTCGGTAAGGACATCGCGGGCGGGTTCATGGTTGAAGAACGGGAAGAGGGACCAGTGGATCAGCCACGATCGGTGCTGGAGCTGACCCAGAGGGTTGTTGAAAAGCCGAGTCTCAATCGACTCCTTCACCTTCTGTACCTCCTCCATGGCACCCTCCCAGCTAGTGGTGAGGATCTCAGAGGCCAGCTTACCCCACGTGGCGGAAGTGACCTTGTCGTTATCCGTGGACAGGACACGGAACTGGTAGAGCAGCTCTGCGGCATTGCCATAACTACCACAGCTGTATTGGAACCGGCCGTAGTCGTACAGGACGTTGACCATGTCAACGGTGACACCGTGCTGCTCCTCCAGGTACTTCAAGTTGGCAACCTTGTCGCTGCGTAGGTTACCGACAACAGCATCATCCTGCAGCAGCTCCGTGATCTTGCTGCTATCCTCCTGGTACTGCTGCAACTTCGCCAGCACTTCCTCCCTCTTCTTCACAAATTCCTCGGGGACCTTGTCAGAGTCGTTGATTTCCTGCCAGAGGTTCGCGACGTAGTCGGTCATGTTGGTGTGCTTGAGAAGCTCATACTTGGCGCGGGTGATCTCGCGGTTCTCATCCTCCTGACCGGAGATGAATTCCAACAGCGGGAAAACGAGGTGACGGTCGAGGTAGGGGATCAACTTGGGCAGCAGGTCGTATTCCTTTGCGATTTCCTCTGCGGTCTTGGGAGGCTGGGCAGCGGCGCCCTTGAGCAGGGTCTCTGCGGACGGGGGAGCGTTGTCTGCCATGGTGAACGATGGCAGCGGTGCAGAGAGCGACAGCGAGGGGGTTGGGGAGGGGAAGGGAAGATAGAAGGCAGAGAGCGTCTGGATCTTCTTCCTTTGGATGAATGTGCGACTTCTTTTGGCGGGCGAAAATGTGAGTGGGAGGGCCGGAGCACGCTAGGCCGAGAGTAGTCTAGACCGACGGCCGCCGGTCGAGGACGTCAAAACTGCTTGAACGCAAGAAAGTATCGAAGATAGCCAGAGATCCCATTGTTCTCTCCCCAGACCTCCACGCTTTCTCGACCCCGTCTGCTTGGGTGCCGTTGTTTGCAGTCAGCGAGGTGTCAGGTTGCTCGTCCGGTCCTTCTCCTGCCCGTCATGGCGTCTCTGCTGCCATCTTCCTCGCTATCCTCGGCTGTCCGAAAGCAGTCGTCGTCTCTGTCGCTGAATCTCACATCGACCCAGACCACGCTGTCAACTAGACGCTTCAGCACAATCCCAGTGACATTCTCATACGGAGGACAGAGTCAATTGCGTATGGCTTCCATATTCCCCGTGACGCGGCTTCCTACCGCATCGTATGATAGCCGGGAAAAAAAAATTGCTAACATGTCGCAGGAAACCTTCTACAATCTCCCTCCAGACCTTCTTTCTCCCACACTGTGCTTCCTATTCAGCAGTCGCGAACCTTCCTGGCAAAGCTCACTCGTCGATCTCCGGCTACCGCAGAGAGACATTCGAATCCCGCCCCCACGACTCCGCAGACGCAAGCACAAGCTCCACCTCTGCAGCTAACCAACCTGCCTTATTTCGTTCGTCGTACTCCCTCCAACCAGTTACCCGTCTATCTCGTTACCAAAGCTGGCGGTACCAAGCAGCAAACCAAGATTCAGAAGACAGAGGGCGACCTGGAGGCCCTCCGGAGTGACCTGGCACGTGCCCTGGGTTTGGAGTCGGGAGATTCGCGCAACAAGAGCCCAGATGTAACGATCAACAGGCTCAATGGGCATATCATTGTCAAGGTATGCATAGTCTGCACTCTCTTTTTATTTCCATTTATTTCTTTTCCTCTGGGGTCCAGAGCTCCCTCTCTGGATAGAAGAGAGCAAAAATTCCTCATCACCGTAACACGTCGGCTAACCGATAATCAAATACATAGGGCTGGCGTAAACCCGAGATTCAGAAATTCCTTCTGGAACGCAACTTCTAAAAAGTTCCTCTCACTTTGAAATTCAATCAACTCCATATCGACGACCCGGACATACAGCATGACCTACACATCCTTGCGATGACGAATCACATATCATCTTGAAAAAAGAGCGGTTCACAGTAGCAATTTCGAGAGGGGTTTAAAGAGCCGTGAGAAGAGAGACGGAAAGTCAGAGAGAAATATCGAGTACAGTGAGCGTGGATTCTATTTTTTCGTTTTTTCTTTTATTTCCCTACTCCATTGGGTTCTGCAGTTGCGTTCTCGGCTTTGTCGATTTTACCGGTGTATGTTTCCTTTTAAACCTTGGCGGTCTGGGTCTTACGCTCATCTTGTCTCCCTATTTCTTCACGCTTCACGTATCTCCATGTATCATTTCTATCTGTACATCTCCAATGATCTCCTCAAATATGTCTGTTTGCAGGCTTTTAATCGAGCGTGAAAAAAAATGGACATGCGAATTTTCTGTTATTTGGGGGATGTTATTGAGCCGGGTAAACTTAACGCAGAAAATATATGCGTCTCCTCTTATTCTCACTTTTCTTTTTTTTATTTTCTTTTTCATATTCTGAATCTCATAGTAAGTTAGTCGACTGTACGGACTAGGGGTTAAATGAACGGAAATGGAAATCTCTCTACTCGGTAACTGTTTACAACTTACTGTATAATTGATTCTCTGTCTGAGTCTTATAGATGAAACTGTATATGTGAGCAGTAGATATGCTGAGTACAATATCAGGGACGTTCAGGTCGTTCGGTCTATATCAATATCTCGACTTTACCACTCTCTTATAGGCGTCCGGTTTTCTGCCAGCTCCAGAGATCACGCAACTTCGAAATGTCACTACGGCTTACTGTGGTTCGAGCATCAGGGTAGCGTCCGTCCCCATTCCCATCTCTCTAACTCTGGGAGAGATAACCGTTACGTTAATGCAGGATTGAGAACTGTAAAATAATCCGTGTAGAATAGTTTATACCCGCTTCGTTTCTAAATTACCTAGAGAGAGAGCGGATGTCTGTTATCGGTATGATACTTTCATGAATTCGCCGTATCCGACCGTTCCTTTCCCAAAAATTTCGCTTTTCCCACTTCGCAGATGAATAACAAACGGCTCAACACACAATTGAGAGAGATACTATTATCTCGAAAAGCAAATAATGTGCTAGCCATCAATCACAACCCAAAAAAACGTATCATGCACACTCGCTCAAAAAGGGATTTCGGCACTGTACACTGTCAAACAAAACGGTATAGTATGTCATTGTAGCAGTAGTTGTTTCCTCGCCTGCGCCAAGAATAAAACACCTTCAGAGGAAAGAAGACATCAGTAGAAGAGAAAAAATATTGGAAATCCGAATGCAGTCAACTAATCCGGAAAGGCCCGAATTTATTTTAACAGAGCACAGAAGGAAAAGCAGGAACAGCTTTGCGGATAGTATCGTCAAACACCCAATCCAGCATAAGTGATCAATTGTCGAACCACCGCTGGATCTAGGTTTGGCGTCAGCAAGGCACCAAGCAGGCTTTCTTTCTTCGGAAGAACACCTGAAGGAACACTCAAGGTGGCAGCACCGTCCACGCGTTTTGACTTTTCCGCTAATCGACGCAGAATCGCCAACCCTCGGTGGATTATGGAGCTATATGCATGCGCATCTGCGTCCGCCTGCCCTCTTGCTGCCTGACTTTGACGCTGGTTGACCGGGGGCACTCGTTCTGTGCTTAGCAGGCAGGAAAGTCTGAGGAGATGCACTGCGAAACCATCCGTAGATTTCAGCCATGCCTTCGCTAGGGAACCAGTAGCAAAGCCGGATAGGACATCGGCTGCCAATAAGCCCTGCATTAGGAATATTTTCCGGGCATCTGCAATAGCAAGAGGTTTCCGTGGCTGATCCGGGATGGGGGAGATCGCCAAGCCGAAGGCACGGGTAAGTAACTCGTCCTGAGGCGCTGCGGACCCTTCACCAGCAAATATAGCCCTGTAATACATTCGGTTTGGTTCATCTCTAGCTAGCAATTTGGCCAAGCTATCGATTGCAGCAGGTGTATATCTGTGGACAGCCGGATTGTAAGGCGCAAACATGATGCCCTTGGGTCCAAGACTAGGCGCAGGAGTCGGCACAAAGGACAAGAGGAAATGTAGAAGACACAAAGCTTCCTCCTTCCCAGGAAGGTGAATCGTGTGCGCCAAGTTACTGAGGTATGTCACCGCGTCCTTCATGAAATCCAGGGTATTCTGATGTGTCCGCAAAAGCATACTCCTTGTCCCCAGATACCGAATTATAGTAGAGAAGAACTTGACGACAGGCGCCGTTCCTAATATTCCAAAATTCGACTCCGTGAATGAGAAGTTGCGAAGAATAGTGGTGATACAGATAATCCTGTCGACGGCGCGATCGAGCTCATACTCGAGACTACCGAACTCTGGGACGTCGACAAGCGACGATATCTCCAGGCGGCAGCCGCGCACGACCTCCTCATACGAAGGGAGAAGCATGACATCCGACACCTCGATCGTATTCTCAGCAAGCAGTTCCGCTTGCTCTTCCGCGCATTCCACCAAAGTCTCGACCAGATCGTCACAGTTATCCAGGGACAGCTGAATGGCTGGCTCACATGAGATGGTGGTCAGTGTGTCCAAGGCCATCCGCATCTCAGCATGCAAGCCGGACTTGATACTCATCGTCAAGGCATGAATATCAATAACGCCTAGCTCCGCAAAACTAGGGACGTTTGGCTTGAGCCTCGTTATATCCTCCGCTAGTGAGTATACTTCGTCGACCACTACCGGGCCATGAAGTTTGTGTTCAGACAAGACCTTCGGTTTGAACGGATCTTCAATAGGATGCTGGAAGGGTACATGCGCTGATGGTTCAGGACCTCCAGGAGGCTTCCCAGCCACTGCGGCGGATGAAGCCTTCCCGGGTTGAGCGGGTGACGGAACGGGGAACTGCCCAGAAGGGTCTTGCGGTGTCCCTGGAGGTTGTGAGGTACGCGAGAGACTTGGTCGGTGCTGTGGTGGCTGCTGCTTGGACTGGGCCTTAACTTGCGGGGTCATGAATCCGTTCGCTGCGTTCTGTTGCAGGTTGCTCTGGACCAAAATGCCAGTTTGGGGAGATTGGGAAAACTGTTGCGAGGCTTCAAATCCTTGACCAGGCTTTGCAGGAGATGGTTGTTGAAAGGGCATCCCAGTGGGATCACTAGGTTGCCTCTGTGGAGTATGTTGCTGCATTTGTTCTGCAAACTGTTTCTGCTGAGAGCTTAGGAAGGCCTGTTCATATGGCGCAAGATTCCTCAGATAGTGGTCACGGATCTCCTGTGCGGCCATGGGATACTGCATCTGAGGGAATTGTAGTTGCTGAGCAATAGCAGGCCACATATTTGCAGCCGTGATCTTCTTTGATCCGCCCATCTTGATAACGGTCGCATAAAGCTGCACTAGATTGAGCGGCCGCCCACTGACGATCGGGTTTGGGTCTAGAGGAAGGTTGCGAGACAGCATGAACTTCTGAAGAGATCTCATGAAGCCTTCTGGGTTCGCAGGTTTAGTCATATTCTGCTGCATTTGCCTTATGGCCGCCATCTGGGGATTAACCATAGGATTCATCCCGCTGCTACCGGGCCGACCGGCCATGGCAGGGTTGTTAGCATGCATCTGACGGGCTTGATTGTGAAGCTGCATCTGGTACAATCGCTGCTGTTGCGCCGCCAAGGCTTGAGCAGGATATGCTTGCGGCATGTTATTGAACTGCGCTTGCATGGATGCCTGGACAGCAGCGGATGTCATAGCCGGCGCTGGCGAGAACTGAGGCGGCATCCCCTGAGGGAAAGGTTGTCCTGGCATGAAAGTATTGTTTTGAGGCGTGTTTACTCGGCTACCATGTTCAGACTGCGTCGGTGACATCTGAGATCCCACATGGTGACCAGCAGGAGAGAACGGGCTGGGAGACGCAGTCTGCATCCTCTGGACCCCATGCTGGTCAAAGTCTTGCATGATCGGAGACCGTGTCGCATTGGCTGAGCCCGCTTGTTGGAGATGTTGATAGGGCGTTGGTGGTTGAGCGAACTGCGGAGCACCGTTGGAAGGGCCCTGGAAGCCAGGGAACGGGACCTGATGGGGCGTCTGCGACCGTGTCGCTGGCAAGCCACCAGCTGCCTGGCGAGGCGACATAGACATTCCATCTTCTGGTCGTGGCCGCTTCGAGGGGATCACTTGGTTTGGGTTGAATCCGGGCGAGACGTTTCGCGGGACGCCATTGAACATGCGCTGGAATTGGTTCGGGTCCTGGGGAGTCGGAGAAGGATGGAGGAAGGCCATCGAAGGATCGATGGTCGGGTTAAAGGCACCATTATCATGGTTTGGGATGTTCGAGGCGTCAGCAAGCCAGGCATTCATGTCGTATAGCTCGACCAACCCATCTATGGAGCGAAGATATGGATCAGCAAGTAATCAGAGACGCGACCGTGCATGAAGGGATCATCAAGAAGCCACGCGACAGCATCGTCACCATCTCACTCCGTGCTTCCCCCGACAGGTCTCGAGCGACAGGTTACTACCAAGACGATCCAGACGCGTTGGGATGCGCAACGGGGCCGGCAGGCGAGGGCGCGACGACAACGCGCGAAACGCCAGCTGCGGGCCACCAGCACCACTAGAAAGGCCAAGCCACTCAGAGGGACCGGAGAGAGATGGGACGAAAGGCGACGACAGATGCAAGGATCGGAAAACAACAAGATAAGCACATACCGACAAGGTTGGTTGACTGGGCGGCCGAAATGCGAGCGGAGGAAGAGGTTGATGCCCGGTTCCGAAAATAGCAGCGGTCAGAAGAGACTCAGTTGGCCGCGCGCGAGAAGGGCCGGGTCACGGGACCAGCGCCGGGCAGCAGCGAGCGCTGGCGGGATGCGAAGCAGGCCGACCGTGGTGAGAGAGCAGGACGGGGATGCGGTCGCTACAAGCTATCTATCTCATCAGCATCAAACCGATTTAGAGGATGATGAATCGGACTAATGATAACGGGCCATGAGGAGCTGGAAGGGCCTCCGACGGGACGCAGCAAGTGCGCTGTCTGCGCCCGCGTGTCGTGCTGAGGAATGACAGATGGCGGCTAGTGCGTGGCCACTGGTCACGCAAAGACGACCTGGTGTACGAGACCCGGAGGCCGAGAGAAGGAGAGCAAAGACGAGCGAGATAAACGGCCAGGGGAGGCGTACCTTGACACGAAGACTGTGCACTCTGGGGAGTGGAGGCTTCGGGGGGCAGCAGGAATGGGACGGACAGCCGTGGACAGAAAGAAGGCGTGTTGGGCGGAATAGGGGGCCCAGTGATTCCGGGCAGCGCGAAAGCGATCAGAAAAGATTTAGTTAGATAGTTAGTTAGATCAGTGGCAGCGGAAATCCGTGGCGAGAACCAGCAGTGCTCAGCAGCAGCAGCGGGTTTTGGTTTCAGGCAGTAATACGTTCTTTTTGGTTTGGAGACGCTCAGAGAGAGGGACCGAAAAGAGGGGAGAGCCGGGGCGCTGCAGAGCGTCTCCTATCCGAGGCCTTCTTCAGTCAGAAAACTTTCCGCCGCCTTAGCCCGCATCCGTTTCGCTTCATCTCATCAAGCCATCAGCCATCAGCACCTTGCTCTGCTCTACGCGACAACACAGTCCCTGCTATTCATCTATCAGTGCTGTCCAAAAGGACAATCCAAGATCATCATGGTCCTGGCGATGTTTTTTTCCCACCATCCTTATCATCTGGCGCGGGATTTGATGGTCTGAGGCTTGGCTCTGGGCTATTTTGGAGTATAATGGACGGACTCCGATCCGTCCAACGGCTCCAGACCGTGTTTCGTCATGTCCTGTCACGGAGGCTGACTCTTTGTCCAGCAGAACTGTCTGTCCATCTGGCAATGTCTGTTGAGTAGTTAGGAGAGATTCCCAGTTGCTCTCCCGTTACTTCAGTGCTCTGCAGATATCCGCCGTGCAGTAAGATCCTCGTCGGCCGCTTCACTGCCAGGCAAGGCTGAAGTGCTCCCAGAAACGCTGCCCAGTCGGGTTAGTGTGTCCACATTATTGGTATCCCCGGCTTTCTTCTGCCCACGGCAGTTGATGCACGAAGCTGCCATATCTGAAGCCCCAAACTCCCAGGTAGAGAATGGGATCACATTCTGAGTAGGGGACACGGAGACCGAGGAGAGCAAGGAAAGAGGAGAGATCACGGATTTCAGGCTCTAGCTGAAAAAAAAAAGCGCACCAACTTCTCTTATATATGTCCTGTCCGTCCGATCCGTCCACCAATTCCCCCTCCGCGAGTCACCAGAGAACGAGAACCGTCCAACGAGACGGATCTTTTTCCAACCCTTGCAAGCGTCCGCCTCGATGCGGATCATGGATGCTGTCTTTGTCCCTGTCCCACCTGCCACGTCCTGCCAAAGCTCCACCCCGGAGAGTGATTGGATCTTCCAAAGATTCCTTATTCTGTGGAGTCGGGCCCGAATCCAGCGGGAGACTTCACCACTCGACTCACTCGATCAACTACACCGCGGTACAGGCACTCGTAGACTTTCATTCGAAACACGATTCGACATCGATGGCTGCAGTCGATGATGAAAATCTCCGTCAGCTACCTCTGGCCTAAAAGTCCTCGTATGAAAGTAACTCGCTCGCCTGATCAGCACTTATCTCAGACAGGGTTCGGAGGCGTAGGAACGGGACTAAGACTATTGGCGCACCACAAATTTCCAGGGGAGCCCCTCTTGAACGACGAAACCAACAGTGCCGTTAAAGTATCACATCACTGTAATAACCGTAGGTAGTTTTTCTTTTTTCCTATCACTGTCTACCGAGTCTAGGATCGCCTGGTCCTGTCGACAGCGGAGATTTTGGAGTATAACTACCTAGCACGTCTGCGTTCCTTGGTTCCGAGATAACTCTCGAAAGCACTGCGAGTAGGCGACACTGACCGATTTACTTCGTTCATGTGGAATCACCTTGAGAGGCAGATTGGCTGCGGTCGCACATTTCGTCATGAGCAGTTGCTCTACCTCGAGATATTCACAAACGTCCGATATGAGCTATATGCGGAGATGCTGTGTGGCCCGTATAACTAGCGTGAAGCGATTGCAGTTATCATCGCTCTACTACTGAATATACTCCATAGTAACTGCAACCTTGGCGCGAATCACCACGCCTTTATCCCGTGCCTGGCAATTTGAGGCTCGACGTGATCTTCACGAAGGCGGGCTATTTAAAATGGACACGGAATGCAGCGAGCGCGTATCAAACCCTATTTCGATTGTGGACAGGGAGAGATCCTTGGGAATTATGTACTCCGTACTCATAGTCAACGCACGCGACTCAAGATACAGTGCCCTATTTACATGTGCACTGCTAAAATTGGATGGTATTCCTCATCAGCGGTGTCGCCTATGGCCAAATTCGGAAACCGATCTGACACTAACAGGTGACCAGAGGTGGAGTTTTCACCTCGTCCGAAACTCCTCGATAATACGTTGCTGTTTGGGTCAAGACAGTCGTCGTAGCAGGGACTGTTTTTAGAAACCTCTGGTCTGTAGTCTGGATAGCCCTCTCAACTTGATCAATATTGCCGGTTATATCACTCCCGCTGCGCTTGACAGTCGTTCTTCGAGAGCATTCTTAGAAATAGTCATGTCGTGGACAACTTAATATATATGCTTCAGTCAATATATCTTATCCATGCATTATTGCGGTACTAACTATACTTAACTACTCTATCATGCTTCTAGCTGGCACAGGTCCCCTTGCGACTAATATATTCCCGCTCGCCAAGAACATCACTGGGTCAGCATATGGCAACAAGTAGGGTCCCATTCTTGATTGTCTTCGGTTTTACCATATCTAATAGGAATGAGATCATGTTTCGTCAAGCCTTTTCCTCTGAGCCTTTTCCTCTGACGAATATATATAGTCCGACACCGGCCTGATTGTCTATCTAGTACTAACTTTGATATATCTCCTTGAGCGCTCCTCTCATCTTTTGTTGATTTACCCCAGAGTACAAGAAAGATGCGTAGGCACATTCGTGTTTCAGAAACTCCAGATCATCACAAAGATGTAGTCCAAATCAAGTGGAGGAAGCATCCAGAAATAGCCCCAGCCTTGCTGTTGACAGGACCAACCAGTTGGCCACATCACGTGATACACTTGGCGCGCAGCACCCGCTGAGCTGCATCATCAACGGATGGAGAGCTCCTAGCAAAAGCTCCAGACCAACAAAGACCCGACACCCCTCTTCGCCTTCCCTTCCCTGATTGTTTAGAAAGTCGTCTTTTCCGTACTTCGACAACTCCCTTGTTTCCTGTATCGCTGAGGACACCAGCTGCCTACCATGGGTGACATCGCCGTGGAGAATCCGGCGAACAGCGTTGCGCCTCACAAGAAGGCAGCTCCAGCTGACGCCATCCCGAATATCGATTCGCTTGAGGGCTCTGGTACCGACACTGGTGATGAATACGTTACCTTGAAGAGACTACAGAGACATCTAGAGTATGTTGCTTGCCTGGAACTGCGCGTGATGTGGCCTGTTAGTGAAGTTAGGTTATGGCTGACACTTGGGGCGGCGGGAATAGGTACATCAACCTACAAGAAGAATACATCAAGGATGAGCAGAGGTATGAGATTCATGATATTGAAAGGTTCTATAGAGAGGATTGCGTGGCTGACGGATGATCTGTCACAGGAGCTTGAAGAGAGAACTCGTTCGAGCGCAGGAGGAGATCAAGCGGATACAGAGTGTGCCACTGGTTATTGGACAGTTTATGGAGGCGATAGATCAGAAGTATGTTGGATTGTGTTATGACTGGATTCTAGGGCATCTTTTTTTCTAATGGTTTACCGCTAGCACTGGAATTGTGCAGTCGTCAACAGGATCGAACTATGTCGTCCGTATCTTGTCAACGCTCGACCGTGAGAAGCTGAAGCCTTCCTCGTCTGTCGCCCTTCATCGCCACTCCAACTCCCTTGTTGATATTCTTCCACCGGAGGCAGACTCGTCCATTGCTATGCTTGGTGCCCACGAGAAGCCAGATGTTACATATTCAGATGTTGGTGGTCTGGACATGCAGAAGCAGGAGATCAGGGAGGCCGTCGAGCTGCCCTTGACGCACTTCGATCTTTACAAGCAGATTGGTAGGTGGGTCCGTATTGGAAGTCTGGGCAATGTCGATACTTACAGTAGCCAGGTATCGATCCCCCTCGTGGTGTTCTTCTCTACGGTCCTCCGGGTACGGGAAAGACCATGCTGGTGAAGGCTGTTGCGAACAGCACAACAGCCAACTTCATCAGAGTTGTCGGATCCGAGTTCGTCCAGAAGTATCTGGGTGAGGGTCCTCGTATGGTCCGTGATGTCTTCCGAATGGCGCGGGAGAACTCTCCAGCTATTATCTTCATCGATGAGATCGATGCTATCGCCACCAAGCGTTTCGATGCCCAGACCGGTGCCGACCGTGAAGTGCAGCGTATCCTGCTAGAGCTGCTGAACCAGATGGACGGTTTCGACCAGAGCAGCAACGTGAAGGTCATCATGGCCACTAACCGTGCGGACACTCTGGACCCAGCCTTGCTGCGACCGGGTCGTCTGGACCGAAAGATCGAGTTCCCGTCGCTCCGTGACCGACGAGAGCGCCGCCTGATCTTCAGCACGATCGCTTCGAAGATGTCGCTGTCACCGGAAGTCGACCTGGACTCGCTGATTGTGCGCAATGACCCTCTATCGGGAGCGGTGATCGCGGCTATTATGCAGGATGCCGGTCTGCGGGCGGTGCGCAAGAACCGTTACAACATTATCCAGTCGGATCTGGAGGATGCATACTCCAACCAGGTCAAGGGATCGCGGGAAGCGGACCAGTATGTTTTTGTCTTGTCCTCTCTGCATGTGTTCTATGTACTGATTGATCTCCTACAGGTTCGATTTCTACCGGTAAATGGGGGACTCTGGGTGGATGCTGGTCACGGAGGTCTTGTGCATGGCGAGAGGGGAGGTGTAGGCATAGCATCGTTTCTCTTGATCGGATCTTGCCGTAATGCAATGGGCACGGTGGTTCTCACAGCCGTTTGATGTGTTCGATATCCTCCGGTAGCACCTGTCTTTCTTATCTTCTCGTAGTAATGACTCCGGGCTAAGTTATCGTGTAGACCGCAGAGTAGAATGCACTTTAGTAGGCGCGTGACTCGGGGGATCTCGCAGGTTCCTGCAGGTGCCTGACGTTGGTGTAGACTAAGCTCGTCCAGGCACCCGTGTTTCTCCCACTGCCAGCTGTTTCACCGCCTGTTATTATGATTATTACTCCGTAGTTAGTTATTATTTTATTATGACTACGCTTTTTATTGGTATTCCTCCGGGGTGTGGTGCAAGTACCAAGTCCACGACAACATAGCCGGATGCGGTCTATCGATATCTAGGCTAGATAGATAACTAGCACCCCAGCCTCGCTGTCGCGATCCGCATCGTTAGAGCACCATACCACGCCCCCCGCTAAGCAGCAGTCCTTGTGACGATTGACGGCCCCAGCAAGGCAAAGCTCCGGCTCCACTTCACTCCAGCAACCGTCATCGCTGTCTCCCGGTCTCTCTCTCTCTCTCTCCCTCTCTCTCTCCTTCATCTCCCCATCCCTATCTTCCCCATCAACATCAACATCCAGTGGACGTTGGTGTCTATCTCGCATCTCCATCTTCTCTCATTCATTTCCTTTTGAGTTGGGTGTTCTGTATCACGGGAAGACAACCATCATGAAGACCGTTTCCGTCCTGGCGGCGGCTACCCTGCTGGGGTCCGCGTCCGCCGGCGTCCACAAGCTCAAGCTCAACAAGGTGCCGTTGTCGGAGCAGCTGGTAAGCCATCCCCATCATCAAACTGGCTATCGATAGCGATAGCTGCTGGACAGGTTCTGATATGGATGATGTAGGAGCACCACAACATCGACTCTCACGTTCGCTCTCTGGGTCAGAAGTACATGGGCATCCGGCCCAACCAGCACGAGCAGCTGTTTCAAGATACCTCCCTGAAGCAGGAGGGCGGTCATGATGTCCTCGTTGACAACTTCCTGAACGCTCAGTGTATGTTATTTATCTGGCGATTGATGGTGGTGATAGTTCTAACAAGCATCTATAGACTTCTCCGAGATTGAGATCGGTACCCCTCCTCAGACCTTCAAGGTCGTCCTTGATACCGGTAGCTCCAACCTCTGGGTCCCCTCGTCGGAGTGCGGCTCCATTGCTTGCTACCTCCACTCCAAGTACGACTCGTCTGCCTCTTCGACTTACAAGAAGAACGGCTCCGAGTTCAGCATCCGTTACGGATCTGGAAGCTTGAGTGGCTTCGTATCTCAGGATGTCGTTTCGATCGGTGACCTGAAGATCAAGGACCAGCTCTTCGCGGAGGCCACCAGTGAACCCGGTCTAGCCTTTGCCTTTGGTCGTTTCGATGGCATCCTGGGTCTGGGCTATGACACCATCTCCGTCAACAAGATCCCCCCTCCCTTCTACAACCTGCTGGACCAGGGTCTGCTTGACGAGCCTGTCTTCGGCTTCTACCTGGGCGACACCAACAAGGAAGGTGACGACTCTGAGGCTACCTTCGGTGGTGTCGACAAGAGCCACTACACTGGCGAGCTGACTAAGATCCCTCTCCGCCGCAAGGCCTACTGGGAGGTTGACCTCGATGCCATTGCCTTTGGCGACGAGGTTGCTGAGCTGGACAACACTGGTGTCATTCTCGACACCGGTACCTCCCTGATCGCTCTGCCCTCTACTCTTGCCGAGCTTCTGTGAGTTTGACACCTGCTTTAATCTTTAGGATTGTATGAACTGAGATGCTAATCGTTCAATAGGAACAAGGAGATTGGCGCCAAGAAGTCGTGGAACGGCCAGTACACTGTCGACTGTGACAAGCGCGCTGGTCTGCCCGACCTCACCTTCACCCTGACTGGCCACAACTTCACCATCGGACCCGACGACTACATCCTTGAGGTCCAGGGCTCCTGCATCAGCTCTCTGATGGGCATGGACTTCCCTGAGCCCGTTGGTCCCCTGGCCATTCTGGGTGATGCTTTCCTGCGCCGTTGGTACAGCGTCTACGACCTGGGCAACAACGCCGTCGGTCTTGCCAAGGCCAAATAAATGAAACATGCTAGTCTTTTGCGAGGACGCTCCGTGATGGCTTTGTGGACAAATGAGTATATATGATATTGTGACGGATCGGTACAGATTGACTCGGAATGACCGTAGGGACGGATGGGCCGGTGGACAGTTCCACCGTGTACTTTGTAGCGCAATCCATTTTTTTCAGTCTTGTATTGAGGCCGGAATCTGCCGTTCATTTGTGTAGAGATTCAAATACGAACCGAGCTTGCATACCTTAAATAGCTAGCAGACATGTATACTCCATCTGCAACTGCAGTGAGACGTAAAGCATAAACCTGTGTTTTCCTGTGATCGCTTTCTTGATCTGACTGGGATCAAGAGCTTTGGTTGAGATCCAATCAGTTGGGCAGTTGAGTGGCAAAGATCACGACGAATGCAGCTGGATGACGAGGATTGTACTCGAAACTCTTCGACCTGAGTGATAGACTTGTGGAGCACAAAGGATAGATTCGATGGTCAGTATATAATAGGTTAGATGCGACATCCCACGCCTTAGCTATCATTCTCCAACCACCGCCAGAAGCAGCTCCCTAGTGTTTATGCTTAGCCTTAGCGGCGGGAGCTGCGTTCATCCATCCGTCTTTGCTCTCCAGTCGACCGTCCTCGACCGCATCTTATCACCACCACTGTTGATCCAGCTAAGTGAGCCTGCTTCTATAACCATCCGATTTATTTATGAATAACTTCCCGCGCCACACGGCTTTTCCCCGGGTGAACCAGGCACTGTTTGGCTCAGTTCTTTGTTGGTCGATCTAGGAAGGTTAAATATCTATCTGGTGCAAGCTCCACCCCCCGCACGCACCCAGACACGCCGGCACGCGCTTCTTTGCTCCTCACCTTCTTTCTCTTGCTTTTCCTATCCCGTCATCATTTCTTTGCTCTCCTACAGTGCCATTCCACCTTCTCCCTCCCCCAATACTCCAATACCGTGCGCTTGCGCTCTCTCTATCCAATCCAATCTGGCCTGCTTGCTAGTGCATTGCGCTTGTGGCGATCCGGAGCGCCCTCACACGACGTTCCCGCGCTCGTCGCCTGAGCTATCAGCGGACCTGGCCTTGTTCACTGCGTCACGCACTCTCATGGCTGCCTAATTGGACCACCTTTACATGCCATATAGACCAACTGCTCGAGTGCGCAATTCTGCATCCTGACAATTGACCAGAACAAACGGACTCCGGAGCAAGCAGACTCTCAACAAAAGGCTCGAAGCGCAGGGAGCATGCTCCTCCGACTGCCGCCTACCCTCCACTACCCCATCACCGTCACTTCGTTGCTGAAGCGGCCGGGCGACACCGTCAGTAGGGACGAAGCGATCTTCTGGTATGTCTACGAGACCACTGTCACCGAGGGCGATGGCCTCGGCAACAAGGTCCAAGTTAGGCGGAATTTCCCGACCAAGTTCGAGTCGACGGTGGATGGGGAGGTTGTGCAGTGGAAGATATCCAAGGGCGATGTCATTACGGAACCGTAAGCTTTTGCTTTTCTTTTCTTCTTGTCCTCCGGGTCGGTGTCAGCGGGAGGCTAGGAAGGTCTGCGTGCTGGCGCTGCGACGGGGACGATACCGCAAATCTTGACAGCTAACCGTTTCGTGTTGTAGAATAAATTTCCTCGAGATCGATGAGCCATGCGCTCACGAGATTCAGTTCGGAGGAATGTGTGCGGAGTGTGGGAAGGACATGACTGAGTAAGGACGGATTTTCTGTCGCGTCAGCCAGGCAGTTGCTAACTGGGGTAACTTATTGCAGGGCGTCCTATAATACGGATGTTATGGACTCGATGCGCGCTCCCATCCGGATGGTTCACGACAACACAGCTCTTACAGTCAGTCAGAATGAGGCTACGCGGGTGGAGGAAGATGCGAAGCGCCGTCTGCTGGCCTCGAAGAGACTGTCGCTTGTAGTGGATCTGGATCAGACTATTATCCACGCCACCGTTGATCCCACCGTTGGAGAGTGGATGGAGGATAAATCGAACCCGAACCATGAGGCTGTCAAGGATGTCCGTGCATTCCAGCTGATCGATGACGGCCCGGGGATGCGTGGCTGCTGGTACTACATCAAGCTTCGACCAGGTCTGGAGGAGTTTCTTCAAAACATCGCCGAACTCTACGAATTACACATCTACACAATGGGCACCAGGGCCTACGCACAGAATATTGCGAACATCATCGATCCTGATCGCAGGATCTTTGGCGACAGGATCCTCAGTCGTGATGAAAGTGGAAGTTTGACGGCCAAGAATTTGCAGCGACTCTTCCCCGTGGACACGAAAATGGTGGTGATTATTGACGACCGTGGAGATGTTTGGAAGTGGAACCCGAATCTGATCAAGGTCCTGCCGTATGATTTCTTTGTGGGTATTGGTGATATCAACTCGAGTTTCTTGCCAAAAAAGCAGGAGCTTGCGCCTACAGACAGAGCTGCCGCAAAGGCGGCCAAGGAGCAACTCGAAATCTCGATCCGAGAGCGACCGATACCTCCGGTCAACGGCACCAAAAAGGACGAACCGGGGCAAGAAGTCTCAGCACTGGAACAGCTTGTTACCATGGGTGGTGGCGATAATCCGGCTCTACTGCAGGAGCAGACTACGGAACAAGAAGAAACCATTATGCATCAGGTTGAGGATCGGCCCCTGCTACAGAAGCAGAAGGAGCTTGATGCTGAAGATGACGCCGCAGAGGCGCAGACTTCGGCCGACAGCGAGTCCTCAGAGAGTATGGATGAGACACCAGATATAACGAAGCCTCGCAATCACCTACTAGAGGACAATGATACGGAGCTCTATCATCTACAGGACCGACTCGAGACCGTCCATAGGAAGTTCTTCGAAGAATACGATCGAAGACGTGCGCAATCCTTGGGAGGAAGAGTGGCGGCTCTGAGGGGCGAGAAAGTTCCTAAGGATAAAGATGTTGATTTGAAGTTGGTTCCGGATATCAAAGTCGTGTTGCCAAATATCAAGCGCAAAGTTCTTGAAGGTGTTGTTTTAGTGTTTTCAGGAGTGTTGCCTCTGGGAACTGATACCCAGAACGCCGATATTTCACTGTGGACTAAAAGTTTTGGCGCTGTCATCTCAACCCGTATCGGATCAAAGACAACGCATCTCGTGGCGGGTCGCAATAGGACCGCTAAAGTCCGTGAGGCTACGAGGTATCCGAAGATCAAGATCGTCACGACACAGTGGCTCTTGGATTCACTCACGCAGTGGAAACGGCTGGATGAGGATCCGTATCTCCTTCCTGTTCATCCCGAGGACAGGGAACCCGTTCTGTCTGGAAGTTCTCCTGGATCGAAGGAGGCAGAGAGCTCCTGGCTCTCTTCTTCCGAGGAGGATACAGGGGTTTCTCGAACAGATGAAGAAGGTGAGGATAGAAGTGCCCCATTTTATGACTTTAGCTAACGATCTTCATAGAAGGAGATGAGGAAATACTTAGTTCAGCCGGGATGACTGAATTCTCGCCTGTTGGATATGATGAGAATGAGCAGGCGGCAGTGCATGACGAACTCAAAGAGTTCTTGGGCAGCGATGACGAAAGTGAAAGCGACAGCGAGGCATCCTTCCTTGCAACGGAACCGACAACGCCTGGGAAGAAGAGGAAGCGGGAGGATTTAGGGGAAAGTGAGGGTGAAGAACAAGAAGGAGAGGAAGGTGACGAGGATGAAGCGCACGGCTCGCGACTATCACAGAAAATTAAGCGTTCCCACGAGCGTACTACCGGCCTCAAGACAGTTGCCAATGCCGACACCACGGATTCCTCTGAGACGCCCGCTGCGGCCGACGAGGACGGCGAAGGCGATGGTGGGACTGAAGACCAAGATGCCGGTGGTGAAGGTAACGAAGCGGGCTACTCCATCGAAGTCAACCCCGAGGAAGAAGATGATGAACTTGAACGAGAAATGCTAGCCGCGTTTGAAGACGGAGACTATGATGAGAAGGCGGAGGAAGACGTTGCGGCCGAGAATGGCTAGACAACCATCGCATCGGGCGTGAATCCATCACTTCCACTTTCTCACCGTACATACCACCATATTTCCTTCGCTTTGTACATACTAGTACACACAGCATGCTTCGGAACGACGACTTCGACTTTTGGGTGTCACGTTTCAAGCTGTCGACTCGTTTTCTATCCTTCTCGCCTGTCTTGTTTGACGTTTTCATCCCCGCAATACGAGCTATAGCATAGCGTGGCGTTTTGGACGTATCGATTCTGTCCTCTCGATTACTCCGGCGCGTTTGGTGGTTATCTCTTTACCCAATTTGCTGTTCACGATCGTCATGCCATATCTGCTTTGAGAATTATGGAGTGATTGCTTTCATCTCATCCGGAGCTTGGTCTTGTCGATTTCCTGCGATATGTACTGTTTACTTTTTCCATCCAGAAAATCTTCAGCTTCTATTTGCCGGTGCCGTGTATTATCTTACTGTCGGGTGGCGCAGAGATAGGATGGGACGGGATCATGCTGTTTTACGTGCGCCAGTCATATGAAGAGTTTGTTGTCTATTTTCATACCATACCGCTTGATTCTGCATTTCTCTTCCTACCCTGAATCGTCAGTTATGACTTGCAATTGGAAAAAAAGGAAAAGAATCAGAAATTAGAGAAACGGAAAGAGAACATGTAACTGGATTGGTATCTAATTTGGAGTTCATTTAGAACGGCAAAATGAGTAATAGTACTTGGGTTTGGATTGTATTGTCATGATGTTCCTTATGCGTGCCTTTCAGAGCGCACAGACAGCGTAATTTCCAATTAGCTGCTTCACTTAATACCCTATTCTCCTGTATAGGCGTAGGTGCGGGCGTTTTACCATATACATTCTCCCATTGCTTTTGTAGGTCTTTTCTCTCCTCCATAGCAGTATCTTCAGCCTTCCATACCGCAATGGATCGATTCGCATCGCGTATTTCCAAAGAACCGATCTGGCTAAGCGGTTGAACCTATCGCTTGGTATCTCGGCGCCGCCGCCGTAGAGGGTGCTTACACGCGCCCCTTAAGAATCCGAGTGATCATATCATTTGCCATAGCAAGCTGTTCACTAGCAATCCGATTATACTCAAACAACCGTTCAAGCTGTCTCCTCATCTCCGGCGTAACCGGCCCCGTATCCTCCAACAACTTCTCCTGATTCTTCTCCAAACGCTTCATAAACCGATACACCCACATCTTGCTAACCTGTTTATCAGGCTTTCCCGAGCGCGCAAGTGCCTGATTTGCCCACTCCACTATCATCTGCGACGTCACAGGCATATTCAACTCGCGCAGATCAGCGACTCGTTGCATTAGAGCTTTCTCCTGATGCGTCTCGAGAGTCTTGTTCACTGGGATTCTTTCCGTGCGGGCTCGAGTGATGTTCAAGACGCGGTTTCGCAGTGTTCGCATGGGAACGCCGTATTCACGCGCGACCTTGGTGATGTTGGGCTTTTCAAGGGCTTGGGCCGCTGCGCAGGCCTCGAGCATGCGAGATTCGTCGAATTTAGGGGCTTTGGGCATGTTGGTGGGTTGAATGGCTTTGAAAGAAAAAATGTATGAGTACCTAGTGATGGGCTTGCAATTACGCGGTTGGAAATGAAGTACGGTGTGGGTGGTCAGGGGATACTTAAAAGCCCGATTGACCAGTTAAGTAAGGTTGAGCGGCAGAATTGAAAAGGAGCAACTTGACTCTCCACCGCTTACAGTACTTAAGTACAATACAGCAAATGCGCAAAATCAACTTAACTGGCCTAAACGAGATATTCTTCCTTTCTTGCAAGAGCTGTATAGAGATGCGTCTTCTATGATGAGTAAGGTCTGCTGTCGGATGGATGTGACTGGCTTATCCCAGATCCCAGTTCGACAAGTGCTTGGCCGGCCTGAATGGTCAGTTCGCGATGAACCACTACGGCGTAGTACATTTCAAGGATCGAATCGGGAATTCTTTTCTTTATCTTAAACCTTCGAGACGCTGCCATTTTCTACCCTGAATGAGCAGATGCTAATGCCATTTTGAAATATCTTCTTTTAACCAGCGCACGGTCACCAAGAAAGTAACGAAGGTGGCTATCCACCTTCTACCGTACTATACACATCTTTTATATATATGTATGTACATCTTCAACACTTCGTCCTCAGGTTCGGTTGACCTCTCCCGACGCTGTATATAAACCACGGATTCCGTAAATTCGTTGGACAACCCGTTAGAAACATTTTCCTTCCTACTTATAGTCCTCCTTCACCATCCGAATGTCTCCAAATGCATTGCAAGTTCAACAATCTCTCCTCTAAACACCCTGCTCTGTGCAGCTGCAACCGCATTGCCCAAGTCCGCTCTGAACGTAGCCGGTCCACACCCAATCACCATCGTGCGTTCGCCCTGCCGCACAGAATCCCGCAATACAGTTGGCATAATGGGTCTACCGCTGTGTATAGTGGCGCCAAAGGTAGTGACACGATGCATTAATGGCGAGGATGGAGCCGGTGTCTTTTCAGGAGACGCAACGTCAACATTCAGCTCGCAAACTTTCGTTGCTTCAGCACTAGAAGCCTGATAGTGTTGAGTGAACCTTCCGTCGTCCGTTAGTGGCTCAGCTTCAGTGATATGCAGCCTGATCTCCAATGCTATTTTATTTGCCGCTGCAAGGCTGTCAAACTCATCCGCGAGCCACTGTATGGCGTCAGGTCTCTTCATCGACCACACCAGCACTACGCGTTTGATTCTGCTATCTGACTCTCGCTTACCGGCACGAGCGACGGTGTCCTGCAGCCATGGAAAACAAGCGGTAATACCCGTTCCACCAGCAACCAGAATCAGAGTGTCGTAGCGGTTGTGAGGTGGACGACGCATACCACCGTAAGGGCCATCGAGCCAGACGGAGGTAATGATTTTTTTGTCATCCGTTGAATAGTGTGCCTGGACATACGATCTGAGTTTGCGAGTGAAGCCAGCATGGGCGCGAGCGAGGAAGACGAGGTGACAGGGCGAACCACTGGCAGACTCGGCAATGGCGATGGTGAAGGGGTGGTTGTCCAGGGGAGCGATATCAGGGAAGCGTAGAAAGACATGCTGGGACGGTTTCCAGTGGAATCCATCTGAAGGCCAGACGTCAATGCGTGTTACATCGGCGGACACGATGCTCACGGTCGCTGCGTTGCCATCAAACCAAGAGTTGCGGATGTTCAGCGGTTGCGTCTTCCAGAAGACCCTGGTCAGCCAGGACGCCACCCAAATTGCGAGCGCAGCCCAGAGGTAAGACCAGGAATCCATGGTGTTGGCCGAATGCCAGAAGAGGAGGCCAAAGTAAGTGATAACGAGCAGGATATGAGCCGCGTAGAAGGATTCATAGAACCGGTCTCGGATGTATGGCAGAGAGAGTACGCAGATTCCAAAAAGAATCGCTAGTGGTGGTACACCAGAGTACTCATGGATGTTAGCGAGTGACATCTAAGGAAGAGATATATGTTTTGTCTACCTCGTTGGGGGGAGATGATTTGTCCATATAGAATTCTGCCTCTACCATAGCTTCCCCGCCAACTATAGGATTGCGGGCACTGCCAACAAGAAATGGTAGAGCATGGAACAGACTTAACGCGAAGCTTATCCACGAGACCCATCGATGTAAAACACTCAGCCGTTCATGACTGATACCTGTGAAGAAAGTCACAATGTTCGCTTTTCCAGCGAGCGCCACAAGGATCGGAACGCAAGCAAATGCCATCAAACCAGATCTAATAGCAATTGGAGGAGAGCCATATCCGATCTGTTCGCGGTAATACGGCTTTACGGCGAACACGAGCGCAGTGAAGAAGACTATGGTAGCGAGAAGGAAAAGGATGGTTCCAACATCTGCAGGGACATCAAATAGCTTTGTGGGCCAGCTGACTCGAATTCGCCTGTAAAATACGGATCGACCAAGAGCTTGCAATTTCCTGAGAATTGATGGCCTTCGCGGTGCAGTTGATGAATTCTTTATCAGATTATCTGTGAGGGTTGTGAAGGCGTAGCCCAGAAACAACAGTCCGATAACTGTAAAACTATCAGTATAAAATCACTCAGATTATAAAAACCAAGAGCACATCCTGCGGAAACAACCAGCCAAATGCAGCAATAAGTGAATCAAGTCAAAATGCTTCCAAAGGCCAGTTTATCACTAATGTTGCACCCGTTTGTAAAGATAATTGTGAAGTAGGAGTATTACTTATCACATAATAGTAAGTCGCCCAATGGCCGTATTTGAATTGATAGGACCATGATACAGCTTCCTGAGAAGCGTTCGCAGCAGCATAGTAAGCGATACATACATCTTCAGCCTTGATGCAATTAGGATCTGAAAGTGGAAGATTCGAGACCGCCGGGTCGGAAGACATAGGCATATCCATCTTGAATTATTTCTGCCCCTGACGAATTTGTTCGTGTCATATCAAGAACAGGAATTGAGTAGAGGAAGTGGTGAAAAACTCCACTCTATGTAGGAACGTAGGAGTGAACATAATTGATCATGGTGGCTTTTCTCAACGCCGGACTCTCGATTATTTCAATAAAACAAACCGTGCTCATTGCACATGGCATGGGATCTTAGCCAGCTATTTCCCTCAAACATGCTTAGTGAACATACGACAGGAAAGAAGCAATATTTGGCTCCAAATGGGGCCAAGAGCGACCATTGACAGAATTGGCCAATTGACTGCACCTGTCAACGGAAATATCTCGCCATAGGTTATTTTTATTTGGATCTTGAGATATTGGCTTTTCTTATTGTGGGAATTACGAATTACCAACGTAGCTCCCGGTCGAGCCGCCTACCCAGAAATACCATTAATCAATCTACTTACGTTGCCTGCGCTAGTTCGAGCAAATAAATTAACCTACTGCAAGCCAACAAAGGTCTCTACTTCCGCCACTTTGCTATGTAGTCCCAAGAGTGGAATCTGAAATATTCTGACCGTCGTCAACTTGGTGGAGCATATACTAAGTCGTTTTTGAGTCACTTTTGTACAGTACCGGTAATCCCTGGTCGATTCCACAATCGAGCATCAGCGCTGGTTTAGAAATGAATAGGCGGAGTAGAATTTTCTAGGCAAATAGCCCAGACAGATTAGAGGTTCTAGGGATCTCACCAGATCGCTAGGTACCCACTGTCCTTCATCAACAGACACGCAGCCTTCGTCCACACTCGTTTAATACACACATAAGGCCGCACTGTGTTTAGAACACAGTAGTAACCCTGGCTAAAGATGTGTATATTAGCAGTTTCTGGCGTCATGTATATAATCCATCATTTACAATGAGTGCCATCACCAGGATGACGAGATTGTAGCCAGTGAGGTCGGAAATATTATAGCTGCTGGTGGGGATCACGTCTGTCAGCCGTTTTTCGGCTTATGTTGATCAATATCGTATCACCCTGGCGTTTACCCCGTGTTTTTCTTTGGCCTGAGTCCTTGCTGCCATAATGAGCTGTATTGGGAGGCGCCGGACAAACTTCGAACTTTCTATTCAAAATGTCTCCTTTCCAGAAGAGATACATCTCCCTGTCGAATACCACATAGTCATGGACATACTTCAAGCCCAACATCAAGATATGGAAGAAGCAACCCCCACCCCGGGCGGTATCTCCCATTCCCAGGCACACCTAAGAGATGGCCCAAGAAATAATACCAATTTGAAGGTTCTTGCGCAGGAGGTGCTTTTTCATATCGTGCGTGAACAACTGCCTGGTTAGGAAAGATGGGCTCCTCGGAAGAAGTCTTCTCGATCAAGGCCGTCCGTGTCCATTGCTCTTCAAACGGACTTTGGCACTTCCCAAACGCATGCCAAGACGTCAGTCGGATCTCGCATTGACCAGTGTCGCCCAATTTCGTGTGCTGGGAACGCATCTCTGCGCCACATACACGACATCTCAGCCACGAGCATAATTCTTCGTCATTTGCATTCGAAGGAGCTTCGAGCGGCTTTGTGTTTCCATAATTGAGATTAACATGGCGGCACACGCAAGGAATATCCGCAAGGGCTCTGTCCCAGGAACTCGAGTCTCCATATCTGTAGCCTAGCACCATATCCCTCTTGAGGAAGAGCTCATCATCAATGACTTTGAATTCATCCGCAAATCCTCGACGGGGTTCCGCCTGGAAACGTGCAGTATTGCTCAGTCTCATCTCCATTCCCTGGGAGAATCCATATCGATATTCGTTCAACATGCGTTGGACGTCGATAAATGTGAGTCCGGGAGTATTCAGGCACTTGACGCGGGTGCGTAGATACCGGTCTGCACATCGGGGACTGGCTAAAGTACCGAAGAAAAGGCCTCGACCCGGTGGCAGGTAATGGAAAATCTGGCAGTAATAGCACAGAACCCAATGCTCTACATCGCGTTGGAGAGTTGAGAGAAAGACCATCCAGTCTGTCTTTTCCAGTCGAAAATACTGCCGTCCGACGACATGGAAGAGATATTTATTGGTCAGAGCAAATAGGGCTGCGGATGGTGTTGGGAGCACTTGGGCGATTTGCTGGAGGATTTCAGGCGGTAATTTGTAGAGGCTTGGTTTCTTTTGTGGCGTGCGCGAAAACAATTGCAAAAGAGACATTTCCCAATCTTCCATAAAAAGGAACCCTGATGCTATGCAGTGAGAAACGTAGGATTCTTCATGGCAATGTTGCTTTCAACAAGCCCCCTGTGTAGAGGAGGGACTTGCCCGCGGCCTGTAAGGCAGCAACGACTCTACGAAAGATGAGCATAGTAGTTTCTAGAGTGATGTCATGTTGATCGATACAAAGTAAAGATACAATAACTGATCTTATTAGATCTTTCACCATACATTATACGCGGGCAGGAGGTGGAGGACCGAACAACAGCCATCCAGCCCGCCTTATCCAGTTCAGAACGCCCGGAGTGCGAAGCACATCCGAAAACCAAGGGTGCATACTTACTTATTCGAAGTGTTGGCGAGGAATAGGGATAGAAAAGGAAGAAAATCAGAAAAATACTGTGAGCTGTCAAGATAATAACATAGGGGAGTCCTTTGAGAGGAAGGAGGCTGCCTCAAGATGTTTACCTCCCGGGTCCAGATACAGCAACAGTGACCGCCAGATCCATATCCTACGCTGCACTTAATCGAAAAAATGAACTCGATTGGCCTTTTGGTCAAGAATACGCTAGTGCGTGGTATTTCTTTTTAAGACGCATATTATCAGCGAAATCTTTTGAAGAGAATGCAGTCATAGTTTTCGAGAATATGTAATTGTAATTTCTTCCCCTTTACCCTTTTCTCCGAAAGCTGATACTGGGTACTCCTGCCCCGATCACTCCCATGCCAAGGATGAGGATATACCCAGCAGCAGGATTTAACTTCATTCCTAGGAATATATTCTAGAAGTATATTCCTCTAAATCCAGTAAGATGAGATCCATCCTGATCATAGAAAGATTGCCGACATTACTCGAATGTTCATTCCTCTTTACACAGAACTTCTAACTTCAGACAACAAAACAGCCCATGAGATAGACAAGATAGGCGCTATCTATGATCCACCATAAGTCGTCACATGCGACCTCATAAACCCCTCGATAAGGCCCCAGTAAAGCAACCACCACACGAAGCGGCGCGTTCCTGTCATGGCTCCTGACACCCAAGTCCCAGAACGTCAGGCTTCATTCGAGTAAAGTGATTATTATTGTGGCGGTGAAATCTCCGATAATCGTACTACATAGATCTAAATCCGATCTAGATCACAGCCACAGATACGATCACCTGAGTAAAGTAAAGAGCTAGTACCAGTAACCACTCCTATAATAATGAGTCGGAATCTCGGAGGTTCAGAACCATGGCCCGTCGGGCTGGAATGTTACCTGTACAAAGTATAGTCACAGAAAGGTTTGCTAGAGGCTTATTTTTACCCAGTGATATATGAGCACGAGTATAAGCGGGAGTAGGAGCAGAGAAGCTGACCTCTTAGTGCGCTCTCTACACTCCTGATAAATGGTTTGGAGTTGGTATGATTTTGGGGCGCTATGTATGATGCATGCGACTAAACCGAGGCAAGATAAGTCCCGATCGTATCTGAGATCAGATCGGACGTGCAGTGCAGTCTGTGCTTCTTGCTTCACTCACCGCTTCGATATCTGGACAGTGCGCAGGTAGTGGCGATTTAGTGCAATGCATAGATACTTACGCCATTCATCATTCTAGACCAGTGTCCGTCCTCTGATCCAAGATACAACACTACTGGAATAAATTATGACTCGTAATGTAATTCCTCCCCTCCGTAGAGAACAAAAACGTAAATCAATCACGTCTTAATCCAGATAGTAACATAAACAAGTACTATGTATAGCTGTTGTTCGTCCCGTTCGCGGGATGTTTTCATCACTCATCCACGGAGCCACCGAGATCATGACGTCGTTATCTCCGCCGGCTGGGGAAACGATCGACTCCCGCCAAGAATTTCGATACAGGGGAGAAACAGAACCATCACCATGATATGATATGATACGATATGATACCATATGCTACGAGTGGGGTCGATTGCTTTTGGCGTGGCTGAGCTCTCGTTCTCGTTCTTCTTTACGAAGTTTGGTTACGGATGGGGAGAGTTTACGTAGTAATACCTACCTACCTACCTACCTACCTACCAAGCTAAGTTGGAGCTGATTACCGGATATAGTGGTTTGGAGAAGGTATATAAGGAGTGAAATGCTCGTCCCTGGATCTGAATTTCTTTCTTCCATCATCTTGAAATCCAAAAAAAAATCCATCACCACAGATAAAAGAACATCCACAATGGCTGACAACACTTCCGGTAACCAGCAGGAGGACTACCTCGACAAGGGTACGTTATCATCCCCGAGGCCTATCTCACACCGATTATCCATTCCCGTTAGTTACCTAGGTAAATACTGACTTATCATCTCTCGTGACTCCAGGCCTCGATGCCGTCGAGAAGAAGTACGGCGGCGGCAAGGTCGACCCCGAAAAGTACCGCAGCCAGAACGAGAAGATCACCGATACTGCTCGTGGTTTGTTCGAGAAGGCTACCGGGTAAGAAAACACTCACTTACTCACTCAATTCTTAAGAATGCGAAAAACGGACTGGAACAGATGGCTAATGGCATCATTCATAAAATACAGAAAGAAGATCCCTGAGAAGTTCTCCAACTAAGAGTCTGGGACTCTTGGAATCACGACTTGGATGATAGTCTACCATATGCATATCTATAACTATACATACTGCGATAGCTTGATGCTCGCTGCTGTCTAATGAATTGAGGTCTTTAAAGCAAAGTCACAACGTGCTTTCAATTGTAAAAATTTCCTGATAAGCTGCTGTTCGTAGAGAAGTTCAATGGTAGATTGTAGCGTTTCTCTTATAGAAAACAATCCTTTTTTTTCGTGTCAACTTCTGCCCAGATGTACGATAACAGAGTATACAATTCCTAAGAAGGATGTTGAAAGAAGCCTGAGGTGAGTATCCACCAGAATGATCAGACTGGAAGGAGACCAGCCACGCATAGACAAGAAAAACAATCAAATCCGCAAACACGCCAGGTATCTCGTACACATTGCTTCCGTGACTCATTAATATCCCTCATTATAAACAATTCCTCATGTATATGGACAAAAAAAAAAGAACAAATGTACATGTTACTCGTAAATATCTCTGTTGACCTGCCATGACATGACCATCATCCACAGGTAGAAGACGGTGTTGACGACTTCGAACGCAAAGGCCGTCTTCCAGCAGTTGCCTAGATTAGAAAATAAACATCAGCAACAGAACCATAAGCGCGCACTCTTCCCGACCACAGCATAGTCAGTCCACTTACAAATGTTGTTCTGCGTCAACCAGGCCAGCGTATCGATGCTGTTCCCCCTGAACGCGTTATTCTGGACATAGTTCTGGCAGTTGGCATTGACATTGGCCAGACTACCATAGAGCTGCACTGCCGTCTCGATCATCCCCGTCAACCATAGAACGAAGAGGACGAAACTCCCTATGATGATAATCCCCGGTAACAAGAATCGTTGCGCGGCGAGGATGAGAATGAGAATGACAAAGGCGACCCCAAGAGCGCTAGAGGTAACCATGAACGGCATGACCCTATCGGCGAGAAACCATGATTAGAACGGAACCGTACCAAGTCGCGTTGCTATTATTTTCAGGAGAATATACATACCATGGGATCCCCAATTCCATCTGCGTCTGCACAGTCATGAACCAGGCGAATATACCGAGACACGTCGCAGAACCCGCGAGAACGATGACGATCCATATATTCAGCTGTATTTCCGGCCAGTGGTACCTGCGTCGAGTTTCTCGATACACTGTTCGCGCCATGTTGACACCTTAAATGGCCTTACTCCGATTGCGCCTACTGTATAGAACGATAGGACAGTAACGTGCTTCAACCTCGAATCTTCATCAATCAATGCGATCGATCCGGCTTTACTCAAGCACGGAACTCAAGCGCTCTAAGTATATGGCCCTCCGATTCCAACTAGGTCATCCAGGTACCTGCGCTCCGATATAACTGTGACTCGACTCGGAGAACGCGGGGTTTGAGTAGCTTCAGGCGGTCGTGCAGACGTCGAGTTGCGGCCCTGGCAGCCTGGGTACCTAACGATATGTTTTCACAATATGCGACCAAGATAGGACAGCGCATAAAGGCGCCGCACAGTCGCCGACTGTCGAGGCCTGACGATGGGCGAGTTGGAGTCGACCAGGATGCTCGAGTCTTCTATTTACATAAGCCTAGCGGCAGGGGAGGGGGATAGAGATAAAAAGAGTAACGAGCGAACAATGCAGCAGATCAATTTTGTGATTTTCTTTTTAAAAAAGTAAAAATCAAGATGGCAAGCAGCAACTAGACATTCCCAGAACATTAGAAAGAAAACGAGGGAATCAAAACGACGCTTGATGTTTCGGCGGGGTGTAAGTCTATCCTGGAGAAACGGAAGCCTGAAAAAGACGGAGGCTGGGGAAATGGCGTGGCGGGTTAAGCTTGGTCGAATAAGACAACGTCGGCTCCAGCTAGATTGGCTATTTTAAGATAATAATAGGACCTTAGCCTTGAAGACCTCGTGGCCTTGAATGCATTAATCATTGAAAGATCCGCTCTCTCGCTTGTCCACGAACTATGTAAGTACTATCGCGTTGCGCCAGCTCATAACTACATCTGGGATGGCGTCAATCGACTACCAGGGGAAACCCCGGTGCAGATTCGATGGAAGTCTACCAGGAACTATGTTCTTTGACGTGTTTTACTTCTAGCGCATGACATCAAGTAGTTTTTGTGTTCTGTATTTCCGTCCGTCAGACACTGGGTATCCGCCAGCTGGACGATTGGAATAGCTTCCATTCTATGATGACCTAACTAATAATGTCTAAATGTAATGCCGCATGGAATGCCTAACGGGCAAAGGGAAATTTCGAAATCGTACTCATACATCGTTAACCCAAACGTAGTACAGCTTACAGGAGGGTGTCTCCCAAAGCAGATCGGACCAAAGAGCACCCAGCGCGGATGGTCTCGCTGGCGCCCAGCGTCTCCAGACTGGGGTTTACTTCCACCAGGTCCATCGCGACCAGACTGCCGGTCTCGTGGACGCACTCCGCAATGAAGTCTCCCTCACGGAGCGTCAGGCCGCCTCTCACGGGAGTGCCAGTGCTGGGAGCAAACTGCGGGTCGAGTGCATCCACGTCGAAAGACAGGTGGATGGGAGTATCGTTTCCGATGTACGCCAGGGCCATCTCGACCACACGCCCGATACCGTACCTGCGACCTGTCAGTAACTGTCCGACTGCGAGCCTAATAGGGCACATATGCATACTTATCAACGTCGTGCATGCTGAATGCCTTGATGCCATTCTCCCGGAGAAGCTGCTTCTCGCCCCGATCAACGTCGCGGAGACCGATATATACCAGCTTTCTCACACTGACCATATGCTCCTTCTCGATCCAGCCAAAGATGTCCTTCTTCTCTTCCTTGGCCAGACCCGTAAGGAAGGCCATGGGCATACCGTGAATGTTACCACTGGGGCTCATCTCCGGAGTGTTGATGTCGGCGTGCGCATCCACCCAGATGACCGCCATCTCGCGTCCCAATCGCTCCCGGATCGCCTTGGCAGTACCGGAGATGGTGCCAATGGCAATCGAGTGGTCACCACCCAGGGTGAGCACGAACTTGCCGTCCTTCGCATGCTCATAGACCTGTTCGCTCAGGCGCTGCGTGACCGCGCTGACAGAGCGGGGCTTCTTCATCCCCCGATGGTCAGGATCTGACGCGGGCATGATGTCCTCGTAGGAATGGACGGTATTGTCATGGTGAATCTCATAGCCCAAGTCCTCGCGGAGCTGATCCAGCAGACCGGACGCAATGAGGGCAGTCGGCGCAGCTTCGACACCTGGTTTGCACTAAAGTTCCTATCAGTTAGCATCTGTCGCGATGCTCACGGACGCCCTAAAGACCCCGCGGAGGGGTTCTTTCTTACCTGCCCGCCGGAAAAACCGACCGCAACCACGCCCAATTGATTGGGCTTGGAGACAAACTTCTGCTCGATAGTAGACGGAGAAGTCATCGTGGCCTATAGCGCTGATTGTGCGAAGGACAGATAAGAAGAAGAAAGAAAAAAAAAAAAAAGAGAGGTAAAGAAATCTGTGTTCCTTGCAGTGGCAAGTATTAAGCCTGAACCTGGAATGCTGGCGATAGCTTCGGAGACAATCTAAAAAGGTAATTATTATTCTAAAATGAACAACAGCCAACCCACGCGATTGAGCAGAGAGAGACACAGAGAGACACAGAGAGAGAGAGAGAGAGAGAGAGATCACGGTCTTTTCCTCAGGAATATAAATGGAATAAACCCAGCAGGGCCCCAAACGAGGGCGCCCTTCGAGTTCATATCGTCGACGGGACTCCGAGCAGGCCGTGGGGCGTCCGTGGTAACGGTGAGTAAGAGATCGGTTCAGCCTGCTTTTAACGGCCAGCGCTCGCCGAGCCGGAGAACTAGTTCCCCCCAAAACACCAAATTCTGGATATCCGTTCCCCTAAGTACAGGTTGACTCGAGGTGCCCGCCGTGGCCCCGGAATGTCCACGATCACTGGTGTATCACGCGGAACCCGGTGGAAAACTTTTCTCTCTAGGGGTTCATGGCGCGTGGACAAGTTGATCTATCGCCCGGCTTAAAAAAGCAAAAGAGAAGTTTGACAAAGAGGATCGCGTGGGGGTCCAACTGGATTCCGGGTGCAGTTGGACGCCTATACCACTGGCTTTCTTACGACCTCCTCGGTTACATGCGGATGGGATATGTGGTGTCTGAGCTACGGATGGCGATCCAGCTTACTTGGGCTGTTCCAAAATGACTGGAGTACAAAGGGTATCATGGTTGGTTGGCCGCTACATCGATATACGTATACAACTATAGTACATTGTCTTGGACGAGGACTTATGCACTCCCAAGAATCAACTCGCGCAAGGTCTCCTCCGCCTTTGGCGCCTCGACACGACCCTTCTCTCCCATGCGCATCATCTGTCCGACAAACCAGCCAAGCTTGCCCAGCTGGTTCTTTTCTCGAATTTGCGCAACCATCTGTGGGTTCTTGCTGATAGCAGCTTCAGCCAAGGCCACGTACTCTTCTTTCGAAAGAGGCCGCAAGAGAAGGTTCTCCTCTTCCAGAAGCTGGTTGATAGGCCGCCGGTCCCCTTCAAAGACCATGGCCAGCACCTGTTTTGCCGTAGCCCCAGTGATCTGTTTCTGCAATAGATAGTGGACGATGGTTGCCAAGGTATCCGCTGGAACTCGATCCGCACTCCATGGCATATCCGCCTTGGTTAAAAGACCACCCAATTCATGCAGAACCCAGTTACCGGCCGTCCTGCCGATATTGTCATTAGATTTGCCGGCCTCGACTCCCTGGAGGGAGCGTAGAGAATCGACAACATTCCAGTAGTATTCCAGTCTGGAACCTTGATCGAGCTCAATGAGTGGCTTGGCATCTTCCACTGGCAATCCGTATTCTGGGCCAACAAGAGTACCAAGCAGCGTGTCAGGTAAGGTAGGCAGGCCGCCTTTGAGCTCAGAGACAAGTCCTTGGTCGATAACGAGGGGCGCCAGGTCAGGGTCTGGCATATACCGGTAGTCCACCTCCCCTTCTTTCCCTCGCAGCTTTCTCGTCTCAGTGCTGCCGATAGTCCACCCACGCGTCTCGCCCTCCACGACGCCACCGCTCTCGAGAACAGCGATCTGGCGGTTCTTCTCAGCGATGATGGCGTCCTCCACTGCTTTGAAGCTGCTTAGGTTCTTGATCTCTGTACGCTGTCCCAATCCGCCAACGCCGTGATACTGATGTGCCCCTGGAGCTTCGTCTCGTCTTCGAACGGAGACATTGACATCGGCTCGTAGTCCACCCAACTCCATCCCGGTCGTTACCGCATTGACAGACTGTAGCAAGGCCTGGATCTTTCTGACGCATGCAGCCGCAGTGGCTGGTGAATGGATCTGTGGGAGGGTGATGATCTCGATAAGTGGATGGGATACGCGATTGAAATCAAGCAGTTGTAGGGCTGGTGGATATTCTTGTGACTTCGCAGTATCTTGCTCGAGCTGTACCTGCTTTATCTCCACGCGAACCCTCTCTCCATCTGCGGGCGCAATTCCATCGTAGTCGTACAAGTCTACGTAACCATTTTTGGCGAATGGCTCTGGTAGATGAGTCAGTCCACTGTCCAAACCCAGATGCTTCAATAGTGCTCACCATAGTATTGTGTGATCTGATAACCGGCCGGCTGGTCCTGATAGAAATAATGTTTCCGGTCGAACCGGCTTATTGGCTGTATGTCACAGTTCAGAGCGATGGCTGCACGCAGCGCCGGCAGTAACGTAGCCGCTTGAAATTCCTGGATTCCATTTAATCTCCTATCCAAAACGAGCTATCAGTGGGTGGACGAACTGGTTGACTTCCTGGAAAAGCGAGGTCGAACAGCGCAACATTGGAATTGGGTAGGTCGCTGGTGGACGTTGCAGCTCCTATCGCAACGGTCAGACAGACTCCTGCTGCAGGGAAAAATCATATTTCGCTTGCTTACTTGAGAATAGCTTCGCCTCAGTGTTCAATTGCGCATGTATCTCAATGCCCACTGTCAATTCCCATCCTTGTCGCGAAGCTTCTTCATGATCTTTCTTCTCTCGCTTGCGAGCCTTCAAAGCTTTCGCTTCCGCTTTCAACTGTTTCCGGAGAGGTACGTGGTCGCCGGCAGTCGTAGAAGCGGTAGTTTGTAGGGACCGTAGAAACTGTTTCGATGAAGTCTGAGCTGCGTGAAGAGTGGTGATTTCTGGTTGACCACGACTGAGACGAAGGCATCGAGAGCAGAGCTCATAGCGAGCTACTCGATTGCTTCGGGGCAGCCATGATCGCAGCATATGTGAATTTGGTCTGAAAACCAGACAGGAAGGAGATAAAATCGATAGTGAGCAGCTTGGATCGCAGACTGCAGGCTCGATAGCTTTGGTGGTCGTTGCGATCGATCGATCGTTTCCTCCATCTCCGTGTCCGCGGGCTTGGCAGCGATCCAAATGGTTGTTGTAATCTTAGTGGACGCGCTAACTGGTTATCGATATGGATCTGATTAACTACTCTACTCTACTCCGCACAGATCAGACAGTATCAGAGTAGGAGGTGCCGAAGAAACATACCGGTGGTCACGAGAGATAATTGTCCAGTACAGACAAAAAAGCAAAAAGTTGCTAACCATCCTCTATGCTGACTTGTCCGTTGGCTGCGATGGCGACACCTGGCCGGGTGGTTGACTACCAGAGAAACTAGAGATAGTCGGGCGTGTAATCTACGACCACGATGTTGACCTGGACTCACTAATCGTCTAGCGAAGAACACGAAATCCCAGCAAACTGCGATCAGATGCCTATCTATAGAGAACGCAGGAAAACTGTGGCAGAGGCCCTCCAAATGCAACTACCACCACCAGGAAATTGCATCCTCAGGGTGCAGGCTGAAGAAAGCATTAGGATTGCGCTCCCCCAGCCGGGGTTTTACCAGCGTCTCCAAGCGACGGGATCTCTTTCTTAGTCTCTCCCATGAATATGGTGACTCCCTGCAAGAGCCAGAGAGAATGTTCTGCTGAATCCATCGATCTTCGACTATGCGAACAGACGTTCTCACAACTCGCCGCGCTGAGGTCTCAACGGAGACTCCATGCGCCGCTATACGAAAAGCGTCAAACAACAGGCTTGAGGATGCGGAACCCCACTAGCTAAGTCGACGCAAGGGATGGCGCCCACGAGTTAACGCTGGCCAGCGCAGCAGGTGCAATGTCTCGCGGGATCTTTTGCGCTGCATTGCTGCAATGCGTCCCACTACGTGCTTCCTGTTCTCCGAGCAGAGTGCCGATTTGACTATGGATAATGGCACGGAGGATGGACTCGATCCTCGACCTCCCTTTCCGGAAGACACACCTGGAAGACGATACGTTGCAGGGTGAGTCCTTGTCAACAACATCTCTGTGTGATGGTGTGAGGTGTCGCTGGCGGCGCTTCAGTCCTCGACTGCACGCAAGCTCTCGTGCGACGAATTGTATCGTAGTCCTAGCGTCAAGGTGAGCGATAAGTGTTTCAACATATAGGGCTCGTCGTCTCCGACTTTGGGGTCCGGGAGGGGTTTGGCATCCTCGTGGTGCTGGGTTCTGTACCACTCAGTTCCAGTTCCGACGCATGGACCGACGACGAATTCATCTGACGACAACTTTTGTCCTGGATCATTGAGAATTCCCTTTTCATTTCGAGCGCAATCTATACCCTGACCTGAAGTCATTGTTTTTACACCACGTTCAATGCAGGAATCTATGTGAATCCCCGCGCCTGTCGCTGTTCATCACCGGAGCTTGGTACCTACCTTCACTGGGCTATCTCTTGATGCACTGGTCGACGACGCCATACTGGGACTGCTTTCGACATATCTATATACCATATTCCCTTCCGATAAAACGCAAGTTTCGTGTTTTCTCGCTATCTGCAATCGATTCTATACCTGGTCTTAATCACCATGCCATCTAGCTCCTTCTTCGGTCACAGCAGGCATAAAAAGGATGCTGCGAAGAAAGCTTCTGTACCTCCAACTACTGCTCAATCAACCCCTGTATCGATAGCCAATTCCTCTGGGAGCTCTACTCCAAACGCATCCAGATTCAGACCACGCTCTCAAAGCCATAATGGCGCTGCGGCTTCGGAGACATCGTCCGCCAGGTCAGCAGTGACTGCAAAACCGACTGAGGCTACGAGAAAAATGCCAAACGTATTCGAGTTTCTCGAAGACGACGGTAAAGGGAATGAGCGCGAACCAGATAACACTGCGCATTCAGCTGGTAGAACCTCGCACTTCTCAGAACCAACGCGCACGATGCCATCTCCTCAACGGACATTGACAAATGGAGTTCCGCCTCTGGTCGGTACCCCTACTACCAGAGTGCATGTTGATGCCGGCGTATGTCAGAGGGAAGCCAGCCCTGGTCGATCGTCTTCAGTGGCTTCGAGGGAATCCGCTGAATTCCAGCCTGCCACCCCGCCTGATATGTCCCCTGCAGGTGTCCATATAGGCTTGGCAAAAGAGCATGCTTCGAATCAAAAGTTACATCTTGCTGGTTCTTATAGCCCCGTAGGTAGTCTTGGAAGTCCATTCCTCGGAGAGCAAACTTTTGACCTTTCTGTCCCCGAATCTTACTACACCACCCCGAGAGAGAAACCGGTTCAATGCGAGCCCCTGGCGCCTTTACAAGCGAACGTCAAAGGCAGTCCAGGTTCGAAGAGTGATAGAGCAAAGAAGAACAAGAAGTCGCCAACTGTGTCATCGGGATACGAATATCTTGCGGCAAAGCTCACGCCTACGGTAAACGGTGACAAGACCATTCCACCACTCTATAGGAAATTCGAGTCCATCAATCATCGAGTACTGCTCCACCTCCAGGATGAAATTTCACAGATGGAAGAGGATCTGCATATCCTTGATGACTATGAAGAAATGCACCGAATCGCACTAGCCAAACAAGAAGGGACCAAACCGATGGCCGCTTCACGGCGAATGGAAGCCAACGCACAGTCCTACTCCGCATTGCATTATAGAAGAATGGATCTATTGGGAAAGCTCATCTTGAAGACGGAACAGTATAGTAAGTACCATCTCAGTATTTCATTACGGGTTCAGGGCCTGTTTGTAGACTCACTCTGGACATGCTTTTCCGCTACAATGAAGACAACGCACTTTGCTCGTACAGCAAAGTGATGCAGACATTGCCTCAGGCGCCTGAAAGGGACATCGAAACTTACCGTGCATGGATGAAAGAGAATTGCCCCATAGTACGATCCGAAACGCGTTTCCTCGACCACAACCTCGATCTCGTTTCCCTTGCCCCTCGTTCTACAACCTCGATCTACTCTACCATGGCTATCACTGCAGCCGCGATCCTTCTCCCCCTGCTCGCATTCGGAACAATATCAGAGTTTATCGGCCGTCTCGTCGTCGTGGCCATCGTCGGAGGCGCCGCCGGTGTGTTCGCAGCAAAACATGCATCGGGCGTTGAACAACACGTCGATCCTCAAGATGGGTGGAGATGTGCCGCAATGTCAGTTATTCAACATGTATTATATGTGCATTATGCATAGCTAACCCTGTCACAGATACTTCGGTTGTATGGCCGTCGCTGCTATAGCAATACCTTAAATCCCACACAACTGCTACGACTTTCACGAATGTGACGAATCTCCTTTTCCACCTTCTGCGATGACATTTATATAATCAGTTGATTTTTTTTTTTTTCATCCACGAAGCATTGAATTACTATTAATTTTATGACATGATTGTTTATGAATGTGAAAATATCTAGGCGCTTTGCTTTTTTTTTAACCATTTAACACCTTCTGTATAGATCCTGGCCAAAAAGAAGAAAGAGACAGGTTTACGAATGATTTCTATGAGAACGTGCGCTGTACTGGATGAATTTGCTGGCGAGTTCATTTCGAAGCAACTATATTCAGTGTTACGCTTTCTTTTTCTTTTGCTTTTTCTTTTTTTTCTCTCTAATTGATGTTTACCGGCTTTCGAAACAAGACTCCATTTCATACTTTGCCACAAATCGCAGAACCTAAATAGATTGTTCCCTTCTAAACCATCCATGAGCCCCGGACTAAATAATACAACCTGCACAAGTCAACTTGAGTCCGTCCATCCGTCTAGCCCTGAATCCCTGTTTTCCAGCCTTACGAGCCAGATCGTGCAGAAGGGCAAAAGAGAAAAAAAAAATACTCGTGAGAATCTCTAGCAAGATAATAAACAAGCATATAATAAGCTTTTTGTTTAGACTCAGCACCAAAAATTATGAAATGAAGTGGAAGAAGAAGAAGAAAAAAGCGCCTGCCCGCAGTCGCGGTGCCACGTGACTGTTTCTGGACCAACCAACCGACGAAACCAGTCTTTGAGCTGCTCCGCGCCGTTACCCCTGAAATGTAAAATGTGGCAAAGGTGGAGGAAAAACTAGAAGAGGGATAGAAAGCAAAGAAAAGAAGCAATAATAACGGGAATAATAAAACACAATAGGGGGAAGCAACTTAGGTGGCAAGGTAAGCCCGAAAAGACCGGTCTTAGATAGATTGAATTGTGCTCCAGAAGCTATCAGTATCATGTAGTAGCGCTCCATGGGAATGGTATTAAACCAGTTGATAAAGAGCTCCGGAGCATTTCGAAATCACCGTCATTTTGCACGTCCGGGTATCCAAGCATTTCTTCTTAAAGTCAAGGCAACAGTTCAATCTTACATCACATCCCATAAGGACATCTCATTGACTCATTCCAGCCGGCGTAGGTGTGCCGTTCGGTTTACTTCCAGGCGTGACGCTCCTCTCCTGTGAACTGCTCTGACTACTCTGCGGCCGGTGCTGTGGTGCAGGCGGTTGAGGTGTCCCAGAGTTCTGACGCTGTTGGTTTGCAGCTATCTGAGCTTTGTTGCGATCCATCAAGGCTGCTTGTTCAGCAGCACTTCGAGAATAATTCGCAGGTGTTGCGGAGTTCGAGTAGGCCGCAGCAGGAGGAGGGGAAGTCTGGTTTGGAGCGTAGGCTCCGTAGTGCGGAGGTTGCTGCTGCGGATGGTATCGTTGTTGCGGGTTGCTGGAAGCGGCGTTTACATACGGTATTCGAGATTGAGGGGTGGCATATCCAGGTGGCTTTTGAGGGGAAGCACTTCGTGCCGCACCAAAAGAGGCATTATACGCTCCAGGCTGACCAGGTCGCGCTGCGTACGCTTGCGGAGAGCCCTGGGCCGCTGGTGCTCCTTGCGCCGTAGAATATGGGCCGTAACCATTTGGACCGGCTCTTTGGAACTGCTGCAGTGTGGCGGCGGGTTGAGAATAAGGCGGCACGAAGCCTGGGCGCCCTGCTGGAGGAACTGCTGGTCGAGCACCTCCATATGCCTGAGGAGTGCCAGGGGTATACGGACTGGAAGCTGACGCTTGCCTCCCCGCGTAGTACTGCTGGCCGGCCTGATAACCTGCTGCGGGCGGCGGTACTCGTGCATTAGATGGATACACCCTTTGGTTGTACGCGCCAACGGCTCCCGGAGTGCCTTGGAAACTGCCCGATCGCGAGGACGGAGCTATATGTGTCGATGTTCTAGTTGCCCCCGCAGCAGCGGGAGCTGCTGCTGCTGCTAGGCGCATCTGTTGGGTAGTGTAGTCATCCTGTTCCATTGTACCATGGTAATCAGGGTTCTTAATCACAATCTTTTGGGTGATGTTCAAATCGGCAAGCTGTTCACCGTTCAACTTTGCAACTGCGTAAGGAGGAAGGGTGGCAACAATGGCAGCCAAACTAGATTTAAGTGTCTCATAGATTTCCTTTTCTGCTGAGGATGGAACGTCTGCGCTAGCAACATCCTTTGCAGGATCTTTGGACTCCGAGTTGGCCGGGTTTGTAATGGACGGATCGAGGCTGCGGATTTGATTATATGAGTTCAGTGTCTGTAGGAGTTCGGAGACTTCACGTAGGACGTCATCCAGTTCTTTAGATTCAGTTCCTTCCTCATCTTTGGGTTTCTCTTCAGGCAGGCTGTCGGGTTCGAACGTCCTAACAGCATCCTCAAGAGAGCTTTCGTCAAGACCACCCTCCAGTGCTGGGTATTCCTGCTCAGCAGCCGTGTTGTGCAGAGCTACCAATGTTCTGAAGCGTCGCGCCCCCCGTTTAGCATACCACACGAGATTTTTAGAATGCGATTGGACGATAGCCCCGGAGCTGTCGAATGAAGGTGCAAAGGAGGAGTACGCTCCGTGGACAAGGTCAGAGACATCTTCAGGTGAGATCGGAATTTCTTCCTGTTTCTCCGTAGAATCTTTATCTTCGCCATTCTGATTGTGTTGCTTCTGTTTTCGGCTCCAGTAAGATGGAGAAGAGGTAGCCCCTCCATACTGGAGCCACTGACCGGATGGAAGAGATGCAAACCCGTAATTGTTGTTCCCCCCCGGAATGGTCTTGATGTTAGTAATTGCTTCAAAGGGATCAATCCACATGCTCGAAGACTGTCTAGGCCATGACCTCGTCTTGCGAGGGGCCTCTAGCTGGGGTAGCGTTGAAGGAGGCGCAAATACTTCACCCAAGGTTCTCCTAGTTTCAGGCTGGGCTTCGATATTGAAGGGAGCCACTTTAGTTGTTGTAATTCCGTTGGGCAACGCACTCTCGCGCAGATGTGCGTTAAGGTCCACATAGCGCTCCTTTCCGGGTGCGGAAGAAAGGGATACTTTCAATGGTCTCTGGAGACTTGAGAAGAGGTGCTTCGGATTCGAAGGATTCCCGAACAAGGTCAATGCGACCTTATCTTCTCGCTCCCCCTTGATCACAGCTGGGCTCTCGGCCGGGGTCGCGGCATCGTCGGAGGGCTCTGCTTTGATCACAGACTTCTTCAAGAGAGACGTCTGAAAAAGAAGATTATTCATACGTCTCTTGAAAGCTGCTATACGAGCGACTAGAGCAGTATTTGATTCCCCGCTTGGCAGCCGGTCAATGAGAGACGAAGAAGCTTTCTCCACATCATCCAAGAAATCCTGAATTCCCTTGTAAACACCAGAGGTTGCCTTCGATTCTATAGTGTTCGTCTCGTCCTTATCTCCAGTGATCTTTGCGCGCTTCGAGCGTGGTTTCGTGGGTGAGGCTGAGGTCAAAGAGCATTTCAAGAGGCCCAGATCGACATCGTCCCTGAAGCTTGGTTAATGGCATGAAAGGCAGAAATACAGTTCAGGGTTGTTGCTGACTTGGCCAATATTGTTACGAGATACCGTAGCGTATCTTCGATGGGTTCACTGTCCTTCTGTGGAACAGCAGAAGCAGCGTCATCTTGCGCCGATTCCTCCGGACTAGAGATGCGCTTTCGCTTTCCTGGAGTTGCTGGTGCAGAGACCTCTGCAGCTGGTGGATGCAGTTCCCCGTTCGCGGCGGGCATTGTAGCTGTCTCTCCGCCTTCGTCACCGTTCATGGTCCGTGTCGCGCCGTCCTGGAGGACTTTAGACGCGAATGACAATTAAAACTTCTCCTGCGCAGGTGGAAGCTGGGAAGCCGTTGCAGTCGCCCCGCAGGAAAGATGCAAGGCCACCAGAGTGCCTCCAGTCGCAAAATTAGGCGTTACAGACTGCCCGCTGGAATATGACAGCGTTGTCTTCGCCGTCTGTATGCGCCAGTCGATGCGGCGATAGAATCCTGACGCGATTTGACGATGGGTTCGCAACAAGGGAGTGCACGGGAGCGTCAATAGGCCCAACGCCACAGCAGCAGCAAGCACAGCGCGACAGAGAAGCCAACAGGCACCAGGAGCACAGGAACAGAGAGCTGAGATTGAACAACAACGATAAATTGAGCGACGGGGGACAGAAAAAGAGCAAGTGGGCCGGCTGAAAGAGACGTCGTTCTGGATGGGTCTTGCGCGCAGGCCCAGCGACGCACCCCGTGACAAGTCACGTGATGGCATTTTTCTCCGGAGCTTTCTGACCGGATAGAGATCTATTGTTCATTGTATACCAACACACAGCCCTGTTCGAGAGATATCTGAGCCATTGCCCTTCTTTCTGGGCCTGTACACATGGTTGTCTTCATGGATGTCATCGGTCCTTAATCATGCACCGGGCCACTTGGGGCTACCAGCTCTGAGGGCGGCGCGTCCGCTCTACAGCAGCGGTCGCCGGCAGAAGGTATGCAATTATTGCCCGTGGGTTTCGACTGCTGCCAAATTGTTGAAAATGCTGATTGCAGTAATTGTAGTGCTTTCTTGCTTCTATTCCTGCATCTTCACTGGCTATCGCACACGACAAGAAGTGCCTATCCACTTCGTTCAACCATGCACGAAGAGCAAAGAGCAATGGCACAAATGCTGAAAGGGCCTTCAACGAGGTCTCCTCGAGCCCCTGGTACAAGGACTCGCGGTCACAGTCGACATTAAACCAGGCATTCTCGCATGAATCAGCGTCTACCGCGATCGATAACTGCAACGTCGATTTGCGACATAATCTGCTAGATGATGAACGGTCGACCGCGACAGAGACAGGGTACCACCATCGCTCATATGATCGAACGAGGCGAGAAGATGGAGTTGGAGCCCAAGAAAAGCACCTGGGAAAGACACCAACCGAAATATTAATTGCCGCCCTGCAAAGTACTGGGCGGAAGTTGGATCTGCGACAACCGCCGCGATGGACCACGGATTTATCCTGGGTCTCCCCAGATACGCCAATGCCTACTACCTACCAACAGAAAGGTGGAGCCATTAAAACAGCGAGACAGTCTCCTCGGATATCATTCCAAACTATTGTCGCTGAATATATAACCACCGTCGATACTCTCATCCAGCAGATGGGGATTCCAACAATGAACGAGCAAATCGAGCTTCCGTCACGGATGAACGAGGCGCTTCTCCATACTTTCAGCAAGGAGAATCTGGCCTATCTCGATGCGAGAGGTTATTCTGCAGCGGACGTCATGGCATGGGCATGGATACTCAAGAGCGAATGTTCCTACGAAGCAGCCTTAAAGCTCTTTGCGCTAGAAGACTCGTACAGGCTACAGAAGAACGATGTGCCAAAGAGTGTTCCTCCTTTCATTCCATTGTTTCTCTTGCGACGACAGCATCTCGATCTCAAAGCTTACCGTTTACTGCTTTTATACAGTCTTCATCTGATGAGCGGTTGCCCTGTTCCGACTGTTCAAACCGCACTCAGGGAGTTCTCTGGCAATGTAGATGCCAATACTCAAAACGAAACCCTGCAAGCTGAGTCCCATCTCGATCCGACTATGTGTATGACGTTCGTCGTTCGGCTTCTTCGTCACGCTCGCCAGGTGTGGCCGTCCGCACAACTTAGCATCGCGCGTGCATTCGCTTCCTTCTTGACAACCATAAGCATTGACGGTAAATCTGACGATGCGATCCAGCGCCTAAACACATTTCGAGCTAAAAAGTTCAATGCTTGCCTGTGGCTGCTCTCTTTGCCGTCCAGACCGGGTCCGTTTACATCGGCTTCGATCCAGCAGCGTGCACAGTTTGAGCTCCTGAAGGCAATGGCATCGCATCGTCCTGTCCTGCCCGTCACACGTCGAGGGTATCAAGGCATTGTTGCCGTTCAAGTGGCCCATAAGAAGACGCCGGCTGAAAGATTGTCCGCAGAGCTGAAAGCGCCCTCCTGGCCTCCTTGGAAGGAAGAGAAGCTTGGAATGGACTCGAGTAGAGGCAATGAGGGGATGAAGAGTCGTGCGATTCACGTGATGGCCCAGATGAAGGAAGCTGGCTATTCCCACGGACTATGGGAGGACGTCGCTGCGATCCTGGCTGGTTGGGACACTGATCGAAGCCCAACAATTCAGACGAGAACGTTGATGCCTCGTCGACATGTGTTGCGCGGTTCGCAGAGGAGCAGTCCCGATCACCCAGCGATTTGGGCTGCTCGTATTAGAGCTACGCGGACTGTTCGGGAAGCTTGGGCTTGTTTTCTGACGTATCATGATCAAGGACTACCACCGCACAAGTCTGTGTACTATGCAATGGCCCATAAACTAGTCTTCCGGACAAAAGCGATAGAGAATGGTTTCGAACAGTCCAGCCTAGCTTTGCCCGGTGATGGCCCTGAGGTCTTCTCGGAGCCCTCCTCTTCGCGGGATGTGATATACGTGCACACGGAACCTCCGGCCTTGGACGACTTTCTAAAGAAGATGCTTTCTGATGGTATTCGACCATCTGGCCGATTCCTCGCAATGCTTTTGGAATCGGCAACCTCGTTTGCTTCTGGCATAACCTATATCCGCTATAGCGATCTACCGGAGAAGCAAGTCCAGGCGCTGTGCACTATCTGGCCAGCTGAATCCGATTATGCGAACGCCACAGCTGTGGGCAAGCTTCCGGAATATCTTTTCTCGTCCTTTATAGAGTTCCTCTGCAAGTTTTCCAGCTTCGATCCATCATATAGATCCAAACGTGAGTTCCGGACTTCGGATCTCTTCCCTATTATCATGCGAAATCATCATCCTTCACGGCAGACGACATCTCTGCTCTCCTATGCTGCAACTTCCGAGGAAGATCACATACATCATCCAAGGATGCTGGCACATGCAGTTCACCTTGTCAGAACGCACAAACCAAGGCACCCTCCAGCGTGGACCGCGCTTCTTTCAGTTCTGAGTAGAGATCGAATTAGCATACGCTATCACAACTTGGATCAAACTGTCCAAAGGATTCTCGCATGGCATGAAGTCCTCGAGATAAGCAAACAGGCAGCAGGTCTCGATGTCGAACTCGGAACGCGTGGTTTTCATGTTCTTTGTGCTTCATTTGCTAAGGCTGTAGCAGCTGGGATCAAACATCCAGAGGCCGCAGAAGAAGCGCTGGAAATTATCCAGGAGCAAGCGAGATATGGCGATGCTGCTCTTTCTCTGCCAGTATCCACTACATTTGAGCAAATGGTCCACAATGGTCTCGGCATTCTGAAACGCCGCTTTGATCGAATCGCCCTTCCAGGTTCGACGAGCATTTCAGCTGATATAAAGGATGCTGGTGATGGTAGTGAATCCGGGGCATCTCGTATCAGTACCCCTGCTATGCTTCAGGTACCAACCCCCGCCGTTCTGCACGCCTTTGTCCGGGCTCTTGGTATAGCTGAAGATTATGATGGTTTGTTGGATCTTTTGCGATGGATGAGCCGATCTGCACCAACATTGAAGGATGCGGCAGACGAGCTCTTAAACGGAGAGAGGATGATGCGCCGCACTCTCGTCGCCGTTCGGGTCTTCCTAGAGGGATATTGGGAAACTAGTTCACCGAGAGTAGCGCATCCCGATGATTATGGTGCCACCGATGATCATACTAGAGGTGGTTTTGGCTTCGGAACGCAGCACTCATTGTCCCACGAAGAGAGGCAGCTTGAATTCTCCGATCCCTACGTCCAGGAGGCGCACGACATCATTGAACAAACGGAACTTTGGGGCGCTTGGCCGACGGACGACGAAGTTCGGGAGTATCTGCTGTGGGATCCTTCGCCGCACGGAAAACAACACTGATTTCTTTTGGTGTATATGTACAGCACATATGTATGATTACGGTTGAGTAAATTGATACCCAGATTTTTCCAAAAGCCATCGTTCTATCGTGTTGACCCGGCAGGCGTGCAACACGCAGTGGTCCGCATAAATATCACCCTGCATTGGTGTAACGATGTAACTGTGGCGCCTGATAGCGGGATTTCGCTGAGAAGCATCGTACTCTATGTTTAGAAGATCACTTCTTCGAGTCAATCATTTATGAACCAAAGCTGTAAGGATCTGCGAGGATTCAGAACAGCAGAAAAGAAAACACCAATAGAATCGAGACAGACCCATTATCCGGGGTAACGGTAACATATAGATATACATATACATAGTCCTGAATCGTCAGCTCCTTTCGACTGTTTTGTCGTCGCTAACTAACCTAGCCCATCAACCGTTCCGTTTCTCCCCCGCAGTCTGAGCTTTCCCCACAGCAAGCTTGGACTCCCTCAAGGCCGAGGGAGCTTTGAACAGCCGGCCCATTTTTGAACTACCGGCCGGAGAGAAAACTACAATAACGTCCACTGCTTTCAATCCACTGGTCCAATTCCACTCCTTTTATTATTACTGCATTTCTTCACATAATTCGGTTTTTCTCTTTCTTTCTCAGAATGCCGCCGCGCATCGTCCGTCCTAGCCTTGCGTTTCCGCGTTGCCCGGCCGTGTCCATCCGGGTACGCGCCAGATACAGCACCAAGACCGAGGATAATGTTATTCAGGTCCAGCAGGTGCCTGCGCCAGGATCGGGACACGTACGGGTCCTGCTATTGAACCGGCCCCAGGCTCGCAATGCGCTCTCCAGACAGTTGCTGGACGGCCTGTCACGACATGTCGATTCGATCGCTGCTGAGGAGGCCAACGGGCCCACGAGAGCATTGATCATTGCAAGCAATGCGGATGCTGCCTTTTGCGCGGGTGCAGATCTTAAGGAAAGGGCTGGAATGACTAAAGACGAGTATGTTCAAGATTCTGGAACTGTTGCCTGTGTGTTTTTGTTTGGTTTTTGAGCACTGTATTGATCTCTACTGCTATTAGGACCAATGAATTCCTCTCGAAACTACGCGGAACCTTCAGCAACCTTGCTGCGCTTCAGATACCCACTATCTCTGCAATCTCGTCCATGGCTCTCGGTGGCGGTCTCGAGCTCGCCCTCTGCACCCACCTGCGCGTCTTCGGTTCCTCCAGTATCGTCGGCCTGCCAGAGACAAGACTAGCTATCATCCCAGGGGCTGGCGGCACTTACCGTCTGCCTCGACTGATCGGGATGAATCGCGCAAGAGACATGATCATCACAGGGCGTAGGGTGACGGGCGCTGAGTCATATTTCATCGGACTTTGTGACCGGCTCGTCGAGATCACGCCGGAGGAGGAGGGTAAGGAGGGTGTAGCCAGATCCAAGGTTCTCCGGGAGAGCATCAAACTGGCCCTGGATATCTGTGATGGTGGGCCTGTTGCCATCAAGCAGGCTCTGAAAGCTGTGAGCGAGTACCAGAGAGGCGAGGCGGCAGAGAATGAGGCGTATGCGGGCGTGTTGGAGACCGAGGATCGACTGGAAGCCTTGAGAGCTTTTGCAGAGAAGAGAAGGCCTGCTTTTAAGGGACGCTGAAGACCATATCCCTTGTCGATGGTGTTACGAGATGAGTCACGGTCACTCATTCCCGAGTGACGTCCTTGCCTGGTCGTGCTGGTTGCCCAGGTTGGATTCACACCAGAAGTATCAATTCCGCATAACTTGATAGGCTGCAAATCCTGGGAAAATACCCAAATCTAGCAAACATGCAGTCTGTTTAGATATCATGCATTTGGGTAAGCGGTCTGATAGATATTCTGTGTCGATATTGTCAAATAGCCTGCTTTTTCTGCGAGATTTACTATGATCATTGAACGACCCCGAAGTAGGACTCAGACCAGGCAAACAAGCAGGCTGCAGAATTCGAAATCTTCGACAACCAATATCACTCCAGGGACAGAGTTCCTTCACCATTTCCGCCTTGCTCCAATGACGTAAGTTAGTATGACTGTTAATTGCTTTCCTTCAGACTGGAAATCTCTATAGTATCATCTGTGAGGCAGTGCGATCATTTACTGTCTGCTCCGTGGAACGTAATAGCCAGCAATGCCTTTGCCATCAACTCTGGAATGTGATCAACCGGGCACGAAGTTTAAGTTAACCAGTATGACTCGACGGGGCAGCTCTTCAATGTAGTAGGTTCATAGCCTCGAGAAAGTTTGCTGTAGAGTTGCACTCGTAAAATGTATGCGCCGTACTAATAATATCTTCCTGGATAGGCGTCGATCTCTCTCTTCACACTGGAACATACTCTTGACTTCTGGAGATCTATCGTAATGGCCTCAGGATCGCCTGACTCCAACTCGTATCGGGGCAATCTGTCAGGTCCCATCCGGCGCCCCAGGGATCGTGACTACTGTAGGTCCGCAGAGATCGGCCACTAGGATTCTCCAGACTGAGCATCCGAGTGGTTTAGGAGGGTAAGCACGGGCTCAAGATCTTCCCGGTAGTCAGTGCGCATGGCCGTGAGACGGTTAATAATAATAGGTGATGCTGGAGTAGAGTAGAGTAGAATTCCCATCCGTAAGATTACTATTCTTGCATACTCACTTGCGGCCATGGATGCGCGGGACCTGACGCCAAGTAATAATCCTAGAAGACCTAGAGAACGCTCCTAATCCAATCACTTTGAGGATCAGCGCTGTCCGTAAGTCAAGACAAGTGCGCGACGCCCGGTCAGCCTTGCAGCTAAATGTAAAACACCGGGCAACCTGGGGAACCAAGAGCCTCCTGCGCACCCGGGTTGGGTTGTCGACCATCCAGCGAGCTTTGTTCGTCAAGAGGAGGGTAGCGATATGTGCTTCTCTCGTATCCTCATTCGATAGAGCAGACCATGGCCCTTTCTTCATGGAGAATCGGCCCCAGGTCCCCAGCACAGCCTCTGCCTGGGAGGGCGAGATCTGCCGTCGACTAACGGGCGCCGCCTCGAGTTTGGACGAGTTCAGGAAGCGACAAGGGCTGGCCGTCCCTGATGATGCTCATTTCCACTCGCTGGAGTGGCAGCTGGACATCCATTTTCTCCTTTCTGTTACTCAGACTGCTGAAAAAGAGAACTTCCTGGAGGCTGTTCAGCTCACGGGACACGGTTCAGCACGCGCGCCAGGCTGCACTCATTCCTGGCCTGTCACTTGCCCCTCGCGATCGGCGTTGCTCACTCAGTCTATATATACGAGAGGCTTTCAAGTCGAATGTGCTCTCGTTGAGCAAAGCCGCACGCAATAACGGCTCGTTCTGATCGCAGGAGAGAGAACCATGACGGGCGCATCCAAGCCCAAGCAGATCAAGCAGATTGGCGTGACTGAAGTCTACCGCTCGCAGGCTGAGAAACCACTGGTCGAGTATGTTTATTGTTCCCCGCAGCCTGACCCGATCTATATAAATTATAACCAGACATTCTTGTCGACAAGCTCTGAACTGACTTCTCGCGTGTGATAGTATCGTCTTCGTACATGGCCTCAACGGCCATCCCAAGGATACATGGACAAGTCGCAATACAGATGTGTTCTGGCCGGGCGACTTGCTGCCTGAGATCCTCGAGCCGTATCGAGTGAGGATCCTGACATACGGATACAACGCGAACGTCACAGCATTCACGGAGGGCACATCGAAGGACAGAATCCACCATCATGCGGAGACTTTGGGAGCGGACCTCTCAGCTAACAGAAATGTAAGTTGATGCACCTTTCTACGGAATAGGGTCTTCTTTTGCTAAACGAAAAGTAGCTGCGGGGAGCTTCAGAAAATCCTATCATCTTTGTTTGTCACTCGTTGGGAGGTCTAATCGTAAAGCGCGCTCTGATATATTGTCGAAGCGTGGCAAATGAGAAGCTGGAGCATCTCAGATCGATCTACGTCTCGACTTATGGGATCCTCTTCTTAGGAACGCCGCATGAGGGTTCAGATATCGCGAAATGGGGTCTCCTACTGCAGAACATCTGCAGCGCAGTGCTTCCGAAGAGGTTTATGGACTCGTCGCCTCAACTTATCAAGGCTCTAAAGTCGGATAGCGAGACTCTGCAGAACATCAGCCGCTTGTTCGTGGACATCCAGCCTCGGTTCCGCATCTACTTCTTCCACGAGACAAAGCCCACGGACCTAAAGGGCACGCGTGAACTCATCGTCGACGAACGTTCTGCTGCCCCCAACTTTGACGGAGTGGAGCGCATGGGTATCGAAGCGGATCACAGTCATATGTGCAAGTTTGACGATGAAGATGCACCTGGCTACGAAGCAGTCGCTGATGCGCTCATACGCTATGCGCGCGACGCCCCGGCTTTTATCGCCAATAGATGGGTGCAGGAGAAGCGAGAATTGATGCTCGCGAGAAAGGCAAGGGCTGACGAGATCTATAATGGTTAGCTCTTCGAACGAAATGATCTATTTTGCCCATGGTGCTAATTTATGCAGGGGGGAGGGATACTGCTTTCACTGGAAGCATGCCAGACATTGGCCAGAAGGGTACGGAACAGCATCTTCTTCCAGCACCTGGCAGTGAAGTTACCTTGAAGCAATATGAAGTAGAAGAAGTCGGCTCAGGAGACGAAAAAGTGCCAGTAGCCCGATGACGAGTGATTGTTTCAGGCACCAAATGCGACTTGCTAAAACTTTCCTATCTGTGCTATAAGGCTGCTTTCCTGTTCAATCAAGAATACGATTTGTTTCGCTGTCAGATCTTTGCTGACTCTTCCCTTCTTTTTCCGTAGGCACTCCGAACACCTACCCCCCACGCCCAGCTTCGGAGGGAATAAATTCGCCCCTGTCCTGGAGTCTCGAGCTCCCGACACAGCAGAGCCCTCTTTTCGTTGTCCCACCAGGCTTCCACCCGAATGCTTTCTTCGTCGGTATGGAGAAAGAATTGAAGGAGCTACATTCGAGGCTGTTCAAGGCAAAAAAGCGCGCCGAACGCGTTACGGCCGTACTTATCTGTGGAGGCCCAGGATCTGGCAAGTCACAGCTTGCACGGGAGTATATTTACACACATCGCCAGGAATATCCAGGGGGGGTCTTTTGGATTGATGCCAAATCGTTACAGTCAACATCAAACTGCTTCTGGGATATTGCTCAAGCGGCCGCTCTTGTCGATGACCACGAGTTTGGAAATCCAGACCTAAGAAACGCCGACAGATATGTGGAGATCGTGCGAAACTGGTTCCAATCAAGGGAAGAATGGCTACTGGTATTTGACGGCCTTACTTTCGACAAAGACGAGGATATCAACGATTTCAAGCAGTTTCTGCCCTTCAACAAGAACAGCAGCATCATCTACACGTCTATCAACCGGACACTGCGGAAGAAACAGCGATTATTTGAGCCATACTGTCTGATGGTACAACCGCTTAAAGTCGAAGAGGCTTGCAAGCTCCTCTTCAAAGACCTAGGGATAAAACTGCCGACGATAAAGCAAAGGCAAAAGGCGAAGGAGCTAGCTGAGTATTATCAGTGTTTGCCGCTGGCGATTCATGCAATTGGCCATCGTCTCAATGCTTCTTCGAAGCCTATTGAGACTTACCAGATCAACTCTCACCTGACCGATGAAAAGCTGGCAGAGCCATACCTGATCATTATGAATGATCTCTGGGTGAATAAACACTACGAAGCGTTGAACTTGATAAACTTGCTATCCTTCTTGGGACATCACGTACCTGTTGGCCTTCTTACCCTGGGGAAGTCGGAACTGGACGCCTTCAACGTCCAGATCATGACTAGCATCCATGCTGGAGAACCAGGAGATCTTGACAATACGTTTGCCGTCCTAATTCGCTACGGGCTGATCGAGAGAGGTCCTGATCACTACAACCTGAAACGGAAGAGTCCGACCTTCGGGGGCGCTGGCGAGGATTTGCCAGACGTGAAAGCAGTCGCGCCTGATCTGTCTGAATCACAGACTGACGGTAGCCTGGAGACGATGGTCTCGTCTGTATACCGCAGTGCTATTGATGTGATCAAGATCCACAGTGTCGTACAAAGGTTTTGTCGCGATGAGCTGATACTGATGGACGATGAGCAGCGCCAGTTACCTAACTCCCAACGGAGGAGTCCCGACAGAGGTATGCAGGATGCAGGATTCCATGATTCCTGGTTGGTTGTTGCAACGAGGGTCTTCTGCAAATCTTACGAAAATGCGAGCATGAAGATGCGAGACTCGAAGGACTCCGGGCTGGTCAAGGACTATCGGGAGTATGAGACACACGCAGGAACCCTTGCTGAACACTTCTCGAAGAAAAAGCTCTCGGTCTCGCCGCCTATTGTTCGTGAAGCCCGTGAGCTCCTGAAACAGGTCGCCAAGAGCATCAAGAAAGACATCCAAAGAATATCACCCAGTTCATCCCAGGAGTCGTTTCGACACCAGAAGTCAATCTTCGACCGTTCAAGTAGCTCCTCATCCTTTCCTGAGTCATCGTCCGCAGACGAGGGCCCGGGACGCTGGGATGGAAGTGAGACCGGTTCCATAAGAGTCGAGTCCCCGCAGGAAATGAGGCCTAGTCATCGCGTCCGTCTGGATCCTTTCCCTCCGCATATCTACAGAGGATCCTCTCAAGAACCGGACGCGGGATATGAGACCGACGGAGAAGGCAGACGCAGAGCTCATGGAACATCCCCCACGCTCTCCCAGATAACGGAGAAGCCGACGCCGCCTGCCTCGAGCCCTCCTCAATCGTCAGAGGAACAAGGTTGGGAGGTAGTCCATAGACCTAGGTCGAAGATTCCCATTCCAGCCAGGAGTTCCCGGCCCAAAGGCAGAAGAACCTCTCGAGACCTTGGCCAGTTCAGGCCAAAGCCGGCCCTTACCAAGCTCTCTTCGGTTCAATGTAAGGGCGCTGTTCGAGACCCAATATCGGCACCGATCTCGAGAGCTGAGGCATCGCTGGCCGCAATGCATCTGCCTTCACGCAGAGGTTCTCAGCCTATTACTCGTGGACAGCTCCACAAATCAAACAGTGTAACTTACGCAACGATTGCGGCCGGGCCATCGCGAGGAAGAGGACGAGCAAAGACTCTATCATCCAGGGGTAGTTCTCCGTCTCCTGCCTCAGCAGCCCTAGCTCGTTCTGCTATGCCCCTACGGAACCATTCGTCAGGAGACTCGCTGAGAAGTCGCTCTAGCAACGTACAATCCTCACCTTTCTCAGCAGAGGCAAAATTAAGCCACTCTGCCCATAGCGAATCTGGTCTTGCACTTCCTGGATCTAGTCCGAGGACTCTGGAGCCAGTCTCAGCACCTGGCTCTCGCCGTCATTCCCGTCAAGGGTCTTCCTCTAGATCCGTGGACATCACCAGAGAACTGTCTTCTGGCCTTTCCCCTGGAGGTCTTCCGCCGCTACCTTACGATGAGGAAATTTCGATAACTCGTCGGCAGCATGCTGGTTCAACTTCCATGTCACCTGTTACGTCTCCCCCGATGCGTTCCCGCAGTCCAGTCCCACATCCTTCAGCAATTCTACCAGGGGCGTCACCCACTCATATACCGGGAGGTTACACATCTGAGCCGCCGATCTCTGACGGCGAGCCCATGTCTCGAGGCCCTTCGGCGCAGTCGACTCAATCCTGGCACACAGATCCTACTAACATCCGATACCAACCTGCAGGCACCGCTATTCCAACCATCGGACCTGCTATACCAGCGACACCGCTCAATGGACCTTCTCAGTTCATCCCACAACCGCAGTTGTTATCGGGCACTGGAGGTTGGGCTGGAAATGGCAACGAGAATGTCTTGCAACCGGAGGCCGCTTATATTCCTCAGGATGTTCGTGCAGCTCATCTCAGCGGGCAATGGACAAGATTCGAATACGGTGGAGAGCCTGAATCCTTGTATCCTAGTGATCTTGCGTACAGCCTCCACGATCCACGGCGCAGACTTCAGAATTATGGACCCGTGCAGGAAGGAGGACTGCCTCGCCATATTCCAACACATAATGCCGGTGTCTCGGTCGTCCCTCCTGCTGTGTCGTCAACCTCTTCGCCACAGATTCCCTTTGCACGGGGAAGCGCAGTTCGACGAGCAAGGAGCGGCAGTTCTCCCTCGCGCGGCATCAGCGGCCTCGGATTGCGCATGTGATTTGGGTCCAGTCATCATTTTTCGTTTCTGCTTATGTTTATTCCCCTTCACATCTCTGTGTTTGTGAGCTTCTTATTCTTTCCGATGTACACCTCATGAGCTCCAGTCAGTGCATGACTGGACACTGGACTGTTGAGCTTTCATTTCGTTCTGCCGATGCTCATATTGTCGTTGTTCTTTCCAGTTTGATTCCCAATATCCTCGTTTCGCTTGACGGCGTCGGTCCGTCTTATTATGGAGAAAAACGAGCATGATAGCGGCGTTTGTGTGGTCTTATTTCTTTCCCGAGATGTTCTGGCATAGATCCCTCCAGGAGATGTTGCATAGGTACTTAATACCCTGTTGCCGTTTTTGCTCTTCTTTTTTTTCAATTCTCTTGTTTGTTACCTATAATGTGCATACGCAGTGTGAATGGGGCCATGGTGATATACGAAAAGAAAAAGGATCCCGAATGCGGACTGTTGTGGAGTTTGCATGTGGTTTTTTTCTGTGTCTATTTTACTAGTCTTTGCATCATGGTGCGGTGTGAGGAGAAAGACATGCCATGGTTTGCTTCTATATACGGAAATAATGCTAGACTTTGCTCATTAAGGATCATGTGCCAATATCAAGTATTTTCTAATAATAATCTTAATAACAAGAAAAGAAAAGAAAAAACCCCCATTACCAGGAAAAAAGAAAGCCAAAACCAACAAGACACCATGCACAAGTTTGCATAGCATAGCATAGCATAACTCGAACGATCACCGAACACCAACGATATTTCTAAGTTAAGTAACTTATTCTCAAAACCAGGGCTCCTTACCATCCGATCATGTGGGGAAAAAAAATAAGTGGCTTTTTTTTTTCCTTGGTGATTTTATTCTTTTTTTTTTTTTTGGTGGTTGGTGGTTTGACCAACTTGGCAAAACTACCTAACTTGACAGTGTATCGACGTAAGAAACGGAAACGGTCGCGGTCAATGACGTCGATGATGATGATGATGGCATTGAAACAACAAACCCCGAGTGGCTGTGGCGAGGGATATAAAGTAGAGTAGGTAGGGCTCCTGGATGTTATATTATTTTATTATTTTTATCATCATATTCATCCGAACTTAAAACGATCGGGGGGTTTTTTTGTGATCGATTGATCTATCTATCTATCTATCTATCTTATCCTGTCTGATCTACTACCGGACAAAACAAATCGTCAACAGTGATAATCAACCATGTCGTTCATCACTCGTGTCACTCCTCTCTCCGCGCGGGTTTCTGCCAACACCACGGCCCCCGTCCTGTCCGTGGCTCGGTCCCGTTTCCTCTCCTCCACGGCTAGCTACCAGAAGGGACCAGTCGAGACCACCAAGGAGACTCTGAAGAAGGTCGACCGAACCATCTCAGATGCAGCGGTTAAGGGGATTGAGAAAGGCGGTAGGTGCAATTTTCATGCTTCTTGTCGATGGACACAAAGACAGGTAGGCTGACAGCCTTCTAGAACAGGTGACCGAAAAGGCCAAGGACACCGTCGGCGTCAAGGGCTCCAAAGCCAAGGGCGAGGCCGCTGAACTCACCGGAGAGGCCAAGGGCAAGGCGGAGGAGCTCGCCGGTGAAGCCAAGGGCAAGGCCAAGGAGGCTTCCAGCAAGCTGTCGTAAATATTGTCCGTGACGGAACGGGAACATAATCTTGTGCATGATTTCTCATCATAGCGAACGCGGTGCTGCTTTGCATGTATAAATAATGAAATGATTCGTTTCTATGTATTATTCCATGCTGGACACGATAATCTTGTAGCCTGTCTCACTTATTCTGTCGTTCTCGCGTAGCATGTAGATCAGATCCAGAATTCAGGGCGGCGGGTATATTCTTTGCGGCTGAAATCTGATTTCATTCCGGGGGAGGCAGCATGAGTACATATTCTCGTGAGCTCAGTCCAAACTTGAGGACGTCCTTGTCCCTCAACTCCACATATCTCCCTGGCGGGATAAGTTCCTCATTGACCATGGACCCGTTGGCACTTTCCAAGTCGATAAGGTAGGGTCGAACCCGTCCGATACGGTCTCCAAATTCGTTCCTCTTCTCGACGTAGCGAAATTGGATGGCTGCATGTTGCTTCGAGCAGCTGGGATGGTCCACGGGAAAGTCAACCACGAGTCTCTCTCGTCCGATCAGCCAGCAACTGCGTCCGCCCAATTCCACCGTCTCCAACAGATCAGATCCCTTGAACACGTAAAGCCGCCATGCATCTTTGGCGGGAGGCTTGCGGGCCTCTGGCGGCTCATGGTACTTGAGCACAACAGAGGTGCCATTGACCGTCACTGTATTGCTCTCCGCTGCCAATCGACCCGTATTTGCGAAATTTGGCCTCTGCTTCTCCGGTGCTGGCGAGTCTGTCTTGGCTACCTCGTTAGAGAATGCGTCTTTTTGCGACGGCAGAGGACCCTTGGACCGCTTCAGGGCGCGCGGGGAGGTGCTCCCCGGACGCGTTGCAGGAGAACGAGACCGGCGACGTCGTGGTGCTGGTGAACGGGATCGCGACCTGCTTCGAGGTCTCTTGGACGGTCTGTCTTCCTCATCGTCATGGCGATGGCGATGGCGTCTGCGGTGACGGTCCTCTCGGGACACACTGCGGCGCCTTCGTCGAGCGTCAGCAGAATCTCTCGAGCGGTCGCGTCGTTCACGGCGCCGATCATCCCTCTGGTAACTGCTCTTGCTGTCAGGGCTGTAAGAATCGCGTCTCCTGCGGTCTTCCCTCGAGCTCCGTCCGTCGTCGCGGCGTCGCGTGCCGCTGTATTCTTCCTCGCGGTCCCTTCGCCTCCGCTCCTTTGGGGCGTCAGGAGAGGCTGACGAAGTGCGTCTCCGGCGACGATCCCGGGAATCGTCCTCAGCTCGCTCCATGGCGGACAGAGACTGTAGGTGGGGAGAATTTAGTCTGATCTGAAGGTAACGAGCAGCTCTTGTCGCGCTCGACGGTCCAAGTCCCGCAGACACGTGACGTGATACCGAGCAGGATTGAGGGGGTTTGCCTCCGGCGTTATTCAGCATTTATGGACGAGATTCTCCCTTCTATCTGTCGGACGACCTGGAGGTGAGAATGCGACCCTGGATCGCCTAGGGCCATGCGGCAATGTTCAGGAAGACAAATGTTATCTGCTGCGGCGGTCTGCAGGTCTTGACTGCTTACCCTCCAGCTCCGCGAGCATCTCCGTCGCGGCCAACTGTGCGGGCAGGACCATGTCGTGCTCGAGGCCGATTGTATGCCACCGTTCAGGATTCTTCGGATGCTGATCTGTCATGGCCGAGCACTCCGAGCTTCACTCCCTATGATATTTTCAAGCAAGACAGGAGTGCGCCGTACTCGAAACGACGGTACTACGATTTGGTCAAGATCTACCACCCCGACCGGCGAGGCGACGACCATCCCTTATGCAAGGATATTACTCGTGAAGTCCGTCTTCAACGGTATCGACTCATTGTGTCTGCCCATGAGATCCTCTCCGATCCCTCGAAACGAGCCGCCTACGATCAGTTCGGAATCGGATGGCACGACCACCCTGATAACAAAATGCCGCCGCCGCGGTACCAGCCGGCAATGAACATGGATGACCCGATTTTTGCCAATGCGACGTGGGAAGACTGGCAACGATGGTATAATCGCGATAGCCCAAAGCAACGGACAATCGTGGACCACCGGACCTTTGCGACGTTCGTTATCCTCCTGGCCATGTTCGGGGCTGCCGTGCAGGCATCCTGGCTGGGCCAATTCACTATGGGATTTGACGAGAAGGTCCGCGATATGAACGAACAGTCCATGCGTTTCCTGGCTGGACGGCGACAGCAGACTCAGAACCAGATGAAGTCGACGGAGGCTAGGGTTCAGAATTTCTTGATAAGGCGGGATCCTTCGGGTCATGGCCTCAAGGAGGGCGAACAAGAGGTCTACCAAAAGGTCCTGGATCCACGGAACCGCGCACCTTTGAAAGAGGTTGAACAGTTGGGCCCCGGTCAGGATCCGGGGAAGAAAGACGAGACGACTGAACGATGATATTGCTTGTTTTAGTTCTCTACTATGGCGTCACTCGGGATGCGTTTGATTCTTTGGATTATACAAGGCGAACAGGCGTAGTAGACTCTCCTTTCACTATTTTTCCTCTTGCAGGCTTCAAGCTATTCACTCTTTAAATATTATTATCTGTGTAGATGGACGTTCTGGCGTTCAGTCAATGCATGTACATACAAATGATCCAATTAACTCCAGCTAGTAAATATATGGTTACCGCACCTGAAACACAACGCTTGCTTGATTCTCAATCGATAATCTCTCCTTTAGATTGTTACCCTTATTTCTGAGACCATGGATCGATAAATTCAATGGTTTCCCTTCAATACTCCGTAGAAAGCGTTATATCTTGTCCACGTGCACGAGCTGTGTCGATCCTCCCACATCGCCTAATCCTCAACGAGAATCCGGAAACATCCCACGGATCGAGCCATAGAGAGAGCCAAGGATCGACCAAGAACAAGACTCTCATGGTCAGTGTCAGAATAGACCTTTTCCATATCGCCACATGCTCGCACATGCTCAAGCGATTCCCTGAGAAGACAGATATATGTCTAGCATATGTTTCACATCGTGGACCGATACCACGCATTCCCCGATCTCAGGAATGCTCTGTAAATCGAGTACTACTCCGTACCATAGATAATACTATCTTTATCGATATGATCGCTGATACCGGACGATGACGTTCCATGGCGCTTGGCCCGTGGATGCTTGGATGGACCGAGGCCCGTTGCGCGTTCTCCTCCGCCGTACCTTGGAATCGGTAACGGCTTTTTTCTTTTTTCATTTTTTTCTTCTTTTCTTCATTTTTTCTCTTAGCACATCATGTACGTCTTTGCGCCATCTGTCTAATTCTGTCTTTCTTTTTTTTGGTGCATTCTCGATACCCCCCCAAGTTCAAACCCCCGGCGCATTCCGCTCGTTAGGTACTTAGTTAGATCGAGTACTCAACGCCATAGAATAAATCGCCGTCGCAATGAGCAGTCACGACTCTGCAGTCGCCAAGCTGAAGGCGCTATGCTGGAGGATCCCCCTGATCCTCAAGACAATCTTGCTGCATGGCGTGCGCATGTCGCCCGTCCGGGACAAGCAGGATCTACGCACTGAACTTACAGTCGCGATTATCCGGTCGTTCATTACCTACAGCATGCCCGTGAGCAAGCAGCAGAAGAGCAGCATGCGAGATCCGGGGATCAAAGGGCCTATGTGGGTGTCGAAGATTACGTTACCAAAGCCGGAGGATGACGTCCAGAGAGCCGTGCTGGATGCTGTTGAGAATTTGAAGACGACAGGTGAAGAGACGTACGATATTCCCGGCGTTACGGCCGTCGAGGCAGAGTGGACGGGATACCGCAAAGGCGTGGAGAAGAAGACGCCGCAGCCTGATATCTCGGAGGAGGAGAAGTATGAGGAATTGCGAAAGGACTCGCCGGCCGATATGGTTATTCTGTATTTTCACGGAGGCGCATACTAGCAAGTTCACCCTGCTTCTTTAACGCTCCAAGGACGACTTGCTGACTCTCATACCAGTTTAATGGACCCATGTACACATCGCGTACCTGTTGCGCATCTTTCGAAGATGACCGGAGCCCCTGTTCTCTCGGTGCGATACCGTCTTGCTCCTCAGCATCCGTTTCCGGCAGCCTTGATCGATGCGTTGACCGCATATCTCTCTCTGATTCACCCGCCTGCTGGGTCGCTGCACGACCCCATTCCAGCAAACAAAATCGTCCTAGCCGGTGACTCTGCGGGTGGTAATCTATGCCTCGTTCTTCTACAGACACTCCTCACGCTGCGCCGGATCCCTCCCACGGCGACAGTCCGCTTCCATGGAAAGGAAGTCCCCATTGACCTGCCCGCCGGCGTGACCTTGGTCTCCCCCTGGTGCGACGTGACCCGTTCAATGCCCTCAGTCTTCAGAAACGCAAAGTTCGATTACCTCGGTCCTCCTCCTCAGGTCCCAGAGGCGCTCTATCACCCATACCCCTTCCCCGACGATGACGTCTGGCCTCGAAGCCCACCACGCGTGGACATGTACGCATACGCAAATTGCGTAACGCACCCATTAGTCTCCCCTCTCGCTGCTCCAAAAGAGCTGTGGGAAGACGCCCCGCCCATCTTCATGGTCATGGGCGAGGAAGGCCTCACGGACGAAGGACTACTGGTCGCGCGCAAAATTCACCACGCCGGCGGAACAGTCGTGGTGGAGCAATTCGAAGGCATGCCGCATTGCTTCGGCATGATCATGCTCGGAACGCCCGCGGGACGACGCTCTTTCGAGACCTGGACGAAATTCTGCCGCGACGTTGTCGCAGGCCGTCCCATCAAGCGTACTGGAGAAATCACTTATCTGCAATATAAGCTGCGGGGAACAAAAACCATTCCGATCGACGAGGCGTGTCCGTCTCTCAGTGATGAGGAAATCGATAAACTGTTGCACAAGGGCTTGAAATGGCGCATTGATGGTGAACAAGCGCTCGTGAGTCAGTGGAAAGAGAGATCATCAAAGTTGTGAACAGAGCTATTCTTTCTCTGTTCATATTCTTCCTCTGTTTTATACCCTTGAATTCCCTTTGCTGCTGTTCTCGCTCAATATTAGCTTTTATTCTTGTGTTTTTTTTCCCTTCATTTTTGAACATATGGAAACAGCGCACATACCATACCCCCTTTGCACTTCATGTTGTCTTTATATATGTCCCTCTCTCTGATGGATCAGAGAATTATGAATATGGAACGAGCATATTACACGCTCATACATAAGATTTAAAATCTTTGAATTAAAATGTATATGAAGAATCTGATAGATTTTCCATTGTGCCCTTGCAAGGCAAGATTAGACTAGAACCAAGTACTTAGATATGCTAGCCCATGCTATGTCAGATTTATTCTTCGATCTACCTAATCTTTAATTGATCCCCTTCCCCTAGTCTCATCTCCAACAGTCTTGCAGCATGGTATCATCGAGATGAAAGTTCAAAAGAAATCCATTGAATAACTAGCAAAGGTGACGACGGAATATTATACCGACGAACTCCCGATTTCCTGATCATTAAAACCAACGCCTTTAAATAATCTCCTTTTTGACTCCGCTTGATATTCCGTTCCGGTTCGATGCTCCGCCTTGCTTTCGTCGCAAAAAAGAAAAGGGAAAATGGATAAAGAGAGCCCCGGACCAGAAAGTGCAATTGTCTAACAGTCACCAGTTGTTTATTTAGAGATCCTCGTCATTGTCCATACTGAGCCCATCATTGTCCCAGTATTGTGTCGGTTCTCGGTTCGTAGGGACCTGTATCTGACTTGGAAGGCCAGTGGCGGCTCGTATACTTTGCGTGTGTTGACTGTTCGGTGTGCCTTTGATGACGACAGGGATATTCCGAAGGGGTGGCCCTTGGCCATGGCCAAATCCGAATTTGCTCAGCCCCCATGGCTGCACTGAAGATGGAGAGTCGTCCAAATAGCCGTCCCAAAAACCGAAGAGTTGAGCGATAAGCCGAAAGAAGGCGACGAGGAGTGTCAATACCGGTGTCAAAACCGTGGAGAGATGCGACCAGCGCCAGAGCATTGTCGGAAGGACGAATGGGAAGCGGGGTGCATCAGGAGCGAGACAATTGCGATCGCAGGTGTCTGCGACGAAGGGGTGGCAGTAGTAGCTGCACATAACGTTCTCTGTCCAGTACCAGATGATAGCGGCGAGGATGAACCATCTCAGGCGATAGATGCGATGGGAGATACCATCCTGTCGATATGCTGCTTTCCTGCCGGAGAGATAGCCTTCGAGATCGCTGCCTAGATTGTGGAGTCCCTGTCTTGCCTCGTGGATGTTCTTGCCCATAGAACGAAGTTTAGTGCTCATATTATCTAGGAAAACGACTGGTTCTCCAGGTAGCGAGGGGTCGTCGTATTCTGAGATCGTCGGATCAACCTGGTCATCGGTAGCAGAATCATCTTCGGTCTTGATGAAGCTTGAGTCCTGATCAAGCATATTCTGGAGAGAGTCGATCGTATCGTCGCCCAACATCAAAGAGTGGTCTTCGGATTTAGCGTGTTCAAGGACACTCTCCAAGGCGCTCTTTGGTAGGCGAGGTTTGATCAGCTCCAGCTTTCTCTTCACTTTCTTCTCTTCAGGCTTTTTAGGCTCCTCTTTCTGCGCGGGTCTCTTCTGTGGCTCATTTCTCGCCGGCTCCTGCTTCTTCGTTTCTTCCTTTTCTGATCCGTATTTCTTCGTCTCCTGCTTCTGCGGTGGCCGCTCTTCTGGCGCTTGAGGGGTATCTTCAGATTTGGGATTTGTTTTGCGCGCTGTATTGCTGGGCGACAGTATCTCTTCTGTTACGTCTTGCGGAGGTTTAGCAACTCGTTCAGTCATGGGCGTGTCCACCCACGCGCCAGTTACGACTGGTGTTTTCGCCAACATCCATTTGTCGACAGGTTTTGATTCTGGAGTGCTAGTCTGCGGCGTATTCTGAGGCGGGCTTTCTGCCCTTGCAAGCTTGCGCAGAAGCTCTTGTGAATCGTTCTTGGCCATGGCGGGCTTGTTGCTTGAATCCTTGTAGATGACAACTGGACTGTTGGGGATCGGACTTCCACTCTGCGACGGCCGCCCTTTTTCTGGTGAGATATTCTTTGGCGTGTCTTCACTGGCCGACCTTGGAGATCGACGTCCCATCACTCTTTCCGTTCCCATTCGCGTCTCAGCCGGTCTGCGCATGGGAGGGCTGTCGGATACCTGCAGCGATCTGGCCGTGAAGTCAATCTCGGGCTCCCATCCTGGAACGACTGGTTCGTCCTTGGATGGTTCTTCCATTGATGCATTCCCATTGCGACGTTTGAGGGTGCTCAGCCAGTCCCTATGACTTCGTCGCCCATTACCCCAACTTCTTGGAAGGTTCAATGATGGGTCCATGCCGTCGTCGACCTCCTCCGCCTGCTGTGTCTCGCGCCGTTGCAGATTGTCTGCCGACAGCGCCGCCTTGATTCCCACTTTTGCTCTGCTGAACACGGGAGATTCCTTTGCGGTGACGCGCTTGAGTCGTTGCTCATCCCGGATATGGTTCGCGAGGTTCGCCCGCAGCGAGTCGTCCGTCAGCTCGTCCAGGAAGCTTAGATCTTCATCCATGTGATCTGAAGCTCTCCTATGAGTATCTCTCATCGTGTGTCGCGGTGAGGGGTGCCGCATGCGGTCCGTTCGTAGCTGGTCCTGTTGGAAGTCATACTCGTCCTGTTCGACCAAATCGACCAGGTTGTCCGCATCGTTGATCTGCCGGTACGCATCGAGCAATTCTCCCGGCGGACTGGATACGTCTGATACCGGCGACCGTGCCGATCCAGACGCATTTCTCTGTCGTCTAGTCTGGGGGCTTGGAGTCCTCCCCGCAGAGCGTATCGGCGGGATTATTGGCCGCGAGCTGTCGTCTGCCATTGTTGTGCCTGTTCGGGATGCCGCTTCATAGGCGCCTCTCAGTGTCCGCGTCTGGCCAAAGCTCCTCCGTGGACTCGCGCCATATTTCGCACTGGGACTGGGGATGCGCGACACATCGATATCGGGTGCGGAGTGGTTATTCAGGCGCGCTCGTCGGAAGGGCGACTCGTATGGGAGATGGTTGTTGCGCCGGGAAGAGAACCGATCGAACTTGCGATCGGGGGTAGACATTGTTAGGACGCGTATACTGCGGTGGGCATCGTGTTAGCCACCGTTCGAGTAGCAAAACAGAACTGGTTCAACACCGTTGCCAGGGAATTCCCAGCGCAAAAGAGGGACGTGTCTCGCGTTCTAAAATGAGCTTCGGAAGGCGGAGAGTGAGGCCCCGATGCGGTTAGGCTGGCCTACGATAGAGAATACGGCGTTAAGTCGAACAGTCGCTCCTGATCGATATCAATATCATTTAAATAGAACAATATTACAATCCTCCAGATCCGGGATCTATACCCATTTCCTGCAACGATTTGAACCAGAGCAGGCCCCTTCATCGAACCGAATTCATCCACATGAAGTAAACAAACCATCCTCCTTTCCCGCCTAAGTACAGTACATGACCCTCCACGGACAACGCAAGAGATAAGACATCGTTCCCAACGCTCCTTTTTTCAACATCGCAAACACCATGACCAAAGCCACCAGACGGTCCGGAAAGGACAAAAGCTCTGTCTCCGGCTATGCTTCCAAAACAACAACCTCCAAGCAAACAAAGCCTCTCACACCCTTCGTCAAAGCCCCATCCGACCTCCAACCATTCCTCGAACCCCTCTCCGCCAAAGAAATCTACCTCATCCACATCGACCGCAATCCCATCGAGCTGAAGAAACAAGCCTTCATCGTCCCGATCATCTTAAACGCCCTCATCACCGCCCTCATCGCATGGCGCGTCTACAAGGGTCTCGCCATCTACCCGCCTCTACTAGCCACGGCGCTTGGCTTTACCAGCTCCATGAGCATCGATACCTCCGCTATCTCCTGGGAGGAGATTGGCGGACACATCTTTCGTCGCGCGGGGACGTTTATCGTCGACTATATCATCCTGTCGCTATTTCTCGCATGGCCGATTCGATTCGTGCGCGGTCCCGTGCGCTGGCGTTATGTAGTCGGTTTCCGCGAGAGGGAGGTTATTGTTCGTCGTAGCCAGAAGAGCTGGAGTGAGAAGCTGAAGCCGAATAAATGGATCTATGAAGATGAGGAGACGGTGCAGAAGATTGTTGTGCCCGCTGTGACGCCTGAGAAGATTCAGAAGAGTGGGTTGCTGCTTGTGGATGCGCATTGGGATTTGGATTATGAGGGCATGATCCGCGCGCATGGACTGGTTGATAAGACTCGTAAGGGGGAGGGCGTGCCGTTGGATGAGTTCCGGACGGCAGTGCTTGTTCATACGGAGGATGATGGGTGGTTGATTTGGCGGGTGGCGGATGAGGAGACGGATGAGGAACGGAAGAGGCAGAGGGATAAGATTGTCCTGTTCAAGGATAAGTTGACGTTGATGGGTAAGGAGAGTCTGTTCTTCCGCTGGGTAGAGTTGATTCAGTACGAGAGCACCCAGCCTGGTGGCTTTACGCCCGAGAGGCAACGGTCCGCTATGGTACAGGCGAAGCAGATGTTTGAGAATGAGGGCATTGACTTCTCCCAGTTCTGGCGGGAGGTCGGTGGTATGGAAGGCTTACCCGGATTCGAATGATAGGAACGTTGTCACTTCCATTGTGGTTGGGCTCTAGCAGGCAGTCGTTTACGCAGGATTAGATGTAGGCTTGTCTATGTTCATATGTACAGTACCAATACACAATAAATCATGGAGAATAAAAGGACATGTCCATGAATCTCAAATACACAGCGCCCCTTGTCAAGGTCCCCACACAAGTACTCAATCTCATCCGGTCCATTGTCCATGGTAAATAGCAAGCTATACGTGTACTCCAAATAAGATGGGTATCTTCAAACTATGACTGATCTATCTCCATCGCTTATACGCTAGAAATAAAAACCCGGACTCCTCCACATCGAGTTCAACCTTCACTTTCCTTTCACTGTCTTCCACCTTCCACTCGGTAATCGAGGGACCAGAGCTTCTCCCATGGCCGCGATCGGGCGATGGAGTGACGTTTGTTCGACGCGGGAGTCGGCGAGGGAGAGCCCGTCATGCTGGCCCTTTTGCTCGAGGAAGAGGGTGAGATACGCCCCTGTTCTGGTCCTCCCCGCTCGATTCCCCATTCCGAGCCCTATATGGGTCTGTCAGCTGCCATGAGACAACACAAATAGTCTGGCAAGAGGACCGGTTCAGGGTCCCAGGAGCTGGTCTTTGCGAACCTCATCAGATCTAGGGTCTCCCTCTCTTCGCTGTGTCCCGACATCTGCTGCCGCAGCCTGCTCGCTGCTATCGCCCGCGGGTTCCCCAGCCGGTGTCGACGCAGTAGGGGTGCCTTTCTTGGAGGCGGAGCTGTTTCGACGGCTATCGAGACTCTTGGTCAATGTTTTGGCGACATTCCCGCCGCTAGCCTTGAGACGAATACTGCCTTTGGCGTCAACATGAGCCGACGCAACCGTACTCTTCCCCAGACCCGGCGTACTGGGTGCTCCTGGCTTTTCCTCCTGAGCATCTAGCAGATACCAACGAAGGCCATCGGACAGTTCGAATGGGTTCTCGTCGTCCAAAGACGCACCGTCGCTCGCTTCGGCTATCGACCGGCGATCCGGGTTGAAGTTGTTCATTGATTTAGACAGATCCACCACTCGCTCCTCTACCTTGCTAATCCGTGCGAGCAACCAGTCCCGACTCGACAGCTTGTGCACATCCTGCTCGCGCAGGAAGTAATGCGGTGCGCCGACATTGAATGCTGCCCATGACCGGATCGTCTGGTTTCGGGTTGGGAGGAACAAGGCGAGATCGCCCTCCTTGAATGACCGGTAGGCAATCTTATCATGTGCTTCACTCTGGGCACGGTGGTATTTGTCGCGATAACCCCGAGCCTCCTTCTGCCATTTCCTTGCCAGAGTCTCGATATCTTTCACTCGCTTGACGACCGCGTCCCCAAAGATGTCGATGTCGAACTTCGTGAGGGATTCCATAAAGGAGGCAAACCTGGCAGCCTCTTCATCCGGATCCTCAGACTGGACCCAAGTGACAAGTTGTGCATCTGGTCGTACAGAGGCTATACCGGAGGTCGCAAGACCTTCTCCAATACCCGACAAGCTATTAACCTTCGATGATCTCTGCACCGTGATATTGCCATCTTGGCGGACCACTGTGAATCCAAGATGTTCCAACATGCGTCCAACTTTCTCTACCTGTGCGTAAAGCTGGCCTGATATCTGCCGCGCTCTTTCGCCGCGGGCATTCAGGCGAGACACGGCGCGCTTTTCGGATTCTATAAGACTTTCACCTTTCTTTCTCCATGTAAGCAGTTCTTCCTCCGCAGCGCGAGATTTGCATTCCACTTGTGAAAGCCTCTCGGAAAGACTGGCCGCTTTCTTTTCTTCTTCAGCGACACGCTCTCGGAGGACTTCTGAGCCGGTCTCTCCGGCAGCAAACTTCGATCTTAGATGCTGAAGCTGTGATTGTTCTTCCACCAGTTCAGCTTTTGCCGCAGACAATCTCGACCGCTCAGATGAAAGCTCGTCCTTAAGCTGCGAAAGTTCTGATTCGCGCATATCTGAGAGCTTCTTCAGCTCCTGTGTCTCGTTTTCCAATTGTGCAAGGCGCTCTTTCAGCGACTCCACTTCAGCAATGGCATTGGCGTTCTTCTCTTCTGTTGTCCTAGCATGGATAGCCAAGCCTTCAGACAGAACTTCAATTGCCTTCACAAGCCTAGAGAAATCATCCGGCGCAGAGCCCTCTGGCGACAGTTGCATATGGGCCGCCTGCAGAGAACTGATGCTTTCACGTTCACGTCTCTCCAGTTCCTCGACTTGCTTCTCGAGCTCTCCAGTCCTAGCCCGTAGTCTCTCGGCCTCTTCTTTCTCAGCCAGGACCTGCGCGTCCAGAGCGTCGGACTTTTCCTTTTGAGATTCATAGTCGTGCTTGATTTGCTCCATCTGCTCACTGATGCTCTGCAGCTCTTCCGCAGTCTGCGCTCGAACAGCCTCAATCTCGGCCTCCAATGTCTGTATCCTTTCGTCGGATTCCTGCTTTTCATGCTCCCTGCTGTCCATGGCCCTGTCAAGTTCCTCCTCCGCTTCTTCCGCTCTGAGCTTGAATTTCTTTACTTCAGACTCGAGGAATCTTCGCTCATCTTGAAATTCACGTTGTCTGGCTTCGAGATTACCTATGAGGTCCTTCTTTGTCGACTGCGCTTCCTGCATCTTATCTGTGCTAGACTGCCGCTCCGCGTGTGCTTCTTTCTGCAGCCTTTGGACTGTGTCCCTCTCCGCAACAAGTTCCGCTTCCAGAGCGACGATGCGCTGGACAAGGGCCTTTTCTTCCGGTGGCTGATTGGATGACATCCGCCTAGACGATACGGACGACCTCCTGGAAAATGGGTCCGGCCGAGGTGAGGCAGGAGAGGTCGGTATATCAGCGCCGAAATTGCCACTTACAGGCCGACTGATTTGGCTTTGTCTATGAAGGAGATCTTCGAGCTTGCGAATGCGACTCTCGGAACCTTTCAGCTTATCCTCCAATTTGGTTTTCTCGTCCTTCAAACTTCGAACCATGTCGTCGCCACGGATCAGAAGCGAGCTGCGTCCCATATCAAACACACTGCCATGCTTGAAAGCTTTCGCCCTGCGTTTTTGCTGGCGAGTAGGAGCGTCAATATCTCTATACATCTGTGACAACTGTTCGACGATGCCAGACATGCCATTCGCTTTCAATTCATCGATATATAGTTCGACTTCCTTGCGGGCAACGTCGGGCCATTGTAGTTCATGACCCTGTAGATTAATCTCAATGCCCGGTGTGCTGTCATCGGACAACGACAAGAAGTCGCCCATCGTTTTCAACCATTTTCTCCTTCTACGCTGTTCTTCATCCCTGAAAACGGCCATCTCTTCCGCCAGGGTCAAAGAGTCCGTCTTCATCTTTTCACCCCATTCGCGTCGGCGCACAGCCTCAATGAGAACAGACCCGTAGACAAACGGCATATGAAAGACAGAGTAGAGAGGTTCAAAGGCGTCCCCTTCAACGTCCAAGTTGACAATCTGCGCTTGGACCTCGGCAAGACGGGATTCGATAGAGGAGATGGTCCGCATATGATTGATAGCTACTTTTGTGGCCGCATTGCGCCTCTTGACAGCCTGGTCGAGTGCTGCCTGGAACTCGAAGACGATCTCCCGTAGAGACGGCAAAATGTTCTTCGTATGACTTAGCGCCATCCTTGAGACGTTGGCGAGAGTTTTCGTGTTGCTTGGTAGTCCTAGTACATGCTCATAATCCGAACTGATCTTCTTAGCAAGGGCCTCGACCTCCTCTAAAAGGCCCTCCACAGTGTCACCATGCTCCGGTCGTGCTTCGACCAACAAGGTCTGCGTGTCGGAGGCGATGTCTCCCACCGCCTTCTCTATGTCCTGGATTCGGTGTGCGAACTGCTGAGATGCAGCTGAAGCATGCGGCCCTGCTTGCCGTACCTCCTCCACGTCCACAAAGTCTTGCAGTGTCCCGTTCGAACGATCCCTGTCCTTCTTGGGAGTGGACGGCCGGCCGAGAAAAGTGAAATCCTTCCTCGCAGGGATATTCTCCAATTTGGATAACGCTCCTTGCCACCCTTCCAGAACGGACATCTGCTCCTTCAGGAGATCATTTGCCCATGCCTGAGCCTCTTGGAATCTGTGCTCCAGGCTGCCCACGTGAGCCTTTAGATTCTCCAGAGCGACACCAACAGCTCTGTAGATGTTATCCGCCCGTTCAGTGTGCTCCTGGATGGCGTCGTTGATGGGGACGCAACGTTCTGCAACGTCCAGGGCCCAGGTCCTGCGGGCCATGTAGAGATTCCGCCATGCCTGAAGGTTATTCTGGTCCGCCAGCGTGTCCGGAGCTGGGCTCAATTGCAGCGGCTGTGGTGAAGGTATTTCGGGGACCTGAATTTTGCCGGGTTCACTGACATACTGCCTATCGTAGACGAAGATCTCGTTCTATAGATCACTCCTGGTCAGCTTCGAGAGCTTCGAGTATGACGACAGGATTAAGCAGCAATACCTCAGTGGCAAGCGTCTGAATCTTGACGTTCTTACCCCGAGCAGTCATCAAGATCTGCCTCTGGGGCGAGATGGAAGTACTGCGAGCGATCCATGACCGTAGTGCGTCTGGCCTAGATAGTTGGAGATGGCGTCAGTGGCATTCCACGGGAGCCGCCCTAACAGCGGTGACTCTCTTGAGACTACATACGAAGCAAACGACACCGGGTCAGCAAGCAAACGCTCACCCGTATGGGCGATGTAGATCTGTAATGACATCCGCTGCTCACCGACAGAAGCACAGGTTCATGGTTAGTTCCAGGTGAGATCGGAGATTTAAGAGCGGTGGAGAGGTAGGAATGATACTGCAGTTAAGCTGTTCGGGGTGCCTTGGGCGACTTGAAGCTCCCCCCGAGCTAAGCGAATCCGTCCAGTGACAGCGCCGGCCGGGGATCCCCACCGTCCGCCGAATCGGTCGCAACTGGGCGAAACGATCAGCTTTCATTCATGACCTTTCCGATCACGCGATGGCCGTCGTCTGCTGCCACGAGATCGAGATCGCAGTTCATGGCATCGATCTCCGGTGCGCGCGACGAATCGCAGCTGCCACCGGCTGAGGCTGCTCTTCTGGAGCTGGCTGGCAATGACCGCAGAGACGCGTTGTCTTTATCTGATAAGGAATCATTGACGCTGCGGTTGTACGACCAGATCTTAGAGCAGGCACTCGAGAGAGCGCTCCTCGAACAAGGTACGCGTGCAGACCGGCGACATTTACAACAAGGAAAAGGCTATAGCTGAACAAGTTCTACCAGATGTGGAAGAAGCATCGGACGATGACGATGTCGAGCAGCAAATCGCTATCGCGGAACGCGAACTCCTCGAGGCACGAGCAACATATTCCGTGAGGAAGAAGGCTGTCGAGGCCGTTCTTATGACCGATCCCAGCCTGAAAGCAGTGCACTTAAAGGCAGTGTCACCTGCTGAAAGGTAATCCGCCCTTTATCCAGTATACCTGGTCTACGCCCAATCTACAGAGACACTGACGCGTAGCAGAGCTCTGCTTCCTCTGATACATCGGCGAGATGTACTCGCCCTCGTCCACGAGAACCTTGCCGCTGCGCATACGGAGATCCTAGAGGCACTCTCTAATGCAGAAGTAGATAATAGACAGATCACAGAGAAGAACCAGCGGCTCGTCCGCACACTGCTCGAACTGACGGATCAAGAATCCTCGTGGAAAGAAGAGATCACGGACCCAAAGCTCAGGGCACAGCTGCAGGAGCTTGAAGCAGGCCATAAGAAGAGCCGGGCACGGTGGGAAACCATCAAAGGTATCGCCAGTGCTGTTGTTGTGGCCAGCGGAGTCGACTGGGCCCGCGATGACGCACTGCGCGAGCTGGTGCTAGACGAGAGTGACGATTGAAATCGAAAGCTACCTAATAGTGATAATAGATCTATCAGAATTGCTCGAGTCCTAAAGTAATATGTACATGCCGCTTCAGGTCTAGCTTCCAAAGCAGGTACTGCAGTAAGCTTAAATGTACTACTAGGAGATTGTCATAATAATACTCCCTTGCACTATCCGCCCAGCTTGTTTCCCCAGAAGCAAATCAGCTAATTACCCAATGAGTCAAGCAGGCGAGCAAGCCCTTGAAGAAGTGGCTGCGACCTCACGTGACATGACACTATGGTACAGTCTGGCGGAGTTCGGTCTGTCTCTGACAAGAGTACAAGAGTCTGATTCAGAAAAAGATACTGATTCCTCGGTGCAGCGACCAGGTCGAAAGCAGGATGACAGGGCAACAAGTGGGGGGTTCCGTGTGTGCCGCAAGAGTGATGCTCGCAGGAACTGCCCCAGATAGCAGGCAGTACCATAGTTACTGAGTCCCCGACTGCTCTGGGACAGAGTTGATTGCGCTCAGGCAGAGCATCCTGCGCCAGTTTCGTTGTGAGAACGGCAGAAACCCACTGGGACCCAGAACTAAGCAACAAAGTGGACAGTGGACAGTTTGGGAATCCCGCTGCCAGTTACCGATGACGTTCAGCTTTCTGGAGTCGGCCATCATCAGTAGTGTATGATATTAATATTATTAAGCTTGCCTATCTGCTTCTGAATGGCTAGGAATGTTGTGGCATTAATTATTTTTATTATTATCATCTTCGTATCATACAAAGGTTGGATCGGCGTGGGGATTCCAGAACGGATCTGCACACCTGAAGACCTTGCTTTTACAGCCTGCAGGCATCGATACGGAGACTAGGCCAACAACCCGCGCGGTCAGATGTTCGGCGCCTGTGATACCGACTCCCAACAATGTGGCCGTGAAGCTGGAATGCCTTTTATTTCAACACCTTCTCCAGCAATGGATTTTGATAACAAATTTCAAGGGATCCTCGTGGCTTGCATTCTTCTGGGACCACAACTGAAGAGACGCCGGCAGTAACAGGAGGGAACCACACACGGCCATGGTTAATTGCCGCAAGGATCACTACTCTAGGAGCTGGTGATCGGACTTCTGACCTTACTACCTAACTATGAATTGTGTGCAGAGCGCTCTTAGCAGTCGTAGAGTTGGTTATTTATTCCTCCCGCGTAGCAGCGTCCGGATCCAGCAAGTGTCGGCAGGGATACCGGAGCTGCAAACATCACCGATGGTACACCACTCCCTAGTAAGAAAAAAAAAGCACGCCAGTAACGACATTATTGCGCGGAATCTAGGCCAGCCGGGGAGAAAAGTCGAAAAATGGCCGCAAGGAGGGTTGACAGCATCACGCTATAGGGTCATAGCATCAATACAGGCTCAGCTAGACTGCTACTTAGAGGGGTGAATGCGGTCCACCGCGACCGAGCATTGCCTTTGTCGAGCATATGTAGCCGGAGCAGAGTCGCGAAGGGGATGCATGGAACATTATTTTCCGCCGTGAGATCCATCAATGACCATGGAAAGGCTGAGCACGGAAGACCTTCGCGACGCAGCAGCAGCAGTGGTATGTTTCTTGGCCCCTGGCCGTAGAGTAGTAGAGTAATACTGCATTTCTGCGGGCGCGCTATTATGATTATTATTATGACTACGTATTAATCTCGCCGTTGCCGGCAGCAGAGCTTCTCTCGGCTGCTGACCATACCAGAGACAGCCGCCTGCTTGGCGAGTGGTTCTGCTGGGGAAGCGAGATCGGTATCGGCTGCGTATGATACCATACCGTACGCTCCAGCTGATTATTGCCGTCTGCTGTGGTGCTCTGCCTTTGTCTGCCCGCCGTCCGACCCGTGCTGCACCCACCGCCGCACAGAGACACGCACCACACAGAGCAGACGGTCTGCCCTCACCCACACCTCAGCGCAGCCCAGAGTCGAGCAGCTGGCAGCAGCAACGCCGCCGGCTGACAAGACGTGACGGGTACGGTACGAAACCAGCGGGCGCTGGCCAGTGACACGAGCGTATCGCTCCAGTGTCTGCTGCCCTTGCCTGCTGCTGCTCTCCCCCTCCCCCAGTGCTGACGCTGGCCTGCTCGCTGGTCTCCGTCTCGTCTCTCTGCTCCAGGTCCAGGCCAGCGCCCGCCCTCTCGCTCTTCTACTACTACCCGCGTACTCTCCCTCCTCTCCTCACTCAAACCTCTCTCACCCAATTCTCCCCCCATACAACTTCGCCCATACAAAATAAGTACTACCAATCCGTACAGGTGAGCTCCCTCATATACATGCCGCACCGTGCACCTCAACATCCTGACCACAACGCCACTTTGCTTTCCCTCAAATCCTTTTCCTGTCATTCTCCTGCGTCGATTTTTGTCGTCATTGCCTCTTAATTTCTTCATGTTGGCGCGACCTCGCTGTCGCGCATCTGCCAGCAGCCATGTTATAGTTCCATGGCCTGTGGACTGACCTGATTCCCTTATTTCTGCAACCCCCCAGGCCAATTTGCCTCGTTTTCACCATCTTTTGCTGTGTTCTTGCATCCCATCTAGAGGTGCGTTTTTCTTCGTGTTCTTTGCGCCGCGTGCCTTTGATTGCGCCCCCAAGCCCGATCGCATCGTTGTTTGGGCGCGCGCGCGCGCAACGCAACCTCCACCCTCATCTTCCCTCCTTCTGCCACTGGAACCCCCTCCATTGCTTTTTTGTTTTCTCTTCCATGACACTGTCTTTTTTGATCGCTGCTGGGTGACCTGATCATCTCGCGCGCCATTGGCCGTCGCGTGCACGAACCTGATTTCTAACAGCTGCATCAGCAACCGCACCGCCAACATGCCTAAGGAAAAGACCACTACCCGCAAAACCAAGGCCCGCGGTGTCGAGAAGAAGAAGAAGGGTAAGATTGGCTTCCTCAGCGACTCTCCAGCCCTGCGCTAACCGCTGTTTCAGACCCCAATGCGCCCAAGCGTGGTCTCTCTGCCTACATGTTCTTCGCCAACGAGCAGCGTGAGAGCGTCCGAGAGCAGAACCCTGGTATCTCCTTTGGTACGTCCTCTTCCCGTCGCCAATCTCGCGATCCCACTAACTGTCAAACACAGGCCAGGTCGGCAAGGTTCTCGGTGAGCGCTGGAAGGCCCTGAGCGACGAAGACCGCCGCCCCTACGAAGAGAAGGCCCAGGCCGACAAGAAGCGATACGAAGACGAGAAGGCCAGCTACAACGTAGGTTTTGCATGATATCGGTTCCACATGACATGACATGCTAATTCTGGCAGCAGGCTGCGGAAGAAGATGAGGAATCCGCCTAGAGGTGGTGTGCTGTCTGGCGATTTCGGCATTTTTCTTTTTATGTCCCGCTAATTCTCTGAGCTGTATTCCTGTTTTCTAATGGCTTCTGGTATGGGATGACGGTGGTCTAACTATTTATGTTGTTTCTTTATTCCTCGTTCATGAAGGGTTATCGGGATTTTTTCTCTCTACGGATGGCGGCTTTTACGACCTCACCTCGACACTCGGGGCTGGCGCTGTCGCGCGGGGTAACCAGATTCGAGCTGGGAGAAGGTGCCAGGAGCTGCCTCGTGCTTTGAACAAGCCGGAACTATTGTACACTAGCTCCCTCAATTCACAATTGTTGCCCTTTTCCATGGGTTTTCTTTTTGTTGTTTGGTTTTTTTTGCTGGGAGGGCGTCTTGAAGCGTTCCTGACTGGATGGTGTTGGCCCAAGCTCCCTCGTGCGGGCGGGGCTGTCGCGCTTTGTTTACCTTTCTGACGCGTCGGACCGCGCTTTTCTCCGGCGCTTTTTTTCTTGTCCCCCCGCTTCCCTGTTAGCAGCCTTAGGCATCGGAATTTGACAGCAAAGAGACAAAGTCCAGGCTCTCTATTTTACTGCCTTGGGTGTCGACATGGCATCCAGAGCTCAGTCCAGACTTCATCAGGCTTCCTTCTGCTGTCTTTTGAGGAGCTGGGCCAAACTGGACCCGTAAGGCTGGCTGAGTGTGAAATGCTGAAACCGTACATATCTAGATAAAATAATAAGATGGACACCAACCAGGGTTACTTAGCCAACCCTCAAAATATAGCAGGGAGATGAAAGAGACCGGTATCATTGAAATAGGACATAACCATCCCCCCCTTCGATCCTTGTACAGTATGTAGAGAGTTGAGTTTCCCTCTCCTGCCTAATGAGCACGATCTCCTCAGATCTCTCATAAGACAATCTTCTGATTTGCCTCTTACGTAGGTATAGAATCCAAGATTAAAATAATCAATATCCCCGAGAAATGTATAATCTTCCCCCTTTCCTATGTACTACCAAGTATACTGTATAGTTAGCTGCTCTTCGCACATTTATGTAACAACACACACAAAACCTATTCCACACATGTTTAATCCGCCTGACAGCCACAAGTGCGAATCTGACGTCTGTTGTGTAACAATAGCTAAATAGATGATCTGTTCACGTGAGCATTGGTACTGCAGAATGAGGGCAGGGGTTGTTATTGATGTTGTTGTCCTTGGCATCCATCATGGCAGTGATGATGATGATAATAATGATAATGATGATGAGGGCGGTGGTGTTGGGTGGAAAGAAATGATGGATTGGGATTGGTGTGAAGGGGGTGGTTTGGTTGATAGATAGAGGGTAATGGATGAGTTGGAGGATTGGATGATCTGTGGTTTTCGGATGTTTCTGGAGAGTAAGACTGTTGGCCTCTTGGTGATTCTGGTTATGGTTTTCTTCCCTTTTCCTTTTTTTATTTTGTTTTATCCCCTCTGAGAAGAATGACGTTCATATAGGGGAAGGACACTGCTGAAGAGTATATATCATTGGCAAATCATTCCAGGAAGGGGTCTTCGTAGATCTATATAGAACTCCCGGGTCATCCGCACACAAGATTCTCCTGGCCATGGCCATCAACCCTACTGAATGTCCACGTCGCAGGCAGCTGCCATCTTGCCAATGATACCCCGCGCTAGACAAACAGCTAAGGAAGACGCACACGAGCAGCCAGCTCCCCCGGTAATTCATGGCTTGTCGCACCGCCTTATCTCGACTACCACACCCAACGTCAACACCAAAGTATGGCAGTGATTGCATTAAACTGCCCTTATCTGTTTGCCGGGAGCAGAAGAAAGCCAAATCCGATAGATATAATCTCCCATTGCGGGTCAATGGGCGACCTGGGGTTAAGTTTTGGGGGCCATTTGTCCAGGGCAGGATAATTCAAGCTGTGCCGCGGGGAAGCGCTGAGTGGACGATCGGGGTCAAGTCAATATAATAGGCAGACTGCTGGGCTGGTCAAGGTGCGCGGGCAGTGGAAAAGAGTCACCAATGCATGCGCATCCGGCAACGAGATGCTTGCTCATTGGTGTCGCTCATGGAGGAGAGGTTGACCACGTCAACACCCGACTGCGGCGTCATGATCCCACTTCCGAGCGTTGTCAGACCCCCTCGGAAAAGAGCCTCAAGTTAATAAACGCCGCCAAAGTTTGCGCTGTTCGTCTCGATGCTTCAGAAAGTGGGTTGTGGGTGTGTTCTCGGCGCGGTTGCGGCCAAGACAGTCATTCTATTCTGCCTTCATCTGCGGCCTTCCTGGCGCTGATTTTCTTTGCCTTTCTAGGTATCTTCTCCTTCGGCCGCCTGTGCTGCAGCGGATGCCCCTCCTTTGTTTATCATCTTCCGTTCGCATGTAAAAAGTCAAAAAAAAAAGAAGAGAAATTGTCGTGGGCCTGCTCTTGTTTGTCCATACTGTTCTTGTACAACTGATGGCCTGACAGCCGCCGTCGCAAGCATGGCCTTGCGCACATCTGCTACCAACGCAGAGGACGTTGCGGCCGGTTTTATGCGATTCCGAGAACCCCTGCCTGAACACGCGACAGAGATTACTGGGTTGATCGCAGATCTCTATGGAATCAGCACCTCTCTAAATGCTCTGGAAGAACTCACCAGGTCTGGTGATTTCCGCTATCGCCGCAACGTGCCCCTGGTTCGGCCCGATCTCGAACTGGTCCGCGCGAGTTTGAAGTATACCCTGGAAGATATTGTGGATTTCTTCGGGAATATCGACCCCAGAAGTCCTGCGACTAGGGAAATCTACAAACGAACGTGGTTTGAATTATCCACATTCTTTCGTCGCGAGATCAATTATTCGCTGGCGACCCGTCTGCGGAAGTATAAGCTGTTTCTGAGGGAGTTGGAGGATTTCACAGCAGAGTATGCTTGATTCCGCTTAGCTCGGTAAAGGTTAGAATCATCGCTGACAGTCTTCTGTGAATAGTCACTTTCCCGACAAGGGGTTCATGTCTGATCTCCGTGACGGGATCAAAGCTCTGCTGGAAGTCCAGGACAATCGATTGGCTCTGCGAATTGGCGGGCTAGAGATAGGAGGCCCAGCATCCTCCGATAGTCACAGTACAGGCCCAAGTAGCCCCATGAGTGAGCGGTTCCCGAGGATGCGTCGTTCGTACGAGCGCCATCGTCCACCAACATTGCCTCCACAGTCCCCTCAACCTCCTTTATCCCCGTCGACCGTGACCTTCTCGGACATGCCGCCATCCCTCTCAGAGGGGTCGACTTCTCCAACAACTATCTCCACCGCTCCATCCATGCTGTCAAACCCCGTTAATGAACACTGGGCAAAGGGGGTATTCGCAAGAGATATCCCAAGGACCCGTATCCCGTTTGTAGGCGACAAGTGAGTAGTTCTTTTCTGATCCACTTTCCGTGAAAGTATCAAAGGACTGACCATGCGTAGTTCCGAATGTGTTGGAGACCCTCATCCGCGTCTCAGACGCTTTCTGATCGAGAATGAATTTGAGGAACTCTTGCAGCTGTAAGCAGCCGTCTTTCCTTTAGTGTCATAGACCTGACGGTTCCCAGGCCCTTCAATGACGGCGCGGGTTTCTGCGTCTACTTCTACGTTCGTCAGGAAGACCGTCGAGCGCGTATCGTGTGCGAAGTACCTCATGCGACACGGTCAAACGAGTATTTCTGCTACCCGCTCAACCTGCTTGAGATTTGCCGGGAAGGCTCGTGCCTTCAGATCTGTCGGAGGCGCCGTGCTGGTACAGAACTGCATCTCTGGGCAAACCTCAAATTCAACACAATTGAAAGTAAGTAGAAACAGCTGAAGATTTGCCGTGGCTGTAGTGGAGCTAACCGTGGTATCCAGAGATGGTCCTCTTCTTCTGCACCTTCCTGGCCCTTCGTTCTCAGGATATGGGCAAGCCAGTATCTCATATCCTAGATTGCGAACTAGACGGCGAAGAAGAAATTTTCGGAGGGTATGCTCCACTCACCGTCTGATAGTCTAAACCAGGACCATGTGCTGACCATATGTAGACAAATAGTAGAGAATAATACGTTGCATGCACTGCGCATATACCAAGACACCACATCTAAGGCGGTACGGTTGCAAGCGTCCATCCATAGGGGCGAGATGAAACGGTAAGAAATAGGTATGACTATGCATTCAAGAGGAGACTAACATTCATAGGGCCCCCCTTTGGACTGCATTTATCACGGATAATGTCCAGTCGTCCGGATGGATACGACGTATGGACTCTAAATCATTATACCTGCGTCACCTGCGCCGGACGGTCTTCTTCCCTCCCGAGTTTACACTCCCGCAGGGTCGCAAGCCCGAATACATTCTGCGTTTCGCAAGCAAATCTGGTAAGTGTGGGCAATGTCATCTCCCGCTTGAGCATCTATACGACCTGATCCGAAGGGTAACTGGACCTACGTACAGACACCGACGATTTCATCGAGGCTGTCGAGGAGCTCGCAATTGACGTGTAAGCCATAACCTACCGGTTTAAAAGTTCGTGCAAACGCACGAGTTACGACGACTATCATTCCTGCCCTGTTGACGATAATGACGTTCCGAACTTTCTGGTTTGCATATTATGAATTCTTACGACTGTTACGACTTGACGTTTGCATGATTCTGACGGCTTTCTATCACCCATACTGTTCGGATATTATCGGTATTATTCTCTAATTTCCTGATGACGAATCGAAAATGGATAATACCCCCGATGGCTGAAGGGAAGGTTCCCCTACTCAAGGAAGGAAAGATGTTATATTGTTAGATTATTGTTATCATTATATTACCCCATACTCATGAGTCATGCCACCATTCACCTACCCTTCAATGTTTTCGTTGGTGTCGTTGTTGTTACTACATGATGTTGGCCTGATTGCTTGGCTCGCTTCGCGGCGATTACCTTCCCCTTCTCAATTAATACCGGTTGATTCGCACATTTGACTTCATATTCCATACAATATCATGATGATCGTAATTGTAATTTTGTGCTGAAGATCTTTCGATGGTCCTATATCTTCAATATCGTCTTGGATATCATGGTAAAATGAGAATATGGATCGATGACCGTGACAATCTATGTGGGGACCTATCTCGTAAATTAAAGACACAGATCCATATGATTGATATCGAAGTTCTCATGTCTATAAAACAGAGGGGGTATCTTATAATAATAACAGAACTGCCAAATAGACAAGACAATATCATGCCAGAGGAACAAATATGTAGATGAAATATCATGACTGCCGCCAGGAGATGGGGGCTCCTTTTCATTGCGCCGACTTGATAGCACCCAGATCACCCAGGCTTTCCAGAAAGGCTTCTGCCTGCTTCTTCCCACGGAGTTCCTGGATCTTTTTCTTTCGCTCCTCTTTCAATCTGTCTCGCTCGCTCTTCCGCGCTCTCCTTTCTTCTCGCTCCTTTTCAGTCTCCTTTCGTGCTCGCTCGAGCTCTTCCATTTCTTTTCGCCGTGTCTCCGCATCCCGCGAGAACGCGTAGAATCCTGTTCCTCGACTGCGTACCTCTGCGTCCGCATCATAGTGTGTCTCCGCTGGTGGCGTCGCGGACCGGTCTCGACGCGCAGCTAGATATGACATCTGAGCTGCGATAGGAGCATCTGGGTTGAATGCAGCGCTCTGGATTGCCTCGCCGTAGATGAGGTTCGATGGCCGTGCCGGACGAGATCGGTCGTGTGGTTCGCCTCGCGCCCCAGGGTCTTCTTGCTCAGCTCTTAACCTAGCAGCTCGTGCTGCTTCTGCTCTTGTTCCACGTCGCGACCGACCGAATTCATCTTCATATTCAACGAGAGAGCCCGTCTCGTCAGCATCTCCATCACCTTCTTCATCCCCCGTTTGATCTTCCTCGTCCGATCGCTCTCCGCTTTCTAGCCTCTTCCGTTCCTCCTCTGCCCATTTCCGATCGAAATCCACAAGAGCATTCTTCTCCCGTCTTCTCATCCGCGCCGCGTGATCATCTGCAGTCATATCCTCTTCATCACTACTACTCGCCTCCGCCAGATGCGCACCGCTCTTTAACTCCTCATACACGCGAACTTTCTCCTCCATCCGCCTTTTTGACCGCTGCAGCGTCGCCGCATCCACTTGTCCAATATCCTCTGCTCGCTGATGCTTCTGGCGCGCAAATGCTGATGAATCATCATCATCTTCGAGATCAGCTGCGGCCCGTTTCTGCGCGCCTTTATTGTGGACGGAAAAGATGTCTGATTTGGAGCTCTTGGAAGAGCGTACACGGCCGCTGGACGTTTTGCTTTCAGACTTAGATGCGGAAGTACCGCCCTGGGCGATTAGAGAGGAGAGCTGCGTCGTGAAGGCGAGGGTGGATGATGAGGTGAGGTCCTTTTTGCTGGCCGCATTGCGGGGGCGAGGGATTCCGTAGAGAGAAGAGGGATCGACTGGCATGACGTGTTGGGTCTTTTAGATGTTGCGAAATCGGTTTAGATTTTTATCAAGTGAAATATATCATGTGAAACTGTACTTTTCCGTGGAATGGGTGGAAGTTGTAGCTTGGATTGAATAACGATTAACTATCGCCTATCGATTCACGATAGCTACCGCTGAAGTGAAGTCAAGCTTTACCGTAAACGGTGATACTAACCTCATCAGAAACATTAGTCAGCCGCCTAATCCTCCCGTCATACAAATGCAGTCTCCGCAATCTAGATAGTTACCATATACTGGTACAGCCATGTCGGCACAGATAGGACTATCGGGGGAGCCACCTGGTATATGGCCCGATCTTGCCCGCCGTGCAAAGGAAAAGATCAATCAGTATGAATACATCCCATCTCTAGACGATGAAAAGCTCGTTCCTTGCATGATCGCACTACTGGACTACCTACCCGAAGGAGGTAGGGAGTCGATTGCCCGCGATATCCTGGGTTGTGAGAGCAACAAGAAGAAGCTGTATGATGTCTTTCAGAACATCCGTAGCTGCCTTCTTTTTGCTAGTAAGTGCACAGGATTTTTTGTGCATTTTTCTGAAATACTGAATTGTATCATACAGTGAAGGCTGCCGGACATAGTTCCATCAATAGAACTCCAATTGATGATGACAGGAAGGACAACGTTGAACCTATAATCTCAGAATTAAATTATCCGCAACACCGAGAGCGCCAATTTCGGGATAAGGTGCTCTATCGTGATAGATTTCGGTGTGTCGTGACGAAAGATATGGACTTTAATCACTGGGAGAAGGTCGGGGAACCCGCCGGAATTATGTACTCTGAGCTGGAAGCAGCACATATAATCCCCCTTCCACTAGCCTCGTGGAAGGAATCCCCCGTAAGCATTATTCGATCCGCGTTCTCCTGATACAATACATGACTTGACTTGACTGAAAAAAATAGACTGCCTCGTTTGACGCCAGTAACGTATGGGAGATGCTGTACCGATGTTTTCCGAAAGTGCGACAAATAGGCATGAAAGTGGACAATATTAATAACCCATGCAATGGCATTTCCTTGCGGGACAGTTTACAAACCCAGTTCAGAAAATTTCACCTTGCTTTTGCTCCGACAGTATGTCTTAACATCAACCTAGGTGTTGGTGGCATGAAGCTTATTGTGCATATTGTCTAGGCCATTCCTAACACATACAAAGTGAAAACATATTTAGCTTTCCCGACCTACCTAAGAAGAGATATCCCATATGATGGATTCATCTGCTTCACGGACTCTAGCAATGCGCATGACGTTCCTTTGCCGGATGCAGCGTTATTCGATTGCCATTACAGGGTTGCGGAAGTTCTCAATGCATCAGGGATGTTGGGAGAGATAGATACAAAGATCGAAGAGTGGGAAGATATGGAAGTGAACATGTGGGATGACCATTTGGCGGAAGACGGGACAACGGACATTTCTGCTCAAAGTCCTTAAAACTGAGGCGATGATGATTGTTTATCGAATATTAAATGGCACGGAAGTATGTCTGATTTCAACCGCATAGATTGTACATCTAGGCTGCTTGACTTGCTTGCTTGATTCTAGTTCGAAGGGGTCATTTGAAGTCATATTTATCCCCTATAGCATACAAAGAATCTAGATCCTAGTGATCTAGTAGGTAATTAGGATTTAAAGAACCTGCTTCAAATAGATCACCTAGACGTACGCTTGTGCGTCGACACTGTTCAGAGTCTTCGAATTCAGAGTTCTTCTATGATACTTTTCCTATATCTTTGATCGATGTGCCGGCTGAGCCTGATAGAACGATTTGGATACACTCAGCCCACCCACAATATACTAACGCCCCTCTGGTTTAGGTGTTAGCGCAAAAAGTGCTGTCTAAAAAAGCACAACTGGACGAGTGCCGAATGCAAAGACGACTATAACTAATTATTATAAGAGAGACGCATTGTAGATTATCATAACTCATGAAACTCTTGGGTAAAATGTCATATCACCAATATAAACCCACTAGAATAGGTATAGTACATATATTGGCAGCTCCTTCACGGGCCCATGTGAAGATATCCTAGCAGGGATAATTATCTACTCCCGAGTAATTGAATAACAAGAGCCACGTGCGGTCTCTAAATTGACTATTGGCAATAGGGAATTAGGCTCGCGTCTGGCGCTTCGAGTACAATCAACGCACGCATCCTTGGCATAGATAGTAAATTATATCAAGCTAATTCTACTCACGCGGGATGAGAAAGGACTATACTGATCGCTTAATTTTATTTTCTACAGGGGACTTTTATAGTCATTATGTAATTTTATCCTCCAAGCAGTTAACTAACTAGTTACCCTACTCTATTCCTCTTATGTCTATCACTCCATCCTGCCAGACTATTTAATTAACGCTCAAGGTCCCCTCTTGTTTGTCCTTGTTATTATTATTGTTCGCTTAATACCTCAAATTAAACTTCCCCCTAAACTTCCCCCTTCGAATAAGCTAACGGATGTAGATCCCTATCTCTAGCGCATAAGATAAGCAGGCACGTTCGTGGTGATAACTTATGGGCGCATCTCTTCCCGATGAAAGATACATTATGATTGGACCAAGCTCGGAGAAAGCTTCTTTTGCCCAGATAAAACAGGGGCATGCATGTTAAATAATAGCTTTATGACCATCAAAGCCAAAGTCGTGCATCGTTATCAGATATTACGAACCACGGGGATATATCCAAGATGGGATATTGTCGGATCTTGCTCCCATGCAGCAATCCAAGCAGCACCTGCAGGTGTGCTATTTGTAATTACGGATATGCAACTACAAACGGACGACCACTCATACCGTGGCTTAATTCCATGATACGAGTAGCAGGGTAACAGCAGCAGCGATGGAAGCTTTTCTGGGAACTCAGCAAGTCCTGTATGATAAGTGCTGTAGCTACATCGTTTGATTGCGGTTCATTCTAGATATCGAGCAATAATAGTTAAAAAAGGGTTTTGAACTTGACTCTATGTTCTGCCCAGCTTTTGGCTTCCCGTGATCTGTGATTCGACAGATATATAACTCCTCTGTTTTCCCCTCTCCCCCTTTACCCCCTTGTTAGCGTCATTATTATAGGCGATAATCTCAGTTCAACCTGCGGTGAACGCGTATATGCGGAAAAACAAAAAAAAAAAAAAAAAAAAAAAAAAAAATGAAAGAAAAAGATCATTCCGCTGACCAATCCATAGAATAGTTAGTTACTTGTCAAAGCTTCTCTGTCTCAAGTTCTAGAGACCCACAGATTGAGAGAAGACGATCCCAGGACCCCCACCAGTTTCAGAACTCTGAGAACCGGGTCGTCGTGATTTTTTTCTTCTTCTGACTATAAATCTTACGTATGGCGTATCCAACTGCTCTAACTATGGGTAGTGGACCGGTACAGTGATACCGGGAGCGAAAATCGATGGAAAAGAAAAAAAAGAAGCTACTACTAAGATCGTCCATGCAAGATGCAGATTAGCATCTGAGCTCCAATTCAATAGTCGTTCTAAACTTTCAGCTCTTTTTTTTTTTTTTTAAACTTCTTGGTCCCCGAGGACCGCCGAAGGAGCCGTTAAACAAGTTCAAGGGACGGCGTTGTTCTAAGAAAGTGTAATCATGATGATTAATGATTATTCCCCGCCAAGATCTGAGATCACATGAAGTGTGGCCGTACATTTCCGGATGTGGTTAGTGTATCCGTGGCTGAGGACAAGTGGCTCACTCGAATTGTGGCGTCGTGGCTGTGGTATAGTTTTTATACAGGTACATTTACAGTAAAAGTTTTAGTTACTAGTGTAGAGGTTAAACGCAAACTCAAAAGCCCACGAGGTGACGAGTGAGACCCAGTAGCGGCCTTAGCACTTCTGATGGGGAAGACGGTAAGCTTAAACAGAAAAAAAAGGGGGGGCCAAGGCAAGAAACAAGCCAAGAGTCCGGATCGTGGCCGAGATGGATTAGGCCGACCTTCTTGGAATTACGCTAGTCGTTTACTACTACTACGAGAGTCTAGAGTACTCTTGAGTTTTGATGTGTTATGCTAAGATACTACGGCTGTTACTACAGGGACGGTGTTCGATTATCTTCTCCGAAGGCAATCGTAAAGGATTGCCTATTCTTACTGTAGTGTGTGTGTGTGTGTGTGTGTGTGGAAGAGACTGACTGAAGTGTGAAAAGTGTTCGATGCAGTATTGAATTCTATAATGTATGTACTTCATGTATGTTGACGTGTCACGATCAATCCATAAATCCATCAAGTCTATGTATAGGGAAATCATGTACATGCCCGGAGATACGACTCCATACTCCGATATAAAATATGGAGAAACCAATCCAATAACACAGAAATGTACATACAATGAAATATGTTGTAAAATTTCAGACCTCTGAGATCGTCTCTGATATCGTGGCCTTGCCATCGGGACCTTTGCCCTTCTTCTCATCTATCGTGTCTGGTGTATCGGCCCGGGCAGCATCCACATCACGGTTCAGCAGTTGCCTGCCAAAAGGATACGTGGTGGGCTTTCTCGGTGCCGGCTCCTGGCTGGCGTGCTCCCACACCGTCAGAGTGAAATTCTTACCGAGCAGCTCGATGGGCGGCGTCAAGATAGGGAGAACGGCAAAGATCATGCCATAGCAGATGATTGCCGTCAGAAGGACGCACAACCAGTAAGGTAGGCCATAGGAGAAGAGTGTCACCATAGCCCACGAACCAGCAGACCACATGATGAAACCGTGAATCAGATAGATAGTGAAGATGTGAGGGAAGACCCACTGCAGAACCTTGACCGAGAGCACTCTTTGAACCACAGGGGAAATTTCCACGATGGTTTGCATGCTGACCGTGGTGATCAAAGCATTCAGTCGAGGAATGTAGTAGTCCGGGTAGAGGCTGCGTCCAGCCTGTACGATGGCGAGACCAGTCGTCGTGTCGGGATGCCACCCATATTCCTTTTCGGCATACTGGACACCGGTGTACTGGGGAATCAGGTCGAGAGTGAAGCCGCCCAGAGTGACCGCGATGAGGAACCACAGGATAGGGTAGTAGACGAACGGGCGAGCATGCAGCCACTTCTTGTACTTGAAGGTAAGGTCAAGGTCTGCAAGAAGCACTCCGGCGTAGTAGTAGCTGCCCCACGAAAGACCGTACCAGTGGTTAGCGATGCAGAAGGCGTAGAAAGCCATCCGCTTCCAAGGCGTCTTGCATTGCTTGACCATGATCAGACCAATCAGAGTTTGCCAGGCGCCCTGCAATTGGACGGGGATGGTCCAGAGCACTCCGGTACAGTAGTTGTTGGTGATCTGGGGAGCGGCATTTGGAATCAGGAAGGCGAGCTCAACGATCTCACTGATGAACACACCAGGGTTCTGCACAAGCGTAACGTACGGCCACTGTGACCACGTAACAGAAGGGAGGTATTCGAGCCAGTTCACGGCTCCCGAATCCATGAGGAAGTACTCGAGAAGAGCAATTGATGCGACCGGAGTGAGAAGACGGAACGGACGAGAAACAATTTTCTGGGCCATGTTTCCCAGGTTGCCTGTACGAAGATAATTGGAGATGAGGAAGCGGGTGGAAATCATGAGGAACGGCCCGATCCAGAGAGGATCTAGGAAGTAGGTTGCGATAGTCTTTCTCGCCCACAACTCACTGGAATAATGGTGGTCCAGTCCAGGCTCCAGGACGGATGCGAAGAAGGTCAAACAAAAATGGTTCACCGTGACCAGAAGCGCACTCATAGAGATGAAACCAGCCAAGTAGTCAATGCGCTGACGGGGCAGAGCAGCTCCTGCAGCCGGAGATGCTTTGACTGCAGGAGTCTTGCGTTCGGTCGCCGCAGGAGCCTGGGGATCCTGCCTCTGTTGAGGCACATCTGCAGAGAAAAATCCTGGGGTAGGGGGTGCGCTCAATTCCATCGAAGGATGCACCAGGGTGCTGCTGCTGGGACTACCATGGTATTCCACATCTTCCTTGATGGATCTAGGAGTTTTACTGGTCCCTGCACGGCGTCCCTGGGTTCGTGAGATGAGAGAGCTTGCCTGCGCATCTGCCGGATAAATTGGCTGGATCGTCAGATCGTCAGCTGAGTTGGTTCGCGATGGCCGTGGGGATACTACTGGGGTTTGATATTGAGGTGCCGGGGTTTGAGGAACAGAGTACGCCGGCGGTGGTGACAGGCTAGCGTAAGAAGACACATTTGGAAGGTTATGTCTGCTCGCAAGAGGACTGCCAGTATCAGTGTTTGCGAGAGTCGCGCCGTCGTCAGTTGACTGAGCGTCGCTCTCGCTTCTGTCTGAGGCCGCAGAGGAGCCCGCAGTCTCCTTCCTTTCCTTAAGGCCAAGGAATTCATAGAGGGAGTCCCAGGAGGCTCTCCGCCACAATGTCTTGACGAGTAAGATTGTAAAGACAGAAAGGAAAGCAATGTCAATCGCAAGAGGAACCCAGGGAATCGTCCACTTGGGTTGGGCCTGCTTCCAGGGTTTCGTGGCATCGAGATCATAGGCCGTGGAGCCTCGAAGAGCGTTGTCGCTCATGGGACAGGCTGCAGTACGTGTGCATCGTGCATCGAAATCCTTTCGTGTCTTGTCTGTCGCCAACGACGAGTTGTAGAAGATACGAGTCCAGCCGATGTTTGCCTGAGAGCGCTGGGTTGGAGGGCCCTGGCAGCTATATTTGTTTCCCGTTGACCAGTGCTGCCATTTCAACGGTGCCGGTGTGCTTGGTAAAGTTCCGTTTTCCTTCTTCGTGTACGTCTTTTGGAGCTGGCCGTCGATGTAGTAACTGATGTTGTCTCTGGTCCAGTCCACGCGATATTCGAGGTAGTACCACGGATCCTCTCCAGCATGGATGAGATCGGTGAAATTCTTTCCCAGCCAGATATCAGGGAAGACACCATTGGCAAGCATGGAGACCCAGGCCTGGCTGCTGTTGTCGGTGTTCATCACGTCGATGTTCCATCGCTCAGTTTCGTTGTGATAGAGCAGCATCGATAGAGCAGATCCCCTGTGCCAGGACCGCGGGGCACGCATAGAAGACCGGAAAGACCCGAAAAAGATGTCTTGACGTTTGGTGCGGATACTCGCGCCATTGACCAAGTGCTCCTTGTCTGAGGGGTCAATGGCGAGCTCCAGGCTGGTGAGGTTGCGCGCGGTGGTGTCGTTGACGATGTTGACATTGTCCACCTTGGCTCCCTGACGGTAAACGGTGTTCCAGCCTAGATCATACCTGTGCTCGAATGACTCGATGACCAGGTCGTCAGGGACACCATTGGTTTCGTTGAAGTATACAATGGTGCTGTCTGTGAAGAGGAGGTCGGCGTCTTCATCATAGAAGCCGCACGTGCAGCTGGAAACCTCCCGGGTCGTCAACTCCTGAGCACGGCAGACAGAGACCAACAACACCAACACCCACGACCAGAGAGACGCCATTCTGTCTGGCTTGAGAAGTACAAAGGATTATGCAGGTACGGACAAGGTCCCTGGCAGAAAGGCGCTGAAGAACAGGAGGACGATGGCGGCTCCTGGGTCTTAAGAAAACGACCTTCGACCAAGCTTGCTTCTGGTGCAGTCCAGTCCTGAACTTATCAATTATTATCGCCCGTGGGGCCCCAGCAGCACTGCTGATCCGCCCGTGGACGACACTAGATACGTCTCTGGGCTGAATCTTGGTTCTACTTCCGACGATGTCCTCCCGGTGTCGGTCTCGAATCGTTCTGGTTCGGATTCCCACCCACCTAGAGGAAAAGCTCGATAAGGCTACGGATGGATGCGGTCTGATAGACTCGATATTACCGAGATAGTATCTGACATGGGGCCTGCAGGCCTATCATCCAACAAACGGTCCACGCCCTTGATGAGATTTCCGTCTCAATGCTACTCAGCCCTGACGATGTGACCATAACGATTCTGTCAGCAGAACCATGAGTCGACTGAAAAGTATACTACTTTTGCAAGGACCCCCAGCTAGGTCCTCCGCTTGACCCACCGTGTTTTGTGACGGTATTGAAGCACCGAGTATGGATATCTTGTGGCGCTCTCTTATACAGCTGCGGTCCGGCCAAATTATTCGGCCTTTTTTTAGCTTCAGCCATGACCTTGAGGACTTGACACTAAAAACCTGCTCGCCTTGAAGCTTATCTGAAGGTTACTGAGCAGAATAGGTAATGCTTCATGGCGAAGATGGCCGAAGAAAAGCTTCCCTCAGAGCGATAATCTTGGTTGACGGACACCCTAAAGAAAATAGCTCATCGTCTGACACTGATCCCACGGAAAAGCAACCATCCCACAGGCTGACCGATATTCCGCATAAATGAAACGAACGGACGAACGAACGAAAGAAAGAAAGAAAAGGCGTGATCATGGCACTCTGAGTCGTTTTCGATACAGATCGGCAACGCGTGCAACTGAGGATGCAGCGCATCAGCCGGGCGACAGGCACATCAGTAAGCAGCGCAGGCGCCGTTGGCGGTCTCGTGCCAGTGAATGCGGGAGAAGCGCAGTTGTTACCAGGGGACGCTGTCAGGCACGGGAAGTGATATCCTGCTAGTCGGGACCGAGATGTAACTTAAAATTCTGCAGGCTGTCGATCACTGGGGATCTCTCCACCAGCATCATCCATCGTCAAAGCGCGGATCTATCTGAAGTGGCGCCGACATCTGCGAACCGGTCAAGGGACTCCGACCCCAGCAGAACGCCACGCTACTGAGCCACGAGGGTAAGAAAGGGTAAACCTTGAATGCCGAGTCTCTGGTACCTGACTACCAGTATTATGATTTTCTGGATCTCGGACAACATTCTGGCGCCCGCTACGTCAGTCAGTCCCTTCGGACGGGATCCTGCTGTCCCTACAATGCAAATGGAATTGAATTTTTTTCTCTCGGTAATTGATCTCGGGCGATCAACCATAACCCATGAGTACCTACTACTACGACAGCACGTACTCGGGTACCCACGACGTATGGGAGCCAGACTAACTAACTAGTCGCGACGTATCTACTACCGTCTACGACTCTACGAGTAAGTACAATCCAATCCGTTAGTCGCCGACCGACTCTCCGGGAGATCGGCGGATGCTAGATAGTAGATACTAGGGTAGTAGAGGCCCGCTAGCGCTTTACAACCCAACTCTAGGCTCCGAGCTGGAGACGTGAGCCCAAAGATCCAGCAGGGTATCGACGAGATACGCAACTAAGTTATCCTTATCGGGTTCCCTGCTCTGATGGATTCCGAGAAAGTTTGCAGGCGCCTCGGCCGACGACCGGGCTTGTCTTTCCTTTCTGGACAGCGCTGGGTTCATTCAAAGGTGCGCTTGCGCCAGCACATTTGATCGAAGTTCTCCTCGGTTTTCCCATCAACCACAGCAGTCCAGTCTTGACGGAACATCATCCTGCAAGATGTCGACCGCACCCATGGCGAACGGCTCTGAGGAGGACCTCTTTGACGGTGCGTACCAGCGCCAGTCGCGGCCAAGGCAGCTGCGCTCCAGCATGTCCAAGATGGTCAGTAGCCTCTCCTGGACGATCAAGACGGCATCAGATGGAATTCAAGACTGGACTCCATTCGTGCTCGTGTTTTGTTATTTCGCCTTTTCCATCTGCATCTACATGGTTGCGTCGTCGGGGGTCATGAAGGTCTTCTGGTTCGTCTACCTGATGACCAACACTTACATCGCCGCTTCTACCGTTGTCGAAGCCATGTTCAGTGTGGGCAAATACCACGAAGCCAAGGTGGCCGCGGCCAAAGTCGAAAAGAACCACTGGACCTTTCCGACCCCGGACGCGGAAATGAAGAACCTCGACCTATGCATTGTCGCCTACCTGCCCAACGAACAAGATATCATCCTCGACCGCATCAACTATCTGTTGCAGGAGATCGTTTACCCGCGCGATAAGCTCCGCATTGTCGTTCTCTACAACACGCCAACCCCCATTGAGCCTCTTGAGACTGAGATGCGCGCCATGATGTTGAAGCACCCAGAACTGCGAGTTATCAAGGTGCCCAAGTCTAAGTCGAAGGCCGATAACATCAACTACTACTGTTCTCTTGAAAATGATGCGGACGTGACGGCCATCTTTGACTGTGATCATTACCCGCACCCGTACAATCCGCGATGGGCAGTGGAGAACTTCCAGCGCGATGATCAAGTCGATATCGTCCAGGGCCGCTGTGTTATCTTCAACTCAGACGACACCCTCTTGACTGCCATGATCTCGGTCGAGTTTGACAAGATCTATGCCGTCTCTCACCCCGGACGCTCTACCATGTTCGGGTTTGGTCTGTTCTGCGGTTCCAACGGTTTCTGGCGAACGTCTCTCCTCCGGCACCTGAAGATGGACGAGACCATGTTGACCGAGGATATCGATTCGGCCCTACGAGCCTTTGGTGTCGGTGCCAAGGTCATCCATGATCTGAACGTCGTCTCATTCGAACTGGCCCCGACTACATGGCCAGCTTTCTGGAAGCAGAGACTTCGATGGAGTCAGGGCTGGCTGCAGGCCAGCGTAAGACATATCCATAAGGTCTGGACTCGATCTCCGGAGGGCCGGAAGCGCACGCTTACCCACCGGTTTGGCTTGCTCTCGCTGCTCTACATTCGAGAATCCAGTTACTACTTAGTTACACAGTATCTGTGCCTGGTGGCTGCGATCGTTATCATGCGATGGCCTCAGTCGGGCGAAGACCTCTTTAAACTGGTGTTCTTCATGTACCCTGTTGCATGGTGGCTCTTTATGTTCAGGTAAGTCTCTTGCTAGCGTCCTTCTGCATGTTCCTATCCGAAGTTCGGACGGCTAATGTGCGCCTGCAGTTGCATTTCCTACGTTGTTACTCTCTGGATCACCTTCCACACACGATCCGAGTTTGTGCGGTGGTGGCATATCATCGTCTTCACTTTGACCTACCCGGCCCAGCTTATCCTGACAGCGGTAATGGGTCTATTTGGCCACGCACGCCAGGTCAGCAAATACGTCAAGTGGAACCCGACCCCGAGAAGTTAGCCGGCACGGGCTGGTCGGTGGAGCAAATGAGATTTGGTTACGTATGAGGAGTTTTGGTTTTTTTTGGACTTTTTGGGCTGTACACATTACATTTATCCCGGTTCTTTTTGGGTTAGCAAAAGTGGGATATAGAGTGGGATATAGATGATTCTTCATTTTTGGTAGCGAGAAAATGCTTGGCAATGCCTGTTTTCTTCCGACTTGGATCTTCACACCAAGCTTTCTATTATCTAACCAGTGAATTGGTTTCTTCCTCGCATGTGATAAGGGGACCGACGCAGCAAATCAGCGCACTCCTAAAAAAGAAAAGATGAAGAAGAAAGAAAGGAGAGTAAAGAAGCATTCGGACCTTGGTGGAAGCCCACTGGTCACATCGTCTACTGCAGGGCCCGGATCACCGCGTGGGACAGGGCCGCGTTGCTAGGTGGGTTACATAGCCGAGAGAGATCGACGTGCTTAGCCTTTGAATCACATCTTTGGCCATCAGAAGCACCATCCGTCAAGAGACAGAATGGCGGGAAAGGCCACCGGGTGGCTTCGGGGGCGCTCGACGAGACCCTGATTTGGCACGGGAGCTTCCTCTGGTTCAGGTCGTTTCAGGTCCAACTCCAAGGCTAAAAAGCGAATGGAGAAGTCCAGAGCTGCCAAGGCGCGAGAAGATGCCAAGAGTGCGGTCTGAATCCCCTTTCCGTTCCGTGGCGCGCGGAATCTAACATCCAGCATCCAGAAATGAACTATCCATGGACCCTAAAATGACGCTAGAGGGTAACGTACGACTCTATACCAGTTGCCGTTTAGTACAGCACTACAGCTCCATCGTGAAGTCTAAAATGCTTATCGGATCGACATCCAAAGAGGGGCGTGTCTAAGCTTTCTGCTCAAGAGCATTTTGCTGCGGATCGAGTCGGTGAAACGCCGTATTCTGTCGCCATGGAAGCTCTTGCACCTGGGCCACGAGCTGAACGGAGATCCGCTAGAGCACGGTCGAGAACTTCCTACTTGGTCCATGGACTACGCTCAGATCTACAACCCCAAATATTGGGCTATCGACCGGGTTCATGGTACAGTACCATCGCCCGTATCGTCCCAGTTGGTTTCTAGCGTCCGAGCGATGCATTACCTGCTCCAGTCTATCTAATGCAGAAGCGAAGCAGACAGTGCCTGCATCACAACCCCGGAGCTGGAATTAGCTTCTTACCATGATATGGTTACCGCCGTCTCTCTCTCTCTCTCTCTATCTGGGTCTTATTCGGACACGGAACTGTACCGTAAGCCCACCATCCGTTCTGCTGTCCCCTCTTTGAGGACCCCGAGATCTCTCCAATGGTTCTGGACTCGTACGTGAGAGGCTAATCGGTCTGGTTCGGAGAGGTAGTAGTTTTCCTGGGTCTTTTTTTGCTTTCCCGCATTAGCCATTTACTTATGCTATCAGCGCAGGTGTCATTGAAATGTGAAAGCATCCCCAACTTCTCTTTCCTCTCAACAGATCACACGTCTCTTCTTGCTTTCTGTTGCTGTATTTGTCTGCAGTCGGCTTGGGAACTCCTCCTCATCTGCCTGAGGATCTCTTCTTGGACTGTTTGGATCTCGTTGCCCTTTTACCGTTTCTGCCAAACATGGGGTTCGCAGAGATCGTCAACAGTGCCCCCAAGCTCAAGATGGGCTCGCCCACGGAGTATGAGCAGCCCTATCTGTTGGGTTTCCGCGGCATCTTGGTGATCGAGACGTTTCTGTGGACATTCCTCCGTACCTTTGCTCCTACTACTGTGTACGTTTCTGCGGATCCCAATGGTCCCTTTTCGTACCAGATAGTCCGCAAGATCTTTTCGGTCCTCTTCTGGAACGAATACTTCCTGTATGGTGCGATCATCTTTCTCTCCGCGCGCTCAATTGCCATTCCGTTTATCAGGAATCCAAAGGCGGAGCGGGCTGCCATGTCGATGATGTGTCGTGGTATCACCCTTTGGTTCCCAGTTGCTGTGTCCGTGGCCATTGCGACTCTGGCTTTTGCCATTGGTGGCACTGAGTACATCGCCGACTTCAAGACGCGGACCTCCAACCATACGACAGCCGTGCCATATGTGATCCCCAACGCATTTGCCTACTTCAACTCCGTATTCAACATGTTCTGGACTACTCGTGACTACAACATCCAAGCGGCCAGCACGGCGTTCCCCACTGGTACCCTGTGGGTTATCTGTGCTGTGTACATGCAGAGCTACACTGTCTACATGACCATGCTCATCATCCCGTACACGCGCAACAAGTGGAGAGTCCAGGGCGCCTTCGTCTTCGTCCTGTGCGCCTGGTGGTGTCAGTCTTGGGCATGGTTCACCATCTCTGGTCTGATCCTGGCCGATATGGTGATGAACATGAACTTCAAGGAGCGCGCTCAACGCGGTATTCCAGTCTGGACCCGCGCTGATGGCAGCCGGATCTGTATCCCCGTCTTCGTGCCAGCCGGTTTGTGTCTGATCGGTGGTCTTCTCATGCAATACCTCTGGGTGGCCTACCGGCCGGACCTTTTCGACAAGGAATGGCTGGTTCATACCGATCCCTACTACACCGCATCGCTCAACTTTCAGTACGCGACACGCCACACGCAGGCCCGTGACGATGCGTATCTGATGGTCATCGGCATCTTCCTGTTCTTGGAAAGCTACGATATCCTTCAGCGGATCTTCTCCAATGGCTTCCTCGTCGCTCTTGGAAAGCGCTCTCTCAGTAAGTTATCTTTTGCTATGCAATCCGGTTGTGAGTAATCTTGCTGACTGCTTTCTTCCAGGCTACTTCCTCGTCCAGTCGAACATGATGTACATTGTCGGCATCCGCGTGTTCGAATCTCTGTATACCAAGCACCACATCTCTTTCGGTGGCTCCAACATGGTCGCCTTGATCACCTGTCTGGTTGTCACCATCCCGTTGGCCGAGCTGTTTTATCGGTTGGTGGAGTTGCCGAGCAAGCACCTGGCGCACAAATTCTATGAGTTCATCACCGCATAGAGCGGGCTTTCTGCTGTGTTTGTACATGTACATATGGTCTAACGTTGTCTTCTGGCGTAATCGGGGTTTGAATTTCCATAGATGGGTCTGCACATGATAGAATCCGGTACATATTTAGTAATAGAGTTGCATGTTTTTATGACAGTGTCGATTGTGCCAGAAGATACTTTGTAACGTTCCAAAGTATGGTTTATCGTGGTGTATCCACCAAGTATTTTCCCGTCGTCGTCCGGATGTACTGCGGATCACAAACTGCGGTCCAGCGTTGCATCCTGTCATCTCGTTCCTGAGAAATCGCCGGAATTGGTAATAAGAGCGTTATCTCTCTCCACAGGGAACAGGATCTTCCTGGCTCGACAGAAGATCTCCGAGGACCCAGCAGACTGGATCACAACGTGCGCGTTGAACCGAACTGTCTTCTCCCGGTACTGATTAAGTTAGAATTGGGATCTAGCATCCGCAGGATTAAGATTAATATTATTCTCCCTTGCGTCGTGCTTAAGTAGATTTTTACTTAGAGTTGGCTCCGATCTTCGCAGCCCCGCCAACAACGAGGACTTGGGACGTTCTTACAACGTCCACTCTTCCCCTCTTTCTTTTCCGCTTCACCGTTGAAAGTCTCTCGCACGAGGTCCGTACCCAGTCGGCTGGTTCTCGATTTCTGGTTCATTTCCTGCTTGACTTTCTGATTTCAATTGACTTTGTTCGTTCGGTTTTCTGGAAAAGTCTCTTATCGGATCATCATGTCGGCTACCCCTCTCTATCTCGGAGTCATTGGTATGTCCCACCACGCTTCAGAACCACACATGGCACAAATCTTTCGGCAGAGATGATAGTCAACTCCCGAAGAACTACGGCTGACTTTTTTTTTCTCTATTGTCTTGATTTCCAGGCGTTGGTGGTGTTGGAGCCGCCTTTCTCAGCCAGCTGGCCCGTCTGCCCAATGCTCCATCGCTCGTCCTGCTCGCCCGCTCGACGCAGACGCTCCTCTCCCCAGCGCCGTCATACTCCCCTGCTATCCCGGCTGCAGACTGGCAGACTGCTTCGTCGACGCCTTCCTTGACCAAGTCTGGGTCTCTTTCGCCACAGGAGATCGCATCTTATCTCTCCGCTGCTCCAGGACGCTCTATCCTCGTCGACAACACCTCCGACCCCGCTCTCGCGAGCGCTTATCCGGTCTTCCTCCGTGCAGGTATCTCTATTGTCACGCCCAACAAGAAAGGTTTCTCGTCGGATCTGTCTCTGTGGAAGGATATATTCGCCGCTGCGGCTGAGGGAAAGGCGCTTGTCTACCACGAGAGCACGGTCGGGGCTGGTCTCCCCGTCATTTCGACTCTGCGGGATCTCGTCGCGACCGGCGATGAAGTGACTCGCATCGAGGGTGTCTTCTCCGGCACCCTGTCTTTCCTGTTCAACACCTTTGCGCCCGTCTCGAGCAGCGGTGCGTCCGCGTCCTGGAGCGCTGTCGTCGCCCAGGCCAAGGAGCTGGGCTACACGGAACCCGACCCCCGCGATGACCTCAACGGCATGGACGTCGCGCGCAAGCTGACCATTCTGGCCCGTATCGCTGGCCTGGAGGTGCAGGCACCGGACTCTTTCCCTATCGAATCGCTCATCCCCGCTGAATTGGCCTCTCTGCCCAGCACCCCCGAGGGCATTACGCAATTCATGACCCGTCTGCCCGAGTTCGATGGCCAGATGGCCTCGCTCAAGGAGTCGGCAGAAAAGGCAGGCAAAGTCGTTCGCTACGTTGGCAGCATCGATGTTGGCAAGAAGGAGGTCCGCGTTGGACTGCAGCAGTTTGACAAAGACAGCGCCATTGCAGGATTGAAGGGCAGTGACAACATCATCAGCTTCTACACGAAGCGATATGGCGCCAATCCCCTTATCGTGCAGGGTGCAGGAGCCGGTGGAGATGTCACCGCTATGGGTGTTACGGCTGATCTGATCAAAGTCATGGAGAGATTGAGATAGAGGATAGGAATGTGCCTATATGGTGACTTGGTTCTCAAACCGTGTCAGAGCAGCACGGTGGGAAATCAATGGGGGGAAAAATAGTCCATACTTGATTAAAATCAGATAGAAGCGAATTGATACCGCAGGCAGAGTCCTCGATGCAATAAATGATGAAGGTGGAAGAAGCTAGATTGCTATCCCTTAGGCCGTGCCTTCCTGGCTATTCAAATATCATGATACCAATTCATCTCATCTCTCTTCACCTTTCCGCACATATCAATCAATATCTTCATTCCATGGAAGCTCGAAATATTCTCCCATAGAGAAGTAGACATAATCTGAATGAAAGCGGTTGATATCTGTTAGTGCACGAAGAAACGATCTGTCATATCATCCGTTTGCAGCAGGTTTTTTGGATATCTTAATTAGAGGATAGAAGCTACTAGATCAGTAGGATCTAGATCCTTTACATGCAAACTGATAAGATAAGTACCGCCTTCCCTTTCACAACATTCAAAATAAACAGTACTTTATATGAACTTTAGAATTGACTTCGAATATAGTGAAAAGCTAACCCTTTTGCTAGCGATCTCGGTCTTCCTCTTAACTCCTCAAATACGCCTTTACAGCCTCTCCCCATACAGCACCACGCTTATAGAAATGCATCTGCGGTACGCTCCCCTCCTTCAACCCATCAATAGCCCGCGCCAAATCCTCACCTAGTCCCTCGTCCTTAATATCTCGAATCGGATACCGATATGTATGAAACGCAAATACCAGAGCCCTCGACCACGGAAGACGATGTAATGTCTGACGCTCACACCGAACAAAAGTCTGATCGAGATCCAATTCCTCCATTCTCAAAGGCGTTGTTGTTGATTCATCGTCCGCTCCACCGTGGATTTTGTTCCCGAAGGCTGAGAAAAGTTCCGCGTCCGTGGTGACGCTCCAATTGACGCGTCGTACGTATTTTCCGACTTCGAGCTTATCGAAGAATCGATCCATGCTTCGTTCGAGTTTTTCTTTGTATCCGGGAACCGGGTCATGGATGGTTGCGAGCCGATGGCCGAGTTTCTTGCGCGTGTTGAATCCGGCTGGGTAGCAGGTCGCGTACGCTTCGAGGATGTATTTCGTTGCTTCTTCTTCTCCTTCTTCTTCTCCTTCTCCTTCTCCTTCTCCGTCTTTCTTCTTCTTCTTCTTTTTTTCGGAGGAAGAAGATTTCTCCGGGAGAAGAATCAAAAAGTCCTCATCAACAGTCTTGATTAACGTCTCCAAAGCCGTAATAGTCGGGGTACTCTTTCCCACTTCCACAGGCCAGAGTTCTCCCGTGACGAGATTCTGAACCATAACTGCTTTTCCAGCCTCAAATTCTGTCCGATGCAGCTTGAACATCGTCGGATAACGACCTGGTAGATACGTTCCCATGAGATAAGTATACAGCTCATTAACAGCAGCGCGCGTGCGCGGATCCGAATCATCATTGACCGCGACGACGGTTTCGTGATATTCCTTCAAGAGGGAGCGTCGTAGTGCAAGACGTTCCTTGTAGGTTTTGTCCATGGGGATGAGGTCTGCTGGATCAAGGGTCTGGAGGCCTAGAATGTCCCCAATTAGCATGTACATACTACATACATAAACACATACATGGTTATGTGATTTTAAATCAAGGAGCGTCCTCATACCCATTGTGAGATGGTACTTTGGTTTAAAGGGACGGAATTTCAGAGGTTCTGTCATTTCCCAGTTAAAGTCCTCGAGAGGTTCGATTGGTGGGAAGGTCGATGCAGGGAGATCTCTATTTAACTTCGCTGCTTCTCGCGCTTCTCTCTGGGGGGTTGTTAGAAATGGCTCATAAATAAATCAAGACCGCTAGCTGAACGTAAGGACCACGAAAAAAAAAGCATGAAGTAACTCCAAAATCAATAAACCAAACTTCAAAGGGAAAAAAAAAAAGGAATAAAACCAGGAAAGAAGCCATCACATCACATACAGCTCTCCTCTTCAAATTCCATACAAACAACCCTACGGTCACAAGGATAAATAGCATCTTCGGCGTGATCTTCACCTCCTCGAGTTTCGTCCGGAGAAAATCCCCCACATCTTGTCGCGATATAACACCCCGGATTTGATTCCATGGTACGTACATCTCGAGGTTCTTATCGGCCACGTCGCGGAGGTTTGACATGTCGATCATTGTCTTATCTTAAGTACGGGGAAACCCGTTCTTTAGGAGTATAGAAAGGAACAAGAACAACAGAATCGAATATCTCTATATAATAAAAGATAACCCGGTGCAAGCAAAAGTGAGACGGGTCACGATGAATCTAACAAGGATAGAGATAAGAGAAAAGAAGAAATCGGCTGTGAGGTTTCGAGTGAACGTTCGGACATTTAATTGTGTGGTTGACGGTGCCGCCGGACTTTTAACATTCCTTGTTTGTGATAGGTTGGTTTCTCCGCCGTTAGAGGGGACATATCGCCGTTGATAAGATAACTGGAGGATAGATTATTATTATAAAGCCGGAACTATCATTGCCTACCCGTAAGATCAAGACCTTCATGTTTCTAACAACTATCAAGAACATCTAAAGTGGCTTACACCTGACAAATACGTTATAATTGACCCGCTAGGAAAAACTACCTACGTTGGAAGCCAAACTCTCGAATAGGTACCCTATCTACCTACTCAGTTTCTCTATCTCGCACATCGCTATCATAGAGTTCACTTCGCCAGAACGCTAGGTAAAAATTCCCTAAATATCCACGATTTCGTCCCGCTAGTTACCTAAGTTAGTAACCAGTGTTCGCAAAATGCAGCCTTGGACTGAGAGCACAATACCGTAGGACACAGTGGAAACTGGACTTCCGAAGTGGGATCGCAAATGTTTTCGTTGTTCGTGGCTTCCCAGCAAGTTCCTGGAGAGAGATAAGACGTTAAAGGGTCAGCGTGTGTACAGTATAACGTGAAGTGTACCTGGTTTCAGGTATTAAGAAACGAATCAGTACCGTCACTGCAAATGCATGCCATTTCATTTACCCTGATAAAAGCCAGTTAGATTAATCTCATTTATCGCCAAACTTAGGTAGTTGCGCAGTCCTGAAAGGCTTATCAGACACATACGGATCTGGGTGGCATGGTTGAGGGCCATAAGATATATCAGGCTCGCGAGCATCGAGGACTGGAGACGGGGATAGGGAAAGGACCTGGATAGCCAGGCTGGATGCCAAGACAATCGCAGCGGAACTGGTCAGAGTCTTCATGATTAACTAGGACTTTGTAATGGATTATGTATACTGTAGTAGCGAGAAGAAGGACTGAATGGGTGTGTGCATGGGCACTTTTATAGTACCATTTTCTAGATGTCTACGAATTTCTCAACCTGCGTAACCTCTGAGTGACCTGTATAGAACAAAGAAAGAACAACAAAGAAATGCGGACAGTACGGCTCGTTGTGAGACTATATGGGCTCCACAATTGAGATCAATTGATTATCATTGTTAAGCTGATTATCATAATGTATATTTTCACCCATAATATGGTTCTTATTCCATGTAATCCACTAAAGAAGACCATTTCTGTATTTCCACCGAATAATCTGTATTAGATTTACTGTTCAGTATAGCAGTAATATTGAACCGATATAGGTAGCAAAAAATAACGGTGTCAAGACATGGAAAAACCAAGAATCAGAGGAGTATCTAACCCGCGAGAACACATCTCGATAATACCTACAGGCCTCGTTAGACGGCGTTATATTATTGCCTTCATATCCTCATTTCCTGAGCTTAAGAGAATCAATTAAACGCAATTATGATAAGATCTTTGTTCGACATTCGTAAGGAATGATAGCAGTACTTTCTGTGCTGGGATCGATTTCTCGTGCAAACTATGCAGCAGAATACTGACCATATGCCGATTCCAGAGACCGAGTAGTACCGCCCACAAGACATTACCACACAATCATTAGAGGTTTACACTGTCACACAAAGACTGGATGCTCCAGACAGCCTCAATAGACATTGCTTGCCATCAGTCAGTGGAAGTAGCCTGCGGAGATCGCCGTAAGCCGATGCTTGTTTGTCACAAGAGCTTAAGATCAGCCACGTGGGAGTCGAAGAATCTTTGTTGCTGTGTTGCAGAATGATGTATATAAAATGTATACCATTACAATAACCATACCAGAAGCAATATAATACGAATATGTATGCATTGGCAGTAATATGTTTAACGATTCTCTTGCTCACAACTGAAGGAAGAGACAGGGAGAGGGATCCGCTGGTTGAAGATAGAAGAAAAAAACCAACGCTATCATGAGGCAAAATAAGAAAATAAAAACATAGTAAGCTAGCAGAATAATAGTATTCAGAGCGGAATAGGCATAGACAATATGCGACCGTGGAAACATAAAGATGACAACTCAACAGCACATTTGGATAGTTCACATTCGCAGCTGTCTAAATTTCTCGAATCCAGTGTCTGCTCATCTCATGCGCCATTAACCGATGCGCTCCAAGATGTTCCAGCAATATTTGCAATTTGGCGTGCTTGATTCGCGACGGAGGTACATCTCGAGGACTGGCTCCGCGGAAAGTCAGAATCTCCCTGACGCTCAAGGGGAGATGGTAGGATAGGAGAATGCGATCGAGTTGGGTGTCTGTGAGGCTGTTAGCTCATCATATCAAATCACACTACGAAAAGCCGCAAAGGTAATGCTGAGAAAGACATACTATCAAGTAACCTCATCGATTCTAGCGTTTTCGGCACTTGGAAGTCCGGCGGGAACCGCCCATCTGAACACATCATAGGATGGATCTGCGAGTACTTCTGGTGGCTGGCGTAATGGTTCGCGAGTGCCACGGCCAAATTGGTTTTGCGAACCGTCTCATTAAGACTCATTTCGTGGTTATATCCTCCTCCCATCTCTTCGAACCGACCACTGCCGGCGGGAAATGGAGAACGAGGCGGCATCTGGCCTGGCGTGGTGAATCGGGGATTGTCACTGAAATAATCCGCATGAAGGCCAAACCGTGCTCCCTCGAATGCAGCGCCGATATCGTGGGGTGACATGCCCCTATCCTCAGGAGACCTAGTAAAAGGGCCCCTCGGCATGTTCCTAAAGCGCTCTTCTCCAGAATGCATACCGTATAAGACTCTCAATCTCTCAAGTTTTGAGAAGCGACAAAGGTGAATCCAAGGGCAGTTAATATGTGAAATGAACGATGTATAGCCGATAATTCCGACTTCAGATGGCATCAAGTCCATGAAGGATGCGTCGTCTTATGCGGTCTCCTGACTTGTAAGTCCTGGCAATAACAACTCACCACGAGATGTCGTGAAACAGAAAGTAACAAGGAGCACCCTGTTTCATCCCAGTTTGCCAGTCCGCTGGAGCACCTGGAAACGCTAAGTGGCGAAGACCGGGAAGCTGCAGGAAAAAGAAGCCAGTAGGCATTGTCTCATTTACTCCAGGGCTGTTCAACAAACGCCTTACGCGAATTGACTTGCGCCCTTTGGGCTGCACTGGGCAGGTTGGACAGGAATATTATAGCCACAATCAACTGGGCAACAGAGTCCAGAACCGCATATGGCTTCGACGCGGCTGAGAATCTCACCCCAGGATTCTATTCCTAAGCGAGGATGTTTGCTTGCTCACGAGGGATCAGCGCAGCCTCACATGTCGCTGTTCAGAAATGGAAACTCTATTCACAGTGTAGCCTCGGCCACAAAAGAATAGAGTCGTCAGCTCGCAAAGTATACCAAGTACGTTCATCGTAAGGTTATGGTGCATAGTGAGTCACGCGAGTATATTGCAGGATGCGAAGCCGTCAAACATCGTAAACGCAATGAACAAGATTTGGAGAGCAAAAACATACAATGCTCTAAGAGAGTCCCAAGCTGAATTGCTCGCGGAACTCCGTCACATGAAGCAAGCCTCGACAAGTTACAAGACATGAGTAACTGATGTCCAATTGGCCCACCGGATGACAGACACAGCCTTGACGTTGCCAGACGATCACAGTCGACGATCCCAGCTGAATATGAGAGATAAAAGGCATTAAATGATTATTGATATTCTGCGGCACGGTCGTCTCGTAGGACTTTCTATTGCATAACAAATGTAGACATGCCGGTTAGTCCAGCAATCGGCTTGTCGAGATAATTAAACCGCCCCGTATGGAACCCCGGAGTTGATTTCCGCAGGGCAGAATCATCCACGGGAAGCGGCATACGGGACCTGATGGCTTCCGAGGTGGTTATGGTAACGATGCCCTCAAATCAGGAGAGAGCGCGTCCCTCGATCACCCACTGCTGTCCTTTGGATACCTCCTTCTCAAATCTGCATCCCCGTTCGTAAATCTTTCTGCTTCCATTGCTTTGTCATTATGACTGGACCCGGGCCGTGATACAGGCCGTGATCCAGGACGGGAACCATAACCACTGCTTTCACGTTCCACTCCGCGAAGACTGAACGCTCGCCGGTGCCCACTTGGTCGCTCGCTCAGACTCGGGGCGCGGGGCTTCTCTCTGCCTCGTGCCCGGCCTCCAATAACGGGTATCTTGTACGTTGCCAGCCGCCAGATATAAAGTAGGAAATCAAAGACTATCAAGAAAGCCCAGGGGCCTATAGTCAGTAGGCCGAGTACGAACTACATACACAGAATAAGGTTAGTATATGTTCTTCAAGTAGAATGCCACCAAAAATTCCCGCAGGTGGCAGCGATAGAGCAGCTAGAAGAAGACATACAAAGATCCTCACAACCCAGGTTTCAAACGTAGTGAGATACGGCGGGAGAATCGAGTACCACGCCATTATACCTTCGCTGTTCCATGCACACGACCACGATTCCTAAGGATGTCCCCTCTCTTTCCTTATGACCGGCTTTCCTCCAGACAGCTCCCGCTCAGCTCGTCCGGGTCCGCGTGGTGTTCAACAGTCGGAAGGCTCCGTTGCCGAGTGTTCTGACTTTCCAGCACCGCAACACATTCAAGCAAGCGTTCGCGCTACGACAGCGACCGCAATCGCCTTCTGTTCAGCAATGAGGGTATAGAGTCACAGCGGATGCCCGAAGAGGGAGCCTCAGTTATCGCCAACGAGCGACAGGGCCGGATACGCGCGGGGGTTTCGTCGGAGCTGTCAATGCGCAGGGGAGCCTCCTCCACTTTTCAGGGGCGCCACGTCCAGGCAATCACGACAATAATACGAGGCGAGCAATTGAGAGAGCGACAGATGATGGAGAAGGAAGAGGAAAGGAGGGGATTGATCTCCCTCCGGAGAGTGGAGAGGTGATGATGTCTTGCAAGTAAAGCTCCCGGAGTTGATCGGCGAAAGAAACGATCGCGGTCGCGCCTACCCGATCGGGAAATATCATATCAGATGCTCGGGGTTTCGTCCCGGGGAATTATTATTATTATGCGAGCTATAGATACCTTGAGATAGCTATAGTGACGATAGAAAATATATAACAGAATGTTCCGGAAGCTATACGAGTACACGTGAAAGCATCGAATTTGTTCAGCTTAACTAGGTACCTCAGAAGAGCAGCCGGATCGTATGCCTTCACATGATCTTTCAAACGTCATCTCTGATCAACATCAACATTTTATGCTTCTAGTTCTCCGGCTATTGACCTGCAAATTAGATAGCCATAACTTCAACCGTCGACTCGTCAAATACCAAAGCGAGGCGAGACATGCTCAACGCTTTATCAGCTTAAATGTGCATAACTTTACATCAACGGTTATAACACCACATACAGCAGTATAGATGTGCGCCATATGATGTCAGTTGACTGTATCCTTATTCTGACTCCGTAGGCAAAGCACGAGTCCAAGCAAAGTAGGTATGACCGTGTAGAGCGACTTCGCCATTCTCGTTCTTTTCCACACCATCACTCTTCAATATCTCAGCGACCTCTGCTTTGGTGTCCTGTAAACAGATGCATCAGTACAACAACGGACGACCAACAAAGTACCGGAATATCGAAATAGAATTCCGTGAATTTACAACTTACTTCTAGTTCCTTTCCCTGCAGAATTGCGATCTGACTGAGCGTGTGGAATCGATCCCAAACCGCACTGGGCGACAAGAATTTTGTGAAAGGTACAGAGATCTCTTGCAAAGGCTGAGAAAAGAGAATAGGCTTTTGCTCCTTATCTTCCAGGACCTTTCTCCACGCACTATGTCTGAATCGAGGCTGGTTGTCATCGTGTCTCCAGATGATGTCTTTCATCTTAGCTTCGCCCTCTGTTCGGGGTGTCCATTCTCTGGGCGAGTTATCTCAGAAGAAAGTCAACATCTGAATACGTACTTCTTTGAGTCAAGGCTGCGCAGCTTACAATCTTCAATATTCCAGATAACGCCGAAATATCCGCCAGGCTTCAAGACGCGGTGAATTTCCTCTAGAGAGTCCCGGTTGGAGAACCTGCAGGAAGCGTCAATCGAGGAGATTCGATCGACATAGTCATACTGGATGGAAATATACTCACCAATGCCACGCCTAAATATTAATTATATCAGTATCACTAGAGTAGATTTTTTTTTACTTCCTATTTTGGTTGGTTCTGAGATGCATACCTGAGCCGCGATGAGCCCGTCAACGTTCTTAGACGGAACTGGAATAGAAGTCGCCGTTCCATTTACCACCCTTACTCCAGGAAGAGACTTCCTCTCCAGCTCTGCGCGCATCTCGTCGTGTGGCTCGACAGCCAGGATATCGAATGCCTCCGGTCGCGCCGCAAGAACCTCGGTGAACTTCCCCGTTCCAGCCGCGAGATCTACCACCTTTGCACCTGCATTGCCCGCCAGATGAAGGGCCGCGAGCAGCTTATCGACCGCCTCTGCGGGGTATGAGGGGCGATGTTTATCGTAGGAAGATGCATTGGCAAAGCCGGCCTTCGCGATGGCAGATAGAGACTTTGACGCTGGCATTGAGTCGACTATACAGTATGTGCTGTCTGTACACCAACAATGTTGAATTTTGAGGTTGAGCCCTGATGATATGTTTCCAGACAAGCAGGATAGTTAAACCATAAGATGCAGAATCAACGTTAGTAAGTCCGTCCCTGACTTTACCTATCCTCGATGTCCACGAGTTAAACATCTGTCTACCACGTTGGTTAAGTGAAAGTATCCACCCGAAAGGCGGCTTATTCCGCAGCATTTAGTTACCGATGGCGGGAGCAGCAATACTTACTACATGATCATTGAAATCGGGAGAACAAATATTATGTGTTCATATTAACAGAATTCAGGGATCGCAAATTTTGGACCAAGAACTAGCAATAGCGACTGCTTTTCTTGATTTTCGAGACAAAATTACCTGGACAATCAGAAATTTACCAGAGGATAAGTCACGCCAAAACTAAGCCGGCCGAAAATGTTCCAGTTTTCTCTATAAACCACAAGGTATATTCCCACAAAGATATAATAATAGACTAAATAGAGGGCAATAATTTCCATAATACAAACTACACCACTGGTAAAAAGAAGCAGACAAAAGACTAGTTGACAGACGCGCAGGACGCCTAAAAATGACGAATCGGGCGCTATGATTGCGACAGGGAGATACAATAGGTAGATTGTAGTGCAGTGGACATGTCAGACTGCAGAGACTGATCTGACCTCAGACACACAACAACATCTGATCACGATTTAGCTAAAATAATCTCCAAATTTGCTTCGTGGTTATGCTACATCCCATTAATCGAGGATAAGCAGGTACCTAGTTACCTTTCCATAAACCACATAATCAATATATATACAGTACACGAGGATGTCAACGGCAACGCCACATTTTAAAGTCCTTATAGCTGGTGGTGGTGTTTCCGGGCTCACCTTGGCGCTTGCTCTTGAACGCGCTGGTATCGACTACGAGGTATTCGAGAAAGGTGACATCGATACTGATCTCGGTGCATCGATCGCCATCCATGGACCTACTGTTCGAATCCTGGATCAGCTCGGTGTCTGGGCAGATATCGAGCCACTCGTGACTGATATGGAGAGGTGTTATCGAGTTGATGGTAAAACTGGACATGTGATTCTTGACTCTGATTTTCATCGAGTGCTACAGGATGAGTACGTATGACCTTATATTAGTTTCTACTCTGGTACCGTTCCATTCTGTGTATTTTGGGCAGCAGATTCCAATGACTGCGAAGCTCAAAATTATCTCATTGCTTCATATATACTCTCAAAAATGCCTCTATGTTGTTCTAAAGAGCTATCTGACACAGATACAGGTTCCATTGGCCCATCGTATTCCTCGAACGGAGAATACTTCTCAAGGCCATCTACAATCGCATCCAGAATCAGTCAAAAATCCATAGCCACGCAGCCGTGATTAAATACGACCAAGATGCCGACGGCGTTGTTGTAACCACCAGCGCGGGTGTATCCTGTCGGGGAGATATTCTCGTCGGAGCAGACGGTATACATAGTCACATCAGAACACTGATGTCTAAGCATACTAGAGAAACCAAGGAGCCTCTCAGCAGGGAAACCAATAATAGTACGGTATCTCCGAATAATGAACTCACCTTGTATCTCTCCAAGTCGCTGATCCAAACCAAACCAGCTTTCGTGACTGAGTTTCAAATCATCTTCGGTGTCTCCCATCACGAACCCACCGCATCTTGGTTGGCAGATGGACATACTGTCTATCTGACCCACGGCGACAATCACTCAGCAATCGTCATCAAGACAAGACCAGATCGTGTATTCTGGTTCTTAATCAATAAGATCAAACGGACAGAATATGACTATGTCCACCGCCTTCACTATACCCAGGAGGATGCCCAAGCACTCATTGATGAGCGCGGTGGACTCTTAATTGTGCCAGGACACCCTATCCGGGAGTTGTGGGACTCTCGAATTAAGGCGACTCTAGTCCCGATGGAAGATGGTATTGTCAAGAAATGGAACGATGGGAGAGTCCTCTTAATCGGTGATTCTGTACATAAGGCACGTCCTCTTCGTTATTCCTTCCATTGCAGAATCACAGTTCATGAGAACTTCAGCCCATTGCTAACTAGGAACTTTAACAGTTCACTGTAAATGCCGGTCTTGGAGGTAACATGGCCTTCGAAGCCGTTGCACATTTGACAAACCGACTTGTTTCATTGCTGAAACAAAACCCTCGCCCAACATCACAAGATCTGACTTCGCTCTTCGAAGAATTCGAAAGCGCTCATCGACCGCGCACAGAAATTGCCCGGAACATGTCGATCTACACCACACGCCTTGAAAGTCAAGCTAGTTGGTTCCTGAAGTTCTATGCTCGATACATCATGCCGCGGAATTCGGCCAAACAGCTCAGTCAACCAATATTGGAATGGGCCCTCGCTGCTCCGTGGTTGGAGTTCGTGCCGTTGCCAGATAGGGATGCTGATTTTCTGGCGAAGAAGGAAGAGCATGAGAAGGCTCAGAAAGATCGTGCGTACTCTGCAATTACGTGGTCTACTGTGGGTACCGGTCTGGTGTTAACTACCGCTGCGGTTATCTGGGGGTTGCGTCTAAGACGGGCTTGAGTTTTTAGATGAGGTTTTTTCTAACAAATATCGAATCGATATGCCAATGTTTGACAGCTATTAAGTGATCGAAAAGACCAGTTAGATTGACACAGGACTGAAATCATGTAGGACTGGCTCTCTCGTGTCTTGCTATGTAGAACAATATCTCTTAGTCAATGACAGACAGGATCATCCAGGAGATTGATCACAAGTAATCTATATGTTAGCTCATCTTCAAATACGGTACTCATCTATCGACGTAAACATCAAAACTGCCCACTGACTCATATATCCATGACGTAAGACTGCATTTCGTTCACTGTGTGATGCTAGCTATACATGTCGCACTCAGACTCTGCACATCCCTAATGAAAAAAAAAAACCCAGGTATCTGTGGCTTGAACCGGTCACAGCTGACGAGGGAGACAGGTTTAAAGATAGAAAATGTTGGAAAGAATGCCTCGCACAAGATAGGTATAGGAACTATGAATAGAGTTGCAAATCATAAAACATGAACCGACCCTCTAAACGCCTGTGGATGATCCTCTATGCCCTCAATTATTTATTGTGAATCAAGAGGTTACGGAATGAGTCCCAATGATCAGAATCCGCATAACTGGTAATATTTGTCAGTAAAGTATAGCGGAAGGCAAAAAAGAAGAAGATAAATGGTACGTACATGTACTTCATACTGCTTCGCAAGCTCGAGGCCAATGTGTCGGGGTACCAGCGGAAGATATACATGACAAAGGCCCACGTAAAGCTTGCGAAAACTGGCCAGGCGTTATTTGTCATCTTTTCTCGGGTATCTGGCGTGATCAGATGAGAGAGAGGGTGGACGTTAGGTTGGATGGCGATCTTAGCAAGAGCAAGCATCACTCGCGCAAACACGTAGATTACAATCTAAGAATATGTTATCAGTCATGGCAAGATCAAATATTTGGAGAAGGCATCCCATAGACGTGTGTATGCGCACCTGTTGGCTCACGCTGCCCGGGTTTCGGCCAAAGACGACATATCCTCCCAACAATCCGGCCATAAAGGTATCATATCGACCCTCTTTTCGGGACGCCGTAGGGCTCAACATCCTCAGAACTACCAGTGTTGCCTTATATACGATAGCAAAGGTCGCTAGGTTGCGAGCATGTAGCCGAGTGGCTTTCAGGACGAGCTTAGTCTTTTCTCGGATTCTAAATGCAGTATTCAATTAACAACTGACCGACTGCAGAATGCAGAATGCACAGGATATACTTACGTCCCCGATCTGAATAGGAATATCATCCTAAACACAGAGTATCAGAATTATCAATATTCTGACTGCAGCCATCACATTCTCTTCCAAGGTTCCTTACACCAGTGCGTGCGGAAACCGCACTTTAGCACCGTACACCGCGCCATTTCGAGCGCCTTTGATGATAGCCAAAAAGGGAGCGAGGTCCGGATCGAGGACAATGGAATTTAATCGTTCCTATAGTAGATGTCAGAGTCTGAAGCTTGTGTTAACACGTCGGGCATCGCTACCATGATGGCATCCATGGCGCCGTTCTGCGGCCGCAACCTGGCCGAGATGCTAGTCAGCGGTAAAAGGGATCTCAGCCAGGCGCTGCGCGTGCATAGATAAACTATAGGTTAAATAGGTCTACACCAGCTGTGCCGTCATGAACAGTAACTGGCTCTGAAAGATCATTGAGGGATGATGATGACCCCAAAAATGCGGGCAGCCCATCCAAGTCCGACCGGGAGACTCCTCGGCATGTGAAGCAGTGCCGCGGTTGCTTCCAGAGCGACGTCAGTGATGGTCACGTGAGTAACTGCCGATCGGCATCCGTGTATCAGAAGTTGTATCTAGTCTGGGCTGTAGGCCACGATGTATTTTCTGGATTCGGATTAAGAATTAAATAAGTTCGCACTTCATCTATCCATTCTTTGTCTTTGCATGTATCGTATCAATCATGGTTCTCCCGGAAACAACAAGACAACAGATCACTGCGGCTCTTTTTCGTCAAGAACCTTACCCGTACATCTGTCTCACCTACAATGTCTCTGACAGACAACTCCGGAGGATAGCACATTGTCTTCGAACATGGGGGACGACGGTACCGCCACGAAAAGAGCATACAAAGCCAATGGGACGGCCTCCAGTTGTGCCGAAAGAGGTCCAAGAAGTATGCCGCGGGGAGGTACAGTTAAATCGTTTCAGATTAGATAATTGATTCCTATCCAGGAACTCCGAGATTATGTCGAGAAACACCCAATAGCTGGACTCAAAGAGATCCAGTCTTATCTGCAAAGTGAATGCAATACCAAGTTCGGCCTTTCAACGATATCGCGGCGGCTGAAAGATATGGGGTATGCCCTCAGCATCGTGTCTCGAGGAGCAACGTCGGTGGAAAAGGACAATATTCCCAACCTTAGCCAAGAGGACAGGGAACGCTTGTTACTGGATCCCGTTGCAACGGAAGCGATGGCTGGTCGCGGTACGGTCTATGCGTGGTTAAGAGGCACCAAGCCAGTTCCACGTCGGCAAGGCGTCCGACCAAAGAGGAAGAGAGCTTCCGATGATCCTCAAGGACACGAAGTAGAGGATGATAGAGAGCATTGTAGTGAATTTTCTGATGTGGACTCGCCAGAACACGATGCTAATGGCCCGGGTGCAAATATACGGGCCTCAGAGCCTTCAACCACCCATGGCACCTTAGAGTGATGTTTAATATTCTTTACATTATTGCTTCGAGTTAATTTCATCGCCAAATGGCAGCAACCATTACATTTTCGGCGATCGATATCTCTTCTCCCTGTGCAAAGAAAGGATACGGAAAAGTGATCCAGGATGTTTGTTGGAAATAAGCTGGAAAGCATGCTTTTATAATTCGGGAAAGGTCGATATGCATCATCTGGACAGGTACCCTAGTATGACAAACAGTGAAACTATTTTTCCGCGTGGCCCAAACCAACCATAACGCCGTGCTAAGAAACAGAATCGAGTCCCATATGTGGGCTCTAGCCTGTTCTCGCTCTCTTTCTTCCCTCGTCATCTGAGACCTCGTCCACATCCATCATATCAGCGTCGCCTTCGTCGTCAGAATCGATTCCAGCGCGTCTCTTGAGACCCTTCATCTTCCTCGTCTGCAGACCACCAAGATCCTGCTTGCCCAGGTGCACTCTGCCGACTTTGTCACCGATGGAATCCATGCTGATGTTCTTCTTTGTTCTTTCCTCGTTCGGCTTCCTGCCTTGCTTCATCGCCGCTTTCATGGCATCTGGCTCCGCTTCACGGATACGGCCGATCTTGAAATCGAACTTGGGACCTATCTCATCCAGCTCAACACGGGGCAATTTCTGACCACTCTTCTTTGTGCGAATCTTATACCACCGCAGGTGGATCACGGGCGCAGTACCCTCAACAGGTTCCTCAGCGCCAACCATCAAGATGTACTGCAAACCCTCCACATCGATCTTGTCCGTTTCCTCTCCTCTGAAAATATCCAGCAGCATGCTCTTCACCATCGCGTAGTTGGCGGCAGTCGAATCCTCCCAGGCGCTACCAGCGAACAGCATCATGGGCTTCAGTCCGACACCGATGTTCATCTTCAAGGCATTTGGAGGCGGGACAGCGCCCTCATCTTGCGGCGGCAGCAGCATCAGTTCACACATATCCAAAATTTTCGCATTGAATATTCTCGCAATCGTCACACAGTTGGGACGCTTCTTGCTACTGCTCCCAAAGACCACGACACCACACTCGTTCTTGTTGGCAAGGAATTCGAGGCTCTCCACATTCTCAAATGGGTGGATATTCTCATTCTTCTTATGAAACAGGATCGAATTAGGCTGGGTAAGTCCATGGATAGTCTTCAGAACAGTGTGTAGAGGAGTAGGACATTTCGTGCCATGTAGCAAAAGAGTGCGCTTCGCGGGCTCGATGAGCTGCGGTTCTCGGGCCTTGAGAATGCGTGCCGCACGGGCGGTCTTGGGCTTTCTGCAGAAAAAGTCAGTCTGGGCACCCTAGATGATAAATTCAGCCTGATACGTACACTTCTCTCAACATCATAGTGCCCTTTTCTTCTGCTGAAGGAGTGAGGTGAAGATGGCTAGTTCGCTGTGCGGAAAGAAAAGTTTTGGGGATGGAAGTCTTGGCGCTCTTGACCAAAGTTCCTTATCGATAAGCTTATTCTGGATAAGTGCCAAGAACATATCCAAAGTCTATCCAAGGCTTTCAAGAAGACACTTCTGTTGCAAAATCAACCAGTCTTTGAGGGAAGGACTCTACGGACCAGATAAAATGGTCGTGGTATAGCATAAGTTTGTTCATATCCAAATTATGCGCCACTCAAGCTCGCAATATCCGTCCAGAAATCTATTCACTCATTGTATATTTTATCTCGCTCTTGAAAGGACAGGACTCAAAATTCCTTTCTATTCTCTTACCATGAAGAAACAAATACGAGCCCTCGAACTGATCGACTTCCGTCCATATGTAGAAAATTATAAAGCTATGGCTACTGAAATACTCACGCAGTAACTCGTCATTACTCACATAGAGCTTGGCACGAGCGTCCTTGACTGCCCCTGGGAAGAGATGGCGTTTTCGTTTCAGGCATTGTACGTGCTAAATCCTATGGTATGTTCATCTATTAGAAATCTAAAAACGGACATGTAGTTTAACTAAATCATACTTCCCGTGGACCAAGGACTGAAGAGCTACCTAAGAGATTTCGCAGGATATCTCTGCTGCGAGCTCGTCAGAAACAATAATGACTACAGCGGAAACTCTCGAGTAGCCATGTTTCATCATCCCATTGTACTCGATAATGCATGTCATCGATTATACGCAAAGGGCCCAATCGTCGCAAGAGGTCTTCAGACAATTCACCATCCTTAATAACCAGAACCGTCCTATAATAGCTCACGCTTCAAAGGTAAGATAGCCTAAGAAACAAAAAAAACGGTTTCTTTTTCTTTCCTGGGGATAATAATCCTTACCTCTATAACTCTACTTCGGCCCCATCCTCAAAGTATTGGTCATCACCATCTGCTGTAAACACTTAACACTAAAACAGGGTCAACAGGTACGCGGCCCCTCGAGTGAATTTCTGTACAGATCTAGAACCTGGCCAAACAGAAGTCAGATCTGAGGATTTGGCCCTATCGAGTTTCATCTAGAGACCGCTCGTATGGTAATGCCATTTCCAGTCCATCGTCGGCACTAGCATCTACTTAGATATGTCCTGCGCACCGACGATGTTTTAGCAGCACTAATGCTACTCCATGTAGGTGGGATTAGCAGCCTGTGTTATAGAATTTGAAATTCTATTTTAAAATAGCTTACTATGGATAGCTTCAACGCGAATGTAAGCTTTATTCCTAAAAGTTGGTACATTCTTAATTGGTGGTACATAATGTCAAGATAATCCCTTCGTTCACCGAGAGATTCAGCAGCTTATCCGATGCGGTAAGACCATGAGTTTCGGCAAAATGTTTCATTTGTTTCAAATTAAGCCTCGAATAGCGATATGGGCATATACAAGTCACGTGAAATCAACTGTTTACCCCTGGTTTCACCATTAGATATCGCAAACTTTCCTCATGAAAGTAAACAGCTTCAGATTCTCTTGCCTGCAGATTGTCATTGTTTTTTTATTTCTATAGTGTATAAATCACTGGTCTTTGAGTATAGTCAATTGAATGCGATATTGACTTTCCTTGCTCTGGCCACGTACCAATACCTGAGTTGTCAACGGAGCATGTAACTAAGTAATAAGCCAAGAGCAACGAGACGCTACTGATGAGTCCTGAGACGACTACTGTCTGATTTCACGGCCAAAGGGGCATGAGCAAGTGCTCCATCATGCGGCACCAGTACAGATCGAGCAATAATAACGGTCTTAGAACTCTGCTAATGCCAGATCCGAGTCCGCATCAAGGCAATCCTGCCGTAAGCTGTACACTAATATTCACCATGTTAAACAAACTTGGAACCTCTAGGACTAGGGTTTGCGCAACAGATGCCAAACCATGGATCAACATATACAGGAACAAGTAGTTAATTAGTTGCTGCAAGTAATAATAACTAATCGAAATCTGCGCACCAGCTTCCAGACTCCGTGCCTGATTGCTGAGCCCCGTGCAAGTCTCGTCTCTCTCTCTCTTTCGCTTCTTTTCAATTCTTTTTTGCGCAGGTCCGCCTAAAGCTTGCTAAGCGGGTACCTTTTCATTCCTTTTCTTTCTGTTTTCCAGGTGATCTTCAGGCCAAGAATAATAATAAGACAGTCTACACTCGTTTACTTTGCCCCTGGAGGGCCTCGCCTTTGAATCGCTGTGTTGTCTATCTCAATCTTCGGAAGCCCTCGACGCCTGGTTGCGGGTTCCTCATCAAGGTCTCGGACAGTAATACAAACAGAGCACAGAGGATCATCCGTTACGATGAGGAAAGGACAACATAATGGGATGGGGCCCAATCCCTCGTTCACATGGCACGTTGGAGTGCTTCTGCTGCTTGCGATATCCAAGGTCAGTACCCTCCAAGTAGTAGTATAACCCATACTGAATTCTCCGCAGAATACGGTCAACGCACAATGGAACGCCACTATGTCAAACGCAGGACAGCAGCTGTATGATGGCCCAGTACTGTGTCCCGTTGAGATTGAATATAGCTAATTGGCATCAAAGTGCTGCTGGAACGTTGGGATCTGTTGGACCTCTACCCGGAGCACCCACGCCGACACAATCATTATTGGTTGGGGTACGATTTGTTGATTGATTTCTTATATTAAGGACATGGCTAATTATCGACTATAGACCGGAAACCTGAAGTCCAGTCCAGCGGTGGCAATAATCCCCCAAGCGCAAGGTAAGACGATATTCATAACTCGGAGTACCTGCAGTGGCTAACAATAATGAAGCTGCAGCGGACACCCTTGGATCTGTTGGGCTTTTGCCCGGAGCACCTACGCCGACACAATCATTGTTGGTTGGGGTAAGATATGTTGATTTCTAAAATTTGTGCTGCTACTGATTCTTACCAACAATCATAGACCGGAAACCTGAAGTCTAGTCAGGCGGTGGCCGCATCATCATCAGTCGCCGTAGTTGCAACATCATCGTCGGTAGCCGCAGTCGCAGCATCATCATCAGTTGCCGCAGCTGCAGCATCATCGTCAGTGGCCGCAATTGCAATATCATCGTCAGTGGCCGCAATTGCAACATCATCCTCGGTGGCCGCAGCTGCAGCATCATCGTCAGTGGCCGCAGTGGAAACATCATCGTCCTCGGTAGTCGCAGTCGCAGCATCGTCCTCGGTGGCCGCAGTCGCAGCATCGTCCTCGGTAGCCGCAATTGCAGCATCATCGTCGGTGGCCGGAGTCAGTACACCCGCCATGTCTTCCGCAGCAGTTGCGGCATCGTCATCGGCTGTTGCAGTACCTGCTGCCACACCTGCAGGTAGTGCCGGGTCCGATTCGGGAGCTTGCGACTGTACCTGTCTTTGCCCGGCTAGCGCTTTCAGCATATACCCATCCAGTTCAGCTGCCGCCCTAGCGTCAACATTCGCAACCATAATGACACCCGCATCGAGTGCTGTTGTAGCAGGCTCTACATCAGCAGTTATGTCTTCTAGTGTCGCTGTCCCTTCCTCGAGTAGTGTTGCGGCCCAGACAGAAAGCAGTACAGCAGTACAGGCCTCTAGCTCTGCAGCGGTACAGCAATCTACCTCTGCCGCAACGTCTTCGTCGTTCGTAGCAGAGACCACTGCAGCAGCAGCAACAACAACAGCAGCAGCCGCAAGTACAACTTTCACAACTGCGACATCAACAACATCAACGACCAGTGCCACAGCAGAGGCAGGGGGTGCTGCTGCAGCGACTGCAGATCCATTCGATATCAACACGGTTGCACTCCATAGCGCATTAACAATCGCGTTGTTTGGACGAGGGGAGGAAGCAGTGGCTACGGCGAGCCTGTGAGGAGAATAATATTCAGAGAATCGGAGTTGTCATCTCTGGAAGAGGCGGCTGCTAAATATTTTCGTATTTCATGTAATGGTTATCTCTTTTGTCTGTGTCTTCAGCAACCCTTAATCGCGAGATTAGAAATTCCGGTGACATCATGCTTAGATGCTAGCAGCACTGGTTTCTGTCCCTCGGATTCGTGACTGTAAACTGTAGTAGTGTTATGGCGTACCTTTAAGTCCGCCTGTATAGCCCGCTTGTATCAAGGAGCATCTGGACCGTGTGCCTCTAGACGTGCCTTCTTAGCTCTCCGTTTCATCTCACGCTTGGACAGAGGCTTCTCGGACTCCTCTGCTGGCGGTTCTGAACTGAGAGATGCCTTTCTCTTTAAGCTATCGGCGGCATCTGAGACTGCAGGGGCACTCTTCTTTGTCTTCGCAGGCTCAATCTTGGGCTTCTCCCCTCCGTGGACCACATCCACTATACCCCGCCAACTACTTCTCTTCAATCTTGCCAGCGCAGTCACTTTTCTTGCTTCTTCGCAGATTGCCTCTTTCCCGCGCTCTTGTGACAGACCCCAGACACAGGCAAGATTGATCACATCCCAGGGAGCACGCACACCTAGTGCCCTCTTGGCCTCACTCGATATGATGATGCCCCTTCCTCGCGTGGCACGAATTAGAGCCATAGCATTCCCAATGAGATTCCGTCGTGCTTCCAAGCCGCTTCCAGTCACACCAGGGCCATAGCAGATCTCGAAACGAACCCCACGCGAGATGGCCGACGCCAGTGTCTTGAATTTGAAATGGAACGGAAGACGTTCTGAGAAGTCGAGTGAGATCAGATCACAATCCAGGTTGTTGCATGCATTGAGAAGTGACTTTTCGTTCGTAGGTCGTACGGCAACCAGTGAATATGTCTCAGCCAGGGCCGTCAGACGTTGATTCTGCGAAGGATCTGCGAGCGGGATATTCACGCGGGACAGCAGCGTGAGAGACTTGGGAGCATTTGCTGGAGGAGAAGGCGGGGCAGCATTGGGGGGTATCTTCCCGGTGATCGTTTGAGACAAGGCGACAGTAGTGTAGCCCACTGGAACCCGGTCAGTTTCTCATGTCACGCGCAGAAATACAGAGAAAAAAAAAGGAATTGACGTACATTCTGCAAGAAACTCCAGCGTGTGGAGGATCTCAGGGTCATCAGGGGAATACGGCACATTCAGATCATAAAACATTTTGGCAGCTTAAAACCGTCCAGCCCGCCCTATGCCCTTCAGGGTTCTTGTCGATGGTGTAAAGTGAAGCTATTCTGCTGCTGTCCAGGAAAGGAAACTGAAAAGCGGCGGATAAACAGCTTTTCCGCCACCGCTTTAATCCCGCTAGCCGCATCGGGGGGCTCCCCACATGATCACCCCGTGACTTGGATGAACGAGTCTCTTACGCTGGTTCAACACCACCACCAGTGCGCGATCAGTTAACTGTTTCTGCAGTCACTTCGGGAAAAGTATCGCTGCTGATCGGTGGGCTCTTTGTCACCTACCTCTCGGCACGCATACCTCTGCCCATCTTACAATTCTCATTCCTATCTCATCGCCCTCCTACCTCACCGATTTTGCCCCGCCACAACGGGTTTCGAGGTCCGATTGTGGGCGAGTGGCATCAGCCTTTAAGCCGCCAGCAACATGGCGCGCGTCTATGCAGATGTCAACGAGCATATGCCAAGGTCCTATTGGGACTATGATAGTGTGAACATCTCTTGGGGCGTTCTGGAGAATTATGAGGTTGTGCGCAAGATTGGTGAGAGCCCCTCCTTGTCGCAAGCGGGAATAACAAAACAAAAACAAAAATTGAAAAATCGAGGGACTGGAAATTCTAATGTTTTATCTATTATCTCAGGTCGCGGAAAGTATTCGGAGGTGTTTGAGGGCATCAATGTCGTGAACTACCAGAAATGCGTCATCAAGGTCCTCAAGCCTGTGAAGAAGAAGAAGATCAAGCGTGAGATCAAGATTCTGCAGAATCTGTCTGGAGGACCTAATATTGTGGCCTTGCTTGATGTCGTTCGTGACAGCCAGAGTAAGACGCCTAGTCTGGTATTCGAATACGTGAACAATACCGACTTCCGTACGCTCTATCCTCGTTTCGTGGACTACGATGTTCGTTACTACATCTATGAACTTCTGAAGGCACTCGACTTCTGTCACAGCAAGGGTATCATGCATAGAGATGTGAAGCCTCACAACGTTATGATCGACCATGAACGGCGAAAGGTGTGTGGTATCTGACACTTGAGATACCTTTATGAAACTAACCAGATGTAGCTCCGACTTATTGACTGGGGTTTGGCGGAGTTTTATCACAAGGGGACTGAGTACAATGTCCGCGTTGCATCAAGATATTTCAAGGGACCTGAGCTTTTGGTCGACTACCAGGAGTACGATTACTCTCTTGACATGTGGTCGCTGGGCGCGATGTTCGCTTCGATGATTTTCCGGAAAGAACCCTTCTTTCATGGAAACAGCAACTCGGACCAGCTCGTAAAGATAGCCAAAGTTCTTGGCACCGAAGAACTCTTTGAGTACCTTGACAAGTACGATATTGAGCTTGACCCGCAATACGATGAGATCCTCTCGCGCTTCCCCAAGAAGCCATGGCATTCATTTATCAATGCTGAAAACCAGCGATTCGTCAGCAACGAAGCTATCGACTTCCTTGACAAGCTTCTGAGATATGATCATGCGGTACGTCATATGGTGCTCGTTTGAAGTTGATGTGGTTGCTGATATCATTATAGGAACGTCTTACCGCTAAGGAGGCCATGGCCCATCCTTATTTTGCTCCTGTTCGCGCAGCTGCCGCTCAAGGCTCTTCGAACAGTACTCCTTCTCACTCCTAATGACTATGAACTATCATGAAGATGCCGAAGTACCTCATTTACATCCTCCATCAGCCCGAGGCCCTGGAGCTGGTATGAGTGGTAGTCGCTCCTACTTCTCAATGCCAAAACAATCGCCGGCGTTCTCAGCTCCCGTTCAATCCCGATATCATGGTGAAGAGGTCCAAGACGGTTAGGCGACAAGGTGTCTGGGCCTCGCGCTGCACTTATTACCTGCAAGAACTATTCTGATGATTGATGGAATGCTTGTGAAGACGATTTCTGCACACACCGCGCTTACTGCTCAGTTACTCCGGTGCACTTATCGGTCCCGAGTCTAGATATATAGAGTGAGCGGAACCACTCGACCATGTCTAGAGCACCCAAAGTTATCACGTTTTCTGCGTAACTGTACATCCCAAGTCCTCTTTCCGCTTTTTATGTTCCTTCCGCCGGAAGACGGGATTTCAAAGGAGCTAATCACGGCTATAACTGTTCATCTTTCATCGTGTTTTGTTTTGGCCCACGTGTGGAAGCGGAATGATAGTGGGCAAACTCTTTGTCTGGAGCGCTGGGTTGTTGGTTCCGGTTGTTGTCTTTTCCTAGATTTCCAATGAACGTGCATAAAGATACCAACTTATTCCCGTGTAGAAAGTACATTTTCATTCCGAATAATTCAGGAGTTCCATCGAGTTCGTCGTCGGCAACACTGCAGTCCTAGGCCTGTACATAATGGCTGTCCTTAATCTTATCGGTGAGCACTGTCCACTTTTCAGACTTACGCAGGATAATATGTAATTAAATTCATTAATAACGCCTCTAGAAAGAAAGAGAAATCGCTATATCATTGTCTAAGTATACAATCCGACGTATATTCTCCCCAAGAGCATTTTCACGTGGTAGTGACGTATTCCCGTCAGATAAGAATATCAACAGGTTTTACCTCCTTATATACGTCAACACAGCGCCTAAGAAGTTTCTCCGTCAGTGAAGACTGCTCGACATTTTGAGATTACCTACAAGAGCGGCACCCCAGAGAAATAATATTCGATAAATAGAAACGAGAAAACCTAAAATGTCCCAAGCCTCTGCATCTCAGAATCCTCGTAAGTCTACCTCTAACCGACGCTGTAACGTCTGACTAAATTAGTACCTTGGGAGTGGATAGTGGGACAACCTACAGCTCCTCTCACAGAGTGGCCTCCGAATGCCAACGAAGAGACCAAGAAAGAAGTCCTTGAGGCTGCGAGGAAAGACCCTGAAGGGCAACATTTAGGTGGGCACGATAAATCTGAACCACCGAAGATAGTACTGGAAAAGAAAGTACAAGGGAAACCATAGCGTTGTGATAATGTTCTCGAAGGCTATATACATGCTGAGGGAGGAAAGACGTACAGACTTATAAACATGGCATTGGTATTCCACAAGAATGACAGCATATTCAGATATCCAGAGTCTTGTATAATACCTAATGAGAAATGTATGCAGAGAAACATGTAACACTCGAACCGTATGGAATTCCCACCATAAACAGTCACTGCTCTAGGTTTAGAAGAAAAGAGCACAGAACGTCCCTAAGGACGGAAACCCTCCCACCTGCCCTCCGCAGGCATCAAACCATCTGTCTCTATACCAAAACAATCCAACATGCGCGCCACGCTATGGTTAACAATATCATCCAGTCCCTTCGGCCTAGTATAGAATGCCGGGACAGCGGGAAAGATAATCACGCCCAATTTAGCCAGCGCTAGCATATTCTCAAGATGGATCGCACTGAGCGGCGTCTCCCTTACAACCAACACCAACGGTCTGCGTTCCTTGATACACACATCCGCTGCGCGAGAGATCAAGTCCTCTGAATAACCCGCTCGTATGGCAGCTAATGTTTTCATACTGCACGGCGCGATGAGCATTCCATCTGATTTCCAGCTTCCGCTGCTCATAGGTGCAGCCATGTCGCGGATGGGCCAGGATCGGCCCGTCGCGAGTGCCGCGACGTCTGCGACGCTGTATGATGTTTCGTATTTGATTGTCGCGTGTGCCCATTTTGACTTGATTAAGTGCGTCTCAATGCCTAGAGTGCGCAGATACTGCATGGCTACAACGCCATAGATGACGCCTGTTGCGCCGGTCATGCCAACTATGAGGCGGTTGTGTTTGAGACCCGTAGGCGGAGGTGAGGGCATAGAAGAGTATGGTTGCCTTGCATGTTGGGATATATGAGAAGTCGTTGGTTGATACAGTTGGTCAATTGGTGACGATAATTGTAAACCTTTCGCTCGAACTGGAGTTGTGGTTGCCGGTGTTGTTCTCAACCAAGAGGCATTGATTCTGCTCGCTGTGCGGGAAAATGAAGGAATTGGTCCCAGCATCCTCTCACAACACAGCTAATTTACTCGCCCGTCAGATCGTAGATCGAAGGCACAGTCTGACAAAAATAAATATCGATTTCCATGGGTGGTATAGCAAGCATATCCCATTTCAAGCGCTCGGTTAGCTCTTGTCTGTTTTGCATCGTCATCATGCGACAGCCGGCGTAGAGCCGGGAACTACTCCCGTTGTAACCGGATGCCGCGTCAAGCCGATCATTATTGGGGCAGATATGTTCCTGGTTTGAGGCACGAATAAGTTATGCTCCAGTGCGTCTGTATTATTATTTAATCTTTCTCTGGACGTGAAGATGCTGTCCCTTACTTGGAGAAAGATTCGTTCTTGTTTGGGTTGACAATATGTTGTCATCTGTTACTATGTATCGAGTATTCAACTGGACCAAGTGTAGCAGTAGCAGTACCTCGACCATCTAGCCATGTTACGCGGCACCTGCGAGCTGTATTAATTTTTCCACTCATAAGATTGAGGTTTACGTCTTCAATATTCTGCTCAACGGCGAAAGAAGGTGGCTGCTTCTAACGTAGTTACCTAGGTATGTTGGCGAGACAGAGTAGATCCAGTTGCTACTAACTTAACCAAATTTACCAGCCGGCACATTCCAGTCTCCAAAGTTGGCTAGCCAACTACATAGCTATGTAAGTAGTCTATCTGGATTCTGAGGTAGATATCTCCAGAATCCAGATCAACAGCCAGTGTGGAAATAGATGAGTCGGGCTTTTCCCCCGGCCTCCCCGATCTCCCCGTCGGGACCTATCCGCCGGCACTGACGAACGGCATAAACAGAGACACGTTACCTCGGGATCCAATCTAATTATCTTTAGATGGATGTAGAGCCCTGTACTATTTTGTCAGTAGATTCTCTAAAAGAAAGTGACAAGGCTTCTGTATCCCTACCTGTACATGATGAGTTTAGCGACCGCGGGCAAGTGGACAACCAGGCGGTTGTTGAGTCCTGCTCAGCAGCGATGTTTCTCCAAAGCACCTTGCAGATGCAGCAGCAATCGTGCCATTAGTGAAGCAAACAACACTCCTCATCTCAGCTTCCGATCGTTCATATCTGCCCTGCGTGAGCAAGGAGACTTGGTGGACGTTAAGGAACCAGTATCAGCCGACCTGGAAGCTGCCGCAGTAACTCGTCGAGTATATGAGAAGCGCGCACCAGCACCGCTTTTCCACGATGTTATAGGTACAGATCCTAAAACCGGCCTCTTTCGGATTCTAGGAGCTCCAGTTGGACTCCGTAAGAATAAGAAGGACCAGTATGGACGTCTGGCATTACAACTGGGTCTTCCCGCAACAAGCACCGCGCGGGAGATTGTTGAGAAGATGATCGCGGCCAAAGAAGGCACTCCCCTGCCTCCGGTAGTTGTGGACAGAGCAGATGCACCATGCAAAGAAAATATCCTTAAGGGCAGTGAGGTTGATATGACTAAGTGGCCCATTCCACGTCTACATGAACTCGACGGTGGTAACTACCTCGCTACATACGGCTTTCACATCGTCCAGACCCCTGATAAGTCTTGGGTGTCGTGGTCCATTTCGCGGGCAATGCACCTTGCTGGGGAGCCACGGGCACTTACTGCTCCTGTCTTGAAAGGCCAACACATCCATGCCGTGAGACAGAGATGGATTGATGCTGGAGAGGAGAAGACTCCTTGGGCGTTAGTATTGGGCGGTCCTCCTGCAGCAGCCTTCGTGGCAGGCATGCCTCTTCCATACGAAGTCAATGAGGACGGTTATGTGGGAGCACTTTCAGGGTCTCCCTTAGAGGTCGTTAAATGCGAGACGAACGATCTATATGTGCCGGCAAACTCGGAGATTGTTCTGGAAGGTCACATTTCCAACTCCAAAACAGTTCCTGAAGGTCCCATGGGCGAGTACCATGGCTATGCCTTCAAAGATAAGCCTGTCATGAAACCACTCTTCCATGTCGACTGTGTTACCTACCGAAAGAATCCGGTGGTACCCATCTGCGTTGCTGGTCTGCCGCCAGACGAGACGCACACAGTCTGGGGGCCATCTATTTCCGCAGAATTACTCTCAGCATTGCGCAAAGCTGGCTTCCCAGTGAATTTCGTTTGGCTCCCACTCGAAGCATTGTGCATCTGGATCTTCGTTAGCGTCGATACCAAGAAGCTTGCGAGCATGAACATCTCCCCAGAAGAACTTTGCAAGCGTGCGGGAGAGCTCATATTCGGCACACACGCTGGCTGGGAGATCCCGAAAGTGTTCCTTGTGGGAGACGATGTCGATATCACTGATATCAACCAGGTGCTTTGGGCGCTCTCTACCCGCTACCGACCTGGAGCGGACGAATACATTTTCGATGAAGCGACTGGGCTTCCCTTGTTGCCGTACATGATGCGAGCTACGAGGAAAGAGGTCCCTGATCCGGGCAAGGGAGGAAAGAGTGTTGTGAACCTGCTTCTGCCGGAAGAGTTTAATGGTGAGAGGAACTGGCTACCTAGCAACTTCGAAGGATCCTACCCGGAGGATACCAAAGAGACTGTGCTCTCCAAATGGGAGAAGTATGGATATTCAAAGGATGAGTGAAACTTGAGCCTCAGATAGTATAGTATGTACATGATATTCTGGCTGCTCTAGTTCTTAGCAAAACGCTTCCAAAAAATTAGTCTAGTCTTAGCATTCTTTCTTCGAGCGTCAGATATACCATTCCCCAATTCATCATCCAAATATTCGTCGTCTTCTGTACTCTCCATTGGAGGAACCCAAGGAACAGCCCATTTGTGCTGAGGAATTTCACCTAACTTGGTGCTTCCAGAGCTGATCGAGAGGATAGAAATTCTATTATGCCCCTGAGACCTCTCTGGTGGATCTTTTCTGATATTGCAACATTGAGGAAACTCAACTTGGCCCTTATCTGTAGCGTCACCTACACTCCTGCTCTGACGCTCTGAGTGTGACTCCAACTGATCAGCAGTATAATATCCCACGGGCTCATTCGAGGAGGTTGCTGCTTGATCCGTACCGGACATGTCGAGTCTCGCGTATTTGCTATAATCTGGTCCATCGATCTGTTTCCCTGATGCGTGCTTATTTCTTAGTTTAAGGTTGGCGGTCTGCTGATGGTGCTTGGTGGATGTTATCGTTGCCATGTAGATCGACGAGTGGTTTTTCGATCGTACCCATGCCCCCTGAACCGGTTCAGAAGCCACCGACTTTGCTTTCGACGTCTCTGTTTTCCGCCGCTGTTGCGACGCATGGAAATTACTATTCTTAGTTCGCGCTGCGCTTATCACCGATGTTTCTTTTCTAGTTTGTTGCTTTACTCTTCTTGTTGCTTGCTGATTCCTAGGTCGCCTGGCCAATTCATCTTTTCTAGTCCTTCCATGAACAGCTTTTTGAGATATTCTCGCTCGTGGATCTCCACTAGAAGCAAAAAGCGTAAGCCTCTCCCGAAGTGCTTGTAGTGAGCTAACCGCCTCTGCGGCAGAGGTTTGCGATAAACTCAGCAGAGACTGCCGCGCGAGTTTGTCGCATCTGCTGGACCCTGTCCCTCCGTTCGGTGGAGTGCACAGGCAGGAAGATATGATTCTCATCAGGCCCGCGTTCAGAGCAAGTAGTGTATGTGTCAGCGAGGCTTGGGCTAGTTCTATATATATGTTAATTTCATCAGTATACTCTCTCATCTATCATGAAAAAGCTGCGTGGACAGAGAAGAATAACCAAGCATACCATCTCCCCTCTCGAACCTCTGCCCGAATCTTCTCGTGCTCCGGTCATACTCTGTCATGATTTCGCAGGACCCTGCTTGAAGAGATCTAAGAAGATGCAGTTCATCTTCATCGTCATGATCGCGAGTACTCTTTCTGGATGTTCTGCGGGGTCGAGGTCCTTGTTTTCTCGTTTGAAGCCGTCTGAATACGTCCATCCCGCTGTCGAACGCGGAGACGATAGACCCCACGATGGAAGAGACACTGGGGTTTGGCATTTTGCTTGTGTCGATCTTTTCTTTTTCTCGCTTGATGGCAAGGCAAGTGCATGCCATGATTTACTTCCTACAAAGGACACCACGCCCGTATTTATTTTCCCGATAGGGGCCAGAGAACATGGATGAAGAACCCCACTGTACCTTATTCGAGCCTCTCTGTTGTAGACAAACCAATCGCGGCTTTTATCACATAGCCTTTGGAGAAGCATCGAGCCGTGCCAAAATAACTGCAAGTACTTCTATTCTCGCATAAGGTGCCTGTTGGAGTCTGCACTGACAGGGCGACGGCGCATCTTGGCCAACCACTCATTAAGCTTTCTGCCCTTGGTCGATCTATTGATTCAAACAAGCGTATGCTCTGCTTTTGTCCTGTCTATACTGTATGGAGTGACCACCACGCAGAATGCAGAAATATGCAAGAGGGCGAGGCGCTCGACATTTTAGGAATGCGTCGACGGAGGGCGCGACCTCTCGATGTAGAGCTAAGCATGATAGGTTATCCAGGATAGTGACCAACTACATTTCATATTTCTGGAGCTTTCTGTCGATCTGTATGCAGGATCAGGAAGGAAAGAGTTAGTATACGGAGGCAGCAAATGGGAATAGAACGGAGTTTTCAAGGGGGTTCTTCCGGGCGCTTACAGGAGCGTTGGGATTCGGCCTTTCTTTACCGTGCCACAGCCCATACGAGATCGAAGAGAGGCCAATGTCTAGTTGACCATATCTGGGCTGATACAAGCCCTGGGTAGATTAACTAACTATCCTGTGTCAAGGTAGTTAGCTAGTTAGTTACAGGAAGCTAATATTAATAATATCCTATCCCAACCGTAGATCTGGACAAAGAAATACACTAAATTGCAGGTGGTCTGATGTTATACCATAAGACTCCGATAGCCCGTTCCCTCATATGTATGAAGTAACCCGCTTCCAATGATATAGTAGTGAAAATATGAGCCTTAACAATTATTAAGCTTTGATGGTCTCGGCGCCCACAGGAGAAAATACTCCATCTATGAGAGTCTAAATTGAGTTCGCAGGTGAGTCAACTGCGGACATGACTAGAGGTTAGTTAAAGTTAGTTTAGACGAAGAAGTTGAACAGTGCAATTCTCATATTGATGACGAACGATATCATAGCGCAAGTAACTAATATTTAGCTGGCGATATCTCCCCATAGTGGACACTTGAGACTAACCGAAACCGGCTCAATATGGACTTAATTTCCCGATATGGCGGAACCCTCGGTTTCCGACAAAGAAAAGAAGACCCTTATGTCCGACACCAGCATCAAAGATTTTGCTTTTACGAACAGTTAACAAGTAAGGGCTAGTTTACTAGAATGACGCTTATAAACCCTTTTAAGGTCTAGAACGATACGGGGTTAATTCGGCCGATATGTTTCCGATGGTTCTGGCAGACTACTCTAAGCTTTTACCTGGCCATTACTGATTTATATATCTAGTCGCCTCTCGTTCCTAAACAGCCATCCCTATATTCCCCTTCAACCTTGACACGGCTATCAGACTGCCAAGGTCACCTAAGATGGCATTCATAATCCAGTATACACGACTGCGAAAGCAGGTTCTGCAGCAGTTGCAGGAGATGGACGCGGTGCAAGAGAAGGACGAGGTCGTACCGACGCCAGCAGACGCCGATGTGACTAACCAGTCGCAACCGGGTAAGCCATACAACCCTTCACGCTATTGCCAGATCAGTGGAATCACGTTGGAAGAGGATTGTAACGGTGAACAGTACTTTCGAGTTGGATGGGCAGGGCCGGATGATCAGTTTAACCCGCGGAATTGGACCACGACACGACGTCTCTTTGCGACGCTCTTAGTATGTTTGATCGCTCTGGTAGCGACCTTGGCATCGTCCATTGATGCTGCAGTCATTACCCCAGCATCCAAGACGTTTGGAGTAGCCGAGGTGGTTGAATCGTTAGCCACGGGTATCTATCTGATCGGATTTGGCGTTGGCTCAGTGATCGCGAGTCCCTTGTCCGAAATGGTCGGTCGATACCCCGTGTACATCGGCGCCCTATCACTCTTTGCAGCATGGCTCCTGGGGGCAGCGTTGGCACCCAATATCGGAGCACAGATTGTCTTTCGCTTTCTGGCGGGAGTGTCCAGCGCCGCTCCGCTCACTGTGGCCGGAGGATCTGTCTCTGATGTCTGGGATACTCTGGAGAAGACATTCGCCTTTCCCTTTTTTGCAATCCAAGGATTTGGGGGTCCTTGTCTTGGTAAGGCCGTACAATGCAGAGACATGAGAGTCGAGGCTCATTAATCAATCTCTTTATAGGACCCGTCGTTGGTGCGTATATAGGCCAGAGCCCCCACATCGACTGGAGATGGACGGAATGGGTCATGCTTATCCTGAACGGTCTGATTATTACATTACTATTCCTGTTCAAACGTGAAACATTCGGTCCCCAGCTCCTTTACTACAAGGCTAGATTCTTCCGACAGGCTACAGGTGACCCGCGATTCAAAACCGAGCTGGAAGCTTCTGGGGTGGTGTCTGTAACCACAACATTAAAGCGCCATTTCAGTCGTCCGTGGATCCTTGCCGTTGAGCCGATTGTCATATTTATGACCTTCTATCTCACCGTGGTTTACATCGTACTCTTCACGTTCCTGGATGGGTGAGTATTGATTGTCCCGTGACTGCGACCCCGGTTTGGATTGTCTTGCTGATATCCTGACATAGTTACCCGGCCATATTTGGCCGTGTCCACCATATCAGCGATGGACTTGCGAACATCTGCTTCCTGGGCTTGTGGATAGGTATATTGCTGTCTATGTTGCTGGTTCCGATTCTGTACAAAAGAACACAGAGACAGTTGAAGAAAGATGGCGACGACGGTTCTGGAAAAGTACTCAACCGAGAATCCCGTCTGTTCTTTGCCATGGTCGGGGCTCCGGCACTTCCAATCGGTCTCTTCTGGATGGGGTGGACAGATTTCGTGAGGATCCCTGTCTCGTGCAAAGCTCTTTCTAACACACTGTCTAATCGGTTGACATCTTACAGTCTTCTATTTCGATCTGGTCCCCATTGGTTGCCAGTGTCGCCGTCGGATTTGCCAATATTTGCATTTTCATGTCGGCGTACATGTATATCATCGACTCATACTTACACTATGCTGCTTCGGCCCTCACATTTACCGCTCTCGTTCGATACCTGGCTGCTGGAGGCATGACTGTCGTCGGCATCCCGATGTACAATAATCTGGGCGTGCACTGGGCATTGACTGTGTTGGGTATTATCAGCGTCGTTGTGACGCCAATCCCCTACGTTCTGTACTTCTGGGGACCGAACCTGCGAAAGAGGAGCAAATGGGCCACGGCTATTTCAACCTGAGGAGACCCATGATTCTCGACACACAGAACAATGGCGACAAACGAGGTACCGATAATGGAGAAGTCGGGAAAAGGAGAGCACGAGGAGACACTTTCTGCATCGCATTTCCATCCAGGACCGCAATGGAAATTATCTATAAACACGATTGGGCCATAACATTGCGTTACTGTCCGTTCCTAATGCTTTTTGATTTTTTTTCTTAATCTTTTTCCATTAATCTTTTAAGTCATTCCCAGTGTGGGTAATTAATAGCTTATTATAAGTAGCAGTTTCACATAAAAATCAAGCCAATTAAGAGTAGATAATCTTGATTGCAGTGGGTATTAAGTCTATTATATTAGGTCATAGGTGGTTTTCGTCGGAAGTAGTTTTCATTCTTATTTAAATAAAGATGTATTCGGGTTTCAGCTGGACCTTGTTACAGCTCAACGGGAGTTCAGGCTGGTAGTACTCGACGAGGTAGAAGATCTGAGGGGCGTTGTGCCACCAGTCGCAGACTAGAGATGTACCTGTCAGAAGAATTGTCCTAGTCGAAAAATAATAAAGAAAATTCGTCCAATATGGATTACCTACCAAGCCAGCCACCGAAGCCGTCCTCAGCGTTCCACTCAAGACCACTGGAGTTGATAGAGAAGCCAGAAGTACCGTAGCCAGCGTTGACCTCATTTTGAGATAGCAGATAACATGTCCGTGTAGGTCAGCCAATTCAGAAAGCAAAGTTGCCAATCGCCAGCAAGAGCTATGTCGCAGGAGTGAGGCCCATCGCTAGTATCTTTTCCCTCGCCAAGGCTCGTAGCCTGTTCAAAGACAAATTGAAGGTTGTGTTCGCATTTCTACCCGGCGTGATATATGGCCCGAAAAGTTCGCCCAGGGTTATCGGAGGATCTCTTTGGACAGTAGCTGCGGGCACTGGGAAAAGCTGCTATAGATTATTAAAAATCCTCATTAGTACAAAATTGAAGTCTAATAACTAAGAGCAAAAGAGAGAGAGAGAGAGAAGAAAAGAAAAGGAAAGAAAACATACCTCACGGTGAAGCTGGATTACCGCCCCGGCAGGATTTCGGTGCCATACCTCGATTAAACCCGTAACATAACCGTTGGCAATTCTCGTCCACTTAAGAAGGATTACATAGGCCACGTCGAGACCACCAGAAAACCACAGATTCTTATCTGCTTCTAAGTGCGGCCAGCTCTCTGACCATCCGGACTCAACAATTACACGAGGGAGGGATCCATGTGTATCAGGACGAAGCAAGAGATCAGGTTCCTTACTAGAACCTGTATAAACACCGGAGAAACCAGTGAACCCTAGTTATATAATATTAGTAAGAAATAACTATAAGTTAAGAGTCAATTATAAGAATTATACTAACTGGTGCCAACATTCAGTTCTAAAAATAGAAACTCAGGAGGCGATAGAAACTGAGCCACAGTCATAAACCAAAGCTCGTTCTTAAGCCATTGCACATGTACGTTATGAATTTCAGTGGGCATTATTAAAACTCGTAAGACCCCTGAAGCTGCGTTGAAATGGATTCTAAGAAATAATAGATTTATTAGTTAGGAATACTTGCATAATAGTTAAAGTGGAATATATATTTACCTTGGTAACGCTCTTTCAATGCGGGGTTCATTGGCAAGAGATACTGTCACCAAAGAGCCAATCTCAGGTGCAATATTCTCGCAGATTATTTCCTTACTGTCTTCAGCATGAAGGATTGCATTGCAAATATGAAGAAAAAGCTGTTGTGCAGTGAATGGTGCAGCAGAATGTGCAGTGTTACTTCTGAGGTTATAAGCTGAAGTGCCAGTAGGTCCACAACTAGGCGAAGCAGAAAGTGGCGCAGAGAGTGAAGCTGATGGTGTGGTGTTGCTTCTGAGACTGCGCGGAGGCCCGCGATGCGGTGACCTACTATCCTCGTCCATTGTGAGAACTGGACTGAAGGATGTGTAAAATCAAGTTGAGAAGGTGCTACCGCGTAGCGGGGGATGTGAGGGGTAAGAAGCTTGGATTCTATCCTCCGGGGGAGGACTTGGACATGCTATGCTGACTACCGTGTTTGACCGCCTGCCGACTGTTTCCACCTGACGACTACCTTTTTCTCATAGAAAATTAGCAAAATTAAACCTTTATAACTCAACCATAATTAAATATTTTTATATAAAAATTGAATTCTAAATAATATAAAGGCTGAATTTTTAATTAATATAGATTTTATATAAAATATATTAATATATAGAGTACTATAAGTAGTTAAAGTTAATAAGTTTTTAAAAATATTAAACTTAATATTATTTAATTATTCTTTAATATTTTATTATAAGATTAATTATATATATTTTTTATACTATAAAGTTTATATAAAATCTATAAAAGTTTAAAAAATAATAAGAATATAGTATAATAATAAATAAACTTTTTAAAATTAAATTTTAAATTAACTTTAAATTAATAAAATATATATAAATTCTTTATTTTAAAGCTTTAAATATTAATTATAATTATATTTTATAATACTACTTAAAAAAATAAAGTTTTTTAATTTTTATTATAATTTTTTTAAAGGTTTTATTTTTATTATAAAAACTATAATCTTTATTATTTTAATAATATTATTATTAATATTAGCTTAAATATAGTATAAATAAAATTTTACATATAAAAATAATAAAAGAATAGAAATTATTTATATTCTTACTAAATATTTTTAAATAATATAAAATATACTTTTTAAAACAACTTAATTTATTAATATAAATAAATTTAACTAGAATATTTTAAGTTTTTTAATATTTTTTATTTTCTATATAAAATTATATATTAAGAAATAATAAATTTATATAGATTATTTATATAAATAAAAATTTTTATATTTTAACTTTAAAAGTAAAATATTATATATTAATATATTATAAGCCTTTTTTAATACTTCTTTTAATACTAATATAAATATATAATAATAATTAATATATTAAAGCTTTAAAATAAAGAATTTATATATATTTTATTAATTTAAAGTTAATTTAAAATTTATATTTTAAAAAGTTTATTTATTATTATTATACTATATTCTTATTATTTTCTAAACTTTTATAGATTTTATATAAACTTTATAGTATAAAAAATATATATAATAAATTTTATAGAAAAAATATTAAAGAATAATTAAATAATATTAAGTTAAAATTTTAATAATTTTACTAACTTTAACTGCTTATAATATTATAAATATTAATAAATTTAATAAAAAATTAAATTAATTAAAATTCTAGTATATATAGTATTTATATATTAAATTTCATTTTAAAATATTTAATTATGGTTAAGTTATAAAGGTTTAATTTTGCTGATTTTCTATGGGGAAAAGGTGGTTATCAGGTAGAAACGGTCAGCAGGCGGTCAAACACAGTAAGTAAGTGACGATATTTTCACACAGGACAATGGCTGGCAGAAGCCATCTATCGCGTACCGCTCCCAAGTCGCTGAGAGTGGCCCACAGCACGCACTCGAGTATCTGATGAATGTATGTACGGAGTACTGGCGTACTGTTAATGATGTAGAAGTAAAGGTCTTAGCTCGTCCTCTAGAATCCGTCATATGCAGGGTCCAACTTGGCGAGACCTTAATTATTCCGCCGCAGGAAGGCGGTCAGATGAAATATCGGCAGAATCACAACCAAACCAAGTCTAAAAGGCGGTACAAAGAGGCAGAAATAGCTAAGTACTGTTTGGACGCAGTAAAGTATCTCAGATAGACTCTTGGACAGCACAGAATAACGTTCTCCTCGACTTGATTCTACATCGGAGCGGAATTATTGTGACATACTGTCTTTTGCTTTTATAAAGAGGCGCCTTTAGATCAGAAGCATTCTCTGTTAACATCTCTCCTTGACTTCTGCTTATCCTCCCCATTGTTAATCGTAGGTAACCAGCGGTACTTAAGCACCTGCATAAGATAGTTGGGCTCTACAGCTGACTTGCGATCTGCTCGAGATCATACTGTTCAAACACGTCACATATCTAACTGACAGTGGTGCGTCTATTAAATCACACAAACGCAAGTTCCCATCAAGATAAAAGCAAACTAACCTCCACAATCCTCCTGAAAAATAGTCTAAAGACTCCTCCCCAGCCTATATCCACATGCACCATCCGCGCCTGGCGGACTTCTTCAAGAACTTCACACACCCTCACACCTCGCTTTACACCAATATCGCTCTCCGGTCCTCACAAAACCACCCATACGCCGCGTCGGGCGTAATATATGGCTCAACGGCCTCGGGCCCCACGGCCGTGCCATCCTTTTTGCCTATCGAGGACATCTATATACTACCGCAGAACTAGCCTTTGAACCCGGAGAACCCGGCAGCTCTTCACTTTGAGATTGTGCCTGGGTTAATAATAAGGATACTGTACACAATATATACATGTCAGTAACGAGTTACCAGCAGTGGGTGTATTTATATACTAACCTACTTTAATAAACGGGGGAAGCAGACTAGGTGTCATAGATGACAACCCAGACCTCCTTGGGTCACGTGACCGGAAGGTCACGTGACCCACCCAGTGTACTTAGACTTCTCGGATCCTAGGATCTCTTCTGATCCTTAATAAGAATACCTTCGATAACTACATTATTGTATTCTTATTCTTTTTTATTAATTTTTTTTATTATCTTATAATTTAAAAGATTTTAAATTATTAAATAAACCTTTATACTTATACTATAAACTATAGAAAACCTTAATAAACTATAGTAATTTAAAGTAAATAGTTAGAGATATATCTTTAAATAACTATATTTTTTAAAAGGCTATAGTTTTTTATAAAAAGACTATAAAAAACTAAAGTAATCTATAACTTACTATAGTTAGACTATAAAAAATTAAAGTAATCTATAACTTACTATAATTATAAATAATAAGATCTTACTATAATAATTTATATATAACTATAAGATTAAGTAAAATAATTAACTCTTAACTTATAAATAATAGGAGAACTAGCCTTAATACTAAGAATTCTATAATATCTTTAAGTTATTAAAAATTAAATAGAGATTAATAAAACCCTTTATAAAATAATAATAATAAATAGTAATAATATAAAATATCTTTAATAATAATAGAAGTATAAGAGTAAACTTATATAAATATATTAATAAATAATATAATAATAAGAATAATAAAATTATTTAAATACTTATAAGATATTTAATAAGAATTAGCTTTAAAGTAAAATAATAGCGCTTAATTATATATTTAATAGCTATATATTTAGCAGTTATACTTTTAGTAACTATATATTTAGTAATTATATATTTAGTAGCTATAAACTTAATAGCTATAATTTAAGTAAGTAATAGCGCTTTAAATATAAATCTAAAAGCTTTAATAATAGCTAGAGACCTTAATCTAATAAGAATAAATATAGAGTATAATATAATTTAATAATAGTAGTAGTTAAAATTTAAAAGTTTTTATAACTTTAATTAATAAAAAGCTTAAACTTTAATATTTAAAGGCATTTAATAGTTTAATAGAAGAACTTAAATATTAGATTATAAAATTTAATAAATAGCTAGATAATAAAGCGCTATATAATATTAAAGAGTAAGCCTCTTATCTTTACTTATATATAAAGAGTAAGATAAAGAGATATTTAATAATATTAAAGATTAATAATTTAAATAATTTAATATTCTAGAATTATATACTATTATACTATTAGTTACTAGACTATTATAAACTAGTAAACGCTAAGGTAATTACTATATAAAGAATATTTAACCTTTAATAATATTTTAATTAACTACTTTAAGATTTTATTAATAAATTTAAAACTATTATAGTAGACTTAGATTAAAATAATATTACGCTAAATAATATATTTAGCTATAAGCTTATACCGCGTATTATCTATAAGATTTATTAAGAGTATTTTACTTACTAACTATATATATAGAATAAAAATATATTACTTAATAAGTAGAGCTTTATATATAAAAAAGAAAATATTATATAAAATAATTACTTTAAGACTATTGCGGCTATTTTAATTTAAGTAAATCCTTTAATATATAAAGCTAATTACTTAATAGAGAAATAATAATAAAGAGTAAAGAGTAAGGATAAGACTATAAAAGACTACTTTAAATCTTCTAAGGAAATAAAAGATATAATCTATTAAATAAGGAATAGAAAAAACAGTATAATAAAGGCCTTTATTTAAAATATAATAAAAAAGGCTATTAAAAGAAGTAATACTTAAAGGCTTTTTAATTAGTAAAGGCTATAAATATAAAAAACTAAAGAGAAAACTAACTTTAAAGGCCTACTCCCCTTAAAATAAGCTTAAATAATATACTAATATAGTATTATTAACTTATTTAAGTATTATATAAATTTAAGTATTATTATCTTATATACTTATATTTAAGAAAATTAAAGTATTTATTTTAATCGTAGTACTATTAGCTATAGAATATATTATAATATTAATAGTATTAATAAATAGTAATATAAATATAAACTATATTAATATAATAGTAATAGAATAAATTAAAGAAATCTGCTTAATATTAGGACTAGTTTTACTATTAAGTATATAAGATATTAATAATATAGAACTAGTAAAACTAATAAAGTATTACTTTAAACTATATTATATAATTTTAAGTAAAGAAATAAAACTCTATATATTTAAAGTATTACTAATAGCATTTAATATAATTCTTAGCTTATTATAGTTAATATTAGAGAATCTATTAATTAACTAGAATAAAAAAAATATCTTAAAGTAATTAGCTAAGTAATAAAAGCTTCTTAAAATAAATTATATAATAAAATTAAAAGAAGATATAGAGAATAATATTAAAGAGAGTTTTATATTTATATTTTATTTAGGCTTACTTATAATAGTAATAAACTTAAAAAATAAAAAAGACTTAGTAACTATTAAAATACTATAGTAATATATAGATTTAGCCTAAATATTTAATAAGAAAGAAGCTAATACCTACCTCTATAAAGACTAAATATTAATTATAAGATTAACCTTATTAAAGGTATAGTATTACTATATAGACCTTATTACTATTTATTAAAGTAAGATTTAAAATATAAATATATTTAGCTATTTAATATACTATATACTTTATTATTACTATTTATACTTAAAAGGCTTAAAGTTTTATAGCTTTATATAGATTTTAGAGCTATTAATAAAAAAATACTTAAAAATAAATACTTAGTTTTAATAATAAATAATTTATTTTTAAGGCTATAAAATACAGTTATTTTTACCTATTTAAACTTCTGCTTAGCGTATTACTTAATCTATATAATAGAAGAATATAAATAGAAAACTGCTTTTTATATAAAATATAGTTTATTTAAGTAATAAGTAATATTATTTAGTCTCTATAATACTCTAGTAATATTTTAAGTATTTATAGACTTAGTACTTAAATAGTATATTAATAAATATTATATAATATATTTAGATAATATACTTATCTTTAGCTATAATATTAGTCTTTATACTTAGTATATAAGAGTAGTTCTTTAAAGCTTATTAAATAATAGTCTATTTTATAAATTAAAAAAATATAAATTCTCTATATTTAAAGTTATATTCTTAGAGTTTATAATTATATCTTAAAGAGTAATAATAAATAAATAGTAAATAAATACTATTACTATTTAGCCTATATTAATATTAATAATAAGCTTAAGCTAATTCTTTAAGTTCTATAATTTTTATTATTAGTTTATTAAGTATTATAGTTAAATTACTTTTCTATTAACTTAACTTATAAAATATAATATATTATTTATATAAGAAGAAAAAGCTTAAATAAGCTTTTAAATATTTAAGAAATACTTTATAGAGATACTATTATTAAAATATTTTAACTTAAATAAATAGCGCTTATTAAAAATAAATATAAGCGGCTTTATTAAATTAATAATATTAAGCTAAGTTTTTAAAGATAAAATATAATATCTTATTATATTTTATAATATTAAATTTATAAATATAAAGTTATATTAGCTAACTTATAAGTAAAAGTTATTTATTATTATTAATACCTTTAAGGTTTAAAGGTATTTTTTAATTAAAATAAATAAACTAGTTAAAATAATTATAAACTATAATAATTTAAAATATTTCTTAATAATATAAATTTTATTTAAGAAATAAGTAAAATAAGTAAAATATCTTTTATAATTTTATTTCTATATTAAATATAAGCTTAAGAAGTATAATTCTATTAATAGCTTATTATATTAAAATAATTATAAATCTTAATAAATACTAAAGAATATATTAATATAATTTTTAAAGATTAAAATAATATAGTATATAAAGAGATACTATTATTTTAAAATATTATTATAAAAGCTATCTTTAAATTAAGAGTAAGAATAAGATATCTTCTTATAAGACTAAATAAAGCATAGTTATATTTATTATAGTACTAGCGCGGGAAATAAGTTACTTAAGAAGATTTACTAGTTAATACTTACTTAATCTAAAAGAGTAAAGCTTAACTTTTTTAAATTATATAAGGAACTATATAACCTTATAAAAGATATCTTTAATATATAGCTTAATCTAGATTTAAGCTTTTTAAGCTATATTTTATTTACTAAGCCTACTTATAATAGCTTATTTTAATTTAAATTAACTAAATAAAGATCTTATAACTAGTAATATAAATTTATATCTAGGCTTAATATATTAGTTAGCATAAAATAGCGAATACTTAGTTATCCTTATATATTTAGTAAGAGTAGTTCTTAGAAATAAAAGAATAACTTCTTCTTCTCTAAAGTTATCTCTAGTTTTAAAACCCTAGGTTTACTATTAAATAATAGTATATTACTATTAATCTAAGGCCTTCTACTATTAATTTTAATATTTATATATTATCTTAAATTTTTATATTATTTTATATCTCTATTAATATAGGACTTATTATAAGTCTCTGTAATTAGCATTAATTAGCTCTATTAATTATTATATTTTATTACCTCTTATTATTAATTATTATACTTAATTACCTCTTATTTATATTATTATTTTAGCTATATTTTCTATTAGAATTATATAGGTAATTGCTCTTACTAGTAGTTTATTAGCACAGAATTTATTATTAGGTCTTTACTAGAGATAGTATTAAATACTTCTATTAGTTTTTATTAGTTTTTTTCTATTATTATTATTTTATTATTATATTCTTATTATAGTATTATTAGAATATAGCTTAGCCTAGCTAAGGCTAAGCTTAGCCTACCTAAAAAGCTCAGCCTACCTAAGAAAAATCTAGGTTTAGCTTAGATACTAAGTTAGTTTTAATATAGCGTTTAGATAGGCTTAATATATATATAGCTTATATAACTTATAATAAAATTTTTATATTATATTGCAGTAAACTATATTTATTAAAAACTATATATAATATATACTCTATACTATATTATAGTATATGCTAAGTATAAGTTAGAGTAATACTAGGATATATATAGGGAGCTAGAACTGATATTATTCTGCGCAGTTTACTAAGACAGTATATATAAAGGCAGTTATTAAGCATATATTAAAGTAATATTAGAA